TCCTCGACTGGGAGGGTGCGCGTCCTCGTCTGGAATCTCCTCGATCGTGACACTAGAGACTTTGGAGGGGACCTGGAGGGTGCCGTTGCGCCAATCGATGGTGGGGTTGATCTTTCGAAGCCAAGGGAGCCCAAGGATGATGTCCTCGCCTCCCAGATCAGCGATAAGGAAGTCGGTCCATTCAGAGTGACCATCCACCGTGAGCTCCAGTCGTGCGAAATGAGTGATACTGCCAGCCTGGTTAGGGGTACCGTCGATGTTGAGAAGTCGGATGGGATGTCGGAGAGGGAAGGTGGTGATGTTGTGTCGATCAACAAAGGGCTTGTCCAGGAACTTGCCTGTTGCGCCACTGTCGACCATTGCCGCGGAGTTCGTACTACGGTTTCTGCCTCTGAGCCTCACGTTCACGCGAAAGTGTGAAGAACCGGGGTGTATTTCGCGAATGGAGCTAATAGTACATGAGCGGATAGAGTCATATTCGGAGACAGCGTACGGAGGAGCAAAGGGTGCCTGCGTTGCGGCAGGGACGGGCACCCGCTTCAAAAACCCTGATGGAGCCTCTGGAGTTGAGCCAGGAGTTCGAGTTGTTGTTGTTGAGTGGCCGAGAGCGAGGCGAGGGTGGGGGCAGGGGCAGGGGACACAGCGGGGGTGGTGGCGGCAACGGTGGCAGTGGCAGCAGGGGCGGGTTCGTCAAAGAGGGAGAAGGGTGCTTCTTGGGTGGCGGCGACACGACGACGTGGGGGTCGAGAGAGCCCTCGTCCGGGTGGGAATCCCATGTACTTGTCCTGGCAGACGGTGGCGGCATGTCCCATACGCTGGCAGTAGTTGCAGCGTAGCGCTCCATGATTCCCATCCTTCTTCCAACTGGGGTTGGTGTCCGGCCCAATTGGTAAAGAACTGGAGGAAGCGTCGGGCGTCTTCAGCCTTGCCGTGGAAGGGCTCAGGCGCCTTGACCGGGCTCTTGCTAGAGGCGGTTTTGGCGGCTGTAAGGTGGCTGACCAGGGTAGAAATGGCGGTGGTGAGCTGGTTTTGCTGTTCCTGGAGTTTCGCGAGATCGGCGGCGGACATCGTGAAGTCGTCGGTGGTTTGGGAAGTGGAAGAGGGTAGAGTAGTTGGTTGGGTGGAAGTGGGAGGTTTCTGTTCTGAGCTTGGAGCGTCAGATGTATCCTCCAACTGCCGAGAGGTGTGGAGAGGGGGATGGATCGAGCGAGAAACGAAAGAGGCGGGGTTTGTCGGTGTAGAGCGGCCGGAAGAGCTGAGGCGTTGTGCGGAGATGAGGGGTGCGGATGCGGTTAGAGCGGAGTGGAGGGTATTGAACGGTGGGAGGGTGTTTTCTTGTTCGGGGGATGCTGATCGGACGCTAAGGGACTGGACGACTTCTTCTTCTTCTTCCTCGTCGTCGTCTTCTTCGTCTTCTTCGGGGTCGGTGTCGGGATCTGGAAGCTTGAATGAACCGGCTTTGGCAGCGGGGGAGGTGTTTGCGGAACGGTAGGCTTGGTACGGGGTTTCTGGAGATTCGGCGGCGGTGGGTTGCGTTTCAGAGGGCGGAGTCCTGGGGTTGTTGCGGGCGAATTCTTCAACTGCTTGCTGATTAACGGGGGACGGTGATTCGGCGTTTAACTTGAGGGAGTTGATATAGACCCAGTCGTGTACGGAAGGTTCGTGGTAACGGTTGGGGCAGGGCTGTTCAGAGCAAGCGGTCCAACGGTTGAGGCTTGGTAGATGGACGTCTAGGACGATGGGGTGACCGTCGCTGGCCCGAACGACAAAGTGCGGCTTAAACAGACAGGAGGTGTCTTCCGGTGTGGCGGAAATCTTGATCGGAGTGCGGGGACCAGAGTTGCCAGAGAGGGACCTGATCGGCAGGTCAACCAGAAGCCAGGGATGCGGATGATGCAGGAGCAACGATCGGCGTTGCCGGTGTCACAAGGGTAGCTTGACCTAATGTCGCGAAGAGCGAACACTAAACCAAACCAAAGACCAGTGATGCGGAGCAGATAAGAGCGGCGAGTGAGATAAGAGCGATGAGCGACAGATGCAGATGAAGGCTGAAGTGGTGTATTGACGAAGAGGTCAAGCTGAGGAAATACAGAGGGATCTACCTAGCTTATATACCTATTCTACAATCTACATAACCGCGATGAGTCAAGATGACGAACAGATGGTGAAATACAAAAGAACAATAAGGAGAGTCACAAGGCTGCGCGAAGGCTGCGCGAAGAATAAAGAAGACAATAACAGAGTAACGAGGCAGTGCAAGAATGGAGAGAACGATAAGACGTAGGGCGAAGGGCATAACGAGGCAGTGTTCCATGGGAGAAAGTGTCCGTGTCGAGAATAAGAGCAAAAATAAGAATAAAGAAAAGGTGATAAGGGCGATGAAAACGATAAGATAAGATAAGATAAGGGAAAATAGGGGCTCGTACTTGCTGTTCACGACAGCTGGAGGGAGAACCCAGGAGGATTTGGTCGCGTGTTCATATCAGGCACCATGGGTTCCAAGGTGGGTCTGAATCAGTTTGGGCCAAGACATCGTCACTGAACAACGCAGGAGTTCCTTTTCCAGCACATGCATCGTTCGGAGGGCCTCAAGTCTCAGCGCTAGAGCACCCTTTTCTTGTCGGCAGGCAGGCGGGCAGTGACACAGTTCCTCCGGTTTACAGTCTCGGTCACGCCATTGAGAGCATCATAGCGACATTCATAGTGAAGGACACGGGTAACCCGCGGGTAAATTTACCCCTACCCGTACCCGTACCCGCCTTTACCCGTACCCGCAACCCGACGGGTATTCTTCACAAAACGAGCCCAAGAACGTCCAAAACGGACCAGAAATGAGCGAGATATGCTCAATTTACTTAAATCAAGCGTAACCCGCCCATTTTATGGCCGTTTTGGACGTTTTTGGGCTCGTTTGAAAGGGGCGCGGGTACGGACACCGTTACCCGTACCCGTACCCCCGCCTACCCGTACCCGTAACCCGCCGGGTATCGAAAACCCGTGTCCATCACTAGACGTTCAGTGAGGGGACTACCTTGGAACGGCTTCCGCAGCCATTTCGCGAGTAGCAGAAATGTTCGTTACCCTGTTCGTTCTTCTCGTCTTCGCTGCTTGGTCTTGCTGCCTTCGTCGAGTTGCTGCACACTAGGCCGTCGGGGCCAGAAATGGGCTCAGTCACACAGGTTGCTCGTACCGCTGTACATTCATGTCAGTCATGGGGTTTGGAAAAAGAAGGCCGAGCGGGGACTCACCAGGGACCGACGCCAGCGTCGGTATCACGTGATGTCCGCCGAATCCGCCGCGTCGGGCCCGACTCCCGCCCTATCCCAACGCCGACTCTCAGTGACTCGAGTGCCAGTTCAGGGCTCACAATGGGGAGGGGTGTATGTTGGAATTGCTTCTTCATGTCACCCTCCGAGTGACAAGGTCGGAAAACCGCATGTAGAATCGAGAATGACCGTTTTTCTCGAATCCCGCCCGCCCAGGCTGTAAAGACACGAAGCTCGAAGGCGCCCTCCCTGCGTCCTCCATGGGAAGGAGATTCATCCAAGCTGCGTGAATACACAGGTAGCAGCGCTCCAAATCCCAGTGGAAAACCGAGCGACCTCGGCACCCCTGCATGGAAGAGACGTTCGAACGAAGCATAAAGTCGAGTGCACCAATTTCTGCAGTATTCCAAGACCGTCCTCTCCGATGGCTAGGTCAGTCCCTTGACAACCTGAAGCCGTTATGAATGCCCGAAGCCTCGTCAATATGAGCGCAATGACCGACTTTCCGTCAAGCACGTACCACAACCCACTCAACACCAACGGCGACCCAACTCCCCATCGTCATCGCCATCCCACTTCATAGCTCCAGCGCCCACCTTTGGGCGACAACCACTGTCCGTACCCATCTTTACTCCCTCCTGAACGAAGCACGGACATCAAATCAAGGTGTAAACAAGGAGAAGAACGACCCACCATTTCTCCCTCCCTCATCGACTCTCTTCGACATCCAGACCCATCGTACTGTCCACCAATAATTCCGACCCTTTTCCAATATCTTCTACGCTGTTCAGTCTGGAAGCCCGCGAGAATTCATCTGCGAAGAGCAGGAGGGTTGGGTTGGTGGTGTAGCAGTGTAGCAGTGTGTGACAGAAAGAGTGGACACGCTTGTTACCTCATACGACCAGCTATCCCGACAACCAAACGGCATAGTTCTTCTTGACTCCAGATCATCCCATGCGACGCTCAGAAACGACACATCCCTTCGTTCGGCCTGTCTTCAAACTTCAGAACTTTCAGTCACCGCCATTCGAGGCACCGTCAAGCCCAGCCCCGCGTATTACATTCCTCAGCGACAACTCACTATCATTTACTACGCAAAAATCAAGCCTCAAGACTTCTCGCCCATCCTCTCGGCCGCCTTCTGCTATCCACTCGCGGCAAAGTATCCTACAGTGTGGTCAGGAATACACCGCGGCCATCTTCCCCAGCCGGCGACCCAGGAAGGGTCGCCGTCCCTTTACGGTTACTCCCTTTTCAATTCAAATAAACCTTGATTGTTTAGCACAACCCTTGCCACGTTCAGCCTAAGGCCTAACACGAGTACGGGTACCGAACGGGTTACCCGCGGGTATATCCGTGGGAAAACCCGTCGGTACCCGTATCCGCGAGTACAGGTATGAGACCTCGGGATTTAGGCGCGGGTACGGGTACCTGCGAGTAAACTCGCGGGTACCCGCGGGTTTTCAAACGAAATTGAGTCTATGTCTGGCTTGAATACAAGCAGAATTCATTCATTATTGTTGTTAACTACTCTACACTAGAGCCGGGGCTTTGGACAAGGTTGCGAGGGGGTCTGTCGAGCGGTTCAGTCAGTCAGGCTGGACCTGACCAAAAAGGGAAGTCCGATCACTGACCTTTGATGGCTCTCGTAGCTCTGCTTTCGCGAACAAGTTCACGAGATGGGCGTGGCAGGGAATGCCATTTGAGAACGGGCGAAATCTAAGTAGAACAATTATGTTAGTCAAACGGTATCATTAGGGCACATAATGTATATAAATTCACTCACTTTGCCACAAAGGATTCAAAGTCAGTCAGGGAAGCTTGATGAGCATTCCGGGTTTTCGGGCAGTTGTCTTGGGTGAAGGATCGCATTTTGGGTTGTTGTCTGGGTTGTTCCGTCGTCACTACTGTATTTATGTCAATTATATAGTTAGAAAGCTTGTGATATACAGGGGAAAGGTTTAGAAAAGCGGCTCGATGAATTGAAGGAGCCAAGCTCTTCACTAATTTGCACCGGCTTGGCCTGTCCGAATTAGTCAAGCGCTCCGCTCTTTACGTTCGCCAAGTGGACGCACATCCTTCGCTTCCACCAGTTTGACCGCAGCGCCCGTGTCGGTGAAGGCACCCACTTTCCCACCTCCAGGCCAGTATAAAGAGATGTTTCCGCTCTCTAGCTTTCCCCCATCATCACCAACGCCCCTCCACTCTCCATTCTCTCCCTCGACGCCAGCCAGCTTGGCGCTGGCGGGTATACCTATCGCCAACTTTCGCCACCTCAAACACCCGCCAAACCCGTGCAACTCCGATCGTTGTCGAATGCCGGCCATGTCATTGGCCAGAGGAACAGACTGGAGCATGTTGGTCAGTCAGACCACCTCACGTATTGGTTGTCGATGATGGACTAACTATTCTGCAGCCTCGACTAGCCTGCCTTCGACTGAAGTTGTCGTCGGGTGCCTGTCCGTCGGCCTCCCGTCTTCAGCCTTCGTTCTGGACTTAATATGGTGAGTTGTTCTCCGTCCTTGTTGGTTCTCTTCTGACTCCACTTCGTCATGGCCCGTTCTAGCGCCAGGGACAAACGACCTACCCAGAAAGCTGTCGAGTACGCCAACGTCACCGCCGCCCTCAAGCGTAAACGACGTGCCACCGACGACGACGAATCGGAGAGTGGCGATGACGACTACGTGGACAACGACCCCGATGACAGCTCTAACCCCACGGGAAAGAGCCGGTCCACTCCCGCTGCGGTCATCGATGTCGACGAGGACGACGAGGAAGACCCCAGCTCGCAAGAAGACACCGCCGACGCTCAACCACGCCGCCAAAAGGAAAGTCGGGCGCAGAAGGACAAGCGCACCTTTAACGAGCGATACGATGTTGGAAACTCGACAAACCAAGAAGTTCTAGGTGAGTTCCCCGATTATTTGGTTTCCGGAGTCTTCTAACCCTTCCGAATAGAGAAGCAGATGGGTCAATGGACCTCGGAGGTGTACCAGCACTTCCACCTACCTCCGAAGATAATTATCACCGCCGAAAAGAAAGTGAAATACGCCTTCCAGTGTAAAACGTACGTCTCTTCTCCCGGCTTCCTGTCTGGTTTGTTGCTCACGTTGTCTTCAAGCAATCCCTCTATCGTTGTCCGACGCAGCCGCGATGACAACTCGACCAGCAACCTCAACAAGCACATTGAGCGTTGCGTACCAACACCGACATCACAAACGCAGACGCTCGAGACTTTCGCCCACGGCTCCACCTATAGTGAGGCGAAGCATCGTGTCAACATCACGCTCTGGGCTGTCCGTCGTCGTCGACCGTTCGCCATCGTCGCCGACCCCGAACTTTTACAAGTGTTCACGGATCTGCGTGCTGACTGTGTCACACCCAAGCCCTGGACTGTTTCTCGAGATGCTCAGGAGATACACAAGATCACCCGTGAGTCCTTGATTGAGTGGTTCCAGGTAAGCCCTCCGTTGTTAGGCTTGATACATGTATCTGATGTCGGCTCTTGTAGAAATTCAAAGGAAGATTGCACGTTGGCGCAGATGGTTGGACCTCTCCCAACGTCATCTCCTTCATAGGTGCTACGGTTCATTTTGCGGTCAAGGGGAAGATGGAGTCCTTCGTGCTCGATTTCATCAAGTGCACGAAGGCCCATACCGGTGTTTACCTGGCTGGTCGCATTGCCGAATGTCTAAAGGCCTATGGCATCGATAGAAAGGTTCGATATTGATTTGTTTCATCTCGTTTCCCTCCGTTTGTCTGATAAAATGAACACTAGGTCCTCGGGTTTGTCTGTGATAATGCTAGCAACAACGACACCCTCGTCACCGAACTCAAACGTTTAGTCCCAACTTTCTGTGGCTCAAAGTATCGTATTCGATGCTTTGCACATGTCATCAACTTGGTCGCTAAGGTATGACATCGTCCTTCGTATATTTGGGTCTATCTATTCACTGATTTGTACTGTTACTCTAGGCGATGCTTGCTCCATTTTCAGGCAAGGCAACAACGACCATTCCGCTCGAAGACACCAGTGCACTCGACACCATGCTCGCTGGCCTTGAGGATGCGGAAGGAGAGGGTTTGTTTGGTGATGAAGACGACGAGAGTGAGTCAGAGTTGGAGGACGCAGGCTCGGATGATGAAGCCAGGATTGTGGAGGTGCCCGACGACGATGAGGTGGCGCCTGAAGTTGCCTCCTTTGATGACGACATGCTGATGGAGGTCGAGAAGGCTGCAGACGTTGACGTCTCCCTCCCTGCTCTGTCGTTGGCCGATGCAAAGGCGGGACAGATCGTGTTAACGAAGGTGAGTCCTATTGTTTGATTGATGATCACGGTACATTCATACTAACTCATTTCTATAGCTTCGCAAACTTGCTATCAAAATCTTTCATAGCCCTACCATCAACGAAGAGCTTCGGAAGGCATGTAAGCAGCACAACGTCAAGTATCGTCGCATTGTCCGCGACGTGGCGACTCGGTGGAATAGCACCACCGAGGTCATCAAATCCGCCCTCGACCTCAAAGAACCACTGAACCAGCTTGTGGTGCAGACCCAGTTTAATAAGGCGGGAGGTGTCCGACTACAGCGATTCAGTCTCGACAACACCGAGTGGGAGATCTTGAAACAGTTGGGTCCCATGCTTGATGTAAGTGTCTCGCCTTGTTCAAATATTGGGATGACTATGGCTTACTCTTCAATACTTCAGATGCTTCTGTATGTTACAACCGAGGTCTCGAAAACCTCGGTACCCCTGATCCACGACGTCATTCCTTTCATCGATTCTTTGACGTCGTGGTTCGAGGATTACATCCGTGACATTGATCTCCACCCCACTGTTCGACATGCTGCCCTTCGTGGCATGCTGATGATGAACAAGTACTATGCTCGCACCGATGAGGCCGTCATCTTCCGTATTGCCATGTGCAAGTCCCATTTCTTATTATCTAGACCTTGTCGTTTGTCTGACCCACTACCAGTGCTCCACCCTCGAATGAAGGCCAATTACTTCACTCGCCACAAATGGCCGGCAGCTTGGATCACCGAGGCGAAGGAGATCACTCGCAGGGAGTGGTTAGATAATTACAAGACTGCCTCGAGTGCTACGTCAGCTCGAAATACGCCGGCGGCTGCCCCGGTTGATGCTCAGTCAGATGTGAGTTGGTCTTTGAGTTCGCTATATCTTCACTGTCACTAATGGATTACTTCAGAGGTTTTCGAAGGCTCGTCAGCGAGTGAATGAGTACCGTGACATGGCACCTGACGACGACGAGGTGGATGCGTTGGAGGAGTGGTTGTCGACCCCTCCTGTGAAGACCAAACTTGACCCTATCAAGTATTGGTTTAAGCAGAAACAGGACGGCCACCCCCTTGCGCAAATGGCGCTAGATTTTCTCTCTGCCCCCGGTATGTCTCGTTATTCATATTGCATGCTCTTCTACTCATGTTCGTTGCTCTAGCTACGTCTACCGATGCCGAACGAGCATTCTCGCGAGGGGGGCTCACAGTTTCAAAGCTGCGACATGCCCTTTCAGCAAAATCTGTTCGGGCAACGACTGTCTTAGGTTCGTGGGCTGAGCATGACTGGGTGATTCCTCGTGCAAAGCTTTACGAGCACTTCAAAACTAAGAAGCGACGGCCTAAGAAGAAGGCCAAATTGGATGAGTCTATTGCAGGGAGTAATGTCATTACAGTAGAATAGTTTATCAATCAATTTCTTTTTGCTTTCTATCCCGATTTTCTCTGTCAGACTTAGGATTTGACAGGTATACCCGTGGGTTTACCCGCGGGTACCTGCGTGGATCCGTCGGTGACGGGTTTCTGGAAACCCGCGGGTATATACCTGCGGATCCGGGTACCCGTTTTGGAAAACCCGTACGGATGCGGGTATGACTCTTTTGGGCGGCGGGTACCTGCCTGGCGGGTGCGGGTATATCCGTACCCGTACTCGTGTTAGGCCTTAGTTCAGCCTGAACCACGGTGTTGAGGGTTCCTCGTCGACTGCGGAGTCGCTTGTCCTCTAGGACTTTATCACCTCATTCCTCTCTTCTTTTAAGCCGTTCGCTTTTCACTGTTCTGAATCTCTCCATTCGTCTGAGCATAAACCCACTGTCCACCCGTAGTATACCATGGCCCCGCAGCTTGAAAATGGCTGGACATCGTTCACGACAGCTCTACTTTCCCCAGACGCGAAACGACGAGGAATCATGTTCCAACTACCTAACCCACCTCCTCGAAAACCACTAGTGCTCCCCGTACGTCCTTTCATAGTCACCTTTCCGAATCTTTTCGAGGTTTTCTAACCGCCTGCCATCATATAGGCCCTTGAAGAATTCATCTGCTCACAACCAGGCACCTTGGCTTGTCGCAATTTTCGTCCACCGGTGAGTTCGTCGTCACCTCTATACACGTCAACCATCGCTGATGTAGCGGGTTTCGCTAGGACGTTTCAGTTACTCAGCCATCGAGAAATGAGCGGTCTCTGATATCGAAAATACGTTCCTGCATATCCCAAAAGAAGAGAGCAAAGCATAACAATGAGGACCGGGTTGAGGAAGCAGTCTCGTCTATCAAACCAAGCAAGGGCAAGAAGCAGCTGGCAAGTCGAGTTGGGACTGTCATAAAGGTGGGCCGAGCTTCTCTGGCTATGTGTTACATTGCTTATCTCGAGTGCAGAATGTTTTGCGATGGCTCGCGGGGCCGACTCCCGAGCTGAAGTAGCAACCTCGTACCAATGTTTTACTCCATGCTCTACCCTGGCTTTGCCTCGAAAGCGTCTTCGCCAACAATACTGTACATTCAACCATATGCCTTCCACCGGACTTTTCTTCGAAACACGTTGCTGCCCTGGGTGCCACGAAGCTTCTCGCGCCTTTCTTGATCTCGCTGTCATATCTTTTGCTATGCATACTTTCACTTTTTTTTTCATTTTCGTATATCAAGTTGACCCTTCCTCAAATTGTATCGCTACTTCCGATCTCGTATATAGGTCTGCATTTATGCTGTTGCTGTACTCTATGTCACCTTCTCTGTACATAACTCTTGCTGATTGCTTACATTTGTTCATTACTTGCTGGAAGTGGGCAGTACGCGCCAATGCCACATTCAAGTTGGCTGGTGATCATGAATTTAAACACGAGTGCCGTCTTCCTGGGCAGTGTCAACACCCGTACTATTGCTTTCAATGAAGGCCAGTGGCCTTGAAACTCTCGAATCGTGCCCGCTCCAGGACCTGCCTTCTACCACACGAAGAAGCATGATATGTGGTGCAAAAGCCTGTCACGACGAAGCCTCCGCATAAGCGCCTGTATCACCGGGACGAAGGAGTAAAGGCTTACCGTCACGGATAGCCATAATACCCTTAACCAGTGCGTAGAGAACTTGTCTCGCTTCCCCCGGAAAAGCGAACGCAAAGAAAGGAAGACAGCCAATCCGAGAAGGGCCGAGGGCACTGCGGCTTCCATTAAAATCGCAATCACAGTATCGTGCGGCGAAGGGGTGTCGATACGGAGATTTTCCAACGCCCTTCTGGCTCTGATGACTTTGGTGGAAATGGCGAGGGTGACAGTGAGGTTGATCATCACAGAGCAGAAGACGCTGATCCCAATGCCTTCGAATTCTGTCACCACATCGTAGCCCAGGTTCGCCCAATTGTCCTGGGAGAACACTTGTGCGGCGGAGACAGCCCAGCTGACTACGAGAATGCCGTGGTTAGTGAAATGAACGTGTTGCCTTGAGAAAAGTGACTGACTTATTGAACCGCAGAGCATTCCAATGACTGTGACATAAACGACTGGGACTCCACAGAAGACTACCGTGCAACGGTAGACCTGGTTATTTTTGTGTCCATAGAGGCTGGGGATGATGAACATATCGCAGAAGGCATACTCACCATCAAACCATCCGCCAAAGTCAGGATAGCCTGTAGTAGACAAGATACTACTGAATCTAATAGAAGGGCTTTATGCGGAACATGAACTGAAAGCTGCAGGCAGCGGGAAGTTTCCGCCGGAGAACCGGATATGCACCTAACGATGGTTTCTGTGTTAGCGCCAGTTTCTGCCGGGTCTGCGGGGCCGACAACCCGCAGTCTCGCTGCTGTTGACAGCTTAAACGTGAAGGCATAGATGTATGCAGCTGCAGCGCCGAGGTATGCAACGGAAAGGCTCAAGCATGCGAAAGCAAACGGTTTGCTGCAGGCGCCTGCACGGGACCATAGATTGCGGAGTATGTGACATGCAAGGTAGATTTGCAGGGCTAGTTCGATATACGTGAGCGCTCTATCGATCATAGGCCAATTACATACCTGATGACACTGTGAATAGCGCTACGCAGACTAGATCATCAGCAATGTCCTCACCGTCTCAGACGGTGAGGATTGGCCCAGAAGCTCAGGAGCCCAGACATAGTAGGCGTTGGAGGAGAGTTCAGAGTGTTACGGCAACATACTGCGCCCACCCATATGGTTTAAATTGACAGTCCCGAGGTTCCACCTTGCTTGAGATTCAGTGTCGGTCAGTAGCATCAAGTCGTTGGAAGGAATGGCCCAAATCAGCAACCCTGGCAGCAAGGACGAAACCAAGTTCACTTTAATCAATGCGTCAGGGGTTGGTTGCTTGGCACTGCTTGAGATTGAAGCCGACACCGTCTCGCGACGCCAAGCCTCCTGTAGGCTCTCCAACAATTTAACGTTTTAACCCTCAATCCATCCTGCAGAAAGCTGAGAGGGAATTCCAGCTTTGAAATCGCTAGCGGATTATTCGGCCAGTAGTTCTTGTGACATTCGGCAAATGTCTGCTCATTCTGTTCGCTTCTTCGGGTGTCCAGTGTTGTAGTAGCCTATGGATGGGGCCCGACTTGAAGGATTCAAGTTGGAGGTATTGTCATGCAAAATCCTGTCGCGAAAGGGGTTCATCCTGTGCTATCATTCGGTTAAAGAATAGGTGGATTCTCTGACCTTCTGCGTCCATAACGTGTCTAAACATCCCTGCCGGGCATCCAAGTCGGCGCATTCTTCCTCAGGCTCCATGGTCGCCCAGTCCAGTTCCTTGATTGTTCCACGAACCTACGCGTGTCTTCTTACAGAATGCCCGCTCACACACACTGGGAGAAGTATTCAGGATATTTTGGGCGCGTTCTTCACACTTCGCGGGGGCCGAGATGTGAATCAGACTTCTAAACGCAGGGTCGCAATTGCTCTTCTTCCTTGCAAAGTTGGCTAGTCAGACCGCCACCCATCGGTCTCCTTACCTAGCCACGTCGAGCGGAAGGACGCGAAGAAATCATCAGGTAGCAGGGCTATCTCGTTGGCGAATATCAAGGGGTATGTGTTCGTTCGTTCATTTAATCAAATCTTCCAGTGTAAGAGTTGATCATGATCGGAGTACTCTCGTCGCGAAGTCTTGCATCCTCGTGGTGATATCACCTTTCCACTGGGACGTCTCTTCGACTTCGACTCTACTCCATACAAGCCTGCTATTGATGATGGAACCCACCCTTCGCGGGGTATTGAGCTCATATTTACGGTATAGGCGCCCTTTTGATAAGATTTGGAAGACCAATGGGACATGCTTCTAACATGAATTCTGATCATGCGTTGTGTGGCTCACTGCCTCCCGTGTACTCGATACAAAGGCTCCGTAAGGCTTGACATCTGCCATTTACGCCCATTACACCGTGTCACCTACAATCTACCCAGGCAGTAATCGCCTTTCACTCTTCCAAATTCCGCGATGCAACACCCCAGGACGCGACTCTGCTTCGATTCCTTCAATCTTTGCCGCAACGCATGATCTGCGTCGTCATTGAAGTTGAAGGTAAGTAACGCTTTCGTCACTCTGCATCCGCAGTAGAGGGGTCTCCTCGCCGGTCTCGAATGATGAGATAACCCGTTTGTCGCGCAGATGACGATGGTCGAAAGGCGTCGTGACCGCTTGTGCATGCGGTCGATGACGAAATGCGGGGTCAGCGGTCGATGCTGAGCGCTCGTCAGGCGCAAACCGCCGACTTTCAAATCCAACTTCGCATTCACATTGTTGCTATCCATTCACGAGGGCGAAATCAACAGAAAGGTGTCTGTACTCGCGTATCAACCTCCAGGGTGTCGGATTTGAATGATACGCGATGCAGAAGAACGTCCGGCTCGAGCCTCGAGTGACAGTTGTACTTATAAGACCTCTGGCTAGAGCTAAAGAGCATCAGTCGAGTGTTGTTGTTGTTGTTGTTGTTACAATTTGAAAAAGCTAGGGGTGTAATGACATCAACAGAATCTGGAAGTACAACATGAAGTTCCTTTGCTTTCTTCATCATTCCAAATGACCAAAGCCCAGCATTTGCGATTTAAGGGCTTGGGAGGCGTTCATCTGGTTTCAGGGATGTAAGGTTTACAGTTCTGTGGCGTCGGAGGGGGAAGAGCGGGAGGGCTCGGGGCCGATGATATCTCAGATTTCGAAGGTTTACGCGCACCAAGGCGAAGGCCATTCCTGTTTTCGTCTTCGTGATCTGGCTTCTTTGCGTTTCCGTGCAACGGGAACAATCCTCCTTCATTCCAAGGGTTGCTTCTGAGAAGGTGGAGCTGGGTACTACTGTATTCAATGAGCTAAGGAGTGGATGGGATCCCAAATAGATAATGATCCCATCTCGATGGGAACGAGGGGGTGTTAGAGCATCCTTTTGACGCCGGGAAATGGCGAGCGGAGGTCGGACGAGGGGTCTAGTGACCTCTGGTCCTCGGTACTTACTTACCTCAATGCCTAATCAATAGATTTGAGAGGCGAATAGTAGACCTTTGGCTATTGGAATCTAAAAGCCACCTAGAACCATTATTTTTTGCGGACCGCTGTCTCGGGACTCGGGAGTCGGAATCTTGGTCCTCGTTTATATTGCATCGATGTTCTCTTGTGGGCTAACAAGGGATCAGTAGTCATGCCTTATTTTAACTGCTTTCTAAGTTAACGAGGGTAGGTACGAATATTTAAAGCCGATTTAACAACTACTTGAAGGAACTGGAACCCATCACACTGATTAATTGCTTTAAGGGCTGATATCTCTTGCATTCTTACGCAGACCTGTACGTACTTTGGACAATCTGCGTAGTTACTTGTTGCTTGCTCGGAGATTTGGCATGACCTAGGCACCAGCAACTGGGGTGTGCACACAGCCCGGTGAAACCGCCAGCGTGATTAAACTGGCAGTTTGATAGTAGTAGAAATCGCGACGTCTGCGATGCCTTGAACGCGTCTTTACGCGTCATTACGTTGGAAATGTCCTTGAAAGAGCTCTTTATGAAGGAAAACGCGTCAAAAAGTTCGGGAGAAGGAATAAGATGGACGTAAAGTGTTGCCTCTCGCGGCCGTGGGGGTGGGCTGTCCCCGTGTGGCTGGCGGGAGTGATCCGTATATCTGCCATGAGGTCGGTGATAGTAACATCAGCTGTTAAGAAATACAAGAGCCGTATCTCAGCGGTTACTTCAGTTTGGGCCTCTTGTTCTCAGAGTTTTCCGTCGGTCATAGAACGTCGGGCGTAAAGAAGACAGTGAGAGCATGCGAGTGAGAACATTCCTCCTGTTTGTGTATACGTTGCAAACCCGGGGAAGACCCGCAGACTTGAGGGACGATTCAATTATTCGATAGGCCGCAGATGACGAGGAGAATGACGTGAAACTCGAAGATTCAAGCTGCCAAGCTAGTACTTAGCTGGATTCTGAGGATGATTGGACGCAAGAATTCCACCCAAGGCAGCCGCTGTGGACTGCGCTAACGACGTGACATCTGAGCGGCACGAGCGCGTCCTTATGACCCTCTGACGCGATTCAGAGTTATGTTTGACCGAGTCGGCCGGTGCTGTTGAGTGGGGAATGCAGATATCAGAAATGCAATCGAGAGGCCCGGTTGGCCATATGTACTCGTGATGGGTAACTGTGAATTCTAAATGTCCAGTACTTGAGTATGGCGCAGGACAGTGAGACGACTAGAGTGACTCCAGGCTATCTGAGATAATTAAATATGGTGAATTAGAAGGGAATTGGCAGGGTCGGATTTGCAGTTAATTCAGGAGTAAATGGATAAATGGAGAATTTGGAAAGAGATCTGGCGGTGGATCTGGGATTCCTTCACACCTGGGAAATTATATAAGTCCGCGAGCTTTTGGAATTTTGGCGTGTCCTCCTTCCCTCTGCCATCCAAACGCACTGCGCGAGGCAGCTGCTCGTCGTCGTCGTCGTCCGCACCGTCGGCACCACTCTCATCGACATCTACAACGTCAAAATGCCATCCCTTCGTCGCACCGCCTCCTCGCCCTCAGTACGCTCGTCACCGTACGGCTACTCAAGCTCCTTAAGTGGTGCCCAAGCCGCGAGAGGACACGGTCACAGACGTTCCTCGGGGTCCGAAATAACCAACAGGCGTGTGCTTGCCGATATCGAGTGGTGGAGAGTGACGGCCGGCCAATGCGAGCCCGGTGCTGGTGACCTAGAGTCGGAGGAACGAACCAGTGACGTTGTCCAGAACAATGTCACTGCTGGCGGCCTTGCAGGCGCCGCCTTTTTTGAACCCAGTATTGGTGTAGAACACCTATGGGCACCGTCCGCGTTGTGGCCCACAACAGATGTGCGTGATTTCCTCATATTATGTCGCGGGCCCGGCAGTCAGATAGTGCCTGAGCCGTATCAAACGTCCTGTGTTTCATTGCAATTTAAGTCTGATAAGGCTGTTCGACGATGCTGACACGAGCGTTTCCCTTACAGACATCATTTTCTGTGCCTGTTGCAGAATTTGCAGCGCTCTCGATAGCCCCCCAAACGCCCGTCCGCCGGGCGCGTCACGATGGCCTGGAATCCTCGGCCTCATCCCTGGAATCCACTCCTGAACCAGCCCTTCTTACGTTCGAAGGTCTTTGCCTTGGCCTGTCAGACATGGATATGCATGGCAGCTTCTTTGAAGATGATGCCCCTCTAGCGTCGGTCTTGCAATTAGACAGCGGGATCGCCACAGGATCCCCAAGACCATTAACCCGCGCCCACACTTTTGCTGACTGTTTGTCCCTTCAAGACGACTTTGCGAACTGCTTTACCGACTCCCCCATCCCCCCACTTCTCTCGTTGCCCGCCCTGATCAACTAATCCGAGGAGCACACCCAATCTCATGCTACCCCTACCAGCAGCAAGCAACTCAACCTCATATATGCAGGCGTCTTTTCTCCTTAATGCCCTTCGTTTCCCTTTTTCGCGCAACCCATGCCCACCACAGCATCAACATGATCCATGACTCCGTTCTGATCTAAGGCATTTTTGAACGGGCATCGAATAGGCCCCTCGGCGCGTCCATATCGGCCGTTCTCCGCAGAATATATCTGACATCTCGCAATCATCGACATGATCCAGTACACGCCCACACATGCGCCCACACGCCTATCAAGCTGCGTCTTCATCTCTGTCCCGCGTTCTTGCTTACGCCTCACGTTGCACGACACGACTTTTCACGACCCTAAACTAAAACGCTCGGAGTTGCCTACTAGGAGGCTTTCGGAAGGAGGCCTACCTTTTCAGCTCTCGACAACCTGCAACAGTCTCGGACACATCATGACTATCATCCCGACGAATGGAGTGGTCCCGTGCGACATTCGCCCATTTTTGTTCCCTATGGCATCGACACATTTTCTCATTTCACTTCACGCATTCAATTTGTTCCCATCCGTTCATCTTTTTGCATTCCCGGGACGATTGGCGCCCGTGCACGACGCCCCTTTTCTTCCGTTACAAGTCTTCATCCTAACCTCATTTAGCATGGTATTCACCTATCTGTTCACGCATTTCTATTCTCAACCTTTTTCCAAGTCCCGTACTTTACATTTTATTCCCGTTTATATTGGTCACTTTCTAGCTTCATCGCGCTCGTCGGAAGTGACTTACGCTTCTCCGTACGAGTCACGACTGTCTGGGTTCCCCTGGGTTTTCGCTCGTCTTTGTTCCTTTTTCCTGGCTTCATCACTCCATTGTAACGATTAGACTATGCATTCCCTCACGCCTCGTATATGTCTCCCTTGTTATCGTTTCGTACTTGCTCTCGATTGTACTAACCCTGTAACGACCTTAACGAAAGCCTCACCAATCACAACCACAATCCTAACCAAACCCCGCCCCTCTCTCATAAACAGCTTCTCGATCTCGTCCTGACTGGTTTGTTTCTTGCTTTTACTGCTATGCTCCTCTGCTCTGGATCGCTCTCGATCTCTGTAATTTTACTCTTGGTTTGGCTTCTCGATTCAAAAATGCTGTAGCTAAACATGGTTTCAAAAAGGCTTTCTTTTGGGGGTCTCTTCTGGAATTGCGATCTATCCCCCGTCGGCGCCATGTTCTCTTCCTCGCAATTAACCCAAACCGCCGGGTGGTGTGCGCCTCTAGCTGCCAATTGTCAAAGTACGTATGCTTCCTTGCCTTCGCCTTCGATACCTTGTCCTTCTTGTTGTGCCGCTTTTCCCTTTGCAGAACTCCGACGCGTCGTGTCCACGCGTCGCTGCATACTCGATCTCTTAGCACCCACACTACCATCTGGCTGTACCTTGTCTTATTGTTCTTGCTACTCCTTTTAACCTTTACACTGATGTCTTTCTTCTCATACAAACCTGTAGATCATCATTAGTGCCGGATAAACCACAGGACTAGAAGCCTACACGCACCCACAGAATTCCCGATTCCGTTTTGCTTTGTCCGACGAGCGTTTGGGACTTTGGAGGCTCCCATGAATCCAATCCCGATCATTGTCAGTGTTCCATCGAAACATCTCTCTCGTTATCCATCATCCGCACTCAAATCACCCTCGACATTCGAGTACCTTCCATTCTCTCGCAAGATCGAAGGACGAGAACCCACTCGGACCCGTTGTCATGTCATGGGAGTCTCTCACAGACTCAATAGCAATACTCTGATATACTCTGCAACCTCGATACCTACATACAGGGAAAAAAAGAACACTGACAGAGCCTACATTCGGTGTTCCAAGCTTAAGTGCAGTTTTCGGACGCGCATATCATCGATCCCAGAGTTCTTCCTCTCAATTCTCCACCCGGCATTCTAATCTTTGTTCTGTTCTTCCTTTTCAAGTGTCTGTCTTTCTAGAAACATGTGATCTCAATCCACTCAGAACCTGTCAGAACGCTCCCGATGGTAATCCATATGTTCGCCGCTCCACTGGTGATGGACTCTCGCCTACAATCACGGCTGCACCTGAAGGTTGGAATCGGGAAAGGATGATGATGGTGACGGATACAATGTGACACCTGCACGCTAATTAGCCGCCAGACGCGGCACGCGGCGCGTAGTGCAAAATTGAGAGTAACAACGCGTGTTCGCATTAATTTCAATCCTGGCTGACAGCCTGCCATTAGTGTCAGTTGAGTAGTAGCAGGGTGAATGACAAGACCGAGGTATATTAAGCAGTGAGGGCGGCAATCTCAATCGCACAACTACCGCAACTTGAACGGCGTTGACGTCGTCCGAGCGTCTGGCCGTCGGCGAATCGCGAGAAAATTGGCTGAGGGGATCCGCATGCGGGAGCGACAGCGATTTTTCAAAGAGTTGTCCAAGAACGTGAGATTGCCTGGGATTGCGCAACGCAAAGGGAGTGATATCATCCAAGTCGCGTACGGTATGTGATCGTCCCCCGCCTAATACACCGCCCATCATGCCCCTCGAAACAATCCTGCACGTTATGGGCCCAAGACTTTGGAAGGTAATTTGCCAGTTGCCCATTCCTGCAGGAGCAAGGTGCACCCGGTCAACTTGAACAAGGTCAGTGCGCATCCGACGAAAGGGCGGCGGTGGTTTGTGACGGGCGCTTATGATGATGGCCCACAAAAAGCCTCGGAGATCCGAATCACGCAGTCAGTGGAGATGTGAAGTCCTCCGACTGTTGCACAATGACTCGCGTCGCACGATGCGTCGGGGGGAGGGTGCATTGAAATGGGAAATTCAAAGGTTCGCCCAAGGCTGGCCAAGGCTCACGGGCGGCCGCACATCGGAAGGTGGGTGTGAAAGAAAAGAACGTTCTGCTCGGCTCCTTAGCACAACTGAGCGGAACAGGGAGAAAATATCAGCAAAGGAACAGGAAGAGTGTATGAAGACGAAGGCGAAGATTAAATGGTACAGAGGCATCGACAAGGTCTAGACAAAGAACAAAACCGAACAACGTCTCTACGGGCGCCAATCTGTCCAAGAACGTACTCGTCTGCCATAAACTGATTCGACGAAACACTTTCGGACACAACGTACAGTATCTAATCAAATCCTAATCCCCAAAAGCATGATTAGGGATCTCGCCACCGCCAACGGTTTGACAGCAGACAGCCGGTGATATCAGAGTGGTCGAAATAACACAAGGATTAAGCGCTGGACGATTCGTGGAGCGAAAGGGGTGAGATCCGATGAGACAAAAGTCATGAGATGTGAAGTCGATACGAGGGTCGGTCGTGGCGAAGGTGACATCGGACTAGGACGGCTTGCGAACGTCCTTGTATTCAATTAGAGGGGAGGTGGGTGTTAGGAGGGTGGTACCTGCGCCACAAGGCTTTCCTTGAACTGGTAAAAGCGTGCCAAACTTAATACACTGTGTCCCAGGCCCCCGAAAACGCCCTGGTCGGAGATCATTGGCGGCGAATCGGAAGCGAGGGTAGGAGATGGAGAGAGAAGGAGGCACCCATATAGACGGGAACATGGCAGGAACGCAAAAATGCAACCATGCGCGGGTTCCCCATATCCTGGCATGTTGGCCTGATAGCTTGAGAGGGCGATACGGCACTGGTACGAAAGAGCACGAGGGTACCATGAACGGAGACAAGGCATGAGCAAAGAACTCTTGAAAGCGGCCAGCGAAAGGCGGGGCGATGCGAGACTAGGGGCACAAGAGCCAGCGGGACCTGGAGGAGACTGAGGTATCTGGGATCATAGAGCATGTGCCAGACGTGCGTGCCTCCAATTGTCCACAACGGTCACCATCCCTAACGCATCATCCCAGCAATCATGGTCGGGCCAGCAACCTTGCTCCATGGTGACTTGGCCAACGGACCATAGCGGATCTCCACGTTAGGAGGAACGAGAGGTGGCCGTTTCGGCTGTTGCTGGTGTTGTGGGGGTGGTTGATGGTGCTGCTGCTGTTGCAGTGGAGGTCCCCGCAGAGGTGGTCCCTGTTGTGGAGGTGGTCCCGGTGGCTGCCCTTGTCGCATCTTCCAGGCATTCCGGATAGCTGTCGAGCGAGCGAGGAGCTAGATGTCACTTATCAGCGAGGAGTCGAAGGCGGACGAAAGCGAGCGAACATACAGCATCCTTTTCCACACCATCCGCGATACTATTGATGATCTTGTCAACGACACTCTTGTGGTTGCCGTGAGGTTTGTCGTCTCTGAACCTCATCATCCTCCATCGATTGATGTTGAAATCCCAATGCACCTCAACAATCCTGTCGTCGATTTGCTCGCCAGAGAGCTTCATCCTACATGTCAAGTGATTGGTTATAAATGCCGGTCTGTGCACCAGATGAAAGGGTCGTACCTCTCCCATTCCTCGTCATCGACATACATGTCATCATACTGCTCGTATCGTGGCACACCCCGGTCATCACCGCACCAGATATGAAGCAGGAAGAGTGGTTTGGCGTGGAAGTCTGGTTCTCGTGGATTGCTGGCCAGAGGCGGGAACCGGAGTACAAGCTTGAAGTCGATTGAATTCTCCGACGGAGGTTTCCACTTGAGACTGCAAACAGAGAAGCAAGGGACCGGTCAACACGAGGCTCGCTTAGCACAAGAAACCACCAACGCACATATTGTTATCCGTCCCCGGTGTGTAAGGCGTGTTCACACATGTGTAGATCAATCCGTCGTTGCCGTGGTGGAGGTTAGGAATGTCGACGTTGAAGACCTTTTCGACGTGGTAAGAGAGGCTGATGTCTTTTATTTTCACCCTGTACGTGTGGTGAGTACGGTCGAGTGGCACACGAGGTGGTGTAGACGTACGCAAAGGGTTGGGTCTCGGCTGTGTGGGGATGGTCGCGAAGCATGCGCATGTAGGGTTTGTACCACCATTCTTGCAGTCTCTATCGGGGGGTATATGAGTGGCGGATTGCGAAAGACGGTGAATACGACGCACCCCATAGCGCTTGTCGAGGGTCTTGGTCATCACGTTCTGGTCGTCGATAACCAGACAATCAAAGGCGAGGAAGCACATAGTTTCCTGTTCCGTGGATCAGCGAAATGCCCGACGAGTGCAGCTTTGAACAACACACCTTCTTCGTCACTGGGTCCACATCCAACACGAGCTCTCCGTCAATGAGGGTGTTCCTCAACAAGTTTCTCGGGTTCTCATGGTGAGGGAAGACGAAACCGAGTATTTGGCGATAGGTGTTGTGTCTGTCAATCTGCGCCATCTTTAGTGAAAAGATCTTCAGATACAGAACACTAAAACGTACCAAAAACACAACTTGCTCATCCGGTTGGTCTGGCGTTAACACGACCAGAAACAGGACTCGGATCCCATCAGACTTTTCGCAGACCCAGAAACTTGAATGGACGCCAAGTCAGTTGGACCGCTCAAGGTAACATTGTTCAAAATGAACGTACTCGTGTGATTCTAGCTTCTGCAAGTCTTTACTAGAGAAACTAACAGGTTGACTACCTGGAAATCTGAAAGAAATCCAAAGGTCAGAGGATTGCAAAGTGGCTGTTCGAAAGGTCCGACATACCGTTCATGGTCGAGGCCACACATTCTGGCTACATGGCCCTTGAGCCATCTTTCGTGGGGCGAGTGTCGCGGTATGAGGTGTCCAGGGAGCTCAGGAACTGACATTGAGGATAACGAAAGAGTTCAAGAACAAGTCGACAGCACAAGAGTTATTCGGGCTATTTTTACCTCATTTCCTTACGTAATTAGGGCTGTTCCCTCAAAACACGCGCGTCGTTCGCGACGACAATACTTAAATGGGGTCACCGACAGTCATGCAGAAAAAGTGGGTTAGAGTCAAGGGGAATGGAATTATGTTGTACAAGAGCAAAAGACAGTGCAAACGTGACAAGATATACAATGGTATTACAGAGCGCTCATCGGTCCTCAGCCCATTCCTATAAGAAACCTCGGTTAGTTTTCGATTAGTCGCGATCGTATTCAAAACGACACTTGCATTCTCCTTCTTGATTTGAGCCTGATAAGAGACAATTAGTTAGGAGACTGTTTGCCAAGAAAAAGATTGAGACTTTACCTCTTCCTCCGGGGTAAAGTCGTTCACGATGTTGAAGAGCTTGCGGATCTCCTCAGGAGTCTTGCCCTTGATCATGTTTGCCACCGTCTTGCATCCGACATCACTGAAGGGCCCCAGATCAATTTCAAGCCCTAGAGGATAGGCAACAGACAACTCACAGTAGAGACTTGATATCGAGGTAGTTCGCTGCGAGGATAATCTCGAACAGCATTTCCTGATCAACGCTGATGAACTTCTGGTCCCACTCGCTAATGTCAGTCGTCCTCTTGCGGGTCTCGTCCTGATTCTGCTCGGCATCTGCGGAGGGCAGAGGCTCGCCACGGTGGTGTTCGCAGTATTCCAGAACCTAGATGAACGGACACAAACAATGTGAGATCCCAGCGCAACCCACAACTTACTATGCAACGAGGCGTTGAAAAAACTCACCTTCTTCAGCACAGCTGAAGACACGTTGGGTAGCGGAATGGCTTGATCAGACTCGCCAACATCTAAATAGCACAGAATATGGGATTTAGTCCTCATGTCTTTGCAACGCAGGGCTCAAATGAGCGCGCTAACGGACGCACCCTCAAGCATGTTCTTGATGAGCACCGAGCGCTCGACGACCTCACGGTCAGCATTGAATTGCTCGTTGTCAGAAGTGGTGAGGAGAACCATTATTTCGAGGAAGTCGAGGGGATGAGAAAAGATTCAGATGCGAGGTAATTAAGAAGGGGCAACTGTGGTCCACGGAATGCAGTGCCTGTTACTTTATAGATTGCTCGTGTTATGTCACAAGACCCTCGGCAATTCCCGAACCTCCCCCCAGAATTGGCACCGTTCGTAGGCGCTTTTGACGTTGCTTGACTCCAAAAAAGCCTTCTGGCCGTCATCTCTCCTGCCGTCGAACTCATGTCCTTTCTGACTCGGTGTTGCGCCCAAGCGGGCAGGAACCCCTTCTCGCCCTTCGGTACGCGCCTTTCCACGACCAGCCAAACAAACGCATTGACCATCGCCTCTTTTGTTCAGGCCTCGGGTCTATTCGTACAGCAACAAAGAGAGCTGGAGGAACTGTTAACAATCATGGTGGTTCACCAGGTCAACGGCTGGGTGTAAAGAAGTTCTCAGGTGCGGTGCACATTGTATACACCGTTGCACAAACCTGACAAGTCATAATAGACGAATATGTGATCCCTGGTAACATTATCGTTAGACAACGCGGCACCTTGTTCCACCCAGGTCAACACGTACGTCTTTGACACGGCCTTCGTTCCTTTGTGGGCCCTTCCTCACAGGACAATTACAATGCAGGTCGGAATGGGACGCGACCACACGATTTTCGCAACTGCACCTGGTTATGTGCGCTTCTGGAAGGAGAAGTACATGCGCGGAGAACGGAGATACGTTGGCGTGGTGTTGGAGAAGGGAGACAAGCTTCCGAGGAATGAAGCCGAGCGAGGTACCAGCAGATATTGCCCATTCGTCAACCTCAACCACTTCCCGCAAAAAGGCCAGCCAGTTTCCTCATAACCCCTCCTCGTACCGTCGCGTAAGCTATAGTAATCCGTAATCATCTAATAGAGCATGCTTGCAGCCAAATCGTACCCGTCTGAATGGGCCTTTGGACACAATGGTTCCCAGTCAACCCTGTCGCTCTGGACCATTGGTCTTCTGGGTTCTGTGATCTCATAATGGTTGTTTCCTGGGACCCAGCAGGCTTGAGGACATAGCGCTGGAGTTCAATCTGGAAGAGACCATCCTTAACGGACTGCGCATATAGAATTAACCTCGACCTCACGACTCGAGTCAAACCGGAAGGGTACAAGGCTTCGTATATATGCAGATGAGATGTCTAATCCAGCAAGGAAGAGAAGGCATAGAATGCACAACAGAAGTGAGTAGAAAATACAGAGACAGCATATGCGCATCGGACAGTACAAGTAAAATTAGGACGCGATGGAATCCAGAGCATAGGAATAATGTGCAAGTATGTACAGGGAAAGCGAGTTGGATTTTGTAAGATCAAGGAGGATGAGAATCAAGGAGAGAAAATTATGAAACTAGGAGGAACGGTTTGGAAGGGGCCGTCAACGGATGCATGTACAGCGGTAAAATCAAGCATAAAGGAAGAGCCATCTTGAGCATGTGGAAGAATGAAGCCCACTAATCGAACGTCATCTTCAACTTGAACCACCGAAGAGCATTCTATAAACCCTCCAGGTAAGCAACACACTCAAACCCCAATAGAAAAAAAAAAAGAAAGTTTATTCAAATCACCTTCAACGCATTCACAGCTCGACGCTTCACACTCTTGCCATTGCCTGCCTTGGCGGGCGAAACCCCAGGGCTCCCCGCCTCGCTTGCACCGCGGTGTTTCTTCGTGTGGGGCTGACGCTCGTTCGAAATCGGCGAGTCGCAATTGCCGGCAGCAGTGCTCTGTCCACACTGTTAGTACACCTACATCGCAGCAGAACCACCGTCTGCAAATACTTACTTGTGGAGGCGCCTTGCGGCGAGTCGGTACTCCAGGTTCTGAGCATATGAATTCTTCCAGGGTCTATGGACAATATCAACAATTCAGCAAAGCTCCACATATCGAAATGCAGATCATAAGGAGAGGAAAGACACTCACAGGCAGTAACAGCCGTTTCGGCGGTGGAGGTTTGGGCAGACGAATCATGATACCCCGTCGTTTCGCATCGACAGAGAGTAGCGCAGTCGTAAACGAATCCATGTCTTTTTCACGTTGCGAAGTCATCCCTGGAATATTTCCGTCGCTTGCGAGTGGTCTGGGCTGTCTTTCTCTTCGAACCTCAAAGACCAGAGTGAGAAGGAAAAAGAGGGAAGAGGGGTGGAAGGAGGAGAGCAAGACAGAAAGAATGAAACGAGGAAACTGCCAAACGACTCCGCAGTCGATGAGATGCCCCCTCAGAATTGTAATTCAAGCAGAACGTGGCAAGGGTTGTGGTGGACAATCAAGCTTCATTTGAAAAGGGAGTAACCATAAAAGGTTGGCCGTCGAGGAACGGTGGTCGGCTGGGCGAAATGCCGTGGTACATTTTGACCACGCTGTTGAATGCTTTCCTTTCGTTGGATGGTGTAAGGCTTCATTGGTTGCATTCCCGTACGACAGCGATAGGGAAGATGTCGGGAAACGTATGATGCAGGGTCGGCGGTGGGCTTGACGATGCTTCGAAGGAGAACCGTTGGAAGGCTTGCAAGTCGGTAGAGATTCGAAGACAAAGCCGAATGAACGGAAGTAGTGTCTATGAATGTCGCATGGGATGGTTGGAGTCGAATGAACTGTATTAGTTGGGTGTAAGGATTGTTCGACCGATGAGGTAACAGGCGCGTCCACCCTTTCCTCCCGGTCACACACAGCTTCTCTACCGGCAGAAACCCTCCTCGTCGACGCTGGAAATATTGTATGAGCTCGTGTTCCGCGTGAGGGCATTGCGAATCAACTGTCGGAATTTTTGGTGGAGAGAGGACGATAGGGATAGAGGTCGAGCAGGGCCTGTGGGGGAGACCGAATGGTAATGCGTTCTTTGGGGTGGTCTGCAACGACATTGATCGTTCTTCTAGGAGAAACGGTCGGTACATCCATGAAGGCCGTGTCTGGACGAGCGCCGTGTGTTGGAATGGGAAGGGGGTGGGGACTCGGTCGGGTGGTAGCTTGCGTTGGCGGGGGGCCTTGGTACGTATTCGACGGGAAAGGCTGGTCCTTGTGACGTCGCTGACGAGTTTTCAGGCTTTCACCAAGGCCTCCAGTCTAGGAGACCAGTGCGTAGGCCTTGGACACAACGGCCTCAGACGACTGCAGGCGCTGATCGGTTCAGCTTGGGCAACTTCTTCGGAAATGGAATCTCTGGGGCCTTCTGGTACTGGGGACGTTGAGCATGGATCCTGAGTCTCATCGCCACTTCTTTGACTGGACCTTGGCCTGGAGTTGAACAGGACAGGGCGACATGCGGGTTTCTGCACGCGGGCTTCGTGTCTTGGGCGGGCTCGGAAAACCTTGGACCCCAGAGGCAGCTGTCCATTCTCAGTCGAGTCAATCGACACGGAGACAGTCTGGACACGTATTGCTACGCCAGCGCCGCCTCGGAATCAGGGACCGAGTCAGTGGGAGTCGGCCGGCGTCAGGGGCGGGAGTCGGGAGTCGGGCTCGACGCGGCGGGATGGGCGGTATCACGTGATGCCGACGCGCACTTGGTAGGCTCTCTCCCTTCTTCAACCAGACCACTACAACTGAGCAGCGATGCGAATCGACAGAGGTATGCATACATCCGCGTGACCTGGCCCATTGGGCCCCGAACCCAGCGTGCAGCAAAGCAACAAGAAGTCTTCAAGTCGGCGTCAAGACGGGAAATATGGAAGATAGACCGGGGAACGACCAGGTCACCAGGAGGAGCAGACGAATGCCTCTGAAAATATGCTCGCGCCGCACCAGACGTCGCAAGTGACGTTGCTCGGAAGAAATGCCCTCAAGAGCATCTGTGTGACCATTGCTGGTTGGAACCATTTGTCCGGGACTATGGGGCTGGCGAGTAATCGCAAGCACGCTGACCTCGTCCCGTGAATTCGAGGCTAGGCTGCTAAGAAGTCATTGCTCTTCTCAGTGATTATGAACCCTTGATCATGACCAGTTAAAGCTCACCTGGAATGCAACCAAAACCCCTCCTGGGTTTCGACTGATCCTCGTCGCCAGGGCCTCAGCGCTTCCTCGACAGGCGAAGGTTGTGGCAGCAACCTTTCCTGGCATGCCTCCGACGGGCCTTCCTTTATCTCCCACTTGCCGACTATTCCACCGCTGACCGGATGTCGAGGGAAACCACTCATCATCTGTCCGCTGTGCGCACGCTAGGGATTTTTCAACTTCAAGGGCCAAAGGTCCTCCATGACAGCGAGGTCGACCTTCACAGAAGAGTTCAAGCAGGTTGCGGTGGATGTAACGTCTTTGTCGCTGCGGATCGAACCGACCTTTGTTCGGTGGGATCCTGCGAAGGTCTGCCAGGGCTGTCAGCGACTGTAAGGCATTATAACGCCTTTTCACTTTACCTCCAGCTGACGCTCCAAATGAACGGCCTCCTGAAGCAAAGTGACTCGCGAATCGAGGCTCGAGTGGGCTTTGCCTCGTGGCCACTGGCAGCTTCCCAATTCCTTCCCCTCTCACAGCTGACTCCGAGCTCGTTGGTTCTTCATTTTCCAGCCGCAACTACCGGCTCCACAATGAAATCGATTTTAAAGCCATATTTCGACGCTGAAGATGCAGTTGTTTGAACAAAGTTTGCAGGGGGAGGGAGAAAGATCATGGCGGCTGGGATTGAAATGTGAAAATGGCGAGCAGACGATTTCGGTGTTGACCGACCGAGGACCCGAACCTCTCGCACAACCAGCGACCAACTCATCCAGCCACTTCAAAGCGACTCTTCTAACGTGAAGGACTCAAAACACCCTTTAGATCTTCTAGGCAACTCGGAATGTCCTTGCAATTTTAATCTGATTTTCTTCGGATTTTCAAAATCTGCGGCCCTCTGTAACGGCTGGCGCTGACAGCTGACCACCTTCGACCGCGCGGTTTACCGTGAATAGCACTCGAGAAACAACTTGACGGTCCTACCACGACATGGGGCTGCGGCTGGCATTGACACTGAGGGGCGCATGGTGCCCTCATGGAAACACGGTGACGTCGACCGACCACGATGCGTCCCATTCGCAAAACAGATCACAAGTGGTCTGCCTGTCCCAGGCTCGAGAAGGTGACCAGGACCCGACGCCAGAGGCATTTACTGCGACCTTTGCTCGCGTTCAAGCTCGGTTTACCGGTGGGATTCCAGTTTCGAAAAGATTGGTTCTGGATCCGATTTATCAGACATCTGGTGAGGCCACCCCCGCATCGACAGAAGCTAACCATGATTTTTGTCCCTAGTTAAAGATGCCTGCTTGACTTGGTGCTTGTCGGTGTCACCAGAGACAACCCCCCTAGCCCCAGTGGTCTCCTGCCCTCGCTCCCACAACTCAAGAACCAAATCTGTACCTCGTACGTGCATTTGGCAGCAGCACGCAGAGTTGTCTGCACACAGCATTCAGAGGTCGGCTTCAACAGACGCCCCTCCAATGTGTCCACGATCCTTGGACACCTCGTTCAACGTTATCAGGATTGAATGGCACGTTGGCGAAGAGCCTGAAGTTCCAGGTCATTCGGTGGCGGATAGACCTTATAATTGGCTCGAGACGTTGGGTGCCAACTACCTAAAGGATCTCTTTCAATGCATCGCGAAGGGCAGGAAGCGAGAACCTGATTATCGCATGCTCTGGTGTGGGGTGCGTTCCCTTATTGTTCCATATATGTCAGGGCTTCGCCGCCGAAAAGAAGCTTGGCCTTATATGATCCAGGGTGTTTGGCGCCCAGCCAATGTCTTTAAGCGCTCAATGTCCGACGTCCATGGGGAGGGCGAAATGTTCATACCATAATACAGAAGCTCTATCAGAGACCTTCCATCACGTAAGTGCTAGTCCTATGATAAAGCAGTGCCGCATAACCTAAACATACTCGAACGCAACTAAACGATCAGTGACTCTTGAACGAGATGCAACGATAAATATCATACGAACGGACGGGGAGTATGTAAGAGGAGTAATCCATCGCGACATCATCCTTCATGGACTCCTTCATGGAGACGAACAGACGATCCCAAACTGGTCATGAACTCTAAGTCCTCGTCCAGAACCACCTTTCGTCCGTTGTATAGCACGATTTCCTCTGGTTGGTGTCCGTGCTTGGCTCGATTTTCCAAGACCCAGAGCAAGTTTCCAATGGTAACTGGGATGACCTCCTCCTCCCCTTTCTCCTCTTCCTCGGTGTATTGAAATCGGTGGTTCTGAGGTGCTGGATTGAAATCGCAATCGAGGTGGAGAGTCCTTAGCCTTGGCAGTCGGATCGCAGTATGGACGCTCGTCGTCGAAGACTCGTCGTCAGGCCAAAGCAATGGGTCGCTTGTCAGCCATTTGATAAACCAAGCCGAAGCATATCCAGATCTGAGGGCTACCTCCTCCAAGAGGGCGCTTGAACCCAGGTATGTGACAGCGTCTGGTTCTGCTTGCAAATCCAAATGGAGGGATTGGAGACTGGTGAGGTCGAATAGACCGTGGTGCAAGAAATCTTCTACCGCTTGGTCGCCGCGTCCACGTGTCCCAAAGGCGATGCAAAGCTTGAAGTCAGCCTTTGGAGGGCTCCTGCCAGGGGGCGTACTGACACTTCTTCTGACTTTTGATAGGTGCGGTAAATCTTGTTTTTCTGTAGAGAATCCGATGCACCAGAAATGGTTCTCCAGAAAGCGACCACTTTGCCAGTGCCTGATCGCCATTGATGCTACGGGTAACTTGAAGCTTTGCAGCGAAGAGTCGGGTTGGGACATCCACAGGGACGAGAGAGTTGGGCAGAGGTCAGAGTCAATGGCCTCATGTCCATCCCCGCGTCCGCCGATCGTGCAATTAAGCTCGACTGACGCGGAGGACGGGAGTCGGATATGTTGGAGGAAGGTGATACACCGTCGGTACTCGTCGCCGACACGAATGAATTCGACACAAGGCAGAGTGACGGTCATAGGAGGGAATTCCGTGGTGGTATGGTCGTAATGGTCGGGGAGAGATTGCTGCAAATCTACAGTCACAAGAGACTGTGCCTCCTTCAGCATCTCCATGAACTCCACCGAAGACAATGGTTTGCGGCATCTGGCCAAGTGAAGGGAGAGGTCGGTCAAGTTATGGAAGGGAATTGAGTTTATTCTGGGGTTGCAATTCCAGAGAATGAGCTGCCTTAATTCTGGGGCATCCAACTTTACCGATGCTGCCTTGGGAATCAAAGCAAGATCGTCGTCGGGAACTGACAGGAAGTGCCTGAGTGAATCGAAAACGTCATTGTGACGCAGTGAAAGGCAGCGGAGATTGGGAACGCCATGGGTCGTGGCTGCCATGCGATTAACCATCGAGTTTAGGAAGGTGAGTGGGCCGTAAAATGCGACCTCTCTCAGTCGACGGGCGTCTGAGGTGGCGCGATGGAGGAGGTTTTCCCATTGATCCGAACTCTGCGACTCGGAGGAGTTTCCCCGCTCTTGCACTACTACCGTGACGGGCTGTTCCATCGGGCGGACCCACTTGAGCGATAGAGGTACATTCCTTGACAACCCCAACTTTGTTGCAGTCCAGGGGAGGGGATCAGAAGACTTGATGTCCGCCCATAGCTGGGGATGATTTAGGCATACGTGCCTCCATCTACGGTAGATGTGAGTAACGATGGGCCAACCCAGCTCTCTATAGGGCTTTCGAGCAATTCTGAGTACCAAAGGTGTGCTCCGTTTGTATTCGATGGCGATCCTGCAAAGGACTTCGTTGGGGAGCCGGGAAATTGGCGCCAAATCGTTTCGGCGACCTTTCAGCTGGAGGGCTTGTGACTTCAAAGTACTAACTTGAAGCTCCAGCTGGGCAATCTGAGAGTCCAGGGCGGAGAAAGGCGGGTTAGAGGAACTCGTAGCCATGGTTTAAGGACCAAGTGGGACACGAGTTAACGGCAAGGCGCTGTGCACATAGCACGCATGTCGATTGAGTCGGAGCAAAGTCGGAGCTGAAATCTGATCACTCTTCGGTGGACCTCGAGGTTAAGCGCCCAATGACTTATTATCCTTGTATGAGTCACATTAAGCGAGTCGAGAAAGCGCTACATTTTCTGCAACGGAAAAAGAGGTATTTGGATTGGTGTGTTCCATGTGAGATAAGAACATTCAAATCATTAATCTACATATCACCACATTTCGTTGTAGGTTTGGGTCTTCTCTGACATAAACCGACGGTGCTAGACCATTCAAAACCTCAAGCTCTTCGTCGGTAAAACTTGAAGTGGCCCAGCGGGACCTGCAGAACACGACTTCATCGAGACAGCACATCATTTCCATTCGTTTGTTCATGACCCATGCCAAATCGTCCAGACAGGTGATTTTAGGGTCGCGCATTGACATGAATTGTTCATAAGCCTTGCGAGGGTAGAGGTGGAGGGCGGATTCAAAGTGGAGGGCCTTCAACTTGGGCAAAAATAGTCCAGCCGAGTTTGAGTGGCTGCTGGAGAGCATTGGATCGGATCTCAGCCAGTCGATGAACCATTTGGAAGTTGTGTGGGAGACGTATAGTTCTTCCAATGACTGACTTGAGACTAGACTTGACGCAAGGTCTTCGTGCCTGTACGCAATATCCAAGTGTAGGGATCGCATAACGCTGAAGTCGAAGAGGTCCTGGCGCAAAAGCTTCGTGACAGCGTCGGCGTTGTCTGCTTTGGGCGTTTGGAAGGCGATGGAAAGCGCGAACAAATTGGGCCCAGGCAATAGTGGAGAAGATTCAGAATGCAATACGTATGTTTTGCCATCCAGTCCCGATAACTGTTGCATCCCCAATCTTTGCACTGAAAGCCCTATGAAATGGGACGTAGTATCGTCACCGTAACCTCCGCGAAGATGTTGCTGCAGCGTCATCGATGCTATAGAGAGCGGTGCACTCCGTGAGCCATCGACGCCCTGCAATGACCACATGGACGAGAGAATACCTCCGAGGTCCGCGCCAATGCCATTCGGAGCTGTTTTATCGAAATTAAGCTCGACCGAGGCGGATGGCGGGAGTCGGAGGTGCTGAAGAAGCGTAATGCACCTCCTGTATCTGTCGCCCATACGGATGTGTTTGAGGTAAGGCAGATGAATCATGCTGGAAGAGAATGAGGTGGCGTCGTAATCCGGGAGGGCGCGGGACAGTTGTAAGGTGACTAAAGAGCGTGCGTTCCGCAACATGTCCATAAACTCCCCGGCGGGCAGCGGTTGGACGCCACCGCGCAACTGAAGCGAGAGGCTTGTCAAATGGGTGGTTTTGAAAGATTCCAACCTCGGGGTGCAGTCCTTGAATACGAGCTGCCGCAACTGAGGGGTCTCTGACAATTTCACCTCAGCCGCGGAAGGAATTACCGCCTCGTACATGTGGGCAGGGTCGGCTTCCCAGTCAGGGGTTGACGCAGGTGGCGCGTCGTTGTGAAATGAAAGGTGGTGGAGGAGGAGCGGGGGAGTTTGCGAGAGGATGTCCTCGAGCATCCAGTCCAGGAATCTCTCCGGACCTTGAAGTTCCACTTGCTTCACGCGATCGACGACGCGACGGAGAAGGTCTTCCTTCACTTTAGCGTCGCTGACCGTACGGTACATCCGAAGGCCTGCTCTAGGGAAGATCCTGGTGGTACTTGCCCATCTGACCGATAACGGGGCAGCTTTCGACCGTTCCAGCTTTTCTTGAATCCATGACATGGGTTCGGAAGAGTCGATCTCTGCCCATAATTCTTGGTGATGCAGGCAAGCGTGTCGCCATCGACGGCAGACATGGGTCATCACAGGCCAGCCCAGTCGCTTGTACTGCTTTTGAGGGACGTCCAGCACCAGCGGTGTGCTCGCCTTGTACTCCATAGCGATCTTGCAAAGTACCTCGTTGGGAAGTCGCGAGATCGGTGCCAAGTCATTCCGTTCGCTTTTCAATTGGACTACTTGCAAGAGTAGCGCACAGATTTGGAATTCCAGCTCTGTGATTTGGGAGTCCAAGGCTTGGTAGCGTTCAGAATGTGCCGCCGTCATAGTAGAGGTCAACGTGCACACGGTGGCTGTTGCGATGGTTATCAAAGTTCAAACGGAGATCAAACGGAGTTTTCAACACTGTTAGAAGCCCAAAGGTGCGCGTTTGAAAAGACAGTGGTGTTGTGGCAAGGATCGCCAGATGTCAGTTAACGGCTACATCTAAGCCCCCGGATATTAATTAGACATCCACCATCTACCAAACAGAGCAGACCATTTATCCAAATGGAAGCGTAACGTATAACTTCATCGGCGATAATGTCAGGGGGAGAAGAACTTGGAGTCTTGGACGGCGGATGATGTACCTTGACACGGAAGACGAAGCGGGTTGACGGAAAATTACTTGCACACACAACTTCAAGGTCAGTAATCCACATGCACAGTGGAAAGCCTCTAATGATTTTGAACCCGCACCGGACTTCCAGAGTAGATCCAGTGTCCAAATACACATCGAAAGCTCTTAGTACCTCAGAGAATTCTTCCCAGACTGGACCCTCCGCACACGGTAGCTCCAAAAGACCGCTGGAAGGGCGAACGCTGTGAGCGCTTACTAGTCTTTGCCCATGGACGCCTAATCCAAACACGAACCGCGTGGCTATTCATGATCACCGAAACACAGCAACCAGAGTAACGCAGAAGAGTCTGAGGAGGCAACAAAAACCATATTGGTAAGTATATGTAACACAAAGCGGAAAACTGGTCGTAAGTAGGGTCGTTACAGGGGTCGTGACAAAAGGCTAAGTTACAATAAAATACATATCCAGAGGGGTAAACCGATAAAAGTGTCAAAAGGTTGCGATTACAACAATGTTTTGAATCCACCAAAAATGTCTGAAGAGTGTACAAGATGTACAACAATTGGGTGAAGAGCCATTATGCTCTCCGCACCGAACCAGTATAACGAGATGGAAGGAAATGTAAGAAAGGAGAAATGGATTACACCCTCGTCCGTGGAGAAGCTTTACTAGCGTATAGGTCTTTCACGCCAAAGAATAGACTGACTGAGAATGAAACACTCAACAAGCACGCAGCAGCTGTTGAAGCATTGTACGCCGTACACCTAAGCCGGAAGCGACTGAGATCAACGACGAAGTTCTACGGAAAGTAAACGAATGGCACTCACCACCCACCATACCCCTTCTCCTCCCCACCCGTCGGGCACCTCTTCCCAGCAAGGACAAACCCAAATGCCACAGCCCACACCACACACGCAAAGGTATCCACAAAACTCACAATCCTCACCCACCTCCTCGCGCTCTTCCACTCCTCCTCCAGCTTCAACGACGCCATCAGCGTCCTCCTCCGATTCCTCTTCCTCCTCGCTTTGTCCTTTTCTTTCCTCTTCTGCTGCTGGTACTCAAAAGAGGATTTGGGATTATGTCGGTCGAAGAACCCAGCGGGGAACCCGCCTTCGTCGTACTCGTCAGAGGAGGATGAAGAGGAAATGTCGTCGGAGGGGTTGGAGAAGGCGTTTGGGTCGACTATGAGGTTAACTTGGACGTCACCTGGTGGACCGCCGAATGGGCCTTTCTTGCCTTTCTTGCCACCAGGGAAGGGAGGTTTGGGACCTCCTTTCCACTTCTTGCCTTTCCCGCCTCCACCTCCTTGGACGGGCAGGACCATCATGCCTTGCGCACCAGGATGGGGATGTGAAGGGTATTTCCGCCGAGTTGTACACGGGCGGATGAGGAAGAGGTAGGCGAGAAGGAGGAGGGTGATTGGTGCGAGGACGGCGAGGATGTAGAAAGGTGGTTTACCAGCGGGTGGAGGTGCCGGTTCAGGTTTGAGCGCCTTAGGGAGAAAATACGTTAGGATACACTCGCGCGGACAAGACCAAGACTCACGATAGCAGCCCAAATCACCGGCCCACCCACCGCAACCGTTAATGCGAACTGTACAAAACGTACAGCCGCACGCGTCTTTGGACCCTGCGTGACCAATCCGCCTTTTCCATCCGGCGTTCCGATTACGAGTTTTCCATTGTCGTCTCTCATCAGCTCGTCGTCTTTCTCGAGATGTTTGCTACCTGCATGTCCGTGTGCCTTCTTCTTGCCCTTTTTGTCGGAACCAAACTCCCGCTCAAGCATACGGATACGCTCTTCCTTGACTTGCGGGTCGACTGGGAGGTTCTTGTATTCTGGCGGGTCAAGGCTCCAGGGAACGACGCCATCCCGCCCCGAGTCGTTATACCCCAATAAAGGATCGTGGTTACTATACGACGGAGCTGAGTATGAGGGATAGCTCAGGTTATCGTCGAAGGGGTCCACCCGTCCTTTAGGATACGACTCTGGATGGATGTACGCAGGATCGAAAGGCGATAGCTCGGGTTTGCCTTGGAGGCTGGCACGGGAGTTGCGGCTGCTACTTCCACCGACGAACGCTCTGGGAGGTGCAAATCCAGCTTTCATCTCGTATTCCTCGAGTTGGTCGAGATGGGTGTTCCCATTGCGGTTGGTAGAGTCGTTGTACCATTCGCGGGTCCAGGAAGGGAATTGGGTGACATCTACTTCTTGTTCTGGATCTGGGACTAGATTGGGTGCACTATGGTTATAGGGTGAGCTGGGAAGGGAGAATGGTCGTCTTCTGCTTCCAACTGGTAGGGAGTGTGTACTCTGGGGTGTATGGTGGGTAGCTGTAGTTGATGTATTGGCCGAAGATCTCGTTCCTCCACGGATGAAATTCGGGAAGGAAGAGGGAGGGTATACGGGTGGCGAGCGTTGTCCTTGTCGAGGGCTAGACGTAGACGCCGCAGACGATGATTCTGCAGGTCGAAATGGCGGGTACGGATCTTCTGCGGCTTGCCTCGATCTTAGCGTCCGTGCATAGTCTGCGAGGTCCAGAGCTTCCACTGAAACTTCAGATGCTTCTTGTCTGCGCCTCGAAGGTCGTAAGGTGAGTCTAGGAAACTGTTCTTCAGGTAAAGGAGGGTAGTCGTCCATAAAGGTGTCCTGGCGCTGGGGTCCGCGTCCACGAGACGATCGATCGTGGTCGTCGTCACCTGCCCCTTGGTGAATTCGGCTCCTCTGAAGACGATTAAAAGTCTCTCGGCTGTCGTTGCTGCTCCCTAATGTCGAGGGTAGGTAGTCATAGGAGTCGTAGGGTTCTGGGGACCACGGTCTTGGTCGGTGCCTGGTGGGTGCGGGTTGGTAGAGCTGCGACGGCGGCGGTGGAGTGTCGAGCTGGTGGTACATTGGGTATCGCAGAGTCGTTACAAAGTCATAAAATCATAAATAACAGAAAATGAATGAACAGCGACCTCGAAGGGCGCAGGACGAGGGTCGATGGCGGGCTTGGAGAAAGAAGGGGCGTGGGAATCTGGGGTTAACTGCCCCTGTCCATCTATGGTCTTGGCGCCCTTTGAGTGCTCTGCTGCTGTGCCAGCTTTGCTTGCAACCTCGATGTTCCGCTCGGTTCTCTAGGGAACTATGCGCATCTCTAGTCTACCCCTTCTTTTACATACTTTACTTCTTTCCTTACCACTCACAGAAGCAGCCTCGACACCCAAGCACCAGCCTTGGCACGATGATTCCCCAGTCTCGGTGAACACCAGCCCGATTGGCAAGATCCAAACCCGACCAACCGTCGTATACAAACCTCGATCTCTTGACAAGTTTCATGAGAAACGACGAAAGGGACGAACAGCGTCGCCGTTTGGTGATCCTGACGAACTGGAGTGGGATGCTGTAGAGGTTTTGGGGCCGAATGTCGAGGACAGACACACTTTGGCGCAGCTAGCTCGGATGGCCGGGAATGCGTATTCTCTTGGTCCGGGTCGCCATAACTGGTATGAAGTGGATGATGCTTGGTCGATAGTGAGTTCTATCTTCGTCCGTGCAGAACCCTTCGTTAACAGGCTTCCAGAGCTTCCCGTTCGGCTGGGAGGACGAGGACGGTTTCCGAGGACACGTCTTTACCTCCTTGGACAATAACACCGTCATTCTCTCTATCAAGGGTACAACTCTCCAAGGACCAACATCCAAGTTGGACAAATTCAATGATAATCTGTACGTGGCATCTCCAAAACCATCAAACGGACTGGAGGTCTTATCATTCGCGACAATAGATTGTTTTCTTGCTGCTGCGGCTACGTCTCTGGAGTCGTCGTTATCAAGCACCCATGCAACTGCTACGCCAGCGGACTGCGCTGCGATAACCGATGTCTAACAGACGCCCTCGTACAAGAGAGTTTGTTCTACTCCATCGGGACGGTACGTACCATCCCCCACCCTCTCCCAATCCAAGCATATCCCTGACATCCCTCCTCCGGCTACCAGAAACTCGTAGACGACCTATTCAGGATCTACCCAACGGCCAACGTCTGGCTAGTCGGCCACTCCCTCGGGGGCGCCCTCGCAAGTCTCCTCGGGGTAACCTACGGCCTCCCAGCCGTCGCCTTTGAGTCCCCAGGCGAGCGCCTCGCAGCCTACCGCCTCCAACTCCCCATCCCTCCCCCAGCCTCCTCCAACAGCACCCAAGATCTTAACCTCCGCTTCCCCACCCCGCGTCCACCCCGCCCGCCACCATCCAAGTCCCCCCTGGCCTCGTACATAACGCACGTATACCACACCGCCGACCCCATCCCCTTCGGCACCTGCTCAGGCCTCTACTCAGCCTGCGCCACCGCCGGCTACGCGCTCGAAACGCGATGCCACCTCGGGAAGAGCATCATCCTCGACACCGTGAACCGCCTGCACTGGCTCGTCGACGTGCGGAAGCATGTCATTAAAGAGGTGGTCAAGTTGCTGGATAGTCCTGAGACTGGCGGGAAGGAGATTGATTGGGGCGATGAGGGCGAGTTTCCGGAGGATCCGGGTCCTGGTGAGCCCCCTGGCGACCCGTGGTTTGTGGATAATGGTCTGGCGAGTAGGGGTGGGTTGGTGGAGGTGGTTGTGAAGGGTGTGAGGGCTTTGACTGATTGGAGGGGCTGGACTGTGGATTTGGTTAAAGGTCGGTGGGGTCCTGGAATCCCAGGTAGGAAGAAGAAGAAGAGGAGCGAGGAGGAGGAGGGACCTAAGTATAGCAACCGGGTGCCTAAACCAGTTATCGAAGCGGATTGTGTTGTAAGTTCCATGATCTTTGTGCAATGTATATCCTTTCTGACTTGGGCTGTAGGAGTGCCACAAGTGGGAGTTTGGCGATTTTAAAGACGACTGGGGCTAACCCTCTCGTCTCCATACATGCACTTGAAGTAGAAGAGCCTTTTCACGAACAGTTTTCACGAGTCTCATCAGTTGCGATTCCATACGTTGTCCTAAAGTTGTATTATTAGTCAATTATCGATGCTATCCGTCCAACACATAAATTCATCCACGTTCTATCGTCAATAAATACGATCTAACAAAGTCCAATCTCTAGACCAGCTTAGTTCGGCAACTCGGACGAGCGTGCCCTCTTCCCCGAACCCACACCACCAACCAAAACACCCTGCACATACACCCTCTCAATGTTCCTATCATCCCCACAGAACAAAAACCTCTCCAACCGCTCCTCCAGCCTCTTTCTCGCCTTCACATTCTCGTCCTCCTCCGCCTCCACAGCACCCGAGTCCACGTTCTCGTTCAGGCCCCACAATCCAATAGACCTTGAGGAGGGCGAGACGAGGAGCGCATCGAACGCCTTACCGGGTTCGAAACTTCCGATGTGGGAGTCTAGTTTGCAGAGGGAGGCGCCGCCGAGGGTTGCGAGATAGAGCAAGGTCGGGATGGGGAGTTGCTTGTTTTCGAATTTGGGCGTGGTGCCGTTGGTAGTCGAGGATGATCCAGATGATTCGGGCTTTGGGGACGACGAGAATTGGAGAACTTTCGATGCCATCGAGGCGTGTCTGATCTCTGTGAGGATCGAGTTGGAGTATCCGCCTGATACATCCGTTCCTAGTCCAACCTACATCGCAGAAAGTCAGCTACACATCCCCAATACGACAGGAAGTGGAGCCTCACTTTGATACCCCGGTCCAAATACTTCCCAATAGGCGCGACCCCACTCCTGATATTGAAATTACTCGTCGGACAATGACTCACACCCGCCCCTCTAACTTTCACCAACTCAACTTCCTCTTCCTCCAAATGCACCGCATGAGCCAGAATCGTTCCCTCCCTCAACAACCCGTACATATCATACACACCCGCGTAATTCTTCGCCTGGGGGAAGAGTTCCTTCGTGTACGCGATCTCGCCAAGGTTCTCGGAGATGTGGGTTTGGATGAGGAGGGAGGGGTCGGAGGAGGCGAGGGTGCCAAGGGAGGAGAGGAGGGGCGCGGTACAAGAGATGGCGAAGCGCGGTGTGAGGATGGGTTGCACTAGGGGTTGCGCGGTGCCGGATGAAGCGTGTGGGTGCGAGGAGGGTGGGAGAGAGCGCACGTAGGTTATTAAGGATTTGGTTGCTTCGATCGAGGCTTCGGGGGAGGGTTCGATGTAGTAGGACGGGGAGTCGTGGTTCATGTTGCATTTCTGGTACGGAGGTCAGTCGAAATGGTTTGTCTGAGGAGAGGATGTGCGCACCCCGATAAAGCCGCGTTGACCCGCTGCGTGGACGATATCCGCGAGGACTTTGGTGGATTCGAGATGCAGGGTGGCGTAGTAGCAACATGTAGTCGTCTAGTTGGTCCAAATCAGCTTCGCCACCGTCAGCATTTTGAGTAAGGAAACCTACCCCGTTGTCAATAAAGTCTCGAACCACTTTGGTATAAATTCGTTTTGCGAATTCGATATCCGCGAACTTGCTTTCCATGGGGAAGGTAACGTTCTTGAGCCAATCGAGGAGTTCGTACTCCTGGCCACTGGAAACACACCAGTCAGCTTGAGTAACGGTTTATCTCAGTAAATGAACTCACGTTCCGATGTTAGGTACCTGGGGTGCATGCTGCAATGAACGCTCGCTTAGTCGACCTCTCCTGAAGATAGAGGAGTAAGCGTGCTCACCGTATGCGTATCGACAAACCCAGGCATCAAGAACTCTCCCTCCTTCAACTCTACCAAGTTCGCACTCGCGATATCGACATGCCCTTTCTGGGCCAATGCATCCTGCAGTTCGTGTGGCGCAACGTCCTTGACTATCCAGTCGATGTTTCCGGTTGGTCCCACTGCTAGGAGACAGCGCGGAAGAGCCGCGTACGAGGTTAGGGATTTGGGGTTGATAACGGCCCCGTAGAAGGTTGTCGTGGTCCCGGACATTGTTCACAAGTCGTTGTCGTAGTCGTCGAATGGAAAGGCTCAGGTATATATGCGTCGTGCCGCCTCGAGGCTTTGGCTTTGGTATGTTTGGGGATGTTCAGGGATCCGAGTACCAGGAGCAGAAGATAGTGGTGCTGGTGCAAGATACGAGTTGCATGTTTGATCCCCAACAGCCATAGTCATGTTCCGGGGCGAGCAGGGTCTCTCCACGTGCAGACACACAGCTTATCCACTTGCTTTGTCCAACCTTATCGACGTCTCCTACCGATGTCGTCAGCGGGCATCGTCCACGAACACTAGCTTGTTATCCATGTTATCCAAAGCACTGATAAGAAAGAGGCGAGTAGAGGTTTCGTTCTGGGTGCCGGCTGCAGGGATACAGGGCAAGAAGGGGAATGAGCGTTCGTCATCGTCGGTGACGTCGTCCAAGTCGCGGTGCTCGTCGTTGCCGGTGGTGCCAAGCCAAGTGCCGTGATGATGTTCCCAGGAGGTCAACAGATCAATCCGTGGTCGACGCAAGACTTTCTTGCTCTTATGTATCTTTGCACCACCGTCTCTGCAGCCTCGACGACAGGGATCTTTACAAGTATCAAATCCGCCGTTTATATTCGTCTTCGAAGACCCTGTATAGTCGACAAACATGCGGTGATTCCCACCTCTCAAATCAGCTGAGGACCCAAGGAATACACCCAATCCTCCGAGCTTTATGCGTTGAGAACTCGAATTGCTGGGAGACTTCGTTCTTGACAATCATGGGCCATGGGACACGACACCGACCACGACTTTGACCTTCTCATATTACCTGCCCTTTAACCTATGCCAGTCCGCGGAACGGTACCCCAACCTAGAGCTCTTCCCGAATATTTCCAATCGTTCCAGGAGCTAGATGACTGGAGAACGAGCAAGACAGGGCCGTTCTATTCTGCGGAGGGTGTTCGACCTTATGTTCCGAGGAGGTTGAGGACTGAGGATATTACTGGGCAAGGGAGGCTACTGGTGAGTACACGAACCATAATCACTCCAGGCCATCTTTTGAGTTCGGTTCTTCTTCTAGATCGCGCATGACTTCAAGGTGAATACCAACGAACGACGTCTATGTCCCAGCATCGCCGTTCTGACTGGCCCAGGGAGGTTATATTGAAGACCCATTCACAAAATCATATACTTTCAATTGGTGGTCATCTACCTCCCTATTCAATTAGTCGGTCTTCCTTTCGAACCCGTTCCCCCCAATTGCGTTAACACCCCCGTTTATAGCTTCGCACACCACCGGATAACCATTCCTCCACCAGAATGGATTGCCTCGGCACATAGACAGGGAGTCCCAATACTAGGAACACTGTGAGCAACCTCTCTTTCGAGAGGACTTCATGTACTCAAATGGAACTACGGCAGGATGTTCGAAGGAGAAGCCCAGGAAGACTGCTTTCGCATGGTAATAGGAACGCAACCCCGCAACGCCACAGTGGACGACGCACCATGGTCGAGGGCCAATTACACCGTCCCAGTCTCCCCGCACTACGCGGAAATCCTCGCAGACATTGCCAAAGAACGCGGATTCGACGGTTGGCTAATTAACATAGAAATGGATTTGAAGGGAGGGTCTTCGCAAGCTCGTGGAATAGCCGCTTGGGTATCTCTATTTCAGCAAGAGGTTTTGAAGAAGGTCGGGAGCCATGGCTTAGTGCTTTGGTACGACAGTGTCACGTTCAGAGGCCATCTTTCCTGGCAAGAGCGACTATCCTCTCGCAACCTGCCCTTCTTCCTCAGCTCGAGTGGGTTGTTCACCAACTACGCGGTGCGTTCTCTTCTGTCTTCGGAAACTAGAATAGCCGAGCTGATACATGTACAGTGGTACAACCATTTCCCCCAGCGCCAGATTGACTACTTCAATAGCCTCGACCCGAAACTCCTCAAGGGTAAATCCCTCCAAGACATTTACGCAGGTATCGACATGTGGGGACGAGGCTCGCACGGCGGCGGCGGATTCGGAATGTACAAAGCCCTCGAGCACGCCGACCCTCAAAAGCTCGGACTCAGCATCGCACTCTTAGCTCCAGGCTGGACATGGGAATCCGAAAACGAAAACCCGGGCTGGACATGGGAGCGTTTCTGGGAACAAGACACGAATTTATGGGTCGGACCGTCCTCGAGTAAAGTGGCTATCGAAGTCCCGCCAACCGAGTTCAAGGTTGTCGAACCGATGTGTGAGCATGGGCCGTTTAAACCTGTGTCCAAATTCTTCCCGACTCTCCCCCCTCCGGATCCCCTGGATTTGGCATTTTATACGTCATTTTCGCCGGGCGTTGGGCATCAGTGGTTTGTAGAGGGGAAGGAAGTCTTTTATTCAGGGTCTGGGTGGACGGATATCGAGAAGCAAACAAGTACGGGGGATTTGGTGTGGCCGAAGCCTACAGTGTATAACTTGGTGGGAGGAGGGCTGAGCGACGCGGATGCAAGCTCAGCGCTTTATTTCGAAGACGCTTGGAATGGCGGGAACTCGTTGCAGATTAATGTTACCCGCACTAGGGGCTCGACGGGGTATGCAGGGTATTGGGTACCCATTCAGTCGCTTAGCCTGTCGACGGGGAACCGCTATGAAGCCTCGGTGGTCTACAAAGTAGGAGAAGGGGCAACTGGGGATGTGGATGCGAAGCTGGATTTGGGAGTGAGAGGTGGTGGTACTAGGAGAAACGCAGGATTCAAGCTCTTGGAGGAGGATACGACTGCTTTGGCTTCTGGATGGGCGAAGGCTCGGATTGTCTTCGAGCCATCTGCTGCTGAAGGCGAGGAAAGCATCGTGCCAGCGTCCATCGGCTTCATCGTATCCGTGTCCAGCGACTCCACGAAGTCCAGCCCAAGCAACAACTCATTCCTTCTCCCCTTCCTCGTCGGCCAGATTGCTGTACATCCACACCTCCCAGCCGACTACCATTCCTTCGAAGCATCGCTTTACTCGCTCAGCTTTAAACGCAACGCGACCTCTCGCAGTCCACTGGATGGCATGTTATCTTGGGATATCGTCGCAGCGCTCCCCGAACCTCCCGAACCAGACGAGTCTCCAGATCGAGATGACCCTAACCTTTTCTGGGAAGTTCAACCCACCGAGAGGAATTGGTTCCCCAAGTTCCTATACTTCAATATCTACGCATCTGAAATCGCCGACGGAAACACCAGCCCATCGAAGGAGAACCAGAAATTCTGGATAGGCACCACAGGATTCGACGGTGAAACCCGCAAATTCCACGTCTACGACCAGAACCTTCCACCCAGTTTGCAGACCAAGAACGGATGGATAAGGCGAAAGGGCAAGAAACTCACGTTTGAAGTGGAGGGTGTGTTGGAAACGGGAGAGATTGTGCGTTGGGGGAACCAATCGAGGCTGTATAGGCCTCTTTTGCATGATTTGGAGGGAAGTTGTAGGTTCTCGTGGTTTGAACCGTGCTCGAATTCAGACTTGACTTCGCTGCTTATGTGGAGCACTGTATTGGTCGTGTTGTGGGTCAAATACAAGTTCTACTGATCCGTGTCAGGTGTATGTTTACATTTGGTTAGTGGACTGCTAATGGTACATGGTTAGAGGTTTGGAGATCGTGAGTGGGTAGCGGAGCGGAAACTAATCCCTGTCGACGAGGTCTTCTTGATCTTGGAACTTGGCAAGCCAACCCTTGATCCCTCCTTGCAGGACGTAAGCCTGCGATGTTGACCCGTCCACGCCTTGCTTGTTCAAGTAGTCCTGGTACCTGGTGTCGCAGTCAGCCATTGTTGTGTCACTAATCCGGGACATGGTCACCCACCATCCAGCACATCGAGGACCACGTCCATTCGAGCTCTGGCAATAGAAGATGACTTTCTTGGTGTCCTTGTGCTTCTCGTGCAAGGCAGGTAATTCGTCGTAGAAGGTCTGCGCAGGCCACTGTTCGCTACCTCTGACATGGCCTCCCTGTATCACTGGACAGTTAGATCACGCTCTCGGGGTGTGGAAGGAGGGAACAAGGCGTCGTACAGCGTGATCGTTCCTTCGTACGTCCACTACGACGAAGTCTTTGTCCCCAGATCGAACGAGAGCGGCAACTTCATCATTGGTCAATGAGGGAGGGGTAGACTGGACTGCTGGGTAGGCGTCCCACCATCTCTTCAGGGAGGTTTCTGGGATGGTGACTTCTGCATCGGTCTTCGGCTTCAACGCGTAGATTTCGCAGGAGGCTAGCACAGATGGTGCATTAGGGCTGCGTGAGTATGGACATATCCCAGTCGGTAAACACACCTATCCACTCGTCCATGTCAATATCGGGCTTCTGAGGACGGTTGCTGTCGATCTTGTCCTCGACGCCTGTGCAGCATCCACCGGACCTGTCATCCTGGAAGTAGATGCTCAAGTCGCTCTTCTTGTCCACGAAGAGGATATCTGTTGGGCGTTTCGCTATCAGCTTTGAGATCAATGTGTCTTCCGGGGAATATAACCACCTTTGAACCCGGCGTCAGCCATGTGCTGGCGATACTCTTCTTCGGTAACCGCTCCAGCGATGCAATTGACATACGCAACAAGGTCAGACTTGACCTTTTCCGGGAGAGGTTTCTTGGCTACCAACTAGTATGGAGGAACTCAGTATTCCGAGTTAGTATACCACTGGCGTGACACACTCACGTCGCTGATGACGACCCTTCCACCAGGCTTCAAGACACGGCTGACTTCCTTGAAGATATGCTTCTTCCCAGCTGTGGGGAGGAGGTTGATTACGCAGTTGGAGATGACACAGTCGATCGAGTTGTCCTCGATGGGGAGCTCCTTCTCGAGGTTGGCGTGGACGAAGGCGACGCGGGGTGGGGTGAGCTTCTTGGATGCTGCGTTGCGTCGAGCGAGGGCTATCATTTCCTGGGTATCAGACGGGGGTCAATGAAGGGATTTAGTTTACGAGGAGGTGTGATAGACGTACGGTGGATCCATCCAGCCCGATTGCTTGACCCGTAGGCCCGACCTTGGCTGCAGCGAGGAAGATATCGATGCCTCCTCCGGATCCGAGATCGAGGACACGTTCTCCCTGTAGTAGCGCTATCTTTGAGCGCCTATCATAGAAGTAAAGTATGAAGGAAACACACACACCTCCTTGAGGTTGGCGATCCCCGTGGGGTTGCCGCAGCTCAAACCCATGTTGGCTTCAGCAGGGATAGCTTGGAGCTCCTCGGCCGTATAGCCAAAGGCAGAGGCGACACTCTGGGCATCTTATAGTGTTTACAACAGATGAAATAACCTTCGTGTGAGTTGGAAGTTTGGAAAGAGGTGATAAGCTACCGACATTCTTGATCGGTCCCAGCCGTTAGCGCACGAGCGCCGTACGACTCGGTGACAACTTTGACGATCTCCTCATCTGAGATGGTGGTAGCAGTCGGCTTGGTGGCAGGTTTAGCAGAGCAGCAGGACATTCTAGCTTTGTAAATGGAGGAGGTTGAGAGGCTGAGGCTAGGTTCAAGACGGAGCCCCCACTGCGACCTATTAGTACGCGTTCGAATTTGATTTTGATTTTGAATATCAAAAGGGATAAGGCGCCATTCTGACAATGATCTCGAGCCTTACCCAAGATGAGGGCAAGCTTACTCACAAAGCAGACTAAAGCAGACCTGATTGAGGGCTGGAATCGATGATTTGTCAATGATTCGTCATTGGGCTTCTTTGGCTCGTCGACATGGATGCCAGCCATTCATTCATTTCGAACTCGAAGTACGTCAGTACAGCACTTCAGGGAGAGCACTGAAGAACGAACGTTTGGACGGTCTTTTACGAACATGGAGTCTGGGACGTTCGCATTACTGCTTATTTACCAATGGCCACTTCACGGGACTATGGTATAGGCATGCAAGAGATATCAAAGGATATATTGGATCCCTACAATTGACAGTGCGCGACTTCAAGGTTCATTATGATTCCTAGCACCCTGTATCCAATTCTGCGCAAGTGCATTGAGTTCCCCACTGTGTTTAACATGCAATCCCAAGTGGGGCGGACTGCTCGGTATCACTTAAGCGCCCAGGCGGAATTTCTAAGCGCCTGTCCCTGTGGCCTCAATCTGAGAGTGGGCGGAAGATTGCATCTGTTTGAGGTAGTTGCTATGAGAGGATATGTCACAAAGATATGTCAATTCCACGCTGGAGAGAGTATTTCGTGAGTAGATCCGCAAGTTTATTGAAGGTGGAAGCTGCAACAAGTGAGTAGGTGTACCATAGTGACCGTGACGTGATGTTAGCCACTATGCTTCAAGCTATGCTGGGGAACAGAAATCCACTGAGAACCTGTAAGCATACTACCTCTCGTAACTTTCAGGAGAAGAGACGCCCACATATCTGCGGCACATTCAATTCGAATTCATGATCACTACTTTGATATGATAAAAGTTACAGTGAGTATCAAAGAAATGGTGGCAAATCAGACGAGCCTCGTAGTCGGTTGGCAACCAATAAGTAATAAAAGTGGCTTGTCTGGCTATGTATTGTATGACTATTTCTTCCCAATGGCTCATTGCCAGTGGGGATCTGAGGCATGGCTCGGGAGTCGATGCTTCGACTAAGCGCCTGGACGGCTCGGTAAGGACTGTGGAGTGTTCTCCAACCTTAGGATCGGGCACTAAGATCAAATAAGACTCGGCCCAGTTCTCCACACGGCGAACAAAGTCGTGTCCAATTCGATCGAAGATGACGCTGTCGTCTAAGGTGGAACTAGGTTGGAGCTAGCCTGGAGCTGAGACAGGGTGTTCGAGTCACCCCGGTGGCGAATTCCTGAGTTGATACCACACGCAGGGCACGAGTTGCAATCTGCACTAGCGCATGCGGCGCACCGGCAACTCCGAAATCGGCATGTGACTGCCGATTGGTGGTGATGGCACAACAGTGGTCCGTGTGAGTTCTGTCAGCTGTCTTTTCTTTCGTTATCTACGCGGGTGGGGAGAATTCGTCGACAAGGGCATACCACCGCTAGATCCCTCCCTCGCCTCAATGACAATACCGACATTTTCAGTCCTACTATAGCGCTGGCCGTGCACGTGAGTACAACGTTCATCTTTCCCTTCTTGTTGACTGAACGGTATTTTCGCCATCTCAGCAATATGGCATTGGTGCACATCCCTCGAGCACGCGCCAGCGTTAATTATGCCCTTTCCCTTTCATTTCTCGCTTTTCACTGAACCACGACATCCTCCTCGAGAAAGGTACGCATATGTGACCAAAAATACGATATGATTACGACTGATCTGTGTTACTTTTCTAGCATACCGGAATGGACCTCTCCCAGCTCGATCCCACTGTCAAAGCGCAATTAGAGGCGTACCTTCAAACAGGCATTCAACAGGCCGTCGCGAATTTGAAAGGAGAGTTTGAGGAGCAGAGAGTACAGTTGCAGAAGGACCACGAAGCCGAACGGTTGAAGCTGCAAGAGGAAATCGGGCAGCTGCAATCGCGACTAGCTGGAACAAGGTGCGATGCGGATAGGTCCCTTTCATTGTTGCATACTCACGCTTGCAAAGTGGAACAATCCACAGCACGGGCCAAGCTTCCCGAGCGCCCATGACACCACCAGCCACTCAGGCCCCCTCTGGACCGGTCCCATCTGCCTTTGCGGCCTCGACGCGAGCAAAGGCTCGTAAACGCGGCCAATTGAAGGGACGTGTGTCCAGTCAAACGCCCTCACCGTCCAAACGAAGTCCATCCAGAGCACAAGCAACGAAAAAGAAGAAGCGAAAGCATCAGGAGGTAGAGGAAGATGAGGAAGATGCTCAATCCTCTCGGGAAAGTACCCCGCGCCCGTCGGGGTCAAAGGACAGCACGAGTGTGTCCGGAGCAGCCGATGAGGCGAAGAGTGCCGCACCCTATCAGCTACGCCGTGAAGATGTTCCCAAGGAAGCGACACACGTTATGGTGAGTCCCTATTATTTACAGTAACCGGCGGAGGCTTCTAACAGCAATATAGGCAGCCCTACTCCTCCACATCCGTATTCTTTGGGGCCTTTTCAGCAGCGATTCAGTACCCCATGACCCAACGCAGGAGGCTTTGAAGTCTTTTGCGCGTTTATTCTCAACGGAGGCGTCAGTATATCAACAGAAGACAGTGACCGAACCCATTATCTCACCCACCCTCGTCAACATCACTCCTGTATCGGCACTCAAGTCCAAGAGCAGGATAATCGCGCAGTACCGGAAGGTCGAGGAGCATATCCTCGATTATATGAAGACCTTTATTGCCCGATATGGCCTCAAGAGCTGGTGTCCCGACTTACGCCAAACACCTTACTCCCTGTACAACGCCACCCACCGCATCATCTGTATCGACACATTCAAACAAGGGCTGGTTGCTGGGGCATACAGTGTGGCCTTCCCTCGCATCAATACAACCTACGCGACCAACACCGACCTCTTGACGAAAATGTACGACCATCATGTCCACCACTACCTATTCGGTCTCTACACCAAAGAGATCAAGGAGCCTGGAAGTGTCGGTAGCAAGGGTGGGCTTAACATGGTGTACAAGAATCGAGACCGTGTACGTCTATTTCTTCTTACTATAAAAAGGAGGGTACTGATTACGGTGACAGCTCTGCAAACAGCGTCGCCTGTATATTAAGAAGAACAAGTTCCCGCTGCGGTACCTCCGCCTCATCACAACGGAGACAACATCTGACGACGAGCGTGATCCTGAGGGCCGCAAGCGAGATGGGCAGGACATTTACTGGATCAAGGCCAAAGCGGGGCGTTCTGACAATGCGACACTATTCATCCGCACCCTCGACAAGCGCCGCCTCAATGACGCAAAGCACGATCCCAGCAGCCGCGGTAAAGAGCGACTTCGACTTGTTCCACCTGATGACATGGAATTGAAGCCTTCTGTTCTGACGCGCCTCGGTACGGGTATTCCGCTCGACTACTACAACCCCACCTTCTACAATAACCTCTCCCCTGCTGTCCGTGCGAAGGTCGCCTCATGCGACATTGTCCTCCCCCATGGGAACATGGACGACTTGTTTACAAAGTCCGGCGAAGAAGAGCTAACTGATGACACACTCTACGAGAAGTATCGAGCGGCGTTCTCTGAGCTATACCATTATGTCGATCCGGATGACCTAGCTGATGATGAGTCTAGTGATGATGAGGGCGGCGACGATGATGACGAGGAGGAGGAAAATTTCTTTGATGATGACAATGCAGATGGTGGTAATGAGGACCAGGAGATGGGAGAGGACAGGGATAGCTCCATGGATCTGGATGGCGGTGTGACAGGTGCAGAGGCGGGCAATAGTGGTGATGGTAGTCGAGCTCAGAAACGACGTAAGCTATCTCCCCGGAATCGTGATAGGGACTAGATGTTGGTAATGATAGCTAATGAGATAGTATTTAATTCGTTCTTCGCGTTAATAGCAAAAGAATTATTTATAGTTTGGATGCTAATAACCTAATCGTAACCGAGAGAGTACACTGGTAAGAAGGATAGTTGGTCGAGAGATACCAAATGAACCAGGAGGACGACGATGGAAGGGGACTTGGTTCTGAATGTCTACTTTACGGATGATGACAAGGGTCTCAGGAGGTACATTCTCACCAAGACATAAGGGGTGGTCGTAGGCTATTTGTGTCATAAAGTTGGGAAGAGCCCGATAGATATCCTTTCCGTGGTCCGCACCATGCAGGAATCTGTGTTCTGCAACAACGACTATCTCACCGTCATCGAGTGTCGGATCACCTGTACATAGTTGCCAAATGGAACAGATGAAGCCAAAAGACTGCTGACCGGTTAAAGGGTTCCGAAATGCAACAGAGCTTTGGCCTTGGTGGTGGTGGAAAACAGAATAATCCCTCGTGTTATGGGCCAAGGTAGATCGAAGGATGGCTGATTTGGGAAGGATGGAAGGGGTAGGAAGAGGGTGCGGGTATGCAGCATAATGTCTGAGGGAGGATGTGCGGGGCTGACGGTTCAAGAAGTCCAAGACCTGTAGATATTCATCTTCAGGAATTGGTGTCAGCTTTGGAGCTGGACGGTGTGTGCGTTGGGGGTCATGGATACTACTATCCGAGCAAGAGATATCCAGCCGGAGCAAGTCAACACCGTGCTTAAGGAGCATGTTAGGAATATGTCCCCTGTTGTCTTGAGGCTCCTGTTCTGGGAAGGAATCAAGGTGCGCAAGGAGGCGGCCCCGTTGGGAAATATGGCGCAACATCGTATAATCCATGTCCCCTGTTAACGGCACAGTATTAGACAATACAGAATTCAAGGAACACATTGACGCACATGAGTGATTATTTGTTTTGACCCGCTGTAATTCCCCGTTGTGTCGCTCGAATGGAAACTCACTGATCTGTATGAGTGGCCCCCAGAACTTGAGCAGCATCCCGTTATGCATGGCGTAGTGATGGTTTGGACGAGTCGCGATATGGGGAAAGAGCTGCTTTGAAGAGTGTCGATAATCTTTATAAAATGATGTGTAGGAATCGGCGTATTCATCTGAGGTCGAATAAGCCGAAAGAATAATGGTGCATGTCGTGAGCTGGTAGAAGTTCTGGAGAAGCTGTTCACTTTGTTGGGTGAGAGGGAAAGACCAGATCTCAGGAAGGCAAAGGGGGAAAAAAATGAGAAACAAAGAGAGCCACTGGTCTGCTTTCAGCTTCCCATGGGATGTTTCACCCAAATTGGTAGGGGGACGGTCAACCCAGGACGGGATGGATGTAGCTGCTATACATTCTCGGATAGCTGCTAGCTGGGACTTGCTGAAGATGCACCGTCCGGGTGCTTCCTCCGGTTGAGATTCTCCATCGGTATTGACAGTGCTGGTCGAATCGGCTGAATCGTAACTGTTGTCGGAAAGCTCAGATCGGCTATCCTCGTCGGTTTCAGCGGCAAGATCAACCGAGACAGTTTTTTGCTTCGCCTGAAACCCAGAGGGAATGCCAAGGCCCCACTTATACCGAACGTGATGCTGGAGGACACCTTCGTACCAATTGTGCATAACACCGAGCATGGTGTGTGCAACTGGATCGCGGTACTCCAACAGGTGCAAGGACGACCACCGGATACCCTTCTCTCCCACCAGTTCTTTCCGTCGCGTTTTTGTTGTCGCTTGACGCCATTCCACCGCAGCCGCAACCACGTCGGCACCCACACGAGATGGGTAGACAGTGTCGATGTTGTCAAATTCATCAGTAGTGATGGTGCAATACGAACAGGGGTTATTATCCGAAGTGACAGCAACAAAGCCCATCGCTTTGTGGATGCCTTGAAGGTCACCAAGGACAGGAAGGACAGCAACTCTCCGTCGGATGCCAGCAGGATGTCGGAAGGTACGAACGACCCTTCCGTTGTAGAAATGGCGCAACGAGTGGACAATCGGGTCTTGTAGCGATGAGATGGTGACGTAGGTGGGTTCCTTGGGCGGGGGCGTAATACCAGCAAAGAAGGTATTTTCTGGGCGATGTCGGATATCGTATGGGAGGTTAAGGCAGACCAACATGATTGCACCACATGACACGTGCTTTCCAGCGATCTTGTTCGAGAACGGGTTGAACCAGTCGATGAAATAGCTGAATGTTAAATTGCCCTCGGTAGTGGTGAATGTTCCAAGGCTCCGCCACGCTGGGCTATCCCAAATGCTCTCCATGAAGGTAGGATGTCGGCGCTGGTGGTTGTATGACTGGTCGATGAGGTCTTCGATTCCAGGACGCGAAAGAAGAAATTCCAACCACGATGCAAAGTCCTGGGTGCAGTAGAGACGTCGAGGGACCCTCCTTGGTCCGCCTCGCGTTGCACGGGTTGCCCACAGTGGCTCCTGACATGGTCTGCTTCGGGGTGTCTCACGATAGTCGCAGATATCGGGGAGACCATCCAGCAGATATGCGGTAAAGCATTTCGGGCAATGCACTGAGCGGATAATTGTAGGGTCGATGGATAGTGCAGAAATGGCGGTGCGACTGTCGCTTGGGAGTGATATGTCGATGTTGTCGAGCGGGGGAGGTTGTTCAGGCCGTATATGACCTTCTAACAACGCGGATGTGTGGCCAACGAGGATGCCAAGTCGGATTGACAGTGCGACTAGAATTCGGACCACTTTCAGCACTCGCCTTGTTGCAGCCTGGCTCAGCCTCGCCACGAGTATAAGCCAGGCACCAAGCGCTGAGATGAGGTAGCGGATCGCGTTCTTGAAATGAACAGTTCCTGGATGAAGATGAATTGCTTTCAACCTAACCAATTTCGTCACACGGGAGCTGGTTCAGTACGTACCAGGGTCATTGTCAAAGAAAACCCGCTGATCAATTCTTTGGGCGCGAGGTTCAGAAGTAGAAAACATGGCTGTCCTCCGGGTACCAGTGCTTCTTGCCTCCGAACCGATGCGTGAAACGGAATCGATACTTTCAGTCTGTCCAGACCCGGATCCCACGTCTTCAGGTACGTTGCTGCTTGAAGAGTAACTCGATCTCCCCGTGGAGAGGAGAAGGTCCTTGCGGGCGTGTCGCCGCTGAGTTGCCTCCGGTTGCACCTGGCCAATCCGTTCCACTCCAGACACGTCGTAGTAGGTTTTCTGGCCACATTGGCTAGAGATACATCGACATATAGTGATGCGAGACTCCGAGGAAAGGGAAGCTTTTGTGCTCATACGGTCTGTCATGATTTCCTGACATACGGGCAACGATTGCGAAAGAGGTTCGGGAAGAAAACAAAAATTGATTATCGCAAACGGCCGTTGACCTTAACCCTAACCGTGTTCTCTGGTACGCAAAGCCTCCGAACAACTCCAGGTTCGGACGTAATACTGTATGTGCAAACCCTGAACTCGTTTGAACCTCGTTGCTTTTCAGTTGCTGGAAGACGGGTGACAGAGACAAGACAGGTTAGGTCTAGGCCAGTGCCACCCCAGTGCCACCTCAGCTCCAACCTGGTGGACAGCGTCGCCTGTGATCGGATTCGACAGCACTTTGTTCGCCGTGCCATAGGAGTTGAGTGGCAACCAAGTTGCGAGCGAGAGGCGGTTAACGCACGTCGATCCCACGCTTGGCATCAGTGTTACCACGGACACAGCCACGGACTGGCGTCCTCGAGGTGCCTGGCGGGTGCCGAGCTTTCTTATGTTCTGCTTCTCATCACCGACCGCAAACGATCCCTGCACCGAACTCTCAGGATAAAAATCTCCAAGATCCACTCATAATGACTGAAAATATCACGACCACCTTTCTCTTCTTCACCCCCGCCTTAATCCCAGCGACCAAGCGTCATTCTGACGCTAAACGTTCGGCGTATCCAGTGAATAAAAAAGCCCAGTCGACGACTTACATCTGTCAGGGTTAAACGCCCAGAACGCATCGCTTTCCGTCGTGGTACTGTTCGATCGGTATTATTCGATCCCTGGGAAATGGAGGCTTTACGGCGGACACCGCTACCGACAGTGATGGCGTCGGTCGCCTACGGTCTGTGCCGCTTTCACGCCCGATAACCTGAATTCTTCATTAGTGTCTGTGTTTATAGTCTAATATATGGATCAGTGGTGCCGCATCTCCGCAGCGAAGCCCCGCCTGTTGTAAGCGCTCGTCAGCACAGTGGAAAACGAACACCGGCGGGTCCCAATTTCACTGAGTGTCTTCAACTCTTCTGCCGCAGTACTGCGAGACAAAGACCCTGCACCGACAAAGGCATTTGGGAACGTGTTCGCGCAGAATGCCGACACAGTTGGTAGCCACTCCGAGTACTTTCGATGCTCTAGCTATATAATGGGGCCATCGAGGACGCATTTCTGTATCTTGCTCGCCACCCTCCTTCCGTGTTAACGTTCTACTCGCACTACTTCCAGACATTTCCTGCCGTGGCTTCGCGCTATCAGGGCCAATCGTGTCTTAATTCTTACATTCTCTATCGGCAATCCCGAGAAACCTATTGCTTGGGTTATTTGGTTCTGGTCAGATCAGCCCTTGCATCTGACTGTCATCCGGTTACTTACACTCTCTGTAGGCCAACGATCGAGGGCCTCAAGATTTCACCTGACAACCTCGAGGCGATGCGGCTTATTTACGACTTCCGACTCCCCAGTTGCATTTGTGCAATTGATGATCCTGATCCTAACGCTTACACCGAGGCTGCAGTCTTCCTCAACACCAAAGTCGGCAGCCTGCAGGCATTTCAAATGTGGCTACTACAGTACGTTACCTTCATTTTCTGCCCGATCGTGTCTCTAACATGCACCAGTTTATAACTTTGAGAGGTTGTATCTATCCCACAACTACCCGCGTCAACCTGTCGAGCGTCGACCGGAAACTGCTCCTCGGCCTGCTCCGATTGAGTTCTTGCCAACCACTACTGTGGGGCGGTCCCTTGTCGCGGATAGGCTGCTTCCACTTCATACTCCTTCGACTCCTTCGGGTTCAAGCTCTAGTAAGTCCTACTCCAGCGTACTCTTGTCTGTGCTGACTCCCCTTGGTGTACTTAGGTACTTCCGGACCTTCCACCCCTGCATCACAGGTGTCGACTTCCAGTTCGCGTTCCGTAATAGCCTCAGGATCATCGTCCGGCTCTACTCGCGGGATTCGTCGTGCACGAGAAGATTCAGCGGATGATTCGCCTTTGCAGATTGCTCGCCGTCGTCGCCTTAATGCCGCAGGTACGCAAAGTAATGTCTCTCTGGCTTTTGCCCCAGTCTCTGATATGCACTATGTTGTGCTATAGTTGGCAGCCCAGTCCGAAGCCTGCCAATTACTCGTCAGACTCCCACCAACACCGATAGTATTGAAGCCACCCCATTCCAAAAGCTTCTCCGTATGGATGGCCATGATTCCCTCGATGGTCTGTACATGTGGGAGCTCATCGATCTTCTCTCGGAATGTCAGCGGTGTGGTCTGATTAAGACCAAGAATACATTCCGATTCCACGTTTGCCCCGGCGTTCCTGCTCGTCACCGTCCAGATGCTCCAGTTCCCATTGAGACGATTGACAAGAATGGTAACGTTGTACTTGACCTTTCTCACCTCGACGATTGAACACACCCCATTTTACCCCGCCCTTCCATACCCTCATTAGATCTTTGTCTATAATATTTCCCCTTCGTTTTTTCTCCGAACCACCTTGCTCCCTACCTTACAACTTACTCCTTCCCCTATTCCATTTAATTTTCATTCCATGTCACGACACCTCCCATAACCCTACGATTCACCCTATCCTTTACAGTCTTTACTAGTTCAAAGCCTACTCTACACGATACTTGTTTCCACGATAGCCTCGAATTAATTGACTTGTGGCTCTCTATCAAAACAGGCGCCTGGTCGATGGCTGTGCTCTTTGAGGTTGGATTCAGGCTCCCATGCACTCGTACACTGTCTCGGTCCCTGGCACCATATCTTTTGTTGCGCGTCTGGATTTCTACTGGAGCTTATGAAACTTGGGCGATGACTAGCGACGACATTGACCTTTGCAATGCGTTAGATTTGTAAAGGTCGACTTCGAACTGGGCTTGGCAGCGCTTCTACACCTTTGGCTGTTTGAAACATGCAAAACTCTCTCTGGAATGACGGTTTCTTTCACTTCGGCTACGTGGCTTTATTATCGAATGAAGCTCTATGTCCTCTACAGATATCCTTTTACTTCATAGAGCTAGAGCCAGAATGAGGTGGGATATTGATCAACCTTTGCTGGTAGACCCAGAATACTCTCCGGAAACCATCAGCAGTCTACAGACTGCATTTCTAAGCGCCGAGCTTTGCGGTTCAAGAGTTATGGGCGCGCTAGTATAATCAAGAGAATGCGAAAGACCGCACGAGAAACGGACGATATGCTGGTGAGTTATCCCTGTATCTTCTTCCTTCTCCCTGCTGGGAGAGATCTAGCTCTTTACTGCTCTCGCTTTGTACTCCTCTCTTGAAAATCGAGATTTCAACCGCTTGCTACTTACTGGTCATTGTAGTATTGACAGAGCATATGAATATCCAACCACAGTGCTGTTATCCTCAAAGTTCTACCTCCTAAACTCCGAGTGGGGAAGAAATTTCAATCTAGTAGCGTAAGTTCTTGAGTCCTCGATTTATAACTTTGAGATATTGCTGGAATCGTTTATTTACAGCGATAGCACTTTACCGATTGAGAAACGGCGAACCCGTTCACCTGAAAGACACATTTTTTGTTCTTTCTGTGTTCTTGGTGTAATAACAAGTTTTCAACGCAGCCCTTTCCCTGTTTGCTCTCGCGTTTGGGTATTTAATAGGCTTGGCCCGTACCTACAGGACGCAATTTACCGTTTCTGAAAAGACGCTGAGGCCGTACGGCTAGAGCCCTCGCATTCTGTCATAATCACTACATAAGGGTGCTACCTCTTGCTTGTAGAATGCAGCTGTCGGGCAGTATCTGGTGGTAGAAGTAAAGGAACCCGTCCAGACCCAGTACCAGCACACTCGACACTTCCAGCCAGGGCCTTCTCGAATTTTTCCTTTGCCCTTTGAATCGAACGCGCCCCGCTTGGACTTCTATGTTCCATCTCGCGGTGGAGTTGGTCAACTAGCCCGTCATGAGCAGTCTTGATGCGCTTGTTGGCATTCTCAATTCGCTGGTCTTGCTCGTTGAGTACCCTATGATATGTCGTTGCTGCAAGGTGTCTTATGCAGTGTTAAATATATGGGGAAAAGATGAGACGTACCCCGGCGCTTCAACGAACGAGTGATTCTAGTTTCTTCGGTCGCTGGGTAGTAAGACGAATGGATCCCGAACTCCTCATAAGTCTGTTCAGTCGCGAACACGATCAATACACCAAGAATACTGGGGATATCGGTCAACTGTACCTTTAAGGTCTTTTCCTTCAGCTCGTCGAAGCGCAGCCCCTTGTAAAACCCGCCCACGAGACTGCACGCTACCCCTTCACGGTTGGCATCAGCATGTAATGCTTCGATGAGGTTGGTCGTGCTCTCCCCCATTTGCCAAATGAGTTCAGGTATAAAGCTCTTCTCCCAACACATCGCGGGAAAAGCAAACTTGCTTCGAATCTTGTCGTTTAGCCAATCTGGTACCAGAAGTTATGTGAGCGCTTAGCTGTCACGATTTTCAGGTGAGTACAACTCTACCATTGCCTGCTTTGCCACCATTGGCACGTATTTCCGAGAGCGCTCCCTCCCAGTCCGCATGGTGCATGCACACCAAAGACCTCATCGTCTTCTTAATGCCGTCGGGAACAGCGCACTTCTGTATGTTTCGAAAGATGTGCGCAGTGCATAGTCGGACCAACCGGCGTAGATGATCGTACTCGTCGAGGTCCTGTATCCGACGATGCGGCTCGTGCAGGTCAAGTCGGTCTGGTAGGCGGCGAGCCACAAGCTTGAGAAATAGGCCAAATCCTGACAAAGGGAAGTCAGGGAGTCATTCCTCACAGATGGAAATTTAAGTTCACCTTTGGCCTGACCACCGTGTTGGTCTATGTTGACAAGTGAAGTCCCGTATGCTTCGTCAACTCTCCGCGCACTCAAGTGCCGGAAGCTCCAGTCACTTCCCGTATCGTTCTTCACAGTTTCTGCGATCTTGGAGAATAGAAATGCGTGAGTTACCGTATCTTGACGGGTAATATACGCGCGACAGAAGACCACACCTATAAGTAAAATGTCAGCGCCAAAATGCAGCGGAGGTGCTGGCTGAAGAGTCTTACTTGTCTTGGTGGCATCATCAAAGCCACCCATTTCAAACTCTAGAAAACCAGAAACTCTCTTGAAGCTAATATCCATTTGAACGCTACGGGCCTTCAAGAGTCGACGGCTACTGGCCCTAGACATGCAGATGACGATCCGTAGAGGCAGACCTTCGTCCTCAAGATCTATGTCGCCATCTCCATTTTTGACTTCGTCTGGCGCGAGTCCCAGTAGAGGGAGAAGGCTGTTAGGCCCCGGAAAGTCTAGCATATAGCGAATGTAAGGCTCGCAGTTATTTCTCGACTCCTCCGACTCCTTGATGTGAAGGAGACCTGATCAGAGTTAATGAATCTGAGTGTACGCCATTTGTTGCACTGGGACAACTCACCTTCCCATCCTGTTCTATGAGGGAAGATGGTGTTCTGAGCACGTAAAATGTAGCTCCGAAGATGATCGCGGTTCGCGAAGGAGGGATGGAGGTCTGATAGGCATGGATTCTGAATGTGGGATAAAGCATTCTTGAGATAGGCTTGGACAGTTGTATGACGTAGAAAGCGCCGTGGTGTCATGTCTGCGAGGTCTTCGACAAGAGAGTGAAGTAGACCCATTATCTCATCGACCAGGGCAGGGGGTGTCTTGGAAAGAATTGGAATTGGATGGTGATGTACGCCCTTGGACACAACAAGAATCCACGGACACTCGGATCGAAATTCTTCCGTAGGCTCATAAACGCGGAAAGTGCACTTGCATTCCAGTTGTTCGAGCTCGGCCTTGACCAATTCACCATGATGGTTACGATGTGGTGATGCTAAAGAAATGTAAGTATCAAAAGCATACGCTAAAGTCTAACACTTGAAGAAACATACGGCAATTTACGCGAACGCTTGAGCAGTTCATGATGAAGTCGCATGTATCCAATGCTGAGGCGGGTTTGAAGAGGAATAGTTCATCTTCTACATCCTCAATAGTATCCACGTCATCGAAGAAGAGGGCTTCGAGATATCGCAGATCGTATTTTCCACTGGATGGACCGTAATCAAGGAGATGGCTACGATCACTCGTCCGGGAGAAATATTCACAGCTATGTTTTTTCAAGTCATCGTTAGATTAGAATGAGACCAGGAGCAGTTCACGATCTACGAACCGGATATAAGCCTTCCCGTGCTTGTCGTACTCAAAGACGAGATTTCCACTGCACGAGGGGCGAGGTAGATGCCCGCGGCGCGCCTTCTGGACTTGTGCATGGAAGTTGTTCACTTCAGGCTCACTTCCGAGAGACTGTTCGTATTCCAGTTGCAGCTCCACCGTTCCTGTTTCATCTGAAGGCGGTAAGATGCATCCATGCGTCTTGAGGCTTTGGAAATACGCCAGTGTCCTCTCGATAAGCTCGCACTTCAGCTCTAGATGCTTAACCGAGGTGACAGAAGCATCTAGCGCCCTCCCATGTTCGAGGCGCTCTCTGAGTGCCTGTTGAGACCGATTACGCACAGTAAATATGTTAGCATTCAGAAACATTAATAGGTAATGAGTAGCACCTCTCGTGATGCTTGTGTATGCGGCGTACGGGCCTCGTCTTTGTTAATAAATGGGCATACCTTGACGCCCTGGCCTAATACGAGTTAGGGATGAGGTAAATGGGGTATTCATTTTGGTAAAGGTTGGACTGACGTACAGGTGTTGTGGGACACATAGCATGGAACTGCTTCACCATTGGTGCCTTTCAGGAGCTGGGTCTTCTGTATCGAGTTCTTGCCTCGGCGACTGCTGGGCTCCCCCTGAGAGTAAGCGAAGTTCCTGACCGGATTTTGCCAGTCAGAATGGTTCATCCGGAAAAGGTGGCCAACACCATCTGGTGATGTTTCCGGGTATTCAACAATTGCATTTGGTTCGTTGTATGTGTACAGAGCCTTGAGAAAAGTCTTCCGTGTTACTCGAACGTTGTGACGAACTGTGGGCGAGTGGTGGGTACGTGTATAATGGTGTATGAGAGGGGGAGTGGAGTAAGCGCCCGTAGGAGGCGCGGAGGTCGTATTAGTTAAACGAGTCAAATGAGCGGGTGTCAATAGGTGATTAGAGTTCGATAAATTAGCTGGAATAGTAGTGTCGAGAGAATAGAACGAAATGAGTGTCTTCAGTGCGTTTTGAACCGACCGAGGAGCTAATTCAGGCCCGGATTGCGCATTCGAATTAAGAATTTCGCGCAACTGGGCTAGTTCACCTCGAATATCTACTCGGTCATCTTGCAGATGTAAAGGAAAGGACATCCCAGGCTTGGGACGGTGCAGTCGAGGAGAGGATGCGGGTGCCACTCATTCTTCAGCAGCCCAGAGCTGTTATGCTGGCGGCGAGTGGCTCTTTGGCCCAAGCATTTGCTCATACAGTCATACTGCGCGCGACGCGTCGCAAGCGTGGGTCAAGGAAGTAATGTAGTTATACAAAGTGATTGACTCCTACAACCTTGAGTGGTATACCGACCTGGGGCTCTAGGTAATGGGTGTTACTGATATTGAACATAGAGGTTCCATTGTTTACTAAGTTACGCCGATGTATACTATCGAGGCCACCAATGATCTCCGCAACTCCGCGCACTCCGTCGTCGCACCCGGACTGACTTGGGGGTATTCTGTCCCCTTACCCCCAGCCCGAGTTCTCATCGCGCTCGGAGACCAGCACCGCTGTGATCACTCAAGCCCCGGACGTGGCTGATGATGGCCATCTTTCGCCAAGCTGGTGCCTCATCGAATAATACCGATCGAAGTATGACTCCTTTCCGTCGTACACAGGTGTCAACCAGCCGAGCAAAATGTGGGTGTTTTAATTTCGTATTTAGCCCTGAACGCATCTAGAACAGAAAGTTAAACCTTTCCCTCTCTCTCTCTCCAGGCCTCCAACTCCAGCACTCCCTCCTACCTCTTCTCAATCTACAGCAGCGCTGGCAAATCGACAAGGAACCCTCAACACGGCCAACAGCGTCATGGAACCTGTCAACAACTCCAGCCTCAACAACGCAGTTGAAGTCCTCGACAGCATCTCGGACGTGGGCAAAGCACTCCCCTTCGTAGCCCCCGCGTTCATCCTCCTCAAAATCATCATCGACATCGAGCGCCGCGCGCAAGATGTCGATCTTAAATGCAACGATCTCGTCGAGCGCATCACGTTCATGCTCAGCCATCTCCCCATCCTCAAGGAGATGGAGATCATGCCTGCGACTAAACAAGTCGTCGAGAGGATCAACGAAGCCATGAAGGAGGCTGCTGCTTTGATTTCCGCTTATAGGAAGCAGAGTAAAGTCGCGCGGAGGTTGAGTTTGACCAACAGGGAGAAGTTCACGCTCTGTGTGGACAATGTGAACACCTGCACCAGTGACTTGTTGCTAAGCTTGCAGATCCATCAGTCCAAGCAGCTCGATATCCTAACGAGGGCGGTTCCGATGGATGATTTCGATGAAGCGGCTGCGACGTTTGTCGAGGAACACGGTGGGGATTTCGAGGCTGTCAAGTATGACCGCGAGCTCGTTAAAGAGTTTGCCGAGCAGCAAAAGTTGGAGATGGATGACCAGGTGATGGATCAGTTGGAGGAGGACGTTTCGGATGTGGTTCAGGAGGTGCAGGCCCGCCTCGAGACCGTTATCAAAGAGAACGTGGCCGATGCCATTGCAAATGGGTTCAAGAGCGTCGCTTCCCAGCTCATCATCCCAGAACCCGAGCAGCGCCTCACCTGCGTTCAATGCGAGGAGCACTTTACGCGATCGAGCAACCACCCCCAGGCGTGCAACTTCCACCGTGCAGAGTTCAACAGCTGGTCGAAGAGCTACCCATGCTGCGACACCAAACACCCCTGCCAATTCTCCTCCCACCGCGAGAAGCACCACTGTGATTACCCCTACGGCACCTTCTTCCCCCGCGCTCGCAACGTCAACAACTACACCGATACCAGGGACGAATGGGCTGCCATCAAGGACATCGACATGGAGGACGACGATAAAGTCCAGAAAGCCTCAGTGAGCCAACTCCTCCGCTGGGTCTCCCGAGGCGCTCGACTCGAGGAGCCGACCATCCTCATTTCCGTCGGGACGATCACGTTCAGGGAGAAATACTACTGGAACACCTTCACCGTCTCGCAACTCGAAAACATCTCCAAATCCGTCCGACACTCCAAGCGCACCCTGATCTTCAGAACCTCCCCCAGTGAAGAGGAGTTTGCGATGGCGGAATGGTTGTTGTCTATTTCTGGGAAGATTACGGGTGTGCGGATCACAGCAAAGGCTGCGACTTCCCCTTCGCCTTTTGTCCGTGTGGTGCCCATCGACGTTTCTACTGGGAAGCAATCTGGAGATGTGATAGCAGTTTCAGATGGAGGGATGAGGTCGTATATTCCTGCCACTCCCTACGTCCTCCCAGAGACTGTCCGAGTGGGCCCTGAGCTCAGCGACAAACCCATCCGCGCCCCGCGTACAGATTTCAAGACGCGCACCTCGACACCCAACTTCCGTGTCATCCTCAAACCCACCTCTGAACCTCTCGTCGCCAACCCCAACTATGCGAGCCCCGAACACGACTTTTTCAATGGCTCTGTATCAGTGTTTAACAACAACGCTCCGGGCTCGAACCTCCCTATCAGTATCGCTGGTGCGAAAGCGCAGTACAGATTCGTCGGGGAGAAAGAGTACAAGCCAGTCAAGTCGTTCAAGTTGGAGGGTAACATGGCGGACGCGTTACCGTTGACGATCGACCCCAAGCAGGGAGTTACGCTCAAGTTTGAAGCGACAGTTCCGCGCAGCGAGGAAGACATCAAAGACGATATCCGGTGGTGGAATCGAGCTTATTGCGCGCGCCATCGTCCTCTCCGTCTGAAACTCATCCTTGAGGAAATCGAAGGCGAGGAATGCTCACTCGTCCTCGAGTATGTCTTCACACCTTTCCCCTTTGACAAACCCCGGGAGAACGATATCGCTTCGTTTTACTTTGACGACCCGAAGACGCTCACGAGGCACTTGATCAGGGTGGAGGAGCCGTGGAGTTCGGGCGAGAACGTGCTGAGGATCGACGGGGAGGACGTGTCTGTCAAACTGCTCAACCAAACAGTCTACAGGGCTCTCAAGACGGGTAAAACCGAGATCGACTTGGAGCTCGGTCGGGAGAAGAGTGGAGGGGAATGGGAGTGGAAGGCTTGGGCTCTCGTCGACATCTCGTGCCGCCGCGTGTACGCGTTCAAGATCCTCTTGCAGCAAGGTCAACTCGTTCCGGATGGGAAGAAGCAATTTGCGTGTATGGGGTATGTTTTGTGCCCAGAGTACGGGGAGAGTGTGCAGGGGAAGACGAGGCCGGTTAGTTATGCGACGGAGATGGTGAAGATTGCGACGCTTGGGTTGGCCAAGTGGGAGGAAGGGGAGGGTGCGTTTAAGCAGGATGATACGGTCGACGATGTGAAGCCGCCTGTCCCGCCGAAACCGAACCTTGTGCGGTCGGTTAGTCAGGGTGTGGGCGTTGGGGTGGACTCGCCGTTGGGCAGTTCGCATCCGAATGGAAGTGCGGTCGGCGGTGGGCCCGCGGTGTTGCAGGTGCCGGAAGAGTTGAATCGGCGGCTTGCGTCGTTGGATGCGAATCTCGAGAGGATTGCGACTGCGCTGGAGCAGTTGGTCGGGGCGTTGCAGACGAGGGGTGTTTGAAGGAATGTGACCTGTATTATTACCTGGATCTGAATGTACGAGTAGGGGGTATATCTAGCAATGTTTGTATGTAGCAGTAATCGCGCTGATCGTCCCAATGTCTTTTTCGCTGAATGAAGATAGGATTTAAAGGTGAAGGTACAGCGTTATATATCCTCGTCACTCCATTCGAGGTCGAAATCGTCCCCGTCTTCATCATCGCTCGGTAGACCCAGGTTATGATGAGCGCCTCTATGAGGGAGAATGTGGTACCTTGAGAAGACGAGGTCAAGATAAGGTCAGCCTGCGAGATCGCGGCAACGTACTTGTCGAGGAATCCTTCGATATCCCAGTCCTTTACTTCCCAGTCGACTCGGACCCAGTTATGTACGAGTTCCCCGTTCCGATAAACGAGCAGGGTCGGAAGCATATCGAGATCAATATCGTCGTCATCGACCAAGTCTTCCTCCTTTGAGTCTTCCGTATCTGATCCGTACGGGTCGTCGTCGTCGTCCTCGCGGATTCTAGAGAGTTTGTTGGATACTCTAGGCGCGGGTTTTGGGGGAGCGGGGGCCGAGCCGCCTGCTGTGAAGCCAAGGGCTGCTGCACGGGCTCGGAGGAATTTTGTGTCAGGGTACAGTCGGGCGAGGCGACCTAATCTGTCATCCAGGAGGTAGCAGCGTTCTAATGACTGTCATGGGATTAGCGACCGTCTTGAATAAGAGAAAAAGAAACGCACTGGGTCGTATAGATGGACAACTACCCAAGTCATACTGTCTTCCTTCTCGACGGCGTCCAAAAATCCTCTTAATCCCACCTCCCTGAGATGACCAAACCTGCCTTCCCGTTTCCTACCCCACACGTCCCTCTTCTCGTTCTGTTTCTCAATCTCCTTCATGACCAACTCATCTGCCTTTTCACCCCTCGCAGCCTTCTCCCTCTCTTCCTCCAGATACGTTTTCCCTCCTAAACTACTCTTTTCCATCTTCAACCTCATCTCTTCCACCTCCTTTGCTTTCTTTTCCTTCATAAGCTGCTCAGCTTCATTTCTATCCCTAATGACACCCTTTACACCCGTCCTTCCAGGGCCCATACCAATAGATTCTTGCTGGTCCCTCTCTTTAGCGAGCTGGGCTTTGTAGAGGTCTCGCCGTGCATCGTCAGAGTCGTAGTCTAGCGTTAGGTCGCGGGTATTGGTGCCCTGTTCCTGCATAGCTTGCTGGTACTCGTCGTCGTGCCATCCGGGGTCATTGTCTGGCGAAGGCGTGCGGGTTGGCGAAGACGATCGTTCAGGTCCGTTGAACAGCTCTCCGGAGAGAACGAGAGCTTCGATGTTGGCGTCCTGTGTCTGTGGTTATGTTCCATGATAGTTTAGCGGTGTAGAGTGACCGACCATCGTTTTTTATTCTCGAGTTTGCGACGGTATGCGTTGGAAAGGAGTAAAGTTGGAAGCCGAGAATCGCCCCGGCGCCCAGGCGCTTGATTGGGACTTAGGCTCAGCGTGGGACTGGCATCAGAGCCTGGCGGCGACGGGGGATTGGCACCGTACAACAAGGACAGCATTTTCTAATTCAAACCACCATCTTCGCCCGTCCTCCTCTTTTGTCTTCCTCTTCTCTTGAATGTGTTTTACATTCTAATATCGTCTGGATAGAGACTTAACATCAAACAACTTACGCTCCTTACTTATATACCTTACCCTTGGGATATATTCTATACCGACACACACACCGACTAAACGACCCGCAATGCGGCTACAACTATCGACGACGACAACTCTTGCAGTTCTTCTTTCGACGTTCTCCACACTCAGTTCGGCGTATACATGGCCTTCACCGCAATACGATGCTCTTGAGGCTCTCATCTACGAGGGCAGGACGACTGCCGGTTCCAGCTTGACTGCACTCGTTCACCCTTGCAAGAAACGAGTTGGAACTTTGGCTTCTGTTCCTGCTGAATGGCTACGATTTGTGAGTCCCATTTTATGTATGGCGGTAGATTTTTCTCATTGCTCTCGCAGGCTTTCCATGACATGGCTACACATAATGTCGACGACGGAACGGGCGGAATGGACGGTTCCATTGTCTACGAGCTCGGGCGAGCCGAGGTGCGCACTCCCGCCGTATGTGTCTGTATGTCATGTTCATCTTGGGCCTAGAACTTTGGAAGCGGCTTCAACCAAACCCTCGGCGACTTTGAGAACTTTCCCAACAAATACCTCTCCCGTCAGTCCCTCCTTTTCACCTCCATAATCCCATCTCATCTGGGTCTTCTTCAGGCGCGGACATCATAGCAGCAGGCGCCGTCCACTCCGTCGCAACATGTGGCGGGCCCATCATCCCCTTCCGCGGCGGCCGCATCGACACCTTTGAGGCAGGCGGTTTCGGCACGCCCGAGCCCCACCACGACCTTGACACCCTCACCGAGAGCTTCCGCAGGCAAGGCTTCTCTACGCCAGAAATGATCAAGATGGTTGCGTGTGGTCATACGATGGGTGGTGTGCGGAGTGAAGAGTTCCCCCAGCTCGTACCACCTGGACCGGATCCTAGCGTCATGGTCATCCAGGATTTCGATACCACTCCGGATTTCGATAATAAAGTGTGAGTGCTAGCGCAGCTGGTCTGGGGGAGGTAGTGCTGATGACTTGATTAGTGTGACAGAGTACCTGGACGGAACCACTCCTAATGTCCTCGTCAACTCTCCCAACCGAACGCTCGTGAGCGACCTCCGCGTGTTCTCTGCGGATGGAAACAACACGATGCGCGAGATTGCCCCCGAAGACACCTTCCAATCCGAATGCCGCGACATCCTCGAACGAATGCTCAACGTCGTTCCCCGAGGTGTTACTCTCACCGAGGAGATCACCATGCTCCCAGTCAAGGTCAAAAACGCCCAACTCACTATCGAGAAGGAGCAGCTGGTGTTCAAGTCTACTTTGCGGTTGGCCCAGCCTCTGGACGAACCTGTTAGCAAGGAGCGCGTGGTTACCATGTTCTGGTGCGATCGATATGGGAACAACAAGGACTGCGAGGACAGCGCGAGGTCATCGGTCTTTGTCAAGAGGTTGACCGAGGATCCCGATATCTCTCCCGTTACCAAGAACCTCGGGTACTCGTTCTACAGCTACGACTTTGTCGTCCCCATCAACCCCGCCCAGTCCATCTCCAAATTCTGGTTCGAAGTCGACGAGAAGGACGGCAGCCGACCTACGCTCCACAACAACGAAGGCACCGACTACCCCGTCGAGCAGGACGAAATCATCTTTGTGCCGATGATGAGTTCTGTGAACGTTATCTCGAACGGGACTGATGGCAAGGTTGTCCAGAATAGGAATAATTTGACGGGAGAGTTCTTCTATAGGGAGTATAACCTCGTCGTTGGTGTTAGGGAGGATACGGAGCCTGACCGTGTCTACGTCGACGGCTTCGACTCTTCCGTCCTCGGATTCGCATACCTCGTCAACACCACCATCGATCTCACCCTCGACGATTCTCTCAAGCCTGTTGCTGGATACAAGTTCTACACCGGCCAGTTGGACGATTCCGGTTTGCAATTGTCGATTGATCTCAACTTGGACGTTGGAGGTAGGACCTACAGACAAGACTTTGTGCAGACGAATGTGTTGGATAATACCCCGTATGTTGCGCCTGGGACTGTTATGTCTGGGGATAGGCCGTCGAGTGCTTTGGCACTGAGGGATGGCTGGATCTGTTCCTTGGTTGCCCTATCTTTGTCTATGGTTGCTGTTGGGTATCTGTCGTAGTGGAGGATGTTTTGAAGAGGCGGTATATATACACAGACTTTAGCATAGCACGGACGTTTAGTACGGTATAGTGCTTTATTCACAAACAAGGACAATTTTTGGATTCAATGGTCGAATTGAAGGCAATGTCAATCATCATCGCTATCAACCGGTTCCTCCTCTTCCTCCTCCTCATAATCCGTCTCTTCTTCCTCCTCCTCTTCCTCCTCATTCTCGTCCTGCGTCATATCCGGATTCTGCGGCTGTGGTGCCTGGCCTTGCTGTTGCTGCTGCTGCCCCGAGCTCGCACCACTCGCCATCTTCCTTGCCTGTGCAGCTCTCTTTGCTTCCTCCTTCTCCTCGTCGACGGGGAGGAGTTGGTCGAGAGCCAGTTCGTTCCAGCGGAAGGCGCCGTTGACGCCGCCGCCTGCGAAGCCCATGTCTTCGAAGAGGGCGCGGGAGGTTGGGTCGAAGCCGACACGGGGTTTGTTGACGGGGTGTTTTATGCTTGTGGGGTTGCCATAGGGGTAGGACGGGTGGACTTGCGAGGGGAGGTCTGTAGGTAGGGGTATGCAGTTGGAAGGATACTTGTGGAGAAGAAGAGGGACTTTACGCACAGACTTGAGCACTATCCGAGTCGTCTGGGTTTGGAGGGATCATGTATGGTGGGATTTCCAGTTCTGAAAAGGTCGTTAGAGCTAAGAGTTCATTCGAGGGCGTTAGGGGGTGTTTTCGAACCATTATCTTCGAGTTCGCCTTTGATGTAGTCGACAGAGTCGTAGGTGTCGATTGTGAGGAGTTCGTTCCTCGTCATATGGATGTAGCAAAACGTTAGGTCCTGGACATGAGTTTGCGTTGAGAGCAGTGGTTCTGTGTTGAAGAGTATGGGAGACGTACCGTCATGGTGCTCAATATTATCTATTGGCACTTGGGCAAGAATTCCAGCTTGATTCGCAGCTAAGCGTTAAAAGGGGACGTTGTACACTTCAACTCAATATATCCCTATTGCACATCGCCGTCTCAGCAAGACGGTCTTGACGAACCGCCCAAGGCACGACGACGATGCCCAACCCTGCCGAGTCGATGGAGCGCGTTCTTTGCCAACACCTTTCAGGACAAACACCGGAATCTGCCGTAATGGTTCATCTTGGCCGCGTGACCAGAAACGCGACGTCCCGATCAGGAAGGCGTTCCGGCACAGTGGGCTGGGCATCTTCGACGACTCGGAGTCTTCACTTGTTCACATACCCACCCATCCTTTTTCTTTTCTCTTCCACGGTCCCTTTCACTTTTACGACCCACATATCAAGAAGAATGGAAGAAGACGCGACTCTCGATGGACAAGTCCTGCCCAAACGCAGGGCAGCGAGGGAGGCAGGCGAGGCGGTTAGGAAAGCCGCCATGGACACTTCGTCGAGTGAGTCTGAAGGGGATTCTGATGCTGGCGGTAGTGGTGGACGTGGAAGGAAACGCGGTCAGGGTCGACCGAAAGGCAGGGCTTCTGCGACTTCGAGAACGGGCAAGGTGGGACGTCCGCCAACGAGTACAGCAGCTACAAGCTCAAAGACACCACCGGCTACGACGGAATCGAGTGTAGCTGTGCATGTGCCGACGACGCCTGGGTCTGGGAGGCCGAGGAAGAAACGGGCAATTGAAGTGTCGACGACGATGGCGCCAGTCAACCCCCTGGATGGAGAAGAGTCGGATTTAACGCCCTTGTCTTCGCCTGTCGACGCTTCCCCTCCCAAACCAAAGCCAGTGGTCATTCGGGCTCACCCAATGTTCGCTACAACTGCTAATGGCTCTGGACTGCTCTCCGATGGAGAAGGACAGTCATCTGTGTCTAAACGGATTGCAGCTGTTGCTGCATCTATGTCCTCGACCACAACCGCGCCCCCTGCTTCGACTTCGAATGCTTCTGCTTCTGCTGCGCGTCGCAAACGCAGCGCTACGACGGGGTCAAAAGGCAAGCAGAAGAGATCCGATTCCGCGTGGAGTTTGGAATCCCTTGGGAAGCATGTGTGGGTTCTCCTAAACGGGAAGAATGCCTTCAGGGATGGCGTTTTCGATCCATCATCACCCGATGATACGGACTCGAGTACGGAGAGGTTGTGGTGGCCTGCTACTGTGCGTTGTATTTGCCTTTCTCTCGATCCACAGTTGTTGATTTCAAAGTCGTGACTGTGGCTACTTAGGTCCTCAATGACGATCCTACCTCCCTTCCCCTGCGGATCGAACTCTTCCTATGGAAGAAGACTCCAGTCGAAATCCAACACCCCTCCGCTGAGAACATTTTGCCATGCTTCGTCTCCCGCTCTAAACTTCGCTTCGAACGTTACACCGACGCACTCCAACAAGCCTCGTCATCCGCAGGACCAAGTTCACAGTCACCCTCACCCAGCAAGAAACCAAAGAGTTCAGGGTCGATGAAAGTGGACGATTCACCGGGCCTTTGGGAGACAGCTGTGGACGATTTGAAGGAGGCTTTGGAGAAACAGGGTGCTGTTGGGACGAAACCAAAAAGTGGGGTGAAGAAGGGGAAGCATAATGCAGTGGTTGGTGAGGTTGATCTAGCGGACACGGATGAGGATCTGCCGTCCCTCGACACGATATTGTCGCAGCCGACTCTTAGTGCACCAAGCACGACAGTGTTGGGCCGGTCAAGGAGTATGTCGAACCTCAAAGGGAAGGGGAAAGAGAAGGAGATTGGGAAGGCGAAAAGTAAACCAGGTCGGAAGAGGAAATATCAATCCGAGAACGAGGAAGAGGCGGAGGATGATGGCAAAGACCAGTGGTATAGCGTCAAAGATATGTTGGACGACTTGGTTACACCCCCTATGAACGACGGCAATATTAAGATCCCAGGAGAATTGGTGTTGGCGCGGACGAACCAGGTGTCGTTGAAGGAGTACTGGCCTGCCCAGGTACTGGCGTATATCCCGCCCAAGGTTCGGGGCAACGTGAAGGAGGAACGGAGGTATAAAGTCAAATTTCTGGATAATATCCAGATGGACATTCCGAGATCATATTTCTTTACGGAGGAGGAGGATGGGTTTGGGCTTTGTAAAGTGAGTTTTAACATACTGCATCATGTGGATTCTGACGCATGTTGTGTCTAGATGGGCAAAGTGGAGAGTACCACAAAAGACACCTACGATGACGATGAGAATGAGGATCACCTGAAAGAAGTCCTTGAATCAGCCCGTCGAAGTCAATCGCCCTCGCCCGCCTCCAAGCTTCCGAACCCGGAAAGATTCATGCGCCTCCCCATCCGACATCAATTCGCATATACCAAACCTGTCCTCCAGGCGATCCTAAACGACGAGTACGAGCCGGTTAGAAGTAAGAGAGAGATGTTTATGAAGGGCGGGAGTGGGAGGATGAATGTGACGAAGGGGTCCACGGCAAGGGGGATGATGGATCCGATGGTTGTGGAAGAGTTGAATGTGTATGTGACATATTGGTGTTTGAGGGAGGAGATGGTTATGAGAGATAGAGGTGTTGTGGGCAGGGAGGAGGTTGAAAAGGCGGACATGGAGGTGGAGGAGGCGAAAGCAGAGGCAGAGGCGGAAACGGAAGCGACGGAGAGGGCAAAAGAGGAGGGTGGGGAGAAGGAGAGCACGGCTATGGAGGTGGAGGCTACGGAGAAGGAAAGCAAGGTGGAGGAGAATGGGACACAAGGCGTAGATGTGCCCATGGAAGTGGAAGTAGAGAAAGAGGCGCCTAGAGGTGGAATTGCACAGAGTGACGCCGGTGGCTCTCCCGTTCCTTCCATTCGGGTTTCACCTGTCCCGACTGAACTCGTGTCTTCGCCTCCAATGGAACCGCCTAGTTCGTCGTTCAGCCTCTTGAGCCAGCCATCTTCTGCCTCTTTGGAAGAGAACGAAGGAGGAGACGCTATGACCACTGATACCACGGTCCCTCCGGCTTCAACCGCTCCTCCGACTGAAGTAACGGGACCGAGTCAAGACTCTACCCCCACACCCACTTCTGCTCCCCGCCAAACCGGCAGCCCAGACTATGAAGCGCTCTCGACCGATGATAAGCTCTCCTTCTGCATCGACATACTCCTCCCTGAAGCCATCCGCCAAATCCTCCTTTACTGGGAAGGCTTCCGCACCACACCCCAGCTTCTCTCCCCGCAGGAAGAACAGGATCTCTATGAAAAGGGTGCGGAGTTGCTCGAGAAGACGGATTGGGTGCTGGCTGTGTTGAATAAGAGGAAGAGAAAGGAACAGAGCTTGCAGAAGAAGATGACCAAGGGGTTGACGGATGATCTGGAGGTTAGCAAGAGTCGAAGTGGGAGGGTTGTTCGCAAGGTTACTTATAGAGAGGATGATGATTAATTTGTCGGTGCTTGAGATTTCGTGAAAGAGTGGATGGATTCAAGGACACATCTTTTAGACTAGACTGTGTAAAGTACTGACATCCTGTATACCAGACTGTAGGTAGATGGCCAATTCCACGGCTCGCGATTGGCTCGAGACTCTAAATCCGACCGGATATCGACAGCATCTCCACGTGTCTCGGAGGGTCTTTACTTGCCATTTTGGTCGACGCCGTATTTGCCTCTCAACCACCACCTTTCAAGCCGCCATTCACGGCCTCAAGTCGCCTTGGTCGCTATCTCGATAGCATTACCCGACGCTCACTGCACTCTCGAGCGTTGCTGCACTGAAGACTAACAAGAAGTACTCAGCAGTAGCAGGGGAATCATCAACATGCCACCACCGACGGCGAACGATCCATGGCTCAGCGGAAGGCACTTCGGAATCGTCATAGACGCTGGTTCGTCTGGGTCAAGACTGCAGATCTACAGCTGGAAAGACCCGCGGACGATTCATGTACCCAAAGGCAGTGAATTGGCGCGTTCGCTGCCTAAAGTCGAGAAAGGTACAAAGGGAGAAGAGGATTGGGTTAAGAAGGTTGAACCTGGTGCGCTCGGCTTGTATTTCCATTCTTTGTAAAGACTGATTGTCTATTCTTTATACTTTGGATATGTTCAGGCCTTTCGTCCCTAGCCGACTCCCCGCAGGATGTAGGGGCGTACCTCCAACCCCTCCTGCACCACGCTCTCGACCAAATCCCTCCCTCGTTGCACGCTCAAACGCCCATCTTCCTCCTTGCCACGGCAGGCATGCGTCTCCTCCCACCTAAAAAGCAGGCTCAGATCCTCCAAGAGACGTGTCGCTTCTTTCTGCAAAACTCGAATTTCAAGGTTGGCTCGCCTAATGCGGTTGGACCATGTGGGTCGAGTGTGAGGATAATTACAGGGGAGGAGGAAGGATTGTTTGGGTGGATTGCGATTAATTACTTGATGGACGGTTTCAAGGTCGCGGATAACAAAGGTATTGGGAGGGTGGAGGGAGAGAGGACGACGTATGGCTTCCTGGACATGGGAGGCGCGTCGACGCAGATCGCGTTCGAGCCTGCCGCCGAACACAGGAACGGGGGGAACCACCTCATCGATGTCCGCCTGCGCTTAATGGGAGGCGAAGAAATCCACCACAAGGTCTTCGTCACGACTTGGCTGGGCTACGGCACGAACCAGGCCCGCGAACGGTACGTCGGGAAGGCGATCACCGACTACGAGGCTGGGCGGATGGCCGACGACGAGGATGTGCTTCAGTTTGAAGAGGCGAATGAGGATGGGGAGGATGATGATGTCGTGCCGGACCCGTGTTTACCCAAGAATCTGGAACTCGTCGAGTCGCCTGTGCACACTAAACCGGTCTCGCCGCATTCGAGGGTGTCCCATAAACTACGGGGGACGGGGTCTTTTGAAAAATGTCTACGCGCGACTGCTCCGTTGTTAAACAAGCAGAAGCCGTGTCACCATCAGCATTGTCTCATGAACGGCGTCTCGGTCCCACCTATCGACTTTTCGGTATCCAGGTTTATTGGGGTATCGGAGTATTGGTATTCTTCTGAACATATTTTTGGACTTGGGGGAGCCTACAACTTTGTGCAGTATGAACGTGCGGCGTCAGAGTTTTGCTCGAAGGATTGGAAGGAGTTGGTTAGGATGCATGAGGAGAGTCGGAGGAAGCAGAGGTTGGGAGGGGATGGGGAAGTGGTGGGGGAGGGTGGCGAAGTGGTGGGCATTGGCAAGTGGGGTCCGCAAGTGGAGATTCCGAGGTTGCAGATGCAGTGCTTCAAGGCTGCGTGGATAACGAATGTCCTCCATGAGGGACTGGGTTTGCCAAGGATAGTGGACCCAGGGGGAAACAAGACGACGGGAGGGAAGGAAGTGGAAGAGGAGGCGGCGAAGAAGGGTCTTGGGAGGCCGGCGTTTCAGTCCATGGATACCGTCGGGGATTTGGCAATTTCCTGGACGCTTGGGAAGATGGTGTTGGAAGCTAGCAAGGAGGTTCCGCCGCTGAACAAGATGGCAAGGCCGTTGGTGGACCCAATCGATGACATCGAGGATTTGGCCAATTCGCCTATTCAGCCTATTCGACCACCTTTTTTGTCCATTGCTGGACTCGAAGATCGGATAAATCCTCACCTGCCCGCTTCGCTCACGAAAGAGAACCTTGGGTTCTCACCTGTCCTCGTATTCGTCTACCTTCTCATGCTCTTTGCCCTCTTCATCATCTGCTTCCCCCTACGGCGACAACTCCGATCGTTCTTCCTTCGCTCCATGCACAATGTTGCCAAACGGGATGCCTATGCAGATCTCATGGAGGAAGGTCGGGTGAATGGTTCACGACCCTCGTCACCAACGCCTTGGACTAACAAGTTACCCACACCCATCCGCCGCTACTTCCCTTCAAACCGATCTCCCTACCGACCTCTTACACTCAAGCCCGTGACTACTGGTCAAAACAGACCCCTCCGAATCCCCTCTGGACCCTCCTCGTCCGGCTCCTCACGGCCACGACCACCCATAACACCTACCCGGTCCTTCTCGACGCCACCACAATACCTCCCACCATCCATCTCAGTGTCAGCTAGTACGGCGACGCAGTTCGCGCATTCCCGCTCACCTTCACCTGCACCGAGTACGTTCATGTTGGACGACGAGGCTGCAGCCTCCTTGGTATCGTCTCGGTCGAGGAACGCGTCTACGATGAGTCTGACCAGTTTGGCGCCGAGACCTGCGGCGATGTCCAGGATGAACAGTTCGCATTCGGTGCACAAGTATCACGAAGGATGAGGTCTAGAGTCCTTTTTTTCATACTGACTCCATAAACATCCGCGTTAGGTACCTCTATCTATGCGCGACGAGGATGCCCAGATCCTGTCATTATCTGGAGGGCTTCCGGCCCTCGAACACGATCCACGATTGCGAGATGTCTATTTTTATTATCTACGACGAAGTCTGCTAGGAGTACATTGCGGGACGTTGCATTTTACGACTACATAGACGCATCCACATCTGCATAGGAATAATGAAATCTGCATTGCATTGGGCTGTGTCCCTTTTCCAACCCTCTTAAACTGACTGTTTTAAGACTATTTCATGACTTTCCTTCGCCGGCGTTTGAGCAACCTGCGGGATCCGCAGAAGTTAATGGGTACAAATGTTCCCGAGTCCATTGGTAGTCCTTAATAATCCGTTGCGTGGCACTGGGCCTTGTGCGGATTCGATGGTTGGGACCAGTGTTCTTTCTGGTGCTTCGGCGAACACTGGAGCAGCTGGTGAGCCCTAAGTCTCGTAATTCTAAGAAACGGACACTCACGTATACAGTCGTTTGACATCTGTGAGGGAAAAAAGCATAATGTCCGTCAGAAGAATGCAACCACTAGGAAATTGGTCTACGAACTTTCCGCATGCCCTCAGCCCGGATGTCTTGTCGCAGGAAGGAAGGGCACAGACATCCCATCGTTTGTATCCCTTCCTGACGCGTTGAGCTACCTCCAAAAATCCCTCCTTCTCCTCCAAGAAGGACCGAACACGTGAAGCATACTCTGCAAATTCAGGATTGGCCTTGGAAACATGGTGTGACCAGGGACGAAGCAACTGTAGGAAGCGGGTTTTGGTGCTTTCGTATAGGAGCCCTGTCCGATCCTTGTCCTTCGAGTAGACCATGAGAAGGGTCGAGAAGAACTGGAGACTTTCCATGATGAGGTCTTCTACGCACGAACAGGGCGTCGTCGGGTCGTCCTCATAATGGATCAGTTTCCAGTTCCACCGAATCGCGAACCGCAGGAATCGATCTGCGACAGTCTGGACGAAACGGCGATTGTTCTTCCCGGCCTCTTTTTGTGACCGGAAGTACTTTACAAAGTAGGGGTTACTCTGGCAGAAAACGAGCTGCTTGAAAAATGTGTTTTGAAGTTCGAAATCTTGGCGGTGTTTGTCTTCTTCAGTAGGATTGTCGTTGGGTTTGGGTGGAAGTAGCTTGAGAAAGCCATCAATAATCACGGGGAGATATTTTGCGCAGAACTCAGACACGATTTGGTCCCGCTTCACTGCGCCCTGACTCTCGAGGCGACTGAACTAGATGCGGGCCCATGTTACTAATGAGGGGTTCTAGCACCAAAGTGGACAAGCCTACCATCCTCCCTTGGGCCTTCACGAGAGTCTGCTCAAGAAGAATCGACTCGCGATCTTCCCATTCGATCTTTGCCCTTTTCTTCACCTCATCCGTGTCTGTGCAGATCCAATCCTTTGAATGGCTGAAGCAGGCTATGTCGAGAATGACCACATACTGAAAACGAGAGCGAAATCGCTCGGTGTTGGGTGCTGGATTGAGTCGAAGTGGCTCTCGACCATCAAAAGGGTTTCGAAGAAAGACATCCTCGTTCCAGTGGATTTTAGGGGGTGTACACCGAGGTTCGAAGCTCAGCGTGTCGCCGCGATGAGTACAGATGAAAATCGTGTCGCGCGCATTCAATGTCATCGCCTCAGACTCGTGGGAATTCTGACGTGACGGCTACACAATGGTTTACTGAGTCCTGTCATTCCACTGGTTGCCTTAAGGTTACTTCCTGCAACGTCATTTCAGGTCGTGTGCAAAGCTAAGGAATTAACTAGCACCTTTGCGTACTACTGAATCCGTTGGTCGTCGGGGACCGAGTCAGTAGCACGCCCGCCATTACCATACTGAGTAAGTCCGAGTCGGCGGCCCCGCTGCACGCGTCCACTGAGCGCTGCTGCTGATAGCATCAATTCTCATGGTTGAATTTGAACAAGTTCCAACCAAGTTTCGAGATCAACAGCTTTTGAGAAACGGCTTCTGGCAACAGTCATCCAGCATGAACACATCGTCCACTGGGCCACGTCGCTCGACGCGAATTCGAAACAAGAAGGACGACAAGCCACAGATGGATCCGACCACTGTTTCACCAATCCAGCTAGCGTCCACGTCAAGGTCCAAACCAGCCCGCAAGAGACAGAAAATCAGCCAGCAACAGTCTAAAGCTGAGCCTACACAGAAGAAGGCTAGAAGAAGGCGTTTGACAGGAAATGGGCCCATTGAAGAGCTTCCGCTCGAGGTATTGCTAGAGATACTTAGGTATCTCAACTTCGAGGCCCTTCTCGACCTGTCGCGTACGACAAAATACCTTCGCTCTATTGTCTTGGACCAAAAACTCTGTGAAACTATATGGAAGGAGGTGTGTTCCTCTGTTGGTATGGCGGAAGAGAATAGACTTAACAGGAGCGTTTTGTATTCAAGGGATTTGAAAGCGTACAATTCCCCTTGGAGCACGTTCCGAAGGACTCTGATTGGAGCCTGCCCAGGCTTGCTGCCTTAACCCTTGACAATACTTGCGATGTATACGGTCTTCTCTCTTGTTCCAGTTTCCCAACTGACGCCTCTTCTTCCAGGACTGCGGCGTCGTCTCGAAATATGTCACCACATACTGGATAGAGAATATCCGCCTGTGCAACCGATGCTATTCTAACCAGTATGTTTTCTTTCATGGACGGAAGGAAGCCGTTACTGAACTCGAACTATGATTAGCTTTGTGAGCCCCAATTACGAGGACGAGGTAGAAGCAAAAATCACGCACGTCACAGAAATCAGGTATTATCCTCCTAGTGGTCGTGAGTATTCCAAAGTGTGAAAGATCCAGCTCCCAGATTGATCTTTCTTCACTGTATAGGCGCAAGGGACATGGGATGTCTGAGGAGCATGTATGAGAAGCATAAGGCCGCCATGCTCCCCCTTAGAGACAACGAGAAAGGGCTCAAGAAGTATATCGAGGAACAACGGGAGATCCTTAGCGGCTATCGAAGGGTGCGACGTAACGCTATCCTCGAAGCGCTATTGTCTCTCTGACCCTTCTATTGGCAGTTCATTTCTGCATTGCGGCGATGGGAAGACAACTACCCTGGAGACAAGGTCGCATACGCGGACCAAAAACGAAGAGATCAAGAGTTAATGTGAGCATTACTGTTGGAAGAATGCCGTTGTGCCATCCTGACTGTTTACTAGATACATGTCATATCTGGAGAAACTTGGTAAGGGCAACACTCTACAGGCACTTGCTAATGTCTTATTGGCTCCACGTTGGTAGGCTTCAAGGACGAGGCGGAAATGATGGGACTCAGTGCCCTCCAGACTCTTCCACGATTCAGGAGTAAGAACGCCCTCACAGAGAAAGGTAACGTACTGGCTCTTCATGATATCCGTTCGATTGGGTTATTTATCTCCTCGTAGATTGGGAAAAAATCACACCCCAAGTAATCGAGATTATGACCGAAGTCCGCGAGACCCTAGCCAAGAAGAGCAGGGACGAAGCAATGGCGCTTGCGAAACGAAAGAAGGAAGAGTCGATACAGATGCGTCTCGCCCATTTAAACGCTGTCCGCGAGTATTATGTGCTGCGCCATCGACATGAAATTGTCCCGAATGTAGTGGACCTCGCCATCGCCGAACCGTTCTTCTCCCTCATCACTGGCACTCCATATGACGAGCCGGTTACCTCGAAGGAATTCATTCCTCTGCTGGATCATATTCCCAGGATCTCGCAGGAATGGCGCGAAGCTGCCATGGACCTGCTATTGGGATTGATGGCTCAGCCCTCCGGCTCTGGCGGTACCCTGAACAAGGGAAAAGAGAAGGACAAGCGATTTTCTCCTGACCGCTCTGTTCTGGACAGGGCAACAACCTTCTTCAGCTGCATCTGGTGCACGGAGATTCTTGCCTACCCTACAGTTCTTACCCATCCCTGCGTATCTCAAAAACGTAGGAGCACGGCAAAATCCGACGACAGGGGCGCTCCTTCTGATTCGGGGGATTTCTTTCTAAACTACTGGGATGTGACCATCTGGAACAGAAGTCACGACCAACTCGAGTACGATCACGAAACGTCAGAATGCGCAAAGCACCTGGTCACACTGTGCGGAAAGGACCCGGCCTCACTCACACTCGAGGCGATGGACCAACTCGACGTCAGGTTCGAGTGTTTGCGCTGTCATAAACCCAACTTCAAGGAAGGGCGTCTGGTAATGAATTGGAGAAACGCAGTTCGTGGATTCTCTTGAATTAATCCATCGCTTCCTGGCTAACCATGCTGCCTCCATAGCTCATGCACGAGTTCAAAAAACATTCCGAGCAGGATACATTCAAGACCGGATGGCTGCTTCTCTCCGACGAGGACACCGTCACTGCCAAGGCCAAGGAAGTCATAGCAGCACAAAAAAACGGATTAAACGTCCCACCTCAATACTACTGCGTCGAATGTAGCTTCAGCCACATTGAAGATGGCCAAATATTCTATCCTCCTGGGCGATATCCTCCGCCCCTGAAAGGACCGGATAGTAAGTGTAGCAGAAACCACGACATGTCCCATGGGGTCTTTGAACAGCATCGATATCCTAGGAATGTTAAGGTTGCTGGTTTCGTAGGCGATACCCTCCCTGTTAAGATTTAGAATTCTTTTACAATTAGGGAGCATGTACCTCTATAGTTCACTAAATTCGAGCAGTCGCGAGGCTAAAATAGGGGCGCATTTCCATTAGGAACAGTGATCGATGCCAAACAAAAGCGAGTTGATGATCGCATTACGCGCGACGCGTCAGCTTATAACGTCTACCACTTCCCCTTCACCGCCATGCACAACTTTGCCCAACGATTCTCGAGTACAGGGCCTATCGCTCAGCTAGCCAAGGCAAGACAGCAGGTCGTTGAGGAGGACGACGACTTCGGCGACGCCGCTTGGGGATCTGTGGCTGGCTTTGGCAATGTCGCCAAAGGCGTTCCTACATTCACCGTACCTGCACTTCCAGACGTACGTCTCTACCTCATGTAGTGATTCTGAGTGAAAAAATAAAAGTCTGACAATGGAATGGAATTACAATTAGCCTACTGCTTTCTTGAGACTCCATACAGACGATCACGCCGACCCTAGTTGCAGGATCAAGATTCAGCATGGAACGACGACGCTCGCATTCAGGTTCCAAGGAGGTGTTATCGTAGCTGTCGATTCGCGAGCAACAGCGGGGAGCTATATCGGTGCGTCAATAGCAGAGCTTACAGCCCTCAAATTCCTAACCATGGAGTCTAGCTTCCGGCACTGTGAAGAAGGTTATTGAAATCAACCCTTATCTACTCGGAACCATGGCTGGTGGTGCAGGTGTGGATCGTCACCGACGAGAGTGCGAATCGAGTACTGATTCCCCCCGTAGCCGATTGTCAATACTGGGAAACTTACCTCGGAATGCACTGCCGCTTACACGAACTTAGAAACAAGGAACGAATCTCCGTCTCAGCAGCGAGCAAGTTCCTGAGTAATCTGGTGTACTCGTACAAGGGCATGGGTCTGAGCATGGTACGTTAAACGGTGCCTTCCTCGAGACGATATTCTCACTGCGCGCTTAGGGTACCATGATTTGCGGCTGGGACAAGACTGGACCTGCCATCTTCTATGTCGACTCAGATGGTACCCGCCTCAAGGGTGATCTGTTCTCAGTAGGATCCGGTAGCACGTTTGCATACGGTGTCCTGGACCAAGGCTACCGATGGGATTTGACCGATGCCGAGGCTCAAGAACTTGGAAGGAGGAGCATCTACGCTGCTGGTCATCGTGACGCGTTCTCTGGTAACTCAGTCAACCTGTACCATGTGAAGGAGCACGGTTGGGAATTCATTGGTACGTCTGGTACCTTTATCTCCCGCTTTGCATCGCCCTCATGTTTTCTTTTCAGGCAATTACGACGTCAACAAACTTCACTACGACGGCCCTGGAGACGTTGCTGGCTCCCCAGGTCACGGCTACGGCTACGACGTCCGGACTGAGGGTCTCAGCTCCAAGAATCCGCCTGCCGCTACATCATAAACAATCGCTATCTCTACGTCGTTCAACATTCATTGTAATTGTACACGCTTATTTGCACTGTTTATTGGCTGATTCTTAATTCGCTAAGGGTTTCATAAAGGATTCTGGGAGATGTACTGCTCGTATTTATCGACTTGCTCTCGGTCGTGACGGAAGAATGTGACTTTACTCAGATCGACCCACTGCAAGGAGGGTTTAGTGGGTACGAGGATGGCTTGGAGAAGCATGGACTCACTTGACTGCGGTGCCGGAGTTTCCAGTACAAGAAAAGGAGGGGACAGACCACGATCATGGTATACGAGAAGAAGAACGAAGGCGTGTCCCACCATCCGGGGAGAAAGACGGTGTACCCACCCACAAAGGCCATGGTGAATGTCCCGATCAGTGCGTACCACCTGAAATGGCGGTAGGGTGTGAGCGAAGGCATGTCAGTGAGGTCGTCTGCCACATACGCGGAGAAGGGCTGCCACCAGCTCTTGTGGGGCAGAGTACTTCGGTTTATGCCCTGGATTTGCAATGCCTGCGAGGTGGTTTGAATTAGTAAGTTGGTGACACGGACATTAGTTATTGTACCTTGTAAAATCGCAGGTAGGTGAAGGCAATGATGGCATAATTCAGGAGCTGGGACGCCGTCACCAAGTTCACAAACCTGAGCGGACAAAGGCGCGATCAACCCCAGTTTCGCATAATGGCGATGAGACTTACCATTGTAGAACGACAGCAGAGTTGTTCGAGACCTGGAGGAATGCTGGGGCAAGTGTCCTCAGTAAGACGTATTGCATGGCCGCCAAGGTCACTCACCAAGCAAGGAAATCGACATTGCGGCCCCAACGCAGTAGATCGGGATACCCGCAGGAGTGCAGTACAGCAAAAACCTGGGCATCTTCCCTTCCAGCGCCAGCCCAAATAGCGTCCGACTAGCACAAAATACATAACCGTTGCCGGCTGAGAACACCGCCGTCAGCAACACCGCGTTGACGATGTGTGGTAGAACTGGGATCTTGAGGCGTTGCATAGCAATAACATACGGCGAGGCACCTGCACCTGGGCGGGCGTCGGAAAGGGCCGTAAGGAGGTCCGCGTCATTGTAGGGCACGACTATCCCGATACAGAGGGAGCCAAGGACGAAGAAGGTGGTGAGTCGGTAGAGGACGCCCTTGAACGCCTTGGGGAGAATGCTGCGTGGCTTTTCAGCTTCGCCTGCTGTGACGGCAACGTAGTCGGGACCTGGAGGTATGGGTCGACATTGCGTTTAAGAGGCGCTAAGAAAACTGGATATTGCTCACCTGCAATCGTGAAGGACGCCTGAATGAGACATGCCAGGAATCCAAGGAAACGTCCAAGGTTGCCCTCCTTAATATATTCAGCAAACGGAGCACCTTCGACATTTGAAGCTGAAAAAGGTGAGTAGCTTTCGTCAGGTGTGCATACAGATAACTTACGTTTCCAAAATCGAAATCCATACGCGTCTCGTAGAGGGTTACCCCCGACCATTGTGACAAAGGTGAAAATGATCAGGCCTGTAGCCAATACAGCTTTTCCAAGCGCCAACCAAAATTCGGATTCTAGGAGGCGTCAGAACGAAAGATTGGATAAGAATGATTCAGAGATTGACAGACCTCCGTAATACCGAACAGTGAAAACATTCAACAATCTAGCCAATCACTGTGAGTGAATGGTCAGGAGGGCGGAAGACACGGCTCTTACATATACGATACGATCATAAAGACAATGACTGCCGGTAAGGGTATCTTGTCCGTCCAAAAGTGAAGGATGATGTTGAAGGCCACGATTTCAAACGGGATTAGGATGGCTTGGAAGACGAAGAAGTTGATACCGGCGCAAAAACCCAAGGCGGGATCGACAAAATGATCTGCGAAGCGAACCTGAGGTCGGGGGTGAGCGTGAGCGAGTGATATAACTTCCAGTATTGCATAGGCACATACAAAGGGGGCTGATATCGGCATCCAGGTGACCATTTCGGCTGAGGGAAGCAAAAGTCGGATATGAAGCAGGTTGAGATAAAGGGCATGACGGACATAGGCAGTTGTTGATCGCCACAATGAAGGTACACCAAAACGTGAAAGCCAGGAACAAGCTCGCTATGAAAGAGCTTCAGGGGTATGGTTGACTGGGATTCATTGACGAGAAACTCACCAGGACCGCCTTTGGTCAATCCCGAGCCTATCTGGACGAATAGTGCCGTTCCGATTGTTCCTGGCAGAGTACATGGTCATCGAGGGTTCGTATCCGCGAACCCGCTGTGTCTACCTCCGATTCCAATGAGCTGGATGTGGCGGTTCTGATATCAAAAGAGTGTCAGTAAATTGCAAGGCCTAGATAGATTCTGCTTCACCTTCAATTTGCGATGTGTCTGGTCATGCGGTTGGGAAGACCTGGATGCGGAATCGTCTGTGACATCTTCCTCAGAGATCTTGAACAGATGTTTCTCGCCAACAACGTCGTCCTTGACCACTTCTACAGACATCTTCGTGGGCGAGTTGACTGGAGAACGCAAAGAAGACTGCGGCAACCGCTCAAGCGAAGTGGGGGAAGGCCGAGGTATAAGTACTGGGCGGGTCTGTCGGACCTATATGGTTCGGAACCCTCAAACACCTTGGCCTACGTAGCTACCGCATGAAAATAAGATGTGCCGGCTTGAAATTCAAATACCCGGATGCTGATTCGCAGACGACCAAGGCCTACCAAGGCCTCCAAAGCGATCCACACGTCGTTCCATCTTTCGAGCCACATACTTTGACGGCAAACGACTTCATTGACGCATAGCTTACTTATAAAGAGGTCTAAGGGGGAAAAGGTATATGATTAGCATGGTCAGATTGAAATCTAGACGCAAACTAAATGACTAGGTCGAAGAAGGGATATGGGGGAGATTTGACACTTATTTCACCACTGAACAGGGCGGATAAGCTCTAAGTCGCCTCCAGGTTTCCTCTACGCTGAGCCAGAATCACCTTACCCGCAGTGAAAAAAGAGTCTGTGGGCTGGTACTGTCTAAGAGGCTGCGATGAAGAAACAAGAAAAGAAAATTGTCGAGCGTTTAATGCAACATCTGTATTTGGCTGTGATTGGCAAAGTCCTCCGGGAAGCCCGGATGTGGGCTTGGCAATGATCTCAGGCTCCCCGAGGCTCGACGGCATGGAAGCCTAAGTTGAAGGGCTCCAGTGCTGTATCTATGCATTGCGGAACATTCGAAAGGAACCATCCAAGCGAATATATACTTCGAAACCAACCTTGATCTCCCGTGAACTCCTTCGCTCACCCAAGGCCCCCAAGTCCAAGTCCCAATTGCAACTAAGATGGGTCGAAGAAAAAAGTGGAACCCCATTGTGAATATCAGGAAGAACAGCCAATTGTCCTCTCAGAGTAGTAAAACGGTACGTACACTCAAAGCTTATATATTTGTCCTGATGTATGAGTTCTGGTAGAACCGCGCACTTGTATCTACTCCACAGCCCAGTGCCTCCTCTAAACCATACACGAAGCAAGCCCATTATCCTTCATTTGAGATACCCCACTGAAGACGTCTCCAGGTCCAACAAGCGCTCGGGAAAATCCAAGGACCAGAGAACGACAAGCAAATTCCACAATCCAGCCCCTCCGAACAGGACACTTCGCAGTCATACCAAACGCAATCCAGGTGCTGAAGTGCTAGGAAGTTCGCAGACAACGGAGAAGCCTGAGGGTCAGGATACAGACGACACGACAGGCATAATGCATGTCCCGAGCACCCTCTCAATTCGTAAATGGAGACTCCAAGATGGTATCCCTGTCTATGACATAGTCTAAGTACACTACGGCGCATTATTAGCCGAGTCTGCAGGTATGAATGACCTAAAATACTTCTCAAAGTAGCTCTCCGGAACGCCATGCTTGATTCCATCCTCTATCCCCCTATTGATTCGATGAATATACTCATGCTTTGGCTTGTTCTCTGTCACCCGTATGTGGTCGATATATATCAGCACCTCCTCCAAAGCAGAGCTCGACTTCGTATCCAAAGGACCAAATTCCACCGCCTTGTACTCCTTCTCATACGCGATCGGCACATTCTCGTATACGTCAAGCGTATCTTCGTCTGACTTGCTCAGGTCAAAAACCAGGCCATAAACTAGATCGCCGGGCGATGGGACGATGTTGGCATATCCTCGATCTGTGATTATCCATTTCCTAGGAGCATTTGGTGAGAAAATGTTTTGTTGATGAAATCCCAATTCACATAACTTACCAGTCACGCAAAATACCAACGCCGCGTAAAACACTGTCAGGACAACGTCGGCGCATCTGGTCGAGCCAAAGGTTGCTTCCATAGGCAAAGTACATCGGACGGGAGCGTTCGACGCTGGAAGACTCCATTGCGGGTCAGTGTGATGCCTTTCTTCCAAACGGAAGCAGAGTCTCAAAAGCGATTGAGAGGATGGGTGCTCGATCGACAGTGATAGAGCTGAACAAAGCCGAAAATGCGCGCCTATAGGCTCGAGCTAATGAGATAGGGGCGTGAGAAATAGGTTTCAATTTCCGCTCCCGAGCGCTAAAACAAGAAGACGACAGAGGACGACGGGGTTCCAGAGGTAGATAGGGTGGATGAAGGGAGAGCGTCCTACTTCCCAATACAAAAGTCGCGGAACACTGCATCGAGCACGTCCTCCACGCCAATAGCACCAGTTACCTTTCCGATAGCATTGGCAGCGTATCGGAGTTCTTCCGCAGCGAAGACGATGTCATCGGGCCCTAATGTCCAAGTTCAGTCTTTAAATTCTGCGGAAGTGAGCAAGGGAGACAGACCATAGGCTAGCGCACTCTCCAAGAATCGAGTCGCGTTTTCTAAATTTTCTCGATGTCGCTGCCGAGTAATGATGGGGCTTTGTGTCGCCTCCGTCAAGTCATCGGACATCCCAAATCTAAAGGAAGGGTCAGAATAGTGATCATCAAGGATGAGACTTAATAAAGACGCACTGCTTCTGTAAAGCGCTCGCAAAGCCGGACAAGAATACCTCAAAGCCATCTCGCTTTGCCAGACTTGAGACCCACATCCTCTCTTGCACAACTCCGAGTTCCCTCAGGACTGCAGAATCTGGTCTCCACTGTGCGGGCATCAAGTCTGCCTTGTTCAACAAGAAGTAGGTGTTGGGCGTGATGAGTTCTTTCCAGTTGTTGCCATCTTCGGTTAGATTTTGTAGGTCAGGAAGCGACAAAACACAAATCGAAACGTCGGAATTGGCGACGCTAGGAATGGGATAGCGTGAGATGCAGCTGCAGAAGAGGGTAGGGTGTGCTTACGCTTTCCTTGCTCTCTCAATCCCTATTTGTTCCACCGTGTCGTCTGTTTTCCGAAGTCCAGCTGTATCAGCGACAATGACAGGGAGACCGCCGATATCAAGTGCCAGTTCCAGGATGTCCCGTGTTGTTCCCGGGATAGGTGTTACGATGGCAGCCTCGCGTCGAGCTAACCACGTCGCGTCAGTATGGTGCGTGGTTGGACAAAGGACAGAAACTACCAAGGATGTTGAGCAGGCTACTCTTTCCTGCATTTGGTGGGCCGAATATGGCCAATCGAATTCCGCTTCGTAACAGTTCCCCTCTCCGGTGGTCATTCAAGTACCCCTTGATGATATCGACCACTTCTGTAACCTGGGACCTAGCTATTGTTTGATGTCAATCGGCGAAACGGATAATACGACAAGGAAAATCGACCACAGACCATCTTCATAGACGCCTTCCTCTATCTCTTCCCCTTCCCCGAAATCTATCAGAGCCTCCACCTTGGCAAGTGCAGAAATAATCCGTTGCCGGAGTTCATCAAACTTCTCTCTTATGGCTCCCTGTAATACAAATCCCTGAGAGGATCCCCAGAGGCGCGGGGAGAGGAATAATACACACCTCAGCAGCTCGCAGTGCAATCTTCCTCTGACTTTCCGTTCCCGCATCAATCAGGTCCTTCAGTCCTTCCACCTGTGTCAAGTCCATACGACCATTCAGAAACGCTCTTCTTGTGAACTCGCCTGGTGCTGCAGGTCTACATGTCGGAAACGTCGAGAGCGCAGCAAGGGCAGCGGCAATGACAGCAGGGCCGGAATGGAGGTGCAACTCGACGGTATCTTCGGCAGTAAATGATTTTGGGCCTGTATCAGACGTTCAGCATCACGAGCTGCTAAGAGGCAAGAAGAGACAGACCTTTGAAGAACACCGCCAGGCCGTCGTCTATAGTTTCCCCGTTCTGAGGATGAACAATTCGACATCGTTTCAATTTCCATGGCTGTGGTGTGGTCTCGTGTCCTACGGAAAAGAATCAGCATAAGCTTCTTAGCTGATACCTGAGCAACCTAACCTCACCGCCAGACCCTTTCACCATCCCCCTCCATGTCTCCAACGCATCCGGTCCCGAAACGCGCACGACTGCAACTCCGGCCTTCCCTGGAGGCGTTCCCAAAGCATAAATCGTTGACCTTTGCGCATCAGAGAGTACCAGAGAGCTTTTGTGTCGCGTCTGTAGATATCTGGATCTTGTCAAAGGTGTTAATGACCGCAGAGGTGATCTGGAGAGCATTCCTGTTTCGACGTGGAGGACGTAAACCAAAGGAGGTGCGCTGAGCCCCTAAGCGGAGGGGAAAATCACTGCTTACTAATCCTTTCAATTTCCAAATTCCAAAATCGAACAGCGACTTCAGTTTGCCTTTGCAACCTTTCCACTAACCGACCAAGGATCTTCAGTGAGGTCAACACTCCTATAGAATCTTTTTAATACACTATGTCTGCCGAACACGGAAAAGCCTGGCCTCTGTCCGACGCTAATCTGACTAACCAGGTTCGTTGTTTATCGAAACGATGTGTTTTTCTCATTTTCCTTTTTTTTGCGCTGTAGATTCTCGAGCTCGTCCAACAAGCCGGCCAATACAAGCAGCTGAAAAAGGGAGCTAACGAGGGTACGCATTTCCTTTATCACCTCTGTTTTGCTCTCAAATGACCAATTTTTTTCCTCAGCTACCAAAACCCTCAATCGAGGTATCGCCGAGTTCATCGTGTTGACCGCGGATACGGAACCTCTGGAGATTTTGCTCCATCTCCCTTTGCTGTGCGAAGAAAAGGTGCGTTTTACCTTTTTTTTCCTGCTGAATTCGGCCCAGAACTAATGTTTCTCTTCGTGTCTCTAGAACGTTCCCTACGTTTTCGTGCCCTCCAAGGCCGCCCTTGGACGTGCCTGCAACGTCTCCCGTCCTGTCATCGCCGCCAGCGTCACCACTGGCGAATCCCGCGAATTGAACAGCCAGATCACGACCGTCAAGAACGCCATTGAAAAACTCATCGTCTAATTGCGACATGTTGTATGTTACAACTCCTTGACAATGCCATTGTACATCATTTTGGGGTTCTTTGCAGCCAAGGAAACAAGATGCAATTATAGTCGGTAATGACTTCTAGTTGTACGCTTTCATGATCTCCACCAATACCCAGCAGTTGCCGACGACATAGATCAAACCTCGAATCCAGAGCTGGAAGTAAACATTCTCTCCCAGGAATTCAAGTCGATACGCTTCACTCAGCCAGAGGCCCTGTGCTGCCGCCCATACCACGATGCAACCCATGGCCTTCCAGCGTGACATGGAGAGTCGAGGAAGGAGGAGGGGCAACAAGAGGAGGTACCACAGGAAGTACTGCAATGGGGACCCAGGTCAATCATGGACTGGCGGATAGCTGGAGTGGAAACGTACCTGTGATGTGCAGACTTTGTTGAACACCACAAACGCGACGGTCTGCAAGAACCAGGCGAAGGGCAGGTCCTCTTTCGTCCTTCCGAACAGGAGGCCCAGTCCCAGGGAGAGGCCCATCTGAGGAACGAAGCTGGTCAATGGTGAGTGGAGGAGTTGGCTCAACAGAGTGACAGGCTCCTCCACGACACTGGTGTCGGATGATGGGTAAGTGAGGTACGTGAGATAGAAGTACGGGGAGAAGTTGTGTCGGTGGTCCAGCCTGCGCAGGTGGTAGATGTAAGACTCGTAGAGGAAAGGATATCCCCAACTATATTGAACGTCAGCATCTGCGGCGAGATAGAAAAGCGGGCGATGAACGTACATAGCATAGCATCCAGCGCCCAATAGCACGAACGTCACCGCGCTCAATGCAGTGAATTGGATAGTTTTCCTGGTTACGAGATTGGATACTATCGCACAAAGACCTCGGGCATGACCCGAAGATCCTGCAGCAATCGCTCCAAGCGTCCCCACCCCATATACAAGTGGGTAAATCTTCCAGTGTGTGCTCAAACCCAAAAACATGGCAGCCAAATTCCACCGGCCCTTCATGGCCGCGTACAGGGTCGCCAAAACGAATAGCGACAGAATGGACTCTGAAGAGCCCCTCGTTGAAATTGAAAAGACCAAAGGGTTCAGCAGATGGACGGCGCTGTAAATCGTCGCCAGCGATTGCCTCTTCTCCAGCACATATGGGTTGACCTTGCCCGCTTTCGTCCCCGAACTGGCATTGCTAGCTGGCTTGATGTTCGACGTCGCTTTGGGTTGTTCAACGATTTTGGGTAGGACGTATTGAAGCAATATCTTGTATATCAGCCATCCATTTAGAAGGTCGCAGGCCGCGAAGATGTATTTCCCGAATGAAGGGTGCAGCCAGCCATTAGGAGTGAGCAGCCAGGCGAGGAGGGGCGTGTATCGGTAGGTCTCTCTTGTATACGGACTGCAACGCGTTTCAGTAACGCGTTCGAGGATCTATGGAGTCCACACTTACTTCCCAAAGTCCAATTTGACGCCAAACAATTCCTTGAGAGGACCTTCAGCCCTGTTGGCTGCCCCTGGACCAGGATTGGAGAGAAACCATGCCGCGTCGGTGAAAACGCGATAATCGACGTCGGTGTACTTGACCAGGGAGCGGGCGTCATGCCATTCACTGTACAAAATGAGGGCTACCCGCAGAGCCGCAGAGAATAAGAGGACCTTCCGGAATGAAGGGAACGAGGTCGTGGAGAAAGCAGACATGGCTGAACTTTACAAGACGCCACATCACCATCCCAACAATTCACATGTAAAATGACCGTGGCCACAGACTCGTCAAACGCTTTACATACCTCAACTTTACCAAGGGCGATTTTCGACAGTTGGTTAAAGGCACGGTTCATGCACACAATCTAAGACTGAGAGTCAAGGAAATATGTGTATAGGGCGAAGGTAAACTACGGGTGAACGAAGTAATGATATCATAACGACAAAACTGGTGGCTCCAAGTCTACGGTAAAGAGACAGGTCGACGTAGCCTTGTCCGCGATGGTACGACAGCTTAAATCTGGAAGGGAACGTTAGGACGTGTTCAATTAAGACGCAACGTGGAGAACCTACATATTGTGATAGCCATCGGAAACCTACGGAGAGACGAGTAAGCACAAGGCGCGGGAGAGACTGGGGTAACGGGACGAACCTTCTGCGTAACCTTGCCTCTGGACGACGGAGCACATGAAGACCTCAATAGGGCGGATGTCGCTCAAGGGGTTCTTGCCCTACATATACGATTCAGCATTCTGAACATCTAGCCGTGAAGTAAAAGTGACCAACCTTGCCGGTGGTTTGGTAGAGACCAAGGTGGTGTCGGAGCTCATCCTCGCTCACAGCACCAGGGGCATCAATCTTGTTACCAAAGACGACGAAGGGAACCTTTGCGAGTTCCTCAATAGAAAGAAGTGCGTCGAGCTCAGCTTTTGATTCAGGGAATCGCTCAAAGTCGGCGCTGTCAACCAAGAAGACAATTCCGTCGACTTCAGGGAAGTAGTCTCTCCAGAGGCGGCGGGCTGGAAAGCTGTTAGGGCCCGGCTTTCCCATACAGAAAACGTTGGAGCCACGCACCCTGTTGATGTCCACCCAAATCATAGGTTGTGAACTTGACGTTCCCAATGGCAAGTTCTTCCGATGCTATTTGTAAGGAGAGAATTTTCAGTTCTTATTCGAAACGAGTAGTTACGTGTAAAACGCACTTGGATGAAGTGTTGGTTGGAGAGTCGCAAGTCGGTCGTTCTTCAACATGTGCAGGAGAGTCTGTATGCCACAGAGGCATTAGAGAATAGCTATTCGCATTTTTCGAGTCGCACATACCGTCTTGCCAGCATTGTCAAGACCGAGGAAGAGGATTTTGGCATTCTTCGACGCCAAACCTTGCAAACCGAATTAGCTGCCGCATTTCTGAGCATTCCAACGGGAGCGAGCTCACCCAACGAGGCCAAAATATCCCAAACCCAGCCGAACCAGTCGTCAAAGAAACCCATTGTGAAAGATGTTAGAAATTAGAGAGATAAGGAGAAAAGGTGAGCGTTGCAGACGTGGAATTGCGTGGAACAGTCGACTGACGGCAGGGGCCGAGGTCCCAGCGTCATGATCGAACCCTGTCACATCACGTGCATCCTTACCCGGAACAGGCAACCTCCGAAGCCTCCGGCCATCCGGACGCTGCCTCGAACGACGACGACAACGTTCTGGACATCGACAGTAACAGCCACGACGGGTCTGAACATTGTCTTTGGCCCCCTGCACGCTTGTATAGCTAAAAACAATGTAACACATGCCAGTCTGTCACGTCTTCGGCTACAAATTCGAATCGATACCTGTTCGGTTGACCAAGGATCTTGGGGGTTGGTCACGGCAATGGACACTGTGAGCATCCATATTCTCTCATTTCTGCAACCATTTACAAGCATACGCAACAGGGACGGCTGACCTGATGACCTTATGTTTTGAACGTCAATCAGACCTAAATCGGGATAGAAGGACAAGGTTGCCAGAAGCCTGGCCTCGTGGTTTCCAAGTTACTCCCAACACCCTCGACTGCAAAAGCGAGCGCTTTGGGTTCAACGATGGCCACTTCCTCTGCTGGCTTTCAACTTCGAACTCTCGTCGAGGAAGAAACGCCCTCCCACTACTTTGATGACGATTCCTCAGATGATGCGCCCATGGTCGGCGGCTTCAATACCAAGCCCACTGGCAGGGCTGGAAAGCCATCCTCGACTTCTAGTGCGAGAAATGCGAAGAATAGGTCCGTCCTACTGCGGGGAACCAGTTTAAGGGTCATTTCCGACCGGAAGGACTTGCCATCAGGGCAATCGTCGCCATCCAACTGGGATCCTCCACCATCCGACGACTCCTTCACTGGTTTGGGTAAAGGATCGCATTTCAGCTCCCTTCCCAAACCTGAACCTCCTCCCAACTACTTCTCACGTCGTGATGTCAGTGATTTGGCTCCAGATATTGGGGACCCAGAGGCACCAGAACCATCCGGCTCATCAAACAGCTCATCTCCAATTATCTCGTCTTCCAAAAGGTTGCCACCATCTCCCAGCGAGGCCTCCCACGGCTCTCACCCACGACATCCTTCCAACGCGGTGCCCGGTTCATCCCTGCAATCATGGAGCTCCTTAAGAGCACGCGTCTCCACCCCGACCAGAAGCACCATCCCTGGTTCCTTCATCTCTGATTCGGAAGGCTCAGATTATTGTCATATCAATGATCCTGATCCACCGAAGACAAAATATTCGGATAACATGACCAAGCGTCTCACAGAACTTGCTGCACAGCGTCGAAGAGAGATCCAGGCTGCTCAGCAACGGAAGGCGTCTGGGAGTCGCGGGAGCACTCCTTCCAACAATGACGATAAGCGGAAACGCGCCCCAGAGCCAGACGCTGCGCTGAAGGAAGAATATGAACATGCCTTGGACGCGCTCGAGTCGACCCAAGAAGAGCGGGATCAACTTGTCGCAGAGAAAGCCCAACTCGAGCAGCAGGTCAGGCTCCTCAAACAGCAGATAAATGACTTCTCAGTCGTCGTGGAGGACCATGAGAAGGATAAAGTTCATCTTAGGAGACAAGTGAAGCAACTCCGCCACGTCGTGCAGACACAATACGAAGAACCCATGGTGCTACACGACCAACTCGACCAGGCGCACTACAAACTTCGCAAGGCCGAGCGCCGCAACCGATACGTCGACGATACGGATCGCTGGAAGGCCGACGCGAAGTACAGGAAGAAGCAGAAGGACGTCGGCGCTCTCGTCTTTGGATTTTCCTATGCTCCAGATGAACACAAAGACGACATCCTGAGGGAACGAAAAGGGGCGCAAGGCCTTGTCGCCAAATCCGTCACCGAAGTCACTAGCATGATGAACCAGTTCAACCACGACATCTTCCAAACCTCCGCCCACCTGTCCAAGTTCATCACTAACAGAGGCAGTCGATACGCCTCGGTGTCGACAGGTGTAAACGACCGCGCTAGAAAGGTGTTGGGAGTACGGGCCGTAGAGACTATATTGACGAACATCCCCACCACGGCGATGCTGAACCCTCTGCTCATTCAAATCGTCCTCCAGATCTTTCTAGTATTTTGGTGCAACTCTATCATCGAAGCCTGGTATCCCAAGCAGGCCACCTTTGCGGAATTTCTCGTTGACGTTTGTTCGAAGCTTAAAGTTGGAGGTAAGCTATCCAACTACATTGCCATGGGCGCCTCCCCTTATCCTTCCCTATCAGATAGCCACAACATCTGCGGGGCCAAAACCACCATCACTCAAATTCACACCCGGGATTCGGTTAATATGTTCAGCGATTGGGCTCAAGATATAATTGACGACCTCCACGAGATTCTGTCCGTCTTTGGATGGGCAATCGCTGGCTACCAGGCTGATGCACTCGGAAGACGTGGCCCTGATGAGGCTCGCAACTCCCTTGTCAGCCTCGTCAAAGTCGCCTACGACCTCCGCACTGCCATGGCTGAAATCAGCACCTCGGGCGACGTCGACCTCGCCATCATCTCCTGCGACACGCCGTTCAATTCTGCTGTAATGGAAGACGAATTCGAGGATAAACGCAAGTCTGTCGTCAAGAAGAGATCGGTAGAGCCCGATGATTCGGATGACGAGCTTGAATTTATGGGAAATAGAACGAAGGGCTTTGTCGAGCGTGTTGTGGGTACGACGGGGATTGGGTTGCAGAAGGAGGTGATGAAGCCCCATAATCTTCTTGGAGTGATGAAGCGGGATATCGAGATGGTGCTGAAGCCCCGAGTTGTACTCGAGCAAAGTCTACTCGAGGCTCTGGATACAGTCTGACCTCGAGTTGTTGTCCGTTTCGTGTTTCTTTGGTGTTTGATGCTCTCCAATGTACAGAGTAGCCCTCCTAAATCAGAATGAAGTCTCATAACACATCAACTTGTGCGGCGGCTATGTCGGCAAGCCATTCCAACACATCTTCTGATGGGCCTGACTACATCAGGCTGCATTTTCGAAGGTGAGCAGAGGACGGAAGAACGGATAAGACATTGTTTTGCGAATTAGGTGCACACCTTCGGCGGGTTCGCAGAGCTCGCGAATGATATTATAATGATCTCGCTGCCTACTGTATGCGACCCTATAAGAGAAGAGTAATACCTGACAGACTCCGCTCCGGGAAGGGCCTTTGTGGCCCTCTCTTTCAATCGTCATGAGAACACGGAAGCATCCTTTCCGAGTCGAGGGGTTGTGTCAATCCCTCCAGTCGCTCTCCCCCAGGATGCGCAGCAGTCATTTGCCGTGGATCTTTCCGAAGATCCTCGAGGAAGTATTGGTTGTCCTGTATTCTTCTGATCATGTCGAGGATTGGGTCCCGGATGCCCCATATCTTTTCAAGTTCAACCCGATGTGGAGGTCGCCGGTAGTAGGGACGCGATGTGAAGAACTGACGAGCCCCGGTGTGTATATCGAAGAAAACTGTGAGAGAAATATTTCTTGGAACGTTTCGCCTTCTCGCTGGAGCATAATACCCGTAGGTTCTATGTCCGCACACAAGCGAGGGTCGTGATCAGCTGAGGATGACATCTCATAACGTCTCCGAAACACACGTATTTGTTCGAAAAGGCTAGTCTTAAGATGCTCGTTCAGATGCTCACGTATGACCATTCCTCTTGGCTCTCTTCGCATAGCTCTATGGTTCTTTAATTACCTTGGACGTTTTCGGGGAGTTCCATGGCACACGGCCAAGAGCCTTGGAACCGATGCTTCACCGAGTAAAAGCGCAAAGTCCTGTGAGGTAGTTCTATCCAGGAGGCCTTCAAATTCTTCATAATTTCCGGGACCGCCGTGATTTTGTTTCGATGGTCGGACTTTTGTGGATGGATGGCGGACCGATAGAAGGAACGGTGCCCATTCACGCCTAGGCAAGACGTTACTATAACTTAAGGCCATCCTATGTAATCGCTCGGGTAGCTGGGCTGTGTGGCTTTCTCTGATGAAGAGAGAAACAAACACGACACAAACGCCTAGCTTGTATTCTAGCGCTCTACATAGTATACCAGTCAAACAAACGGACTCGAATGCTATCGGGACTTGAAATCGAAGTGATCCTGATCCGTGAGTCCGTGAAAACCAACTGTTTGTCTGACCTCGCGAAACCAAACACTTGTGCACCGATGATATCGGATGGCTTTTCTATCCTCTTCTCTCTCCACGTTTGCGGCTCTGTTACATCCGCTGATATGGCTAAAACGCATGTCCATCTGCCAATCCCGGATGCACGACTTTCCGATTACCTGTTGCATTCTCAAGGAAAGCCTGGATGGTTTCCCTGGTTTCCCCATTCGTTCCAGCTCAGTGCTGCTCTCTGACAGCGGCGGATTTCTGTGCGCTGTTCACTTCCCTCTGTCTCCGCCTTGAATTTCGCAAGCTTGACGAATGTTAAATGCCACGTTGCTTAATTTGCCAAATGGCAAAGAACTTCGACGACTCGAGCTTCTGACCTTCTGATCTATGGAAAGACACCAGGTAAACCATCACGCGGGCTGACCGGTCACCAGATGAGCAGAGGAAAAAAGAAACTTGTGCTAGGTCGTACTGATTCTTACCGGCGGAGTCTCGGCTCGGGGTAAATGGCGGTAAGTCGATACGACTTGTCTCCCCTGTTTTTTCTTCAGGACCAGCAGCTACCGCGTCGAAAACCTCCAGAACGGAGGCAATCCTAGCAGAATCTGAATTCCCAAGTACCTGGCGACATCGCATCTGCCGAAAGAACCGCCTGTCAATGTCGCGGTCCTCTCTTCTCCCAATGCGACGCCGAAAGGAAGCACAACATTTTGCGCTTTGATTCGGACAAATGCTAGTTCTGGGCGATCTAACAAAGTGCATGCTAGACGGAGTCATTGATTCTCGTTTTCTATAAATACTGGATCGGGATGATTCCTACTCCTCATCGACAAAGGGGCTTTCTCTCGGTTGCTTGAAGATGCGCACCTTGGCTGTCTTCGCGTTACTCGCCGTCTCGGCTGGCACAGCTTTAGCGGCCCCATACCCCGGTGACATAGTCCAGTACTGGTAAGTCCTTTACGCGTCAGTTTTTTTCACTTGTTCTGAGCTCTTATGGCATCAATTTAGGAACCTGAGAACAACCTGGTCTATCAACGCAACTAACCCTCGACAGGGTGGCTACTATGAAGCCTACGCCGGTGCATTTGTTCAGACTGCGATCCTTGCCGCAGCCCAAGATGCTTCGCGACATCCCAGGGCTGTCCAACAGTTATCTGTCAGCTACGCTGCTCACGACGCGCTGGCTTCGCTATACGACCTCCAATATCAGACGATTGATTCTTATCTTACCGAGATTGAGGATATCATCACCCCCACATCTTCCGAGAGCAGCATTGCCAGGAGGATCGGCGAATCTGCCGCCGCAAAGGTGACGAGAGCTCGTGCAGGAGACGGTTACGGGAGGGTACGTCTTCGCAACTTTCAATCTTGCTCGACGAGGCTAACGGAAGGTCAGTACAAACGCTACGAGTGGCAGGCACCAGCACCTGGTGTGTACCAACCCACGCCACCCAACAACCCATTCCCTGCGGCTCAGCACGGCGGACAGCTTCGACCATGGGGTGGCGTCGAGAAGGTCCCTGAGTGGGGACCTCCTCCATCTCCCACTGATGATGGCTACGAGAAATTCTTGCTACAGGTGAAGGAGAAGGGGAGCAAGACCAACAGCACACGCACTGCTGATGAAACAGAGGTAAGAGCCCATGGACTGAGTTCTGCGCTGAACGAACCTTGACGCTTTCTCAGATCGGCTACTTCTGGCTCGAGTCTTCCATCACGGCGTGGAATCGATATGCCACTACTATCATCGGGGACTCCCTGAAGGACAGCGTCCTCAAGTCCGCCGAGTTCTACGCCAAGCTAAACTGGGCCCTTGCTAATGCTGCTATCGTTTCGACGCACACTAAGAACAAGGCGAGTGGGAGAACTGCTCAGATTTTTCACCAAGAAATTACTGACGTATTCTGCAGTACAACGCATGGCGCCCTATCACAGCCCTCCATTACCCTGGCGTCTTCCTCAAATCTGGAAACAGTCTCAGGGACCCGTCGTGGGAGCCTCTCTTCCCCAACCCAGGCCACCAAGATTACCTGTCAGGACACGCCGTCTTCGGTGGTAGTGCAGTCGAGGTTCTCAGGAACCACCTCGGCAGTGATGAACTCGACCCGCCAGTCACCCTCACCAGCCATGTCATGTTCAATAACGTTGGCCCAATCAGTCGCACCTTCACCTCTCTCTCCCAGGCGGCCAAAGAGAACGGTGACTCCCGCGTTTTCGTCGGCGTTCATTTCCAATTCGCCTCTGATGAGGGAACCAAGGCGGGCGAGGCAGCCGCGAAGCAGGTTTTGAGGAGGAAAGGCAGAGGGTACCTCTAAAGAAGTGGGGAGGACACGATACAGTTCCCTTTCGCTGAATCCCTTTGATGGGACACCGTGTAGTATCCTTATACTTGTTAGCTCGTTGACGGGCTGAGCTCCAACAGATCTATCAGGTTTACCTTCACTTTCGTCTGTGTGACGGGTACCCCCAGATTCTCTCTGAGAACACTGATCGAGATGCATAAATGCGAGGTGGGTACGGCCCCGACTGCAACTCCATTTCCTAGGAAGCGCCTGCGAAGCAAAATCAAACCCCGCTCGGCAATGGGCGCTTAAAACCAATGTCGTGCCCGCCTCATGGCTGAGATCCCACAGCGGGAAAGAAAGTCTGTGTCTCATAATTTACACTCTAAAATACAAGCCATTCTGGCCTGTCCAAGGACAGAACTACACTTGGTCGAGATGCAGAGTGTGCGTAAAAATCCAAGTGGATACCACTCCTTCAGAAAGGGCAAAAGTCGATATCTGCCTGCCAATCTCTACCACTAATGTTGCGCAGACAGACAATGCGAAGACGCTCCTCGGCATCTGAGGGTAGGCCATAGAGACTGTATCGCGGGTCGGCCCCTTGTATCATCGCGTCTTGACGCAACATACCCAAGAACTTTACAATATTAATTGCAATGTCCTTTGCCAACTCCGCGCGCGTAATCTCCCACTGCCCATTTCCGGATGCTACTTCGACGACGAATGGGGGTGACGGGTGGTAGCCTGGCCAGCAGATTCGAAAGTTGATCGGATTAGGCCCGCTCCGCCTCATCACCAAGTCATTTCCTCCCGCTATAAATCTTGTCAGATCGAAGATATCGGTGCAGACGAGCTCGGCGATGGAGACGCCTTCGGAGGGGTAGGTGGTGCTAATGGTGTCGATGATGATAGGGGGGCTTGTTTTGGCAGTCGATTTTTCGTGAGGCTCTCGGATGTAGCGATATTGCGGAATGCGATGGTGCCTATCGTTGACAAGAGTAAAGTGGCCGGTTATGAGGGCCATTTTTGGTGGGTGTTGGTACTCTGGGAAGCCAAGTCGGGTCGGCATGGGTTCGTCTGAGGGCAGGGTGAAGGTAAACAAAAAATAGAATTGGATGAACCCAGATGTTATGTTCCACTTGTATAGTACAGCTAAATATCGAGAAACTGTGTCGAAAGGCTTTATGTCGACCAAAGGACACAAGGCCTTTGTTTCCATCCTGTATCAAAGAACTTCCCTTTGTTAATCTCTGTGGCATAAGCGTATACCATGCCACTCACATCCACCCGTGGTATTGGTTGTAGAGGCCGGCCTGAGTTAGTACTCCGTTCGATGACAATATTCCTTGTGTGGGTGAAGAGGGAATTTCCAGTGTGCTTTTTGGTGTTCTGGGGAGCACTGCAAAGGAAGAATTAGCGGAACTGCCAGCAAGGACCGGTTGGATCAAATGTCAGGACTGACATAGCGAGTAGTGACACAACTGTGAGGGGTTGCTCAGTTACGCGGACATTACTGGGGAAGAGAGGCGACTCACCGGCTGCAGGCCTTGAGGTTACTGGTCGCAGGACACCCGATCATTGCACACCCAGCGGAGCCTTTGAAAGTTCGGCGCATGGGTTGCACCATCTTCAGAAGCGCAATATTCTCCTCCAACAGTAGTACAGTCCTCCCAGTCGTGTCCCCAACAAATTCTCGGGGATAGCGGGAGGCCCATTTCTTCAGGAACGGGATAAGTCTGGCTTTCGTGGCGGGAGCAACGATCGCTTGTGCCCTGTCCTTCTCCTTGCTCATATCAACTAGAATGCTACTCAGCAACTGGCACACATCCCCGATCAGGTTCTTGTAGGATGTACGTTCTTCGATCGAAACGTTACGGGCTGATGGTGAAAGTCGCGACTCGAACAGAGGGGCGAGGTCGGCCAGGCGGGTGGCAAGCACTTCCGTGAAACGTTTGCCGTTGGCAGCATTTGGGTGCGAAGAACGAAGGTATTTGGCAAAGTATGGTAGGTGATGGATTTGAATTATCATGTCTGTATAGGGGCCCTTGAGTGCGTACATCTCGTTCGTGAGCTTCACCCCTGGAGCTATGTAGCAAGGAGCATTGGCGGGAAGGGGTGGAGGGTCTAGAAACTTGTCGACAGTGGCTGGCAGATAGAGTGCAGCAAATCGAGAATAGACCACGTCTTGTTGAATTTCGTGTTCACGTTTTATTCGTGAAGTCTGTACGATGCGGTATAAGGATGGAACGCTGACAAGGGATACAAACTGACGAATATGTCTATCGTGCGCATAATTTCGACCTGGCTTTTAGGCTCTTTGTCGGGTCCCAACGCGCTACGCTTCAGCCCTATCCACCAGAGTGATTCGGATAAGACAACCAGTCTACAAATGCCTGAATAGCCTACTTCACGTACCAAGGGCAACTGCAATGTCTTCAGAGAGTGGCAAAGGCAAGGTCGCTGCAATTTCATCCAGGGAACCACGGTTCATCGCGCCAACTAGGTCTATAAGTTCAAAATAGGGTTGAAGGTCTTAGGTGGCTTGGTGATAGGTTGGTGGTGAGGGCGAAAATGCCTTGTGGTGTCCAGTGCATGCGATCAGCCAATACTTATCTAATATATAGGGCGCCCCTGAATTTCTGACTATGCCAAATGAACTTTCCCTCATTTTCCGCGTTTCCTCCAGATCTTCCAGAACGCGCTCCCTGACGATCGAAATGCTTTTTGATCAGTCAAAGTACTAATGGTCGAATATGCCGTGGGGGGAGAAATCCTCGTATCATTATTGGGAACGCTGAATTCACAGTCATGCCGTGTTACTAGAATGTGCGGGACGAGGTGAGGCCTTCTTGAAGCATGGCAATAGACCGTCGGAGACACTGGACTACATACAGTGATCCTCGTTCCTTCAGGCGGCCAGTGTCAAACCGGAATGTGTCGGTACCGAGGTTGGTGGGATGAAGTGGGGAGCCTGAGGATATCTCATGTCCACCAGCCTGACGGGAGGCCATGGCGCTGGAAATTGGCTTCGAGTCCCAACTGTTCGACGACGCCAATTATATAGTCAATGGTGAGCCTTAGCCAGTTACTAAATTACCGGTGTTGGTTGGGTATTGGCAAGCAGAGTGTTCATTTGAAGAAAACCAACGCGATTGCAGGAACATACGCGGCACAGATAAGATCAAAAATCACCATCTTATCTTATCACAAGCCCCGTTAAGTGCCCCTGTCGTCATGAGCCAACGCACCTTGTCCTCAACAACCACAGCAGCTTCATCCCCTTCATCCACACAATGGCGAGTTCCCTAAATGCACTGGCCATAAACACCAGGAATGACAATAAAGATCTAGTCGCAAACCGTCGATATCCCCCAGTCCATCAAGGACTCACTGAGGAAGTTCAGGTTTGCCAGGCGAAACTCTGGAAGCGCAGCGCTGGTCATCAAGATCAACAAGGCGAAGCTGGCGATGGAGGAGGTTGAGCAACTCGATGATATTAGCATTGAGGAACTTGCAGAAGGTGTGTATCTGGAGATCTCCTTAGTTTGAACGGTAGGCAGAGCTGACTCTTGATTGTGCTCTCTAGAGCTACCAGAGAACTCTCCTCGCTACGTCGTCCTATCATATGAGCTCGAGCACAAGGACGGGAGAAAGTCCTTCCCACTCGTGCTGATCAACTGGGCACCCGTATCCAGCGAAATCGGGTTGCTCACGCTTCACGCAAGTGCCCTGCTGAATTTCCAGAACACGGTGCGTTCGTAGGCCAGACTTGAATGATTCCACTGATTCATTGCTGTTGACACTATACAGGCGGACGTGAGCAAGGTGATAGAAGTCAGGGATGGGCCAGAAGGTTTGACGAAGGAGATAATCGATGCCAAATTCGCATAAGTTCAACGACAATGGAAACGTTTCTGTATAACCAAGGTCTCCCCGAAATCGATATACCCGTGTTTGTATCTGGTCCGAGGCAAAAGGTGTTATATGCATAAGCTACGATGGGTCCTGATTCGGAAGCATATACAGCTACGGCCCCGGAAAGTACAAGAGCCAAAAACCAATCCGTCTCAACCCCTAGATGCTAACGTATACGTCAACAAGCGGTAAGGGCCCCCGCAAGCCTGCGATCCATCACCAAGACAAGGCATCCCGCACCCACTCGAGTCTTGTTCTCCATCTGGGACACCATCTCCGCACCCTACAAAACAAGGTGAACATCCAACGAATGATGGCTAAACACCCACGAAACGACTTACAACATTCCCTGAATCATTCCAAGGTTCCAGGATCGGTAAGTGTAATTCGATTCCAACCAAACATCAACCACATACTGTCCATATTCAAGTCCAGCACTCGTATACCCAACCATAGCGCAAGCATCAATGCACTTCTCAACCGTCATCTCCTCTGCAAAAATATCAGCTCCGGGATAGAAAGGTAATTTCCGAGAAGTGATGTCGTCACTGGTAAAGGCAAACAACTACGTCAAGAGGCGAGCAGGCAAGCACACAGACAAAGGCAGACGTACACCCAGCACCCAGTGACGTGCCAAGTCCTACCAGGGGCACTGGCATAGGTCGAAACAATCGTCGCAGGGCCAGTCGTATATGGCGTATTCTCCTTGAGAAAGACCTGCATCGCATCAACACCTCCGCAAAAGGTGCTGTTGTTCCCAGAACAAGGCGTCGAGCATTCCTCTTCAGGGAGCGCCCCATAGTCATATAAAATCGAGTTGCCGCAATCTGAGAAAAAGGTTCGCCAGGCTGAAAGCGTATGAACGACCCAGAACCCACTCACAGCATTCCATGCCATACTCGACGCCAGCGAGTATGAATCCCCCGACAGAACATATCTCCAAGCATTTCTCGACCGTCCTGCTTTGTGCACTTCCTACGACGTAGTGCAGTCTCCGGGGATCAGCATCCCTATGTAAAAAAGCCGGTTCAAAAAGGTTAGCACAAGTAGGAGTTTACCCCAAACCAGACGCGCCTAAAGCAGCCCAACGAATTCCAATCACGATACGAAAGGACTGTGCTAGCGGCAGAGACTAGTACTAGCGCCAAATCGCTGACAGCCTAGACCAGGCCCTAACTTAGTTGATATCCCTCCACAATAAAGACGCGACGTACCAAGAGGAACCCCACCAAAATCAAAAGCGAGTTCACCATTCTTAATGATCGCGAAGCCAAGTAACCAAAGGAGTACCTAACGACACAAGAACCCCTCCTCTTTATACCGCGACACCCGCGATCCATACGGACTCCCACTTTGCCCTCGTATTTATAAGAGTCACCCAACGACGTCTCCCTACGAAAAGGAAGGCCATAGAAATGGGTCATCAGGGCATACCCCAAGACTCCGTGCACCATATCCTTCCAAAAGTAATGGAAACTAAGCCAGATTCCAGAAGGGATTTGCAGCAGTAGTGACGTCCCGCGAGGTTAATCCCCCTTCGAATCCTCGATTCTACACGAGGGAAGCCCTTCGAGAGGCGGTATTGCGTGGCGACTAGTGATACCCGCTCGGTGCCTCCATTTCGTGATGAGAGAATCGTGGACGCATAGCTCTCCGCTGACTCGAAGAGCTGTCGCCGTCATAATTGCTACGTGGAGCAAGGCTACAAGGCATTCAGATTCGGAGGTCCTAAGGACTCGAAAGTACTCACCTTCAGATGGAGACTCGGACAATCTCACCAACCTCCTCCCCATACATAGAAACGCGTCATTATATTTCGATGTAGATCACGAAAAGTCGAGTTGTAGATTAGATAGATACACAGATGGTGTGTTCGTTCACGCGGAGGGAACGAGTTAAGGAGCGGAGAGAACGGCGAATCAAACAGTACTACGGTATACTTACTATGGTCCCAACCAAAACAAAGATGAAGGAAATAGAAAAGATAGATAAAAGAAACGAGAATGAATCTGGAAGAACTCAAAAGACGGAGGAAGAGATTGCATAGGATACATGTTGGAGAGAGACGGAGCAGATTGGGGAATAGCTTACAGGAATGTCAGAAACTGAAGAGAAAAAGACAAAGAAAAGAAAAGAAGAAACAGTAAGAATCCCAAAAGAAACCAGAGTCAACGCAGAAGGAAAGAACCGAGGTCAAACTTTACATGGTCAAAATGTCAGGAACGAGGATATAAAAAGGTATCGCAAAAGATTTAAACGAGCAGCAGGAACAGAAGGGGTAGAAGTTTAGCTTTGGGGATGGGGGGTAGACATGTCAAAAACAGACGTAGGGAATGTGAGTTAAACGAAGCTCGAAGAGATAATCTTCCAATCAAACCGTCCCAGAAAAGATCACAATAAAGGAATTAAAAAGGGGGTATAAGGTTTATCTTAACCCACTATCACTATCCTGGGCAGCAGGGTCGTTATTGTTCCCAGCGCCCCCAGTTAAATCGATAAACCTCGTAACACGCTTCATCGCCTTGGAGTTGGATGCCCACTGCGAATCGTAATCGTTATCGCTCGACATGGTCGCGTGCTGCTCGCACAACATCCTTCCATCGACTTCCCAGTATTCCTCGAGCCTTTCACGGCATTCGGGATACCCGGGATATTCGCACGTCATGCACTCTGGATGATACCTATCACCCGCGTGCGAGACCGCACATGGACCCTCAATCGGTTGACCACAACGAGCGGCGGCACACAGAGAATCGTTCGCCTCGTGGTAGTGATAGGCACAGAAGGGCTTGCCATCAAACACATAGAACGTCTTGTCGGGGAACGGTTTCTGATGAAGGGCAAAGTAAATGGGATCAGATTGAACGTCGATGAAACACAAGATTAAAAGGTGACGTACGTTGCATGTATGGCAATTGAAGCACTCCTTATGGTATTTGCCCTTGAGTTGACCATCGGAGGAGGAGACCGCTTGCCTCTCGATCGGTAAGTTACAGCGCCGACACTGTCAAAGATTTCAGCATGGGTATCAGGGATCACTGATATGCTGAGAATAGCTACCTTGGGGAGATACATGTTCTTCCAACACCTCTCACACAGGATGCTCCCAGTATCCACCTGAATCCACCTTCCATCTTCAATATGTTTCCTACACTTGACACAGACTTTGGCACGCTTCTTCACCCTAAGTGCCTCGACAGTCGAGCTTCGATCCTCCGCGATGGTCGTCTTTGAACGAGTTGGCAACTTGATGGGCTTGGACTCGGGAGAGGTAACGCCCTGTACTGTCTTGCTTCGTTGGGTCGTGGCGTATCCGAGGCCCACAGTGCCATCGTCAGACTCTGTGTATTCTGTCCCTCGCACGCTGGCACTGATGCTTGTACCGTTGGCCGTCCTCGTACGATTGTGAGCGGCACTAGTTGATTTACTCTTGACAAGGTCAGTTGCCTTGTCATCATCCTTCAACAGAGATCGCTCGAGAAGATCAAAGGCGTTTGGTCCGTTGCCAGGAGCCATACTTGTGGTACGTGAATAGGCGCTTCGACTGCTGCTGTTGCTTGTACTTCTCCCCAGAGGTTTCAACCCTGGTCCACCAAGTTTAGAATACTCGCTCGGTGGGGTCTGTGATAAACCCAGGGCGTGCGCAATCGCGGACGAGTTCGTCCTCTTCCTTCCCAACTCGACGCTCGAGGACGATGAATACGCGGACGACTCGGAACCGTTGCGCGAATGGTTTCTGCGTTTCTCAGTGGGATCTCCTCGGTAGTCGTCACCTGCTGCTCTGGCAATGGAGGCTGCGTTCGCTGGCATGGGGGTTGCAGGCAACGATTGCTTCCTACCTCGACCACTCCAACCACTTGTTCCGCTCTTGGCATCATCATCGTCGTCAGAGTCTGCGTAGGCAAGTCCACTATAGTCTGATTCTGTTCGTTCAGACGCCTTGCTAATCGTGCGGTTGTGTGCGTTGCTGGAACCGTCGGGGAAGTCACTAGGAGGTTTGGCTGCAGTCGGCGTCGCTTCGGGGGAGTTGGAAGATGGCCCCTTGTTCTTCAGCTTTTCGAAGAAAGGAAGGCGAATGCCGAAAGGCGAGGCTGGAGTGTTGGAGCCTGCGAGCGGTGTTTTGTCACGATCGACAGGGCTCTTGCCTTGGGATATCGAAGGATTCTCAACAGATGTGTCGATCCTGCTAGGCGGGTTTGGTATTTTGGCCATTGTATCGTTGGAAGGATCTCGGGACTCGGGGAAGTGAGACTGTGCTAGAGGCGACGTTGGCTGTGGAAGAGAGCTTTGCGCATCACCTGCTGTTATATGTGTCATTAGTTCTAATGATGGAACAGGATCAGCATCAAATAGATGTAACTTGCCTAGGCTCGACGGCGCCTGCAAATGATTGGGCGGTTGGGGTTGCGGGGCAAGAGACCTATTGAGTGGTGCAACAAACATAGCGGCACGGGCGGCTGCTGCGAATCCTCGGCGCCCAACACCTGCCATTCCAGCCTCCCCACCTGATTTGGTGTCGATGTCTGTTTCGGATATCATTTGTCCAGGCGGAGGCGGCGGTGGCATCATTGGAGGTGGAGCACCTGGTGTGTACGAACGTGGGGGAACACCAAAGGGTACACCTGGAGGACCACCAGGCGCCGGGGACATCATTCGTGGACCGTTAATGAATGGACTTGCCGTGCGATTCGGAAGACCGCCTGGAGGTGGAGGAGGACCGCCCATCGGCGGTGGGGGACCCTGAAGAGGCATTCCTGGTCGCATGCCTGGTGGGCCTCCTGGCGGGCCTTGAGGCGGCATCCCAGGTCGCATACCCGGACCTCCCGGAGGAGGTGGTCCTGGAGGTGGAGGACCTTGCGGTGGAGGGCCGTTTCGAGGAGGGTAAGCGCTCGGTGGAGGGCCACGACCCATGGAAGGAGCCGGTGAAGGCACGTTGCGCGTCATTGGGCCGAACGAAGGGGAAGGGGAAGGTCCGCTTCGGGGCACTGGCCCTGGTGGACCATTGAATGGCAAACGAGGACTCACGGCTGGACTCCGTTGGTTGGGAGGGATAGGTCCAGCACCAGGGGGCGAGTTGGGTTGTTGTTGAGGACCGCCGATCCGACCAGGAAGGAATCGTGGGTCCATGGGTGGAGGCGCATTGTACGAAGCTGCCCTATCCCTTCCTCCCAGCACCGGTGGCGGAGGCCCGTAGCCCGCTGACATCGACGCGTTCCTCGCCCTTCCTCCATCCATTATCAGCGGTGGTGGCTGCATTGGCGGGGAGCCTGGTCCTCTGTCCCCAGCCATAGGTGGTCCTGATCTCGGTGGTGGTGGTGGGCCATTAGGACCATTGTTGGGGTTTCGAAGTCGATCTACTGCTGATCCCATTCGCGGTTGCTGGGGCGGGGGCATAGGGCCTGGCGGTGGTGCTGCGAATGGCTGGCCGTTCGGGTTCGGCGGGCCTCCAGGCGACGGAATTCGACCCCTCAGTCTGTCTGGCAAGAGTGCGTTGGCACCTTGTGGTGAAATCGAGGGCTTTGGTAGGGTTGGAACTGGGGGTGCTGGTGCGCAAACGTGGTCTCCGAGTTCGCTGAGGGGTACGGGCTGATTGCAGTTGGAACACTTGACGGTCGGGAGCAGCTGGGATATTCTTCCTGGACCTCCAGGCGCCGGAGCGAGCATTGCTGAAGCCATTTTGTGTATAAAAGGACTGTAGCTGGATGTAAGGACTGTGTGGGATGCTTAGAACGTCCAGCGTGCGATCAGGGATAGGCAGATGTGAATGCTGAGGACTGCGCTGGCATAAAAGCGGTTGAATGGGGTGTGCGGAATGCCGGGTATGATACACGCTTCGAGTGGCGGCGAGACAAGGGCAAGCTGAAAAGAATTAGTTGGGTATAGGATGTGGGCACATCATCGACAAGAGCAACCAACCCTTTCCCAAAAAATCCCCATTCACCACCAACTTCGATTCTCACTATTGCGTCCGACCAAATCCGAGAAACAAACAAATCCCCGGAGTTCGCTATGCTCGACTGCCTTCGACACTCGACAGGCTTCTGTTGCTTTGGAGATAACCCACGACACCTTGCAATAACCTCCATGCTGTGAGAAGGGTTACACTCAACAGAAGAAACACCCACACGTCACCATTGGCTCTGACACTTCTCCAAGAACGCAAAAGAACACGACATCACTTGTTTCAGCCGCAGTCTGCCCACCATGAGGCGACCGAGTTCAACAATCATCTTGACCGCGACTGCAAAAGCCTCTCTTTTCATTTCTCTCCAAGGGACCGCACTTCTGTAACGACAGTCTTCGATCAAGATGCTGAAATGAAGTGCCATTACGACACGCCGCAGGCTGGTGTCGTGGATGATTCACTGGGGTCAATACCAACTCTATTTCGAGCTTGGGTTCATTTCTATTGGCGGAGGAAAGCTTCGCGCATTCGTCGACGTCTCGGAGCCTATCCGACTTTGACTTATACCTGCCTGCCATATAACGTCTAGCCTGAACTAGACGCAAGCTGGACAGTCAGTCACCTCAAATCACATTCCAGTTGACTGCTTGTCTTGTCCCGTTCCCCCCTTCTACGAACAAGGCCCTCTCGGACTGCATGTGCACCGTTTGCTCATCGGCTCTCCTTGTGCATCTGTCAGTCCAATCAACTTAGTTGCCGCTCATGCCATTCAAGTAAGTCACCGGCGCATAACAAATAACGTCCCTAATTTAGTCCTCTGATCTACTCCTGTATGCAGAGCATGCACACAAGGAAGACATCCGTCGAATAATCTCTGAGCGCTATCGCCGTATCCAAGAAGGAAGGAGGGAAGAAGATAACCGCAATGACGCATTCTCTTCGACGGATCACAAGTCACAAGACGGAAGAAGGATTACAACACCCTAATATACATTACAGATCGTAAGGAAATAGGCCTCGAAAAGTCCATGCGGATAAGTAGGCCCACAGGAGCCGTATCGTCAATACATACATGGTCATCAGTACACGATTATTATCATGAAGAATCACTATCATCACGAAGATGATACAGGAACGTTTCATCACCCTCAGCGCTCAGCCTCCCAACCACAACAGTCGCTTGACCCCATACTCCATCTTCGCATACACACTCGTCATACGCTGTGCTTCCGCAAGACTATAAATGTTCCAATCAGTTAATACAAGATCAACATGCGAGATGATGAGACAAAAGCTCACCTAACGATATCCTCCTCGATAACAAACGCAGGATGCCCATTCCCAACATCTTCACAAGCTCGCTGGATAGTATCCACAATCATCTCTGCCGCCTCCCTACAGTTCGACGCCTCCTTCAACTCATCCGACATCTCCGAGTACGCACTGCTCGACCTTCGAATCCTGGCAGGATCAATCGGCAACACCTTGAAGGCCGCAAACGACTTTTCAGCAGCACCAATATACGTGCTGTTCCCCAGCGCCGCTAAACCCGTGGCAGCGGTTGTGCTCGTCCCTTTCGAGCTCGGCAGTGTATTGTTCCTCTTCAACGCCAAATTTCGAGCGATCAGAGAGGTAAGAGGTCCCGGTGCTGTCGGGGATATCGGGCTCGAAGGCTGGGAGTGGCTGGTAGTACCGCCCACCGGCGATTTCAAAGGGATAGGGTAACGTGGGCTCGTCTGACCGCCGGGCGTGGTGGGCGATGTGGGAGCAGAGAGGGATCCCAAATCCAGGTTATTTCGGACGGAATAGCTTGTAGCCCGGGACTCTTGGTGGGACGTGAGCCAAGTTACAACAAAGCCATAGTTCTGCTCCGGGTCGCGACTGGCTTCTTCTAGAGGTGATAGGATGTAGGCGCCTGGCGGCATATCAGATATCGCTCATTTGAACAAGGTTCCAAGGATTCAGTACCTTTCGTGACACTGACGATATCTCCTAGTGGAACACGGGTATATAGTTTGACCTTCTCCAGGGTATAATCGTAGCTCTTCGGATGTCTTCATCAGTAAATGGCGACCAGTGAGGCGTCAGTATATATCAACTTACGACAATATACAAAGCTCTCATGCTCTATTCAAACCACATTAGCTCTGATAACGCAATGCAGGAGATAAGGAAACTCACCAACAACAAAACCTTCTCCTCAAACTTCTCCGCAACCTTGGCGTTCAACTCCTCGGGAGCAAACAACGTCCACCCAGAAATCAGCCTCTCTCCTTCAGGAAGCACGCGCGACGTCGCAGTCGCAATAGCCTCTGCCCGAATCTTAGAAAGTCTGATAAGGTCTCTCGGGTCCGTCGTCTGGAGCCTAAGCAAGAACTCCGAAAAGACGCTCTTTGTTCGGCAGCCGAGCAGAAAGTCGATGACGGCTTGGGAGAACCAGTCGCTGAAAGTTGAGGTGTACATTCTAGATTAAGGAGATTGAATGAGGTACACAGTGGTCAGTCGAAAGACAATGGCTTACCGTGCCAGCGAATTAACACCATCGTTGAGCATCCCGCTCAGATCCCGCTTTCCGGTTCTGCATTCGCCTATCAGCCACTGTCAGAAAGACGCTGAACATCCTGTGCTTACCGAGTGAAGTCACCCTGTCAAATGGACAAGTTAGCATTTTGGAAGTGTCTTCTAAATTTCTAGCAACCACGCACCTTCAGAGCAGAAGTGCCAGCATAAGCTCGACTGATCGCGTCTCCATTGTTTGCCCAGACTAAACGCCCTCAGCATCAAGGATGTATCTAATAGAATAGCTCGGGACAACATACCATCATTAAAAATCAAATCAGTCTCAATGCCTCCAGTCACAGAAGGCGTTAACAAGGCGACAGCGCTTAGCTGTTGATTCAGAACGTATCTGGCAAATGCCGACTAGAATGGAGTCACGACTTGTGGACAAAAGAAGTACGATATGGAAGGCATACCTGCACCACATTGGTACGGTCCAGACAATCGATGCAATTGACTCGGAATACGCCCTTCTGATGGGATAGGACCGTGTCATCCGAAATCCAAAGGTACCTGTGCTTAATTTAGAATGTCAGGGGGAGAGATCAAGATGCCCGAAACCGCACCCTTGGGATTCGAAGACACGCTGCATCGAGTCGACCAGTTTGCTGATATTCTCATACTTCATGCCCTTCGTCTCTTGATGGAAATCATATTCACAATATCTATCAAAAGCTCGATAAGCATAATCACTGACACAAGAAGAAAGGTAGCCTTACTGGACATCCTTGTTATCAAATTCAACGACATATTCCCGGTACGCCTGTGTGATTGGCCCTTCCCGACCTCCTTGTTCTGCGAGGTTAACAATAGTCTAGAACACCCATGAGCGAATTTAGCTTTACTGGTTAGAATAGAATACAAGGACACGAACGTGCGGTCCATAGACTGGGATTGTTCTCTTAAAGTGTCTCGAAAGTGCATCCAAGTGCTGCTGATGCGTTCTATCAGATTCCAACACAGGTGGCGGTTTCAGGCTATAGCCGGATTGCGTCCAGAACAGAGGAACTGTGGGGGTACGTTCGGTCAGCGCCCATCTCTCCCTGGGTCCGATATAAATAGTAACGCACTCGATCCTCGGATTTGGACGTAACTAAAGATATTCTGTCGCTTCTCTCGCTGAGAATAACGGGCGAATTCATTAGCCATGATGTCAAGGAAGGACTGAAGAAGCAAGAATCTCACCTCCACTCTCATGATAGTCTCCGTCTCTACGAAATTAGCGACCTGGGCTTCGTCATCAACGCCTCTTCGCTGATACCGCAGGCCGACGCGATGTCGTGATCTGCGAGAGATGATGATATAGTTCACTATCACATCTTCTTGCTCTTCTTCACCTGGACCGGGTGGAACAGTCAACACCGCCGGTTGGAAATAGCCTTGCATTAGGGGAAGGACGTAGGAATGCAGTCCGGCATCAACCAAAGGCTTTGCCATCCATTCGTTCCACCAAAATTGTCTATCGACGCGTCTCCAAAGCGGTAGGGTGGGGTAGGGCTCGGCCAGGGGTGAAACCTTCTCCCCATCCTTAGGATAAGGCGAGTAGACTCCGGAATCCGTTTTGGGGAGAGCACCGAGACCGTGTAGCAGTTCATGTTGCTTCTGCGACTTGGCGATCTGTTCTTGCTTGTGTTGAAGCGACCGAGTTATGTCTAAAAGAGCGGGTTCAGAAAAATCACTTAAACGTCGGCAACGTCAAAGTCCACTCACCAAAGTTGTACGCCCAATACATACACCCTTTTGTCAACTGACTGATACACTCCCGCACAACCTTCTCCTCTAGCTCTCTGTGCTTCTCTTCGTTGGATGTCGGCGGAGGTGCAGTTGCCTGAACGATCTGTTCAACAACCTTGTGCGGTTCCTCCTTCGCCATCAAACTATCCAACACTTCCCTCTCCTCACTGATGCTTGAAGGGTTCATCGTCATGGGGAACTCAAATTCCGACGGCGTAGGGGCGACACTGGGAGGACGTTTGGATAGACGAGACCAGAACGACAAACGCGAAGCCAGGGTTTTGAACACCGGAGACTTGATCATAGAGTTCTCGGACGAAGGACTGGAGATGTCCGAGCGGATGGATTGAGACGAAGGCGGCCTCTCGATATCCTTTGGATCGAGGAGAGTCGCATCCTTCAGATCGAGACGTGCTTCCTCTACCCCATCGTCTTCGCGTGTAGCCACGGGAGTCAACGCGGGAGTCATGATCTTGACATCCGTATCCGCTGCGAATTGGACTTTTGGTGAAGACGACCTGGGCATAGATTCTCCCTCTCGAGGGGACTGGACACCTGCACTGAGGACATCATCCGAAGTAAGGGTGCTGTGGATAAGGGAAGGTCGGGCGAGGGCGTTGTTCCTTGAAGCAAGGGCGGATATGACCGTTCGTGCGCGGTCTTCAACGAGTGGAATAGCCGTAACACCCTTCAATAGATAGACAGTATTGGCTGGATCAAGGACTGGAAGGGCCTCAGTGTAAAGTGAAGAGCCCAACGATGAATGAACACACCATTTCCAACTTCCACCCTCGAGTTGATAACCAGCAAATATGAACCTGGAATTTCCCTCCTCAGTAAGTAGATGAACGGTTACCTGACAAAAAAACCAAAAAGCAACGCACAAGAAAACAGTTCAAGCACACCCACAATCCCATAGACAATCACACTCTCCGTCCAATCCTCTTCAGGAGATTTAGCCACACTCGCATCCTCGAGCTCTACAATCTCAGCCGTCCTCCACGAAATCTTCACATGCGTAGACACAGGATTCCTCCGTTTCGAGTGTCCAGGGATGTACGGCCGAATCAATAACCCATTCTGTGTCGGTAGGATCGCCAGATGGTCGTACGGTCGAGGATGTGGGACCGCCGGAAGTACATCGCGAGGCTTCAATCCCGGAGTCGTGTGCGACGCCGTCGCCGTCGCAGACGACCTATTCGAACTCGTACTTGCACGGGGTTGTTGCTGTCTTGAAGCTCCAGCTTCAGTCGTTTCATCCTCCGTTGAAGCCTTGTTGTTGACGTTGGTGTTTATCGCGAACGGCTTGGAAGCCTTTGCGAAAAACCGTTTCATGCCTCCCAACCTGAGGGGCTCTTATTTACGCTAAGCCAATCCGAAATCAGTAGCCGATCGAGGGCAAGGTTTAGAGCCAAAAAAGACCTACTGGTGGTGAACAACGACCCCACGACAGAAACCTTCAACGAAGTATCAGAACAAACGATAGTGTCCACAGTTGGCCTCCACGTCGTGAATGCCGTGCATCAAGTGGAGAAAGAGGCGGCCTGTGTGGTCTGTCTGCCGCGGAACCAACACAAGCCTTTTGAATTAGATGATGGCGTCATGATCAAAGCTTTGGTTACCCGACGCCTACGTCGAGGGGCGCTTAGGAATGGTTCGCTAAAAAAAAGTCGACACAAAAGAGATAGGTACAAAGCTCTGCACACTGGTATCTCATTCGGGGAGCCGGGTTTACATACAGTAAGTAGCGCTGATGTAGGTTAATTTTACAGAATAGCTGGGGGTTTGGGGGGAAAGACAGTCCGAGCTGCCTGCTAGTCCAAACCCTACGCAAAATGGAGTATGTCAGGAGTAAAAACAAAGGAGTCGAAAGTCCGGGGAAGTCCAAGAGACAGGGTTGTAATACAATGTACACGATTTAGGTGGCGAACCGCGGCGGTAGATTATGAGGCGGAGATGAAGGATGCTGAGCGTGCTGTAACTGTGGCTGCAATGGCGGTTGTTGTTGGTGTTGCTGCTGCGGTGATGGTTGGTACTGCCGCTGCTGTTGGACTTGTTGCTGTTGTGGCTGTTGCTGCTGCTGCTGGACTTCTTGCTGCTGGTGATTCCCTGCACCAAAGGCGTTCGCATTGCCTTGACCCGTAAATCGAGCAAAGAAAGCATCCCATTGATCTGCACGGAAAGGTTAAAGTCAGAGATCAAACACGCTAGAAGCCGAACAAATACCCACTCCAATCAAACATCCCACCAGGCAAGCCTTCCAAGAACCCGTTGTCCGCGAGAGCCAGATCAGCCATGGAGCTTCCCGACTGCGAAGCGTCCAGCATGTTCATAACTTGCACGGATCCGGATTGAGATCCTTCCACGTTCATCGCCGGGTTGACGTTATAACTCTGCGACCCTCTTCCTGCAGATCCCGTAACATTGAGAGGAGTGAAGTTGACAAGGGGGGCAGAAGTCGTCGAAGTTGCTGGGGGGATGATCTCGGTACCACCCTGTGCAGACTGTTCACCTAGAGGTAAAATAGAGTATGTTAGCTCCCTGCTGTTATCAAACATGAGCGATGAACGACGCCAGGCCGTACCATCGTTGGAGCCAGCAGCGTCGTCATCGGAAGACGCACTTATTATGGTACCTTCGGGAACATCTTTGAACTGCCCGTCACGGCTAGAGTTTCCTTGGACAATGAATACACCTCCACCTGGCCTGGTGGGATCCTTGCGATAATCAAGCATGACCGGTGGCTTGCCAGTAACCCCACCAGTCGGGTTCAGCGCTGGTGCTTCCATGGGCATAGGTGGCCCCTGAGTGGCCTCGTACAACAAGGAAATAATTTCCGCAGTCTACGCAACGAACGTTTGGAGTTAGCAGAACCGTTCCGAGGGAATAGATCGGAACACGAGAATGAAGGAGGCTTACCTTGCGTCGTGTAGACATATGATCAGGTGAAATGGCACTTTCCCATCTTCGAACGCAATCCCGAAGCTTTTTCAGTTTGCCTTGAGCTTCAGCATCCTTCCTTCGGATAAAGGTGTGGTACTGAATCACGAGACTGGTTATCAGAAGGATGTTTGAAGCTCGGAAAGGAAAAAAAACTGTCATACCTGTACGAGGGCGAGGGAAGTACTGGCGTATGCGACCAATAACCACACGTCATAGAGTCGTTCGTGGGCGTCCAGCCAGTCGATACATTCCGCCGTAATTGTAACCAATTCGGTCCATTGCTCCACCGTCAAACTGAATTTGAGATGGGCTGGAACGGTGTAGCTGATTCGCATGAATACACGCCAAAAGATCATGCACACGCATGCGTAAAGAAGGTGAAGAAGACCTATAGTGGAGAAACGGCATCAAGATTCTGCTGTTAATTGCCCAGACATGGATCGTCACGTACCAGCGTGATGAGGTGTGTCTGGCCCATTGAATCTCAGATGGTCAGGAAGCCCCTCCTTCCAGCGCTGGATATCAGCGAGTAGTTCGTATAGCATGTCATCAGTGGTGAAATTGAGTCCAGATGGTCTAAGGACGACGTTCTGTAAGCTGCTTTGAATTAGGTCCGTAACCGTCCGACTCACGTGTATATGGTTTTCTGTACTCGGCCTAATATGATGCTGAGTCGCACCAGCTCGTCCAAGTAGAGGTCGTTGGGGTCTCCGGAGGATGGCAGACGGGCATCACAGTCCAATACGTCTATCAGGTATGGGTGACCATAGGCGATGCTTACCCTGAAATGAATCAGCATTTTCCAAACACATTAACAAGGGAAATACGAATCTTACCAACGGTCCGATATAAGACATGCCGCCCAGAGACGACGTCGTTGTTCGATGTCATGTTTTACAGATTCCGCTCGGTGAAGTCCCAAGTCCTGTGCCTAAATACCCATGTCAAGATAAACTGAACCAATCACAAGGGGTGCCAAAAACAAAGACGGAAAGAAGGAAAAAGAAGTCGCGAATATCAACGTACCATTCGAATAGCAGTTCCCAGTCTGATCCACAGGGCTGACAAAGCCGTTGGGACGAATTGTGAGTGGCAATCGCCAGTCATGGAAAGAATAAGCAAGGCTTGGACGTTGACAAGCTTCGCCTCCGAGAGAACATCGTCGGCCTTGATGATACTATTGACAATATGTCTAATAGAATCGAAGATACCGTGGTCGACTTCGCGTCGCGCTGCAGCAACCAGGCACATTGAGTAAAGAAGGATGGGCGGCGGACTTGGGGTTGCCAGGAACTCTGCTTTGGTGATGATTGGAAGGATGGGGGCAACATCGGTGAAATAGGCATTGACCAAGGTCTGGATGACCTCTGAATCCACATGAGCAAGGGGTCTGGGATGGCAAACCTGTTGCTCTTCTGTTGTTGGTTTTTGGATCCGAATCATACCGTCGCCACCCTCGCCCACGGTGAAACTGTGGTGATGGCGCTGATCATAGTTTTCGTAGACCTTCGAATGGACGCTAGCTTGAGAATGCAATAGGTAAATTGGAGAAGTCGGCCCTACGGTGTTATATGAGTCCGAACAAAAGCGAAGAGTAGAGAAGGCGTTGTTGGCCCTATGAACCTACCGATGATCCCTATATCACGCTTCGCCTGGGGCTCTTGAGCAGCAGTCGCTGAACTTGAAGCAGCGGCCGCTTTTTCCCTTTCCTGGTTGGCGGCCTCTTCTTCAAGTTTCTTCTTCTTGAATCGAGTCTCCGTAATGGGAAGGAAGAATGTACACTCGAATGAATACTGCTTGCAATGCTGACAGATGGGTGGATCCTGAGTTGTATTGTCAGTGAGGTAACTCGGACCCGGTGACGTGTTTTCCTACCGTCTCTGGCAAGATGTCGCAGCGAATTTTTCGACTTCGACACGAGTCGCAGGCACGTTGCTGAACAGGAATGCTATCAGCCGCGATTCAAAGGACAGAAAGAAAATGATACGTACAGTCTTTGTGCGTTTCTTGGTTTCGGTGGGCATGGGCTGCTGGGCACGAGAGGACTGTTGAGCGCGTCCTGCGTCGCTGTTAGATGCGGCGGTTTCGTCGTCCGAGCCTTTGTCTCCGCGACCAGATTCCTTTCTCTTCCGTTTATTGCCAGTCACGGCTGAGACGGACGGAATCTGTGGGGGGACGGGTGCCGACTGCGGGGTCGGCGATACCTGCTGCTGGGCAGGGTCTGGAGTCTGGGGGCCGGCTCTGGGAGTCGGGGGATACATCATCATGGGCTGGTGGTACTGGGGGTATGTGGCATAGCTCGGGTGGTGGGGATAAGCAGCTGGGTGCATGGAGTATGCATACTGAGGATGTTGTGGAGGATTCGGGTTCTGAGGAACCTGAGGATGCTGTGCCATGTACTGTGGGTGGGGATGTTGACCGTAGGGGCCGGGGCCATTGATGGGGTATGTTGGATTCATAATGGGATAGGGATGGTGGTAGGGCTGAAATATAGGCCCAGGAGGAGTAGGATAGTGGTGGGCTGTTTAGGACTTGCATCAGTAATTGTTTTTAAGATGGAGTTGTGTGTTTTGAAGGGCAAAAAGCGGGATTTATATTTGTGGTGGATTGATGATGGGGACTCACAGTGTGCAGGGGGAGCTGGCGGGGGCGGCGGGGGAGCAGGTGACGACGGCTGCGGCTGGTCCTGTGCCGACTTTTGCTGCTGAGAATCAGAGTTCTGGGCTTTGTCTGAGTCCTGGGGTGTGGCAGGAGGGTCGGCTGCCTTTGGTCTCTGCCGGGTGCGCCTTTGGGTTCCAGTGGACGGCGGCTTCGCTGCCTGGGGCGGAGTGGTCGGCAGCGGCTGTTGCGGCAACGGCTGGGGAGGTGCAGCAGGAGGGACAGGATCTCCGGGAGGAGCTGACATCGCTAGTGTGGACTTCTCCGGTATTATAACACTTTCTCGTCCTCTGTTGGAATGCTCGATTCACCCGCGAACTGGTCCGCCGATTCAACCAATCCCCTCTTCCGAACTGGTAAACCTGCTTAGTCAATTAATCAACAACCGACCAAAATACTCCTCTCAGAGTCTCTTTCGCCTCTGTTTCTGCACAGAATCGTAAGTATATAGCCATAATCGACCCGCCAGACGTGGTTCTTACTGGGTTGCTCGCTGTCGTCTTCTTCAACTTCGTTGTTGCCGAAGAGTTATCCCTTCAACAACGTGTTGATGCCGCCTTTCACCTTTCAAGCGCCGCTCGAATTCTTACCCTTTCCAGATCGGAGATCTGTCTCACTTTCTAATCTAATCGATGTGGAGTTAATACCGCCAAGTGACCCCCTCCGCTCCTCCATTTTCCATGTTTTCCTCTCATTTTCTCGCCTTTTTTTCGAGAACCTGGCTCGTTTCGAAGGCCTTCATAGTTGCGAATCACCCAATTCGCTTCCCAGGCCATCATACATCCGCGCTTGGCACGTTGTTGTCAGATTCGGTCTCTGTAACATATCCGTATTACGAATGCGTCACAGGAACGTCGCCAACGTCTCAAGTCTGTTCCGGAAACTAGGCGCTCGCAAAGGTCTTTCAGGGACGATTCGTCGACGAACCACGCACACCAAAACCTAAAATACGCGTGGCTACTTGGCATCTTTGGCCCAGCCAAGACCCATGCCATCCCACCCTCTGGTCAGGCCTCACTGGAATTGCCAAACCTTTGGACAGTTCAAGGCAATCCACTCTTCACCATTTTACCTGGCTCCCACTGAACTCTGGCCTCTGGAAATAGTACATATAAATGCTTTTTTAACCGTTGTTTCATTCAGTCAACGCTGGGATTTACCTCTCTTTCCCTCGGTCTAAAATCGCCGTCTTGTATACCACACATCGTTGCTAGGCTGCACGTTCTTCAAGTGATTGAAGATCTCATTCTTGAATCTTGCTCCTACTAGTCAACCCCAGTTCAGTGATCACTACTCTCCAGTAAACCCACGTCTCACGCGACTTCGTCCTCGCTCTCTAAACGCGCCAGCCTCATTTCCCTCCCGCTCATTCCATGAAGAACGGCCCATTATTAATGGCATCCTCGATTCATAAGTACGGTAAGATGAATATGAATTGACATCAAAATTAGTGATACACCGGCACCACGACACTGGCTCGAACAACGGTCGACCGCGACTTATACATATTTCCATGCAAAAGGGGTTCAATTTGGACTCGATTCTTTCTTCTCACAACCTCATGACACCTCATGACTGTGGAGCCTGACACCCTAAATCAGGCATCTTCATCCCCATCCATAGCCCGTTATGAACCCGAGGGTTGACAAGTTTTTAGGGGGATATCCAGCACAACAATCTTCTGAGAAGAATACTCGCAATCCCGCTGTCCCGATAGATTGGCTACAATGATGCAGTCCTCGAACCATTGCGCTCGTTCTCATAGCCATCGCGCTTCTAGTGCTTCAATCCCTGTGTCTTCCGAGTTACTCTCCAACGTCGGATCTCGAGCCATGACTTCTTTGATCTCCTATGCGTCGGACATTCTATTGGCCATCAGAGTTCCACCAACCACGATTAGCTGCGCTGGTCATCTTTCGCCTCGCAGGACATAAGTAATATGGATCAAGGTGTTGTAGTCTTCAGATGGTGCGGCCCTAATGCCCTAAAAACTAACCAAATCCAGTACAAAACGTTCAATCCGAAGTTACTTTGTTCTCAAGAGAGTAAAGTCCGAAGAGCGCCTAAAACAGGCCCAATCATTCAGTCGAGGCCGCTCATGATCACGTCCTTCACGTTAGGAGCGTATGTGGGGATCCCTAGAACAAACGACCATGTGTTAAACTTGTTAGCCCTGAAAAGATGGGGGTTAACTGGGCAACGACGCGTACGGAGCTCAACTGTGCCTAAGGCAGCGCATCCATCATCACACCCAACGTATCTCTGTTGATGAGTCTAGAATTCTACATGCTACGAGATTGAATTGCGTGTTTCCTTGAATACAGTCATCTTGCTACGCTATTTACCGACCCACAAACCTGTGACACTCACCCCGTTTCAGGTGAGGAAGAAAGAGGGTTCCAACGATCCCGTCCTTGTCAAAGGGCCCAAGGCGCGTCTCAGGCCCTCCAGCCTAGAGCTCGGAGACTGGCCTCTGCTGCTTATAATTAAATCCTCTGATTGTGTGTACAGCACTTATCATAGCGCGGTTTCAATTTCGTCACATCCCGCATCACCGCACGGAATCCGTAAGTAAATCTGAGCTGCGTATCACAAGTAGTCTACTTGCACCACAACAGACTCCTTCTGCCGGCATCCTTTAGGACTCTTCGGTCCGTTATCTGAGAAAAATACAGCCAGACCCTGGAAATGAACAAAGGCCAGGAAGCGCCCGTGCCCATGTCCTTGCAAAGTTCAAATTAGCCAATCCTTCCGACTTACAAAAAGGATAAGTATTACCAGAGCGCTGGGGGTGTTAACCTGGGTCTAGATACCTCTTTCTGTCGACACCATCATATGTCCTTGCGCCACAAACTCAGCGCCACTGTCGCTTCCTCGGGAAGGGCTCATGTAAGCCACTACTTAGTTAGTGGTAGGCTTCTTCGTGGGTATGTGGGTGCACTGACGGCGAGCGGAGGGTTAGAACCACTCGATACTCGGGCGACTTGGGCGCCAAGGGTCGAAAACATAGCCCACAAACGATCCAAACACTCCACGTAAAAACTCGTCTCTTCGAGTTGTCTTTCCATCCCGTGAGCACCGACGCAGCAGCCAAGAGAACTGGTAACCCAACCGATAATTGACGTCCCTAAGCGACCTCGATGCTTGATGAGTCCATTGCCACGCGTCGGAGGGGGATCGTCACCGACAGCGAGCAAGATCTCGCTTGCTAAACAGAGGAAAGGCTCACAGTGATTTTTATCATATCCTATCAAATGCGTACCCTCCCTCACGGTTTACCCCTTCTGGCACTCAGCCTGAAAGAGGCAGACCCAAGGCTATCAGACGGTGAAATACTTGGAAAATTGAGCCTCCTGGAAGTACCGATTCGAACGGGGTTTTGACTTGGGGAGAGCTCGAGGTGGCCTCTGGACTTCAGGCCCGCTCTGCAAACAATGGGTACATGACTCAGTACCTCTAGTCAGAGGTGCAAGCGACGGTAAAATGTTTAATATCACATCTCAGATTAGCAGAGTAAATGGGCGCTATACACCGGCTGAGTTGCCCAACAAGTACCCTATGCATTCAATCGCTACATTCCACGAAGCTCGCATCGATGACAGTTCCTGCCAGCCTGCCCCATCTGACCACTCCAAACATGACATACACCCATCCTTTCCGAGGTAACACGACGCCTAAATCGTTCTTGCAGCCCTTGTTATTTCACCTAGAAGTCTCTATCATCACCGTCCCTGTCATCGCAAGTATCAATCAGGTTGTCTACTCTATTCAAGTTTTGTCCAAGCCCTTCTGAATTTTTTCTCGATGTAAAATTCACTAGAGTCTCGACGTCGTGGCGCTACATACCTACGCACGCTACGCGCACTCGTCTGCATCCGTGCCCTTCGATCCATCCGGCTTCATCACGGTCTACAGACTGACAGTTCAATTCAATTCAATTGATTTGTCGAGACGCGCACACGGACCACACGGTTGTCGAGAAGGTAAAAAAAATCACTAGCCAAAGCCGGAGAGTCGAGCTGATCGACAAGGCGTTTGAGGTGGTTCGAGCAACGTACGAACCATGAGATGGGGAGGTATTATGCAACTTTTGGCCGGACTCGCTCAGCCCGGAGCGAGAACTCGACTGGATGGCTCCGAATCTGATCGCTCGTGACATACCACTGCTTCGAAAATTAAAACCTCGTGGCTTTTACTAACGTTACAAATGAGAGTCCATAGGAGACCCACAGCGTCCAATATCCTCCTATTGAACATGGAAGATGACACTGCAAAGCTCGTCCGGACAGCCTTACAGACCCCCGAATTTTAAGCAAGAAATGGCCTGTCTAATCGAGCGCCACTAATTTACGGGCGGCTACTGTCGCCTCAACAATGAGCCGCCCTGTGTACCCCGCATATCCATTCTGGGACGTACTCCTGTGAATCTCGAGCGTCACTGGAATTCAAAGTCAAAGGGAGAGGGAATTAGACGAGAAAGAATTCGTTGGTGAACATGTGGGACGAGTCAGAATCTGGGAATAGCTTTCCCAAGAATGTCGTGTCCGATCGGCTAACGTCCTGGTCTCGTGGTACAACCGAAACAACGATTCTACATATCCGAACGGAGAGAAGCTATGGCCTGAATAGTCACAATCAGGATGGTAGGCATGGGCAAGGGAATGCGTGCGTTTATATCGGCCTCTGGGGACAATCCATAGCAGATTCTTGTGCACACAAGAGCAGCTGAAACAGAAGCCAGAGATCTAGACGAATTAAGCGGTAAATTACTAACATGGACAATTCTAGCTATAGTTACTGGGGTATTACAGGTGTCAGGATTATAGCTTGTAAAAGGCTGCAACAAAAGAAAGAGGGAGAGACAGACGATCGAAGAAAACCAAAGACAAAACCAAGACGGAGAACGCGAAAGAAAACGACGCCAAACGGAACAGCCGACTCCCAGCGGTCATCGAAACGAAATGCGCTTGAGGGAAGTGTTGCGCAGGACCCTCCGACAGGGTCTGATTGTCGCAGTTGTCAAACAGCCGCGTGCCCGACTGTGGGGCGTATCAAGTTGAAGGTACCACCGTAGATACCTAATTCCGGCGCTCGGGCAGGCCCACCCTAGCATTCGCCCGCAAGTGGACTATGCGTCCTCATCTTCATTGTCCTCGTCCCTCTTCCTCGAAATCAACACATCATCCCACTCATCTCCCCCATGCCCATGTCCATGGCTCCTCGAACTGCTCAAAGCAGCAGCCGAGGCTTGCCTCCGCAGCTCCGAGTTATCCATCAACATCCCAGGGTTTATCTCCCTCCTGTCCTCCGTCGCGATAGCCGACCCATCTAACCACGAAAGCGGCTCAGGGCGACACAAAACAGCTAAGAAGTTCTTGCGCCAGCTGCCATGCGAGAACGGATTTGGTGGAGGAGGTCCCGGGACAAGGCTCTTGTGCGCTTGGTTTCGAATCTGGTTGGTGGAAGTGGTCAGCCACGCACATGGAGAAGCGGTAATGAGAAACAAAGATTCGGAAGAGGATAGACCAATGGCAGGCAAAGGATGCCTTAAGCCCGTAAGTCCGAGCATCTGATAGTCACGTTATGGCATATCACCAAGTCTCCCCAAACAACGGGAAAGGCTTTCAGCCCGAAGAAGCAACTTGCTGGACCAGGCCTCCTGATAAAGATAGCACAAGGTACAGCAAGAATGGGCAAACGCAAGGGCAGCAGATGAACCATTCGCAGACGCCCCTGCAATTTAGTTTAACCGGAAGTTGAACTGGCGTTACGTCTGCAGACGTCAAACTGAAGAAACAAACGAAAGCTAAGTAGTCAAATGAAACCATATACACTCACTTGTTCTATAGTCGTGACGTTTAGCAGGAGAAGCTGTAACCCCGAAAAGTGAATGTGGCAAAATGAGCGTTGCACGAAGGTCGGGGTAGACCCAGGTCAGCAGACAACAAGGATCGTAACGTCCCACAGAGAGCGTGACGTGGACAACGACAATCATACCATGAATGGCAGTGGATGCCAAAGTCCACCGAAATGCCAGGTGTGCGGGACACATGGGCCCAAAAGGATGGGATGGTTGACGAGCAGCACGATCCAAGATGCCGCCCATCGAGTGCCAAGTTGCACAGAAGACCGAGTCCATTGAATTGAATAACGAGAGTCCAAAACCAGTGAGAGGGCCCACCGGTTAAACGGCCGCGATTTGTCGTGTAGATTTGTCAATTCGAGCGTTGCCATCAATGCCCAAATAGAGCGGCGGTGCGCCAATCCATTCAAAGGCCACGAAATTCCCATCACCATCACGTTCAACGCGCCCAGGGACAGGTTGAGAATGACGAGAAGCCAATACGGTCGTCATCGTCCGTGGGATGCATCGCAACACGTCCCACGAACAGCGCGATTGACAAAAAGGAATCAAGAGAAGGGAAGACGAAAGAAAAAGCGCCAAAAATAGAACAGGTTGAGCCAACAAAGCAGCGGAACAAAACGTGGGGAACAGCCGACGGAACGGGAGGAATACCAATGCGATCAACGGACAAAACACCGGGAAGAACGCCGGGAGCAGCCAGTCGAAGGATAGATAGAGCACACCAGAACGCAAAAGATGGAACAAGGGGTTCAGAAAAGGACAAGGATGGAAGTCAAGGGAAAGGTTAAAATGATGCAAGTAATCCAGCACCGCCATTGTAAATGAAATCAAGGGGACGGAAAGGGGAAGGCCACATTCCAACAGCGAAGAGTTACGCCGATCAGAAAGCCAAAGCAATAGACAGCGAGGCCCGCATAGGCACGGATAACAAGCGGTTCGCCCACACAAGAAGGAGTGTGCATGGTGGGCAGGGCAATCAATGGGTCAATCAGAAAGGAAAACAGAATGTTTCCAAGTTTCCAAGTGGCGACAGAGGGGAGGTTGAACCAGATTGCCAGAGATCGTGGACCAGGAGAGATTCGAGCGTATACCGCGTTGAAAGGTTTTACCGAACAGTGAGAGAAACAAGGAATGCGAGGTGAACCCGTGAGTAAGCTTATCACGCTGGAGAAAGCAACCAGACTTCTACTCACGCGAAGGTGATAACTGAGCAAAGCTCCAACTGGCCAAATGACAATGATAGCGAGACAGAAGACGACTGCTGTCCCGGGTGTCCGGCCCAGAGCCTGCCTGAAAGAGAGGTCTTGCCATCGGGTCAAAAAGTAGAGTTGGAGAGCAGCCGTGACAATGATTAAGCACAGAGTGAGAGTCTATCACGCGCAATCAGACCTAGGGTGATCACAGCGAGAATGAACACGTACAGCAGTCATCAATAACACAAAGAAACTCGTGTAGTTCCTTCTTCCAACACAGTTGTTCACCCATTGACAATGATGGTCACAGGTGTCGACGCAGTTGTCACACTAACCATCCTGATCAGAGGAAAAAGGGCCACACTGTAAAGTAATCACTGACCATTTTACAGTGGCTAGATCGTGGTGGTCGGTAGGTCCTACAGGTTGGACAGTACTTGACTCGAACGCTGAATCGGACGGGCCAGGTCAACGAGATCAAACCAAGTCGAAATGAGCACAACTCACACATCACTTCTCACTTTGAGGTCCCTAGGCATTGGAGTTCTCAACTCTCCATCTAACGGGGAGGTTGCGGGGTAAGGGGGATCAGGATCGAGGTTCCTCGGCAAAACGCCTGGATCGCTGAAAGCCTAGTGTCGCTTCGGTTAGCCAGAAGGATTACAATGACACAGCATAAGTGAAGTAACTCGCCGTGATGAGCATACTACTCAGTACCAGTGCCGCAGCGTAAGCGCACATGATCACAACCGCCTTTCCCGCCCTTCTCGCAGCTGGGTTCACAACGTACAACTGCCTGTCCCCCACCACCACAGAACCTTCGCTTCCAATCACATTCCCCTCCACCCCTCCATTCATGATACGGACAGCTTCATTCGCAACTCCCAGTCCACCTTCAACCCACCACCATCTCCCGACACACCCAAACCACACACCAGCAACACCACAAACGATGGTCAGCGTGAGGATGAAGGGCCAAGGATTGTCCCCGCCGGTCATGCATCTTCCACCAAAGAAGAAAGAGTTACGAGAGGGATGAAGGAACCAACGCTTGACAGGAGTGCCTTCCTTAGGAGCCGAGCTAACGGGTAAGGAAACTGGGATTTTGGTTGTCTTTTCACCGTCAGCGGTCGGGGTGGCTGGTGGTGAAGGGTACAAGAAAGTCAAGAAACCTTTGCTCTTTCTCTTTGTACGGGTAGTGGTAGGCAAGGCCAAGCTGCCTTCGCTTCCTGCCTTCGTTCGTCCATTGGCAGCGGAATCAGGTACATAACCCTTCCTTCCTCGTTTCTGCATCTTCTGTAACCTCCTTTCGGGGACGAGGCTCGGATCCAGAGGGTGGTACAGCGGGGTCTTCATCAACGGGTATTCACCCTTTTCGAGAGGCGGTGGTCTAGGGTCGAACGAGGTCGGTGTCGGTGTGGCCGAACTGCTTCTATCCTCCGTCCCATCTTCACCCAACACTCCCTCATCGTTCGCCACAGTCATCCTATCCACGAAGTGGCCGGCAGCGCTGGAGATCCCACTTCGAACCGAGGAAGCTGAGGTTGACCTGTACAGTTTGCTCCGCCTCTTAGCCTTTGGTGATCTTGGTGTAAGGGGTATCCCCGTCTCTTCTCGTAGTCCCTCCCCATCACTCCCGCTCTCCAACACCATATTGCTGTTGTCATTACTCCTCCCGAAGCTAAATCGCTTGGATCCAGTGGCACTATCCATGCTCCTCCGCAAAGATTCAAACGTTAGCCTAGGCTTGTACGATGCAGAGTTGCGTTTAGCGGTCAATGAGGAGGGCGGGGGGATGGCTGAAGCATCGATGCTGACCCGTTTTGATTTCGCCTGAGGGTTTCCATTAGCCTGTTGACCAGACAAAAGAAACTCTTTGCTCGGTTTCCCGCTCACTCCATGGGGCGTCTGGGGCGGCTGTTCGTCGGAGGTTCTGTTGCCATCTTCGTGAGCCTTCACAAGCTCGCTTGAATGATTCGAATGGTGATGCTGGTGGGCAGACAGCGAAGAAGAGTGAGACAAGGAGGTTGATAAGGGATGAGGACGAGGTGCCAGGGTATCATTCTTTTGAGCAGGCCGCTGATTGTGGTCGACGGAGGAGGCAGCGCCGTCGTCGTCGTCGCTTGAGTCGTCGAATCGAGGCGGCAATCCGAGTCTACCAGGGCTGTTGTTGTATTGTCCCGGTCTAACAGGGCGGAAGAAACTGGCATTGGGCTGAATCCCTCCCGCATGCGTGCTCCTGACCGATGTTGGAGACACAGGCGAGGTTATGCTTCCACCACTTGTGAACGCCGCAACGTGCCCTGTGTATGTCGACGCCGATGCTGGGTACTGAGCATTGTGCAACTGGATGTTCGAGGTCGTTATTGGCAGCGGTTGGACTGGTCCAAAGCTTGGTTTTGTGGGACTTGTGGTCGTAGGCGAGTTGAGTCCCAGGGGTGAATGGCTCGTCGTGGGGCTTCCTGGTGTGACGGTGACGAGGGTCGTCGGTAGGGCCAATTGGCCTATCGAGTTGCGTTTGGCGTGCGACATGGCACAGAAAAAATAAGAAAAAGAAAGGAATTAAGGAGCGTAGGGGAAATTTTAAACGGGTTAGGTGGAAGATGATATCAAAATCCGCAAAGTGCTGCCAGCATACCCTATCCTCGGTGATTCCCACGACGCGGTGCAAGACGCGGTAGAGTCGACAGCGACGACGAGCTAATGGTCTTTTCTTGCTGGTTTGCGATAAAACCGTACGCACTTCTGCTCTCTGTCACCAACCAGATAATGCGCCGCCGACGAGTACGGAACAGAGCTCTCCTTATTTTAGGGTGATAAGCTCAGCGGCCCCTGGCGCGTTTGCTCATTCACTGAAGAACATGTCCCTTGAGATTCACACCCGAGACGATGAAGGTTTGCCTCTAATTCTGCGGCACGATGGCGAAGAGCCCCTGTCTGCGCGCAGGCCCTCCCCGTGGTGGTGAGCGAACCTTCAAGTCTCTGACGGAAACTCGCTGATCCTCATCTAGGGTGCTATCCACTATCCCACTAGCCAAGATAGCCACAACTATGACTCTGGCACCCAAGATCGAGCTCTACACTACGATTGCTTGCAACGACCTAGCCATTATGGAGGGATGTGCCTCGAACCCAGCCATCCAAGTCTTGGTGGCTCAGCTGAACACAGGTGAATCCCTGGGGCACACTGGACATCGGGACACCATCTTATGTCGACCCTGATAGCTGAATACACCGCGATTGGGGTCCTATCAGTTTTAACGACGGCACTCTGGGCATCGGTAAGTCAAACCATAATGTCGGCGGAACTTCATTAATTAATGCAGTCAGTACTCTGACCGGAAAGGAAGGACGATTGTGCTGGCCATAGCCGGCTGTGGGATGCTCCTTTCAGACCTTGTCTACATCCTTGTTTCTACATTCTGGAAGTCACTTCCAGGAAAGTATTGGCTGTTCGTCTTTGGTCCAGTGTTCGAGGGCGCTCTTGGAGGTAAGCGCCCATGTACTGTCGTCAGGATGCTGAATATCTGAGTTTCTGCTTAGGCGCCTCCTGGGTCGTTGGCCTAAACGCGTATGTTGCTGACACTACATCGGAAACAGACAGGTACAAACATGAGCGTTCCAACAATGGGCCTATTCTTATCTAGTCTAACAGACCTCGTATACTTTCAATGTCACTGGGTATGCAATTTGGAGCCATGGCACTGGGTCCAGTTGTAGGGTCACTAGCAATGAAAGCTAGGAGCGGACTCGTTTCCGCTTTCTATGCTGCTGCCCTCCTCCATGCCGCTTTCATAGTTTGCACTTGGCTCATAATTCCGGAATCCCTCCCCGCTGTTAGATCAGATTCCAAGCTGCATTCCAGGGTCGACTCATTCCATACATCTCCAGGGCAGCACCTGTGGTATCTGGTGTCTGCGCCCTTCAAACCTCTCGGTATACTGCTTCCAACGGTCTATGGCTCTGGCAGTAGGGATTGGAGCTTACTTCTCCTTGCAGCAAGCTTCGGGTTTCTGTATCTGATTTCAGTAGGTCCTAATGCACGATAATTTCATAGGCCCAGTCTAAAGCTCTACAGGCAGACGTTCCCTACAAATTCATTTATGCGGCAGCGCATTTCGGCTGGTCCGCGAAGGAGGTGCGCAGGTTATATCTCTAATGGGATTGGTGCCTTGCTTATTACGTTCATCTAGAATAGTTCCTGGCTCAGTGTCGCAGCAGCAGTCCGTGCACTCTGGTTGCTGGCTGTTCTTCCCTGTATGAACGTTCCGTGATTTATGGCTGCAATATGCTGACCTATCTTTCCATAGGGGGGTTGTCACTCATCAAGAATAAACCTAGGGCTCCACGATGCACAACGGAGCCGACTGCCAATAGCGAACCATATTTCCTCTCTGATATTGCACTCGCGAAACGGTTCTTGATTGCGGAAGTCGTCGCATATGCAACAATGTTGATGTGGCCCTCCGCGTTCTCGTTTTACGCTGTGGGCATCTTGGGCGCGATAGGCGCTGGCTTCCCTCCCCTGATCGAAAGCGTCATGCTGTCGGTGTATGAGCGAAACTATCCAGGACAGGGGGAAGTAGGCAGGCTACTCGGGGCCCTTGGCGTCGTGCAGACCTTGAGGTAACATACATATGCTTCTCGCGGGACCGATTACTGATCCCACACTAGTGCCCAACTCATCTCGCCTCCACTATACGGCTTTGTGTATATCACTGCCGTTAGGACGTATCCTCCTGCTATATTCGCCACCTCGCTCACGGCGTTCGTCCTCTCGTTTGTTGTTCTCAGTTTGGGGCAGCCAAGTGGCCGCCACAGTCACAGTGTGTCCGGCTAGCTAACCGAAGATGAGCCGGATGGGTTCGCACTGCTTTCGAGGGTTTTTATTCGCTTTCATAACACACGTACAGTAAGAGTAGACTTTAAGCTTAAAGAGGCATGTTCTATTCGTTTACTTTCACGTTGAGTGGGCTTTCCATCTCCCAAGGTGAACGGAGACCAATATCTACAGTTTCCATCTGATAAGATAACCGGAGATCGGAAGCAATTGGTATGCAACGGAACGTCAGAATGAGAATCATGGTGTGTAATCGAACGGCAATGTGGCCATATTCACGACCGCTTGAATTACCGTGGAGAACATCATACACCGCGTCATTTCTTCCAGGACAACCATCTCCCCTGCCTCGTCGACCTGGGTAGCGACCTCCGATGGCGAGCACAGGAAAACGCCACCAACGCTCAATGTCGCGTTCCAGGTCAGAGCGAGCAACGAGCGAGCAACCGTACGTTACCCAGGCGAACAGTCTAATTTTACCGGATGGACCGGTGAACGAAGAGGCAGCTGAATTGCTGGAAGAGTTTGTCGGGACGCATCATCACGAAGGGGCGGGGCTCATTGGTGACGAGGCGGACGATGGCGAGCACGATGAGTGGAAGGATGTACCATGGTGGAAGAGGCCGTCACCTCTGTGGTGCGTTGCTTATCTTGATACCATGTCATATACGTTTCGTGGACCTGACTGTTTTATGGCGCAGGCTGCTGTGTATGGTCCCGTTTTCAGCGTTGGCACAATCGTCGATGCTGGCACCCAAGGTCGAGCTGTTCACTATGCTCGCATGTCGCGTCCATAAACCGGATATATACGATGGAGGACTTTTGCAAGCGTCGCCTGCCCAGATACCGGAAACCTCTGCAGCATCCCTGATAGCATCAGTCGTCCTCCCTGAAGTGACAAAGTTTGACCATTTGACCGCTCCAAATCCATGTGCTACCGACCCAACTGTTCAGGCAGCGGTTGCAAAGCTATCCGCAGGTGAGAGTTGTGACTTCAGCCATTGGAAGCAAGCGCCAACCGTTACTTCACAGCTATGACGACGACTATGGGCGTCCTCTCCTTGTTAACCACGGCTTGGTGGGGTGCTGTAGGTTACCATTCACTCTGGCTGATCTTCACATTGAGCCCGCCTCTAGCTATCCGACCGCAAAGGACGTGTTTTTGTCATGGGTGTCTCCCTTATTGGCCTGCTGCTCTCTGACTTCAACTATATCAATGTGTACTATTTCTCGCAACATCTCCCTGGAGGATACTGGTTCCTATTGTTGGGACCGGTCATTGAAGGGGCACTCGGAGGTAAGTCTTTTGGACAAACCTCCCGAGTCTTCTACCCCTGACCTCCTTGACTAGGTTTCGCGACTGCCGTGGCTGCTATACACGCCTACCTCGCTGACACAACTACCGAGAGCACAAGGTACGTAGGGTATATCATGGAATTCTTATTTCATAACTCAAAGCGCAGCATCCAGGGCGAGAATATTCTCTTTAAACCTCGGCCTCTTATTTGTGGGCATGGCCCTTGGGCCGACAGTTGGCTCGCTCCTCATTCGCCAGACCGGTCACATAATTGCGATCTTTTTCATGGCCGCCACTATCCATTGCGTATACGCACTGTTCATCTGGGTAATCCTCCCCGAATCGCTGTCGAGAAGGAAAATGAAACGTTCACGGCAACTGTACGAACGTGAAACGGAGGAACTAGCTGCTGAAACAGAAATGAGTCGTTCATTCCCCAGACTTCTGGCTTACAGGTTCAAATTGCTCTTCCGGTTCCTGAGGCCCCTTACGATCTTCTTCCCCGATTTCAAGCCCAGTCAAAACCCGTTGAAAAAGCCAAAACGGGATTGGAACTTGACGTTGATGGCGGTTGGATATGGATTTACTATCTCTATGATGGTAAGCACGCTGAGCTGAAATCCTACGAATATATGCTGATGTGGTGACGTACTAGGCGCTATACCCTTTTACTTTCCAGTATGCAGCAGCTACGTTCTCATGGACTTCTGTGCAGGTACGCGTGACTGTCTCATCTGGGCTTCCAAATCGTCACTGAACGTCTTGTTCTAGCTGGGCTATTTCCTCAGCATAGTCGGCGCTGGCCGTGCCGTACTCCTTACCATCATTTTGCCTGGTTGGTGTTTTCTGAAACCCGAAGTGAACATGGGCGCTAAGGACCTTTTAGTCATCATTAGGTTGTTCAAGCCTGAGCCTCTGGTCATCGAGATACCACAGTTTCCGACGGAGAGAGACCCGTTACTTTCGAACTTTGAAAACCCCGCTGGAGCATCACCAAGACCCGCCAAACCGCCTTTGAAGAAAGAGCTCCATTCCCCATCGTTCGAGCTGGGCGTCGCTCGGGTATCTCTGGTAATTGAGATCATCGCCTACAGTCTCATGGGCCTAGCGCCCTCCGGAACGACCTTTGCGATATCCGGAGTAATGGCAGCCATGGGAGTTGGGTTCAGCCCAGCCGTCCAAACCTGTACCCTGGCAATGTACGCGAGAAGGGGTGGAACTGAGACAGGACGGCTGTTTGGTGCACTCAGCGTTATCCAGGCCCTGGGGTATGTGGGATCGGGATCTTCCAATGACGTGCGATCGCTTGCTTACTACCCTAATTCTAGCTCTCAGGTCCTGGGCCCGCCCATCTACGGCCTTGTGTACATGAAGACCGTCGAGTTCTTCCCTGGGGCCATCTTCTTTGTTGCAGTATCTGGAATGATTGTTTCTTTCGTCCTGTTCACGTTTATTCGGCTTCCCAAAGATGCTGAATTACGGAGGGATATCATCGCTGCATATTCCAGCTCGGAAAATACTGAGCGACCGGTATCAGCGGATAGCACCAGTGGTACTGGTGTTATCGGCGACAGAGATTGACCGGATGGCGTCTAAAGATGGGATTTCTCTGGTTTCCTGGTGTGGGTTTGGTATGGAAACATATAGGTAGTGTTCTGCATTTTGTATAGGGTACATGCGGTTTAATCTTTTTTTCGCGCTGTTCGGATCTACAAGGAAGGTCTTCAGTCCTACGGAGTCGGCAGTCGCTGGGTTGGATATCAAGCGACCATGTGCTAACACGTTTTCGATCGCCCAGGCTGCAATGGGTAACGCGATTATCAAAACACCGGGAGAATTTAGGCGTAACGTGAGCAAAGCTTGGGTATGGTGGGCAGAGCAGAGTGCCGTTACTTTATTCATTGTTCTGATATGGGAGGGGAAGTTTACTATGTGCGGCGGGCGGGAGAAAGCGACCTTGTCGAGGGTCAGTTTTCCTATAAGATCAGCCTGTTTTCGCAGTTCATTAATTCTCAGAACCTTGTCCACTGATTCACCTCCCCTGGGTTCTTCTTTCACCATGAACCTTTTCGCTCAATTTGTTACTCTTTCGCTCGCGTTCCTATCCGTCAACGCGGTCAACAACTTTGGTGGCATCGTTGCCTCCAACAGTGCCAGTACTGGGTCGTACACTTGTCGAACCCAGCAGCAAGTTAGTACTTCATACTACTCATTCTAGGCATCGGTGAATGCTGACCTTGTGGACTTCTCCTGCGCCTGCCTCGGTGTGGCGTCATCGTTGGACACCCTCAAGTGGAACGATCTGGCCAATACCGCGCGCAACAACGGCTTCAGCTCTATCCGGGTTCTGTCCGTCGAGCCCGGCTGCGATGCTTTGAACAGGGCTGCAACAGCCGCGGCTTCAGCTGGGTTGACCGTCTTGGCTGGTATCTGGGTCGATGTCAGTTGGTGGAATCTTCCTTGGACCATGATCATTGTATACTCACTCGCAAGCTTCTGATTGATCCGGTCTGTAGGGTACCATGGCCCAATCTGCTGCTAACATCCAGTATGGAAAATTCCTGTTCTCGGGTTGGAGGGGCTCGCTGAGTTGGAAATGCCCATTCTAGACGTGATGCCGCCCTTTTCCGCGACGCAGTGAGACGCTTTGGCGCCGGCCGTTTTAGGGGCTTGACTGTCGGAAACGAGGTCAGGGGATTTGAACACAAAACCGCTGCTTCACCTACTGACGCTCCCCAGGTTAACGACTCCCCCGCTAACATCATCAACAAGGTCAACGAAGTCCGAAGTGAGTACCCAGAGCGCTAACATAGCTTTCCGGCGCTTAGATCTGTTTGACTAATCACTGGTACCAAAATCAGATTTCCTCCGCTCCAACGGAGTCAACACCCCGGTCTCAACGGTCCACACCTGGGTTCATATTCGTGATAACCGCGTTTTGTGCAATGGTGACTTTGTCGGCGCCAATGCCCAGTAAGTTGCTCAACCCAATGTGTTCCAGCCAACCAGGACACTGATGAGCACCCTCTTAGCGCCTTCTTTGATGGAAATGTGGTTGGCCAGCAAACTGGGGACTTCGTATTCAAGACCGTCGTTCCAAGCTTGAAGGGCGCTTGTCCAGGGAAGCAACTCTGGATCACTGAGTGAGTATTCTATCAGACGAGGACAGGTTTGGATTTCGTTGCTAAAGCTGCGGGAAACTCAGATCTGGATGGCCATCACGGGGCCCCTCACGAGGAAGGGCTGTTGCATCTGTTGCTGAAGCCCGCACGGCTCTCCTCAACCTCAACTGCGCATGCCGAGATGACCGCAGCGTATCCGTCTATGCCTTCGAAGCTGACGACTCTTTGTGGAAGCCAGGGAACGATAACGAACGTAGCTTTGGTATCTTCGGCAAGCATAACCTCGGTGAAGTCTTCGCACCTTGTTAGAAATAGGTTTGAGGCCTGATCTAGAGTCGGAATAATTTGATTTGGTATTTATCCTGTGCTGATTGTATACCGTTCATAAGAGTCTTTGTCCTACACACTACCGCCATCCCATCTTCATCGTGTCAACACCATTTATTAGCAAAATCCCGTATCAATTTATTGGTTTCCTCGTCGTCGTCTTCACCCTCGGTTGGATCTTCGTCGGCACAGTCGACATGCTCGTTCTCCACCTCACCAAAGTCCCAGATATCAATGGAAGTAGCGCCCTGCCTGTTCACTGCGGCAACACACCAGCTGCCTTCAAAAACAACCTGCCAGACACCTGTGATGCCTGTCAGAAGATCTCGGACGACAGTCCCATCCCTGATGTTCCACATCTTGAAGTTCCCGTCAGACCCGCTGAGGACCTTGAATTCGTCATGCTGGAAGCACGTAATCGCTCCAGTGTGTGCAGCAAGCGTATGCTGCAGGTCTCCAGTCTCGGGATTCCAAACCCGGATGGTGGAATCGGCTGCGGCGGATACCAAATGCGAAGAAGATAAGCCGACCAATCCAACCAAGGATGTATGCCCAGTCAGGGTATGCTGACAAGCTCCAGTTTGAAGGTTCCATACTCTGACAGTTCCATCCATGGAACCGGAATACGCTTGATTTCGTGCCAGGTCAAGTACAACGCTGTAAACTAAATTGGATGGCGGATTAGCATTATGGTGCGAGAAACAGCAAATTACCAGCGAACCTTTTTGGGTATGACCTTGCAATGTCCATTTGCAGACGCCATTGATGATGTCCCAAACGCGAACAGTGCAATCATAGCTTCCGGAGACCGCAATTCTTCCCCTGGCACTGATTTCTCTGACAGCATGCTCGTGGCCTTCAAGATGGTGTCGAAGGTATGGGTTCTATGGGATGCATATCAATATAGGACGAAAAGTGTATTGAGATTGAAATAAACGCCTTACAGAGACGTTGTCATCCGAGATATCGCCATCTTCATTGAATTTGGTTTTGTATCCGGGGTCTTCGGGCCTAGGAAGTGTCCATATTCGCAGGGAGTGGTCACGACTACCAGTGACGATGAGGTCTCGCTTGGGCCACCTCTCCTTCCGCGTAACACCATCGTCGCCTTCGACGTCAATCACCTCCGGTTTCACCAGTGTCAGGCACCGTACAGTCGACGCATGCCCTCCGAAGATATGTTTGCATTGGCCAGTCTTGCGGTCCCAGACCCGTACAGTCTGGTCTGTCGACCCGCTGATAATCAGATCCTTGGTAGCTGCGAGAGCCCAAACACCACCGTTGTGTCCGACGAGTTTGTATTCCAATTTACCGCCCTCGAGGGAGTGAACGGATATGCTGTTGTCATCCGAAGCTGCTATTATCTGCCCGTAGGATAAAAGTAGGGCAGTGACGACCGATGAACCATGTGCGGGGATCGTTGTGTGTTTCGGTTCGTTGTTGGCCCAACGCGTATATGTGAGCGTCTCGACGTCGACGGAAGTGCTTGAGGGAGGTGTGGGAGTCATGGATAACCAATTGGAGTGAAAACGATGAAAGAAGCAGTTATGAGATGGCGAACAAGTGCACTTGATGGGAACGGTTTTCTCCGCCACTTTTGTTGCCAGGATGCACTGCCTTAATAGTAGCCACGGGCCACGAATCAAGAACCAACAAATCAAACCAACAGAAGGGATAGTTGAGGTAGGAGATCGTCACATTCATTTGCTTGGTTCAGGGATGTTGTGCTGGAGATGGTTATTGAGTAGATAGGTCTATTCCATAGATCTACTCGGGCGTTAAACACCACTTCTCGGCTACAAGCTGGAGCAAGGATGCATACCTGCTACATTACAGCGCAATTTCACGATGTAGTGGCGGTAGTAGTGGTTGGTGGATTGGGCGTAGCACGGGAACTGGACGATTGGCTGTCGACGTACTCGAATTTACGAGAATCGAGCGTGAATGTGACGGGGCCCTTGGGGAAAGTTTGTCAATGACCACGGAGACTAGAAAATAGCACAGAGGCGAACCTCGTTAGTTAGGCTAACGTTCATCATGGCACCGAATCGACCGTCTGGAAGAGGATTTCAACCCACTGAACTCTAGAAAATAAGAAAAGATTAAGCACTCGCACCTTTAATTCGTCCTGCATCGTATTGCTTGCCAAGCTGTTCTAGGAATCTGGCATACATGGCTTTGGACCCATCTGAGGACTGTGGACGAATGAGCTGCAAGACCCGAAAGTGCAGATGCGGTCATACCATGGCACGATGGAAATCAGGCTTATTGCCCTTGTGCGTATTGGCAAACAGGGTGAACTGAGAAACACAGAGAATCTCTCCATTGATATCCTTCACGCTTGACTTCCACATTTTACTGGTGTCTTTCTGGTCTTCGAATACCCTCAAAGACAAGCTTCCAGCCATCGTTAGCGAGTAGAGAAAGGCAATGAGAGCTCGCGCGTACGCCAACGTACATCTTCTTGGTCAACGTCGCGATATCCGTATCATTATCGTCTAAAGCTAAAGTTAGCGGCATACCAGAGATGAGGGAGCTGGACAAACCTACTCCGATCCCCACAAGCACCATGAGTCCTCTACCAATCTGTGACACCATCTCTCCATCCACTGAAATTGTTGAGCATCGTTGGACCCGGAAAAAGTCGAATGCGGTCGCTTACCTGTCACAGACGCCGACGTTACGCGTTGAACGACTGCCCGCATATTGAGAACCGATATAAGCTGGGATCCACGGACAACGGTATGTGGTGGTTGCTGGCCAAGCTCAAGTCCAAGCCATTCAGTATGGGCGCCTCACGAGGACGAAAAGTTCGTTACGTAAGGTACACGGTCCTTGTCCTCCTCCCCCCACCTCGATACCCATAACCAACCACAAAATGGAGTCCGTGGTCCTTGAAACGAGTGTCGGCGATATTCAATTCGAACTGTACTGGAACCATGCGCCAAAGGTGAGCATCTACACGGTAGTTTGCGTACCAAAACTCCAGCCATAACTGATGCAGCACATCTAGACCTGCAAGAACTTTGCTGAACTGGCAAAACGAGGGTACTATAACGGGGTCATCTTCCATCGAATCATTGCTGTGGGTACTGGTTAACTCGTGATCAAAATGACGGGTACCTTACCATGGTTTTCATACTGTCAGGACTTTATGATTCAAGGCGGAGATCCTACTGGAACGGGCAGAGGAGGAACGAGTATCTACGGACAGAAATTGTACGTCGAACTCAACAGTGTCACCCACTCCACTGTATCTAACTTGTGTCCAGTGAAGACGAGATCAGCTCTGAACTGAGGTTCACTGGTGCAGGTATTCTCGCGATGGCAAACTCGGGACCAAACACCAACGGTGAGTAGGTTATATCAAGGTCATTTCAGAACGTTCGTGTATTTATTGTCTCCCAATAGGTTCGCAATTCTTCATCACGCTAGCACCGACACCTTTCCTCGATGGCAAGCACACCATCTTTGGGCGCGTCAGTTCTGGAATGCGGGTGGTTCAGCGGTTGGGAGCAGTTGCGACAGATGCTCAAGATCGGTATGTTGTGTCTATGATGCCGGGAGACCCCTACTTACGACTGGCGCTCGTTAGTCCACGAGAAGATGTAAAGATTCACAAAGGTCGCTTGCTATGAAGATCCCAGCCCGCCATCCAACTCCAGGGAACCTCCGTTCCTGGCCTCGCATTCCCGATAGTCTACGGGATATGTGACTGCTCCTCCGTCACCGAACGACATTTTCACCTATTCCAGAACGAGCAACAATCCGACTTGAACAATCGGTTTCTGGCGCCCACTTGCTATCCTTCCTGGATTTTGAATAGCCTCTTCCGGCATATTATTACGTCTACATATGCTACACTATTTACAGAAAAGAAACGGCGAGGTATGACTGTCAATCCAGATACCAGGGAAGAAGGAATCGCAGAAAACGAAAGGAAGGACCGAAGCAAAAGAACATCGCCAAAGAACCTCGTGCTATATAAACACTACGCGAGAGGAATAATGCGCTCAAAGAAAAGAAATTGTAAGACAGGATACAATGTTCAGGTCAGAGCAGTAATACAGCCACATATGAAGGAAGAAAACATAACAAGGAACGTCACGTCAATATAGCCCATAGGAACTGATAAGTCATACAAACTGCAATGGATTAGGGGGGAGACGGTGCGAGTGGAAACAATTGACATGTGCGAAATTCAGAATCGTGATGATGGTGATGATGGATGGTGGGTTTTGCAATGAGGAACGGTTGGTTTTGCAAGAGGTAGGGTGTCTATCGTCGTCGAACATGAGTCCGTATCCGGGGTCGTGTCGGGGTTTCGTCAAGCGGCGGTAATGTACCGATAGTAGTGGATGTCGAGGGTCCCATGAGCGGTGGCCCTCGGCGAAGTTGAAGTGGTGGATTCCTCGATGTCCGTGAACGACTTGAGCTTACCTGAGAAGTCGACCCACCCCGAGACGAACTCCCAGCAGCCGAGGTGGATGCACCAATATTCCATCGTTGCACTGCTTCGCTCGCTTCAGACTGTGGCGCTTCCGTGTCCGAATCCGCTGGCGGCTGTTCGTCGTCGAGATCATCCCGCCCTTGGCTATCAAGCCGCATTTCCTCGTCCACATCCTCCAGGATCTCCAAGGATTCACTTTCCGACGGAACGAGGTCCTGGTCCATTGCATCAATGTCAGCTTGTTCCTCGTCGTCATCCTGCATCGTCACAAAGCGTCTGATACGCTCATTTGCCTCGTCATCATCGTCTCCGTCATCGATAAAGTCTTCATCGTCATAGTTGCCATGTGGTGGTTCTCCAATCCAATCTTCATCCTCGTCCTTCCCAAAGTCCCAAATATCGATCACTGTTGTGTCCTGCCGGTTGCTCGCCGCAACACACCACCGTCCCTCAAAGACGACCTGCCAGACACCCGTGATGCCTGTCAGAAGATCCCGGACGACAGTCCCATCCCTGATGTTCCACATCTTGAGGTTCCCGTCAGACCCGCTGAGGACCTTGAATTCGTCATGCTGGAAACACGTAATCGCTCCAGTGTGTGCAGCAAGCGTATGCTGCAGGTCTCCAGTCTCGGGATTCCAAACCCGGAGTGTGGAATCGGCTGCGGCGGAGACCAAATGCGAAGAAGATAAGCCGAGCAATCCAACCAAGGAAGTGTGCCCAGTCAGGGTATGCTGACAAGCTCCAGTTTGGAGGTTCCATACTCTGACAATTCCATCCATGGAACCGGAGCACGCTTGGTTTCGTGCCAGATCGAGTACAACGCTGTAAACTAAATTGGACGGCGGATTAGCATTATGGTGCGAGAAACAGTAAATTACCAACGAACCTTTTTGGGTATGACCTTGCAATGTCCATTTGCAGACGCCATCGATGATGTCCCAAACGCGAACAGTGCAATCATAGCTTCCGGAAACCAAGGTTCTGCCTCTGGCAGCCAAGGCTCGAACGGCATGGTCGTGGCCTTCGAGAAGAACGCGATGGTATGGATTCCTCCTGGTATCCTCAAGCTTTGGCGAGTCAGTTACGAGGCTCATGAAAGGCTAAGGTAGACGTACATGGTGCTCCCCGGCATCCCCATCATGATCTTCTGCGCTGCTGGATCGATATTCGGGATCTTCAGGCCTCGGGAGTGTCCAAACCCGGAGTGAATGGTCACGGCTGCCAGTAACGATCAAAGGTCGTTTGGGCCACTTCTCTCGTCGGATAACACCGTCCTTGCCTTCAATGTTCACCAGCTCCGGTTTCACGATGGCAAGACACCGCACTGTACTTGTATGTCCTCCGAAAATGTGCGTGCACTTGCCTGTGTTGAGGTCCCAGATTCGGACGGTTCGGTCCGTAGATCCGCTCACCAGAGTGTCCTTCGTTGCTGCCAGAGCCCAAACACCCCCATCGTGCCCCTTCAGCTCTCGAATCAGTTCTCCTGTTTCGGGAGAGTAGACGTGAATAGAATGATCATCCGAAGCAGAGATAATTCGACCATGCGAGAAGATAAGGCAGGTGACGACGGAAGAACCATGTGCTGGGACTGAGATGTGTTTCGGATCCTGGTTGTTGACCCAGCGCGTCCAGGTGAGATGCCTAGACTTGAAGAGAATTTTGTAAGGATGGGGAAGGGGAAGGGATTTGGGAAGGTTAGGTTGTTGCTGTTGTAGCCGTCGTCGCCTGGCGAAGATGGAATTGGCGAACGCCTGTTCCGATTCACCGCCAAACCATATTTTTGTACTCTGGAGAAGATCACGCCAGAGGACGGCATCAGAATCAATGATCGCGCGCCAGGCCTTGGAGACTCGAGATGCTCGAGCGAGGGTGGAGAAGGGTAGGAAGCTAAGGATGTGAGAAACGAGCTCTGGGGGAAGTAAAGTGATAAAGTCGCGTGCCAGAGTCGGTGTTAATACGGACTGCAGAGTGCGAAGGACGGACAGAGGCGAATGGCGCATGAGTGTTAATAGGAAGTGCGATTGTAATTGTGGTGGCAAGTTTGCGAAATGATTGACAAGGTTGGGGAGAGCGAGTAATGCCGTCAATGAGAGGTCAGGTTGAAGCGGTGCAGGAGAGCCTGCTCCGCTGGGTGGCGCAGAGGGCCAGATGGTCTCAGGCGGGGGAGACCCATGGGGTGAGGGCAGCGGGGAGGGCGGTGCTGCTGCGTTTACCGTCGAGATCGGGGGCAGCGGTGTGGCTCGTGCCTTCTTCCTTGGTGGCGGGACAGTGACACCAGATTCAGTGGTGAGTTCGATGTCCATCATGTCCGAATTGTGCGCTCGCTTCTTGCCAAATCGCTCGACCGCTTCAGCAAGACCAACGACGGACGAAGTGTCCTGTTCATCCTTTTTCACCATCCTCCATCCCACGCCCCCAACCACTTCGTCCTGGCTCTCGTCCTCGGAACCTTCTCCTTCCCGAAAGGTTGCGCGTGCGCCATTGGGAAACACGAGCGGAAATTTGCGCAATGACGAGGGTAATGTGGCATTCAGTAGGGGATATTGCTTTGGATCTTGAGGAGTTACTGGCGGGGGAAGTGGTGGCAGAGGAATGGGCGCGTATGTTGTGGTTGTCGTCGTTGTCGTTATTACCCTGATTACGAACACAGTCAATGCTGGGCTACGGCTCTAGAGAAAATACCCACTTTGTCGTGCTCACTGACGGCTGGAGAACAAGATAAGGACGTTGGTTGGCACTCATAGTGCTGATGGGCAACGAAGGAAGCAACTGGCACAGAGTCCTCTGGGCAAAGAACGAATCCCACACGCGTGCAACATATTGAGTCGGAGTTTGAACATTTCATTCTCATCGTCACCCTCACCAAGTTTCTGTTTCGAACTCCAGCCCGTCGTCTCCTTGTCCCAGGCTCACAATATGCGTTCTCTCCCCCCTGTCAAAGCAGGCTGCAACGATGAGACCCTTTTCTTAGAACTCTCTCGGATTTGACGTCAATTTTCCCTCTTCACACTGTTGACCTCTGGTAGTCATCCAGAGAAGCACACACACAAGCACAGTGATCTCTTTTGCCACCGCCGTTGGACGACATACGCAGTCCTTCATTAACCCTTGGCCCAACGCGCAATCCTGGTGACAAACGAGCGACATCTTGTTCTCTCTTGCTGCAGGAAGTCTCCAGTTTGTTTGATAAATGGTTCCTTCATTTACGGTGTTCTGATCATCGCTCTACTGACACCAATTATTGGGTTCTTGATCTACCCTTAGCGATCTAGGCTCGCGAGAAGAGTGTAAAGGCAAAGGAAGTATCGGCTGCCTAATTCTCCGCCATCGACAACTCGTCCGGGTATCAGAGGTCACATCGTCTTGTGGTGCCTCACTTGCGTCCCCAGTCCAGATGCTCACCCTTGTTTTCAATCGGTCACAGAGGCTAGGAATCACCTCCTGCCACATGAAAAATACTAGCTCTGTTTGGATGAATCAAGCGTGTGCTCCGTGTTCAGTACAATCTGGTTCCCGCGACTTCTCGTCAGTGCCAGTGATCCTCGCGGATGGAATCTGGGGTCCTCCCCATCAGCGATCCCCTCCACGGTCACAGACACATGGAGACAACGAGCTGTTGTCGTCACGTCCCACCCGTATTCAGTGTCAGAGAAACCACTATGTGACCAAGAGTCAGAACATTCTGCACGGTCGTGAGTGTTGACGTATACTGGACTGTGTTCCTGTGGGATTGACTTACGTCTCCCCTTGTTAGTCTTCTGGGCTCCAATATCAAGGTTCAAAAGCTTCCGTATTCCTGAACAGAATCACCCCACCTGACCTTGCGCCGCGGGAGTACTCGAGGTTGGATTCCCTTGCCACTCTCTGACGATCCCAAAACCTCCGGTTACTTGCCCGAATCGGCATCCCGCTGATATCATATTTACGAGACGGCGTCGCCTTCGGGCTTGTCGAAGTGCGAAAAATAGTAACAATTTGGGATTCACCTGACAAGCTACCTCAGGCAATTCCGCCAGTCTTACTCGCATCACGGCTGGGATTGACCTATTTTGAAGGGCCCAATAACAGCTCGAAGATGCTATTCAAGATGCTACATCTTCAAAGGAGGATTTTGGTGAGTTCAAGATCCTAATAATCGCCTTTTAAGCAAATTGTAATGCATTTTGAGGGGGTCAAAATTCTTCCTGTGAATGTTATATCGTGCGCACCATTCTCCCTTGGGTTCTGGGAGCCGCTGAAGTTGTCACTCCTGGCTGTGATGCATCAGGTGAAGGTGTCTTGCTACATTTTGTACTGCATCATGTCGCAAAACTGCAATTCTTTCTATGAACTCTCTGGAGCCTTTCATGGGTACTTTCCGGATACAGGCAGTGGTCAGTAGTGGCCAGTACCGCCGTGGTCGTCATTAGCATGCCTCGTCGACGCCATTTCAATCACATCCAATCTGACTCTGACCCTGATCTTGGAAGCCTCTTCTCCCCTTACCATGGCCATGCTGATCCCTGCCAAGTCAATCTCTTTCTCGGTCATCTACTACCGACCCCCTTGGAAGCGATGACTGACCATGGTGTTGATCTCACTTAAAGCCTGCGTGGGGAGCACACCGGACCCAAACTGAGCACCTACCTCGAAAAGATGGTCGCGTGTGCCTCGCCTTCACCCGCCACCACGAGGATCCGATTCGTAAATCACTCGTCAAGTAGCCCGAGGTGGAGGAACTGTGAGCTCGACGTTTAAAACCACCTCTCTCGGATTCTTTATGATTAAACTTTTATCAGTATTACCTTCAATTCGATTCAATTGACCGCAATACCTTGCAGTAAGCTCTTGCCAACTTGCTGTAATGACAGGGGGCAACTGGAGGGATGCAGTCCGTTGCTCCATTACGGTGCACCGCATGTAGGAGATAGCACTCGGCATCGTTACCAGTATTTCACAATGATCGCCTTTCTGAGAAGTAAGTGCAGTATCGAGCATAATAGATGGGACGTTCCCATGTATGTTATTGTATCATAAGGGTCGTTGAGTCCCCCCTTCCTCGCAGAGCCGGATGCTCGAGTGAACTTCCCAGGGAACATGCAAAAGAAGAAAAGGAGATCGTTTTGGTCTAAGGCCAGCGGGGCCTACACCTTCCAATAACGTTTATTTGATTGAACACACATTTCCACTCGAGAGGTGAGACGTTCGGACTCTGGATCTTGGATGGGAGGGAACGGGAATCAGTTTAAGCATACGGACACCGCCTTCTAAATCACTGAAAAACCAGAAAAGTCTTTTGTCCCTATAAACTGCGATCTCGACATCACTGACCTTCAACTTCGAGTCCTGAAGGGAAGCAACCTTCACCGCATTCTGAAGACGGGACTTGAGAGGCGAGAAGTCCCCGACGAGACCGCTCGCGCGCCATTGAGCATCCGTATCTGCTTCAATCTCACTTCTTTTAACGAAAGCGTTGGATATACCTGGGATCAGAAATGATCGAGGAGGTGTGGATGTAAAAACTTCTGATCCATGCGCTCAAGACAGAACGACATCGTCTCCCTGTGTTCTTCCAACGTTACAATAACGCTATAGGTTTACGATGCCAAGGAGGGGCTTGGTGATAGAATGGCCGACGCCGACCTGGGGCATCAGAAATTTAGGTTAGTCCGGAGGCTTTGAGGTCAGAATCATGCTCCGATCAGTTTCATGTCGGGCGCTTAATTAGTCGTTGCAGAGAGCTAGTGGGCTGTGAAGTTCCATGCTTCATCTACACGAGGTCCTGCCGGCCAAAGCTCGCGTGGTTGGAGAGAAGCAGGGACAATGACCTGAGATTCGTTGCAAGCTCGTTGCTTTCCGGTGTCGTTTCTTGGCCACAGTGTCGGAGTTCCATCCCCGGGACTGGTAGAGCGACAGCCGGATCGCGGGTTTTATGCCCACCACCACGCATTTTCAGCAAGCTCGCTAACAACCGAACCCCAACAGACCCCAACACCATAACCTACCACAGCCCTTCAAGCCAAAGCCACCGCGCAACACCTTAATGAACACGAGGTGCCTTCTCGCTTCCCTAGGCCCTATACCGCTGTCCTCCTCGTCTCTCGAGGCTCACTGCTCAAAATGGATTACAGCGCTCCATTCTAGGGTAATCGGCAAATATGTTCATCCCATTGGCAATGCCCCGCCGCCAAGTTCGAACATTCAACGGATGAATTGCGACACTCAGGGGCGGATCTACACGTCTATCCTTGTCTCAACTTGAAGGTGGATAAGACCTTGGGTAGGTGGTGTACTTAGACTCAGGCTGGCTGACAATAAGCGGCTCATCGTTCCTCTACCTTCTCGCCCTGGTTTGCCATCCACCCTCTTAGTTGGAACTTGGCTGACATGACTTCGACAACATGGCTTTGCTCCACCCTGCACGATCGAGAACTCCGTTCGATAATCCCGAATTCCCAATTGCGTGATACGATCGATGCGCTGACCTGCGCTGATGAGAGGGGGGAGGGGGCGCGGCGGTGGCGTTGTGCGTGGCAATTGTATATCGCAGGTATTGCATTTAGATCACCGCCTTGGGCACGGAACCATGCGTGCTCGTCGAAGGGTCCAGGATCCGAGCCTGGAGAGGCAGAGGAGGGGGAGTGCAATTGGAACGAAATGGAAAGATCAGGGAAAGATGGAAAAATAAAGATTGGTTTTCTCCTGATTCGACGGCGTGGAGCATCGATCGTACCTGGAATTGCACCACGAGCCACGCAAAAGAGGGGTGGGGATCTGTTCTTGTTCCGTCGGCAGCGGCGAGGGAGTCCGTCGGTAACTTTTGAGTTGGACTACTGGCTCAAGGGCATACAACGGTGCATCGACGGGGGAGGGGAGGAAGGCGACGAGTGGAAGCATCTCTGCTGCATTCCGTCCTCCCCTGTTTACCCCAGACTTTGGGGTAGACCTGGGCTGGGCACACAGGCGGGAGCTGATCAATAATGTAAAGGGCTTGACTGGTTTGGGTGACAAATACTAATACTATAGGGGCTCTCCAGGAGATGTAGATGGTATGACTCGTTTGTAATTTAGATTTCCCTTGTATTACAGTTTCTCTCGAGGGCTAGGCGCTGGGTTAGAGAAATAATAGCCTTTTGGGGGCACGTTCAGTTGGCAGTTCGGATTTTCCAGCCGCGTATGGTCTAATTCGTAAACGTTCGTACCAACGGGTCGTATGAGCTTGGAGCGAGTACGTCTGGCACCCACTCTTCTTCGGACTGAGATCACCCATAACCCAGAACAGATAGATCTTTACAAGGACTGAAGATGGAATACTTGATGTGACAGTACCGTAGACGTATGTTTTGTTGTCCATGCGATGCATCAAGCTTTCGAATGCTTCGGTCGTATTTACTTCAAGGTAAGGTTTTCGAAGCAGGAAGGAGGTGTAGAGCCGGGGACTATAAATGGATAGCGGATTGGTCAGTTTTACTTTGGTGGGTGTTAATCCTCTCACTGGCTTTATGTTCGTGGGTTAACAAAAGGGTCACGTAGTAGAATAAGAAACACCGTGGAATCCGAGTCGGGCGAAAGAAGATGTCGATTCGCAGGTTCCAGGTTCGCAGCTTCATGATTGATGGGGTAAAATATATCCCAACTTCTTTACTTCAGAGGAAGAGATGAATGTAAGATAATAGATATCATCTGAAGTGCGTTTTCGTGATTTGGGAGATGTTTTGACTCGGGGAGAGAGCGTTCCTTTTGCACGAATGTCACCCTACGATAGAATAATAACTGTCACGGGTCTCACTTCCAAGTTTCGTTAATTTGCAGAGGTACTAGTGGGATATGCAGCTCAATTTAGGACGTGCGGGGTACGGAGGCCAGATAAGATGCTTGGCAACATTTGATGTCTTGGCGCTTATGTCGGCGTGATGTGACTGGCTGTGACCTCGGCAGCCGTGACTGGAAAATATGTTCCCCAGATTTCTGGGACAACGGGGGCGAAGGTGACTGGCAGATACGTCCGTGTTCTCTATTTCTGACTTTCTCGTCTTCTCCCAACCGAGTCGTCGAGTTTTGCCCCTCTAAAGCCCGGTGTGTGTTGCAGCAGGGGAGAAATCAGCCACCGAACCGCCGTCTTCTGACTTGTGTCAGGCGTGGATTACCGGCATCCTACTACGGAAGTCCAAGTTGCCTGGGGACGCTTCTTGTTTTGAATCCTTTGGGACGCGTTTATCTCGACTTCCCGTCATCTTCAGATCTCCGGAAACCCGCGCTGGGATAACGAGAAGGGCAGTGTAAACCAAATCCCCCATGTGAGTCGCTCGTTTCTCTTATAACTCTCCTTTTTTCGTGTTCTGTGCTGCGAAGTTACCGCACCTGAACCCCGCAGACGTCCCAGGACCGATGGCGCTGTCGGTAATGACGCCCTCCGAGCCTTTCTTCTACCACCAGGGCCCATTGAGGCACCCTCAGAACCAGTTGACGCAGTACTCTGACCATCCATTCCAGTTTTCCCGGTTTCAGACGTACAGTACTATGTCCCATCAAGAACACCAGCAATCGCAGCCCGTACATAATCCGACATCGCCTTCGGTCCCCATCGATCCGGCTCTGAGTATCTATTCGCCCTACCCACAGTATTACCCCCAGCACGACCAGCAACAACACCAGCAGCAGCAGCATCACCCAGCTCAACAGCAGGACCAAGCACACATTCTGCCCCACCATCTCTCCGGACCATTGAGCTACTCGTCCCCCGGCTCCCAGTTATCAGATTCAGTCGGAACACCACCCATGGACGCCATGTACTCCACCGCCTCGTCTGCAAATTTGAACGGAAAACGCCCCGCGACTAGTACCGTTACCAATGACACCCGGAAGAAGCAGAAACGCGATGAATCCGACGCTCAGAGTCCTGCTGCAGAGAAGTCAGAGGAACCCAAGCCTAAACCGACGCGGGGTTCTCGGTTAGTCCGCTAAATCCATACCTACATGACGAGCTTAATTGGTTAATCATGCCCCTCAGTGCCTGCACCGTTTGTCGACGGCTCAAGATGAAATGTGTGGGAGCCGAACATGGTCCCCCTTGCAAGCGCTGTATAACCGGCAACCACGAGTGTATCTTTGAAGAATCAAACCGAGGGAAACGGTCTTCCAAGTAATTGAAGTCACCAATTGTTTTTACTCCCTACTTACCTTGGTTGCTACAGGAAACACGAGTTGCTATCACGGTCGCTTCGCAAGATGGAAAAGACGCTTGACACTGTTCTCCGTTCCATCGGCAATCCGAGCATTGTGTCAGGCATGGTATCTCGGTCCCCTTCTCCCGGAGCCCAGGGTCGATCAAGCCTCCTTGGTCGTTCCCCTTCGCCACCTCCGCCTACCTCTTTCGCTCCCCCACCGCGTGCTGGATCACCCAAGTTGCACTCCCTCCCAGACAATGCACTTAACCCCTTGGGTCTCCTCGCAGAAGCTAGTCTCGCGAATAGGCGGTCCCAAGCTTCGAATCCAAATGCAGTAACGGAAAGGAAGGAGAAAGACACGCCTCAGGTTGGCGTTGCGAGTGACAACTACTTCAAGCCAGGTGAGGCATTACATTGAGGCTTCGCGGTACCAATCTCACACGGGATTTTCCAGGCCCAATGACGATTTTGCCTTTGAGACGGCTGTACATCGAACGTCAAGTGCAACCCGAGATGCTCAGCTTTGTTACAACAGAGGAAGTTGTTGCTCTGTTCAACATGTGCGTCCCTTTGCGTCATAACAACCGTTTTAAGACATCTAACGCGTCCATCTCTCAGTTATTTCGAGCACATCCATGTATGTTAATCGCGTTGTGCGCCTTCAACGGTCCCGGCTGAACAGTTTTTCTTTTAGATGCACTGTAACTTGTTGGACAGAAACTTCCACACGCCATCCCTCGTGTGTTCGCGTTCGCCTTTCCTATTAACAACAAGTACGTCCCATGTGAGATGTAGTGTTTATGGGCGCCTCTTCTCACATGGCCTTATAGTTTGCTCCATCGCCAGCAAGTTTTACACTGCAAAGCCGGAGCTCCATCCCCGCCTGACAGAGCTAGCGAAGAAGCTCGCGTTCAGCGTACCGGCAAAGGGATACAAATCCGTTGAAATTGTTCAGGCATATCTACTTCTCGCGCTCTGGGGCTGTGGAGCCGTTGAAAGATATGAGCAGGACAAGACGTGGATGCTGCTCGGCATGGCGATCCGGTATGTCCTTTCCTGCGTAATTGAGCTTTTCGAACAACTTCGATTGACACGGAGATAGTATGGCAACCGATCTCAATCTGCACAGGAAAACTGCGGTGACAAGTGCAGATAATGCAGAAGGCAAGGCACGGGACATCGAAGTCCACAATCGTGAACGGACTTGGATTATGTGCTTTGTGCTTGATCGAAGCTTCAGCGCACAGATGGGTAAACCCAACTCAATCAAGGAGGAGTACGTTGCTCTGTTCTTACTAGCGCAGTAGGTTGTTCTTTGGACTGACTCTATTTAGTTATATTATTCGACACGCCAGCACCTGGTACCGTTCTCCTGTCTCGAGTCCATCAGACGCTTCCCTGGTTGCTTATGCGGTTCGTGTTCGCTTTCGTTTTGGTCACCTCGTGGTGTTCAACTTGCTTGTTTAGGAATTGCAACGGATATTGTCGAGAAGCCTTGACTTCTTGTACAGCGGAACCGATACCGTGAACGGATTACAAACGCATTGCGATTATCTGCTCGTCATCAAGACCTTCGAGACGCAACTGTATGCGTGGAGGCAGCAGTGGTACAACGAGCGCAGCTGGGAGGGTATGTACATATCGGATGACTCCATGTACGTTTGCTGATATCTTCCTGAAGGCGAACCTCCTCAGGCAGTGGCGTACAAGCGTCTGATCTCCCAGTTCTATTTCAACTATGCCATGCTGGTGTTGAACTCCTTTGGGCTGCAGAATGCTCTGGAACGCGCTCCGCTTAATATTGGACATTTCTTTGCCAGATGTCATACTTCTGCCATCACTTGTGCGACGCTCGTGCGAGATGAACTGGGGCCTAGTGGGTTCATCAAGTACTCCCCTGATTCCCACTTCGTCCAGATCTCTTATGCCGTTTTAAGCTTGCTGAAGGTGGGTAGGCTGAACCTTTACGGCTTCCGGTATGCTCACCGATACTGCAGCTCATCCGTCCTGAATTCCAAGCTTTCCTGGACAACGAGCAAGCAACACTGCAATTGGTCAAGGATGTTGCTGACGTTCTTGACAACATTGCCGCGAACCCCCTACACACCCCTGCCTTGTACAGCGGTTTCCTGCGTGCTCTCATCTCTGCCAAGCTAGAGCCGCAGCTGCCTCTTTCCGCACCAGAGGAGCCGACGAACAACTCTGGCCCCGACAGCAATGCCAACAACAACAACTCGAACGCTGTGGACGGAAACAACGACTCCAACGCTCCTGCCACATCCTCTTCAAACCAAAATTCCGAGATGCCCCCTCCCAACGGCTTCCTTCATCATCATCACCCACAAACGCAGTTCTCTCATCATGAAACCAACCAGAACATCTCGTTCTCGTTGAATGAGTTCCAATTCGATAGCGAGATGGGGCCTGTGGCTGACATCTCGACATTCCCACCTACGATGGCGCCCCCACCTGCTGAACAGGAGATGGGGGCTATGACCATGGAGAACATTCTCAGTAGTGGATTCTGGGATAGTATGCTCGTTCCAGGTAAGGGTCTCTAATCCCTTTATGCGATGGATGTACACTAACGGGTCGCTTATACAGGTTATAACAGCCTGGATGGTTTCAGCGGTGGCTTCGTGTTTGGTGCTGGCGGAAGCGGGCTCATCACGCCCCGCTTTGGCATCTCGCCTATGCAATCCGGCGCTAATACCCCTGCTACGTCTGGCCAGCACGTTCCCCTGACGCAGAGCAGCATCAACGCTGCTTTCAGCAAGAACCAGCAAATGTCCGAGGCCGTAAAGGTTGATGCCTCGTAGCCACCCGCCGTGGCTTTTTCGTTCGGTTTTCTGTTCCTCTTGTTTCGGACCGCTTTCGTGAAAAATGTAAATGTACTCTTACTCACCTTTTAAACAAGTCTCGTGTTGTTGTACTGCTTCTCTTTTTAGCGCTAGTAGCTAAGATTTTTACCTTGTTTATTCGTTTCGTTCGGTTTTCTGGAATCCTCGTCTGTTTCTGTAACGACGTTATGTCATTTCTATTATTAGTTTAAGACTAGTATACCTTGTTTGCTTTACGTAGTAGCAAAATGCCTATGTTGTATCATACACGGGGACAGTCATCACATCTAGGTCGAGGCCCCTATCTCGTGCAGCAATGAGGTTACGTCATTGGCCTGGTGACCATTTTCCAGCGCGCTGTGTGCCTGGCTTGAGCACCTTGAACCGGAACCACGACGGAGCAACCTCGATAGTAGCCAACGACGACAACGCCCAGCTCGAGCCTTATGATGCTCTCTATCCAGATTCCGACGTTGGCGACTCTCCTTGTCCTTCCTGGTACGCTGGCGGCTGTTCCGTGTCGTGCGCACAAGGCGGAATATGGAATTCTGAATGGTTTTAATCTCGCTGTTATCTAGATGTCCTAGCTCAGACCTGGCTGTATATACCCGGATTTGACCCCCAGCCTGTTAGCGCGAACATTGCTGGGGTCGATGAGCGGGGGAGGACAACTTGGATTCTGCAGCAAGGGCAACCTTCAGCGGGTTTCACGCCCGGAGTGGAGTTCGTTGGTACTGGTGCGTCCATCTCCTGTATCACAGTAGGGTAGTACGCTGAACGTTTGTATCTCCAGCAACACTTGTCGAAGGCTCGCAGGATGTGTCATTCACGTATTCCAATTCTGCCGCGAACTTTGCGATAGGCCAAGAATGCACCTTCTCGGACCAGTTTGCTTTGTGCACTATCGTTGCTCAAGGGAGCACAGCCGTTCAGACGGAGTTTGTGACCCGGGTTGAGGTCCAAGGCGGAGGGAGTACGACGGTCGACGTTTCCCCAACAGCATCTCTCCCTGAGAGTTCGAATACACCTGGGGATGATTCCTCTCGTAGCCCAACGCCCTCTCCGACCTCGGACGCACTGCCTGAAACGACGCCTGCGGATAGACAAAGCGAGAGTGGAAGTGCGAGTGGGGCATTCCCTGCCAATCCAGAGCCGTCTTTGCCAGGCGGAGATGATAGCTCGGAGGGCGTCCTTGTGTCCTTGAAAGCACACCTCGCCGCTGGGGTGCTCTTGGTCAAGCTCTTTGCCACCTTGTTACACCATGATGGGCTAGTATAAGGAGGTAGCTGTAGACTATCTATTTGGTCTGTGCTTATACCAGCTGTTCCTCCATTGTCAGTGAAATGGAAACAAGAGTAACGACAGGCGTACGCGTCGGTACGTCGAGACTCATCGTTAAGCGCCCGTGGCTTCGCGCATGACTAAAAGGTCCGAGACCAAGTTTTCGTTGTTTCGTTGGCCCTTTTTTCGGGAAGCGCCGAACGAAGTCGAGGCACTGGACTCTTATGGAACCACCGGAAAGATTTGAGGAGCCACCCAATTGAAACTTTGCATATTCAGAAGTTAACGAGGCCCAGTGTTCTTACGACGAGAGATACGTGGGCTCTCGACTCGGGCCAACGAGCAGTGTGTAGATCTCGTCTCTCACTCGGATATTTTGCTGTTTCGAACTAATTGCAAACGAAAACAAACCGCTTGTACACCTGTCAATTGCTTTGGTCCTTTTAGAAGAACTGCGCTTTGACACGGGCGTCAATGCGCAAGGCCAGGTTGCGCTCTAACACATCAGTTTTGTGAGTCGGAGAGGTCAATCCAACAATGGCATACCAAAGCTCTGGCCTGTTTAAAAGGAGACCTCTCCATTAAACCTTCAGTCATAATCCTCTCCAGCTTCTACCCTGTTTACGAAATGAGTCTTAACCCTCTCCACGGAACTCCCTTCACGATCCCAGATGATGATCCGCAAGGATGCACTCTCATCGGGGGAGTTTATCGCAATTTCCTTTTCCTCCATCGTGGACGCCTTCCCCAGCATGCCTTCGACTACGCGTCGAGGTGGCATAAAGCCATTCGCCAAAAGCAATCCCCCCCGCCTATCCTGTTCGACCTTGCTGGCTATGTCAACCAAGGTATTCCCATGGTCGTACTGAAGAATTTGTGTATCTCTAGCCAAAAATCGAAAATGTCAGGCCCGGACGACGTGGTTCTAATTGGCACCCGAAGGATCAACCTTCGCATTATGGTATGTGATATCCTGATTTCATGCTTGTCGAGACGATGCTCACAGAATTTGCAGTGGCCTGGATACAGCAATACCAATGCGTGGGTTCGTGTCGTAAACGTTCCTTCCTCTGGATTTACCCGAGCTCAGCTCGGACAGCGAGTCGCTGAAGCGCTCTCCAGCTTTGTTGACGTAAGTCATCCCTTCAACAGCTGTGTCTATGAAGCCCCGTTGCTGACTATGCTTGTATACGTTCAGACCATGAGGACCCAGCCATGCACATCTTCGAAATATACGATCGCAGGTATTCGGTTCGACCAAGTTGTTCTTGTTGGTTTGTACCACCTCTTCGACGACAATTGGCAGCTGGATATCGCAATCGACAGGCTCTAATTCCTCATCCACGCCGCGCTGTTGCTGTTTTCTTATTTGATGCCTGGTTGCATCACCCAGTCTTCAGACTTCAACTAACGACCTTCAACTAACAACGCAACTAACGACGCTCATTACGCCTTCCGCTCACGCCACAGCATTTCCATTGACTTCTCACCCTGCATTTCTAGCATTTTTCCAGCACACCTTCAACGGCATAGACACTCATTCAACCCACTCGCATCTGTAGACCATCTCGCCACATAGACCTTAGAGGCACCCATCCTTCTTTATTTCTAGCCTTATTTTTATTGTATTTTCTTATGATTATGTTACGAGCCTAATGAAACGATTTTATCTAGTGCCATGTATGAGGCTAGCAAGGCTGAGCGTCGAGAAAGTAGCGCCCAACGGTTACAGTCCCTCCGCGGTCGGTATTAATTCGCCTCGAAAACATGTATAGTAAGTAAGGGCCGATGAGAACGAGCAGATGTACTACAAAGCACAGTAAGCACAATACTATATCCGCCTCCGACAGACAATCGCATTACCTGATCTAGTGACCAGGGAGTGGAACTGTTCCACATAGGGCGGGGATCGGCGTGTCGTCAGTTATGATCGAAATCGTGTATCACCGGATAATTCCCACGATGACTTGGCGCTCGTCATAAGGTGGCGTCGGGCGGGGATGGGTGAGGTTGATTAGATGCGAGCATGTCCATAAGCACTGAATCCTTTAACCAGGCTCTGGTCCTGGCAACACTCCCAACCCTTTCCCCTCCTCATTTCCTTTCTCCAGTCATACACACAGCCACAGCATTGACAAAGGAGAGACTCGTCATCGTCTTGTTCTCCAGGTTCTTCAACGTAATCCCTCTTGAAGCCGTGTCCACCACAAATCAAGATGCCAACGACGAATCCGTGAAAGGCCATAGGCGTCGCCTCTCGTACCCAGAAAAACAAGCCATTTCGCATACCGACGAGACAAACTTCAATGCTGTTCAGCGGCTCCTGACCTTCGTATACGTTCAAGCAACGAAGACTGCTCAAGAACATGGCAAGATCCTAATGGACATTGTCGTACTCTTGAAAGGCTTCAACGAGGATCTTTTCAATGATACCAGCTTTGTGGAAGGAGTTGGCAAACCCGAGATTGTGTTTCGAGTCAGCGGAGGTCTGTTCTCGGTTCTTTCACCATATGCAGATGTTGAACAAGATCCCAGACTCGATACCCACACCACTACCGCCGTCGCTGTCCACACTGAGGACGTCTTATCTTGCTTCAGGAGACCTTCACCCCGAACCTCACCTATCCTCGTCCTCCTATGCTCACCTGACGAGAGTTGAAACGCCACTTGACGAAAACATCGCACATGAAGCTTCTGCAGTTCCCTCAGTCTCACCTTCGCCGTCCCCAGCACCCAAAACCAACGGTCAGTCAGCAGCGACCACTACCGGGGACCCCACTTCCGAACCCGATTCTACATCCTCGGGCGAGGTCTTACCGGGTCTCAGCAACCTTCCAGTAGCCGGCACAAATGGTTCCGCGGAAACAGGGGCTCCCTCTACAGCCTCCGACTCCCTGACCACAATCAACGTCTGCCCTTCTTCTCCACACCCGACGCACGAACAAATCTCGGCTGTAAACGTCGCCCATGAAGAGTCCAAGTCCTCACCCCGGCTTCATGCACACTCGGCACATTCGCCATCACCGCTCTCGTCCTCCTTCAAGGATTCATCCGCCTCTCCTTCAAACGCACCTCCATCACCAACCTCACCGAGACATATCAAACTAAAGCTGAAGCCCCACAGGCCACCGTTTTATCCGGTTGTAGCCCTCGGAGGCACGTTTGACCATTTGCATGCCGGACACAAGATTCTACTCTCGATGGGCGCCTGGATCGCAAGTCGGAAGGTCATTGTCGGCGTAACATGTGGGTCTCATTTCTTGTTTCATTTCGCGTATCTGCTGCCTTCCATATAATCTTTTGCTGACCCGCAACGTACATTTCTGCTCCATTCAGCCGACACTCTTCTCAAAAACAAACCGCACGCCCATCTCATCCAACCACTCTCCCTCCGCATTTCCCATGTTAAGCAGTTCCTCCAGCTATTCAAGAAGGGGTTGGAGTACGATGTCGTCGAGATTAGCGACGTGTATGGTCCTACTGGTTGGGACCCTGACGTGCAGGCATTGGTCATCAGCCGAGAGACGAAGAAGGGTGGCGAAATGGGTGAGTAACCGAGCTATTGTGTCAGGTCCACACATGCCTCATGTTTGCACCCACTTTCCAGTTGCGACGCATCGTGCATCTCAAAACCTTCCTCCACTTGAGACATTCGTCATTGACGTGATAAGTGCTACTGAGGAGAGTTTGGATCATGATGATGCTGTGTGGCTTGGGAAGAACAAGTTGAGCAGCACGTTCATCAGAGGATGGGTTGATGAGAGGAAGAAGAAGGAGAAGGAAGGGCTTTGAAGTGCTGAAGCATTGTTCCGATCTATCTATCGTTGTCGGAGACCCAGACTCCCTCGCTATGCAATGGACTCAGTCGCTTTAAACCATTTAACTGAAATACATAACTTGATAACTGAAATACATAACTTGATGTAAATATAATGTATCATAGCCTATCTATTTTATATCGTCCGTCGCGTTTCCACCGCTTCAGAAACGAGCTCCAGTTGGCATCGCCGCACGAGGCGGCAGGCGTGGCCATTGCCTTTGGGCGTTAAATAAGACCTGTCGGGCGCCTAACGGCGTGCTTCTGGGAAGCCCATGCCCATTTGTGACCGATCTCGTGTATCTAGTACTGAGCCCTATCCAAGAAACGAAATTCAATTGATCATTACGCATTAGTTCAGGATATCTAAGGTCACTGACAAACTAGAAGGCATTGGAATATTGGCGACTACTAATACTAAAGTACTAAAGAAAGTTGCACAGACATCATGACACCGCAGCCGCAGCGAATTAGAGAAAAATCAAAAATAGGTGTACTGTACTTTGGAAAACTGCGTCAATGATTCCAACAGGTTGGAAGTACTAACGGAAGAAAGGAATCTCGAAAGCGAGCTGCGCGAATATACCCAATTATAGAGAGAGAGGATAACAAGGACGGTAATGAACGCAGATTAGGAGCACAACAAGATATGGTAAGGCATTAGGAGGGGTTGATAGGGTGACCAACGGGCAAAAGGCGTGCGTGAACAACGGGAAAGGAAGCGGAAGCGTCAAAAAGAAATGGGCAAGTCCTATGACTTTCCGATTAGACTATACCTTGGGCTCCCAGCTCTCGTGCCAGCCAACGGCGACCCGCCAATCAACCCGGAATCCACAGTCGCACTATCCCCAAAGTAGCCCTCCGCCTGGTTCAGCATAGGAGTCGCAGTGGATATCGAATTCCCCCTCGAATGACTCCTCTTACCCCCTCCACTCTTCCTCGAAAACCCAGTCTCACCAATAATAGGCGAGCTCAACGGTGCTTTCTGGATGATCGGCGAAGCAGTCGAATTGCCCGTGAGCGAAAACTTGGGCTCCTTGCCAGCGGGTTGGTTATACATCCATGTGGCGCAAAGGACGGTGGTGGCGCCGATGAGGAAGGAGAAGGTGATTTTGAAGTCGAAGAGGATGACGGAGGCGAGGAAGGAGAGGACGATGGAGAGACTGGTAGCGAAGCCTTTCATGATGTTGTCCGAGTACTTGATGACGATTGCCGTGATCAAGCCGCCTAAGACCTGGATGGCAACTGTCGCCCATGCCCAGGGTCCAAAGTTCCTGAAGAGGTCGAGGATGAACCCCCTCGAACCGACGGGAGTCGGGGCATAGAGTATTGGCAGAAGAGCTGGGATGAGGGAGAAGAGCGACAATTGCACGTTCCGCACCCACAAATCCGCCTTCGAGTTCTTCAACACCATCTCGAAATAAACACCTGCCAAGCCGGAAGTGAAGCAAGCAGCAGTAACGGCTCCAAACCCTTTCCAAGGGTTCATAACATGAGCATGGAACTCGTGCGCACTGCCCACGCCATGGCTACCCGAACTTCTCGAAGACCCTGTCGATTGAATTTGGACAATCCCGACTCCTACCGCCAAGAAGAACAGGGACAGCCATTTCACGCCAGAGAGCTTCTTCCGGAGCAAGGCAACAGAAAAGGCCGCGGTGGTCAGGATCTTCATCTGATACGTGACTTGGAAAGTCGCCACTGGGAGGTTGCTGATCGCGACAAACTGGAGCGAGTTCTGGATCACATAGAGGATGGCGGGTATGGAGAGTTTCCAGCAATCTGGACTGAGTATCTCTGCCCATACGTCCTGCACAGCTGACAACCATAGCCGGACGTAGCTGGAGAGTGACCGATGTGTCTGCCGTGTCGAAGGGTTGTCTTTCAGGAGAGGCGAGTTGGACACGGCCATGAAGAATGATATCGTTCCTTTTAGGATTTCGTTGAACAGGACCGCCGAAGCTGGTGAATATGCGAGATGGGCGGGTGTTGAGACGCGTGAATAGTGCATGACAATCGAGAGCGAGGCGTTTTGAACAGCGAGGGTGACGAGACTGGATGGTAGAGTTAGATTTCACCTTGGACACGCCTGGAAAATGCAACGTACGAAACATATTTGAGCGGCATACCCAATATTGTCGGCATGGCTTGGTTGTCGAGTTGCGGGGTTGCGCCGTTGGCTGTTGGGCCATAACCGTGTTTTTCAGAGTATGCTACCGCTGCAGACGGCAGTAAAGGGGAGACACGGGGAGAGGAAGTGCTCATCGATCCTGTTTTCGTTCGTACAGTCGGTTGGGGACGCTGGTACATCCTTTTGAAACTAGACCAGATTTCTAAAGAGTCGTGATAGGTCGTTACAGACTTGTTTCAAAACCTTGTGTAAGCGCGTTGGCCACAGCACAAAGTTGGATTGAACGTACAGGGTGGTTCTTGAGGAATGCGAAAGCCCGCCCTTGTCGTGTCGTGGACGTGATCAGAGTCGATGAAACGTCGCGGTCGTTACTTGGAAAGGGATACTAGGACCTGTGGCACCTCAACGCTACGGAGCTGCAACTTGAGCCTGAGTCGGACGATGATCAAAGGGTCTTGCTCACCGTGTTCTTGAAGGGGCGACGAGAGCTGAGTCCTGTCAGACGTCCCGGTGTTGGAGGGCAGTACTCTACCTGCGCTGTTGGAGGAAAAGGGCGAGATTCCAAACTCCTCTTCCCACGAGGGAGCGCTAATTATAATTCTCCTTCCGCCGATATCGCCAAGTCTGCGTTTATCCACAAACTCAAGCCACAGGGTCCCTGAAGGACTGCAAGTCCAGAGGCACATGGGCCCGACTAGCCCGGGATGCCATTTGACGAGGGTATCGGATCGACTGGGAATGAACCTCGGTTCAGGTTCAGGTTCAAGTTCAGGTTCGAGGTTCGAGGTTCAGAGCGAAATCGTTATAAGTCGACGTGGTTAGCAGCAAGTGGGCGAATTCAGGACCGGTAGGGCTAACTGATGCCAGATGAAGAAAAAGGAAATTCAACGGGTGACGTGGCTGTGTCATTCCCGAAATGCGCTCCTCAACGGTCTGACCAAGGTCTGACTCGTCTTGTTCTCTTGTTCTCCTTTCACTTCCTCCCCCTCGTCTCTTGCATTGCTGCTCGCGCTTGTCTGTCTCACATTGAGCGCAGGCCTTAAATACCATGAATCTGAGCCTGTGAGGTCAGCCTTTCTTCCTTTTCGTTACCCTACTCACCACCATGCCTCTTCCAGTCGCTCGCCTTATAGAAGTTCTATCAGAATATCCACACCTCACCCGCAAACTCGAATTCGATGACGTTGTGAAGTTCTCCGAACTGGTGTACCTTCTGAAGCTCCCACTGTCGTTACTCCAGTCCCCATACGACCAGTCTTCCCTCCCAACCCCGCCCGTTTATATCCTGGACTTTATTCGAGTCGCCCTAAGATTGGAAAGGAATGCTGTCAAGCTACTCTGGGAGGTGCTTCGCGATGCTATTTGGGACGAAGAGTGGGATGAGGAGGTTCATAGGCAGCTGGGCCACAGATATGTTCCGCTATTCCTTGAGCATGGCCAGTCTCGAAATCTACGTGCGTGTTGCTTTGGAATAATAACCCTTTTGCTGCTTCTGATTTTTTATTCTAGCGTTCTTCTTCCTGCTACCACCCACCCGTGTGTGTCTCGACCCGAACTGCACACAGCCAGTCAATCGAAGCAAGAATGCGCTCCATCGTCGTCGAGAGCTGACCGAGCCTTCCGAGTATGATGTTACCGTCTTCACGCACGACTTTGGGCCGGTCCCCGGTGCTCTTGTATCACTGTACTGCAGGGGCTGTCATACGCGATACTATCCCAATTACTACGTTCACGACAAGGCAACAACCCGAACCTATTACACCTCCCCTCCGCGGTATATTCAATGCAAGGAACACTCGTTTGTCGATCGAAAGACTTGCGAAATCTTCTCATCCATGATGGTCAATGCTGGGTGAGATATTTCTTCAATGATGCATGACCCGTACTCACAAGTACACCAGGGTGTCGGCGAGCAACTGTGCTCGAGTGTTCAACGACAGCATTGCCAACAAGACTGTACAGGCCTTTCTGTCATCAGCATACCGCCTTGAACACAAGCTTGATGCGGAAAGTGTCTGGGACGCTTTATTCTTGTTCTGGTTGCTCGAAGACTCGGTGGAGAATGACACAGTCCTCAAGCTCGACCACCAAGCACCAAGTCAGGCGGACCGCCTAAATAAGGGTCTCTACGAGAGGAACTTACGCATGGTTGGGACTGGGCAGGAGCACTGGAACCACGCCTGTGATCTGTGCTCTTGGATTAAGAAATCGGAGGATGGAGGGGAAGGTATGTATTTGGGTCTCGCCGTGTTGGCCCACAGCTAACGAGATGATTAATGATAGCCGTCATCCGATCCGTTGTTGTCGACGGTGTTAGCGTTGGGCGCCCGTGCTGTGGAGTTCACGACTGCCAGCAGCCTCTGGAGAGCATTCGCCACCGCTTTTGCGCAGTCCATCGCTCAAAGGAAAATGAGTGCTGCGTTACTTCCTGCTCAGAGGAGGCTGAGCAGGGGTTTCGTACGTGCTCTGACCGCGAGCACCGGGCGCTAGAAGCATGGCTGCTCTCCGAGAACAAGGCCATCTTTCAGCTCAAGCGGCGGCTGGCACGAGCTGGCGGTCACCAGCTCGACGATTCACTCTCATTGGACGGCATAGAAGCACGGAAGCAAGGCCAACTTGGGGCCAGCAATCTAACCGACGAAGTGATCGAAGTCGATAAGGATGGTGTGTGTGATGGGAAACGGGAGGGGGGCAATCGGGCTTTACGTGCACGGTTTGGACGCCGCCTGACCCATAATGAAGAGCTATGTGTTGCATCGTGTGGTGTTATTTTAGGAAGGGCAACTTTCTATGGGTCGGAAGCACCCAATGGGGTCCGCGTACGTGTTTCTTTCATGTCTCCTCTCAGTGACGGTGTTAATTCCCTTGTTTCACAACTGATAGTCATTTCTTAACAGCATTTTCTCATGAAATTATTTCCAACCAAGGAATCCCTTCCGCGCGTCATCTGGCATGACAACAATTGCAAGATTCGGTCCATGCTCGAGAACGACCCCGACCCCCACCTTCGGAACTATTTTGAAGACTGTGCGATGCCGGTAGATGTGTTCCACTTCAAGGCGAAGCACAAGGAAGGTGATACAGAGTGCAACAGGCTCTGTAACCCGGTGCGATGGGAGGATCTCTTGAAGGAGAATGGGAAATGGCGCTTCAACTCTTCCGCTGCCGAGCAGGCAAATGTATGGTTTGGAGGGTTCTTGCCTGTAGTGCGGGGTATGACTGCGATTCGGTATGACTTTTTTCTTGATGAAATGATTAATCGTCGTAATCGTTTTCTGGTGCACGAGCTAAAGGCTAAGGGCCAGAACCCTTATAATATTCCTCGAAAGGTTTTATTAAAGAAAGATGTATAGCTACATGTATATAAATCAATCAGAATCGACAGTTAAATCTATCACATCTCCAAGTTTGACTACTGTCACGTCGCATGGCTCCTCCTTCACCGAAACTTTCCCATCATCATATGGGAACTGTCCAATGCCATATGCTCGACTCTCTCTAAGGACCTCCACTGCCTCCTCCGGGGAAAGCTTGAGATCATCCATAATTAGAAATGTCGCCGTCTCAGACACGAGCACTTCGATCGCCTCATGGTACGATAGCGGGGCAAAAGCATCCAAAGGGAATGTTTTATCCGGAAACATTTCACGCAGAGTTTGAGTCATGATGACCATTCCCTTCTCGCCGTAACTTTTGAAAACAGTGTCAGTGCTGGGATCAGAGAGAATAATCAGGGAAATTGACGTACTATCCTGCTCCTAGTTGAGTGAATGTGTCATAGCCTTGGGGTCCAGCACGAGAGGATGATGGCCGGCGAGATTCACAGGCCAGGGTAAAGAATTCACTTGCTTCGGGATCATCGATGATCCCGTAGATTTCGTCCTTGTATGAACGGATGCGACCTGGAAGTGATGTGAAATTTATTGTTGATGGCCAGCCATGCGCAACAGCTTTAGGTCTGTCGCCCTCGTGCTTGTGCTTAGCGCAAAAGTGAATGTAGAGTCGGAAAGAAGCACTGCGATGCCCGGGGTTATGTGGGAGAGGGTCTGGCGTGGACTGTTTAACAAGTCGCTCAAGCTCACACTTGAGATTGGGACTGAGATTGGCCGGCAGCGGGTTGTCGCAAAATGGGCATAACTGATTGCTCCCTTTGTCGTTGTCGATGTCCCCGCGAAGGTATGGCTGAGAAACAGCGTCATCATCCCCTTGCCCATCCGGGCCATCCCCATCCCCATCACCACGATTGATCTCCGTCTCCTTCCCCTTGTTTGTCGTTGACCCCACGACCTCAACCTCGCTTTCATCTGAGAATTCTGATTCAGATGACGTGGTCCCAGAGGCTCCCCTCTTGAAATCTGCCATGTATAGTGAAAATGCTCCCTTTCTCCCCTTCCCGTAGCTGATGTATCTCTTCACGAGAGACGAGAGCGGCTCCGACCAATGTTTGCGATAGTTGAAGTGCTGCGATTTCACGTATTTGGCACCAATGAACACCTTCGAAAACATGGACTTGACTGGTTGGCCTTTGTGATCCTTCAAATACTTCAGGTGCTTGAGCCCATCGATGACATCGCACATGTAATAGTCCATTGGAAATACTGCATTTGATTTCTTATGGACAGGGTAATACACGTGTCTATCGACGGACTTGGGTACTACAGATCTCATCGGGACATCGATAGATGGTGTTGTGAGCGGAAACGGGGCCGGACGTAATGGTTCTCGATGGACAGGGGCGACAACAGCAGGGGCGACAACAGGAGATGGCGACGTTGGCGGAGACGGCGACCGTGATGGCGAGTAGACTTTGGAGAGAGGTAATGGCTGAGGGCGGAGGGTGGTTGCAGATGGTGTGTTCGCAAGTCGAGGTGCTTTCTGTAGAGGCGAAGCCATGACGTGGGCAGAGCGCTTGTTGCCCGATGGTCGTCGCTGAGGCTGTTGGTCATACTCTTGAGCAATGCCGGGGCAGTCCATGTCGGTGAGCGGGGTGATCCAGTCAGGACGAGCGCGGATGAGCAGCCGACATCCAAACTCGACAGGAATAACGGTGTCTGGCGTGGCAGTATACCACTCAGTGCCAGAGAAGACATCGATGACGGAATCGTCATCGAGCTTGAGACCCCGCATCAGCGAAGGGAAGTCCTTCAACTGCGCCTTGGGCCACGATTTCACAGCTGACCTATAAACGAGAGGCGGTTGGCCAGCCTGAAGATAATCAGTCGAAATCAGCGTCAAATATCTCAATAGGACGTACTGTGTGGTATATGACCAATGTAACCGTTCGTCGTTCAAGATTCTCCAGCTCTTGCTGCCGGGTCTTCATTGATTTCGACGACTCCTTCTTCATTTCCTCGTTCCGAGCATCCATCCACTCCTTTGCCATTGGCTGCGCGAGCTCCCTCCTCCTCTCCATCGCTGCTTGAGGTTGAGAGAGGATTGGTACTGATTGATCTTCGTGGACAGGCGGTGTGGGCGAATGCGGGCGTGGACCTTGGTTTGGCGTCGGAGCTTCCGGGGTTTGCGGCTGTTGAATGGGATGCTGTTGGGAAGAGGGCTGGTGAACGGCAAAGAGCTCGGGAAACTTGTGGGGAACACAACGTTCGCGGGAGAGATTATTCTCCCGAGAATGTGTGTATGCCAGCGAACAGCAAGTTTTACACTTGCGTTCGATGCATCCCTGGTTCCCGGGAGTGCGAGAGCCGTTGCGTAATTTGCAACTATCCGTGGCGCAGAACGACGATGCACTTTGGGGTTGGGGCTGGGAAAGAGGTGGGGGTGCTATTGGTGGTTGAGTTGATAGATGAGGTGGCGGTTGGGTTGCTGGCGGGCCGTAGAATGGAGGAGGGTAGTACGCATAGGGCTGATGATAGACCGGGGCAGGTGGTGGTTGGCGCTGGCGTGGGGGGGATGGACCAGGTAAGGCATTTGTCCGGCGCAGAATACCTCGGTTTTCGTGGGGCTGGCCGGGGTTGCACAAGCGAAAGAGGAGCTGATTTGCATCCTCCATGACATAGGCAGGTGTATGGAACTTCGTCCATTTACAACGAGGCGTGTCGCTGCACTATACTCCCATGAGCTTCAGAAAGAAATTGCGGACAACAAACTTAACTTACGGTTTGTACGATGGAACCTCGAAGGTGCCGGTACTGGGCATCACCTTGGCCTTGATAGACCCGCAGGCCAGACAACGGTTGACTGCACTTTGCACAGTGCGTTAAAGGCACGACGACAGGATCGTCGGTTATAGTTGGGTTTTCGGCAGGTTGAGGAGCTGGAATCATGGAAACAACAATGAAAATCGAAGAAATGTACTCAGAAATACTTGAACCCCATACCGGTTTTATACCTGGCTCCCTCGTTCCTTTGGCAACCCTATCGTGGCGGAAAAGAGGTCCACATCGTCGACTAATGGTCTAGTTTCAGCGTACAATTGCGAAAGTGGGTCATAAACGCGAGGGGGAACAACGAGAGCGTCGTCGACGGTGACGACGAGCTCGAGGTCCGACCACCCTGTTGTGGGAAGTAGGTCACGTGCACGCCAAGTGAACCTCGAACCCGAACCTGAACCCGAACCGGCCATCAATTCCCAGTGGATCCGATATCTTGCATTTGACAGATCGTATTCAAAGCCAGAACATTAAATACACGAGGGTATAGTGAATATTTTAGACGGGTCCAGGACCGTTGAGGTCGTTCCGGAGGTAAGGGTGGCACATGAGAGATTGCGTAGGAGACCCCTCGCCGCGGACTCGCACCAAAACAATCGCATCGAGGAAGACATCGCAGCACCAAATCCCCATCTGTCGCCTTGGTCCGTCGTTCTGCCACGATGGAAGCATTCCTATAAGGTTCCTCCGACGATTAGACTCCATATCAGCCAACGAAATGAAACGAAAGTCCTAGGAACAGGAATCCAATCAGCGAGAGCAGGGTGAAGGGTGAACGCACCGTCCCATCGTTTTCCCAAACTGTTTGACTCGGTTCCCTGGCTTACACTTTGGACGACAATTGATCGCCACTGCGGGACAGGGATGCCGGCGGAGACGGATGCCATGGTTGGAATCCTTCGATGCAAACCAGGCCTGGTTGGTACATCGACGAGAAGCAGAGATCAGTTCCCTCGCCCTGATTAGACCGGAGTCCGGTCCCTCGTAGCTCGGGCGTCACGTTTTTTGCCACGTGATGGACATTCCGCTTTTCCTCGCTAGAGGGACCGGTCAACCTCGGAGATTTTTGGCGCGTCGGTCCTTATGATCGCGCATCTTGCCTTATACCTCCACAATCCATTTAATTCCGAGCTCATCTCGGCGATCTGGCCCTTGAAACTCGACATGGACGCTGACGACGAGGCCGTCATTGCGTTGGAAATCGAATATGGCCCTCGAATGCCGGATAAGTTGTCCATTTCGACATTTACAACGATAGAGCAGGCCCTCGCCGCCTACCAGCTACTTATACCGCAAGAACGCGCCATATCGACAGAATTTTGGACCGAATTCTCAGCAAAATGGATGCTATGGGGTCTGAAGGCGTGCATGGCGATATTCCTTGCGTCTGGAGGTGGGATTGTGCCGCGAGAGTTCCAGCTCAGAGCGACAATGGCGGTGTGCTCGGGATTCGACGCCCTCATCGACGTTGGGACTGGATACGGCAAAACATTTTGTATGGTAGGTTGATGAATCTTCGTCGAGTAGGCACAATACAATGTCGAACGGGCTAATACCAGCCCCCCGGATCTCTTGGAGCAATGGAGCGATCTTATCTTCCAGCGAACGCTTTCCTCCCCGAATTCCATGGCGCTCGGGCTCGTCTGGAACCTGCGCAAGCGTCCTGGGGCGACAGGGTTAAATTAACGACTTAAATCGATACTATAGTTACATACCTCGAAGTTTTGGACGCTTCTGGAGCTGGAGAGTGTCTTCCAGGTTGGTCCTGGCCCCCAGCTTCGCGTTCATACCCAGGCAAGCCCCCCCGAGCTTCCTCCAGCTGTCCAGCTCGGTCCTCTGCGGATTCGACGGTTTTTGATCGCAAAACATGCCTTCGTATACGTCCTGAAGGCTCCCCAAGGCTGGTAGATGTGTCTGGTGCGCCTGGGGTTTCACATGCAGGCAGGTCTTCCCGAACTCCTGCTGCAAGAGGGGTTGTCGCTTTCGAGGCCATTTTTCTGGATTTATTCTTCCCTTTCACCCCACATCCCTTTTTCTTTCCCTTCGTACGGCCCATGAGACGAGATTGTAGCAAAAAGATTGGAAGCAATAAGTTGTTATTGAGGGTAGAAATGTGAATTACAGCGGATGTGGTGGTAGATCGAAGAAAAATAAGGACCGACGCGCCAAAAATCTCCGAGGTTGACCGGACTGCCTATCTTCGATAGGCGTCACGTCCGTCACCTGACAAAAAACGTGACAGTCCGGATTCCGGACTACGCCCTGATCTTCGCGCTAAAACACAGCGGCGACTGAATCAGTTGACTGGGGGAACTGGCAGGGTGACTTTGGCCGTCAAAACGAAAACGCAGGAGGACAGCTGAGTCCAGGAGCTACAGCGTCAGTTTAACCTTCGCCGACTGTAAAGGGATGAACTATGAGTGATGGAGCCTACAAGCGTAACAGTCGTTAGTGCCGTTCCGATGCAAATCATAATGAAACGAAAGACGAAATAAATAGCAGCGACGTTGACATGAGCCTCAGACTCGCCTTTAACTCTCCATCCGCAACCTAGCCAACGACGCTCCACGCAATCGGGAGACAACGTTGCCCGCAGAAACATAGGGCGGGATCCTTAACCCAGAGGGCTATGGACGGGTTGTGTGCCTTTACCAGGATTTTCATCACTGGCTCATACGCGCTAACCGAAGAAAAAATAATGAAGGAACTCACCATTGTTCATCTGAGTGCCTTCTTGCGAAGATAGAACCAGAAACAGGGTATAAAGAAAACCAATTGTCATTGCAGGTTCGACTAAACAGAAGAAAAGGGGACTGTAGGCCTCTCCAGGTGATCCTGCGTCCTAGTCCCTCGACCAGAGGGAGGAACAATCAGCAAAGATTGTTTTTGAGAGATCTAAGATTTCCTCTCCGACATTTGTCTGGACCGTCCATCCAGTGAAAAAGGTGTCCACAGAGGGACGTAGGACAGGACAGTAATTTGGATGCCGTTGGGTGAGAAAAAGGGAAAAAAACGCGCACAGGGTGCTCTTATAGTTCCGCTTTTCGGCATTTGCCCGAAGTTTGGTCTCCGCTGGAAAGAAATTTCCCTGTTCCGAGAACGCGGCAATTGACGTCTACAGCGCCAGCGTCAAAAAAGTCTCCCCGGTTTTCGTCGTAGCCAACGACGAGCCAACCCTAAACTCAATGGCTGCGGTTGCCACCAGGCAGCTCTCAAAGACCCCTGTGGGTGTCCTCCCCCCTGCATCACCCTTCGCCGAACTCCTACGACGGTCGCGGTTTGCCAGCTATGACCCCGAAATCAAGCAAACATACTCTGCACCCCCAGCCTACGCGCACCGAGGCAACTGGGGTTTGAAAAGACCCATCTCCCAACGACGGAAGGACGCGTACATCACGCTCAAGTCGTACGAAGACCACGCGCAGTACATCGAATGGAACAACGCGGAGGGAAGCGTACGGTTCGTGAAGCGGTTCGAGCAGCTGAACATGAAGCCTGAAGTCGGCGCGACGTGGGAGAAGAACTTGGGTCCTATCCAGGACAGCCTGTGGCTTACAGACTCGGAGTTTGACCAGGCGTCGGACAGCGAGTATCGGTATCACACTGAGGAGAAGCCGGTGGAGGAAGCGGAAGAGAAGGATGTTTTGTTGGAGGACTTGGGCAAGAAGGGCAAAGGTGGTTATGGTGCCGACGCGACCTACCCAACTCGGGCACCCCTTGTCGAGCAGAAGACCAAGCCCTGGAACTACCGTCAACCCAACCTGGAAGCCATGACCAACGCCGAATTCGAGCGATACCTCGAGAAACTGCGCGAACTCCGCCCAGCCTTCCTCGCTGAATTGCGTACGCAGCTTCGCGAAAAGGAGAAGAGGGGTGAGACGACCGGCACGCTTCTTCGCCCTGACATGAGCGACTTGCAGTTAGCCGCAGCCAACATCATGTCTTCCGACCACCGTGCTTTCCTCAACAACTTCTGGGAGGAGGAGTATGCCCGACGCGATACCGAGCCTGCCGCTGCAGACCCTGCCAACGGCGAAGCCCTTCCCCGCGACTTTGTTCAGCACAAGATCAAACCCCAGCCTCACCGCTTTGGCGGACTCATCTACTCTCACCCCTCCCTCCTCGATACCTTCTACAGCACCGCACCCAAACCCGCATTCGTCCTGCAAGTACAAAACAGCGGCAAATTCACTGGCCAAGGAACCCAACAGGTCAGCTTTGCAGGCGTCGTCGCTGATCTCCAGGGCCCCGGTGAGAGGCCTCTCTTCGCAAGGGGCACTGGACCCAGGCAAGACGCGCTTGATAGGAGCGTTGTTAATGTCCGACTCTCGTCGTTCATTCTCGACAAGGCACCCTCGGTGGTTGGAAAGCACCAGGAAGGTCTTGACGGGGTGCACGTCAAGGCGGCGGTGGTCCCTGACAGACCACTCGCTCAGAGGTCTTGGCCCAATACCAGCAAGCCAGGCACCTATGGCTATTCCGCGATTGTCCAGAAGGGAGCGGTGACTCTTGATGGATATGGGAAGCCGGGTAGGAAGCAGCCCACGGCTGCTTCTGTAGCCAGCCTGAAGAAGTTGGTAAAGGCCAATGTACCCAAGCGTTCGTAGTTTTACCAGCGGTTCCCGTTCACGCAGTATATTATCAGTTTAGACGGTACCTCGTAATTTCATATATCTTAATCGCAGCAACCTGGAGTGACTGAGCAACGCAAACTATCATTCGAACCAGCTAGATCAGAGGATAATAGATCTCCTTTATGCAGCAGGGTAGATGAGCGAGTCGAGAGCTTTCTTGAGGTCTCCGCCATTTTCTAGCAATACACGTTCCGCCTGTGCTTTCGGGATATCGAATTCATGAACCTACGATATGTTCAGAAACAGGAGACAGAAAGCATTCAGTATGGGATACATACGATAACCTCGACATCAGCTTTCGAGAGTGATGCCAGTCCAGGATCTCGGGGTGTTTTTGCAGGCGGGTTTTCCAAGAACCCACCGGGTCGGAAGGCGTCTTCTAGCTTGTTTTTGGAGTAGGCGAAGCCGTCTGCGTACTATACGCCCATCATCGCGGGAATACGCGTTCATCGTCGTCGATGGACGAGCAAGATTTCAATAACGACCATGGGGGAAAAGTAGGAGAAGGAGCACGAGATGAGCGTTCTTGTTTCGGTGATTGCAAAGGGTGATAACGAACGTACGTTGACGATGACTTCTGCCTCTGGTGGGCCGTTTATACGCGACATTTTGGTGATTTGAGGAACTCGAGGTGGAGGGTGGGGAAGAAGAGGGAAGAGCTTGGCAATGCCCCGGTTCCGACAAATAGACGCCCAGATCAGCTGGGATCGATTCTAACCCTGTGAGACCATGCTCGATACACTATCTGCACACTCTACGTCGTTTCTGGTTATTTTATTCTGACAAATGTCAGAATCGATTTTCCCTCATACTATGTAGATGCCAATGGGAGATCGTGTGGCCCCTCGTAGATCAGACCTATGTTTCTCCAAAAATAAAACATTGACAGTATCCACAGCCTTTCCGTACTCGTCCTGCATTTCCACATACCCTTCCAATGCAGTCACCAGCGGTAGCGGTGTAAAGAAGTCGCTGACGATTTCTGAGTCGAAGACGGGTGCGTCGCTTAGTAAGCTTATGAGCGGGTGTACAAGCTGATTCGCTTCTTTCTCCTCAACCTCGACCATGGATACTTTTGACAATTTCCAGTACGACAATGGCTCGTCGTACGGCGGCATGAGCGTCGTCGATGACACGTCGTCTGTATACACCGCCAACACTCAAGATAATGTCTCGGTCGACTTATCCAATCTCTCCCTATCCGAATACAACCCAAGCTCGTCAGGAAACGGACACGCGGGTCATAGCCATGTTTCCCCCAAGAACCAACAGGGAACCGGCCTAGATGAAGATTTTGACGCAGTATTAGATGATCTCAAAGACGAGGCTGAGGTTGATCTCCCTCCTCATGCTTGCAGGTATGTTATTCATTCTTGTGCTTTTAACGCCACCACAACCACGCGGATTCAGAGGCTGATATTTGGATTACAGCTATTGCGGCATTCACTCGCCTGCATCGGTCGTCAAATGCCTGATTTGCTCCAAGTGGTTCTGCAACTCACGTGGAAACACATCTGCCTCCCACATCGTCAACCATCTTGTTCGCGCGAAGCACAAGGAGGTCATTTTGCACGCTGAAAGTCCACTTGGCGAAACTACGCCCGAGTGCTACAACTGTGGAAGCAAGAATGTCTTCATGTTGGGTTTCATCCCCGCTAAAAGCGACACCGTCGTTGTACTTTTGTGCAGGTGAGGGTTTCGGGGTTTGATTTACAGCTCAAGTGACATTTGCTGACATCTGGAATGGATTAGACAACCCTGTGCCGCCATTTCCAAAGATATTTCGTGGAATGCATCGCTTTGGGCGCCTTTGATTGACGATAGATCATTCCTCTCTTGGCTCGTTAAGCCGCCCAGTGAACAAGAGCAGCTCCGTTCTCGCCAAATTTCGTTCAATCAGATCAACCGCCTCGAGGATCTCTGGAGGGAGAACGCAAACGCTACCCTTGAAGATCTCGAAAAGCCTGGCGTGGACGATGAACCCCAGCCCATCTTGTTGCGCTACGAGGATGCGTACCAGTACCAAAACATCTTTGGCCCCCTCGTCAAAATCGAAGCTGACTATGACAAGAAATTGAAGGAGAGCCAGACGCAGACGGATATCACGGTTAGATGGGATTTGGGTTTGAACCAGAAGCGTGTCGCTTGGTTCTGTTTGCCCAAGCTGGAGAGTGGAGAGGTTAGGTTGGCTGTTGGGGATGAATTGAGACTGAGGTATCAAGGCGAGCTTCACAAGGCTTGGGAAGGTGTCGGCCACGTCATTAAGATCCCTAACAGTAGGTGGTCCCCGGTTCCCCTTGGTTATTGCAGAGCTAACATTTTTTTTTGTAGACGTTTCTGACGAAATCGGTCTCGAATTGAGAAGATCCGATGGCGTGCCTTCCGAGTGCACCCACAACTTTGCAGCCGACTTTGTTTGGAAGTCGACCAGTTTCGACAGGATGCAGTTGGCAATGAAAACCTTTGCTGTTGACGAAAAGAGTGTCAGCGGTTATATCTACCACAAGCTCCTCGGTCATGAAGTCGAAGCCCAGTCTCTTCGTACCCAGATGCCCAAGCGGTTCTCGGCGCCTGGGCTTCCCGAGCTCAACCATTCGCAAATGTATGCGGTCAAGAGCGTCTTGCAGAAACCTCTCAGCCTTATCCAAGGACCCCCTGGCACGGGTAAAACTGTGACCTCCGCCTCGATTGTCTATCATCTCGCCAAAATGAACCCGGGTCAGGTCCTCGTTTGCGCCCCCTCCAACGTTGCTGTCGACCAGCTTACCGAGAAGATCCACGCTACTGGTCTCAAAGTTGTCCGTCTGACCGCCAAATCTCGTGAAGCTCTCGACTCGAGTGTCAACTTCCTGACTCTCCACCAACAAGTCGCCAACAGCACCACCCACATCGAGTTGCAAAAGTTGATTCAGTTGAAGAACGAACAGGGAGAATTGAGCAGCAATGATGAGAGGAAGTATAAGACGTTGATCCGCCAGTGCGAGAAGGAGATTCTGGGAGCTGCTGATGTTATTTGCTGCACTTGTGTTGGAGCCGGTGACCCGAGGTTGAGCAAATTGAGGTTCAGGACCGTGCTTATTGACGAGGCTACTCAGGCTGCCGAACCTGGTGAGTTTTCAGTCATTCCAATTCGCGATCGATTGTTGTTGACACGTTTCTAGAATGTATGATCCCGCTCGTCCTTGGGTGCAAGCAAGTCGTTATGGTCGGTGACCACCAGCAGCTCGGACCTGTCATCATGAACAAGAAAGCTGCCCGTGCTGGCCTTACCCAATCTCTCTTCGAGCGACTTGTTTTGCTTGGCAACCGACCCATTCGTTTGCAGGTCCAGTATCGCATGCATCCCTGCTTGTCCGAGTTCCCCTCCAACATGTTCTACGAGGGCTCGCTCCAGAACGGCGTCACTGCTCCTGAACGATTGAGGAAGAATGTGGATTTCCCTTGGCCCGTTCCCGATACTCCCATGTTCTTCTACCAAAACCTTGGTCAGGAAGAGATTTCGAGCAGTGGAACTTCGTTCTTGAATCGGTATGTTATATCGCATTTTCTGACACGGTTCAATGCTGACCCTCTGCATGAAGAACTGAAGCCTCCAACGTCGAGAAGATCGTCACCAAATTCTTCAAGAGTGGCGTTGTCCCCAATCAAATTGGTGTCGTCACTCCCTACGAAGGCCAACGCTCCTACATCGTCAACTACATGCAGTTCAATGGCTCACTCAAGAAAGACCTGTACAAGGAGATTGAAGTCGCTAGTGTTGACGCGTTCCAGGGCCGAGAGAAGGACTATATTATTCTGAGCTGTGTGAGGAGTAACGAGCATCAGGGTATCGGGTTCTTGAACGACCCGAGACGTTTGAATGTCGCTCTCACCCGAGCCAAGTATGGTGTGGTTATTTTGGGCAACCCCAAGGTTTTGAGCAAGGTATGTTCCACGTTTCCATTTGGAGTTCCGATGAGGTGAGACTGACAATGTTGCTGTAGCATCCCTTGTGGCATTACCTTCTCACCCACTATAAGGAATCGAATGTCCTTGTCGAAGGCCCGTTGAATAACCTGCAGCCCAGCATGATTCAGTTTAGCAAGCCCCGCCGTTCGCTGGTCAAGTCGATGGAACAGTTCCGCCGCCACGAGACCGTTGCCAGGGACTACTTGCCTTCCAACTCTGGCATGCCTGTCGATCGTGCGTATATCTTCCTTTCTTCCAGCTTTCCTGAGTCGTTGACGTCTTGTTACAGCCATGAGCCGTCGCTCTGGTACCCCTTCCCGCTTCGATGCCAGCTTCTACCGCACTCACGATGCCATGGGATACATTCCATCCGACGTCCAATCGCTTCGTTCCCAAGCCACCTACTCCTCGGGTCTCCCCATGTTCGGCGCTCCTGGACCATTCAGCGCTGGCATTCCCCGCGGTGTCAACGGCGGTAAACGAAGCACTTACAGCTACGCCTCTTCCATCGTCTCTCAAGACGCCGGACCCAGCGTTACGGATAACAGCAGTGTTGTTGGTGGCGGAAGTGTCCACAGCAGCAACCTTGCCTATTCTCAAAGCGATAGGTTGAGGAGGAGAGGATCGTTTGGCAGCTCGAGCGTCACTGGCCAGAGCGATTTGGGAAGCATGATCGGATACGACTACAAGAGTCAGGATGATGGAGGGGACATGGATGATATGAAGAGCCAGTACACAGGTACACAAAGCGGAGTTACAGTCTTCTAGCAGGATTGGCGACGCTTTCGTCCCGAGCGACACAGGCGACGACGATGATGACGACTGAACTGGAAACCCCCGACTTGAACTCGATCTTCTTGTGAGGAAGGGGCTTTGAGGTACTTCCTTCCGATCCGTTACGGAACTGGAGGGATGCCTTGGGCCGTCATACTTTTCCTCTGCGACATACACCCCTCCGTCACGTCTTTGGCCCGGAGGAAGACATGTGATGGCGGGGGTGGGGAGCAGGTCGCTTTGGTGCTTGTGCAGCAGCGTGATGTTCTTCATCATGATTGCTGCTTGGGCCTATCCCTATCTCTTTGCCCCCGTCTACACCAATCACTCATGCGCCCGTTGAACCGACCGACTACTTCACCGTCCCCACCAAAATCCGATCCGACTATTGCCAGTCCCATTGAAAGCTTGAACCCAATGGCTACGAAAGCAATGTGTTTAGCGTAGCTAATCTCTTGTTGTGTTGTCAGCCTTGGTGACTCACCCTTGACCATTCACAGTGTCTGACCTATACCTGCTCACGTCTTACTGCGACCGGAGATTGCTTTTGCTCGGCGTGTTGCATGGGGTCGGATGTAGTAGTACTGGGGTGTTTCGACTTGACTGCGCGGTTGTGTATAGGGCTTTATATGTAAATGAACATTGCGTGTTTACTGAGATGTCGACCGCCACGAAGTGGGTCAAGCCGGGGACGGTCAATCAAGACGAGTCCCATCTTCTGCTTGAGCTGTGGCACTGGATGTTGTACGACGGACCCTACTAGGACGGCAAAACTATTGAAGTTTCAAAATTCGTATGGACCAACCGTTCTGCCTGCATCAGGCCCTTCGTGGCACACGATATCAATTTGTTTCCGGTCCCCGTTCGCTGTCAATGTTGCAATGTCGCAGTCTATGAGACTAACAGTCGTCTTGCTTGCTCGTTGCAAAGGACAGTGAGATGATATCGGTGGTATGCCGGTGATTTCAGTTTCCCTCATTGACTTTAGCGATTGCAATCAAGTGTTCCGGGAGGATAGGAACGACGGCGGCCATGTGCCGGTGTCACCAAGCGCTCGCCAAGTGGGCATCATCATCCCATCAAAATTGGGTGATCCATTCGATGTCCTGTCCATTTTCTTTTCCCCCTTTTTGTGTTCTTGCTTTCCTTGGTTTCTAAGTCTTTTCTTGGGGCGTTTTTGTCATTTTCTAGGGTTTCTTCCTCTATCTATCCTACCCACCTTTGATTTCCTAGTCCAACTTGTTTCTTTATTCAAGAAGGACAAGTCTGTGATTAGACTTTGCTTGGGCCTTTTTCCGCCCGATCTTCCCTTGTCTCATCTTATACCAGCCGCGCCCCTTCCTCTCCATTTCATTCCCTGTTTTTTACGTTTCTTGCTTGCAGACGAGGACGAGCAGAGCTTGACGTCTCGCTGCTACTTTAACCTGGTAGAAGCGAAGAGAACCCACAACGACGACGACCGCGACCCGGCATCCAGCCCAAGGGGATATTGTACGGCCCATCTTTTCTGACGACGACGACGAGGGGCTACCACCACCACAGACGACAGCCCTCTGACGCTCAGTAGACGACTTTACGAGCAATTCCGGATCTACCTCGCTTGTGTCGACAATCACCTGTTTCCAGCTAAATTACTCGCAGCACTGCCAACGTACAGTCACCGGTACCGACAAGCCCCCCAAAACTCACCATCCCACACGATACGAGAACAATGTCTGACGAGTCCGCTGCTTCATCGTCAAAGAGCGATATCGCGTTCCCCAAATCCGCACCACTCACGCTGGAGATCCCGTCGAGCAGCGACTCGGCGACGTCTTCGGTCCAATCATCACAAACGTCGTCGCCGACCGGCATCTTAGAATCTTCTACGACGTCCACAACGACCACCGGGGCTCATACGACACCAGGCGCATCGACGTCTTCGCTGTCGATTCAACGCAGCCAGACGGGCTTGAATGTAAAGTTCGCCCCGCTGCCAGAGCTTGCGCCTCGTAAACGGAGGTCCACGGCGCCTTTGGGTATGGCTGCTCGGGCTCAGTTGGTTCGGCGGCGGAGGCAGAACCACAACTACTATGATCCAGACCCTGGTCCTCACTATGGAGCCAACCAAAATCCCATGTGGACAGAGGAGGAACTGGCGGAGGCGAGAGCCAGGCAGGTAGCTGCCGCGATGGAGAAGGAGAGGCAGAGGAGGGAACAAAAGGCGAATGCCCAGGACGACGACGAAGATCCGTTCATGGTCTTTGGCCGTCTGGTAAAGGGTGCGAGCAAGCAGATCTGGAAAAAGGTGGCCAAGAAGGAGAGCAAGAAGGATATTGGGGAGAAGGATAGGGAAGGAGATGAAAAGGATGGGGAGGGAAAGGAGAAGAGTAGCGAGGATAGCGGTGAGGTGAAACGCTCTGGAGATGGGAGTGCACCTCCTACACCCATTGCTCTCCAACAGAGCGACTCTCTTGGTGACCAAGGTCGACCGCCACGCCTACGATCGATCCTCAACAACTCGACACCGCACGTCACCGACGAGCCGGAAGAGGAAGGGCGGGTATGGGAAGAGGAGATTGGGCAGGAGTTCTTGCTCAGTATTGGGCAGACAGAGGCTATGATCGAGAGTCGGACGCAGGCACCAAAGAAGAAGAAGAGCGGGGCACTGAAGCAGTCCAAATCGCAGCCACAATTGCCCACGGACAAGGACCTCCCACCACGCGTCGACTTTTTGAATGGAATTGTCACCAACGGCGTCACTGGCCACGAATCCCAGCCCAACCTCCCTTCGACGCTCACCGGCACGCTGTCGACCTCACCTTCACCTCCTTTACCCCCGTTGCCAACTCTGCCTACTGATGACACTCAAGTCCCAGAAGGCAAGAGTTCGGACTCATGATGACGGAAATGCACCAAACGCCCAAAGCGTGAAATGAAACCCGGCATGCGAGGAGTTCCCTCCAACGCCCAAACGCCCCTGAACCGACGACGCACCTCTCCACAATATCTACGCTCCTTAATCTGATAACCAGTCTCTCAATATCCAAGATCAAATTGCTGCCAGTCTCTGCATCCCCAGAATGCCTTCCCCGCTCCTTCTCTATTAATACCCTTCTGGTTGTGGAATCTTCCTATCCAAGTCCCTCCTTCAATTCTCTTCGTCTACCAGTTTTGCTTGCCAAGTTACCCTGCATCTTTGTGCTCTTACCTGTCTGTTGGCCAAAGGATACCGTTTCCTTTTCTCCATTGGGCTTTGCCCGTTTCCCCTTTCTCCTTCCTCCCGTTTTTGCTTGAGCTTTTCCCGTAACTATAATGACAGCTCATTGCGCGCACGGCGTCGCGTCCATCCTTTTCTTATCTATAGGTATTTATTGACGACCCCTCGTACATTATAATTCCCTCCCTCACTCGCCCAACTACACAAGTCCCTTGTATGCTTTCCAAGTTCTTCTGTGCATGTCGTGTGGCAGGCTCTTTCGTCCTTTCTTCTCTCTTCTCTCTGGATCTGGTATTACTCGGTATCTTACATATACTAATGGAACATCTCGGTTGGTGAATTCAAACACTCATTTCTGAAGTCTATACGCCCGAGCGGTTCTGCGACTGTCAGAGATCTTGTTGGAGCCATTGAATCAGGCCTTCGGTGACGAGCGCTAAATTCAGATGTGAAGGGAAGAGCAAAGGGCGATCTATTTTACCGTCGAGTGGCTTCGAGGACTGAAGTCGGTCTGCCGATACGTAAATCCAGCAGCAAGAATAGACGTTAGGTGGATTTTGCTGACGTGGAGCCTTCGCTGGAAATGAACGTGAGGACGTACTCGGAAAAAAAGAGACTCCAATTTGCCCGTTCGGATAGCCTTTAAAATTGAATTCAAGATGTCGACTACAAATGCACTTTGGATTGTATTGTCTACTGCTTTTGTCGACCTTGGGCTACAGCTGCTACTATTAGACCTTCTTCACTATCGTTCGGACCAATACAAGGTTATGAATAAGACAAGGGGAGGAAGAAGAGTGTGCGGGCATAGAGGAAAGCAAAAAGACGAGCCATAGGCTCTAGGAGCAGGCAAAGGGAGACATAGAAAGCGTCATATGGTGCGGCATAGATCAAGGGAGTGGACCAAGCAAATGGAAACAGACCTAAAAAACGAGGAGATAAAACATAGATCGCTAACAGTGAAAACAAGATGCACCGAGTCAAAAAAACGAGAGATAGTAGAGGTCATATGATACCTTATCAGATTCATGAACATATGTCAAGAATGTCAAAACCGTCGCCTGTTCATGTCACCAGTCAGCCCTAGGCGACAGACCAATCGTCACTTCACCCAACGCGTCCAACACACCCCATCGCGCCACAAATCCCCGTAGGTGAGCATATCACCCCCTGGGCAAAGAACCAGGGCCAAAGTGGCAAGATGGACGGAGAGAACGTGCGTAGAGTGTTCGTGGCTTGGATGTGCCATCGCGTCATTGTACCCTCCGTTCCACGGTATCCCCACAAAGTACCACCCTATAGGAAGCCCTCCGAAAATGGAGGTCGGAAACATGGTTTGGTGGAGGGCAGATGTAAGATTTGTGAGAGGCGGAATTGTCGCAATTGCCAAGTTGAGAAGGATTGTGCGACGGGGATTAGTAGCTTGAGTGACTGGAACAGGTAAACGACGCCCGTAATCACGGCAGGCCCCACGGCGTTCTCGTGGCCTCGTCAGCCTGCACGAGCTTACGAGGAGAGTAGCGATCTGTGGTCCTCTTCTTTGCCTGGACGTCATGGATCATGTGTGTGCTGAAAAGCACTAGAGCCCACGGTCCGTCCAGACCCGTAATGAAATGGCGAACTGGGAGAGGAAGGTCTCGAAGTAACGTATCGCACTAGCAAGATCCGGAACTTGAAGAAAGAGAGTAGGGGGTGGCGATAGTGAAGCTGGTCATCGGAAGCGTCATTAAGCCTTAAACCTTGAAGGCTGGAAAGCTGGAGTGGTATTAGACGGGAGCGATACTGTATTTGGAATGGCTGTCGTCGACGTCGGACGAGGTCGAATGAAAGGGACGGCAAATGTGATTGTGATAATGCAAGAAAATGTGGATGAGATGCATATAAATGGTCGTAGCGAGAATAGTTCGTCGAAATGAATTGGTTGTCGAAGAAGATAAAACACTGAAAAGGGAATGAGATGATACAGGGAGGCCATAGTAGCCCTTTTGTTACTTCCGAGCGTTCGTTTCGTTTTTATTGCTTTCTTTCTTCAATGGTGGTGCCTCGCATTGAGAGGGCGTTGGGATTCACCGACGGAGTGTCGGCGCTGGAGCTTTCGGCCACTGGGCATGGTCGCACCCTTCGCGGACGATGGGGACGAGGGCTTTTGGCCCCCGAGACCGAAGATCCGGCTGAAGAAAGGCTTCTTCGCAGATCCTTGCGAATAGGGAGAAGCTACCTTTGTGGTAGAACTAGCGGTGTCGACCGACCTCTCGGGACTGTGGGCCTGCATCCTTCGTTAACGTTTGATTCGAAGCTTCTATGAATAGCGGCTTACCAGAACGTGTACTTTCTGGCCGTCCATGTAGTACGTATTCTCGCTCCCGTCGCTTTCTGCAGAACCTGACGAGTGGACGGGATTGACTGGCCTCCTGCCCCGTCCATAGCCGGTCGACATATGACGCTCCCTTCCTCGGCCGATTCGCTCCTCTCCATGGTATGGCTGCGGGTACATCCCTGGGTGCTGTGGTGCGTATCCCACACCAACAACAGGGGGCGCCGAATGACTGTAAATCATGCCATCTGGTCCGACACGGGGAGGGTGGTGGAAGGCACTTGGGTCAGGGTACCGTTGTTGGCCCGCCGGGTAGGTACTAGCCGAAACGTGTCTCGAGTGGTGCGCCTGCGGCCCAGGATGAACCCAGGGTGAATAGGCCTGCGTTCCGGTTGCGAGAGTTGGAAGCCTAGGTCGAGAGTGAGCTCCAGTTGGAATCTCCTCGCGCGGCGGGGTAGTTTGCGGGCGAGGAATTGATTTGCCGTGAGTGTGACTTTGGCGGGAGCTTGAGGTGGACGAAGAGTTGTTGATGGGACGCGACGGCAATACGCGAATCTCTTCTGGGGTGGGCGGCGGCGGTGTATCACGGCTCCGAGGTGACAGCGGAGAGCTCGAGTTAGAACTCGAATGGTGCACTCTGTGCCGTCTGTCCGAGCGAGAGTGATAGTCCGAGGCTGGGTGAGGAATGGGAACGTCGCCTCGGCCGTCGTTGTAGCGCAAAACCATCTGAGGCGGTAATGAATGCGTGCTGACAGCGGGTGAAGGAGGCACGTTCATTCCCTCGATTGGTGTTGGCGGGTACGAGGGGGAGTACACTGCTTCGGGAGAATAGTTGTTGACCCAGTGAGCTGTGCGCTCTCTCGCCGACATGAATTCAGGGAGCCTATGAGGGGGGATCGCGTATTCGGTCATCAGAAAGGTTGTCGAAAGCCTAATGTAACGCGATGAAGTTGCTGACTGAGGGAGAGCGTCCAGGGTAAAGGGAAAGGGACCAGACGGGAGGCGCTTGCTTTATAGCCAGTTGCCTGGGAGAAGAAGTCGCACTCGGTTGGGATTGACGTTCCAAGCACGCGAGTCTAGGTGGCAGAATCTCAGATCCCCAACTCGGGCTTTATCAGGGGTATCCCACAGATAATCGCATACCTTTCCGGATGGGATCAGAACGTGCCCCGCCTCGAGGCAAGAATACGCCAAAGTCACAACCTCCCTTCGCCGAGAGTCCATGGCACGGGCCGATTCTAGGCAGAGAGTGAATGCCCTGGACCCATGTCTTGATTGGTTGTTGACCCCTTCCTTTATCAATTAGTGAATCCAAAGTTCTCCCTTCGTAGGAGATAATTAGCCTTTGAAGGACACAAGAGGAAGCTGCCAACCAAATCACCAAGTTTCTTTTCCAAGTCGCTTCCAAAAGCTGGCTTAGCTCATCCAATTTTCGGCGCAAGCCGCATATCCCACAAACCACCTCCGGCCCCGAAGATCTAAGCGCTCGACCATACAGCCTGCAAACTGAATCCCTTAGCAGTTAAATGGGTCTGAGGACGTTCAAACCCTGAACTTACTTACGTCTAGTGATAGTAACAGCTATTATGGCCTGATAGATGGAAGAATTTTGCAATTGGACGGTCATGATGATTCCCGAGTGCGCCAAATCGCTGGCTCGTCGAGGAAGCGATATCCTCGCACGCTCCGCCTATTTCCTTCATTGAACGTCTCTTCTCCAAACTCGTTTCTCTTGGGAGCTGGAATCCTCTGGACAAACCATGTATGGTTCATGCCATAAGCGACCTTCATGGCCTTGCGAATGACCTCGTGGTTCCCTATGGCCGATGAAGAAGGTCAGATTGGATTAAAACGACCGAAATTAAAAGCACAGCACAGGAGACAATAGCCAACTCCTACCTTTTACGATTGCCTTCTGAGCTGTTTACCAGCAGGGCCATGGACGTTGAACAGCAAGTTGAAGGAATAACTCTTGAAATCGTGAAGATATCATCATGAGCAAGAGCCGGGAGGAGCGCAGTGACAGGCTTACCAGTTGAAGGTCCTCGCACCTTTCGCGGGTAAATTTAGCACCAACGTTTGAAGCTTTTACTAGTTCCCGCCAGATGCTCGGGCTTTCCATCTGCTCTACCGAGTGGGTAGGTCACGGAATGAGGGGGAATTACGAGACTCGTCCGGCAGTCTGGTCAGCTTGGCACGTCTGCAACTCACGAAAACAGCTAAGGAACTCGTCGTGCAACCATGACCAATACGGGTTTCTAAGGAAAGGCCTGGTAGAATCCAGGATTTCGAAGAGGAGGCTAAAGGGTGTACACCTTCTTGTTATGACCTTCGAAAGCAACGTTGTCGGCCATCCTTGTGTCGTTAAATGAGCTGCCGTAAACGCAGGGTAGATGCGAATAGTCTGTTAAACGTCGAGAACGTTTCCACCCAGACAAGCGCGCGGCAGTTTGCCATTTCACATAACCGAGACGGAAAGACAAGAACGCCAGTGCATGTATGGGCTCGGGAATCTGCGAGACAGTGGGGCACGAGAGTCAATGAGCTCCAAAGCTTCTGGAGATACGAAGAGATCGCATGTTGGTTTGTCAGGTGATAAGAGACAGCATGAATTGAGCTGCTGTGGTCGAAATGAGAACAGGGGTGGAGATAGCGATGTCTACGTGACCCACTTTGTATGCGAATAGAGTCTGGAAACCCGATATATCATTGTGTGCAGCATGGATTGATGTAAGCCTAGTAACTGTTCATTTCAGTGGGCAATGTGACATATGAGTTGATACGGTTCAACATACGTGAGCTCCTGTCTCCTCGGTCCTAGCAAGTGTCTGAATCCGACGCCGCCGCCGTTTGTGGCAGGTAGAAGTGAAAAGGTTAATCCAACGGACTCATGGTGATACCGACGAGGAAACCACCGGATACGAGTCAGCAGCGATCCGTAAAATGACTTGGTGAAATCCAAGCAGCCCGAATTGTCAATGTGGATTAAGGTGGAGTTTAAAGAGCATTCAAATCGGGTGAAAGACCAGCAGAACTGCCTTGTGCCGCACTGTTAACCTAGACTGGCTTGGGTATCGATGTCGACTGCCAAAGAACATTGGCAAGCATCGTTTGGCCATGGTCGTCCGAGTCCTACCTGTTTCAAGGTCGGCGAAGAGAGGTGATCCGGCGACGCGGACGTGTGCGTTGTTTGCATTCTTTTGCATTGCCCTTTGGATCAAACAGAAGCATAGCCACCATCCACTCTCATTAGCCTGAGTACACTGGCTCTTCCTTCGTACTTTCCGTTCTTTGAATTTCTTCCTTTTCCCTTCTATAATCATGGCCACCGAACCGCTTCCAGCCACAGTTAGAGAAATTCTATCAGATTCAACGAACATTCGTGCTCGATATCCCAGCCATCTAGCGCACCAATGGCGACGCTCACAGATCCAATCTCCTTCCAACTCCAACTTCATAGCCCGTCTTCTGCCGCGAAGCAGAACAACAGTAAACCAAGACACGGCAGCAGCCTGTCTCTATCGCATCTACACATTCTTCGTACTTCACGACACTGTTGCTTTTCGCAACGAACTCGAATATTTTTGCCGCTCGCACCCAGAGTGGGCGGTCTCCTCTCTCCCTGACCCAAGCGCCAGTGACGATGGCCCTGGGTCCAGCGACCCCTCTAACGATGAACAAGTGCGCTACACCATCCTTGCGGTCCTCACTCGACTCATGTGCGACGCTTTCAATCGTCGCATCGACCTGGGATTACCGAGAGATGCGCCTGCGATCATAGAGGACTTCGAAGAGCTGCAGGCGCGTCCGAAGGTTCATGAATCGCCTCCAGAATGGGCAACACAAGTCCAACCTCTTCATGAGAAAGTCTTTATTCCCAACAGCGAGGGCAAAGTACTGGGAGAGGATGATGAAGATGTTAACAAAGAGTTCAAGGACATGAATATCATTGTTCAGATGCCCCATATCCATTTCATATAGCGGACCTCCAAGGCAAGCCTGCTTGGTTTCTCGGTAATTGCAGTACTTATCAGTACTTGGATGAATAGGAGATAATAGATTTTTTTTTTGCTGTCGATATACAACAGGCTCTACCTCGTGGATAAGCTCAGATCCGAGTGGGTATCGTGGATGACCATGATTCCAAGGCGCTTAAACAGAGCCCCTATTCGACTTGGCTGAGTTTGAACTTTGAATCTCATCAGACAGGCGGCACAAGCTGGAGCATCACTGCCACAGTCCCACAACGCCCACGAAGTATATGAACGGGAAACTCACAATGGGCCTTGGGTAGGGACCACCGACAACACTGAACCGGGTAACGACGCCAATACCTGCTGTCAATGGATGCTATTCTGAATCGACGACCTCCAACTACCTGGGAACAATTTGCGTCGTCTCCTCTGCTCTTCCTCGCTCGACTGCTTCACACTCGCCTTCCACCCTCGCAGCCCGAATGTCTTGACAAAATCCGCGTTGTCTGTATCTCAGACACCCACAACTCTCACCACCTGCAGCCATCTCTACCAGATGGCGACATCCTTATCCACGCTGGGGACCTGACCAACTCTGGAACAAAACAGGAACTCGACGACGTCTTAGCGTGGCTCGAATCTCAACCTCATCCTCACAAATTCTTCATAGCAGGAAACCACGATACCTGCCTTGCCGATCCAGACATTTCGCAACACATCTCGTCGACGTACCCTAGCCTCGCTTACCTCCAGGAGGCATCCGCCCTCATCACGATACGTGGCCGCAGCTTACGCGTATATGGCAGTCCCTACACGCCCAAACACGGGTCCTGGCAGTTCCAGTACCCTCGTGTTCCTCCAAACCTTTATTCTCCTTCTGAGAATCCCCGATCCGAGGCCACCAACATCTGGTCTCGTGTCCCTCCCCTCACCGACATTTTGGTCACTCATGGCCCTCCGTTTGGACACCTGGACCTCGGCAAGATGGGTTGTTATTCCCTCTTAGCAACTTTATGGCGTGTTAGGCCCAAATTGCACGTCTTTGGACACATCCATGCCGGGAGAGGCATCGAATGTGTCCGTTGGGATGCGGCGAACGCCGCTTACGAAGAAATCTGTGCTAGGAGAGTGGGATGGATTGGTTTGCTTCGATTGGCTTGGTGGAAGGCGATTAGGTGGTTCAGGAGATGGTCTTCCGGGGATGACGTAGTGACCGTTATGGTCAATGCTGCCTCAGTTGGGGGTCTCAAGAATGAGCACAGAAAGGGGGCTTTCGCAATCGACATATAGGTTTGCTATTTCGTCCATACTTTGGTCACTACTTGTACACTAACTATTCCTTTCACAGTGTCCCATGTATCGCGATTCATCCATTGATGACACCATCCTTGCCCGTCTTCTTCTTGTACTCCGCCGCCAGCTGATCCACTAACTTGTCGTTTGGAACCGTAAACTTGAAATCTTGAGCCCACTTTTTGATTTCGGATTTCTTGACAGCAGCCCCTTTGCGCTTCTGGATAAGTTGGACCAAATAGCCAACAGCATCGCTCATGTCGTATGGCCGAGCTCCTGTCTTCGAAAGACGGTCCAGCTTCGTACCCAGGGCATAGCGCCATGGCGCAGCATAGACTGTTAAGCCGGCTGCCTGGAAGACAACATCGTTCTGCTGCACCGCTTCGTCGTACAGCTGTTGGATGGTACCTTCCTAATCAGCGCGAACGAAGAGTTTACAGTCAGCCACTGTAATCCCACGTCTCGGAAAGCACGCCTACCTCGATGAACACCGCCGTGTGGTTGTTCAACCAGTGGTCTCCAAGCTTCAAGGAAGAGGCCGCCGTATTCGCAGCGACGATCACCTGGGACACATCTTCGTGCTTCGTCTTGGTTCGATAAAAGAAATCCACGTCCCCAGTCGACGCACGGGTGCGGAGAAGAAGTGTATTGACAGCTCCCCCGACGGCGATGATGGTGATATTGCGCTTTTTGGCGTTCAGAGCGGAAGCTACGTTGTTGAGGCCCGCCCGGATTTGGTCCGCTGACATTTGGACCTCGGGAGGTCCATCAGGGCGAGTGACGAGGTCTCTGAGAGAGACAGGATCGTCGGCAGAGAGGCAGTTGCCCATTGTGAGTGCAAAAAGTGCTTTGAGGGGGTGGGAGAGCCACTGCTCTATACGATCTGCGATTTATAGAGGGAAGGCTGAAGAAGTGCCCCATTATCGGCAACTGCGTGTGAAGGACTATAGCTAAGTTGGTCGTCGATGATATGTTCCATACAAATGAATCTATATGTGCACGGTGCTCTGACGGGCCATTGGTGCTTCTGTTCTATGTCAGCGGACATGGAAGGCGGGCTCTGGGCCCCAACGGCCCTCAAGAACCCCGAGAAGAGCGACTTTGGATCCTGGATGAGGCTGCAGAAGGTTTAATCAACTCTACCAAGTGCACAGAAGCCAGGAATGCCTTAGCAAACGTCAATGTACTTGCATCTGAGAAACGAAGGCCAAAGATCTCGTCTAGCGAACGTCTGCGGGCGCTTGTTATGCCAGGCGCTGGAGCACGTCCTAACACCCAGATCCAGCTTTGAGGGGTTGGACCAATTGGCCCAAGCATTTCACGATAGCATTCAGCCCTGTTTGACGTTAACTAAGCTTCCCTTGGACCATGCCACCAATGCCACTGCTACGTGAGACCTCGGCTCTTGTGGCATTAGTATTGGAGGGCAACGATCGACCATGACCCACGCTCACAGTGTCGGAGAACGCCTACCCTGACGCCTTGTAAGATTTACCTTCTTATACTTCTCCCAGCCTGACTATCTCGACGCAACGACGACTATGGCTTGGCACCTTCAAGTCAAAACCAAATCGGACGACGATATCCACCCACGAATCCAACCTCGCCAAGTCTCCACGTATTCAAGTTTATCAGGTGCTCTCCGATGCTCAAATAGACTACCTAATACCCAGTATCGCATCCCGCAAGACATCTATTGGCCACAGTTGCCCCACGAGATTGACCTCGCTCAACGCCGCCCCATCCGCGCGCACATCAATTTCGACTATGTCGGGTCCCAAGGCAAAGGCATCCCCGTAATGGACCTCGTCAACACCAACATCCGGACACTCTCCCAGCTCATGGCGCGCGGAGAGGACATGGTTTTCGCTCGTGGCACACGCGACGACAGGGGAATTCGGTTCATGATTCGGTGGCCTGGTTATTCTCACCTCGCATATGACGGGTTTTGGTCAGTTCGGAGTCGCAATGGGAAGGGCTGGTCTGGCAAAAAGGGTGGCCGAGGCGGTCCATAAGCATGTTGAAATGCTTTCTCGCACGGGAGGAGGACACGACGAACGGTGGGATGTAGCTAAAACCACGAGATGGGGTCCCGCGAACTTGATTGTGCTTCGCGTTTGTAACGTTGCAGACAACGTATGGCAAGCCGATTTAGTTACCAAACCTGTAACTCTGTACCGGATCTAGTCTAAGGGAGGCTGTATTATAACTTCTCCCCCGCAAGCAGCCGTTTAACCCACCGCGCAACTGGAGCGAGGGGTTGGTCTGACAATTTCATCGCCTGCATTTAAGTACTACAAGCTTCGCTTGCCCGTGCCTTCGGCACAGGGGCGGTGGTTAGGGTCGGGCTTCGCCCTCCACTGACAGGAATGGCGGGGAAATAATTGCTGTGTACTCGCTGGCGCCCGCCTGCGGCGGGCTTTCGCTCGTACACGGGCCTGTGGGGATTTTGCGGCGCGTGAGGATTCCGAAAAGGGAGGTTTATTGCTGACATAATTATTACATAACATTACTTTGTCAGCATTTCCGGTGTGCTTTCATGTATAGGAAGCGTAGCCTCAGGCTGTGCGTCGTGGGGCAGCATTGCTGACCGCTACTTTATAGAAACTTTGGGCTGCTGTGGAACATCATACGCGCAGTGGCGAAGATTGCAGTGTGGACGTATGTCGCAGTACGGTAGCCCTCGTGAAAGGCACCGAGGCGAGAGGCACGAGAGAAAGTAATGTATAGAGGATCATCCCAGTACTGGACGATACCACTTGGGTAGCGTGAAGCTAAAGCCGTGCTGACGGTGGCGGCAAGGATTGCGAAGGAAGTCGACAGCTGCATCTGGAATCAATCGACTCGGAGAGAAAGACCCGTCTGTCGATGGAGGGTAGACGTCCCCCATAGCCATGTTTATGCGGAAGCCCGGATATCAATTCGACACCAACTACCAGAGAACCATGGTCATCGAGCCATACAGAGCAGACCAATCGAAGCGCCAAGTGTCAGAGTTTATTTGGGGTAGAATAGGCTAGACTGGAACCTTGAATATCCACAAATAAAACCCCGTCTTCAACTGACAGCTTTATGGCTGCAGTGTTCTGACTTTAAAGTCAGTTTCCTGTGGTCTGGATGTCCGGAGAATGTGGTACAGAGGGTCTTAAGAAGTGGTCGCCATCGTCGTGAAAGACAAAGTTGCGAATGGCACCTGCGCACATAAGGTCAGATGCCAAGCCAATGATCGGAGGCAGATTGATGCTGCAATCGGAGTTTTGATTTGATCGCCCTCTTCGTCTTGGACTTTCACCATCACACCAGGCGTCGCTGCTAATCTCCAAGTTCTCGGCCAGTCTGACCCACAAGTAACGAACAAGAACTTGAAAGAAGCTGGGAGAACTGTATATCTACGAATACTACGACTGCAACGTTTATACGACTCAAGACAAGCCACAATTCTCAAAACCCATTAAGGTCCTCGTAAAGCTCTAGGAAAAAGATGGTTCAGGGATCCAAAGTAGACGGTATGGTCCTATAGCATAGCTAGCACTCTTTCAACTGTCTCTGAATGCTGCATGGTCACAGGCCCTTCCCAAGCCGAAACCCTCCTCCGCGTAACCTCAGGAATCGCCGCAGAACTCATCAAAGCCCACGACGCCGGCGAGTCCGTCTCCCTCAACATCCTCCGCGCCAAAATCAGCAAAAAGTTCGGATACGGAGGTGTACCCCGTCTCGTTGACATCATCAGTGCTATCCCAGATGACTACAAGAAAGCGCTGTTGCCTAAACTGAAGGCGAGGCCTATCAGGACTGCCAGTGGAGTGAGTGGTTTTCGTTTACTTTTGGTTTGGGTGCTGGGATATAGGTAGCTAACGAATTGTGCGGTACTAGATTGCGGTTGTAGCTGTGATGTGCAAACCCCATCGGTGTCCGCATATTGCAATGACGGGGAATATCTGTGTGTAAGTTGGACCTATTCGTTTTCCATGAGCAGCCTTTAGCGAGTAACCTTTGACAGATATTGTCCTGGAGGACCCGATTCAGACTTCGATTACAGTACACAAAGTTATACCGGGTACGAACCAACGAGCATGCGAGCTATTCGTGCTCGATACGATCCTTATGAGCAAACGCGAGGGCGAGTGGAGCAGTTGAAGAGCCTGGGACACAGTGTCGATAAGGTGAGATCCAACGTCGTGGTATCTGGGAAAGCAAACTCATGCAGTGGCGACACAGGTCGAGTTCATTGTCATGGGAGGCACCTTTATGAGTATGCCAGAAGACTACCGTGAAAAGTTCATTGCCCAATTGCACAATGCATTGTCCGGGTATACCGGAACTAATGTCGATGAAGCTGTCAGGTAAAAAGCATCCTCTTGACTGGTCTCCAGCCCAGCTCACACCACCCTGCAGGTTTTCAGAGCAAAGTAAATCAAAAGCTATCGGTATTACAATCGAAACCCGCCCCGATTACTGTCTACGGCCCCATCTCAGGTGCGTTTTCCTTCCCAGATTACCACCCATTCACTCCTCACCTCCCCCCAGCCAGATGCTCCGCTACGGCTGCACCCGTCTCGAAATAGGCGTCCAATCCGTCTACGAAGACGTGGCCCGCGACACCAACCGGGGCCACACCGTCCGCGCCGTCTCCGAATGCTTCCACCTCGCCAAAGACGCTGGTTTCAAAGTCGTCGCCCACATGATGCCTGACCTCCCCAACGTTGGTATCGAGCGCGATCTTGAACAGTTCAAAGAGTATTTTGAGAATCCAGCGTTTAGAAGCGATGGATTGAAGCTTTATCCGACGTTGGTTATTAGAGGAACGGGGTTGTACGAGTTGTGGAGGACGGGGAGATATAAGAACTATACGCCAAATGTTCTGGTGGATGTGGTGGCGAGGATTTTGGCGTTGGTGCCCCCGTGGACTAGGGTTTATCGTGTGCAGAGGTGAGGTCGATCCATGGCTGCCAGGGTTCAAATGCTAATCATTGCGTGCAGAGATATCCCATTGCCATTGGTAACAAGTGGATGCGACAACTCTGGAAACTTGCGTGAACTCGCTCTTAACCGAATGAAAGACTTTGGAGCCGTGTGTCGAGACGTACGGTTCCGCGAAGTCGGTGTACGCCCCTTTTCCCTCTTTATCTTCTTCAGGATTCTCACTGATTTCACCCCAGATCCACGAAATCCACCACAAAGTCCGACCAGAATCCGTGGAACTCCTCCGACGAGACTACACGGCCAATGGGGGTTGGGAGACTTTCCTGTCCTATGAAGATCCCGAGAAGGATATCTTGATCGGCTTGCTGCGGTTGCGAAAGTGCTCGGATGAGGGTACGTTTAGGCCGGAGTTGGTGAAGACCGAGCAGGGTAGCTGCAGTATTGTGCGGGAGTTGCATGTGTACGGAACTGCTGTTCCTGTACATGGAAGGGACCCAACGAAATTCCAGCATCAGGTGAGTTTGGTCTTCATTCGAAGGAAGACAAACAGGCTAAAGGTATTTTTAGGGCTTTGGAACGCTGTTGATGGAAGAGGCTGAGCGGATAGCGAGGGAGGAACACGGAAGCATCAAGCTGGCTGTTATCTCTGGTGTCGGAACGAGAGATTATTACAGGAAGCTTGGGTATGAGCTCGACGGACCCTACATGAGCAAGATGCTCATCTAGTTCCGCCGGCTTCCTGACGCACTTGTAGTCTGTATTATATTCTTACATTTGTAATTTTACACGACCGCAGCCCACTACCCATCCCCCATGACCAAAGTATGAAAATTGGGAAACACCAGCTCTTCCTCCACCGTCTTCCGTATCACATCCTGAATGAACCTCTCCACTCTCGTCACATTCTTCAGCACATGTTTGTCCGCCTGACCAATTTCGCTCTCGATGAAGATTGAGGGTAGCAGCCTCTGGCCTATGGGTAGCGGTTTCTGTGGTCTCCCGGAATTGGGTGGAGAGTCTTCGTCCAGGTCTGGCGGGGTGATGGCCGTATCGTTGAGTGTGTCAGGGTCGACCTCGCGTTTAGGTCTGTCGCCTGCTGGACCGTACGGATCCAGGTCGTCGAGGATACATACATGCACTCTCCTCCGTTGTCCTTCGTATGCTACCGCTAGCTCCCCATTGAAAACCAAACCCGTAACAGACAGTTTGATAGGCAGCGACATGAACATGGGTGAAGGGTAGTTGATCAACAGCGAAGTCGTAATCGTGATTCGTAAATTCGAGTGCCAGTTTACCTGGAGATGGAGTTGGAGATTGGGGTGGTTGTTTTCCTGCTGGGGTTGTTGTTGTTGCGGTTGCTGGGAAGGAAAAACGGGTTGGTTGAGGAAGGACGAGTCGGGATCCAAGGCTGAGGACGAGCGGTATGCAGCGGTGGGAGTGCGACCTAAAGGAGGGGTATGAACCACAGGAAAGGGCGTTGAAGGCGAGGGACTACGCAATATCGGACCTCCGTGAGCGAGAGCTGGGCTGCCGCCGCTCCCTTGGTGATGGAACAACGCCCCGTGGCCAGTCCACATGTCCAACCCAACTGGCATCGTCATCCCCATACTGTGCCCCAGCGAGCTGAACGTGTCCGTCGGCGAGCTCCTCAGCGGCGGATGCCTCAGGTGCATCGGTAGATGACTCCCATTCCCGCCGTGCCCACCGCCCTCGGTGTAATACTCCCTCGCAGCCGCCCGCCGAGGCACCCACTCGTACCCATCATCGTCCTCTCCACCATGCGCATCAAGCTGACCCTCAGTCACCTTGACCGGAGAAGTAGACGAGTCGTCTTCATCGTCCTCGAGAAAATCACGATAGATATCGCGCAGGTCGACGAGCTCTACGTCAGGTGAGGCAGAGCCGAATTCGAGGGAAGTGACTTCGACGGGGCCTATGAATGAGGGGCGTTGGGCATTACTTAGTTGGCGGTTGAGAACGTCGACGAGGTAATTGGCGAGAGAAGAGTCGAGTTTGGCCCATTCGAGGTCGATGGACATGATGGTAACAGGCAATCAAGGCGCGTTAAATAGGGGCTTGCAAATCAAAGTGGCTTCTTTCACATGGAATCCCTTCAAAATCGAGTGTTCGATTCCGCCTGGGCCAGTGCTTTAGTCAAGTGGTAGTCCATCTTTAATCGACCAGAAAGTCGGAAGGTACAGCACATCGCATTGGTAAAGTACACACAATCTGTCACTAAAAATACATCAAAGATTCAAAGCCAAAAAAAGTACCAATACAACAACAATACAACTGCGGGGCCCAATAGTCAAAATTCCACTCGCGCGGTTCAAAATATTCTGACACCACTCTCCGTCAGACCTCCATTCTCGCTGACCCCATTTCCAGGAAGAGTACACGTTCCAAGTGCGCCACAAGCAGGGGACCAGACTGTTGAATGTACTGCGCCTGCTGCATAGCCTGGAATGTCGGGGAATCCGCGAGGGAAGAACGATATCCTGGTTTCCGGTGGCCAGAAGAGCTCGACTTCTAATGGTGGCGCGCTGAACCGAGGGTTTCTCGATGAAGAGAACGGATAGGCGAACGGAGGTGCGGAAGCCTCGACCAGCGAGACCATGGGATCGTGCTTGAGGCTTTGATATACGAATGGGTGGACATACTTCTTGCTGCTCGAAGACACCGTCGCGAGCTGGTTGAAAAAGACACTGTGATCACTGCGCCCTCCCTCCTCCCGGAATTCAGCAGCACGCTGTGACTTGGGCATCGCAAACTGGATTTTGACCTTCTCAATCATCTTCTTAATCTTCCCCGCCTGCAACACTTTCCAGTGTCTCCTCGCATGCACAAACCGCAGCAACGCGGCTTCATCAAATTCTGCGGTCCTCAATCTGCAGGTGAAAGATGTGAGGTTGGGACAAAGTACCTCGACTTCTTCTCCCTGCGCATCCGCATCCGCACCCGAGTCCGACCCGCTCTCGTCGTCATCCCTGGGTATCCTAGGTGTCAGCTTCTTCAAGAAGCCGTTCGTCAAGAATACAGGGAAGAATCGCGAATTCGAATCATTTCCGCCATGCCAGTGCGGCCCATGGTCTTCGTCGTAATCCCAATGTCCTTCTCTCGTCTCCCAATAATCCACCGTCAAGAATACCTCCTCCACTGTCCCGCTGACAATGCTCAAAACCTGCATCAGATCTCGTTCGGTGAAGCTCCTGTAATCGATGGCTAGCCGTCGGATGTTGGGACCGCACGAGGCGAGGATGGCAAGGAGGGACGATGGACGCGAAAGTCTGGGAAATACCGTGGTCGTGAATACGATAGATTGCAAGGCGGGGAATTCGAAAGCCGAAAAGAAGGAAGCGAGAGATTCTTCCTGACGTGCGTTGGTTTCGTGGATGGAGAGATGCTCGAGATATTGAAGAACGATAGGCTCCTTGGTCTCTGGTAGCAAGTTGGCGACGCTCGGTCTCCTCCTATCCGCTCTACCGACCAACATATGGCACTTCCTCAGGTTCGTGAGTTTAGCCAGAAGCAGAGCAGCTTCCTGCTTCGTGAACCTAGAATGGACACCGATGAGTGGGAGAGGAGTCCAGGAGGAGAACCGACTGGAGTAGCCTTCGAAAAACAGCTCCGTGATATTCTCCCATTTAACAGGGAGAAGGAACAGGTCGGTGGTGAGTGCTTTGAGGTAGAGCGTCCTCAAACTCTCCCGCGACGACTTCAACAACGCGCTCTTCATAAACATTTGTTGAGCAGCGCTTTGAGCTGCCGTGACATGTTCTTCTGGGTTCTCCGCATCCAGATCGTCCAGTTCATCATCGTCCGACGAGTCCTCTATAGCACCAGGTCGTTGGATGATAAAGCGTTGGTTGGATTCGGCAATGTTAGGAGGGGACATAGGAGCGTGGTTGATCTTGAGATACGCGAGATTCTCCGCTTCCGTCGCCAATATCTCGGATAAGAACCTCCAAGTGACACTCAACTCCAACCTTTGCCACTTGTGCTTGTGTTTCCTAAGGACCTCGATCAACTGGATCTTCAAAGGGGCAAGTTTGATCTTCCAACCATTGGTGATAGTGCGCCGGTCAGGAGGTGGTGACCACTCGACAATGTTGAGTCCGAGCTTGAGGTTTCCTGAGCGGGAAAGCCATGCATCGACCGCCTCTATTCTCAGGATCATTTTGCGCTTCCATGTGGAGATTGCCGTTTCGTAGAGTTGTTGCAAATGGTGAATGACGTGTATCTCCTCGGGCCTGAGTGCAGGTGGTGCAACTGTCACTGGTTGGCCCATTAGAATCGGCGGTGCCCCCCAAATGTTGACCAAAGTTTGAACAGGTGGTAGGGAAGGGGCCGCAGATTGCGAACCGGACGTTGATTGGGCGGAAGGAATTCGATGGGGTCTGACTGGGCAGGCGGGAAGAGGAATATGGAGGTTCTGCCATAGCACTGGCATCGACAGAGCAGCGTCCCTCCACCTTCTACACACGTGGGTAAGGAGTAAGGGAGCCTCGTCAACGGCCATGACGGCATATCTCTCCCTTGGGAGACAGTAGATGAAGATGATTCGGAGTACATCGAAGGGAAGCCTTCGTAGAGGCGATGTCAGGGCTTTGTGGTCGTCAACGAACGCTTTGCATGCCGATTTCCGTTTCTGAATGGCCTCCAGGGCGTCGAGGAGCTTTCGTTCTTCGAAATCTAACTGAGAAAGCTCTCGAAGGGGCTTCTCTGCCAGAAAACTCTCTATCTGGTTCACCTCAGCGTCGCTCGGGGTATGGTTTGTGCGCAGAACTGAGGCGAATGGGCTCTCCATGGTGGTCGACGGTGGCAGAAGACAACCAGGTTGGTCTAGTGAAAGGAAAGGGGTCGGTTACCTCACTCTCGGTAATTGCCGAGATCACTTGAGTGGCGCTTCGGGAATAGGCGCTTGGGCTGGACCGTGCGCGAGGCTGCAACAAAGCCACGGTGCAGGGCCCAAATTGTCACAAGAGAAGAGTCTGTATGCATGATGGAATCTAGCAAAATATACGTACAAGTCCAATGAATCTATTCAGAAGGCCATCAAGGCATTCCAACTGTAGGACCATCTCGCCTTCCGTAGATTTGAGTCAACAAACCAAGCACGCCTCCATCCTCCAACTCCTCCTCTTCCTCATCGGCACCTTCAGAGACATACGGTTTGACAGGCCGCTTGGCACCGTCCACGTACGAGTCTCCCAGGCCAATTTCATTATGTACTGTGCTCCTCTCCTCTTCCTTCTCAGCTTCGTGAGAGGAACCGGTCTCCCCAGTTGCATTGCTCGCCCCTTGAGCACTTCGAGAAGGTGATGGGCCAAGGTGGACGCTGTTCTGCGAGTCCCCGAGGACTGCTGTACGGGCCATGAGCAAGTCACCGGCATACACAGACGACGCTCCTTCTGGTCCAGCAGCGTTCAACATGGACATAGTCATGATGCTGTTGCCTAAGCCTCTGCGACGCGTCAAGGCGGCGTGTTGACTCTGTCTCAAGGCACGATCGTAGCTGTCCGGGGCGAAGTGCACTGTCGCTGATAAATCCCTGTCTCCGGCGTAACCCGCCTGCTCTTGTTGTTGCCGACGACGACTGAGTTGTTGGTGCAAGTTCGCATTGAGATTCGCCATCCGGTTCAGGTAGAGGGAGCCGCTGGGATCGGTCGGTTGCCAATCTGGATTTGCAGCCTGTAGGTTACCAGAATTTAGTACCGGATAAAGGAGAGAGCATAGTCAGATCATACCTTGAAATTCAGGAAACTCTTCTCCATCTTTCCGTCGTTGGAGATCATGCGATTGTCCTTTGCCTTCGCCGGTGCGCCGAACTGAGAGTGCCTTTAGCACCAAGAAGTTTGCGTTCAGTATTGTTCACTTACCTTCACATTTCCATGCCTCTCAAAGTTAAACTCTGCGAAGCTACAAACATACCCTCTGCCGTCCACATGCACCGTGAACTCTCTGAAGAAGTCAACAATCGCAGGGGCACAGTCTGGTAATGAGAACCACAGCACAAAGGGCGTGGTAACCACCGACACAATCTCCTGGATGAAAATGAGCAGCTTCATCTTGAAAAGCTCTCCGAATTCTTGGTTAACACGCTTGCTATGCAGCTCCCCTTTCCAATCATCAGGCATGTAGTGGGTGTAGGCGATTACCTCGTTCATGAGAAGTTCGGGATCGAAGACGCGGTTCTCCTCTGGTATCATGCCTCGTGCAACCGTGAGGATACCACCAAACACTCCGAGATAGAATAGGACTGTTCTATGTGGGGTGATTTCGAAGTTGAGGAAGATGTCGGGGTCTATGAGGGTGGCGAGTAGGAGGACAGCAGCGAAGGAACCTGCAATGAATGCCACAAATCTACAACACAGTGAGTATGAGAGAACAGCATACGTTGTTGCAACAGGCGAACCTCATGAGAATGGTCATCTTCTCGTTCGGGAACTGGCCCATATAGACATTGGCGAGCGGGTAGCTTTCGTCCAGACGCCTGGTGAAGATATGGGGGAGCTCATTAAACTCTCTGAATTTCCATTGCGCGTATGACGTATATCGTCGACCACTGATCGAGCCAGGATCCTTCTGGTATTGCTGCAAGGGGAATTAATCTCGAGATTCCCAAAGGCCTGCGAATTAAGGCTTACCTCGAAATAGCGGAAGAACGAATACATGAGAAGATAAAGCACAATGAATGGGGAGAACAAGGCGTTCAAAATCCCCATAAAGATAAACCGCCGCTGTAAGCTATCACCCGAGGACTGTCAGTCATGGTAAAATTGGATGTAGTCAACTTACCCTTCAACCAAAGCCTGCCGATTCCTAGACTTCAAAAAGACCTTCCTCACCCTACCATGCGAGTCAAACAAGTATCCCATCAGACAGAACCTCAGGTTCCACTCCAACGCCTGCGTCAACACCTTGCCCTTTCCTTTCTCTGGTGTTACGAAACGATTCAGGAACCCAGGTAACGGTACGCGAAGGTCCAAGAGGTCCTTATTGAAGAGTGCAATGAGGTAGTTCTCTTGTCGCATGATCCGGTTGGCCACGTCGTGAGCATCGAGCTTTGCTGTGGAGGTATTGTTATCTTTGGATTTGGATCCTGTAGATGATATTGCCGTGATGGGGTTCTCTTGTCGGATTGCGCCTATGCGTCGTACGACCTCTGCCCAGGATATTGTTTGGATATCAGACTATACAGGCTGTGTAAGTAAATGGTCCCATGCCTTCTGAAGAGTTAAGACACGTACATCAGGGATCTTGAGAAGATGGGTATAGAAGTTGTACATGTCCACGAGGCGTAGGACATCCATAACGTAGGAGTATATTTGCCAGAGGTAGAATGCGGTGAAGAGGATGAAGAAGAGGAGGGTAACGCCAGAGAACCTAAGCAAAAAATCGAGATCAGAGCGAGTTCGGAGGATAAACAACTTTTGAAACGAACTTCGATATACAGCGTTCAATGACGACATCATCTAGGTGGGTGACTTTGCCATGTCGAAATTTCGAATAGTCAATACATCCGAGCAGAAATGTTGAAAACCCGATGACGAATCCAACAGTCCTGAAGCGATATGAGAGGAACGAAACAACTGCGAACAGAAGCAATAGGGCTTACAAGAGATTCAACCCTCTCGAGAGAGCGATGCTATAGATCCCCTTTCCTTCGTAATACATGTAGACCTCTTGAAGAAAGGCATCGAGGTTGTACACGTTCACCCAATTCCATAAAGCCCTTTCATATTCGTCCAGACCTCGCATAGGTTTAGGTTGTCGAGAGCTATCGCCGTTGGAGCTGCCACTAGCCGACGCTCCACGGGCTAATCGTGGTGTCTCCATGTTGTCCTCCTCGACATCCAACTCTGACGGTTTAGGCGGTATAGACACGTGCGGTGCAACCGTTGGCAGAATAGGGGGCACAGAACGCGCAGAGGTTGAGTACAAAGGCTGCCCCCGCTTCATTGCTGACCTGCTCGACCCCGAATCCGACTCCCCTCGATGCCTTGTCGGTTGTCTTGCAGCAGCGCCGGCCGTAGCTTCAATCATGAAACTTTGCGGCACCTCGTCGTCCTCCGATGACTCTCCTTCATGTTTTTTGTCGTCTTTCTGGATGTTGGGGCGCAGGACATTCATTTCTGAAGCGTTGCCGTCCCATGAGACCTTCCGCTTCCCTTGGGATTTTGCTGAGCGTTTCTGTCGTGGTGCATTCGGACTCGAGCCACTCTCCAAGTCTATGTCCTCCCCTGAGCTCCCATGTTCATCTTCTTCCTCCGGCAACGCGTCCGCACGCATATAACCTTGATAAGTCCTGCTCCTGCTCATGGGGTTGAACATGTTCAGAAACTGACGCGAGCTTGATGGTGTCCCTGGCGAGAAAGCGGACTGGCCTGAGCGAGAGCTAGACATTGGCCTTGACGAGCGAGAGCCCGCCGTTGACATTGTAGTAGTCGTCTGACAACGAGCAAATGGAGTCAGACCATGTAACGGTGCTGCGTTAACAAGCAGTTCCTTGATTCGTACACCTCAACAGACTTGCCCACTGTTTGATGTGGCTGTGTCAGCGTCCATCATCCCCTCTCAGAAAGTTAGGGGCGCCTCGCGAATTGCCCATAAACAGAGAAGCAAAGTCGAATACACCGCCAGGTTAAATGGAGCTATGTACAAGATATAATACAATTGTAGTTAGAGTTTTCGTGCGCCTATCAGATTATGACGCCGCGTTTTTCTTCAAAACCACATCCAGGCCGCTCGCCGCATTCAGAACGGCTCGGATACCAGATGCTGTAATATCAGTATCCGTTCCAATGCCCCATGCACTGGTCTTCTTGTTTCCACCGACATCATACACAAGTTCGACATATGATGCGGCGCGCACTTCGGTACCCTCGCCGATCGAGTGTTCCGAGTATTCTCGAATGGAGAGTGTGCCTTCGATGAAGGGATGCAAGGCATCAACCACCGAAGACAGAGGGCCGTTGCCTTGTCCAGTGACATTGCGCTTCTCGCCGTTGAACAAAATCTCTCCAACGAACTGCCGGCCAGAGCCTTCGCCAACTTGCTCCAACTTGAACTGTCCCAGAGCGAACGAAGGTGCGGTGGTGTCGGGTGAGAGGTATCGGTATGTCGTCTGGAAAAGATTGATAAGGGCTTCGTATGAGATTTCACCGCCGTTGTCCCTGGCAGCGCGTTGAACGACCTCGAAGAATGAAGCCTGCAGGCGACGAGGAAGCTCCAATCCAAGGGCGTTGAGGACTCGGCTAGAGATGTCGTCGTGGCCTGAGGCAGCGTTGAAACCGACGGACAGCTTGAGCTCAGGAAGAGGTCGGTCTCCAATGGCACTGTTGACAGCGCTGAGCAAGGCACGGAGACCAGACTCGGCGATGTCAGCGTCGAGGCCCACACCCCACCAAGACTTGGTGGATTTCCTGTCGTCGGCGGGTACCACCTCAATGTAGGAAGCAGCCTTGGCGTCCTGGCCTTCTCCAGTAGTGTGTTCGGTGTACTCGCGGATGGCGAGGTCGATGTCCAGGTGTGTCTTCAGGGCGTCCAAGAGAGCAGACAAAGGACCGTTGCCGTTACCTCGGACAACACGGTAAACACCGTCGACAGAGATGGTACCATCGAATTGCTTGCGCTCGTCAGCTCCATGGTCGCTGTTCGAATCGGGGTCGTCACTGGGTTCGGCAGAGATCTTGAAGTTCCTAAGAACCAAGCGACCAGCGTACTTGGAGCCAAAGTGGTAATGGGAGCGGAAAGCGGTGGTGATGTCTTCGACGGTCATCTCCCGAGCCTCGCGATCGGCCACGGCCTGCACAACCTGGTAGAACGCGATCTGCATCTTGCGGGGCATGTCCAGGTGCAAATGCTGCTTGATGAGGTAGGAGATACCACCCTTTCCGGACTGGGAGTTGACACGGATGACGGCCTCGTAGTTCTGGCCAAGGTCGGCAGGGTCGATGGGGAGGTACGGCATGTCCCAGTATTGGTCGACGCCGGTGGTGTGACGAATCTTCTGCGCCTCGAAGCCCTTCTTGATAGCGTCCTGGTGGGATCCAGAGAAAGCGGTGAAGACGAGCTCTCCAGCATACGGATGGCGAGGGTGGACGGGAAGATCGTTACATTGGGTGACGGTGTCGATAACGGACTGGATATCGCTGAAGTCGAGGCCGGGGTTGATACCTTGTGTGTACAGGTTCAGAGCCAAGTTGACGAGGTCGACATTTCCTGTACGCTCGCCGTTTCCGAACAAGCAACCTTCAATACGGTCGCCGCCAGCGAACATGCCCAATTCAGCAGCGGCAATGCCAGTACCTTGTGCAAAGGATAAGTTCGCCGATGTGACTTACTAGATGACGATGGCGTACCTCTGTCATTGTGCGGGTGCAAACTGACGATGATTTTCTCTCGCTCACTGATATTGCGACAGAAGTATTCAATCTGGGAAGGGGTGAGAACCCAGACCCGGAAAACTAATTCCGACCTACCTGATCAGCATAATGTGACGGAGGTGCAATCTCCACAGTTGCAGGAAGATTGAAGATAATACGATCCTCCCCAGGCCCTGCCTTTCCCCAAGCTGCCTTGACTGCTTCACAAATTTGAACCGCAAACTCGGGTTCCGTCTGAGTGAAGGTTTCGGGGCTGTACTCGTACTTGAAGATGGTACCGTACTTCGCGGTGCACTCATCGGTCAGCTGACGGACGAGCTTGGTATGTCGTACTGCCAAATCGATAGTTTGTTCTTTCGTATGTCGAAAGACGACATTCCGGAAGGTGGGCGAAGTAGCGTTGTACATATGCAGGATGACGTGCTTGGCGCCGGCGACTGCTTCGATTGTTCGTCGAATCAAGTCTTCTCGGGCTGGGGTGAGGACCTAGAAATGGTGTCAGCATGAAGGAGAGCCAGAAAGTACAAGGCAGAGTTTGCGCACCTGGATCCAGGTGTCGTCGGGGATCTCTCCATTCTCGATGAGGCCGCGAACAAAGTTGAAGTCTGTGTCGCTGGCTGCCGGGTATGCAACCTCGATCTCCTTCACTTTGCACTTGACCAGCTGGCGGAAGAAGGTAGTCTTCTGCTCAATGGTCATAGGGTTTGCCAAAGCTTGATTGCCGTCCCTGAGGTCGGTGGACAGCCAGATCGGAACCTTGTCGCCATACTTTGCAGACGGCCATTTGCGATCTGGGAGATCAATAGGGGTGTATCTCTTGTACTTCACGGAAGGATCGGCTCTGTAGAACGTTGGTCAACGGCTGAGGCGACGGAGAACGACGATGGAGAGGGGCATACAGCATTGGCATTTTGAGAAAACGAAGGAAAGGAAGGAAGAGGAAAGGAATAAAGAGCGGATAATAGAGGCAGCGATTGGGTTTACATATGAAGCGCCGAGAAAATTAAAAGGGCGACATGTGATCTGACTCGATTTGACTGGGACTGATAAGATTAGTCGAGATCACTCCAGAGTCTTCAATCTTTTCTTACTTCATTTCTACCATGGCCGCCGCCAATCTCACAGTTCCAACAAAGGCGTCGCCCTTCCCATACGGTGCGACAGCCCTTGCTGCATACACCAATACCGCCACAATCCATTTTGACAATGCCGCCACGGACCTGGCTCTCACTTTGGACGGTCAAAGCGCCTCAAACGAAGATGAAATCATCCAGATCCTAGCAAAGGCTGGAAATGTTGCCAGCGACAGTGCAAAAGTCAGGCAACACACGTCTGTTTATCGATATACGGCGCTAATAAGGAAGATTTAGTCGGCATCGTACTTTGCACTAACAACAAACCTGCGCACCTTGGCCGCTTTTCCCGAGATCGTTGCTGCCCTCGATTCTTTGGACGATTACCTTGCCTATCGCACGTATCTCGTGGGACACGAGCCCTCTGCTGCCGACTGGGCAGTTTGGGGTGCCCTAAAGGGTCAGACTTTGGTTGAATAAAACGCGTCAAGATGCTAATCGACTTGTAGGAAACATCAAGGTCCTCGGCTTGCTGAAAAACAACCAACACACCCACCTTCTTCGCTGGTTCTCCCACCTCGAGTCCTTGAAGCCCATTCAAAAACTCATCGCTGACTTCACCGCTGCGAAAGCGCAGAAGGCCCGCTCCAACAAGACCGCTGCTGGTTTTGCCCTCGGTCTTCAAGATGCAGTCGAAGGGCAAGTTGTGACGCGTTTCCCACCCGAGCCATCAGGCTACCTGCACATCGGACACGCTAAGGCCGCTATCCTCAATCAGTACTTTGCCAGGATGTACAGGGGCAAGTTGATCATTCGCTTTGATGATACCAATCCTTCCAAGGAGCGGGTATGCTATTCCTGAATGTTACCCAATGCGATGCTCACCTACATTGGTAGACCGAGTTCCAGAAGACTATCCTTGAGGATCTTCAGCTTCTGGATATTCATGGAGATAAAGTCACCCACACCTCCGATTATTTCGATCAACTCTACGAATTGGCTGTGAAGATGATCAAGGATGGCAAGGCTTACGCTGATGACACTGAGAAGGAGCAGGTCTGTTCACATCACCAAGCATCTTTGTAGCGAAGTACTGACTTTTATTTAGATGCAAAAAGAGCGATTCGACGGCATTGCCTCCAAACACCGAGACAACAGTGTCGAGGATAACCTCAAGCGTTTCGAGGAGATGAAGTCCGGATCTGAGGAAGGCCAACGATGGTGCTTGCGCGCTAAACTAAGTGTCGATAGCCCCAACAAAGCCCTTCGCGATCCTGTCATTTACCGATGCAACCTTACTCCCCATCACCGTACTGGCGACAAGTGGAAAATCTACCCCACGTACGACTTTGCCTGCCCCCTTGTTGACTCCATCGAGGGCGTTACGCATGCTCTGAGAACGAACGAGTATCGTGATCGAAACCCCCAATACCTTTGGATGAACAAGACACTTGGAATGAGGAAGGTCAACATCTGGGATTTCAGGTAGGTTGTATCTGATGTTTAGGGCAACACAACTCTGATAATTTCCGTAGTCGCCTTAACTTTGTTTATACCCTTCTGTCCAAGCGTAAACTCCACTGGTTCGTCGACAACGGTCACGTCAGCGGCTGGGATGATCCTCGTTTCCCTACTGTCCGAGGTTTGTCTGTCATCCGTATCTATTGCGCTTATGTACCGATCCATCTACAGGAATTCGTCGTCGTGGAATGACCGTCGAAGCCCTTACCCAATTCATGTTGTCGCAAGGGCCTTCCTCCGCGGTCGTTTCACTTGAATGGGACTCTATCTGGGCCCTTAACAAGAAGATCATCGATCCCGTCGCCCCTAGACATTGGGCAATCATCTCTGATAAGAGGTGAGTTCACTTTCATCTTTCTTGAAAACCATTGACCAAAGAACTATCACAGCGTCCCAGTCACTGTCAACGGCGGCCCTTCCTCTCCCGAGATCAAGTCCCTTCCTCGACACAAGAAGAATCCTGACGTTGGAGAGAAGAAGACTGTCTACGCTTCTCATATTCTCATCGAGCAGGAGGACGCTGCATCCTTCGATCTTAACGAGGAGGTTTGTTCTTTTATCCATGGCGTTCTCCACTCACACTAACCAAACACGGTAGATTACCCTCATGGACTGGGGTAATGCTATCGTCCGAACTAAGTCTATCGACGCAGCCGGCACCGTCACAGAGATCGTCGTCGATCTCCACCTCGAAGGTGACGTGAAGAAGACCAAAAAGAAGATCACCTGGCTCGCTGCCCCCAAAGACAACCACCCCCTCCCTACCGTCTCTCTCGTAGACTTCGACTACCTCATCACGAAGAAGAAGTTGGAGGAGAACGACGAGTTTGCCGACTTCGTCACCCCAGTTACCGAGTTTAAGGAAACCGCTCTCGCCGATGCTAACGTACTTGACCTCCCCAAGGGCGAGATTATCCAGTTCGAGAGGAAGGGATATTATATCTACGATGGAGAGAAGGACGGTGTGAAGGAGTTCTTCAAGATTCCCGATGGAAAGGCCGCTGGTATCGCCAGCAAGGCTGCTACCGCTGCTGCTGCTGGTGCCCAAAAGGCCGCCACCCCTGCAGCTCCGGCCAATGAGATCGCTGACCCCTCTGCAGCGGTTACATCCATGTACAAGGTCAAGCCCATCAACCCTGACGAAAACCCCACTGTTGAGACGGGAATGTACAAGGTCAAGAGCCTCTATACAGCTTAAATGATGGATATCCTCTCTATTTGTTGCACGTTCTACCCACTAGATTTCATTCGAATTCGCCCGTGCTACAATTTTATTCGCTCTGTACTACTTTGGAATCCAGCGTTGCTTGAACCAATGCGACTGCTTTTTCTAATATAGGTGCAAAATGATTCGAACCTCGCATAATCTCCAAAGCCTCTGCGACATCGTAGAAAGCCGATTCGTATGCTTCCTCTGCACTCGATGCATGCGTCCCAACTACCCTCTCCACATCATTTTCTGTCACCCAACTCAAGAACCACCAAACGTTCTTCAAAGACCCACATTTCAACTGTCTAACCTCTACCGCAAAGGGTTCCACTAGGTTATCTGCCATCAGTACCTTCGAAGGGTGTAGATTCTGTCCTGGAGGAGGCGCCCTCGTTGGCATCGTACAAGAGAAAAGGCGACACGGATACCCCGTTTCTTCGTATGTCTCCCGGATGGCTGTCACCTCCATCGATTCATTCTGGTCTTTTCGGCCTTTCGGGAGTATGTAGGTCTTGCGTTTTGTGTGGTAGATTAAGCAGACTTGCAGGGCGTGCGTGATTGGGTGGGTTCTGAAGAGGACTGAGCCAGCGGCGAGGACGAAAGATTCGCTCGAGAATATAGTAGTCGGGACTCGAGGGGAGGTAGGTGACGGTTTAAGGTTCTTAATGCTGCTGTTGGCTTTGGGTGCACATTCTGATGCCTCCCCCGAGTTCGATGACTCTTTGGCGGAACCTGAAACCTCGTAGTTCTGCAGTACTCTTCAGCGATAGGAATCCTATCCCAACGCCGAAGAACAACTTACCATCTGGCACACAGCCCTGGCTTGTCCAACGATCGTGATAGTAAGAGGCAAGTTGTACGGCGACGCTGTCACGCCACGCATACGGATAGGGGTAGTATTACTACTGATGGTACTCTACCGTCGTATCTACTTCTCCCCGCCCAAGCCAACTTTCTCCTCAACTTTCCACTCTTGCACAGCACCGACACACTTGACAAACCAAACTTCAGTTGCGAGGTACGAACTCATCCAGTCCTCTTCCCCGTTAATCCCATTCTTACACCGAATCTCCACACCCTTCCCGCCATCCCTCTCCCTTATTTTCCCCGCATTAACCAGCCCCTCAAAATACCTCTTCCTCTCGCCCTTCTCTGAGTCCTCGTCCGCTATATACGCCAGCGATACATGCGGGTACAAAGGAGTCGTTTCGCCCCTATTGAACTTGAATTGAAGATCCACAAGTTCACGAGTAGGTTCGACGGCGATGAAGACGCTCCGAAAGTAGTGCGTTCCTACTTCGATTGATTTGAACGGAACGGTTGGTGGAGGTATCTTGGATAACAATACTTTGAGAGCTTCTCGGTCTGTCTCTTCGTCGATGAAGCTTCCGAGAGTTACGTGTGGGTCGAAGGGAGGGTATGAACTGGGTTGGACGCCGGTCGTGTCATGCAGCGGAGCCATGATCGACTTTAGTCTCTCGCCGTCTTCTCGGGAGGGCATAAGCCAGAGATTAATTTTAGACATCTTCGACGGCTAGGTGAGCATGTTGTCTTCATGGACGGCATAGATACTCACTATAAAATGTTTACGATGGTGGAAGAAACTGATGAGCCACATTGGAGCGTGAAGTCCGCCTCTTACCGGTCGGCTTGCAACTTCATGGCATGGACTCCGTAAACCCGCTGTTCACAAACTACAAGGGAAGCCATAATGTTATCGTCGAGTTTGCTACTGCTAAAAATACATACAACAATGAGATGGGATGGACGACTAAATTAGTAGATTCGACTTGTAAGAGGGCTGTGCAATGTCCCAAGCTAAGTGATAGGAGACTAAAGAAAAGATAGGCAATCAAACAGTGGGAGTGTCGACGGAAGGGTCATCCGACTTCAAACTCTGCAAACTGATCCAACTACTATCAACGCTCTCCGATTCACTAGGTGGAGTTCCAATGTCGATTTCTGCCTCATCGGATTCTTCTTCAACCTCGGGAGGTGTTGCCAGAGGAAGCTCCTCTTTTGAGGCTTCAATGGCACGCACGCCACCACGGTCGCGTCGCTGCTGCGTTGGCGAGGTCCGGCGTCTGGAGGCAGCAGGGATGTCACGAGGAGGACGACGGAAAGGCTGGGTTGGCAAAAGTCGATTGCGCAGGCCAATCAGGAGGTAGGGCAAGTTCAATAGGGTGTCCAAGAGGAGCGAGGGAAGATAGGAGGCAAGTCTGTAGGTGAGGGCTGGAAGGGGCAAGGTTGTCAATACACCTGAGCAAAAAGCGAATGAAAATATCTTACCTCCTGCACCAACAGCGAATCGGTCTCCCTGAAGCCATGTTCGAACGTAGCCGATACCAACATCGTGACCACAGATAAAAGGCCCTTGGGTTCGGCCGCCACTGACTACGGCGATAATCTTCTCGACGAATGTCGATGCACGAACGGGGCGACGGGAAACGGTGTACCGACGGTCTTCGTCGAATAGGGACTTGAGTGAGTCCCAGAGCGAGGCAGGCGGCTGTTCCTGAAGAACCGAGGCGAATGCCGGCCCATAGATAACCTTCTCCGACGACGTCCAGCTTTCTGTCGCCTTCAAGAGGCTGTCTTGAATCGTGGCTGGTGCCTTGCGTCCAACATCTACAGCACCAACGTCAACGATGACAACCTTGATGCTGCTCATGGATTCAGCTTTGCCGGTAACGGCGGCCATTTGGATCTCCCGCCGAAGGGTCTCGACAGCCTTGAGAGTCCCAGCTGCACTCATCGCCTGGACAGAGGAGAATGGGAGAGATACTCGAGTGTCTACAGCCGGCAGACAGACGACGATGGTCTTGTGCCCCTTATCACGAGCTCGAGCAGAGCCCGTCCGCAATATGGGGAGAAGTTGCTGAATGACTTGCAAAGGAGTGATTTGGGTTGCTGTGAGGTATGGGAGATAGTCTTTGGCCAACGAGAGGTGTTCCAAAGGCCCAAGGGCAGGTGAAGCAGATGATGGCAGGGTAAGGAGAGAAATAACCGATTGGACATAAGGTTGAGAGGAGGGTGAAGAGTGGGGATCCCCGGCGGCTCTGAGAGGGAAACGGCGAGACAGAGTGGAAGAAAGGGATCTTAGGAAGATTGGGACAGTCGCTGGCTGGTCAGGACATGAGTAAGGGAGCGAGCGGACTGCAATAAAGACGCACCTCTTGAGGATCGAGTACAAGGGCCTTGACATATCCTTTGGTCCTACTCTCCAACTTCTCTACAGCTTCAGCTGTTGAAACGCTAGCAATAACAATATAGCCCTTCTTCTCGAGACCCAAAATTAACGGTAGTCCATGAGGAGTGTCTCCACCCAAGACAACTTAAAGCACATCGATCAGCACTGCTCGACTGTACGAAGTGTGAACAGACATACCAACTACTTGCTTCCTTTCCGCAGACTGGGCTTGAAGCTTGCTCGCAGGCTGCTTAGCTTTCATGGCTGACATTTTCCGGTGCGTAGTGTAGAGACCCGTTCCAACGATACCCACTGCGACTGCTGATACAGTCTTCGGGTGGGTCTTTATCCAATGTACTGAGGAGTTGAACATGGAGACTGGTAGTGCTGGTTGTGGTGGTGGAGGCGGCGGGGGAATCTGGAAATCTCCAGGAGTCGGAAGTCCGACATCTGGAAATGACGGAAGTCCAGGACCATAGCGCGAGATATCAACCCAGAGGCGGTTGACTACCTCGTGAACGTCTGGGAGTCCATGGCTGACCGCTGAGACCGAGGAAAAGAAATATTCCTCGAGAGACTGGAGATAGTCGTCAATTTTGTCCAGCGACGCCTCGAGCTTGTCGTAGGAGCTCATTTCACTGTGGTCGTTGTCGTCGTCGGTGACCAAGTCATAGACGCTGTCTCATCTCATTATATCACTGTTTCTCACGGCTTCTGACGCAGACCCTCGGCAACAGTTTTTCAAACTCAGCTTCCTCCATAAACTTGAGGTGGTCGAGTTCAAGTTGAGGCGTCACAGAAGAAGTCATCCATAGAGCCCAGGTGGAAATAGATTCAGAGGCCCAGGCTTTACCTTCTCGTCGCCTATGTGTGATACTTCGTCTGTTCTTTAACCCCCTCAAGAGTTTCGTGGCGGACGTCTGCGCTGAACACCGCAATCATGGATGTCATTGCCCGGTTGACCTACCCATCTTGAATGAAGGTAATACTATGTTCCCGGCGTACATTTGGCCTTCTCAGAAACTCATACACGGAGAAGAATCGCTCAATTCAGCCGTCTGAAACCAGGTCATCACACCTGGTTGAGCGATATATCTCTCCCAATAGGTACATAGCTCCAACCAACCTCCCTTCTGAATGCCGTTGTCCATAGTTTTGAATTCATGTAAGCAACTGAGGCCTGAGGTGTTGAGTTCATGTCCCCGAGGTTCACAGGCGCTCGCCAAGCCAGAGGAAGCGCCCGCCTTCGGAAAATCGGACTTTTGAGCCGGTATAGTAATCGAGAGATGTCATCGCGGCCTTGCGCCCGACTTCCTCCCTGACTTGTCCGAAAAGTGACTAGGTCCTCGTCGCGTCATGACAGACACAGGGATGTGCTTGCTCTTGGCTCTCCAAGGCGCAGTCCAACTCTACCGTCTACGCGCAGACACAAGCTCACAGTTGTCACCCAGAGTTATTAAGCCGTGATTAAGGGTAATTTTGGTTGGCAGGAAATCTATGACAAGGAGAGGATATACTGTATGCTACGAAAACGAATGAGTCCACTTAGTTGCCCATTTCCTTGGCGAGTTGCTCAGCCTTGGCCTTGACATCCTCGATGGTGCCGACCTGCGTTGCAATCCGCGTCAGTTATCCCGCATTCGTCCATGAGGTCGTTGACGACGTACCATGTAGAAGGCAGACTCGGGGAGAGAGTCGTGCTGGCCAGAGAGGATCTCCTTGAAGGAACGGATGGTGTCCTTCAGGGTGACGAGCTTGCCCTCATAACCAGTGAAGACCTGGGCGACCTGGAAAGGCTGGGACATGAAACGCTGGATCTTACGAGCACGCTCGACCTATTGGGAATGTCAGGATAGAGTTCCAACATAGTAGTCGCACCAAAAACGCACAGTAAGCTTGTCCTCTTCCGACAACTCGTCCATACCGAGAATGGCAATGATATCCTGGAGCGACTTGTAGTCCTGGAGGATCTTTTGCACGGCGGTGGCAACCTCGTAGTGCTCCTGACCGACGATACGGGGGTCAAGCATACGAGACTTGGAGTCGAGAGGGTCGACGGCGGGGTAGATACCAAGCTCGGCAATGGACCGGGACAAGACAGTGGTGGCGTCCAAGTGAGCGAAGGTGGTGGCGGGGGCGGGATCGGTCAAATCGTCAGCGGGCACGTAGACGGCCTGCACGGAAGTGATAGAGCCCTTCTTGGTGGTGGTAATACGCTCTTGCCTGCCAAGCCGTCAGTACCGAGCAAACTGAGGTGAAGCGGAAGACTTACATGGCACCCATGTCAGTGGAGAGAGTGGGTTGATAACCGACGGCGGAGGGGATACGACCGAGCAAGGCAGACACTTCAGAACCAGCTTGAGTGAATCGGAAAATGTTGTCAATGAAGAGCAACACATCCTGGCCTTCCTCGTCACGGAAGTACTCAGCAATGGTGAGACCAGTGAGAGCAACACGGGCACGGGCACCAGGGGGTTCGTTCATCTGACCGAAGACGAGAGCGACCTTGGAGTCACCCTCGAGCTGGATGACACCGGTCTCAATCATTTCGTGGTACAAGTCGTTACCCTCACGGGTACGCTCACCGACACCTGAGGCGGAGGCATGAGCATGACGCGTCTTCGGGAGGGGACGGAGTGATTTTACTCACCGCAGAAGATAGAGAAACCACCATGGGCCTTGGCAACGTTGTTGATGAGCTCCTGAATGAGCACAGTCTTTCCGACACCAGCACCACCGAAGAGACCAATCTTTCCACCACGAGCGTAAGGAGCGAGGAGATCGACGACCTTGATACCGGTCTCCAAAACTTCAGCGGTCGTGGACTGGTCGACGAAAGCAGGGGGGTCGGCGTGGATGGGCAACATCTTCTCGCCCTTGATGGGGCCACGCTCGTCAATGGGCTCGCCAATGACGTTGATGATACGACCGAGAGTGCCCTTGCCGACAGGGACCATGATGGGAGCACCGGTGTCGACGACCTTGGCACCACGGACGAGACCCTCAGTACCGTCCATGGCAATGGTTCGGACCGAGTTTTCACCCAAGTGGGAGGCGACCTCGAGGACGAGACGACCACCATGGAAGTCCTGGACCTCGAGGGCGTTGAGAATGGGAGGGAGGTTGTCGGACTCGAATTGAACGTCGACGACGGCACCGATGACGGTCTTGACTGTACCAATTGAACCAGGCTTCGCCTCGGTGGCGTAGGAGCGCGCTGTTGTTGAGAAAAAAGTCAGACGCTGTGCGGGCAGACTGTTGAAAAGTTGGGGTATTTACCAGGAGCGGGTGCTGCAGCCCTGGGACGAGTGTTGCTTACTCGTTGTTGGGTGCTGGCAGGGACAGCGACGCGCTGAGCGAGGGCAGCGGTGGAGAAGAAGGCATTTGTCCTCTTCGCGCTGTTGAGGGCTCTCCTGGACAGACGGGCGACAGCACCACGGGAGGTGAGCATTGTGAAAGGAGTTGTGGGATGGATGAAGTGAGAGAGAGACGAACAACCGACTTTCTGCAAATTCCGACACGTAGAAATTAAATTCGCACACTCCCGGCTTCCCCCGCGCTCGGCGTGACCTCCATCACGGCTTTCCCATCCTCATACACAGACCCTGACTCTGAGACAACCAGACCCTGAATATCAAAAAATGGTTTCACAACCGTCTGTCCTTAATGGCCTCAATCCAGGAGGATACAGCGAGGCTCGCAGCCGTCGATAGCCGCATTTACCAGATCGACAGGGAGTTGGACGAACTCTCCGTGCGTTCAGTGCCAAATATTAAACCCATCAAACTCATCCCCCTTCTTTTAGCGCCAACGCCATGACCTCTGTCGTGAAAACCAGAAATTGCGTTCCAATATCGAAGCTAGACGGGTCGAGAATGCCCCCATGCGTACCCTGATCCCAGAGCTGTGTGACCTTGTTTTCTCGTACTACCTCGAATGTTGCTGCGACTACGGTTGCGCCGCCGGCTTCGAGCTCTGTCCGGTTGCAGAGTGCGACCCTCTCATCTTGGCTCAGGTCTGTCGACGGTGGAGATACATGGTCCTCAACAGCCCATGCATTTGGGCAAACCTCCACATCCGTCTGAACAATTCTAAGATGAACATCTCGTCCCAGATCAATCACTGGTTCAAGCACGCCCTGAATGTCCCCGTCTCGGTCACAGTCTGTCCAGGACTACCACTTGGCTCCAGATGGGACTCGGAAGCCTTTCGCAAGGTTAACATCCTCACGATGCGAGAGCTCCGTCCCTTCCTCGACCGCATCAAGTCTCTGAAACTCTACGTCCACCAGAGCGCCTATTCAGCGCTGTTCCCATCCAACGCCGCGACCAGTATGGTCCGCCTTGCCCAACTCTCGCTCGAACACCGTGGCTACATCCTCGACGAGTTTCAGATTGGACGTCTCCACTCGCCCAACCTGCGCACCCTCCGACTTTGCGATCCCAGCCCACTAACCTCGTTGTTTGGCGATGGCTTGAGCCCGCGCACGCTGCACATCGACAAGAGCGAGTTTTGGGAATTTCCTCGCAGGGTTGCAAAACTACTCACCGACTGCGTCGACTTGAGGGACCTCTCCATCATCTTCCCCCGGAACCTGATCAGTTGCACCCAGGACACCGTCGTCCTGCCCTCAGTGTCTCGTCTCAAGTTGGAATGGTACTACGCCTCGAGTCCAGTCCCGTTGTTTCGGTCCATAATCGCCCCTCAACTCCAGCACCTCACCGTCTCACACAGTAATTTCCTCGCAACTTTTTCCAGAGAGACGATGAACACTTTGCGCTATCTCATGCAGTCCTCGTACGAACTGATAACAATCACCATCTCTGGCTGCAACCTCACCAGCATGTGCGGCCTCCTGAGCACCTTCTGCCACCATGCTCCTCAACTGCAGGAGCTGACAATTCATGGGTGTTATGGTCTGGGAGTACTTTTGGAGGCTCTATCACCATCGAAGAATCAGGATCATGTCGGGTGGCCGTGTCCCAACCTCGCCCATGTCAAAGTCTTTGGGCTGCGCGAGAGGGATCTTGACGCACTCTTTAGCTTTACTAGGGAGCGTATGGCACCGGTGGATGGCCAGGCCTCCACTCTCGTTCCACGTAGCGAGTACCTTCGCGAGCTAACCATTGATTCTCGTCTTCAAGATTTTACACTTCAATCACGTACCATCCTTCTCATGGGCCTCGACCTCATTCGCCCGTCCGTCAGAATCAACGGTCCCCTCAAAGACGCCTCCCTCAATGTCACCATGAATTCGTACACTGATGTCCCTTCTCATAACTGAAAATCTAACTTGTACTTTTTCATTACGTCTCGCTTTCCCGCGAAGAGTTGTATATATATATAATGCGGTAAATACAAATCTCGAAACATTCCAAAGTCTATCGCAGGCCGTAACCAGTTTACAAGGAGGAGAGGGGGAGCGATGGACATTGATCGCTATTTCTAAATCCGGCGGTGTTCAATCAGAGCCTGGGGGTTGCGACCTAGACGCATCTCACCACAAAACGTTCACCCTCCAATCCGCTTCACGATAACCCGATACTTTAACCCTTGCTAACGACCCCAACGAACTTGAAGACAACACAACAAACAGCCACGTACAGACCGTGATGTCTCTGTTATCAGACAGGCAGAAAGATGACCTGTGCGTATTATTGAGCATTTACCTCTCCAACCTTGATATGGTTTTGCGAGATCTCGTTTCGCGTATGCTGACATTTTACTCGTTTCGAGGCATAAAGCCATGCTCGACTATCTATACGCAAATAACCACACCGCGGCGTTCAACGCTCTGAAAGAGTCAGCAGGAATTACCTACACTCCAGATCCAACCGCTCGATACACCGGCCTTCTCGAGAAGAAATGGACAAGTGTAATTCGATTGCAGAAGAAGGTAGACTAATTCTCCTAGAGGACTCGTTGCCAGTACTTATTGTGCAGATTATGGAACTAGAGAACAGAAACGCCGCACTACAAGAAGAATTATCCATGTCCCCAGCCAGACGCGCCGCCTCGCAGGCAGACTGGTTACCGCGAGCGCCAGCGGCGCACGTCCTCACCGGCCATCGCGCCCCTCTCACCAGCATAGCCTTCCACCCGCAATACTCCATCCTTGCATCAGCCAGCGAAGACACCACAGTCAAGATCTGGGACTGGGAAACGGGCGAATTCGAACGCACTCTCAAAGGCCATACCAAGCCTGTCAACGACCTCGACTTTGATCATAAAGGCCATCTCTTGGGTGCGTACACTCCCGCAGTTACTAAGGACTACAGGCTGAATGTAGAGGGCCCCAGTGACGTGTTCGTCAGACCTATTCATCAAGATCTGGGATTCACAGAATGAATGGAAGAACACGAAGACGTTTGTAGGACACGACCACGCCGTATCAGCCGTACGCTTCATGCCTGGAGATCAGCTTATCGTGAGCGCGAGTAGAGATCGGACAATAAGAGTATTCGATGTGGCTTCAACGTACGTCGTTATCACGCATTCGTACCCTTCCATGCACCTGACGTGCAAATCAGACACCAAGTTAGAACGCTGTCGGGACACTCAGAATGGGTTCGGTGTGTGATACCCTCCGCAGATGGTACCATGTTGGCGAGCGGTTCGAAGGATCAGGTTGGTGGACGTGTATTGATCTCGGGTGGCAAACCTCTCATTGCTTGCCTTTTCCAAGACTGTTCGGCTATGGGATCCCTTGACTGGAGAGCCCAAGTCGGAGCTGCGAGGGCACGAGAACGACGTGGAAGCTGTCGCCTTCGCCCCTATATCCGCTTATGCCGCTATTCGAGAGTTGGCGGGTATCCCTGTACGTTCGCTTCCTCCGTCCCCTTGCCTTCACCTTGATTAATGAGATCAATGACTTCAGAACGATCGAACGAAACGCCACGGGCTCTTCCTTGCGTCAGGAGCTCGAGACAAGACTGTCAAGCTTTGGGACACGCAAACTGGCCAAATGATTCGCAACCTTGTGCGTACTTGTATTTGCTCCCTGAATCTCTTCCACCCATCGGCTAACACACATCTTCCCTGTCATCAACCTCGTTCATTCTACTAGGCGGGCCACGACAATTGGGTCCGCGCCCTCGCTTTCCACCCCTCCGGCAAATACCTCCTCTCCTCCTCTGACGACAAAACTGTACGCGTATGGGAACTCTCCACGGGACGGTGCCTCAGAATAGTAGAAGCCCACTCGCATTTCGTCGCCGCCCTCGCTTGGGGAAGACAAGCAGCGGGTAAATCGGGCAGCGAAAAGAAGGTGAACGGGGTGGACTCGGTGGATGCAGAGCCGGAGAAGGTGGTGAATGTGGTGGCAACGGGCAGTGTGGACGAGACGATTAAGATCTGGCTGCCCTGAGGTGGGTTTGGCGGGTGGATCTTGTCAGGGATTAGGCGGGAGGTTGGAAGCAGGGAGATACGAGGGTCAGGATGGCTTGGGTGCAGGGCTTGGGGCTGCGTGCGCTTGATTCGCATTCAGCGAGTTTCCTAAGGAACAACACGATGCCTCGACGCGACCGCTTGGAAATGTGTTGATGTTACGCATGTTCTCATCCGCGCGAGGGGGGACCCTGGTTTGGAAGCGACGATGATGTTTCAATTGAGTTCCTTTCGTCGTGGCTTCGCACTCGAATCCGAATAAAGACAACTAGAGCCGGGGAAACGTGTAGTCAAGCATTGATAATTTAAATTTCTCCTTTTCCCTGTACCCGCCAGCTCAGCCCATCGCCATGTTTCCTTTGAACCTTTTCTCCAATGCCGATAGTCCCGTCTTTCCTGCCTAGTATCCTTTTCGTATTTCATTATACTGTCCGCTCTTCTTCTTTCGTTCTTTGCAATGTATACCCTGGTAGTCCTTGCATATGTATTCGTATCTGTCACGGCCGGCTTCACCCTAATAATACGACCTATAATTCGCTTTCTGGATCTTCAATTGCGCAGGAACATTATTGGCCGTTCATTCGATTCCGATTTTGAACCCAAAATAAATGGTATAGATACACACGAGCGCTAAATGTAGCATCGACCGTCCTACCACGTTTCCCCTCTTCCCCATATCCCCCCACTCGTGAATTGCCCTTCCGTATGTGACAGTACTTGCAGCCGCATGTCGAAAAAAACCCGACCGAAAATTGAACTGAACTGCTAAGTTATTCTAATAAAGATAAGAAAACGGAAGGGTGGGCGCCAGCCAGGGTTAACCCCCAGAAAAACGGTCTATCTGGTGTAAGGGAACCCACCCGAATACGTCCTCGGTGTCGACCAGCCTGGAGGTCCAACGCTGACGCCAAGGTCGGACACCACGCCGGTTTCGAGGTCGTACACCCAGCCATGAATGTAAACTGGGTTGAGTGAGGGTTTTGAAGTGGGGCCGGTGGTGGCGGCTTCGGGAGTGTCGGTGGGGATTGAGGTTGAGGTTGGTGGAGGTCGAGGAATGGTTGCTCCTAGAGCGGCGGGAGGTGGTGGCGGAGGCGTCGTTTTTGAGAGTGCATCATAGTGCTAAAAGAACCACAATCTTCAGTTCAATCCCGCGCAAGGCTAGAAGGCACTTACATCCTTGATAACTCGACTTACCGCGACCCGTTTCACGTTAGCTTTAACGTTCTCCTCGACGAGCGCACGGAAAGCAGCTAGAGAAAGGCGTCAAACAAATCGCAGTCAAACCAACCTTCACTCAATTCAAACAGAAAGACTAACGATCATGCATATGGAGAGGTTTTTTGCTCTGCCCGTTGTTGATCCCGTTCTTTCGCCATCGTTCCGCCCGTTCTCGGTGTGCACGAATCTCCCACCTCTCGCTCGTGTTGTAGATATGTCGAATGGGTTGAATCCATTTCTGAACGGCCAGATCGCTTGCTGCAGGAGGCGGGCAAGCGACTTCGGATCCTTCGGTTATAGATGCAACATTCGAAGCTGTTTCGCCGTTCACATGGGTTTCCCAACCATCGGGAAGTGGTGTCATCGAGGCAGCCACGCCTCCACACCCATAGTGTCCCAACACCACCACATGCTTCACGCCGAGAGTGCCAACCGCGTATGCAAGGACCGCGTTCCTATAGAATAGGAAAGGGAAGGAAAGAACGCGGTTAGCACACAAGATCCGTCTCCCCACACAATTGCTCGGCTGGATCACTCACGAGTTCATGTCGGTCTCGTCAAACATGTTGGCGATGTTTCCAGCAGTGAACATGGTACCGGGTTGAGCATTGAAGATACCTTGCTCGTTCACTCTTCATTTACAATCAGAATTGAACACTCGAGGGGGGGATTTAGGCGCCTACCGACTGTCCGAACAATCGATGAGCATAAACGGCGGTCCTGGGATTTCTATGAGTCATTTGGGTGACTTTCAGAGTCGAACAGACTAACGTTGGCCTTCAAACGCGAGGTCTTCCAGCAACCCTGGATTTTGTTCGCCCATACTCCGGACGTACTCTACGTTTCCTCGATAGAGCTGCTCGATTTCATGAAAGTGGTCGACCAGAGCTCGGTGAAGTCTCTCTCGATGACGAGCGTAAGTTTTTTGCTCTTTCGACGTCTGCTTTTGCCGGGGAATAGTGTGCGTTGGGCATTCGCAAGCACTGGTAGGTTCGGGAAAGAGCCAGGACCACGTTTTCTTCAGTGAGGGTATGGCTGGAGATATCGGTATGGACATCGAGCTCGCTGTCGGAGGCGTCGAGGAGACATATCGTTTATGACGAAGAGGCCGTGCGCTGTGTGAGGTTGAGGGCGGGAGACAGACGAGGGTTGTTCGCGGGGTTGCAGCACGCAACCAATGGCGAAGGGGCATGGTTTTGGATGGATTGACGTTAACCTTTGCCCGAAATCGACTCACACTCATTGGCCTTTCTTCTTCCTGATGCCAAGGCCAAAAATTCAAGCGCCTATTTATAGCCTCGTCCCGACTCTGCCGTTCTTCACAAGTCCACAACGATATAGTACAATTATACGAATTAACGGTTTACACAAGGCATACAATAACAAAGGTCGAATAGCGTAACACACGACAGCTCACAAAGTAATCCAATGAAACGAGGACAACGCCCGAGTCATCCACTGATGGGAGACAAGTCGTAGTTCAGGTTCTTCGACAGGGACGTTGTCGGTATGTAGGGCGGGGCGCACCTCGAACTGTTGAAAGAATTTGTAAAGTCAAAAAATGAGCTGGAGAAAGAGGCTGCACTGCTGCCAGAAAGGCCATGCGAAAAGTTTCCATCATGAGTACCGGGGGTAACGTCAGGATAACGAGTCGCCTGGGGCAAGACGGTATTTTGTTGATAGTAAGAATCGGTGGGGCGGGCGTTATTGTTGAAGTTATCACCTTGCCCCACGTTGAGAGTTCCGTCACTCGAGAATACGGAAGGGTAGACAGGCACACTCGCCCTTGGCTGAGCCAACGTATCTACCCCGCCATTGTCGAAGCCCCCATTTTCGTAGCTCGATGACCTATGCCAAGGGTCAAACAAGTTGTGGGGAATTGAATAGCGGAAATGCATACCATTGGTTCTGGCCATTGCCACGTATGGAGGGAGCGTATGCGGGGGGACAGGCGTATGACGCCCCGCTCCCATCGGAGGGGCCCGCTCGATCATAGCTCCCATAGGTGCTGTTCACTTGGCTCTGCATCGACGAGTTTGTCTGGGAATAGGAGCTGTACGTCTGGTCGAAAGAGGCGAAAGGTGGGGAAGTCGAATAGCCATCGATGGAACCTTCGGAACTAGAAGGAGTGTATTGATATCGCGTTTCGAGGGAAGGATATGGTTTATATGTACGAGGGGAAGTCGCGAAAGGGCGAGGGTAGGGTCGTCGGGAGACGGTGCCTGCAGGGCCCAAGTCTGGCACAGGGCGGGACGCAGACAGGGCACTGACCCTAGGCGGCGAGATCTGGGGCAGCGATACTTTGGCGTGGCCCTGGGAGTGGGACGCTGTTCGTCCAACTGTCCCGCGAGCACGGGGGATGCGAGCAGTGTAGTGACAGATGAGTCCTCGACTGAAGCACCGCATACATGTGGGCCTCTCGCCCGAGCACTGTATTTAAGTGAGTGTTAGCGCATGTAACCAGGTCCGAGCTCCAAAAGATGCACTTTGGTCTTCCTCTCTCTGCATTTGTCACAGGCTTGGGCAGTGCGAGGTTTGATACTAGGCGGGGAAATGGAACGCTGTTCTGTGTTGGTCGTTGAAGATGTCGAAACAGAATCAAGCGAGTCGGATGTGGGGACGGTGCCAGCACCTGTTGCGCCGCTGTCGGGAAAGTCGAAAAAGATACCCTTGACGTCGTCGTCCGGCGGCGACAGAGGATCTTGGGGAACAACAGCGGCAGCTGTTTCCAGTTTCATTTGAGCGATGATGAGGGTTTGAGTAAAGAAGGTGGGGCTGCTCTGCGCAACACTCTGTCAGTCATTAGTAAATATTTCTTCGAATTTATTTAGTTATTTGGAAAATGCCCCAGACCCGATGCAACAACGATCGACATTGCTCGAGGTGGAGCTCACTTCCAAAAATAGAACGTTGCACCGCCTCGGGCTTCCCGGTTTGGTATCCCCCGCACCTCGATATTGCCTCTTCTTTACGGCGCGCTGACTCGACCCTTGCATGGAATAACTCTAGATTGCCTCTGTTATGGAATCAAATCGTTAGTTTAATTTACAGCACTAGAATCTCCCTGTCCCTTCTCTCAGGCTTTGAACTGTTCATTAAACTCTCGCCCGATAAGCATACGACGAATCTCCTGCGTTCCAGCACCAACGGTATACAACCGAGCGTCCCGCACAAGTCGGCCAGTCGGGTAATCTAATAGCAGCGATGAGATCTCAAGAAATGCATCTGAAATCGCAAGTTCCGCTCACCGTTGATATATCCATTTCCACCAAGACATTGCATGCCTTCTAGAGTAACCTCAACGGCCTTTTCTGTCGAGTAAAGAATGGCTCCGGCACAGTCCTAGACGTGCGTCGGTATTAAAACCACGCGAGAAGATCGAACGATCTAGTTTCCATGACACGCACCTTTCGACTAATTCTACCTTGATCACAAGCTCGGGCGACGGCATAAACATAGGCTCTGCTCGCACTTAACTTGGTATACATGTCTGCGATTTTAGCTGCAAAGAACGTTCTAGCGCTTGAGCTCTCGACCCCGACAAGAAACAAAGGCCGTACCTTGCATGAGCTGGAACGTTCCAACCGGCTGGCCAAACTGCTTGCGGTCGTGAACATATTCCACGGCATAGTCGAATGCGGCTTGCATCAACCTATGACAACTTCAGTAAACGCCCACTCAAGAACACGACGCGCATACCCAAGAGGACCTCCGCTAAGGACTATTCTCTCCAAATCGAGACCAGACATGAGGACTGCAGCTCCTCTGTCCACCTGTCCCAACACGTTCTCTGCGACGACTTGAGTAACCGGACAACATGGAGCACGGCTAGACTTACCTTCTGGCACCACGCAATCCTCAAACACTAACTCGCAGGTGTCACTTCCCCTCATACCAAACTTGTCCAGTTTCTGACTCGTTGAGAATCCAGGCATACCCTTCTCCACGATAAACGCGGTAATACCCTTGGACCCCTTGTCCGGAGACGTCTTCGCGTACACAACCAACGTCGACGCGACAGGTCCGTTCGTAATCCTACAATCGAAATCACATTAGCCCTCTCCTGCAAACCACACACCTCTACCCTACTCACCAAAACTTGTTGCCATTCAACTTGTATCCACCTTTAACCTTGTCCGCTCTCAACTTCATGCTCACAACATCACTCCCGCTCCCCGTCTCGCTCATCGCCAAACTGCCCACCTTGACACCGCTAATCAAATCTGGGAGGTACTTTTCCTTCTGCTTCTCCGTTCCGTGTCGGTGGATTTGGTTGACGCAGAGGTTGGAGTGGGCGCCATAGGACAAGGCTACGGACCCTGAGGCAGTGGAAAGGGCCTCCATGGCGAGAGTGTGTTGGAAGTACCCCAGGCCTAGCCCACCGTACTGGGGCGAGACGGTGATTCCGAGGAGGCCCATGTCTCCGAGTTTGGTCCATACATCCTTGGACGAGGTCAGTGCGCGTTGGGATGTGTATGGGTTGGGAAGACTCACTGAAGGGAAGGTATTGGTCTTGTCAATCTCTTCAGCGCGAGGAGCGATCTCTTTCTGCGCAAAGTCGTTGACCGCGTTTCTGAACTTTGGAGCGTTAACGTGTCATTCCTGTAGTTGCGGTATTCCTCTTACCTCTGCCTCTTCCTCAGTCAACCCCGCAATGTCGGCATTGTAAGTCGAGACCGACCTCCTAGAAGCGTGCAACACGCTGGGTCTGGTTAACGGTCTGAAGGCGGTGAGGTTTCGTCGGATGGATCGAATAGACGCCATTGGATGGGATGGCAAAAGGATTCAGAAAGTTGAAGTCGACAGGGAAGAGGATGATAAGTTGTCCGGGAACTTCGCTCGGACCATTGCCGTATGCCGTTGGACTGCATGACGCTCCCATTGATGGTGGCATGCGCGACAAGCGACGGGAAGGAGCTTCACGTAACCCTAGATTAGGGCTTCCAATGAATAGGGGTTGATTACGACCGCTTTACAATAGGAAGAACATAAAATATGTTGTACTAGTAGTAGCATAGGGTAACCTAGTCAAATCCTTGCAGCGTCTATGCATGTTTTCCTATCCTCCTTTCTGGAGTAGACCGTTGCAATCTCCTTGTCCAACTTCTCCCAGCCTCTCATTTTATCCATACTCTTCGGGTCCAAATCAATGACAGTGACGGTATGGGGTTTGAGTTCAATGTGGGGTTCACTCCCAGGCCGTAGAAAGTCAAGGCGGACAATGATCGAACAGTCCTTGAAAGTTGCGGAAAGCAGGTACGCGAGGAGGTAGTACCGGAGGTCTTTGGGGGATGGATTGGAATGGTCGAGTTGGCTGCTGAATGACGAGAGGTATGAATCGAGGAATTCAATCCAGTCGGGGATGCCAGGTTCGGGGGAGGAGAGGAAGAGGGAGCTGACGCCGAGGGGAGTAGAAGGTGGAACTTTCGCGTTTGGTTCATGTGCGAAGAAGGATGCAAAGGTTGTTTGGTATAATGGCGCGGAGACCTCTGTGTGTCTCCACAATCTCGATAGCCCTTCAATATCGAGCGTGTCCAAAGTCCGTTGGAGCTTGGATAAGATTCCGAGTACTGGGGTCTTCCTTAACGTCCGAACCAACGCGTCGGTAAATGCTTCTCTGATCTGCTCTTCATTTGCGTCTTGTGCATCGGGCGCGGCCATTAACTTTGTCTAGATTTTGCAAGTTAATAACCTGGTTGGTTGATTTCCAAATACGATAATCTCACCTCATGTGGAAACACCAAATTGCCGTGTGCAAACACCTTGAGATTATTCACCGTTCCTTCACTTCTAGTCCATGCGTCCCAGAGCGCGTGTATCGCGATCCTCATGCGATCCTCGTCCTCAGAGAAGAGATCGAGCGGGCAATAGCACATCTCGATGATATCGCCCTTCATTTTACGCATATGGTTGTGCATGCAAAACCGACATGTCTGCGTCTTGATAGGCTTGGTCTCCTCCGAGAGATGCATAGGCGCTGGAAGGAACGCCCACTTGGGCTAGGCATCCCAAATAGGTGTGGGTCATGCCAAGGAAGATGAATTAAAAGGCGCTCATTGGACTAACCTTTATTTCTACAGCCAACCAGTTCCCACCCACAAGATCGGTCGCAAGAACACCCTTTCTGCGATCTATATCGATCCCGTCCTTGTCTCTCCGTACTTCAGGTCGATTGAGGTTCTGCAGTTCCACGAGGTCTTCCAGCCATTGGCGGTCCAGTCGCACCGACTCGAGGCGGGGAAGGAGTTCGGGAGGAATCAGCCTGGACATGCATTTCGTCTGGTATTCGATGGTTGGATCGTCCGGCTCGTCGTCTGGATCACTTGTTGGCGTCGTAGGAGTGGAGGGTGGCGACGACCAAGGTGATTTGCGTGCTTTTTTGTTCTTTTTCTGCTTCCTCAGCGCTGGAACCAATGCTTTACGCAATCGCAACACTGTTTCGTCGAAATTCGGATTTGGAGGTCCGGTGTACGAGAAGACAATCGTCGCTCCCCCTTCCGACACGTATTTCCAGTCGGTGGGCTTCGTTTCACGAATGTCGAGCATCGTAGGCGTTCGTTACAGGTTGGAGGGATGAGGGGAAAGGTGGAGCAGAGGATATGATGTCGACTGAAGTGGCGGAGCTTGCTTCTTCCCGGTATGTTCGCTGTCACAACCAACTAGGGAATGGAGTCTCAAGAACCCTAGGGACGCTGTGGCGCAGGCCTTGCTCCCTGTCTATTTCATTCGGGCGATGTTCATGAAGCTGAAACGAGATTGCAGGGGCCGTTCAGAACCTTGACCAGGACTCGGAATTGGCTCTGGCCTGCCGCGCCGTTGCTGACTGTGAGGGTGATTGGCCCCGGTCTTGGCACGCCTCCACCATCCTCTCATCGCCCTCATCTGGGCACGAAAATTCCTTGAAAATCGTTCAAGACTCGTTAGGTTCACCTACCGTACGTCAGGAACATAGGTTCAATCAGGCGCTGTCCACTGACAGCGCCAACACCGCGGTCCAAGCACCCGCGTTTCCCGAACTCAAGTTCTTGGCGGGCAGACAATGGTCGCGGTCACAGCACTCACAGCGACCGACGCGTTATATAAGGTAGGTTAACCGTGGCAAATCAACAATAATCCATCTTGATCCACAATTGGCTGGACATCGTTTCTTTATCTTCGACCACCATCTCATGGGACCCGTACGAGCCAACAAGTCGACTCGCGAGGCGAGGAATCACGTTGAGGCTGGCCCAACGCAGAGATCGCCTCCTCAGGCTCCGTACGAAGAGAAGAAAGAGGATGGTTATGTTCTGGTCGCGGCAGGAAAGCTGGGAAGAGTGTATAAGAGTGCTTATGACGAGGAGCGATTTGAGAAGGTGTGTGTCCTTTCGGTTGCACCAAGTGAACGTGTTTGATTGCAGGACAGCCTGTCCCAGACCCTGAACTCGTCCAACCTGTATCTAAACGGCCACCGCCACTCGGGCTACAGGACCTTGAGATCATAAAGGCTTTGGGTAACGCAAACTCCTGAATTTCGGAATGTGCCACAGGTTCCTGACATGAAATCTAGGGGACGGAGCAGAAGGTCGGGTATATCTCGTTCGGACAACGCGTTCAAGCCACCCTTTGGATCGGCCTGGCACCCTTTACGCTGTCAAGACGCAGAAGAAGAAATACAAACGACAAGCTCTTCCCGTTCGTATTTTAATTTCTGCGCTTTAGGCATGATGTCTGACCTCTCACCGAACAGCCCGAAGCCCATATGCTCGAGAAAGACAATGAACGTACAGCGCTAGCTCTAATGGACTGGAACCCATTTATCGCAGGTGTTATCGACATCCTCCATGATGTCAAAAATATATACACGATTCTCGAACTCATACCTTCTGGTACTCTCCTTTCCCTCATCAAATCACACGCCCCAATGCCACCCACCATCGCCGCGTTCTACTTTGCCAATATGTTCTCTGCGATCGAGTACGTCCATGCATTGGGACTTGTCCACAGGGACATTAAACCAGACAACTTCCTCCTTGGAGAGGACGGGTACTTGTCGTTGACGGACTTTGGGTTGACCGTGCCGGTTGATGATTTCCAGGTCGATTGGGTGGACATCGGAACCCCGTTGTATCGTCCACCGGAGATGGATGTTCGTGCTTCTCCTGCTCAAGAGAAGGAAGGTGACGAGGAAGAAGTAGACCTCGACGATAGACGTTCGGTTGATTGGTATTCCTCCGCCGTCGTACTTTATGAGATGGTTACGAGGACAGTGGTAAGTCGCCCTTTCCCATCCGCCCATTGGGTTCCAAGCTGACCGGGCCCACCAACAGCCGTTCTATGGCCGCACCAAACTCCAGACTAATGCTTTAAAGGTGGAGAAAAAATATTCCTTCCCCAAGGACATCAGGATTGGAAGCCACTTCAAGGACCTCATCAAGTCTTTGCTCGACCCCGAACCCTCCAACCGGCCACGCCCGGCGGAAATCCAAGAAAACAAATGGCTAAGCCGAATCGACTGGGATAAGTTGCACGAGAAGCAATATCTGGTACGTCCCCCTTTCTCCTCTCCTCTCTCCTTCTTCCCGATGGAATATTGCCATCCATATTGAATTCATCATGCGGACGATGGACTGACGTAAATCGCGGGACTATGCAGCCGCCCCATCTTCCAAAGAACCCGTCCGCCTCAAAGGGTATGTGGCATCGACAGCCCCTGCCGAATCCTCAAGACGTTCCTGGACTCAAAGTCGTCTACCCGCCTTCACACATCCTGCATGACAATCGCTTCCCGCCGAAACTAGATCTCTAGAGGTGAGAATTTGAGTTTTCCAGAGATGTAGAAGTCGCCAGTGGACGGCGAGTGGATGGTGAGACCCTTTTCCCCGCGCTTTGCTGGAGATATATATACTCATCGTGAGCCTAGAAAAACGCGAATTCCGGACTGTTGCTGCGCTAGTACGGACAGTCCTCATATGACTTCAGGCCCGCACTGCGAAGACATCTGAGACCTTAGTGCTTAGTCTCCATTTGACGTGCCGAACTCTCCCATCCGAGTCTTACAGATGGAGAAACTCCCCCCGGCTCTCGAGATGTCGAACCCTGGTTGGTTCCCACTTCCTCCTTGACGGAGGAATGAGCATCCGATGCTTTACTGTCCGGAGAGTCTGAGTACTTATGCCTATGTCGTAGAACAGGAGGACGCGTATCGGGTGCTAAGCGAACGACATGGGGCATGGTCTTTCTTATCTACGCTTCTCAACTGCTTTCTGGGCCGATTAGACGTTCTTCCTACTTACGGCTATGGTCGATCCCCTGGGTTTCTGAAATACCCACTCTATCCAGCCCCTGGTAATCCCAGGCAGTCTGTAATACCTTATCACCTGGATTTTCCATCTTTGCTTTCTTTTTTCTCAACGTCGAATTCCCTTCTATACAATGCAACTTGTACTAATACTTTGTCGCTTCCCAAACATCCTCTATATACATATACACCTCCTATAACCAATACAACCGAGTACCAGTCAGATATCCTCACAGAACCTCAATCCACATCCAACAGACTAGCATCTACAGTCAAAACCACCTCGGTTCTTCGAGGTTTAACAGCCTTGCCCCCACGCCGCTCCACTCTAATTGTTCTTTTGTACCGTGGGTTGCCTAAAGAAGCATGAAACCACTGATGAATGATGTCAAGCGCTCGGATTAACCCGATCTGCCAGCCTCCATGCGCTCGAATTCGTTCCCATCTCCTTGGGTTGTAGGTATTCTCGGCGCTTTCCAAACACCTCGAGATAAATAGTAGCCTCGGGTAGAAAAATGTAGCACTCGAGTAGTAGCGCTGTACGGTGCAAGCACTGCATGCATGCTATAAACCCTCGAGCGCTTTAACCGGAACGGTACCGCCAAGCAAGCGGTTGCATCGCAACTCTTGAGGTGTACAAGTCTGACAAGGAAACAATAAGAAGTGAGAGGCGCGGGAGAGTTTGATTCACTTTCTTATTGTTTTTTGGGTTACATACTACTCGTGCGCTGTGTGCGTTTCTACGAATGTGTGATGATGGATTGATTTCTTATTGTTTTCGCTGGATTTGGTATTTTCTGAGAGTAGTGCCTTGCCACTATCAGTTGTTGGGGTAAGAGGATGGATGGTGAGTCTGGTCGAGTTGGGAGGAGTCATACACCAGTCGCTAAGCGCTGAGGATTGAATGTTGGGGAGATCATCTAAGGAGCACTGTATCCTATATTTTTTCACCATCAAATAAGTCATACTATATCACTCGACAAAAGGGTGTTAGTACAAGGTTTACAAATATCGAGTATCCCGCGCAATGGGGTACTCAGTACACAAAGAAAGGACGTTCACGCCGTCGAAGTAGAAAAGAGGACCGATAACGTATCGTCCTTGGAACCGAAGGAAAAGGGAAGAGAAAGGAATAAAAGGTAACTATAAAAGAACGTGAGACTACGAATTGTCTCTTACCAGTACAACAGGGGAGCAACAGGAAGAGAAAAGCAAAAGTGGTCGACATTGAAAAAGACGAATGAAACCGGAGTGGTCGCCTTTTACAGCGCCCTCCATCAGAAGAGGGGGGAGGAGTAGAATAAGTAGAAGAGAAGGCTATCAAATCGAAGTAAGGAGCGCGAGATAACCTGCTCGTGGACAAAAACAGTTCAAGATAAGGAATATATGAACCAATCAACGTAGAGATGAGGAAAGGAACGGACGGTCAGAAGCGGTGGGCGAATGGGTTGGCTGGCTGGTGGCAATGGCAATGGCGACGATGTGGCGCGGGTCGGATAAACGGCGGGAAGAGGCTCTGGCAGATGTACACGACGAATATAGATATAATATAAATCAAGCGCGAATCCTCCGTTCATTTCTTCATGATGAAGGAACGACGGGAGCGACGAACGACTGGAACGAAATTGATTTGGCAGCCATGTCGTGCCCTCTGGCCGATGATGGCTCTTTGAGCTTCTCGAGTTCATCGTCGAGGTCTGATTCAGTGGATGAGGACATGCGATCAGAATCGTCATCAGAGTCGGTGTATGCTGTGCCGTCTGAGTCGTATGCCATTTCTTCCTCTGTGGACTCGCGGGCGGCGGCGGGGTTGAGCCAGGTGTTATACCAGCGGCCGAGGAAGACCTTGATGTCAGAGGAGAGACCGAGGTACTCGACGTTTCGAGCGATGCCTTCCCATTGGATGACGCCCTTGTGGAGGCAGTCTGCGATGTAAGAGACGTCGCCAAAGTACATCCAGTGGACGAGGAGGTGGAACGAGGATGGATCGGGGACGGGGAGGAAGAGGATCGGGTGGTCGGGAGAGCTGGGCATCAGGCGTGGAAGGCGGTCGGGCGGTATTGATGAAGATGAGCTTGAAGTCGGGGGTGATTGTGCGTACATAAGATCGAGAGGAAGGGCGCCGCTGAAGAGGCTACGCAGGTAGGTCGAGTGAGCTGAAAGATAGTCCATGTGCAGCTGTCGATGCCGTTAGCCAAAGAGGCGGGGCCAATAGCACACCAAAACGCACCTCCAGGGATAGTCGTGGAACTGAGTTGGCTGGTGGTTGGGTGGCTCGACGATTGCCACCGCCAGAGTGCTCAAAGCTGATTGTCGTTGACCCGCTGGGCTCTTGCGGGAACGGTTGCATGGGATTTAAGTTTTGGGCATATGGGATGGGCACGACTGGGTTGCGACGGTCAATGTGGGCGTCGGGGACGATAAAGGAAGGACATACTTATTGTGCAGTCTGCTGTCTCTGGCTTGTCCCAGTACTGGGGCGCCATTGTGTGAAGCTGCTTGATGATGTATTCGACGGGGACATCTGCGAGAGCAGGAGGAGGAAAGGGTTTTGTGTGGAAGGTGGGCATCGTTTTGCCAGAGCCAGAGGGGGAATTAGAGTCAAGGTCGACTTGAATCGTTGTTGGTTTATGTTCCATGGCCAGAGAAGAAGAGGAAAGAAAGAGCTACTTCAAATCCCGCTCCTTTCTAATTGTTATGCGACCAGAAACAATAAGACTGTCCCAATGGAGTTATCCATCCGCATTAGGAAGGCCCCTGTCACGCGACCATCATTCTCCCACGCGTCCCACCACGAGCAATGATCAATCTCGAGTCCTTGATCATCTCCCCGTTCTCAGCGCTGCAAACCAGTAAAACAGCACAGCAACATGCATACTCATCTCACCCAGCACCATGTCCAGGAAACATCTCAAGACAGCAGCAAAATCGTCCTTCTGGAAGGGCGACCTCGACGTCGTCGACCAGATCGTCGTCGTCGCTCAACCCGACCCACTGCCTCATGACAAACATCCTCGCAACTGGTCCAGGCCGAGAAAGCTGTTTATAGCTTTTTTGACGTGTAATCTTCTCGTTGCAGTGTGCGTAGACATCTTCTCAGCCCTAGACAGGAAACTAATGAAATCGACTAGTGAGATGTATGGTTCACTATATGCAAGTCAACGCCCGCGTAAGACGCGTCCCTGGTCTAATCGTTGCTCTTCTAGGCTGGCGTGCAGCGGCAGATCCAAAATGAACTCGCATCGTCGCGTTTCCTGGCAACTCTTGGGATGGGCCTAGTCAATCTGGTGCGCGAATTTCTGTCACACACGCACCAATACTGACCAACGCACAGGGAATCGCCATTGGCTCACTCATAGGCGCACCCCTCAGTAGCCTCATAGGACGACGGTTGACCTACATCCTCTCAGCGGTGTGTTTCACAGGTCCGTATCCGTTTCGGCACCCGAGCGCACCTGTCCAAACTCGAAACCATCCATCACAGCGTTCACCGCGGGATCAAGCTTCTCTTCCTCCATTACGACACTTTTAGTCTTCCGTTTCATTGCCGCCTTCTTTGGCGCGACCGCCTTTCCCAACTATGTCCTCACATTGGCCGACCTGTTCACCCCTGAGGACAAGACCCCTATCTTGGCGATTGCTTTGACTGTGACCTGCAGTACACCAACATTTGGGCCTATACCCGGCAGCTACCTGGGATCCCTTGCGCCTTGGCCCTGGACCTTTGCCTTGTCGGCTTTCTGGGCTGGAATACTTGCTGTCATCCTTCTCTTCATCCCAGAGACTGACTTGAATGTCATCCGACGTTATCACCGCAAATTAAAGGAGGGCAAGTCGACCTGGGAGGTACTAAGACCGCAACTGGTCACCAAGAACACCTGGCAAAAGTTACTGACACCTCTGAGTGAGCATTAACTCCATCTCATTTATCCGAATGCACTGCTGACAGGTACCCCGAATAGCATTACTCATCCTGGAGCCAATTATCCTCTGGACAGCCTTATACCACGCCTTCATTTACGGTTTGTTCTTTATTCTGCTACAGGTACGCTTCCTCCTTTGTCAACTTCCCTACAGCAACTGATACATCACTAGGCGATCCCGTTCATCTACCAGCGCAACTATCAATTTACACCCGGAAACATTGGCCTCGTCTTCCTCGCTCCATGGATAGGCAATTTGATAGGGGCAATCCTCTACTTTGGCCTTCTCCAACCTTACCATGCCCATCAGACCCGACGTCTTCAATCTCGAAACACCAAGAGCCTCTCCCAGGACCCACTTGCCTACGTCCAAGTGGCGCTTAAGCCCGAAGCTCGATTACCAGGACTTCTCGGGGGAGTGGCTTTCCTCTCCTCTGGTCTTCTATGGTTTGCTTTGACATCTGACCGACCTCAACTCCATTTCATGGTTCCAATCTCCTCCGGATTGTTCATGGGAATAGGCATGCCGCTCTACATTCTTTCTCTCTTTGCATACCAAACCGAACTCTACCCCTCTCTCGCCAACTCTGTCTTGATAACCAATCTCTTCATCCGCGCGTTCTTTGCGGCGTTTTGCCCTTCTTTTGGCCTGCATATCTATGAAGAGTTGGGGGCTCAGAAGGGTGGCTTGGTTCTTTTCGGTGTGAGTTTGTTAGGGTTGCCGATGGGTGCTGTGCTCTGGATGTGTGGAGGGAGGGTGAGGAAGATGAGCAAGAGGGCAGCTCAAGACGAAGCGTTTGTCATGCGCGACGTTGAGTTGGATTTCAACTTTGGAGGGTGTAGTCGGAGTATGGTATGTATACGCTTATCTTGTGACAATCCTAATAAACTGACGAATGTCCTTTTTCTAGAGTTGTACGAAACCACGTCAATCCAACTTGAACGCTTCGTCGCTCATTGATGATTTCGAGTCGTTGGAAAGGCTCCAGAGTAAACCGAATCGGTCTTACATTCCTAGTAAAACGCCTCTATACGAACTAGACGACGACGAAGACGAGGACTTTAGGGATTCTAGCGTTCGGTATAGCCGAAGACTACCTCCACACACACCGACTACGCTTCCGGAACTACGCCGCAGTTTAGATGCAGGTACTATTACTCCTGGCGGGGTAGTTACAAGGCACCACGAAGACGAAACGAACAATAGCCTCGGGTTGAACGCTACGGCGACAGCGGTGAACTTGGACCTTGAATTGGTGTCGGGCGCCACAGGAAGGACGTCTAGTTCGTTGGAATTGGTCCAGGAAATCCCTCGTACTAGTCGTACTCGTGATGGTATCACTGGCTCTTGACAATACAACGAGTTGTAGAAGGACGTTCTGAATTTCTCGAAGCAGAAAACTATGTATTTAGTTCAGCGCTCATCTATTCCCTATTCGAGGGATAGAGAAAACAGGCTCTGGTTCCTTGGGAAAGTCAGAAAATGTGGGCGGAATGCTCGAGAGAAAAAGGAAGGCGTGTCGGTATTCGGGAGCGAAGTGTACGTTATCTCTCCTCATTCGAAATTCGAAGCCTTTGCACCTTCTGTTCTTGGAATTCCCGTACCCTTGTGTTACCCCACACCTGATCTCCCTTTTTTTTTCTTGTTGTCAGTTCCGCGGTGGTATTTAATACTTGGTGGAACTCGAAGGTGAGAGTGAGAAACCGGGAATTCATGAACATTGCTTCCAGCATTTTCTCATACGCGGCGTGGTGGAAACACCTGGTGGTGGTTACAGTAAACTCGTGAATTCAGAAAAGGCGGGGATAGGAAAATGTGTGGTATTCATTCCGCTTGGTAAATATGCAACTAGGACAAAAATAAAGAGACGGAAAGGAATAATGCGATCTAAAACGAAGACTTGCGACTACAACTAAAGAGGTATATACGAGGATGTATGCGTGTGGACCGTTTATCGTCAAGAAAACCAAAATCCAAAAACAAAATCCTAAAGCTGACAGACATCGAGATGCCACGACGACGAGAGAGGTGGTGGCCGTAGGTGCAGGGTTGAGCAGAGAATGAGACCAGCGCCGTCCAGTTTTTTAAGAACACGGACTTTAGGATGCGAACCATTATTAGTTTCCAACCCACTCCCGCACCCCACCTTGCTCCCGTCAACATCTCTTAACGCTACATGAAAACATTACGGGGTAAGGCAAGACAGACAGAGCAAACAGAGCGAGGTTTAAAAAATCGAAAGACGTTAATGTCGATGGCTCTCGTTCGCGTCTAAGTGCAGTCGTCAATCAATCTGTTCTTGGGCCATGGCTGTCCGAATTGCTCCCAAGTCGTCAGATTGGGGTTGGTGTAGGCTTCCATGTACCTATGAAAGGATCATTGTCAGGAAACATTGTCGAGCACGTGAGGGCAAGGAAACGAAAAAAGAGACATACGTCTCGATGTACTGTCGAGTAGGGAACTCTTTAGGGTCGCAGCCAATGTTGATCGCATCCCTTGGTTGGTATACTCGGATCCAGTCGATACTCATGATTGCCGGGAAACGGAGGTTCTCAAAGTCGATGGCGGCGAAGTTGTGCGAGATACCCAAGTTGGTGATGATGTACTGCAAATGGTTAAATATAAGCTAGAGTGGTTCAAAGATACACGACGTGGACGCACCATGGGCTCTTGAGGGAAAGGACGAGCATCAATCTCCGTCAGAGGATCAGGACCCATGGGGCCAGAGAAGATAGTCCAGGCACGTTCGTTGTTGTTCACCCAGGTGGCATAGCCCTCGTCGAAACTATAGAGCGTGAAGTCAACAATGACATTCCCGACCAAGAGGAGCGAATGATTCCTACCCAGGTTTGTATTCGAACCCATAGACGGTGAAGCATCCGCCGGACATCTCGTAGCAAGTCTGATTGGTGTTCGCAAGACCACTAGTCGTTTGTTGGTAGACACCTGGATGATGATGGCTTTCAATGGGATAGCCTGCTGACAGAGACGAAGCAGTACATACCACCACGGTACTCGTTCAGCACAGTAATGGAAGGGTCGTCGATGATAATGCCGCCAGAAACGTTCAAGGGGCGATACCCGGCCTGGTAAGACGTTAACAAACGACCAACGCACGATTTAAGCTGAAGGAATCACGTTGTAAGGAGCCCATTGGGCAGAAAGCGATACCTATGAACATTTCAGTTAGTTTGGGTTGACCGCAGTGCGACCACGGTATCAACGTACGTGACCAACACCATTGGTAACAGTGGCTTCAATCATGTCGATTTCAGGAGCGGAGCGACCGACGTAGCTACCATCAGGTTTGACAGGTCCTGGATGCGACTCTCCACGGCAAGTGCAAGCGGCTGCAGGAGGTCAGGATAGATGAACAGGACGGGATAACTAAAACTCACAAAGTCTTTGACCGGGGAGGAAGGACTGTCATGATGTCAGATTGTGAATCGAGTTATGGGTTCGTGGAATAAACATACCAGAACGTTATTAAAGCTTGGGTCACCGTTGATCAAGGCAGCCTCGGGAAGGTTGGTACCAGGATACGTTTGGTTGGGAAGAGTACCGACGTCGCAGCTGTCGTAGGTATAGGGCCACTGGGGGATGTGTTAGACGAGGTTGCCAGGCATTTCAGGAGGACGCACCATGCCATCGTTGGTTGCACCATACCCAGCACGACCTGAGCGGCAGGGTTAGAAAGAGTTGCCGCGAGATCACGGGGGATTTGGTAACATACCAAGGTTACCCATAGTCCAACTGATTGTTAAATGAGAATCAGCGGAAACATAGCAGGCGTTAACCAACGTACACAGCAGGCCAGAGTCCAGCAACGTCACTGAAACCGGGTAGTCGGACCATGGCTGGGTCAACGGGTCAGACAAATGCAAATCTCACAAACTTGCGTTTAGAATACCCACCTTCAATCAAACCACCTGTGAAGCAGAACTTGTTCCTAATGAAAACATGAGTTTCGCTGTGCCAAGGTTCTTCCATGAGGAAGAACATACCAAGTTTGAATCTAGTGGCAACAGTATCAGCAACCACTCCACAGATGACAACGAGTCGTAAACGCACCATGCCGGAGCGGAACTGCATGTTGTGATTTGTGCTGTTATCCGCGACTTCATCAATTCGGATTTCGAGATGGCCGTTCCGGGTGGTCGCTAACGACATTGTTAAGATCATTTTGAATTAAACCAGGATCTGCTGCTTACCTTGTTGGGGATCATACCACTCAAGATCGTTCTGTCACAGCTCTTTAGTTCACCTCGTGCAGAAAACAGCAAAGTAAGGTTAACGCACCGTTCCCCAGTAATGAAGGTCCACAGCTTCCCAGTAGGGGTCGTCACCTGGGTAGAACGTTCGGCCTTCTTGGTTGAACTCGTCTGAGAACACTAGTACGAATTCCTCCGTTCCCAGATACGACATCTTGGTGTATGCTTCCCGAGGGGTATCCTTGTCGATGAGACCGAAGTTGCCAGGAATGTCGGGTATCTGGCCTGTAGCGTTGATTCCACCGAGGTTGAAGCCTCCTTGTTTCGAAGGGTCTTCTTCCAAGAAATGTGTTATGATGGGGTATCCTGTATGTCATGGGGAGAGCGTGTGAGCGGGCCAAGATCGGTTGAGCCTTCACACCGTTAAGATACGAACCGGCACTATCGAAATTATTGTCAGTGTTTACAGATAGGGAGGGGACCAAAGGACAACGCACAATAGCGACATCATTCCTAGAACAAGAATCGCCAGACATCCAACGTTCTTGAGACCTCGGGCCGTGAAGATACTTCCACCATAGTCGTTTCTCCGGTCACGTCGTGGGTCGGGGTTGTGCAAGTCGTCGTCCGGCTCAACGTGGCTCATGAGTAGTGGTGCACCCCATGATTGCGGCCATGGAGAGAGCGAGTACTGAGTTGGATGTGAGCAATTGCGCTGGTTAGCTGCGGGTAGCAACCAGTCCTCACCTTGTCAGAGATGGATTTCTGTGCACAACTTTCGTCAGCATCCTCCTCTACTTGAACAACCAAAGGACTTACGGATAGGGAATCCGACGAATGGTTGGGGAGATTAGCAAACGGTAGTGCCGAGTGCTGCGACATTAAAGGTTTGCCAGAACCAACGGATGAGATAGTCCCCTGACTACCCCTCTTCTGAATCAGCTTTGGGTAAGGAGCGTTATGAGAATGATTGGACTTTGAATCCGAAAAAGGATCCATGGTTAGAGACGATTAAGACAGTAGGCTGAACTGGATAGTAGAAGATAGTCGCTGTTGTGCGCCCGGCGCAGGGGGAACAGGGTGGAAAGGGACAAACAAGAAGACGACGACGTGCGAAAACAAATTCAACGGCGGCTTTTCTGCCAGTGCGTGCCAGCTGATGAAACGGGAAAGCCGAGAGAACAAGGAATGATCAGCCAAGACGATCCACCAAAAGATTAACACTGGTGCAATATCCCAGGAAAGCCGCTTGTCCCTCTTTCGGACTGTCTCCTCAAAGATAGGGTTACAAGGCCAACAAAAGGTCGTTGGAGAGCCCAGCAAGTCCCAAGGAAGAACCGAGCTCGGTCCGCAGGTATGTCGGTAGAATCGCCCAGCCTTTGCAAACAACGCTGACGCGAGCGAGCACAGCACCGGCGCGACTTGGACGCGACGCCCATTGCCAATGTCGACCCAGACAGCTGCAACCGATATCTTCACGATAAATCCATATGACGGTCACCCAAGTCTGACCCCGCTGGAGGCAGAGGTCCTCTGGGAGTACGCCAAGCTGGCCCAGCATGTCAAATCAGTGCGTCTCATCAAGCAGAACTCTTGCTTTCAGACCTGACCTCGCTGCCACAGCTGTCCCAGAAAACTAAAACGTTACATGAAGAGCCAGACCAGACGATGCTTGTGAGATTGAGGGTGTTGGAGAAGAAGATGGGTTTGGTTCTAACTTTGGTGTGTATATCAGCGGCATCTCATGTCCACCGCTATTGACTCTGGAAAAACGTGACTTTTGCAGTTCAAAGCCTCGGTGTGGGGTGTTATCAACGAACAGCCAGCGCCAGAAGGTTATTATAACGATTCAAATGAAACGACAATACAGCATTAATTGCAGAAGAAACTTGTATTAATATCCAATGTAACAGTATCGGCTCGCTATCCCTTATCGGACAGTAGCACCACCCAAGCGGCCAGTGAGGGCACTAATGGCGTTGGCATCCCAAATAACCAAGGTTCCATCGACACCAGAGGTGCTAACTTTGGTGACTTCGCCATTCTGGTCCCACTCGTACGCGCGAACAGTGGTGATCGTGTTCTGGTGGATGGTGTGGAGCTTGGTATCGGTGGTCCCGCTTCCACCAATGTTCGATTGCCCACGCGTGTCGGCAGCACGGAAGGTCTCAAAGGCAGCAGACTTGAGACGTCCTGGCCCGGATCCAAAGCCCGAGGCACCGCCAGGACTCTTGGTGGACGTGGCATCGTCGAGTGTGCCAGACTCTTGCCACCCTTGTTCAGATCCAGCGAATACCAAAGGTCGACAATCGTGTCCAGCTGCAACGATTGAGTGTTCCGATGTCCAGGTCAACGAGACAAGGGGCAAGGAAGGGAGTCGGATATTGTAGACAGTTGGACCACCTGGGTAAACGACGCTGATGGTACTATCGTGACCTATATGACCGGGTCAAACGAAGCTACACAGCTCGACGACATTAAACTCACTAGCAAAAGCCAACACGTCGCCAGAGGGCGAGAATCCCACGGCGTGGACCCAGCCTCCAGAAGGACTGCTATACTCTCCACAGATGGTGTTGAAAGGGAGCTTCGAGCCCCAGACAGTAGGAGCCGGTCTATGAATGCGACGTTAGCGATGCTCATGCAAACAAAGACTGACTACCGATCCTACCTCTCATCTACCTCCTTGATATACGCAGAGAATACACGAGCCTTGAGGTCAGCGCTTCCAGCAGCTAAGAGGACATTGTTGGGGTGCCAGTCGAGGGACAACACGGTAGCCCTAATGGGCTTCTTAAGCTGTTTCGCGACCCACCAATTGTTCTCGGCGTCAAACGAACAGATAGCGATAGCTCTGGTGGTCTATTCAGTTGACCAGCCAAGGAAAGGGATGGTTTCAAACGCACCTAGCACCACTGGCAACAGCAAACTTGTCCTCCTTGGGACTCCATCGCACATACGTCGCAGCGCGATTGATTCGCAACAACACGAGTGTAGGTTTCCACACCAATTTGCCAGTCTCGGGATCGGCAGTCTCTTGCCAGACATACGCATTTCGGTCTTGAGACGCGGTGACGATCCTGTTGGAATTAGGTGCCCAATCGATGGAGGTGATCACTTTGTCGTGCTGCGCGCCACGAATCGTCAGGGATCGGATGTACACAGCGAGAACTTATAATCGGTTTACTTCAGAGAGAGTTTCGGTGGTGAGCCATTCATTTCCTTGACGGGAGAGGATCTGGGTTTCGTTGTTGTTGAAACTGACAGCGAGCTCTGGGGAGATGGTTAAGATTCTGTCGCGGTCATCAGGGGAAACGCTACGAACTCGACCTATCCGCGTTGAACGCGTGCGACGTAATGGGGGTTTGGGCGAGCGTAAATACTTCTGGGGCCATTGAAGTCGGTGATGAGGATTTACTGAACGCAGAGGACTAGCAGTCTACAACTGCGGTATGGTATGAGGTCAAGGTTGATGGTAGTAATCAGAGTGATGTCTCATCAAATCATGAATTCACAAACGAAAGCAAGCTGAGTACGATGATATAGTATACATTGACCAGTGTAAGTATGATCAGTCCATGATAGCAAAGTCTACGTGAGTAATTATTAACGGTCGTATAGTCGTCAGGGAGGGCTTTTGGATCGTTCCGGTGTACTTTGAGATTCACTCGATCCATCTTTTCCATCGTTATCATCAGTTTTCCGTACCTGCTTAGCCCAGCGCAAGCCACAAGCATTGCAGAGCGTTTTTGGTCCAAGAGGTCCCTATTAACCACTCCGATATCAGTGAGACAAAGAACGCAGAAAGAAAGACAGGCTGACCTTGCGCCATTCAGGTGAATCCGTCCTTCCACAGGTAATGCAAACATACTGCTCCGCTCCATGAGTCTTCTTCAACTATAGACGGATTATCAGCCTTAGCTTATACCACACCACAATAAATCCGCTCTACCTTCTTCTTTTTGGATCCTTCCTCGGAGACTTCCTCTTCCGCGGGAGCTGTGCTCGGCTGAGTAGTACCAGGAGAGCCTGACACAAGTTCCCTTGGGTACTCCCCAATTCCACCCATTTCGTGGTCCAGTCCTGACATCGTAGACGAACTGTAGACCGAATTCGTTACGTCCCTGTGACCAAGTGTAGCTGATAGGCGATGAAAAGGGGCTTGAGTGCAAGAAGAGGTGGCGGACACTCACAAGTCAGTTCAGCCGCAACTTCCATCGGAAGCTGAGCTCGAAGTTCGTCAACCCGAGCCTGCAGAATTCCGTTCTCCTGCCTCAGGTCTGATAAGAGACTGGCACTAGTACACCAGTGCCAGGACATTAGTGGCCGAATTATCACAGACCTTCCGTGGACGCACAGAGAAGTATTATTGCGATAGGCGACCTGCTTTGCCGACACCAGCGACACCTTCGTCTCCGGCTTTTCGGGGTGGATGCAAGGCTGGACAACGAATTCGTAGATCGCCTCCTCTATGCTCGATGCTGCCCCAGGGATATGGTTAGGTCGCATCCGAGCGAACGAAGACCCCTTCACGCTCGTCCGGACGAGGTAATGCACAACCTGGAGAAAGCTTTCCTGGTCCTCTGCTAAACAGCCAGTGAGCATCTTGTGCGCTTTGAAGAAGCGAAAAACACACGATGGATATAGTCCACAAGCTCAGAGTCAATAAAGTCACTCTCTGTCCAGCCAAGGACGTCCTGAGTTGCCCCGCCACATTGACAATAAAGCACCTTCGTCTCCGGAGTTATGACGAAAGTCAGACTATCCACCAGCTCGGAGACGACCAGATCTGCCCATCGTCGACGTTTGGTAAAGTCGTAGAACCCCTTTGAGTGTTGTACGCTACTGGGGCCATCGGTGGAGACTTGACTGTTAGGAGGTGAGGGTGTCGAGGACATGGAAGTATTGGTATAAACATGTCGTGCTATCATACTGGCGCTTGATTGGTGCGCGCGCTATTTTGGGATCCGCGCGTGTACGCTGATGATCAGCCGCCTGCCTCCAGCCAATCGCGAACAAAACGCTTGGCTTGCAAGAGGCAAAGGCGGTGTCTTTGTAGGGGGAATGTTCGAAGATACAGAGCTCGATATTGACAGACTACTTAAATACACGTATAACCCCCGTCGACACGAATCTCCGAGCCGGTCATGAATTTCGAAGCATCGCTGGCCATGAAGACGATCGGCCCCTAGAGAACATTCCAAATTGAAAAGTAAGATCGACGGCCATTAAGAAGCGGCAAGTTACGCAGGAGTAAACGTACCGCAAGGTCTTCTGGGTCACCCATCTACGAACATCGTCAACACTGGAATTAAAAGGCTGGGTTCTAATCTACAAGGAACCTTACCCTTCCCATTGGCGTTTGACTCTCCCAGGTTTTCTAATTAGAGAATCGGTCGAACGAGGGCACCAGAAGTGATTCCAATCATACGCACCTTCAATTCCGGATCCCCCTCCAGTATAGTTCTGGTCAGCTTTGTCAACATGTAACCAGGGCTATTCGTTTGGACGACCATATGCGGCCCGTTCAATAAGGAACACAATTTAGCTTAAAGGCCGCTCACCTGAGGCAATTAACTCTGATTCCATGCTTTGCCCATTCAACCGCGAGACTAGCCGCCATATGTTTTACCGCTGAACGGTTCGAGCAACGCTTAGACTGGACGGCGACGCATGAAAGCACTAGCCAACCCACCTGCCTTCGAGGCGTTATAGGGCGTTTGAAGCTGGCGGGCGGAAGGAGTCCTAGGTTATCATCTTCTATCCAAAGTAAACACAAGCCCTGGCTCACCTGCGGCGTATTTACAATCTAGAACAGCCAAGTGAACCCAATGGCCGTCTCGAACAATCCAACACGTACATTAGCGCTCATGCTACCGATGAGTATGATCGATCCGCTCTGGTTGGGCATCATACACCTTGCTGCCTGGCGAGCTGTGAAGAAAACCCCATGAACGTTTATATCGAACAGAAGTTTGGCACGATCTGCTGGGTACCTAGAGACGATGTCAGCCAGTCAGCGACGAACGGCAATGAGCTGTAGAACCAAATCAGACCAATACACTTACTCTAGAGCAGAGTAGTTCTCCACGATACCTGGAAAGAAAAGCACTGTGAGCTCGATGTCGTGGATGAATTCAGTGCATACTACCTGCCGACGCGACGACGACATCGACACGACCGAATGCTTCCACGATCTTGTCGAAAGCCACCTTCACAAGGTCCTCGTTGGAGACATTGCACTCAATGGCTAAGATGTCAACTTGTTTGATGCCTACGCAATTGTGTTAATACTTTGTGAGATCGGCACTCGAAGGTTCCGATTATCCTGACCACTGCTCGTCGCGTGCTGCTCCAATTCCTCCTTCGCAGCAGTCAGATCTTCCACTTTGAGATCCAGAAGGGCGAGGGTCACAGAGCCCCTAGTCGACAACAATCTTCATAAGCCCAAACGCAAGAAGAACGATCCTTAAAGCGACAAACGAGTTCAAGAATGCTTTGCAGAACTCAAAGCCTAATCCTCGAGCAGCTCCTGTCACAGCGCAAACCTGGCAAAGCGTCAACGGCGTTTCAGCAGTGGACTGAAACTCGAGATCGAGAAAGGACACACTTTATTCTTCAAGGAAAACGATGCCAAAGTTCGAGCAGAGCTGGCTGCCTCTTCTGCGTTGACTGTCATTGCAAGATGATGGTTATCAAGTAGACACCGCCAGTCCGCCATTTGCCTTGTCCTTCCAAGTTCGCCAGAAAACCGCAGAGTCACAAAGGGCCTGCCTCTAGTAAAAACCATTACATTGTACTCCGCAATAAAAAAGAAAATACATAGGACCTGTTAATAATGCAAATGCAGGGAAGGCTCATAGTAGTAATTGTTGTGAAGTTACATATGCATCTGAACAGCGACACAAAGAATAAAAATACGGCGAAAACCAGAAATCGACGAGGGTATCTACACTAGAGGCTGAAGAGTAACCTGAATAGTAGGTGGAGTACGGTTACAGAAAGGAGTGGATCTGGAGTGACGTCCAGGGTCGTAAAAGCCAATAAAATACTACAAAAAGAAAAAAGAGACCGAAAGACGATACCACATCATAGACAAGCGAATTTGGACTTTCGTCGCTGCAGTTCTTCCATCCGTGAGTCGAGTTGTTGTCGTACGCGCTCCTTTGCTCTCCTCTCTTCGTCCAATCGCTGTTCGAGTGACTGCTTCTCTTCGACAACGGACCGTCGAACGGTAACAACCTCGCGCTGGGCTTCGGCCAACTCATTTCGCATCTGCTCGAGCTTCGTGTTCAACGTGTCACGCTCCCGAGCGAGTTCTGTGGCTTGCATTCGAGCCTTGCGCACTAGGACAAAAGGGTCAGTTATTGCACCAACAAGGAAAAGTGGCCGAACTTACAATTCTTCTCGGCATCTCCCAGAGAGCCCTCGAGTTTAGCGACGAGGTCCATGTGAGTTTGCAGGTCAGTCTCGCAATGAGTGAGCTGCTTGTTCAAGGTCTTGATCATGGCTTCCTGCTCTTCGATCTGCTTGGTCTGTTCCTCGAGCTTGGCTGCGATCTTGGGGTCAATAGGGGCGAAGCCATTCATGCTGAGCGGTGTTGTGTGTCCAACAGAGGTGACAGGTGACTCGGGTTGAGATTCCCGGGTCGAGGAGTAGAATGCTGAAGAGCTTTGTGAAGACGTGCTCATGCTGGAATCGCCGTTGACATGGCCACGGGGTGCTGGAGGGGGTGGGACGGTGGGAGGAGGAGTGGGCGGAGGGAGCTTGATGGACGGCAGAGCACCCCGAGGATAACCCAGAGCCCGGTCTGTCGGTGAACGAATATTGGGAGGAGAAGCACTTCTCGCAAGTTGAGCTTGCAGCTCTCGGAGTTGGTGGTCCGAACGCGATTTCTCTGTCTGCAGAACATCCTTTTCGTCTTTGACCTTCTGAAGATTCTCCTGCAACTCGGCAAGGACAGAACGATGGCGTTCCAACTCGACGACGAGCGATTCGCGCTTCGACGCCTCTTGCACGAGGCGGGATTGTTCGTTCCGGGTCGACTCCAGCTCGGCGCGAAGTTTAGACACCTCAGCCTCAAGGTCGTCGCGCTCGTTGCTGACGTTCGTAAGCTGTTGCTGCATTGTCGAGATCATGTCGTCCTTGGTTCCCAATTCGCGCTCGTGAGCTTCGGCTGCTTGTTGGCGGAGGGCTGTAAACTCGTCGGCAGCGGCCTTGTGAGCCTCCAGTTCTTGGACGAGGGAATCCTGCTCCTTCTTAAATACCTCAAGCTCTTGAGACCTCCGAGCCTCCAATGCCTCAAGCTCTGCTGCATGACGGGCTCTCTCGTCCTCCAGGAGTCGAAGATTTTCATCCTTCACCTGTTGGATAGCCTGCTTGTGGTCTTCCTCAACTAGCGCCAATTGTTCACGGATCCTGTTCGCTTCGCTCGAGGCATTCATACGTTCTTCCTCTGTCGATTTCAAGTGCTCTTGGAGGATACTAGCCTCTTCGAGGGAACGTTGATGTTGCTCTTCAGTCGATGTCAGGCGCGATCGCAGTTCGCTAGTTTCTTGGAGGGAGTTGCGGTGCTCTTCCTCTAGGGTGGCGAGTTGGGTGTTGAGGTCAATGAGTTGTTGGTCATGACGAGTTTTCAGGGTCTCAACCTCGGTGGCATGGCTTTGTCGGAGGTCTGCAAGCTGAGCTTCAACTTTGGAAACAGCTTCGGTAATCGCCAGCTCGTGGTTCGCTTTGAGAGCCGCCAGCTCTTCCTCGTGCACCTTCTCCACTTCCCTCAGCACAACGGCCTGCTGCTCCTTGGCGTCCTGCAAAGACTGTTCCAGTTCCTTCCTTGCGCGGAGCTGGTCAGCCGCCCGCTGCTCTCGCTCGGAAGCCAGCGCGGCATTGAGGCGCTCTTCTTCATCACGTCGCTCGAGCTTGATCTTGGAAAGGACGGTTTCGTGTTCTAGGCGGAGGCGGTCTAGTTGGAGGCGATGGTCGTCTTCCTTGGTGGCTAATTCCCGGGCAAGGGAAGCCTTGAGAGTCTCGCATTCTTCGGTAAACGCAGATTCCTTCCGAGCGATGGCAGCAGCGTGTTCGTCTTGCAACTCTTTAATCGCGAGGTCTCGAGAGGATTCGGAAGCGTCCAATGATCCTTGACGAGCAATCTCCGCCATCTTGAGTTCGCTGGCGTGCTCTTCCTTGAGGCGTTCGATGGTCGCAGCCGTTTCTTGATTAATCTGCTTGATGGCCTCTGCGTGATCAACCCGAAGTTTAGTGAGAGCGTTGTAATACTCTTCTTCCGTCGTTTGCTGGGCAGCAGCAGTCGATTCTTCCTTTTGTCGCAGGGCGATAGCGTGGTCGGCCTGAAGTTTCGCGAGGGCCTTCTCATGCTGATCTTTGGTTTCCTCCAGCATGGCTTTGGCTTCTTCGACCTGGCGCTGCAGGGCCTTCTCGTGCTCCTCTTTGAGTAGACCGAAAGCAGCTTCATGATCATCGCGAGCTTTCTGAAGTGCTGCAGTCGACGCCTCGAGTTCTGCACGGAGAGCGGTGACAGAGGCCTGATGCTCTTCCACCATGCGGGCGACGCGTTCTTCAACGTCAGCACCTTTGGCACTCAAGGCCGAAGCAATGGCAGCTTCGTGGTCGGCACGAATGGCGGCAAGGGAAGATGTATGTTCTTCTTTCATCTGCGCCACCAATGCTTCCACTTCTTCAGCCTTGGCTCTGAGAGCGGTTTCGTGGGCTATTCGCAGCTCCTCCATTTCAGCAACATGGTTCGCCTTGACTTCCTCCAACGCTTTGACCAGTCCGGCCTCTCGTTTCTGAACTTCCTCTAATTGAAGGATGTCCTCGTCGTGTTTCTTGCGTAGCACTTCCAATTCGGTGGACATGTTCAAGGTCTACATGGGACGTGAGTTTTTGAGGTGAAAGTGAAGGAACAATTAACTTACTTGGTCACGGGAGAGGACAGTCAGCTCCTCGAGCTGCCTTCGAGTTTCCGTGAGTTGAGAGGTAAGGTCGTCGACCGTTTCTCGGTGCTGAGACTCTTTCGCTGCCATTGACCTAAGATTGCGCTGAGCACGGTGTTTCGCAAAACAGGCCTAGTCCACTCACAGCATAAGCTCGTTCAGGCGTTCAAGCGAATCGTCTTCCGATTGGACAGAAGAACCTTCCGAATAGACAGCATGTCCATTTCCATTCGTCATTGTCTTGCGAATGTTATCGAATTGGTTCAGGGTCTTGGGAGAGAGAACGCCACTCAGGGCATCCGAGTCCGCTCCATTACGCTCGAGTTGGCTTCCTTCACCGTTCGCCAAAATCCCCAGTTCCTTCTCTCGTCGCTCGCTAGCCTTCAGGGACTCCTCCAGCAAGGTAATTTCGGTTTCTCTTTCCTTGAGAACCTCTTGCAATCGCATAATTTCTTTCTCCAGACTGGAGACAGAGCGCTCATTCGTAGTCGGAGATAGACTGGGCATCGAGATGGAAAGGCTGGGGCGGGAGATGAGGCTATTATACCCAACCTGGGAGCTGGAGCGTGAATGGGAGCTACTCGTCCCGTGACTGGAGAAGGAGGTTTTGCGTGTATGCACCGAGGATAGCTCCTGCGACAGCGATTGCGATTGTGACAGCGACCTATAGACAGAGGGGCATTAGAAGACTGTCATTCAAAGACTTAATGAAGACAGAATTACCTCGCGTGGAGCGACTCCGTCGAGGCCGCGTGTCGGAAAAAAAGCCGTCGACTGGAAGAGCTGGATTGAGGCTCTGCAGAATCACGACCTCTGCTTGCAGTCATCCTTCGTCGGGAACCAGATGGGGGTGGTGTGGAGGGAGGGAGGTCGTTGACAGGAGACTCTGACAAGTCAGCCTCGGAGACGTTGGAGTTGCTGATCTTCGCCTCCTGGATTTGAGCTGCCAAGTCAGAAATCTCCCTCAAGGCGTCGCGGTATTTAGCAGTGATGGACGATAGGTCTGCCAAAGTCGCTGTATGTGTCTGTTGAAGGGCAAGGAGCTGTGCTTCTAGGGTAAGGTTGGGGGCATATGCGGGGCTTAGGCCTTCTGACGGAGGGCTCTCTGATACAGGAGTTATAACCGAGGGTGCCGGACTAACGTTAGCGATATCGAGTTCGAGGCTCTTCCTTGCGGAAACAACCTCATCGACAACCTCTCCCAAACGTGCTCTAGCTTCGCCCGCCTCGTTCTTCTTCTTTTCCCACTCGATCATCTTCTCTTCCAAAAGCTTCACCCTTCGTTCCCTTTCCTCCAGGTCCGACCTCCAACTCTCACCATCTTTGGTGAAGGTGTCGAGGCGGGATTGAAGGGTCTCCACTTCCAGGCGGCGGCGATCACATTCCTGTTCGAGCCTTTCAACGGTCTGTTGGAGGCTAAGAATCGATTCATCCGATTTCGCCAGCCTCGCTTCGAGATCTGCAATGTATTTGCTGGAGTGAGTTTCCACATCCTTATAACGGGCAAGCTCCTTCTTCAGGTCGCTCAGCGACTCGCTCGATGTCAACGAGGTTTCGTCGTACGCCTTCATCTTCTCTTCAAGATCTCGGATATAGGCCTGTGTGATTATGGGCATTAGTCAGTAAAAGTAGGCGAAGGGGACTAATGGCGCACCTCGGTTGACGCCTCCCGTTCAGATAGCTTGGCAACACGGTTGCGAAGCTCCTCGACGTATAGTTCCGTGGCCGTATGGCGCTCAGAGAGAGCAGCGAGTTCTTCCTCCTTCTCCTCTACAAGATCGTTGGTATGGCGGAGGGCGGCCCGATTGAGGCTTAATTCCGCCTCCATCGCGGATATCGTCTTCTCGTATTCTTCAATAACGGGGCCAACGATCTCCTCATACTTGGCGGTTCCTCCGATGTTGCCTCCAGAACTAGACCTCTGTTTCTCCCCAAGCTCTCGGCGGAGTCTGGTGAGCTCTTCCGTTCGTTCAACAAACTTGACGCGGAGGTCTTCGTAATTGTTCTGCAGTTCGGTCATTTGAGCGGTCAACCTGCTGTTGCTGGCTGCCTCCAGAGCATCGGAATCGCGTTCGGACACAGGGATGGTTCCGCCTTCCTTCAGTGCCTTGAGTTCCTTTCGCATACGTAAAATCGTGTTCTGGAGCCACTCGACATCATCCCAGCCCTCCTCCTTCTCGTTGACCACGGCTCTGTTCTTAATGTTGCGTGCTCGGTTGGCATACTTGAGAGTATTGATGGTCTCTCCAGCGTTCCATTCAGCGGGACTGACGCAAGCGATCATGAGGGTATGAGCGTTTCCACCCAGCGAGTCTTGAAGAAGTCGCGTGAGCTTCGAGTCGCGGTAGGGGATGTAAGTCGTGGATTTAGCGCGCGCAGGATCGCCCAAAGCAGAAATAACATTGCCCAGGGCAAGAAGACCGCTGTTGATGGAGATACCTTCCTTAATCCGTTCACCCTGAGCTGCAGTCCTCTTTAGCTAAAATGAACACCGGGTGTTAGTGACTGGATTGAATAAACACTTCAGACGGACTCACTCGCTCTGATCCAGCAAGGTCGACGAAGTGGAACTTAGACGTAACGGTGATCCATTCGCCGTCATCGTCACCAGACCTGTCACCTGCATGGCCAAGTGCACTGGCCGGGCGAAGCCCGCCTCTGTTCATTGCCGATGCGAAACTGGGCGTGGAGGGGCGGCCGTGAGTCGGAGACGCAACCCTGCTGGCGCCCGCATTGGCATACATGGACCCTGGACGCGCGAGCCTTGACGGGGAACGCCCACCTGGCGGAAGTGGGGAATGGGAACGTGGGGGCGTTGAGCCCGTGTACTTCTTTTGGGTCAAAGTAAGCGAGAAAATTGCGTGCGAGCGGGAGGATTGCGCGTTCATATCAGTCTCGTTAGTGCGTCGAATGGATGTGCCCTTGCGGAGGAGACTAAAAGATTATGGTTACCATGAGTAATGGGACGTGGTCGGGAATCGCTACAAACTCACCCCATGACTTCATTAGCGTTTCGTACATTAACCTCTCGTAGCCCATCCCAAATGATATGACCGTGCTTGTCTTCGCGAATCTGGACGTCGCGCCTCCCCCCCAGGTCGTCCATGCTGAAAAGGTCGATAAGGTCTTCATTGTAGATTTCAATGAACGAGGCCTTGATATTATAGGTCCAAGCACCAGCTTTCTCCTCTTTGAGTCGGTTGGCACGCGAGAAGATGTGCGAGACTGCACGAGGGATGATGCCCATGTTGTTGTGGGGGTCAGAGGGGTCTGCATCCAAATCAGCTCCGGTCATGGTAAACGTCTTGCCACTGCTTGTCTGGCCGTAGGCGAGGATTGTGCAGTTGAATCCCTCCGTGAATCGGGTGATAAGGGGTTTGGCGGTGGTCTCAAACATCTCATATTGGGTCGTGGGCGGGCCATGAACCTGGTCGAAGGTGAACTGCTGTTTCTTGGCCGCTCCGCTTGCTGAAGCTGACGGTGCACCTGCGCTGGCGAGTGCTGAAGATGGCGGCTCGATAGTCACCGAGGTCGAGGACGTTGCCTGAATAACAGACCGTTGGAAACGAACGGGGATGGATGTTGAATCCTGGTTGGTGGGGGGACGGATTCGAAGGGCTGTGAGGAAATTATAAGCTCGTCCCTCAAGTATTTCAACTTCATCATGGACACTTACCGACTTGCACCGAGGTCGCCCCTGCAGACGACGAGCTCGAGGGTGCCATGGCGGCTCTTCACAACGTCTGCGCTCGTTACCCAGAAATGTAACCATCACACATCGGCAATGTCCGGTACTTCTTCCCACAAATCAACTTAAAGGGGCTGGGGTAAGGACTTGCTCTCGAAGGTCATTCTCACTCTCGAGCCACCGAATGCCCTTCAGACGTCGCCAAATTTACTCTGTCATCTAGTTCTGTAGACTTTCTTCCCTAGTGTCAGTTCTCGAAGGATGCCAGCGTCGCTAGAGCGAAATTTTCTCAAAGCGACTGGCATTCTTTTGCATCAATGGGCTCTGATGGGCAACTGGTTCCGTGGGTGGACACTCTGTCCAACCCCCACCGACACTCAGAAAAGACTCGCCACGAATCGTGGAGGGAGGTGTCTAGTTAGAGAAAAGCTGCTTTCCTTGGACTCGGAGAAACCCTAGTAACAATCACAGCAGTAGCGCGGGACACATGTCACCAAGTCCTGGCTTCCCACTTCCTTTGCGTTCCTAGCCAATGACCACCTGCTCTGCGCACGAGGAAGTCCAGTTCACAGAGACCTTGCCGACGGCGCTTTCCACCTTTAACACAAAAGTTCGGTAAGAGAAGTTGGGTCTGATGATGCTCCAACATGTGGGTTTCCCGATTCCACGAAAAGGTCGGTGCAACATTCGGTTGGCGGTAAACATCTGGCGGTTAAAGGAGCAAGTGACGAAAACTGATGGAATTTGAATTATTACATGCTGATTATAAGAATGTAGGAAGCGGTCCGTGATACCATTGGCGGTCGCCGCAGTTCTAGTGGATGCAAACATGTACGCACTTTCTGCACGTCGAGACGGTTCAGAGAAGCGTTTCACCTGGAAAGGCATGAATACTGTGGCTTCCATCTTGCGAACTAAGCTGACTTACCTAGGGCAGAGCGAAGCAAAGAACACCCGACAGTCACCGTTTGCTCGACACTCGCAGCGTCCGCCAGCGAGGGGTTGACTTCCTAAAGAACGCAGAAAGGTCAATCAGAAACTGTCGCTCAGGAACTCGTTCCGTTGACGAACCATGAGATCCATCGCTACCAATAGGCCGGTCTCGTAGATTGCTTCACAGATGTAGTGACCTTCTCGGAAGGTGAGACCCCCACGGACCTGAGGAATGCAGTTAGCTTGACCCTGACAAGCCAATGGAATGCCGACATACTGGTGTTCCGGTTGACGGGGCAACAGAAGGGTCGAGCGCATCTACATCGAAGCTCAAGTGAATAGGACGGTCTCTGTTAGGGTTGACATGATTCAATGCCATCTCCACAACTTTCCCAATGCCGTATTTATCGACTTCGTGCATGCTGAAAGCCTTGATGTTATTTTCACGCAGGATGGCTTTCTCTCCGGGGTCAACATCCCGAAGGCCAATGTAAACCAGGGAATCATTCTTCAACAAAGGCTTCACCCAAGAGAATTCGGGGACCTTGCTTCCAAGACCGAGGAGGAAAGACAACGGCATTCCGTGGATGTTCCCTGGTAAAAGGTCTTAATACCTTTCAACCGGATGGTAGGAATTAGGTTATGCTCACCGGTATCCGTTGATTCTACCGTATTGATATCGGCATGCGCATCCACCCAGACTACGCAAGCATTAGGATGGTGACTATTAGTTTGGAATTCAGCTTCGCATTCCAGGGGTTTGTGCGATGGAACATTTACCTCAACGTCCCGAAAATCGTGCCCATTGCCTGACCATCCAGTCCTTTAGCTATAAGTGGATGCTTGGACTGTGAAAGACCCACCAGTGAATGGTCTCCTCCCAGCGTGACTGGCAGCTCGCCGTTCTTAACGTGGCTACCAACCACATCGGCGACAGACTTCGTCACGCGAGAGACTAGACGGGGGTTCTTGAGGATACCGATGGGAGGGTCGTTCTCCGCGCTAATATCTTCAAACTGATGGTGTCCGTTGAATTTGACCTTCCACCCTAGTCCTTCGAGTTGGGTGATAAGGCCTGCTTCGACGAGGTGAATGGGGCCCTTGTCAACACCAGGTTTCGGCTGTAGTCATGATAGTTGGCGTCAGCGTTCGCAGTAGAGGAGAGCAGCTCCGTACCTGTCCGCCGCTGTGTCCCACGACAAACTAGTCAGCATTTGCTCCGTCCTTGACTCGCTCGACCTACCTGAATGGACATCCTACAATCTGAACCAACAGACGAGTCAGCACAGAGCTCGCCGTTGACACTAGGACGAGGACGTACAGCAATAGTCTTGGGTTCGGGGACGAAACGCAAGGCGGTGGCCATTATGAATAGAGCAAGTTGGAGGATACAGATAACCTCAGCCGAGGAATGGACGAGGCTTTTATACGTTGGTCGCTGTGCTATCTGTGCACACCATATGATCCGAGCATATTGGGGCTGGGATAATGCTGTCGTGTTCCGGAGAGCACATGCACCCGTCTACTTGGGGCTTCATTACTACACAATCACTGCATTGTCATTACTTGGCGACCTTGAACCTGTTATTCACCCCGCCCCTGTCTCCTCCGTCGCCGGTCCAGTCCTATGACGCACTTGCACAAGAGGCGATGTCTAAAAATAGCCAGCCGCAGAGTCACCGATAGGTCCTCCATAAAGGCAGCACCCTAGGACTGGATACCATCGATTCCACTTTGCTTCGAACGTTATCAGCGGAACGCAATACACGTTCTGCTCGAGCTAATTTTTGTTGACCGTAGTCCAGGAAATTGAAACATCATGTTGGGAACACCGCCCCCACCGCAATCAGGCAGGTCAACGCCCTCATTTAAGGACATCGTAAGTTGCTCAATTTCTCCCCAAATCTCACTGACACGTACCATGCACTTTCATTTACCTCACCCCCACTTGCCCCACTCCTTCTCGCACATCGTCGACCAGGTTCGCGATGCTATGAAGCATTACAAGCACGAGAAGGAGTCAGAGGCCCACCAAATCTTCCGGAAGGCGGCTGGTCATACTCCCAAGGGGGTTCTACCGCAGACCGTTAATCCTGTAACGCCTCCATTCAGACTGCGCACCCAGTGCTCAACTAAACCCATGCTTCCAGGATGAAGAAACGGTACCTGGCATTGAGCACCCAGGCAGCACTGGCGTAATCTACTGCTCAGATCGTGCCATGGCCAATGGGTTCAGCTACTCTAGCTCCCATGAGTGGGCTAACCTTGGCCAAGGTGCTCCTGAAGTTGGACCCATACCTGGTGCTCCACCTCGCCCAGACTCCATCCCAATGCCCGTTGATTCTTTGGAGTACGCGCCAACGACTGGTGTAAAAGGTGGGCGCTTCGTGAAACGTGTCGCGTAGTATCGCGAGTCTAACCTTACTCCAGCCCTACGCGAAGCCGTTGCCAACCTCTACAACGAGACGTACCGGAAGGACAAAACCAGCAAGTACACCTTTGAGAACGTCTGTATCGTACCGGGTGGCCGCTCTGGGCTGTCCCGCGTGGCTGCCGTCATCGGGGATGTCTATACGGTAAGAGGCGCTGCGATTCCTCCTCATGAGTATGCGTTAAGTCATTCATCCTGCAGAGTTATCAAATTCCCGACTATACTGCATACGACCAAATGCTGAGTGCGTTCAAGCGCCTGGTCCCCGTCCCTACAGCGTGCGTTTCTCTCCCTTACTCGGGGAAATGATGTGGTGACTTTAAACAATGTTCCTACAGCCTGGACGTCAAGGTAGCCTTTCTCCCCAACCACGTCTGAACCCGCTAACCACAGACTACTCCCAGAACAAGTATAAATTCGATATTGAACAAGCAAAGGTATTCGTACATTGCATTTCATCCATGGGCACAGCGGAAGTGACGCGCTTTGCAGAAAGACATCCGAAATCAAGGGGTGGCTGTCATCCTTGCTTCCAATCCCCGAAACCCTACTGGACAAGTGTGTTCCTAATCTAGTCTTACTCGCTTTCAACACTAAACCGTCGTTCAGGTCATCAAGTGAGCTTACTCGCGTCCCAGAATAGTTCTCAACGTTGATGACTGCTTTCTGCAGAGGGAAGGATCTCAAGGAACTCGTTGGATTGAGCCGTGAAGGGACAACCCTCATTTTAGACGAGGTCAGTTGTTAAATCAGTCACTTACTGCGCTTTTCCTTACTCGTAGTGCATAATACCGCCATGGGCAGTTCTATTCATGGTACATCTACCCCGAGAGCGACAGTGACTTGGGAAAGTCGATTTCATCGGCGAAGTACATTGAGGATGTCAACGCGGTATAGGAACTTCGATATTTTTGGTTTCCTGTTGATTAATAAAGGAAACTAGGAGCCCGTTATCATTGTGGATGGTTTGACCAAGGTAAGTGGATACTTGCCCTCTTTGCCATTACCGTCCTTTTTGATTATTGCTTCAGAATTGGCGCCTCCCCGGGTGGAGAATCTGTTGGGTGGTTGGCCCCAAGAACCTTATCACAGCCTTGTCACAGTCAGGCTCTTTCCTTGACGGAGGGGCGAATCACCCGTAAGTCTGCTCGCCAAATCGGAATCCGCTGACCAGTTGAAACTTATCACGCCGCAGAATGCAGCTTGCTGCTGTTCCCCTACTCGACCCTGCCCGCGTCCAGCAAGAGAAGGTTTGTCCCCCGAACTCTAATTCTCTCATTTCAACACAACCTCATTGAACACGTGTATAGGTCGCATTGCAAAAGCATTTCAAGGCTAAACGGGACCACGTCCTTCGCCGTCTGCGCGAGCTCCATCTCGACGTTTCCATTCCACCTACCAGCACATTCTACATCTGGCTCAATCTGGAAAAGCTTCCCCCACCTCTCAATAATGGGCTGGTATGTTCTTTTCAGTATATGCACATGCAATGAACCTTAACTCGTTATCTAGACATTCTTCGAAGAATTATTGAAGGAGAAGACAATCGTGATCCCAGGGATCTTCTTTGATATCAACCCTGCTCATCGTCGTAATCTCTTCAATTCACCATGCCACCACTTTGTCCGTTTGTCGTTCGGCCCGCCCATGGAGGATCTTGATAGAGGTATGTTGAGTTATCCCTTGCCTGCCTATCTAAGCTTTGCCAAAGCTAAACATCTCCACCAGGCCTCGATGCGATCGATAGAGTCTTGAAGAAGGCTCGCCAATCAGGCATGCAGGTTTTCGGGCAAGGGTAGGCTCTCTTTCCCCCTTTGCGGCTCATTTGAAACGGCGCTGATGAAGTTACAATCTCTGACAGATACAAGACTGAAGGCCCTGACGGAACCAGGACTCCCATGCAGATAGGTTGAATTTCTTGAGGCAATCGGCGATCCAGTAGCATTGGGTCGATATGACATATGATACATAAATACCTCGTCATTTCCTGGAATAACACCTACTTGAATTGGCAATTCTGAATGAAATCATACAAGACGTGCTGTCTACGACATGAAAACGGTGTGTTGTCCTTCAAGCAGCGGGGTCAAATGGCGCAAATGCGGCCTTAAACGCCTGCACATCGGCACGGTCGTCCTCTTCTGACAACATACACGCCTTCCAGTCGAATCGATCAGGCATTTCCAATAACGAGACAAGAACTTGTCTAATCCAGCCAACAACAGCGATAACGAAAGTATTAATTAGCATCACTTCCAGAAACCCACAAGGCGAAGGAGAAACAAAGAAAATGACGTACCTCCCAAATTGAATGCTGAAAGGAACGTTATCCTTCAGAAGATGAACCATCTTTTTTCCGTTTGGGAGGTCTACCCTGAAGTAACTTCCCCTTCCACCTTGGCAAGATTCCAGAGCTGATTCAGGGTCCGACTCGAAATCTATACCCTGCCGTCTCCCTTCCTGGACGAAATGTTCTTCAATCTTATCTTTCAGCCGAAGAGGCACCGGTACAGCCTGGACGTGAGCGTGACCGCCTTTCGCGCTTAATCGGGCAACTTCGAAAAACACAGGGACCGCATCGAACTTGTTGTACAAGGAAGATAGAGCTGTTTTGAAACTGACATGGAGTTAACCGCCCCCCCCCCAGGAAAGAAAAATGATTAGAAACCATTTCTCCTCAGATCGGATCCACGCCGAAAAAGGAATCCCGACTTACCTTTCCGTCTCGTCCAGGATCGGTTTGGCAAGGTCTCGGGGTATAGTCGAATAAGTCGGACAATGCGTAATCGGCACGATGAGGACGTGTCCTCCACCCGGAACTTGAGGAGTGTAATTGTCGGAATGTGTAGGGATAATCTGCCCCTTTGGAAGCGTCACATAACATTCATTTCCAATGGCCACGATGAGATGCTTCCTGCAAAGGGAATAGATGTGAAGCGACATGTTGTGCAATGCGAAATCAAGAGCCACTTACGCAAGATTAGGGTTTGACAGGCAGAACCAACATTCATCCGCTGTACAAAGAAATTCCTGTAAGTGAATTGCGTTGATGGTCGAGATGTAGACGACAGACTGGATATTTCCTTAGGGGGGCCTCGCCGTCCGCCCCGACGGTCGGACTGAGCACCTCGTTGTTGGTTGGCAGTCAAGCAGTCTTCAAGGTAATGCTCTTCACTTCCACACGCACGACACACATACCCCGGTTTGGGTTTCTTGCCGCCCGTATCGCCAACAGCATCCCTGGTCGGACAATCTCGAACGAAGTGTCCGGGCTATGAAAGGTCCTATTCAGTGTGAAGCAAGTCCATAATTGGAGAACCACGAACAGTATTGCAGATCTTGCAAATATAGTTATCAGGAGGCTTACTCCTCTCAGGACAGTCGTTAATGAAGTGCTGTGGATGACTTTAGCAAGCTGGTCATGAACGTCGGCAGCTGCTAACCTCTGTCGAATCGCATCGTCTGCATTTATATCCAGGTGGTGGCTTCCCTGGCTCGCCTTGAACTGCAACAGGGATTAGTCAATGACCCCACGGCCAAGATGCTATCTTACCAGTTCGCGACCGCTTTGTGGGTTGCTTTACACCACTTCCAAAGATAAAGTTTTCGCCCGACTCGTCCAATGGCCGCTTCGTTGCAGACCTGACGACGCCAGTGGTGAAAGGATTCTGGCTTGCGTTGGCAGGTCGGGGAACAGGTGCAGAGGCAACAGACGTTGGAGCGATAGTGAATGCGTAGAACCACTAAAGTTCTCCGTGTTAACAAGAGAGAAAGAGAACGAGCTTGACACTTACCCGCTGCTTTTTACCTGCACCCCCATCATTGCCAAATGCTCCAAGACTAACGAAGCGGGTTACACGTCCTTCCTCGCCATCCCATACGAAAGGCTCTCTCTCCCAAAACTTTGGTGGACTTCCCCCGGCAGCAGCGAAGTGATACCTGGGCTGAAGTTTAGAGATGAGTTCATCCAATGGTGGTGCCCCGATTGAAGCCAAATTTGGGTCGGGCAAGGGCACCGAGGATAGCCGCGTTATTGCACTTGGCCAAGCGTTCGACAAGAAGATATCGATGTGTTGGGAGCTGGCGGTCGAGGATTGGATGGCAGAGAGAGAGGAATAGTTTTGTTTCGTTGATGTCTTTGCGAGGGTGTTAGCGAGTAGACGGTCAATGGTTTGTGATGCGAAGAAGGGCGAGAGGAATCCCTATCCGCAATTTGTGGTCAGCTTGGTCAGGGTAGTATATCTAACTGGACCATACTGGAGCAGCTTCCGAAGCGTAGTAGATGTTTTGGTCATAAACGCCTCCGAGGCATGCAATTCGGATTCCATGCGCGGTTGTGATGGTTCCAGACTTGCCTACGGTGGGTTCAATCAAATCATTAGGGCGCTAAAATGTTCGCGAACGTTAAAACGTACTCATTAAGAAGACATTCTTGCAGAGTTCACCGTTTGTTTTGGCAAACTTATCAACAACGCGCTTGGGAAGAGGCTGGTCTCCTTGCATGATATAGCAATCTACGGGTGCTGTGTTCTTGGGTTAAACGTTGTTCATGACGTTGCCGACACAGACATACCTTCCAGTATGCCATCCAGTAACTGAGATACCTCGTCTTCCACCTTGTCTTCATCTTCATCAGACGTCACTGGTCCAAAAAAGTCGCCAGTACAGAGCAAAAGATCGAATGGGCCATGTTTCGCGTTGATTCCTCTGACTTTGGCAAAGAGTTGGGAAATCGATCCCACAGCAGAGCCAACTGTTAAGCTAAAGATACTTTAGCCTAATGGGGGGCGAATGGTAGAGATAAAGACAGTACCGACACTTTAATGGGGCCCTTGGCCTCCATGGTCGCTCTGGAGGTGTAAGTCGCAAATGACGCCCACTCGTGTCGCGTTCGATCCAGCTTGCCGCCGTCGGCCAGAGGCTTGCCAATGGCGCCAGGACCAAACAACTCAGGACACCGCCACCGGCAGTTTGAACCCGCTATCTCCGGCCATGAGACCGCTATGACATTTACTGTTATCTTTGGTCGACGCTGTCTATCGATTTCTGTACATGTAATGACCTCCCCCACTCTGATGGAACATTACGAGTTCTCCTTCAGAACCTCAGTCATTAGAGGGAGCCTGGTGGAAGACATCGCGGAAGCCCAGGTACGAGCACAATATACATCAGGGCACTCCAGGGAATTCTCTACCAAATAGGTTGAGAAAGGTCATGCTCAGAAATCATGGGGATACACTGTGAGGAGAATCGTGCTTCCGGAAGACGAGTGCCAAATACAAGGACCCAACCATGCGGTATACATAATTGAACCTGACCTTCAGGCCCAGGCACTCATGGCAGGCAGAGTATCTGGCACCGACGATTCTTTCTACGCAGAAGCCACCGCCGTCACCCGTGGCCCCGTTTGGGCCCCGTATCAAGGTAAACCGTGATGCACTTGTTCCCCCGAAGCTTACAGATATTTCATTGGGCAGGTTTCACCTATCTGTGGGCGATGCATGTACCTGGAGGTGCAATTACGGATGACAGCCCACAGCAGATTTCTTCGATTGAAGCTGCGGCGGCCATGTCAACTTGAATGCACATGCATCTGTAAGTGCTGAGATTCTTCTGTCGTTTGGAAGCCTGGCAGCGGTCAGCCGGCGTGAGGTGGCATATGGATCGAAGCATACCTGGTGAACAATCCCATGAAGACCTAGAGTGCCGTATGCCCACCTTCATGCTGAAAGATGGCATTTGTGACATATTTCTGTTTCTGATGATCAGACTGCCTTGTTAGTCGTCGGGAATATCAACTCGACTGTCTCGACATGCGCCTGTGCCTGTGGTGAAGATTACGAGAATGGATGCGCTGATTACCTCTTTCGCAGAAGAACATACGGCAGGACAAACATAAGGGACCGACGACATGACATTTCGCTGTGTTACTACACGGAGAAACTGGCGCAAGAACAAGAGTGGATTTGTTTGCGTGTACTGGAAAAGGAACAATGGTGGCAGGGAACTGATGATCAGAAAGGCAAGCGGGCGCTTTAACACCTCAAACGTTAGTCCTAATTTAGAAGAGTCGCATCCGCATTAGGTGAGGTTCCCGCTTCGGTTTGCGTTGTCCCGCGAAATGTCATACTAATATCTCAGGCTATAAATTCGCCTGCTTATAACTTTCTTTTGCTCCACCAGCATCCGCTGTCCCCCGTCTCGACAATGTTCCTCTCACTCCTCGTCCCTCTTTTCCTTTCCCTGTCGCTTCTCCCTGTCGAGGCAGCTCCCTTCAGGCGAATCGGACTCGCCCGAGTCGATCCCAAAACGATCTTATGCCAAATTTCATTCGTTGACCGGTGGCTCTGTCCAGAGGGTGGTCTTAACCAATACTCTCGAGTAACACCCATTGGTACTGCAAGCGGCGTGATGGATCCAGATGGTGCTATTCGGTATTCTCTCAAGTACGCCAACGCAGCTCGATGGCAGCCCTCGACTCTGGTCAATACCTGGACACTTCCGTAAGTACTCATCGCAACACCCGACTAGTCACGTCCTAATTATCTCGATAGAAATGGCAGTAACAATGTAACGGAACTCCCCCTGGCCTGTCCTCAGGATGGGGTTAATCCTTCGGTATACACTGAAGACTGCCTCTCGATGGTGCTCTACGTCCCACCAAACCTGACCCCGGTAATCAGCAACGCCCCTGTTTTGGTCTGGTACGTCATTTCGCAGCCGTGGTGCGCTTCTTCATCTAATCGACGCGATGTTTGATAGGATTCACGGTGGTTCGTTCGTTATAGGATCAGCCAGCGAAGCTGGTTTGGCTGGCTCTAAGCTTGCGTTGGAGACAAACTCGATTGTTGCCGTTATTCAATATCGTCTTGGTGCAGTGAGTTCGACCTCATTACTCCCTGTTGGGCTGTACTTATAGCCTGTGCAGCTTGGGTTTTTAGCCCCCAACGGCCAGACCAATCTGGGTGTCAAGGACGTCGTTAATGCTCTACAATTCTTGAAGAACAACGTCGCGGCCTTTGGTGGTAGCCCGAACAAGGTTACGCTTGCTGGTCAGAGCTCTGGCGCCAACATGATCCGTGCTCTACTCGGTGTCCCATCTGCCAGTAACTTGTTCAGGTCTGCGATTCTGCAATCCGACCCCATGGTATGTACTTCTCCGCGCCTCTGTGTTTTGACTTCTGCTGACATGGATGAAAGAACTTCGGTTTGCTCAGGCCTACGAATCAGCAAAACCTTCTGAACAATTTCACTGGTGCAATCGGCTGCAATTCAGCATCGTGTATGAACACTGTTTCGCTCAGCTCGATCCTCAGTGCCCAGGATGCTATCCAGTGGAATCCTCTGTCGATCGACGCCACTGTTGGAGAAGGCCAGCCAATCCGACCGCTGTTCGATGGATCTTTCATCACGAGCCCGGTCGAACCCGGAGCATCCTTCCCTTCCAGCGTTAATAAACCTCTGATGATCACCACCGTTCTCCACGAAGGCGCAAACGCTATCTACAGCATCTTCCCAGACCCCGTCCCAGAGATGTATTTCTGGGGGGCAACTGACCGAACCTTTGGTGCCGAACGCACCGACATTATCCTCTCCTCGCCCTACTATGTTCCCTCGCCCGCTTTCATCGTCGACGGTGCTCTCGATGGGCGTGGTCAGCTCCAACTGCTTGCGACCGACTACTTGTACAAGTGCCCCGGGTGGACTTTTGGCAAAGCATGGGCTCAGAGCGGTGGGCAGGTCTATGTTGGTGAATACGTCAACGGGGCTTCCTACCCGGCCAATGCCAACATTCCCATTTGCACTCAACCCGGAGTTGTTTGCCACCAGGATGATATTCAGATTGTGGTACGTCTTTCTTCATCCACTTTCACCTCCGCCTTTGTTCCTGAGATGTTGTCTTGTAGTTCGGAACCGTTCCCAGCCCAACCCCGGCCCAGGCTGCCCTAACCTCGGAAATCCAACAGAGGTATCGGGCCTTCCTCAACAACGGCAACCCTAATGTTGCAGGTCTGGCTAATTGGGAACCTGCCACCTCCACCGATGCTCGTGCCATCAAGCTGGGTGGATCAGGTGCTGTTCCAGTTGGTGCTTGTGACCCTAGCTTCTGGGGTTCGGCGGTTCAGTATGACTATCAGTACTACAACCAGTAAAAGGTTCTCGATGATAAGCTGGACTTGGTCGCCCTTCGCATCGCTGCTGCTTCCCGTATTTATTCCTTATTTTTTCCTAACTTACCGTTTATAGTCGACTGGTAGTAACTAATTGGGACATAAACCCCCACCACTGTAGCATATCGTTTCCTTCTCTGTCGATCTCTGCTCTCGTTGTTTATCTCGTAAACCCCACTGTAGCCTTAACCTTGTTTCGATTTACTCTACTGCTTCGAACAACAGCAGTTCGCGTAGACCCTTACATACTCACTAATAGTCACTCCTTTGCCAATAAACCGACCTTAGCAAATGAAGATCGCGAGCAAGTATATTCAAAAAGAGCTACATGCTTCAAAAGTGCACGGCTCCTTCCCAGGATGTCCCCAGACGAAGAGCACTCGTATTATGCTGAATACAAATGAAGTTCCCTAGGCGTGTCCGAAAGTCACAACTGTATTGCACCCTCCTTCGTATCGATCAGGTCGGAAAGGGCGATGCCAATTCACCCGCGAAGCGCTATTAGTCCGCCACTACTACTTCCCATCCATCTATTCAAGAATTCGGATTTGACGTCGGCGCCGGCAGTTTCTTAACGACACTCTTCCACTCCTGTGACATATCGTCAGCTCTCATGAATACAAAGACTGTGCCCACGGATTATTTTCTCGGCAGAGCTTACCTTGTGTGACAATGTTCGAAAGTCATCGACATGGGCGACATGTAATAGATACCGAGTGAGCTTGACTAATTCACGGTCTGCCCTTGATTCTTGGGTGTGAGCATTCTTGAAGGCTGAAATCTTGATTCCCTCTTTGGGATTCAAGGCAAAGTTACGACTCTGGTGGTTGGATGAGGTGGGAGGGCGTTGTTAACCGAGGTAAACGGTATCTCACTAGATCGTCAATGTGGACAGTATTGGACGCGTTGCTGAGAAATGGCAATGAGGACGGGTACAATCTATGCAATAAGAGGGCGGATGAGACGAACAATTGAGGAAAGTGGTTCCAGATAATTTGAAGGGCTTTGACGTGGTGGGACCAAGGCTTCCCTTCTCGTTCAGTGAAGACTGTGAACATGCAGGTCTTATCGAGCACTGGCCGAGACCAAGCATCAGATACATGAGGCGTTAATATGCGGCATTCAATCAACACTGGAATCAACGTTACCGAAGGATATCTATCGACTCGTAGGCTGTTGTGAATTGAAGGTACGCAATGAGGTGATCGACTTTTACCTGGTAGTTCTTGCCGGCTCCGACCATCCCGAGCTCGACTAATTTGGTTTCGAGCCAGATCCAACTTGTCTGGGACCTGGGGTATCTGTTCAGAGGTCGATAGAGGTTGTATCCCTAACCGCTTACCAGATGCAGACTGGGTCCGTCAGAATTCTGCAGCGCTCAGAAGAGACATGGACTCAACTGTCATAGTAAGGGTAAACTGCCTCCAGAAACTCATGTAAATAAGGTCTGGCACACTCGTCCGGAGGCAAGCTTCCTGAAGTCAAAGGCTTTGTATCCAATATGGCTGTGGAAGGGCACATTAGCATTAGCAGACGGAGAAAATTAATCTAATCAACGCACTATAGTCAATATCGAGCACCAAAAGTTTCTTCCCTGGTCGAAGGGGAGTGATCAAGTTGACTTGGAGTTTCTCGGTCATCTCCTTGACTTTGCGGATATTCCGACCATCGTGTCGATAGCGATTGACAGCCGCTAGATTTTCCGTGAAGTCCACATCTAGGTCGTTGACAACATCGGGAAGGTTCCCTAGCTCTGTGCAAGCGGGGTGGGCCGTCAGAGGCGAGCGGTGCAACAGGATGGCTGCGCGCACGAGAGGGATCTTTAATCTCATCACCCTGCGGGGTACCGACGAGCGTGAATTTCTTCCCGCTAGGAAGGTTCAGATCTCCTCTAATGATAAGTCCAGTAAGCGAAAGCCTTGCTAAGTTGCTGAGGACTGACATGAGGCACTGGTCAGGGGGCAATTTGCCCTTCACCAATCCCAGAATCTTCTGGCGCTCGATAGGAACTGTGGTCAGTTCTTTCAGGGTTGTCTTCAGATCGTATACCCTGATGTAGGAAATGAGATATGTGTCGATTTAAGAGTAAGTTGACGCGTCGACGTGCCTGTCTGTTTCGGCTATTCGCAGGTTGAAGGGTTTGCCCGCCCACGAGAACTGAAGGTCAATCCAACGATCCGCTGGTTCCTGGCACACTGTGTCAAAACGACTCATAACTTCTTTGAGTCAATCTCACCTCTAGTGACATGGTTGCGGGCCCAAGAGTTGAATCTGACAAGTCATCGTTCTGGACTGTGTTTCTGTCTTCTCCCGACATGATGTTCGTTCGAGAATGGACTGTTCAGAAACAAAGAGGTAGAGTACAGTGCGATGTTAATCAGTAAATGCTACAAGTTCCTGGCAGATATTGTCAATGAGTCAGGCTTTCAAAAATCGGATGGACGAGGACGAGAGACCCAGACTTGCAGCGTTCAACTGCCTCACCAACAGCACACACACACCATTTAGGGGCATCATTTCCGTGGGAACACTGTTTGACCGCTTCGCGTCGAATTTTGTTCTTCGCTGTCACATTCGGTGAGCGCAGTGTTCACCTTCTACACTAAATGTCCTTGACATAAAAGGTCTTTTGGATGCAATCAACAGTCAGTATTAAAAACTCGCTCAGCTCAGGCTTTGTTCTTAACTTTGTTCCTAGCCATATCCCAAACCGTTCGAATGGGTCAGGAACCATGGTGGGATTGGATTCAATTGAGCGAGCTCTATGCACAATTGGATACATCCCTGAAACCCGGTGACCTTGCATATACATTCGGAAGCCTTCAATTCGTTTTCTATCAATTCGTTGAAAAGCAAGGCTACAAGCTCACAACACTGGAACGGCTGCGAGCGGGCATCTACCAGGCACAGGCTCGACCCTGCATCGTCAAACGGTGTCGAGAGGATGGACGGTATGAAGTCTATCTCTTAACAACGTTCGGCAGCTCTGGGGTCAACCTCGATCATCTGAGCCCAGTCGCGCAATTCTTTGGGGTTCCCCTCGGTGGCTCGAAGCATCCCTCGTCCTCCATGCCTCTCGAGATACTCGGAAAGCCAACTTGGGACTCAGACATCACACCCTATGTCTTTGGAATCCCCGTTATAACAGATTGCGTTAATCCCTGGACTAGTCGAGGTTATTTGAGGCTAGCTTCGCGTGAACTCGACCGCCTTAATAACGTATCTGATCTGCAAATGGAGGTAAGTTTTGCTGTCACCTGTATATACCGTCTTTATTCATTGACATTTATCAGCGTTTTCATGTTGTTCAAGCACAGCTCCGAAAAGCATACTGGGACTGGAAAACGGAAGAGCATAGGAAGAAGATGACCTCCCAGTCCCAGAAGCTCAAGAAGGACGTGGCGAGCCCCGATCTTAAAGCTTCCTCCGCGACAGCCCAGCTATACCAACCAAGTGGTGTACGCGACCTTCCTCGCGTAATGCGGATTCTTCCCCGAGAACGATACTTTCCCCCCACTCCAGTCAGAGTCAACGGACGTTGGATAATCGACTCCCTCCCAGAGCGGCTTCGATACAGCATGACTTACACTCAACCAAAACCACTTGAAACGAGACATCGAGGACGACAACCACTCCCTGAACCTTATTATTCCCCCAGTTTGCGTATGAGCACAGTGTGCTTGTCGCGAATTCTACATGCGTTATAGACCTCGAGCAATCGGTGACTATTGTCACTCTCCGATCACACTTCTAGTCTAGCCACGCTATCGGCCACAAGATGCAGGGTCGACAACGATGACATAGCTGTACAGTGAAAGGAAACGATCAGTGACAAGGTGTATGAGAAGTGGGAGGGGCTTACATGTCCTACGGGCCTCTTGTGTTTGATGGGTCTTGGGGAACAGAAGTTGGGTCGACGGGTCATGAGTCCAGCCGTATTGGTTTGCCTCTGCACAAGATGTCAGAGAATGTTAATTCAGTCACAGTTATCAGTAGTCAAATATACCATTGACGATAACCTCTGCGGATACACCTAGATAATCTTGAGCAAGGGATAGTGGTAGTGAGCTATAGGCCTGGGACAACAACTGGAATGTTCTTCTTCGAAAGGCATCTAGATTATGCAAATAGCTTGTGAGCGCCTTTGTGACCCAGAAGGCGTGGAATGCAGCAATTGACCTGCGAACTGTGTCACCAAGTTCGTGAGGAGGACTCCGAACTCTTGGTCAAAGAATTCAGGGTTTCCGACCAACTCGAGTAGACTTGTCACCGTGGAATATACCCGCGAATGATGTCGATGAGAGGTCAGGTTGGTTAATGAGGCCAGTAGCTTAACCAAAGCCAGGTTGGACAGGTCGTCTGGGAGCCGCCCCAATGCGTATCGAGCGGGCGGACTGTCTAGATGAGTTTCTACATCCAAGCGGAAGGTCGAGTACGCACATTTTATCTTGAATCAGGTATGCCAAAACGAGAGGGGAGACGACCAACACACGCGTCGGTTGACTGTCTCCACTTGTGGCCTGTGCAAGGAAGGAGCTATGTATTGGAACAAGCAAACCAATAGTGGTTTTAGGCTTACTGTCACATCCACTGTTTCAGCCCTGCTAATGAGGGCATCCCAGTCGCAACGACTAGCAGCCTCTCTAATAACAGGTAATGCCCGCTGGTAGTCGTCGGGGTTCGTCGAACTTAATGGAGCAGGTTGTGATGTGGATCCTTGCTCCTGGGCGCTAGCAGATGCCTGAGCGGCCTCCTGGAGCTCTACAGAGGTCGTCGGTGGAGGCGTCGGTGGACCGTTAACCATGGATAGTACGCAGTAAGGGATTGCGATCGACGATGGAGATAAAGACAAGGCTAGTTGGCTTTGGACGCAAACAAAGCCAATAGGCGTGGCCATCACTGGCCAAACATCCAAGTAACTACAGCATCTACGAAACCACCATGGACGACGAAATTGAATCTATCCTCCACATTGCCCGAGAAGTATCAGGTCTGACTTACAAAGTCGTGTTTGAAGGCTTTCCTGACGACGATTTAGTATACAAGATCCCACCTCTGTCGACCAATGCAGGCCATAGAGCAGGGGAATGGGGAGATCTTGCTCAACCCTTGTGGAAGGGCCGACTTCGCATTATCGAAACATCGAAGGGCGTGAACCTCGTATTTGAGGACTCTCAGACAGGTAATCTATTGTGAATTCGTTGCACTCTTGCTAACGGTGTCTGCGTGAAGGGGAATGTACGTCCAAGCCTTTGGTCGTTGCAATCATCAGCGGAGGCTGATAACACAGTAGTATTTGCCAAAACACCCTATGACCCTGACAGGCCATCGGTTGAAGCAGTACTCGACTCTTCTCGATACTTCGTGGTACGTGTCGAGGATGCTGGACGGAAGGCGTACATCGGCATGGGCTTTGTGGAGAGAACAGACAGTTTCGATTTCAGTAAGACCCCATCCGCGTCTCCAACGACCCTAATTGACTCCTCGGGTAGATGTGGCACTGCAGGACTATAGCAAGTGTGTCCGAAAAGACTGACGGCGATGCTGTCGATCATGTTCATTAACCTTTGGAATAGGAGATACAAAGCTGCACGAAATGCGGCGTTGGAGCCAGAAAATCCTGATCCTCAAGCACCAGCTGCCCCGAAGAAAGATTATACCCTCAAGGAAGGCCAGACCTTCTCTATCAGCATTCCCGGTCGTAGCAAACCAGCCGATTCTTCGAGTCTCTTCGAATCAAACTCGACCGGCGGTATCTCGACCAACAGTTCTGGTGGCGCTTTCCCCCTTCTACCTCCCCCTCCGAGTGCGAACAAGAGACGATGAATGTTGAATGTAGGTACATAGAAGTACCCCGAGGTCACCATTATCAAAATGCTTCATTTCTTCTGAACTTCGCGAGGGGCCAGGGCTGGTCCCGTCTCGATAAGATGCAAAGCGACGTTCAAGTCAGTCGGTATGGTTTCAGGATTTATTTCGGGCTTTCTCCGCACCTCAATTTCTCCAAGAAATTCCTTTAATGTTAATCCTGTAGCGACTCCACTTAGATTTCAGGACGCCGAAGCTGCTTCCCACTGGCGATCTTCCGAAGACAGTATTAGCGTTCCCAAGCTTTTCTGAAAAACATGCAAAAAATAAAGAACTCGGCACGGAAGGTAAGTTTGTCTGGTTCGGGAGACCCCAACATTGTACGAATGGAACGCATGATAATTGCACGCGAAATAGCGCCCGAGGGTCATGGGGTACGCCTGGGATAGCAAAAGACGAACCCCACTCGCAGGAGAGGAGGGAATTGAAGGTTATTCTCAGGCTGCTCACGGAAGCGATCTTCGCAGCTTGGCTCTTTCGTTGGCCCAAGATGGAGTCGAAGTCGAAACAAGCACCGCCATCTAATAGACTGGTTAGTCTCAGCAGTACCACTCCCTGTACTTGGTCTACATCCCAGGCTTCTGACAATTCTTCACCTGCAGACTTCTTGTTTTCCACTGCACCATTCGAATTCTCACATGCGCCGATGTTGAACCGTTTAACGTGGTTGCTCCGGGAGGGATCTTAGACGTTCAACCATGGGACGAAAGGTTGATTGCCTCACAACGTCGACCATGTTGTTCCCAGTCCGCCGACGAGTTTCCGCCTCCAAGAATTCGGTGGAACACCGGACACAAAACATGGAACCTATAGACCTCCAGGTATAAAGAGCACTGGAGCTCTTCGTTGGTGCACTGTGCTCATCCGCTTAAACATTATCACCATGTTGAAGGGATCCAAGTTCTTCGCTCTGTCGCTCGCTCTCTTGCCTGCCCTCGTACAGGCTCAGCGACCCCTCTACGCCCAATGTGGTGGTACTGGATGGAGTGCGTACTTCAATTCTATGAAGTATTCCGGGCTACCGTACTGATGACTTTGGTGTAGCTGGCGAAACCACCTGTGTCTCTGGCGCCGTCTGTGAAGTGATCAACCAGTGGTACCACCAGTGCTTGTAGGTTGATAACCCTTCGTTCATCCGCCGGTGTCGCTGATTCCTCGTTCTGACAGGCCTGGATCCAACCAGCCTCAACCCCCTGTCACGACCCAACCCCCCGTCGTTGTCCCCACCACCTCGCAACCCCCTGTTGTCGTTCCCACCAACCCTCCCGGTGGCACTCCCGTCCCCAGCACTGGCAACCCCTTCGAGGGTTACGATGTAAGTCTGAGTGACGCTTGATATCGCTCGCATCCACTAAATGCTGCTCCTAGATCTATCTCAGCCCTTACTATGCTGAGGAAGTCGAAGCCGCAGCTGCTATGATTGATGACCCCGTTCTCAAGGCCAAGGCTTTGAAGGTCAAGGAAATCCCCACCTTCATCTGGTTCGACGTCGTCCGCAAGACCCCCGACCTCGGCAGGTACCTCGCCGATGCCACCGCCATCCAGCAACGAACTGGCCGCAAGCAGCTCGTTCAGATCGTCGTTTATGACTTGCCTGACCGTGACTGCGCTGCCGCAGCCTCCAACGGAGAGTTCTCTCTCGCTGACGGCGGTATGGAGAAGTACAAGGACTACGTCGACCGTCTCGCTTCTGAGATCAGGAGTGAGTTACACCGGAACCATTTTAGCAAAAACTGGGACTCACATCGTCTACAGAGTATCCTGATGTCCGCATCGTTGCTGTCATTGAGCCCGACTCGCTGGCCAACATGGTCACCAACATGAACGTTGCCAAGTGCCGCGGTGCTGAGGCTGCCTACAAGGAGGGTGTCATCTACGCTCTCCGCCAACTCAGCGCTCTCGGTGTCTACTCTTACGTTGATGCCGGCCACGCTGGATGGCTCGGATGGAATGCCAACCTTGCTCCTTCCGCTCGTCTCTTCGCCCAAATCTACAAGGATGCCGGCAGGTCTGCCTTCATCCGTGGTCTTGCCACCAACGTCTCCAACTACAACGCCCTCAGTAAGTTAAGCTTCACCTCTCTGGTGCTTTTCTGTACTCACACGTCTTCACCCCAGGTGCAACCACCCGTGATCCCGTCACCCAGGGCAATGACAACTACGATGAGCTCCGCTTCATCAACGCTCTTGCTCCTCTCCTCCGAAATGAAGGCTGGGACGCCAAGTTCATCGTCGACCAGGGTCGTTCTGGTGTCCAGAACATCCGACAGGAGTGGGGCAACTGGTGCAACGTCTACGGTGCTGGCTTCGGCATGAGGCCCACTTTGAACACCCCCTCGTCCGCCATCGATGCCATCGTCTGGATCAAGCCCGGTGGAGAGGCCGACGGTACCTCTGACACCTCTGCTCCTCGATATGACACCCACTGCGGCAAGTCGTAAGTGTTCTTGTCGAGTCCGCTGTCAGGACTACATACTGACCTACCCTTCTTTCAGTGACTCGCACAAGCCCGCTCCTGAGGCCGGTACCTGGTTCCAGGAATACTTCGTCAACCTTGTCAAGAATGCCAACCCCCCTCTCTAAATTAAGCTATAATGTAACATCGGCGTTTACCTATATACCATCCTGTAGTCTAGCCTTTATCCTGGGTCGCCTGGTCAAAACTAGCGCACTATGTAGCTATAATAAAAATTTCAACTTTTGCTCCTTCACGAACATGGAAGTGAAAGAATTCGAATGGTGCGCGCGCCGACCAAAGTAATTTAGCACGCGTCATGCCGGAGTCGGAGGCAATACTTGAGATTGGTAATGGTTATGTCACGTGATCTTCGTCACCTACGGAATGGGACCTGGGAGAGTGAAGAGTTGTGGCCTTTTCCTGAACGACCATGTTGGCAAGAGTATCGCGAACGCTACCTCGACGAGTAACTGCAAAACCGGCAGTCTGGAAGACATGCAGGTCATTTGTTCAACCATCTGGAGCCGACAGGGCTAGCGTTATGGACGTACCGTCTTCGTATCAGGAGGACAACCACCTAACTCCTCGACCAGGTAAAGCTCCACCATGTCTTTTACTGTTGCCAGACTCTTAAACTCCTCTAGATATGCTCGGCTTCAAATTGGAAGCACCGAGGCGTGAAGGCTCAGTGAATGAAAAAGTCCGACCTATCTATCTCGATATGCAGGCATGTCTTTTTCGACTTGCGGAGCTTCGTGTCTGACGGTTTATCTAGGCGACTACTCCCGTAGACCCAAGAGTTCTGGATGCCATGCTACCCTATCTCACAGACCAGTATGGAAACCCCCACAGCAGGACTCATGCTTATGGTTGGGAAGCTGAACAGGGTGTTGACGAAGCTCGCAAGGTAGGTTTGTCCAATGCCAGAATACCCGAGTTGTTGACGCATTTCTTATCCAGCACATGGCCGATATCATTGGTGCAGATATGAAAGACATTATTTTCACTTCTGGTGCTACCGAATCCAACAACCTGGCCATCAAAGGTGTCGCTCGTTTCCACAAGGAGAAGAAAAAGCATATCATCACGACTCAGACAGTAAGGCCCTACTACCCTCAAGCTCGGTACGGTCGCTGATCATGGTGCAGGAACACAAATGTGTACTGGACTCATGTCGGAACCTCGGCGAGGAGGGTTTCGATATTACCTACTTGCCAGTGCAGCGAAACGGAGTTATCTCGCTCGAGGAACTCGAGAATGCCATTCGGCCGGACACCTCGCTCGTCTCCATCATGGCCGTCAACAACGAAACTGGTGTCATTCAACCTCTGAAGGAAATCGGCGCCATTGTGAGGAAGTACCGAGGCGTGTACTTCCACACCGACGCTGCCCAAGCCGTCGGCAAAATTCCGTTGGACGTCAACGAGATGAATATCGATTTGATGAGCATCTCTGGCCACAAAATGTACGGTCCAAAGGGTGTTGGAGCCGCCTATATCAGACGGCGACCCAGAGTTCGCCTGGAGCCTATATTCAGTGGAGGTGGTCAGGAGCGAGGTCTAAGAAGCGGTACGCTGCCAGCGTCCTTGGTTATTGGTCTTGGAGAAGCTGCCAGAATTGCCAAACTTGAGATGGAGGTGAGTCCTCGGTTATGTCTACCTTTTTTGCGATGAAAATATGCACGACGAACGTGAACATTCTTAAGCGAGCTGAATATCTTCCTGCATTCCGTGCAGTTCCGAGGATAGTTCAGCGATGACAAGTCGTGCAGGGGTACTGAGCCTCATCTTTTGTGGCTTCCGTATTGAAACTCTATTTACTAATCACAATTTCGCCCTTCAGCGCGACCATGCCCGGGTCAAGGAACTGTCAGATCGCCTTCTGAATTCCATCTACTCTCGCGTTGAACATGTTGTGAGAAACGGCGATGTTAATGGCTATCCTGGCTGCGTCAATCTCAGCTTCTCATACGTTGAAGGCGAAAGTCTTTTGATGGCCCTCAAGGTAATCCCGCTCGGATTCCAGTCGCACCACGGTATTAACTATGTTCGTAGGAAATCGCGCTCTCGTCCGGAAGTGCATGTACCTCTGCATCGCTGGAGCCTTCTTATGTGCTGAGAGCACTTGGTACGGTTGACTTGCTTACCTCAATGCAACCACATTCTAACCTCATTTGCAGGTGCGGCGGAGGACATGGCCCACTCGTCACTTCGATTCGGAATTGGCAGGTTTACCACGGAGGCGGAGATCGATTTCGTGGTCGAAAAGATTGTGGCGACGGTGGAGAGATTGCGGGATATGAGGTTAGTCCTGAAACGAGAATGGTTTGGTTGGATCTGACCGTCCCTCTTTCTAGTCCACTATGGGAGATGGTGCAAGAGGGTATCGACATCAACTCCATTGATTGGTCACAGTCGCAGCACTAATCCCAAACAGTCGTATGCGTATCACTTCTTTGTATCTATTCTAGTCTCGTCGATAGTCACTATCTTAATTACTTCTCCAGTTGGCGATGCCGATTGCGCCAGATGGTCCGTGTGCCCGTGAGAATCTTAGGGTTAGGGTAAGGGCAAGGGTAGTTGATAGCCAAATTGAAACTCAGCCATTCACAGCCTTTCCTGTTACCACAATGTCGCGCAGACTCTACCTCGGCAGTAAGTCATTCTGGCGTTCTCCAGACGGCGAGCTCATCGCCATTAGGATTGCCCCCCGACGCTCGCTCTGACGATGTCTCTAAATTCTTTGAGGGCTATGGCCGTATCATCGACTGCCGTGTCATGACTGGTAGATAAATCAATTTCTTCCTTGGGTTATTATCTTATCGCCCCTAGGTTTCGGTTTCGTCGAGTTTGAAAGCTCAAAGGTGCTAACTATCTGCTGCTTCCTCATTTACAAAGTAACTGAATTCAATTCCAAGGACGCTGAGGATGCCGTTCATCAATTCAATGGAAAGCCGTTCATGGGCACAGCGTATGCGCAATCGTCTGACCCTGTCCGAGCCCTACTCACCATCACTGTAGCATCGTTGTTGAGTTCGCAAAAGAAAGCCGCCCGCGAAGAGAAGTGTATGACCTGTTCATTCAGCCAGTGACCCGCCGAAAACCATAACTTTACTGACATTTGTTCCAGTGCCCCTCGAGCCCGCCGACCTCCCGGTGTTCGTCTGATTGTTTCCGGCATCTCTCGTGACACAAGCTGGCAGGTACGGGAAATTTTGGTCCAAAGAATCGTTGTCTACCGTCGTGGCCGCTGTCTCCTCGCCTCATGAGCTCGACACCTACCTCCGGGGATCCTCCGTCTGGATTTTGGTTACGGACGACTCCATTCATCGAGTTATCCGCACTGGCCGTTGTTCCCCCCCGCTCCCGTACCCAGGATGGACCCATTTAACGCTCTGTCGCTACCCCCTCATAGGATTTGAAGGACTTTGGACGCGAAGTTGCCAGTGTCTCGTTTGCGGACATTGATCGCGATGTACCTGGTCAAGGGTGCGTCTCAATTTGCCTCCGTCTCTTCGCTACTTATTTACCAGTACGTTCAGCGTTCTTGAGTATTTGTCGAGGGAGGACGCCGACAGGGCAGTAAAGGACCTCGACGGCCGTGAACTTCGTGGAAAGTTGGTTCGAGTCGTGTTGGACGATCATGTAAGCAAATTGACGGCTTCCGCCATCTGTTGGACCTAACCTTTCTTTCTTTGCAGCGTGGAGCTGAATATCGCCGTGACGATCGTCGCGATGATAGAGACCGATACAGGGACGACCGCTACAGAGACGATCGTTACCGACGAGACCGCTCCAGGTCGCCTCGTCGTGGTGAGGACCGCCGCCCCCGTTCGCCCCCCAAGAAAGACGGTGACAAACCACAACCTCCAGGTTATGATGATTATCGACGAGGCGGTTATGAAGAACGCCGTCCGGATGACTATTACTACGACCGACGCCGTGAGGACCCCGACAGGAAACGGGATGACCGCCGCAGGGACGAGAAGGATGACCGCTACGATGACAGGCCTTCCAGACACGCTAACGGCGACGCCGGATGGTCGCGTTGATCGATTGTGCTCTCAAAACACCTCATTGCCATGTTTTCTCTTGCCTCTTGGATTCCCCGTCGATTATGGTGTTATCGCTACTGCGCCCCGTGTATTCCCTATGAATCGTTGCCCTGGCCACATACCTGGATCTTAAGGCGTTCGTCACTGCAGGTTTCGACTTGGGAAGGCAGCGGACTGCGAACGCGCGATTGACAGGTAAAGAAGCATCGTTTACGGCCATCCGTCATCAACAATCCGCGATGTACTTGAATGGTTTCAGCAAGTTGCGAGTCAGGACCGGTCACTTTTGGGCTGGCTTGTACTCGACGAGGCGATGCGATTCAAGGTAAATTAGCCCAGGTAGGTCTTTAGACCGTACCACAGCGATAGGTATCATGTTTGTTTCAGAGCAATGAATAAACAATTTGCGTTCCATCCTCCAGTCCTATCCAATCCAACGTATGGGAGTCATCGGCTTCTTCAAGTTCGACGTATTCTCCATCATTCATCTTGATCCAAAACATCACCTTGTTGGCGCGTTTCCCTGCCGCTCTTTTTACCTTGGCTCGCAGACTACGGAGAGCCATACTTGGAAGTACGGTCAGCGTCAATGATTCTCCCTGGTCGCTTACATCCGTGTCCTTGGTTGGACGTCCAGATACCTGCACGAAATGAAGGGCTAGACAACCGTACAGTGAGAGAAGGCACCTCCAGGGCATTGGGAAGACGTACCGATCAATTTGGACCCCAACTTGTCTTCATCCTGCTTGGGCGCAGAGGCGTTTGGATTGCCGTGGACTGTTCTTCATGAACATAGTGGTTTCACAACGCGGACGCTGTCGACGTACTTTCGCAAAGTTCATGCCATCTGAATGGGAGAGTTCCTTCTTGCACATCCCCGAGCGTTTTGGCGACATCACCAAGGTACAAAATCTCTGAATCGGACCGTTCTCTGCTCGAAATCTATGGTGACGTTTAAAGTCGGACTGTGTTGGACGTTGGATGCGCTTACATTTGTGCCGTCCAAAACATGGAGAGTAGGAAAGTAGGCGATGACTCGGGATCGAGCATGAGCCTCGGCTGGTGAATAGGGTAGGTGAGTGCCAGTTCAAGTACGGTGATAGGGCGCTTACTTGTGATGGGGCTCATTCTCAATGAGAGAGTGCGTATACCAGGTAGCCAGCGAGATAAATTCTCCAGGTCTGACCAAGAAGAAAGCGCATTTGACGCGAGTGCCAGGTATTTGATCTGAAAGAGGGCTGCGCCACCACCATTTGGTGGGATCGCCGAGAACTTGTTGGACGTGAGGATGACTTTCTCCAGGCTGGAGGTAGATGAGTATTTGGTACCATCCGTGGCCCAGGTTGCGGCGGAGACTTACGATGGGAACGACGTGTCTATAGTCGTTGCTAGATCGACCCAGTCTGACAGGGCGTTATTATCCAAGTTAAGGGTCTGGAGGGTATTGTGTGGTATTGGAGATGATCCAAGTGCTGTGAAATTGTTAAAGCCGACTTCAAGTGATTGTAGGCGAGGCATATGGGCAATGATCGACTGGATAGCTTCCCAGCTTAAACGGATATCATTAAGTTCGAGTTCGGTAAGGTTTGGGAATGGCGATCCTAGGAATGCGTCTTCCTGGGGAGGCAGAAGCCTGTTGCGACTAGAAACAGGTGTGAATACGGTTGCTCACATCTGTGCAAATCGAGTACAAACTTGAGTGCGAGCTGGTCGAGATACACCAGTTCAGAGGAAATGGATGTGATGTCTTTCCAGTCATAGACCAAAGAGAGCGAGAGATTGAGGTATCTGATGTCTGCGTCCCGAGATTGAGAAGGCCCATTCCATACTAGTTAGTTAATGAATGCATCGTACTTGGGCACGTTTCCTTGATCTTCCCTGGGGGGTCTGCATACGCGACAGCAGTCCCATCGAGACTCACATTCCGCAATCGATCCAGCCGAGCCAGCTTGCTTCGAATCTTATCGAGATTAACAGCCTCAACCTCGATGGCGCCTAGGGACGAACCAAGGATGACTGTTTCTTGTGTTTCAGAACCATGAAGGTCTTCCAGATACTTGGACTGCACGGCCTCCAGGAAAGATGTTCCATATTTCACCGCAGGCGATATTCGTATAAACGACCCTGAACGAGGATATCTGGTTCCAATGGATGAGGTTTGGGCTACTGGCATGTCCAAAGATTCTAACCTGGTTGTAAAGTATCGTTTGTTATTCTTGACACCGTCATGCTTCCCTCGTTCCGGGTCGTCCCAGTCGACACCAATCCATTCTCCTTTAGTGCCGTCTACCGAGCCCAGGTATCTCACAGTGCCAGGCTGGCCATTGTACAAGATTCGGGTACCGGGCTGTGGTCGCATGATGGAGTCGAAGAAAGGGGTTAAACCCTAACCCCAGTATTTTCCGGCCGGTGTTGGCAGTTCGCGTCGACCTCCGGCAAAGGTTTGGGTTGAGTCCATATTCTCCACTTTCGACGTGATTCTTTCTTCCTCGTCATCTTGCTTTTATAACGGCCTCCATCAATGCTCAGGCTACTTGGAAGGAGAATGTCGCCGACAGCTGCCAGGTTAGCTGCACAACGTACCAGAGCTATTGGCCAGCACATGATGTCCACAACCCCGGAGGTCAGTTCCCACTGCGCGGTTAACCCTTCAAGACGTTGTTGACGTGCTTCGCAGTCTACAGTGCTCTTTGAGTCTAACAAATCCATTCGAAAGTTCATCTTGAACCGACCAAACAAGTTGAACGCCCTTGACACACCCATGCTTGAGCTGCTCAGACCTAAAATCCTGGTATGTGCACTGTCTTTCTGTCCCTTACAGAACTATACTAAATCTTATGAAGGAATGGAACTCTTCCGACCTTTGCGGTGCCATTGTCGGTACAGGCGCGGGGCGCGCATTCTGCGCAGGAGGCGATGTTGCCAGTGAGTCGTCCTGAGTTACCCGTGGGCCGGCTCGCTAATCCCGTTCACAGCCGTGGTAGAGAATGCGTCTGACCCAACCACACGACCGTTGGCAATTGACTTCTTCAAGAAAGAGTGCGTGTTTGTAGGCTATTGAGTCAGCGCACAAGACTCACCAAGCCGTCGTTTTCCAGATTCGAAGTCGACTACATACTTGCATCACTGAAGAAGCCTTATGTTGCTATCCTTGACGGAATCACGAGTAGGCGACCCGCCTTTTGCTTTCTGTGATCTTTGTTTAACTTGCCGTCAACAGTGGGTGGTGGAGTTGGACTCACCGCAAACGCACTCTTCAGAGTTGCTACCGAGAAGACTCTGTGGGCCATGCCGGAAACCAAAATTGGTTATTCTCCGGATGTTGGCGGAAGTTACTTTTTGTCGAGGTTGGATGGAGAGATCGGAACATACCTGGGATTGACTGGAGAGTCTCTCAGTGGAAGAGCTGTATTGTTCGTCACATCTTGATCTCTTTTCTGAGTTGCAACTCTAACGTTCTTTCCAGTGAACACGGCTTAGCCACGCATTTCCTGCCGTCAAGGCGCATTCCTTTGTTGTTGGAACGTCTGTCGGAGTTGGACGATCCATCAGCTGCTCTCATCGACAAAACCATCGAAGAGATGTCATGTGAGCGCGAGCCAAACGAGCCTCGTTCTCTTTTGACTGGCGGAGTAAGAGCTGCTCTAGATGCCGCATTCCGACACAACGAAGTCGAGCAGATATTTGCTAGTCTGGAAGAACTTTCCCAAGTTGAGGATGCTTCGATCAAACAATGGGCACAGGAAACCTTGCAGAAACTGAACCAGCGAAGCCCGACAAGTCTGAAGGTCGCCCTGGCTGCCATCAGGCGAGGGAAAAAGTTGGACCTTGCACAAGCTATGGCCATGGAACTTCGAATTGCAGGTGCTTTCTGTGTACGTTTTATTTTGCTCCAGCTGCATCATTGTCAGTTGTTTAAGTCCCTTAATCTTCAGAACGGTGCCAGCCCTGATTTCAAGACCGGCGTCGAGACTGTTATCAAAACCAAGAGCAAAGATGTACCCGCATGGTCTCCTTCAAAATTAGAAGATGTGGCACCCGAAGCAGTTTCACGATTCTTCGACTCAACGTCATCCTTTATCCAAGGGCTCCCCGCACTTGAGATCCCCCAAGGACTCGAGGCGATCCCGGATAATCGACACCTCAAGTACGCGCTACCGACTGAAGCCGAAATCGGAGCCGTTGTAAAAGGTTCGCATCCTGGCGCAGGTGACATGGGCTGGACTGCCGAAGAAGTGCAAACCTTCTTTAGCAAGCAATACCCAGGGAAACACGGAGTGCGAGAGAAGGTCGAGGAAGTCCTGCAACGACGATGCACAATCATTGATAACGTAGACGGTAACTTTGTATGGCTCAAGTGGAACGCGTAGTTGGGCCCTAGTATACTTGATCATTTCGCGCTCATACATTATCGATGTTACTAATTTCAAATACCATGCCTTATTCGCGACTTGAATCAAAACGTGGCTTGTGGACGGATGGGTGATTGGAATGAATCATCGTCATCTGTTGAGGACGACTGTTTGAATGTGGATACGTAGCACCCTTCAAGATGCCTCAGGGAGATAAAGTCGGTGAACCCGCTTAGTAACATCTCACTTAGTTGCTATGTGGTGATACCCAACAAATGCGGAGGCGTTTCGCTGGCACTTATGAAGCATTATGTTCCTGGTGGGTGAAAAACATCCTGGCCTGGATGCGCCGAACTTGATTGAGTTTATCATTCCAATAAATTAGATCTAAGCGCGTGCCCTCTGAATCCAGAAGGGGCACTCAGGACGTGTGTTTGAGCGCATCGACTGGACAGCAGACGGGAAGAAGCCATCAATGTCCTTCTCCTTCGGAGGCGTGAATGTAGATAGGCGCCCTTGCCACCTGGCTTCTTAAGAGGTGATCTGAGATTGGTTCTCCCATTGCAGTGTATATCGACGCCAAGACATGGCCAAGTCAGGCAGTGGTCGGCGTGATCTTGAACATTGAGTTTTGAAAGGGACGATGAGCTAAGTATCTCGGTATAGTGCCCAGCAGCGATCTCGATCTCCTTGATATTGACAGTATCTACCAACGCGCGGAGCTACTTAGCGATGTGGATAATTTTACACTTAGCCCCTTGGGACATCTCGCACTTACTTGGAGGGGATCAGGTCAGGGTCACGGGCGGTTAGCGCGACACAAATGTTAGCTTGAATGCGTTTAATATGAAATTTTCAAAACTATAAGAGCACCGAACATTGGAGACGAAAATGTCCCTTCCCATTGCCAGCCCATCCGCTGCCTTGTTGCAGACCTCCCGGCCCCTGTCCGCCCTGTCGATCCTCTTGTCACCATGGTCCTGTTCAGCCTACTACCCTCCCCTCCACAATTCTTCACACATTTCGTACAACTAGCCGTCTCCCTCTTCCACTCAAAGACCCAGATTCGCAAGCAACTACTTGCCCGACGCCGCTCGCCCTACTCATACGACATTAACCAACATACGGGTTTCTTCCCCCCGGAGCCGCTCCCGAAATTGCCACCGTCGTATGAGATATGGGAGCAAGCGCTCCGCGATGCAAACGGAAACCTGAGTTTGGGCGAAGACGAGTCGGAGGATGCGCTGGAACGACGCCCATACGGTTTGGAGTGGAGAGCCAGAATACAAGAGGTGTGTTAACCTGTATGTCCTTTCGTCACGGCATAACTGAGCGTCCGACAGTGGCCCGTTCTTGACACAGCGCCCCTCCACAAAAACCCACGTTTGGCACAGCGGGCCCACCTCGTTCTCGCATGGCTCGTCAGCTTCTATGTTCACTCAATACCCCCCACAACCTCCACGGCCAACACCAGCTCTGGCAGCGACAGCGAAGACCGAGCGGAGCCTCTACGAGTTCCAAAGTCGCTTGCCGTTCCGTTGATGCAGGTGTCTCGTCATCTGGGCTTGGCGCCTGTATTGACATTTGCGGACACAGTTCTGTGGAATTGGGAATTGATTCACCCAAGCCGGCCCCTATCCCCAGACAATATTCGTTTCGTCAATACATTTTCAGGTACTGATGACGAGAAAAATTTCTATTATGCCTCTGCTCTTGCCGAATTGCGCGGGGTCGAGATCCTTCGTATCATTGACGACTTCAACAACCTCCCAATCGGCAGCGACCTCGCATCGACCACCAAAGTTTCGAGAGACCTTCATCGTTTGGCTGGTATCATCGAGGATATCACCGAAATCATCACCTCCGTCCGCTCTGCATGTGACCCTCACGTTTTCTACTGGGACATCCGGCCCTGGTTCGAAGGAAGCGATGCGAAGGGGCCAGGTGGGCCGGGTTGGATATACGAAGGCGTTGACGAAGCTGAAAATCTGGACTTGAGCGGTCCATCAGCAGGTCAGAGCAGCGTGATGCACGCTCTCGATATCTTCCTGAACATCGATCACAAGCTTCAGGAACGTCGATATCCTGCGCCATCACCTGAGAACAAGCGGGCGGACCATGGCTTCATGGAACGCATGCGACGATACATGCCTGGCCAGCATCGCGAATTCTTGAACGTCCTCTCCACCTCTCGCTCTATCCGACAGCTCGCGCAATCGACGCCGGCCCTACGAGACGCATACGACACCGCAGTTACGGCGCTTAAGCGCCTCCGAGATACCCATATCCGAATTGCTTGCCTTTATGTCGTCACCATGTCACGTTCGACGCCCGGTTCACGAGGAGGATGCCCTGCAGCCGCTATGATCGAAAGGCTGCATGCCAATCGCCTAGCGGGCAAAGGTCCTGTTCGTGGAACGGGTGGAAACGAACTCTCCATCCTCCTGAAGGCCGGCAGAGATGCGACACGGCGTGCGGTCCTCAAACCATCATCATCATAGCCACATTTACTACAACAAGAAAGCGCCATCGTCATCCCGCATAGCAGTATCTATTATAGACTACACCATTCTCATAATGACATTATCACAGCATAAGTATACACGGATAATCCTGAACATTCGAATCATCTAAGTACATACCGTAGCCTTTCAATATTACAAGTCCTTGTCAATGTAAATTGGTTCTGGTCATCTCGTACTTAGTGTCATCACAGTCGAAGTCAAGTTACAACTGTCAGTGGCCACGGAACTTGCAAGTGCGTTACAGCCTTACCAAGCGATAAAGGAAGACCATTAGAGAAAGGTCCACCCGAGCGAGTGGTAACATACCTGATCCTTCAATTTTGCGATGCTCCAACGGCCGTTGGCTCCTGTTAGGGCAGGCCGTGACGATCCACCACCTGTTCGCGAGATCGAATAATAGTAGCGAATTATCGGCCCTTGGATATGTGGAGGCAACCCTGGGCGGCCGTTACACACAGTACATATCACTATCATTCATTACCGACCCTCCTGGCCATAGTGAAGTATCGACGTCATAAATCTCGAAGCAATCGCGTTTCAGGCGAGGCCTCGATCGATTCCTATTCTCCGATAATTCCTTGTTGTGGTCGCGGGGAAAGATTTGCATGAACGTGAGAATGAAGTCGTCCACAGGCAAATTGGGTTCAAGAGATGCGATAACTCTGTTGAGCAATCTCGACGCAATACCAGTCAGGAAGGTGTGGTATTTCCTTGTATTGGACCTTATGGCGCCGCTGACAAGTGGCGGAAGTTCCGGTTGGCAATGGTAGAGAGAAGCTCGTGAGACAACAATCGATGGGACAGGACCAACGAAGAAGGCAAGTAAGGTGTGAAGAAGTGGTATCGTCCTTGGGCCATTCTGGCTGAGCTGCTTTAGAGAGGCGACCGAGAAATTCGGCAATACCGGAATCATACCTGGTACGGGGCAACAGGCATAGACAGGCAGGCATGAGTTCTGCACATGCTCTCGGGATTAGTTAACCCCACATCTGCATGGCATTCCACAGGAACATTTACCTTTGAGTGCATCGGCTTTTGTAGACAACGCGACTATATAGATGATAAACAGCTTGTGATGATTGGAACACCAAAATCGGGCGTAATCCAGGTAGGCACATGAGCCGTAGGGTCTTGAGGAGATTCACGACCTTCGCACGCCGTTCTGTGGCGGTTGACCGTGACACTTTTCCAAGGCGTACTTGCTGAGCAACAAGGTCAGGGACAGTTTCGGAAATTTGCGAGAGGAAAATGGTGGAAGCAGTAGTTTCAGGTCAAGTGAAAGGACTACGGCCCGAGTATGCTGTCAGGGTTAATCAAGCATCGTTCGCGCGTCATATCGAATGTTGTCGCGACCATCGATGTCGACGCTGGGGCTGGTTGTTTGGTGACTAGTGGTGGACGCGTGACCATAATGATGGGCTGACTAAGGATTCCAAGCCTTTAGCGCGTTTCAATTCCTACGCGTCGAGTGTTGTTGACCTTTATCCTCCAAAATGTCCACGACCGACGTGCAACTCACCGCTGGAAGCTGCGAGCGTCTCCAGTTTGCGAACCCACAAGACGCGTCTGTCTTTGAATCCCCGCACACAATCCAATTCCTATCAATTAAGAAGGTCAACACGGCCAATCCTAACAGTAACGCCCCCGTGGACCGATATCGAATCATCATCTCAGACGGTGTCCATTTCATTCAAGCGATGCTCGCGACTCAGCTCAACGAGCTAGTCCAGAACAACAGCATCGGAAAACACACAGTTGCTGTGGTGGAGAGAGCCACCTGCAACTACGTCCAGGAGAAACGGTCTGTTCCCTTCATATTTGACGCGAAAACGCGAATCTGACATCCTTCAGATTGATTGTTGTGCTTGAACTCCGCGTCGTTGCCCATCTCCCTGACAAGATTGGAGATCCTCAGCAGCTTGGACCAGATAGCAAAAGAGCATTGGACAGCGCATCGGTCACCCCAGCGCCTCAATCCGTGGCAACTTCTGGCCCGTCAACATCTACCAAGACTGCTCCCGCAAAGCCTGCCACCACAGGCCCTCAGCGCGGTGTCTACCCCATCGAGGGTCTCAGCCCTTACCAGAACAACTGGACTATCAAAGCTCGAGTCACGCAAAAGTCAGAAATGAAACAATGGTCCAATGCACAGGGAGAGGGCAAGTTATTCAATGTGACCTTCATGGATGACTCGGGCGAAATCCGGGCAACCGCATTCAACCTTGTTGCCGATGATCTTTACCCCAAGTTGGAAGAAGGGAAGGTTTATTACGTTTCCAAAGCTCGTGTGGGGTTGGCGAAAAAGAAGTTTTCCAACATTCCAAATGACTACGAACTCAGTTTGGAAAGGAACACTGAAATCGAAGAGGTGTGGAGACTTCTGACTTTCCAAGATTCACGCTAACCAGAATCATTAGTGTCATGAAACCACCAATTTGCCCACGATCAAGTATAATTTTGTCCCTCTGAACGGGCTTGATGCTCTCGCAAAGGACGCCATTTGTGGTATGTTGGTCGAAACCTCGCTGTATCTGGCGCCGCTCATGCATCCCAGATGTCATTGGCGTCGTAAAGGATGTCGGAGAAGTGGGTACCATCACTTCGAGGTCCAACAATCGACAAGTATGGTCACAGTGGTTCCCTTTAAAACGCTGAGCTGACGAGCACATACTTATAGATCTCCAAACGGGACTTGACGCTGGTGGACAAGAGTGCCTATTCAGTTCGCATGACTCTTTGGGGCAAGCAAGCTGAGCAATTCAAAGTTGAACCCGAGTCCATTATCGCTTTTAAAGGAGTTCGAGTTGGTGATTTCAATGGTAAGCTGCGATTTCCTCCGGATGCACTTTCACGCACTGATCTGTCGAAGGCCGCAACCTATCAATGACGAGTGCTAGTACTATGCAGGTTAATCCCGATATCGAGGAGTGCTTCACTCTAAGGGGTTGGTATGATAGCCAGGGCCAGACCCAGACTTTCCAGGCCCAATCTTCGAATAACCTTGGAGGCACCTCCCTTGGCTTCAGGCGGGACGAAGCACGGACTCTTGAAGACGTCAAGCAGGCTGGATTTGGTCAGAGCGATAAGCCTGACTACTTTTCTACGAGAGCCACCATTATCCACATCAAGGACGACAACATTGCCTACCCTGCTTGTCCCACTCAAGGATGTAACAAAAAGGTTATAGAGGAGGCCGATGGGTGGCGTTGTGAGAAATGCGAGAAAGTGTTCGAGGCGCCCGAGTATCGGTATGTCTATCATCAAGCACGTGTTGTGTTCGAACTTAACGCGGTGGCATAGCTACATTATGTCCATGATGGTCGCAGACCATACAGGCAAAGCCTGGTTCCAAGGATTCAACGAAGTTGGTGTAACTGTCTACGGAATGTCCGCGAACGACCTCGTCCAGATTAAGGTGAGTGGACTTTCGCATCGTCTTATTTGACAGGGGAGATAACATTCACTTCGCCCCGCAGAATAACGACCATGCACAATACAAGGCAATTCAATACCATGCTGCATGCAACACGTACAACTTCTCTTGTCGAGCTAAAGAAGACGAATTCAATGTAAGTTTTAACATCAATCTGATCCCTCTTTCGTTCTAACAGTCCTCCAGGGTGTTCGCCGGGTCAGATTTGGTATCTCTCGTCTGGCCAAGGTCGATTACAAGGAAGAAGCTGGTTATTTGCGCGACCTTTTGTATTCGTCGTGGGCTCGCTAGGTCGTCTTCCCTAATCATAGTCTCACCCATGTACATTAGTTTTCATTGTGCACTCCTTAGCTGCTCATATCGGTTCTTTGAATTTCTTGCTCTCGTGCGACTGTAGACCTGGCAACCAAGAGAAGGCTGAATTTGGGACTGTGGGAATTCTCCCTATTGTTTGCCGCAAGCAGAATTGTGGACGCGTCTGTTAGACGACGCGCTCTGAGCCACACCACGACGTGTTAGGCCACCTTTGGGCGCTGGACCGCTGAGCTCTGGGCCGTTACCGCGCGAAACCCTTTTCCTTTTACCACCACCACGACCAGCGATGCCCATCCCATCGACGACTCCGCTACGACACAAGCGAGCGGTGAGCCCCTCGACGGTGACACCAATACGCACACCGTCATCGCGCAGCACCTCGCATTATAGCACTTATACCCCGACAATCACGTCCGCAGGGACTGCCACCAGGCTGAACATCGTCACCAGAGTTGCTCTGGAGGGCAAAGCGAAACACGGAGACGATGGGGCGTCTATTAAAATGTACTTGAAAGTGAGTGCATTTCTGCACTTGCGAAAAGGAGAAGCGCCTGACCCCAATGGCAGCTAGCAGTTCCGCTGGACTCTGTAACGCCAGGCACTACAGTTCCACTTTTCCCGGGTGCGTTGGTTTGCATTGGCGCTCCGATAAATGTCCTTGACAATCCAAATTAGAGGAAAATGTGAAGATTTTGTCTTCACAAGTACACCCGTTGGACAACAACTCTCGTCCTTACAACTTCTTAAGTACTGTTTCTCCATTGCTCCATCGGGCTGCGAAAGCTTTGAACTTGCCGGCGCGTACCTCGGAAACATTCACCTCGGCCTTCGGTATCCCCCAGTCCCAGGCCACAGCATCCTCTAGCCGCATATCGAAGCCTGAAAGCAATTCAGAGATGATATCCCCGGTGGACGAACAGCATAGCGGTCATATCCTAGTGTCGGGGTACAGCATTTCTTACGTGCTACCAAAAGTGTTCCCTACCCAATCGCACGAGTATCAGGATGAAGTCTATTCCCGTCCCAGGTCACGTCGTTTGTCTATTAGCGAACGTAACACCGCCCAATTCATGGCCGCAATTGATATGTGGGTTCCCTACGTATCGAGGCCACCCCGGTCACCTTACTTGGTATGCTTAATCCCGACTTTTCCATATCCATATAGTGTTCTCAATGGCGTCTCAATTTGCACAGTTGTCGATCCCCACTCCTCGCTGTCTACACAATCATATCAAGTTGCGCATCTTCCCCCCGAATCCAGCATCAAATTTTTTTGTATCCTTATCCTCCATTGACGACGAAGTCGGATCTTGGGACTTGACTGCTGATCCACACGTAACGCGGAGCTCGTCAGGTCGAATTGCAAGATCCCATTCTTACAACAACTTTGCGGATGATGAATCAAGTGACTCCTCCACCGCCGGGTTTTCAGAAGGCTGTGGCATCCAAGGTACCTTCCCCAGCGCCGAGAGGATTAGAATCCGATGGGCTAAGCCTCAGAAATCGCTAAACGTCGGCGAGGGAGGGAGGGACGGGCGCCGTCGTGTTGGGGTCAAGAGCGTCAAAGGAGAGATGACTTGTGTCGTCCGAGGGCGAGCAAGGCCTACGGAGCTTCGCCAGCCTGAAGGAATCCTGATGGACGTTGAGTACAAGGGCACATGCACCGGGGTTTGGTTTCCTGGAGTCGCTACCCTGCTTGGTATGGATGTTGGCTTAGAGGCCAAAGGCTCCGAAATTTCGTGGGCTGAGGGTCATCCAACCCAATGGACTGTTAGCGGAGGAAATGGCTACACGGGCTTCGATGCAGGGTATTCGACCACAGACCCTGTGCAACCAGCTTCCCGAACTTCGTCTTTCGAGTCGAACTCCTCCAGGGGGCAACTTGGAGGAGAAGATTTGACAGGTTCCAACGGCTTCCTTAATCCACCTTCGCGTTCCAGCTCAACATCCTCAAGTTCGTCGCTACTCCGGGCCCCTTTACCCACTACTAATGTGGCCGAATACTCCTTCGAGGGCTCGTCCTCGTCCCTGGGGTCGAATCCGGCATCCCCTGGAGCATTGTCATCTATCCCTTCTCTATCTGTATCTGTTCCTGATATGCTTCCATCGTCACCTCCGCCCCCTGGTCTTCCCATAACACTTCATCTCAATATCAACGACCTACTCCCTCCTGCGAAAAACGTGTTTACGTTCACGATTTCCGGAACTATTGTGGTGACTCCTAAGACACCACTATCGCGACTCAATGGCACGGTTAATGGCAGCGACTCGGAAAAACCGGACCCAACCATGTTACCAAAGTTCACCATCCTGGCTGCTGACTCGGAAGCCACTACGACTGTACTTCACCACCAAGTAGAAGCCCCAAATGCAGTCATCGAAGTGTATCGACCTACAGGCGACATTTATCGAGACGCACAAGCGAAGAAGACTGTTTTGCGCCATGGAGGTTCCACAAAGTGCGGAGAGGACGGTGGACGTATCGTGCTCAGGATCCATGACCCTTTCAAGCAAGACAACGGGTCTGTTGTCGTCCCGTCGGAAAGCGTGCCCAGTCAACCCCTTGGGCATATCCACCGACACTCCCGAACCTCCAGTGTGGCTTCGACTCAAGATACCTCGGAACCATTGGAAATCCCGTTGGTCCTGGCTAACGTTTGTCCATTGGCCAAGACAGGATCTTCCCAACCTTCCTGCTATGGAGTTACCCTACGGTTGCCCATCCCCATCTCAACCTCGGAGTGGTTGGAGTTTGGGTTCCTTTCCGACCGCGAGAAAAAATCCACAGTCACAAATGACCAGAAAATTAAAATCTCCGTGGTGTCTGCAACGGTTGAAGGTATCCCGGTTAAATTCGAGACAAATAATTCGACAAAGGCGGAAACCGAGTGTGCAGATTTCGAGTTTATGGTGGGTAGGGAGTGGCTTAGTTGGGTAAAGGTCGATGCAGAGTTGAACCAAGGCGGCGAGCTCGTCCTTGAATATCTGGTTGAGCCGACGGACAAGGGGAAATCAGTCGTGTCGAACGGCACCTTGGACGTTTTGTTGCCGACCTTCCCCGTCCCGATTCGCAAATTTGAGGTCGACGTCGTTTCAGGTATGTACTTGCTTGTCTCTCTGTTCGGTCTTTAACAACATTTTGATTACAGGATGTAAATTTACGATATCGAGTACCAATCTGGAACGCGAAGTCGTATGTGCCGGCGAGACGCGACTCGTACACTACTACCTCAAGGAGTTCTTCTGCCCCCGCCTTGGCCTCAAGCGTAAAGCAGAACCTTGGAAGAGCGACTTGAAATGGTTCATCATAACTTGGCTCTTGCTCGGGGTCGTGATTCTGAGAACATCCAAGTTGGACCATCTCAATTCGCACATTTGGGAATCGAAGAAAGATCCTTCACTCGATCTCAGTGTACACACATCAACTGTAACAATCACTACGACCCTGTATCCTTCTCCCTCCCCCGTCGAGGTTCCACCCGCAGAAGACACACAGACGCCGACCACTGCTGCAGAAACTCTTACACCCTCACCTTCGTTGTCACGGGTGGCAGAGGAGGCTCCGATAGATTCACCGGACGAAGGCCCGTCCTCTGTGATTCCTCCTCACACCCAACCTACTTTGACCCTAAAATCGGAGAATCCTCATTCGTCACCCACACCTGTTATACCGACATCGAATTCCTTGCAGGGCTTCCAACTCTACTTCCAATTTCCATGGTTGAACCGCGACTCTGCCGAGCTGGACAAGGTGGTCGATGTTATGAAACGTGGGTTTGGGACACTGTGGAGGTACCTTAGGGTGGCGTACCATTACCCGCTTCCACCTCCTTGAGCCTCTTCCAGGGCCCAAAATATGCCTCATTCGACGACTTCTACACGGATCATCCCATATTTGTATAGGCTTCTATGTATAATGGCTTTAGAGTGCTTCTTGACTTTGGTGGTTCTCCTTCACTGTAAACATTTAGATCCTAGATAGTGCTGTAAAAATCGAGATACACTATGAAAGAAGGCAGAGAGACCGCCTACAAATGAATCAGAAATCGTGCGAAGCTTTGTCCTTGTGACGCGGACAAGGCGCGGACCTCCACTGAGAGGGTACACTTCTGCTACGATTTCCTTTTTGGACGAGTCTATCTGTCTTTGTAGACCTGAATGCACGGGTTCTTCCTCTACCGCACACGAACTCTGCATTCTCTCCCCTATTGCCGGATAGCACATCGATCCATAGCCCGAACAGTTTGGACTAGAAAGAACTGGACGATGGCGCCCTCGACGACAACAGACGAGAACGATTGGCGGCGTGTTATCCCTGAACAAGCGTCCATCCCGTCTTTCCAGGTCTTCACAAAGCCAATCCAGAAATCCGAGCAGGATGAGCGTGATTACAGACTCATCCGGCTCGACAACGGATTGAAGGCTCTCCTTGTCCACGACAGCAAGGCAGACAAGGCTGCCGCCGCTTTAGACGTTGGTGTGGGCCACCTGTCAGATCCTGTAAGCGTTTCGCGGTATATCAGTGAAAGGAGATCTTATACATTTTACAGGATGATATGCCAGGGTTGGCCCACTTCTGTGAACACTTGTTGTTCATGGTACGTTTGCTGGCTCGACGTCTTGCCCTTGATTCTGAACCTTTTCCGACAGGGAACTGAGCAATTTCCTCGCGAGAACGAATATGCCGAGGTTCGCTAGCGTTAATATAGCCATCTCCATGCAACTCACCTTTCGCAATAGTATCTGGCGAAGAATAACGGTGGATCCAATGCCTATACATCGACATCCAACACCAATTACTATTTCAATGTCTCGACGGCGGCCCTCCCTGGAGCACTGGAAAGGTTCTCCGGCTTTTTCCATTCTCCGCTCTTCGCTCCCAGTTGCACCTCGCGTGAGCTAAACGCTGTGGACTCTGAACACAAGAAGAATCACCAGACCGACTTGTGGCGCATCTTCCAACTGAACAAGCATTTGAGCAAACCAGGTCACGTCTGGTCCAAGTTTGGCAGTGGAAGTAGGGAGAGTTTGACCAAGGCTGCCAGGAGCTTGAAGGCGTTGGGAAAGCTGGGAGAGAATGGGAAACAGCGAGACAGCCTTCAGGCATCACCGGCGTCTTCTCGCATTCCATCCCCCGCTCCGTCTACTACTTCCAGCTCGAGCGACTCCGAGGCTGATGGTGGCGCAGTTGGAAGAGAGACCAGGCGACGTGTGGTTGAGTGGTGGACCAAGGAGTATTGCGCAAGTCGTATGAATCTTTGTGTTATTGGCCAAGGTGGGCCGTTTCGCTTGGGCTCTAGTGCTACACCCTCTGACGTTGCTTAGAATCCCTGGACGAATTGGCAAATATGGTCTCAACCAACTTCAGCCCCGTTCCCAACAGGGATTGCCAGGCTTATCCTTCTTGGCGTGAACATCCCTTTGGCGAGAAGGAGAAAGGAGTGAGTGTCATTCTGCTCCTGTGATACCAGTTCACTTAGACTCGTCACAGACACTGGTTTCCGTTGCGACAGTCATGACTTTCCATGCCTTGGAAATATCCTTCCCACTGGAATGGCAAGGGCACAACTGGCGCACCAAGCCCGCTCACTTCCTATCTCACTTCATCGGACACGAAGGCCCTGGGTCCTTGCACTCTTATCTAAAAGGCAAGCATTGGATTACGGCACTGAGCTCGGGCCCGCAAAACCTTGCAAGAGGATTCGCCATGTTCAAAATCACTGTTCACTTGACGGAGGAAGGCTTCAGTACGTGTCAAGTGTTTGTAGCGACTTCCACATGACTCATCGTAACATAGAGAACTATCGGGATATTGTTCTCGCCGCATTCCACTACATCTCTCTTCTCCGGTCTGCTGAGTTTCAGCCCTTTGCTCAACACGAACGAGTTCTGTTGTCCCAGATCAGGTTCCGCTTCGCGGAGAAAAAGCGACCGGATGACTATGCCTCAGCCGTAGCTGAGAATATGGCCTCCCCCGTCCCACCCGAGCGCCTAATCTCAGCAACACAGCTGACGTGGGATTGGGATGACAATGGAGCAGATGAACGTAAAGTTCGGGAATATCTTGAAACTTTCCGTCTCTCTGAGGGACGGGTCGTTCTCATGGCTAAACAAGAAGATCACGAAAAGATTACCCCTGGAATTGAATGGTCGAAAGAGCCATGGTATGGGACCAGCTATAATGTCAAGGAGTGGGAATCCGATTTCATCGAACAAGTGAGTTCCACTCACCGCTCGTCCGTGCCGAATGGGTTTCTCACACCTACTAAAGGCTAATGGACCAAACACCTTGCCGGAGCTATATCTTCCCGGGCCAAACGAATTTATTCCAACAAACCTTGACGTTGAGAAGCGTGATGTGCCTGAGGTACCTTCCTCAATCCCTTCCTGCGGACATGGTTCTGATCAAAAGTTTCATACTATCAGCCACTGAAGCGACCTCACCTTATCCGTGAAACACCGCTATCAACCCTATGGCACAAGAAAGATGACAGGTTCTGGGTTCCTAAAGCCAGGATTGTTATCGACATTCGCAGGTGAGCTACGTTTTGACCACAGGCCGAGAACCAGTGCTAACATTTCCACTATCAGTCCATTCGTCAACGAGACTGCGCGATCCTCGGCCTTGAGTCGGTACGTTTCATTCGCTCAACCTGGGGAGTGGGCTGTAATTGACGACTTAACCAGGCTCTATATTGATCTCGTCAATGATTCGTTGACCGAGTTCACCTATGACGCTGATCTTGCAGGCCTCTCCTACAACTTGTTTTCTCATAGCACTGGGATCTACATTGCCGTCACTGGTTACAACGACAAAGTCTCCGTACTCCTCAAACACGTCCTGGAGAACATCAAGAACATCAAGATTGAGACTGGTCGCTTCCAGGCCATCCAAGAGGAGGTGAGTTCGTTGACCACGTCTCGGATGCACGCACTCAACCCTCGCTAGGTCAAACGGGAATGGAGAAACTTCTTCTTTGGGCAGTCGTATAGCCTCTCGGATTACTATGCGCGCCACCTCTTGACAGAGCAACATTGGACCATTGAGGACAAATTGCGAGAGCTGATGAGTGAGTAGCTTTCGTTTCCTGACAAAACGACATTCTGTCTGACATCTGTTACAGCGATCAAGGAAGACGAGCTTCCTGGTCATATCAATAAAATCCTGAAAAATGCCAATCTCAGGATGTTGGTCGCAGGGAATGTGTACAAGGATGTATGGATGATCTATTTGGCTTAAAGACTTTTAGCTGAACCCCTTGCAGGAGGCGATCAAGATTGCGGAAATGGCAGAACAAGGTCTCGAGCCCATCTCGCCAGATGCTATCAAAGAGAATGCCCTCGTCCTGCCCCCTGGTAGGCTACTTCCCCTGTCGCATTTACGATCCGAACATTTACCATAGAGTCTAGGGTCCGACAATATCTGGACACTGCCTATCGTCAACCCCAACCAAGCTAACTCGGCCATTACATACTTTGTCCATTTTGGGTCCGTCGCCGACCAACGGCTTCGGGTGTTGTCGTCCCTGCTGGTCAAGATTCTCAGCGAACCGGCGTTCAACGTCCTTCGTACTCGGGAGCAGCTCGGATACATCGTGTTCTGCACCGCCTGGACGTTGGCTGGGTCTAGCCAAAAGGGCATGCGGATCGTCGTCCAAAGTGAGAAGTTCCCGTCATACCTGGAGGAGCGTGTCGAAGCTTTCTTGGATGAGATGAAGGAGAGACTGGCGACTATGAGCGACGAGGAGTTTGCTGAGCACAAGAAGAGTCTAGAGAGGAAGTGGCTGGAGGTCGACAAGAACATGAATGACGAGGCGTCAAGGTTCATCTCGCAAATCAACAGTGGCCAGTTGGACTTCTTGAGAAGTGGGTAGTCCTTTCAATCCCTTGCTTTTGGTCTCTAAATCCTTTGGCAGATGAGAACGACGCTCGATTCCTCTCGAGTGTCACTAAGCAAGATGTCGAGGAACTGTTCCTTAGCAAAGTGCACCAATCGTCCCCTACTAGATCAAAGTTGGCTGTCCATATGATCTCCAAGAAACCGAGGACCAAGAAAGTCAGCTTAGAAGCTGCTGAGAGATTCGAACAAGAAGTGTCGACCAAATTCCCCAACGCGGATGCGAAAGGCTGGAGAGAGGCGCTAGAGGAGAACCCCACCCAGACCGAATTTGTTCAATATTGGACCGGCGTCCTCGGCGATTCCGAGGAAAGCAAATCGCTGTTGGAAACCATACCCGCTCTCATCGAAGAGTACCCTGTGCCTGGAGAGAAACAAGTAGATAATAAGCCTTCGGCTACCTATATCACTGATGTCCCCGCCTTCAAGGCTGGATTAACATCTGCACCACCCACAGGTCCGCTGGTCGAGTGGAACGATCTTCCTGTACCCAAGTTCTAGGGAGACTGGTGCCTGGATATTCTAATCTTGTATTGCTGCTTTGTATGATATACACTTTGATCGAATACGAAAATGATGCTCGTGTGCCCGGTAGAGAAAGGATGGATCCCGATGATGATTAGCTAGTTACAATGCAAAGAAGAGCATATGGGGGGAATCCATAGTCGGTGCGGATTCCAGAGAAGGAGACTGGCGATCACTTATCGATGCTATGGTCCGTTTACTTCCGTCGAGTGGTTCCTCGAATCGCTGCCGTTGGCTGGGTAGGCGGGACGTAGTTTTTGGCCCGTCTGAAGAGGAGAACATGGGGCTCAGGTGCTAAAATAGGGCTACTTTCAGGCAAGTTTTAGACTTAGATACACCATAGACTCACCATGGACTTCGTAGTGTTCCCAGCCCAGGCTCTGCGTGATCCCAATTCCTCTCCACTCGTGCTCTGCCAGTAGGCGAAGAGTACCTGATTCATCTGGGTTGAAGTACTCTTTAGGGATCATCTTGAGTAGCTGCTTGGGTAGAATGACATGACGGTATTCAAATTCGTCGTCGCTATATCGATCAGAGTAGTGAATCCTGCATGGGATGGTAAGTTTAGTGATCCTACAGCCCGACTGTTGTGATCAACCAACTTTTCGATGTACTCTTCGAGTCTACGCGACATTTCCTTTTGCTGAGCGGCAGCTTGAAGGGCAGCTTGGTTGTTAGACATGACTTCTGATATTCCAAGAGAAGGGGGGCTGCAGAGAGCTGGTATCGAGAAAAGTTGTGAGTGGTACAAGTTGAAAGTGCGAGACTCTGTCAGACCGTAATTGACGCGCCCACCGCCTTAATCCTGATCACGTGCGTCCAGACGCGTTTTCTAGAACGCGTCCAACTTTTTCCCAGCCGACTCGGTTTGTCCCTTGTTCCCGATCGTCGTGGTCACGATGAGCTCGTTCAATCCAAATCGCTGGTCGGCGACGACCTCCGCCTTTAGATCTCGAGTGCAGCAGAATACCTTTACCCAACAGCCAGAAATCAAAGCTGGATCCATCTCACCCATTTTGGACGATTACTACGACGACCTGAACATGCAATACGGTGACCTTGAGGATGAAATTGGCATGTATATGCGCCCGAAAATGAGAGTTTCTAACACGTCTTTCCTCAGTCGACTCCTCGCCATCTCCTTTTTCTCGCGGAAATAGCTTTGGCGACTTTGAATCTGGCACTGCTCAAACCTTCCATAGCGTTCATCATTTGGCACAGTACGATCAGCCTCATAACTCGCTTTACCGAGGGGACCAGTTCCATGAGGATGAGCTCGAGGGACAGCGCCAAGATTACTCAGAAGAACACACATATCATTATGGTGCGCCTAGGAATGCGATGCATCGCCTCGCTCTTCGCTGCTCACGTTCCTCGGCTATAGAACGTCAACGACATGATAGTCCTCAACAACGCTCGTCTCAGCTCCAAGAAAGATACCCGCCCTCCGTGCCTTGTTATAACTTCACGAGGCGAGCTGGGCAATCAGCGCATTCAGACGACAATCACTTGAATCGGGAAGAAGGGCGAATTAAGCTGAAGCCTGTCTCGCAACTTCGTAAGGAGACAGAGACGGTGAGGTAACCGTGCTAATCGGCTTCCTCAGCCGACATCTACAGAGCCATCTTCAAGAAATACGGCTCCTTTAATGCTATCCAATCAGCCTGTTTCGACGATGTATGCACTTCTTTTCCGATCGCCAAAAGCTTCACTGAATTACTCTTGCCACAAGCTCATGCAGACTGACGAGAACCTGGTACGCCATCTGTTAACAATTGTAGTTGCACACAATACAGCTAACCGTGCGGTAGGTCATCAGCGGTATGATCGAATTCTAGTGGACGGAGGGGAGATTCACAGAACTCTTCAGCCCCGACTGGGAGCGGTAAGACAGTACTCTTCGAGTTAGCCATGATCCGCCTCCAAATGCAAAATCGATCCGGGTCCCGCCCCTCGAAATGTGTCTACATCGCTCCGACCAAGGTGACACCCTCTAAACTTTGTTGGTGGACCTAACTCATCGTGCAACCATAGGCTCTGTGTACAGAAAAGTTCAACGATTGGAATACCAAGTTTGCTCCCATCGGTCTCAAATGCAAGTCGTTTAATCTTCTTTCGTAGCTTCGCTGACGGTGTTTTTAGGTTGTGAACTCACTGGCGATACCTCGGTTTTTGGGCGCGACATCTGGACTCAGGCCAAAGACGCGTCAATAATGTGTGCTCCAGCATTTGTCTCAACTTCTTGTGCTAACATGTCCTTCCCCCAGTGTGACAACTGTATATCCCATCCGTTCGCTATGGTTGGCTATAGGTCTAATGAGAGCATTCGTTATAGGGGGAAAAGTGGGATAGCCTTACTCGAAATTGGTATCGGTTTTCCTCTCCCCTTACTGCTGGGTTAACTCTCGCCAGGTCGGATCACGAACGCATCTTCTCCCTCGTTCATCTCCTTCTCGTCGACGAGGTAAATATGCTTTAGCTTTCGTACAAGTAGTATGTTGACCGGATCTACTAGGTACACGTCCTCGGAGAAACCAGAGGTAGTACTCTGGAAGTTGTTGTCTCTCGCATGAAGCTACGCGGCTCAGCGACTCGGTTTGTTTTGGTATCTGCAACAGTTCCAAACATCGAGGACATTGCCGCTTGGATAGGCAACTCCAAGAAGTCAGGCCCTGCTCGCGTGCTGAAGGTCAAGATTCAGCTTTCTCGACCAGGTCTATTTACAAGCTTTGTTTAGTTTGGTGAAGAATATCGACCATGCAAGTTGGCTAAGCACGTCATCGGTTTCGGTCGACGGAAAGAACAAAATGACTTCCAATTTGCAAGGGTCCTCGATAGCAAGCTGTTTGGTGTCATTCAACACCATTCCGCTGGAAAACCGATTCTGGTGTTTGTCAATACCAGGAAAGGTAAAAGACAATGTGTTGCGTTGCAAACAATTTCAATTCACGCCTTTCGTTAGGAGTATTTCAGACTGCGGAACAGCTCATGAAAGAATACAAAGAATGTGAAACCAAGAGGCTCCCAGTTCCATGGACCCATCCATCCAGGGTGGACACGTCGTTCCATGACAAGAAACTGACTGGTAAGTGGCTCTAGAATCATACCCCACTTGCACTAACATTTGATAGAATTGGTGTCCTACGGTATTGGAGTTCACCATGCAGGACTTACTATGGAAGACCGGAGGGCTATAGAACAACTGTACATCCAGAAATTAATTCGGGTGTTGGTGACAACTTCGGTACGTTTCAGTCGCCTGGTTGTCCTTTGCCTTGCTGACGATGTGCAGACATTGGCTGTCGGTGTCAACTTGCGTCAGTTAGGACAATAATTGGCACAACAATTCGCACTGAAGGTGAAATTGACAGCGGCCCATCTGGTAATTATCAGAGGCGTTCAGACCTTCCAGAATGGAGTATCGGTCGAGTACTCCGACCTCGACGTAATGCAGATGCTAGGGCGAGCGGTGAGTACTATTTCTATACGGTTCCTGGCTATGTCTAAGGCTCCGTGTTCCAGGGACGCCCCCAATTTGGTAGGGGAACGATCTTGTTCCCTCGAGGGATCGTCTATTGATGCTGCTTTAGACACAGAAGGTACTGCGGTGATCATGTGCGAGAGCGAACTGGCGCCCAAGTATGAAGCACTTACTCAAGGAACAACCGTCTTGGAGAGTTCTCTCCATCGAAACCTCGCTGAACATATCAACTCAGAGATCGGACTCGGAACCATAACGAGCATAGAGTCCGCCAAGGCATGGCTGAGGGAATCCTTCCTGTTCCAAAGGCTCCAGAAAAATCCGAGTTGGTACTCCATTGACAACGAAAACGGCGACGCGACATGGCAAGAGCGACTGGATAATGTGGTATTGAAGAGTATTGAGCAACTTCAAGCCAATAAGCTGGTACAATTCAAATCGGGTTCCAGTCTAAAGACCTTGGCGTCGACAGAGTACGGAGAGATTATGAGTAAGGTGAGTCAACCCCCCTCCTCCACCCTCCTTATTATGCGATACCTCTGTCTAATTAATGAACCCAAGTTCTATATCCGACAGAACACAGTAGGAGGCAATGTTTCCGCTCTCGTTCCTTCTTTGACCGGGAAGCGGTACGCGCCCAGATGGTCGATATCCTCGCAACACCTCCCAACGCGTCATTACGCGATCTGGTAAGTTTCGCGGTTGCCCAATGGACTGTACTTTTCTAACCTACACACAGTTGGAGCTGATATCACGAGCAGATGAGTAAGTCAAGCTCGTCCTCCGAGGGACCATCTGATATCGTTGGCATTAAAGATTCTCGGAGAGCAAGCCCAGAGCAACAGAGAAAACGGTGAGGGACGCTCCCTTGTCAGCGCTTTCACGGCTCCCTGATCACCCCCTTGCAATTAGGTTTGCAACAATTTGCGCAAGCATCCTGACATCCGCTTTGAAGTTAGGAAAGTGGAGAGTGCAGCCGATAAAGCCTTCGTTCTCATTCAAGTGCGTCACCGAGGTGTTCCCCTGTATTGATCCTTATTTCATATCGGTGTTTCCTAAGGCGGTTTTGGGAGGGATCTCCCTCAATTCCCCGGAGTACCACACCTCAGACTGCCAGCTCACCCTGGAGGCTTTCGGTATCTTCCGTCATGTAGACAGGATTGCGCGAGGTCTGGGTCTTCTTTGCTGTCAGCAATCGCTATTGATTGACCCTGCCATAGCTATTGTCGAAGTTGCCATCGTGCGGAAGTACGGGCGTCAGGTCAAGGACGGAACAGAATTGTGAGCAATACCACACGGTACCTTTTGAATGCTAAATCTGCCTTAGGGTGCGCTGCCTGGCTAGCAAGGCATGGGAGGATCGACCTGTTGTTCTCCGCCAAATAGAACACTTGGGCGAAAAATCGTGAGTTATTGGACTTCCATGTTCTTTCTGGGTAAATCTCTCACCTTTCCCAGGATCAAGGTGATTTGAAGTTAAGTGGTGACTGGGACACCTTGATTGTTGACTCAGCTGTTGCCGCCAGATTCTGGCGGAGAATGGTATCACAACCCTTGATAAGTTGCGCGCGCAGAACCCCATCCGCCTGGAAGCTGTAGGCTAGCATTGATGGCCAGTAATTGGCGCCTAAACTAACCTCGTTTCGAGCTTTTGAACAGGAAACCCGGGTTTGGGCACGAGATACTCGGACTAGTCAACGCTTTGCCCCGATATGAAGTGAAGCTCAAGGAGATTGCACTCCAGGCGGACGGGAAAAGCGACGTCGAAGTCGAGCTCGCTGTGGAATGCCAACTGCTCAACGGAGATACCTTCGCGACTGGCTCAAAGAAGTCTAAGAACCGGGGGTTCAATATGACTGCAATACTCACTATTTCCTCAGACATGGAGCTTCTCGACTTTCGCCGCATCCAGTAAGTACCTAGCTTGGATATCGTAGCGTCTTGCTGATAGCGTTCATCATAGGACTAAGGCATTGAAGACCGGAAAGAGCTTCACGGTCAATACCACGCTGACAAAACCGAGTCAATCCATCACGGTCATCGTTGCGTCGGTGCGTTAACGAACAGCCTTCAACCCGCCTTGTCTTACTTCGGCCTTAGGAGCTCGTTGCTGGCACCGCCATCCAGGCCCAATACAAGCCTGACGTCCCTCCCTCCGCCTTCCGAACCCTTGTCACTAAGCCCTGCTCATCTCTTGTAGGTCAAAGTGCACATGGTTTTGCCTTTCATTTCTCACTACAGTTCCAGGAAATGGACTTGGCCGGGCTGGAAGAGGACCCTGATTTCTGGAACATGAACATCGACGACTCGAGCGAGGATGCCAAGGTGGAGCATGCAAAAACTGAGCCTGTCAAAGTAGAGCCTGTCGTCAGGCGAGGTATGGACCGTACCCACATCCTAGTACATGTTAACATTCATTTTCCTAGCACCCAAATCCCCTCCACCCCGCTCGCGGTTACTACAAGAAACCTCCATCGCTCTACCACGCAAGATGGCCAACGGAGCTTACGAGTAAGGGCCATTGTCCTCGCGCATTAAATGTTTAACAAAGCGTCCAATACAGGTGTAACCATCCATGCAAAGACAAAACCGCTTGCCGTCATTTCTGGTGGGGGTGGCTTTTACCAACTGTTATCCTCGACTGACAGTGCTCTACTCACCAGTTGCAAACATGGCTTGCCGAAACCGCCCAACGCGTCCAAGGCGTCGAAGGGTAAGGAAAACACAGCGACGGCCAAGCACTGGAAAGAAGAGGAGCCCGTCAAGGTATCCAAAGTACAACGTCTGCATTCCAAGCCGACCAAATCTGCTGCCGACACTCGTGCACAAAAGAGCTTACAAGAACTTCATGACTTACATGATAAGCTGAACACCTCTGAACGGTTGCGAATATCGAGTGGGCAGAGGTTGAAGCTGGACTCGCTGGAATTTCTCATGAAGGATGATTTGAACTCCAGACCGAAGAAACGTCTCCCTCAGCCAACAATCGACTTGAAGCTTTCTGATATCGGTGAGACGGAAGCTGCTGCTGCGACAATGATCGATTTCGACGATATGATCGAAGAGGACGACGATGATATTCCACTCGAAATAGGGAACGCGTTGTCCCTTAGGAGACCGTCCGATCGTCTACCAACTCCCAAGAAGCGAGCCCTGTCTATCAGCAGCGAGAGCGAGGATGAACCTAAAACCATCCCCGCGAAGCGGACCAAGAAGCTTCTGCAGGACAAAGAGGTATTTCCTGGCGCATGATTACACCGGTTGGTTATTAACGTGACGACAATAGGATTCGATTGAAGCCTTCACGCGGCCTTCAAGTCCAGTGGCGCTTTTCTTGCCCAGCAGCTCTTCGGAGAGGAACGAGGATGAGCCCCAACCAAATGCTGCAGAAGACGACATTGAGGCCTTTTTCACTGTTCACTCAGAAGATTGCGGCCAACCAGTTACTGAAGAAGCGACGAACCCACCACCAGCAACAGCCATAGAAGATAATGTCCAGGCAGGTAACATCCATACCATCACTCCCACCCTCGTTACCCAGCCTACACCGATTAGCGAAAGGCCGAAGGAGGATACCGCCGTGGACAACTTTTACGAAGAATGGGAAGACTGGGTTTACAACAGTGGTGAGGTCAAACTCGTCCCATTAGAGTAATAAGTATAGTAGATGTCGTCTAAGAGTGGTGTGTTTGTAAATCAAGCGCTTTTGGACGGGTCTGTGAATACGCGCAATGCGTCCCGAAGTCTTTCATCCCATTCGACTGACGCGGAAGGTTTAATGAGGTTCCAACTCTCCACATCATTGCGCCATCTTCGCTCCTTCTTCAACCTCTCAGCGCGAAGCTCGACTTCGGTCGGGGGAGGCGTGGACAATTCATCTTTGGTAGGTTCACGAGTACCGCGTGCGAGGGCTCGCGCAGTCTCCAATTTAGCCGGGAGTTTCTTGTAGTACGAGGCGCGTTCCTTCTCTGTCTCTTCTTCAATCTTGTGCAGGGACTTTTTGAACAACAAGTCGGCGTCTTTATCGAAGTCCAAGTCGCCGTTGTTGGATTCGGCGGTGGAGTCGAGAGTCGACTCTTCTTCGGAGAGCCTGAGGGGAACGTCGATGGGCCGCGTTTGAGCCATGACGAGTCGATAACCCGCCTCAGCACCGGATTGGACCCACTTCCGTCGGTTGAACCAGTCCCAGATCATGAGTGGAATCTGAGTAAGTCCAATGCGGTTATGGAATGGCACGAGAAGAAGGGGAGGGAGTTGCGGAATGGTGGCAGGGGCGTCCTGGTTGTCGGTGGAGGTTTCCTGCTCTTTGGGGGCTTTATACGTTGACATTGAGAAGACAGGCGAATGTGAAGCTGGGTTTGACGCTGTCGAGTCTTCCGAGTCGTCGACTTCGTCGAAGTGGTGGTCTTCGTCCAGAATCTTGGACAGCTCTTCGTCTTCGTCGACTTTGTTGAGCCCTCGCGTCCAGCCCCGTTTCAAGCCAACCATGAACTCTTTGAAAGTGTGTCGGCCAACGATGACGATACCGCCCTCCAATTCGCGTCGACGGACTTCTTCCACAGGTTTATACGTGGGTAGGAGTTTGGCCGCCTCTGAGGGTTGGTCGATACCCAAATCCAGTCGTCGACGTTTCCGAGTGTCTTCAGCAACGCGTCGAGCAATGTCACCTTGCCGCTTTCCGTGGATCATGTCAAAGTCGATGGCTGCGGCCACCAGAATTGGCTATCACACACCGGGGGAGTTAGTCCTTCGCCAGCAACCGTTAAGTAAAGACGTTGAATGCACCTTGACGTACTTGCGGAAATATTTCAAGGCCTGGTCGTAGTCCTCGTCACCCGGCCATTTAGCTCCATAGACGGTGACTTTTCGAGGAGGCTCGAGAGGATTGAGACGCTCCTCTGCCAGGTCTTTGACCTTGTCAATGTATTCCTGCTTTATCCTCCTGCACTGTCTCCTGTCGTACGCATAATACCCAATACATGTCGACGTTATTGAAAGGAATATCATCCAGTTACGACTGGGCAATTTGGGTTTCTTGTCAAGCCATGAGACTGGGATTCCGGTATACCGAAGGACGGTGCGGATTCCTGAAGGTGGCTTGGGTGCTGCAGCGGCAGCTGGAGGTTCTGGTTTCACCGGAGGATCGACATTTTGCGTCGACATACCGCGGAATGGATGGGGAGGGACGTGGTAAGACTTGACGCTGCTGCCAACAATCCCCGACTTCGCCACGCGAAACTTTTCATCCGCTGCTTGGCTTTGTTTGTCCTCAGCGCTAATTTTAGGGGCACACCTTCCTCATTTAGCCGCGGATGCCGAACATGAAGAAATCTTCACGGAACGTATGGCACAAGGTCACATAGAGGGCGTAGCTTTCCGCTGATTTGTATGGTACATCGGTAACAATACAAGTGCATGCCGGGGCAAAGTCCTTGTTGTAGCATCAGTCCTCCGGGTCATAGATAATCTTCGCAGGACTCCTGTAATTACTGAATGGTCAGTATGGTGTCAGAGAGTACTCGTGAGGGAGACTAGCCGTTTCTCAACACCCTGATTCCCAGTGCAGAGTTGTATCAGTACCACTAACAGTAATGGAAATAGAGGTACCCACATCCTCGGTCCAGGACAACTGTGCGGTCATCTCCACCGAGCTGAAGTTAATTATATACCCGTATTCCAAGTGGTAGAACTCCCCAGACTTTCCGTTCAGCTTGACGGTAGGCTTGATTGGAAGATGGGAGAGATCCAGCTCTATGGTAAAGAGCTTCCTATAGTTCTCTGAGCCATACATATTAGACGTGAGGCGCATGGAGCTGAGTGATAATGCACTGACCGGCGTCTACGTCTTTCCAGCGAGGATTTGCATCAGCGCCTCGATAGCACCATACGTCAGAGGTAACCTTCGAAAGCTGTAGTTCACTTCGACTATCCGCCTCTTTCCAGAAATACCTCTTAAACTCTTTCTTCTCTGACACTTGTGTGTTCTGGGGCGAATGATTAGTCGGTGCCAGCATCTATGGCCCGTAGCACTGGTCTCACCCTAGGAAGAATGATTGCGAATGCGTCAGGAATCACCTCACGACCAGATGGCATGATCGTTGACTGGGTTTTTCGGCGAGCAACGTGCTCCTGGTCGTGCGGGTCGTATTCAACGGAGCGGAAGGTGCCATAAGCCATCTTAGAGACACGCGTCTTGACAAGATGATCGAGATGGTACGAAATGGCACCATCGGAAACGGCCTTGTTGCTAGAACCAGGGACGTCAGCATTCTAACGATTGTCACGGGGAAACAGACCGACACGTAGATCTCAGGGCGAATGACGTTCAGCCCGTCTTTTGACAGGTGAGACTGGACTTGATTGAACAACCAGTCACTTGCAGCGAAACCTCCGACGAGGACAACATGCTGGGAAGTTGGGAGGGAATCAGGAAGGGACGAACTTGATGGGCGAGCGCTTTGAAAACGTACAGAGATACCCTTGTGAGCAGTCTTCAGCTGATCCTTGACAACATCGACAATACACTGGATAGACGGCTCAAAGAAAGTGGCAACCTGGTCGCCAGCGATCTTCAACTGCCCGAACCGGATCCCACAAACCTCATCATTATCCCTGGTAGACCCGAATTTGACATATTGTGCCTGCTTGTCGTCACTGAAGCGGACCTTGGTCGTTTTGTCAAAGCACCTGACGATATGGTCGATGTCGTCGAGAAAATCCGATTCTTCGAGGAGTTCTGGTGCAACGGGGTGGTTTAGCGCCCGTCGCGACCCATGCCAAGAGAAGGGTGGACCTTACTTTCCAGGTATAGCCGCGCGTTGATACTGACGAATACCGAACCATAGAAGTGGCCTACACAATCATGAGTGACAAAGGAAATAAAGAAAGGCAGTTGGACTTACACTGAGGCGCAGCAATCTCCTCAAAGTTTTCACCATTCTTGACTATATCTTGAAGCTGGCGACTGTAGGTACTGATATCAATCGTTCCACCTCCAGCATCGACGATAACAACGCCTTCTCCTTTCTGTATTACACGCTTGTTTAAATGATATCCCGAGAAATGCAGAAAATACTCACCTGCATTGCCCCGCTAGGCAGCCCGTTTCTAATTGAAAAGTGCAGGCTTGCCTCGCCTTCAGTAACGAAGGAAACCCTCGCATGCCCCTCGTTCGTATCGGGTATAAACCCAGCCAACACTACTGCCTCGCGTATCTGCGTCTGCTGGTACCCCTCCCAACCGTTCGGATGCGAGATAACGAAATGAATATCCCTTTCAACCGATTCCCATAGGTCCCTTCCATTAGCGTGGGTGACCTGGATGTAATCACGGGCGCAACGGAAGAGGTAGACGAGGTAGTCCGCAACTACTTGGACAACAGTCTTGTTTCGCGGGAGAGGGGGAATTCGAGAGGTAATGTGGCTGGAGGTTTCGTTCTTGGGCCTGATGTGCATCTTGAACCTGAAATAATTTGGTGTCATATAGAAATGTCAGGAAATAGATGAACATGATAATTTACCATTCAGCCTTCTCCCAGCCCTCATCTTCTGCCATTTCGTACACCCCTTCGCGGAGCGCTTCTGCACCGACGGCCACAGCATTGCCTGCACGGTCATAGTATATCACAGTTGGGATCTTGGAGGCTCCGCTGACTTGCTCATGGGCCGGAAATCTGTTCAACCACGAGTGATATCGACATTCAAATCTGTCCTCATTGCTTTACAGCGAGTCGCTGGATCACTACGTACCGCGTTACACCTTTGATCTCTGGGACTTGACCTGGGTCGAGGATACTGGTGCCCGCGCATAGTATTAGTAGGTCGGTTCTTAAGCTTTATCCATGAAGCCACTACCGCACCTATACGAAACACCGCTGTAAGTGGTTCCAACATCAAAAGCAAGCACAAGTCTCCTCCTTGAGCCTACGTAGGGCTGACGGGTGTAGTTGTACGGTGTCATACTGGGTCAAGCGAAGGCGAAGGATATATGCAAGTGAAAGACAAGTGCACCCAGAATCATTTTATATTATATCCAGATTGTAGGGCGCTAGTGCCCACTTGCCGTTTCCAGTGTGGCACGGGCGGTGCTAGTTTCGACAACACGAGGCCTTCTGTTTACAGCACTTGCGGTGGCGACGACTCGTGTCCTTGATACTGTGTCCTACAGCCCGGCTTCCGGACATGGAGATGGGTATCAGACAATGCAGAAGTAATGTGTCCACACAAGTCTTGAAAGACCATTATATTACAGATCGTATATCAACAGAGTAAGTAAGTAGTGCGTTACAAACCAATAAAATACATAAAGCGGAACCGAGAAACCGATAGAAGGGTCGAAAGGCGAGGAATCTACTCCCGGTCTCCTGCACGGTCCAGTTGTTGCCGTTTCCTTGAGCTCGATCTGTTGGCCGAAATGGCAGGTCAGCAATTGAACCTTGCGGCAGCAGATGACTGTAGCACTTACCCTCCTGCTTCCAGTCCACGCTTCTTCCCAGCCTTTGCTTCGTCCAAGAACTGATTGACACCGAAAACGTCTCCAGTATCCTTCTCAAACTGCACGGGGCCTTCCCGAACCTCCTGGTCAGCGGCGCCTTCAAACCCGACCTTGGGCCGACCAAGACTGAACCGATCATTGTCCAACGCACGCCCAATACCCTCCTCCGTACCCCCACCGAACGAATCTTCATTGCCTTCGGCCATGTTGCCCCTGGCCTTGTAGATAGCAGCAGCGGCAGTGGAGCCATGGAACAAGGGTTTGTCGTAGAGGTTGTATGATTCGTCGTCGCCGAAACTCCCGGACAGGCTCTCCTGGTTGAAAAGTCGGGAATCCAACATTGACTCTTTCGACATGGTAGGTTTGGCCAGACCGAGCGCAATCTTTTCCGAAATATCTCGGTTTTGTTGTCGAGCGAGCATCTTGGCTCGCTGCTCGGTACCCATGTTGTTCATTCGCATCTCCCGCTCTCGTTCTCGTCTCTTCTCCGCCCTCATCTGGTCTCGAATCTTCCTTGCGTCCTCATCGTCATCGCTCTCCGAGTCCGAACCAGATTCGGCCTCGCTGTCACTGCCACTGTCGTACGCTGCGAACGAAGACTTCATTGCAGCCTGAGACTGAGCAGAAGGTTTAGGTGCAATCCCACTACGTTCTTCACGCGCTCGTTGGGCGAGCATGCGAAGATTCTCCTCCTTCGCCTCCTTCTCCTTTTGAGCGAGTTTCTGTTGCATGAGTGCTCGCTGTCGAACTTCTTCACGGGCATGTCGATCAGCGACGAAAAGAGCTTCGGAAAATTTGGCAAAGTTATCGTTGATGTGTACCTAGACCACGCTTAGCGATACATTGAAAAGGTGGAAACATATGCACTCACATCCTGCAGGCCACGACCATCTGCCGCTAACCGCTTGTCGAGAGGAATGGTGAAACCCTTGTTGTTCTTCCAATTGGAAATACACGGAGGAATCATCCACTCCTTTTGTTCGGCGGCTGTTGCTTTGCGCGGTGGACTTCGTAAAACCGGTGGGGGAGGACTGGGTGGGCCACGAGGGATCTTCTTGTGCTTGAATCTAGGCGGTTCCAACGGATCCTCCACCACCTCCGTCATCTTTATAATCCTCTGGTTCAACCCTTGCCCTCCATTCTGTTGCCCAGGCGTATACCGTATATACGTTGTCTTTCCCTGACTCTCCGGTACATTTTTTGGTTGCGCCGCTTTTATCTTCCCATTCACCAACTTCTCCAAGGCGGCCTTGGTTCGTTCAGCAGTTTCCATGACCTCCTCTTCAGAAGGCCGTTCCATGCTTCGAGCAGCGTCATCAAGGTCTTTGCGGTGTGCGAGGGGGACGAGGTCTTTGAACTGGGACTGGACGACTTTGCCTTCTCGTTGGCCTTGGTGGGCGATGGCATCGTAGCGGACGTTGCCTTCGCTGTCGACCTGCAGTGCGAGGGTGTTTCCGGCGGCAGTCTTCTTCTTTCCCAGACCGAGAGGATACTGCGCGACATGGCATTCAGGGTATGAGCCACCATCACCTTAGTTCCAGGGTCAGCCAAACTGTAGCGGGGTACAAAAGATCAATTACTCACCAAAGTCTTCTTGACTTGTTGGTTTCCAACCTACTCGCTGTCCATAGGGTGGAACAGCTGTCCGGATAATTACCGATTGAGTTGGTGCAATTGGGGTAACGGTTGGAACATGGTTCTCGTTGTCTGGAACGGCTGGGGCATTCAATGGAGCCGGTAAGAGTCTGTGTATACCGTCAACAGCATTTCTTGTAAATGACATAAAAGATGCACTTACGATGCCAAAGCAGCCATGGTCGTCGTCGAGAGCTAAGGAGACCATTGGTCATGACGGTGGCTGTAACGGTGGAACGTTGTTTGTTCCGGAAGATGATGACAAATAAGACGCCGCTTCTCGTTTGATGAGCTAGTTTCAGGGACGTTTTTTTACCTCAGGACTTGTATCAAAAGATGGCTCATTGGCTTCTACCACTATGCCCGCACCGCCTACTCAACTCGATTCAGACTTTGAGCCGTGGTGTCCTCCAGAGCCGGTCATGCCCCACAGACCGTTTCTGCAATCTCAAAACGGACAAGCTGGCCACCCAGTCACAAACGCGAAGCCTAGCTGTCCGCCACTTGGGACCGCCATCCAAAAGTCTGCAGACATCTTTATGCACTTGTTGAACCGCGAAGTCGCACAGGCCGTCTCATACGAGCGGGCAAAAACCCTGGAAATCCACAACGCGTCTAACGCTCAACAGGAGAACCGCACTGCCCAGCATGCACAAGAGAAGCAACAACTGGAAGCCAAAGTCGCTTACCTTACGCGTCAATTGGAGTTAGCCCATGCACAACTCAGACGACAGTCTGAACAACTTCAGAGGCAGAGCTCGGACGCGTCTGCTGCCGAGAGAGCAGCTACAGCACAGGAAATCAAGGACCTCGAAGCCCAAAATGATTCATTACGCGCTGCATGCGATCGGCTGCACTCGAATAACCAAACCCTTTCCAACGAGGCGTCTATGGCCCTGACCCACTTGGGAATTTACCTGCCCAAACCTGACACGTATTGTTTTGGCAATCATTGGCCTGAGCTCTTGACGGAGCTAGGGATTGACCCTACAAGACCGTGGACTGCCACTGACTTGAACAACTGCGTGCGGCATATGGCCCATACGCTTCGACAACAGAGGCAACCGCACCAAGCCAACCCGACTCTGTCCATTCGGCAGTAAAGTCCTTTGCCCAGGCGAGGTCGCCATCGACGACTCCTTGCATATATATATATCCAGAGCCTTACAACGACAACATTATACATTAAACGAGTCCATAATTTCTACATACATACAGCATCTTGATACCTGCACATAGCCTTTACCCTGGACATAATGCCCATCATACGTTGTTACTCCCGTTACCCGCCCGACCCCTCCACCAAGTAAATGCACCAAGCCCGACAAAAAAGTTGACGAACCCGACGAACCCTGAACCAGCTCCGAGGAAGGTGAGGAGCCACCAGATAATACCAACAGCTCTATCGAGAACGCGACCAGTGTACTTCTTCAGGTTGGCACGAGGGTCTGGAGTGGGCTTGTAAGATGCTGGTAAAGGAATGGTTGGGATTGTCGAGGACGGAGGTGGTGTCGGGGGTAACAAAAGGAGAGATACAACGGGTTTCTAAAAATGCAGTCAGCACTGTCGAGGAGAAGAGAAAGAAAAAGCCCTACATGATCTGAAGTGGTATAAGAGGGAATACTTGTATACAAGAGGTTTTGGATTGCCGACTTGTCTGGCTCACTTGCAGAATCCGTAAACGTTGCATACAAAATCCGGTCAGTCCACGCAGGCGTCCTCCTCGAGCTACCCAAGTCCAATCAGCATTGCCCTTCAAGAAACAATAATGAGAACGCACCTATACCTATCCGTTTCCCCGATCTTATACTTGTAACTACATTTGAACTTCCAAAACTCGCCCTCTCTCAACCCAACAAACACGTTCCCCTTCCTCTTCTCCACGAGGAGTTGATCATATTCTTTCACCTCCTCCCTAAATGTGGGCTTATCCAGTGATTCCTCAAAGGCTGCAAAGTCCTTCTTGGGAGAGACGATAGATGTTGACACGGGTGTATCCAATCGAAAGTTCATATCTCCAAAGACGAAGAGATGGGACGTGTCGTAGAGCGTGCTTGGGACATGGCTAGACGGTGAAATAGGCTTGAAGAGAAGGGTCGAGACGATATGTTTATAGTCGTTCAGACGATGTTGAAGTTTATGGTCGTGCGGGGTCAAATGGCAATTGACAAACCTGATGACATCACGCGTTCAGTATTCCTCCAGCGAGCAGAATATTATCCAGACTCACGTATAGACTTCCGGAACTGCCGCACCATCCACGCCGCTCACGGTAAACCTCACGCCAACCGCACCTTTATTCCCCATATACCCTGGTCCAGTACCCGTCCATTGGGTCTGCACATCCCCAATCCTCCTCGCAATCCCATCATCGCGCGCATAAACCAATAGCGCAATCCCCACATTGGCGATCTTGGCGACGAGGGAATACGACTCCTTGTTCGGCGCGTGTGCCTCTATCTGAGAGAGGATAAGCGCATTGCGATTGTCTAGAACAGCTTTGGAAAGGCCAGCGACTAGTACAGTTGGAGATAGGTGCGGAGGAGGGTACCGGGTAGACCCATTAGTTTAAATAAACGACTCCCATGGCCAAGGGACGAAACTCACGGCCCAGATGCAGAGGCAGCAGTTCCTGGAAACCCACAGCGACAATGTCTGGAGCTCTCTTTTTGCCCGACAGAAAGTTGGAGACCTGGAGAGTGGGTGAGAGCCAGTCGACAAGATCTTGCGGCAGCCCGAGCACGCCCTGGAGGTTGGTGTTATAGGAGGTTATCTGGACTAGCAGCCCCTCGGAATTCTGGTTGGCTGCCATGAGAATGGTCGTTTCGGAGAATTGAGAAGAAGAGTCAGTACGACCGCGAGGCCACCGTGTGCCCCAAGGTTTGGACCAAGTGAGTGATGGACAAGCGTGACCGTCGTCCGAGGTCCGCTAACCAAATGCGAGCGTCATCATTACTCAATGTCACAGCGAATAAACCAATAGTTTGACCATTTCTAATAAGTAACTTCTTGTTGGATTACACTAATTTGCTTCTGTTTCTGAATTGTGAATTGTATGTACTAGTAGCTATAGATATGTCCGTCCGTGTTGTAATTCGGGTAGTTATATTCAAGCAAAGACCTGAATCGGACCAGCCTTGGGAGGTTTGTCGACTTGGGCGTATTCCTCGCTCACTCCATAGTGAGCCGGGCCAGCCTTGATAGGGTTGTACTCCTCGGGTTCCTCATAGTAATAGGGGAGAGCGTTGTCGACGTGGATGTAATCGCTGGGTTGCCCGTAGACAGGTTCGTCAACAGGGATGTACTCCTCAGGTTCAGCGCAGACCGGGGTTTCAGCGAGAGGTTTCTTGGGAGGAGGGCCTCGAGAAACGTTGAGGTCCCTCAACTTTCCAGTCGAGATATCGTAGACCCATCCATGGATCCAGACATCCTGTCCCTTCCTGGTGCCCTTGGTCCATGCCTCCGTGATAGCATGCGTCTTGGCCAGGTTTTCAACCTGCATCTTCACGTTCTCTTCAACGACCAGAGGAAGAGCCTCCTCGTGGGGGGTACTGGACAGCTCGAGCGACACGGCAAGTCGGGTGAGAGGCTCGAGCCACCTGTTGAGCGACGAGTCGGGAGGGAGAGAGCCGACGGTGGCGATGGGCTTGTCGAGGTCGAGGTTGACGTCCTGAGCGGCGGCAAGGCAGGCTGCTGCACCACCGCACTCGGTGTGGCCAACGACGACAACTAGGTAGGAGAATGGTTGGAATGACGCTCGTCAAGAAAGAATGTGAAATAATGCACCGTGTTCTACACCGAGATAGTCGACAGCATAGCGAAGGACGGACAGGGCATTGTAGTCGTCCAATTTGAGCTGGCTGTGGGGTAGCGGAGTTAGAGGGGAGGTTTTTAAGGCAGTGATAGAGACATACTTCGCGATATTGCGATGGACAAAGATTTCACCTGGTTTTGAGCCAGTGACGATAGAGTCTGGTACTCGAGAATCTGCGCAACCGATCCAGAGCGTCTAATTGATGAGTGAGCAGTGTGTGTTTGTCGACAAAGCGAGAAACTCACATGGGGGGACTGGCCCTTGGCAGACTGCTCAAAAAACGAAGGCTCAGCCCTCTGGACGTCCTCAGCCCACTGGGCGTTGGCCGTCAGCATACGCTGGATCGGGTGTTCATGGCGACTCATCGAGCAGAACTCTTGAGGTGGCGGCTGTGGTGAGTGGTGGGATGGGGGCGTTTGGTCACGAATCAGGGCCCGACATCACTGCCTTTTATTTATCGCCACTTCGGACCTGTCTCCCGCTTGCCCCGTCACCGATCGCTTAACAATTTTTCACTTTTGGGGTTGGAGAATCAATAAATGAACTCATGATCACTCTCTGAAACGATGGCGTGGGTTATGCGTGCGTGGCTATTGATAACAAAAATAATGCTCATGGTCGTCATAGTGCATAGGAAGAACATAGGTAACGGATGGTCCCATCCAAAATCTGAGAGAAGCCGCCTGGCCCACATCAAGCATCTCCTTTAAACGGATAAGAAACGCAAATGGATACAAGCTGTTTAGTTCATCTGTCTAACGAGCTTGTTGATGTTCGACTCCCGGTCACCAAAGTCACCACCCTCGATATAGTGCTTGAACTTGCGCGTCCTCCAGCCGCCAGTGGGGTTGGAGAGCTTGAAGGGCCAGAGGAAGTTGGAGGCCTAGAAACAACCGGCCGTTAGCGTCACGATAAGGCTAGCATAGGAACAATCGACCCACCTGCTTGAAGTTGGGGCCAACAGAGATGATTTCGTGGACCAAGTCTTCAACACAAAGGATGTCGTACTTGCCGAGTGCTTGCTCAATGACCTGGTTGTTGGTGAGGGGAATACGCTGCTTGTCGACCTTGCCGTAGCCGCGCTTGTAGATAAGTTCCCGGACAGTTTTGAGGTTGGGTTCGCTGCAATTCGGATAAGCACTTGTGTCGTCGGTAAAACGTTACGGCAGATTTGCTCACCCATAGGCGACGTAGGGCTCAACGAGACGGAGCATCTGCTGGGTGGCACGGGTGGCCTTCACAAAGACACCGTTGTTAATTTGGAGGAGACGGAGGAGCTGGAGGATTTTGCGGGGTTTGGGAGCAATTTCGTTGATACTGTGACATTGTCAAGCTACAGTTTGGAGCGAGATAACTAACGGAGGACTCACCCCTTGATACGGATCACGAAGTAGAGTTTGGGTTCGGCAGGAACATAGTAGTCGCCAGATGCACGGGCAGCACGCTTCAATCGAATCTCCTCCTTCTCCTTGTTGAGGTACTCCTTCACATAGGCCTCGGCGCGCTTGAAGATGACCTTTCGCTTAGCCTTGGCAGCCTGGAAAATAAAAGCGCGTAAGCTCAAATTCCAAGGTTGCGTTTGAATATAAAGTCGCCAAAAGCCAAAATTTCAGTCCCGAAAGATGGTTAATTGAAGGCAGCATCGTGCGTTAACACTAGCCATTCTTCGAATGAATCGAATGCATCATAAAACTCCCAGAAGTCCCTCCCCAAGTTCCCAGCATAATCGAGGCAAATCTCACCTTGCGGGCAGCGGTGGCAGCAGCGAGTCGCTCTTCCCGGGCCTTTTCGTTTTGCTTGCGTTTCTTGAGGAGGGTCTCCGGGACCTCGATGGCCTATATCAACACGAAATCAACTTCCAAATCCCATCTCCAAAACTGGTGCTCGCTACTAACCGCGGCGGTCGGGACGCTAAACAAGACGTTAGTTTCGTCATGTACAGTGCTCAAGCATCGGGACGTACGTTGTTGAGGGGGCCATTTGGGATCTTGACGACGTGCGGACTTTCTGTCGACAATCTCAAAGTGTGTCGGGGACCACTCGGCAAGCGCCGGTAGTGGCTTGAGAGCTGTATAGTTCTGACTAATAGAGGACCCTAACCCCAAGCTGACCCTTTCGGCGGTGATGCGCCCTCGATGTCATTGATCAGCGCCTCGCCCACTGTTTTCCCGCGACCCGCCGGCGTGTCATCGCTCGCGTGGCACTCACCGAATAAACTTTCTGATCGTCGCTGGACTGCTCAACAACGGCCATGGCATCGAGATTCGTTCAGTCGCCCTTCGTTCAAAACTCAGCGGAATTGCAGGAAATATATTCAGGATATTCAGGTAATATATCTCGACGAATCACAGAAATCTGTGCAACAACGTTAACCCTTTCGACCTGGAACAGTGGAACATTATTTGAAAAACAGGAAAGTCATGTCGAAATTTGAATGATGCCACTGCTAGCCCCCTGGCCCTGCCCAGTATGCATCTCTGTGCGTCTTGCATGTTGTCGCTCCAAGTGTGCCTCAGAGGTGTCCGTCGTTCGGCACTGTCGCGCCTCTTCAAGCCTTTCTTCTTCTTTTTGGAACCTCCGCTGGGAGGATGGATCATGCTATTAGCCCCGACGAAACATCAGACTTCTCACAGGGGCTCACAGGGGGTGATAGGGTGTGATCCATCATTCTCGAATCAAACAAAACCATCTGACCGACCGAGCCCACCCGCTGAGGTGGTTTTCCCATTCGATGTCTTTTTCCCCACCACCCTAACCCTTACATTCCTTTATCCATGTCCTTGCTGACAACCCTCCTCACCCTGCTCTTCGTTGCACAGTGGGTGGCCTCGGGACTGGCGCAATCATGTCCGAGCTGGGTACGTCCTCGCTTCCTTACCCAAAATAGCGATGACAACAGCTTAAGAGAGACTCTGGCGAACAGATGGGAATGAACCCGTGTTCTATCGCGGACCAACTGCGGCGCTCGTCGAGTTGTAGTACGAGTGAGTCGAGATGTTAGGGAACGGATTACAGCCGTCTCATGTCACCCCTATCCATTAGGTCGACAGCCCACAGGATTCCAGCGCCCGCTGAACGACGGACCCACATCTGAGTACCAGAACAGGTGTATCTGCTCGTCGGTCTACTATTCCTTGGTCATGGCTTGCGAAGTCTGCAATGGGAGACAACCTTGGCCGTATGAGATCTCATATCCCTGTCGGCTTATTTCTCGCTGAACCGCGTTGTAGTTTCCGTCAATGGCGTCAGAACTGCAACAGCCACAATGTTGTAAACGGAGGGTGAGTAACCATTCTCCTGAGAGTAGTGTCTAAAGTCACTCACTTTGACTTTCTAGCATCGAGGGTGGTCAGTACTCATGCGAGCTTGTAAAGATAGGCGCTCAATCAAAAGTGTGTCTGCAGCCGGATCGTTCCAGCTTCCTTCCTGGCTGTTTCTCAGGTACAACGTAAGCAACAATAATATCCTACCCGCAATTCGTCGTGTTCATTTGGAACAGGATAATCCTCCGGACGATAGATTCGACCCGAGACGGGCTCAATCTGGAGCACAACCCCCGCAGCCTACTCAACCCCCGCAACCTCCCCGGCCTCCCCCTCAAACTGAACGACCCTCTCCGCCCCAGCAGCCAACCGAGCCTCAACAGCCGGCACCGCCAAGTACACCTCCGGCAGGACCCACTCAGCAACCAACCCAACCCAATAATCCAGCTCAGCCACAGCAGCCAGATACAGAGACAATCATCTCTACCATCGCCGACAGCAGCATTACCGTTATCATCACACGGATAGTCGAGACGACTGCTTCGCGGGATGCTTCCAACCCAGCTGAGACAAATGAATCTTCGATCGTTTCCAATTCCAATCCTTCCACTAACACGCGCACACGCACCTCAACGCTTTCACCAGAACAACAGGACCCCAATTCCCCACACTACGTCGTTCCCAACCCTAGTGACGATCCATTTGGCCTTAATCCCACAAGCAAGCCAGGTGGTAACAATGGACCTCCCGGTGGGTCTGGGGACGATGCTTCTGGTGATTCTCGCAAGTCGAACAACTTGGGAGCTATCATCGGAGGTATTATTGGTGGACTTTTCCTCCTCTTACTTATCGCTGGACTCGTTTATTTCTTCATTCTTCGCCGCCGCAGGAATCGAACTCCTCCATCCACAGCCTATATGGCTCAGTATGGCCAAGGAGACGGCGAGAGTAGAGTTACTTCGCCTTACCCTTTTGCTCAGGCTCAGCAACCTCAACCTTTCATTCCGCCCCTCATGAACAATCGCAATTCGATCCCACAAAGTGTCGCCTCTGGTTCGGACGTTCGACCGGAATCCCCCACGCTTCCTCCCAGGGTTTCAACTGATGCTCGCTTGGTTGATGTCAAGGTAAAGCCTTCCTTCCAGCCCATAGGTTCAACGTAGACTGACGTCTTGACTCAGGAATACGGAGACTACGAATCAGTCGACGACCATGCCTACTATACGCGGCAGAGCTTCACGCGGGAAAGCATTGGCGCTTCCTTGTCCGGGTTTTCAGGCATCTCCAACGGGCGCTCTTCCGTCGCAGGGTCTTCTCTTGGTTATCCGTACAGAGCTAGCCCTTCGCCCACACCCATGGAGGCAAAGGTTGTCACGCTGCGCTATGCTTCTGGCAGCCAAGTGGCCCTTTCCCCCACCAACCAATCACCTTAACGGCATGGATACTGTCTTGTTTACACGTGTACTTTCGATCCTGTTGTGTGTATTGTACAAATTGTACACCCAGCATTGTAAACCTGTACCAGACTGTTCGTCATCCTGTTTAGTACATGATTTATCTTTATATTTATGAGTATGGAATACATTTTCTGACGCCATTCTAAGCCGGCTAAACGTTGTATGAGGCTACCAAGAAAGGATTGACGAAAAAAAGTGTTGGTACACCAGGTGACCGAGAGCAACCACCACTATGCAGGTTGACCGGCCAAAGGGTGCATCGACTATTCTGAGACGCTTTCGATTTCCGCCCGCGCTGTAGAGAAGGGGCTGGCGAACATGTGAGCGCGCCTGGAGTAGTTGTTAAAAGATAAGGGAAGGACGTGGGGGCCGAGCGCTTTTTCTAATCGGACTTTGAAATTATCTTTAGGGCAGGCGAGCCGCGAGCCTCGACATTGGTAATTGGTCCCGTCAGTCTATGGATTTCCTTCAGCTTCGAATTTCATGGATTCTTACACATCGGATTCTGGTCCGTTATGATTCGTCATATAGGTCATCACGATCGTCTTTCCTTCCAGCAATTATAAAAAGGGGCTCAAAACCTGGCTCTGTACTCCACTCAAGAATGTCGACGGTAAAGCTCAACGACGGTAACCAGATCCCTTGGCTCGGCTTTGGCACTGGGACTGCTCTCTACAACAAGGACGCGACGGACAACGTTCGCCTCGCTCTGGACAATGGCGTAGTCCATTTGGACGGTGCTCAGGTCTACGGTAACGAAGAGTCCATTGGAGCCGCTATCAAAGCCACTGGGAAACCCCGCTCCGAGCTATTCATCACCACCAAGCTCAAACCTGGTCTCGGATTCGCCCCTGGTCAGAGTGTAAAAGAGACCTTGCAGGAATCCCTGAAGAAACTCGGCATTGATTATGTTGACCTGTTCCTCGTTCACAGCCCTTCTCCCGCCAATAAGGAAGGCAGGCTGCAGGACCTTTGGCGTCAGGTGGAAGGCATGAAGCGCGACGGACTGGCCAAGTCGATTGGTGTTTCCAACTTCCGTGTCGAGGACTTGAACACTATTCTCAGCACCGCCGAAATTGTGCCCGCCGTTAACCAGGTTTGTAATTCTCGCCTTGGATGAGCTCCCCGCACTAAGATGCCTCATTAGATTGAACTCCATCCTTACGTCTGGAAGCAAGCGGAGCCTATCTACAACTTGAACAAGGAGAAGGGAATTGTCACTGCCAGTTACAGCGGCTTGACTCCTTTGACTCATGCTGTTGGAGGACCCTTGGACGCCGTTTTGCCCGACATCCGCGCCAGGTTGGAGAAAGCAAGAGGGGCTCCGGTTTCTACTGGCCAGGTCTTGACTAAATGGCTTTTGCAAAAGGGCGTGGTCGTTATCACGTATGCTCCCTTCATGGACTTTGTCAATATCGGCCTTGCTGACTCTCTTTTGACCCAGAACCACGAGCAAAGCCGAGCGTATCAAGGAATTCCAGGACGCCGAGAAGATTCCTGATTTGACTCAAGAAGAGATTGATGCTATTCAGCGTGAAGGCGCCAAGTTGTACAAGCGTGTCTACATGCGCGATGTCTTTGAGTAAATTTGTAACTTGAAGAAATCAAATTCCATCCCCAATAGTACGTCCTTGTGTAATGAATGTACTATTTGCGCTGACGTCTTCGTGTAGACCATTGTACATTACCTTATACCGAAAGGAATGCAAATATTAAGAGCTCAGAGCCCGCCATTCGCTTCCTCGCTCCCAAACTTATTGTCGACAGCCTCCTGGTCCTTCATCCTGGCGTATATTGCCAGTCGTAGACACTTTACTTCCGATAAAGTCTAGAGATCAGACTTCTTCCAGAGATGACATCTGCTCGCCAACGTCAACCCTTCAAAATGAGACCTGCGTGTCCAAAGGCCGCAGTGGCACCGTAAGTTCTGTCCTTCTTCTGTTTGTTGGTCTTGCTTATAGGCACGCCCATCATTCATTCCTACCAATCGGCATTAGTCGAACCTTGACTATGCCAATCGTGGGACGCGACATGCCACATATACCATCCTTTTGTTCTCGGCCATACTGTCACCTTGTTCAACATGGATGTTCTCTCCATAATCACCCACAACGGAAGCCGTCAGGTAGACGGCAAGTTGTGATGCTTCATATCACAATGTGTACTTCGTGTGTCCAGACGGCGCAGCCCCCCCTCGCTGGCAGGAGGTTCTTGACTTTCTACTTATAACCGATTCAGATGAGGATCATCCTCTGATCCCCCTTCCCTGCCCCTGCGCACGAGGACGTGTCTTGGTTACCGCGATGGTCTGGACACTGCTGGGCCTTTATCTTCTCTCTTGCCTTCCATCCATCGCGTACGCCCAAACTTCAAAGGCGGTTTGTTTGCCATATTACACTTGGGTTCGTTCAGCTTCACGGCTGCTACTTCAGCCTCGCTGACTGACTGCGAGGTGTAGATAAACAATTCGCAGGGAAAGACTCCATGCGAAGTCGCAGCCTCTTTGCAATCAGTCTGCAGCGAAGACGGCAGTGAGTTTCGCTGCGATCCTATTCCATGTGGCGTTCACGATCTGACATCTTTTGCTTGCCCAGTTTTCGAAGTCCTCCCACTGGCCGAAGATCAACATTATCCAGGCCCAACATTGGTCGCGAATGCAAACACATGTATATGCAATACAGTGGTATTCTCTTTGATGACCGCCTGCGGCCTGTGCCAGGGGAAGACAGTGAGAAGGTCAGTCTTACAGCGACCTACGTCTACTTTAATTCGGACAAGCTCGGAATTTTAGGTGGAGCGAATGGTCCGCCAATTGTCCTCAAGTCACGCTAGGAGAGTAAGTAACCTTGCTTTATTCGACTTAGTATCCTTCATGCATGTAACGACTTTACAGGTTCCCTGAGTCACTGCCTGAGGGTGTTCTTGTCCCTGCTTGGGCGTATCAAGACGTTACTGTAAGTCACAACCTAGAATTGTTTCACAGTCGCTGATAGAGGGTGGTTAGGAAAGCGATACATTCGACCAGTTCTTAGCCAGGGAGAATGCCAGTGAGTCATGCACATCAACATCCACCTAATCCAGTGATTACACTGAAGAACCTCAATGACAGACGCAACAGAATCTTCGGCGGTGTCAGCGCCTGCCCCAGCAGAAACGCTTGTGAATGGAAAGCTTGGCCCTGAAACCTCCATTAAAACGGAGCCTGAGGCTGTTGAACCGACCACAACGCCTGAGGGTGAAGCCAAGCCCGCAAGCGATGCTTCCGAAAAAGAAAAGGCTGGTCAAATGTCTTATGCGAATAAAGTCGGTGGGGCGGTTACAGGCGCGCTGCTCGGGATCCTCCTCGTCGCCTTGGTTGCCTTTCTGGTTATTCGTCGCCGCCGTGCACGCCGATTACGTGTCGGGGAATTCTTCAACGATACACGATCGCGCTCAGAGACTCAGCCTCATGACGAGAAGGGTCCTATTGGGAAAGTGGGAGGTGGTGGTCATCCTACGATCCAAGTATCCGGCGCTGATTATTCCTAAGTACGTCATGGCGCACTTCTCTGATTCCAAGGCGTGTTGAAGAAGTGGTGATAATATATATTGACACAGGGTCATCAATGAATTTGCTTTGCCCCCTCACCGTGACTTCCTTCTTTTTTTTGGTCGTCCAGTCGGGCTTTACTACTGTACAAATATATAGCCTGTATTTAAGTCTATTTCAGCATGGACCAGCCGGGGGAATACGGAGGCCACGTTCATGGGCGCTAAACGCGGGTGTAGTTTGCGGCATCAAAGGATTGCTTAATGCAGGTGTGGGCGGTGCCTGATGGCTATCACCTTTGAAATGAATGGTACAAGCCTTGTGTCGAACGGACAATCCCCGCACTCTGGTCTCTCCCTGCACCCAGCGTCGACCCCCGTTCGTCACCGACGCTGTAGTCCACCATGTCGGGTACTGCAATTTGCGTGAGCCAAAGTCACTGGGTGAGTTTTCGCTGGATGCGATGTGCACCATGAGAAGCCTAACCGTGGCACGCAGGCTTTCAACAGCCGCAACCAGAGCCCTTGCACCGTAGCCTCACAGCTCGGCGGGGCCTGCGTGGGCGGTGGTGGGTTCCGTCTTCAAATTCGATCATGTTGGACGTGGCAACTAAATGATCACCGTCAGATTTTCGACTACCACCCCTCGATGAGACCTATGTGTATCTGGGACCACCTCGCACAGCGGCTACACCTTGTCGATGCAGCTCCGTGTACTATGCAATGCTGAGCGCTTGTGCGGATTGTCAGGACAGAAACTTCATCTCGTATGTTTCTCCCGACGATGACCAGAGCTCGATAAAAAAACTAAACGATTGCTTAGATGGTCTCGATACAACGCCAATTGCTCAGAGGTTTATGTCCAGACGTGTGTTGCTTCATATTTCAAACAGAGGCGTCTTCTCATATAGGTCCTCTAGATTCCCCCAGCCTATTCCCTCTGGCATCGCAGTGCCCCACTGGGCTTATCTGGATATTCCAGCAAGTAACGCCATAGTTTTACCTCCCACCTCAACTGAACTTTTTCTAGATGGAAGAAGATATTTTCAATGTGACCCGCGCTCAATCAGCCAGTAAGAATATTTGCCTTGAACCGTTCGAGCGATGCTGACTGATAGAAGGGGGTCCTGAGAGCGTGGGCGTCGGGCAACCTACTTCAAGACCCTCGGATGCCAGTGGAGACGACGATGGAAAGACCAACGTAGGCGCTATTGCAGGAGGAGTAATCGGAGGCGTGGTCTTCCTCGCCCTTCTCGGACTGTTGATCTTCTGGCTCATTCGCCGAAAGAGGAACTCGAAGATCCCGCCTTCGTCTATGTATACGCCGCAGCCATACTCACCACCACCCCCTGTCTACTCTCCTCCGCCTGAGCAGGCCATGGCTCAAAATCAATACGCTGACGGAAGCAACTTCTCAGCCTCGATCCCTGTTCCCAAAGTCTACGTATGTCTGCTTCTTCCCTCTGAGACTTCTCTTGTCTAACTGTACTTCAGGATCCCAACGATCCTTCGACCTGGCCCACGCAACAGAACTTCTCACCGCAGAACACGGGTTCGCATGCCGGCTCCCCTCCACCCCCTCAATTCCCGAATTCGTATCCCCACAACGGAAGCTTCGTCGCAACGAATCACACAGGACAATCAGGATCGACCAACTATGGCCCTCAGCCTTCGCAGGTCTACAGCGGCTATGCACAGCCTAGCCAGACAGGAGGCTCCCAGGGGGCACCTCCAGGGCGGTACACTGGCGTGGCTGAACTCTGATCACTTCACTTTACGGTCTTCGCTCCCCGTCAATATACCTATCAATTGGATTTGCTCCTGAACATTTCGCGCAACGAGTATTAAAGAGGCTATCTACTGCACTTGTCTATACTTCACTATTGATTCTACGAAAAACACTACTCTATGACCTTTCAATGAGAAAGAAGCCTGTTGACTCCTGACCGGCATATCTCTATACTGTTCTATCGTGTCTTGAGAAAAGGTGGATACTGTGAGGGTTTAGAAGTTTGTCCTTGAGCTCCCCGAGCACGCCCGTCCAGGGCGAAAACCAATCCATGCGGTCCGGCAGCAATTTCTCATTTCGCCGACGATGCTGTGTTCCTTCTCTCAAAACGACGCCTACATCATCGCCATAACATCTACTTAGTAGATGTGGGCCTTCCCTTTCAATATCTAGGACGCGATAAGTCTACCTCCGCTATTCAGTGCCCTGTGACGATCCCGCCATGTCCTCGCTTTGGAAGGCCGCCTACTTGTTCTCCTTGTTCGCGTCGGCGCTTGGCCAAAGGTCTAACGTCGTCTGCAGTGATGCCTACGACTGGGTGCGTTGTGGCACAATCATAGAAATCCCCATGCAACTGATTGGGGGGGTCCTCTTTTAGGCTTTTAACGACAGAAACCAAAGTCCATGCTTAGTTTCTTCGTATCTTCAGTCGGGCTGTGGTACCAGTCAGTAGCTAAACTTGCTTTCACTGGAACACCGCCGAGGCTAATTGCTCTCTTCAAGTCGTCTCGGTTGACCTTATCCCTGAAGGAACCCACTATAGTGGGCCAAATGCCACTCGGGCTAATGTCTGCAATTGTAACACCGTGGTTTACTCCCTCACTGCGGCCTGTGGTGCATGTCAAGGACGGACAGTAGCCAACTGGACGACATGGGTAGCCAACTGCCCACCAACCTTCCGCACAATCGCAGAGTATGATCCTTGCGTTCTCTCTGCAGTGACTATAGATTTAACATACACCCTGTCTCTAGCTTTCCCAATGAGATTCCAGAGGGCACTGTGGTTCCTCGATGGGCGTATATCAACGTGACTGAATTGGTATGTCTTCTCTTCCCACCTGGTTTAACGATTCTACGCACTGATTTATCTCTTGAAGCCGGAGCAGCGATGGAATGCAGCTCGAGCGCGGCAAGGTCAGCCCGTGTTCCTCTGCAGGGCCGGTACCAAGTACTGATCGAATCGCATAATGATTAGAGGCCGCCGAGTCAGAAACACCATCCAGTACACCTAACACACCAACATCTGAAAGCTTACCTCCAATCAGCCAGAGCACCTTTAACTCGGAACAGACGTCGAAGCCTACTCAGGGCTCAGAGAGCGCAGGCAAATCGAACGCAGGCGCTATCGCTGGTGGCATTGTGGGAGGTCTCGTGGGTCTCGTAGCGCTTGGGTTGGCCATATTCTGGTTCTTGCTCCGCAAAAAGAGGAAGGACGAAACCAGTCCACCGCGGGACTTCGTGATAGACGACGGCGCCAGCCATGCTCCCCTTGCAGCCAGCTCTCCGCCGCCCAGCTCTCCGCCCCCCATGACCATGACCAGCCAAAGTGGCGCTGTCTCTCCCATGAACCCTAATTTCTACGTAGGTCTTATTGGCCGCCTTCCAAGAGATAGAAGTGCTAACCATTCATCCTGTTCTTTGCGACAGAATACTTCCTTTGACACCGGATATTTCCCAGCGGCTTCACCTCCGCCTGCTTCTGTCATTCAAACGACTATTACGACGAGAAGATCCCAAGAAAGCTTGAATGCTTCGCAATTTGGCACCCAGATAGCGCCCCCGAGCCAAGTATCCTCTAGCCAGGCTCGTGGTTATACTGGAGTCGCAGAAGTATAAAACATGTATATGATGTAGGGATTTCAGTGTATGGTCTGATTCTCTCAGCCTATTTATCGCTGATACCTGGTCACCAATTCGCCTCGAGCACGATGGCCGTGATCCCCGCTCTTCGATTATTTTGCATCCCCGTTCAAGTGGGAGACCTCGCACGGGCGCTGGTATATGAGCCCAGATGCGCCGCAGGTATTGAGCGCAGAAGGAATTACAGGCCTCGCTTTCGGATGCACCTTAGATCCGACTAACGCCAGGCATTGTGGGTCCAACTGTAAAGGAGGAGCATGTATCTCAGCGCTCAGCTTCCCCGCGACGGCCCCTAAGCTGAAGACGCGCCTATAACTAGATCACATGACATCCCCTATCGGAGCCTTCCCATTGCCTAGGCTCGCGACCAGCCGGTTCACACGTGACCACATGGCAAGGGTCACTCCGTGAACCGGCTGGGACGATCCAACCAGGTTTTGGCGTGTCACGCCTGTCACACTTTGACTTGAGAAAATTCCACGCGCGCGCGCCTGTAATTAACGCGGTACATACGACTTCAATTACATGTTACGAACTACCCTCCTCTCCTGTCGCCTCCATAAATAAGATACCATCGGGAACTTCATCTACGCTATCTGTATCATCAGAATCTGAGGATTCTGAATCCATATCGCCGCCAATATTGTCCATGTCATACGCGACATCGTCATCAGCAACCCGGGGTAAAGCAGCCTCATCCAACCCTTCTCGCACCTCCCTCATGATCCTGACCAATTCTGGTTCGAGGACCCGTTCGAGCTCTTCATACGTGGGTATACCTTCATCTTCATCATCCAAGTATTTACTCGACATTGATGGCAGTCCCGCAGGCCCAGACTTACCCTCGGCTACCTCACCCGATCCCAGTACAGCAATATGTCCCTTATCCATTCTATTACGTTCCTCCCCCACAACCTCAGATCGTGTATCACCACCCTTATCCATTCCCTTATCCTCCTCCACCTCATAATATCCATGGAACCTACCTCCTCCTCCTCTCCCCCTCACCCAGATACACCCCGCTCGAACACAAGTTAAAATGTTCAAAAAAAATGTATTTTTAGAGTCGTCTTTAATCGCATTATCGATTTGAAATAACGTTATAGAGGGTGACATGTGAGATACGTTGTTTTGAGTCGGGTCGTTGGCCGCTATAGAGAGGGTGGAGCGTCGACACGCGAATTTTCGCTAAGTCGTTGTCACGCTTTTGGGGTTCCTATGAAACCTGGTTCGAGCGTCCCAGTCTTTACGCATGGGACCTTTTGTTTGCGCGCGCCTTCCTTCCAAGGTAAGATTTTGATGTTTGTTCTGATGAGGCTGACGACAAACATACAGCAAACAAAGGTCCCAGCGTAAAGTACTGGTTGCGAGTCTACCCATTGCCGAGTTCCTTTGGCAGTCGATCGCATGAGTTCACGCATGTCGAGCTTGCTGTCAATGTTTGCTCTCTGCCGACTGCCTCTCCCTGCCATGTTGTTTCTCATTTCCGCACTCCGCTGGATGTTGCCCTGAGGAGACCACCCGTTCATTCATTAGAGCGCTTTTGGAACCTGTCCGCATGGATCGCGGCTCCGCAGGAGATTCTTCATTACAACTTTCATCCCTCTGGAAACCACATTGGAGCGAACGGGCGCTTGAGTTTATTTGTCTGGATTCACTCAGCACAGCGTTATCGATGAACGCTTTGATATGGAACTCACCGAATGGTGCCCTTTGGTTAACCTCCCCAGAAGACCCTTAAGGCCGCTCGCCCCCTCTTCTTCTTCTTCCCCACCCCTGAACAGCGAAAATGAGTAACAATGTGCCATTGGCGAACTGCTCCGCAGAGGAATGGGTAAGAACGGGCTTCCAATGTATCTAGTAGACACCTCGCGCTGACGGTAGTTGGGGACCCAGACGTTCAATTCGAAGGGAGAGAGCCCTTGTTATCTTGCGGCGGAACTGGCCAAGACGTGTTCGGGCGGTGGTGAGTACATGGCATTCCCAGTTTCCGTTGTTTGCCTAAGAGCATCACTCTCCTTTAAGTATTCGGCATTCCACTACTTCCACAAGACCAGAACTATCTCGGACCTGAAGCTGGGAAGGCCCCTTCGTGCAGATGCAACACCGTGTTCTATTCCTTGCTAAGCGCTTGCGCTCACTGCCAACAGCGGTCTTGGATAAAGTAAGCTCTCGCACATTTCCTCCGGGCAAGCTAACGATATGTCTATCGTTATCGAAACAGTTGGAACCTTTTCAAAAGCAATTGTAGCACAACGTACACAGAATTTCCAGAACCCTTACCAGCCGGCTTGGTGGTACCAAACTGGGCGTTTGACCAAGTCTACGAGGTGGTCGCCAATCCCTTTCCTTTCACCGCTCACGAGGAACTGATTGGATATACCTATAGGACGGAGGAGCGTGGATTGCGCCACGAGCGAGAGCGATAGGTGCACATTCACCAATACCAATACTTTTGCATCGCATTTCTAATGCTCCGGCAGAGGGTGAACAGACTGGGACTCCTCGACCCAGAAAGACAGATGGTTCGGTGGATATCGGTGCAATAGTCGGTGGTGTGGCGGGCGGCGTTGGCTTCTTAATCATTACCGGGCTGGTCGTGTTCTTTCTACTCCGCCGTCGTCGAAGGCGCCGGCAAGAGGCCGAGAGAATCGACATTCTGGGCGCGGTGTATCCTCATGACACGGGCAGAAGCATGGCACACACTTCAGGAGGGACAGGATTTCCTCCTGTTAGCCATTTCACAGGGACAACCATCGTAACCACCACCTCGCCGCCGCCCCGGACGTCAACGACTACAGCCCCGCAAACGATGAAGCTATATGTGAGTGCCTTTTGATGATCGTAACGGGACATAGTTTGACGGCGGCTCAAGAACCCCGATGACCCAAGTACATGGCCGCACAACTATTCCATGTACCCCTCGACGCCTGACCCCAGTATACCTGCATCTGGAACAAATGCATCGACAACCCCGTTCACATCTTTCAGCTCTTCTGGGATGTCAACGAACGTCAGTGCGCCTCTCCTCCCTGAACTGACCGGTGTTTCAGCTTCAACGGCTGTTACACACGCGAGAACGACAATGGGCGATAATAGTCGATACCGCAATATCGAGTTTTAGGGAGCAAAACTCAAAGATGATCGTCGCAGATATCCGACTCGGCAAATGGTCGAGAAATCCCGTGGTGGGGACATTGAGAAAGTGTGGATATGATAGCATTGGAAGATCTATGTAGCATATGCGCCGAGTCTACTGAATGTCACTGTGGATCGTAAAGTCATAATATACATAACAGTCATAGCATGGCACGGACCATGACAAGAAACGGAGCCCCTTAAGCAGCCAGAACAGGCGTCCTCTCTTGTTTTCCCTGCTGTTGAGACACAGGACGATGCTGAGGTGCTTCAGATTCCTGCAATCTCCGTCGAGACTCCAGAAACTTCTCGTCGATCTCGATGGTCTCCATTTCCCGCAATAAAGCTTCATATTCCTCTTCCACATCGTCGTCCGTAGCAGCGCCCACAGCGACGTCGCCTCCAATCTGGACAGCCTCATTGACCTCGCGAGCATCGGCATTAGCTTCTGCAAGAGCCTCTAATGTCTTGTCGATGTTCTCGCGCTGTAACGAGGGATGTGTGAGGATAGATTTCAATGTAGCGGTGGAGGCCTCGTATGAGTTCATGATCTGTAGAAGGAAGCGTAAACTTCCGGATAGATCGGATGCGAATGAATACAATTACCTCGATGTCACCCATGGAGGCTTCGACAGTCAGCAATGTACTCTCGAGCGTACTCAAAGAGCTGAGTCGTTTAGTTAGGAGTTCTTGAAGCTGCTTCCGTAACCGTATATGGTTCAGAGCGATAGCTTTGCGGTCTTGCCTCAATGCTGCTGATGCATCCCTCGTACACCTGCAACAGAAGACAATGAGAGACAGGGCCAGATTAATGGTGATTGTACACACCTGTCCATCTTACGTTGGAGCGCGTCTATTTGAGTACGAACAGACTCTACGGCATTCTTGAGTTCTAACACACCCCGGTCGACTGCTGTGATTGTTCGTTCCTCTGAAGGCCCACTGGGGTCGACAAACTTTATTACCTATGCAAAAGACATAAGGACCAAATGAAGGGAATACGGCAAATGGCTCACATTTTTGTCATAGACCAAAACACCCCGATCCCTTTCAAGGAACTTCAACAACACCTTCACGTCGTCTTTATGCAGCTGGTCTTGGGATCCTCCTTCTATAGCACTAGCAAAGGTCTTGCTGAAGCCTGACCAACTGTACAAGGCATCTGCTGGACCAGCCCCCGCCTCTTCCTGCATCTGGATGATCGCATTCCCGGCCTTCTCTACCAGGGGCACCAGGACGTATTCCCCGTACCACGCAGTGCCTCTGTTCCTTTCCCTCATGCTTGACCCAAGGATGCCCTCGTCGCCCACAATGCCTGCTGTTTCCAGAGCCCACCACAACGGCCTGCCAATTACATAGGAAGCAATCCGGACAGGTAACGAGCTTGTCGCGTAAAGTGAAGCTTTCATGTTGATAAAGTCGGTTATCGGAATGAAAGTGTTAGATGCATGTAATTCAGCCTTCGCTAGTCCGAAGGACAGGTTAGCGTCTGCTGGTGCAATAGCCCCATGACTGAGGACGGAACGGAAAACTTACGAGCACGGAGCCTAATGCCAGCGGCTTCCCGACCTTTGGAACTTTAACCAGGTCCATAAGAGATGCATTGGCCTGCAGAATCAGTCTTTTCGACGAGTTGCTTGTGCTTTCATCGCCATCCTGGAGACCAGTGCTCACTATGGTCTCAAGAGCCTTCTTCCACCACACGACATCGGCCTGAAAAGAAGCTGGATCCGAATGCTTCTTCCTCGAGAGGTCTGAGTATAGAGATTGAAGTCGTGACGTCGACGTCGAATTAAACGGTGGAAAGGACAGAACCTGGGATGAGGATGAAGGTGTGCTCGGTGTCGAAGCCATGGACGTTGTGGCAGCGTAACCCGCCCGCGTGCTCCGGAGCCAGCCCTGTCCAAGGCGCGTCTAATCACGTGATTGACACTTCTCTGACGCTCCGACTCGGGATTGAATACCAGGCGGTCTCGAGACAGCGTCGTTACTCCTCATACCGAGGTTCTTTTTAGTCCTTAACAGCCTCTTTCAAAAATACCATAGACACATGACGATATAGATTATCAGGTATCACAGAGTATACTGTTACACATCGGGACTATTGAACGATTGGTGGTGGTACATGGGGATTATACAAGTTATACATCTCCTTCGTTTACTTCGAGTCACCAAGGCCCATGGCATTCTTGGCCTTGTCCATCATGGAATCCTAAGGATCAATCGTATCAGAAGAGCCTCCCAGCATTGACGTTCTCTTAAGATGTTCACCTGGTTCTGGTTAGAGTTGGAGCTCATGGTGTCGCCCATCTGCTGGCCAGTGGACTTCTGGCTGTTGGGTTGCATGCTCGAGGCAGCAGAGTCCATGGTGCCTTTCATGCGGTCACCAGTGCGTTCCATGGTGGACTTCTGGGAGTCGGGCTACGACTATGGCGTCAAGACTCGAGGCTTCGTCGTTGTGTGGAAGGACATACCTTCATAGTGGAGCCCATCTTGTCGGTGAAGGATTGACGGCCAGTATCAGACATTGCGATAGAGATAGTTGCTTTAAGTTGGCTATAAATGAAGGGTTGAGTTAAACGACAACCGAGAGGCCGACAGGGTATGTTGGTACCAACCTTGGTAAAAGAAATCGGAAGAGGTTGATGAGGACTATTGGATGAATTCGAAGAGGTTTAAATACCCCAGATTCATCGATATTTTGGTGACGTATGGTGACGCTCCCATTTCGAAAATGACGACGCAAACCCACCGCGGATCGGGCCCAAACAACAAGATCATCAGTTCAGCCTGGGGTCTCAATGGAGTCCGCAGTCAGAGTTCACATCCGCCTGAGCTTCCGAGTCCACTCTCGATGTCAGTGATATCACATCTACACGAGAGGGGACTTGCCGGCTCCGGGCCTGGAGGAGTTTCCCAAATAAGGACATACAGATGACGCATGCAGGAGAGTATCGCGATCTCTCTGATCGAGTCGCGGTTCACTTGGACCACATAGCGGCAATGGCACCCATTCGTGTAAGGCACCCAGGGGGCGTCTGCACCATCCAAGTCCCTCTGGATAATGACAGCTACACAGTTGGAGACCTCCAGCAAGAGATCTACAAGGCCTCGGATATCCTGCCGTCAAGACAAAGCCGTGCGTGCACTGTCCAAGCTATCAGGACGATGAACTGAAGTTGCTTTGCGAATAGTCAAGTCAGGATACCCACCTCGCTCGCTAACGCTAGTACCCGAGCTACCTATCTCAAGCTTGGATTTGAAGTCTGGGGAGCAACTGATCGTACAAGGAGCCGTGGAGTCGTCTGCGAGAGGGACTTCTGCCGCAGCCTCTCCACCACCGAGGGCTGCTGCTGCTGTCCCAACAAGCCCTCCACGACAATCACAGACTGCATCAATAAACGGACCCTCGAAGAAGAGTGGACCAGAAACTGTCCAAGTCGATGGCGGATATCTCATTCATCGGGTGAGTGACTATTCGGACGTGGTGGTACCATTCGTAACTTCATCTCTATTACAGGTCGTACCAGATGACAATTCATGTTTATTCTCTTCACTGGCTCTGATATTTGAGGGGTCGATATCGAATGCTCAGAAGCTACGTAGAGGTGTGTGTGTTCGTCTTGGGTGCAAGTGTCCGAACTGAGAGGTCGTCCTGCCCAGCCGTTGTGGACGGAATCAAAGCCGACCCAGAGACGTGGAACGAAGCTATCCTCGGGTATGCTTTCCCCGCCGGCATTCTGTCTTCCCATTGACGGTTGTCTACCTCAGCATGCCCCCTTCCCGGTACATCGACACCATTTCCAAGCCAACTTCATGGGGAGGAGCCATCGAGCTAAGCATCCTAGCCAAGCACTACAACACCGAAATCGCCAGTATCGACGTCGAAACAGGACGCATCGACAAATTCTCCCCTCCTGAAGCACCTGGTGAACTCAGCAGGTGTTTTGTCATTTATTCCGGTATTCATTACGACGCCATCTCGTTCTCGCCTATGGAGGAAGCACCGGACGAGTGGCACCAGAAGTTATTCCCTGTCGTGAGTGTCTGCGATTCAGCTTTCGATCAATAGATGGGCGTTAAGGTTCACTCTGACAGAAACCCGGGAAAGACGATGACGATGCTATCATTGTCGCAGCAAAGAAACTAGCAGATGCTCTACGAGCGAAGAAGGCATATACCAACACTGCAACCTTCGACTTGAAATGCGAGGTGCCGCTGTCCGCAACGTCTTGGAGGTCCTGATAATTGACGATGCTTTATTAGGTGTGCGGACAAGGCTTGAAGGGAGAGAAGGAAGCAAGAGCACATGCAGAACAAACGGGGCATGTTCGTTTCGGAGAGTATACCAAATGAATATTCATCGTAGCATCGAGGAAGGTCATGCAATGTAAATGTACCACAATTCATCGGCGAATGAAGTATGTAATGCAACCTGTAGAAAACTTAGCCGACGGTTCTCCGATGTATCGGTAGTGCTGGATGTCGTCTGGCAAGACCTGAGGCTACTAAAAGCAAAACAGAAGCTTGGGGGCACCGCGGATTGAACGCGGGACCTTTAGAATACAACTCTTGCGAATTGCTTCAGTCTACTGCTCTCCCAACTGAGCTATGCCCCCGATGAATGACTGCGCCCCTCTGCCAATGGTCGGGTCGTTGTCGCAATCCCAACGATCGCTTGAAGGGAAGGTGACTCTAAGAACCGGAACAAGTAAGTAATTGGTCAAACAGGGGCCTTGATAATAATCAGCAATAATGCCAATGGTACCGAGACTTGGAAAGGAAGTGAAGAACTGTCACAAGAAGTAAAAAAGCAAAAATTCCATGATTAAAGGAATAGAATGGGGGCACCGCGGATTGAACGCGGGACCTTTAGAATACACAAGTGCTTCGTGCTTCAGTCTACTGCTCTCCCAACTGAGCTATGCCCCCATGCGAAATAGCCAAATGCCTAACGTTGCCAAACGTCCCACGTCCGAGAGACAAGCTATGCAGGCCAACCGGGCAGAAAGACAATCGCTGTAGCTCGGCCCGAAAGTCAACAAAACGGAGTTCGCTCGGGGCGACAAGGTATGATTGCGTTCACAGAATGTTCTCGATATCCATGATAAGAGGGACATGATCAGATGCCCCGTATATCTCGTCTCTAATCTCACACTGGAAGGAAGGTTAGCCTTTGCCAAGTATATCCCAGGAAACGAGTACCTTCTTCACTCTGTCCACGAGTTTGGTGCTCAAGACAACTGACGATGATAGAATAGTAAGTACATGTGATCTCCCATGATAGAATAAGACCTACACATATCAAGCCGCCAGCCATTGCCCTTTTCACGGCTTTGGAAGCGGTAGCTCCAATATGTGTAGTGCTGAAGATCGGGATGCAATTTCCGCCACACGTCAACAAATTGAGGCCTTTCAGGATCGTCTTCTGAGGCAAGGATCTTCTTGAACGCGGTTGTCTCAATTTCAGTGTACCCTGGTTGTTTGTTCCAAGCTTTCTTGGAATTTTGCAAATCTGACGAAGAGGACCGTGATTCCTCCGCATTTGGGCAGTCAATCCTGACATACCTTTCTCCGTTGGTGCGACGTTCAAGTCCCCAGTCCATATAACTGGCTTTTTTTTGTCCAGTTCGCGGATATAGGCCTCAAAATGGGTTTGCCATTCCTTTTTCGCGTCCATGGTCTGTCGAACCAAGGTCAGCGGTGGAACGGGGCGGTCGATTGAGGGGCAACGCACCTTGAGCTCTTGGCCGGCGTTCACAACATACGTCCCAATCAAGTACGCATTTTCAAATTCGAGAGTTAGAATGCGCCCCTTGGGATTGGGGTGTCCGGGTAGTTTGTAGTCAACATGCAGAGGTTTGACCTTGGACAGTATTGCAGTTCCAGCTATTACAAGAGTCAGCACAGAGCTAAATTGCCATAGCGTTCAAGCCTGACCATATGTCTTTTTGTCGGATATAGACCAATACTGATGAGGGTAACGCGACTTCAAGGCAGGATCCGCAGGAATATCATTGACCTGACAGATACCAAGGATGAGATGACAAACTGAACTCGAACTTCGAGCTTGACATACTTTTGTTTCGGTCAGAACCAGGATATCGGCATCTTCAGCCTCAACGTAGTACTTGAAGCCCTAGGTGATTTAATGCTCGCTCCGTTTGTCACTTTGAATGTTGAAGCTTCGACCACGTACCTTTCTCATGCTGGCGGCGAGACCACAGACATTCCACGTAGCGATCCTCAACGTGCCTTCGTCAGGCTTCTCAAACTCAATGTTTACAGGCAGAGTTTTGTTTGTGGGCTGTCCGTTATGGGGGAGAGAGTCTAGAGTCCCGGTTTTCTTGGGTTTCTTGGTGAGTTTGGATGAAGTGGGTTGTGATTCAGCGTCGTCCGTGTCTGTGTCACGATCTTCAACTTTCCGCTTGGTTGCAGAGCGAGAAAGAGACTTGGGCGGCATTGCGGTCAAATTCAAGTGTACAAAACCTCTTGACGTGGTTATAACGCGAACTAGGCCAAAGAAACGCGAAGGCAAGAAACGAAGGACCATCAAGGCGACTTTGATACCACGTGAGATTAACCGCGGGACTCGGACGAAAGGGGCAACACCTTCCATTTCGGCAGAGTCCGATCAGAAAAGTTGAACTTGTGCTCAGTGCCAACTGTTTGGCCTTAGCTTTTTCTCATTTCAAGCCGGTAATGCACAATTTCTCCATACGTTCTCTAGTGAGTTGACGTGTAGCCTATATCGCAATGAAGAGCTGACTTCTGTGAGATAGCTCTGACACTCATTTTTAGGCTACCATTTATGACGAAGGACCGGGATTGAGTCCGACTCATTTGCATCGACAGTTTGGTCCCAACGGTTTAGTAGAATTGCCTTTGGCAACTGCGCCAAACCTTCAAGACATCATTTTTGAATGCTCACACATCGCGGTTTCTCTGCGTGGATAACGGTAGACGACGAACCCCTCCCCGAGTACCTTGTCGCCGTGGACGAAAGCTCCCACCGAGTATCATGTTGGATCCCTGGTGAAGAAGGGCAGGTGTGTGATAATGATTGGATTACGGGAAGGAATGAAGTCTGACGTTGCTCTGTCTGCAGTCCTTCACTGTGTGGTGGCAAGACCATGGCGGCAAGGTTGATACTTGTTCTTTCATTCTGTTGGACGGGCTCGCTGTACCGGGACGCTTTTTGTTTGGAGAAGGAGTTTCTTCAAGATCAGGGCTTCGTTCCTCTCATATGACGGAAAAACCATTTGTCTTCACCAAGGTTCCTCAGGAAGAAGACAGTGCGGAGAGTAACAAGGACGCCGGGACGATAGTCGTGAAAATCAAGCGTGTAAAGCGCGTTGCGGCTCGTCCATCCAACCCGGTACGACCTGTTGGCGACGTTGCGGCTTCGGGAAAGAAGAAGGTCGGCGATCTCTGCGTGGGGTACGTCATAAGCTCTGCGCAATACAATTTGTCCTGACTACCCGACCCAGCTTTGGTCAAGAACGAAGCACAACTCTGCAGTACCATTCGACATGGTCCGTCGTGCCCTACGATGATCCCGAATCCGAAAAGCCTTCGACATACGTCTCTTTTGTCTTTCGTTATCGGTCGGCAGGTATACTCGGTGTCTGCTTGAAATATATTTGCAGCATCTAATGCACTCATTTAGAATTCTTGGAGTCGCAGGGTATTGCGCCTGACGTAAAACAGCGCATGGCCCCGAAATTGGGTGAAAAGCGCCGTGTATCCAGCTTACCACCTGCAACCCTGGCGGCTGTTTTGGCTACGCCTAGCCCCAGCCCACCCAAGAAGCCCCGCCTGGAATACAATCGTCCTCGACTCACGGAACCTATCTCAATTCATGACCAAGGAGCTTTCGCTACTCGCAGAACATCTGGAGACATCAAGCGAGTGGCGAGCTGGAAGGACGCCCCTTCCCTCCCTTCGCAAGGTGTCGTCATCTTTCCGCGGTCACAAAGAGCTATCTCCACCACGAATCACAACTCATTTCTCCCATCCTCCAACTCCAGCGAAACGTCTACGCTTTCTGATGATGATGACGACCGTTATGAACGATCCTTCAGTTGAATTGCTATATCCGCTTTCCTCTAGTGTTTTGTTCTATGCTCTCGAGTGCCTGTTTTATGTTTTCGTTCCTATGCTCTCGCATCGTTATCACCTCGCTATCTTTGCTTTCCTGCTGTCTGGTTGCTGTCGAACAATCGCTTCCTTTTATATCTATTTCCCCTGTCTTATCTGTACAGTGTCATTGGACTGTGTCCATCATAATATACCAGATTTAAGCCTATGTAACCTGAGCGCTAATTCCTCTAACGGTGCAGCCCCTATGGTGCGGCCACGTGATATGCCTACCGCGTCGCGACTTTCCCGCGCTCTGGTCTCTGAGGACATCCTTGTTTCTTGACTTGACACTTGACTTGAACCATCCCTGGGACACCACCTTCTTCACCCACTTGAAATGCCGACCAAAGATCCACCGCAGATATTCCGCGCCAAAGATACAAACTATCCCATCCACTTTTACTTTGTCGACCAATTCAGTCCCGCCGTCAAACGGAAATTAACCGACGATATAAGGGTGAAACTGGGACCATGTAATTCTGTTTTATCATGTGGCTGACGAGTTTTAAAGAGGCATGGTGGGAGGGTTGTCAAAACTGCTGAAGGAGCCGATTATGGACTCGTACGGAGCGGTACAGATCGTGCCGCAAAGCAGGCAATGTTCAGGATCAGGGACAGTGCAGCGACGCGAAATCTCAAGGTCCAACATGCGAGCATGATTGAGTCAAGCATCGCTCGTGGTCAGCTTACAGAGCAGCAAAGCCTCGTCAAAGGAATGTCTGGAAGGCCTGGAGGGTATGCACTTCATGCCTTGGAGAAGATTCTGTTGACACTGACATCGTCACAGACGTACACCGTTCACGAAGAGGGAGGATGAACAATTAGCGAGGTACATTGCTTACATGGTACCCAATGCTGAACTTGGGGGTCGAATGGCACTTGGACTTTACCAAGATTTATGTGATGCTGTACGTTGTTTTGTGTTCCGAGCTATTTGTAACCTCTGACTGGTTCCTTTGCACTGATTTCCCTGTAGGCCGAAGTGGACGATGATTCTAAATGGGCATCAAATCACACCCCTGAAGCCTGGAAGAACAGATACAACAAGAACAGGGCTAAAATGGACGAACTAATTGAAGCGATGATACCTCTCGTCAACCCGGAGAGAATCCACCATTACCAAAGAAGCAGGGCGTACAGCAAGGCAGGAGGTTTTTTCAAGGACGAGGACTACGAAGGCAGTGAAGATGATGGTGATGACAATGACAACGACAACGACGATGAAGGTGGGCAAGGAGATCGAGGCGGGGATGAAGATGGCACTGGCGGATTTGAAGGTGGACAAGCTGAAAACGATGGGGATAATGGCTTTGGAGACGACCAACCGCCTCCAGAAGACGAGGAGGGCAATGGTTCACGGTCACCGCAAACACGACGTGACGATGCGCAGTCCGGCGGTGGGCGCAAACATACAGACTCTTCCGGCCAGCGCGAACTGGCGCGAAGCAATGACGCAAGCAAGAAGGCAGCGCAGAGTCCTCGAGGCATCGCCCGAGATGGACCGAGCCAGGCAGGTCAACCTAGAAGTAGGCCCAGCGACTTGGGCGATGGCCCTCCTGCAAAGCGTCAACGCGTGGATGCCGATCGCTCGGGGCGTTCTATTCCTTCTGGTAAACGCCCCGCAAGAAGCGCCCGTGGCCGCCCGACCGATCCTGAACCAAGTAGCTCTAGCATGTCTGGTTCAGATTCAGAGGGCTCGCAGTTAGTATTGATCACATTTGCCGATCGGTGGACGAGTCTGACAATCCATTGTACAGGGTGTCTGAAGACGACGAAGAATTCGAAGGCGGGCATGACGCCGAGGTGACTGCAGTCGACTTCCCTGAATTTCTAGACTTAGATGCGGACAAATCATCTGCCCCGGCACCGGTTCAGCCTATATCTCACCAGAGCACTCTGGTTGGCACGACCTCAAATACTTCCCGCAAGGATGAGGGTCATGACGTAGGTGATGAAGACGAAGATCAGGACCACGCCCTCAGCATAGAAGACGAGAATCCAGAGCAACTTCAGGCTGAAATCATTGATCTCGACGACGACGACGAATTTTTTCCAACAGACTCGCCCTTCAATATATCCAGGATTACAAGACTCTCTGTCGCCAGTCAATTAGTGACCTCCAGTCCTGTTAAACAGCAACCTGTACACATTTCTCCTCCTCCGCCAGCAGCCGACCCGTCCCCATCCCGCCCTCGTCGCCAAGCCGCAAGAAAGGCTGCACGGGCACAACCTCCTTCGACGACTCGTGTGACGCGTTCACGTTCTCAGTCCGTCGAACCAGAGCATTTCCAAAGTTTACCTGCAACCACCAAGGTCCGAAAAGGCAAAAGCAAAGCTTCTGCTCGTCAACCCTCGCCACAGCTCGAACCCCTCGAGGAAGACCAAACTGAAGAGCAAGGCGAAGGTAACTTCGACGATGGGTTGCCCCGGGAAACCTTGCGCGACGAAGAGAACGTCTTCCAAATGATCACCAATCAAGAGGACTATTCTGCCCCAGCGGCTAACCTCTACGATTTCGAGGGTATCGATGACCAGCCCCCAGCTAAACCCCGATCACTGTCAATGGAAAGCGACGACTTGCAGATGTCGAGTCAGTTGGGAATTAAGGCATCTCCACCAAAGCCACCCCTTCGATCTCGGGCCGTTTCCCGCGTCGCTCACAACTCTGCCTCGAAGCTTCGAGAGCCTGGACCAATCCCAATCAAATCGAGTCGCAGCAAAATTCGAGATGTACTGGCTGGTTTCGGGCCTGCTGTCACCGCCAACACCGCTGCTGTTCCTCGGTATTCCATGCCTGGGAAACTGGGCGGCCTCGGTGAAGTTGCCAGCCCGAAAGCTTCGTCGATTTTCCCCCTGGCTACTATAGCTAGGAAGCCAGTTTCCCGGAACGAGGGATTCCAAACACCAAGGTCACCCTTTCGGAAGGGGACTCTCAGAAGAGACTCGGCCAATTCGAGTGAAGAATCCTTTCCATTGGAAGGAACCAAGGCGTCTGCATACAAGCGACGAAAGACGGAGGAGATGAAACAGTCGCCCTATCAACCTCCCGCTGGCACGAGGGCGTCTATGTTGTTAAGTTCTCCACCAGATGTGGAGTGATTGGTGGAGACAGTTTACACTGTACTATAGTTCTTGAATATCTGTACTGTCTGATACCAGGATGATCTTTTTTCGCCAGCGTTTTTGTTTTTTTAGAAGAGAGGTGAAACAGAGGAGTACTAGTGGGATTGGATAAATGAGAAAGCACGTCGCCAGAAAGCCCTATACGAACGGAAGAATTCGCCCAATGTTAATGCGAGAATGAGTGGCAATAAGAAGAGGATTATGCGAGTGGATGAAGATATAAAGTAGTGGGTCCATGGCACATAAGTGGGTAAGGAAAGGATAGTGTGAGTTACGATGTCGATACCAGACTGTTCCCTTGCAGCTCTTCGAATTTCTGTCGGGCCATGCGGATGTTGAGCTTCAATGCAGCCGTTTCTAGGGACAGAGTTCAGCATTGTACTGCATCTTAGTGAGTGAAGATCGGCATACCTATCGTTGGGTCATGTACCACGACAAGGACATACGTATTCCTGGTCATTTCATCCAGGACCGCAGTGAAGTCCCATAGTTCCATTTCCAGAGAGTGGAACTCTCCCCGAACACGAGAACATGAATGTTTGAAACCTTTGATCAACTCGGAAGTTCTCTCGTATCGCTTTGGATCTAGCGAGTCTGTCGGTCCGTCTTCCTTGTCGTCCGAGTCCGCCAAAAGGGCAGAGGGATCTGCTGTCGTCGAGGATGTGGAAGTCGCGATGACAAGGAAGGTAGTTCGTTCGAAGAGGATAACTTCGGTTGCACTGCACGCTTGTGCGAATGTTGATAGGTGCTTTGCGAGGATGTTGGCATTTGGGATGAGGGTGTGGACAATGTTGGACCAGGCCTAGAGGGTCGGGATTCCATAAGCATATGGAACAGGATGATAAGGGTCGCTCAAGAAATAGAACCGACCTTATACAAACTTTCGTCATATATACTCGTTGGAAAGACCTCAATCTTGATATCCCCACTATTCTCAATCAACTCCTGCCTCTTCTTGTTGAATGTTGCTTGTCTCGACTGCCGCACAAGATCCATCTTGTGCACTAGCAAGAAAACAGCAGCGTCGGGACTAAACTGTCGCAATCCCTCCAGACAATCCCGATAATACTCCAGGTCTTTGTTCATCTCTCGACTCTCGACGTCGAAGACGTATATCATGACGCCAACTTGTTGGAAGATGGTAGCGCGTTGTGCGGTGAGGTAGCTGTCCATGAATGCATCTTGGCCTCCGCAGTCCCAGAGGTTGAGGATGAGGTCGCCGAGGAAACGAACGTGGTTTTGCTCGACGTCTATCGTTGCGCCCAGGCGTGCGGTAAGGGAGGCAGGGTTGTTTGAGCTGTCATCGCGGTGGTGATGGTGGTCGAGATGAACGTTGAGTTTAATGCTAAAGCGCCGATCAAGCCAAAGGCGACATACAAGATTATCGACCTCATCGAGGTCTTCCCACTGCCCGAGGCGCCCATTAACAGAACCTAAATCGCTTGTTACATGATTTCGCGATGACAATTGGTAGTCGCAGTCACCTTTTTCTTCATCGTGGGGTGAACGGAGGAAAGATGCAAGTGGCGGCGGGAGATTCGGCAAGTAAGACCGAGTGTTGTTGTGGGTAGTGCTCAGCAAATGCTGTCGACGGCGGAAAGTGGTGCACGTCGTGAGCAACAGCGGAGAAAGAGATTTCAGACGATGGCAAAGGGCATTCAATGAGCGACTATGACGAATTGTACCACATTGCCTCGCTCCCCAAGAAAGCCCAAGAAAGGTTGGCTCCGCGCGTTTGACTAACCCACGACAAATGGAGAACGCTGTTCACCGTGACCAACCCGCGAACACGTTGAATTTCGGACAACGTCTACAAAGCTGATTTTGTTGACCAGAATAAAAATACAATTACTGTTCTACGTGAATTTTCCTTGGTTCCAACGTCGGACATGGGACGACATTTCAACAGCGGCTGCAGCCCAGTCTTCGCCATGGTTGTGACCCTTGTTTTCACCGCGTCCAATACCCGCTCGTTCGAGAGCTTGGTCTTCCGTCAACGCCGTCAAGACTCCAAAGATTACGGGTGTGCCGGTGTCCATCTGAAGCTTCATGAGTGCGTGCGAAACGCTGTCGCAGATGTACTCAAAGTGCATGGTCGCGCCCTTGATGAGGACACCAATGGCAATGACGGCGTCGAAGGGTGCTTTGGAGGCCGGGGCAGCTCCGGGAGGTGCTGGGGTGCCGCTACGCTGTGCATTGGGCGTGCTCGATCCAAAGGTGAGGCCACCGAGGAGGTCAGGGATACTGGCTGCCTCTTGTACATGGGACCCGGCAATCATCCTGGACGTCGTTAGATCGTTCACAACTTGAGCTCATCAGAGAAACAGAGATAATCGAACCGTGAGCATGCCAGTGGAAGTTCGAAGCTACCGGGGACGGACTGGACGACGATGTTGTTCTCCTTGACGCCGAGCTCCTTGAGCTTGTCGATAGTGCCCTGGAGGAGGGCGTCGATGACCACTTTATTCCATCGAGCGTGAACAATGCCAATTCGCAGCGACGAGCCGTCGTATTGGACGTCCGAGGGCGTAATTCCTTTGATTGTAGGGTCGCTCATCGTTGCTGATAATGGCGACCACGATCCCGATTGCCGGTTGTGGGCGTTATCACCTGTGGGAACGGATTTCCTTGTATAACTGCCATCAAAAAATTCCCCCTGAACCTCCTCGACCACTCTTCTCCCAAAACTTTTACCGTTTCCCGTATACCTTGGGCTGGCCATCTGCTACAATGGACAATAACCTAGCTGGTAAGTCCTAAAGACTGCTGTTGAACCTTCTCTGACGACGACTCTAGCGACATATACCCTAATCTACGCGTTTCTGAAAAAGCAACAGCAGCCAAAAGCCGCTGAAGCAGTGAAAAAGGCGGCCAAAGGGACCGTAGTCATCAAGGATGACATAGAATTAGAAGGTCTGCCTCTAGAAGAGATTGTTAGAAAGTTTAAGGAGGTCAAGGAGGACTCGGATTCTGACTCTTCATCCTCGTCCGATTCGTATGTGTTTTTCAATTCTGGGGTCTTACTCGTCAACTAACTAGTTCTGCAGTGATTCAAGCGCTGAAGGTGCTTTAAACCCATGTATCAGATAATGTGGATGCTGATACAGCTCTCAGATTCGGACTCTTCGTCCTCAAGTTCTTCGAGCTCGAGTTCAGCAAGTTCCTCGAAATCTAACCAAAACATCAAGGACAAGAAGGCCAAGGCAACCTCGTCTACTACTTCTTCATCCTCATCCTCGTCGTCATCAGAATCTGACTCGGATTCCGATTCCGACACCTCTGTTGAAGCACCAAAACCATCGTCTTCGCCGCCAAAGAAACCAACCAAGGCCTCTTCGCCTGCCTCTTCCTCTTCTTCCGACAGTCAGTCCTCTTCATCTATTCTGGACATTCTGATCTGATTTCACACAGGCTCCTCCGATTCTGATTCGAGCTCTGATGACGAGAAGGCCTCTAGTTCTGAATCTGAAAGTTCAAGCTCTGGTTCCGAGTCTGGTGCGTGCCATCCACCTTTCGCCATTCTTCAACGCGCGAAATAATAACCCGTTACGTGCAGACGATGAATCCAGCGACTCTGCTTCAACAAAGGTTTCCCCTGCAAAGAAGAAGTTGACCAAGAAGAAGTCAGACGTCCAAAAGAGCGAACGCGACTCAAGCAAAACTCTATCGTCAAAAGCGTCCTCGAGCTCGAGTGGTTCAGAGTCCGACAGCTCTAGCTCCGGCAGCGACTCGAGCGACTCCAGTGATTCAAGTGACGATGATAAGCCCGAAAAGACCGCGAAAGCAAAGAAAGAGGAATCCAGCAGCAGCAGCAGCAGTGAAAGCGACAGTGACAGTGACTCTGATGATTCCAGCGACGATGAGAAGGAGGCCCCCAAAGTTGAAGAGAAGAAAGCAGACGAAGATCAACAGCGAGTGACGAAGAAGAGAAAGACGGACGAGTCTGGTGCGGCTGTCGCGACTGCGACCGCGGATGTCAGTCGGGAGGTTTCAGAGACTGCACCGAATGGTAACGGCGATGGTTCCAGCAAGAAGGGGGGGACGAAGAAGAAGGTCCAGGGAGAGCGATTCATGCGTGTAAAGCCTGACCAGTTCAAAGTGACGTTCGATAATCGTTACGAGGCCAAGGTCAGCGCATTTGCTTTCTGAACTGTGGATGCCTTGATGCTGATGCTTCGTTCATTATCAATAGCCTGGTTCTCTCTCGGATTATGGCCAAAAAGCCCATCAAGACCTCATTGTCACCCGCGGCGCAGGTTTCCGAAAGGAGAAGAATAAGAAGAAGAGGGGAAGCTACAAAGGAGGAGAGATCACTGTGCGTGTGACGTCTCACTTTGCCAAGCGCTCTGAACTGACTGTCTTTCAGTTGCAAACAAACAGTTTCAAGTTCACAGATTAATCAATGGGTGGAAATAGGCGACCTCTTAGGACCTCCAACGCGTCTGTCAATTACATTTTTCCAAGGATGTTCTGCAACAAGGGTATGGAGCTTTCGGCTGCGATTTCATTTCGATAGGCTGGCGCATCCAATTCAACACCAGATCTATGATAAGAATCCCTCCAACAGCAAGGATTATCTTCAATTAACATATGTTCCTGATATTGGCCTGATGACAAGGGTGCAGCGGCTGCAGATCTGAATGACTTGCTGAAGCATCCGTTGGTGCGTGTCAATCGACCTCTTAGCGCTCAATCAGCCTCCATTGCACCCGTGCGCCACCTTCCGGTCGCTTTTCGAGGAATGCTGACCCTTCGGCTGCAGTTTTGGCTGCAGTACCTGGCCGGGACGGGTGCTCTCTTTTTCGTTTACAATGGTGGCATTGCCTGCCATATATAAAGTCTAAGGTTGGTACAAGGATAGGTGTGGCCCACTGCGTCTTTCGAAAATGAGCTTCCTTTCCTCGCCCATCTCCGCGCTTTTCAACATCGCGAACCGATGGCTTTACCGCCCCATAAAGACACACTGGCCTTCTCCCTTCCCCACTCGAGCAGCAACACCCGAATATGTCGATGGTGAATACATTTTAGACTTGCCGGACGGGGCAAGGCTGGCATACCAGGTGCTGGGTTCCCAGCATCTGAATTCGGCGATTCCTCTTGTACTCATTTGTGGGATGAGTTCCCTGAAAACTGATTTCGTCCGCCTTACCGAGACGTTAGTTGAGACCCACACCGGTATGTGTCGAATACCCTAGTCATTCCTCGAGGTCTTATTCAGCTTTCCAAAGTACTCCTCTATGACCATCGCGGAATGGGTGGCTCCAAACTGACAGAAGCTGGTGACGAGGACCTCAGTATCGAGTTGATGGCCCGGGATTTGCTTCGACTCGTTTCACACCTGGGATGGTCCAAGGTGGCCCTCATCGGATATTCCATGGGCGGTGTGTACCAGTTCATGGGCTCCGATCAGATTATATTGACGATAGGATTAATTAGGTGTAATCGCCCAGCAACTCCTCACCCTCCCATTCCACTCCACCAACCCGACCTCCATTCCCTTCACTGTCACGCATGTTGTCTTGGCCTCGACGAGAAGCAAAGTCCACTCGGTTGGCCTGAAGCTCGGCCCTTCTTCTACAAAACCATTGACTCCGGAAGAGAGAATGGCACTTACAAGAAGAGTTGTTCACAGTCTTGTAGACCCGAAGTTTATTGAAGAAGATAAAGAGAGGTTCGAGAAACTCGTTCAGAGGTCTATTGTTGCTCTACCGTTAGTCGTCTACATTACGGTCGACATGAGATGTGAAGCTAATGGAGTGAATTTGCTAGGTACCGACCGAGTGCAGTTATTGGTATGGGCCCGTGATTTGTGCAATACGATTCCGTGTCGTTGACGATCCTCCCAAAAGCAAAACAAGCTATTGCCGTGAGTCCTTTCCGGGCACGCATTTCCTCTGAGTCTGACTACAACGTTTTCACCTCGAAAACAGTTGCAGAAATTCAAGTTCGACCACTTCCTCGGTCAACTTTCCCGTGACATCCAAATACTAGTACTCCACGGACAACTGGACCAAGTCATTCCCCCGTACTGCGGGCAGGTCGGGTGCTCTTAACCATCGTATATCCTTCCACGCCTGACCGATCGATGATATATTGCAGGAAATCCTCGAATCCATACCATGGGCCAGGAAGATCGAGGTGGGGGACAAAGAAGGCCAAGTACCTTCCCTCGATTTTGGGCATTATTGGTTCGAGTACTTTGACGCCCGAGTCTGGCACGACGTTATCCATACGTTCTTAGAGACTTCGTCCTGAACATATAAACTTCTCCGACATTTTTGTTGTACCATACCAATCTGTACAGTAACACAGCAGCAGCAATTCCCATTCTCCTTCAAAGCCCTTCGAGTCTTGTCCTTCGATAATCTCATCTGTAGAACGGGAACAATCCCTCTGCAACCGCTTCGCTTCGATCCTCGTTCAACAGACGAAAGCGGAAGCAGGCGCCAAGGAACAGGCGGACCCTTTGAGATTCTTTGCTCCCGGTAAACGGGAACAAGTGTTGCCGAAGCCCTGTGCAACGCCGTTAAGTAGTGCTCCGTCCCCACTCCCATCACACTTTCCTCTGCACCACCAACTGGGGCTGAAAGATCGAAATGACCGTTGTGCGCAGATCGTTCTCCACTTTCACACACAAAGATGGCGCCAAGCAAGCGTATGAGTTGTTTGGCGCAGGGCATGTTGGGAAGCGCATACCCCTAGTCCTGGTCAACGGGATGAGCATGCTAAGAGGCGACTGGCAGCGTCTGGTTGACTGTCTCGCCCCAATAAGACCTGGTGGGTGCTACCGTCAACTGGAAGAGGTATTCCGTGATACTGATGGATATCATTTCCAGTCTTGATTTTTGACCACAGGTGAGTTCCCCCACAGGCGTCCCTGCGTTCTCCGCCAACCAAGCATGGCTAGGGGTATGGGCGACTCTTCATTCTCCACCGAAGGGAATGAAGCCGTAACGCTAGAGTCGATGGCCAAGGATCTTTTGGAACTCGTGGCCTCCTTCGGATGGAAGGAAGTGGCCATTTGCGGATATTCCATGGGAGGTAAGGAGCCCCAGGCTGGCCACAGGATCTAGCTCAAACACATCTCCAGGCGCCATCACACAACAGCTCCTCTTCCTCCCCTTCCACCCAACCAACCCAACCCCGCTTCCCTTCCGCGTCACCCACGCGTTCCTGACCGCGACGTTATGCGAGAAGCAGAATAACCCTTCGTTTGGCCGTCAGTTTAAGGAGATGCCCCCTCCCAAGAACGGAGTGAAGCGGACTTTCGAGGAGAAGCGGGAACTTGCACGACCAACCACGGAAATGACCTTTGATCCAGCTTGGATAGCCAACAATCCGGAAAGGTTTGAGTGGTGGCTTGACCAAATGACATTCGGGAGGTAGGGATCCTGGTTCATGTCAGACAATGGAACGCGAGGCTGACGCATTGTGCTTGCGACGACAGGCCTGTTCGAACAATTCGTAAGTCTGGATGCATCGAAATTTGTATTGAATCCGGCATTTGACGTGTCTATCCCTCCTTCCAGTAATGCAAGCCCGCACGGTGCGTACCGAGGCGAATGGTACATCCGTTCTTTGATTTAACGACTGTTGTTGCTAGCTTGGCCGCATAAACTTCGACCGGTTCCACGAGAGAATCCCCAGAGAGACGAGGATCCTAGTTCTCCACGGAAGACTAGACCAGGTCTTGCCTTATGCCGCTTCCAGGGAGGTATTGAGACGTATCCCATGGGCAAAGGACCTTGAAGTTGGCGACAAACCCGGTCAAGTTCCTAACCTGGAATTCGGGCACCAATGGTTCGAATACTTCGACATCAATGTTTGGAGGGACGTCTTCGAGGTGTTCATGAATGATCCTCCGGCAGGGCCTCAGGCGCGCTTGTAGGAACCAAGCGGCTATACGCTGGCCAACGTCCGTACGTAGTCAATCGAAATCCAACCGTCGAACTCTTTTGCTACATCCTGGCTGTCGTCGATGGCGGTGTGCAAAACCGAGGTACTATCTTGGGTCTGCAGAGATAGCTGAGGTAAGTGCCATTTTCGCTGAGGACAGAGTACAACACGGCTATCAGTTGCTTCCATGGCTTTAATGATTCGTCGTGGAATGGCTGAAAGTTTTAAGCGGATCCGGAAACGGCGGTCCCAGAGGACCTCCAGCAGCTCGGCACCGTCCCCTTTCTGCCACAGACGATGGGAAGTTGCCAGAAGGTCAGTCAGGTCGACCTGACCAGAGTAAGAGAACTTGGCGTCTTCGTGAAGCCCTTTGTTCTTCACAGGCGGTGGCTGTCGATGGGCTAGCCAGTACAGGTCCGTCCCAGTTCCGGTTCTGGGCTTGATGTCTCCCGAGGAATCGAGGTTGACGGGAGTCCATACTACACCAGACCCTGCCGTGAAAGGTGCCATGTTCCTGTTCATTGGTCCCCAGAGGATATTTACGATTCGGTCGACTTGAGAGGAGCGACTGTGGGACTGGGCGCGTAAAGATCCCCATGGTTCCGGTGATACATAACGGAGGACCCGTTCAACGAGCGCTTTCCGCGCCAATAGGTCGATGGTTTCACTCTGAAGGGCCGAAGGAGACAGTAAGAGTGTCCCAGGTGGAGAGGGTCGACAACTCTGTTCGATGAGTTTGTCCACTGTTTATTGCTCATCTTAGTACAGTTCAATAATGGAACCCAACTTGCCAAGCGTACCTTTCGCGTGGATAGAACCACTCAGTGATGAAATCCGGAGCACAGCGCCTCTTGCTCGTTCCAAACCTGAGGAGAGATTTAAGCCTAATTCATGATTCTTGGAAAGGGCTTCATCAATCTCATGCAATTGCTCCTTGATGCGTTTTTCAAGAACGGCAGAGGTCTATAGGTTGTGAGCAGTCATTCCGCAGCGGGGTGACCTGACTCGTACGTACGTCTCCATTGTTCTCGAGGGTATGTCGGATTGCATTGCGGATAGTAATATCTGGTTGGAAGTTGGTCTTGTCCGTAACATATTCAAGGCCATTCGCCTCGCAAGTGGCTAATATCCTGTCCTATAGTCGTATGTCAATACAACCGCACGCACGACAATCGGACGATGAGTGCCAACCTTGCCGACCTGCAGGAGAGGTCTGATCATCCACATTCGCATTCCTTGTAGGTCTCTCTGTCCAAAATCCCACTTTGGAACCTCACTCATTCCCCACCGGCGTATTGGCCTCATCCCTCTGGCACCAAGCAACGTCGACCCTTTCCCCAACCTCATCAAACTGGTCTCCACCTGATCATCCAGATGATGCCCTAATGCCAGAGTGTTGCTCCCCGAGCTTAACATCGCCTTGTAGAGCAAGTCATATCGAGCATTTCTGGCGTCTCGTTCGAACGATTCGGTTGGCCTCGGAGGAAAACCGGGCTGACCCCAGAGGATTTTACTGGTGATGTGGTCCAGGCCGAGTTTGGCAGCGAAGTTGGAACAGTGGGTAGCCATTTTGTCCGATGAAGCTTGGAGATCGTGGTTGATGGTCAACGAAAGAATACGTGGCGAAGTCGACTCGGAGAGGTGACCTGGGGAAAGAGCCTGGTCGTAACGCAAGGACTCTTTCGTTCGCGTTTGCGATCCAGTTGTGGAGAAGAGTTGATGTAAGAGGTAGATAAGACACGTCGAATCAGGTCCTCCAGAGTTTGCAACGGCTACAAGCAGCAGCAAGGTAAACTTCTTCTGAAGTTCAGTAACGCGTTCATCGACAACCGTGACGCACCGATAACAGACGGCCAACCACCTGGTGGTACACACCGCTGTAGCATCTGCTTGAACTCCTGGACAGTTATTGGCGCCAGCATTGCAGCTCTTGAATCGTCAACTGCGAGCTGGATGTCGACCAAGGCATAATGCGCGGGGTCGCGGTATGGGAAACACACACGGAACAAGACTGCTCATTGCCTCCGAACTCACATCAGTCCCGATATGTAGCCATCGCAGAGAGACTTAGTGTTGTTCACATTTCGAAAAGCCGATATATAGATAGTGTATACAGGTACATGGTAAAATAGGACCGCGATACGAGTATCAAAGATCAACCAGCTGTTACAAGAAACAGAAATGGAGGGAGGATTTTACATAGGGAGACACGGTCATCGTAAGGCAGGGATAGCTGGTTTTACATTGACGAATAATCATAATTCGACCAAAGGAAGAACAAGAAATAGGGGAAGGAGTTGTAAGAAAGTCCCACATTGAATGATACTTTTTTCATTGTCCCAGTTTGTCCGAGGGTGCGCGTTTGGATGCCGAGGATAGATAGATGGGAGAGCCAGATGAAAACGAAAACGTTCAAAAACGGGAGGAAGAAGCAGTAGCAGTCGAAGTGGGGTGGATAGATAGAAGGAAGATTTATAGCAAGAAATTTGAGGAAAGTAGAGGTGACATGAAAGTGTTGAGTTCCATACAAGTTTGTTAGTAATAGTAAAAGATGGGTCCTGAGTATTACAGAGAAAGATACGGGGGTTTTGATGAGCAAGACGTCGGAAATTCGTTAAGGTCGTTAGTTGTGATCAGATGTTTCGGGCTTGGGTCGTCGTAGTCGGTGCCAGGGAAGAGAGTCAGGGTCGATCTAATTGGTCGCTCACCTCAGGCGGACGACTTGTGGCGCGGTCAATAATTGTAACCCTGGCCTTGGTTGGCGTTGTGCCCCTGGTTATTGCCTTGAGAAGGGGCTGGGCTGGTATGCCTCATGACAGCTTGGTAGGCATTGGAGCTCATGCCTCCCATATGATTCATGCCGCCCATGCCCATTCCACTAAGTCCCATGTTGAGGGGCATGTTGCCCATACCCATGCTACCCATGCCCATACCCATGCCCATACCATTCATCGGGGCAGTGATTCCCATCCCGCCGACTCCTCCCATTCCCATTCCCATTTGCAGTTGCATCTGCATCATGGGAGTCATGTAGGCGTTGCTCTGGAACGCAAGGTTGTTGCTGTTCGAGGTGTTCGAGGTTTGATTGGAGTGAGGGGAGGAAGAAGTCGAGGAAGTGACAGAGGAGTGGCTAGGCTGGGGAGAGTGAACCACAGAGCTGGGCTGGGTTGGAGGCGAAGACGCGCCAGAGTTCTGGTTGTTGGTCGGGATGGTGGGGATGATAGGCGGGGGTGGGTTGCCAGTGGCGGCCTGGGCCTGCATCTTCTGCATCGCTTGCAACTGGACCGACCGCTCACATCAGCATACGGTTGTTAGGTGTGACATGGACGTAACATACCTCGTAGAAGGCAAAGTCTTGAAGTAACGAAGTCCTAGCTGGGTGGGTGTGGAAGATACGCAACATCTCTTGCCCAGCATCAGGAAGCAACTCCTGTGTATCCCGTGAATTGGTAACAGGTTTGCGCTCCTGGGTGTTACTGTAGAGCGAGGTTAGAGAGAAGGATCGATCAGGAAGTAATAGTGACATACTTCAATTTGATATGGCGAAGCGCTGCGTTGGGAATATCCCTGACAAAGATCCATTTGACTTTGAACACGCCCTTCCACTTGTCAGAGGCCCAGACAGTACTGCTTCGCGTATAGTCCACCGGGGTCATCATCTCAGCCATGCCACAGAAATGGCCCGAAGCATTGACACTGAAGAAAAGATAAATCGGGCCGCGCGACGCAGATTCTTTGAAAGCTTTATCAAGACGCTTGTTGCCGGGGTCCGTTGAGCTCCAGATTTCGTACTTCAAGGACTTGTGGACGTCATCCTCGGTGTAGGACTTGATCACGAAGTACCTAGCCTATTGAATCAAGTTAAGGCCCTATCGCAAGTACCAAAAGTCCGAAGTGGCTACTTACAAATGGAGGTTTGATGTCGAACGTAGCAGGGTTGTAACCCTTCGTGGCGATCAGAGAAGGCACGTCGATAGGCGTACTAATGAATGGTTGGATGGGAGTTTGACCGGAAGACCCATTGTTGTGAGGGGTGGTGACATTGGTAGCAACGCCCAAGCCGGGACGGCCTTGGTGCTGACCCTGTTGCTGGAGATATTGCTGGGGGATAGCAGGTACGGCCGGGATTGCCCCAGACCCACTGCTACCACTGGGGCTCTTACCATGACCGTTCCCTTGCTGATATCCGTATTGCATATTCGTGTTAGACTGACGATGCTGAAGGTGGTGCTGCTGGCCTTGATCCCAGTTCTGATTGTTCTGGACACGATTCGGCGTCCGTCTCCCGCCATCGTAGTTGTTACCACCTCCGATCACATTGCCCCCGTTACCACCCGCGCGGGGAGTACCACTAAACCTAGGAGGATAGTTAGGCTGGGTGGCGGCATATGCGTTGGCATTGTATGTATTGTTGCCCGCGCCAGAAGCAATTTCGAGAGTAGAAAGAGCTCGTTGGACGTCATCAATCGTAGCGTTGCCACCGGACGAGAAGTTGGGGTTGCCAGGAGCCCTCCAATCGTTGCTCTGCGACCATGGGGATTGTCTTCCAATTGCCCCACCTGTGTTTTGTTGTTGCTGCTGTTGACGGTAGTAGTACTCATCCTCAGCACTAGGGACGGTCGCGGCGTTTGTGCTGAGGTCCTCCGGCTCGTACGGATATTCCACTTCCTGAGAGTACTCTGAAGGGTCAGGGGTGGATGGTCCTTGGGAATGAGTAGGGACGGTGGCCTGTAGAGTTCCGGAGCGTTTAAGGCCAGCGTTATTGATTTTACGCTGTCCCACGCCAGCCCCATAAGTGAGGGAAACGTGTCGTCGGACGCCGGAGCCCGCAGGGGGAGGTGAAGGGACCTGGGGAGGTTGCTGGTTGAAGTGGGGAGACAGCGGCGAGGTGGTATTCGCAGCCTGAGATTCTAACTGCTGTTCCACGCTTGGATGCTGAGAAAACGACGGAGGATCGGGAAAATGAGCGACGATGGGGAAGACAGAAAAGTGATCTCGGCTCACCTCCTCGTCCTGTACATGATATTCGGCCAGGTTCCAGGGCTCCTCGTCGCCTTCGTGGCCTGCGATGGCTGCCAAACTGTTGACTGGAGCCTTGGGGGTGATATTGGCCGATTTTGAGGCATTGAAACGGTGGTGGTAGCGGGTTGGGAGGGAGCTCTGCCTGTGGAGAGAGGTTTTCTCGCCGACTGCGCCTACGTTGGTGACCCAATCGTCTTCGACTGGCCCGTCGTCGTTCCCAAGGCCCTGGTCGTTGGCCGTCTCTTCGGAAATGATATCCCTGGCCTGAGCCCTGGCGGTCCTTGAGGCCGCTGTGATTGTGTGGTGGCGTCGAACGGAACCACCTGCCGGGGACGCAGGATCCTGTTGGATTTGGGGCTGATTCTGGGACATTGTTGAGGGAGGAAGCCAAAGAGCAAAGTCCTGATCAAAAGTTGGCGAGGCCCTGTGAGAAAGCGCTGATGATAAAACCAGGTTAGCTCCAGGCCCCAAATCAAATATCGAATGCCGTTAGACCTACAGAGCCATTCTTGTCTTTCACCCTCATGTTCTCCTCGTTGCGGCGGCCAACGTCCAACGTCGTAGCCAGACATCTGCAGGTCAGATTCTCCAGCTCCAGTTCACAATCCAAGCCACGGTTCTCCAGAGTCGTTGGTGGTGCAAAGACAGTTGCAAAGTACGGAGGATATCTTTGCCTATCAAGCGTCATTGGCGTCGCGACGCTTGGCGTTGGAATCCTTGTCCATGATGCCTTCACCTATAACGACCGACATGTCGACCGTGTCCCCGTCTCGCCCCTGGCCCTCAATCCCGTCAAAGGCGGGCCAAAGAACCTGCCAATAGTCAGTGTACAGTTTGGAGACGAGGAGAATGAGGACATGCAAAAGCTTCTCGACAGGCCCAAGCTGGTCATTGTTGGCGGAGGATGGGGGGTAAGTCAACCGGTCTTTGCCCGTGAACGTCTCTGACCATTCATGCTCATAGGCAATGGGTGTCTTGAAGACTCTCTACCCCGGTGACTACCACGTCACGGTTGTCTCCACAGACACTTACACGACATTCACTCCCCTTTTGCCTTGTATGTTCCTTTGTTCGCTTCACAAACACGCGTCCTGACACCCATTCCAGCTGCTGCTGTGGGGACCGTATCTGTCCGTTCTCTTATTGAACCCATTCGCAAGCTCATTGCTCGTTTACGCGGCCATTTCATTGCGGGCAAGGCAGTAGACCTTGTCATGAATGACCGTTTGCTCGAAGTGGAATTGACTCACAACGGCAAGAAGCAAAACGTCTACGTTCCCTATGATAAACTGGTCATCGCGGTCGGTTCTTCCTCTAGCACTCATGGTGTCCCCGGTTTGGAGCACTGCTTCCAACTCAAGACGATAGGCGATGCACAGGCTATCCGTCGGCGCGTGATGGGTAAACCTCATCCACCTACAATGATTTCAGCGTCCTAACAACCTCCATAGACAATTTTGAAGCCGCAAGTCTGCCCACCACTTCGCCCGAAGAGCGCAAGCGACTACTGAGCTTCGTCATCTGCGGCGGAGGCCCGACCGGTGTGGAGACTGCTGCAGAGATTTACGACTTCTGCCAGGAGGATATCATGAATTACGTCAGTGTTTCCTTCCTCAATGCCCTGCTGGTTGATATTTACAGCCGGAACAGTTCCCCAAGATTTGCCGTGAAGACGTTTCAATTCATGTCATCCAATCGCGTGAGCATATCCTGAATACGGTGTGTACCTGTGGCCTTTTCATCTCGCCAGAGCCTCGTGCTGATGCTCCGCGCCCTAGTACTCGGAAGAGATCTCCAAGTTCGCCGAGGCCAAGTTTGCCAGGGATAAGGTCAACCTCATCACTTTGGCTCGGTACGTTTAGCGGTCCTATTCCTGGAAACGCGACTCACCCAGCCACAGTGTCGCCGGTGTCACGCCAGACTCCGTCCTCTATACCACCAAGCGCAAGGATGAGTCCGGAAACTTGGTCACTGAGCAGCATTCCATTCCTACCAACTTTGTCCTCTGGTCAACCGGTATCGCCATGAACCCTTTCACCAAACGTGTCTCCAACCTTCTCCCCAATCAAGCCCACAAGAAAGCCATCGAGACAGATGCTCACCTCCGCGTCATCGGTGCACCAGAAGGAGAAGTCTATGCCATTGGCGATTGTGCTACTATTGAGACCTCTATCATTAGTCATTTCATGGATCTCGTTGAGACCTGTGATAAGGACAAGAACGGCAAAATTGATTTCGATGAATGGGAATTGATGGGTATGTGTTCTCGTCTATAGTCTGTCGAAGGGATATCCGCCTGACATTCGAGACACAGTCAAGCGGATTAAGGCCAAGATTCCAATGGCTGAAGACCACCTCGTCCAGGTCCGCGAATTATTCCAGATGTATGATATTGACTCGGATGAGACCTTGTCCTTGAACGAACTCGTCAAGCTTTTGGAAGAGGTTGGAAATAGAATTACCTCCTTGCCTGCTGTAAGTATCGGACCATTCGTCTGTCCCATTCACAGCCTAACCTTCTTTTCTTAGACTGCACAAGTTGCCTCCCAACAAGGCAAGTATCTCGGCGCCAAACTCCACAAACTCGCGCGCAAGGCCAGCGCGACCGCCAACTCTTCAGATACCACATCCCCTGCCCCATCTGGTACCGCTTCTGTCATCCACTCCAGGCCTATCTTCCCCAACGACGAATCTATCGCCAAACCCTTCAAATACTTCCACCTCGGTTCCTTGGCCTACATCGGCAATGCGGCCGTGTTTGACTTTGGCAAGTACTCCCTAATGGGTGGACTCGCTGCTATGTATGCCTGGCGCAGCATCTATTGGAACGAACAAGTCAGCGCCAGGACGCGTGCTTTACTCATGATCGATTGGATTATTAGAGGCATCTGGGGGAGGGATCTTTCGAGGATCTAGATTTCCGGCTTGGTGGCCATTTGCGACAAGCTCCATGCGGAGGACCACATCCGTCGGACAATAATTTCCTTTCTTCACTTGAACGTTATGGACTCTTTTCTGGTCAATTGACCCCCCATTTCTGTATACCTTTTCGATTTGATATCCTCCTGACTTTGACCTTCCTTTCGCTCTTCACTCCGCTTCAGTTACGACCCGGTTACAACCTGTATTGTAAAACCTTATTATATCCTGTACTTTACCCTTGAGCCCTTTACCCTTGCCATGTCCATACCCGGACTCCACCCTTCCTTTTACCCTCCCCTTCCCAGTCTCTTCCATACTTGCGCACTTCCTGATAACCTTTCTCCTCCAACAACCCTTTCACTCCCAATTCATCTCTCAGAAGATCACCAAATAGAATAAGATGTTTGGGCCACTCGTGCCTCCAGTTCTGAATTCCCGGTTGCCCGGGATGAGAAGAGGGATAAGGTGAAGGCGGGAAATCGACGTTGACGTGTGGCGGGAAGTGGTTGGTAATGTAATATTTCGGAGAGGCAAAAAAGACGTCCGTTTGGTCTTGGTAAGAGGACAGGTTCTCGCCGCTGAAGCCCCAAATGCACCATTAATACCAAACACATCGGATGGCAGAGGACAGGCTTACCCTAAAGGAGGTTCACATCCAAGGGCCCAGATTCTGCCAGGAACCTCCGCAAGGACTTCTCTGTGGATATATGCATGGCCAGGTGTTGAGTGGCAAGGTGTAAGGAAGCCGACAGTATCGGTGAACGGGTTCTCGCTCTTCTGGTCGCCAAGTGGGAGTGACCTCACGTAGGAAAGCACGCTGATGGGTCCACTACAGTAGAACAACACCACGTAGATCGTGGCGGGTGCCATACATAGCAGAAACCAAAGGTGCCCACGGCGAATGGGAAGATCTTTACCAAAGACCGCAATTGATTGTGACGAGGTCTTGGCTTTGGGCTTCTGCTTTCGGAGGGTATTTGAGGCTTTGTCAAAGCTGGTGCGCAAGTTGACGAGGGATTTGGCTGCGAATACGTGTAGGAGGGGCAAAAGAGGGTGGATAAACCTCCACTCCTTGTGCCCTGCGAGGGAGTATATTCCCACCGACCATACGATCGTCCAGAACATGCCCTGAAGGGCGTAGCTCTTTCTAGGGGTATTGCTGTCCTTGAGCGTCGTGTACATCCCATGCAGAGTGAATGGGAGTGCAGTGGTGCATAATATCGGCAAAGCCTGCGACAAGTAGTAGTGCCAGGGACTACCGCCGTAGAACAGGGAGACAGAAGATAGGTTGGTGAGGAGGAAGTTGTAAGGGGTGAACGTGGATTTGCCGTAGTAGAGTGTGTCGATGACAAATAGAGCGAGCGTGGCAACAGTTCTGCGAAGGGATGTCAGTGTTGCAAGTTTTAGGTTGAAGGGAAGACACAGACAGGGCCAGGAGGGCATCCCGGACGAACGAGGCGACGAGGGTGCGGTATCGACCGTACGCCCAGAGCAACCGCATGTAGAGGAATGTCCAGATTACTGCATTCGTGGGTCTTATCACACATGCCAGTGCGCTGAATAGTATCATCTTCCTAAGTTTCGTTCTTAATATCGTTTGGTGAGCAAATGCACAAGCGGTCCGGTCCCAAGCACGTACTTGTTGAAGGTGACATGAGGTGTGACATCTGGGTGGGCGTCCCATGGGTAATAGGCGAATGCCAGTGAGCATAGAGACGTTTCGAGAGAGTTGGACAAAGTCCTCGAGAGCGAAAGTGCGTTGAAGAAACTGGTCAAGGACAGTAGAGCCTGTGGATGTGTTTAGAGGTATCCAGAGATTGAGAGGGATATAGCTCACTGCAGTCGACACGTAGTCGTTACCCAGAACTGCCCTGGCCAACCCCACAATCCCGAGGTCAGTGCCAGCGGACAGCGCTCCATGAACAATCTTTGGCAGAGCAATCTACAAAGGCGGTTGAGACTTCTCTATCATGCTCCGAAGCATACCACTCACCAGCAACGCGTCAAATCGATCCAGTCCAGTGACCTTTAGCAGCCAATACGCAGGGACATAGACAGCCGGGTATATGATACTTCGAATTGGACGCGTCGTGGTCCATTCCCAGGTCAAATGACCGTAACCAAAAACAGCCTGATGAGCTGGTTCTAATGCTTGGAAATATTCATCGGCTTGGAAGTAGGTCCTGGTTAGCAGAGCGAGGGCAATACGAAAAGTAACGACATAGAAGATGAAAGTCCGCATCAAAGGATTGTTTGGATTTTAGGCGCCGTCAACGGATGTCAAGGTCCGGTATCAGACCCACAGGCTTGCAACCTCTCCAAACGCAATTGGGATAATTACAGTAGATGATTTCAACAACGATGTTCAAAGGGTGTCGACACAGGAAATAGCGTTTGTAAATAAAGAAAATCTAATCTCCTTTCATTCACCGCTGGAGCAAAAACACCGCAGTGTACGAAGGGACGACAATATAATCCGTCGACGACACAGTGGTTGTCGTCTGAAAAGGGGACTATTGAGCCGAGCCTAGATCGAGCCAATGAACTTTACTTACCTGCCACTTGGCAATACCAGCTTCTCCACCAAAGTGTCGGAGGAAATACCTTCCTGGCGGAAGACCAGCGAGCGACAAGGAGACCGCACTGCTAGGGTTCTTGTTGACAATCACAACGGAGAACTTGCGCTTGTCGTCGATGGCGGCGTAGACTCCCAAAATGTCGGGATTGAATCCAGGGATTTCGATTTCGACACTGGTGCTTCCGAAGACGGTACCGTAACTATTCGAGGGGATACAATCAATAGGGGAGGGTGTCAAGTATACAAATAGCCTTACCCTCGGTAGAGCCAATACGCAAGACCAGTAGGGCCCAGCTCGTTGGGGGTCGCCCAGTATGTGGCGGCGTCGAGACCGTACTTTCCGAAGATACCAAGAGCATCTGCAGCGACGAGCCCACCAGTAATGTCGTTCTCATTGGTCGCACTCCATTCGCTGACAGACAATTTAGTTCCAGGGTAAATGTCTTGAATCATCTTCTTGAAACGAGGAATGAGAGAGACAACACGGGGATTGGGTTGGTGGTTTTGAGGGTCAGATCCAATCCAGGACTCGTCGATGTAGGTTTCATCCTAGTAGCATGTTAGAACCGCGGGCTGTAGGGACCGAAAGGATACTGACCCAAAGACTCCTGGTCATTCGCAAGCGCAAAGCCTTGGCTGCAGCATCCTCGGCGCTGGTGTCGGGTTGGAAGTAGTAGTGAATGTCAAGGTAATCCAAAAGCCGCTTGCCGTGTTGTCCTTCCAGATCTCGCATCTGTTGCAAGAACCATGGCAAGAAGTCGGTGTTGTTGTGCGCCTCGGTATCGCTCCATCCAATTGCACTGGTCCAGTCTGCGAACAGGTAAGCAAACGTAAGGTCGCAGATAGCAGATGGTACTAACAGAACCACCAAGAGCAAGGCGAGGGGGCGAGGACCTTCACATCAGGAAGTGCCTCCTTCGTAGCGAGAGCAAACCTAGTAACGCGATCGAGTTCTTCATCATAACTCATTGGCCTGCAAGACTTGTCGTCACCACACTAACTCTGTAAGATCGAGTTCTGAGAACTTACTCGGGGTGCATATCCGTATGAGTGTGAGCTGCTATCTCAATCTCATTGTCAATCGTGGCGAATTTAGGCTTGTTCTTCAACTGTGACAGCCAGGTAGTAGCTTGAGTGGTGTTCCAAGGGGTATAGGCCCTATTGGGGTCGGTTGGGGGTGAAAGGTTCGTCCCATTGGGGAATCGACCGTTTCCAGAATCAGGGTTATATGGGTTGAATCGCTCCTGCTCTACAGTTCCATGAGTACTCGTATTTTGAGGTGTGCCGCAAGCGTACCAGGGTAAATGCTCCTTGGGTAAGAGTACGAGGTAGCATCTTTGGCAACCCAATCTAAACTATGGCAATGTCAATATCGGGAAGACGAAAGGGGAGCAAGTTACATACGCAGGGACTGTCATAATGGCGTCAGAGCCTGCTTCATGGATCCAACCAATCCAGTCGTCGCTCTTTTCGTTCCCTCTGTTCTCGAAGAACCAGTCCGAACCTGCGTTAGTAAAGTGCTCAAAGGGATTATAGGCTGTCACGGCGTTTCCTCCCCATCGCGAAAAGGTGACACCCAGAGTACGGATGTAGTTGGCGTTCTTGGGCCAATTCACGCCATAGATGTGAGGGTCAATTTCCCGGCGTCTGCGCAGATCGAGCCTATATGTAATGTTTTGTAAGCGAAGAGGAGGAAGGCAAGCTTCTGACAACCTACCTAGCGCTCTGGGCACGGGGAAGGGTGTGGTTGAACGAACTCTCCCCGGCCACGACCGCAAGGTTACCTTGAGAAAGCGGTGAACCGAGGGTCAGGTACGTGATGGACTTGCTAGGAGTATCGGGTGGGCTGTACGAAGTGCGAGAGGTGACTCTGACGGGCTGTGCGTCGGTGAGTAGCTGTGCGCATTCAGAGTCTGAGAATACTTACCCTGCCATTGTGGAAGACCCTAACGGCCGCCGCGTCGACTTCTCCTTGAGTGGTGACGGCGACTGTGTTGCTGGCGATCGGCTCCGCGCTGAGGATCTTTGGCTCCACGACGAGGGCCTGGTGAAGGTTAGCATCTGCATAGAACCTGGGGGCGGCATACGTACTCCAACGAGCACAACGTTGTCCAGGTGGTACTATTATTCAGGTTAGTGGAGGTTCGTGTTGAACGATGCATGCAATGCTCACAGAAGCACCAGAGCTTAGCGCCTGGAAGGTGATTCGATCCCAGGTGCCTGAACCCTATGGGTTGGAGTCAGTAACCGCGTTTCCAGAGAACAAACATTGTGATTCTTACCAAAGGGGCGCCTGTCCCGGGCAACGACTTGAAGTCGATCAAAAGAGTAGAGAACTCGGTTGGTGTGATAGAGTCACTGATATCCGAGAGCACAATGGAGGCGGATTGGGTATCGTCGGTCGTGGATGTGAAGTAAATCTGCAGTCCCGGTTGGTCACCCTGGTAAGGAAGGGGATGGTCAGTCCCATTCACGGGTAGGGTGCGCCGGTGCGGACATCCACTTACCGCAATGTCAAAGCGGAGTCCAGCGTAATCTGAAATGGTGGCTGAGCCCTTCAAGGAGAGGGCAGCCCACTCAGAGGACTTGACGGCGAGAGACGTTCCCGACTCGCCAGCGTAGAGCTCGGAGTTGGCAAAGTCGGTTTCCGTATTCCAGCTCCAGTTCTCCCATCCTGAAGTCAGACCGTCGTTCTGGTAGATGGTGAGGTCGTCTAGTGCACAGACAAGCCCGACGAGGAGCAAGAGCGAAGAGAACACCCTATTCAAGGAAACCATGATACAGACAGACAGGCTAGATGGTGCCTAATTCCCTACGAACGCGGTCGTCCCGTTTAAATAACTTCGAAGGGCGGGAAAGTGACCGCGGTCTGAGTTCGGCAAAATGTATCATGCGCGCAGGAATGGGTAATTCACGGCAGAATCTTGAAAGCTTTCACTGCATGCGCGCCAATCCTTTCGTCCGAAGTGTCGTGTTTGTGGGATTGCTTCATGATTCGAAAGCCTAATAAGCCCTGACGGTGCCTGCGACAAGTCAACAAACGGTGCAGAGAGCTCATCTAAAGCCCGGTCAGGTGGTCAGGTGAGGATGGCGATATCTCCGTGTCCGCGAACCCGACTGTTCTGTGAGACCAAGAGAAGTTCAGAACGTCGTTGATCCTTAAAAGAAGACGCCCGGAAGCCGAGTTCTGTTGTTCTTCTACAGGTCCCTGATTTCACGGGCCTTCGCGGCCCAATTTGCTTCCGCATTTAACAAGGGAGTAGGTCTGCGCGATACACCGGTGTCCTTTGACGCTGGTGTCGTCGATGCTGAAGGGCTCGGGCGACATGGTGGTCAGAAAGCAACCCGTTCCGTTATATTTGATGGCGGAATTATCCACACTTCGCGCCATGTGGGGAGACCGCGCTTTGGTCTAAAATGCCCAGTACATAACGACCAAGTACGGTTAGTCATGTATTTCAACGACTAATCTCATCCAGAAGTCATGGAGCTCAAGCTGGAAAGTTACAGGGCAGCGAGGGAGGCTTTGATCAACGCAGATCGTGCCCTCCGACGTGATCGTTTGCCTCTTACCACCACGATCAACTCTTTAGGCCCGGGCGACCTAGAAACCAAAGCAGATGCAATCCTCAGACGAATTCGACAAGAAGAAGCTGACACGATATGGACAGAAGTGCATCCTTCAATCCCCCATCCATTCCCTGGGATGGAGTTTCTGACTGGTACGGATGTGTCTCTTCATCAAGGAGAACCAGTCGCTCACGCAGGTAAAGGCAAGTCAATCATAGAAAAAACCAAGATTTTCAAGATCTTGAGCAAAGTGAGTTGAGAGCTGAACGTTAATCACACCACAGGTACACTGATATGTTCTTCAGATGCCCAAAGGTGGCCTTTTGCACGCACATTTGGACGCCACGGTCAACGCCCAGGTTCTTATGAAATTAGTCGAACAATATCCTGCATACCACGTTTCGGTAGACCAGGTTCTCACTGAGGAGAATCTATATGCAGTCTTACCCCAGTTCGAAGTTTTCACTGCCGCCGGACATGCAGCGACGAGTATCACAAGTGATTCCTACTCCCTTGGTTCCTGGGTACCTTACCAAGATGCGAGGAAGAACTTTGCCTTTGGGGGCGCTGACGGTTTCGATCGCTGGGTCAATGCAGCCTTGACTATCAACCCAAAGGAAGCCTACGAAACCTACAATACCAGCACGAAGGTAAGCATACGAGGATCCCTGCTAGGACAACAACTTGGTCTCATTGACCTTTTCCTTGCCAGATCTGGGAAAAGTTCAGTAGTGTGTTCATCTGTGCGAGGGTATGTTCCAAACCTTGGTGGCTTGGTTTCTCATTTACCAGGCCCGTGCAGCCGTTGGTGCTTTACGAACCTGTTTTCGAGCAATATGTTCGAGAATTCTTCTTGTCATCCATTGCCGATGGAATCTCCTATGTCGAGCCAAGATTCAATTTCTACTACAAGTAAGTATAGACAAACTGTATCCTGATGCTGTTAGGATTGGCTCATAACAAACTCCTCAGGACCATGGTCGGTGCCGACGGAAGTCCCCTTGAGCACAGGCAGTGGCTGCTCATTTTCGACCGAGTATTAAAGCAGGTGAAGGAAGAACTTGAATCACAAGGCCGCGGAGACGAGTTCCACGGAGCGAGGGTATGACCACCAGACTCCGTTAAAATCATTGCAGCTGATACATGCCCTTCAGGTGATCTATACCTCCTTGCGTTTTCTCAGTCCCGAGGAAGTGGAATGGTATCTCGAGGACTGCCTTGCTTTGAAAAAGGAATTTCCCCATCTTATTGCAGGTAACGCACATTCCCTGTCCAACTGCCGTCCCCCAGTTCTCAGTTTTGCTCCAGGATTTGACCTTGTCGGCGAGGAGAATGCAGGAAGGCCGCTCATAGATTTCCTTGAGGTATTCATGAAGTTCGAGGCCCGCCAGAAAGAAGAAGGCGTATCTATTCCCTTCATTTTTCATGCTGGAGAAACACTGGGCGACGGGACCCATGCTGACTGCAATCTCTACGATGCAATTCTGCTGGGGACGAAACGAATTGGTCATGCGTAGGTACCTACCGTCATCCTTCTCTGGCTGTGCGCTCATTCCAGGTACTCAGGTTCTCTCTCGCCAAGCACCCGGAAATCCTCAAGATCTGTCGAGAGAAGGGTATAGCGATCGAGGTCTGCCCGATATCGTAGGTTCACTGAATGTATTCGCTCATGCATACGATTGACATGATACTGTATCACAGGAACGAAATATTGGTCTGTGTCTGAGCGCGCTCTCTTTCCAGGAAACCCGGCTCTTACGCCCTTACGCCATGCAGAGACTTACTTCTTCGATGCCGGCACACCCCCTTCCTGTGGTCCTAAACAATGGGGTGCCAGTCGCGTTATGCTCAGACGATCCAGCGGTATTTGGAAATATGGGGTTAACCTACGACTATTACCAGGCAAGGTCCTGAGTTGCCGTTTCTCGATTGGTCAACTGACTGTCAGTGAAGGTTTTTGTGGCAAGCGAAGTAAATGGGCTGCGTACTCTTGGCAAGCTGGCGCGAGACAGCCTCGAGGTATCTAATAATCCTTTCTACGCCTGAACTTAATTTGACGTCGGACTAGTTTTCTACTCTTGATGGAGAAGAGAAAGCGGCAGCGCTCAGGGCATGGGAACGACGCTGGGACGAATTCGTTCGATATATTGCGGGGTTAGAGTAGTAGTATAATGACTTTGTAACTGTTTGTACTGTGCTTGAAATGCTGTTACTTTAAGGGTTTGATTCGTTCTTGTACCCTTACCACCATCATACCGTGCGTCCCCAAGGTTGTACACAGCATCGTCTACAACGAGCAAAGGTATGTCGTCGTCGTTGCAGCGCGCTCCCCCGTCGCTTCGCATCCCCCTCTCATCCTCCACTCCCTCTGCATCAGACCACATTATCCTTCACGCAACTCCCAAGCCCCACGACTCGCATCCCCAATCCGTGTCCAATAGCTTCATTTTGTGAACTAAATGGGTCTCTCAGGCGCTGAATCTAACCGCAAGAGGTCCCGTTCTCCGTCGGACAGCGACAACCAAAAGACTTCCAAGCGCCCGAACACTGGCGCAACCCCATCCTCTCATGAACCTGCAGCCAGTACGATCATTCATTTCTTTCTATCCTCGCTGCCCATTCCAATATGACCATAACCAACGCTTCTCCCGCCACCATTGTAGTCTCCCGTTCTGATACCGCCTCCACAGCAAAGGCAGACGCCGCCGACGATGCTCCCCAGAACGGTGCAACCACTTCCGCTGAGCCGACCTCCTCCACCTCGACAGCGCCCCCGCCTTCTGCTCACATCCACATGAGATGTCTTATCGTTACCCAAGATGCTTCTATCATTATCGGAAAGGGCGGAGCCCACGTCAACGAAATTCGTGAAAAGAGCGGGGCTCGTGTCATGGTTTCTGAAAGTATCCCCGGGAATCCCGAGCGTATTTTGAACGTGTCCGGTCCCTTGGATGCAGTTTCGAAGGTACGTGAGGTATCTGTGCTATAATATAGGAGTATCCATCTAACAGCTAAGTCTCCAGGCGTTTGGCTTGATCGTTCGAAGGATCAACGACGAACCATTCGATGTACCTTCCGTTCCAGGCAGCAGGGCCGTCACGATCAAATTCATGATCCCTAACTCGCGGATGGGGTCAGTCATTGGCAAGGCTGGCTGCAAGATCAAGGAAATTCAAGATGCGAGTGGTGCTCGCCTCAACGCAAGTGAAGGGATGCTTCCTGGGTCCACGGAGGTAAGGCAATACCTTCTTCGTTATCCATTTCCAGTAATAACGACGTACTATCAGCGGGTTCTGAGCGTGGCGGGAGTGGCAGACGCGATTCACATCGCAACCTACTACATTGGCAACATTTTGATTGAAGCGAACGAGCGCTTACCTTCTTCCAACGGTTCTTCATATCGCCCAATGGCGGGGTCCTCGGCCTCCAGCTCGCGGCGACACCACTACACTGGTTCCTCTTATGTACCTGGGCCCTATCCAGGGTACCCTCCACCTCACAACCCACCCCAACAACTCCAGACGCAAGAAATATTCATTCCTAATGGACTTGTCGGCTGCATCATCGGCAGGGGTGGAAGCAAGATCAACGAAATTCGACACATGAGCGCAAGTCAAATCAAGATCATGGAGCCTGGTGCTGGCTCTGGCGGGCGGCCCGCTCCAGAGGGCGAGAGGTTGGTCGTTATTACTGGCAACCCACCCAATGTTCAAATGGCGATACAATTGCTCTATACTGTGAGATCCTCCTTCAATGGTTCGTTATTTCAAAGCAGCTGACCTGGCTTCCAGCGCCTTGAACAAGAGAAGCAAAAGCAGCTTCACTCAGCGCAACCGTCTGCTGAGGGCAATTAGTATGGACTTATCTCTCTCCCCGCTCCAGTTTCTTCAGTACCTTGTATCGCTGCTATATTGTCTCCATTTTGTACAACTGAAGCAAGTTCAGGTCCCTTTGCTAATCAATCGACCTTGTACATATCTTGTCATCCATGTGGCTCTCGTATATCCGTTACTTTGATATGCTATTGTTGAGTCTTTCCATGTCTATCCTCAATGAACGTGTCGAGCTTAAGCGTGCGGTGAGCGATGCGGATTTAACGGCCCGACAATGATAACGTAATCAAGAATTTGCGCTCGAGGTTGGGAGGGACATTGAGCTCGAGAGTAAACATTTCTTCCTCGTCGTTTAGCGCCATGGCCACCGTTCTCAAGACACAAAAAGCAAATGCCTCCAAAGGCAAAAGAAAAGCGGACGATATGGAGGTGGACGACGCGGGCGCTGAGATGCAAGTCAAGCGCAAGAAAAACAAGCAGCGGGTGTTGCTTCTATCTTCTAGAGGTGTAACGCACCGTATGCGACATCTTATGAACGATATTGAAGCACTGTTGCCACATGTGAAGAAAGGTGCGTCCATACAAGAACTCTGCATGTTATAGACGCTGAAGAGAGACCTCAGATGCCAAACTTGATTCCAAAAACCAGCTACACCTTCTCCCTGAACTTGCTGATCTCAACAATTGCAACAATACGCTTTACTTTGAGGCTCGACGTCACGAAGATCTTTACCTATGGGCAGCCAAAACCCCCAATGGCCCCAGTATCAAAATGCATATGCAAAATATCCACACCATGGACGAACTGAAGTTGACAGGCAATTGTTTGAAGGGAAGCAGAGGTTTACTGAGCTTCGACGCGAGCTTTGATGAAACGGAATGGGGCAGGTTAACGAAGGAGATCTTCACACATGTGAGTTATGTCCAGCTTCTTGGAAACCCCATTTCTTACCTTGACTAGATTTTCGGCGTCCCACCTGGCGCAAGGAAAGCAAAGCCATTCATCGACCATATCCTCACGTTCTCGATTCTTGACAACAAGATATGGTTCCGGAATTTCCAGGTTCGCCGTCTGAATCTTCGGTACAGTCGAAGAATAGAACAGCTAACTTTTCTATTGTTGCCCTAACGCGTTTAGATCGTCGAAAAGGATCCCCTACAGCCAAACGGGCCCCCTCAGACGTCGCTTGTGGAAATTGGTCCGCGATTCGTCCTTACCCCCATAAGAATTTTCGAAGGCGCTTTCCATGGCGCCACTGTGTATTCCAATCCCGGTGAGTGTCGGCCCCGACCGCAGTTCTGCCTCGCCGATCCCATTGTCGCTCGATTTTGGGTATATGGGATCAACTCTTCCCTATTGTCCCTCTTTCGCTTAACTTTCCGTCTGCCACCCAATGTACTGACTCGAATATGACGTACAGAATTCATATCACCCGCCGCTGTGCGCTCTGCCATTAGGAGACAGCAAGGCAGCAAATACGGGCAGCGGAAAAAGGCAGAAGAGGAGTCCGCAAGAAGGAAGGAATTCCGACGACGCGAAGAAGACGAATTGGCTGTTTCCAAAGTCTTTGCCTGATCGTTCTATGGACTCACAGGGATCGATTCTCGGACGTGTTTTCGAATCTTCAAAGGCGCCTTTCCCATCACCACGTTGTGTTCACCTTGTTGTTCCGGTATTCAGGTACATGCATAACACCACTCTTTGCGGCCAGATAATATACAGGCTATTCTCAGAACAAAGTGGATGAAGCTTAGTCATCAGATGGGACTTGAGCACACAGGGGAACAAAAGGACTTCCCAACGCGTTCAGCGCTTCGACGCGACATTCTCGGTGCCAATGCTATGGCGATTCGGTGACTGGGTACTGATTATATGGCGCCTCCTGATCGCCTTGTTGTAGATCTACTCACGCAGTCATCTGGCCGACCAGACGGAGGCAATTTAATCCCTTTTCCTTTCAGGACTAAGCGCAGAATTACGACAAATTCCAGCCAGAACTCTTTAAAGGTAGATGTCTCATTCCCCTTTGTGTTCTCAAATTGCCACTTATTGATTCCCTTTGCTTTTGTTCCCCACAGGTTTCTGAACAAAGCCATCTAGGGGTTGCTCGATTTATAGAGCATCGGGCTTCTGCTGGATTCCAGTTGCCCCTCCCTTTTCCCTTAGGCCTCAACCCCCACGCGTTCCCTTCGTCCCCCGAAAACCCTCAACTATTTCTGTCATGTCGCTGACACTGTCTATACATCCAATGTGCGATACGCTGGACATGTATGGGTCACCAGATCCGAAGTAAGTCGCGGCCAAACTTGCATTCATTGGAAACAGTGTTGACTTCGCGGTAGCTCAGCATATTCACTGTCTGGAGTCGTCTCGATTGCTGTCTCTTCACCGTACTCTATCTTCGAAGGCCGCAAGACGGCTCGACTATTGCTTCAATCGCTGTCGATAACCTTTGAAGGACAATCGGAAATCTACACCCCCAACACCGGATACTCTTCAGTTCGCCTTTGCTCCATCACGCGTGAATTGGCACCTGAAGAACCTGTTGAACTGTCCAACGAGGGCCACGAGGACGATGAGCTCCCTTGTACGTCTACTCGCGGTTTTCCCTTTTAACTCAATCTAACAGGCGATTCATTAGGTAAATGGGACGTAGTCTTCAACCTCGCCACGCCCGGGTGGCTCCCTGCTTCCACTTATATGGGAATTGAAGATATCGGCATTCGATATGGTCTATATGCCACCGCCAAATTCATCAACCTGGAGACAGAACAACCTACAACATTTTCACTCGCATCGCTCTGCACACCCTTCCGATCCCGCATTCGATCTGCAGAGAGTAGCAGGCCGATAACCGTCCGCCGTTTTGTCCTTCCTCCACATATCGAGCAGCCAGAGCCCACCTTCATCAACTACCTCGTCAAGTCTCGGACAGCGAGTAGAGATGACGCCAAGGCGGGGATTCCTGCAGAGATCTTGTCGAAGATCCAAGTGTTAGCGTCGGTTCCCGAAACCGTCAGTACGGAGGAAACTATCATGCCCGTCACTATTCGACTGAGGACGAAGGATTTGGAGTCTGTCGAATGTAAGCGACTGCAAGTCACGGAGATTGGCATTGACATGATCCAACAAGAGCGGTGCAGGTAAGCAGGTGTTTCGTTAGCCCAGGAGCTTAGTCTGACGACTGCCCAGGCATAGACCTTCTTCAAGTTATCTTGCTCGATATCCCCTTCCCCCACGAGAGATGCAACCTCCCAATTTACCGCTTCGCGATCCCCATCCGATGAGCAACATCTACGATGTTGGCCTTTATGTCACCAAAGAGCACTCTGAATCCGTTTGTCGAAGCTTCACGTTGCTGCCTGCCGGAGAAAGTGGGAAATATAAACTTGCCGATAACAACTACGCATTCGCCAACGACGCCGACCAAGGGAGTAACCCGACATGGTTCACTATGGAGACCCGAGTTCCATTTTGCCATGTCAGCCGGGCCAAAAATGACATCGAGGTTGAGGAGTGGGCGGGTCCTGCCGTCATTCGGCCAAGTTCATCGAGCCCTTTGTTCAGCATATCGCATGAAATCTCACTCTCTCTGACCTTCACATACGACATGCCCGGATCCACCGAGAAAGCAAAGGAGAGGCTCAACTTCGCGGTGCCCGTGTGTTTTGGCCAGTACCTCCCTTCATCCGCCTCGATTCCTGGATCTCCTCAAGTCGAAGGACGGAATGGTCGTTCCGCAAGTTCCCTGACGCTTCCACCCTATTCTCAACTTTATGACTCCAACGGGGAGAGGAAGATTGATTATTCGATTCCCCTGCCTAGATATACGCCCAAAGAGGAGCACGCAGCCAACACCGGCGATTTGGCGCTAGAGACCTCGACATCTTCTGGCGATAAAGCAGAATCTCAGCTTCCCATAGGGGAGGATGTTCCCCTGCTGGCGCTATAATGGACGCCGCCCTACATATCACAGCCTTTTTGCCCTATTTCAACCATCGACACACTCGTTACCCTTTCGACCTTCACCGCCCACACCAGTTTTCACCCTATATTTCCATAATCAGGGATCTTCAGTACTTACTCTAACCCCTCATTAGTTAAGACGGCCGGGTCGTGCACCTTCTGCCATTCCTTTTTCTGCAGTTTGTTTGTTCTCTGCTTTTATCGCTTTGCTCTGCTTGTTCTCATCCGCATTTTTCATCCATCCCCGCACGTCCATTTGTTTGCATTTCACAATGACTTTGTTCCCCATGTAGCCTTAGTAGCAGCAACACAAGACATCCAATTCTTGTCTGTATTCTAGAATTACACGAACCCGTACATCGCGTATCCTAGTTGGAATGAGATATAATACCATTTGTCGACATACAGCCGCCGTAACCTGAGTCCAGAGGGCAAGCGTGTTTGGCCACAACAAAACGCGTTTCACGTGGTCGACGCGTCTAAACCTTTTCAACCCCTCAACCTTCCGTCTGGACATGTCCGAGTCAGAGGAGATCAGTAAGTCTTATATCCTTTCCTCCTGTCGATATAAAGCCCAGTTTATGGACATGTACAATGGCTTCACCAGCTACCTCAACAAATCCGGCGAAGCGCAAGAAACCAAATTCGATTCGCGCAGATGCAACTGGGCCGTCGAGGAAGACTGCTACAAATGCAAGGCGCCCGGGTCCAAAGAGCAAGAGGAAGAACGAACCAGTGGAGGAGGAACACGAGGACTCAGACGCTCATGAGGTAGCGATGGAGGATGCGAACGAATCTGGAGAAGAGGACGTAGACATGGAGGAGGAGGAACCCAGACCGGCGAAACGGGCGAAACAACCTGCCTCAGGCAGGTCTGCACCAACCGCCGCGGGCCAATCGAAGGGAAAAGGCAAAGCATCTGTCGCCACTATCAAGAAACCTAATCCTAAATCTTCGGGGAACGGGAAGCAGGTCGAGGTGCTTGAGGCGGACGAGGAAGAGGAGGAGGAAGACGGTATCGCTGCGGCGTACAACAGGGCCAATGCCTCGAATGCAGACAAGGCACGGAAACCTACAGCGAGCAGGCAACAACAGTCGAAATCGACACAGGAAACCAAATTGCTGAAGGAGAATGCTCGATTAAAGGAGGAAGTCCAGAGGGTGCGTATCCTGTTTATTCGTTGTTGAGTCACTCTCACACTTGGTCACTGCAGTTAAGCAGTCACCTAGCAGACATGAAGGCCAAGTTTGAGGAGCTGATCAATATAAGGGAAACGGAACCCGAAGCACTGTTAAGGGAACAGGACGCCCAGTTTCAAACACAACTTCAAGGTATGTCCTGCTTCCTTCCCAGGTTCAACCTTTGCTTAGTTCTTCCGTGAAGCCCAAAAGGATCTTATCTCTGACCTACATGCACAACTCGCAAAGAAGGAACCTCTGCTTCGGCATACCTCTGGGAAGCGAGCTGCCATTAACTTGCTGACTCGAGAGGAGGCGGATGAAGAAATCAAGAACTACAAGATCCAAGTTCAAAATTTGAAGCACGAACTCGGTGAAACAAAGCGAGTCGTTACTTCCAAGGAGAAGGATATTGAAGGGCTACAGCAAGAAAGTAGGCATACCGTTTCCTAGTCGTCATTCTCGAGCTGATTTTGTTTCCAGTCAAGGAGATCCGCTTCGAGCTTAAGACCGAGATAGAGAGAGGCAAGACACTGGCCGCGCGCCCAGCAGCCCCCTCTTCTGTCAATCGCAATGGTCCAATGGCATCGGGAACGAATGAAGTACAGTCAACGAAGGTCATTAGACTGTACGAGGACTTGACGAATGTCCTCATTTCTGGTGTCAAATGTGCAAAGAACACATATGGTGCCGAGGACTGGACGTTCAACTGCGTCTATACGCACACTGACCCGCTGCAGCCCGAGCTCGACGGTGGACCTTGTGAGTTCCGATTTCCTTCCTTCAAACTCTTGACCCCGGCTCACCTGGGGCCACACTCATAGCTCCATCCCTAAACTTCCTTCTCCGCTTCTGCAACGAACCCCCTGCTGGCCAGCCATATAAACCCGGCATGAAGCTGACCGAAATCATTCATTTCCAACCACTGGAACTGGACAAAGAGACGCCTGAATTCATCGAAAAACTGGGTTTCCTGAAGAATCCATTCTCTTTCAATAAAGGACAATTAGCTCTCCTTGTCAAGACATTGAGCGAGGCACTGGGTGACTCTGATGACGGCGACGACGACGATGACGATGATATGGAAACGTAGTCTTGTATTTCCTTCCACCCTTCTGCGATACCCCTCCGCCACTTCTTCCGTTTACTTTATTCAGTAGTCTCACGGTTCATGTAGTTAGTAGTCTCTTGGTTGTCTATAATCTACTGGATTTCTCCTCCTACATGCCGCACTTCTTCCAAAGAGCTACTAATTGCTCATCGTTGGATTCCATCGCTTCGTTGTAAAGGAGTTTGGCGAATCTCCTATCTGCTCCACCCAGCGTCGCCCCTGCTTGCACCAACGCATCCACAGTAGCTTCATGCCCTTGTCGAGCAGCCTATACTTCTGTTAACGAACTGTGGACGCCACCTAAGCAAAGTGACTTACATAGTAGAGTGCAGTATGTCCCATGGTATCCCTTAAATGTACGAGTGCACCCGACTGAAGGAGGAATTGCGTCGATTCTGTATGGCCGTTCAGTGCGGCAACATGGAGTGGAGAACGACCGGACGCTGCTTCTAGACAGTTCACGATACCCCCAGCAACCAGGCCGTACTTCGGCGTTTCTGTGGCCGGCGGAGGGGCTAAGGACTGTTCCACTGATTCAGCGGTCCCAAGACATGACCTCAAAGCCTCCAGATCATTCTTGCTGGCAGCCAAATGAATCAAGAAGGGATACAAGATTGCCTCGGTGTACGCCGCCTCTGCAGCAGTCCAAGTCCATGGAGCAGAGGTTTTCTGCGGGTCTGGGTGCTCCCCTTGTTCTTGTTCGTGGGTACTCAGTGTGATTTGCGGGCCGTGCGAGTGGGAAGCGCCGGGGCGCGCAGAGAGGCGAACGAATTGATTGAGGACGTGCTGAATGTTGTCCATGTTTTGGTTGATAGTGGCCTCGCTCGAGCTAGGGGCAGTCATCGAGACCCGTGTGAGCTCTCCACGTAAAGGCATACCCATAAGCTCACGAACTTCTCGAACCGAGAGTTCTGGCTTCGTGAGGAGATAGGATAGCTTCGTCAATGCGCACTGAGAACGCCCCCGGTGAGAAGCGCCGGCGTCACTATTGGTTCATGTACTCACCTCCGGTGTCATGTCTATACCAGGGACCACCCCAGCTTGCATGAGGGTTCGGCCTGTTTCGTATACGTCTGATACAGCGCCTTTCATGCATTGAGAGATCGCTACGATGACCACACCACGATCACAGGCCTCCCTTAGCGCCTCGATGACATCCGTCCGCTGGGGGGCATTCCCGGCTCCGAAGGTCTCAAGAACAACGCCTCGTGTCCCTTCTGAGCAGAATGCCTTGATCGTGGTCCCGGTAATACCAGGGAAGAGGCGAAGTGTTGCTGAAACCCGTAGGTTGAGCGCCCTGGGAGGGGAGACTCCTGAGCATTACTTACCAACATGGGGGGATAGGGCTTTATGAGATTGTCAGCGAGCTCGTTTGCTGTAGACGATGGAATGAGATGACACCTTTGTAGGCTTTGAATCGCCGTAGCCCCGTCTGTCGGATAACGTCGTTCCAGTTGACAACAATGTCAATTCCGACTGAATGCTGTCAATGACGGAGCTAAGAATGGATGAAGGACAACGTTACCTTTGACTAGAGGTTGGAAGTTCGGGCTGTCGAAAGCACTGAGGTCATTAGATGAAACCTTGGTGACTCGGTTTCCTCTGAATAAGGTATGATTAAAATACAAGCAACACTCTAACGGCGGATAATAAGATGAGAGAAAACAAGGTGTTTGAATTGCAGTGACCCACCAGGTATTATGTAGTGTCCAGCAATGCTGAGTGCACCCATTAGGTTGTCAGTTGCATCATTTCGTAGTTGCGAGAGGGGAATCTGAGCACCGGTTATGATCTGTTGTAACAGAGCAGTTCACAGATTTGTCGTGAGTCCAGCATCACGGAAGAAGCCTACCACTGTTTTCCCGAGGTCTTCTAACAAGAAGCTCAGAGCACTGGAGGTATACGACATGGTGTCGGTTCCATGCAGTATGACAAACGCGTCAAACGAGTTATAATTAAGTTCAATCTCAGTTGCGATTCTTATCCAGTCTGGAAGGAAGTGTCAATGACGGAGAGTTGATTCGTTCCTCGTTTAGCCGATTACCTGACATGTCCATATTGCTGCTATCGAGTAATGGGTTCCACTGCGGACGTCAGTCTCAACAAATTAAACCGAGAGATGAAAAAGGAGACATACCTCAAGGATCGCGTAACGAATCGATTTGCTAAGGCTGCTGCCTGGAGTTTTGGTCCGCGGAGTGACCAGACTGGGTAAATTGGCCTCGTATACGTTTTCTGCGATTTGTTTACACCGTGGATGGTGCTTCGACAGCGGGCTGTCCGGTACCAGACCAGAAGAGTGCCCAATTGGACGTGTCGACCTCACGCGTAGTGTCGGTAGAGGTACATCGGATGGTGTCGCTGTACCAGAGCTGCGTTGCGGACTCTCTGATCGACCATTTCCCCTGCTCCAGTTTCTAAAGCCTTGGACTGTTCCAGAGTGTGAAAACAAAGAGTCCTGTAAAGGATCATGGAAACGCGACTGGCTACGTAGAGTTTCCGTCAAGAAATAGGGCTCCGGAACATATCCTTGTTGGCCAACAAGCATGCCAATGGTTCCTCCTGTAGGGCGTGTTGTTGACTCGTTGTAAGCACAGGGAGCCATTATTATTAAGAAGAGATTCATGCCTGTGTATATGACAAGGACGCGAGACTCGTCTCCTGGCTGTGGCAATTCCATGATGATGACGGTCGACAGCAGGAAAGAAAGGAGCTGTCCGCCGTTTTCGGCACATGCGGACGCCAGTAAATAACGGCAAATATGATCGCCGATCGGCTAATTCGGAGCTACGCTTGAGACCACGTGCGGCAATCTAATGGAAGATCGGGATAATTTCTGGGACTAAATACCGAGTCACTTCTTTAAAAGAGAATCCATCGACCTCGACCTTTCTTTCCTTACCCCACTATTCAGGTCTCTAGGTCATCATGGAAGCTATCAAAAAGGTTTTCGAACAGAAAAAGGCTCAGGTCCGTCACCACTCACCCTTGATCTCGCATGGATTGTCCGTTGACTCGATCCCGTGGACCAGGATGCGACTGCCTTCGTTGCTTTCGTGACCGCGGGATACCCCAAGAAAGAAGACACTGTACCGGTCCTGCTAGCATTGCAGGCTGGTGGTGCAGATATCATTGAATTGGGCATTCCATTCTCCGATCCTATTGCAGATGGTCCTGTTATCCAGGAAGCAAACACTGTGGGTCAACAGTGACTTCGAGGTCGTGACGACGTTGACTGGTCTGCTCCAGGTCGCACTCAAAAATGACATTGATTACCCTACAGTTCTTGGACAAATAAGAGAGGCCCGACAACAAGGGCTTACCGCGCCTGTGTTGCTCATGGGTGCGTACAGACCGTCTCTCGAGCTATCAGACGGTTTATCTGGATTGATTTAGGCTACTACAACCCTATGTTGGCCTACGGAGAAGACAAGGCCATCCAAGATGCAGCAGAGGCCGGTGCCAATGGCTTCATCATGGTCGATCTTCCACCTGAAGAAGCCATCGCTTTCCGGCAAAAATGTGCCGCCTCCAAGTACGTCCTTGTCGCTTTGGATCTCTGTGCAATCTTGACGTCAACTCAGCCTGTCTTATGTGCCACTTATTGCACCCTCCACCACCCTCAAACGAATTCAATTCCTGGCTTCCATTGCGGACTCATTCATCTATGTCGTCTCGAAGGTGAGGCTTTCAAATCCCGCCGTTCGTTGGGACGTAAAGCATTTGATTAAGTACACCATCCTATCTTAGATGGGTACCACGGGTTCCTCCGCCAATGTCGCTGTCAACGAAGAACTGCCTACCATTCTTTCTCGCATCCGGGAATATACCCATGTCCCACTGGCTGTCGGATTTGGGGTCGCTACCCGGGACCAGTTCAACTACGTCGCCGATGCTGGAGCAGATGGTGTTGTTATTGGCAGTCGAATTGTAAATGCCATCAAGGCCGCCGGCGATGGAGAAGTTCCGCAATTCGTGGAGAACTATTGCCGAGAGGTATCTGGAAAGGGCGAGCCATCCCGCGTTCGTTCTCCAGGAGCCGCTCAACGCACGCCATCCCAGCTGACTCCCAATGCCGAAACTGCAAAGGGGGTGGAGAACATCCTTCCCGCTCGTTTTGGCCAATTTGGTGGTCAATACGTACCAGAGTCTTTGGTCGATGCACTTGCTGAGCTGGAGGAGGCTCACAAGTCAGCCATAGAAGACCCCGCCTTCTGGGAAGAAGTCCGAAGTTTGTATACCTACAGCAACCGACCCTCCAACCTCTACCTCGCTGAGAATCTCACCAAGGAAGCTGGTGGTGCCAACATTTGGTTGAAGCGAGAAGACCTGTTCGTTTATTCAGCTGGTCTGTCGTGTCTGTGGTTCACAACTCCGTTATAGGAACCATACCGGATCGCACAAGATTAACAACGCTCTCGGCCAGGTGTGTAGCTCAGGATGTCATTGTAAGCCGCTGGCTGAATGTTTGGGTTTCATTAGATCCTCCTCGCCAAGCGGATTGGCAAGACGCGAATCATCGCAGAGACCGGTGCTGGTCAACACGGTGTCGCCACTGCAACAGTCTGTGCCAAATTTGGCCTCGAATGTGTCATCTACATGGGTGCCGAGGATGTGAGGAGACAGGCACTCAACGTCTTCCGGATTGAAATGTTGGGTGGAAAGGCATGGGTTCTGCTTCTCACTCTCACGACACACCGTTAACGGAGCGTTAGGTTATTCCCGTTCACTCCGGCTCCTGTACCTTGAAAGACGCGGTCAACGAGGCCATGCGCGACTGGGTCACCAATCTCTCAACCACCCACTATCTTGTTGGATCCGCCATCGGCCCCCATCCCTTCCCGACCATCGTCAGAGACTTCCAGAAAGTCATCGGAGAGGAGATCAAGGCACAGCTGAAGGAAGTTCGAGGAAAACTCCCTGACGTCGTCGTTGCCTGTGTCGGTGGTGGCAGCAACGCCATTGGAACCTTCTACGATTTCATTCCCGATAAATCTGTTCGCCTTGTCGGTGTCGAAGCGGGGGGTGAAGGTATCGATGGACACAAGCACAGCGCTACCTTGTCTATGGGCCAGCCCGGTGTCCTTCATGGAGTCAGGACGTACATCTTGCAGGATAAGGCGGGTCAGATTATCGAGACCCATTCGATCAGTGCCGGTCTCGACTATCCAGGTGTAGGACCCGAGCACGCTTGGTTGAAAGACTCTGGTCGTGCAGACTACGTCGTTTGCACCGACGAAGATGCTTTGCGTGGTTTCCGAATGCTCACTCAGAAAGAGGGCATCATCCCAGGTATGTAGCCATATTCCATGTTGTGTTATTTCGACACCGACTCCCCTTCAGCGCTCGAGTCGTCGCACGCCATCTGGGAAGGTGTCAAGATCGCTAAATCACTGCCAAAGGATAAGGACATCGTCATTGTACGTTTGACTCTGCTTCCTCTTAATTGCGTTTACGAACGTTCTTTCCACAGTGCTTGTCTGGCCGTGGAGACAAGGATGTTGAACAAATCTCCGAGCTGCTGCCCAAGTGGGCCGATAAGCTCGACTGGCACGTCTCTTCGAATGCCATCCCTTCGAAGTAAAGATTTTAGCGCCCGGATTCCATAATCAGTCGTGATATAAAGAATGTACAAATACCAGTCATAAAAGAATTTTTATGTTTCTTAAATCCACCAATAGTGTTTGAGGGGGTCATTAAAGGCATGAAGGAAAGGAGTATATGACATGGGGAGGGAACTTGAAGTACCCGACTCGGAGGTAAATGACGCTAAGGCCGTGATCGATTTGATCAAGAAAAGGAAATTGCAGACCCAGCTTGTCTTTGCAACGCGACCATTGTCTTGACCATCATCTCCCTTGGGTACACTTCCGGCCTTTGGAGCTTTTCTGCCGACCTAAATCTCTTCCACAATGTCTCCTGAGCGGGGTGCATCCCAACAGCATCGGTCTGTCGAAATCCTCGCAGCCAAATTGCGTCGGCGGTCAGTCAGTCTCACGCTCGACCATCCAATGTAGTCGGTCTCAACCGGAGGGGATGAACCAGGCAAATAGTTGGGTCAAGAATATCTGCACTCGAAACTCTGCTAGTTCTGCGCCAGGTCATTGCTAGATCCCGGTTCTCAAACTTTGACCAACTCGTTGAAATCATTCGTGGGGTTGGACGTACGCTCGTTGAAGCACAGCCCAAAGGTCCGTGATTGCATTATTTTCTCTGTGAAATGGTGTTGAAAGGGGAGGAAACGCGGGTTATAGAGCATTCTGTGGGCAACACAGTCAGAAAAGTACTTCATCACATCCGCGAAGAGTACCACACGGCAATCGGCAGACAAAATCAAGATGCATCCTCAGGATTCTCGATATCCAAATTTGTTCTTCAAGGACAACCAAGGAGACAGGCCCCAGCTCCTAAGACCGAGATAAAGACCACCTTGAAGGAGGATGATCCAGACGATCCCGATTCGTTTGCCCGAGGATTGAAGCCAGTGTTGATGGAGGCTATTCAAGACGTTTTGGATGAACTCGAGACCGTTTACGATAATGTTTCGAAAAACGCAAGAGATCACATCCATCCTGAGTGTGTTCGCTCATTACTGGTGCCCCCTGTCCTGAACTGACCATTCGAAGTGAAATCATCCTTACGCTGGGGAGATCAAAAACTGTCGAGACTTTCCTCAAAACGGCAGCACACAACCGGCATTATACCGTGATCGTTGCAGAATCAGCTCCCTCGTGCGTCGTGAAAGCATACATAGTGCTGCCTTGCGTCTAACAGATCTCATCCCTTGCTAGATATGACGGGCGAGAAATGGCCAAATCGCTGTCGGCAGTTGGCATCTCCACTTTCCTGGTTCCAGATTCTTCAATATTCAGTCTCATGTCCAGAGTCAATAAAGTCATCCTTGGGGCACATGTCATCCTCGCCAACGGCGGCATGTTCGCGCTCAGTGGCTCTTTAGTAGCCGCCACAGCGGCCAGAGCCCACAGCACCCCAGTTGTCGTTTGCGCAGGTCAATTCAAACTTACACCCCTCTGGAACCTATATCACGAGCACGCTTCTCTTGATTTTGGAAATCCTACTGAAGTCCTGGGCTTCGAAGAGGGCGATCTGGTGGATAAAGTTGATGTTGTCAATCCCCATTATGACTATGTCGACCCAGAACTCATCGACGCCTACATCACAAATGAGTAAGTGGATCACCAAGAGCCCGTTTGTCTTCACAGAATTAACGATCCATGTTCAGTGGCGATCATCCTCCGTCATCAATATACCGGTGAGCTTCTTTTTCTCTGAGGCTCCAAGCACGATGCAGTTGAAACTCACCCTCGTTTTCTACAGACTTCTTAAAGAAACATACGACGACGAAGACAACGAATTGTAAATTAGAAGCACAACCGGGAATTAATCCAATAGTATTACTATTACTGAAAGCTCTATAGATCCAGCCGACTGTACCAGCAGAAGCCCATTTCTACTTTTTTGTACTGAGAATGTCGAAGAACGCTTCTTGCGGTAACTCCACACTGCCCATCTTTTTCATCTTGCGCTTGCTCTCCTTCTGGTTCTCGAGGTGTTTCATTTTCCGTTCATAGTGACCTACACGCAGCATGGGTTAGTATTTCCAATCCCTTCATCGAGGACGGATCACGGAAGATAGCGTGGATAATTACTAACCTCCATAGAGGCCTGCAGTTACATCGGCCCGCAACGCCCTCAAAGTCTCTCGAGCGATGACCTTGCGTCCGATGGCGGCCTGGATAGGGACCTCGAATAATTGTCTCGGGATTACTTTATCTGAGACGAAAGATACCGAGTGAGAAAAGGAAAATGTTTTGAAGACGACAACATAAATTAGACTCACGGAGTTTCTTGACCCACTGGCGACCCACTCGATCTTGTGCGGAGCGATGAACGATAAGGGCGAGTGCGTCGACTGGCTTGCCGTTGAGGAGGAAGGACATCTAAAATTGCAGTCAGTTGATGGCCGAGAACCACAGCGTAAATTGTGCGAATAACCTTGGCAAGGTCACTCTTTTTATAGCCCGCATCTTCGTAACTGTTCAAGTCGAACTGGTTCAGTAGTTATTGCAAGCTGGGAAAGGGGCGGGGGCTCACTCAAAACTGGCAAAGCCTGAGCTCCGGCTCTTGAGCTGGTCAAAGAAGTCGGTCACAATTTCACTCAAAGGCAGAACGCAAGTGATCATAATCCTAGCCGCCGACCCAGTCCCAGCATCCAGATATCGATGTTCCAGCTCCTCGCCGCGATGTTCAAAGCACAGTTCCATCAGTTCACCCATGTACTCTGACGGAAACGGAAATTTAGCGCTGACTTTCCGGATAAGACTCTAAAATCTTTTCACCTTCTGGTACGATCATCGAGGCTTTGACTACTGGCTCCTGCACTTCTTTGACTCTGACAGAGGTGTCTCCCACATCGGGAAACTCCGTCGGGTTACTAACAACCTGTTCTCGACCGTCGAAGTACACGACTGAATGCGAAAGTCAGCCAACGGGTGCAGGCTCCAAAGGTCATACGACTTACTTTTGTATGGGACCGTTGGAGATGTAATGATGACGCTCGCGTCATACTCATCTTCCAAACGTTGCCGGAACACGTCCATGTGCAAGGTCCCGAGGAACCCAAGTCTGCAACCCTGGCCCAAGGCGGAAGACGATTCTCGCTGCACGGTGACACTTCTATCCGTTAACGTAAGCTGAAGAAGACGAAATACGGGTTAAACACGACCTCGACTACCAAAAGGCGAAACAAACCCGGTTGATTGATTCCTCGAGCTTAGGGAAGTCGCTATTCTCGATTGGAAAAATACCGGCGAAAACCTGAACCAAAAGACGTTAAGCATGACGACGGACGAGGGACGCTCGACGGTGTGAATATTACCATTGCCTTGGCTGGTTGAAACCCTGCTAACGGCTCGACTTTCTCACCAAGTCGATGTAAAGTATCTCCAACATGGGCTGAGTTCGTTGTCAATTAAGCTGTGATCTTGACGAAGCATAAGATCCATCCATACCCTCCGAGGACTGCTTCATTCCACAGGCGATGTAACCTACCTGGCCAGGGTTAAGGCCTTGCGTAGGAACTTCCTCGGGATACATGATACCGATGTCCGTGACTTCATATCGCTTCCGCGTATGGCAAGAAGCAATCTTGTCCCCTTCGAAATGAGGAAGCATCAGCCATGTGGTAGAGGCCAGAAGAGAAATAGACATCGGGTGTTGTACCTTTGCGAAGTGACCCTTGCTGGACGTTGATCAGGGAAATTACCCCACGATACCGGTCATAACTGCGTCGTAAGTTTGCAAAGCGCTTTAGGGGTGAACGATCAACCTACAAAGAATCAAATAAAAATGCCTTCAAGGGGACTTCTTTTTGACCCTGTGGTGCAGGTATTCGGTCGATTATAGCTTCTAGAACGGCTTCTACACCCAGCCCAGTTTTCGCGGATATATGCAATATCTCGGAAGGGTCGATGCCAAAGGTTGCCTTCATTTGTTCCGCGATACGCTCTGGTTCAGCCGCTGGAAGATCGATCTGAATGGCTTGGTGTGAGATTTGGGGTGGACGGTTTTTGCTGAGTTACAAACCTTGTTGAGCACGGGAATGATTTTCAACCCTCGTTCCCGTGCATTGTGGAAAACGGATATGGACTGCGCTTGGACACCTTGACTGGCATCAACCTAGTGACCATGGTGAGAACACGGCAATCGGAGAAGTGAACGCATGTACGAGAAGGAGAGCTCCTTGACAGGCAGCAAGCGAGCGGGAAACTTCCCAGGCGAAGTCGACATGACCCTGGTACCATGTCAGGATGGCTTTAAGAGACAATATTTGCTGTCATACCGGAGTGTCAATCAAGTTCAAGAGATACTTCGCGTTGTTTCGAGTGTGGAACATGCTAAAATAGACGTTGAGCACGAATTAACTTGACTAGGTACAGGCAGCGGACCTGGCAGTTTGGGCCTTAACTGGGATTGAATTAGAGCATTCAAGTGACGGGTTAGACTGAGGGACTTACCAGTGATGCCCCGCTCCCGCTCAACCTTTAGCTTATCCAACACTTGTTCATTCTTCCCTTTCTCTTTCTTGTTGATAGTCCCGGTCAACTGTAGTGAATGACGACGTCAGAGCCTCCGGGGAGTGACTACGGCCTGCAAGAACAAACCTCGAGCAACCTATACAGTCCCTGGCGGTCAGATAAAATATGAGTGAGGGATAATACGACTCACCTGTCCGCCAGCGTTGACTTTCCATGGTCTTATTCGACGTTCAATGCCACGAAGAAACAAGCGCGAGTGACTGGCCTACCAATGTGTGCGATGATAGAGAAGTTCCTAAACTCCTATGAGCCACGTCCTTCTTGAGAGATAAGAGACGCACCTGATGTATTCTGTGGTATACTCATCCAGCGATAAAGGAGGCCTAGGTGGCGCCGAAACTGAGTTGGACACAGAGAAACACCGTCGAGCGCTTTTGACGACTGTGACGCAAAAGTAATGGGGTCGGGCGCTACTTAAGACTCGAAGACATGGCGCCTGCCAGATATTTTGCATACCACGAGCAGCGGTGTAGAACCTGGAGCTATAACAGTCCCCTGGTCCTTAACAAATGTCGCGGTAATAGGCGCTAACCGTCAGTAAGAAACTCGGAAACCTTGCACAAGGCGTCCAAGGCGTCCAAAAGTACTGCCGGTGCTGACTAAGCCCATCAATTGAGTTCTCGCTGTCGCGTTCATTGTCCGAGGTTGGTACCGACGTCCACAGCGCTCATTGCGACGGTCACAATGTCGTTGCAAGAGGCATCCGAAGCGCGAAAGGCTCGTCTTTTGGCTCTCAGGAGGCGCAAACTAGGCGAGGCCGACGGTGGGGAAGGGTTCGTTCTCCTCAACTGCTTTGGGCGCTTCTACCGACTAACCGCTTCCTCCAGTTCGTCAGAACCGCTCATTAAAACGCGAAATTTTGATCCTGTATCAAGAACACTGAAGAAATACGACGGCGATGTGGAGATGGAGGATACTGTAGAGAAGAAGGTCAAGGGTCTGGCAGAGCAAATCATTGCTGAAGACGAGGCACGGCGGCAGCAAGAACTCGTACGTGTGCAATCGAACTGCGGTGGCTGCAGACCCCTGATTTCCTGACCCTGGTTTTCAGGATATTTTTAACATCGCTCCCAAGAGACCTAATTGGGATCTCAAGCGTGATATGGAAAAAAAACTGGCGAAATTGGAGCGACGGACGCAGGAAGCAATACATACCCTTATCCGTAAGTCTTACCCGCTATCCTGGGTTATACTCTGGGCTCCTTACTGAGACATGATCATATTCCCTAGGCCAAAGACTTGCCGCACAAAAGGGAGAGTCCGACGACCTTGTCGGCGCCATGAACGCGCAAGAACGGCAAGATGCGAAGGCGGACCTTTCCGACGACGATGAAGACTGATAACAGGAGGCGTGGGCCTTTCTCTGTGTGGCCCAATATGTACCCGCCTGGACCACCCCAAACTTGAACACCTCCCGAAATTAAACACCGTTCAAGTTGACCCCCAATATTGTCCCCGCTTCTCCCAAGGGACGTGTACAACGCAGGTTCCGGGTTCCAATTATTACCGCACCAAATATACGATCATCAACTCTCTTTGGACTTTAAACCAGGTTCCTGTCTCGACACTCGACAATCCACCACGCGCCGCGGGTGGCGAGACGCCACATGTCGGACTGAATCCATTGGGCAACCCAAGGCCGTTCATTAGGCGCCGTGTTTCAGCCACAACTTCATCTTTACCCTCTGGGAATCCTCAAGAATCAAAGGTATAAGGGACGCCTTGTATAGTCCAGCCAATAGCCTCCGGCTTTCGTTACTGGCTATCAATGATACCGAATTTCTGGATTGGAACGACCTTTTGCGAACGGTTTCGGACCCCCCATCCTATCTCGTGGTCAACTCGATGTTGAAATTATCAAACGGTGAGTATTTTCGTGCAGGAATGTACATGTCAAAATGCGCGGGATTATGTGCTGGTCTGGGTTCTAGGGTGTGCAAAGTAAATCGGGAAGGCCCCATGCAAGCGGGTATCAAGAGGTCGGTCATACTGTCATTTCGTGTATTTGGAGTTGAGCATTTGGATGACCCTTTGGTCCTCGGGTAACCTAACTCCATGTGTACGCACTTGCGCATGTGAACACTGTGCGGGCTGCTGCAGTCCCGGGTGGTGTCCGATTGCAGCCTGTAATGGCGGTAGTGATGGCATTGTTCTGCTGGGAGAGACAGGGGGCGAAGGGGAATTATTGGCTGCACTTTCAGAATCATCGTCGCGGCCTCTGGACTTCCCGCTCTTGTAGATGTTCGGTGGTACGATGATTTTCTTCAAAAGCTCGTCGCAGTCGACAGTGGGGAGGTGTGGGAGGTCGGCATAGGTAAAGTAGGCGGTCAAGTGCCACTTTTGCGGTCGCGTTGGGTATGGGCCAACGTTGACCCAAGCTGAGTACGCCTGTTTCACGAGGCCTTTGTGGTGTGTTGTTGAACGTTCTTGATGTGAGAGGGCTGACGATGTTGGACCGGTTCGTGATACGCCGTCTACGAATCGAAACGCTGGTGCACTGTCGAACTGATCAGTCGTTTGCAGACCGCAAACCATCGCCTAAAGTCCTACCGGTTCGTTTCGCTTTGTGAACTGTCGTATGGCATCTTCTCGTCATAGAAGAGATAGGGCTGTCCAGAAGGCGCTCAGCGATTTCTCGGAGAAAGCTTGGAGAAACGGGGCTTACCTCCCGCATTCTGCTTTGGCCCCAGACCCGGCCATCTGTGAACAACGGAGGATTAAAACAAGTGATGGTAAAGTTAGTTTAAGGTGGTAATTACCTGTCCAGCGCTTCAGGCCAGCGTCGTCCTCGCACTCAAACCAGACGAATATGGCTCCGGATTTCACGTGGACGGCGCGCTCCATCTCGTTAAGGCGGCGGCGGATAGGTTGGAGGAAGCCTTGCCGGACGGCTTCGAATAGGACATGGGCGTCGTGAGCATCGCGGACGTGAAGACGAGGATGTGTAGCTTGCTGCATGGTTAGATTGAAAAACTGAGGCAGTAGCTTCCAGCACCTTATATATCTTCGGAGAATATGGTTCACGGTGCTCTTCCGTGAGATGTGTGTGCATCGAAAACTACCGGAGTCCATCGCCAAATTAATTCGATGAAGGAGTTCCGTGTGCATGCCATGGAAGTGTAAAACACGAAACAAAGACCCGGGCCATAATAGCCTTCTTTACCTCGCGAACTCGATTACTGACGAAATGCGGACAAATGTGGCACCTTAGATTCTATGATCCACCGGCTGGGAGCAAGATGGATCATCAAATTCGGAATTCCAAGATTGGGGGTTCGAGGAAGATATGTATCTCCCCGAAAGGCAACCGAGGTAATGGTGCAAGGCTGCTTCTGCACAGTCGGTGTATTAAATGGCGGCCAGGGAACAGCAAAACCTCGGGGGAGGGACGCGTGCTGTATGAGGGGTAACGCCCCGCACGGTCTATAGGCTGTATGTTCCTCCGATCTCGAGTTCAGACCCTGGCCAAAAGTTTTCTCCCCCTCCGGCGGGGAGAAGACGATCATGGGATTTAGGTGACGGCTTTTAAAGCTGGCAGATGCCCAAAACAAGCTCATTGAGTCGCCACCAGAGGAATGCGGGGATTTGACCCATGGGAGGTACCGGATATTGACTCCCTAAATTCCATAATTGGAAGAGTCCATCAATTTACCACGGTCCACGTGGATCCGCTTCTCAAAGGGTTGACAGACGCTGAGGGGCCACAATGGCCGCTGCTATAATCGTCCACCGTCAATGTCCAAAGCTCTTTGTCCATCGTCGACAACGTCCGAGGCGTTGCCTCACGCTACCATGAACGACCTGCAAGACCAAATGAATCGAGTCCCCTCGCTGGTGTACCTGTGTCAACGAGGTAGGCCTTCCATCCTCGGGTGCAAGACTTGATTTACTTAATTTACCCTGGGCATCGTATTCCAGTCGCTGGCCAGCACACTGATCGTAAGTATTTGTCCTGCACAATCCACATCGTATGCTCATTTCCCGGACAGTGATCACCAGTCTCGGGGAATGGACTCGCTATGACTTGGTGAGACCAATCCTGGAGAAATGTAACGTTGACCAGCTGTTGAGGCTAGAAGGAGCCTCGCCGGTAAGCTCTCTTTAGTCCGAATTATATACCCTCACTAAACCCCTGCTCACCTAGCACTTGCAATCTGGTACGCCAGGTAAGCAACGTGTCCAGCTTCTGCGGATTTGAATCACTCAGACCAGTTCTTTAGACATTTGGAAGTCCCTTTGCTTCCAAAAATACCGGATGCTAGCAGAAGAACATTACTCTATAGACGACCAACCTGAGGAACCAGACTCATGGAAACGCCGTTATTTCGTAAGGTTTCCCCAACCTATCGGAGGGACAGATTTGTTAACATCCAAACTAGTTTTTGCAAGATGCTGAGACAAGAAGATTCGAAGAAATCGGTTCGAAAATTCGTTCTCAACGCATGGAGGCAGATGTACGCAAGAAAGAAAGAGAGGTGAGATTCACCGATCGCGTGCCGCCTCCGAAACGTCCCCGAACGGGTGGTTGTAAGTCTGAATGTTTCCAGGATATTCCACACCATTACTCATTACACCGAAAATCAGGGGGTCTACCGTCCCAACCCAAGACTCTGTTTCAAAAGGCTCGAGGAGAAGCTTCCAAAATACAAAAAGCCTTTTACAGCGCTCGGTCCTTACCTCCCATGCCAACCGGTAAAACACATCGAGTTCTTGCAAAGCCCGATGATTCGATTCTTCCGCCGCTGCCCAACTCGACAGTGCCAAGTCGAGTTACAGTCAGAACTGTTACGGTCCAAGTCCCAGTGCAGCGCCGTTTACAAGCCACTGCTTCCAGTTCAATGACCGCTTCCAGTCCAAGTTCATCTTCAAGTAGGACGCCAGTATCATCATCTAGCTCGTCGCGGACCACAACGCCATCTGGCTCACCTCCTGCGCCCTCAATATCAAGGGGTCTGACCCAACTTCACCTTGATACGCCTCGATCAAAGGATCACAGCAAATCTAAAGGCGAAATTGCCAAGGTTACCCCGAGAGTCCCGCCCGCGGTTCCTGCCAATGCGCCTCCACCGCCCACGCGTCTGCTTAAATCACCTGCACCGCTGAAGAAGGATCCTATGGCATCTCTCTTCGTTCCGAAACATCGGGCATATTCGCAACGACCTGTGCGCTGACGTCTTGGAGGTCTTGGGCGCGGCGGGGTCGTGCTACACCCCCTTCCGACATTCACCGACTCTTGCTCGACGTCTTCAAAGGCTCATCCATTACGTCTGTGCATGGCACCCCGCTTGCCTTCCCCAGTCTTGGCGCACGTGAATCGACCCAGCTCGATTCCTCTCTCAACCCCGGGTCTTTCCCCGCTTCCGATCGCATTCACTATCGCTGAATAAGGTCGTGTATCAAGTATTGTTTACCTCGTCGTCTTTCGATAGAGTCAAACCTCAGGTATAGACACCAAACGCTCCCAGCTTTCCGAACCACAGTGTATCATTAGCCATGTACAAGTAAGTTCCGCCATCGCAACTGCTGTTTTTATTACGGTGTACTACTACACTCTATTCCTGATGTAATTGCATTTGTCCCTGGTCATCTTTTGCCACCCCACGATATCACCACAGTTCTACTGCACTCCACCACTCCGCGGCCATAATCCCTTTCCTTAACGCTAGCATGTTCTAATCCTCCTCGCGGTCAAGTGGCTGACTTCGAGCGCTGGATTTTTCCCCGGTCCACCCCACGGATCAACGTCCCTTCACGAATGGTTCTGCAAAGGAATAGTGATGGTACATTCGTTGCTCGAGTTACACGGGAATAACTATCTCAAGGAGTCGAATTGTTGGTAACAAGATAAACATCAGGAGTCGAACATCTAATCTGGCACGAAGAGGAGTCACTCGGAAGGTTGGAAAAAACGTCATTATATGCTATACAGGTCCAGATTGGGACAGAAAACAATGATTTGTGCGTGCAATTGCTATGCAAAAGGGGGAGACGTATGATGATAAGCGACCAGTGTTTCATTAGTGAATGAGGGAAGACGATGGATGGACGGTGTGGTTGGATGTAGTACAAGCGTAGTATAATGTCAAGGATGAGTAGAAGATGAATGATACCGGGGTTGAAAATGGCCAGGGGGTGGGTCGAGAAGTCGAGTGAAATGGTTGCCGAGGGGAAGAGGGCGGAGATACGTTGGCGTCTCAGCAATTACGATATGCCATTATCGACCTCGTCCTCCCAAGGTTGCCGCACTCTTCCTTTGCCCTTCCCGTTCGACATAGCCGAGGACTCGAGATGCTGGGGTGGAGGGAGCGCTGGTAACGTTTCCGGCGGAGGTGCTTCCCAAATCCGAATGGTATGGTCATCTGAACACGATGCAAATAGTCGTTCGTTGTGAGGATGCCATGCTACCGAATTTACGCTGCCTTGTCCGTGGCCCGACAACACCTCCAGCAAGGTACTCGAATCACGGTGCCAAACGTAGACATTGCCATCTGTGTCAACAAGTTTGCTAAGGCCCGGCGACTTTGCGGAATGGTACGTCGTTGCTTACCTTCGCTTCCACTGACAATAAAGGATGCGTTCGCACCTCCGAAGCAACTCTTGATGATATGTTGACCTTGTTGCTGGCCCACGTACTTGTTCGCCAGCCTGAAGTTTTGTATATCATACAAGTAGATCACCTGAAATCATTTGAGAAGGCGAGTTGTTTGCAAACAGAATGGAACACACCTCCGGTGCGTGGTTGATCAGGGCATACTGCGAATTTGGCGACACCTTTACACTCGTCAACTCTCCTTCCAATCGGACCGACCTAAAGACCGCGAGTTACATGGGATTGTAGACCCTGATAACGCCTCCACTTACCACAGTATCTGCTTCGTCTTTATGTCATACACGATCATCTTGTTACCTCCCTTTGAAGAGCCTGACGATGCTTCATGACTTCCTGTCCCATCCGCCTGACCTCGCCCATCGGGAGCATGGCCATTGGGCGTATAGATATGCTCCATTCCAACAGCTACCAAACGCGTCCCGTCAGGCGTGATACAGAATCCAGTTATCCGGATCGCTGTCGTGCCCCAATCGTCCACAAGCTTTCCATCTGCATCCTGAGAGCGAGTCAAACTTTGAACTGAAGGGGAACTGGACTGAAGTGCGCTTACCCAATGGACAATCTTGCGATCCAGTGCACCTGAAAAGAATCCTGAGCCATCAGGTAGCCACTGAAGCGAGGATATTGTGTCTGAGTGTCCGCTCAGTGTGCGAATGCAAACGCCAGTCTGGATACAACGGAACATGAACGAAACGCGCACATTCGGAGTTCAAATGGACGAACCTTCGCTTTCCACATCTTGATGAGGTGTTCCGCACTCGTGACAAGCACCGTATCGTCCACGGACCAAGCTAGAGCGCCAATAGGATCAGGATGTTCGGGGATGGTGACATGGGCAGTCCAATCTTGCGGTGAACCTGACTCCACAGTAGACTGAATGGGACGCGGTCAGTACCTCAACAGTATGAAAGAAATGGACAGACCCACCCCCATCTTCCAGATAATCGCCATCTTGTCTTTCCCGGCACTGGCCAGATACCGACCATCATGACTCCATTCCATGTTCCATACTTCATCCGTGTGCACGTTGAGGATTGTTGTTGTAACGTTCGGAAAGCCACCTTTGCTACACTGGTGATCAGAATATAATGAAAACGAGGCCGCATCAGACGCTGTGTTGTGATATAGGCAATGGTGACGTTGGTATGTTAATGCTTGCTGCAGCAGCGTTGAAAACCGTCGTTCTGGGATCATCACTGAAGAGGGGATATGGTCTGGATGATGACGAAAGCGCGTTACTAGCTGGTACAATGGACTGACACGAACAGCTTACTGTGAAGGCTAATCAAAAGTTGCCGCCTCGAGTCGCCTGATGCTCCATCCCACTGGGCGCGCCTTCGCAAATCTTCTGGTTCTGAACACATGATTAAGCTAATGGAGCGGTCAGCACCAGGACGTTGCGGATGGTGACAACTAACCTAGATAATGTATGGAGATGATCGGAATCGACATTCAAAGGAGCAAGCTCGTTGCGGAGGACGTGTAAAGCAGCAGTCGTCTTCTTCGCTTCGAGTAATTCGAGGTATTTCTGCTGTTTAATCAAGAATTTGGCGTCCTGTAGGGGGTTAGGCAAGGTTAGACACATGTCGAGTAAGAGGGGAGCTGCACGCACGAGAAGGTCGTCTTCGTCCACGACGTTGAGATGATCCAATGCCTCTTCCGCCTTCAACCACATCCCATCCAGAATGTACTGTCGGAATTGCGTGACCTTCGGCGCTTCCAGCTCGTATCCCGATTCTGCCTCCAACGTCGCTGCAGATTCACTAATTCAAGAATCTTCCATTCAGCAACAAGTAGTGATGTACGCCAAACGAATGGAAAACGCACATATATCCGACATCCCTGAGTGTCTGCACCACCAGTCGCACAAATTCCTCTCGTAGAATTGATGAATCTTCATACAGAGTTGTTCCGGGGAGATTCAGTTTGGAAATGACCTTGCCATGCTTCGGCATCCCACCGCCCGCTCCCGACGACCCGTTCGTCATTGCTGGATAACTGCAGCCATTTGTGTGACCGTTCGTTGGCGGAACCCCATCGTAACCCCTCGACGAGGGACCAGCCTCTACAGTTGGGTTGGGTGACGGTGATAGAATAGAGTTATGGGTCGATTCGCTGAGTCGCATGATGTATCTTGAAGAGGAGGGAGTGGGGGTGGATGCGGTGAGGGTGGCAGCTGGTGAACTCGTGCTCTCGATCCTTTGTCGCTTACGAGCCCTTGTTTGCTCGGCGTCTGCCGCGACGGAAGAGAAACAGGAGAAAGAGAATCGTCAGCTCGAGCGATACAGACGGCGAGAACAAGCGAAAAAACGACGACCAGAGACGCTGGGTGTGTAATGACAAGCGGTGACAAGAGTGTATTATGATATGATTATGAAGTCACAGACTTGGGAGCATTCAAGGACCCATAGGAATATACGACTTACCGGTATTCGAGTTCGAATCGGTGCCTGTCGTTGAGCCCCCTTCAAGCTCTGCCCTTGAGCGGGTCGCAGGAATCAGACTCAGGAGGGATCGCTCAGAAAGAGACGCTCTCTGTGTCAGAGCAACCCTGGAGCCTCCGGTACCGATTTGGGCGTTGTCAAGCGGGGCCTCAGGGGTCGTCGTTGTGGGCTGCTCGTCCCTCGCAGGGTGTGTCTGGTTGAGGGAATCAATGGTGGCGAAAGTGATTGTAATTGGACGTCAATATTGTGAGAACTGTGCTCCGGAGAGTCGGGCAGCTACGAATGGATGCTGCGGGATATGGTTAGACGACGACGAGAATGACGAGCAGAACGGGGACGACGATGACGGCGGCGGGGACGAGTCGCGGGGATTGTGGTGGTTGTATCGAAAGGGCCTTCACCACGGCTGCTGCCCGTTCAGGCTTGATGCGCTTAGCAGAACTCACGGTGACATCCCTCATTTAGAAACTGTTTTCTTTCTACGACGTTGTTCTCCTCTGCTACCGCCTTACCCTAAACTAACTTCCTCTACGTTGCATAGCTACCACAAGGTTCTGCATCTCCTTATCTTTAGGTGTACAGCGTGAGTCGATACGACCATCCAGTCAGAACAAGGATTATCGGTACCTACTATACTGGATCAGAAGCACAGGCGCCGACTCGCTTTCCGCAACTGCAGGAAATGACAGATGGCAACTTGCTAAGCGCAGGAAATATCTTCAATAAACGCATTATGGTCTCCGTCTTCACCTTCTGAATTCCATACCCTATCACATTCAACCGAAATCCATCAAACCCCTTGCAGTGCACAGACTGCCGACCGTATGAAATCCTTTCAGGGTCCATACCAGAATCCCAAAATCATGCAAGAAGGAAGCTCGAGAAATAAATAAATAAAAAGATGACAGGGCACGCGTTTACAACGTTGCAGCATGTAGATCACAAAAGCTTGGTCGCCATTCGTATCGCTTTTGCGATTATGATTTTTTGTAACGACCTGGGCCACGCGCGGTCACCATACAGGAAACTCGCCGGGGTTCTGATACTTTTTCACTGATGAGACTTGCTCTAGACGACGCCGGCTCGCGGTGTGTGTCTTCTGACATGAGTATTTCTTCCAGGCGAAACGATGTCTATCGGGTAGATTATCGCGACGTCTGTCTCATGATGAGGGAAATTCCCGGGGAACCTGGGTATATCGATGGAGGCAAATTTAATGAATCAGTGTCCTACACAAAGATTCAGCTCCAATAATGGGTCTGAACATACCGGCACAATCTACTAAAGGCACAGAATGTTGGAAAGCCCGTCTCGAAGTTTGAGATCAACTAGGGAGACAAAGGTGACTAATAGCATCCGGGCGCCTATCGACCAAGTACGCGCCGAAAACCGAAGCGCAACTCCCTGCTTCGCCTTTGTCTTCAAGAAAATAATTTTCATATTTCACAATCATCGACGTACCTGTCAATCAAATTGAAAGGAAGCAGAATTAGAATGTTCCAGTCCAGGCTGGAAAACACGCCTTCGTCATCGATTAGTTGGATCTCAGAACACGGGGTATTGGTTAAGGTAAATTCGAGTTCATAAAACTATGTAGCACCCAATGACAAAATATTAACCTCGCCCTGACGTCGCGCACACCACGCGACGTTCTTCCGGATCGCTGAGTAAATCACACACCTCGGACGGATCTCTTGAGGGCGTTGAATTTCGAATGGCCCGCTTCTTGCATCGTCGGTGGTATCGACGATGGTGGCCTGACCATTTGGTGGAAGCCTAAGCCCACGAAGATAGCCGCAACAGGCGGTGCCAGGTCTCGTTCGAGGGGGGAAGCCCATGACGTCGTACTTATATTAGGTGCTTAGTACTTAGTGCTTAGTAGTAAATAGTGGCTCTAGAGTCTAGTCCCAAATGCTATGTAGAATGATGAAATTGAAAAGTTAACAGCTTAGATGCCAAAATATGATGTTGAGCTTGTAAAGCGCGAAGGATGCGGTTTTGAGGATGACGATAGAACATGCAATGCAAAAAGGTTATAATGCCATAGGATACTAACGGTAATGACAACTGAACGAGGTATGCGGGGGTAATTGAAAAGTGGAAGGTATGGTACTTGTTGGCTTGCGAAAAAGCGTAAAACATGACGATGAAACGTGTCCCAAATAGCAAAAATTTCCGAACGAACGTGGAAGAGTCGTGGTGTATGTTGCGTTCTCGATGAAATAAATAGAACAAAGTGAGGGGGGCTGGTGCGATGCGTCGGAATGGTCATGGAACGAAGAACAGAAGAATGCTTGAGTCGAGTTAAAATTGAATGTAGATGCTTGAGAAAATTATGCCGATGAACTTTCTTTGAATGCGTAGTGGATAGCAGAAAAAACGTCATGGTGCCCGAAAAGTGAATGATCCCAAATAGATACGGTCGAATGTGAAGATGTGATTTTGGACGAGGCCCGCGTTGAAGCAGTTTTGGAGAAGTGATGGTCGTCGAAGGGTGGATGAAACATTTTGGTGCGTCATAGAGGCACCCGGTGGGCGGCATAGCGCTCGTGGTCCATGAGTCCACTCCTGCCGTGGCCGTAACCTGGGGCAAGGGCAAAGCTGCCCACGCCGCCGAGTTCGTCGACGCCAACACGACCGCGCCTTGTTCGGCTTTTCGAGTTCGATTGTGACCTTTCGAACCTTTGGGAATCTCGAAGAGCTGCTAGGACCCTGGGATCCTCAGCACCCATGAGCATTCGAGGTGGAGGAGAACTGTCCCTGCGAATAGAAGTGCGACCACGAGGTCGACAGTCAGACACCTGTTCAACATCATCAAGGTGCGAGCGCTGAGCATTGCCTACAGGCCTCGGACTTTCCAACCTGCGCACATGGCGAGAGCGAGAGCGGGAAACTGACGAGCGACGACTGGACGTGGAATGGTCTGCGTCGCGACGACGACCTCGAGGGGTATCTTGGGTGAGATTAGGAGGTCGGGGGAACTGCCATTTTGACAAAGTGTCGGATTTGGGGTGTTTGGGTGTGGGAGGAGAAGCGCGAGCAATAGTTCTGGCTGAAGATGATGAAACGGGTGAGATCTTGACGGCTTCTTTTGGGGATGCGGCAGACGACTGGATCTGCAGCAAAGAAAAGCAGGCAGGCAGACTTGTGCGGTTGCGGGCACGCCTTGAACGAGAGGCGCTGTCCCTTTCAGAGTCTGCATCATCGGCGACGTCTCGGCAATAGTCCGAGAAATCTTCCTCGTCGGTCGAGGACGAGTGAGAGTAATTAGGGGCACTCCGGGGAGCGCCACGGGCAGTGCGGCGGTTGATGGGAGCGGGGGAAGAGGCGGACGAGTTGCGCTGGTGAACCTGGGGTACTGTCGAATAATTGTTGGTGCCGGACGGGCGACGGGCATAGGAGAGGGCGGAAGGCATCACGGCGTAGACGTAGCTGGCCGACTTTGAACTTGCATCATAGATAGAGTCGGCACGGACGGCGTACTCTCCCCGGGCATAGGGGTCATCGTCCTCGTCGACAAGAGACCAGTGATTTGAAGCAGATGGAAGGTAGTATGGATCGCGTCCCAATGACTTTCTGAGGGCGGAGCTGAGTGCAGGGACGTCGGGGCCTTGAGCATAGCCAAGCTGTGGGGACGAGAGTGCGCTGCTGGACGAGGATATAGAAGGGGACGCGAGGTCAGAGTTCTGGCAGTCGTCGCTGCAATAAGCTCTGCTGGAGAACGGGGGAAATTGTTACTCGGTGGACGGAGGGATCACAAAGGGGGCAGTCATACCCATCGTCCTGCAGGTGCTTGCCGCAGACCAGGCATATTTCCTCGAACATTGTTTAAGGTATGTCGGACGTTGTCGTCGTCGAGGAAGGGAAATGTTCGTCTACGGGGAGCTGCGCACGATGACGGGGATGTATGGTGGGGCACTCGGGAGGACTGTGCTTTATATAGGCCAAGCACAAGGTCGCGACATTCGCAAGAATTTTTGGCTGGTGACTCGATCGGGCAATCACACGTAATCACTCGACTCAATCTACTCTTTCAAACTCCGCGCATCTGTGTCCGGATTCGTCAAGGAATCTCGCCGATCCAGATTTGTGTGAGAAACGTTCCTCTTGTTTCCCGGTCTGTACAACCCCTACAATGCCGCCCTTCTCAAACGTGGTTATTTCTCAATTCAAATCAACCCCCCCAGTCCCTTTAGTGCCCGCCTTGTCACCTGATGACTGCACAGACTCCAGTTCCCTGTCATGCGTGCGTTATCCATCATCCACCCTATCTTCGCCGGAGAACTCGTATTCCAGCCCTTGCACTAGCTTCTTCGAATCTTGACCTACAACAAAGACGCTCTCGAGCTTCCGAGCGGTGTGGCCCAGAACCCAATTACGGCGAGGAGAAAATATTGCGCCGTAGTTGCCGGAAACTAATTTATTTTGAACTCCGCAGAAAAGAGTTCATGAGGACCTCGATGGCGCCCAGAACCAAGAGAATCCAGACAGACTCTTTCGTCATCTGTGATACCGACTGGCCGCGAACGACATATACACATTCTCCTTGCTTCTAAACCCTTCCCCGCTCGTCTATCGTGTTCATTAGATTCCGCCTTTCCCACATATCCCCCCATCATATTGCCTTGACAGTTAGCTCCAATGAGATTCCCGAACCTCAGAGTCCGAAATACTCCCTAAGCAGGACGGTACTCGTCCAAAGCTCGTCGTAGATTAACCTTTTCGGTTCAGTGGAACCTCTGAAACGATGTCCTGCTCTTCTATCACCAAGTTCTCGTCCAGAAGCCAATCTTTTCGTTATCGGACTTGCTCTATCCTAGAGCGGATGGCGCATTGATCTCACCTCCAGCCGCGAAATAATTGGGCAAGATGGTGACACTGATACTTCCCTCGAGCTCTCAGATAGGCTTTATCCTGCCGGTTGTCATTCAATAGAAGTTCTGGTCGCTGTTTGATCACTGCTTCGACACATATAGAACCTCCCCATTCAACTGGAATGGTACACATATACCAGTCAGAACTCGTCAGTATGGTGACAAGGCCATTGTGAGTCCATGGTGCTCTTTTTGTGCCCTAGTTTCAAGCCCCATTGCTTCTGTTGTCCAGCAAATTACTCCATGAATGTCTGCACATGTATGTTTCAGGATACGTCCGATCCTAACATATCGGCTTTTGCAACAGCCGTCGGGGAACCATCGGTGACAAAACTACGCAACGCCCCCGCAGTGTACGCAGTTCTGACGTTTCACAGTTACCGCTCTGACGACATCACCCGTGGTGGGCAGCGGGAAAACAAGAAGAAAAAAAAATCGTTCAACGACGTATGTGTCTGGTTATGACCTTCGCCCTTACGAGATGACGACACTCCATCTCGTCGCATGGGAACATGTCATCTCCGAGACCCAACAGTCTTGCTGCCTTCCCCTGGTCTCTGGCGCTATCCCGACAAGGCGCGACGTTGACGCAATCTCGGCAGATCCGCCGTGGCTATGGCGGGATACTCAAAGTGGAAGGACCAAGCCCTATCCATGGTAACCCCTTCAGTTTTCTAAAATTCAGAACGCTTATGACGAGGTCAACTTCGCTGTCCAACAACCTTCCGTCGGTCAGCGGTGGCGTCCCGAATGACTGTGGGTCCGCACAAAGCTCGACGTACTTCCTTTGTTACCCTAATCGAGTCGCGATGGCTTTCCATTGTGCTGCGCCGCTGGTCTATAGAAAGTCCTGACTTGTCTGTCGACCGTCGCCATGTCCTCTCCCTCGACTAACGCCTGCCTCCCTATGCCACTCAAATTTTGGAAAAAACAGAAGAAATCACCGGATGAAAAGGCGCCAAAAATTGCAATAACCCCTACATACGGATACACCGAACACGCGCTAACGGAGCAATGTGCGATAAGCGCCCCCGTCGATACGAAGATAAGAAACGCTATTCTTGGCACAGCCATGGTCGATGCTCTCGGAGGGCCACCAGAATTCAAGCCGCGGTTCACGTTTGAATTCGTTGGATTCTATATTCCCAACCGGAATTTTCACGATGCGGAGGGCAAGTCTTTGCCGCCGGGTACATGGACAGATGACACTTCCATGGCCCTCTGCCTCGCACGTTCGATCGCCCGCCATGGCTTCGACGAAGCACGACAACTCGATACCTACCTCAATTGGTTCAAGGACGGCGAACTCTCGGCTGTCGGCTTCTGTTTCGACATTGGAGGGACCACCAGGCGTGCATTGGACCTCCATGCAAATTCCCCAACCGCGTCCGAATCCCTGGATCGCATTCAAGCGCTTCTTGGCGGAGAACGCAACGCCGGAAACGGAAGCTTGATGCGTCTCATTCCTGTGCCATTGGCTTTCTGGCGTTCCCCCGACGTTGCTCGCGAATATGCGAGAAGAAGCAGCAGGACAACTCATCCGGCTCCGCTCTGCCTCGAAGTATGCGAGTTCTGGACATCAGTCGTTGTCCAGATCTTACAGAATACATGCGGCAATGGCGCCAAAGGCACATTTTCGAAGCTTGATTTATTGCGATACATATCGGAATACCCATTCCAGCACGACCAACTAAGGGCCGCACTCGCCTTGCTACCTTCGGACGCGAGCACCAGCGATAATCAATCTTCGGGATCGCGTACTACCAACACTGAAGATGTTGAAGATCGGTATTGGCAACGCCATCCAATCCTCCGACTCATTGCGGAAACGCGTACCAGTCCAACGGCGACCACGACAGGCTTCTTCAAGCTGCCTACTGCAAAGGTTTTACCTTCTTCCGGATTCGTCCTCCACAGCGTAGTCGCAGCTTTGTACTGCTTCTTTGCCACCGATAGCTTCGAGACAGGGGCAATCATGGCTGTCAATCTAGGCGATGATGCGGACACGACAGGCGCGATTTATGCTGGGCTCGCCGCATGCTGGTATGGAGAAGAACTCCCCTCAAATGCTCAAAGTCTTGCTGCAGTGGGGGAGAGCATTGGATCTGGTCTATTCTGGACAGACGTGATGCTTACTTGGAGGAGAGGGATTATCAAGAGGGACCTTTTGGAGGAGGTGGCCGATGAGTTGGTCAGATTCGAAAAGAGGTGGAAACCAACCAAGTGACCTGTGGAGTCATATGTAATTTAACTTTATCTTACTTGATCTCTAACAAATGCAATGGCTGAAAGGTTAGCAGTTTATTGGACTTTCGGGACTGTCATATTGTTGGACTCTGGCCAGGGTTTGAGCCACAGACTGTGCACATGCTGCGATCGAGTCGTTGTACCCTTTGCATGTTCCATGCATGCAAACAGAACAGTCGTGTGACAGTCAATTATTTCTCTTGGAAAATGATCCCACACGCGTACCGCCAGGCCTTTCAGTCGATACGTGTTTCCTTCATGTTCTTCCCTGATCTTTCTTCCTTGACATACACTCGCGATCGTTGTTTTGGGGTGTTAACTCGATCCCTGGCATCTGTTTTCGCCGCATTGGACCCCATCATCATCAGAAGGCCTCGAAGAATCGGCGTGTTCAGATATGGATCAGTAAAAATATCACAAGAATGGATGCGCAAAGGTCACCGACGCCAATAAGACGAGGACTATACCAGTCGGACGCAAAGGCAAAGGCTCTGCTCTGCGATTGGCTCAGCACCTTAGATCTATAGGGCTCGATGTAATTTCTCAAAGCAAGCGAAGGCGAACGATCCGACATCCTGTCTGCTCCATCGCTGATGAAACCACAATTTCGTCGCCCTTGCTGCGCCGCGCCCCAAATTCCAGGAATTCCCGCCATAACATACGGGCGAAGCCACTGATGGACAGTTGAAAGAAGCTCTGGGTACAATCTGGTACAATACTTTGTAGGTTCCGCCCAGCTGGGGCAAATTCGCTTGTCAAGTCCTGCCGGATATTGAGAAGAAGGGACAGAGGGGGTCGGGCATCATGTTTTCTTGATAGATTGTGATCAGGAGGGCGACTTGCCGCTTTAGCGTACTTCTCGCGGATACGGGAAGATGGTCGGCTGACCCACTGGTCGATTGTCGTGTCCAGAGTTCCATTGGCTAACTCCTGAATATTCCAAGAAATAATCAAGACGGTGCCTTGAGACCGATGTGCTCCTTTGTTTGAAACGGGAGGAAAACATGCGGGCCCGCATGCTGTCTATTAAAAGCCTCCTGCATTGGAACACAAAACCTCCAAATAGAGGGATGGTGATACCAGCACCGTTGAATAGTCTCGACAAGACCGGCTAAAACGGCGAACAAAGCCAGAGATTTTACGTGTACGGGGTCTCTTTCGAGTTCTCCGTTGGTCTCCAAGCCCAGTTCGCTGTCTTGGCAGGGTTTCCATCAAACTACCCCGCATTTTCTTCCTTTTCTGAATGCACACGTGCCCCCGAGACAAAACGGAAGAGGTCTCGGTTTGAATTGCCGAGTAGCGCTTTCGGAAGATGAGATTACACCGACCTTTTTTTCCCCTGGACCGCGAAGAAACCGTGTTTGTTATACGTACGCTGTGGTCAGAGTTAGGGTGGAGAACAGGGGCGCGTTTCAAAATTCAGCTATAGAGAAGGGTTCCGGGCCCTGTCCGTGATCGACTCACCTTCATCATCCCCGATAACAAATTTCGGCCTAACGATTGCTTCATTCTGAGATGCTTTCAGGGAAGGGGACTTTCTCCCTCTTCGACTCGACCTCGAGTCATCTCTCAGACCAGCAGCGGAGGCCCTGGAGAACCTGGACGTCTAACTCCGAAAAAACCCAGAAACATTGAATTTGTTCCGCCGGCCCAGTTACTTCCGACGCAGTCTGGCCAACGTTCCAAGCCTAGAATCCGGGATTCGGGCGATCAAGGAATGTGCAGGGTGAACGTAGAAGCAAATATGACCATTTAGTCCAACGTTTACAGTCCCTTACGAAAAGACGAAGCCAGAGAAGGTGTTCGGACACAAACGTTCAAAATACAGCACCTGGCAGGGGCACTGAATCCCAGGCGGTACCCCAAAGAATCCTATCTCAGACGAGGGATCCCAATATGAATGGGGTAGACTTGTGACCAGCCCACATGAACAAGTTACTTAGCATGGTTCCTTCTGGACGCTTGTCGTCTGCCATCTTGTAGTTTGAATGCCGGGCTGATGAGCATGGAGGGAACAGGGCCGTCTCTCTTTCTCCCAAGCAACGCCCAGCTTAGACGGCCATTTGCAGAAGTGAGTGAGACAGGTCACCTACAGGTCACCTTGCAGGGGTCTAATTCCACGGGGCTCCTAATATGTCAGCTGTTCGACAAGTTCTCCGCCTTGAGACTGACCCCGAAACCTAATTTAGACTCGAGAAGTCAATTTGAGAGCCTCATTGCAACCCAAAGCAGAAGTCATCTACCTTGGACCACTCTGTTTCCGGTGTCGGCAGATCGAGTAAGGGCGCTATTCCTCTAACCTGCCTTCAACGGTAAATGCGGAGACGCGGGAGCTAGGTGGATGAAATCACAAGTAAGGCTTCAGAAGAAGCCAGTTAAGATCGCATCCGGGTAGAGTTTGCTCAAACAGTGCCAGCAACAAAGAAGGTGGATTAAAAGGAAAGAAGCATAACTAATCCATGGATATCCAAACTGAGCCCATATCCGAACCAGATCCAAAAGCATACCAGCGCCATCCCCTACGGGACTGTGGTATCACCTGGTTTTGGAGGGAGGGGAGGAGAAGCACCGATGTTACTCGAATCATGCCGGCCTGGTGGGCTCGGCTCTGTCGGCAGAGGGCTACCAGGGTCAACCTGCCTGAATCCACTCTGTCTGGTGTTGACAGTTTCTTCCAATGGCAGCGCAAGGCTACTTCCACTGAGGGACCCCTGGGTGCTCATGGTACCCAAACCGTTTGAAAGATGGTTTCTGGTAGCCAAGGAAGGCGAAGACGGCGCTCGTGGAGGAGAGGTCGAAGATTTGGTATCAAACTGAGCGACTGGTGGGGTAGGCGTCCGTCCAGGATTGGGAAGGTTCTTATCGCTGCCGCCAACATTCCTACCCAGTAATAGACCTTGTAGACGCTGATTGGTAAAAGTATTGCTTCGTGATGGAGTAGGTGCCGGACGCGGCAAGCCCTTTTCCGTCACAACAGTTTCTAGCATCTGCGTCGGCGCCTTGACGTGCTTCAGCGGAGAGAAATGCTGGTGCAAATATCGCGCATCTTCAAGCAACCTAGCAAAATATCGGAACATCGGTCAGCTTCTGGATAGACTATAAGGTTCGTGAGAACATGCGGCACTGCAGTTAGACACCATATGATGCCTTTTACCTCCACCCGTGATAAAGAATATGGAAGTCGAGAAGAAGGGGGATTCCTGCACTTACCGCTCCTTGGCCTGCTGACTGGGTAAATCAATCCGGCCGAATTCTTCTGAGAGTCGATGGTTGATAGCTGCCAACACCTCCGACATGACATACTAAATCCAGGTAGAACAAACAGATACAACGTCGTCAGTATACACGCAATTTTAGGCGTCATCAGGGCAAGAATGGAGGAATATGTCAGTTTCTCCGTTGCGCATTAGGGTCAACTGACACGACAGGCGAGGTTAATGCGCAAGAGTGGACAAGAGTGGACAATTCCAAAGTAGAATGAAGAACGTACCTCGACAACATGCCCTTCGATGTACCGTGATAGGATTGTGTGCAGCGTGACTGTCTCCTTGACTAGTTTCAGCATATAGTCGTTGACGCCACCGCCTTCCTTCGGGACGTTCCAGTCGACAGTCTACCAACGCAATGGAGACTGCGTCAATAACGTATCATATCGAGAAAAAGGGGTTTCATACCCTCAAAGACTTGATGTGGGAATCCAATCGCTCCCCCATAATAGCGATTAGCTTCGCGTGGATTTCGTTCTGATGCTCTTGGTAGTCCTGTGACAGCAGCTGAGCCGCAGCACCCAGTGGTGAGAATCGATGATGCTTACCCGCTTGAGCTTGTCGAATTCTATCAGCATGACGGCCTGTTGTTGATTGAGATGCCTGCGGAAGGTCTCGCGCACACAAGGTATCAAGTGAAAGATGATTGAAAGGGATTGTGACGCAAGGGCTGTAGATTTCGATGAGAAGGTTGAGTAGAATGGATGAGACAAGACTAACCCAAATGCTTCGCAGTGATGTTCTTCAGACCAGCGGATCGCATAGCACCAGCACCCAATACAACCTGACAGGTCCGCGAGTTGAAGGCCTTCAGGAATTCAATGACTCTGCTCATCGTGTCCGTGGTGAGCAGACTCATGTTCACCATCACCTTGATGTAGTCGAGTAGTAGCGTGATGACTTCACTGGTAGCTGAAACCATGTAATAGGATCGATCTTCGATACGCAAGTGCTTGTTCCTGACCCGTTGGCTAGGTGCGGCAGAACCTGGAGCGGCGGAGGGAGGGGCGGTGTCCGGGGTAGCTGAAGGTGCTTCAGTTGTGGACGGTGGCGAGGAAGGAGGTTCCGCTTGATCCAGTGAGATTCGTAGCTCTGGCGAGTCAGAGACAGCGCCGTCGACGAGGATCGAGGTGATGTGTTGCAAGCGAGAGGTGACCTCGACGGGATTCCACACTTCATCTTCGACTAGCTTCGCGGACTGAGTTATCCTGGCTTGATGGAAGGTCTGCAGCCATACTTTAGCCTGTAGCATAAGGGGTCAGACGAAGGAGATTGATGTCGAAGATTCATTCCCTGACCTGACTAACGATGGTGCCTCGAAGGCCAACAATCATCCTCCTTGAGAGAACTTCACATCTGACGACGAACGACCAAGAGCCATTGAAGAATAGCAGGAAGTCGGGTAAATTCAGTTTCGAATGAATTTCCGCTCGGAAGGAAATGATCCTCGCAGCCTGGGTATTGGCTAGTTCAGAGGTAGATGATAGGATATCGGCAAGGTCTTCCTCCAGCGAGTCTATCGAAAGGGTTTGATCTAACGATTTATCGCCGCGAGAACCGGAGGCCGACAGTCCTGACTTAACCCGAAGCTCTGGTCTTTGCAACTGGTTAGAGGCATAGGTCGCTTGAGTGAGTAGAACTCACTTTAAGTTCTTGAGGAGTTCAATGATGACGTCGCCTTGGGCCTTCAGCCTCTCAATCCCTCCCAAAAGGTTCATATAAATGCGCGTCATTAAAGTCGTGAATTCAATGTGAGACATGCTTCTTAGATGATTCGCAAGTTCCTGTCTGTGTTCCCATGAGCCAGTCAGCCAGCTGGAATTGCATGATGCACAAGAAGTACTTGCTTTGAATCCGACTTGGAGGCATCTGCACCATTCGCTTGCTCCTGATCCTGGACAAACATGGGAAGGTCCTTGAAAGAGAGCAAGTCAGCCAGTGGGTAAAGGATACATCCCAGGCTCTGACCTTCACGATGAAGCCGTTTATCTCGCTGAGCACCACTTCCCTCCAGCTAAGCAGGCCCTCCTTCAGGCCCTTCGTTCGAACCAAGTTGAGTAACAACGGCTTCAGCCTATCGCTCAGAAACTGATCTCGACGTTCATCGCGTCCTGCAGTAGCTGCGTCCGCCTTCTCGGTTTCAGTAAGGATGGGTGCACTTGGAAGAGACTCCACATATGATGCCCAATCGTCCTTCATGATTGCAACGAATTCTGCAGACAGTGAAGCGGCGATCTCCATGGTCAACGCCTGAAGGTGGGACGGCAGGGATGCGAATGAGGTTAGGGATGATAGAGGAACAGGGCGAGTGGAATGGGGACGCCGAACTGTCGAGGTTGGGCTAACTTCGAGCGGCCCAGTCGCCGCCGCCGCGCTAGTTGGAGTCGTCGGAGAGGTCTCTGACTCCTCGACCATTGTTTCAAGTTTCGAGGGTCCATTGACTGCAGAGCCATTCGCCTGAGCACGGGGGTCGTCTTCTCGTACATTCTCCCACATGTCCTCCATCTCCTCCACCACTTCCAAAGCTTCTCCCCATTGACCTGCCGCAACCAAACCCTTCGCCACCGAAACCATCTCCACGACTCCAGAAATCATCTTCACCCCATCCACCACCTGTCCCACTCTCTGCTCCTTCCGCTTGGCCCGAACCAGTTCTAACCCCTTTTTCGCTGTGCCCTCGTCGACCTGCCTCAGTTTCTCCCTTAAAGATTGTATCCGTTCCAAGCACGCCGTCGAGGATGTCTGAAGGTCCCGTAGATTCGTTAATGCGGCGAAGAACGAGGTCGAACGGATGGATATTTCACGGATTAAGTGTTGTTCGACTGTATCGGCGTAATGGCTGAATTTCTCGAGTAGTGGGAGAGAGTGACTGAGCGACAGAGGATCAGTATCGGCATCGTCTTGAGCGAAACTTGCACGTATAGTCGATGGTGTCGGCGTCGTAGGGTCCATAGCGGAAGGTTGTTCTGTCACAGCAGCGAACGTTATTCGATCTCCCAGATTGAAGTTCTGTTGGAAGAACACGGCTGGAACTGAATCTAGTGGCGGGATTTGGCGGCCTTGGAACAGCGAGGGGGTTGGCTTCCGAGATGGACCTGCTGCGTCGCTCTCGTCGTCTTCGTCGTCACTTTCCACCGTCGAAAGGCGTGCAGCATCTATCTGGGCCTGGCCTTCCTTGCCCAACTGCGAGTTGCGCTCGTATTTCTCCCATTCTGGCGTGATAGCCTTGAGATACGAATCAAAGTCCTTGCGGCGTACTCTGGGAAGGTCAGCTGGCGGCACAGACGGTAGCGATGAATGCGCCTTTGGAGGCGCTTGCTTTTTATGGGGATTGTTCAGGACCGTCGATATAGCTTCATAGAGCAGTTTAGCTGTGGTACATAACTGGATCCAGCGAGAGCGTACCGTGAAATCCATGCTTTGCGCTACTCCATTCTGCAGGTAGCGCCCCCAATTCCAGATTCATCGACGAGGGATTGTTGAGGACGCCCAGAGGATATTGGGTATGTCCCACAATGTAATCGCCCCTCCCGCCTTCCGTCGTTCCCGCAACACTCTCGGGCCCTGGCCGTCTCGAGGATGGATCCCATACGAAGCGGTATGGCCTTGCAGTGGGTAGGTCGTTGGCACCCATAACACTGAACGAAGGCGACCCTGGCCTCGATGGGTTCGAAGTCACATCCGACATTTCCCTTCTACCTGCTGGAGAGCAATACTATTACAACGACGGCGCCGAGTGTATCGTGTCCACCTTCATGAAACGAGTAACCCGAATTCTAAATGCCGCTAATTGTGAATGTTGCACAAGTCAGAACCTGCACCGGGCTAATGAATTTATCCAAGAAGTTGCAGGCCAGCAGTGGTCGGTGTCGAGAGCTGTGAAGACGTGTCGAGCGGACAACAAGTGTTGGAGATCAAACATAAGCGATCCCATGAAATCCCAAATCAAAAGTTTGCACTCAGAGTCATGCCTCAACCACCAAAGCCCGTCGCAGCCTTCTTCTCCTTCTTTCCCCTTAAAACATACCCTCCAGTCCAGATTCATGATGAGAACGTGCAGAACTCAAGGCCAACAAAACCAACCTTGTGGATAAGCCCACCAAAGTCATCGTCACCCGCTTCGACAACGGCTGAAGGGACTAACACGGAAACAACGACGAATAACCTTCTCAGCGGCGACGTAGAATGTCTCAAATGGCAAGCCTATATTGCGCTTCGCGGTCTCAACAGCGTCAAGGTTCGCTGGGATATTCGACCAGAGGGTGCACTCGAAGCCCGTCTGCCAAACCTCCACCTCCCCAAGCAAGACGGCGAAAAGCTCGATGCTGACCTTGCGCCGAGCACTGAAATCGAAAAGGAAAAGAAAACAGCGGAAAATGTAGAACATAAGCTCCATCTGTACTCTGCAGCTATGATCCCGTCATGGGTAGACCTCACCCTGGGTGTCGACAGCGCGTCCGACCCACTGGAAGGCTACATCAACGAAGCGGCACGCGACGAGAGCAGGGCCTGGGTTTCTCTCCTCGAAGGCGTTGTACACGGTGCCCTCGTCCTCTTCTCCCAAAGCCAACCGTCGCTGCTGGCCAACCTCCTCGACTTTGGAAGTTCCACATCCGCCGTGTTGACTTCGGGTTCAAACTCAGGTGCTCCGGGTCAACCACATCCATTGCAGACCGTGCTTTCGCCTCCTCCTGCACCTCTGTCCGGGTTTACTTCCATTCTTCCCGCATTCGGCACCCGCGTCAACCCGACTGCTATTATCTCCCAGTACCGCGAAGCCATCGTGTCTCTTTCAGAGAGATTGGGGACGGACAAATGGTTCTTGGGCTCAAAGTTAGTTTCACCTACATTCCACTTGACCGACCGCTAACCGAGGCTTCTGTCTATAGCGAACCAACCCCTCTAGATGCCCTCGCATTCGCCTACCTCCATTGTCTCCTCGCTTCTCCCGAAGCACTGCGATTCGAGGTCACCAAGCACGTTAACCTGGTTGCATGGGAATGGAGGGTTCGCGAGCAAGTGCGCAACGCGTTCACTCGATGATTCTCCGTCCCTGCGACCAGCCGCTCCATCGATATGTAGAAAGCTTCAAGAAGTACATTTACCTTTCACTAATTCAAACACTTCACAACTGAACGCTGTCTTTCTGAACAACGCTAATTTCAAATTTTTAGACAGGTAGGGTGTACATGTACAGGTATTAAGGAAACAACAACAAGAGGGTCAAGAGTATTAAACAAACAAAGGGATGCTTGGATGACAGAGATCCTATCGACAGCAACATTAGTACTGGATCCGTCCGTAAGGTGCTGTTAGTAGGGTAACTTCGAAGGAGTAGGGCTGTTTAGTAGTCTAGCAGCGACAAGAAAGGGGTTAGGGGGCATTAGAATAGAATTATGTACGAGGATCTCCACGAGATCTTCTTGTCGTTTCCAAGAACTGGAAGCGGAAGTGTTCATGGAACTGTTGAACCAGTCGTGTTCTCTATTGCAAGGCAACAGCTCCAGCTCCGTTGCCACTGCCATTCCCGACGCCATTCTCAGCGTTCTCTTGCGGAATAAGTTGTTTACGCTCTTCATCTTCCGAGAAGCGCTTTCGGATGGCGGCAATCATCTTGGAGAACCTGCACCACAGAACGATTCATATCAGCGTTTTTCGTTCGTAAAGGCTTGAAGCTCCAGATTGACTCACCACAGCCAGTTCAGACCTTGAAGGGCAAAGTTACCTCCGCCGAAGATGAGGGTATATGGCCAGGGAATTTGTCTCCAGATCCCCAAAAGGGTGATGAAGAATTGATATGACTGTAATACAACGTCAGCATAAGCAAGCTAGCAAGGGAGGAACCAGTGAACGTACGATGCTTCCTCCATAGACCATCCGAACGCTGAAGAAGGTGAACAGGAGCAAGATACCGTTCACGAGCTGGAAGGTGCTTCCAGTTCGGTTGGTTTTGTCAAGGAACCTAAGCGGGTGCAGCAGAAGCGATGATCAACACCACCTTCCAGAGTGGGAAGGCGTGAATACTTACCAATGGATGTTGAGGAAGAAGGTGCTGATTTCCCAGAGTAGACAGCGCGTTCCGTAATAAGCAACAAAGGGTCGCTGCAAGAGAGGGCGACTGGGATTAGACCTTCGCGATGCACAATACAATGAAGTTGACTTACGAACGACATGCTGTAAATGAGGGTGCATGCCACACCGTGGATAACGAAGCCCGTGTCCACGAAGTTATAGATAGCATCGAAGGTATCCCAGACGAAGTAACTGTTGTAAACGTTTGCGGGTGAGTCCGAAAAGAGGGTGAGATAGAAATAGCACATACCCGCAGGCGACAGCATAAGGGTACCCTATTCTGTCGTCCCAACCAAAGGCGCGGTTCTGTTCGGTCTCAGGGCCTTCATGCCAGATGCACCATAACGCCATTGGGACGATAATGAGGACATGCACCTGGGAAACAACGTGGATAGACCTGTGGCTAATATTAACCTCGACCTTGACCGGTATGTGCAGATTGAAAACGAACCAGTTATTCCTAGCTTTCCTTGTCTTCAGAGCGCCCCATGACTGAGGGGCGATCCGGGCACTGAAGTACGGTGCTAGCACGAGATGAACCAGGGTGAAGCCAAAGAGACTGAGATAGAACACGGGGAGGTATTGTGGGAGCTTCGTGAGACCGAGAGTTTCCAATATAAATCGTTCCAGGAATGCGGGAGTCATCTTGTCTATGTCGTTTGTCAAATGGTCGAGTATCGGTCGTTGAATTTGTGTCCTTGACCGGTGGTGGGTACAATGCAAGGACTGTGGGTGCCAAGTAGCTTTGGGCAGTTCTCTACAACCACGATCTAATTAAAGGCCAGCAATGAGTAAAGATGGGATGTATGGCCTGCTTGTCTGGACTGTGACGTGAACAACGGGCACTCACACGTTTTAAGGGTTTCCAGTGAGAAATTGCAGGGTTGGACGGTATCCTTTTGCTTTTACAATAGGTTTCCGCGTCGCTGTTGTCCAGGAATCTAGGGAACAGAGGAAGAACCTAGAGAATCCTGCCCAACGACCACAGCGGAAGAGTTGACAAATTGTCGTGTGCCGAACGCGTAGAATGGTTCCATAAACGGCCCGGTGATCGCGCTGACTGTAGCCTGCTGACTGGAATATGGGGAATGATATTCAGCGAACTATCTCTTCGACGACAAGTACGGTACAAGAACTCGATGCGCAAACAAGAATCCAAGGGCCACAGCCCCAGCTTTCACCACAGTCCCAGCGTCCAGGACCGAAGATGAAAATGAGAAACCCGAGTTTTTCTTCGGAGGGTCGAGAACTTTGCCATTCTCCCAACCTTCGTCCAACAACCAATCCATCGTCGTCTCATCCAGCTCTGAGAGCTCCTTCATAGGCCACCTTTCACAAATCCCACTCATCCACTTCATCCTGCGCTTCCCAATGTCACCGCCAACACCCGGCGCGCGCACCTTCAACTTGTTTCGTAGCTTCCCGACTCTCACCAAGGCTTCGCCTTCGTAGCCAGTGAGGGAGTCCTTGATTGTATTCTTGATTAGCGCCGCTAGTCGAGGGGCATTCCCATTGGTGGAGATCATGATTTGTAGGGGACCATCCCGGACCTGGCCTCCAAAGTAGAAATCGCAGAGGTCAGGGATATCAGCTGCGTTCACGGGTATACGGCGTGCTCGACAAGCTTCGACGATCCTCCGTGAGAGGTCTGCATCGTCAAGGGCGGTGAGGACCATATCGTATCTGAACAGGTCGACATTGGCTCCGAGTGTTTCGGATGTCTTCACGTCTGCGAGGTTGAAAGATGACGAAAATGCGAATTCCGTGTCGATATGGGTTACACGGTCTGAATATTTGGCGATGAGTGTCGATGAACGGGGGTGTAGGCCAGAGGCAGGGGCGACGACATGTATTTGAGCGTCTGTCGCCAAAAGGGAATCTACCCGCTGGGACGCAACGTCGCCGCCACCAATAATGGCGACTGTTTTGTCCTTGAGTTGCCAGGCGATGAGGAGGGATCCTGATCCTACTGTTTTGTTTGCTTCTGCCATGGTGGTCGTCGAGGATGAAGATGTGTTTTTCTCAAGCTATCCTTGTTTCGTCCCTGCGTCATACCATTCCATTTATGGATATGCCCCTATTTCTGGCGGAAGATCATCGCAAAATAATAAATTCGATGCATAACCGTCGTGAAGCCCGTACAAGACTCTTCACAACTTGAAAAAAATATCACACTTGTTCACATAAGGACGTTCATGTCAAGACGCCTGGGCCCTGCGGGGTGTCCCTGGTTAGATTGCCGATACGCTCACGTAGGTGTGGCCATCGCAGGAAACAACCTACTCCCGCACCACCGACACCAATAGGGCTACACTGGACGCCAACCAGTTCGTGAAAATTGAGGGCAGCACCGACGAGTCCACCGACCTCGTATGCCAGGACAGGGGCACTTCTGTATGCGTATGTTTACCAAAGCCTTCTGATGTTGTTCCACGCCGTGACACCACGGCCGGCAGCAATCACTCAACCCCTACCTCTACGTTCTCCACCTTGAGTCCTCTTCCAAAATGCCCAAGGCAGACATCAACAAGGCAGGATGGGAACAATCGGAATTCCCTATCCTCTGCGAAACATGTAAGTTCCAAGTCCACACCTCATAAAGAGCACATTATTAACCACTGCCTTTTTAATGTACAGGTTTGGGCTCGAATCCCTTCATTCGAATGGTACATTCTTCCTTGTCATCCAGTGTGCTGAAAGAAAGCTAACAGTGCCTCTGTAAATCAGTCAAAACAAGAATTCGGACGCTCATGCGGAACGTGTGCCCGCCCATTCACCGTCTTCCGCTGGAACCCTGGTGAAGGCGCCCGCTACAAAACCACTGTCATCTGCCAAACCTGCGCGAAAGTGAAGAACATTTGCCAGACGTGCTTGTTGGATTTAGAATTTGGGTTGCCGACCCAGGTTAGGGATACGGCGCTGGGGGTAACGAATGACGCACCTACCAGTGATGTGAATAGGGAGTACTATGCTCAGAATATGGAGGCTAAGGTGCGTTGTGAACGTGTTCCATTGGTTGTAAGGCGTGTGCCTTACCCCTTTTCAGCTCCAAGATTCTGGTGGAAACAAATCGGGCCTGGACATTACCCGCACCTCAATCGCAGGAAAAGAAATGCTGAAGCAACTCGCTCGAACAGACCCTTACTATAAACGCAACCGCCCTCACATCTGCTCCTTCTTCGTGAAAGGAAATTGCACAAGGGGGAGCGAATGCCCCTACAGACACGAAATCCCAGCCGAAACTTCAAAGGTCGGAGCTCAGCAGAGCATTCAAGACCGGTACCACGGGACGAACGATCCAGTGGCAAAGAAGCTTTTGACAACGTATGCTGAATCGATGGGTCTGGCTGCTCCAGCTGATACGTCAATCACTTCGCTGTTCATTTCCTCATTACCGGCAACAGCAACAGAAGATACTGTTCGAACAGCGGTTGTGCAATCTGTACCTTCCCTCGATCCTCAAAAGATTCGGTCAATTGTACACGTTGCAAAGTCTCGATGTGCGTTTGCAAACTTCAGGGATAGGGAAAGCGCGGAGCTGGCTGCTCTCGCCTGGGCGAAAGGATTGGAGGTTGATGGCCAAAAGGTCAATGTCAAGTGGGGCCGAAGCAGGCCAGCCAAACCGCCGGCCAACGAGATTACACCCTCAGGATCATCGAGTGTCGCCACTGCTTCATGATACCTCACTGTTCGCTCCCACTCCATTCACAAAACGCGCCGCAACTTCGAGCTTAATGCATGTATCACTATTATTAGACCTTGTTGTACAATAGACTAGGCTCTTAATCTCGTAATCCGGAGCGTGCTGTCCAATCTTTTCAGGCAGGAGTTTCAGCTGATGACGCCCTTCAACGTAGGCCTTACACCAGAAGCCCACCAACGACCATAGATGCCAACCAAGTCGCAAACTGTGACGCATTGGCGCCACCAACAAGCGCCCTGCCAAAGTTGACAAGACCTGGTCCAGCTTTAAAGGGAGAAACGGCGGGATTAGTGTAAGTTTGCCGGTTGATTTTCAAGGATATGGAAAGGGGAAAAGCGTCGCCATTGAGAACAAGAAGAGAGTGAAAGAATTGCAACACTCACGGCAGATGCCAGCCAAGCCCCAGCCAATTCCAAAGATCGCCGCTCCACCGACGAGCTTCAAATCAATAGTAGTAGATTTTGGAACAGACCATTGACCTCCCAAGCAGGGCTTTTCGTTTCCTCTCGCATAGCGATACAAGGCGATGCTCAGAGGAAGGGCGCCAGCAGCCAAAAAGGCCAGGGAGGGATCAAAAGCACGATGGAAGGGCAGTAAGAGGAAGGATAACACGCGAAGGGGATCGGTGAGGTTGGAGAGGTGTAACGCCAGGGCGAAATGGTTGGCGGTAGTGAAGAAGCCGAGGGTACGGAGGAGGCGGTTTGGAGGATTCGCCTCGGTATCAGGACATGTCGAGTGTGGTGCTTGCTCAGAAGGTCCCTTGGAAGGGGTTTCCAGGAGGCTAGATTCCTCCGTCTGGCCTGGTGGATTTACGTGCTTGGTGGTCTCATTTCGCCTCTATTCACAAAGGTCAGGCGAGGATGAGAACGTATAATTGCGATGGCGTACCAATGCGTAAAGCAAGAGAGAAGCCGCTAAGGGCAAAGCTTGGGCGAGGAGATACTTTGTTCCGTTTGGACCCAGGGACCAGTCAAATGAGCCGACGGCGGGCAAGTCCCTGTGGAACAGTTGCGCGGTTATGACGCCAGTCGTGAAGAAGGACAGCGTGGCCACTAGGGATCGCACTGAGAAGCGCGACAGGCCACAGATCATATGGCTAGGAATCACTAGTGAGCAGGGCCTCTCCGTACAACAGCAGGGGGCATACCCAGATGTACAGCCGTTTGAGAGCTAAGCGGGGAGCCGGTTAGCGCGTTCATTCTTGACGAAATCATGGGACGCACCTTTGTACCAAGGCCAACGAGGACGCCCGACAGGGCGACCTGGGAGATTGGAGGGACCAAAGCAGGGGGAGCTTCGCCATCCAGAGTGGCGAGCATCATGCCGCCTAGCACAAGCCCGGCGACACCAGCAGCAGCCTCAACGCTACCCTTGGCTGCGCGATGAATGAAACCAGAAATTCCAAAGACATTTCCGTTCAGCAACATGAGTGCGTGTACTGGGACAGGCAACGACAGCCCTCCAATGAAGGATCGCAGCGGTGTTGGATGCGACATTTTCCGGAGTCTCAAGGTTGTCAAAAGACGAAATTAGTTTATGACTTCTCCAGTCGAGGCATGAGCGTTTATATGATTCCAAGTTGACGCGGTTCCAAAAATAGCTTCACGTGCTGCTACTAAGTATGAGTAATCAATCAATCACCCCGATCGGCGCTGCCAGGAATAAGCGCCGTCTGGTCTTGGATCTCGACCTCTCGTGGAATAATGCCTGGAGCATCACACTGTTCCAAGCACCGTCCAACCATTGCCCGCCAATATAGATGTCCTTTTACTCCTTCACAAAGCACATTCTCGACACCTTTGACATGGACCGGCTCGAGTCCCGCAATGCTCCAGGAAGCCGTTGACGCACGGGACAACACCGCCAAGACATAGTCGTCCTTTGCGTATCCGTTGATAACCCGACCCGCGACCACACGTCGAATTTGGGACCACTGCCTAGGCTCTGTGCTTGCTGGCGTGCCAAACAAGAACACGTCCTGGACTAGGTGCATTGTTTCCGAGGGTGGGAGCGTTGCGAGGTATAACAGTGCTTCGTAAATCGCCAAGGAACCCAATGAATAGCCCACGAGGGTCACGGGCCTGTTTCCAAAGACTCGCTTTGCAAGCAGCTCCCCCAGGACTGCCCCAGTTTTGATCGCTAAGGCTTTCGCGTTCATCCAGGGATTATCTGTGAGTGTTTTGGACAAGCGGATTAGTGAGCAAGTCCCGTGGGGGAGTGAAAGCCAGCGAAACTGACCAATAATTTCTCCAATTTTCAGAAGGGCCAGAGGTGCGAGTGATGCCATGAGCCCTGCCAACATCGTGCGCTTGATAATTTCTCCTTTGACGTATTTCATTGCATGCGAGGTGATCAAGGTCACAAGCGCATTGGAGAGTTCTTCAAGGGCTTCGATTTCCTGACATACTACACCGTGAGGAAGGTCTCGTCGCAGCGACTCAATGCGAGGCTTACCCATTGCAGAGCATAGGTATCGTCTCCGCCAAAGATGGTCCAGGGGGCAACCACGTCGTCCTTGTCGTTTAGCCACCCACTGATACACAGTCTGACTGCCAAGGTTTCACCCGCCTTTCCTCGCTGTCTGTCTCCTCTCTCCATCTCCTTGGCTTGTTCCCCTTTCTTTGTCCTGACAGGGACAATCTTCAAGTCCCTCACTTCTCTCGTATGTCTCTCCACCATCTCCGCCGTCGACTTGGCCCCGTATACACCAAATAACGCACCACATACGACCCCTGATCCTGCAAGACCTGTCGCCACCAGCCCCAAAATGGTCCCTCCTAGCCCAAAGAAACCCAACACGCTTGCCAAACCAGCACCCACCAAAGGAGCTGCCAGTCCACCAGTCATGCCGATTAGCACTCCATCCACTATAGTTCCCAGCCCTATCCCAACGTTTCGCATGAATCTCGATTCCAGTGCATGAGATTTCTTGACAGATTCCACGACTTGGTCCGAGGTCTTTAGAGCCTGTTGGCGAGCTTCCGCTTGTTTCACGGCTTCCTCTGGGTTTTGGAGGGTCCATGTGATGGCATTCTCGTCGATCAGGTCGTTGTACCCGTATGCAGAGAAGAAAGCCCTCGTGAGAGCCGAGTATTGCTTGGTCTGGGAGGTGGTGAGATATATGAATAGGATTGCGTTTATCAGTTGAGCCATGTCACTTCTTGAGGGCAAGCTTGGTTTTGTTTCTGCTGTAGATGTGTCGGCGTATGGATCCAGTATGGGACAATCATCTGCGACACACAATTGAGATGGCTGCAAGAGCGGTTATGGCCTCAAGTACCTTCATCTTTTTCATAGCAGACAACCCATGCCTTCCTCAAGAATCCTTGGACCCATTCATTCAAGGCCTCTTTATACTCCCTTCTCCACCCCTCCATTTCGCGCTGAACATCAGGATCCATTGACTCTCCTTGTTCCAAGGTACCCATCTCCATATCGGCGTACAAAGTCGCTGTGTTACGAAAGGCAGCTAGTTGGCGCGATAAGTGATCGAATACGACCCGCTTTGCATCGCGCCCAAGAGACTTCGGGGGAGTTATCTTTTCGAGACTGGTGCTGGGCGACAACGTCGGTCTAGGGCTCGATGACATGTCTGCTTGTGTTGGACGAGGACGAACGGCGCTAGACACCGCGCCGAACAAGGATCTATGACCTGACGTCACCGAGATTTACCTCCGGCGCCAAGCACAGGAGCACCCCGCACTTCACTCGTTCGGAAACTCTAAAGCCCAAAGCATAATGCCATTATGTGCGAACGATAAATAATGCGTACAAAGAGTGACTGGGGAAAAACTACCAGACGAAACCAAGCAGGATGATAGCACTAAAGTTACAGATGAGGCGGAGATGGTGGGGTAAGATGGGATAGGGACCAAATGCAGATTAGGACAAAATGACCCATGGTCGTCATAAAATGGAAACAGATATGATTGTTCGTAAATTTTCTGTAGACTGGAGGTGCATGGTTAATCAGTTGCTGGACGTGGTAGTGCCCGTGATGACGGTCTGAGAGAGGGAAGCGTCAGAAACGAAGACCTGTAGACCATAGAAGAAATTTCGCTTACACTAGCGCCATTGACAATCTCCTGCGGACACTGGAATGTGAAGGTATTTTCTATCACAGGTGAAATGGTGATAAGCATTATCCGGATACCAAGCTGCGCGATTGGTGAGCGACATTCTTTTACGAGTTGAGGTAAAGGAACATACTGTCAGCTTATAATTCACAGAGATGTTCTCCCTCCTACCACCACCCACACCGCACTTGGTTCCTAGATCTACAAAGACCCTATTGCCAGGGTCGTCCGCCGTTCTATAGCTCAGCTTGAACGGGAACGTGAAATCAGTCTCTTCTCCCGATTTGAAGACGATGTCGCGGGACTCTCCACCCCCAACTGGAGTATTGTTGATAGGGTAGAAGATCTGAACGAGGAGAGGAAGGTGAGCGTGCCTGCGGCGTAACGAGGATGCAAAGGGATATACCTCGACTTTGAGGAGGGAGAACGCAACGGTAAAGTAGTTGGGGTTGTTTACTCTGAAATTCAATTGTCTATCGGCATGCTGTGCGACAGGAGTGGAGGGAGTGCTTACGAGATAGGCACGCTCAGGTTGATCTCTAATCCATCTGGTGACGACTGCAGGAGGCGTATTTAGCCCGAATGTCATTTTGAAAGGGACAAGGGTCGTACCAAACTGCCCGTGGTATTGTGAGTGACAACATCTCCGATATCTATGGCTGGAGGACGAATCCACTGCAATCAAACCAGATTAAATATGGGCACAGCATGGTCGAAGCGAGAAGGCGGCATACCAGGGCTAACGCCAGTACGATGCTCACTACGAGCAAGATGGTGATCATAATTGTGCAGCATAGGAATCGGCCTATACACCGCCCACGACTTCCCTAAATACCAAGGTCAGCGCTCCCAGGATAGATGACAATGGCGGGAACGCATACTTTGGTCCATAGGTTTCCCTGAGTGTCGTAACGGTATTCCTTCAATCCCTTCCTGCTTTTCCCATTGAATCGGTAAAGGTTAGCCATCGTCCTTTCAGTCAACGTATCAACGGGGGGCCGCAGGGTAGATGAAGCCGCATCCACCTGATTGGCATCGTGACGCCAACACGGCGCTCCAACAGTGAGTGTAGGAAAGGCATCAGCGAAAACACTTACTTTCTCGGGGTCACGGGGGTGAACTCTCCAGCTTCGAACCCATTCCACTGCTTTCGCACCGGTGCGACGGCAAGACCAGGCTCAGTCCTCTTCGTCGAAGACCTCCGCAATGTCGAAGGTTGCCTTCCCAATTCAGCGTTGTTCCCGTCTTCATATGTTACTCTTTGCGATTGAGACTGTGATCTCGAGTGCTGGGGTTGGCTCATGTCGGCCGGGGGGTACTGCTGGTTGTTTAGGTTGGAAGAACTGTACGGGTCATATGTCGGGCCACTGCCGCTGTAGCTGTCGTAAGGTTGATGATGGGGGTAGGCGGAAGTTGTTCCTGGCCCCCCTCGGGTAGGGTCGTTGAAGTCGAACGAGTCGTTTTGGTAGTAGTAGCGCGCATTTGTACTGTAGGGATCTGTATACTGCGGAGCCATGTTTCGATTCCAACGGGCACCACGATGTTTGTTTCCGTCCGTCCTGCTCGTATTTCTTGTTCGATCCGATCGACGAGGATAGGACAAAGAGCAATGGGCGTCAGAGAACGTCGACGGAAAGCAGACACAGTCAGAATCGGTTTCTGAACTGCGATAAGGTGATGGTCCAAAGCAAAGAGGCGATGAAGAGTCCACCCCTTGTGCCCGCGACACTGCTTCAAGCGGCTATGACGACCGTAACCTTCCATTTTCGGAACCGCGACAAACCCTCCGACAGTCTTGGCACCGCTTCCACAGCTAAAAATAAACGCACCTCTGGTCGAAAGAACCCATAAAAAATCAAGTAAATGCTCAAAGGGATTTGGTATCCTACTATCAGCCCAATATATTTATTGCCTCTGGGAATAGAAAGATATCGCACTTCTAACTACTTTCTTTGGCATATTCTCTTCGTAACGGGGATCTTGCCCGTGTGCACAGCCCTGACACCCCATCTTGTATGTGGTTCATGTAGATTCATCAGTCCTATGATAACAATATGAACCATACAAGTAGATTTCAGAACGATAAGCATGAAGGAAAACAATAGAAATACGAAGGCCTACAGTAAAGTAAACAGGCCTTGTACCTACATATCACTGGAACTGGGAAGTACTTCGGGAGCTCGTTGCCGGTTTGTTTCCTCCAGGAAGAAAAGGAACTCTCTGACCACCCGTTCCCGCACTATTGACATTCAACGATACATCTCTTGACCCTGTAGAATTCGAAGGGCATTGTTGCTGAGACCTGCTTACAGTCCCTGCGCCACCAGACGGCTTGGCTAACTGGTTCACGCTGGGTGGAGGGAAGAATCGCCGCTGTTGCTGTTGTTGTTGTCCGGGCACTTCTCCAGCTTTCATTGCCGACGCAGGCGTGGGTGGAACGAATCGTTCACTAGCTGTCGAAAGGCCATTGGCACTCGCTCCGAACCCAGGCCTAGGGGTCGGCGGTGGACCCATTGTCCCTATATTTCGCTGATGGGACGGACCTGCCCCTCGGCCTTCGTTTACCGCAGGCTTGAACTGCGGCCCGCGTTGCATGCTTGCAGTGTATTGCAGTGGCTGTTGGTAGTTGTGTTGCCTCTGTTGCACCGCTATGTTCGTGCTGTTGCCTTGGGCCCAATGAGACACCTCTGAAGGCCCAGGGTCCGAGTTATTGCCGGAAGGCTGGGTTCGTTTGAACTGTTGCGGAGCGGCCTGCGCTCTCGAAAGACGAGGTACCTTGAATTGAGGGGTCTCCGGTGGGACATAGGCATATTGTCTCGGTGATCTCAATATATGCACTGTATGAAGCAACTTAGTAGTCACTCACTGGATTGCTTGCCTGTTAGAGACAGGCCGTGCCACTTGGTTTGCATGCTTCGAAGAGACCAATTCAGGCGGTTGTTGCACAGGCGGCAATGTCAGTCTCTGCGGGGCCACTGGCGTTGGGATTGACCGAGGACTTGAGCTGTTGTGACCACTGCGATAGAATCTGCCAAACAGCGTAAGGTCACGCCACATCCGGCGGGTTAACGAGGAAGAATCACTGGTTTGGAGGAAGTATAGGTCGCTTTCCATTAGCATTGACGAAGTCGGCTGGTTCGTATGCGTTCCGTGGATCTCCCAGAGTGCGCTTGAGGCTATGGTTCTCATTTGACAGTGTCTGATTCAGTCTGTCAATGAAGGTTGCCAATCAGTAGCCGAAGGCGGATTTCCAGATGAGCCCATTCTGAGATACTTTTTCGCCTCGTTTAGCTCTCTCTTCAGCTTCTCGATGTATCCTCTGTATTGTGTATACCGAGACTTGTAGTAACGAAGTTGGTGTGCCATCATTTCCTGTTGGAACTGTCGCCCAGACGAAGATATGTTCAGTATTAATACAGTCTTCCGGAGCCTAGAAAGTCGATGACCTTTGCCGCAAATGCAATTGTATCCAATGCTGCCGGAATCGAGCTAAACCAGTTTGACATTGGCTGATCCATCTAGTAGGTTCGAGTTGAAGCGATGGTGAGACGCGCAGCGGTATAGTCAGCGTCTAACCTGTGGTTGTAAAGGCACGAGTTGGATGTCGGTAGCTCCACAGGTACAACAGCTCTGGTCGGCGTCTGGAAAGCAAAACATGCCAGTGGAAAAGTTGTCAGTAATTGTCGCAGCTTCGAAGCCACCGGATAGATCTAGACAGACTGAGATGGTTGTTGCAAACGACATGCCCACACTCAGTCAGCCAGAAAGGAACAGTAAGGGTCGAGTCAGAGGTGTATGTGAGATGGCATTTCGAGCAAGCTACGAATTCCCAGAACTCAGAGTCCGTATCCATCTGAGCGCCTCTTATTCCAATCCGCGACCACAAGTTCCAGGCGATTTCGAGTAGACGTCGATTTGCTGACAAGACGGTTGCAAGATATTGGCTCTTCCAGATATTGTAGGATTGTACGCGACGGACGATGATGGTTAGCTGCAAAGAGATATATCCGAAGACACCGGGACACGGTCATCGTCCGTCACAAGTTTCCCACCCCCAAGTCCCCGCTTGACCACATACTACCAGATTGCCACCCTGACTATTCGCGACGACGGCGATGCTCTAGAAGAACTTCTCTATCATGGACGGCGATGACAACATCAAAATACGCTCTATATCAACAGCGGGGTGGTCACTCGACGCAATCCTCAACCAAGCCAATTTCGTACCAGTTGACAGGTTTTCTGCAAAGTCAGACGCCCAAATCAACAAGGCAATAGAAGATTTCGAGAAGCACGGAACGCCAACTATCATCGATGGATGGCACGAACGTGACGACTGGCCCAGGGATTTGTTCACCCTGGACTTCTTTCAGCGACACTCGGAATCAGAAGGCAAGTCGTTTGGCCATCTCGATGGCTTTCTCAATTCGGGACTTACACACCACAGATATACACGTCAGGAACATCCATGACTGGAGAGACAGCACTATGCCCCTGGACGAGTTCATTGCTGCCTCTCGAGAAGCACCTCCTTGCGTAGCACCCGACGGTATGTCACAAATGCCCCGGGTTCACTTTGCTTGTTCTGAAACATATATAGAGCGGGTCCGGCTGTATGGAAAGGATGCAGAATGCCCTAAAGAATGGAGCAAATGGATCAAGGAAGCCGATGTCATCCCTGAAAGACTACATTGGAATGGGTCCAATGACTACTTTCGATACCGCCCCAAGAATGTTTGTCCATCCCCTCAGCATCCAAATTCCTCCGCATAACGTCTTTGTAGGCACGAGTAGAAACCCTCATGTGCTATCTCGGCATTGGTGACACCTTTACTCCAGCACACAAGGACCTCTGCGCGTCATCCGGACACAATCTGATGTGCTACACCGAGAACGAAGGGAGCTCGTACTGGTTCATGACCAAGAGTTCAGATGCAGCGAAAGCGAGCGACTTTTTCCAAACTTTGGGGCAGGAACTAGACCACGAAACCCATGTCATCACGTTGGGTGAACTCGCCAAAGCTCCGTTCAAAGTTTATGTCGCTGAACAAAAGCTTGGTGATTTGGTCCTCGTTCCTCCTCGAAGCTGCCACCAAGTGGTCAATTTTGGCGGCATCACTCTCAAAACATCTTGGTCGAGGATGACGCTAGATGGCCTGGTGACAGCCTTTTATCACGAACTTCCCATCTACCAAAGGTGTGCATTTCGAGTAATGCCCATATTCTCACTGACTGACAAATCCTCCCAAGAGTTTGCCGCTTGGAAACCTACAAAGTAAAAAGCACCATCTTCTGCGCACTTCTCAAGCAGATCAAGGAGCTCGAGGAAGCCCATCCCTTTTCGGGTTCACCGAGCAAGCCAAAGCCCTTCCAAGGCATGGGCCATTCTCCATTCAGCCTCCCTTATCCTGACTGACATTCGCGCTGAAGGCAAACCGAACTCTCGAGTAAGCGCCCTAATTAAAAGCGTTGATACACTTCTGGCGGTATTTCGAGACATTATCGCTCAAGAGTGGAGCAAAGAGAAGCACGAGTGCCTTGAGGCATCCGCAGACGTGTTGGCGAGCGAACAGGCTATGGAGCATTGCCTCGTCTGCGATTTCTGCGGCGCCGACGTGTTCCAAGCGTACCTCGAATGTGATCAATGCAAGGGGGTCTCCGATGGTACGGGCGGGAATTCCGAGGGTTACAACACATATATCATTTGTCCTGGGTGTTATGCAGATGGCCGGAGCTGCAAATGTGTGGTCATGAAACCCAAGCAACGCTTCCCCTTCGAGGATCTTCTAAAAGTCGTGGGTCGAGCCAGTGCGATAATGAAGGGCTTCGAGCCTGACTGGAAGATGAAACCTTTGTTTGTACCCTCTTTTTCTTTACCTGCCTTGAATTCACCCCGGCTCCAGGAAGGCTTACTATTCCACATTCAAAGCGGCGTGTCTGATGAGGAGCATTCGTAGAAAGGTACGTGGGTCGCTTGCTGTTTTCACTTGGGTCCCATTGACATGGGCGTTAGTACAAGTGTGTCCTCACCAAAGAAATTGATTGGGCTATCCACTGTCGAAGCTGCCACAACTCTAAATCATTCACCGTCCTCCTCCAACGGTTTCACCTTCACGCGACTGTGGCCGTGTCTGCATATGCTGAGGCCACAACAGACGACAAAGGGTTCCACAAGGTTCACCAGGAAGCTCCTCATAAATACTGGAGAAAGCAACAGGAGATGGAAATTAGCCAAATAGAAGGAACCCGCGGTCCCATCGATACACTTCGCGTGCATTATGCTCTGAAATATCGGACTTGTCGACCATGGTCGTTTGAATGGTCCATCCCGGGATTTTATGACGAGGCTATTCAGGACTGTGGTACCGATGTACGTCAACTTCCAGGTGGTTTACTGAAGCCTTATTTAACGTTTGCCCAGGAACCTTCTGAGGACCGAGAGGTAGTCAACGTCGACCTGGAGTTCTCTCCTCCCGGATCTCCCGCGGTCGTGAACCAATTCCTTCTCGATGATACTGACGACTATCCTTCGGACGACTATTCTTCGGATGACTCGCCTTCGGCCTCACCTACGGTACACGAGTCGCTCGACAACTCATACCCTTCCTTACCCCAGCCTAGCACATCCAAAGGAAGGCGGTTATTTATGGACTATGTGCTGGTCCCATCCGCACCTTACCCCATTCCTAGCGACTCGATGCGGGATTCATCCGCAATAGAGAACCCACCCGGCCCTTCCCGGGGTACCAAACGGAAACAACGGCCGTCTATCGGCTCTGCGTCGACGAAACCAAGAATCGCGACAAGTTCTGAAGGCTCACAGTCCGACTCGGACGTATTAGAACGACGGAAGCCTGCACCACCCAAACCTAAGACGCGGAATGTCGGCACCAATTCCAGCGTTGTCGGGTCTACAACCTCACTTTTGGCTGCGTCCTCCAGTACAACGCCTTCACTACCTCCCTCGCACCGCTTCAAGTCAGGGTTGGTAGCAACGCCCATTCCGAGGTTCCATTCCGTTTCTCCATCAGACTCCAACGATGATGTACCTCCGTCTACACCCGTGGGCGCGCCAGCCGCTTCATCAAGTAAAGCCCTTGGAAAGCGGAAGTGCATGGATCCCAGTTCATCCCTGGCGGATGCGATGAACAGAGCGCATGTACACAATGCAAAGACCACACCATCCCCTGCCAAAGCTTCCACCGTCCGTTCGGGTCCTTCGAAACAGTCAGATGATTCATGGGAGGGGGCAGGGGGACTCTTGGAACCACCGGATCATTTCAGGGAGTGGTTTGAAAAAGAAATCCGGCCAGTTTTTAAGCGCCAGGGTGCAAGACTGTCGATTCCTACCGATTGCGATTCATTCATTTCAAGCGTGTCCAATGGTGGTTACGATACACTGTTGCAGGTGGGAAATATTGTTGACAAGACTCTTCGCGTTATGGTTGGCTAACATATGCGGCGATTTCAGATCACGACAGAAGAGGTCATTAAGGACGTCGTGACCAGGTACCTAGCCGCAATGATCAACGAAAAACCCCAAGCTCGCCAATTTCTTTCTCACAGTCAGTTTTTCTAGCACGGTGCCCTCACTCACTGCTGACATGAAAACCACAGTTGACGACTCCATTCGCCGTGGTCATTCGCAGAAATCGCGAACAGTGGACCCAATTGGGTCTAGGAATGCACCTGTAACTGAATCAAGTGTAGAGGCCCAGTCTTCCAACCCAAAGCTACACCATAACGTTAGTGGTCGCAATGGAGATCGATCTTCCGCCGTCTTCCGCTCGTCTTTGCCTCATAAAGGCGAACAACGTCGTGGCAGAGGGGAAACGCGCAAGATCGTGGACGAAAGACCCAAGACTGGTATAGCGGACGCTTTCAATCAACGCATTCACGACCCTCAATCTCTTCCAACACGAGGGATACGCTCACCGACCATGACCAAGAACCCAAATGCTAAATCCAAGAACGCAACTCTGCCCCTCCAGAACAATGACCGCCGTGGAAGCCTGGTCACCCATGTGAAGCCGATTGCACCTACCAAGAGAAAGCGATCTCCCAGCCCTCTTCGCAAACGGACAATGAGCGACAAATTGCAAGCAGAGCTAGACCTAACTCGTTTAACTCGTGGATTGCCACGAAGCACTCGCGCCTCTCAGCAAAGAAGTGAGTCTCGCGATACGAACCGGCAGTCCTCGCAGGACAGGAACATCGACACAAGTCGCCCGTCATCTCCTGCTACCTCGGAAGACAAGATGGGTTTGGAAGGGGGTTCCCAGCAGACGGTGTTACACCGATCCCGCATGTTTATACCCAACTCTCTGCTCATGGGTCCTAGTAATTCCTAGAATCCGGGAGCCCAATCAGTATATTTCAAACCATTTGCCAGTAGTAACCACGAACCTTGTAGTAAGTACATTTTGGAATTGCTCGCCAAGAGAAGAAGATACCACACTGGTGTGCTTGTCAGAAACGTATATTTCATTGCTTGCGTATAGTGTAATGAATCACCACCAGACCAATAGCCCATGCAACTAAAGACCAGGAACACGAAACCGAGAGCAAGCTTTCCGTAGAATAGATTGGGTCATCATGTACAGGGCGTTACTATGAAAGGAATGGAAGTATGGATCGTCAAGAAGGTCTGAAGATCCTTCAATTAGGTGTGGCTGTATGGGTATAAAAATAATAAGAACCGGAATAAGGACTAGCTAGAAGGCACGGTGACACAGTAAAAGAGTGACAGAGGACTAGAGGAAACGGAGAAAACAAGCGAAGCCTGGCTCAAAAGAATTGGACGTCATGAAGGAGTAACCTGAAGCGGACTTGTAAAACTATTCAAAAGGGAAAAAGCAACCTCGAAAGCGACGAAGGCAGAGAACACCCGAGAGAAAGATGTGGAGTCATTAAGTCCTGCAGACTGGAACGGCGTTAAGGAAGATATTAACGATGCCAAAACGAGCGTTTTCGTGAATGGATAAGAGAAGCTGGAAACGATGCCCTTCGTCCTCAACATCTACATGTCAAGATTCGGAGCAGGGATGGTTTTGGTGCAGGCTCTTCGCCACCTTGCTGATTGTAGTCCCCTGGAGTGGCAGACGCTCGTGCGTTGGTCATGGTGGGTGGTGCGGCGCTAGCATTAGGCACCATGGGGGATGCGCGACCATACGGTTGGTTGCGATAAGGATCGTCCACCGCACCGTAGTCATACCCCCCTGCGTTTGCATAAGGATGCTGTGCCCCACTCATACGATTGGCCGCAGGAACGTTCATGTGCGGTGTCATCTGGCCCGCGCCCGGGCCCTTGCGTTGCTTCGAGCCAGTTCGTACGAGAGCGGGCGACGGTGGTACAACACCCTGTTGGGATCGTCTACGATCTTCACGGCCATCGCCGCGTCGTCTATCGTTAGTGGGTTGCATTGGAGGCAAAATTTGGCTTTGATTCTAGACAGCGAATGAAAGTCAACCAAGGTCACGCAAAGGCACAGAGCAAGCCAAGAACGTACCAACGAAGCTTCCCAGCCCCGACCATCTATAAGGTTATGGCCCATAAATATTTGAATATCACTTGTACATTTTTAATGACTCACCGTTAAGTAAGTTCCAGTCAAATACATTATCCTCAACATCACCATTGCTCTTTAGAACCTTGGTGAACAATTCACGCAAGAAGTCGTAATCGGGCGTCTCTTCGAATCCAAGTTTGCGAACATAGTTCAGATAAATGCCAAACTCCTCTGGAGACTCAAGGGTATGAGTGGGGTTTGGGTGAAACCCTAATTCAGATGCAACTTGCCTGGAAATCCTTCGCATAGCTCTTTAATTGGCGTAGTTTGCTTCTTCTCTCCAATCTTCTCGTACTTCTGCTTGTTGGTAGCGGCCTTCAAACCTTGCCATGGCAGGCTACCACGTAAAAAGTACATGAATACATGACCAAGAGCTTCGAGATCATCTCTTCTAGATTGCTCTGTAGCAAAGGGGTAAATGCAAATAACGATCAGGGGCAATAATGTGAGTTTAAATGGCAAGACTGACCTCTGCCCAGGTGCGTATTGATGCTCATGTACCGCGCGGTTCCGCTGAGACTCTTCCGTTCCCGATAGGGGATGTGCTGCTTCGTCTTCGGGTCACGGTACTGCTTCGCCATTCCAAAGTCGACAACGTGGATAACTAAATTTGAATTAGTTAAGAGATGCCGCTGCTGTGCTAAATCTGAAAAGCCGAAGATGAACTGACCGTTGGCCCCCTTGGTGCCTGGACGACCAATCAAAAAGTTGTCTGGCTTAATGTCGCGGTAAATGAGGTTCTTCTCATGGATGGTCTGGACACGAGTAATCTGTTGAAGGAGAACGCCAATGGAAGGTCCTTTGAATGAGAAGGACAAGGACGAGGGGCGAAGCAAGCGGTCGAGCGCACCATTTGCTTGGCTGCCATGCAAACGGTCTTGATGCTGAACTTGCGACCACACATGTCGAAGAGATCTTCAAGACTTGGACCAAGAAGGTCAATTACGAGGATGTTGTGCAAGCCTTCTTGACCGAAATGGTATATTTGGGGGATTCCAGCTGTTAAGCAGTTCGGGTAAGCGAGGGGTGGTGATGGACGGTGTGGTGACGAAGTACGCACTGCAGCCCGCCAGAATACGATAAGAGCGACATTCATCCCGAAGCTGGGGCGCTTCCGCCTTTCTTGGTTCCTGTGAGAAGCATTGAGCTGGGCGTGTTCGGAGATAGAGGCACTTCGTGGAGTCGAGCACGCACAAACTTGATGGCGACCGTTTGAGAGTTGAGCAGATTGGTGCCTAGTGTGAACAGCACCCGTTGAGCACGACGATGACGACGACAAATTCATATGGAAAGCGCTGTACCCTCGAAGATTACGCCAAACGAGCCCTCTCCAATCTTCTTGCCGACACGATAGTGGATGCCAACTATGTTCGCTGTCGACGATGGGTGTGAATGGGAGGCCATGGTCGTCGTCGTCGTCGTCGTCGGGGACGATTGCTGATAGGAGGAGGGCGTCGGAGGGAAGAAGGAAAGGGAAATAGGACGTCAGAAGGCCTGCCTACGATGATGCTCAAACACAGTCCAAACTCAGCGCAGGCGTCACAATCCAACTCCGCTCGAATAAGTGCCGCCATCATAAATCCCGCCGTATCATTTTCCATGTCACCCACCCCTTTAATGCCTGTATGCAACATACGCTAACACTAATACTACCAACGCTGAGCTGTAATGAACAATGTACTTTCCTATGCCCTGCTGCGGCCGCTCACCGCCAACTACCCGAAACTTCTCCCAGGACGGACGGCGGCCTAACCACCAAAACAATGTTGCCGGGCCAGGGAAAGAAGCAACGTTCTTCGTCTTGGTCCCTTCACGAAGATAATGATAGTAGTACGAATCGCAGTCCGTCCACACCGATTTCGATAGACGTTCTTGGAGCCAATCGTTGTACGAGTCCGTGGCTTCGTCTGTAACTTCCACAGACTTGATCTTGCCTTCCAGCACCGGTTTGATCAGTTGGAGCGAGTGGTTGATCTAATTCGGGGATGGAGAACCCAACAAAGATGAGAATTTCCTCGGAAGGATTATAGAAAAAACTCGTCTCACCTGCACTTCCTCGCAGAATATCACTGAATAATGTCCGCCCGAGACGTTAGGTCCTGAGTAATTCCGCTCTTAGCACGTCTGCATGACTTCGAACAATACCACGAACACGAACCCAGGAAGGTGAACATGTTGGGGAAGCCAGGATAACACGACCCGAGGTATGCCGTCGGGCCTTGCTTGCTGTTGAAGTACTCCGAGATGTGTTTGCCACCCCTTCCCCGCACGTTTAGGCTGATGGGTTCCTATTACCCCTCGAGGTGAGAAGGGGGCCACAGGACAAGGAAGACAACTTACCACTGAGTACCCTGTTCCAAAAATGACAATGTCTAAGGGAACAACTTCGTCCGACTTCAGTTTAATCCCTTCCTCTATCAGTGATTCTACCGCGTCCCATCTCAGCGTCACATTGGGTCGATGCAGGCAGGAAAGGTAGTCGGGGTCAATAATAATGCGGCGACACCCAGGCACTGGACGGACCGTCCATTTAGATCCATGGCTTCCAGCAGCGACTAGAGTGAACCAACATACTGTACGAGGGAATCAGCTTATCTGCATATTCCTTAGGCGCCGTTTTTCTGATGTATTGCTCCATCACCTGCAAGGGAAAAACGTGTTTATCATGGTTAAGTATGTAAAACAAGATATGGAGGACAAGCCCACCTTCCTGGTGTAAGACACGAGGCGCTTATTCTGCTTATTAAAGATAACAAAAACCACATCCGCCTGGAGGGTGCGCGGTAAGCATCCAAGTTGTACAGGATTGAAGACGGACTTACGCGAAACATGAGCCAATTACGATACCATCTCATCACAAGGGGTACGTTTGCAAAGATCCATTTGAGCCATCCCGGATATGCAAAGTCGTCCTACCCGCAAAGGGTCAATTGCTATCGTTCTCCAAGGAGCAAGAACGCACCTTGGCTATATACCATTGCGGCGTTCTGACGAAATTAATGACCTCAACCGTTGGGTCTGTCGATATCTCGGGGACAAACTGGGCTCTGCGAAACGAAGAGTCAGTTTTTGGTAGGCCTTTTCAACTCAAAGAGTACGCACGCAGAGCATCCATTTCCAATGACTCCAACTTTCTTTCCAGACAGCGAAACATCATGCCTCCACTGGGAAGAATGCCACCACTCCCCTTTGAACTTGTCCATCCCTCGCACATCCTTCGGATACTTCGGTGCCGTGAATGCACCAACAGCGAAGAACAACAGCTCTGCTTCGATTGTCTCCCTTTTACCGTCGTTCGCTTCTTCTTGAATGGTGATTACCCATCGTTGGTTCTTCTCGTCCCATTCGGAGAAGAGAACCGAGGTACCGAGACGGGTGTACGATGGCAGATTGTACTTATGCCAAAGATTTTCCCAATAAGACCGCAGCTCCTGCTGGCTCGCGTACCGCCGTTCCCAGTTGGGATTGAGATCGGTGGAGAGACTGTACCAATGTCCTGGGATATCCGACCCGCAACCCTAGGACAAGGCAATCCAAAGACCGCACCAGCAATAAGGCGTCGACCAAGAAGGAAGGCCAGCAAAAGTTCCCGGTTTCATGGATCATTTCAAGTTCGACCATCCACAGAACGCATGTAGGTCCCCAGCGATTCGCAGGTTTGGTTGTCGCATATAGTGGGCGACGATCCGTCGATGACGGCAAAGGAGGTGGAGGCGTGCAAGTGATATGTAAGTAGAAGAAAGAGTGACCATCGAGAAGTGAAAGCCTTGTCAGTTGATGCTCAAGCTAGGTGGAGTGGTAAAGGCAATGCGTACTGGATAGGTATTGTCCTGTGATCGAGATCATGCGGTCAGATGGAGAAGAACAACAGCCTTGTTATGGTGCAGCACGTACTCTCCAAGTCCCACCCACTGAATTCGCCTTTTCGTAAATCTGCCAGAGTGGGGTTCATTTATGTAACTTTTTTCGAAAAGTAGAACATGGGAAGGAACGCGGAGATGTGGTGCTCCTTCATTTGTATTGATGGAAGGAACGCGGGGCTCGCGGGAAGGACAAAGGTTCCAAGAAACATACCACGAAGTTATCATAGCCCAGCTGTCTTCTAAGCTGTATTGCCAGTGAGATTCCAGCAGCCCTACAGCGTCGGAATGTAAGTTAGCCATGTTACAAACGACATCACGAGAAGACGAGAAGGCATTAAATGGCAGATAGTCACAATGGATTGGATCGCGACAAGAGACATAGTACACGAGACTTGCCTCGAGGTCGAGGCACTATCGTTATATCCTAGTCGGAGTGGTCATCTGAGATAGGTTCCGTGACACATGCAAACTCGCTGTCTTGTGCCTTTCCATGTCCAATTCACCTGGATTTCATACTCTGGTGGAAGGGATCCACTTACCCAGCGCCGACGATGACAATACGCGGTCTTGTGGCAGCCACCATGACATGCGGCAAAAGAGTGATGCTAAATACCGCGTTAGGATGCTTCAGGGAAAACCTATTATGTATACAGAATTAAACAGCATACCTTCAAGCTCTAAAGGGGTCGGAATATGGAACGAACGAAGAGGAGAGCGGTGAAAGCGCGTGGAAATTAAAACACTGGCAGATGACGGTGGTGCTCAAGGCGTGTCCAAACTCGCGTTTGTCGGGTACGGCATATCAAGGGACACGTCAAAATTTTAGAGCGCTAGCGGCTAACTTTGCGAATGGGGTTATTACATTTATCCTGTGCGCAGGGGTGAGGACGAGCAAATGAATCCTTGGATCGTCCAGAGAGGTGACGGTCAAGGCGCATCCGACGGAACCAAAAGCCGTAAACCCGGAAAGAAAAGCGTGTTCCATGGCTGCCTCCTGTACCCCACACGAAGCCGACAAGATTCGCTCACGAGCTCTCTAACAGTTGACAAAGCAGAACGAGATGTTTTGGGATAGGGGTAAGTACAGCAGTCAGAAGAGGTATCAATCAACGAAGGGGGAATATACTAGGTGACACAATGAAGGTTGTGCCCAAGGAACAAAGGACAAGATGCGAAGCAAGTACAACAAAGAGAGAGAATTCCACGGAGTTGAGGGGGAGTGGTTGCAATGACTTGGGCCATTACAAGGATGGTGATAGCAGATACACTACTGCAATGGAGGGGATTATGCCAGTGTTTGGAGCCCCAGCAATAGTACTATAACGGAATGGGGACAGGCGATCGCCATGAACAGGGGGCCGGAGACGGTGGGGTAGCACAATAGCACGGACATGCCTGGAACTAGACAATCACGGAGAAGCTTGGAGTGGGAAGGGAGCCATCATCGAAACTCGAAGGTCGTGCTGGTTCCTTCTGGTACATGCGTCAAAGACAGCTGCTGATACCTAAAGAAGAGTACCACCTTCAATATCACGCACATCACATTAGACGGGCTAAATGGACTCACGGCTCGGAGTTTTGGTGATAATAGAAGCCGCTCATGGTAGCCACTGGGGGAGGCATAGGTGCGATGCGAGGCCTAGATTTGCTTCGTCGACTGCGAGCTACACTGGATTCTCGTCGCCTTCGAGGTTCTTTGGCGATGGGTAACGATGCAGATGCCTCGGCCTCGCCTTCTTCAATCGTTGTACTGCCTCCTTGAGTGTTAAAATCCACACAAACGTAGTAAAATCCTAGATGGAACATGGGGGTCAGTATACTCGGCAACACGGAGCAACATGGCACAGCTGCACACCAATTGCTGTAGAGACATAATAAGAAGATGTACTCACCTGCGAAACTCGCTCCGTTGATATCATGTACATTGTGGTCGGGTACGAGGAACCGCTCCTTCCATCGCATGAAGACAGCACCCCGGTCACGGTCGTCTATTGTCAAATGTGGCCGCTTCGCTTCCTGCTTCACATGTTTGAAAGCCGGGAATCGAGCCCAGTGGACCATGTCCTCATGTTCCGACGCTCCCCAATTTTGTGTCAGGAACCCATATCGAGGCCCAATGATCTCTGCGTCAAAGTACGTCGTCAGCTCTGGCCAATCGTCAGTCAACCCTCGGATCCGCAGGTATCCGCACAGAGTCGACATCTGGAAGTCCACATCCTATAACGTGTGCATGCCCAAGGTCAACCCACAAAACTGCTTCACACTACAGCTGGGAAGAAATCCACGCACAACGATGGTGACCGTGACATCATAACTATTGCGCCCACTCTTCTGCGTTCCCTCAAAGGTCGCCCCAGGATAGAGGCAGTGATGCGACTGAGACCGAACCCGTAGCCGTGTGATGTCGACAAGTGGATCATGCACTGGTTGGGCCAAAGTAGGCGGTCGGCGAGCGTCGGCACCCTGGACGACTGGCGATGGCGATGCGTAATATGTCGTCGATGAAGGCAGTGTCGGGGAATGCGCCTTACTCGTCGCTGGATGCGACAAGGATGATCCGTTGGTCGAGGTGGGATTTGTCACTATAGGTTGTAACTGGGCGAATTGTTTTGTTGTCTGACCCGTCGCCGGGGACAGCGATTGACTAGCTGGGGTTGTGTGGCAGGCTTGCGGCGCTGAAGAAGAGGCTATTGGCGCTGTTTCTGTGCGTGGGTCTTGTGAGGGACTTGGAGTTTGGGATACGTCCGGAAGACGCCTCGTGGGGTGTTGGTTGTGCTGGGGACCGGCAGCCTCGTGCGAGGCGGTATGACGATGTACGTTATTCGAGGCGCCTTCGAGCGGCAAGCGATATGGACGCTGGTCGTTGGATGAGATAAGGGACGGGCGCGTTCCCCGAATGCATTCGCGACAGTGGGCACATACGAGTGCGTCGGCCAGAGGGTGGAGGACAACGTCGGAGAGGGCGGTCGCACACAACGAGCAGAACTTGATTTGAGGTTGCTGAATGTCGAGCTGGACGTCCTGGACGATGGCGACGACCTGTTCTGAAGGCATTGGACTGTCACGGTTATGGGTAAGAAGCAAGAGTCTGTGGGACGCCTTTGCCAAGGAGTCCACCATTCTGAATATCCGCACGTGCCAATTACCTCCGCACCTTGACAATCTCAATTGAATCTCTGACATTCCACTCCTTTTACCCCTCTCCGATATCGTTATGCTATTGCATTTTGTCTATATTCTGCTCATTTCTCCGTGTTTGACGTCTACCCGGCGGGAGTGCCAGCCAGTAACTCATACACATCCCCTTCGACTACGCCTTATCATGCTTAGACGCCTGAGATCCTGTACCACCTCGTTTGGGAATTGAGTGATCATCACGCCCCCAGAGCACACTCGGCGTGTCATTAACAGTCTACTCTAATAAGTCGAATGGCCGATGGTATCGAAATAAAGAAATGATAATGGTAAGATAAAAGGTCTATGTTTTGGTCCTCGTCATTGTGACCCCTCGTGACTTCATGCAGCTTTTACGTCCGAAGACGTTGAGTTCGTTGTTTCTTGTATTGTCGAATCAGTCCCAGCATGTCCCGATGTTGTTGGTGCGTCTTTTGCTCCCGCCGCCCCCGTCCCCAGCGTTTCCGAGATGGACGGTGAGCCAGAAGAACCTGTGGGCCTCGCCCGCTCCAGATCCCGATCGGGGTGGTCTGATGCATTGTTGCTGGTCGCGTCAACAGCCCTGTTCTCGTCATCCTTTTCGTTAGAACTGATGTTGGTGGGCGTCGCGGTTTCTTCGTCGCCAGCTCGAATTATCGTGCGTTTCAAAGTATACTTCCGAAGGAACAGGACTTGTGCATGTGTAAGCCCCCTGGACATACTTATGCTGATTAGGAACAGCCACTCACCCATAATGAAGGCAACGCCAATGATAGGGGTCATTACGATCCAGATAGTGCTGATCGAGCGAGTGTAGGCGTCAATAATAGCCGCTCGTTGATTCGGATCCTACCAGTAGAGTGAGTTAGCTCAGGGTAATCACTGTGAAGAGTATGTAGGGATTGAAAGGGGAAGGTTCAAACCCCCAAGTCGGAAATGAAAGGAAGAGGTATTCGATCCTCGAGACTTTGACAAAAGCGGAAAGAAGCTTACCGTTATCGTTCGCAAGCGATAGACACTCTGGCTAAGTTCACCGGGAGTAGCGCTTTCGAGGAATGGAGGGAGATTATCCATCTTCTCGATCTTCTTCATCAATACCTATGATATTTCTCTTGCGTCAGAAACAAGAACAACCTGGACGGCATAAGCCACTCACCCCGGAATAGATGGCTTGGCCAACGGAAATGCCAACAGTAGCGCCCAAGGTTCTTGGAGACCATCAGCTAGACCTATGAAGTTTCGACGGAGTCTCGTACCTGATAAACCCAAAGGTCGAAGTACTCGTTGCCATATCTTTGATGGGCATCGCAGCTTGTAATGCAATTAAAGGCGTCTAAACAAGCGCCATTGGTTAGGATGCTAGTCTGCGTGTCTTCCCGAAGTAGACGAACCTGGAACAAGCACCCTAGGCCCAGCGCAGCAATCAGGGTATAAAGAACCTTTTCGGCGCTGCAATTGCAATCAGTCATTTGTTTCGAGACAGCCATACCTGATCTATGCTCACGTTGAGGAATCGCCGTCCAACATTGTCATCAAGCCCATTCCCAAGGTAAACACGGCGAAAGCACCCCACATCATAGGGCGATAGGAGCCGGTTTTGGAGACAACTATGCCGGACACAGCAGAGGTAAAGGCACAGCCCAATGAATATGGAATCGTTTCAACTCCAGCCTTGGTCGCAGAGGCACCCAAAACCTGATAGTAAAGCGGCAGATAGAAAGCGCCTAAAAGCCAGAGTTAGATTGAATTAAACGCAGATTGGCGCTAGTCCCGACTAACCGGAAAAGAAGCCGAGCGCATGGAGAAAAGTGGTGGTCAGGAGGATGCTCGTGGTCCTAGTCTGATAAAAGCCCTGGTTAGACCACGATCCAGCAACACAAGCTTTGTTTGCCCTACCTTGAACAGGCGGGGAGGAACGATGGGTGATCGTTTGGTGTAGCTTTCATTAATCCCACCGGCGATGAGAAGCACGATCCCGATGGTTATCAAAGATATGGTGGAAGGCCTTGACCCTAGGGTATCGCCCGGCATCAGAAATAGCAATCGGTGGAGGAAAGTGGTCACTCACAGCCAATTTCACTCTCGTTGAATCCAAGTAAGACACAAACAATACCTCCGACGATGAAGATAATGCCAACAAAATCGAACTCTTGAACGTGTTCCCGGAACGACCGTCCTTGGTGGGGGTTGAGATTGAGGAAGAAAAAGAGCAGACCAGCAGCAACTGCTCCTGTAGGACTATAGCTCGTTAGACTCTATCGTCAGCGCGCCAACCAAGGACATTGATAATGCGTACAGATTGATGAAGAAACACCTGAGTGAGATGTGGTGAGTGGAAGGAATGGGATTAGATGAGTGCCAATAAATACCATCTCCACGAAACGTGGTCTGTAAGCGCCTGGAATCGAACTTTTGAGAACCTTGGGATAGTTAAACGTAACGTATTGTTACTCACTCCACCTAATAGTGGTCCCACGACACTGGCAATCCCCCAGGTGGCGCCGATGAACCCGCCATATTTACCTCGTCTAACCAAGCGTGAGTCGTTGAAGTCCTGAATTAGAAGAGAAAACGTACTCTTGCAATGGAACAATGTCGCTGATGGTAATGTTCACCTATCCTTCTTGGTCATTGGAAGGACAGGAATGGATCTTTGGTTACTCACCAACATGATGATTCCACCGCCTCCAATCCCCTGAACTGCTCTTGAAACCACCAGCATAATCTACAGCGAGAATCCGTATAATCAATGTTTCCAAAAATAAACAGGGCTGTCGACGAACCATGGTTTGTGAAGCACCGCATAACGCTGAGCCAATCTAAGTGAAGTGACTAGATGTCAGCAAAGTCACAACTACGGCCCAGGCAAAGGGACAGACCAAAAAGATGACGATGGAGGTGTAGAGAATGGGTTTTCTGCCAATCAGATCGGAAAGCTTGCCATAAAGTGGTGAAAGGCTTTGTGCAGACCATCACGTCAGACGATGAGGTAAACCTAAGGAAGCTTAAACCGACCTGGCTCCGGCCAGTAGATAGGCACTGTTAATGATATTGATCAGTACAATGCATTTGGGGACCGGCGTGCAAATGAAACACACCTGCCGACCCAGCTGTAGAGGTTACCTCCTCCAAGGTCTGCAACAACCGTGGGTAGTGCGGTCGCAATGATGGTCTTGAAAGGGACTGCGTTTAAGGAGGCGTCCAATGGGCAATGAAGGATGCACTTACTTGGTCGAGAGCAGCGAGGAACACGCAGAACATGAAGCCGGTGAAGACCTGCGATGGCCGCCGTCAGGACGAACGGTCCCTGTGCGTAAACGGTGGGATTTCTTACGATAGGGAGGTTGTTTTTGGGAAGGACGTGGGTCTCGCCTTCCTTCCATGATGCCTTTGGAGCTTTATCAGTTTTTCTGTCTGCTCTGTCGTTCAGGATTGTCGACTCTGACGTTGAAGCTGGAACTGCTTCCTTTTCGGCCATCGCGCTAGTCGTTTCGGAGTCGTAAATCGGGCGCCAAGTTGGATTACAGGTTGTTTTTTTCGCTGACTGGTGGAAAGAGCTAGCCCGGGGCAGGGCGAGTGAAGAAAGAAGATGCGATGAAGGTCGAGGGCCGCCGTTTTAAGTTGCCACGACCAGGGCCACAAGGTCCGCTGGTATATGAGTGAAGTCATCTAGAGCCGAGGATGCCGTGAAACTTGTTCCTGGAAAAGTATTGGTCAGCCCACGGTTAGCCGGCTCAGTGCCGACGGACGCGCACCTCTAGCCGATCCCAACCGTGGTTGCTACTTCTCCACTCCCCTCACCAACTCTCTCAATTTTCAGAAACTAGTCAAGAAGAGGCCACGTAAATAAAATCCCAGGCTATCCCCTCCTCTGATGACGAATATTCGCGAGAGAAATCCTGAAAATTGCCGGGGCTTCTGAGGGCCGTTTAAATGAGTGGAGAAGAACGATGGGCGGACGATGTGCTGACCAAGGAATTGCTCGCATCGTGGACTATTGCACATCTCAAGATGATCAATGGACTCGAACACATCGTTCTCCATTCTCTCAAGATAACACTTTGGTCGAGGTTCAAAGAGAACCTGTTCAGCGTGCCCGGGTCCGAAATGACGGTGCTCGACGTCAACAGGACCGCTTGAGTCATGTATGATCGATATCGATCCTGAGCGTGCCTTGACGCTTGAAGTCTGAGAGGGGTGGATAAAGAATGTCAGAGTTCTGGTATGAGACGACATAGAGAGCAAAGGAAAACACTATCTCAGTATGTAGTTGGGTAGAAAGAAAGAGAAAGTCGCGGTCGGCAGTTGATTTGATTGTTTCGGGAATTGCCTTATCTAAGTAGTCCCGTCAGATTTTTGCAACATCTACAGCTTTCGCCTTCTTCCTCCACACCACCATCATCTCCACTTTCCTCGTCACAAATGGCTGAACAGACAATCCCCACCTTCAAGCTCGTCCTCGGTGCGTTCCCTTCACAGTCCCCCTCTTTTTTTCTGAATTAACGCGGCGTCCAACTCCCTGTCTTTGATCGATGTGCGATTTGCACACATCGCTTGAATATCCAACAATCTGTCCTGTTTCCGTGGAATTTACAACGGTCTGATGGATAGTCGGTGACGGTGGTACTGGAAAGACCACCTTCGTCAAGGTACGAGGACGCCCATCTCGAGCGACATCGCGTGCTGATCATCTTTTATCCTTCAGCGCCATCTTACTGGTGAATTCGAGAAGAAGTACATCGGTACGCGCTTTTTGCCGCTCTGCGTGCTCTGCGTATTCCCTGCGCAAATCTGCACCGGATCCCTAAAAGAAATTCGACTGATCTCGCCTTTCATTCATCAGCTACTCTCGGTGTCGAGGTCCACCCCCTTCAGTTCTCCACCAATTTCGGCACTATCTGCTTCAATGTCTGGGATACGGCTGGTCAGGAGAAGTTTGGTGGTCTCCGAGATGGTTACTACATCCAGGGTCAATGCGGTATCATCATGTTCGACGTGACCTCCCGTATCACCTACAAGAACGTTCCCAACTGGCACCGTGATCTCGAGCGGGTTTGCGAGAACATTCCTATTGTCCTCTGCGGAAACAAGGTCGACGTCAAGGTGGGTAGACGATAAACTGGATACCATTACCTACTCCTTACATCTTCCGATTTCCATCTTTACAGGACCGAAAAGTCAAGACCGGCAATGTTACTTTCCACCGAAAGAAGAATCTCCAATACTTTGAAATCTCGGCCAAATCCAACTACAACTTCGAAAAGCCTTTCCTTTGGCTCGCCAGGAAACTCGTCGGGTACGATTCAGGTTTCTTTCAACACTAATGTAACACTCATGCTGACTCATCCTTCAACAGCAACCCCTCTTTGGAATTCGTCGCCGCTCCCGCTTTGGCGCCCGCAGAAGTCCAGGTTGATCCCAAGCTAATGGCACAATACGAGGCTGAGCTCAAGCAGGTAAGGTGTCAACTCCGAATCCCGTTTGTAGCATTCGATTTGACCGCCTTGTGTAGGCCGAAGCCGTACCCCTTCCCGAAGAAGATGATGACCTCTAGTCGCCAAATTCACCTTACCATACATTACATTCGCCGCTGTTGACAAGACGATCGATGTCGAGAGATGAAGTTTTTTCCAATCGAATTGCATGACTATATCTTTTTTCCTCCTACTTTTCCTTTTCCCCCTTCCAAACGTCTCAACGTTAGCTTTTTTTAATCGAGCCTAGTGTGTCCAGAGATGTTTGCTTTTACCATGTAGATGTAAATGATCTGATGCTTTTGCGCTGCGATGGAGTTATGTCGGAAAGATATCCAAAGATGGGTGTGACGACAAGATATTACTAGGAATAGTGTTTGGTGGCAATTTCGAGAAAAAATCCAGACTACTCCATCTCGCAGAAAAATTTGGCGTAAGGAGAAATCTTTTCAGGCGTAAGCTCCAAACGCAATACCATACTCTGAAAGTCACTGATGTCAACGGCCCTCGTATCGCTGAATAGCCTCATCTTTACATCATCTTCCAGCGAACAAAAGCTCAAGAAGCTTCGGTTGGTCATAATACCGACTTGAGCGAAGACAGGTATGAGGTCCGGCAACCCACGGAATGTAAGAAATTGCTTGATGGTGGGAGACATCGAAGTACACATCGTGCGGTGAATGGGGCATCCGCAGCGGATTTCAGGAATGTGAGTTTGGGTGAAATCAACGCTCCGAGGACAACTTGTGGAGGGGGTAGATTTAGGAAGTCCCGGATGGCGAGAACTTTCCTGCAAAGCCACTGTTAGTTCCAATGTCTCGGGGAAACAATTGTTTGTCACTTACAGGAACATCTAGAGCATTCAGGCCACCTAGCATGACTCTCCCAGTATGGTCTAGGGGTTTGTTCCGCAACCTGCGAACATTTCGCTTGATGTAGAACCTAATCGGCCAATGGTTCTCGTACCGGTCAAAGTACGATCCGCTCGCTACAACCTGAACCTCCCCGTTAGAGCGATACACGAAGATTGCGTACAGGTCGTACCTTTTTCACTGTCGCTTCAAGTAGATCAGGGCTGGGGAAGTAAGAATGAAGATAGTCCCGAATACCCGCTGCCATTGTGTTCTGCAAGGGCGTTATCGATATAATGATACAAGGACAAAGAACGATTCGAGAAGCAACGTACAATGACTTGCTGGAAATGATGTTCCTCAGGGATATTCATGGCCTTCCTGAGGAGTGAGAGAGGCTGCCCAGGATCCGTGATCTGCTCCTCGTCTTCAGGTCCAGGTTGCGATATTCCCTGCGGCAACCGATGTGCCTCTTCAACAGCACAATAGGCCAAATCCAGAAGCTTCTCAGCGGCCTGAAACCTCTTTAGTAAAAGGAGTTTATCCCATGGCTTGATGAGGGACGGGTCGACCCAGTCAAGGAGCAAAGATCGTTCCTTAAGGCTCCATCCGCGGAGGACGTGTAGATGCCCGTCAGACGCGAGGCCCATTTCACGGAAGATTCGAAGATGGACTGGGTTGTTGACGACGTCGCGCAAAACAGCGTTGTGCAGCCAGGGTGAAGACGATTCTGGCAAATACCTACATCGAGGGCATTTGACATCTATTCGTCCACCCGGGATGCTCGGCGCTTTGGTGGGCGGGGAGGAGTTGACTTCTTCTGGTGGGGTGCAAGAGACTGCGAGTAAAGCAGTCCCGCCCTTTACCAAGGCCATCGACCTTTCCTTGTCAGGCATGGCGTCGTTGGTGGGCTTGCCGACGCGTGCACGAACGTACATAGCGAAGGCCCTTGACTCGTCGACATGCACGACCATTTGAGATGCCACACCTGGGGGAGGCTTGCCTACAAAGAATCTTGGAGGCCGGGATAAAGCCTTGTCTGGACCTGCCATAGAGGGGTGTCGCAGCCCTGATAATCTAGCCCTTTTTGAAGCAATTGCCATGCAATTAGGATCGGCAGAAGAAGAGGTGACGTTGAGAGGGCGTTTAGGTGCACGGCGGGTTTCTCGAGCGGCGTGTCGCTTAGAGTCAAAGTCAAAATACGTGGCCACTGGCCAATACTCTGTGTATCGTGCTATGGCTGGCGACCTGTGCAGAACCTGTTCAGTGCGTTAAATCATCTGTGATAAGGGTAGATGGACAATACGTACAGCTCCGAGAATGGCATTCTTGACTGAATCTTCTAGTTCGGCAAATCGCTTTCCAGGCGGGACCTGTTTCTCCTTCCTCAGATCTCGGATTGTGCGCTAGGAGGACATCAATACTTGGCTCCGTGGAAAGGGCTTTATACAACCTTCAGCTTTCGAAATTGGTGCAGAGAATGAGTCGATGACATTGCTCGTTGCAGGACCATAGTCGAACGAAAGTCATACAATGCGAGATCGGGTGGCATACTAATGAGGGTCATTTTGGGTCACAGGGGCAAAAGGAGTCGTTGCATTCGAGTATTTAAGTAAAGAGGTTACAAGAAACATACCACGTAGGGACAGGAGTTCTAGAAAATGACTAACAAAAGCGGTCACTGCGTGTCGTTGAGTTGGAATCTCAAATCAGATGGTATTGGCAAACGTACCTCTTTAGCTTAGCCCTGCGATCCAACATTGCTTCAGCCAACCGACCCTCTTTCTTGGCCCGTTTGAGCTGAGAAGGGAATGAGTCTTGTTGCCATTCTAGAAATCGATGATCTACTGACCTCTTTCTTGTCTTCTTTAGAAATGACACTGCGTCCGGCACCCCAAGCCTGGTACAATTTACTGTTCGACGGTCAGAGAATGTCTAGTAAAAAGACATGAAAGAACTTACTTGGTGCTCGCTTCGTCAATCTGGGTTGGATCTCCCATTCCTTCCTTGCGTTTCTTCTCCTCCTCATGAGCTTCCTTCTTGTATTTATACTGGATCTTAACCCAGAATCGTTCCCGAAATCCTACTTCTTCACTATCTCCGCGAAGTGCCAAGGAACCACCAGCCACCTCGTCTACACTGAGATACTTTTCGTACACGTTCATAAACGCGACCATTCCATCCGGAAAGACGACTGGTGTCCACTCTTCCTGAGGACCTCGAGCATCTCGATCTGCAGAAACTAAACCATGTTTGTCGCAAGACAGGAACTTTCCTTCGCCAGTTCCCGTCCGGAGATTGACAGTTGTCGAGCCAGCGATACGTGTGACGACCCAAACCTGGGCTACGTCGGTTGGAGTTCGATCCATGAGTTTGGGTTGGTCATCGCCTTCTGGGGTATCTTTGTCCAGAGAGTGTAGTACCACCTTGTTCGTCGTCGCATTGAAGTTGATGGAGATTGGACTAGGGTCTGAGGGGTGCATAATGAAGGTAGGCCCTCGTATTTCCCCAGCGGCCTCTGGAAGCACCCATGTAGTGTCGCTGTGTTCATCCTCGGAGGCTGCCCGACGCTTGCTAGATCGACTTGTTCCCTCGTCGTCGTCCCTACGTTTCCGTTTCTTGTGCGACTTTTCGCCTTTGAACTTGAGTTTTGTGGAGCGGACCTTGAGATCTGACATGGTGGTTGAGCGTCAAGCTGCGGAGTTGGCGCCATCACACCCGTGGCGGTGACCACCTCTCTCGAGGAGAAGCAACATATCCACTGCCAACCCAGACCAACGCTTCATTCGCCGCTGTAGAGCGCAACTATACTCACTTGCTGTCATCCCCCGAGTAGGCAGCAGAAGCACCTCTCTGAGAGACCCAGCCAAGAGCCCCTGTCTCGCGGATCACACAGCCACCGCCTGGGCCACCGCGGGATCAACACAACTTTTCTGTTGTGCTCGCTCACCCCCCTCGCCGGCCTCGACCTCAAGACACATTCATCTCGACATGAAGTTCAACGCCGGTGAGTCTGTCAGTACGCTGCTGGGAGGGGTCAGTGTTGCGCGCATCGAGAAAACCGGGTGGATTGACGTTGGATGAGGGCTGGATTGCGCAGATTGGACTCTGGATGACGATAAGGACGATTTATTGACGACTCGACAGACGTCTCCTCCTCACGGCGCAAGTCGCGCAAGGCCCACTTCTCGGCGCCTTCGTCCATCCGCCGCAAGCTCATGTCCTCTGGCCTCTCAAAAGAACTCCGTGCCAAATACAACGTACGCCAAACCTTGGAGGACTTTGGGACTTTGGATTGATTTCTCTGCAGACCCGTTCGCTACCCATCCGAAAAGACGACGAAGTTCGCATTGTCCGTGGAAAGTACAAGGGCCGTGAGGGAAAGGTCGTCCAGGTTTACCGCAAAAAGTGGGTCATCCACGTCGACCGTGTGCAGAGGGACAAGTCGAACGGCGCAAGCGCCCCCATCGGCATCCACCCCTCTAACGTCGTTATCACTACCATCAAGCTCGACAAGGACAGGCGGGCAATTTTGGACAGGAAGGATCGAAGCAAGGCTGCTGGTGCACCCAGCGCTGATGTCGAGATGGTCGACGTGAGTTTTTCCTCAGCTTTTTTAGTTGGATAAAGTACCCATTGCTGACTTCCCGTCTCAGTAAACCCTTCTTTCTTCTTTCGCATTCGAGCAACACACATAAAACATATTTACCACACTGCCTGCAATATTATGATGTATGCTCACCCCTTCGCACTATGACTTATGATCAAGCATTTCGAAACGAAATCGTGAAATTAATTCATAAGTGTGAAGCGTCCGTGTTAATAGTGCTGAATGCGGGTAAACTAGAAAATAACATCTTCGTCCTTGCTGCGAAGAAGATCGGTGGATACTCCTTCACCTTCCTCCAAAGTATCGACGAACGATGGCTCCTGTTGCTGCTTCTCGGCCTCATTTGCGTCGCGGATTGCATTGTCCCTCTTCTTCTTGGCCTGCACCTTCTTTAATCTGGGGTCCTCCGTCAGTAGATATGTCTTGTGCGGTCTGAATGAATCGACTTGCCTGAAGAACTCTTCGCGGTCCATTTCGTCAAGTTCACTCATGATGTATTTGATGGTGTTGTCTAGTCGGGGAATGACGACGTGCTCGATTGCATTGACTCGGCGGTTGGTAGCTCGAATCACTTCGTCAAGAATCGTAAACGCAGTTTGTAACGACGCCAATTCAACGAGCGTCTCCAGAGCCTTGGCATAAACCTCCCTGGCCTTTAGGATCTGCTGCCCTCCTCGTCCAAGACCGGTTAGATTGAAATCTAAGCATTCCGGGTTTGAGTACGAGACTTGGTACAAAGTTTGTTGGGACTGACCTGATCCTGGAACACGATCAACCTCGAACGCAGGTAGGACGACACCAGAAACGTTCTCCTGCCTCGTCTTCACCCTAAAGGAGGCCAGCTTTGCCTGCTCCTGTACCAAATACGAGATATCACCGGTTGCATAGGTGACTTCGGCCATCGAGAAAGAGGCCACCTGCATTACTCGGCCCATCTTCCGCTTTGCCTACGATACATGCTAGATCATTGAGTTTACAATGGCCCAATCGGGGAGTTTTGGACGACTTGCTCACCTCGTCGACCTTGCGCAGGATGGCTCGGAACCGTGTTGTCAAAGCGTCTCGCTTCTTGGCTAGCAGCGAGTGGCCTGTTTGGGCACCCTTGAGCCGCAGTTTGGTGTTGGTGAGCGCCATTCGAGTCGCGAAGACATTCTCGCGAGGACCTGTGCCGGACATGGTGGGCGGTAAAGAGCAAAGGGCGGAAGCGGTCAGTCGTACTATCTGGGTAATGATGACAGCATCAGAGGGTCAACAGTGATGTACTCGCTAACAGAGCCCCATTCATCAGGGGGCATAGCTCAGTTGGGAGAGCAGTAGACTGAAGCACATGCGTATTCTAAAGGTCCCGCGTTCAATCCGCGGTGCCCCCATTCCTTTTTGTCAAATTTCGCTTTATACAAAAGCTACCTTGGGTTCTCTGGTGTGCAGCGCTAGAGAGGATACGAACACGAAAATCGGAAAAGATGTCAATAATACGGCTACGCGAGGACAGCTACATGGCGCAAATTATGCAATCGTATATTTCCCGTAGTTCTTTTCCGGGTCGAATACCTCCCATCGTGAAGCGGGGAAAATGTGCTTGTTGCGATTGTACCAACTCCTTTCAACCACTTTGCCAGCATGGGATTCATCCTTTTCCTTCGTGGCATCCGCAAGTAGCCGTACATCGTCGTGCACGTCAAAGTTGAATAGTGGACCGGACTTTCCTCGTGCCTTGTTGACAATAAAGTCATAGAATGTGTAGTGCTGTTGGGGAAAGTGAGCAGCAAGAAAGGCTCGGGTTTGGAGATACATACGTGAGGGATAATCAAGTCTTCCTATACAAAAGGTGAATGTAGGACTTTTGGAAGAATAAGGCGTTCAGACGTACCTTGATATACATAAGGTTGTCTACATTGACGCCTCGAAGCTCAGGGAATTGTTGACGACACTTTTCCAAGAACGTTGCAATACTGTCACCTTTCTTGCACTGAGGGGTATAAGCGAGTCGGGAAACGGATCATAAACCTGGAGGGACATACCACAACGCTCTTCCTGTGTCCGCTACCATCCCAGTAGGAGTATGTGATCTCGATGTCTTCGGCTTTGAGCTCTTCCTGCTTGGCCAGCCATTCCAATCGAAGGCGTTCCCTTTCCTTTCTCTCCTCTTCTTCCCGTTCTCTATCAGGGAGGAACGAGGTATCGACGTTGGGATTCTTGCTCAGTTTCTTCTTCTTCACTGGAGGGTCATCTGCATCACCATTAGGTGTTGACCGAGAACCGCTCCCCGACCCATCTTCACCTCCGCCCTCTTCGTCATCCATAGCAAAAGATAAGGTAGACTTGGTCACTTTCTTCCTCTTCTTCGTCTTTTTGGCGTCGTCCCTAAACAGTACTCAACCTTCTATTAGCGATCTTGGCGCGTCGTATGAAAGGAGGGTGCATACTTCAGTTCCGCACTCCGTGCAGCTTCTCTAGCTCTAGCCTCTTCAATTTCCTTCTTTTTCTGTTGGAAGTCTTCGAGTTTGACGAGACCAATGGTACTGTTCTTCAGTGATTCTTCGACAGAATCGTTCTGCCCCACGAATCGGTTGGACGAAGGACGTGCTTTCTCCGTCTGTGCGACGAGTGTTTGCTTCTGGCGCTCAAATTCTTCGCGCATTTGGTTCCTCTGTTTCATGAGGGCATCTTCGCGACGACCTTCGAGTTTGTTATCAGCCATTGTGAATGTGATGAGTGGGGGTCAGAGGCAAGCTGTGATTTCAGGTTCCGACAACGGATTGAGGTGAGCCAAGCTGTCACCGCGCGCTTTTTTCCGCACGCTTCGCTGGTTAAGCAGTCTCCGTCATGGTCCACATACTGGGTGTTCACCTACCAGACAACTATCTGGCGAGAGTGAGTGTACATTTTTCATAAAAAGGCTTCAGAAGCTGACCTAGAATGAACAGTATGCTCTGACAAAATTCTACGGAGTCGGGCAGAAAACAGCACACAGGCTGTGTGCGCGTTTCCAAATCCATGACAAGTGTAAAGTCAAGGACTTGTCACCTTTCCAAGTCACTTCCCTCGCATCTTTCCTATCCTCGCCAGCAACCGCCCCACCACTCCCTCGCTACCCCCTCGCTTCGCCCGACTACGTCCCACCACCCCCCAACACACCCGTCTCCGAACTACAAGCCAAGTTCAAGGAAGCCCAGGCCCTCATCGAGGCGAAGAAACTGGCTAAAATAGAGCAAGGTGTCAAACTTGGGCCGGGCTACGTGGACCCGCTGAAGAAACTAAAGATTGAATCCGAGTTGAGGAGGGAGATTCGGGAGAATATCCAACACCAGAGGATGATTGGAAGTTACGTTGGAAGGCGACACGCCATGCACTTACCAGTCAGAGGACAGAATACACAGTCCAACGCCGCGACGGCCAAGAAGCTCAACAGGCTCGACCGGTGGTAGACGGTGGATGGTGCTGGAGATGTTGGCAGTGTGCTCGTATTCTAAACTTCAACGGATTCCGTTCGTTGTATAATGAGTTTTCTTTTGTTAATATTACTAGACAGGACCAAAGCTGTTGTCAGTGGACGCTGTGGTCTTGTGAGGACAGATATTGAACGCTCGGACGCGTGAAGCGCTCGCGACAGTCGGCCCATCACAGCTTGTCCTTCAACCACATCCGGAAACTCAAGCTACACCTCTAACTCGACATGGCCACCAGTATCAAATACAAATCGCTAGGCGAAGAGCTCTGGAAAGGTCGTTCAGAAAAGATCGTGAGAGGCCTAGACGATTTCGTGTTCACCGCAATCTCTCATTCGCCCAGAATGCAGAACTCTTTGCTTTGACTTATGGCGCTCTGGTGGTACAACTAATTCAAGACTACGAGGATTATGATGAGGTCAACAAGCAGCTGGAGAAGATGGGATATAATATCGGGACGAGGCTTATTGAGGACTTCCTGGCCCGGTCGAGTCTAGGGCGATGCACGGATTTTCGGGAGACGGGGGAGATAATTGCAAAGGTGGGTCAGGCCTTTGGTAGTTGGCTAGCAGAACCTCAGACTCGATATCAGGTCGGCTTCAAGACATTCCTGAATATCACCCCGAACGTTACACACAGTGGTGGGCCACAACCGCCCGCTGGTCCTAATCGCCAGAGTATTCCCCAAGGCTCACAGCAGTGGTTCACCCTTACTCTTGATGAGAACCCACTGGCAGAGTTTGTTGAACTTCCGGAAGATGCGCTGGAGGGTGGTCTGTGGTTCAGCAATGTTCTTTGCGGGGTCATCCGAGGGGCTCTCGAGATGGTGCGTATTGCGAGTGCTCTACCCTGTGCAACTGGTTTAACCTTTATCTTCAGGTACAACTACAAGTTCAAGCAGAGTTTATTTCCGATGTGCTGAGAGGCGACGAAGTAACAGAGATTCGAGTGAAATTAGTAAAATATCTGGAGGAAGAGGTTCCCGTTGGAGACGACTAGACGAAATTTCTTAGCTTAATCTTGTACACTATCCTTTTCATTGACCTCTTTCTATTTCTTGTCATTCCATCGAGCCCCTAGGGCCTTGAGCAATGCTGCAGCCGCTGTTGTTCATCATCAATAACCGAGATAAAGCATTTGGATCAATCCAGCTAAATTTAGATCACACCCTCCTTATTTTCTAACCAGCGTTTACCATGAGCAGACCAGAGCTAATTGCCCCGCCAGAAATTGTAAGAAATCCCTTTTTCAATGCATTTTCTTTGCTAATACAATACACCCAGTACTATGGAGATACAGAAGCTAAAAAATACACCCAAAAGTGCTCATCCACATCCTTTTGTCGCTGTGTGAAGGGATATTGACCCGCTTCCCTGTTCGTCGCTTGCAGCACTCGCAACCAACAAATCCAAGCCGATATGACTTATCGCGCATTGGAACTTTTGAACTTGCCTCCAGATCAGCCCGCCTTTCTGCTGGATATTGGTTGTGGGTCTGGGCTGTCTGGCGAGATCCTGGACGAGGAGGGTTACATCTGGGCGGGCGTGGATATTGCTCCCAGCATGCTTGGTGAGTTTTACTCCTCTACGAGAGTCTCTCTGTGCGCTGATAACTGGTCAAGAGGTGGCACTTGAACGTGAAGTAGAAGGGGACCTGTTTTTACAGGATATTGGACAAGGATTTGGGTTCAGACCGGGTAGTTTTGACGGTGCAATCAGGTTCGTACAATGCACTCTGGGCCTGGCTTATAACATTAAAAAATGTACAGTATATCCGTTCTCCAATGGCTCCTCAACGCCGAAACCTCCCACCCAACCTCGAGTCCGCCACACCGCCTAACGCGTTTCTTCACCACCCTCTTCTCCGCCCTCCGCAACCCCTCTCGCGCTGTTCTCCAATTTTACCCCTCCTCTGACGACCAAATTCAACTCATCACCTCGATAGCTCAAAAGGCCGGTTTCGGAGGAGGTATCGTCGTTGATTATCCCAACTCGAAGAAGGCGAAAAAAGTGTTCCTGTGTTTGTTCGTTGGGAGGAGCGAAAACAATCAACAGGTGCCCAAGGGATTGGAAGGCGATGGATCAGAGGAAGTGGATGCGAAGGCACAATTTGAGAGGAGGAGAGAGAGGGAGAGGGCGAGGTCAAAATCAAAGCGCAAGTCCGTGAAGGATAGAGATTGGATTCTGAAGAAAAAAGAGGTGAGTAATAACACTGTCTTGTCTTGAAACTTAGCGAGAATCTAATGCGTTATACAGCTATACCGAAAACGGGGCAAAGAAAGTGTCCCCAACGACTCAAAGTACACTGGTCGCAAACGGAGAGCAGTGTTTTAGTATACCATTGGAGCAGCTATCCAATCCGTTCTATTTTCCAGATCCATCCCCTCTACTTGAACAAGATATGACAGGTATCTACAGCAGCCTGAGCGTCAGACTGAATAAAGTGCCCTTGGAGAGCTGCCATGCTGACTTTTCGTCCAGCTGACCATTCCGTCTCGACGATGGATTCCAATTTTCGGGCCAGGGATTTGACTTTCTCGTCTGGTAAACCAGTGACTGCTTCACCGCCTCCGTAGAAGCGTTCATACAAGGTTCGGGCCTGGTTTGGATGGGCGTCGTCGATGAGCTCTGCAAGGTCCACACGACCAGGGCGTATAAGGGCGGGGTCGAGCTTTTCCAGGTGGTTGGTGGTGAGGAAGATAATCCTCTCTTCGCCGGATGCGACACCGTCCAATGCATTAAGGAATCCGGAGAACGTGACCGACGACTGGTATCTGCGCAGGTATCAGCGTTTCATCCATACCGAGGTTAGTAGGCTCACCCATCCTCAGAAGTTTGGACTCGTTTATTGAAGGCAGCGTCAACATCCTCCATAAGGATGAAGCTACGCTCTGGCACGTTCGAAAGCAGATGGAAAAGTTTGTCGTCCGTCAGTCCTCTTTCAGAAAGGTTGAGGACGCAGATATCATAGGACAACGATCCAGCCAGGGCTTGAATAAACGAGGTTTTGCCCGATCCCGGAGGTCCGTAGAGAAGATAGCCTCTCCGGTATGGAATACCTATAGACCGTAAGTACGAAGCGTTTGCAAGCTAACATTACCGACATACCTCTGTCTGCATACCATTTTCTGCGATCTAGGAAAGCTTTCACATCGCTTTCGATTTTTTCAGCGACACCATCTGCGAGGACGACACTCTGGATAGGACGCTTCTCCCGCGGTTGACCGAAAGGTCGCCATTCGATTCCCCAAGCGGTGTGGATGACGAGTTTTCCTTGTTGAGTGCGCATGGCCATGTCACGGGCTTCTGATAAGAGTTCAGTGAAGAGGTTGCGATCCCGAGAGAGAGTGGTGAGGGTCACGGTCTCCCAAGGCGTTCCGGACATTAGCTGCATCGATTTGGTCTCTCGTTCTCGTTTGACCTAGGACCAAATTCAGTGATATTCCAAACGAAAAGTAAGTGCATTGGTACCTGCATCCATGCGCCCTTGTAGCGGAAGTAATGGTTTCCTGGACCAGCAACGAGCCTAAAGGCAGCGGAGGAACTCCCGTTCTTCCGCTGTTCAACCGTCGTCTCGACGCTGAGCTGGTGACTTCGAATCCAGGACGCAGCCCTGTTGCGCATAGTAGATGGAGCATTGGACTGGTGGGCCATCCATGTCAAGAACCATTCGTATGCTCTGTCCTTGTTGTTGATTTCAAGTGACACCAAGAGTCTCCGCTGTAGTGCAGTTGTGCCAACAACAGTGGCCTGTCGGAGAACGGTGAGGCCGACACCCATGGCCTAATTCCATTCATTCCAGTGAATATCCTTCTCCATTGAAATGTATAAACTTCACCCACCATTAGGCCGAAGCCGGCCTGGAAGTAAGGACTGTACTCAATATATAGCTCCTCCTCGTTACTTTAAAGAGCATAGACGCGTACTTTTCAGCCGCAAATCCTTCCCACCATGATACTTGAGTCCCTGTCGCGGTCTTGTCTATCGTTGGCGGCGTTGTTACCGAGTTTGCTGGCTGAGTCGTCGACATGGCACAAGAAACGAGCGCCTGCTAGCCGTGCCTGAGCTTTGCGGCTCAAAAAAGCTTCGCCGTCCGAAAGCGGAGCGGCGTGGCTGTGCATACATAAGTACTAATCAGCTGAACGCGACGCGACTTTTTGTTCACCCACCGTGCTGTCCACTCGCTCCCAAGAGTGCCCGCTTAAGCGCTCGAGGCTCTTGTTTTACAGCAATCATGTCTATGACAGCGGAGGCAGCCTATACGGCTCTGGGACTCGAGGAGGTAATGCTGACTGGAGATAAGGTTCGCCGTGTCTGACTTGTGTGTGTCTTTGCAGGGATGCACATTGGAGGTCGTGAAAACCGCGTATAAACAGGTAAATCGATAACAGACTGGATGGGCATTGTGACTGACCAACTCCAAAGGCAGCTCTGAGGACCCATCCTGACAAAAACCCGGACAACCCAGAAGCCACTGCCGAGTTCCAAAGAGTTGGAGAAGCGTTTCGTGTCTTGGAAAAGCACCTTGGTCCAAGGAGGCACATCTTCGACGGTTTTTCTGACGAAGAATACGACGACGAGTACGATTACTACGACGATGACGATGACTACTATGAAGACATGGAGTTTTTCTTGTATGCTCGGTTTTTTCTTCTTGAGTGGCTGCAGTGGCTAATGCTCCGTGTCAGCGAGCTTTTTGAGTACATGATGCGTGGCGGTGGAGGAAGGTTTCGCTTCCATTCTGCGGGTAGGCCTACTTTGACACCTCAGTGGCTCAATGCTGATGTTGGTTCGCATAGACCCGCACAGGAACTACCGTCGCTATGACGTGGTAGACGAGTCTCCTCAGGTATATCAGGAGCGTTTGGAGCGTTCCAGGAAAGAACAAGAGGAAGCACAGCAGAGGCGTGAACGCGAGGCTAAAATTCTTAAAGAACGTCGAGCAGCGGAGAGAGAAGAAGGTACTGTGTTGTACTCAATTGTCTCAACGCGCCGTCGATGACTGAGACCATCTCCTTTCCCAGAGCGCATCGCCGCTGAAAAGAGACAGAAGCAGAAACAAGAAGCCAAAAAGGCCAAAGTTCAGTCCGACAAGAGGAAGGCTGAAGACGCTGCCCGTGTGCAAGCACAGAAGGCCCAGCGGCTGCGGTCGGAGATCTTCGCTGCTGCTCGTTCTGGCAATGCTGAAAAGGTGAAGAAGGGTGTTTGGGAGTACTCTGTTGATGCAAGCGGTGGTGAAATTAGGCCCGGGTGTGAAGCATACGTGAACTCTAAACCGAAAGACCCAACAGAGACCTTGCTTCATCTCGCTGTGCGGAGCGGCGATCTTGATCTTGTTCAATGGCTCGATACTCATGGTGCGTGTCTCGAGATCCCCATCGCCTCCATTTGAACAAGCTGAAACATTCATTGCATCAGGTGCTGACATGGAAGAGAGAAATTCGCAAGGTTGGACAGCACTTCACCTTGCCCTCAAACTAGGCAAGGTTGAGATCGTGGAGCACATCTTCGAGGAGTTTCCCCCTGAAGACGCACCATCACTCTATGATTTGCCAGGTTCTGGGAGTTCATTGCTCTTGGCCCTTGATTCCGGTGAACCCCAGCTAGTCTGGAGAATCCTGGACAGCGGCCTCGCGACTCCGGACGATATTAACAAGGCCTGGACGAAAGCTACGTCCAACAAAGGACCCCAGTCTCCCATCCATAAATTGTCGACGGACGCAGAAAAGCAATCCGACGTTCTCAAGCTCCTCATGCGGTACGGTGGATTCACCCCTCCTCCAACACCACACAGCAAGACGGCCCAGTCGTCGAAGCTGGATTCTAAAGGGAATCATGAGAGCAAACCGGCCCACCGTCGCAATCAATCGAAGGCGTCGCAGCAACTAACACAAACCCATGCTCCTGAAATTAGTGATGTCCCGAAACAAGGGGCACAACCAGACCCAAGGCAATCGAATCGCGGTCGTGGTCGTGGCAGGGGTCGTGGTCGAGGTCGCGCACGGGCCTTCGCGAACTCTCCTACCCATCGTTAAGAATCTTCACCTGTCCCCAAACCCAATGTCCTCAAACCCCAATCTCTTGGTGTGTCCAATTAGCTTTCCACTTGCTGCACATTATTTTGTCATGAACTCTTGGCCATTTTGTACCATATGCATTTCCAGATCAACCACGTTTCTTGGTCCCACTCCTTATTCTGCTTACTTGCACATTCTCATGCCTATAATCCCTCGATTCTATTGTACAATGTCCTTCTTACTTCATAGTGACGTATTAACACCTCGGTCCTATTGCTTTTCATCCTGTACATGTATACTTGGTGGCTCACTTGTCAATGTTCTGTTTTTCTTGGGAGAATCTTACGATCGGTCGGGAAAGGGTTAGCAAGATCCCAGCCTTTCAAAGTACTCTACCCATTTCAAGGTACGGGGGCGCTGTGATTTTGAATTACCGGCACAACGGACTTTGAGGATAAGAGTCCGGGGATTCCCCAAAGACTTAACGATAAGGAGGGATGGTCGCTCTGCGAATTCATTCCCCGGTGTACAATCTACTAAACGAAGTGGTTTCTGGCATTTCCTGGCCTTCCCAACTTGGGTCAACAAACGTCAAACGGGTTTGATGCCAGCGGTCCGCCTGTTCCGTACATTTCAATGGTCATCGTGCGCGACGTCGACCAGTTTCTTTTGCGACACATCGGCAACACACTCCCCACAGCGTTCGGACACAGCGCTAGAGAACTATAGTCTTTGCTCGATATGGCTCTGAAGCGGAAACGACGAGCGTCATCGGACCCGAAGGGCCTGGCACCCGGTGAACTACTCAAACGATTCATGATCCCGTCTAGCAGTGCAACCCCCTGGTCATGGGTTGGTTCTGAGGCGACAACACCAGACGAGATTACAGCTGAACACAAAAGGGCTGTATATGGCTTTTCATCGAAAAGTGGGCTGCCTTGCTGCAAGAACATATACGCGTCACGGCCTCAGACAGACATCTCTCCCCTTGTGGACGAACAAGATGTAATAATTATATCTGACGACGACGAAAATCCGCAATGTTCGAAGAAGGCGTGCAAGAACAATCCCCGCTGCTTGAACTATCTTGGCCAGGACGTTTGGGAAGATGAAGGTGTGGCTTGCCCCAAGAATAATGTCCAGCAAGCTCACGTTGGTTCCACTCTTCCCTAGAAAAGGCCCAAGCTCTGTTTGACAAGTCGGCAGAGTCTAAAGAGGATCCGTCGCTTCTGTCTCGGGATCCTGACATTCCCGTGGGACTGCGGGTGTGTTAGCTTTGTTGACACAGCTGCGTTCCTGTAACATCCCTGGCTAATTTTGAACGACAGAATCTTGGGGCCACATGTTACGCCAACTCGTCTTTACAAGTGCGCACCCATGCATCCTTCCTGGAGCAGACACGTATTCAACAATGACCGTATAGGTTTGGTTTCGCGATATCGCGTTCAGAAATGGCGTTTATCGCTGTCAGGTTCCCGAAGGCAGTGAAAAAGAATTCAAAGTAGGTCGACTTCACGCTGCAGCAGTGAGCCTACCAATTGATCATCGGACAAGGATTTCCCAATATTTAACCTCCAAGTCACATTCGCCGCACTACAGGAAGGAAGACAGTCCGTCTACAATCCAACAAAGCTCGTCGAAAGCCTGCATCTTCGAACATCCGAACAACAGGATGCACAGGAGTATGTGTCATCTGTGGCCCCCAAGGACCGAGAATGACCATTTCGGCCAGATTTTCGAAGCTTTTCATGTCCCATCTTGACGCAGAATTCAAGAAACAGTCGGATCCCGTTGTCAGAAACCTCATAGCATCGCAGGTAAGATCTCCGTTACTGGCCTTTGCCTCATGATGACCCTTTGCCTTCAGTTCCAAGGGAGCCAGGTGTATGGGACCGTATGTCATACCTGCAATTACACCTCGGAACGCAGTTCCGATTTCCTAGAGATTGAAGTCAACATTAAGGTTCGTCCCTTGGCCATGTTATAAATAAATCGATGGCTACATAAAGTCGCTCTCCAGGCCAACTCCAGGCTCGAGGATCGCATTAAAATTGCATTGGAGCCTGAAGTTCTAACACAGGACAATCAGTCAGTGAACCGATCTAACTCTGACCTCTGCTTACAACCAAGCATAGGTACCTCTGCCCGCAATGTAACTCTCTGCAGGATGCAACGCGGTACACGGAGCTACGCCAACTCCCTCCCGTTCTCCATTTTTCTCTTCTCCGGTTCGTGTATGACCTCTCAACGATGGAACGGAAGAAATCGAAACACGTCATCACCTTCCCTGCCGTTCTTGACATGGGCCAGTTTCTCGGAAAACAGGGAGATGGCGTCCCCAATGACAACGCTCAAAACATCTATGAACTGCGTGGAATCCTGCTGCACAAAGGAAGCAGTGCCTACCATGGCCATTACGAGGCGCAGGTCTACGACACGCAGTAAGGATCGACGTTTGCCCTTTGTCCACCTTGCTAACGGACAAGAAAGACTAGGCTCCTGGTTCCAGTTTAACGATGAAACTGTTACCAAAATAACCCTTTTCGGGGATAAAGCTCGTGTCAACAAGACATCCGCCGATACGACACAGAAGTGCGTACAGAATCGTCTGCCTGAAATCACGAGTTGATAGCATCTACCCATCGTATATGACAGGAAGAGCTCTCGGAAGAGGCGCCGGATAGTCGAAAGCGACGATGATGAGTGTGTTCCTCCATGCGTCCTGGGAGGTCACCTGGTTCTGATTTTCCGGATAGGCCCGTTTTAATTCCTGCTCCAGAGCGAGTCGAACAGTGAGGACTCACTGGCGTTCTATGAAACCACGCCGATCTCATGATTCCCAACCAGTACAATTTCATCCAAAGATGCCTATATGTTGGTGTATATGAGAAAAGACACGATGACCGGTTCTCCTAACGCGGAGATTCTTTCACCGAAGCCGCCTCCGCTGGCACTTCGGGTGGTGGAACAGATGAATGAAGATCACGAGAAATCTTGCGAAGAACACGAGAAAAGGTATACATCTCCTGTGACATTAGATTGACACTGATTCGATGTTCTGAAGGCTTGCGGACATGAAGGCGGAGTTCGAAGAAAAGCGACAGGTGGTAATGGGCATCTATCGCACCTGGCATCATGACACAGGCAACGAGGTGAGCAATGCGCGAGTTAACCATCGATCGGTCTCTTTACTGAATAACATCCAAGGGCGTTGTTGTCAGTCAGCAGGTGTTGAGAGACTGGCTATCCAAATATTGCCTTGAGCGATACTCTGAAGGCAAGAAGGAAGACGCTCAGTCGGGATGCCAAATTGTTGGGCGTTTAATTCCCAATTCTGACATTCAATGTCCTCACGGGAAACTCGATCCTGACAAGGCCACAGAAATGAAAGTAATATCCAAGGTATGAGCCTTCTCCATAAGTCCTCGACAACAGTTAATGGATAATAGGATGCTTACAAGTCCATTGTTCGCGAAAGTCACTGTCGCTTCGAGCCTTTGTTGAGGGTTTGTGATACTTGTGACGACTGTATTATTTCAAACTTCCAAGGTAGCGTTGATTGCCGGAAACCACAGCAGAGAGATCGTGTACTGACCAAAACCGCTGTAGAACGGTTATACGAGATCGAACACCCCCGTCTCGTCAAAGAGTTTGAAACCGTGCAAGAAGTAGACGAAGACAGCGCCAATGAGGGCTATTGGATATCCAAAGTTTGGCTGAAAGGTGCATCTCCTTGGCCCCCGTTGAGATGCCTGTTGATGACCTTTACGGAAAGATTGGAAACTGCAGCGGCCTCGGATGCATAAACATTGCAACGAGGATCCCCCGCCTGATGCTCCTGGCTTCGCCGAACACGTTGTATGTGATCACGGGGGTCTTTTACCAAATGCTACTAGCCGTAAAAAGATTTCAAGTGAGGTTCGTTGTTCTTGTGTCATCATTCCGGCAATTTAGTTGACAACTTGCAAGGCCAAAACGATTCTGCAACGCCTCTTCCCTGAGTGGGACCCACTGTCGACCAATGCAGAAGTGTGCGTTACATGCCAAGCTTCCATCTCAATGTCCAAGGAGGACAAGCGGGAATTGCGACGGAAGGCGGAGGACGAGAAAGTAAGTCCACCGAGACCAGCTTGTGACGTGAGTTCTAATTGGGGGGTGCAGGCCAAACTGAAGCACATGAACAACATGGCGTTCCGATACTTCACTATGCCGTCGACTGAAGACTCTTGCGCAATCATACCAACGCGGTTCTATACCAGTTGGAAGCGTTGGATCGATAGCCCTGCCTCCCATGATCGTCCTGATTGTATCGACACAGAGTCTCTTTTGTGTGCCCATTCCATGTTACTCTACGACCCAGGTTGTCGAGTGGACATGGACTCAATAATCACACTTATTCGGCGCGATGAATGGGAAATACTGTCGTCTTTGTGCGTCCCTGTTTATTCGTGTTGATGGCTCTTCTTCTTACCCCCTGCGCGACAGCTATTCAACGGGACCTCCCATCTATGTCAAGCGGACGGCGTCAGATAATTCGGAGAGTTCCTTCTCCGAACTAAACCCTGGCATCTGTGCAGAATGCCGAACACTTAGGTCAGGCTTCTCTCTCTCGCCTCTGGTTGTGACAGACCCTGACGGAAATTCAAGAAAAATCAACTGGGAAACGACAGAACTAACCATCCAATTGGGGAAGCGGGAGGATTGGGAAAGTTCAAAGGCGCTGGGCCCCAGTGCCTCTTTGCCTGTCCGACATTCGCGCCGTTTGCGTAAAAAGCAAGGCGACAAACGCAAAATCTCCGTGACTAAATCTACCACCGTAAAAGATATCAAAATCCAGGTAAGGGCAGGAGACACGTGTATGGAATCCATTTATCTCAATATATTCGCAGATATCTGAGATCTTCGACATCCCAACCATTTGTCAACGACTATTTTTCCAGGGTAAAGAGCTAGCGGACAACGAAAGCACAGTCCATGATCTAGCCATCCCTGCGAATGATACCGTTTTTCTTGAACAAATCACAGAGGCGATGGAAATCGATTCGGATGATGACTCGACAACCCGACGTAGAGTCAGAGAGGAAGGACAGGGGTTCAATGGAACGATTCTGGGAGGTGGCAGCTTCACCGATTCATCTAGAGCGAGCTCTAGAGCCGAAACCCCTACTTCTGTCTTGGTATCGAGTGTCAAATCGTGCAAAGCGTGTACCTTCGATAACGCATTAGGCGCACTCGCTTGCGAGATATGCACTACAGTATTCGAATAAGAATTTCCCTTTTATCCGACCCAGGAGGATTTGCACCCAAGCTTATACAACAAGTGAAATAAAGAAGAAAAAGTAAACGACGACGAGACCCTTGTCTATTTAACCTGGGAGATTCATCTGAACAACCGCGTAAGTACCAGATACCATTTGTTAATACATTGTCCCATAATCAGTAAGAAACCGACCGAAGAGGAAACCCAGCCCAGTTTGCACTAGTGTCCATTTGTCACGTATATTCGGGAAGTGGTGGCAAGTTTTGATGGAGGTAAGGAGTAGGGAGTGTTGGTGGCCTCGTAATGGCAGTCGAGGGTGGGTGAGGCTCCCCTACGGGAGCCTGCGCTTTTAGGATGGAGGCGGCGGTAACGATGATATCCACCTCCGTTGATGCAGGTCCATTCGTTTTCACGGCTTGTACAATTGCATCGTGGGTCGCATCGCTCAACTCGTTGACGGACACGCGTTGGACAGCGGTGCTCTTGTTTGGCACAACAGGTGCGCGACCGATAGAGACGTTGCGGTCTGCGATCACGTTGGCGGCTGCCTGGATGACTACCTGTTGTGCAGCGATGGCAAGTCGCTTCGTTTCCATTTGAGCTTGTCCCGCTAGTTCCTTGTCCATGGCCTCGACCGTCTGCTCAAGGACCTGCTTAGACTTGGCCATTTCTTGCAACTGGCCAACCTTGGGATTTTCCGGTGAAGCGAACTGGTTATGGGCTTCTTCGTTGACACGCTGTGCGACCGTTTGAAGGACACGGATAACGCGGTTGGAAGAGGATTCGCCAGGGACAGGAATGGGAACAGAGGGGGCAGCAGCGCGAACTTTGGCGGCTCTGCTTGGAGTCTTTGTTAGAAGGGTCTTTCTTCACAGGATTGATACACGGACCTTTGAGGCGCCTGGAAGAGTGCTGAATCGCTTGTACTTCGGCGTGGTGGAGCCTCAGAGACTGAGGGCCGGCGGGAGCGAGGATAAGCATTGTTCTCCACCGACGACACGGGAGCAATGGTAATCGGCAGCGTCCGAGTAAGTTGTCCTTCTACACCATCCAGAATGTACTGTGAAAACACCTTGAGGTCCTGTTGCGTATCTTCAGGGAGGGATTTCGTACCTTGGCGATAACGGTTATAGTGCAAGACTCGGCATCTGCTGGGGGTATGCCCGACAACACGTCGTCCTTCCAGGATAGCCATGACGGCAGGTTAGGTGAGGAGTATGTCACAGGCACATTGGTAAATGACGCTTGCGGGTCCCAGATACGAGGAGTCCAGGTCCATTTGAGACCACAATAGGCAATGGTGGGAGGACTGCCTGCGAGCTTGCGCTGGAATGGCCTGAATTCCCATCTCGACTCTCCCAATTTGCGCGCCTCCACGTTCCAGATATGGTTGCCCTTCGACTTGGCCTTCTTCCCATCTTCATTGAAGCGTAGAATGTGAGGCTGATGCCAGAGATAGTTGCGGACCTGGGACAAAGGTGAAGTCAATTGTCGTCATCTCCTTAAGAGCGTCATATCCGATAGACGTACCTTCTTCATGGGAATCTTATCCTCCGGATAACCTTGTCGAGCGAGCTAAAGGTAAGATAGGGGGGTGAGATACGGTTCGAAGAACATCCTGGAACCAATCACCAACCTCTTCGAGAAATGCAGAGGTAAAGGCCTGAATGCGGAATTTGAAAGGCCTGAAATCGGGGGATTCATCGAGCCGCTGCATCTTCTTTGCCATCAACGTCTGGTGAATATGGTCACCCTTGCCGTCCTTCGCATCAACTGGGTACATAATGTCAATGCATGATTAAAAGACGAGATTATTTTTTTACTTACGATTGGAGCATATCTTATTGAGATACTCAAAGAAAATGCGATCGACCTCGGCACGATACTCTTGAGGGATATCGGAGGCTGTCGAAGCTGATGAAACAGGAGTGGAATCCGAGATCGACTGATACACCACGAGGTCAGAATGATGAGCAGAGGGCACGAGTTACGATGACATACCGATTGAGCACCGTTTCCGGCAGGAGATTCTTGATCGTTCTCGTCAGACTCGCTCGTACTGCGATCGCCGTCATCATCACTGGGGGTATTTCGCGTCGTTGTGGGTTCCTCCGAGGTATTGCTCGGGGAAGACACATCCCCTCCCCCAAAGTACCAGTTTGACCCTACACTCGAGTTCCGAGCACTCCTAGTCCCCAGCGCAGCTTTCTTCAAGGGTGGCTCCGCTGAAATATCCGAGTTATAAAAGTTGAATGCAGGATCGTACATGTTGCTGAGGGAACCAGACCTCGATGTGCGGTTGAGCATCGGAGGATTGACAGTGATGGGGGTAGTAGGACCCGACGCCAGACCGGGATGAATTGGTATCGAAGGCATTGATGATAGCATGAGTTGCATTGGGTTGCCAATGGATCCAGTGGACAGGGAATGATGATGACGACTTGCTGCTGGGGGAGTCTGTTCTGGCCAACCTGGACGCACAGAGGCAAAGGAAGGGTTGCTAGGTCCCTGGTGAGGACCTATCGAGACAGGGGCTTTGCCTAATGGGCCGGTCATGGTATAAGGCGACATTGGCGGAGAAACAAAGGACTGAGATGTTGAAAAAGATGCGGACTGAGGAGTAGGTGGTCGCGTGCCTGGCCTTGACTGAGTTACCTGCGACGAAAGGGGAATGGCAGAGGTAGCAGGGAAGACAGGTGGAAGTGATAAAGGGTCAACAGAGTTGGGTAACACCAACGGTGCATCCTCTGGGGGCTCCCGCTTGAGCATTCCGATGTCCGCATCCATCTCGGACGCCGTTCGTTTTCGTGACTGGTCAGAAACTAGCACATGAGCGGTTGGGTCGAAGCCAGTAGGAGGATGATTGGAATACCCTCCGTTCACCGGAAGCTCTGATATGCCAGTCATTTGCGACTCGACAAAGGCGGGTAGGGATGGAGGCGGTGGGGTCGTCTCTTGACTTGTGCCCAAAGAGAGGTTAGCGGCCATGCGAGAGATGAGGTTCATCTTTGACTGCAAAAGATCGCGAAGGTCGTTTTCGTTGACGTCAGCCCGCTGAACAACGTCCTTTGCAGCGTAAAGGTCCCGCATCATGCTATGATGGCGAAATGGAATATTAGTATGGAATTGAGATGGAAAGCAGAGAGGAAACGGTTACGTTTCTATCATGTGGACAACTTTGCCTTTCTGCTGCACGATAGGGACCTCTTCGTTCAGAGCGGCCGTGTCCTCTTCGGGTGATGCACGCACACCGGGAGCGGACGGTGATTGGGGGACGGCGGTGCCAAATGGCGATGGTACTGATATGGGCGATACAGAATGGCTTGATCGGGTGGGACTTGTCAAAGGGACGGTAGGGATAAGGGCGGCGTCAAGGGATGATGTTGTCGCTACACTGTAACCGGTCGGAGACCCAGCTTGCATGGCTCCCAACATCGCGCCATTTGGCATGGCAGGAGGTGACGGTGTCGAGAGGGCGACACCTGAGAGTTCCATAGAGAGTGAAGAAGTATCGGGGGGAGGGATGGCGGGGAAAGCGGATTCTGGGACAATCTCGGTAGCATACGGAGGCGACAAGGACTGTAGGCCGGAGACAGGGTCGATGGTGTCGACAGGCATCGGCGCTATGCTCATGTACATAGTTGGAGTGTCCTCTGCCATGGGTTGCACATCGTTTGCGATATCTACGCCAGACTGGTCTTGCTTTGGCATGAAAGAGTTGGTGTCTAGCGCCGGTTGAAAGGACTGGGATGGGAGAATCTCTGGGTAGGGTGTGAGGAGAGATTCTGGGTTGATTGTGTTTGTGGCCATAAGGTCAGGATTGAGGGGCTGAATGTCCTGGTCATAGCCAGTTGGGACGACGACGGTGGACATTGAGAAGCAGGGTGAAGGGACAGACTGCCCCGAGAGGCAGACGAATTAAATAGCAGAGGCCGGACGTATTGGGGTGATCGGAAACTGATCGATATAACTGGATGCTGGAATCTGGTCGTCCAGATACAACTTGCAGGCGTTCAGGAGCCTTGTTGTGTGTAAACTGTGAGATTTACACCGTCCAGCTGCGTGGCGGTCCCTCTCTGCAGTAAACCTCGCCCCGTCGGCGGTAGCTTCTCAAAGTCGCCCAGAAAGGAATAGAATCAGGAGCACTACAATCTGGCTTGAATAACGTCCTTTCAAGGCGAAATAAAGCGACAGACCGTTGAATGTGGTCGTTCAGCGCGTTCAGCGGTTCCCTCGACGTCGCTCACTGGCCGACTACAGGAAATGTCGTAGGCGAAGCAAAAGGCCCAACCAAGCTCCGAGAACGATTCCGTTTCTCAGGCCGCCCCAGATTATACAACGCTCACACACGTCACATGTCTGTTCTCAGGGCGGCCAGCATGCAATATCCGACAACAGAATAATTCGCTTTCGCTCAAAACAAATGTTCCTGAATTGTATGTCTTGTGGTCAATCCACTTTAGCACAAAAATGGCCCAGCTGCAATCCGTCAATCCCCGCAATGACGTCCGCCGGGGGGTATTCTTTCGTCAAAAAATTCTGCCATTGCAGTTACAGAGACTACATCGTTTTGGCCCCGGAACCTGTGATACCGCAAGGCAAGTGCAACGTCCAGCTGACCTTACAGCCTGATAAACTCGTCTATACACCCTCCTGCGTTCCGGGGAAACGGACTTGCCATTCACTAAAAGGCTCGCAACCTGCGGACTACGAATCAGGAGCCTCCTGTCCATTATTCCAGCTAGCACACAGGCATTGGTTCCATCAACTGTACTTGCAAACGAAGAAAAGGTCGTGCTTCCGAACACAGATAAATGACACGATCTTGCCCTATCCCGACTAGTTTTGGTAACAGACGCGTGTTGATCAAGGACAGTTACCCACCTGAATCTAGATTCCCAGATGAAAAGAGCCTCATCGTCGTGACCTCCCGGGACTTCTTGAGCGCTCTCGCTCTGATCTATCCCCTCTCCGCCTATCACTGGAATGGACGACATTGATGAGTCTCAAGATAGAATGTGCAACGAGGCCTGCCTACACTTACTGGTACCCGCGATCACGGTCCCGGCTGTAATCATCTCCTCTTGACGAGCGGTAATCGCTGCCAGAACGGCCAGGAGGTCCTGATGGGGCTGATCCTGGCGGCCCTCCACCAAGCGCGGTTTTGCGTTTCTCCCGTTCTTCTTTAAATTTAGCCAGCATGTTTCGAAGTTCGTGATAACCAAGGTGCATCTGCAGAAGGCGCCCGGATGATCAGCGAACACGAAGCCCCTATGTCGGTTGCTCGACCCACCTTTCCACCGAAATGGTCCGCCAGCCGACGATCTGAATCGAGTACGGACAGATAGGCACCGCAGACATCACAGACGCGAAGCTTCTGGTGTCCTGATGCACCAGACGTGTCTGTTAGTTGTTGCAGTTCGCGCTAGAAAAAAGTGCATTCAGGGTCAGCTTAACCAAAAACAAAGGAATGTTTAACTCACTTCCTTGTCAGCCTTCTCGTTCTTCAGGGCCTCGATGGCCGCCATTTCCCGCATGGATTCCTCCACTTTCCCTTGCTCGCCTGGTGACACTGCATCAGCGAAATGGGAACTAAAACAAGCGGTTTGGTGCGCAACTCACCCAACTGCTCGATCTTCTCTGTTCCTCCCTGAATAGCGAGCTCAATTTCCGCAATTTCTCGCATCTGGGTATCCAGACTTTGAGTACGGTGTTATTCGGGTTGTTCGTGAAACATACCAAGTTGGTCGTTTTGGCATTCTCTTCGGGCGTCTTTTCCAAGCGACGGTGTGCTGCCCGAATTCTTCGATCACACTCGTCTACAAAGGCAAATATATTTGCTTCGTATTCCATTTGGAACCTGTGGAAGATCGGATCGCTAGGGTTGGCTTCCCGTGCTGCGAGGAACTCTGTCTTCAAACGCTCGGTATGTGACTTGGGGCATGCGCCTAGATCCATTTTCTGTTATAGGCAACGAACATGAGTATCCTTGGGGGTTTGTCCAAAGATTTAGCGAAACGCACGGTGTTTGTGAACAGGGTGTGAGGGCACGTTCCGCAGAGGAAGTTCCTGCACACTTTCTCGTCGGACCAATGCAAGTTGGCGTTGGCAACACCCATTGCCTCAGGGCCCATCATTTGCTACAAGAATATAAACCATTGAACACTCCGGACATGAACGTTGACATTACCTCCAGGAGCTTGCGCTGCATTTCGGCTAGACGACCCATTGTGATTCCTACAGGCTTTGACGCGGTGCTACGAAATGGCGGTTGGAGTTCAAGAGAGACGTTTGGCTTTGTTTGCTCCCGGTCTCTCACTGAACACTGTTTGCCGCACACAGACGGTTGCGCCTCCCAGGCTTTGTCGATCTCTTGAAATTGAATGGACACCGAGTATTTCCTGCGCTCACAAATGAAATACACATCCTTTCCTCGTGCTGACTGAACGGCGGTAGCTGTGAGGAATCCCTGGCCGTTCAGAAACCCTCGGTGCCGGTTCCCACGGTCCGCTCCCAAGCCGCCATCAGACGCGTGAGCGCCGACGACTGTGACAACAGTGAGCGTCCAAGTCAGTCTCCCGTCGACTGTCGTCTACCACAAGTGGGCCACCATGGACTCGACGCAGCGCCCACCAACACAGGGCCTTCTGGCCCGAATAAAGCAACGGTTCCAGTCAAGCGGAAACCCTAGTGAATCACGGATACGTAGACGACAGGCCGTGATCCAGAAACTCACCAAACGAGTGCCATATATCAGGTAGGCTGAACCCCACATTCACGAGCATCATATTCACATCGGGCAGGATTCTCCTATTAATCATAGGATATCTGTGGGTCTTAGCTCTCCCATTACCCGAGCTGGCAAAGGGCGTCTATATGGATGAGAATGCCTTGAGCCCAGGCCATGTACGTTGCAACACCTACGCCAGGGTCTTTCGTTTAAACACCATTCCTTAGGTCAAGCCTCGTCTTGGTTGGGCAGAAGTACATTCAGCAGATAGATGGCTAGAACAACTGGAACGCCTTCGGGATGACAACGCAACCAGCGAACAGTCAGTCACTCAGCTACCGACGACTAGAATTGCAGATTGATTCTCTGTTCCAGGCGAGCCCAATATATTGTGGACGAATTCACGAAACTAGGGCTCTCTGGAGCTACGCAAAAGTACAAATTCACCATGGCGAACGAGACCATCACCGGCGTGAACGCATATGCAGTCTCGTCTTCGCCACGGATATCTGGCACCGAAGCAATGGTTATATCCGCCTCTTGGCTCAGCAGACGAGGGGAAGGGAATGGGGACTTGAACCTTCGTGGTGTTGCCACCGTCCTTGCGCTAGCGAAGTACCTCAAGAGTACGTTGATTCACGCATGACGCCAGTGAACACTCCATAAAACGATCTTAGGTTACTCCTCATGGTCCAAAGACCTCGTCTTCGTGATTGGAGACGGCTACCTTGATGGTATGCAAGCCTGGTTGAACGGATATCATAACGCGGACCAGAAAAGTACGCCCCCGTCCTTCCGTCGGTCACGTCGGTCAATTAGTGCTCATAATTCTCGCAGACCTGGAGGCTGAGCCTCTTCAATACCCCTCTGGTGTAATATGGACTGCCCTCTCGATTGACTACGCTTGCCATTCCTTTTCCCATTTAGGCGTTTTCCATGGTCCGTACTCCGCTTTCTTGCTCGACGCATTACTGACAGAACGCATCAGAGGGAGTTAACGGTCGACTACCCAACCAGGACCTGATCAACGGATTTGAGCGCCTTGCGCGATGGACTGTCGGCTCACCGGTCGTCATGTATGATCACGCTGAGGTTCCACCTGCACCATCCTGGATTCCCCAAATTGTTCAAAAACATCCTCGGTTCGAAGTCTATTGGCAACGGGCCTTGAACGTACTTCGTCATTTTGGTTATCAAGCTCGTGGCCGCCCCAGCGGGATCCACGGACTTTTCCACCGGTCAGTTTCAAGAAGTGAACTACTGCTGCAAGCACAACCTCATTGTGAACAGACACCGGATAGACGCCTTCACCATCTATGCCAATTGTGCGACGGGACCCCATGGGTTCTATGCCATGGGCAGGTCAGTGACATTCCACCTCAGTCGTATTCGAAAGTAGCTGACGATTTGCTACAGGATCGTTGAAGCTACGCTGAGAACCATGAACAATCTACTCGAAAGGCTCCATGCGTCTTTCTTCTTCTATATTTTGACAGGCTCGTACACATTCCTCAAGATTGGATCTTTCATCCCAAGTGCTATCCTCATCGGCGTTTCCATGCTGTTCCAAGGGCTGACTTCGTGGGTTAATGCCGGTTGGGTGCTTGTCGACAAGGGATCCTCAGAGAAGGAAGCCAACTCGAAACCCATATGGAGGAGAAGGAACCGACAGGTTCTACTTGTGGTGTTGACCATGATCTTTACCCACGTCCTCGGCGCCGCCTTGTTTGGTATCCTCTCGACGCCGTGGTTCATCCAGAATATCGCGGTGCGTGTATACCTCCAACCATATTACGGTTAATCTGATTGCTTTAATAGACTGTCTCGATACCTCTGTTAGCGGCATTCTCCATCGCACCCATTGTAGTCCTAGCGTTAGCTCCTCAGCCATCCCAGGATGATGCACCCATCTCCTTGACACTGAAAGCACTCAACCTCTGCCTCGCCTCCGCCGTTATCTCTGTTACGTCCATGCTCAACTTCTCTCTCGCACTGTCCTTCGCTATACTGCAGGGCGTTCCTTTGTCCCTCTCCGCATTCTCCCGCACACCTGTAGCTCGTTTTGCTGGCTATGCTTCCTATTGCGTACTGGCACTCGGTTGGCTCGCTGTGTTCCCAGACGAGGTCAAAAATGCCATTTGGCATTGGGAGATTGCATCTGTGTGGTTTGCGCCAGTGGTGTGCATTGTGTATGTACCACTTGTCCTCCAAGCTGGTATCGCGACATTACTTTCACATTAGGACATTCATGTATTCTAGCTATAAGATACAATCTATAATACATACAGTGATGTTGTTCAACACAACAGACGGGGAAAGCGTTAACCAATGTCCATTTCCATGTCATCATTTCCGAAGAGATCGTCGTCGTCATCCTCAGCCTGGTTGGCATTTGGGCCTGCCTGTCCTCCTTGATCCCCTCCCTCTTTCTTCAACCGCTGCTTTTCTCTCATTTCGTCACGTTGCGAGATTTTGAGCTCCAGGTCTGCAGTCAACTTCTTCAGAGCATCCTGGAATCGTTTCTGTGAAATTGGGAGAAAGGATTAATCGACTATGTCTGCATGCAGAGACTGAACATACCTTTAGCAAAGGATTTGCAGAGCTGGTAATCTCATTCTCCTTCTTAGCTACAGCGGCCTGGAGGTCCCTGATTTCCTCGTTCAATAACTGCCTTGCCTGCGCCTCTTCGTCATCCTCATCCTCGTCTTCCTCTTCTTCGCTCGATTCCTCCTCTTCACCTTCCTCTTCCACTTCCTCCTCGTCGCCCAAAGCAAGGTCAAGCTCTGCCGCCAACTCCTCGTCAATGTCACCCTCCTGCTCTTCCTCCTCTTCTTCGTTCTCTTCGGGTTCTTCGTCATATTCTTCGCCTAGGTCAGCACCTGGCGTTGCGGCTTCACCTAGATCGGACACCGCGGGTGTGGGTGCGTCAAGGGGAGCTTCCTGTTCTATGAACTCGGAATCGGAGAGGTCAGGGTTGACATTCTCTAACACCTCTGAAGCATGTACATGAATAAATTACTCCGGGCTTCTGAGACCATGGGGGACTCACCATACTTGACTTCTGTTGCAGCGGCATCCTCTTCCAGCAACCTCTCTACTTCTTGTTCCACACTCTCAATTGTCTAAAGCCAGGTCAGAATGACGTCTACGAGGTCGATTAGAGGACGCACTCTCCGGTTCACGCGTTTCCGGAACCGTCGTTTCCGAACGTGATGTAGAGGAGGAGTGATTCCGTGGGGCCAGACAAAGTCGTCGATATTGAAGTTGCGCTGGTTGGCCACCTGGCTTTCATCTTGGATTTTATCCTCCACTACTAGCATCTAGGGGCGTATCAGAGAGAGCATTCCAAAGTAGAATTACGTTGGTACGTGCTTGACAAATGTCTGCAACTTTGAACATCTGCTTGTTGTCCAGAGTTTTCTGGGATTCGATGATACATGGCAGATCGACCAGTTTGGCAGAGTACAGGTTGTTGCCTATATGGAATACCGCCCTTCTAGAGTCTGAAACAAGGCCTCAGTACTTGCACAATGGTCGATATAGCCACGCACCTTTGAACTTGAACCAAACGTCATTGCTAACCTCCCTGTTCGCAACCATCTTCCTCAACTTCTCCAGGTCTTCCCCGGGCGGGAAGCGCAATATGAACTGCTCTTCAAACGACAAGTCCTCGTCGTCCGAGTCGAGCTCACGATCATACGCCCCAAGGAAAGACATCCCAGGTGCCTGTGCGGCCGACTTCTCTCCCAATTTGAGCTTCAATTTCGGTGCACCACCCTTTGCTCTTGCGACTGCGCTCCTCGTTGTCCTCTCATTTCCACTCGTACTTGCGTCCATAGCGTCGGCGGAAGAGGTACCCGGGGTGTTGCTGGCACTTCGCAATCGAAGCCTCGAAGACGTCCTGTCTCCAAATGATTTCGGCTGCGAGTCCTGGGAAGCATTGTTATAGCCATTTTGACCGGAGGCTGAGCCCACATCGGCTGGCTGTGTCGGCTCGAAGTCGTCCACAACGATCACATCTTCATCCATTTTGTAGAAGGAGTAAATACAGGAAAAGCGAAGGTGTAGTGGTAGAAGTTGTAGAACAAGTCAGAAAGCGCCGCCTATGCTCAAAGCGCGGTCACATGACCTCTTCCGGCAGCTCCACCTCAATTTCTTCGTCGTCCTCTTCCCACTCATCATCCTCGACGTATTCCAACTCTTCAGCAGCTTCTAGTTCTTGCATTTTCACCAAGACAAACTGAAAGAAAGGTTGCCCGACTACCGCAATGTATGCTGCAAGGCTTCCCAACGCAAGTCCCACGAAAGCCCATCGCATCCGGTCGACCTGGCGTTCTTCTGGCGTTTTCTCTTTTCTTGTGCTGTCTTTCTTCACCGCACTCCGGCCCCAAAAGGGTAAGAGGAATGAGCAAAGTGACCGGCGATATGTCTCATAGGTGAATGGTGGATTGTTTGGACCTGGTAGTACGCGATGTTTGACTCGTTCCGAATGGGCCAAGAGGGCTGGGTACGTCTCTGTAACCAATTTGTTGATAGTATCATCTGGCAGCCGAGGCTGGATAAGCAGGACGGTGTGGGCTGCAATGGCAACGTCGATGGAGGTGATACTAAGGAGCTGTTGGTTAACACGACATATTACGATGAAAAGGACGCTTACCTATCGAAAACATATTGCTTCCCTTCCAATAGCCTTGCATATAGATCAAGAATCTTCTTCGATTTTGCAATGAACTTCTCCTTCTCGAAGATCTTGGTGAACTTGCCCTTGTTCTTCTCGATCTTCGGTACGCTCTTCTGTTGTTTCCCCCTCAAGGAACTTTCCTCAAACACGCTCTTCTTGTCTGGAGCGGGTTCGGCATCGCTCCAGAGACCAGCAGCTTCCAAACGAGGTTGATACGCAGCTCTTAATTTGGATGGAACAAAGTAACGTTGGGGCACGGGGAAGAGGGAGGAGAAGGCCTTGTGGACTGTCTTGTCCCAATTGTCCGCTGAGTAAAACGTGGAGGCCTGGTATTCGGGTCAGAGTAATTAACGCGCACGGCCTGGAGAAGGACTGGACTGACCACTAAGTCTCCAAGGTTCGCTTCAACATGGGCGAGCCATGCATTTCTCTGGGACCTTTCCTTCGGGGATAGATGTTTGTCGGTGTTGGCATTGGGGTACTTGTTCCCCTCCGTTTCCGCCAGTCCAGAGACATACTTCAGGATCGACGCAAAGCTCGTAACCACCTCGGTGCCATGGACTAAGAAGGGTAGCTGTCCTGTGAAACACAACGTATCAGTTTCTGCCATCACCTGGCACTCTGACCAACTCACAATCACCTACCGCTGGGTGAGAGGTCCACGTCAGTACATTCGATGATAGTAAAATCTCCTGGGATAGCCAGTTGGAGGTATAATATAGCCGTCAGGCAGTAAGGGTCAAACGAGGGCAGATCCCATAGTTTTGGCCAAACATAGAGCTGGATGCGCTGTGAGGAGCCTGCTTCAGCGGCCATTTGGGTGAACAGGAGGAAACCAAGACGCGGCTGTGACGTTATTCGCTATCCGCGGCTACGGCCCGCGATAGTTCCCGGCTTTGGTCGTCGTTGTCCGCGTCGAGCTCGACTTTCGAATTCAAGTCAGTACGGTCACCTGCGACCTCAAAGCCTCTGTCAGCGGCTCAAGACGATGTCCGGCGGCGACTCCTTCCTTCCACGAATCCAATCCGTGTTCTACGCCGTCTTTGACGAGACAGTTGGCCCAAAGATCGTGTACCAAGTTCCCGAAGGCCTAATCGCGTCTCAGACGCAGATTGGGGTCGCTAGCAGCCATGATCAACAGAGCTCTACTCCTTCGTCACCTTCGTCGCCTTCACCAGAAGGCTCGTCGGAACCACAGACACCGACTGTGTCACTTCCTTCTCGCGCCTCGAGTAGCTCGTTGGTTTCGCCCACGGATCTATACAACAAGCGCGGTCGACAGTTTCCCTCCCCCAGTAACAACAAGCGGTCCATGTCCTCCCAACCGACTCTATTCAACTTTTCTGAAATATCGATGTATGTCATACCACCGAGCGCTTTATGCGGAAGACTGGTAATCTGCTCGACAAGGCGACATAGAATTATCGGTTTCCCAGTCGAATTGACAGGTCGGTACAAGCGGTACTACTTCAGATACAACCTGTGCTTCGTCTTCGAGCGCAACGCCGACCTCAGCTGCTATGAGCCTGTTGTCAGGAAGATTAGTCGCGTCCTGAAGTCCTGTGAAGTGGGTGCCTCCCGATGTCCAAATTCACCAGACCCTTACATCACTTCATAGGAAGAATCGGGCTTCCTGTCATCTCCTGAAACCTGTACCCAGGTCTATAGTATCCTTGAGCAACTTTACGAAGACTTGAACTCTTATTCTGAAACCTCAATACCGATTGACCAGTTCAACTCCATCGAGCTGAAGATATTCCCATTCTACCCCAATCCACCGGACGTCAAGGATTGGATGGTTCCTCTGGCCCTAATCAACATCCAGAAGCGCTTTGAGGAAAATTGGGACCTTACTATGATCAAGGTACTTCATGTGCCCTCTAGAACACTGTTCGTTTCTGAGTCCCTGTTTTAGGTTTGTCGATTCATCGACGGTGTTAACCACGTTGGCCGGATCGCCAAACTCGCGGACTGTGATCCTCGACTAACTCGTCAGGCTATAGCCCACCTTTTGTAAGTGAATCTTGTGGCCTGGCTGGTGACACAACTGAAGTTCATAACAGGTACTATCAGGTCATAATGACGATAGATATATTCCAATATTCCAATATGTATACCCTGTGTCGAAGCGTTCAATGGCTGGCCGATGAGACGCACGTTAAAGATGAATGCGGACCTTATGTCGTCAAGTCAGGTATGTTGCTCAAGGCTCCCTCATTCCCGTACTCATGGACGCCTAGGAACGCAAAGAATACCCGATTGGCCTGACCTGCTACATTTGTACTCTAGGTTGAAAACAGGAAAGACAGTCTTCGAGTGGATGCGAGAATACAACGTGGAGTCTCTCGGAATCGACGTCCGCAGATTTATCACTTTTGGTGTCATCAAGGTACAGAGCTTACCCGTTCGCGAATAAAGGGCAGTAACCAAATCGTTTCAGGGCTTCCTTCGTCGAGTCCATCGATACCCCATGTTCGTCCGGCAAATTAACCATACCCCAGAACCAGAGCCACAGCCATATTCCGACCCTTCTAGTTCTACTTTGATGCGCAAACGGGCACAGAGCCTCCAAGGCATGCCTCCTTATCGCGCGGGCGGATACGATGCGCCTATGACAACCGATGTATTCTCCGGGCACGGTTTCGTCCCCCAACAATCCGCGCTCTTCCAAAATACGACCGGACTAGCCTCTGCCAACCCAGAGGGACCGCCACCTCCATCTGCAACGGGCATGATGTCGGCGACCAGTCGTGCTCGACGAGCGAGCGCAGCAGAGAAAATCCTCGAACAACTCAGGAATAGAGATATTCAGAAGTCGGGTAGTGGGACTGGTGTCCATAGCCCGCGGCTCGGAACGTCCTGGGTGAATTATCATGGTAGAGACCGTGAAGATAACCACCCTCCTCCTAGTTCATCGGTCAATCAAGGGTCGATCGCCAACTCCTATACAAGCACTACGACAGCCGCTTCGTACTCGACAGTACGATACTTGCATGATAGCCCTTCGAAACCAAACGGTGGCGGTGGAAGGGAGTCAAGGCGGACGTCGTTAGTTTCGCCTACCGTCCCTCCTCCCTCACCCGTGCTTCCAAAAGTTACATTAACACCATCGAGACCGCCGCGGATGACTCGCTCTCCTTCAATGCACCATCCCCATGTTTGTGGTCATGGACGACCTCCACCATATCCCCCGCAGCTCATTCCGTTATTGGACGGGGACCACCACACAGATGAGATCGGCGTGATCTTAGGCTGTGGTTGGCCGCAACTAGAGGAGTGGCTCGTTGCTGTGGGTGGTGGACAGGGTAACGGTGATTTGGGTGACGTTGTAGTCATTTATCGATGACGGGCGTGGCTGGGTGACAGCATGCGCAAGATGTTATGTATTATACAATGGAATTTACACCATGATATGTATGGACAGTTTCACGCGATGGTCGTCTATGCAGAGTACTGGATGCGAAGAGATAAACTGAATGGTAGGGACGTCGAAGTGACGGTGACCTCTCCGTTGGGCGGAACGAAATCAGAGAGCTTCTTCTCCAGGTTGGGTCGGGTGGCCTCTTCCAGTTGAGGAGGCGCCTGGAAATACAGTTGCTTGGTAGGTGTCGAGAGAGACGGTTTCTTGATTTGACTGATAGAATGTGAGCTAACGTCTCGATAATGTATAGAAAAAGGAACATACATGTCCTGTCGCTCAACTAGAAGGTCGATGAGCTGGTCGACGGTAGTTTCAGGAGAAACTGTCAAGTCTAGTGCTTCGCCACCACAAACAGGGCAATCCTGGCGCTTCTCGTGTTCAAAAGTGTAAGAGTATACTCCATCCGTTCCGATAAGCATGAAATAATTGTTAAGGAAGGCAGCTGAGCTTGTAGCGATCTTGAATGCTTCGTTACAGCACGCTGCAGCTATGATGGCGTTGGTGGATGCGATAGCTGGGATGATGTTCTTCACGACGCCTTGTGTCAGCGACCAGGTGACGCCTTCGATATTGAATTCTTGGGCACGCTTAAGAGCCACGCTGTAAAGCCAACTGATATGCTCTGGATCGTCAGTATCCATCTTCTTATCTCCATGCACTTTGGGCCACTCGAGTACGGAGGCCCATTCAATACAGTGTTCAGGAAGTCGGGGAGTGTTCGCGATGGTGCAGATCGGGAAAGCAGTTTGCTTGTTAAGCATATCGAGAGAGCATTCGTAGCATGAGGTGAAGGTTGGGAGGATCACTCGAGCCTGGCCCTTGAAGCCCTCTGTTCCACCATCAATCATTGGTTTGAGACTCTCTGGATTTTCAGGATCCACCATGTTGACGAGAGTCGCGTTCATCCACCGGCGCGCTTCCACCGAGTCCAAGCCACAAATGACGAGATTGAATTGCATGTAATAGTCTTCGTCTTTATCCTGGATCTTTCCAAAGTATCTGTGCCGAGAAAATAAGCTTCAGCGCTTATATTACTGGCCGTGAGATCGCTGCTTACGGTGTGACGGTTACCCCTGGGACTCGTTTCATGATGAACTCGGCGGCGACGACTGCCTTTGGTTTTCCGACATCTGCTGGTCTGCAACAGGTGTTATTCCCCTTCTCTTTACCACGATAGGGTGAAAATACCTGAACAAGAATTGGCGATTCAAATTGCTGATGTCGATGGTGTCCATGTCGATTACATGGATATCCTTGAAGCCAGTGAGTGCGAGGTTGGCAAGAATCTCACATCCCAGGCCGCCAGCGCCGATAACCAGGATTTTGGCCTGCTTCCTCAGGAAGTCTTTGACCTAGAGCGCCGGTCAGTGTCATATGCTGGAGTGCAATTAGCGGCGACTAATAAACGACTTACTCCATCCCCAGCCAGGAAAGACGGATCTGTGCGCGGTCCTGGTTTGTCGAGAATCTGGTCAATGTGGTAGTAGCGGCCTGACCAGTCGTTGTTTGTGGCAGCCATCGTCGACGTCGTCGTGGTCTCTGTGTGGGCCCTCGACGTTTGCGCTGCGCGTCGCCGCCACGGGTCTCATGTCATCTCGGTGACAGTAATACAGCACTTCTATTTCCGGAAACCCCACGTGCCAAGACAAGGCAGTGCTTTACTCCGTCCAGAATTCTCACACAGACAAGACTGGGGCATGTAGGTTCAATTTGCTCATACAAGAGACTAGAGTGCACTCCTTTCACTTCTCCACGCTCCTTACTGCTCTAAATGCCCTCGACACCTCACGAATCCTCCCCGCTCCTCCCATCACATGCAAATGGCAATGGGGAGCCACATCTGCCCCTAGCCCAACGCCTGGTCAAACTACTCAAGGCTGAAGGCGAACCATCTTGGCTGCAATCATATAACTGGTTCATATTTGGCTCTTACGCCAACATACTCCTGCTCTTTGTGCCTTTGAGCGCGGTAGCTCATTACCAAGATTGGGACGCTGCCTTGCGATTCGTGTTCAGTTTCCTGGCAATCATACCGTTGGCCAAGGTCGGGGCAGTTAATTACAGTAGCGCTCGGCGCTCCCGCATGACGGGATACTGATTGTCGCTTGGTTTCTTAGCTTCTGGGCGATGCTACCGAAAACCTGTCCGGGCGCTTAGGAGAAATTCTTGCTGGTTTGCTCAACGCATCGTTTGGAAATGCCGTCGAAATTATCGTCGGTATTGCAGCCTTGCTTCGAGGTACGTCACTGGCTACGTTCTATCCAAAGGTGGCGCAGGGGGTTAACCGCACACATGTAGACGAGATTCGTATTGTTCAAACTTCGGTGATGCTGTCTCTACTGCGATATACCAGTTACGGTGCTGACCGTATATATTCTGTAGATGATCGGCTCTATTCTTTCCAATATCCTTCTCGTTTTGGGATGCTCCTTCGTCGCTGGTACTTCAATCCACGATCCAACTTTCATTTTGCTAATGCGTGCACACAACAGCTGGCTGGGAGAGAGCCGAGAGCTCGTTCCAGGTCACCGCAGCGCAAGCGTGTGTACCTTTCGTCTTCAACTACTCGTTCATCACTAATTAGGGTATTTTTGTCAGTTCGAGTTCGGTACGCAAATGGGTTCTAGTGCTGTGTTCATCCATCGTGATTGTCTCTACCTTCGATTTTAGTTGATGACCCTGGCCTGCATCAGTAAGTCCATCCGACCTTGCCCCAGAATCATCCCATTAAAGCAGCTTTCTCAGCCCTCGTAATTCCTGCCGCCTACCATATGACTAGTTCGTATACTTTATTCGCAGCACCCGAAGCTGTCCTTATTGATGTCATGACCAGTGCCAGAGACCGCGAGTTCTGAACACGGTCTCGTGGTTATATCAAGAGGCACTGCCATTGTCCTTCTCTTGGTGTATGGCGCTTACCTGCTATTCCAAGTAAGTGGAGGTATCAGATTCGGCCTACATAAATGTTGAACGCGTTGCGTTTAACTCTAGCTCAAATCGCATCACTTCCTCTTCCAATCCGAGTCTGAGGAGGGAGATGAGCCTCCCACAATGAACGTCGCCGCTGCTGCATTCGCGTAGGTTTCAACTGATTGAAAACCATGCCCATCTCTCATCGTCTCAGTCTCCTCGGTGTAACTGTGGTCACTTCATTCTGTGCAGACTACTGTAAGCCATTGCGCTGTCCTTCACTTGATCCGATTCTAATTAACCGTCCAACTCAGTGGTGGCATCCATCGAAGAAACTGCGGAAAGATATCACATTTCCAAGACATTCATTGGTCTGATTCTGCTTCCCATTGTGGTGAGTTATAGTCCCTCAAGGGAAGTCTTCGACTAACACTCTCATTCAGGCTAATGCTGCTGAACATGTCACTTCCATTTGGATGGCAATGAAGAACAAGATGGAGCTGGCAATAACTATCTGCGTCGGCAGCTCAATTGTTTGTCTTGCTTTCGGTTTCCGGTGCGCCCGCTGACAGATCGGTTAGCAAATTGCTTCGTTCGTGGTGCCTCTAATGGTCATCATTGGTTGGTGGTAAGTGCCAATATCGCGTCTTATCATGGATGTTTTTGTGATGACCGTGTCCTTTAGTACCAACCATGAGCTGACCCTCTACTTCGAAGACTTTGAGGTATGTGCGACCAATTCACTGAAATGTATTTTTCTTTGAATTCGCCTTTCTCCAGACCATCATCCTCTTTGTGTCGGTACTCCTAGTCAACACTTTGATTCAGTAGGCGACCTCTCGTTGAACCACGCACGCTCATACTAATTCATTCCTCAGAGACGGCAAGTCAAATTACATGGAAGGGTTGCTCTTGCTGGCTTTGTACTTTGTCATCGCCTTGGCCTGTGAGTGCCTACCTTTGTTCCTGTCTCTTTACTAAATATCCATTGCCAGATTATGTATCCTGATGGCTAATTTTCTCTGCTCAATTTATCTTATTCGAATGCGAAATCTTCCCTCATTTATATGCTCTCTGGTGGTACTCGTGTACCCGTATCCGTGTTTCGAATCAGTCGTGAAAGTACATAGACTGCTCACAGAACGATCGTGGACAATGGGACACCCTTACATACAATTACTTGCCTGTATTCTGGGTCCTCAATATACATCGACGTTGGTTGCCGCAAACGCCCTCGCGCGTCGTCGCACCCTTTGAGATTGGTCAGCAGTCCCTCCTTGGCGCTGCGCCTCGCGGTGACAACTCTTTCAAGTCGAATTCGACATCCATCGCGTTCATCTCGCTGTCCTCTGTTATGGATATTGAAATTCGCTATGTTCACTCGGACGAGAATGAATGGTCGGTTACCCGCGCCATCGCGGAGATCCTTCACGCAGGAGAATCAGAAGAATCCAGAAAGGTCAATTTCCAGGTCAAATTAGATGCTAACCCTGCAGGTGTAGGCCACAAGGGTACAGGTCGACTAACAGTTCCAACCTCTGCCATTGGGAGGAAGTTCCTCGACGATGTCAAAGAAACGCCCATCAAATTGAGCAAACAGAAGCTCAAATTTCGCAAGTGCTCACAGCCGCCAAAGAAATACATCGTCGAGACCTTGGCCAAAACCCCGTTTGTTAGTCCCGATATCGAGGAGAAACATGCCAAAACGCTCGAGGCCTTAGAGGAAAAACTTAGGATTGATACTCTCCAGTTTGGGGTCTACTATCGTCCTTCGTATCCCGGTGGAAGGGCATTCTCAGTGGAATGGGAGAAGAACTACACGGTAGAGAGTGCCGCTTGGTTGCACTTCGAGTATGATCACAAGCTCATCCGTTTGAAGGTGAGTTCAGAACACAGCTCTTCCCTAGAATAAATCTGTCTAAAGAATTTAGCTTGGAGATGAACTAAGGGAGAAGATTGGGCACAACGTGAATATCAGCTTCGCGAGCATCCGCAAGATCGGTGTCGGATACGATTGGAATCCTTGTATGATTACCTCCAGTACGAAGAATGGTACCTGATACTGACAGCTTTATAGATATTTGCTTCGACACCCTCACGCCTCCGACTATCGAGGAAGTCGAACTTCATCGTACCCTTACGGGAGATCACCGAGTAGACAACGAAAAATACAAACACCGCGTTGGCCATCTCGACGAAAGGCACAGAGCCGTCGCACCTTACGCGACTCAAGTCCGCGTCGTTCTCTACAATGATACAAGATACGACATGATCAAGAAGTTCATCGGCCTCTGCAAGGTCGCCGGTATTGGGAATGACGGCCTCATCGCCCATTTTGCCGCGAACAAAGGGATTGAAGCAGTCAAGCAAGGTTTCTTCGAGCCGAAGCGCATGTATACGCTTCACAAACGACTGGCAGCCCTCCCATGGCATGTCGCTTTCCAAATGGAAGCGCTACTCCTCAATGGCCTTCTTCACACCAAACTCATCCAGGATCTTTTGGACCAAGTCGAAGCCCTCGCGGCAAAACACATGAAGAACAATAACGCACATTACGTCGGAGAAGTACTCAGAAAGTTCAATGAGGTCCTTCAATCCCGCCTAAACATACCGGAAGTTCAAGAGCACCCCTTGACCATCTTCGAAAACGTTCTGTCCAAGTTTGAATATGCCAAACCCTCCTTAGATCGTGGCACCTTCCCATGTTGCCATGTCACATTTACCCCTACCCGAGTACTGTTGGAAGGTCCATGTCCGACGCAGTCCAACCGAATCATTCGCAAGTACGCCGGATTCGAGGATAAATTCCTTCGAGTTGATTTCAGAGACGAGGATCGCCTTCAGTATCGTTGGGACAGGGAGGTTGATGGGTCTGTCTTTGTTCGGGACAGGGTCGGGACGGTTTTGAAACTGGGATTCGAATTGGCGGGTAGAACTTTCGAGTTTCTAGCCTATTCCAGTTCCGCCTTGCGGGAGCATGCTGTATGGTTCATGTCCCCGTTCAAGAAGGATGGTGTCATTGTCGACGCCGAATCCATCCGGAACTCGGTGGGCGATTTCAAGGGTACGGAACTTTTGAAGCGTCCTTCGATGTACGCCGCTCGACTTGCTCAAGCCTTTACTGCAACGGATCCATCGGTCAAAATCCGTCGGGGCGAGTGGGAAGACGTCGACGACTTGGGCGAAAAACCCTACTTGTTCACTGACGGGGTAGGGACTATCTCATCGGCCCTTGCAGACCGTATTTGGGCAGCGGTAGGACGAAAGAATCAACGAAGGCCCGATGCGGTATGCTTTCAATGGGTTGCCTTTTGGTCATTGTAGTCATCGACTTCAGTTCCAAATCAGGTTCCTGGGATACAAAGGAATGGTCTCCGTCGACAAAGAGTTGGACAATCATCCCCACGGTATTCAGATGCGACTAAGACCGTCCATGCGCAAGTTCGAAAACAAGGGAGAGGAGGAAGATGCAGAGATCGAGATTGCGCAATCATTCTCGTCTCCAAACGCCGCATACCTTAATCGGTGCGTCTTCCCCTACTTTGACTCTGGCTTTTCTCAATCCCTTCGGTACAGACCTCTTGTCATGCTTCTGGAGGACTTGGGAGCCCGCAAAGAGGATTTCCTCCGGCTCCAAAATCTCGAAATTGCCGATGCCTGCACCATCGATGAGAGCCTCGAACAGTTCCAGAAATTCATGTCCGGACACGGTCTCGGCAGACCATTTGGATTCCAATACTTGCTTCGCAAGCTATGGAACCTCGGATTAGACCTGTCATCAAATAAGAAAGGCTCCTCGATCGACACCCCTTTCCTTCATCTATTGCGGAGCGTGGCAATCAATGACGTTCTGAGGGACATCAAGCATAGTGCTCGGATCAAGATTCCCGACAGCTACTTGCTTGTAGGAATCGCAGACGAAGGTCCAGCATATGAAAAGCGAGGCTACAAGAACGTGTACAGTCTCCGCGAGGGAAACATCTACGGTGAACCAGTTAGGCTTGGTTGTCTGACGTTTTCTAACGGCAGCGGTAGCTTGTATCCAGCGACACGAGGACGACGAGCCGACATACATCCAAGGAACTGTGTCGATTTCTCGGAGTCCTGTTGCCCATCGGGGTGACGGTAAGAGCTGGAGAGCTTTCTCGCGAAACACAGTATTGACCGTGACATAACCTAGTTCAACGGGTTTACGCAATCGGTGAACCGCCCGCGGGTATGTTCTGTGCATTTAGGGGGCTGCGGAATGTCGTGGTCCTTCCCTCAGTCGGGGACAGGTCATTAGCCTCCTGTCTCGGAGGTGGAGACGTGGATGGGTGAGCTTCTTTCTCGATACCTTTCCAATTCCATTGATCTCCCTCATAACGATTTCAGCGATATGTTCTCGGTCATTACTTGCGACGCCCTTCTCCCCAGCGAGACCTTCGAACCTTCCGCATATGAATCGGCGGGGACCAAGACATTGGACCGCGATAGCACCGTAGAAGACATATGCGATTTCGTTGTCGAGTACATCAACTCCGATGTCCTGGTGAGCTATGACGGATTTGTCCCAGTCGATATGCTGATGTCGTCTTAGGGTCTACTGTCAGACCGCTTGTTGATCATTGCAGGTATGCTGAACGAATCTGACTCGCGGATGGTATTGACTCCTTCGGGCCCTCTCCATAGATCAGTCCAAGGTAAACGGGAAACGTTCAGTGTATTTTTGGAACCATGGTAACCGATGTTCGTAATGCAGGACGGATTCTCGGATGAAGCATGCTTAGCGTTGGCTGAGCTCTGCTCACAGGTATGTGCGTAATGTGTCAATTGCCTCTGGTCGCTATATCTTCTCCACCAGGCTGTGGACTATCCCAAGCAAGGCATCCCAGTCGACCTCGACAGTAATGATCTTCCAAGAACACTGATACGATGCAAACCCGATTGGCATGCAGCTGAAGTTGTCTCGCCCCGCGAGACCGACTACTATAGGTCCACGCGCGCCCTCGGATTCCTCTACCGTGCGGTAGAGCTCAAACCCATCACCGAAGAAGAGAAAAAACTGGCACCCAACAAATTCCCTCCCCTAACGGATGCGATATCGCGGGCTCTGATACCCTACGTGAAGACATACCTCGGCGCAGCCGTTAACCCTAACGGCCAGTTTGCAGAAATAGACAAGATCTTCCAACGTTATGTCAATGAACTCAACTATATCTGCATCACGCATACCCTATCGAACACGCCTGGTGTCAAGCTGTTGGAAGCGGAAGTCGTAGCAGGGACGATACTCGCCAAGTGTGCACAGAAACGGATGAGGAGTGACCGTATCTATCGAATGCGGTTGCATTCAGAGACGCTGGTCAAAGATGTGCAAAAGGATTTCAAAGGGAGGACCAACAGCCCAGATAGTCTCGATGGATTCATTACGGGATTGGGCCGCGCATGGAGGGCATGGGAGTATAGCCAGAAGTATAACGACCAGTTTGGGGCCAACAGCTTTGGCATCATTGCTCTAAGCGTCACACTGGATTCATTGGAGGGCTTGGGAACGGTGCTGCCTACCAGAGAGAAGGAGTACTAGTAGATTAAGGTCGCCTGCGCTCGCATTGTCGAAAAATAACATTATATCCTCTACTGTTCACGTCCTGCGAGTTCTCTTTGGTCTTTTTGGAGATTCTATGGGCGCATCAACCTCCTTTGAAACCAATGGTGCTGACTTGCGCTTGAGAGGAGAAGGGGACGGTGACAGGGGAGGTGTAGGAAGCGCATCATCGAGTAGTTGAGCCGCTTTCGCTGGAGGAACCGAGCTCAGTTTCTCGGGTGAATCCAACCCATAATCAGCAAACGCCTTGAGGTCAGCAGTAAACAGCACCTGAACAAAGGTGAGGTCACGACCAAATGCGAGAGGACAAGATGTGCGCACTGAATGGGCCCAACCAGCGTAATCACCCCATAGACTCTGGAGCTTGTTGTTGACTTCGTCGTACAGCTTGGGTGTCATGGCGGTTTTCCCGGAATTGCCTTTCATCCCATAGTGCTTGACGGCAATTTGATGGACATGGGTATCAACAGGTATCACTTCTTTCTGCGTGCGACGTGAGGCCGAGTGGAAGAAGAGGGAACGGTGAGCGACGAACCTTGTCCAAGCTCATTAGCAAGATACAATCGGCCACCTTCCTACCAACTCCTACGAATTTGAGAAGTTCTTCTCTTGCTTTCTCAGTCTCGAGGGAGCGAAGTCCTTCAAGCCAGACTTCCGAAGCTTCTCCATGGGTATCAGAAAGAAGGGAGCTGCCATGGGCGTCTACAAGCATTTTGGCAGTTCTCTGAATGTAGTCCGCCCGGTACCCAAACCCTAATGAACGGAGTGTCGCGCTCACGGTCGAGTCTGCAAGGGCGGAAGGCGGGGGGAAGGGATGGTAGGATAAATTCTCGGAAGGGTTACACGGATCTGGAAGCGACAGTAAAGGCGGTGAATAGTGTTGGCAGAGGTTATGCACCATCTTAGTTATTCGCGAGATATTGTTGTTCGAAGAGCATATGAAACTAGGAGAAAGTTACTAAGTTTCTTACAGCGAAAGGGCGGTAAAAGTGCGTACGAAACGAGGTTCTCCCAGGGGTCCTGCCGCAAGATTCTTATCCCTGAAAAGCGGTCTTTTACTTTGGCAAAGACCTTGTCGCGCGATGCCCATTCGGCATAGAGGCTTTCCAAGTCCACGTCGAGCTGGAAGTAGTCGCGAAGCCATGCAAGCGTTTCCGCTTCATGTATTGTTCTTTTCGACAACGGAGGCTGCGGATCGGGGAATGCTGAGCGATAGTAAAGTGTACTCGGTGACTGTCGAAGGCAGACGACGCGGTCTTTTAGGCACAGGCGGTATTCATGGCAAGGGATGCCACTTTCGTCGGAAGTTGACTCTGGCAACGGTATTATCGACCAACGAAACGATTGGCCACATTTCAACACGGCTGCGAGGGAAAGCTGGGTAACAGACAGGGGCAATTGCTGAAATCCTGTGAGTGCCATGGTCGTTGAGTGTGAGTCGCTGCCGCCGTTGTTCGTTCCTCATTAATATGAACGGAGGGCGGTCCGGTACCCGCTTGGTTGATAGGGGCTTTTGTAAATTTCGAAGGCGTAGGCGCCCAAAGTTGCTATCGTGACTTTTGCCCAAAAGAGACCGCAAAACAGGGAATAAGTACCCTACATACGCAAAGGAGCCGACGCCGGTAAAGTAGACAATCTGGAAGGCTGGAGACTGAGGCACTCGTTGCATTTGGATTCTGCGCCCCCTCGACCCTGCACTCACACCGCGCACACCGTTTGAATTCATCCGTTCAATGGAAGTACCCCGCCACATGAACCATGTCACCTCCATTTACGAGTCGCAACTTGCGAGCGAGCGTTGATAAAGGTAGATATATTACAAGGATAGAAAATTGGGCTACAAGCTGTGATGATGGGCGTTGTCCGGCTGTCGATCCTGTTCTGTATGGTGTGTACTCTAGTAAGCCAAAGTCTCAACCATGGCGTCGAGGATTCTAATGGCATCTGGTATATGGAACTTCTCATACTGGAGAGCGACGGGAAGACTATAATAAAAACGATGGTCAGTCAGTTGTGTTAAGCAAAGGTATGAAGCGACTTACTCCCAGCCGGTAACCCGCCGTACAGGTGCGTTGAGTTTCAAGAAGCACCTCTTCTGTACTTCAGCTGCGATCTCAGCTCCGGCTCCAGCAGTCATGCCTGCTTCATGGACAATCACCAGTCGACCAGTCCGCTTCACGCTCTCGACGACTGTCTCCATGTCCCAAGGAAGGATAGAACGAAGGTCAATCAATTCGATCTTTGCAGAGCGGAAAGAGGCGGGGACGTAGGGTTCAAGCTCTGGTGAAGGGCTGTTGAGCATGTGAAGAGCCGTTTCACAGTGGTAGACGGGAGTTCCCCATGTCAACAAAGTCAAGTCAGATCCTTGTACAAGAACTTCTGCCTTTCCAAGCGGGAGTTCGTAGTCGTCGACGGGCACCTGTTCCACTAAGGAACGCATCCAGTGAGCACATTTCTCCATGCCCAGTGCATGGACACGTACCTGCAGATCTGTACAGAATCTTGGGTTCCATGAAGATGACAGGATTGGGGTCGCGAATAGAGCCCAGAAGTAGGCCCTTGGCCTGCGAGGGAGAACGAGGGATCACAACCTAAAGAGCATGATGTCAGTTTTGGGGGGTGTGCATATTAAAGCGGCATACCTTGAGACCAGTTGCTCCCATGAAGAATCCCTCAGGTGACTGGGAGTGATAAAGACCACCGTGTCCCTAATGAACGCGTTTTGAGAATGCCCGTTAGCACGGCACGGAAAGGACTCACCACCGCCATAGTGGGGGTGCGAATGGTCAGCTTGCCGCAATTGAAAGTGCCTCCGGAACGGTACCGGATCTTGGCTGCTTCATTGACGATCTGGAAATGATGAGAACGCGGTTGGACAGACAGGTTTTGGATGGTTCCGGCGTACCTGGTCGAACGCGGGGTAGATATAGTCGGCGAACTGGATCTCTGCAATGGCGGTTTGTCCCATAGCGGCAAGACCGATGCCAAAACCTGCGATGCCTTGCTCCGTCAGAGGCGTGTTGAATACGCGTTCTCTGCCTGAATGGAAGTCTGAGAGAACGGAAGTGGTTTGTGCGACGTAACGACTGACCAAACTCCTCTGCCAGACCCTGCAGTCGCGCATTAACAGACGGAACCTTTTAACGACGACTATGACGCGACTAACCATTGTGCAACGAAAGACCCCACCGAAAGCCACGTCCTCGCCGAATACCACTGCAGTGCTATCCTTTGCGAGGGCAATGGCCATGGCGTCGCGGACTGCCTGGTAGGTATTCATCTTCCTGGTCTCTCGCCCGCCCATACTCGAGGTGTCCTCGTCGACCCATTTGAGGCCCGGAATGCGAAGGGCAGTTTCTCTAGTCGACTTTAGTAGTTTGGAAGTCGCTACTCCGGGCAAGTGACCCCCAGCTGGCGGGGGCTCGACGGCGGTGGAGTTTGCTCGACGCTGTTGTTGTGGACGGTGAGCAAGGCGTTGGAGGCTGTTTGTGGTTGGAGAGGATCTAAAAGAGGCGAGGAAAAGCCTGGACTTTGTCAGGGAGGTTGCTGGGGATGGAGGAGGCATTGAAGATAGTTGAACTGGCTAAGATCCGGTTGAGCCATGGGTGAATTGATTGTAATAGCATGGATTAGACAGAGACCACGCTTGTAGTTGCCATCAAATCATTCCTGGCAGCCGATCGTTCCGCCTCAATCCTCGACCAATATTCCATGGAGAATGAGTCCACTTTCGTAGCGCCAGAAGGTGTATATTCCGTCACCGACGAGCACAAGACACTTGCTTCACAGCTCAACGCAGTCAGCGCAGGCCCCTCTATACACCCCACCCGCGTCAGCAGCGTCGTCGTCAAATTCCCCCCATCCAAACCAGGAGGCGCCCAGACCTTTGCAAATCTCCTGGGAGGCGGAAACAAGGACGCGAAGAAGGACAAGGTCCCCAAGGAGAAGGAGGATGGTGTTAGCCAGTCGAGCAGTGACACAGACGAGCTTGAACCCCAGCCATCCACCTCCCAGGAACACTCGAACGGCACCGAGCAGCACACCATCTTCTCCAATCCATCCTCAACAACAGGGAAGAAGAAGAATGTTACACGGCCGAAACACAACATTCGAACAACATCCTCCACTTTTATCTCTCGGATACAAACCGCCGAGGGTATCTCCAAGACTCTCGGTTCGAAGCAGGGAGACGTTACTTTCCTGTTTTACAATCTCGCCAAAACCTTTAACTGGATAGAGGCAGGGTCAAAAGCAAAGGTACTCTCATACAGTTCTGAACTCATCGAGCTTTCAGTAATCAGTCGAGTCCAGGAACCGCTTTCTCGGATAACTTTCTCTCAGCATCCCACTTGTCATGATGTGAATGCAGCAACGGCGTCGTCGGAGCACCTGGACGTCATTATTGGCTTCGCAACCGGTGACCTGGTCTGGCTAGGTGAGCGCTATGTCTCTCGGTTCAATGCAGGCTAACCCCATGCTTTAGACCCAATCACCTCCCGTTACGGACGTCTCAACAAACAGGGATGCATATCTTCCTCACCATGTACATCAGTGCGATGGGTACCCGCCTCGGGCACACTCTTCCTAGTCTCGCATGCGGATGGCACAATCGTTCTTTACGACAAGGAGCGAGAGGACGGCGTATTCACTCCAAACGACCCATCTTCAATCCCACCTGAAATATCAGCTTCAGAAGATGGTGCCTCATACAAAGAATGGGATCCGCTCGACAATATCTTCGTGTCTATGCCTCCATGGCATCCTCAAACGCTCGGCGGAACCATCACTACGAATAGCAAAAACGAGAAGGATAAAGCAGCCAAGAATCCTGTGAGCCATTGGCGAGTCTCGCGGCGGTCTGTAGTGGGTGAGTCTATGGACGACCAAGTCCTCGTGCGACGGAACCTCACAATTGACATCAACAGATTTCGTGTTCTCTCCAGATGTTAAATATGTGGCTGCGATATCGGAGGACGGCTGTCTCAGGGTGATAGACGCTCTAGCCGAGCAATTGGTGGATTGCTACGCATCATATTTCGGAGCATTATCTTGTGTGGCATGGTCACCAGATGGCCGCTTTATCCTGGTAGGTATCCCCTAGATATGGTCTCAATATCGCTAACTTCCGTCACACAGACGGGAGGCCAGGATGATCTCTTGACAATCGTCTCTCCCTGGGAACAACGCGTCGTAGCCCGATGTCAAGGGCACTCGTCATTCGTCTCAGCTGTTGCATTTGATGATTTGCGAAGTGACGGGAGAACCTATCGCTTCGGGAGTGTTGGGGAAGATAATAAATTAATATTGGTGAGCAACCAGTCGAGTTGGTCATACAGGACATGTCTGAAATAATTTAGTGGGACTTTTCAACCGGTTCCCTGCACCGCCCAAAATTCCATGTACGCATTTCCCTTATCAAGTTATTATGACGCTGAGCTAACATGAAATCTAGGCAACGCATCACCAACGAATGTCCATGTCCTCAAGTCTCTCGCTATCCTTCCGGAGGGATCGATCGGTGCCCTATCTTCCCGGTTTAGGTTCAGCCGGACTCGATAACAATCCACTACCACGCTATCATCCAGCCCCTTCCAGAAACGAAGTCGCTGTAGTCCAACCTGTTTTGGTGAGTTACTGTCTCCCAACGATATATTGCTTCTGACATGGACTATTCCCAGGTAAAGCAACTCGAGGGAGACCTGCTCTCCGCTGTTCAGTTCCTTCCGAAATCCCTGCTTACCTGCACGAAAGTGGGGCACATAAAGCTATGGGTGCGACCATTGGCATTAAAACCTCGATCGAAGGGAGGCAAGGCACAACCTCTACCTGACCTTGCTGACATTGCATGAGTTGCTCGTTTCCTCGTTCCCTCCCGGATGGTATCGAGTGTTCTATCGCTGGCGATACTCCCCATGGACATTGTTATCCACTACTGTACTTCATGTATGTTTACACAGTTCAAAGTTGTACTATGAATATATCAGCCTCTATCAGCCTGCTACTCGGCCTCCATCCTCGGCAACTTGAATGATTACCGCATCAATCGCGCTCGCACCGGCCGGTGAATTGCAGTCGTCCATCGCTCTCTTCTTCCACCGCCATCCCAAATCCCATGAGTCCTGCCCGTCCTAACCTCCACCAACGATGTCAGGCGCAACACCAACACTGATTCCTCGCGTTCCCCATTTCCCTTCCCTGATACCAAGGCCACCGCAGCCACACCCGCGACCACTGGCTAAACGACGGGGGCCATATACAACGCTCAACCAAGTGCGAGATCTTCAGAGGGAAATGGAAGATCTGGATGAAGAGGAGAATGAATTAGAAGAACTCGTGCGTCGACATGCCCTTTGACCGTGTATCGTCACTGAAGCACTGGGTGAATATGGTGTTCTAGGCTGTGAGCGTACATAACAGAGGGTGGAACTGGTACATCCCCATAGGCCGAACGCTCACTCTGCAAGAGGAGAAGAACGATGTATGTGCTGACTATCTATCTTCGCTATCTTCATGCTAAGGACGAATACACCACAACCAGCAAGCCGAGGATGAAGAAGACGGCGAAGAATCCGACACTCAATCTGCCGGGGCATCAAACGACGAGGACGATGGTGAAGGAGACGCGGACGCAGATGGGGAAGGGGAGGCAGAGGGGGACCTATCCGTTGACGTGGATGGGGACATGGAGCCAGAGGAATCGGGAGTGGATTTGGATGCAAGTCTTGAAGACATGGACCACGACATGAATGAGGAAACCTACGAGGAAGTTGGGGACGAAACCGAGGATATCGAGGGTGATAATTCGGATTTTTTGATGTAAGTTTCTCTCAGACTCGTATGGAAAGTGGAAGGTCTGACATTGGTTTAGGAGTGGCTCGCCCGAGTTATGAAGAGGCGCCCGCGTGAGGACTTGATATTCTGGCAGTAAGTTCAAAAATATGGAAAAGAAGTCATGATTCATTGATACATTAGATTCCACGCATATATATCCACAAGATTCTACAGGGCAACGTCGTGGTCACTATCTCACTCAGGTCACATCAAACATCGCCGGAATCATCGTCGAACAAGAATGTCCACAGCGCGTTAGGATTCTTGTATTCGTGGTGGACAATGCTCACAAGCCATCGTTCGTTTGCTACCTTCTGTAGCAACTGCCTCTCTGCAGAGTCTGGATGGTACAAGGACGCCCAGCTGTTCCAAATGTCGTATGCCTCGTCCTACAGCCTATCAGTCAAGCTGTGTTTTCGGCGAGCCTTTCTACGTACCTTCCAAGTTAAAAATGATTCCTTCTCGATGATAGTTGTCTGCTGGATCTCCTGGCCAGGGAACACACCCCATGTGACCGCGTTCCGTCCGTCTTCTGGGACGTTGCTCCTACACTCTCCCTAGTTATACCTGTCAGCAACTAACGTCAGAAGGACAAAATACCCAACCCACGTTGTTGTTTGCCATGAAATAATGCACCCAACCAGCACCTCTCTGTTTGATACGCTGTTCGATGGCTTCCACGTCATGAAAATCGCAGAAGAACTCGACAAAACCTTTCTGGAAGACATAACCAGCTCTAGGGCCCCAGCCAAAGGTTTCATCGCTGGAGCTAATGCCGTCAACAGCGGGTTGAGACCCGACAGTCCACCATCCTCGTTTAGTCAAACGCTCAAGGTGTGGAAGGATGGTTATGGATTCAGGACACAGCTCGGTCGGGGAGAACGGAGTGATTGGGATCTCTGAGTGTAGATGGGCAAGGAAGATGCGGGTGAGGTCGTCGAAAGTCTTGGGATAGCCCCATTGTTGGAGGGCTTCAGCTCTCTACGGGCGACGTCAGGAAAGGCAAACGAGATGGTATAGCACGGTCAAAGACGTACGGAGATACCCAAGCCTCCCGGTCCACCCCAAGGATCCTGGTTGCCGAAAGCGGGACTCTTGAAATCGCCGAAACGGCCGTTTGGGAAGTCATCCCAAGTTGCTGCGTCGTTGAGTTCACCACGGCCAGCTTCAGGCAAGGTTCGAGACACAGTTCCCAGAACTGATGTGGTTAGGACGGATGTAGCCACATTGGTAGCGGACGTCGGGGTGATCAAGAGGTTGGAGTCCAAGGTGTTCTGGCTCAGAGCATCTGGAGAATCCTTGATAATTCAACATCACAATTGGGGGAAATTTGGAAAAACTACTCTTACTGCGATAAGCTTATTTTGGACGGCTGGGACAACTCCCGTTCTCCACTTCAGTTCTTCAAGGACACGTTGGACACTCTTTTCGAGGTTGAGAGTGCAGAAGTGGAAGCCCTGGATCCCGCCCTCATTTCGAAGTCGATGTATTGTTTTCACAGCATACTTCACACCGTAATCCTTCACCAACTGGTCATCGTTCTATAAAAGGGTTAGCGTCGTTTTGGAAAGGGGTAGAGGCCTGGTGTACTTTGATTGGCAAAAGATCAGCTTCCAAGGTCGATGGAACCTTGGTACCGCAGAGTTTTGTCAATCGAGCAAATGTCGCATATGTCTGGATAGGCATTATGCCGGGTATGATTGGGACCGTGATGCCTACAGAAAGTATGAGAGGGATGTGACGCACTAGGTCGAGATTGCTCACCCTTGGCTCTGACCTTCTTTAGCCATTGGAGGAAACGGTCGACATCGTAGAATAGTTGCGTGACAATGAAATCGGCCCCCGCATCCACTTTTGCCTTCAAATGCTCTAGCTCTTCGTCTTCGCTGCAAGTGCTTTCGGTATGTCCATCTGGGTATGCTAAAGGAGGGTTAGGTAGGTTCGGGCGCTTACCGACGAATGGGACCCACCAGCAACACCGATGCAGAAATGAGAAGAGTATTCCTGGGATCCTCGAATATACTTGACAAGGTCGATTGCATGGGTAAATCGTGGATCAGAGGGTATCCATTCTTCTTCGCCTCTAGGAGGATCTGAAGAAACGAGTGAGGAAGAGATCGGCGTCACGGTCGGGGGGCTAAGCACTGACCTCCACGGAGTGCCAATATGGTTTCAATACCGCGGTCCTTCACATCCTGGTCGCAGGTTCAATACAGATTGCATTGCGCAATTGATGGACAGTCACCTTCAAGACATCGTCAATCAGGCCTTGTTCCATGTTGGTGCAGGTTAGATGCAATATGGTGTCGAGACGATGCTGGGACTGGGTGATGCTGGCCAAATCTAGGCTTCGCTCCTTGGTCGAGCCTCCCGCTCCCCATGTTATGCTGATCGCCAGAGGATCCAAAGTAGAAAGTCTTGAGATACGAGCAATCAAGTTCTCCGTTCCCTATGCTGCCATGAGTTGCATCCTCGGACTGTATACTGATTCTCCGTACTTGATCTGTTCTTGGGGGGAAAAACTCGAAAGTGTAGAACGGTTTTGAAGGGTCATGTTCTGCAATTTTCTGTGACAACTTCATTGCTATCGTTGAGGATGTGAGGCCAAGGTCCGAAGAGAAAGACGCTAATTAATATTCGATAATTTCTTTCGATTTGGCCCTGGAGCCCACATGATCAGCCGCCGGTATTACATAATCCATGAAGACCGGGTTATGCGCGCGGTGTCGACGACGAGTCGGAAACCGTGTTGCTTGTGTCTCGAAATCCAATACTCTCTGTCTCTTGTCTTCCTAAAGTATACCCAGTCCAACATGGCAGACTCTTCAGCAGCTTCTCCGTCTACAGATTTCTCGTCAGCGCCCCCTAAACGGACCAAGATCGTGTTGCTGGGAGATCAGAGTGTTGGAAAGACGAGTTTGATTACAAGGTATAGTCCTGGCGTCGTCGTGTACCGGGTTCACTGAGAAAGGCGCCTTATAAGATTCATGTACGATACATTTGATAACACATACCAGGCAACAATAGGCATCGATTTCTTGAGCAAAACCATGTATCTCGAGGACCGGACAGTGCGCCTTCAGCTCTGGGACACCGCTGGCCAGGTCAGTGCTCCTACGGTTCAAGCTGACTTTCGGCTTGCTCACAGACATAACGCAGGAAAGGTTTAGGTCTCTCATCCCCTCGTACATTCGAGATTCCTCCGTCGCCATCGTCGTCTTCGACATCACTAGTGCGTCTCCACGTTCCCAGCAATCGGCAATACACGTATAACGGGGATGGATATACTTTACACAGACCGCCAGTCATTCTTGTCAACGACCAAGTGGATAGACGACGTACGGTCGGAACGAGGGAACGACGTTATCATCGTCCTCGTCGGCAACAAAGCTGACCTTTCGGACAAGAGGTGGGCCACATTACTCGTACCCGCTACAAGGCGAGCTAATGTAAGGCCAGACAAGTAACGGTGGAAGAAGCCACGACTAAAGCTACGCAACTGAACATCATGTTCATGGAGACATCAGCAAAGGCAGGCCATAACGTGAAAAGCTTGTTTAAGAAGATTGCCATGTCCTTGCCTGGGATGGAGAAGGATGCAACTGCGGAGGCCAACACAAGTATGATACCTTGTTCTATAATATAACGCTGATGCTGACGGTACCCCAGAAATCGACGTCTCAACACCAACGGCTGCAGAAGTACCAGAGGCATCACAGTGCAATTGCTGATCGCTCGATACCATTGGTTTGTATAGTATATTGGACGGGATTGCTGAGCAGTTTGATCCGCCGTTTCTTATTGATTTCTTCTGATTATTATACATTGTGCATCTTTGTGCAATCTACCCTCTGTTCATCGTGTTACCAGCACCCCGCGGGTTGGCATCCGTAAAACGCGCCCATTTCTCATCCTTCTGTCGCTTTTCCTCCGCTTTCAGCTCTCCTTCAGCAGTTCCATCCATCTCAGCTGCAAGCGCAAGTTCCTCTTTGGATGTTGGTTTGTTCTCCGACGCAGGGCTGGAGAGGAAGGGGTGTCAGTAGTGGAGATGGAGCATGGAGGTAAAATGGCATACCCTCCACCGGTGATAATATTCCCCCGCTCCTGTTCAATCTTCAAGTATTCGTCAACGGTCATCGTAGGGAGATTGTGATCAGGTCCAAACACAGTCGCTTGAAGCCTCGCACGTTCTCCAGCGTCCGATGGGAGGATGGTAAATGGTCGGAGAACCTATTGAAATAGATATGAAAGCGAGTGATGTTGATTTTCAGTTTATACTTACCTTGCCGCTAGAGTCGAGGAGGGGACCTTTGCCATCAGGTCCTCCCGTGGGGCGAGGGGCATCTAATCTCCACAGTGCGGCCTCTTCCTGTCGCATTTTAATCCTGTCATCCTGGCTCATTGCCTCAGCAGTGAGAATTGGTGATGGGGGTGCCATCTTGAGCATTTCTATCTCCCTCTCTAGCATCTCTGTCTGTGTTTGAGCCTGGGCGTACAGGAGCCGCAGAACGATGAGGGTGGTCTCTCGCAAGATTTCATCCGTTTCAGGGTCCAATTCCTTCTCTTCTTTTGGCTGGGCTGCTGTCGGAAGGAGGGATGCAATCAAGTCAAAGTCGGACTGGAAGCTATCGGTTTCTGGAGCTTTTTGGGATTGCCGTTTCCTCAGCGCCTGTCGCACGATAAGCCTCTGAAAGTCACTGTCGACGTGCAGACATACCTCTATCCTCCCTTTGAGTTCTTTCTCTTTCTTGAACTGGTTGATCTTGAGCTCTCTGAGTCTGGCGGGATCTCTGACTTCGTTAGCTTTCTTCGAGTAGAGTTCACGCTCGGTTTCAGGGACTATTTCGTATGTCTCCAGTAGTGATATGAAGCTCTTCATGTATTGCTGTATACTAGTAGAATCAGCCTCCTTCTCGGAATAAAGGAAGGAATACGACGCACGAGAGCTTGAGCAATTGATTCCAGTCGTTCACCCCGACCGTCCTTCCTCAGCCTACTTTGCGCCTCTGCAAGAGTCCATGGTAGAGAGACATAAACCAAATCCCGTGTTGCAATGTCTTCTACTGTCTCATTAGGACTGAATATCGCTAGGTTGACGATTTCTGAGTGAATCCGTTTTAGATCGCTGTAGCTTTTTGAGATCAAATCCTATAGGGGGTTATGTTGAGAGATGCAATGTCATTTACGAAGCAGCTGAACGTACAGGGCCAGCATCCGTTCCTGGGGGTAGGTTAATAGCCTTGGACAAGTTCCCAAGAGCCGAGGAATACAGTGTTGCGAGCGGTAGTGTTTGTGACATGGGAGGCAGATGGAAAGCTTGTCTTCCGAGTGATCATGACGCACTCAGCGGTGCTTTCCCGGATCGGCCTCCGTAACTCCATTTACATACTTCCGGCCGTGAATGAACGGCGCTGTCCGGAGGCAAAGAGTCAATGGCCCCAAGACGATGGTTCTTGAGCAAAGGTTGACTACAACACCCCGCTGTCAGCGTCCAATGATGTCTTCTAACATTTCAGACTTGTGGGCCATTTCTGCGCGTCTTATGAACGAGCCGAATCACAAGGAGCCAAGGTAATGCCGTGCCTCGTTGGCATCACTGGGCCAGCAGCCTGTTGCATAAAGAGTGGGTAACGGCCAGAATACACCGCTTACCACCAGCGCTCTTCCGCACTACGTTCGACTTTGCCTTCCCTGCTTCATGTTACTGGCACTGTAATCTTCGAGCTTACCTCTCCACACACTCTTTTACTTCTCTCTCTACTTTCACATTTACTCAACCGACCCTCAATGCTGGATCAAACGTGGCTCGTCGCTATCTTTCAAGTCTTGACATTGACGCAAACTGTCGTTGGATATCGCTGGCCTTCACCTCAATATGACGCCCTCGAAGGCCTTCTGTACGAAGGAAGAAGGAGAGACGGATCTAACCTTGCTTCTATCCAGCATCCTTGCAAGAATAGACCTGGATCACGGGCTTCTATAGGAGCGGAATGGCTTCGTTTGGTCCGTTTGACGCTTCGTTCTGTTGAGATCATGTCACTGACTCGTGCTTCGTTAGGCCTACCACGACGTTGCAACGCATAACATTGAAACAGGGACCGGTGGATTGGATGCTTCAATAGCCTTCGAGCTGGACAGAGCCGAGGTTCGTTAACTGGTTTATCGCCCTCCAAGTTTGAACTGAGCCAGTACTAGAACTTTGGCAATGGGATGCACGAATCAATTGAAGATTTTGAAACCTTTCCCAGCAAATACATTTCCAGTGCGTTTTGTTCATTTCCTAGTTTCGAATGGCCCTCTAACGTTGCTATGCCAGGAGCGGACGTGATAGCAATCGGAACCATCCTCGGAGTCGCCTCTTGTGGAGGTCCAATCATTCCCTTTAGAGGAGGACGTATCGACGCTCTCTCTGCCGACGTGGCTGGGGTGCCAGAACCACACCAAGACCTCGAGACACATACAGAGATCTTCCGCCGCCAAGGATTTAGTCAAGAAGAAATGATCGGCCTGGTCGCTTGTGGACACACCATGGGTGGTGTGCGAAGCTCGGATTTCCCTGATATAGTTCCTCCCCAAGATGACTCCGAACGTTTTGCGGATTTCGATGACACCCATGAATTCGACAACGATGTGTGAGTTCATGCCAACAGGTCTTTAGTAGCCTTCAACTAAACAAAGAACAGAGTCGTGAAGTATATCGACGGGACAACCCAGAATCCTCTCGTAGTGCATGCGAATATGACCCTCAACTCTGACTTGCGGATATTTGAAAGCGACGGCAATGCTACGATGCGGAGGTACGCAGCCATCCTTTCATACCTCTTCGTCACTGACAATGCCTCTAGGCTCGCTTCCCCTGAAGACTTTTCCTCAACCTGCGGTACATTGTTGGAAAAAATGCTCAATGTCGTCCCTTCGAATGTTGTCCTTACGGAGGAAATTACCATGTTGCCTGTCAAGGTCACCGACGCGCACTTGACCATTGAGAATGAGCAACTCGTTTTCAAGGCATCCCTGCGAGTGAGTGCTGCCACATGTGAATCATGATGAATGACCAAAAGTTGTTGACCCTGTGAAGATTGCCCAACCCATATCAGCGCCCAACAAGAACAGGCTGGTTAAGATCTTTTGGTGTGATCGTTATGGTGCCAACAAGGACTGCGAAAATAGAACTGGGAAGACTGCAGGGGTCGCATCAAGTCCCAGGATCGACGACCCCCAAGTCTCGCCCCTCACATTTAGGGCTGGATTCCAGTTTGTCCACTACGACTTTATCGTCCCCATCGATACCGAGGAGTCGCTCTCAAAGTTCTGGTTCGAGGTGGATGAAAAGGACGGAACCAAGCCGAAGCGACACGACAACGACGGCGAAGGTTATGTTTTGCAGCAGGACAACGTGATTTACGTACCTCGACTCAGCTCCATCTCTTTCAACCGGGAGGACCGCACCCAAAAGACTTATTATATCACCGCCGGTGTACGTACTTCCAATACATTGACCCTAGCTGTCTCTGACTCCATTCTTTTAGGTCAAGAGTGGTGCATCTCCTTCGCGGGTCTATATGTCTGCTTTCGATAGTGCAACAGATGCATTTAGCACAATTATAGATGAAGACGTCGACATGGCGCTCAACGAGACACTTCCGTCCGCTGCTGGATATACTTTCTATTCAGCAAGCATAGAATCTCCAGGAACCCAGCTTACTGTCGATCTACATGCAGTGATCGACGGTGAAACGTATACTGAAGACTACATGCAGACCTTCTTTGTTGCAGGAAGGACTCCGTCCACGAAACCAACCAACGTCACCATCGTCGACATCGTACCCCCCACTAAAGATTTGGACAGTTCTGCAACTGCCAACATTCTATCCCTGGACATTATTATTGGACTGTTAGCTCTTTCGGCGTTTATCTTCTAGTATTTACGTACATGGACTATATGGACACTAGTAGTATAGTAGTCAATATCATTCAGTTTCTTACAATTCCGGTGCAATCAGGGAGCGGCATGGACTAGATGAAATGACTGTCACGTGACATGTCAATTCCCATCAGACGCGTCGCGGCCCCATTAAACGCGGCGCAGCCTTTGCTTCAAACCGTCACCGCTGCGTCTCGACGACGATAACATTGGTATAAGTAAGGGCTATCTCCCCTATGAAACGCAACGCTCCCGAAACGGTGGACTCAAGGTCCTCAAAGCGGCTCAAGGCAGGCTCCAGTAAAGAGGACGACGACGCCAACTTCCAACCCCTGCTCGCGCGATGTCCCAGGGATCTGGTGACATTAGCCGCCCAAGGCAAAAAGTTACCAAAGCCTCCAGGTCATCTTCGAGGCACCATAGTTCGAAAGCTGAACACGACCGTGCCAAAGGATAGACTCTTCCTCATAAAGGTCCCTGTCTTGACCACCAAGACGAGACAGCAGCTGCAATTCGAAGTGTTGTTCCGAAGCCGTGTGCAAGGCGATCTTGACTCGCTCAATTCTCTCAAGGCGGGGGACGAGGTTCTCCTCTCGCTCAAGGGCGCGTCGGCGCCAGCGGCTGCACAGGCACACTCAGAGCCCTTCCGACTCACTTATCACACCGGATTCCATCTCAAATGGAAGGGCCGAGAATTTAACACATGGAATGGTACGGGTACGTGGCTCCGCCCTTGCTCAATGCACCGACTGAAGTGCTACCTCAGTGAAGCAATCCTCGTCCAGCCCAGTTAAGGAACCAGAGGAGCACTCCCCGCAGTTGACGAAGAGGCAACAACGACTGTTGCGACGGCAGCAAAAGGAAGATAACGACCCCTCGGAAGGGCCGTGCGCAACAAAGGATGGACCCGGCCGACAGGAAACCCCAGTAAAGGAGGAAATGCACAGTCAACCTATCCCGCCACCTCGATCTCCAGGACCCCCAGCGCCGAGCGAGGCGCAGCAGCGTCCTGTTGACCATCTTGAAAGTAACACCGAGACCATGGCACTTTTGAAGTCATTGGTAAGCTTCTCGAACGCCGGTTTTTATAAAACCCAACTAAACCATTAAAGGGCTATACTACTCTGAAAAAAGCCGTTGCTAAATCGGCTGTGAGCTATGGTGACCTGATAGGTGTGGTCGTCGGATGCAGAGAACTTCGTCAGTCATCGCGTGGAGATGGAGGTAAGTGACGGTCTGCATATCCCTCTTTATGTCCTGAAGGCTCTCCAGACTGGAATAGGCAGATACGGATAGTTGATCCGTCAATGGTGGACGAGGACGACATCTTGTCTATCAAAGGCTTCGGGGTGATCTTGTTCGCAAACCAGAAAGAATTCCTTCCCGACCCCATCGTCGGCGACGTGCTTGTCCTTCATCATATCAGAGTGGGTTACTTCTCTCGCCTCCTTGGCATGACTTACTCATCGGTGCTGTTGCAGCTATCGAACAACCATTTGCCAGCCGTTGGCAACAGGAGCGGTGGCTTCCGCTGGGCTCTTTACTCTGGAAACGGTTTTCACCATGGAGTAAACAGTGTGACTGTGCTTACAGAAGGTGCTTCCACGCCCATGTTCCACCCCCCACAGAGTCACGTCGCCGCCGCCGCTGCACTGAAAGAGTGGTGGGCTGGAGTCGAATCCAAGCAGAACGATGAACTAGATAAATCGAGGGTTTCCGATCCAAGCATCTCAGTGCAACTCGGAAGGCCAATGCGGCAGCATCGATTGATCAGCGAAGTAACTCCAGAAACAGAGCCAGACGGCTACTTTGACTGCACAGTCGAGGTAGGTGCTGGCTCTTCCGGGTGGTGGGCATGGTGATACATGTGGCGAAACAGGTCCTTCATCACTTCAAGAATGATAACGGTATCCTGACGCTTCACGTCACCGACTATACTCGAAATCCACGAACACACGCCTCACAGGCGGACTGGTGCCCCAACGGGCTATCGGAATACGTTTTGAAAATCGAAGTTTGGGATGACGAGGGCACTGCCACATGGGCGGAAAAGGCCCGCTTAGAGGGAAAGCTCTCTTACTGCAAACTCTCCAACGTGAAAATGAGGCTCAGTGCAGGCAACTACTTTGAAGGAAAGCTGAGAGAGCGCAAGATCATTGCATTCGATGAAGATTCTCACGACAGCCGTCTCAAGGCGCTACTCAGGTAACATATACCTTTCTCCTCCCTCACCACAATCTGACCACACATCGTCTACAGTCGAAAGGCAGAATTCAACAAGGTCCATCGTGAGGCGGAAACCGAGTACGAGGATCGATTGCTCAGCGATGCTATTCCAGAACAGTTCTTTAACTGCGTTGTGGAGGTTCGATGGTTTGCCTGTTACCCGATTCTTTCTGACATCCCTGCAGGTTCTCCATGTAGAGATTCCTGACACCAGTAAGACAGTGTTTGTCTACGTGACAGATTATACTCGGCGCCTGGACCTAGACCTGTCCAACGACGAATGGGCCAAAAACCTCAAGGGCATGGTTGTGATGGTCAAACTTCAAGACCAACAAGCAGATAGAGCACGGTTGAAGATTGTAAAGCCAGGGGCCTATTATCAATTTCGGAAGCTCCGTTTAAGAGCTCGACGGCTTCATGGGACTTTGGGAGGCTCCCAAGCTCTGATACAACAGTTGGGGAACAATAGTCCTTTGGTGGAAGACCTACTGAGGCAAGTGCGACGACAGGATCCTTCCCAGTGCCAGCTAATGGATAACCCAGACGAAAGAGAGAAATTCAGGGAAAATCAAGTTGGCTTCCCAATAGTCGACTCGGGGAAATCCGTTCCAGCACAGCAAAGTTGCCTCGAAAACATCGCGTCTATGCCAAAATACTAGGCTACCAACCAAAGAAGTTGGAGAATGCCATTTATCAGTGGTGCTCACATTGTAAAAAGGAGTAAGTGCGCTTTTTTTTTTTTTTTTTTTTTTACATCGTTAACATGGTTAGTGTGGACTGGCTGCGCATGAGATGCTTCGACTGCGAGGCTAAGCCTGACTTCGTTTCTCGGTTAACATTGCTTATCGAAGACGAGGCGGGGGATAAGGCGTATGTGAACGTCCCTCTGGAGGTGAGAAGGACAGTTCGAACCTTCCAATTAATCTAACTAGGTCAAATAGGCGGAGCTGTTTGGTGGCATCGACCGTCACAGTTTGATAGGCGGGGGTATCAATTTGGAATTCGAGCGGCGGGTAAATATCTTGACCACTCCCCAGGACGACCTATTTCATGCCCTGGTCTTAGTCGCCTGGAAGGACGACAACGAGGCCCTGATGCTTGCCCTAGAGAATGTCAAATGTTGACTCAGCATGTCGTGCATACCTGGTGAATCTCTTCACCCTCTCAGCTTCGTCTCTGTATTTCTACATTGACATGAAAACAAGGCTGAAGCACAAATCGTTGTGATTGAAGTAAAATGAAGAGCGGAAGTGGATGTCTAGCCTTTAGGTATGGTATGTGAGTAGTAGAGGAAGTATCCGGTACTGTACTAAGCACGTTGATACCAGTGCCCAGCTGATCCACTTTCCTCATACTTAGGGTCCGATTTTGCCTTGGCGGGCTTCCTCTAGCCTAAGCAAGAGATAAGTATAGGGACCCGACGCACCCCATCTTTCTTGAAACCTGTATACAGACTACAGATTTTCCTGCCCGTACCAATCCGTCGTCGGGAAAAGCGACGCCAGGTAACGGACCCCTCCTGAAGGGCCATAAGCGTCGTAACGACCCACACAGCCCTCCACCGTCGAGGGACACGATGACGGACGGGCGTCTATTTCATATTCGGCCAGCACCCCTCTTGAGTCCAGGAACCAAATTTCCGACAATTCATCCGTTTTTCCTAATGCTCTATAGTAAGCCCCCTACCGCACCAGTCATCGGCGCCCTTCCACGTCTGCCCAACGAGCAAAAGCCTTCCTCCAAACCTGATTTTTCTATCAAAGCCCTCCATGTTTTATTGAACCCGAAACACTCAGTACTAGGCTCCCATAATCAAAGCTAAGACTACTTGTACGGGATGCCTGTAAACCACCAATCAGCACCCGTATATAAAGTGAGCAAACGAAGATCGTCATACCATTTTGTAACCGTTGAAACTCATCATAGGCCGTGCTTCGAACATTCTCATGCGCATTCCGAATTACCCCCATCATGTAGTCAGCGGCTTGTCGTTCACTCAGTGAGAGGGTAAAACGATCACGGAGTCTGCGAATCGTTGGCTCTCCTTTGAATGAAGGCAGGCCCGTGTCAAGCATGAGTTGGACTGTGTCGACAATCTGAGCCGCATACGGTCTAATCGCCAAGAAAGCCTTAACAGTCAAGCTCTGGAAGAGTTGATACCCTTGGGAATAGCGACCACCCATCAACTGTACCATTTCATGGTTCAGTTTGAATGAGTTTGGCTCGAACTTGACACCCTGCAATACTTCAATTCAGAATCCTGTTTGAAAAAGAAGATGACTCACTCCGGGTCGTAAGATCAGCGCAACCAGGGTAAGATAAGCGCACGCAGCTTTTATGCAAAGTAATACTCATCTATGTCAAATAGAAAACCGAAATCTAGTGTGCGGTGATGAGACATGGCCGAACGCTGACCCAGGAATTAGCTTACCGATGTGCACGATGTGCCCTTCCCCGTCGATCATGATGTTGCCGTTGTGTCGATCCTTTATCTGAAGGATGTAGCACGCAACAGAATACGCAGCCATGGATTGAATAAAGTTGAGTCTGGCTTTCTGGAAAGACACCGTATTCTCCCCGCCATATTTGGCGACAAAGAATCCCATGAGGTCGTTGACTTTGGCCCTCCCCATCTCATCACGGGAAGTTGCATTTGGGACAACGTCAATGACGCCGCACTGGAACAGTGTTAGCGGTGGCGGGCTAGAAAACAATTTCATACTCACGCCAGGCGCTGTAGCGGTCACGCGATAAGGGAACAGATACAGTGTGAGGCCAATGGATTCAAAGATGTTCTTGAACATTGCGATGACTTGGAGAGCCAACACGTCTTGACGACAATCATCGCCAACCTTGAAGATAGCCTGTTGCCAGACATCGTACTCTTCCATGGTTTCAATTCCTCCGTCCCCGTCCAACAGTGAATCGGGGTCAGAATTAACCACCACCCGCTCTTTGCGCACCTTGAAAGTGGCCATGAAGGGTGCCTATAACTGCATCAGCGACTGACTACAGCTCTTGCAAATCACTTGCCTTAGCGTGGCTTTGCAAGGGTCGCCCCGACTTCTTATCAATGTCCACAACAACACCGTCAGGATTACTGGGAAGGTAGACGCCCACGTCGACGACGATCTTCGCCATCTCTTCGTCGATTTTAGCCTTCTTTTCCGGTTTGGTCTTCTTGATAAATGGTTTGAGTTTCCCAGAGATCGAAGTGACTTCATTGAAGAAAGTAAATTCACGGTCGTAGAAAGAGCGAGCTTCCCCAGATAGAGAATCGACAACCAGCGCGGTCATTTCGTCGAGTTTCGGTTTCATTGGGTCCTCCTAAGTGACTTCGTTAGACTCGGTCCCGATGATAGAAGCGCATTCCGCACGATTTCTGCTGCGTCGTCCTTGTAACAATTTGCCTTCATATTCCAGATGATTTGATGACAGAACAATTGGGAAATCTTGGCTGTCTCAAAGATGAAGCGAGCGACGTAACCTAACCGTACTGTGAGTCCGATACAGGTGGCTGATGCAACGAGACACACCCAGGTCGTCATATCGCAGTGCTTGTACCACTTGCGGGATGAAGAAAAAGGTCAACTCCACAGGATGTTGGGCCATTACGCGGTTAGCATATTGCAGGAGCATCGGATCGTTGTTGTATCGCCGCTCAAAGAATGTATTCGCTATGATTGGCGGGACTGGGGCCCAGAGCAGAAGGTGCTAGTTGAATATTAGAACTTATTTTATCCGCCAAAAGACATTGAGACTCACGCGAAGATCCTTTCGAACAGCGGGATCAAGTCTATCACCAAGAAGGACGAGAAGCGCCTCGGGCACATCCAAAACGGAAGTTGTACCCGTACGCACAAGTCTACCAACTTCGTGGCGGACACCAGCGTATTGGAAACGCTCCTGGAAGAAGATAGCAACAGCGGGGTCGACTTGCCAGATGGTTCTTATAACCTTTGCCCATGATGCCTTTAAAGATGTTCACTTCGTGATCTTGGATTGTGTCACAGAGGATCGCACCTCCAAGATTGTACGTTCAGTGGTTCCAATGAAATCCATCCCTTTCTTAGGGTCGCTGAGTGGGTTGTTCCATACTGACAAGCGAGCCAGTTCGTCTTCGCAAAGGAGCTTCAGGGGAAGACTGAGGGTATGCATTCGGTCCGTGTAATCTGCGACAAATCAGCACGAGTACTTCGAAGACACCTGTACTTACAGGCTGCACGGGACATGAGTTGAACAGGGGACAAGCTTGAAATAGCAGGCGCCCCGCGGACAGAATCCGAATGAAGATAAGCCAAAAACTCAGAGCAAACTTTGACATCAGCGTCCACTTGAACTCGGTTTGCACCGAAAGAGACCCTGCAATGGAGTCTGAGCAAAGAACGAGATCAGAACTGTCGGGACACACCGAGGGCGAACAGCAAACCATGAATATGCCGTTTTGTAAAGACTCTCACGGAGAAGGTTCTCGCAGTAGGAGTCCAGGTAACAACCCCTCAGAGTCTCAAAGCCGAATAATAGGAGCGAAAATCGAATCTCTCGCGCCAAAGCATGAGTACTTGGCAACTGTTAGTCACTGCGAATGCTAGGAAGCGGAGCATGTACCTTAGCGACTTGCATGCATACGCTGTTCGAAGAACCAGTTGCTGAGTGAGAAGCAGAATGGCAGGACGGTGGTATCTTGACGCTTGGAGACGACTGAAAAGCATTTGCAAGACAAGCCTATGGGGGGACAAGACACGGTGAGCGTGGCTCGAAGCACGGTCGATCGTTTCCTTGTTCGTTGGACTATAGCTGATGGGGTGATAGAAAGGATCGTGGTAGCTTGACTAGGTTAGCACTAGGCCAACTCTCAACAAAGGATGATGGATCTTACTCGAGCATTGCTCCAAAGATCCCTCTCTGGTGCACGATCGTGTCTGTCCAGGCGGCCACGAGCTCACCCATGAGGGCCACCTCTATGTGGGGATTTTCAGCAATCAGCCAAGTCCAGACTTCCACTGCAGCAGCGATTGAAGCTGGTGTTGAAACGGTGAATGGCAGCAACACAAGATGATGCAAGAGTTCACGGTCATATGTAGCCTTAAAATGAGTGTCAGTGGGATCATGAGTTAAGTGGGCTTGAAGAGCCGGACCTCCTTCTCCGATATTAAAACAGCAGCACCCCGGTACAACAATCTGCGAAGGTCGTGGACAGTCAACACGCTTTTCTTGCCTTTAATTTCCCGAGTTGCCCTGCTCATATCCCGTCTCAGGGACTCGACAACTGAAGCTGAAGCTGTTTGGGGAGGTGGATTTGCCAGTTTGTCCGGCGCTGTTTCCCAATTTAGCAGGGTTGGCAACGAGACATTCAAAACTTACAGGTTGATATTCTGACGCCGGCGGCTTCGCCTGCGTAATACCCTTTGACAGCTATTTGGCTTGCGAGGGTTTTCGAACCATCCAGGGGCCATGGAGAGAGACTGGTCAGGGACACTTCGATATAATCAGCAAGGGAGTGGACCGTGACAGAGGGCGTATACCTAGTTGTCGGTGAACAGGGCCGATAGCTTTTGCAAACTGTTCTGCGAGGGAGGCACCAAGTTCCGCCGCTTCAATGCTTGGGGAGGGTCGATTGACGGCAAGGTATTTCTATGGTATAGTCTGGTCAGAAAAGAAGACCGAAAACAAGCGAGACCCGTACCTGAAGCGTCGAGTGCAATTCCATGGGGGCCCTGTCGAGGGCTAATTTCAGCCACGTGCTTGCTAATTGCTTTAGCTGGCCCAGGATCTCATTTCGAACTTGATAGATGTCCGTCAGTTGTAGCGTGATATTACACCGGTCCGAATGATACTCGTAAACAGGGTTATACTGGAGAAGGGTCAGCCTTCGCCTGTATAATCTGTATGAGAACGTACCTCGTCCCAGAATTCATTCTCGCACGCTTTTTGGAGTAAGGTCATCACTTCCAGGATCGCGAAAACGAGTCGAGGGTCACACATCAGGGAAGGGAAAGACGTGATCAATCTGTTCAGATATTTGGAGGCTATCTCCCTCGCTTGTTGGATGCGGTGAGTACTAGCAACTAAAAGCTTTTGCAGTTCCTCGGACAAATATTCGGGCATGGATTGCTGAGCAGCCTTGACGTTGAGGTCGCCGATGCATCCTCTGATCACCTTTAAAAGGATCAGTATATCGAGTAGTCATGGTCCAGGGCGAGTACTGACATTTTCTGCGATTGCATCCATACACGCACTGAGCCCTTGGTGTTTGTTCAGACTGTCGTTGATGAAGTACGAGATCAAGGAAGAGGGGCGGCCAGCGGCAGATCGCATACTTTCGATGTCGTACATCGACAAGATGAAGATAGCTTGGCCAGCCGAAAGGTATCGGATCTCGCTGTATCGCAGCGGGATGTACTTGGTCAAAAGAGCGCGGTGCTTGGAGATAACCTGGATGGGGTTTAATAGAGGTTATTGAGTCGGGATAGGAATTCACTGACCGTTTGAGCAAACTCTTGCCTAATCACCGAGTTGTACTCCACGTCGCTGGCAATGGCATCAAGCGACTCTTCGACGACCATGGACGGCGTTTTCAGCGCAATCCTTGCCAATGCGGGTCTTAGCCAGTCAAGGGCAGTGCTTTCTTGGTTATCCATGTGCGTGAAGTCAAATAGGACGCAGAGGAACCAGGTATTGCGGAAGAGCGTCACGATTTCTTTCGATGCATCTTCGTGCGGATTGAAGTCTGCGTGGGTAAGCAAAGCGTCGACTGGGAGCAAAAGGGAAGCGAGTTGCTCGACCATATCATCGATCTAGAGATGGCGTTGGAGAATGAAGTCCGGGACAAAAAGTATCTCATACCTTGAGCTCCATATTTTGAGCTTTGGAGTGTTGAATAGCTACGCCTTTGTCGCCGAACAGGGTCAGGAGCTCGATGAGATAGGTTTCGTACAATTCTGGCCGACGATGGAGTTCTTGAGCGAGGCGGGTCTGAGCTGCTAGAACCTTTGGCCGAGTTGGCTTCGTCACAGGTACCAGTTCAAATTGACGCACCATATTGTTCGAAAAACGCGGGTCGTCGGGATTAGCAGATCGATTGATAGCTGAAAACACTCGAACAATGTCCACGAATGCATTTCTTGGTGCTATTAAGGCAAGGTCGACCAGGTTGTATGCTATGGCAGCTTCCACAGTCGGTTCCGCGGAGCGTAGTCGCTGTAGCAGCATTGAGATTGTTAGCCTCGTCACCTACAGCAACCGGCGTGAGCAAATTGTCTTTCGAACAGAGGAAAGGAGCCGACCTCTTCCATCTGGAATTCAAGAGCCAGCCTCGTTACTACCGAGATGGTGCTAATGCCGATCAGTCGCTTTTCGTCTTCAGAGAGGCCGTGTAAACCAGACTGCAGAGAGTGGAGAGTCTTGTGGGTATCCCCGACGAAGTCCCCTTTGACATCGAACAGACTCGCATCGTAGACTTCTTTACTTGTCGCAGCGATGTAGTTCAGAAGAGAATACATGTTGGACATGATGAGATCATCTCCTGGGGCCAACTGAAAGTACGTCAATAGTCAATTTCCCCGCGGCCAGTGCTTGACTTTACCTTGATGCATAATGCCAGACATTTGGCAGCGGCAGCCAGTGGGGGCGGTGCCCGAGTCTCTGAAGCAAACTCGAATTCAAATAGAGGAAGAGGGGAAGTGACAAACTTCCGAAGCTGAGTGGTCATGTCGGCAGCGATGGCCGGGAAGCTTAAAAGATGGTGAGGGTACTGGACTGTGTTTCAGACATCTGAGCCAACCTTCGAACAAGGACTGTAGTAGACTTCAAGGCTGCCTCCTGGACAAGATTGTCAGAGATGGGCGATGTATTGCTCAAAAGAAGTAGGATCCGAGAGTGAAGGTGCTCGTCCAACTCTCGAAGAGCGATGCAGCAAACTGAAGCAAGTTTCTGGAGCATAGATTCAGCGGACATCATGGATGGGTGAAGTGGCTAACTGACCAGACTCTCAGCCATAGTTTCCCAAGCGTAAATGTCGATTGATGGATCAACCCTCATGGCTTCAATCTGGACAAGGAGATCAGTGAAGCACTGCATGGAATAAGCGACTCCGGCCCTCAATGTTGACTTGGTGTTGTCGTCAACCTGAAGCTCGAGGGCAGGGTTGCGGGATAGAGCAAGCCACGCTTTGTTGGCCGCCGCTGCCTCTGTTACAGTGGCCCGATTGACCACGGGCTCTGTCATAGTCTGAGCCAGGACAGTCCATTCTATTTCCAGAATGCAGCAGATCAGGAAGTATCCGCTAACCGGTCGTCCTTGAGCAGTGTATCGAGCCAAGAATGCCTGCGCGTAGAAGATCTCCTCCGTGTCGAGACCGTCTTTGTGAATGATGTCTGCACAAAGTTGATTAAGCCGGGTAATGGCAGACGCAGAGCAAAGTCTCTGCAGTCCGAGAGTAAGGGTATTCCAATGCGACAGTGTCCACGTGTAGGATGTGGAGATGAGGGCTCGGTACAGGCCATGGATTGCAGGGAACAGTTGGGTGAGAATGATAAACGCTAGAGAGTAGGTTTAATATCTTGTCATTGATGCTACCATACAAACTTGCCCACCTGTAGACGAAGCGATACTGTCGACCACCTGATCAACAAACTGGAATATGGCTGTCGTCGCTTGCGCTGCATGTTCTGGGTGCTCGCACGAAAGTCGAAGTAGAGCAGAGATCGTAGAAAAGACTAGCTGGTCCGCTAACGCCCAATCTAGATCTGACGTGAGTTCCCCAAGCGATCACAAACTCTGAAAGAACCGCACCATGCCACGAAAGCGATGGATCGAAGTCAATGAATGGGATATCGCGCAAGATATCGAGCAATGCTGCCATGATCGATTCGATTGACTGGCCCAGCTGGATAGCAGGAAAGTTGACGACCAGTTCCCCAAAAGCAATGTTGCAATGAACACGGGAAGCGCTCTGTACGTCGGAGTACATCAACCTTGGTCACTGGTGTGACATGAATTGGACAAATCCGCACCATGTAGACCCTCGTTGTTGGTTCAGGGCACCCTTCTGCGGAGACTTCAGAGACATCTCTGGTCTGGACTTTGGATATGATCAAGTCCTTGGACGAATCTTGTCCTGGGGTATCATCTTGTTTGGACGCGAGCTCTGAGAGGATCCTCTGGTGGATATTGAACTCCAAGCTAGAGAACTGGACTGAGTGAATTGGACACAAATATCTCTATGACCAGGCTCACCAGTCCATAGTGATACTCTTTCCAAATGGTTACGCTTTGTCCACAAGGTCGAGAATAAGTACTGGGGTAGGTGGTATCCAAAATGTCGAAGTCGCTGGCGGGAGCCAAGGTCCACACGCAATTCCGATGACGCGAAAGTTCGGCGGCTTTAATCAGGGACAAACAACACGTCAACAAAACAAAACGCGGGCTCACTGTTCAGTTGTTCACTTTCCTACTTTCCCCCTATTCACCTAAATCTGTGCTGAAAACTTGTAGAAAACAAACAAAATGGCCAAGGAGAAAGTCGTTAAGAATACGAGAAACGCGAACAAGGGACATGCCAAAGGCAAAAGCGTTGACAGTGTCAACGATTTGCTTGGGATAGTCGACGACACCAATGAGATGTACATTTCACTCTCTCCAAGAACTGTGACCTCTAATTTGCAGCTCGATGCTAATGATCCTTCCTGAATATATGTACAGCAGCAATAAAGAGATAATTCGAAGACTAAGAGCGGATGCCCGTGAGTAAGCTCCGCGATGCTCGCTCATCGCAATACTCAATTCCCAGAAGAAGCAAAACAGGCAGCAGCGACCAAGAAAGCGTCGAATGTGTTTGCTACGAAAAAGGACGCCATTTACTCTGACGCTAGGAAACGAGGGGCTGAAATCTCGCAGAGTGGAACGCAGCACATGTACGTATATTCAGTTGGTTCCTCCCTCAATGTCTACAAGGGATCGTGTAGAGAAGAAGCAAAGGAACGTCTCAGAGCTATGAAGGCTCAGGAAATCACCTTGGACAAACATTCTCTGCAGTATGAATCCTTAACTCGCCATGTAGAGGCAAGTACCTGGACTTTTAACGAAATGACAAATGAACTGACACTGATACAGGAAGCCTTTGAAAGTTTCCGCGACGCATATCCTCCTTTGTTTAGGGAACTGGGACCGCGTCGGTCGGAGACGATAGAGGCGGCGAGCCGGGCTGGTACGTTCGTATTACACGTATGTCACAACTAGTGCTGAGCGCCCCTCTAGTTAAAAGCAACAAAGGCCGCAGAGATAATGCAATGCAGCAAGTGTTTCGCGACGCTGGAGCAAGGATTCGTGAGGCAAAGGAGAACGAGAAGGTATGTTCCAGTGATTGGCAATAAAGTAAGATGACACTCACCAGGCGCCGACGAAGGTCAATACGGACGCATCCGCGTTGAGGAAGCATTTGAAATTATTGCTCAGATTCTAGTGACATTGTAGCGAATAAAAATACTATTCTACATGCGCTACTGTTCATGAGTAAAGCGGCCTATTAGACCCCTGCTCTATGGAAACACGGGCGGCACTTACGAGCTCAGAAACCGATCTTGATATGAAGTCGCCAGATTCGTCTTCATCTTCCAGCGATCGAGCGTTGGGCCTGTGGGAATCCAGTGAGAAGTATTCGGCCAAGAATACTCTCAAAATCAAATTCCATCGTCGCATAGTAGGGATGTCCAAGGCGGAGGCATCATCCTTAGGGAGTGTCAGCAGGACATCGGGGATTGGGGGCTCGTGCTTACCTTAATTGTATGCCACACCCGGGGGAATGGTTCTGTGATGATATGCAGCACGCTCACTCCCCTCTGGAGGAAGGGAACGTGGTCGTCGCCAATATAGCCCATGTTGGTCATTCCCTTTCTTCGCTTCATAAAATAGCTCGTCCATTTCCCTGGTGCCATGGATTTCTCCTCGCCATATTCGAATGCACCCATTTCTCCGAGCCTCTCCTCCACAGCTACCATGGCGTCGAAGAGCCAGGCAGTGTCAAGGAAGTATGACCGGATCAACGGTTGCTTGGCCCCCAGCAAATCCAGAAGAATGAAGTGTTCAATGGTGGATATTTCAGTTGTCGCGTCGTTCATCAATCGCCGTTTCTGGTGAGGTTGAATGTAGGTCGACGCCCATTTTTCTGCAAGATGGCTATTCCGGCTATTAGAGCGCAGGTTGGGCGAGACCGGCGAACAGACTCACCGGGAACCATAGATGGAGTCGGTGTCCGTCCAATCAAGGAAAGCCTCTTCGCCGTCAAAGAAAACCAGTTGAAGAGTCAGGTCTCCAATGTCATCCTCCTCGTAGTCTGCATCCTTCATTGCTTTCATTCTTTTTTCCAAGAACGGATTGAGAGCTTCGGCAACATCCAGCATCATAGCACACGGGGCAGCTGAGTCGGTAGCACCCAGGAACTGTCGAGAGTCAGACAATATCAGTTAGGCTGATAACCAAACCCACCTGGTTTTCAGGATAGTTTGGAAAGTATTTGCTATCAAAATGAGCGGATAGCACCAGCCTCCGCGATGCCTTGGGATCCTTGGTTGCAATCACATTGGCCATCTTCTTCTTGCCAATCGGCGTGTCGGCGACAAACTCGTCAGTCTCCACATGCCAGTCCAAGGCCTTGAGTGTTGAGATGAGATAGTTCCGAACGAAGGTGTTGTTTTGTGTGCCCGCTGGTAGCTGTCATTTAGCATGCACACTCTAGAACAGCAGGCGCCGGTGACCTACGTGCTCTGGGAATGAGGATTTTCGAAAGGTGAGAGGAAGGGTCCCTCGGGTCGATGTTCTTGACTGGGTCCGGCTTTTTCAAAAGCACCTCCAGTCCCTCAGCAGATAGCGGTTCCAGGGACCTCTCTCCGAGGATGGAAGCCTGCAAGGAGTATTGGGAGAACCACAGGAGCGCTAGGCATGATGTCCAAACCCAGTTGGTTGCTGACCGGAAAGCAACCATGGCGTATCCGTAAGTATGTGTCGGACGTTTCCAGCCCAGATGAATGTCGAGGAAAAGAAACGCACAGTGCAGCGCACACGGACGTGTCCAATTAACCCGGTAGCCATCACCGCCATCAGCAATCTTAATTACCCCCGATCTCACCAACCTCGAACAGGTTGGCCTCCATCGACGACCACCATGGCGATATTCGGGCTGTGGGTATGGGTTAGATCTGAGCCATGTCACTGCACCACACTCACAATTGCCTTCTAGATCATTAACAAAGCCGGCGGTCTGGTTTACCAGCGCAATTTTGCAGGTTCGCTTCCCTGTACTGGTACAATGGAATGCTGCAACAATTCACGACAGACGGGCTCGCTCAGCTGACATCGAACGAGTACCTTGTTTTGGCGGGAACTCTGCACGGTATCCACGCAATTACGAGTAGACTTTCGCCAATGGGACCGAGCTCTGGTGCTCAGGTCATCGAAGGAGAGACATTCAAAATGACCATCTTCTTAACAGCGACCGGTGAGTTCGAGCGTCCATCAGCGACTATGTAGATATCTAATGCACAGCACCCAGGTACAAAATTTGTACTTTTGACATCTCTAAACGAAAGCATCGCCGAAATCCTCTTGCAACGCATTTACGAAGCATACGCCGACTCCGTCATGAAGAACCCATTCCACACACCGGAAATGCCTATCAGGAGCGACGGATTCGAATCTCGTGTGACTGCAATCATTGGAACTGGGCAATAAAGCTCCTGAAACCGACCACCCGATGATTCGATGCTACAGACAGCGGTCATCGCGGCCCTGCTGCTCTCGCCTCGTCTCTCGCCCGGCCCTGGGGAACGTTCTTAGAGTATAGAAATACTCTCTTCTGGCGACCAAGCCTTACTCTTTGACAAAGTTGCTCCTCTGCAGACATGTGCTCAATACTACTTGATGGGCTGTACCTCAACGAGCTTAATTCCAAACGATTTTTGCGTCCTTGATTTTGGTACATATGCCATCCCGAGACCAATCGCGGTCAGGTGACCCTATATCAGCTGGCTCGACTCGCTCTCTTCCTTTCCTTCTGTCCCTTGCCCTTATCCACAATGCAGGCTCAGGCTAATTTAGCGTCGACGCAGGCGATAACGCAGACCCAAAGTCTCGCAGCAGTTCAAACGCTGCTCAGGGCTGGACTGTCTTGCATAACATTCCTTAGGTGAGTACTTTGAAGCGCATATACCCAGATTGATACTCAATATACCACTAGAAACCTACTCCCGGAGGAGAACTTTGCCGAAAGTAAAGGGAATCATCGCTTCTTTTGGACGATTGCTGACCACGCCTAGGTCATTTGACAACGGCGGACGACTCTATCATATCGTCCTCTGACGCAGACGCGACTCCAATGAATAAAACTCGAAGCAACAAGGTCAATGGGTTCAGAATCATGGTGAGTAGTTGGCTACGGTGTCTACGATGAGTACTCAGCCCCGTTCATCCAGACTATGGTCCGGGGCTACACGGACGAGGCTGATAGGATTCTCAATTACTTGGTAAGTCGTTTATTCCCGAGTATATGCGATCTAACAAGGTTCCTTGGGGTAGGAGAATGGTATTTTCGACGCCTTGGAGAAGCAGTACCTTCGAAGCTTCATCTTTGCAATTTACTTGGTATTTCGCTGAGTGGCCAAACAGCACCACGTCGCTAACTATGATCACAGGATAGCAAGGACCCCAAAAAGTAACATTGCTCAAGGAATGTTTGCCCGAACGTACTAACTTCAATATGACATTAAAGCATTGTCGAAGCATATACTTTCAACTTCAAGGTTTCATTTCCAGATTCGTTGTTGAGGCTCGATCTTACTGTCCCTCGCAGTACCACAAAATCCCTGGTACAGATACAATGGCGCCAGTGATGACTCTCGGCAACGACCTTGAAAACATGTCTCTCAACGGCTCTTCCCATCGTCCCAAAGACCCTGTCGCCGAAGCTGTTCATCAAGGCCGATTGCCTACCCTCAGAGAAGTTAAGAAGAGTGTAAAGGTGCGGATTGACTCTTCTGCCCGGGCTTTATTCTTGATTGCTTTTTCAGACTATGATGAAGACCCTTATTCAAGCTATCACTCACATGGATGAGTTGCCTCGTATGTATTGTTTCTCTCACCGTGACGCCGCTACTCACTTTGCTTTCCAGGGCGGCGTTTTGCTACCTTCAAATTGTTCTACACCGATGCAACTCCGGATGACTATGAGCCGCCCAACTTTAACACAGGCGACTTCGAAAAAGACAGATGGTACTTCATGACACACAACCTCGACGAAGTCCCGGACAAGTTTAGTGTAGGAAAGGTCGACTGTGGCTTTCACTCGTACGTTCAGCCCGTCATTCATCCGTTCAGAAATTGACAATCCACAGAGTCAATCTCAAAGTCGCCTCCGTCGCCAGCTTCCTTCCCTCCTCCACCGACAACGACGACGCTCTTTTCACCGGCACTGTTACGAAGGCCTTGTTGCCAACGAAACTTAACACAGAAGAAGACACTGCCGCATTCCAAAAGCAAGCCGAAGACCAAGAAGAGGACGCGAAAACAAGGAACCTTGCTTGGTCGGCAGAAGAGGATCTCGATGATGTAGATGCTGAAGGCGAAGATGACCCCGACTATATTCAACGCCCAGATGGCACTTACGAGCTGGTTTCCGGCAAAGGTCTCCAGGAATCGGTACCTCTTGGTCGGAGGAAGGAGAACGGAGATATCGAAAAGACGATTGTACCGGATACTGGCAGCATCGAAGCTTGTTTTCAAGGATTCCAGGAATCGGTACCTCTTGGTCGGAGGAAGGAGAACGGAGATATCGAAAAGACGATTGTACCGGATACTGGCAGCATCGAAGCTTGTTTTCAAGGATTCCAGGAGTCGGTGCCAACTCGGTTGCAGGACCTTGTCAGTCTTCTTGTGGATCATAATGAACGATTCTAACAATGGCTGTAGAATTCTAAGCCTTCCCCGGAAATCGGTCTTTTCGATGAAACGCAGGCACTGTTCCAGACGGAACCGTATGGCACGACGGCTGATGGGCCCCCGTTGCGACTTGAAACCCCTGCAGATCATATATCTGGCGACGAAAAAGCGTCCCTGCCACCTTCCAACATGGCGATGGAGCTGGATTCCCCTTTGAGCAGTGCACTAACGACCCCTTCCCCGAGCCTGCCGCGAAGGTCGAACGGGAGAAGCCCGAGACTTGCGAACGAGGACGAGGAAATGTTAGGTATGTGTTCCTCAGGCGTACCCACTTGGAACAATCTGCAACTGCGTCCCAGATCCCGAGACGCAGGTCGGCGATCCTAACTCACGCATCGTCGATGCGATTCAATCATTCAGCCCGAGTGACAAGGCAGCAATGGACTCGAAATTGGACGCCATCTTGGAGCCTCCTGTGACGCCCAAAACACCCCAACCTGTGGAGGATATCGGTCTGGACTGTAGTTGCGGTATCACGGTACGCGTCTACTGTCATCTGTAAGATTCTCCCTGATACAGAACCCCGACATAGATCGAGGATCCCATGTGCTTTTGTGAGGCGGGATGTGGACGGTGGTATCATGTTTGGTTAGTCAGTTCTGCTCTATTTAGCGCCATCATGTTCTGACATTGGTGATTGTAGGTGCATGGGGTACGTTCAGCTTTCTCTCAACCAATAGTCGATTCTCATACATGGCTCCCCGCAGATACCATTCCGCTCGCGACCCTCGACTTCCCAACAAGTTTACTTGCTTCGACTGCCGCCTCAGGGCCGACCCCTCTTTCAAATACATTATCGAAGACACCGTTTACCCTTCGATCATGGAGAAATACAGGGAAATTGTGACCTTCAGGTAGGGATCTGTTACTTTCTGTCGCAGTCCTTCGCTCATTAAAGACCTCAGGCGGGCCGTCAAGGTCTTTGAAGAGTCTGGGAGTATGACCCAGTCAGAGTTTGCCAAGTCAATGGATGGGGACATCAATAGTGCGCGATGGTACATTCAGAGGCTACAGGAAGAGGGTTAGTCGCGGTCTTGACCTCTTGACATGGTCTGATTCGCTTGTCCAGAGTTCATTCACCAGGTTGCGACTACTATCGATGCATTTGGCGTTGTTACCGAGACGCGTTTGAATAAGAACCGGAAAGCAAAGGATCGCAAGGCGAAGCAGCGAAAGAAGCTCCAGAGGACTCGATATGTTTTCAACCATGGGGTCAAGCGAGAGCAAAAGTACAAGGACTACTTCAATCCCGACCAAGAGGTCGAAAGTCGAATGGTTGGATTGGACGACTTGGTAGGCCCCAACGTCGCGTTCTCCAGGGCGATCCACCACTGATGACCGCTGTAGAGGAACTTCACTAGCACGACTGCCCATGTATCGGCTGCCGCCCTTGCTGGTAACATCAGATCCGGACCATCAACTGCCGCCAACCCTGCGTATGATACGCAGACGATGGAGTTTTCCCAAGAACTTGGTTTCTCGGACAGTCAGAAGCGAGGGGCTGCCGACGGTGCGCAGAATGGAGCTGTCGACCGTCCATTGAAAAAGCTCAAGATTTCTGTTGCTACTGGAATCGACCTCGCTGAATGATACTTCCGTAATACTACCTCCATGTACACCTTGTCTATACTTTGAAAACCTGTGTCCCTAACGCAATTGGGAGGAATTTGCGTGAAGTTGAGTTGACTTGCCCTAAAGTGATGGGGTATGTGGTTCCCGCGACCCGAGGCGGACGGTTTCTTCAACCCCTCCTGGCTTTTCTCTCGTCAAACTTTCTGGTTGCTTGACGGATCGCGCTGGGAGGCCCTCGCAGGAGATGAAGTAACCGGTGCATGGCATAGACTTACACCTCCGTATCCCCCATTCACAGCCGTCCCACTGCTGTCTGGGTTCGTTAGCGTGGCGTACATTTTCCCCCCTCCTTTCGTTTTTTGACATATAATGTAATATCACTGAATGAAAACATTACATATCCGCATGAAAACCTTTGGATAGCCTGACTCCAAGCACAGTACTTAGTCGGAAAGATATGCTCGTAAAATCCACCGAATCGTGTGTGATGTTGGTGGGAGGTGCGCAGGGGGTCCGAGTTGAGGGAACGATGATCGTTTGGGTTTTGACTTGAGAATGTCGTGGACAGCGGTCTCCAGAACGTTCTATGGGACTCATGGACGAAAGAGTGGAGGTCGTGTTGATATTGCAACATACAGCTTGGATTCGTAATCGCAGTGACCTCTCCCTTTAACCACGATCCGTCGACTCATTGGAATTCAAACAAGTCACACCGTCAACGACGTTATGGTTTACAAGCTTTCAGCCGTCCTACAGGGACACAGTTCAGATGTTCGTCTGCCCACGGATCACCCAGTTCATGTTACTCACCAGACTATGCATACTCTAGGTTCGCGCCTTGGCGACCCCGACTAACGATCTGATTCTGTCCGCCTCTCGTGACACAACCGCAATCGCATGGAATCGCACATCGCCTGGAGCGAAGGAGTTCACAAATGAAACCGTGCTGCGTGCTGGGAGTCGCTATATCAACGCCGTGGCCTTCATCCCACCAACTCCCGACGCACCAAAAGGTATGGACTTCATCACGCCTTGGACGCGTCATCCGCGATCTGACCCATCGCGATCCTCTGTGCAAACAGGCTTCGCTGTGACTGCGGGCCAGGAGACAGTCATCAACCTCTTCGATCTATCCAAACCTAGAGACGATCCCGACTACACTCTCGTTGGACATACTGAGAATGTCTGTACCCTAGACGTCAGCCCAGCAGGAACGATCATATCAGGTAGCTGGGATAAGTAAGTCTTCCTTAGTTTCTGAAACGAAAGGCTTCTCTATATATTCAAAAAGAACAGCAAAGGTCTGGAAGAACTTCTCGCTGGTCTACGATTTGAAAGGACATCAGCAATCGGTGTGGGCTGTTTTGGCTGTTGACGAGGATTCTTACTTGACCGGCAAGTCCCCGTTCATCGCCAGCGATGTTGTGGCGACTCTACTAACCCTTGCTTCAGCTTCTGCTGATAAAACCATACGTCGCTGGCACCAGCATAAAACCGTTCATACTTTTACCGGTCATCAAGACGCTGTTCGCGGGCTGGCTTTGGTCCCTGATATTGGTTTCGCTTCCTGCTCAAATGATAGGCACGTCTCCACCGCGCGGTAATCCATGAAATGAGATTGATCCTTCCCCTCAGTGAAGTTCGAGTTTGGACATTTGGTGGCGACCTCATATACTCGCTCTCTGGTCACACTTCCTTCGTCTATAGTCTCTCCATCCTTCCGGACGGCAATGTAGTATCGTCTGGAGAAGACAGGACGGTTCGCATTTGGAAAGGTTTGCCTGATATGATTCCCTTTCTGTCACCCTGCTCACGCTTTTAAATGATAGACGGCGAATGCGCACAGACTATCGTTCACCCGGCTATCTCAGTGTGGGCGGTATCCACTCTTCCGAACGGCGACATTGTCAGCGGTGCAAGTGATGGCGTTGTTCGAGTATTCAGCTCGGTGGAGGAGCGATGGGCGTCTGCTGACGAGTTGAAAGCATATGAGGATCAAGTAGCAAGCCAAGCCCTACCGTCTCAGCAGGTTGGCGATGTGAAGAAGAGCGACCTTCCGGGTCCCGAAGCACTCCTGGCTCCAGGTACGCCTGTGTGTGTTGTGATCACCATCTCTTTTCTTACGTTCGCTTAGGGAAGAAGCCCGGTGAAGTCAAGATGATCAAAAACGCCAAAGACGTCGTTGAGGCACATCAGGTAAGGGAGAATCCCTGTCGCCTTTAATTCTAATGCCTGATGCGCATTCTATACTTAGTGGGACAGTGCTTCCAATTCATGGCAAAAAATTGGCGATGTCGTAGACGCCGTCGGTCAAGGCCGAAAACAACTCTATCAGGGCAAAGAGTATGACTATGTATTTGATGTGGACATTCAAGACGGAGTGCCCCCACTGAAACTGCCTTACAACGTCACTGGTATGCTGTTCTAACGTTGACAGGAACAGAAACTCACTTTCACCAGAGAACCCATACAGTGCAGCGCAACGATTCCTTGAAGCAAACGAACTATCTCTCAACTACATTGATGAGGTTGTCAAATTCATCGAAAAGAACACAGCCGGCGTGAATATTGGTACAGGCAACGAAGAATATGTCGACCCTTACACTGGTGCTTCAAGATATCGGTCCAATGCGGGGACCGCTGCGACAGGCCCTGCGGAATATATGGACCCATTCACAGGCGCTTCGCGATACAGGGCTCAACCACAGGCACCTGCCCCCTCCGTTCCTTCGGCGAACTTGGTGGATCCATTCACCGGCGCCTCGAGATACTCTGGTCAGCCAACCGCCTCCCACCCAACAACCAAGATCCTTCCTGTGGTGTGTGATCTCCATTATTCGCCTGGATATATGGATCTCAATCCGTGTGTCTTAGTCCAAGTTTGTCAACTTCAAGCAGGCAAACGTCACAGCTATGCAAGGCAAGATCCTTCAGTTCAACGATGTTTTGCAACAAGAGATTGTATGTGTCTTCATTGCAGCTGTGAATATCCCACACTCACCTCACGTAGTCCACGTCTTCACTAGCCATGTACCCCGATGACCACGACGCTTTAAACGAGATCTTTGCCAAACTATCAAAGCTGACCGCGACACCCCCCTCGCCTACGACGCCACTTTCTCCCTCCCATGTCGAACACATCGTCCACATTCTCGAACGGTGGCCTCCTTCGCAACGGTTCCCCATTATTGACCTTAGTAGACTGCTGATAGGCTATTGCCCTGAAGCATTTGCTTCTCCGGGCGAGAAAGAGAAGTTCATTGAGGCCCTCTTCCAAAGTGCGGAATGGAACGCGCCCTGGACTTCCCCACTCCCAAAGCATCGTGAAACCAATATTCTTCTATTGCTGCGAAGTTTGGCCAACGCCTTCCAGGAGGGAACTGAGATCAATGGTGAATGGCTGATGAAAGTGAGTCGACTCCCCTTTAGTCAGCGATCGAGGCTAATGTCGACGCAGCTCTTGCAAGCCTTGGGTGAGGCGCCGTTCACTATCTTCGGGAAGAATCAGAGGGTCGCTTTGGCGACAGTGCTATTCAAGTGGGTGACCCGCTCATTCTTGTGTGCTAGCAACTGATGTCCTATAGCATTTCTTGCGTCTCTCTCACCACTCCTTTGTCGCCCGAGACTCGAAATCAGTACATCACTGCTTTGCTTTCGGTATGTCATGGTGCCTGGTGTATTTGACTTCCCATTTACGTCCATTCAGATCCTCAACACCGAGAAGACGGAATCCGAAGCAGCCTACCGGACCCTGGTCGCTCTCGGCAATATTGTCAGTAGTTCTTTTCACATATTTGCTTCTGTTTACAACTTCGTCTCTCGCAGGTCTACACAAGCAAGCAAGGCTCTCGTCTTGACGAGGCCCAGATCGCTCAAATCAGACACTTGTTGGGCTCTCTCCATGCCACTTTCCCCGAGGACCGCGTTAAATCCATCTCCCAGGAGATATCTTCATTGCTCTGAGCTTCCACCGCTTTAATACTTTTCAAATCATTCAAAGAGCTGTACCTTTCCCTCCCGGTTGGTTCGACTCTCCCCTCCCTGGCCTATACGCTTTTTCGACTACTTTTGGTCTTCTGGTATTTTTGACACGTGTAGAACGGACAGTGGGTTCTCTTGAAGTTGTATCAACTGATTCGTCGCCGATATCACCCTTTTCATGTATTCATCTGGGACTTTCGAGGGCGTTTTCTGTCTGTGGCTTTCACAAATTCGCTGAGGCATTGTGAGGTTTGTTTTCCCAAGTGCAACGACTCCGGCGCAACACCGTAGACAGAAGTTTGGAAAGGCCCCTCCGAGGCTCCTCAATTTCGTCTCACCATGAGCGAAGCTGAGCGAGGTCAGTGATGTCCCTTTAAGACGCATGACGGGAGACCTATTCCGGAATAAGAGCAACAGGCAGCAGCTGCACGTTCGTTGTCCCTTCCTTTGAAGACGGGGGAAGAATTCTTGACCCTCGTAACGGAGCAGGTCAATAAAGACTCGGCCCCACCAAGACACTACCTCTCAACCTTTTTATGGGTCGGAGTACAACGTTGGTATCCGTCCATCATCGATCATCCCCACTTTGGTCAAGAGCGGCGCAGAGATCAGTGCCTCGGAAGGAGCGAATGTCGTTGCTAGACACGGGACGAACCTCGCTATCGCCATCCTCCAATCGTTTCTAGATGTCGGATGGGACATCAATAGCTACACTAGCTTCGGTCAAGATGCTTGAATATGGAAGGCTATCCGTCGAAACGACCGCATCTTGGTCCAATGGTTGCTCGAACACGGGGCAGACCCCACCCTACACGACGGCTGGCAGTTGGAACGGGTCTTAGAGCATGCAGCTTGTTATGCGTCTCCCGAAGTGATAACTCTGCTCGTCGACGCCGGGTTGGAAGTCAACGGAACTCGGGCGCTGGAACGTGCAGCCAAGGAAGGGAGACTGGAAGTCGTCGAGTGTCTGCTGGACCTGGGCTCTCAAGTTGATGAAGTACCGGATCCATCCTCAGACAAGACGTATGTGGCTGAATTCGATCGCCTTGGCACACCATTGCATGCTGCTGCAGAGGCGGGTCATTTGGACATTGTTCGTCTGTTACTTCGCCGTGGCGCCAACCCACACCTGGGCGACAGGTCAGGGGCCACCCCTTTTGATCGTGCGATAAAACAGAGGGTCAAAGACGCACTAGCTGCAGCGACGAGTACCAGATGCTCTTAAATACTACAATAATGTCGTCTAGTGCCATGATAGCCCTGCCAGAGTTCCAGAACATCGTCAGATCACCCATCAAAATATGGGGTTACTTAGAGTCATCGCCGCAGGATGGTGGATCAATCCATCCCGGTTGACTCACGACCACCACATCTGCTCAAATGGCACGAATCCGTGTCTATATCGTCCGACATGGTGAAACCGCTGAAAATCGCAACGGCATTTTGCAAGGTCACCTAGACACAGAATTGAATGACGAGGGTTATCGCCAAGCCGAGCTCGTGGCAGATGCATTGAAGGATGTGTCGTTCAAGGTTGCGTTCTCCAGTGACCTCAAAAGGGCGAAAATGGTGAGATTTACGCCATAAAATACAATCGATAAGAACCAAGTGTATTAAATCCAGCAATGTAGACGGCTGAGCGGATCCTAAAGAATAAGCCAGAGGTCAGACTTCAGACATCTGAAGCTTTGCGTGAAAGGGTAAAGGGTCGAGCATTTGATCCATTCAGATCTATTGCGCTGACCCTTTTTTTTAGTTCATGGGGGTATTTCAAGGGACCAAAATCACGAAGGACACCAAAGTCGCCCTATCCCAAGATAAGACCATCGAGAGCAACCAGCACCTGCGGGAACGCGGTGTCAACTGGTGGAAGCAAACGATTATCCCAATGGTTTCCGAAGCAGATGACTCGGACACCATTTCTGTTTTAATGGTTTCTCACGGAGGATTCATCTCGAGTCTAATACAAGAACTCATGGAGGAAGGATATGCCACTTCAGATAGATATGCCCTTCCCCTTGGAAAATGCCTTAACACTGCGATCGCGATTCTAGAACTGGGAGGCACCGATGGGACAGCGTCTTTAGTAAATTACGGCGATATTTCTCATTTACTCAATGCAAAGACACAGGCAAAGGGGGTCGTCCAAGAGAACGTCGATGAGGTCGAGGTAGATACCTCACCCAGCGGTAGCGATTCCAAGGGCGTAGTGCAAACATGGTTAGATAGTTCAAGTCACGATGCTCGCTAGACGCATTAATGTATCACCTTACTACTTGTTATCTAGTACTACTTTTTGGCTTGAACTGGGGTGCGAGGCTCGGGCGCTAAATAGGCTGTGTGGGAGAGAGCGGGCCGCGCTATAGCTAGTGATGGGAGCGCAATGCCAAGCCCATGAGCGGTTCCTCTTCAGTTTTATCCTCGATGGCACAACCCATTACTCTTCTCGCCTTCAGCGGCCACGAGCATTTACGGACGCGGGTGGTACTCTCGGTACTCAGTGGAAAGCAAGTGAAGATCGATAAAATTCGCTCAGACGACAAAAACCCTGGTCTACGAGGTGTGCAGACTACCTTTTCATCTTGCCAGACATTGGATGAACCGACTCGCTCGTATCTGCGCATAGATTTTGAAGTTAGCTTCCTCAGACTGATAGAAAAGGTCACCAATGGTACTATCATAGAGATATCAGTGACTGGTGAGTGTCCGTTGAACTAACCCATTCGCACATACCTGACCAACGAATCTCTAGGCACTGCGATCCTAGTAAAGCCAGGCATCATCGCAGGTGGCCCAGTGCAACACGAATGTCCATTATCAAGGTCTATTGGTTACTTCCTAGAACCCATCATCATGCTCGCACCTTTTGCCAAGCGTCCTTTCCAGTTGACGCTGAGGGGCATCACGACAGACGAGCATGACCTATCTGTGCGCTTTTACGCTACCTTGGTGCATACTCAATTGAGTCTGACAAAGGATTTTAAATAGGTCGACCTTCTCCGAACAGTCACATTACCGCACCTACAATTCTTCGGCATCTCGGATGGCCTGGAGCTCAGGGTGAGCATACACCATCTCCCACACGCAGCACTGAAGCAGCTTAAATATGGTTCTCCAGATAAAAAAGCGTGGCGACCCGCCATTGGGCGGTGGGGAAGTCCAGTTCCTGTGTCCCATTGTAAAACAGGTTAAGACCCTCAACTTTGTCGAGCCTGGCAAAATAAAACGTATCCGAGGCGTCGCGTCAGTCCACCTTCCCTCTTGAAGCCATGTTTACACCTAACTGACATAGTTACCCACAGCCATGCCGTTCGGGTTAACCCTCAATTCTCTAATAGGATGATTGAAGCCGCAAGGTCTGTGCTCAATCGATATATTCCTGATATATATCTGTATTCGGACGTGTACAAGGGTGAAGAGAGTGGCAAGTAAGTGCTCACTATCATTCCCCCAGCTGTTATTTCTCAACCTTTTGATACCATCTCAGATCCCCAGGCTATGCTCTTAGCCTTCTTGCAGAGTCGACGACAGGTGCACTTCACTGCGCAGAAGCTGCTTCTGAACCAGGCGTTGTCCCCGAGGACATTGCCCTCAAAGCTACCCGGGCTCTCCTCACTGAAATCGAAAAGGGAGGCTGTGTAGATCGAAAGCACCAATGTCTAGTCTTGCTCTATATGGTTCTCGGTAGTGAAGATGTCGGACGATGCGTAATGGGCGAACCCACACCGCGAACGTGAGTCTTCTTTCCATTCTCATCACTGCACCCCGTGTCAAGGTCCAAACAGCTAACGACTGTTCGTTGTATACAGAATCCAGTTCTTGAGGGACGTGAAGGAGTTTTTTGCGACCTCGTTCAAAATTGCCAGTGCAGATCCGTCAGATCCCGAGTGCAAGCAATTGACGTATTCATGCTACGGTACTGGATACGTGAATGCCAACCGAACGCTCGCCTAGTTGGCGCTCAACTTCCCGTTTCAACTCCCCTGTCCTGTAGGCCACGGATATCACCGAGGGTCCCTACTACCCGCAGTACCAACCATTCCGAGACTGCGAAGGCCTCACGGTCGCCCCGTTGCTCCAGACACGGAGGAGTACTTAACGATAGAATCGTTGAATCATCCACCATTTTGACGACATAAGAGATGTGCTACTGGGTTATTCGAGTATTGAACGGTGTCGTCAGGGTACAGTGAAAAAGGCGTGTTTACTACGATGGTTCTTCTGTTAGTCGAACACTGGTAGAAGTATCAGTACAATGTAACGATTAGCTTAACGGCAAAAGCATGATTAAAACTGCGATGCCAGGTATATCAGCCCAGCAAGCCCAAAGATGCCAATGTTGGAAGGTGTGCCAATGGACACAGCGCCATCCACGAGCGGTACGGCTTCTCCAATGGTCTCGTTCAAACAGGCAAGAAGTCCCGAGTCAATTCCAGATGGCAATGGAACGTCCTCAGCTCCTTCCTCCTCGAACACGGCCGTATTATTGTAGCCATCGAGCGTGAGGGCAGCACTACTCGCTCGATAATACTGCACCACTTCCTCCGGGCGCGGTGGTTCTTCTTCTGCACCGTCGTATTCGTCGATGGGGATGTCATCATCGTCCTTGAGCATGGAGCCACATTCCTCTTTAACGACTTCAGCGATAGCTTCTACGGAATCTTTATCTGCGAGGAAACGGAAAGTCGAGTCTGTAGAGCCCGACTCGAAAGCAGCACGGTATTGCTGACCACCTGGTCGCCGACCGTCTCTAGCATGTCCATACTATCCGAAGCATTGAGTTATTGATTGAATGACGATTGGAGAAGGATAGGAGTTGCCCACCTGTGATGTATAGAGATACGAGGCCCCGACTCCGGTCCCGACCCAGGCTACTGGCCAGAAGAAGAAGGGGAAACCGCGTCCATTTACACCTCGTCCCGCGACTCCTGGGTATCCACTACCATATTGCCTATAGCCAGACAGAGATAAGCATGCACACTGTTCCTAGAGAGTTCGGAATAGCTCACCTCGTGCCGTATACATCCCCTCTGGTTCCACCTCCCGCCATACGCCCTGCGAAAGGCGACCCAGCTGGGAGAGCCGCGGGTGTGCCTCCCCCGTTACTGTACGTCGAGGACGACTTGGTGCCTGCTCCAGTGTTGATGCTAGTCGACCTTCCACCTCTACCACCACCGCCGGCGCTACCGCCAGAGCTGCCTCGGCCAGCTCCTCCGCCTCCACCACCACGTCCTCCGCCCCCTCCACCTTTCCGTCGTTCCAGTTTACGACGTTCGCGGCGGCTGATAAATGGAACAAAGACCATAGTGAATCCTGGTGTAGAAGGGTTGTAAGAGAGAACGAGTTGTGACGAAATCTGGAGGGCCCAGGTTCAACGGGCTTTTATAGCGGTATGTGATGGTGGTTGGAGCTTAACCCATGAGATCCGTTGTTGACACTGCCATCAGCACTGATTTGGTCTCCTGGCGTCTGGGGCTGAAATAAACGCCCTACAGATCAGACCCATTTATCCGAAAACGCAAACAAGCGCTGAGACAGCGCTTCCAGACGCTGGTCAATTAAAAGAGACGACAAAAAGGCGAGATGGATAGTAATTATCTGAGCCTCCAAGAGCATCCACCAGTATTCCGGTCGATGTATTGTCGGAGGAATCCAACGCCCACATGTGTCGTTTTACAGCTTTCTAGTTTTATTCTCCGAGAGGACCGCCCATTCTCGCATTGGTTGGGGCAGAATCTTTCCTTGACAGCAAGAAATATCAGTCGCATGTTGTTAGAATGCTGTTGGGTGGTATACAGCTACAGCTAATATGCACAGGGGCTCAGCGCTCCGCTGTGACCGATATGCCAACGTCTGCGCTAATTCTCCACTTAACGACAGCACTAAAACGCTTATAGATGACCTTTCCTAGCAACACAGGTAGAAGTGCAACAGTAGCGTCAATGGCCGGGGCGATAGGCCCCGCCGGATGTGCGGACAGTCGAAGCAAGCGCAACTGCGTTGAGTCCTTTAATGTGATCAGAGGAACGTCAATCAAACCAGTGGATGTTGCAGTTTATATATGCGAGTAGATGGGCAGGGATGGGAGCACGCAAAACGAGGTCATCGGACTGCGTAAAGTAGAGTTCCCGTTTTTGAGCAGTTACCAGGACGTCACAGCGCCAGCAACGACTCGGAGCGTCCATGACGGGCGCCTATCGAGATTCGAGCTGTACTCCACAGCCAGACAGCGCTGGCTGCCTCTACCTGAACTTTGCTAATGGGCAGGGGTTGGATCACACACCACCTGCCAACCTTTACAGCCCAGGGGAAGGTCAGGTGGGTATGGACGTTAACGACAGCTGACGCTCGGATTTATCTCGATTTCCATTCCCCCGCACTCCCCGGGTCGAAGGCGGACGGACGCGCACATAGCCTCCAATCCACAGAGCTCTGTCAGGGGAGGCGATTTTAAGCAGAATACCGTCATTATGCAGCTGGACACGCGGGCTGAATCAAGCGCTGTACCCCTGGGGCCTCTTTCGACATTCTGGCAGTTAGTAATTATGTCGCCCAAGGAGATGTAGACGTGGATTGTTAAAGGAAAGGCAAATAATGAATAGTACCTTATAGATAGCAACAGTAGTTAGCGCAATCCCCCAGGGCTCCCGAGATGGCACCAGTGTGACCTTGTCTGGAACACGACGAGTCGTCCGTACCTTGAAAAGTGATGTTTACATTCCGTACCAAGCTAAGCGTTGCCCGGTGCAGTGCATGCACTAGTAGCGCGTGAGGTGGTAAGACCCAAGGAACGAGATCGAAGACAACCTAGACGATGACCACCGGTGGTCGGGACAGCAGCTACCCCTAGATCCGTGAAACGAGGCAGGGCGAACGGCGGGCCATCGTAAGTATATCAAACCAGAATCTGACAGCAGTTTGCAAAGCATGGTCGAAGAGAGTGCGTTCCGCTGATATACTATAGTGTGGCCACAAAGGTAAATGTGCCTTTCGAGCATCAGCTGCAGAGGGTGGTCGTCTGGTACGGCGGTATCCCGTCTCGTCATCGTTGATGATGTCCTACGTGATCCAGAGTGCACAGGAGAGAGCGCATGCGGTCGACAAAGCCATCGAGCGACAGTAAGCTGTAGCCGGCAATAATGAAGTAAGGATCAGACTAAAGCGAGGAATCTCCGAGTTGAAGGAGGAGCTCTTGAATGCGCTTCTCTGAGATGGCTGGCGCCTGTTTGCCCTCTTTCTGCATTGCTTCGTAGCCTTTCTCGAGTCTGGAAATGCGTTGCTCGACTGCTCCAGGAAGGTCTTGGAGCTCTTCAAGGACAGGACCAGCTGGAAAGCATCTCTGTGAGCGATGGATAGGGCCATTTTAGAGCGGAAATACGATACCGATTTCATCCAGTTTCTGTTCCAGTGCCACCCAAAGTTGATCTCGATGGGAATACTCGGCTTTCAGTTTCTCCATAAGATTAGTGATTTCGTCCTGTCACAGTGGGTAATAAGTAATATGGTTAGAGTACTGACTTCTTGGACATGCATAATTGAGCGCTTACGCGAGTCGTCTCGTAAGCCTCGGTCAATACTTCATACTCGGCAAGAGTGGCGGTATCCATTTCCTTACACGCCGAGTTGAAGACAGCGATACCCTTCGCCGTGTTGGTGTCTACCTCGACATCGAGGAACTGCTGTGTTTTCTTCAGGCGGCGCATGGTGGTGATGAAGGCCTCCGTTAGCTCCTCCTTGAGCTGCTTGCTCTTTCTCTCGAAGGGGTCCTTGAGGGAGTCCACCAGAGCATCCAGCCTATCTTGATCTGATTGCTTTGGCCTACGGAGATGTAAACGTCAGTCAGACAGTCAAAAGTATGGTTTTGTGGAGAAATGGAAGAGTGATTTACCCCTCTTCCATCAAAAACGCTCGAATCGATTGTTCCTCATCTAAGCTGAAACCCAAGGGCTCATCATCGGACAGCGGGGTTTCTTGTGCTTCCTTCACAAGACGACCTTGGTTACCTTCTGGGTTCTCAGCATCGAGCAAGGTGGTGTCTTCGGGGTCAGAGTACATGTGAAGGTCGTGGGAGTGGCTGATAGCTCTGGGGTCGGGTGGGGCTGATCGCTGTGGACCTGCAGTTGGGCGCGACAAAACCGACGCCCTGTGGGCTTTAACTGTACAATAATAATCAGGATTTGGTATACAAATGATCATGTTATGACTGACTGAATTTAGCAGTAGACAGGGACATTTTGTCAGGAGGTGAGGGGCTGCAATCAGGTTGTTTGACGGCACAAGGAGGCAATAAGCGTGAAATTTAAAGTCCGCTGGAGAGTTGTTGAGGTGTCTGCGGGTGTTGTGGTAAACTGTTTCTGCCTTCGTCAAAACGCCTTTCTCCCGTGGATTTGCTCTCGAGGTCTTTATCTGCTTTCATTCCTTGAGAGCCCCGCTTCTTCCAGTTCTGTCCTTTTGGTCTAGCGGTTGACCCTATTTTCTCCCCCAAAAAACCAAGAAATTGCCCACAATGAACTCACGTCCGCACAAAGTCAGCTCAGTCTTATCGTCTCACATTTTGCCGTGGTTCTAAAGCATCATGCCTAGCAATCCATGTCCGAGCTCAAGCTTCGACGTCTGTTGGAACACAACCAGCGACTGAGGGAGGATTTGGCTCGCCCCAGGGTCAAGGTCAGCGAAGCTAGCGCCAGGTGCGTAAAATCGCGTCTTTCCCTTTCCCGGACTGCGCCTAACGCTTTTCGTTTAGCCTTATCCGCTATTGCAAGCAGACGAAGGACCATCTTGTACGTTTTAACGTTCCACCGTACCAACGTCGAGACCCAGGGTCTCGATCCTGGCCCCTGTGCCCCTGTATTGATCGAATGGGTTCCCTAATGGTGTCTCGTTTTTTATTTATTCATTTAGGTTCCATCTGTCTGGGGTCCTGTAGGAAAAGCAGACGATCCGTACGCGCCTCCGGCTCAAGGTTGCAACTGCCTTGTAATGTAAATCCGACACACCAACCAGTTCCGTCCACCGACTAGACCCGCGCCAAGCTCTTGCGACATCCCGATGCTTTCAACGGGATAATAGTCCTGAAGATGCTACTTTTATTCAGTGTTTATTGCGTTACGAAGGACGCGTGTTGTACAGCAAGATTGGAACTTTCCTCGATTCCATATACCTCCCCCTCTCTGATACCTGCCATCGTCATCGGACAACACTCGTTACACCTTACACCTCATTCACCACCGGCACCTCCATATCGTCTATTCTTACTCTATATACAGGGAACATGCACTCAATTATGTGTTAACATTATAACCGCCGCTTCGAATAGTTTCTTTTTTATTGGCACTCGTCCTTTCCCTTCCTTCCCCGATACTTTCTTTTCCGTTTCTCTAGACCTCACAAGGGCTCTGCGATGTAGCTGGCGAAATACATTCACTACGTCGTGCAATGCAACTCGCGGTAATTGAAAGGACGCGGATGAAAGCATTCAAAGCGGCTTTGGGTGACCATAGCAGGAATTATTGAGGTCGTTGAAAGATAGTCTGATGTGTGATCCTTAATTCGGATTGGCCTGTTCTCATGACCGCTTGACAAGAAAATACCAGTGCTGTGCCTTTTTACCACAGCCAACTCTTTCCCATCGCCGCCACCAATCAGCCAACCCCCGCATTCGTCGCCGTCGTCGTCGTCCTCATCGTCCCACCCTCTTCGTCGTCGTAGACAGTGAGCGCTCTCGCCGTCGACGCTCCTTCTTTGTGCTTACGTTCTCCATTGCGACCCTGTGATCTCGCCCTCTTTACAGCGCTCCGTTCTCACTCAACAACTTTTTCACCCACATTGCTGTCCCCACGACCTCGACTCTGCCCAACACCACCAAAATACCCTTTGCTCGACCCCAACTCCTTTCTGAATCATCATGAGCACCCGCGGAGGAGGTAGACAGTCAATGTCCGAGCTCAAGCTCAGGCGACTACTAGAACACAACCAGCGGTTACGGGAGGACCTGGCAAGACCTCGGGTGAAAGTCAGCGAAGCCAGCGCAAGGTATGTCGATTTTCGTAACCCGGTGTTTGAGAACAAGCTCGCTGACTGGCTACCGTAGCCTAATCGCATACTGCAGAAACACCAAGGATCATCTGGTACGTAGCGCTGGTTTCTGAAACGACGCGACCTTCCCGCTCATCGGTTTCTCTTATTACTTGTCACACAGGTACCTTCAGTGTGGGGACCAGTGGGACGTGCTGAGGATCCATACGGGCAACAAGCGGGAGGCAAGTGCTGTACGGTGCAGTAGTCGCCCAGCGCTGCCTCTATGTCCTCTTTTCTTCGCTCTCGCTGTCACTTTCAACGTTCTCTCATTCGCCGCCGCAACCCATATCCAACCCTTTCTGGGAAGATTCACCCCCGCCGCCCTTTCAGCCCCACTGTCCAGTTCGGATACGGATTCCCTTGCATCGACCTTTCTTCAAGGCGCTGCTGTGAGGCGACCTCTGACTCATGATTGCTACCAGCGGTCAAGAGCATGCTTCGCCTTGCTTGTGCCATATATCGACACTGTACTATCAACGCCTGGCCACTTTTGTTTTGGAACTCTGCTTTCATTCTCGTTCTCTGCCTGTCTTTCACAACGTCTGCTTTGTTACTGTTGTTCTGTCCTTTCTGAAGCGCTTATCAACCTACTGCCTTCTTTCCCCCACCTCTACTTTATACGTTTCTATTCCTTCTCTCCTTTTCTTCTTTCGTCTTGGTCTGGAATCGCAGTTGGGGTGAATTTCATTGCTCCTTTCTTTGGAATTTGGAAGACGGGCCTTTGCTTTTGCGTCCTCTCCTTTTTCTCCTGTACACGTAGTCTTGCTCACTCCTATTTATTCGTACCAAAAGATTTCTTATTCTACCTCTGTCCAAAGTGTGGTCTATTTCTGGCTGAGGCGCGAAGTACCGAGCACACAAATGACTCTATAGCGACTCGATGAATTGCTTGATTTTGGCCTCTGGCTGTGCTCCAAGGAACCCATCCGCTACTTCGCCGTTCTTGAATGCTAGCACCGTCGGAAGGGCCGTGACCTGGAAAGGAGGTCAATATGAATGCCCTCGACTTGAAATGTGCCCCCTCTGGCCCGGTCAGTGACGTACCCGGTATTTCCTTCCAAGTGCTTGACCTTCCGTCGAGTCTGTGTCGACTTTGACGAGGTCAATTGGGAGACCGGAGCCAGATGTTGCCGGCTCTTGAGTCAACTTCTCTATTACAGGGGATAATTGGCGACAGGGACCACACCAACTACGGGTGACGGAACCAAAGACGCGGGGTTGTCAGTCATATTGGTTGTTATGCGGACCACGTCGACAACAGACTTGGATGAGCCCTCTTAGAACCGATGCAGTGTCCAGGGCAGAGGGCTGTACCTGGACTTGAAAAAAGATAAAAAGAAGTGATGACTTACTCGGCATAGAAGTCGACCAACACAACGCGGTCCTTCACACTGGTCACTTTGTCAAATGTCTATAAAGTCAAATGGTTGGTCAGTTGTCAGCCCTCGTATGAAGCAAAGCCTGGATTGCTGAGAACCTGGCCATAATCCAGGGCTCAGCATGCCACTCACCGCGTTGTCCACGTTCAGGTACAGAGCAGCACATGGTCGAGTTGTGTGGAAGCTACGAGCGTATCCTACAGCGCCATTGAGGCGCCCAGACCATAGTGATCGCGTTGTAAGGCTTGAGGCCGGTCTGAGAGAACGGAACAGACTTGAGGCAGACATTTTGGGTCGGAAGATGACTTATGAGGTCAAAGCGTTGGGATACCCCGGTAGCAATCACCGCGCTGTGAGTCTGATCCCGGCCGGGCTTCGCGCTTTTGGTCGTGAACCACCATCACTGCTCTCAAGTTGACGATGTTCATCTCATCTTTCTGGTTTCCGTGCAACATTACGATACCGTAGAACCGCTGCAGGGCGACTCGTCTCATCAGAAGATGATGGATGAGCATACCGGAACGCCCCTTTACCCGACAGACCCGTTTTCTTCGTTATCGTCCGGGCAAGATGGACATTGGAACACGTACTTGGGCGGCAATCTAAATCAGCGGGGTGACTATCAATACTGAGGCCTTGGGGCTCGGTCAATCAACCTCATTCTAGGATGGCTATGGATGCCACGGATGTCTTTTGCCTTCTTGCTGCGGAAGGCTATCCAAATTTCTCGCATTAACCAGATCTACTCATCAACTCAACTTCTTGTCTCACTCGTGGATCTTCGAGTAACAGCGCGCAGTGTATTGCCATACCCATCGAGCGTTCCACTGGAACCCGAGTCCTTTCACAGGGCCAGTCAAAGTGCCAACGGCTTCGACTAAGGTAGCAACGACGGTGCCATACTAGTGGACGATTCAAACCATATCACTTGCCCAGCGCACACTTGGCATCTTCTATCTTACGGATGCCATTTCTATTCCAGGCTTGAACTTGACGGCAGGTAAGTAAGCATTCGTATTGTCTGAAAATGTTACTTAGTTAACATTGGGCAATTGCAGAGCGCACAGATATTTAATCTGCACACAACGGCCTGAGTTTCCCTTCCGATTGGTCATCTGTTAAGACAACACGGCCAAAGCTAACCATTCGTCTAAATTGTACTTCCAGAAGGAAGTACCAAGAGTTGGAAGCTGTCCCCGCTTTTGAGGCAATTAACGGTTTGACGGGCAACAGCGTCGCATTCTCATTGGTTGTAGAAATAGCGCAGCCTACATCGCGTTCCCATCACCTCCACTTACTTCCACTAACGAGTGTCGTAAATCTTCAGATTGAACAACTCCTTTGACACCAAAAGCGCGCAGGGTTGCCAGGTTGGATTGATGCTCCAGAAGTTTGGGTTGGTCACCGCTCTCTGTAGCCCTTAAAAGCCTGGCTGCCTCGACACTGGGATCCCCATCCTTGTCCCCTTTCTCTCACCTTCTGGTAAAAGAGCAGTGTGCGCCTGCCATTTCTTATCGCGCTTGTCTACGCTCTAACACTTTCTTCCGTCCTTAGGCTCGCCGCTTTTCCTTTACTTACTAGTATATAATTGATCAACATGCACTTCACCCTCGCTACCGCTGCTGTCCTCCTTCCCCTTGCTGCCCGCGCTGCTGATATCGCGGTCAGCGTCGGCGCGAACGGCGTGAGTGGCCTTTACACCACTCTACTTTATGCGTGCTGATGTCTGGCCACGGTGATTTCAGTTGTTGTTCGAACCCACCTCCGTCGAAGCCGAAGTTGGCGATGTCGTCGTTTTCACCTTGTTCGTGCTGTTATGTGGACATGTTCTCTTCTTCAGCTGACATTCTCCTCTCTCTAGCTACCCGAAGAACCACACCGTAACGCAGTCCACCTTTGATGAGCCTTGCACACCGGCGCCCAACGGTGCCCACTCAGGCTTCAGGTTCCTCGAGGCTGTTGACGAAGCCGCACCCGAGGTTTGGCGCTTCTCCGTAGAGAACACCAGTGCCACCTGGTTCTACTGTGCCCAGGAAGCCCCAGTCAACCACTGCAATTCAGGAATGGTGCGGCTATTCACTTATTTTCCAAAGCCATTGTATTGATTTCCGAACCAGGTATTCGCGATCAACCCGACAGAGGAACGAACCTTTGAGGCCTTTGCTGTATGTTTTTCTCGTTCCCTCTTCTCGACTATCCCTGACCAATTGCCAGGCTGCTGCTGAATCCGCTACTGCGGGACCTCTTCCCGCTGAGCCCTCTGGTTCTGAAGAGCCCGACTCTCCCAGCGGTAGCAACACCCCCACCGGCAGTGGTGCTGGTTCTCAGCCCTCCGATGCTCCTGGCGGCGCCGATGGCGAAGACGCTGACGCTGATGGTGCTATCCGAACCAGCGCCGCCTTGCCAGTCTTGGCCGCCGCCCTGCTCGGTCTTGCTCTCTAAATTCCTCAGTGTACAATACGGTTCGGAACTAGTTACCAGTATTCGACTGTTACTTCTATTGAAATATTACATTGATTCTGGCTCCCACCTTCCCCTAACGAATTCAAGGCGAATGGTTAATCTGGGCGGTGCATCAGCCCCTAAGAACGCGGCACCATTTGGGGTTTGGCCCGTTCAGCGCCATCATTACACCTCTTGCACTTGAACCATTCGGTCGACTGTACATAAAGTGCTACAACCTTGACGCTACACATTACACTGGCGCGACAACGACAGTCAACAAAGAGCAGGTACTGAGCAGACATGGACGCAATACGAGTGTCCAAGGTGTGTAACTCGTGCAGGCCGATGATAATAGCACCGACATTCAACATAAACACTTGAAGGTCGAAGGTGTCTCGTTCACCAAGGCTGGAAAAACGAACATCGGCACTATCCATTTAACAGCCCACCATATCATCTTCCGCTACCGAGAAAACGAGGAGGATCAGGAACTCTGGGTGAGCGCTTTCTCGACCTCATCTCGACGGACACCTGTGTTAACACTTGCCTCGAGGTCCCATATCCTTTGATATCGCTTGTGACTCGATTACCCCAGACACTGAATGGAAGGTCGCCATTGGATTTACATACACGGACCTTTGAAAGTTTCACCTTTTCGTTTGAAAAGGATCCGGATGCCTTGAACGTCTTCGAGAGCGTGAAAGAGTTGACCGTAGCCAGTATGTTCCCGCCCTTACCCCTGAACTGTGCAACTCAAAAACCGCCGGTAGCGTCTGTGACACAGCTATACGCATTCTTCTACACCCCAAACCCGCCTTTGCCAACGAACAACGGATGGTCGATATACTCGCCTAGAGAGGAGTATGGACGGATGGGAGTTGGAACGAGGACAAAGGCCTGGCGATTCACGGATATCAATCGGGACTATTCTGTGCGTCCTTTTCCTAAACTTCTTTTATTGAATATGAATGACTCCTTAGCGCACTGCTTAGTTCGCTCCCACATATCCCTCTCGTCTGGTCGTACCTACCAAAATCAGCGATACTACGCTCCAGTACGCCTCCAAGTACCGGAGCAAATGCCGGCTTCCCGTTCTCACCTACCTTCATTGGGCCAACTACGTAGGTTTATTGGCATCTGCATCGAATAAGTTCTAACAGCCAACAGGGCACTCTGACGAGGTCAAGTCAACCAATGGTTGGCATCACCCAGAACCGATCCGTGCAAGATGAAAAGCTTATCGAGGCGATATTTCAGTCCCACTGGTCTCCGGAATCCAGAACCTCAAGCTCTCCTGTCTATGGTGCAACTTCCACCAACCTCATCATCGATGCTCGTCCGACCGTCAACGCGGTGGCCAACTCCGCCAAAGGCGCCGGCACTGAAAACATGGATAACTACAAGGAAGGGAAGAAAGTGTACCTGGGAATCGACCACATCCACACCATGCGAGAATCGCTCGCAAAGGTTGTAGAAGCACTACGAGAGGCTGATACCTTGCTGGCAAGCTTCAGGAACGACATTCCTGACACCGTGTCCACACTGGATCGGCAAGCCCTTCGTCGATCCGGCTGGCTACGCCATATCGCTGCGATCCTGGAAGGAACTGTCCTCATTGTCAGAAATGTGCACGTCAACTCGTCCCATGTTCTCATCCATTGTTCCGATGGATGGGACCGAACTTCTCAACTCTCCGCCATGTCGCAAATATGCCTGGACCCATTCTACCGGACCATCCGAGGATTTGAAATCCTCGTCGAAAAGGATTGGCTTTCCTTCGGTCATAAATTCCTTGATCGTTGCGGTCACTTATCATCGGAGAAGTTCTTCCTGTCGCCTTCGTCGTCGGCCGAACCTGGCAGTGGTGCTGAAGCAGCACAGGCGTTCTTCACGTCTGTCCAGAATCGATTCACTTCACAAAACCATATCAGGGAAACCAGTCCTATCTTTCATCAGTTCCTCGAAAGTGTCCGACAACTTCAACGACAATTTCCAGAGCGTTTTGAATACAACGAACGGTTCTTGCGACAATTATATTACCACCTGTACTCATGTCAATTCGGAACCTTCCTATTCAACACCGAGCGAGAGCGGAAGGTTGGAGATGGGATCGACCCACCCGCGACGGAACGAACAGTCAGCATTTGGGACTTCTTCAATTCACCGGCGGAGATGGCTTTGAACACCAATCCCTTATACGACCCCTCCTTGGATGACCCTAAAGGTCGCGACATGGGTGTCCTGATTCCAAATTCAAAGGACATTCGATTCTGGCATGAACTGTACGGAAGGACGGATGAAGAGATGAATGGGAGGCTGGCCCAACCTCCAGCGCCCGAAGTTGTAGGTCCTGTCGCCAGTGGAGATGAGGACGCGGGGACTGACCGACCTATCACGCCTTCCAACGCACTTTCTGATTCTCCATCAGCGTCGGCGGCTCTTCCGCTTGCCTCGTCGCAGGTCTTGAGCCTGCCGGCAGGTTCACGTAGCGCCTCGCCATCCGTGGATGCAGGGCTCAAGAATTTATCTCTATCAGCACCGTCCCTCTCCGCTCCCAACCCTGCACGGCGCAGCAGTGTCAACTCGGGGTCGCCAGGATCGTCTACGTCAGCCTTGCGGGCCCATACTTCTTCCTCTTCGCCGCCGCCATCGTCTTCTCCACTATGGGGGAGAGCCAAACCTCCAGATTTCCTGTCAAGCACCGGTGTCAAGTCTGTGTGGGGCAGGCTGTCGTCGAATGCCACTGCAGCGTTTTCTGTCGTCCAGGACGCATACGCTGGTATGGCCAAGGACCTGAATAACAACTTTGCCAGCGGAAGTGAAGATGGCACTCAGAAAACATCAGAGTTGCGAAGTCGAGAAGCATTGCGGACCTGGGGTGAGGGATCCGAGTCGTCACCCCCTTCAACGCAGCCCTCGTCGATATCACCTGGCCCTACCTCTCTCCCCTCCCTTACCCTAACGAACCCTTGGGCAACAGCCGCTCCAAGGTCGTCACGAGCGGCAGGACTATCCATTGTGGAAAACAATCCCTGGGGTTCTAATTTTAACAGCGATTCCGAGCCGATATCGTCGCAAAGCCAGACGGGTCCGGATCCACTAAGCGCCCTGCCCGCCGACCCCACAGTGGAAGTGCCCTCCGCTTCAAGGCAGAACCCGGCCACGGTCAAGCGAGTACCGCAACGCGAAGTGTCTCCTCCACCTCGAGAAACGGCCTCGGTGAACATCGATCCCCTTGGAGTTGGGCTCCGGTAAACTAGTGTAACATGAAGTTCAACTAGCGGGACCACTAGTCCCAGATTTAGCGTTACTTTGGTTAATCCTGAGAACCGGAGAACTGATTGGCCGGATGTCGAGACATTGCTCTCTCTTTCGAAACGAGGCATTGTGATCATTGTACAGTAATACTTGCAGGTCATAGACTCATGAAATAGGAATTAAACCTGGGTCCTTTGGGTTCTCATACGATTTGGCGAATCAAGTGTTTAGCGTCGAACGGATGGCGTGACACTGATAGTATCGCAAGTGTGATTAGTCAGCTTCAGATTGACCATAAAATTTGGAACGAGATTGATTGAACTGCAGCGAACGATTTCCCTTCCCTTCTCTCCATACCAGCTCAGCAGTCAGTCTAAAGTTCGAAATGGCCAACGGAAGCGCTGCCCCCACCGTCCACGCTGCTCTGGCCCCTGGTCACTTCTTGTTCACCTCTGAATCGGTCGGCGAAGGCCACCCCGGTATGTCTTTTCCCTGTTATTGTCGCGTCGCGGCCATATCTCATCCTGGCCCCATCAGATAAAATCTGTGACCAGGTCTCCGACGCCATTGTGAGTATTTGGTTTTTAAAAAATCATCAATAGCTTAACATCGACGCGTTTTTAGCTCGATGCCTGCCTTGCTGAGGATCCTTGGTCCAAGGTCGCCTGCGAGACCGCCTCCAAGACTGGTATGATCATGGTCTTCGGTGAAATCACCACCAAGGCCAAGCTCGATTACCAAAAGGTCATCCGTGAGACCATCAAGAAGATTGGTTATGATGACTCCTCCAAGGGTTTTGACTACAAGACCTGCAACATCCTCGTCGCCATCGAGCAACAGTCCCCCGACATTGCCCAGGGCTTGGACCATGGGTCTCTCGAGAACCATGGTGCTGGTGACCAGGGTATCATGTTCGGTTATGCCACTGATGAAACTGAGGAATACATGCCACTGACCATCGTCCTGGCCCACAAGCTTAACAAGGCCATGGCTGATGCTCGCCGCAGCGGAGAGCTCGGCTGGCTCCGACCTGACTCCAAGACCCAGGTCACCATCGAGTACAAGAAGGAGGGTGGTGCTACCATCCCTCTTCGCGTCGACACCGTCGTCATCTCCACCCAACACGCTGAGGAGATCACCACCGAGGAGCTCCGCAAGGAAATCCACGAGAAGATCATCAAGCGCGTTATCCCTGCCAACCTCTTGGATGACCGAACCATCTACCACGTAAGTCGATACGCCACAATCAGCGGTCGAATCGTTGAATTCAACGTTTGTGTTTAGATCCAGCCCTCTGGCCGCTTCGTCATCGGTGGTCCTCAAGGTGATGCTGGTTTGACTGGCCGAAAGATCATCGTCGACACCTACGGCGGTTGGGGTGCCCACGGTGGAGGTGCTTTCTCCGGAAAGGACTTCTCCAAGGTCGATCGCTCCGCTGCCTACACTGCTCGATGGATCGGTGAGTTACTTGTTCACCATTGTCGTCTCCGGCATTCATCCATTCCCCTTTCTAGCCAAGTCCCTCGTCGCTGCTGGCCTTGCTCGCCGCATTCTTGTTCAACTCTCCTATGCTATCGGTGTTGCTGAGCCCCTCTCCGTCTACGTCGACACCTACGGTACCGGCAAAAAGACTGACGCCGAGCTCGTCGAAATTATCAACAAGAACTGGGATCTCCGACCTGGTGTCATTGGTATGGCTTCCTTGACCATTTGACGCGGCTGTATTTCTCACTCTTCCTTTTAGTCAAGGAGCTCAGCTTGCAGAAGCCCCAGTACCTCCAGACCGCCTCTTACGGCCACTTTGGCAACCCCGACTACTCTTGGGAGAAGCCTAAGCAGCTCAAGCTCTGAGCAACCACATCAACTGTTACGCGGACCAATAATTGGTGCTTGGCGTTGTATCTCATTGTTTTGTAGCATAGGAAGTTCATCCTTCCTCCCTTGATCTCATTGCATTTTTTTATTAATTTTCAGATACCACCACCTTCATTCGTCGCCGTCTGTGCATCTTTATCCGGGCTCACGTTATCCATACCGTATGGATTGTAGAATATCATCCTCACCCTATCGCTGTCATCTAGAAGTAGTAATGTGTATGTAGAAACAGAATGGAAACAGGCGTTCAACCGCGCAATCGACATGAGTGATGAGGAGATTAGGGCTTTCGGACTCGGAGCTGCGACTCCGACTGAGAAATCTCGGGAACACGTGGGGAAAGAGCGATCTCAAACGGAACCCGGGATGATCGATGCGGGAAATTTGCAGATACAGTACTATGCCCTCCCCTGCTCGACCCGGACACAATTCATTTCACCTTTGCTTCCTCTGCGATAGTATTCTGCGTTAGGGTCCAGACAGAACAGTGCGTCTGAATAGAATTTGCTCATGGGAGTTTCGCTGACAGACATATCTTATCTCTGCCGCAGTGTGCGGAATCTTAGGCTTGTTCTTGCACGATCCGAACGTCGATGCTGCCCCCGAAATCTGTGAGGGGTTGTCATTGTTGCAGCATCGGGGCCAGGATGCATGCGGAATCATCACCTGTGGACCCAAGGGCCGTCTCTATCAATGCAAAGCGAACGGCATGGTTAGAGATGTCTTTGACGCAACTGCTGTGTCCAGGCTAATTGGCAGCATGGGTGTCGGGCATGGTGTGTTGACCTTCCTTTCAAACATTTTTTTACTGAGCCTGATATGACTCTCGTCAGTGCGATACCCGACTGCTGGAAGCTTCAACAACGCAGAGGCCCAACCGTTCTATGTCAACTCGCCATATGGCATCTGTTTTGCTCACGTAGGCCACCCAACTCTACCAAACCTTCAGAATCTGATCATTTTTCTTTGTCGATCCAGAACGGCAACCTCGTCAACACCGAGACCCTCATCCAGTTCATGGATGAAGAAGCTCACCGTCATATCAACACCGCGTCCGATTCTGAACTCTTGCTCAACATTTTCGCTTACAACCTCCAACAAACTGGAAAGTTTCGCATCAATGAAGAGGATATCTTTACGGCCTTGACGGCCATGGTCAAGCAAGTCAAGGGTGCTTATGCCTGTGTCGCTATGCTCGCTGGATTTGGAGTTATCGCTTTCCGAGATCCGAATGGTATCAGGCCTGTCGGTATGGCAAAGCGGAAGTCTGGTTGTGGATATGATTATATTGTGGCCAGCGAGAGCGTTGTCGCTGATGCTGGAGGGTTCTCCGATTGGGATGATGTCAAACCTGGTAAGGTGTTTTTTCCCCCCTGCATATCTTGGTGTGGTCCCATCTAATGGTCTCCCCCCAGGCGAGGCCATCATCATTACGCGAAACAAAGTTACCCGAAGACAGATTGCGGAACCAGCAACTTTCGCTCCTGATATCTTCGAATATGTCTACTTTGCTCGACCTGACTCCGTGATCGACGGTGTGAGCGTGTATCGGAGTAGGATGTCGATGGGTGATGTCCTGGCCGAAAAGGTTCGGAAAATCGTCGAGCAGGAAAATATCCAGATTGACGTCGTTATTCCTGTGAGTGTCCTTTTGCTATGCGTCTACTATCGTCGAGGCTAAAGTTTCTGCGAAGGTCCCTGATACCTCAAGAGTTGCTGCGCTGAACCTGGCCCAGAAGCTTAGACTTCCTTATCGTGAAGGTTTCATCAAGAACCGCTACGTCGGAAGGACCTTCATTATGCCAGGCCAACAAATGAGGTATGGGGTCCAGCTTGGCCACCATTCGACCTCACTGACATATTTTTTTCAGGAAGAAGAACGTGCGACGGAAGCTCAATGCCATGGCGCTAGAGTTTGCCGACAAGAACGTTCTTATCGTTGATGGTAAGCTCCTCTACTGTTCTCCAACCAGGCCTGACTGCTCACGTCCCATGTTCAGATTCTATCGTCCGCGGCACCACCTCCAAGGAGATCGTTCAGATGGCCAAAGATGTCGGGGCTAAAAAGGTTATCGTGGCGAGTTGCGCACCACCGATTCGGTATGTAAACCCACAAAAATCTCTTGCAATACCTGACCATGATCCCGAACGGACAGATATCCCAACGTCTACGGTATTGACATGCCGTCGCGAAAGGAGCTGGTCGCGTACGGCCGTGACGAGGAGGCCATTGCAAAGGCTATCGGTGCCGATCGGGTGATCTTCCAAACCCTCCCAGACCTCGAAGAGTCGGTCAGGCAATGGAATCCGGCAATCACATCCTTCGACTGCTCCGTGTTTAATGGCGAGTACATCACTGGCGGCGTCGACGAGGAATACTTGCAACACGTCGAGTTCCTCCGTGCGGATAATGCGCGGGGGAAACTACAGCTCGACACAGCTTGCTTGGAGCACAAGGGCGCAAACGGCGTGAACGGCAGCGTGGACAGGGAAAGGGCCAGCTATACCAACTCCAGTACACCTGTTACTGGTACTGATGATACCGTCGGATTGCACAACACATTCACTACTTACACGCCCAAGTAAGTTGATTTGCAGTTCAAGAGGGTGAGAGAGAAGAAACAAAAGGCCTTCCCGGGGCCGTATATCCGTATGCCTGCTGGGTCTTGTGGGATAAAGTTGAGTAGTATGTAACCATCTAGTGTATTTTTATCATCTATTGTACCGGTTAGATCTTTTAGAGATATGTGGTAATGACTCCAAAGTCGATATGGTGAATCGTTGAAGGGAATAGTCTAGTCGACGTCGCACCCAATTTCGTCCTTATCGAAGAATCCCTTGAGCCAATTGGCCTCTTTGACCATCTCCTCCATCGTCCGTGGGGGTCGAGCATCGTCAGCATCGACTTTAAGAGGCTGGTAATCTTGTGTTGTTTGACGCATGTCTGAAGAGAGGCCCGCTTCTGCTTTCTCGAGTTCTGGATAGATGGCGTCGTTGTTTTCTGAGAAGCGGTCCCCTTGGAGTTTACGCGGGAGAATGTGAAAGTGGACGTGAGGAACAGATTGCCCCGCTGCTTTACCGTCCTGAATTTCCACTTGATGAGTTGCATGACGAGAGAGACTGTGTGTTGAGACCTGCCTGACAAGCAATCGTCAATGCATCCGCTCCGTAAACGCGTTCAATGACGTTTCCGACGCGGCTAACGGAACGCATGAGCGAACCAAGCTCGGTGTCTGAGGTCTGGTTATTCAAAAAAGTAGAACAAAAAAGAAGAAATACAGGACGCACCGTTAAGGTCAGCTAGACGAGGTACAGGTCTCGTCGGTATGACCAGGACGTCTGACTGAGTGCTTAGGGTCGTTCTTGTCCGTACAGTGTCAAGCAGCTGGCTTACGTCCCGGTACTATGGGTTTGAGATTGACAATAGCATAGCTTAGCGCGTTTCTGTAGAAAGCCTGAGATGTGACCTCGAACGTCGAGAATAGAAGGGCGCTAGGAGACATCGTGGATGCAGAGGAGAAAGTGACGCCGAGTCCAAGTCTTGCGCACCGTGTCACCGGCAGACAGGCGGTCCGGTGGCGTGTCCAACGCGTTCTAACTTCTCTAAACCACGCTCTTGACCCTTGCTCTGTTCTGTGTAGTAGTAAAAGGTCCACTATGCGCTCTTTGACTTGGAAAGTTCTTTATCTTCCTCTGGCCCTGGCTGCAGATTCGGCGTGGAACGGATTTGTGCTACCTGGCTCAACCACCGCAACTCCATTCACCCCGTACTACGTCCCGCCTGGTGCTGAAAGCTACGATTCTAACCACCCTGCTATACATTACTCTGGTCGATGGAACGAAAGCTATGGAGTGGGCTATATTAACAACTCTGTAATGTCGACCGTGCAACGCAACGCTTCAGCAGACTTTCGCTTCATCGGGACAGGAATCGAATGGTTTGGGACGACTGACAAGAGGCATGGAACCGCGAATGTTTATATCGACGGCCGATTTATACGGAATGTTGACGCTTGGAGGAACTATGATAATCCGAGAACTCAGCAAAGGATATTCTCGAAGCTAGATCTTCCACAGGGAGCTCATTCCTTCAGGATCGTCAACCTTGGTGGAGGGACTCGTGGTCGAGGAGAACTCATGGATCTTGACGCACTGGTGGTGACCAAAGGCCGCCGTGCCAGCGTACTCTCCAACCTCACACAGAGCCTAGAAGGACGCGACGGTCCTGCATGGACCCTTCGCGAGCAAGGAAATACTGGTGTCAACGCCATGCAATTGGCCGTCGTTTCTCCCACCCATGTCCTGGTAGTCGACAAAGTGGAACATAACCCGCTGGACGTCAACGGACACCCCGCGTGGGGTGCATTGTACAATCTCGAAACCCATGAGGTGACCCCACTCAACATCCAGTCCAACTCTTTCTGTGCTGGAGGATCCTTTCTCAGCAATGGGACGATGATCAATGTCGGAGGAAACCCTGTCGTGGAGTCTTACACCTCGTCTGCTGAATTCGGAGACTTGAACGGCCTTCAGGCCATTCGCCTTTTTCACCCATGCGACGATGACTCTTCAACTTGCGACCTTTTCGAAGACCACGACAACATTCGAATGGCCAGCCCCCGGTGGTACAACACCGTGCTTCGCATCAGCGACGGAAGTGCGATGATCATTGGGGGCTCGAGGAAAGGCGGGTGGATCAACAATGCGACAGTCAGCAACCCCACCCTCGAATATTATCCACCAAAGAACATCCATGGTTACAATGGAATGCCTATACCCCTTCCCTTCTTAGAGGATACCCTCAACTCTAATCTATTCCCCATTGCGTTCTCTTTGCCGAATGGCCGCATCTTCGTCGCAGCGAACCAAGATGCGATGATCTACGATTGGAAGACCAACACCGAAAGTCGCTTGCCAAGGATACCAAATGGTGTGCGAGTGACTTATCCCATGGCTGGCACCGGGTTGTTACTCCCTTTGTCGCCAGAGAATAACTACCAACCAGAGGTTCTAATCTGCGGAGGATCTGCGATCGATGACCGGAGGGCCAGCTACGACATCAGCTCACAGGAAGCTGCTTCCGCACAATGCTCGAGGATCGTCCTTACAGAAGATGGAATCGCCCGAGGCTGGCAAACAGAGAGTATGCCTCAACCTCGACTCATGCCCGACGCTGTGTTACTCCCGACGGGCGACGTCTTGATCGTGAATGGCGCTGCTTCCGGAATCGCTGGCTACGGAAATGTGCGCGACCAAGTTGGGGCTTCCAACGCTGATAATCCCGTCCTGACCCCCGTCCTGTACTCGCCTACGAAGGAGGCTGGAGCCAGATTCTCGTCCGATGGTATGCCCGCGAGCGATATTCCGAGACTGTACCACAGCACTGCTACCTTGACTCCCAACGGTGAGGTTATGATTGCAGGGAGCAACCCCAACCTTGACAGGAGCGACTTACGGTTTGGGACGGAGTATCGAGTGGAGTGGTTGAGCCCACCCTATATGCAGCAGGAAAGGCCGGAAATTGTGAATGTCCCTGGACAGGTACGGTTCGGGGAAAGGATAAGTCTCGAGGCTACGTTGCCGGTCGAGAACGTCAAAGGTGAGTCGACGAATCTCCTGGCTTTGCCTTAAGTAACCCACGAGGCCCGGTGTCCAGTCGCGTTGATGGACCTTGGATACGTGACCCACTCGGTACATGCCAATTCGCGCCTTGTGTACTTGAACGTCGTGTCTCAAGACGGTGGGCAAGTAGAGGTGGAAGGACCTCCCAACGGTGACGTCTACCCGCCAGGACCGGGATGGCTTTTCGTCGTCGCCGGTGGCGTCCCAAGCGAAGGGGTCAAGGTCATGATCGGGGACGGCAACGACCCGCCATTTGATCAGGGAGCCCTAGACAGGTAAGCATCCCTTCTCACTGCTAAAAGTGTCTTGTTGATTCTTCCATAGCTTGCTGGCCAATCCAAATGTGAACTGAGAGCGTTACAAGGCATATTTCACCATGTTGTATCAACTTTCCTGAAATCCAGGTCATCATAGCGTCATAGAATCGTAAAAGAAAACAAGATGACATGAGTATGGTCAACGTCTAAGGTGCTTAGATGGCACGTTGCTTCATCCGAGCACTGACCGTCCTCAACCCAGCATACACCTTGCCGGGAGGTGAACCAAGGATAAGGGATACAATGGCGTCTCGAGCAATCTTGATGTTTTGGAATGAGCCCATGATATGGATTTTGCTGGAGAGGGTTAAAGGCGTCAGAGATTTGTCCCCCCGCAGTCCTGACCGACGAGAACTCACGTATCGGCAAGGACTATTCGTGTGCGGCTTGTGTTCTCGATGGTGAACTTGGTCTTCCCGTCCTGGCCAGCGATTCGACCTGAACGAAGCGTGAGATAAGAAAGAAAAACGGGAGTCTAGAGGGTGGTGAACCTATTGCTCGAGAAAGGTGGTCTCCATGGAGTGTTTTAACGTCCTTGATCTCAAATGAGTCGAGATAAAGGTCGTCTAATCGGAGAAGGGCAATGGCGTCCTGAAGGACAAAATTAAATTCCCGAGAACCAGGGAACAAGAGATACGAAACATACGTTGACATCAAAGCCCAGAGAATAGGCTTTCACGAAATCAGCACCCTTCTGGATAGCGCCAATGTCTTTCGTCTGCTTCGAAGTCTGAAACGCAGTTAAAGCCTCAAACTGCCCCCAAACGCGACAACCACTCACCCTCATCTCCACACACCTCCTCTGAACGTTCATCCTGACTTGCAGCCCCAAGATTTCAGTGAGCGGTCCAAATATGCTCACCCAATCTTTTTTCAGCGGGGTCATACGATGTGGCGGTATCGGTACCCTTCTCGTCTCCGATTTTAGCAGGGTCCTTTGTGCACTTGCGGATGCTGGAGCAAAGAGGGGTGCTGCGGTTGTGCCCACTGAAGATCCATTCACACCAGCTGCTTGAGAGGACGAAGCACCAGTGGTGGGATCTGTGTCGATCATGATTTCGTCGTCGTCGTCGTCTACATTGTTGGTTGGTTTGGGGAAAAGGCTCGAAGTCCCTTCTTGTAGGTCTGCGGTTTCGGTAATATCGTTCATTTCTTCGTCTCCGCCATGTTGATTTTGTTGGTGCGTAGAAGTAGCAGCGGCGGCTCCGGGCTTGGAACCATTTTTGCGGACGAGTTTTCGTCGGTTTTTGCGCTGGGACGAAGGTTGGCCTTGTGTTGCTTGAGCTACTGCTACAACCATTTTTTGAGGATACAAGGAGCGCAGACGGGGTTTGTGTGAAGGGCAGGAAGAAGTTGGCGGTTGGGGGTGGAAGCAAAAATGGAGGCGCGATCAGAGTTGCGATTTTTGTCCACGCTTGATGCCTTTGGTTAGGGGCTACTAATCTCACTGAATACTCGCTTTCGATTCACGGTGAATTCGAGTGGAATAAAAGGTTCACTGGAATATCATGTCTGCATTGTTGGTTGTATGTCTGATACAAGTACAAATGATGTGAATGAATGATGAAGAATATGGAGAAACTTGAGCGAATGTGTTAGTCCCAAGCGGACAATGGGTGAGCCCGATTCGGTGCAAAGGTATATGAGGCGGACGTGAACCAGAGCAAAAAGGAAGGTAAGGTACAGATGAGTCTACAGGAAGGTCGAAAGATTCATCTTTCCTAATACGATAAAGGCCAAGTCTAAACCGAATGAGAATGAAGGGCATGGCTACACGGTATTCCGCCTCAGTCGTCGCATGAGCAGTTCCCGGGCTTCTTTGAGTTGCCACATCGCAGTTGGCTTTTCAAAGGTGTAAGGTGTTAGCGAGAAGCGACCCCTTCGGAGGATTTCCATCATTAGGAAGGAGACTAAGAAGAAAATGTAAGAATTGACGCTCTAGAATGAGGACAAGAGACTTACGGATAATTTCGACGTCAAGAGCCAGGGGATGTGATTCGAATTCGAGATAATTCGAGCCGAGGCCTGGTAGAAGCGTTGGAATGAAAGTTGATTTGGGAGTGGGGCTGCTTGGGCTCGTGGGGAGAGCGTCCTCGTCGACTACGGGTGATAATGGCTCGTCTGAGGCTGACGGTTTGGTGAAGATGGCAAGTTTGGAGGGTTTGCGCTTAACGGAGGGAGAGGGTGGTGATAGGGGCTGTTTTCCTTTCGACGACTTCAAAGGAGCGGGGAGGCGGATGCAATTTTGGTGGAAAGAGCCTTTGATCGTGTCGGTATCATAATCGAAGAGCTAGAGAGGGGTGAGCGCAGATATAACATAGGCTGGTGGCAACACCTTACGGATAGCGAATCTGCTGTTGCTAACCAAACGTATTCGGTATCAAACCGGGTTGGGATTGCGAGCACTTTGGGCCTGGAGGTGGCGGTCAGTCATAGTGTAATCCGTGAGAGGAAACATCTACCCACATGAAACGTATTGTCGAAGAGCCAAAGAGCTCGGTGAGGCCACCGATCTTTTCGTCACAGATAGCAATATCCGGGCGTCGTCCTTTCCATTGGACGTCGACAAGGACATTGCCTGAGCCGTCTGAAATCTGGGTGCGCCGTCTCTCTGTGTCTTCCGCTGAATCAGCTGAGGACACATGTGCTGGCTGGGGGTGTTTCCAATGGGCAGAAGCAGTTGAAGAAAAATCTTCTGAAGGCGTGACTAGAACAGAAGCGGTCCCTGAGAAAGGAATAGAGCTAGACGAAGATGCGTCGCAGTCGGGTAGCACCTCCGTGGTGATTTCGTAGGCACGGTCACCAGTCGCTACATCGACGAGTGAGGTGTTGAGCATATCGAGGGACGTGAATCTGAGCAACATGATGGGCGGTTGAGATTGGGAGTTTCTGGGGCCTACCCAGACTCTTAAGTATTGAGGACTTTTCTCAAAAAGGTGGAAGGCTTGTTCCTTCCCAGTTGGGAATTTCGTTTGTTATAGAGCCCTTTTCGACCATTTCTTTACACCCTCATGTGGTCCATCCCATGTATTTCAAAGGTATCGGCGAGTTAAGCGACAGGTCCCTGTATAGCCGACGATAAGCTTAAACGTGAAGTTGTTTTTGAATGCCGACTTTGACTTACTTTCCAGCGAAAAGGAACGAACTTGAGCGCTCGAGGAATCGGGGATGAGCTCTTTCGGTAATAAGTCGGCCCGATTGGATGGGTCACGTGCTGCATTGCCGCTGTTTGCTTGTGGTTGTGTTGAACCTGTGGCTGTAAACAAAGGAGAAAGCTGAACATCAACGACGACGACGAAGAGGACTACGCAGCGACGACGGCGACAACGACGGAACGACACACGCAACACCCAATTTTGCCATTAGGCGGCGCCTCAAGAGACACTTTTCGACAAGTTCCGCCTAGAATACCCACTTTCGCCTTCATTGGCTTGAGGGGATTTTCTAGTTCGCCGACGCTATCGACCTTTTCTGCCAGGTTATGGCTCATCACCGTCGTTCTCCACAAAATCGAGGAATCCCTTCGTCAAACGGCTCTCCGACCGCTGCTCGCAGAAAATATCTGCTTCGACGTGTACCGTCTCGCACATCTTCCCACGCTCTTGACCCCGAATCCATTTCGTCGCCAGTACCCAATCGGCCTGTGCTCCACCCTCTGCACAATTTACGGCGTTTGCCATCGAGGACATTGCTTGTGGAAGGGGGTGGAAAGGGTTTCAAGATGAGGCAGCCGGACCATCATGTTCAGATTGGTGCCAAGAGAAAACGCGTCGTCAGTAACAATGAAAACGCGCATACTCAGGGTCGTTCGACGCGTACAAAGCGGGTAAAGACCACGGTGGTCAATAACAAGATGTATGGTAGCACTAGTGAGGAGAGCGAATCAGAGGATAGTGGCATGGAGATCGATTTGCCTTCTGCTCCATGGCACGATGACTCAGAACCTGCGGACGAGGCCGATGAAGACGAACACTTGAGCGACGAACAACATGAACTCAATTCCAGTCAGTTGTCCTTGTCTACCGTCACTGTCCAAAACTGACAGTATTTTCAGCGGATGATCACCTTCTTCACTGGGCAACTTTCCATCAACTCAACAAGGTCAAGAAGGACGACCTCGTTCGACTTTACCGCGCCGCAAACCTGCCGGAGGATCCAGAATTGCTCACAAAGGCCGAAATCATCACTGTTATCATGGATGCTCGGCAGGACGAACTCGCCTCTCTCCCTCCATCTTCCCCGCCGGGAAGAACTGATGCGGCATCCTCTGACTACTCAAGTGATGAGGGTAATGTTGCAGGTGATGAGGAGACAGACGCAGGTCCTCACTATGATGCTCCAGGTGCGCTGAGAAGGCGTGTAACGATGCATGATATTGGAAAGTCTTCACCACGTCCTATGAAAGGGCGCAGCCTTTCAATGGGCAATGTTATGGCCCCGCAATCCAATGGCCACCAGGGACTGAAGCGGAAGGCTTCGTTGAGGATTCAAACAGAAGCGCTGTCCAGGTATGCATTCTTCGTACGTTGCAATCCATTTTACTCACCAACATAACGCCGACAGGCCTCGCACTTCCAAGGATTCTTCCCCCAGCACTTCTGCCCTCGCATCTTCGAGCACACAATCTCCTCCTGGGCATCGTCTTCGTTCCCGGAAAGTTTCAGCCTCAACTCCAGTCGACGTTCCTACCCCGACCTCCGCCGCCAGCAAAGGCAGAGGAAAGGGCAAGAACAAACAAGTGGAGTTTAGCACTGAGATTGTTCAGGTCAAGTCGACTTCCCGACGTAGTAGTCAGAAGGAGAAGGACCGCCAACGCGAGCAAGCTGAGGCTCTTGCAGAGGAAAGCGATCTTACCGATTTGGACGATGCTCTCCCAGTGCCAACATCGCGCCCTCAGCCGAGCCCACGACGATTACGAAGTAAAGATCGGGGACGAACTCATATTGACTCGAAGAGCAGGGAAAGCGACGACGCCGACCATACGCCGACTTCCAAATCACGTTCCGCGAAAGCCATGCCCCAATCTCATTCTAAACCGCAGCCGAAACGAGTGACCCCTATGCGCAAAGCGAAGGGCAAGATCAAGAGCCTAAAGGAGTCTGAGACGGAGGCTAGCCATGAAGAGGATGGATCGGAAAACAGTGAAGAGGACGAGGAAGGGCAGGAAGTGGAAATGGAAATGGAAGAAGACGATGGTGAAGGGGAGATGGAGGAGGACCAAGATGCAGACGTTCAGGGGGGCGATACGGGAGAGGAGGACGAAGTCGATGAACTTGTATCATCAGCGTCCATTACCCCCCCTCCATCGAACACGTATGCTCGAAAGACACCGCTGCGTCAAAGACTACGCCGTAGGCCATGCGCTACCACTGCGGAATTGGATGCTGAAGAGAATGAAGGCGACGACGAGCACGAGGAAGATGCGGATGGCGATGATGATGACACCGAGACTGTGGATGGCCACGATGGTGATGAGGGGGAGGATGACGAGTCTACCATCGCTGTTGAACCCCGTCGGCTCCGAAATGGGAAGATTGTCGGCGACGAAGAGGCCCACATGGACGAGGATGACGGCGGTAGCGCTGAAGGTGGCGAAGAGGAAGCCGAGGAAAGTGAAGAGACCGAGGGAGAGCCAATCACTGTCGATGAGACTGAAGAAGAGGCAGAAGAAGACACCATGGAAGACGAAGGTAAGTATGCAATGCCTTGCATCATAAACGTGTCTTCAACACGCCTTATTTATAGTGGACCTATCTGTCGCGACTGCCAAGACCTTGGTCCGCCTTCGGCGCGATGATCTCGTGAAGCTATGTGAGACTCGCAACCTTGAGCCAATAGGCACAAAGCCACAGCTTGCCGAAGCACTTCTTCAATGGCGGGACCGCCACGCCAACGGGTCCTCGTGCCCCTCTTCCACGGGAACGGTGCGGCCGCCTTCGACAGCAACCACAAGTCGACGTCGACGGAAGAAACAATCCAGCAGCTCCTCTGTTCCTGTTCTTCTGCGGTCGCAGAAAGTCCACGATGATGAACCGCGCACCCCCGTCCCTGGCAAGGAGGCCAAAGACAAGGAGAATGATGAGCTTGAGCTTGATCTCGAAAGTCTGGGCCTTGAAGATCGAGAAATCCCGCCCGAAAAGATCCAGAAGTTGGAGAAGATTGGTAGCGGAGGTTTCAAAGATGTTTTCATTGGTAAATTCAGAGGTCGACGGATCGCTATTTCTGAATTCCGTGGCCAACTGAGCGCAAGTAAGTTTATCGTGTGCTCGTTGTATCGATGGGTGGTTATTAACCTCGTCTGCCTTTCTAGTGGATATCAAGGAGCTTAAACTCCTTGGTGGCTTTGACCACCCGAACATTGTTCGCTTCGTGAGTAGGGGTTTTAAACATTGACTGTGATGGCTCTGACCTTACCTTATTCCAGCTCGGCGTCAGTATCCCAGAGAACACCAAGGAAACACCGGTGATGATTGTCAGCGAATTGTGCTCGAATGGCGATCTGTTTGACTACATTCGCAATGTCAGTGCGCCCTCACTTCACAAAGTTGTATGTCCATTCCCGCTTTGCTGCCAACTCCACCGCCTCACGTTCCTCCTTATTCCCGCTTAGCTTACTATGATGCTTGATATTGCTCGCGGCTTGGAATACCTTCACATGCGCAAACCGTCTGTTATTCACCGAGACTGCAAATCATCGAACATCCTTATCACTGCCAAAGGCGTTGCCAAGATTGCAGATTTCGGTCTTGCCAAAGTGAAACAGTCGACAAGATCAATGGTTCGCAGCCTAGTCGGAACAGTCAACTGGCAGGCCCCTGAACTGTGGACGGCGCATCCCAAGTACAACCATAAAGTTGATGTATTTTCTTGTGCCATGGTCTTTTGGGAGATGCTTCAGTGGCACCTTCCAAACAAGAAGTTCCCTTGGGAGGTGAGGAGTGTTTTCTCGTCTCAACTCGAAGCACTGGAATTCTTACTTGCTACAAGGGAATGAATGAACATGCTATATACGAGCAAGTTGGTGCCAAAAAGCAGAGGTGTGTACACTTGCCTTTATGCTGTCGTGACGTGCTAACTGCCAGTTTCAGACCATCAATCACTGGTTTACGAAAGCAATGGTGCCCGGAAATCGTCACTCTGATAGAAGAGATGTGGGCCCAGGATCCCAGCGACCGCCCTACGATGTCGAAAGTGGTAGAAACCCTCGAAGACCTTGTTAGGCAATATTGACGTGCTGTACTTTTTCCTTCTTTCGCAACCGCTCTACTTGCCACCGTTCGGTTTCTTCGATGCTCACTCTTCTGACCACATCCATTTAAGTTTTAGTAGACACCATGCAGACATTTTACATGTATTGTTTCGCCGCCTTCCGTTTCATAGGCGTTACTACATCTTCGCACCTTTCTACACTTCACTCACTTTTAAGCACATTCTTTCGGGGTTTTTATGTTATTCTTTAACAGACTATCTATCGGCCTTGGTACTTGATGAACTTTATTCCCCTGCGCACTGTATCTTAGTAGCTCAATCATGACAAATTCACTACCACCAAACATACATATGGACTAATACAACAGTAGGGATCAATCCATTCTTAGAATCATCGCGTGCGGTCTCGTTTGAACTTTGAGACCTTGGCCGGGGTAGAAGATTCGGAACTTGGTGCAGGCGGTTTTGTGATTGGTTTGGATTCACGAACAGTAGAAGCAATAACTGTAGGGGGCCGATCCGGTCTCGACGTTCTTGGAGGAAGCGATCCCTGAACAGGGGTAGTGAAAGTCCCATTAGGGCCTTTCATTCCTCCCGTTGGAGGGAAGGATGGGGATTCGACGATCATAGAGAATGATGCACGACTGGTCGATGATCCTGGTGAAGGTGCAAAGGAAGATGAATCCACAATCATCGACATTGGGTTAAGGGACGTTGTCGAAAGTCCTTCGGAAAGCTTCGGTGCAGCTTGTGCTGTCGGAGACGCGGTTTTTGGAGACGACCGGTTTAAATCACTGACAGGCGTGGGCGAAGGGGACAGACTTTGTACCGAGTCTGAAGGTCGCCCGGCTGCTGCTCTTGAAACCTTGAACTTGGATACAGGATTCTTAGTGTTCAGGGGAGGCAGAGTTTTTGAGGGGTCGTCGACTCGGGGTGCAGACGATGTGCCAGTCCCACGTGCGGCGTCCTGAGGATGCACGGTGTGGATATACTCTCCATTCGGTCCCAGATTGTAAACCTCCCCCTTCCTGAGAAGCTGAAGGACCTCTTGCATCCCTTCGTCTTCGAGTTCGCTCGCGCTGTCGTCCTCTCCTCCTACGAGATTTCCGTCTTCGTCGAGCTTCCCCGTCCGGATAGATTTCTGGATCGTTTTAGCGGTTGCTACAGGTACCACCGAGGTCGGGTTACTTGCTCCGTAGGCAGAGGCGAGTTTGTTGGCTCTGAACTGCGAAACGGCCGGTTTCTGTGATTCTTTGAAGGATATACCGACGCTTTCTTCCTGTAACGGACGATGTCAGCGGTGGTAATTCTTTGGACCGCAAGGATCCATACCGTCTCAGTTGCAGGTGTTTCAGTTTGCGATGAAAGTTCCTGCATTGCTGTAGCGGCGGCTTGTCCAATCGCAGCTCGCTTCTGGAGATATTCCAATTCGACCTGTCGCTGCAGAGATGCATAGTCCAAGTCCGTCTCTTCTTCTAGCTCTTGATCTGAGCCACCATCCAGTGACTGGTCGTCTAAGTCCGATTCGTCGTCCGAATCCCTTTCTGACCGTGTAGGCGGTAAAGGACTTCGCAATGGTTTGCTGACCGGAACTCGTTCGACAACATTCATTTTCATCGTGGGTCTACTGACTGGTTTCAATTGGCCTGGGATGACATCGCCCCAACTCTGTTCCCTATACTCGTCGTCCCCTGAAGCAACTCCCGGAGCAAAGGTCACCGTCTTTTTTGCGACAGACGCAGAAGCGGCCTTCCGTTTCGCGTCAGATTCCTCGTCCTTCAACCTTTGAATCTCCTTCTCCCTCTCATCCTTCGCTCTCGACTCACCCAAGTTTTTGATGAGAGCCTTTCCCATCCTTTTCTGCATCTCCTTAGCAGCCGCGAGGCGCTTCTTCTCGTTAGCAGCGGCTTCAGCCCGTTTCCTTGCAATCTCTGCAATCTCTGCCCTCTCTTTCTCCCTCTCTTTCTCCTCTTCTGCGCGTTCCTCGGCCTCGAGCATGTCAAGTAGGCGTTCGCGATGTTGGCTTAGACGTTCACGAACAGATGGGGCAACTTGGTCCAACTTTACAATTGGATCGCGGTCCATAAAGATTAATTCCTCTGATTCATTTCCAGGGACCGGCTCTGTGATGTCGACGATGGGCAAGCCCTCTTCGTTGACCAGCTAATAGATGGATCGAATCGCTGCCCGGTGAGATAGAAAGCGATGGGCCTACCTCTCCACGTTCGTTTCTTTTCGGAGTGAAGTCCTGGATGGCATCGAATCCGACGATTTCACTCAGCCTCTCCGAGAGCCTTTGAATTGCTTCAGGTGAAAGATTTGTCTTCGGACCACTCGAGCCAGTATCGACATTGGTAACGGATTCGATCAGTGAGCGAAATGCTGTAATATATTGTGAGATTAAGGCTTTCTATGAGGCAAAAAATAAGAGGTGACCTTGCTGTTGGCTTTCATTGGTTGACGACATCGTCGGGGAGCAAGTCCTAAATGCCAAGAGAGCCTCCGGATCACGCTAGGTGCTCGTGGCGGTGCTCGTGGTCACACCGCCGTGTGACCCAAGCGCGTCTTGTCACAGACGCGTCTCGAGCCTCCTCCACAACGGCCTGCTCAGCACCAACAACAACTTGGAACGCGTTTTTCGACGGGGATCACGCGTGAAATGTCTCTCTTTAAATCCAATGGACTCTTGGGTCTCGGTTCGACCTCAACCGCCCTTCAGGAAGACCGCCAATCGCCTCTGGACAACATGATTTCAGCTCTCAAGCCCAACGGCTTGCTGGGCTCGAACAGGTCAAGCCCCGAACTCGACAGAACAGAAGAAGACACTCACAGCTCTGGCTTTGGCTTCAAAAGCAACGGTCTCCTCGGTGGTGCTCGTGCATCCGAAGGTGACGATGATCAGGGCGGATTTAGTTTGGGCCTGCAAAGTAACGGCCTCCTCGGAGGTTCAAGCAGTTTTGGGTCGACGAGCAGAGTATGCTGCCTATGTCCTGCATTTATCCTTTACTGAACTGTATTCAAAGGCATCATCTCCCGAAAGCCGATCGCCAGAAGCCCATGATTCCCCACCAACCTCCCCCGAACCGTTCAGGACAGCCTCGCCTCCTGCTATACCTGTACAAGAAACCACCTTATCGTCGTCAAACCGTTCAATCCGTGCAACAACATTCGATGGAAAACCGCTCCATATCAGACGGAGAGTACGGCGAACGGGAATTGCTGGGGTGAGTAGGTTTTTGCTCTCTATTCGGCGGGAAACTCATTTGGTCTAGTCAACAAGCAGTGCAAGTAATCCCGACACACTCAAATTACTAGATGTCCCAATACACAGAATGCTCGAAACCCTTTCCGTTGAAAAGGCAACGGAGCTCCAGACGACGTAGGCTTCCCACTCCTTGCCCCTTGTGAGTCTGGCTGACTGTGGCTTGTAGTCCACAGAGCGCTGCACCATCGGAAGACAAACCCGACGTGGAAGACACGCTCTGGGTGGACCGGTATCGACCCAGGAAATTTACGGATCTACTGGGGAATGAACGGGCTTCAAGGGAGGCAATGGCGTGGCTTAAACAGTGGGATTGGTGTGTATTTGGGAAGAACAAAGCGAAGAAGAGGGCTCGTCAAAAGGATGAAGACACTACTTATGAGGATGAGTACCATCGGCCCCAAGAGAAGGTGCGCGCGACCATTTTTCAACTAGCTTAGCACTCATCTACTGTGTCCTAGTTCCTCTTGCTTTCTGGCCCACCGGGGCTGGGAAAGACCACACTCGCCCATGTTATCGCGAAACAGGCAGGGTACGAAGTGATGGAAATTAATGCGAGGTAAAACCTAGTAGCACTTGGTCCCTGCCATGTCTAATACAGCCTCAAGTGATGCCCGGTCAGGCAACGTCGTAGATGACAGGATACGGCCCACTCTTGAAGCAGGGTCAACCGTTGGCAGCACAAAACCCGTCCTTGTAGTTATTGACGAAATTGATGGTGCAACCGGTGCTGGAGACAACGTATGTGTGCAGTCAATATTAGCTCTGCTCTGGAACATTTCTGAACCACTCCTAGTCCAACACGTTCGTCCACAAGTTGGTGCAGCTAACGCAAGTCAAAACAAAGAAAAAACGTAACTAGGCCTCCTTGTTCGTGGAATGCCCGACTGACACTTTTCAGAACGAAACGGAAAGCGGGATCCTCACGCAGCGCGTCCAATATTGCGCCCTATCATTTGTATATGCAATGATATCAATGCCAGCTCTATCGCCAAGCTCAGGCCCCATGCACTTCAGATCAGGTTCAATAAGCCATCCGACATCCACACCGTGAAGCGGCTGCGGGAGATTTGCGAATACGAAGGACTTAAAGCGGACGCCCGTGCACTTGCGACTTTAGTTGGCGTGGCCAAGGGGGATCTGCGAGGTTGTCTAAATACGCTTCAGGTTGGACTATTTTCGTCGTCCAGCCCTCTCGAACAGCGCTGACCCGACGCTTCTCTAGTTCATCAAGTCGAAGAAAGAGGATGTCACGGAACCCATCATTCGAAAGGCTACGATGGGAATGAAGGAGTCTGGAAGTTCCATACAATCGTGTCTCAACAGTCTATTCACCCCATTGTCCAAAAAACGAGTGAAGGAACTGGGTCTGACAGAAAGCGAGGAACGCAAATACGTCGGCCGTCTCTACCACGAAATCGACAGTTGCGGAAGGGAAACCGGTATTGCAACAGGCAAGTAAGACTCTGCGTGGCATCTATTGTATTTTAACGTTGTCTTGCAGCATGCTTTGGACATTATACTACCCTACGACACCATGACGCCAATCTCTCGAGACACGAGAGGGCTATCGAATGGTTGGTCACCTTTGATACCATGTCCAGCGCAATGTATGGCGATGGCGATTTTACTCTTCACCATTACCTACCATACACTCTTGTTCCCTTCTTCCCCTTGTTCAAAGAACGGGGCGGAGAGCGCATCGACCGAAGGCAAGTCGACTGGGAGGTCAGTGGGTCGCTCTAAGTCTGGATGTTAATTAACCTGTCGCTCTGTAGCATGTGCAACTTCTTCGGACCAATGAAGAAATCTACAAGACGCTTGGTCGAAGTCTCCGCTCAGCTGCTGTGCGGAACAACGGGGACTATCGGCATTTCAGCGAGACGCCCATTCTCCAGACGGAATTTGCACCATTGATTAACCGGATCATTTCTCCTCCGTTACGACCTGTAAGCCCTTCCCCTCGATGTCTGTCCATTGAGACCTATTCATCTTCTCTATACAGATCAATAACCAGGTGATCAAGGTTGAAGAGAGAGCGCTGTTGCAGCGCCTCGTCAGTGTCATGGTCGCAATAGATTTACGCTTTGTTCGTGAACGTAGCGAAGACGGACAGCTATCCTATCGGCTGGAGCCGTATGTATCTTTACTTTCTATCAGACCGTCCACATTCTTACTCTCCGTGCAGGCCCATTGATGTATTCATTACCTATGATGGCAAACGGGCAGCTGACATCCCTGTATCGAGATACGCTGTTCGACATCTTGTAGCTGAACAGGTCAGGTTTCTGTTCGCTGTCATTGGCATATTACTGACAGGACCTGTGCATCCAGGTGGACGCCAAGCTAACCGAGAGAGATACTGAGTACATCGAGAAAGGAAAGAGGGGCAAGCATGCTGACTTGTTCAAGTGAGTGTCTCTGAGCCCCTCGTCTTGAATAAGCGCTCAAGTTCCACCCAGGTCATCTTCCGGGTCCCTAAACCGGAGTCCTCACAAGCGCCCACGGGACACTGTGGACGGCGAGGACGTACCTGACGCTAAGCGATCTAAACTTGAGGTTGAGGAAGACCTGGCAAGTCGATTACCCTGGTTCGCCCTTTGTTCCTATCCTTTATTAACGTTCACTTCCAGGGCCCCACCGATTTCTTTGGACGTCGCATAACCGCGCCTGCCGGCAAGGGTCCCAGATTCACCACGCGAAAGGTATCTGTCGAAAAGCCCTACAAAGTCACCTATCGCTTTGCAGAAGGAAACTCTGCCGCTGTTCGGAGACCGGTAAAAGTTGCAGCGTTTCTGTGAAGGCAAGCCGGACGGACAATAGCAGTGTAATGTCGTTCTTTCTCGAATTTCTATGCGTGTATTTCTAGTCCTTTTCGATGGTACTTTTATGGATGACGATGTGCACTATTCCGTCCTGTGGTCCCATTTTGTCATACCGGTATGTCGATTGTATCGAACCGTCAGTGTCCTATGTTTCTTCCTCGATGTCTCGTATTTTAACTCTAGAGCTCGCCACCCAAATTCGACCAAATTCTGGGGCTTCCAGCTACGTCGTACGATTGGGCTCTCCCCGAAAACGGCACGAACTTCCTTGCGTCACCTCGACGAAGATCGATGGCAGACAGGGACAATCCGTTCTGGGCGTCACATCCTGCTCCGTGGCAAGTGCTCAACCATAAACTTCCTATTCTGCCAAACGTAACATCGGAAGATAAACCGCGGGCCCTGAGATATCCCTGCCTCCTCGGTGTCGTTCACATCTTCGGGCCCAACGATCCAACAGTTCTGCGTGGAGTGTCTAGACAGGCAGATCGTCGCTAGCGGTGTGAGCACTCTTTCTCGCTTTCGATTTCGCTGGCTGAGCTGGTTTCTTACTAAATCTCTGAATATTCGGATGTGTCCACTGTTTCCGTCCTTGTCAATGTCATTCAGAACTCCTCAGATGACTGGATGTCTCTGATGAGTGACACGACGCTCGCTTGGTCTTCGATTGCATTCAGCACCACGGTCTTTGGCGCTCCAAGCGCTCGACCATTCCAGTGTCGGCTATAACATTACACTTTCTCCCTTTTTCTTGAACGATCAAGTTCGACGCCGGAATTCTTCTCTGATCCCACCTGTACATCGGCTTCCATTCAGCACTTCTTTGACTTGTGGTGACACTTGGAGAGAAGGACGGTACCTTCAGGAGGATGGGTGAACTTCCGGGGTGGATAACTGATCACATCGTAGGATCCTCGACCGCGAAACGAGGCCTGAGGGCACAAGTCGAGACCACCCTCAACTGATTTTACCGGTCGACAGTGGATTCGCGGAGCCCCTCCCCTCTCCCTCTCCTTCGAACGTTGCTGCTGGCAGTACGTGTTTGACAGGCAGCGTAGTTTCTGGGTATGCATCTTCATCTCCTTTAGGGAACTTTTTTTCCGAAGGTGCCTGGGTGCAAGCTTCTTGAACGTCCCTCCGGAATGGGAAATGGGCCTGTATGCCCTGGAACTGGTATATATAGAGCGCCTGGTCGCAAAGTAGCCTCCAGGTCCTCTCAGCTATTCCCTCAGCTCAAGCACCCTTCAAAACTCTTTCTCTTGATCATGTTCGCTCGCTTCAACGCCGGTCTCCTTGCAGTTGCTCTGGCTCTCCCGGCCGTCGTCTCTGCCACCCCCGTTGTATGTCAGCGTCCTCCCTAAGTTTCCGTGCTCTTAGCTGAATTTCCCCGATAGGTTGCCAGGACTGAAAACGCCTGCAACACTGGGAGCTTGCACTGCTGCGAGTCGACCTTCTCGGTGGGTTCCATGACTGAGCGCTGAGCAGTACATTCTCATTTAACTGTCTACTTCTATCCCTCCCAGAGCAACCATCCTTCGGTTTCCACTTTGGCCGGCCTTTTCGGGTTTGTCGGCAACTTGGGAAACAGCATCGGTATCTCCTGCTCTGCCTTGAACATTGGCAGCCTTGGCGGAGCGCCGAACTGTAACCAGCAAACGGTCTGCTGCACCGGCAACCAATACGTGAGTCTTCCACCATGAGTGACTGTAACTAAATATATGGTCTGACGTCTCGTTCAGAATGGCCTCATCGCCTTTGGCTGCACCCCCTTCAACTTCGGTTTTTAATCATTCATGGACACTTTGTGAATTGTGGCCGCTTTCGGTCGAGTTCTGGTTTTTCGCGCGGACATTCTGGTAACTCGGACTATGTGCACATAGCTGTTCTGTTTTGATACGTTGTTGCCGTTTGAATGACATCGCTGTTCTCGTTGTTGGCATCGTTGCCTTTATCTGTGTAACTCCCTTTGTAAGCCCAGCCAAGACATTTTGTGATTTCTTATGTCACCCCATCCGCCTTGCCGCCCGCGCGGGAAAGATACTCGCACGATCCCCCACATGTCATTTGACCACTTAAATAAAGGCGATGGTGGGTGGAAAGGAGAGAACGCTTCCCAGCAACAGAGGAGAGTTACAATGACCAGACCTGGAGCATCATCGAAGGCATCGTGGCGACAGAAGACCCCCGATTGGGCCAGTCTTCTTCCGGAAGGTAGAGCCATCTGGCTGGAATCGCCGGCAGCTGGTGCAATGGTGCTCGCAAGCGACACTGTGACCCGTTCCAATGTGTGTAGCGCGCGGGGCTGGCAGCGGTATTAAGACCGGTAGATATGCGCTCGGGAGAAAAGGTGATCGAATACCAATAAACCTTTTTACAACTACAAAGCATCCCGAACGAAACCCAATGTACCCAATGACGAGGCAATCAACTCCAACACCCTCTTGCTTTCGCTCTGATGAACCTCCTTCAGCGTCTCCATCGGTTTCTGGAGTTCCTCGTTGGCAATCAAAACTTCTCCGTGCATGCGAAGGAAGACATTCATGAATGTCTCCACAGCTTCAAAGTCCCTATGACTTCTCAGTCTCTGGGCCAAAGCATGCATGAACTGCGCGAGACTTTCGATCGTCACCAACTGGCGGATCTCCAGATCGAGAGCAGCAGGGGATAGTGTTTTGGCGTAGTTGAAGAACTCTTCGTCTGCAGCAGGGGGTTAGGAAGGCTAGAAAATAGACGAGGGTGACAACGTACAATCGCTGTCTTCAGCTTGCTCCTGGAGCTTTTGGTAAAACACAGTGGAGGCGTCAAGAGCAGCCTTCACTAGTCGCTGTGACTTCTTGGGTTCTGCTTCCTTCTTCTCAACAGCGAAGCGCGGTTCAACTCCGGGCAACGTCGGTAGGAAAAATGGCGCCTTCTCCGGAGCCTTGGGAGGTTCCTTTGGCTTGTTGCGCTGCTGTATCACTTCGAGGTTAAGCAGGGTTTGCCATCGGGATCGAGGGAGCAATGTCAGTGTGATGAGCTCCCCGTCCAATTGATCCGGTGTTGAGAAAACGTCGACGTCTTTGTCTTGGACAGTGAGTTCTGCCAATGCATTCAAAGCTACGTCGCGTATTGGTCAGAATTTGAAGAACCCGGAGAGTATGAACGACGTACCTTCCTCCTCCGATGTTCCCTGTACGGATGGCAGCGAAACTTCGGCCACCTCGTCCTCCACAATACCATGGAAGGCTACTTCGGTGTACTGTGCGCGGTTTGCCCTATATGATTGGTTAGAAGGGCTCTGGAACAGCGACGTAATTGGAAACGTACCATAGATAGACACCCAAGCTATCGACGTGAGCTGTTGCTAGGAAGTCGTTGGTAGGAGAGAAAGAGAGTGTCGTGGCTACACTCGATGTCTTGAAGGCGTCTATCAATCGGCCTGTTGGTATATCGAAGGTTCGGATAATGGAATCCAAGGATGTGGCTACAAGCCATCGAGAGTCCGGAGAGAATGTCTGAATAACGAGACAGAAGATAAGCAGAAGGCAAACGCGTAAGACCGGTTGGGAATAGACTGACGATGTCAAGAATTCGACCTCTGAAACCACCCAGTTCACGAACGATCTTTCTGGTCTCAATGTCGATAATCCGCACGACCATATCGTCGCACACCACAGCGAGTAGGCCGCTGTCACGTTGCAAGGTCAGGGAGACTGCGGTGGAGGGCAGCACCACAGTGTGTTCAAGGTTTGCGGATTTGAAGTCGAAGAACTGTAGACCGAGATGTAAAGGCTGTTTGTTATCCATTGAAAAGAGAAGGAACATACGTTGACAGTGCCATCCATGGTGCATGCCACCAAGGTGGTATTCAACGGATCGGTCGCCAACCCGGTGACTGCCCTCTCCTTCTGCTTCTCAGAGTTAGTACCATGGATCCGGTTGGCAACTTCCGGGGGACAGGGTCCCAATTGGAATGTTCTCCTTCGAATCCCTGACTGCATATTCCACATATGGATTTGGCCTGTCGAGGAGGCAGCAATGCCAAAATTGCCGCATGCCGTGACACATGTGCTCTATGGAGAATCCAATCAGGTCACATACGAAGCAAGTCGCATCCGGCACCAACCTTGACAGAGCCCAATGTTGCTCGCGGTTTACCCTTGCCTTTGGTATCCTCCGCAAAACCAAACGTATGTTTCCCAAGTCGTTTCGATTGCATGGTCCATGTCCGAGCGAAGGTTTCGTCTGTATGACCCGTTAAGATATCGTCCCAGTCCTTAGCCCTCGCGGAAGAGTATGACATTGACGTGACTGGTGGGAATTTGAGAGAAGCGAGAGGGATAGAAAGCGAAGTAGCCTTCTTTGCTAACGAGCCTAGATGGGCATAAGTACTTTTGGTACAGGAGCAGAGATAGTTCACTCGCCTTGAGAAAGTTCGAACGACCTTGAATCTCTGACCACAGATGTGCAGCGCAGACTTCTATCTCTTGATGCGGTCAAAAGTTGTTTTCCGTCGTCGCCGTAGTATCTGATCAGATGCGGTGGTGCATGGTGTCCAGAGCGGAATTTGAGCAGTCGAGGAGGGGAGGTTGGAGAATCGAACAGCCATTGCTAAAAGTCCTGGGTGAGAAGAGTCAAGAAGAACAGTTGAATCGCCTCACTTTCACACTATTGTCTTCTCCAGAGGATATAAGGAGAGGTTGTCCTGGTACCCATTCTAGCGAGGACACGGCACCATCATGTGCGCCGCGAACCAGGTGAAGGAGGCGTCCTCCAGCGTTGAGGTCCCAGAGAGCAATGTGGCCAGCTGAAGAAGCAGATGCAAGGATTGGCTGTCCATCTAGAAAAAGAGGTGAGTTGCCGGGATATCCAAGAGATATAATACATACCACTTCTAAAGCTTAGAGCCCGGACACTCCCTCCTTCCATATACATTCTCATTAGCCGCTCAACGGCGCGAACGTCGAATACGGATATCTCCCCGGAGGCAAAACCGAGTCCCACCACATCGATAGCCGGAGACTGCGTCAAGGCAGTGATTGCTGATCCCAGTTCATGTTTTTGACCCAGTAACGGTGTGGTGGGTGTGGAAAGGAGTTCTGAGGAAGCGAATTTGTAGATGCGCGTCCTAGAAGCTGTCAATACTTGGTTTCTTCTGAGTTCATCGGGGGCGATCTCACCGAGACTGGATGTTCCAGAGCTCCATATCTCCTTGATTGCTGGAAACCAAAACCTTGTTGAGGTAAGTTGCTGGGTGAAGAATCGAGGTTGCAGTAAAGCCCTTCTCGAATTCGATAGTCGCGGCCAGAACTAACGGAGGGTGTAAGTCAATACATAGCGGTTTCACTAGGAAAGGCGATACGTGCTTGCAGTGGAGGTTTCCCAGATGAGCATTCGAGAGCCGTCTTCTGTTAGAGCGAGGATTTGCGACCCAAGGACGGTGATGTAGGCGAGAGGTGTTCCAAGAGGATTTTCAATACGGAGTTTCTGACAACAATGTCAGGTAGGAACTTGTCACCGGAATATATGGCTCCTACCTCTTTCCCTCTTAAATACTTGATAAGATAAGGGCCAGAGGTGACCCAGACATCGTTTCCGTCCATTGCCATGCCCGAGATCAGTTCAGGCGCATCAGGACCTAGCAATAAATACTTAATGGTGGCACTAATGATTCAAAATTGTGTGGACATACCCGTGAAAAGCAACGACATTTTTCCTCCCTCCCACAATGCCCATGACCTTCCCAAGCAAGTAAGGATGTGTATCCGCGGCCCTTCTGAAGCGCCCTTGAAAGATCGGGTTTGAAGGACGAAAGGAACATGATTGGTGATTAGGCCTAGTGCTCTGAAGGGCACGAACAGTCTCGGCTCCTTGTTTATTCCACCCAGGGCCGCTGTCGAGTCCTTCCGTAGTCGTTTTCTTGGAGGCGGGGTCGAAACATCAGAGTCGGCGATGCTCATTGCTGCAGGCATCCTGGTGACTTTTGATGAGTGTAGCTGGTCCTTGAGCGGTCGTTTTGAAGAAATATTTTTGTGGACAGGGTATCACCACATTGGCGGTGGTCCTATGTGTTGAGAGTCGTCGACATTGCCATGAACAGCGACGACGCGCTAAACTCAAAAATTCATGCACGTGATCGACTGGTCCCAAAAAGGCAAATCAACGTGAATCAACGTCATGAACCCGGCGCTCGGGGTGCAGCGCTGTCCTGCGATCGCGTCGACGTGGATCAGAATCCTCGACTCTGACCACCATCATGACCGGGCACGAGCCACCAATTCGAAAGCCTGAAGTCGTCTCTCTTGGATCTATGCTGACCCCGCAAACACTAGTCGTCGGCTCACTTCTGTTTGCGGTCGTCCTCGTCGTCCGTAAGTCTCTCAACTTCTTTAGGCGAAGAATGGTTTCCTGATTAGATTCCAGTCTTGATACTTGTTAATAGAAGAAAGTCAAGAGGGCAAGGAACTGCACTGCTGCTAGTTGGACCGTCAGACTCGGGGAAAACTGCAATCTTTTCACGGGTACGCTTCGAACCGAGCATCCACTTTGTGTCATTCTAACACCCAGGTAATAACAGCTGGTCTATGGCCGCACTACTCCGACACATACATCACTTCAACCCAATGCCTCTATTGCCAACATTACGCCTTCCAAGGCTGTCCGAATCATCGATATTCCAGGACACCCAAGGATCAGGGACCAATTTACAGAATACCTGTCTGACGCCAAGGTTATTGCCTTCGTCGTCGACTCTAACACGATATCTCGCAATGGTGTCGCAGTCGCGGAGTAAGCAAGGTCTTGTCCCCTTCTCGATCGTTACTTGACTCAAAGGTTTCTAGACATTTGCACCATATACTTCACGCAATAACGTCCTTGCCGCCATCTCACGCAGTCCCCTCCCTTGTGGTAGTATGCAACAAAGCCGACCTTCTCAAAACGTCAGCTTCTTCAGGGAGCGCGACGACGCTTGCTGTCAACCGAGTCAAGACCATCCTTGAGCGAGAACTCGAGAAGCGGAGACTCGCCCAAACCGGAGGTGTCGGCGTCGAGGGCCTGGGGGAAGAGGGAGAACGGTCAGAACTTGGAGGTCTGGAATGCGGAGATGGAAACTCACCTTTCCGTTTCGACGAATGGGATGGAGGTGATGTCGTGTTTTTGGGAACCTCCAGTCGGTCAGAAACATCTGAAAAGTCTGCTGCGCTCGATGAGAAGAGGGAAGCGGACGGTCTCTCTGCGTTGCAGGATTATCTTGAGGAGCAGATGTGATCTCACTTTCTCCTCCGCGCCATGGAGGCCCTCTCATCATCCGTGCTTCACTTACCAGAGCTGTTGTACTTCTGGCACTCGGACCTTTGTATAAGTGTATCCTTGCTCCGGAGCTGGGATTCCGTGCTGCTTTGTATTGTACTACTATGAACTTTGGCCTCAAAAGTTAAAAACTCGATGTATGCAGTCGGAATGTCGCAGACGTGACTGAATTAGGAAGGCCACCTGCCTGGATAGGCCCAAGTGTGAGCAACCGGAGACAAAGCGAGAAATACGTGCAACAGAGCCAAGAAACACGGGCAGGTTTGAAACTGGAATGGGTGTGCTATTGTGTGCGCAAGGGCGGCCTAGCAAGGATCCATTCTTGGAGTTGCATTGGAGCTCATTGGAGGGCAAGGTATATAGGCACAGAAATGTGTGGGAAACATACTTCTAGGGTGGCTAACAGAACTCGTACCTCGGTTGACAGAACAACTCCGGACTGAGGTTGCAAATGTTTTCCTAGGTACGCAAATGAAAGGAGGGGCCAAAGGGTGAACTTTAACAGTTACAGATACAGGCATAACCAACATCTACTGTCATTGACGCCCGATGGCAAAGACGAAATACTATTAGGGTTGTCTTGATTAGCGTAAATATCGTAACAAGGGTTCGTACTGTCAAGAAAGTCCCAAAAATCAGCTACAAACTACATACTCTGCTAGGCAACGACAATGCTAAAGTCCTGTCATGCCAGACGTAATGGAAACATAACAATAGTACATTGCGTTCAAAGACGAGAAGCAACTTGAAGCGAAGGAACGCGAGACGCGATTTGTGGGAGATCTCGCTATGGAGTCGATAAACATCGGGCAAATCGTGGGTTCTTTAGGCGGTGTAGGTTTCCACTCTTCTACAGGATGTACCGGAAATCTCGGTTTTGAATATCGGTCAAGTCCAAGAAAGCCTAAATTCGAGGAAGACCGGGGTAAGGATCGGATTCACCGAGTCAAGCGGATGTAAAGGCAAGCCGAAAGAAACGTTGACGAACCTTGTCAATCTTCTGCTCGATCTTCTTTCCATCCTCCGTCTCCTTCACCACACATACGTCATCGTATGTTTCATCGCGAGGCTCCTTGTCGCGTCGCCTATTCTCTCGAACGAGCATAGTGCGGAGAACCACCATGAGAAAGGCGCCTGAAACGATGCAAGCGGAGATGATCGCCCACGGAACGTGGTTCCTGAAGATGCAAATCAAATCTTCTGCGTTTGGGGTGCAGAAGAAGAAACTCATACCGTGGCTGGTAGTGCTTCCTCCACATGAAAGGACCCGCAGCATTTCCAATAGCATACGCAATGAGGATGATAGCGTTTGCTGTAGTTTCTACATCACATTGTCAGCATGGCGCTAATTGTGGTCACAGGCTGATAGACATACTCTTGGTGTGCCCCGATACGATCGAGCCTACCCAACCAAGGAAGAGAGGGAATGGTACAATAAAGAAAACTGTAGAGCCACGATCAGTTTCCAGGATCCAAGCTCGACCACGATAATACCCACTGGAAACCCAGTACGAAAATAGCAGCCCCACTTGGTTTTCGGATGGGAGAGCGTTTACCAATAGGGATCCAACAAGTGCAGGAATGGAAATGAGGGCTGCTGCATGCCCTCTGCCAACGGCGGGGATAGAAGCTATCGCCACGCCAGCCCAAATGTAGATGACTGCAGAGCAGAAAGACAATTCACATCATGTCGGCAAGCGTACGAGGATTCAGCACCCACTTTCAACTAGACCGTCGACGCAACCGAGAAGTGTGGTCTTGAGTGTCGAGAAGCCAAATTGGTGTACGATAATTTGTCGTTGATTTGCCAACTGTTCTCCGAGAGATTTCAGGATTTCATTCGGTCCGAATTCCAAGGGAAGCGACTCACAGAGTTCGGGACTTGACTGCAGCACCCACAAATCGCATGGGAGAAACGGCCAGAGAAATTGCCCAGATAAACCGTTCCGTCAGCGTCCAGCGCAAGCCCACCAGGAGCTCAGGGATACTCACACGATGGCGGCGAACAAAGCCATCACCCAGATCTTGGGATCACGGAATGCTTCCAAGAACCTGTCAATGGGCGTCAATACAACAAACATATCCATCAGGAAGCGAAATGAGCGCCTACTGGTCCTTCTTCCATTTTTTGTTCTCAATACCGGACTGGTTGGCCGAGATTCTTTGCACAGCGAGGGAGCGCTCTTCCTGGGTAAGGAACCATGCGCTTGTGGGCGAGTCCGGGAAGAAAAACCTAGTAACGAGTGGCGACAAGCATGTCAGTTGATGGGTACCACAATGGCGGCGCCAACCAAGCGCCAGCGAAAGGCGAGTGGAAATGTTTCACCTCCACTCACCAAAAGAGTACGGAAGTAACGAGAGTGACGAGCCCAGTGATCATCATGAGCCTGAATACTTAATCAGCAAGTGAGGAAGTAGGCCTTGGCGGAGTGCTCGTACCATTGCCAGGGGGCAAAACTCGGGGTCTGCAATGGTTGTGTAAGTCGACTTGATAAGCATGTAAAGACAGCGTAATGGAACCCCTTGCCTTGATGTGAAGTACCCCAAACCCTACAAGACCCAATACAATGATCGCGGTGCCGTTCATCAAAACTGCAAACCCAAGGAAGAAAAGAGTCGATATTTTGAGGTAAAACAGGGGACAAGGTTATCGGATAGAACACTCACACCAATAGCCCACGCGGCGAGTTTGTTCTTCGCGCGTGTAGAACATGGAGGTGACGATCATGAAACCTGGAGTTATTGCGCCTGATATGTAACGGAACCTATCAGTTTCGTTACATTTTGACTTGCCCCGAAACGGGCTCCATGTATCCGCAGTTGGGGCAAACGAAATCACGAACCTTCGCAGGCCCCGAGGATGAAACGAACCACAAAAAGAGTCGCGAAGGACTTGCACGCGGCGTGTGCCATCAGGGCAATGGCCCAAACGAAGATGTTGATACTGGTACGATGTGAGGACATGCCTGTATGCGGTGTGGACAAAGTGGAGACGGACCTCATCCATTTCCCAACGGGGAACCGTTGGAGAGCGAGATTCTGGGGATACTGAGACTCGGATTAGCATGATATCTCCGAGATACCCACATCCTATCTCACCTCGAAGAGAAGATAACTGAAATAGAAGACCGTGCCGAGCCAATTGAATTGGCTCTGAGTCAAGTGCGCATCCGGTCTATGAAAATTTAAGCCGTCCCTCTTGAGGAGACATGACGAAAGTACTGACATGATGCCTAGAACAGCAGACTGTCCCAGCGTAGCCTTGTCAGCAAATGCCATTCTTGTCCAGGCTTAGTGAACATGTTCAAACGCGACGCGACGAAGAAGCCTACAAGTAGAGGACTTGAACAGAGAATAAATTAGCAATGAATTACACCTTGGACAATACGGTGAGGACATACTGCACATAAGAGGCATGATATGCCAGTCGATTTTGCGTCTTTGAAGGGAAGGCATGAACACCAGCCCTGTCTGCTATGGTGTTTACTCACCTGAGACGCGTTGCAGCCTCTGGGGTCAACCCCTTCGTGATGCCCGAGTCCGCAACCTCTACGGCGACGTCAACATCCTTAAGACTAATGGCGAGCTTGTGGACTTCGTGTTTCTCTGAGCCGGTTGAAATGTCGCTCTTGTCCTCCATGGTTGGCGACGAAGACGACTGTGGGTAAAAGGGGAGCGAGTTGTACGAGGACAGGGGAGGAGGGCGAGCTTCGCAGGATAGGCGCAGGGGTGTCCCTATAAGTAGGGCATGCTAACTCCTAGCAGTGTCGGAACGTGATTCGCTAAGTGCATATCGAAGAGTGATGGATTGATGTCAGTGTGCGTCCCTGGAGTCGCCCTCCCAGAACTTGAGTTCTTTCCAGATCCTGCGTATCGACGCAAGAAGCCTTCCCTTCCCCAGATCCCTATTCTTAAATCTGGTTCCGCCCTAGTCGAAAGCTGACCAAAAGAAGGCCGAAGATAGCTTTTGCACACTCCATCGCGTTAGGAGGTGGCTGCACAGAGCGTTTTTGACGTCCAGGTCGTCGCCAGAGAGTACTGCACTATTTTACGGCATAAACGTCCGCTTTGCAGTGTAGGCTCAGTCCAAGACAGAGTCCGCTTTTGTTCCCAGAAGAAGCATGAGAACGCCGCTGGGTACTTTGGCGGTTTTCAAGGGAGAAAGACGGAGTAAACGCCCAAGATCTGCTCGCGATTGCCGCATTGGAGAATGCCTTGCCAAAAATAGTATCATCATCTCACGTGGTTCCCTCGGCCAACTTGGTGGCTGTACCTTTGTCCTTTGAACCTTTGACTTTCATTGTCAAGCTTGTTTCGAGCTTCTTCTGGCAGAAGCTTTCCTTGTCCAACACGACCAATTTCTATTGCTCTTGCTCCCCGAACTTAGAGACCGACGTCAACGACAGATTAAACCTTACTGACCGAGCAGATCCTCCAGGAACAGCTCCTTGACTTCAAGATCCAACCGACACCTGTACACCATGGCAGACGCTGCACCAGCGCCCTCGAGAGAATGGCACCTCGAACCTGAAACTGAGTATCGGTTCGAGCTAGACCCGCAAACGTCTCTGGCAATCAAGGTGCGTGTGTTTTGCGAGACCTGGCATTTGTTGACCCTGTCCGATCCGTAGCTTGTCCGAGGAAGAGCTGAAATATTTGGGGCGGAACTGGTCGAGGGGAAGACATATCTGTTCGCCATGGAGTGTAAAGCAGCCGTATTCACCTGGAACGGATGTACGATTGAGATGAGTTATCCTTTCCCTGAAATTAGCCTTTCGTCTTCTCCTCTACATCGAATGAAATCGTCCTTATTTTCCAATCCGTGAGCACGTCACAGGTCAACCATCAACGGAATACATCTCAGAGGAAACGCCAATGGCAGCCTATGCCAATGTCCACACTGCTCTGGAGCAGATGCGCGTTCGAGCACTGAGCAAGACGAGAGGCTCTCCGTTACCCCCTGGGGAAGAGGTTGACCCCAAGCTCTGCGAGGCACCTCGGGTCCTGGTTTTGGGTCCTGAAAACTCGGGAAAGACCACTGTCTGCAAAATCCTCATAAACTACGCAGTACGAGCGGGCCAAGAATGGTCACCTATGCTCGCGAATGTTGATCCCAGCGAGGTAAGTTAAAGATGACGTGCAGAGTTGGAGACAGAAATCTAAAGCTTTTTTAGGGTGCTTGGGTTATTCCAGGAACTCTTTCAGTGGCTTCCGTTTCTGGCCCGCTTCCGACTTACTCTCCAGCCAGCCCTCTAGGGACCGCGTCCACGACAGCTCCGGTTGGCCTGACCTCTCATGCCTTGGCCCCCCTCGTTTCGTGGTACGGACATACCGATACAAGAAAGAACCCCCTTCTCTTGGACAGACTCATTCGTAATCTCGGGGAGAACGTAAATGATAGATTCGACCTGAAGCCAGAAGGTACGCACCTGGACAGCTTTTTATGATCGTCAAAATCTTACCGCTCTTCACCCTCAGGCAAAGCATCTGGATTGATAGTGGACACACCATCTTCGTTCGGGTCCAGCTCATCTCCCACTGATCACCGTCAGAAGTTGATAAAGGCTTGCGTGGATGCGTTCAGAAGTAAGCAGAATCATCCGTTCTCCTTGAACAGTCTCGCTGACTACCTTTGTTGAACAGTAAATGTCATTCTAGTCGTAGGCCACGAAAAGTTGAACGTCGAAATGCAACGTGCGTATGGTTCGTACGTCACAGTAGTGAAGATACCGAAATCAGGAGGCGTGAGTTGTACAAGGGCCTCGATCTGGGAACATGCTTAAAACTCAGATCGATTCTAGGTTGTTGAGTTGGACTCTAGCTATCGAGAGAGAGTTCAGCGATACCAATTGCAAACCTACATGTATGGCCATCCGGTGCAACCCCCTGTTGGTGTCACAGGGGGCACCCTCGGAGGAGAAACACCTTCGCATCTCGTCCTATCGCCGTCTTCGACTGTGATGAAGTTCGGCGACTTGTCGATATACAGAATCGGTACAGGTGAGGCGTACTTGTACTATGCCTTGGCCCCACACACATGACCTTACCTTCGGGCATTCGTAGAGAATATGGCGCCTTCCTCCGCACTTCCTATCAACGCCATGCGTCAAGTCTCGGAAATGCAACCTGTTCCCGTGAACCCTGCGTCACCTGGCTCTGGACTTCACGGAGCTGTACTTGCACTCTTGGCTCCCTTCAATCCCGACGAGAATGAGCGGTATGACGAAGAAATCCTGGACTTGTCCGTAATTGGATTCGTTTATGTGTACGTTTATCTCAAATGCTTTCTTGGCATTTCTTGGAAGAGAAGGCTGATTTCATAGCAGGATGCAGGTGGATGTAAAGCAAAAGAAGATGACAATTTTGTCTCCCAACCAAGGTTCGGTAGCTGGCAAGACTGCCTTGGCTGGTTCTCTAGAGTACCAGGATCAGTAGTCGTAGTCTTGTAGTTTGAATGGCATTTTCTTTGGACAAGAACTGAGGTCGGGGGAAAATCCGGGGCCGGGGGCCGGAGCGGCCGGAGCCAGCGAAACGAGTGTGGCAGTTTTTGGACGAGGCTGGCAAGGCTTGGTGCTGTGAGTGTATGATCACTGTGAAGTTCTAAACTTCAGAGGCAGCAGCAGACCCGTAATGTCTGCCATTCGCCACTTTATAGGCGCCCTACCTGCAGGGCGCAGGTCGTATTCCTCGTTTTTCTCCTCCAAACCCGGTGGTGGTCGGTACTTCAATTCAGCAAAGGCAAAGTCTGCAGTCGTAGCCGCGAAGAGCAGCTCAAAGGCCGACTCGAAGCCCAAGGACACGTCGTCGACGTCGACAGCAACAACCACCGCCAATCCGAACGCGACGAACCAGGATGGTATGGACTCTAGTGCAAATCCGACGACGAGGACGGTAGCTGATGCGCAAGTCTCCTCACTGCCTGTGACGGCTGCTGGACGACCTCCTCTCTCTTCCTCCCCTTCTCCACCCACAGGCGCCAGCTCCTCCGAAGTAGAAGTGAAGCAGCAGTTCGTAGAGCCGGTCGAGCACTCTATGCACATCCACCCCGTCATGTCTTCCAAGGACTTCAAACTACACCAGTTCTTCGCTCTCCACCGCCCACTCCTTCTCCTCAACAACTCACCCTCGCTGTTTACCTCAGGCCCCTCACTAGAATCGATATTGTCGACGTCCGGCCAAGTCCAGCCCAGACAGGAAAGCGAAACACAGGCACAGCAACCGTTGTCAGTCTTCGACGATTTCCCCGCCGACGCCTCAATAGACGCTGACGCTGAGGCGGCGCGCCAGCTGGCCAGGGGGCTGACGCTCAACAAGGCTGGGCCGGCAGTGGCCTGGGAGGATACACTGAAGAGGCTCGGTCTGGACCCTTCGCGTGACCCTGAACGTGTCACCATGCAGGAGCAGATGGACAAGGATTGGGAGGATGTACAGATCTTGCTTGATAGCACCAAGAGGAAGCGACGAAAGAAGATGAAGAAACACAAGTAAGTCCTCTTGCCTTCTGCTCCGAGAAAGTTAACTTACCATCCCTTCGTTCCTCTCTTCCACCACAGGCTCAAGAAACGTCGAAAGGCTACCCGGTCTTCGCGATTAAAGCTCAAGTAGCGTTCTTGGGATATGGCTTCCCTTGCCCCAATCGACCTTTCCTCGTATAGTCTGCCTTATAACCCGAGCTAATGTCGCAGTTTGCATCTTTTAATCTCATTTTCATCTCATGGACTATAACAATCGACAACGTTGCATTTATTCTACCCACAACTCGGTATGTATGGATACTTGGCCCCAGGTCCATACCAGGGACACAAATTACTCCACTGCGTTTGAAGTCTAAGTCACAGTGACAATCTCCCCTCTGCCGTCTTTCAGTATGACAAGCTCGCATTCAATCTTTTCCCCTGTGTCAAGGCACCAAACGTCCGTAGGGTCTGCTGCGTTAACTTTTACTTGCCGTTTCTCGAAAAACGACCTGCCCAATACAACATCGAAGTGCGGTTCCTCGGAGAGGTATACTTGTACCATGACGGGAGTCAATCCGTTCTTCGGTGCGGTATGTTCGTAGCTTCGGGGATTCTTCGTTCGGGAGGTAACCGTGCTCTTTATGCTATGTGCTCGATTATGGTGCTGGCTCGAGTAGTGAGGTCCCCCTAGTTGAGAAGCTGAATCCGGGAAAGGGCGATCAGGTAAAGCGGTGTACGGGATCATGGGTTGGGGTGAAGAGGCTGAGGGAACGAGCGTAATGGGCCATTCCCCTATAGAGAGTAAGCCCACATATCCATGGTTGCCGGGGGTAGAGTCTTTCGGTACGAAGCCATGCTTCACTGCGAACTTGCGCGACATGTAGACATGCCTGTGTCCTGATTTCAGGAGCATCCGTACTGATGACATTGTTCAGACCGCTACTGTCATCGTAACTAGATAGATTTATATCACTCACCATTTTCCACCGGCCCAATACTGCCCATAACAGTCCTCACTCCATTCTCCGAGTGGAACTTTTCGAATTCCTTGCGCAAATTTGGTATCCCGTCGTCCGCATCTACAATGCCACTTCCAACTGTCCTTCTGCTCTTCTTGGAGGTGCGCGATGGGGTACGGCTGATGCTGCCATGGCCACTTGGCGGAGGAGGATGGCAGTGGTGCGCTCGAGAGGGCTGGAAGACGTAGTACGAAGGATTGCAGTACGAGTTACGGTCTGGTAGTGGGATGGCGGGATTGTGAAGGTGCAAAACAGGGGTAGATGCTTCGTGCAGTGTGTTGGAGTCGCTGTCTTGTAACGTCACTCGAGATGTCGACGCTACTGGCTCTCGATGGTGACTGTGGTCGTCGCGATTGTCGATTGGAGCAGTATTCCCAGTCTCTCGTTGTCTCCAGGTAAAGATAGCATAATCGGATTCTAACAACGATCTGAATGAGACATGCATGGGTCGTGAATAGAGTTGCCTTTACCATCGTCAAGGTTCCATACAGAATCGTTGTATTCGTACTTGAGCCATCCTGGTCCGACCCGTTCGCCGCGATAATCAGTGTAGACTTTGCGGCTAAGCTTATTGTAGAGGTCGTCAATAGATTCTTCTATCACTACCTCAAGGTACAGCGAGGTCAGTTCATGATCGCCAAGAATGACGAAATCTGGGTACGAACGTGAATGAAGAATCGCGAACGACGACGTTGGCGAGTGTACATTGAGGACAGACGGTGGTCTCATAGATGATGCCCCCCAGGAGATATCGACTAGGCAACTGGTATAGCTGGGAAAGGTGCGCGAGACTACTGTCTCAGTAATGACTGAAGCTTAACTGCTGTCGTCATCCCAAACGGACCATGTTACGGCAAGCTTGGTCCGTTGTAAGACGACTAGCCGACGCACATAGCCGCTACACCAAAAGGCAGCATGACTGAAGAGCTTATCTCTTCAGCCACCGTCGGGTATATGAGCGTTATGGGAACCGCTGTAAGCCACCGGTCTTACATCCGTCATGGACCCTTGAGAGGAAATGCACACTAAGTATGTTGGTCGGTGTGAATCAAATACAAAATCAGATTATAATGGATACACTTTCGATCAATCAGATGGCTACAAGTAGGAGCGACGCAGATGGAAACATAGAGCAGATGTTGAGCACGAGAATCCCCAAAGGAAAGGGTATTGAGTGGAATGGCAATAGGAGAACAAGAAGACCGAGATAGTGTTTTACTTGGGCAAGTTCTCCCTTGCTTGCATCCGGATCCTCTTCCTGAAGTACCATGTCAGTCCATTTCTCCGTGGTAGCTGCGATGCACTCACTCGTATGCCACTCGGTCATTCCTATTCGAATAGAACAACGAGACAGAATTAGGCGCAACCCTTTGCAAGGAGGAGCAAGCGACCACCTACTTGAACATCGTGTAAGCATCGCTTTGGGCGGGGTCGTTGACGTTAGGGTCATCAAGGAGGTCCTGGATACCGAGCAAAATCTGGAAGTGGCGCTCAGTGCGGAAGGATTGGAACGTGAAGCATAGACCGACCTGTTTGATAGTGATGGCTGGCTTCCACGACTTCTCCTCATCGAGAATCGAAAGACAGACGGTACCCGAAGGGTACACGTTGGGGTGGAAGAGGGGTGGCACGAATTTGCCTACAGTCCGGCATCTCGGTCAGTGCACTATAATTAAGCTCGAGAAGCTGTAGCCTACATTTCGGCGGCTTCGAGGGATAGTCTTGAGAAACAAGAGATCAGAAGGAAGAAAACCTGGTATGATACGGAGAACTTACCCTCAGGGAAAGTCATTGTGAGTTTGAACAAGCCCCCTTCCCAAGGAGTCTGGTGTTGCGCGGAAATTAGTATCGTCCATCGTGTTATAGCCGGTCCAATTCCATTAGAGACGTCTATTTGAACTCGATTTCCAGTGGCAGAGACTCGCGATACGCGTCTCTGTGGCCACGACGGTGAAAAGAACAAGGAAACGCGCTTACATTTGCCTTGCCAGGAATGCCAACCTCCCATTCCATCAGGTTCATAGATCCATCATCGGCTTTTGTTGGCTTAGCATAGAATCCCTAGAGTTCATGTTCAGCGTGTATTAGAGAGACAGCGGTCAAGAATACTAGAAGCCAAAAGGAGAGCCCTGGCTGGGTCAGGATACCGAGCTCAGTCTTGTCGGAAAGGACGTCTTTGCAGGTTGGAAAGAGGGACAATGGAAACCTACAAATGGGTGATCCTTGCGCCATTGCTTGCGCTCTTCGGCGAGTCGCATACGACAGATTCCAGACATGGTGGCTAGAGCAAGACTGTCGTTTGTAGAGGAAGAGTCTTTAATCTCGCCTGCAGGCGCCTCGATATTGGGCGGAGTATGTAAATCCCGGCCAAATAGATATAAACACCAATTTGGTACTGTAGTCTGTCGGAGTGGGTCGAGGATAGAGGCAAGCCCTATATATAACACACTGTATCCATACTAGAGTAATACACCGTAATAGACGCTACTGTAGAAAATAAATAACGCTGCGATGGATCGAAAGCAAATGTACGGGATGGGCCAATGCAGTCAACGAACGACGACGCGAGGCGGGCGATAGCTCGAGACGGGAACATTGCTTCGCAGACCAGCAAGGCTCGACTTCTTCGTCAGCAACGCTTGTTTCGATGCTAGGGAGGCAAGACTCGCAGAGCTTGCCGATTTCAGCCGCTGAGCTTGTATTCGCCGCAGCTCTTCATCGATGCGCCACATCCCTTTGACAAAGCCGTCTAGGTCCAGGGAACCCGTTTGGTGAGGGTCACATTCCGCCCTGACACCGACCAATATCAATAAAAGGTTAAACTCGAAGAGAACGAGGGGCGCACCAAATTTCAGCAAGCCTTTTCTTGTCCAGACCGGAACGTTTCCAGATGAGCTTGACAACGACGCCCTCGAGCCTTTCATCTTTATCCACGAACTCGTTCACCTGCTCTACGTCCTCCTGCTCTTTCTTCTTCTGCTTATTCTGTTCCTCGAGCTGCTGGGCAACAGAATCCGGATCGCCCGTGATGAGATCGACAGACAGTCCCCGCCATCCAGCGGCTCTTCTTCCCCTGAATTCATTGGGACTTAGTAACCCATTACTGTTTTCTTCCCCGTTTCCCTGAAGCTTCATCAAGGTAAGCTTTCGTTGCCTCTTCTCGGCTCTTCGACGCTGGATGACGTTGCCGTTAAATACAGCTTCATAGCGCTTGCGAGCTGCGGCGGGAACAGGGGTAGGCCGCTTGACTTGTATGACCCTCGAGGAGGAATTGGTGGAACTGATGCTGGTTAATGTGTTGGTCCTGCTCAGGGGACGGTGAGACTGTGTGCTAGCAGAGGATATGCTGAAAGTCGTAGCATTGCTCTGGACAGACGAACGATCGGAGGCACGTGAAGGGGGTAGTGGAGGTGGGCGACGGACGGCATACGTTGTCGGGATGGGTGTAACGTAGTTTGTACTGGTCGGGTGGATAACAGGGGAACCGGGGATGGAACGTGGTGTTGAGCTTCCTCCACGGATTGTCTGCGACGATCTAGAGGGAGGAACGGGAGGCGGCGATTTCATCGACGATCGAGCAGAGGAAGGGGTACTGAACCCTGAGGAGTTCGAAGTCGGGCGTTGCGGTAACTTTGGCGGGATCCCGTTGCCTCGGAGAGCCCGTGCTCTCTCAAAGTCCATGGAAATCATCCGTTCTGTCGCTGGGCTGGCCAACGAAGAAGCCGAGACGTCTTCAAATGAGTCAGCCAAACTGGCAGTATCGGCCTCACTTGCGTGGTCTCCTGGGTAGGACGCAATGAAATTCGACAGCGAGTTTGGCGTGCTTGGGTCTGTATCGGAGGATAGAGACACAGAGTGGAAAGAAGATATAGACGACCCTGCAGTATGCCTCGTTGACGACCGCGTGTCTATGTTCAGAGGTGACGACGGGGGATATGCGTGCGCCGAGTCCACTGTTAACGAGTCTCCACGTCGTGGCGGATACAGGAAGGTCGAGTTTGGGCTGGGACCTGATGATTGGGACGACGAGGTAGACGCTACCGATTTGAGGGAAGTATACGAGGCGGTCTTGCGCGGGGGAAGAGGGGGTGCTGCCTTGCCATTGGTCGTCTGCACCTTTGGTCTTGGTGGCGACTCGAGGTTGATCAGCAAGCCGTTCGGCGACGTTACCCTGGTGTTGAAGGCTCTCTGCGTCGGGGTTTTCCCGTCTCGAAGACCATTCACGGATGCCCTTTTGACAATGACCGGCTTTGGTTTGAGAGTGGGTGCACCATTGAGTGGAGGAGCTGCCAGGACAGGATCGTCATCGACAATCCAATCTGTGAGGTCGATGAGAGAGGTCTTTCTGCCGAGAATTGGAGGAGATGGTGACGGCGAGAGTGTCTTCGTCTGAGGTGCTGGTGATGAGAAGGCGACAGGGGGCAAAGCGGCTGCGGTCGCTGCCGACAATGGTGCGTCAATTAAGGAGTCGTCGGACGATGCATTCGATGCCCTGGGCTTTTTTGGCGACGGTGGAGGGCTGGAATTGAGTGTCGCATGCGACGACGAGCCTCCAGCGAGCGACTCGAAGGCCGTTATCCGCGACTGCAACGCCGAAGGCATCAGTATTGGCTGTACTGTCCAAGAAACACAAAGTGGCGCGCGGCAGACTTAGAGCCAAACTTGTTCCCACCTCGGCTTCTTCCAGCTTCGACCTGCACCACAACAATGTCGTCAAACAACGAGCTCTATGCTGTAGCAGGTGCTTTATATTTCCTTTTATTCTCGACCTAAACTGACATCGACACCTAGATTTCTGTTTGATCCCAATTGGGACTGGTAGCACATCTGTATGTCGCGTATTTCAGCCTATCTGGACTATGCTCTACATGATCTCCTTCTCAGGTCGCCGAAGATGTTGCTGAATGTCAGAGGGTATTAGAGAAATCAGGTCTTAAGTACAAGGTACGTCTGACCTGGGCTCTGTTGAGATAAGATCGCTCACAGTCCCCTCCAGTTGCAGTAAGGATTTCTCTTCCATCCCGATACAAGCCCCGAAACCATAGTTGACCATCGCGATTTCACTTCTTTCCACTCCTTGGGGTGTCGGCCTTTCTCCTGTGTAGTGGCTACGGTACCAATCTCGGTCCGTCTACTTTCACTCTTCAACCGTTCTGACACTCACTGCCTCTCCGTTGCACTGGCCCTCTCACCGACCCGATCCTCGCTTTCTCTACCCATCTCTGTTGTCGGCTCTGCAGAGGGACCCTGGTCGCAGGTATCCAAGGCTATTCACGACTGCCACGCTGCTGTCCATGCCAGAGGAGCTGGTAGGATTGCAACTGACATCCGCATCGGCACACGCGTCGATAAGGATGTTCCTGTCGGGGATGGGAACGACCATAAAGTGCGTAGGGTGCAAGAAATCCTCACCAAGGACGCAGATAAGCAAACCTAACATCTCGGAGACCTTCGAATACGCCGTTTCAATGTACAATATCAATCACAATCTGTATTCCGAATGATACAAACAGAATCTTATTCCTACTGAGTATTTGGAACCATTCGTCCGGTGTCGATGTCATGCACATCTCGAGCGGCATTATCTCGGTTAAAAGACCGGGCTTGTCGAACGTTCCTTCTCCCGCCAGTCTGCGATGCGCGCTATTCCCAACTCCTTTCCAAGTGCCTTCGCGAAGGGGACAGCGACCGCGTTGCCAATTTGCTTGATTTGCTTCATTTCCCTATCAGCCTCTCCCTGTCCAAATCTGAGCCATAAGAAACTCACATCGTCAACTATTTTCCCCGCTCGGAGACTGGTGGAGTAGAAGTTGTACGAGTCTGGGAAGCCCTGCGCTCTTGCCAGTTCTCGGACGCTGTACACCCGCTTCTGCAGTGGATGGAGGGGCCACGAGTTTTTCATGGTCGGCGAAAATTGGGTCATTGCACATTTGAAATGAGCGCTGCCATCCAGTCTCCCGTAGAAACCTAAAATAAATGTTAGAGGCTCCGCATTGAAGGTCCCAGTTTGGCTTTTTGCTCACAGTTATTTTCTTGCTTCTCTCCTGGGAGTGCCATTTTCGGACGAAGGCTGAGAGGCAAGTCTACCAATTGGAAAAATATGTCAGAAAATCATGAAGGAAAAAAGAAAAGTATCAAAAAATAGATGTTAGAATACTTACCTTTGTGGGTGGCATTTGCCTTCAGGGGAACAGTTGTGGTGCTAGAAAAGAGACCAATATAAGAACGTAGAAATTAAGTGAAAAAACAGTAAAAACACACACCTTTCTACTAGATGGGCTTGGAAAGTTCTGGTGTACTGCCCTTGAACTCGTCGTGTTTGGGATGTCCTCATTCCTTCCCTAAGCCATTGCTGATACCGGTTCATGGGAGGAATAGCATATGAACCTAGAGTACTATAGTATCCCACAGGTGTATCATCAACCCCCTCCTTCCCTGTAAGAGAGACAGCATCTAGCTGAGGGATCTTTTTGCCAAACCAAAGTCTATGAGTTGTGTCCTGCATTGCGGGATATGGTTGGATGAGATAAGGATTAGACCTAAGCCCAAATTCAGCAAAATCAATAACAGTATTAGAGAAAACACCAGTACCACTCAAATGCAGGCTGCAAACAGTGATTATTAGGCAACCAAATAAGTGACAGGATCCAAACACACATACCAAATCTGCAATGGCATCAAAGATAGAAATCGGAAGAAAAGGTGCACATTGGTGGTATCTCCCATGTTCATCCGGGATCAATGCCCTGGAAACATTAGGAAGACTGCTAGCAGATCCCAAAATCTTGGGACGATGACCATTGCCCTCAAAGGCATGTGTTGGAACAGGAAACTTTGGCAAAGTGGCTCCCCGTTTGGCTGCCCAAATGATAAGGCGGTTGCGTGACTGCGGAACCCCATATTGGGCTGCTTGTAGGACATTCCAGTGCACCTGATAACTGGACAAGTACATCAGTATAAATGAATCTAGAAATAACAAAAAGACATACCCCAGAGCAATTAGAGCTCTGACAATAAACTTGAGCATCCCTCTCTCAATAATCTCCCCATTAGATCCAAGCCTGTGGTCACGTAACTTGAAGTCAAGAAGACCTGTTACATTTTCCAGAAGGAAATAAGTGGGGTCATAATGCTCAGCATAGCTAAGCATGTTGACAGGCATGGTGGTCCGAATGTCATTTTCTTTCTAGATAGAGATTTAGAGATGGATTTTGGTAAAAAAAAAAAAAAAAAAAAAAAAAAATTGTGAAACTTACCCTAGTATGATTGGCACGACTGAATCCCTGGCATGGAGGACCTATAGAAGATCCATTAGACATATAACTAGCATTCGGTAAGCCAGCCACATACCACCCAAAATAAAATCAATATTCTCTTGTCGGGACGGCATTTTAGGACACTCCAGTTGGCTGCATAGTGATTCAAGTGGAACATATGCCTTTCCACTGTCCTCTTCTACAGCCTGCTTTAACAAGAGATTGGTGTCCTGACAGTACACCTTAGCCTTAGGGTGATTTTTGCTATCTTTTGGTCAGTTAAAGTGAAATGGATAATGTGGCAAGAATCTTACTGATATGTAAAAGCAGCAGAATCAGAAAACTCGATCACATATCTGGTTTCAACAAATTGGGATAGCTCCATCCCAAGTCCTAAACCACCAGCTCCTAAGAAGTGATCAATATTGAGAAAGAAAGTAAACCAGACCAAAAATATACCTGCAAAAAGCTCCATAGCAACAGCTTTTTTATCACTGTGGATAAATCTCTGGATTTCCTGGAGAGTAGCCTTATGACTTGAAAGGCAGATGTCACAGGGAAGCAGAGTCTTGGATGATGGTAGGGATGACGGATCCACATAAAAGTGGTCATCATCTTTAACCCAGTCATCAATCCTGTTCTGATCATCCAATAACTGGACAAAACAGACACCACTTAGTGAATGAGGGTAGACTGTCCCTTCATGATTTGAAAGGACAAGCCGGCGCTACAAGGTGAAGTCAAAAGTCTATTTAAGTAATCAGAAAGAGATATTACATACCTCATCATAAAAGAGTCTAGAAGCTGGTGCTCTGGTGAAGTCTTCTGGTTCCAAGCATCTGAGTGACTTTGTGTAACGCTCCAGATACTGGACAGAAATGCTCAGTCTTAGGCCATCATCATGAACAGCCAAGATCTGAGCAATCTCAAGGAGTCTAGTCCTATTGCCTGTTGGAATGATGTAGACAAAATCATTCTGATGGTATACGATACCACCATAGGAGAATGACATCTTTCCGATCCTCTTAGGCACTCCCATACTCTCCGCCATTTCTAAAGCAGAGCACCCATAACAGTCTCCTGGAGATAGGATCTCAAAGGAGGTTGGTAGGTTGTAATACTTCAACCGCTCCTCATCATACATGAGACTGAGCATAAGATATATGATTGTTAACATTTATCAAGGAGAGGATGGGGAATTTCAACTCACCCACAGTGGAATTCATTTGCATTTGGATCAGAATGGACCTGGGGCTCATCATCACCTGGACGCAGAATTTTGAAGTTGCACTTCTTAAAAATGCAGTTGATAGGATTGTCCCCACAACTGTCAATAACAAACAATGCGCCTGGATGAGAGAGTTCACCAATAAATGTGCGGGAACCATGCAACAGCCATTGACCATGAAACATTTTGGCAATGCCTGGACCAGATTTGACATCATGAAAATACTGGATCCGACAAAACCTTAACTAGCTTCAGACCACAGATAGAAGGAAGATACATGGGAGACATACATACCAATAGTTATCACCGAAGTAATTGGTTGTACGACCAACATTGTTTGGTGCATTATAGTTCCCATCTGGAACCACCATGACAACATCACCAATCTGCCGAAGAACATAAGAACTTGTCAATGACTAAACACCAATAATGTGTGCAAACACACCTGGTACCTCACACCATCCACAAAGGCCTCTTTATACTTGTTAACCCCTATGGCCCGTCCCCACCGAATATGTGTTGGATTGAACGGATGGCTCGGAGTGTCGTCTTTGATAGCTGCCGCATCCGTGTCATTCACAGTCTTCTTGCTGGATTGCAACGGGACACTGAATAGTCCTTCCGAGAGTGCATTGACGAGAGGTGTTGTATAAACGATGGCTTCCGGCAATGCCTTCGACTTCCGCCTGGGACCGGCACTGGGTTTGTGTCTCGCAGTGAACTCTGACGAGCTGCGATCATCGAAAGCCGCTACGTGCCCTTCATCGAGTTCACCTGTCGAGTAGCACAGTGCGCGAACGAGGGCAGAACGTGTAATCTTGAGCCTCCTTTTCAAATCGAGGACTTTCGTGACGAGGTAGGAATTCTGCATTCCATGAATGGATTAATACTGCGTGTAAGATCCAGGGCAAGATTACTCACGACTTCCGCGTTCTCGAGGTCTTCGGCACTAAATTCCCTCCCCAGAATATCCGATGCCGTGGTAATGCCCTGCGTCTGCTGGTCCCGTTCCGGAAGCGTGTTCTGCAAGTCGGAATACGATAGGCGTGCGTCTTCCATGGCAGCACAAAGGAATAGGTGCGTGAGGCGGTGGCGAGTCCACAGAGGGGCGAAGAAAGGGCGGTAGGTGAGGGCAGGCTCGCCGAGGATGTACCACGCATACTGGGTGCGGACGTAGAGTTTGCTGGGAGCACGTTTTAGAATTTGCCTCTACAGTAGGGGGGAAACCTAGTACTCACGGGTCTAGTACGCCAGTGCGGTCGACGTGATGAACATCGTATTCGACGATCCGCGTGAGCCTTACACGATCCCAGTCGGTGTATGAAGACAAATGCAACGATTCAATGTCGGAAAGGGTGTCGTCGTCCGAAGAATCTTCCTCCCAAGGCTGAACTATCCCTGACATTCCATAGCTAGCCATTTCGAGGTCGCCTTGCTCCAATTGCGACATAGGGACGACTTCCATCGAGTCGAGACGATACAAATGGAAATCCGTTATGAAGCGGACAGGGATGTCTCCGTCGTCCGCGTCCTCCGGTGAAGTTTCTCCATAAACGACTAGGTCACCGGTTTCCTCAATCTCGTCTTCGTTAACGGTGTAAAAATAGCCTACGTTGGCGTAATAAACAATCTGAGGGGATGTCAATGATTGTATACTTACCATTCTCGGGGAGACTGTCTCCTACAAAATCGTCCTCCTCCTCCGACCTCCTCCTTTTTTGGGAAGGGCAATAGCTCTCTTTCACAGCTTCTGCGGTATCACCGGATTTAGTGGGTGACGAGAGAGCCCTCTTCCTCCCTGCAGGCTTCCAGGGAGGGATTTCGATGTAGGGAACCAGTCGTGGTCGACGAGCTCTGTCCTGGTCCATCGGGAAAATCTACATTTCGTTATCAGCCAACGTCTTTGGCTCATAAACGACGCTCGAACCTTTTTGTGGACGACGGACTTAACGGTGTATGAAAATAGATGAGCGATTGGAGCGGTGCGAGTCTGCGAGAATCGAACAAGACAATGGCAGGAGCAACATTCAAGACGCGGCAGCGTGAAGCACTGAGAATTCAAACGCCGACACGCTCATTCTTCTTTTCCTCGTTCCACCATGTCCCTTACGACTGTTCCCAATCCAGTCTACTATAACCAGGAAAAAGGTGCTTTAATAATCGCTTTTGAGACGACTCTCTTATAACCGTCTTGTAGAGAAAATCCAAGATTTTTTGTCGAAATTCAAGGATGACACCGCCGACCTAGTGTCCGAGTTCGCCAACATCGAGATCGACGAGAATACTAGCAATGTACCCGCAGAGGTTCAGGGTCTCAAGTATATGAAGCAGCTGGTACGCGTTCTGAACCCAAAGTTACGCGTCTTTCACGTTCTTATTGTCCTACAGCAACGCGTTGCGAACCGGGAGCAACAGATGTTACAGATCGACTTGGAGGACATTTATACAGTATGTCGCCTCCGTCTAGGCCTTTGTCGCGTTTACCGATGGTACTCTAGCATGAGGGCACGACGGGGGAACTTGTCGCCCGAATACGAGCCAACACACACCGATATGTCAAGCTTTTCAGCGAAGTTGTGGACACCCTGATGCCACTTCCGACGAAAGACATCAGTGAACACGACGAAGTCATCGATGTCATTATTCACCAGCGTCGCGAAAGGAATGAACAAATTGAAGACTCACAGGGCCAATTCCCTGTCCATCTCTTACGACGATAGTAAGTCTGATGACTTTCTCATAAACATCTCCATTCACCGCAGACGCAGTTCTCTCTACTTCAAACCGCTCAAGAGCGACGTGGCGCTCGCCGTTAGGGATGTCCGTGGCTCCAACCTGGGTCAACTTATAACCGTTCGGGGCATCGTGACGCGCGTGTCAGAAGTCAAACCACTGCTGCAAGTCAACGCCTATACCTGTGAAGTTTGCGGCTCGGAGACCTTCCAGGATATCTCAAACAAAACTTTCACCCCCATTGCCGACTGCCAAAACGCCAATGAATGCCTCAAGAATGGCGTCCGTGGTTCTCTCCATATGCAAACGAGGGCCTGTAGGTTCAGCCCATTCCAAGAAGTCAAGATCCAGGAAATGGTAAGTCCCTACTTTCTTTGTCGTACTCTCTGAGTTCAAACCCTTTCACATAGGCTGATCAAGTCCCGGTCGGTCATATACCTCGGTCTATGACCGTCCATGTTAACGGACCCTTGACTCGCACCATGAATCCAGGTGACGTCGTTCACCTCGGCGGCATCTTCCTTCCCGTCCCATACACTGGCTTCCAAGCTATCCGAGCTGGTCTACTGACCGACACCTACCTCGAAACTCACCACGTTCACCAGTTGAAGAAGCAATACACCGAAATGGAGACCACGCCGGAAATCGAACAGACCCTCAATGACCTTGCCAACAACCCGCAGCTGTACTCGACTCTCGCTCAGAGCATCGCCCCCGAGATATACGGTCATGAAGACGTCAAAAAGGCGCTGCTACTGTTGCTCGTTGGAGGTGTCACCAAGGTCACGGGCGACGGAATGAAGATTCGTGGAGATATCAATATTTGCCTCATGGGTGATCCCGGTGTTGCCAAATCGCAGTTACTCAAGTATATCTCCAAGATTGCTCCTCGAGGAGTCTACACCACAGGCAAGGGCTCCTCGGGCGTTGGACTCACTGCTGCTGTCATGCGGGATCCTGTGACGGATGAGATGGTCCTCGGTAAGCATTTCCGATTGTTACACTGACTGCTTCCAACTTACTCCTGTCAACAGAGGGTGGTGCTCTCGTCCTCGCAGACAACGGCATTTGCTGCATTGACGAATTTGACAAAATGGATGAATCCGACCGCACGGCTATTCACGAAGTCATGGAGCAGCAAACCATCTCCATCTCCAAGGCGGGCATTTCAACTACACTCAACGCTCGCACTTCCATCCTTGCTGCTGCCAACCCCCTCTTCGGGCGCTACAACACCAAAGCGACCGTCATCGAAAACGTTAATCTCCCCGCTGCGCTACTTTCGCGTTTCGATCTCCTCTTCCTAATTCTTGACAAGCCTTCGCGAGATGCGGATGAACGCCTTGCCGAGCACGTCACCTTCGTCCACATGCACAATCGACACCCTGAACTTGAGCACGATGTTGTCCCACCTCACATTATTCGGTAAGATGTTCTTGTCACAGTCCTTACCCCAGGTACTAACCATTGAACTCAAGGCACTTCATTGCACGAGCAAGGCAAAAACGACCGACCGTTCCTCCTCATGTCTCTAGCTACATCGTCGACTCATACGTCCGCCTTCGCAAATTGGCCAAAGACGAGGCGAATAACAAGACTCAGACCTACACCTCCGCTCGGACCCTTCTCGGTGTTTTGCGTCTGGCCCAGGCTTTGGCCCGGTTGCGACTCGCAGACGAAGTCGTCCAGCCCGATGTCGATGAGGCCCTCCGACTGATGGAGTGCAGCAAGGACAGTCTACAGGACGAAGACGAGGAAGCTCATGAACACGACCGATCCGTCGCCAGTCAAATTTACCGGCTCATTCGCGGTATGTTGAGTAGGAAGACGAAACCCCTTCCTCGACGTTTCGGTCGGGGCCCTGGAAGAGAGCGGGACATGGATGTGGATTCGGACGAGGAAGATGATGATACACTCTCCATGGTGGATGTCCGCGCGCGGGTCTTAAATGCTGGATGGACCGAGGCTCAGTTGATGGATTGCATCCATGGCGTAAGTACTTTCTTTTTTACATTTTTACAATGTCGACGTAAACGGGTTCTGACATAATTCTTTGTTTTTCTTTTAAGTACGAGGAGCTCGAAGTCTGGACACGGATTGCAAACGGCTCCAAGCTTCAAATTCTTGGAGCCGACTAAGTGCATCGATACCCCTTCCACTCTATTTGCGCTGCCTCTGTGTTGTACTTTTGCTTCCTTCTGTCTGCTTGCTTGTAGTCATGTAGTCTCAATCCCCTGCTTTCATTTTACTTGTTTTCTCTACTGTCGTGTTTGATTTATCCTTGGTATTGTTGTAATATGACGGCCCCTGGCCCAACTAAATGCAATCTCGTTATAACATGACGACTCCAATCCCTCTTCCGGGAGAGACAGTGCCCTCTCCGTTCATTCCTGCTAATGGCGAGGTTCTCCAGTTGTACAGGTAGAAGTTGAGGAAACCGTCTCCGGCGCCAAACTAACACGATCGTCAATATTTGCAATAATGGAAAGTCGGGCACTCTGACCTTGAGATCTTGGAGTACAGGGACGTTGTCCATCAAGGTGAGAGCATTAAACACATCAAAACGAGCGTTGTTGGCCACAACTAGTGCGTCCCCGATGAGAACTGTAAGTCTTCGCTGGAGACTGCCGCTGGAGTCTGCGTCGGGTTGGAAAGCTGAATCTGATGCGTAGTAGTAAAGATACGCGGCTTCCAACAGAGGGTATTTTGCATTTCCAATGATCGTAGATGGAAGGGAGTAGAACGAGAAGAAATCGGTGATCTTGTGCGTGGTCGGGTCCTGAACGCATAGCTCAATACAGTCGGCTTTCTTGTATGGATTCAAAGAGAGCGCACCTCGACAACGTACGACCAAGTCACTTGCCCAGTCCTGCGACCTTGCCCCCCGTCTCCAAGGTTCCCAGTGCCCATTCCACTCAACAACTGGTGTCTGGTCTCCTCCAAGTCGAACAGGGGAATCATGTCGAAACGCTTCATATATCTCTGGAACAGATCGTGAACAGCTCCGATATCCTTCTCCTCCATTTCTCGCAGCCCAAGCAGGGAAGGCTTCTCTGGCAATTGGTTCTGACGGATCATTCCCGCTAGCGTGCTGTTCCTTGGGACATAGGTGAACTTGGTATCAACCAGCTTCGGGATGTTCAGTGACCGATGGTAATATCTGCAAACCGATACAGGAGTGGGAATGACCACACCCGCCGTGTAGATAGCCTGGAAAATCCCCTTGAGGTTGCATTGACGCGTAACTTCCTTGATGAGGACGGGAGCAAGTCGCTTGGAACGCAATTTCTTATGCACGCAGAGATAGTTGATTTCGCTAACGGGGATGACACTAACAGACACGAGTCCATTAGCGATGTCAGGAAGCCAGGCGGGTGAGAGACTAACTTGTCGCGAACTTTGAGGTTCATCGGAACCCCTGAGATGAAAGCGACGAGCTTTTTGTTTGAGGCTACCCGTACTCCGATGTGCCATTCCTTGTGGTATCCCGGAGGTGTCAAAGCCCTAATAGAAGGGTCAAGCGGAAAGCCACTGAAACGTCGCCCGATGCGTACCATTTAAGGAATTCAGCGCTGTACTGGAATCGGAACGCAGCATAGTCGTCTTCCACATAATGGCCAGAAAGAAGATCGTAAACCTCCTTGATCTGTACCGGAGCAAGAAATTAAGGGGAGATCACTTAGTTTTAGAGAAACAGTTGATACCTCGGCAGGATTTTGAATGTCCAAGATCGACCACTCGAATTCCTTTGGAAGTGGATAAGGCTGCTGCCGAATCTCGCTGGCCGGCTTGGATTCCTCGATGCAGCCATCCTCTTCCGGCGGGCTCTCGCCTAAGAATAAAGTCAGATAATGAGCTGCCTTTTTCAATGGAAGACCTACCCAGCTGAGGAACGGGCTGAGTGGACCAGAACTACATAATAACCAATAAGCGCCCGCAAACTAGATACATGGGAGGATCGACTGACCTTGTGTTTACCAGTATCCTTCTGGTTCTTACCGCCGACTCCAGCCTTTCCTTTAACAACATCCATGATCTTCATCTGCTGCAAAGCCTCTCTGATCCTCTCCGGAGTGAGTTCTTCCGCATTCACTTGACCAGTCGCCTTGACTTTCTCCGCGACAGTCTGGACAACTTCGTCTGGGATGTCTTCATCTCCCTTGATCTTGCTCAGAATTTTCGAGGCTTTTGAACGTTTCTTGCTTTTCTTTTGTGCAGGGGCAGAAGAGCTTTCGGGTTGGTCTTGCTCGGGTTCAGATCCCGTATTCGAGCCTTCTTCGTCAGAATCGATCGTGGTGTCGATAATTTCTTCGATGGCGACAACTTCCTTCTGCTTCTGGGACGACATGGCCGGGAATATGTGGCCTGATTTTGGGGATTCGTTAGGGCGACTTCGACCGCTGTGGTTGAGGATTGAATATTGACAGGGTAAATGTAGATTCCAGAACCTCAGCTGTATCGTTATCAGTGGTGTCGGCACGTGGGACATGCGTACGCCGCAACAGGGGCAAGTGTCGTTCCCGAATTCGAGGGCCGCGTTCGATCCCGGGACATCCATAAATTTATAGGTCCCAAGTGTTGTGAATTATGGGATGCTGACTGAGTTGTATATACATCGTGGAATAGCACTATGTAGGCAACTGTCCAAGAGAATATCGAATTACCAGCTTATTGTCACTCGTCCTCAGCACCTTATCAACCCCTCCGAACTTGAAGTTCCCTTTAGCTATAAGATCTATCCGTCTGAGGACCCCAAAATCCCCTGAAGAGACCCAAAAGGCATCTCGTATCCGGCGATGGTTCGCGTTATATACTGCACGGTACTCTCTGGGCGAGTTCGCAAGGAGGCTGATTTCATAACGCGTCAACTGTTCGTAGAAAAACTGCCGCACAGCATTCAATATGCGCTCTACTGTGAGATGCTCGTCGCATATCCGTACGACTGGTGCTGGCCACAGGCGGAAGAATTTCTCCAACCAGGGTGACAAGAGGGTATCATGACGGATGTTGAAGTGGATTTCGACCGCGAAGATTCCGGGACATGTTGCGGGGGCAGAGAGCGATACCTGTCTTTGGCCGGAGGGGCTCCAGGCTTTGGCAGTCGTAGGAGCTTCCCGGATGTCCCAGTAATTCCGAGGCCTGTCGGGACTCGGTTTCTTTTGCATGGGATTTCATGACGCCAAGACGCGACGCTCAAATGCCACGTGATGTTTGCCGAGGTCCCGCGTTCGACTCCCGCCCAACCCATTTTAAATTCATCGTTCCTTATTAACAGCCCCTCGCTCTACAGACTCGCTCTTTTCTATTTTCGTTATCCTGCGACAATGCTATTCGGTCAATGACACCTTTGTTCTTCACGAGATTCACCTTTTTCTTCACGAGATTTTGCTGTTCTGTCCACTCCATGTCCTCGGTATCGCGCTTCCCGCTTTCTTTACGTTTCATGTCTTCCTTTGCTTTCAGTCATGTATTCAAATTCTTCTTCACCCTAACTTAACTATATAAAAATTGTGTCATCCTCATTCCTCGCTACAGTTATCTTCCTCCATCATACATGAGTACCGGGAACGACATCTCAACATGTCCGCGAGTAATACCATGCCCTGCTCCGCCTCTACTCTCCTCTCCTCCGTAACTGCCGTTTGGAAATCTACTGACCTATCGCTGAGATGAACATGTTGCGGCGCACATGTGCAAAGAAATCCGACGATTCCCATCCTTCCTTCGCACATTCCTTCCTCCAGCTGCCCTATTTCTTCGTGCAGTGTGTCAGTCACAGCCCCAGGGCCAAAACCTTTCCACTCACGACTTAGAACGAGGGAGATGCCTGGGAATCCCGACTGGTACAATTCCATACCAACATCAACATGGTCCTTGAACTCCTTCATGAAATCGTCCGCTTCCTTTGGATCTCCGTTGAATGATTCCAAGAGCTGTTGTCGTACGATCGCCGTTTGGTGAGAGCATTGATACCCCTGCCTCAGACAGTCCAGGCACGCAGGGTAAGCTGCCGGTACGGTGAACGACCCCTCCCTCTCGCAGGTACTGGAATCGCACGGCGCTGGTACCCGTAACAATTCACCCCTTCCCGTCTTCGCATCTCACTGCCTAAAAAACATTCCAACCCCATCCAACCGTGAGTCACCTTCCTGTACGCTTTGCTTCCAATGGGAGCGAGTCGCCCTGGCGCCGCCGTGTCCTTCACTATCTTTGGTGAATCACCGCCCCATTTCAGATTCAAATATCGCTGTCCCTGTTCCGAGTAACAACTAAGCCAATAGCAAGGTTCCACTCCGTGCACCCCGCACATTCAACGATTCCACCGGATCACTTCCAGCCACAAGTCTTGCATAAACTACCTACTTCTTCTTCCGCATCCTGCCATTGCTCTTGGTACTCGCCTTCCCCTTTTTTATTTACCAAATACTGACATTGGTCCTCCTCATTATCTCTTTATCTCGCGAACTTTTGACTCAGTCCATCCTCTCCGCGCCTTCCTCTCCGCCACCGAAGCAATCTGTACCTTGTATCGTCAATTCCACATCTTAACATCTGTCACTCGGGATATTCCCTCCTCGGCTCTTGCACCGTCTCACACGACTCATTTGACATTTCTGCTTTCCCTTCCCTAACCAATCAAGAACCGTCCCTTTTGGAACTCCACAAACCCGCCATTTAGGCGCTTTCCCCGATTTGGCACTCCTTCGCGGCTCTCTTGGTGGTTCTCAATATACTGCGACGGCCTCTCTAGCCGACGAAATGACCGCTCGTCGTCGCGTATAGACTCTGCTTTGTGCCCCTTTATTTGGTTGTCTTGCTACTTTAAATCAGACAATGGTTTCTCCGACCTAACGCAACCGTCACCCACCATGAACTTTTCCACCTTCAGTCTCGCTGGTGCCCTCGGTCCGCCTTCCCCGTCTCCTCTTGCCGGTGACCCCTACAATCCGACTCTTGACTCCATCGCATTCCACGAGCGATTTTCGTACTCCATCCCTGGAATATCCCCATATCATTTGCCTTCTTACCCCACAATCCATTACGCGCCAACCATCGATAATCTTTATGAACCGGCCTCACTCAGCACAGGTTCAGGGCCTATCGATGCTTCCCTTGCCTCCTCACCTGACCGTGAATCATCGCCCCCCCTCCCACATGGTGGTGCCGTCCAGTGCCGCTACGACCGAGCGACCGACAACGCCGACAACATTCACTTCCTTACCACTCCCTCTCCACGATCAACCGACACCACTCTCGCAGCTTTGTCTGACCATGTGTCATCTCCCCTCAACCCCACTAAACAACTACTTCAATCTGAATACGCCTCACAGACACTCGACGAGCCGCGTTCCCACTTCCTTTCCACAACCGAAAGGCGCACCCGCCGTGACAACGCCCTTAGCGCCTTCTATAGGTCGTCGTGTGTTCGTTTCCTTACCGACTTCCTCCTAAACCCCAAGCATTGGAAAGATATCGTCGCCGCTAATCCCGGTCTAGGCCCGTGCTCTGCCCCCCAGTGTGCTTCCAAAGAAGTCTTGTGCCTTCCGTCAGACGTTTTGGGGTGCACCAATTGTGTCCGTCTTGGCCTGACTTGTTCTCATGTCGACACTTGCCTTATCGTCTTCATTTCCGCCAAAGCGAACATCGACACGGCCTTAGCTCGGAAATTCCTGGACGCGTTGGCCATTCAGAAAGATAGCGCACTCGCTGCTAATTCAAGGACACAAGGTGGAATCACACCACTTTTACACTGTGAGTTGGTTTTCGCCTTTCGTGGATAAGTATTGACAGCTCCCGTGTTCACCCCAGATGTCTCTGCCTTGGAAGATTACTTAGATTCGGCGAAAGACCGGCCCGAGACGCCGCCGCCTGCAAACTTGGCCCTTAACCTGCGCAAGGCTATCTTTATTGCTACATTCGGTAACGCCATTTCATATACCTCTCCTCCTGATGCCTGCTAAATTGACCTAGTTAGAACCGCTGATGTCGCTCGCGTGAACGCTCAACAGGGAATGCTCCATGATATCGCCCTCATTCTCAAGCACGCTGCCACTGATCGCACCTTATCCGCCGAACAAGCTGTCCAGCAAATTGTTTCTCTGTTCCGAACTCGCCCTTTCTTGTCCCATCCCTGACCTTCTCCCCGCGCTACGTCGGTAAAGTAATGTCTCTCTGAACCTTCTGACCTATCTCCAAGTTTCACTTTAACTATTTCGATAGCCTCTTACCTTGTACTCATTTCTACTAATCACCCACCACAGTAATTACTCGGTTTATATCTATTTATGGTATGATACTTGCTCCCTTGCCTCATAAATCCTTCTGTGATATAGTAGCCTGTAGGCTTACCTCGTACTCGCTTTAACTTGTCCTAACAAATTCAATTTCTTATTTCCAAATTCGATGCCTTTCTACCGTGTGACTTCAATAGTAAATGGCGACATCGTTCAAACGCGAATATGGTCCCCTTTCGAATTCTACGGGTTGATGCGCCCTGTGTCGTCAGTCCGTTTTCGGTGCACCCCGATCTACCCAATCAAATCTGACCCTGACACCACTCAAGTAAATCATATCTGCAAGTCACTCCGTCAACCATTGCAAAGCGCCCGGCAACCGGGGTAACCCATTTACACATACAAGCGCCCACACATAGTCAATCATTAAGCGAGCTTCGGTTCGCTTCTCGGTAGCAGTACCTATGTAATCATCCGGCTCCGGTTTCTGACTGTGAATGACGGCGGTGCTCTTTGCCACAGAATGAATCGGCGCACCTTGACTATAAGGACTCGAGCAATACACTCTGCTCGTACACATCTATTCACCCCTGCAACCATAATCATGTCTTCGCTCCCTTGCGGCCATCCACCCCCGGGTTCTCTGGATGAGATGAAGACAATTCTCTCTTTCTACAACTCTGCGTTCCTCCTCCCTGGATTGCGATCCGTTCTAGACCGCAAGACCTGGATCCGCTTTTCCAGAGACTTCTCTTCTGGATCTCAGGCCCCTTGCAATTCGCCCTTGTGCACACAAGGCATCGTTCCCTGCGTCGTGTCCCCGCTCTTTCCGGGGTGCACTAGCTGCGTTCGACACAATGTCTCGTGTTCTCTCAGGGGCAGCGTTTTGGAGCAGACTGTCGCTCGGTATTCCTCAGCGACTGCCTCTCAGATGTCACAATTTCGTCGAGCTTTCCAGGCGCACATGACGCTTGCGTCGACCATGCCTGAAGCACCCTTTGAAAACCTTCTGGGCCTATTTACTCGTAAGCGCTATCCTGCTACTGATGGTCAAGCCCCGTATTCTAACCTTGGTACGTGTTTACCCATAGAAATCGGGAAGATCCAGGAGATGATCGAGAAGGGTACTTCTTTGTCGAACATCCCCGACGAGTTCTTCACCCATATCCGCCGCAGTATATTCGCCGTCGCCATCGGTGAGCATTTTCCACTGATGATACCGTTCCGAACCTTACCACCTTCCTATTCTCCACCGCTCAGGATATCAGGATCGGTTTTTGAAGATTGTTTCTCAAGACATGATGATCCACGATGTCGCTGCGATCGTTAAGGACGCCGCTTCGTCCAGTCGCATATCACCCACCGACGCGATTACAAGGTTGCATTTATTGTTTCATCAACGCGAAACGTACTCCCATATTTGGAATGATCCCACTACACGTTACGGCGCTGCCCCGCACGAGCCTATCCCCGTACGTCCTTACGGTGTTGTGCACCTGGATCGTTGCTAACTTTACATGGCCCAGTCAACCGTAAATAGTTCGACCATGTAGTATTACCGCTACCTGTCCTGCAATACCCTCAATTACTAGATTCTCTTCGATGACTGCTCTATTGTTTGTGGGTACTAGTAAGGACATCGATCAGAAAAAGCGCAAGAAGACGGCCATACCTCGACATTCAGCGACTTCGCTAAAGCCTGAGGCCTGAGGAGCATTGTAGAATAGAGTCGCCCTTGTCGCCTACGTCATGTGCTTAGACGTAATCTAAAGGCATTGGGCAACAAGAACAAACATACACACAACGGACGCAGCATCTGTGATCTGTGAACTGCGTCGCTTCGTCCCTACTTAGTCCTTTACCAACTTTCAATTCCACAAGCAGGGTCGGCAAGTCTCTCTCTCAATACGCTATCATCTCGATGTTGTTCCAATGGAATTAAGGAGAGTTCAATGAGACGGAAGAGGGTAAACTACGGCATCTAAATGCTGTGCTCGCCGTAGCAAGTGTCTGGCATATCCATCCACACATCACCCCTCCTACCCTCCATCATCCTCTCTAATCGTTCCATGCCTTTCTCTGCAGTTTCCTTCTTCGACACCCGCACTCCATAGATGACACTAGCCATGTCCTCGATCATGGCCTCTAGGGAATACAGTCGCCTTTGAAGTTCGCTGCGACCTGTTCGTGGTCGGATGAATTGCTTTAGTGAGTAGCAATTGGACTGTAATACACACCTATCGCTAATTCAAATGTGTAGCGCTGCAAGTCTTTCAAGGCCGTCTTCGCCGAATTGCCGTTGTATGCTTCGTCCCCAGCGACCACCGCTTTCATTTGGTGGGCAACTTTAATGTTTTGGTTAGAAATCGATCGACAAAATCAGACTATGCGCTCACCATTCTGTAATCCCTTGATAGCACCGATTGGCCTACCAGCTTTACTGCGAGCGTGAGCATGGTAACCATGATATTGGCCTTGGATGGTGATCAGCCTTTCCAATGCGTAACGCGGGAATGCCTCCGCCAACAACATCATCATGAAACTGTCATGGTGAGAGCAACGCATGTTGAGGCGAAAGCAGTTGGTACACCCGAACCAGACGGTGGAGGGTTCACAAGTGCCATCTTTCGTGCATTTCGGGTGGTTACATGGCGGGGGTCGGACCTGCAGGTGAGAGCTATGTATCCACTCCCTCCAACCCTCAACGCGAAGCTCGGCATCGAGAAGAACCGCTACTTCGCCGCTGTCATAGAAGCGCTCGTCGGTGACCTTGTTGTTGACGTACATGAGTGCAGTACGGGATCGGTGGTGGTCGGTGAGCAGGGAGACGAGAAGTTGAAACTTGCCTGGGTCCAGGTAAGGCTCTGGCCCTTTTTGTCTGTCGTCATTTGACTCTATTTCAAGGCATTTGCAGGATCGTAGATCAAATGGTATTCCAGGGGCATCCTGTACCGAGTCATAGTACCAATATCATCGATTCGGTTCCGGTCTCATCGATGACTAGGTGGAGAATCCTGCCAAGCTGTTTATACTATGGAATTACAAGTCGACGGTATCCCCTTCGCTAGTAACTATCAGCGCCGTGCTGTCGCGACAACTGCGATAGCATCGATTGTTCTTCAATCGCCACAGCAAGACATCTTCCATGGACTGAAGCAGGTCGGTTTTTCTTTGAGGCATGTACGAGGCAAATGGGGCGACAAAAACCTCATCGTCGTGCAACGATCGATAGGTCTGAGAACAACGCCCATCGCTTCCACACAGGTGAGTACCGACAAAGCCTTCCAGTCGGGAGTCCCGGTAAATGACATATCCTCTTTCCCGATACTTCTCCAGGCATCTGAGATCCCTCCCCGACAATCGTCCTTCCTTGGTGGTAAATCCGACCCTCGCCCTTGTCAGACTCCCGTATAGCGCGACAACTCCGAAATAGCTAATAACATTCATAACGACGGTGGAATGGAACCGGATGATGGCGGGGAGCGCTGAGCTATAGGGATAAATGTGTAAGAAGAGATTTCGGACCGGGTACGATTTAACTTGCCTGGTGCGTGTGACGATGACGTTAATGACTTTACCGGTGTTCGCATGCTTGAAGTACCAAATAGCAGCGATCCCGGGAATGCCGCAGTATTCATCGTCCGGTATGGGCAAACCTGCCCTGACGAAGTCATCATCGTCAATAAGCTGGCCCCAGCCTCGGTTGCGCCTCTGCCATAGGTAGACCCAAACTTCATGCGCGTGCGCCATGGGGACGTAAATGTCAAGATCGCCGGGTTCGAACATCCCTGGATCGATGACGGCGAGCACAGCTGACCCTGATATGTAGGCGCTGGCATTTCGCAAGAGCAGGAGAGTCGATTGAGGGTCTAGAGAAAATGAGTCTATGAGGACTAAAACCCGTCGATCGACCTCAGTTCGGGTCAAGGAACGAAGCTTCCTGTTAGTTCCGCCCAGAGACTTGAGGTCAAAAATCCCCGCATTCTCCACGACCACCTTGAGGACTTCCTTGGGGATCACAAGTGGGCGTCCGTCCCGAATTCCTGGTACACGCATGCGTGAGTGTCATGGAACGCAAGAACAATGGTGAGTATTACCTGATTTCTTCGTGACACTGTGGATGGTGGTACCCCAGAGCGAAGGTACGACGTTACCCATCGTTCAGCTGATATGGGTGTGCAGGAATCTCTGTGGTGGGAGGTTTCCTATGCCGGCGCCTCTTATGACGATTGGCAATGCCTTTTCGGTCCAAATTTTCGACGCAAGATTTGGTCCATGCATTCCCCCTGCTTTTTGGATGGCGTCTCATTTCGCGCCGGATGCCTCCTGCGGTGAGTCAGAACAATGATGCTTCAAATTTATTTCTTGTTCTGAAGATCGACGCCCAAGTCACTTTAGTCGAATGGACCATTTTCGGGCATATTCTCAGGTACGAAGGTCGATTAACTCGGAAACCGCATTTCATTCTCATGGTTGGTGCGCTTTACAGTAGGATGTGACTAGGACTTGAAGGAAGTACTCTGTGGACCATGGTCTATCGCCATGTTTAGTTCGGGTTCTCCGTGAATCTCTGATCTTGGTTTCTTCTCCGTGCTGTTGAGGAACAATGACTTGCGCTTTAGGAGCCTTGCGGGCGGAAGCGTCTTGATGACATCGCATTGACTTCTGCTTTGCTCTCGGGTAGTTTCCGATTCCTATTCATGATCAGCAACTGTACATCTCATCCGCTGGTATTGAAACAGTGTGAATCGATGGCCTTACCTTGCGCACACAAGACTCCAAGAGGGTAACCGCCCGAAGCGCCGGAAGGAAACGATATCGCCGGTCCTTGATGGGTACGCACTTAAACGCACAGGTGACTTCCACAATGTCACCTTCCTTGATACACGCTGGATCATAAGGCTCGTATCTAAAAGGTAATTATTATCACTGAATCATGCTCTCGTTTGACCTCCACTCACCTCGTCGTTCCGTCTGGATCAATGACTTTGATGCAGTACTCCACTCGATTATCCGGACCGTGGATAAGCCGTGTACCTCGAAGTGTCTCCAAAATCCCCCGTGGATCGACTCGTTCATCGAATGGAACGTGCTTCTCTTGCGGAGCAGCTTCACGGTCGGTAAAGTAGCGAGCATGGAAATCGAGCGCCACTTCTCCCTCGTATAGCTTGGGCTCCACCCCCGTCAATCCATCTTCTCCCAGGGTATGTTTGAAAAGCTTTAGTATGGACACCATCGCATCGCCGACCAGATCAAACGAAGGTGATCCAAGGCCCGTGAGCTTCACAAACTGACGAAGGTTCCGCAAGTGTTGCATGGTCCGTATCTTTCTATTGCTTTGAAGTCAGTATTATTCACACCAGAATCGCTTCTTCGACTAACGGGGTTGAGTGAAAAGGGGGCAACACCTTCGAGCACAACACCCCAATAACTCTAAAGTAAGCCTCGTTGTCGCGATCTTCTTGTGGGGTCAATCGGTAGGTGAGTGGGTTGTCAAATTGCGTGACCGCCAGTTGGTCTGGCTGTCTTTGGTCGTTAACGCCGAGTATATCTTCGCAGAAGTAAAACTACTGACATCAATGTCTGATAAAAGAATCGGTCGGTTTGTTTCCTCCTGACTAGCCCTAGCAATATTTGCTTCAAGTATCACTCCTGCATGAGCGAAGCTTTGTTGGTATAGGTATGACTTTTAAACATGGAATACGTACTGGCTGCGTCGTGGTTGTAATACACGTTCATTTCAGCGGCGGGGACCTAGGCGATTGCGAGATTGAGTTGGATAATCGTGCAAGTGCCACAACCAACTTTGCCTTTGTAAATTTGTAGGGATTTTCGCCCTTCGCCTTTCACACGTTTGATGCATATTTGACCGACGTTTGCAACACCCATACTATGAGTCATTCACCTCTTCGTATCTTTCTGTGATGGGTAGAGAAGGTGACCCTCGCACCGATCATGAAAAGATCGTGGCGATACTGGCTTCACCTGGTTGGACAAACAGGGTCATCTCGAGTCAAAGGCACACTGTGTCCTGTGTTTCAAACTCTTCCATCTCCCGTTTCTCTGTCAAACCATCGATCGAGTCAGACGACGGCATCTGACACTTCCGCAACCAATGGAGTTATGGAATCGCGCTGAATCGTAGGCTCTGCTTCGCCCACTTGAAGACGTTGTTAAGCGAACGACTTCGGCCAATTCGCATTCGAGTCAATGGACAAGTTGTCACGCGCCGGTTTCAACTATCCATTCGAAAAAGGGACTTCATGCTTCACGATGACTACTCGGGTGATCTTTGAATCGCCCATACCATCTGACTCGAGACCGCCGGTAAACGAAACACTCTTCCACTCATGCCTTCCCCCTAAATTGAAAACGGTAAGGCACGAGATTCTGTTCTCCCGTCGTTATTCGTGGTGACTCGCTGCACAGCACGGCCAGCCTATCTACGTCTGGAAACAAAGTAAAGACGGAGTCTAATTACTCAAGGGGGATTCCACGATGCGAGGGTATAAATAGAAGACAGCTGCGGTGCACTTCTCCTCCTCAATCACTCAAGATAACAAATACCCCAACTTTGTCCCCCTTGGATATATTGAACATGACTTCCAACACCCAACAGAGATCCGACTCAGCGCCCATGATGACGCCTGGCTTCCTACCTCCACCTGTGTATGTCATTCCCCATAATTCCGCTGTTTCTTGGACACCCCTAACCCGTTACAAAGTATGAATCGGCCAGATGGGTCCCCCCCCATTCACTTTGGGTAGTAACGTTGTGCAATCAATATTATTATCTACTCACCTTTGCATAGGTTTTTCGGCCCACAATCTATGGACATCAACATGCATGGTGGATGGCATGGGTGCGTGTTTAACTCGCATTAGTGGATGGTTCATTCACCAATACCTGCGTAACAGCGCCACATTGCATAATGGTTTTCTTCCCAGATTCAGAGCCGACGGAAGTACAGTTATGAGTCTAGTCCCGGAGAACCTCACTGAGAGGCATAAGGGAGATGGCGCTGAGTGTGTGATGCTACCCCTTGCATGCAATTTGGAATATCGCTAAGATCTAATAGACCTTCATCCACGCCCACCGGCGCCAGCCAGTCGGGTCAAAGTCCTGAGAGGGTTGAAGGCGAACCGACCACTCCGGGCCAGCCGTAAGTAAATCCAGTCATGGGCGTTACCCAAATTTTTAACCCATTTTTTTGGCGGAACAGTGATGACGTCATAAGCATATCTTCGTATGAGGATGACGGAGCGTAAGTTCTTGGGCGCCTGTTTGACAAATGCGCCACACTCTCATCACCTTATATAGCAAGCCGTGTCATGTGCCCGGTGACAGTACATATCGGGGCCGGCTGCCCCGATCCCGCATTAAGGACGCGCAACCTGACGGAGAAGGCCGGGTGACTCGTTCCAAACTGTGAGTCCACACACGGAACTGACACACCCTCGTTCTGAACCTCTTGATCAGGAAAAGCACCAACGCCAAAGCAGGAGCCAACAGGTAGGTCTCTGCATCCTCAGGCGCGTGGATGGCTAACTAAACTTTCCAACATGATAGGAGGAGAACCAAGCAACAGACGGCAACCGAAGAATCGAACATCGCCCATGATGCAGATGATGAAAGGGAGGCGAATGCCAATGCAAAGAGGTAGGTTCGCTGTGTAATTCTGGTTCCACCTCACTTTAACTCCTTCAAGGCCCCGTCGCTCGAGGAGGACTGTCAAATCGAAGCCATTGGTAATGTCGTCCGACGACGACAAAGCCGACAATCCTCAGGAATCTGAAGAGACTCCGGTGGATCCACCTCTGACCCAACCGCGTCCAACACTGGAACCGTCTCCCCTTCCCCTGCCACAAACGAAACCGCCGGCCACAAAAGGGAAGGGTAAAGCCAAGCGTGCCATAACTGCTCGCGATGGGAGCGGCTCCGACAACCCGAGGTCTGTCCAGCCCCCTTGAATTGTTTTCACAACTAATCTTCGCATAGGCCTCACAAGCGCAGTGTTGTTGACGATGCTATTGAGATATCAGACTCCAGTGACTACGCGAAAGGTCTCGGTGCGTGTGTCGTTCATCTACTGTGATTCGATACGCTTACCGGACGCAAAAAAAGATTTAGAAAAACTGCTAAAGAGAAAGAAGAGTTCGAAAGAGTCGAGGCAGAAACTTTTCAAGAAGATCAATGGCCTCTTTCGCTCAAGCAAGCGCTGGCGCAACAACTTTTTGGATTTGGAAGCGGAAGAAGACGATGCGGAAGGCCGATCCTCTTCCGAAGGATCTGAGAAGGACGACGAGTATAGGTACTCAGATTCTTTCATGTTCGTGTCTCGGTTGTACTTGTATTCAAAAACGAACGCTTATTGCTTCCACACAGAGATGACTCGGAAGTTCACGACGACGCCAACATGGCTGATCCGGACGCGCCTTTCCCCGGGCTGGAGTGAGTCAATTCGTAAACGTTAACCTGACCGTTGCTCACTCATGTCCATGACGAGCTTAGACTGGAAGACTTTGCTCGCCAGGCAGACGAAGCTAGAAGGAATCAGGTCGAAGACGATAGATGCATGGCCCGTGCCATCACCCGACATACAGCGATGGTGCAGTCAGCTTTAGCTGAAGGCAACAATCGCGTGGACCAAACCGACATTAGCGACAATGTCATGAAGAAACCAGGCGCATCGAATGTCCTTTCCAATTCCCAGGCAACAACTGAGGTGGGCGTTCTTGTAGGCCCCGAAACGACAGAAGTCCGAGAGTCGAGTTCAAGTGAGGACGAGTGAGTATCGCGATTTATTCAATGGCACCACGCTCACAACACCAATGAGGTTCGGCGTGAAATTTTATCGAGCGCAGTTCAGGTACGCCAAATCCAACCACACACTCCACATTCCATTTCCTTATCGCGGATTTCAGGGAGGCTATACGTCGTAGCAGACAAGCTCATGAACGACGCCTTGCTGAAGAACGGAACACTCGAGATGGCGCAAGTTCGCGACCCGGCCCTTCAACGCCAAGTCCGCGTGACGGTTTCAGCCGGCCACCTCCAGCCTACGACTCGCTTTACACATCACCGCTTCCGGCATATACACCCACCGTGCCTGCTGCACAGATGGTCACCCCTCCTAACTCCTCCAGCGCGGTACCGCAAGCTTTCCCTGCGGCAGTCGGTACTCCATCAGGAAATTCGGGGTCAGGCAATGATCACAATGGAAGCGGGCCTAGTACAGGGGGGCAGCCACGAAGGCTGCGATTTTCCTTCCCCGAGCGCTGCGAAGTAACGGATGCCAAATTGCACGATGTCCTGCTGGCCGGCGACTATGCCTCGCTGGTACCTTTGAGGTGATGTGGTTCCTTCCTACAGGTTTCAGGACCCCTCACTGATATTTCTGCAGACGAGGATCGTTCGTCCCATGGTCCAACGCACCCGGCAGAGGGCTCGTTCGGTTTAGCGCGTGGACAGACCAGGCCCCTTCCATGGATCCAGCGTAAGCCGGTCACCATTGTGAAATAATGAAATACTCACATCCTTTCCAGTAAGGCCTTTCAAGCGATACGTCTGCAAAGGTGTCAAGAGTTCATCAACCCTTCGCGTGCCTCTCCGGCGGAATTGGAGGTGAAGGAAATCACGGGTGGACTTCACTCCAACAGCTTTCGACTTCACGCGTACTTGAACGGACAGCCCGCGATTTGTGTCTCCAGCGTCTACTCCGAATCCTCGTGCCTTCGAACCCTCACCGCATTTGGACTCCCACAGAACATGCTTCAAGGGAAGCTGCATACTCAAGAGTTCGATCGGCTCGTCGGCTTTTTCTGTATGAGCTTTGGGATTCCCGAGCTGCATGCGAACCTATCGCGTGATTCCATGCACTATGTTACAAGACCGGTCAGCCGCGATAATTCCTCGTCCCAGGGTGTGTCCGTTCCCCATTCACAATGTTCCGCAACATTAACACGGCGTCCTGTAGGCTCTGCGCCAGGCATGTTTAGCAACAATCCGAGTCCTTCGACGAAACGACCAATCGCCAACCGTCTCCTCGTAGATCATTTTGCCTTGGATTCAAGAAACGACGGTAACTTGATTTAGTTACTACATGTAACACGAAACTAACGTTCATTTTATAGTCCCTATTTACGATGCTCGAGGCACTTCCGACTTCAACTTTACAACAGACCTTCCGTCAATGGCGTCGAAGCTACCCGTTTTCACGAATGGCGAGATTCCGTACGGGTCCTTCGTAGTTGTTGGGTACACTGCGAGCGTGTATAGAGCGAATAACGGGAACTGGACTCTGAGTTGTAATATTCGTTGGGCTATTATAGTAGGTAGCCCCCCAGATAACGTACACTAGTATTTCGAGTCTGTGCTTCGTTATCTCGGAATAATTATTGAAATTTCGCACTTGGTCACATTGTCCTGATCTCCCAACTGAAAAGCTGAAGTTCTTAACCAAGTAATGCCAGTTTATTTGAGCAGACCATCGGGAAGATTTTCGTTTGCCGGCTGTGACTCGGAAAGGCGCATCAGTGTTGCATGGCGGCGTTCGAAACACGGTTCCCACGGCTTACGGCTGGGAATCAATGGAGGGTTGGTTTTCCCCTTCGTCACTTCATCCTCATCGTACAATCCCAACATTCTGTTGAACAACAGCGTTTTATCATGCAGCTTACATCCGTTACTTTGACGGCGAAAGACACATGTCATTCCTCTGCTTTGGGCAGCGTACATCACAGGCAGGATCCACTGGGCAATCCCCCAGGAGTCAGTCCGCTACGAGTGGTCGGTGGCGGCGCCAGACCTGGTCAACCCTTTTGGACTCTGGAAGAAGTACGCAGATGCATATTGTCAGGAAACGTGGACGATCTCGATTCGTCCACTCGGTTTCGTTTCATTGCTTACACTCGACCGGAGCGGCAAGAGGAGGAACTGGCCGAAAACCCAACGGCCGTTGCGTGTTCCCTGTCCCCTGGAGATTTAGCTCGTGCGTTGCTTGTAAGTGAAATGCGCGATATGTGTGCTAGACATAATATCCAGCTGACCCGAACTGACCTCAAATCTACTCTGCAGCAGAAGCTATTGGAGCACGAATGCAGTGCCGATTGCGGGCAATACGTTTCTTTCCTTGTTCCTTGCCAGGAAAACAAAGAAGACGCAAAGCAGAAGACACTGGCGAAAGGATTCGCTTTGCGGGAATTACGAGAGTGGTTGGACGACCAGGAGGTCCTGAAGATGTCGGATGATACAATGTTCACGTTGGTGGGACTCACCAGAGAACAGGATTGGATTGAGAATGGATTTATCGAGCCTGGATTCACGTTCGTAAAGATGCCTTGGACCGCCTTATTAAGCAAGCTAACCAAGGCAGGGCTTCAGGAAATCGCTCGCTTTCACGGCATAGAAGCACCTGTGCGTCGCACGAGGGCTCAATTGCTAGACGACTTCCGCGTCCATCAGTGCGATCCTGGTTGCTTCCAGCTAATGGCGTCATTCACTGTCCAACGGAAACGATGTGGAAACGCAAAGCCGCTGCCTCCGGACGACAACAGTCCTTTCGTCTGGGAGGAATTCAACTCAAAGGTGGATGTCCATTATCCCCCGATGCCCATAAACAGGAAGGACGTTGCCAGGTGCGTTGAAGGTTATACTGGTGCCCTCGAGACGTCTAAAATCGAAGAATTCCCGTGTGCTTCATGCGCACAATTGGTAAGACTGTCAGAGGCGCTACCGTTTGATAAGTCCAAGGACTCATTGTCCGTTTTAGAGGTTTCCTCGGTCGCGGTGTTGGAGCGTAAATCCTCGATTGACCCAATTGAACCGCTCAGAGGACCAATCCTGGTACCAGGTGCTTCCATTATTTGCGGTCCTTGCGATTCAAGTCTGTCTAAAGGTAAAATGCCTCTTCTGGCTCTCGCTAATGGTCTGTGGATAGGGGAAGTTCCCAACGAGCTGAAGGATTTGACTCTAGGAGAAAGGGCTCTCATTGCGAGGGTTAGGCGAAATAGAACACTCGTTCGTGTTTCCAATGGACATTACAAGATGGTCGCTAATGTTATCGCGTTCCCCAACCCAACTATCAAGGTATATGAGAAGCTCCCGCCTCACCGTTCCGACATTGATGACGTATTGGCGGTGATTTTTACTGGGGTTTCTCCCCCTACTGATGACGACTTAAAGAGAACGCCTGTCATGGTGCGTCGTCTTAAGGTCTTACGGGCTCTTGAATGGCTAAAGGTGAACCACTGTGATTACTACGACTTGGAAATAGATCACGAAGCCCTGTTATCTTATGCAGAGGAGGGAGTGCCTGTGGGTGTCCTACATCGTCAGATGTCCGAGAAGGATGGCAATGTTTTGGGCACTGCCAAAGCAGTATTCGACGACGGAGAGGAGAGGGGTGCGGAAGAAGGTCCGTGTCCTTTTACAGTGCATGGACTGACAACAACTAAATTCAGTACAATGACTTCGAATTCAAGGAAAATTGCTGTGGTACAGCACCTTAACGACGGAGGCGGGGCGCTTGCCGTGGGCCACGGCGATAAACCAGAATCAATCTACGACAATCCTACTCTGTATCCAAGGATGTTCCCTTGGCTCTTTCCTTACGGGAGAGGGTCGGTTGGCACTACGGATCTATTTCGTAAAGTATCGGAATCCCGTCATCGTCAGTGGCTTATGAATTATTATGACAAGCGGTTTCAAATGGACAGTCACTTTCTCATCACAGCCTTCAACCATCAGCAAATAAAAGACAGTAGTGAAGGTAGTTTTGTGATGGTGAAGAGAGGTAACTTCGAGCAAGTGGCGAAAACCATCAGGGAGATCAACCCAGGCGTTTTAGCCAATATCGCGAGAAAGATGAAGGAAGGAATCCGATTCTCACCAACAACAGACCAGGAGAAGAAGTGTTACCGTCTTCTGGAACATATAGAGTACGTCGGGGGTCACGTCGATGGGTCTATGGCCCGTAGGAAGTACATGAGAAACGAACTTTGGTCACTGATTAGTTTCCAGGGTGCTCCAAGTTGGTTTGTCACAATATCGCCATCCGATAATCGACATCCACTTTGCATATTCTGGGCGGGTGAATCATTGACATACAGACCAGAGATACTTAACTCTTCCGATCGCGAAAGAAGGATTACTAGTAATCCAGTCGCGTGCGCGAAGTTCTTTCATTTTGTAATTCAGTTATTCCTCACTCATATAGTAGGATGGGGCCAGGAAGGCAGAGGGGTATTCGGGGATCCCGCGGCATACTACGGTACCGTGGAACAGCAGGGTCGAATGACCCTGCATTTACACATCCTTCTGTTTATAAAAGGCGCGCTTTCTCCTAAAGACATCCGAGAAAAACTAGTCAACGGTGACAAGGAATTTGAACGGAAGCTGATAGAGTACCTTGAAAGCGTGCAGACCGGCGATTTTCTTACTGGAACGAAGGAGGACGTTCGCAGGCGAATCCCTAGGGACACCCTGCCGAAAAAGAAGGGCATTCATACAATTTTACACAGCGAGGAGGGACAGCTGGATCATGATCCAACCTACAAAGACCCCACACTGCATTTTCCAAAAGCTCCCCCAACCGTGCTATGCGATTCCGCCGACCTGTGCCATTGCGAAAACTGCCTCGATATTGATGACTGGTATGTTGACTTCAAGAAGACCGTGGATGATATTATGTATCGCACCAATGTGCATGTTTGCCACGGTAAGAAGGGTCCGAGTGGTGAGGCCCTCAAACAGCACCCGACTGGAAAGGGCTGCGTCGGTAGGGACGGGAAATGCGCCGCAAGGTTCCCCAGAAAGGTGGTCAAGGAATCACATGTAGACCCTATCGACGGCCACGTTTCGCTGAAGAAGCTCGAAAGTTCATTGAATTGCGTCACCCCGGCGGTAACGTATACCAGCTGCTGTAACACCGACACAACCTCTCTACAGTCTGGGACCGGAATAAAAGCAACGGTAGGGTACGTGTGCGATTACTTGACCAAAATGTCTCTCAAAACTCATCAAGTTTTCAGCACAATGTATGATGCATTCGAGAGGCACAGTAATGCACTATTCGCTGAAGACACAAAGACCGTAGACAGCGCCAGAAAGATGATACTGAAAGTGGTGAACTCGTTGGGTGCAAAGACGGAGATCGGGGCGCCTATGGCAGCTTTGTACTTGTTGGATAATCCCGATAAGTACTGCAGTCATGAATTCGTGAACTTCTATTGGAAGAACTATGTCAACTACGTTCGCCGTGAATGGGAAAAGCTGCTCGACAGGATGGAAGTAGATGAGGAAGAAGGCGTTGGTGAGGATGATTTAGAAAATGTCAATTATTACGACGATGGAGAAAGAGAAGCTGAAATGAATAAATTTTCCGCAGAGGACAACGAGCCGGTTATAGTACGTCGAAGTGCGAAGTACTTTGTTAGTCGCTCAAGCGTAGACGACTATATCTATAGGCCAAAGCAATTAGAGGATGTCTGCCTATACGAGTGGGTACAATGCTCGGTTAGGGAGAAATCAGAGCATGCTCGATTGGGACTAAGGTTCTTTACTTACCTGGATGAACATCCGATGGCTACAAAGCAAAAGGTGGCTTGCGACCCCGAAAGACGCCACAGGGTGGTCCCCAACTTCATTGGCCCCCCTCTGCCGAGGGACGATGGTGATCTGGACAGAGAGGAATACTGCCTGACCATGCTGACACTGTTCAAGCCTTGGAGGAGTGGAATTGATTTGAAAACTGCGAACGTCACTTGGGAAGATGTGTTCGAGTCTCACACCTTCACTCAGAGACAGAGGGAGGTCATGAAGCACTTTAGAGTCAGATTTGAGTGCTACGACGCCAGAGACGATTTCCATGCACAGAGGCAGAACGACAGAGCAGAGGGAGACGCCGAGGACTTGGAAGCAGAAGGATCAGATATTGGGGATGTTGACGTCGACCTTAACATCGTAAAAGATGACAGCTACTGGCTAACAAAGACCATCAAAGGTAACTGGACCAAAGACCAAGATAAACGATGGAAGGAAGCCGAAGAAGCTTTGAAAAATGCTCGTTGGAAGGCTGGACCATCGGGTCGTCACCAGATGCCTGATTTGCCACTGGTATCTATTGGCAATACGATGGATGGGGCGTATTGGACAGATCTTATTAAGAGAGAAAAAGCTCGCTTGTGGAAAGAGCGTTTCAATAGACTTTCTGGGGAAAGCGAAGACAGTGATGGGGGCAATGAGACCAAGCGGAGCGAAAAGCCGGTTCAGAATGACGTCTATGTTGTCTATGGTCCCTATTATTCGAGGTCATTTCGACCCAGCAACCCCCGCTGGGGGGATGTGATGAGCAAGATTGAAAAGGAGTATTCCTTGAATGCAGAGCAAAGCCGAAGCTTCCGAATCGTTGCCAACCATGCCACCTTGATTGAACCAGATCAACTTCTCAAGTATCTCGGTGGTATGGCAGGAACCGGGAAAACTCAGGTGCTTAAATCATTGATCACATTCTTCAGAGCTCGGGGAGAGCCTTACAGATTGGTCTTGCTTGGTCCAACGGGAACGTCAGCAGCACTTATTGGGGGAACGACTTATCATTCTTTCCTCTCTATAGTATCAGGGAAATGGGGTTCAAATCGCGGAGAACTCCGCGCAGTAGAAGAAGTACGAGAACGACTACTGGGCGTTAGTTACATCTTTATCGACGAAATCTCGATGCTCTCGTGTCTGGATGTTTGCAGGATTAGCGAAAGACTATGTGATGCAATGAATTTTCACGAGAAGCCATTTGGAGGACTCAACGTTATTTTCGCCGGGGATTTTGCTCAATTGCCCCCAACAAAGGGCCACGCACTTTACAGCGGCGATGTCGCTTTGAAGCAATCTCCTAGGCAAAAGGTGGAAGACCAAGAAGAGACTATCGGGAAGTCCATCTGGCTGCAATTCACGTGCTGCGTCATCCTGAAAAAGAATATGAGGCAGCGAGACGTCACAGAGGACGACATCAAGTTCCGAACGGCGCTGGAGAACCTAAGATATAGGGCTTGTACCAATGAGGACATTGCCTTTCTGAAGACAAGAATACCTTTGTACAACGAAAATTTGACCATTGATGATCCTAAATTCCGTTTCGTGTCCATTATAACTTCCAGGAACGTTCAGAAGGACACTTACAACTTTCACAACAGCGCTCGCTTCGCCGAAGAAGCTGGCAAGGAGCTCCATCACTTCTACAGTATTGACAGTCTCTGCCAAACGCAATCCAACGACGATTTCCAAGCCGATGACGCTGGATCAAGTAAAGTCGACCCTCGCTTACAAGTAATTTTATGGGATCAGCTACCTTCGACGAGTGAGCAGGTGCCCGCGCGTTTATCCTTGTGCATCGGTATGCCTGTAATGATCAGAAACAACGAGGCTACTGACCTATGCATAACTCGAGGACAGGAAGGCATAGTCGTGGGCTGGAAGGCAACGCGTATCAAGGGCTTCCCTCAGCACAACGCCCTTGATACACTTTTCATTCGCCTAGTCAATGCACCGAAGAAGGTAAAAATTCCGGGATTGCCGGAAATGGTCATCCCGTTAACAAAGACATCTCAACAAGTCGTAGCAAAACTTCCCAACGGCGAAGGGCCCAAAATCTCAAGGAAGCAGGTGCCGATTCTGCCTAATTTTGCAATGACCGATTACGCTTCTCAGGGAAAAACACGGACGGTCAATGTGGTAGACCTGACAATGTGTCGGTCACATCAAGCTATATACACTTGCTTGTCGAGAGGGAAAACAGCGGCAGATACAATCATAGTCCGCGACTTCCCTTCGCACATGATGCAAGGGGGAATTTTTGGCTGGTTAAGGCAGGAATTCCGAGAGTTAAACCATCTGGATAGAATAACGGAGCTGCGATACGAAGGGAAACTCCCTGAGGACGTCATCAAACCTACCCGGTGGTCTACAATCGACGCTTACAAGAAATCCATTAAAGACCACGAGGAAGACAAGTGGCATCCAGTACTTCGCTTGGAACCAGGAAGGGACGAATGGCAAAGGCCTGTTCGGGATTCCCAGATCCATCACTCAATGAAAGGATCGAAAGGAAAGCGCAAGGCGTCAGACCACGCGGATGGAGATCTTGGCAGAAAGCGCAGATGTGCCCCACCTGCTTTGGGCCGTGGTGATCAAGTTCCATTGGGCCCCATTTGGGACAGCACCAATTGGAGTTGTGCGTTTGACTCGTGGATCTTCGTACTATTCCATTTGTGGTCGTGGGACCGGTATAGGTGGACCGACGATTTATTGCCAGTGAGTCGTTCTTTTAGACTGTTATCATCACAGTTCCCAATGACTCAAACATCGGAGGAGGCGGACAAAGGCATCAGCCGGGTGAGGGACAGTTGGCGAACGCTGATCTGGGAAATAGGGTATGATCGGAGCGCTTTCCCCAGGGGACCTTTCGGAACGGACATATGTTCGCTGTCAAGGATTCTTTGGGGTCTCGGAGGCACTATAGGTAATTCTGTTCTGGAATGTACGCATTGTGATTATTGGGCTGAAGTCCGGGGGGAGTTGGCTTTGGCGCCGTTAATGGTTCTTCATGAAAACGTAAATCCAAATATTCAATCGGAGATTGATCGGAGGGCGGGATGGCAGGGTGCTTGCCCAAATTGCGAGAGAGAGACGAGGTACAAAAGGACCATGGGATCCATTTTTTGCATGCAAGTCAGTGGGGTGGGTCGAGTCACATTGCAACCAACAATCACGATGCCTTCCGGTGAGCGGTTTAGAATATTCGCGGCTATTTACCACGGGCAAAGCCATTTCGTTGCTCGGGTCGTGTCAGACAGCGGAGACGTGTTCTTTCATGATGGAATGGACGGGCCAAGATCCAAGTGGGAGGGTTACATTAGTCAAACCGACTCAGAATGGTGGAATACGGCGGGTGATTGCGAGGCAACCATGGTAGTGTACCGGGAAAGGGGGAGAACGCTGTGACCGCGCTGTGGGTAGAAAAGGAGGGGTTGAGTACCAGAAGAATCTTGAAAACATCGTTTCCGCATTTCTCATTTGACCGAACAAGTCTTTCTCAACGTCCCACTGTCCGTACCACTTCAACTATGTCCCGCCACACTAGAAGTATCAGTAAGTTTTACTTCATTTGATCTGCTTCCCCCCTTACACTCATCTTGATAGCGCGTGCCCAAGAGGCGTCCGCCAGTCAAATAGGATCGCTCCCGAAGAAGGAGGAGAGCGACGATGAGAGCGGTTACCTGCAGCCTTCCGGGGCAGGACAAGGTACACCGAATATTGGACAGTTCTTTCAAACACGCTCACTGTGACGGATACGCTGGTAGGCCTTCTCGCTAAACGCAAAGACGACAAACGAGCCCTGTCGCGGCTGCAGAAAAAACTGAACAAAGCTCGAGTGGGTACGTATCCTATCGTTGATGTGCGCAAAGTCTTGAGCTTACTATCTCCTCCGCACAGCAAAGGTGAATGGCAAGCGGAGTATGTGTTCAATCATACCCCCCTTGTCGATTTCGGCTGACGCAGGGGTAGAGAGGAACAACTTACGCGACCGCTTGAAGCACATGACGGATCGTTTCAGGGAGGTTGAAAATAACCTCAAGGAGCTAACTCAGATCGTCGAGTCAGCGAGCGAAGTATGCAACAAGGCGAAAGCCGTGATTGAGGAGGAACTTAATGATGTTATCATCTATAGATCTGACGACTCGGAGTGTGTAGGCTCAGATGATGAACTCGATGAGGGGGACGATTAGGGAGTAGCGTTCAAGAAGTATTCACGTTTAGAGTAACGGGTCTGTGAGCGGGAATGGGAATACAGCTTTTGAGAACATCATTGATCCGCTCTTCGGATCGGAAACCGGCAATTCGCCATATTGCCCGGTCTTCTACGTTTTCAGGTACAGCAATAACTGGACAACGAGTCAACGGATGACAGGAGCAGCGAGGCAGCCGTGACTGACCGATAGTTATAAACGCAACGCTTCTGCAAGAAGCGAGGATACACCCAGGGACATTTCATGATGATTATCCCAAACGCGCCTGAAACAACACAAGAAACAACCGTCATGGTTGAGAGGGTGTTGAAAATAGCATCGGTACGGTCGTTTATTGGCAGCGTTGAACTTGTGTTAATCAAACTGTTATAGGAACACGAGCTGGATTGCGTCATGTGTTTGGTCTATACCGTCTACGGTGACAGTCCTGTCCTTGCACCGGTTCTCGTGGATCGAGGCTGTAAACGTCCGAAGGCTGTCGACTTAAACCCCGGATGTTACCTGCACAAGCGCGGATCCGAAGGTCGCCAAGTCTTTAACTTGGACAAATCATCTGTCCTGGTTTCTGACTTTCCCCGGGGAACTTCGCTGAAGCATGACGATCGTTACAGAATCTTCTTCTCCAGATCTGTGAGGTTCTCGTTTCGTTTATATGACTGTAAAGCAATTAATGATTCCAAAGGACGAATACGGTTCTAAGGAGCGGGTGAACGCATTGTTGCGACGCATAGCCGGGGATGGAACAAAGGAATTCATCGGCAACGCAGTCATATGCAAGGAGGACGTCCGGGGATATGTAGTTGATATGGATCAACAAGATGTCAAGCTTGTGGACCGTATAGTGACGACGGAGGCGCTCGAACGGGGTTTAGATCAACGGTCTCTTTAGTGCGTAGATGAGCATGGCATAGATAAAGCAGTTCCCAGTTAGCACAATCGGGTCCCCCTGAGAAGCACTTTCTTTTCACCAAGCTGTTGAGAAACAAACGGAACGTCCTCAGGTAAGCCCTATAGTTCTGCTTGAAATCGCCAAAGCGTTGACTCTTGGTTCCGAGAAACAGAACTCACAACGATGCCCACCTTGACCAGTCAGATCACACCCCGAAATGCGACGAGTCGTGTCTTGGAGTGCCTTGAGCTACTCGATCACATCGCCAGCTTCCTTCCATGGAAACACATGTCCGCCTTGGCCGCTTCTCACCCAATGTTACGGAGTGTTACCCAGGTGGAGGCTGAGAAGAGAATCAGGATAGGACTGGAGCCAATTCTGGGCGCGTTAGAATTGTCATTCGAGAGTTTCATGAACGCGTTGGACGAATGCGAAGGGGGTTTCGTTGGGAGTACAGCGTTGAGGGTGATGTATGTGCGGACGGAGTACCTGGGCGAGTACGCACGGATGCCTCGTATCACGGTGGTCGTACCCAAGGGGAAACGAGAACGGTTCATCGAGCTGCTGGACAAGCCTTCTTGGGTATGGGTGGAGAAACCGATCGGGTGGCAGTCTAGAGAAACGATATCCAAGGTGGTGGAAGCCAACGTGACGTCGGCAACCCAGTTCTTGGGAGATGACGAGGTACAGCAGATGGTTCCCGAACCAGAAGATCCCGAGGAGCGAGGAAACGACTATGTCATACAATCACGAGTTAGGCGGAGGGAGAGATTGAAATACTTGGTAAGTGTGGGGCGTCGTCTCTGTTGCGAACAAGTCTGACATTTCCGCAGGTATACTTCCGCATCTTGGAAAGCACCGCCCACGTTCTCCAGGTATTGGGAGGTTCAGACTCGACGAGGGACATGATTGTCATCACGTCTACCAGGATATACCTCCTGTACCCCAAGCTCGTGCATGCAGACCTAGCACTAACGGGGAGTTGGGGTTGGGAACGAGGATCGCGAATCAAGTCCGTACCTGTCGTCCACAAGTACAACGAGTCGTGGCCGTTTCCATGCGGAAAGCTATGTCCGGTGTTGGCCAGGAAGGGTCGTGAAGGAGATGGCACGGGAGTTTTCTACTGGAATGGGGAACGAGAGCGGGCATTGATAAGGGAGGCAGAAGAGTGGGTGAAGACGAGTGGTTGGGGAGCAGGGTGGAGAATAAGCGATGATGAAGGATCCTCTAATGGTAGAGAGGATCGTATTCGGGGTCGGGGTAGCCTATGGTCTGAGACCAGTGTGCGCGCAGCCGAGTTGCTCAGGGGCGGGTGTTTGTTTGACAGGAGCGATTTCAAGTTGTGCTTGAAGACGGTCTGTTGTAATCCTCGTTGCAGCAGTGGAAGTAAAGTAGCAGTATATTTCCGTAGACTTTGAATTGCAGTGTTTTGTAGCTATTATGATGCCTTTATTATTCGTTTTCGGAATGCTTTCGAAGTGAAAATCCATGAGTCTGCATTGGGGGTTGATGCCAGGAATACATAGCAGTGGTTGAATCGGGAAACGACAGAGTTGGATTAGTAAGCAAAGGTTGGGGGCGCATCGCACCACCGAATGACGTGTGGTTCGATGTACCTTTCACCGTAAAGCCATTTAGCCGCATGTTTTGGGGCATTTACCAACGGAGGTAGAGCAGTAGACTGGGAAGGGGATAGAAAGGTATGTCATTTCGAGTCATCGGGCGTGCCTGGAAGGGCGGCGCTAATCGAGTAGGCGATCAGGTTTCGCAACTTGGACCAGTCACATAATCGGAGGCGAAGAGGGTAGAATTAACATATAACAACAGCGGGCAGGGGCGATGTGGGAGTAACGGCGGCGATGGAGACTCTTCGCAAGCGTACTTTCCTCAAAGCATCTCCGAAGGCGAGGTTACACTCAAAACGGGCGAGTCGTTTCATCGAGGTGAGTCAAATTGGTCCATCCTGATTGATTAGCGATTGATGTTTTATGGCTAGGAACACAGGGCCCCTTTTGTATGGGGCATCTTATTTGCTCAGGATTCGGAGACCCCGGCTCTGGTTCCAATTGCTTATCGCACTGGCACCGACGGAAGGGCATGTCTCAAGGACCTCTTCGTGGAGACTTACCTGGGCCCGAAGAGTAACTGCGAGACAATGAATCGGGCCCCCATGGAGTTCAAGATGTTGAACGGATATCGTGGGCTAGCGACAACAGGGTACATGTTCAGGCATCCAGGCAACTTCAGGGTAAGTGGAAGCGCGATCGCGAAAAGACATCACAGTTACTCATTGCGCGGGTAGGATGGGAACCCCTCGTTTCTCCGCATCATGGGTCATGACAACGTACAGGCATTGTCCATACTGGGGCCTTGCCTTGTGGTGTTGTTTCACCCCCCGGGAATGGTGGATGCATCGGAAGACGACATTCCATTTGTCTGTGCAACAGTGACTTGGTGCGCACCTTAAGATGTTATGTGATAGCCCTGCTGAGTATGGAGGAAGGCATTTGCTTTCCGGGTATGCCAGGTCACTGACGGAAGCGTCGTACGATCTTCTTCACCTCGAATTCGAGAACGATGGCGAACCTGGAGGGGCAGGAGCCGACAATGAGTCAGAAGAGGAGGAACCTGTTGAGATCAGTAATCCGATTGCTATCTCTACCAGGTATACGGCTCACATGCTATCTCTAGCATACGCCGAGCTCACATGCAATCTCTTGCATATGCTCAATACCTGTATCACACTACGTTGAACTAGACCGGATAGCTCAGTGGTTAGAGCATCCACCTAGTGTTGGGACGGTCCTCGGTTCAATCCCGGGTCTGGTCGTTTTCTTTCCAAAGATCACTACGTGATTTTTCACAGAACCGGAGATCGCGGAGGGCATCCAAAGGGATGTATGACTCGATGATTGGTGCCCCTGGAGGCTTTGATGGAAGGGGAAGTACGACGGTCGGAAGACCCAGACGATGGCCAATTTTGTATTATATTACTATGCTATATATAATAAGTGGCGAAGTCGAACAATATCATGGACATAATGAGCGCCATCATACCCTGTCAGGCATTCCAGTCAAGCCACTCTCAGCCCCACCTTACCAGCCATATCGTACAGTGCGATGGTATAACGCAGTGGGAAATTGATCTACATGAAAAATCGGAGGCGGACATCTGGAAATGCAAAAAATGTAAGCGGTTCTCTGTATGTTAATTGATGGGATCTGGTCTGACCAATTCAAGGGATGGAGGATGTGTACAACGACGTCTGGGGAATGAAGCGGGAATGCGTACGCCTGGGAGCAAAGCTCGAGGGAGTTATGGCATGGGTATCTGATACGGCGGCATTCCGTGATGATATTGCATTGAAGGAGCGCTTGTCGCAAGCGCTTACGAACATACGGTCAACGGAAGCGATGGTCACTGAAAGGCTGGAACGCATGGGGGCTATCATGACGCATTTGGTGGAAGTTCTTGACATACATTTTGGGCGTACAGCAGTAATTAAGGTGGAGGATTAATACTTAGAGTAATTTTTTTTTTGGGGGGGGGGGTGGTTAGTCATTATTATTTTATTCTTATTTCTCTTTTCTATTTTTCATTAACAATGTTGTTCTACTTTGTTATTTTCTTACGCATTGTTGATCTTATGTAGGTTCTTATTTTACTTCTTAATATGTATCTATTTGTTTCCTCTTTTCTTCTTTTTCTGGCATGTCTCTTCATCGGGCGCCTTGCCCTTTCGGCGGTGAGAACGGGTTGAGAGGTCCGCGCAAGGCGCGGCCCGAAATCCCGTACCGCCGGAAGGGCAAGGCGCCCGACATCCCGACAGGCCTCGGTAAATTGCCGTTTAACGGCCCGCATCCCACTAGTTGATACAAAGATCCTGGTGGAGGTTTTCGCGGAGTATTCGACGGGTTCTTGAGGACCTCGGAATGGTCGCCTTCCACGCCCTTTTGGTGTAAGGAGTGAGGGCATTCACACTGGCTGATGATGGCTTGGGGGTCCATCCGGGATAGGCGACGTTAGGCGTGTAAAACCAAGGCCATTCTTGAGCAGAAGGCCAGCGCCGATTGCAATTCAACTGTGGCGCGGGTATGCTTGGTTGAACGACAGCAGGAGAGCGCGGCGGGAGCGTTGACGAGGTCCAAGGTAAGGGAGTGGAGCTATGCGCTGCAGCCGACCAAGAGGAAGCCGTCGATTGATATGGTGTGTATGCGACAGGCGTCTTATCTATCGACCCAAAAATAAGTCAGACGCAATGTTTCACTGTGGAGGCAACACGACGTACCGCTTCGATGGTAATAATTGTTAAAGACGAAGACGTCTGGTTTGGGAGGTCGTTGTTATTGCTCTTACATTGAGTCTAAGAAAGAGATACACGTACTTGGGGGTTTGGAGGACCGTCTAAACAGAGTTCTACGGCCAGTCATAATTGGTGAAACCTGAGGAAGGGACTTCGAAATCGAGGATGGGAAGGGAAGTCGGAAATCGAATTGTCGATGAGTGGGGACCAGATCGCTAGTCATTTTAAATGAATTGGATTTGGAGGGAGGCCGATAGCTTGGGGCAATTTACCTCGGCATCGTCTCTTACATCGGTGTCCTCAGGTGAGAGATGTGCTCAAAAGAGGACCGCAAGTCAAGAGTTCGAGTTTTCGAGCCCAGCTCAAAGGCTATACTATGCCATAAGTGCACCGTACGCAGAACCCGAGATCACGAGTGGGGGTAGTTTTACAGTGGTGCGAGATTGTGCTGGCAAGACAATCCGGTTCAGGTCTGTTGCCCGCCGAGACGTGAAAACGGGGAACGAGAAAGGAACAAACGCCTCCTGAGAGGCCAGGGGTTGGGAGAGAGCCAGAAAGGGGTGGCTTAGCCTTGGTACAAGGTCGTCGTCATGGATGTTGACAGAAAGTGATGAGCTCGAGCGCCTACACAGCAGCTCTTGCCAAAGTTACTCCGACTATCTCCATTTTTTTACCCGGTGGTGTCCAGTTCTGAGCCTCAGTCTGCAAACCCCGATCCCAGTCGATAACATTACATGGAACATATGAGCGCCTAGATGTATATATAGAGCCTGCCTAGTTTAGTGCTATTTTAACGCCTTTGCCAATTAAAAGCAGATATTTGGTACTGGTCCTGGTAAAAGTCCAAAGTAAACCTTCCAAGATCTGTCTCCGAACAAGATTATCTTCATGCCCTGAAATCTTCGAAATGGCCCAAGAACATCAGATCTTTTGTACCCCTCCTGCTCCAATACGCACGGCAGACCATCGTACGACTGAGCGATTCTGTGATTCCGGACGTTCTTCATCACCTCCTTATTCGAATCCACCGCCTGAATCTCCTTTTTCTCCGTCCGTGTCAATGGTATCTGCCAATAGTCGTGTATCGCGTCCAAGACGTCTCTTACCGTGATATCCGCCTTCTCTAGTACGATCGGCCCCCATCTCTCCATCCAGTATGTCAGGTAAGGTTGTTGCGTGGTGATATATATTTTGTCCACCTTCGGTGTGACGGCGGGTTCGTTGAATTTGACTGGCAAGAGTATTCGTCGCCCGCTGACAACCCTGGCGAGTTCAGGTTTCTGTATGATGTCCCATTGCAGTACAGGCTCGGTAACATCGAGGGGGTTGAAGGTGAGGCTTGGATGCAACCGCAGTGGAACTTGGGCCCCTAGATAAACTGGCGGAAACGTTCCGGATTCCCAGACGGGAGGCGGGGGTGGAGGTACTGGAGAAACCACAGCCGGTTGGCACACCAGGGTGGGACCTGGTAATGGAGTGTTCTGCGGCCAAATTGGAGTTTGGGATGGATCAAGAGGGACGGTTGCGGGCGTTCCACCTAGACGCGTCGCGTAATGCATGGGGGTGAAGAATGGAGGATATGGCGGGGGAAACGGGACTGGCGCACCATCCAAGGGCACGGGAGGTTGACCAGGGGTTTGATAGAATGCTGCAGGATGAGGTTCATAGCTGTTGAAAGGAGAATACCCTGCTGACTGGTATCCGTAATGGGGAGGAACATATGGCGAGTACTGATGCCAATGGTGGGATGAGCCAGCGGGGTAAGGGCTGTAGTAGCCTGCCATGTCGATGGGTGAAACGTGAAAGAAGAAACGGTGTATAAATTGTGACAGGGGTTCCCTGGAGGATTTTACACCAGTGAGGCCATGAGAAGAAAAGGCGAGCTCCGGCTGACTGACATCGTTATTGTCGGGATGATTCAACAGTCGCATCTGTGGGCCCCGGTCATCTCGCGGAGAATAAGGTGATAAAAAGGCGTCGTCACAGCAATCGCTTCAATAGTACAAACACGACGTTTATAGCAGGGTTGGTACGCGTGGTGGGTACACGATCAGATCGATTGACCATGTTTTTCTTAGGAATTTGCTCGGGAGAACTCCTTGAAAAGGTCGAAGTGAGAAGAGGACTATGGATGTTGAATTTTGCGAGTCAGGACGCTACTGCCCAATAACCAGCGGCGGAGAAACTGATGTACTCCTGGGAGCTAGTTGGAGGGTACGCGAAAAGATGCGCCGTTCCCTGGCTGCAGAGCCGTCTTTCGAGCTCCGGGCCACTATTTACTGAAACGGTCAACTTGAAGGCATGTTGACGTGGATGTCATTTTTGTCTTTGTTTCCAATAAGTTCGTTTGGGAAACGGGTTGAAGGGGGACAATGAGATCACCAATACGCACACACCGGGGCTTAAAATAATCTAAACCTAAACCCATCTATCGGATTCCTGTGGTTGGGGGGCGTTAGAGTTGTCGGAGGAACCGTGTAGGAAACACGTTTGTGTGAGGGAAGAAGGAGAACGGTTTCAAGGCATATCTATCCATATTTCCGTCGCTGCAGCACGACTCTTTGATGGGGGCGCCATGTACACTGTAAGCTAGGCTCATCAAGAATTTGGGCGCCAATGGCGGAATGACCGTGGGAAGCGCCCTGACGGTGAGTGGCTGTGACGGGATCGTGGCGATTGACGATTTGGGCAGCAACGGTTTGGTCGTGGTACGGTTTTCAAGGACAGAATGCATCTGCCAATCGGTTTTCTGCTCCTCTGCCTGTCGTCGATACAGACAGTACTCTCAAAACCGACAGCAAGGTCCTACGACACCCACGACTACTATGTCATTCACCACAACCCCAACTTGGTCGATAGTCCATCGCTGGTCGATGTTGCCAAGACCCTTGGAGTCGAGCTCGTAGAACAAGCAGGCGAGCTTCAGGACCACTGGCTTGTACGACGGCTAAAACCAACAGATGCTCTGCAAAGAAGAGACGATGGGCAGTTTGACCCAGTGGTGGAAACCTATCGAGCGTTGCGGCGGCAGGCGGACTCGGGGATCCAAGCTCGCTCTGAGCATGCACGAAGATTCGTCGACGCTGTCCCTTACCTCGAACGACAAACGCTCAGACGGAGAAGTAAACGTGCACCACCTCCAGAAAAACCACCATCCCCTACGTCCGCCCGCGGCGTTGCAGCACGTCTGGGCCTCCAAGATCCACTCTTCACCGAGCAATGGCATCTCGTAAACGACGAATTCCCAGAGCATATGATGAACGTGGTGCCAGTATGGGACATGGGCATTACTGGAAAGGGCGTCATATCGTCCTTGGTAGACGATGGCCTCGACTATGATAGCGAGGACCTCGCAGAGAACTTTGTAAGCGTCCATCGACGTTAATTCTCCCCTCTCGGTTTGACGTGTCTACAGGACAGGGAAAACTCCTACGACTTCAACGATCACGAAGAGCTCCCCACACCCAAAAACTACGATGATTACCATGGTACTCGTTGTGCCGGCCAAGTCGCAGCCGTTCGAAACAATGCCTGTGGTGTGGGTATTGCTTACAACTCCAAAGTTGCCGGTGTTCGAATTTTGTCCGGACCCATCTCGGATGTCGACGAAGCAGCAGCACTCAATTATGGCTTCCACAACGTTTCTATTTATAGTTGCAGCTGGGGACCTCCGGACAAGGGCCAGTCGATGGAAGGTCCTGGATATCTCATCAAGAAGGCTGTGGTAAATGGGATCAACAACGGTAGGGGAGGAAAGGGCTCAATCTTCGTCTTCGCCTCCGGAAATGGCGCTGGCTTTGGAGACCAATGCAACTTCGATGGGTACACCAACAGCATATACTCGGTTACAGTGTCGGCTGTCGACTATAAAGGCATGCATCCCTACTATTCCGAATCTTGTGCAGCAAATATGATTGCTGCCTATAGCTCGGGCAGCGGGAAGCACATTGTGAGTTCGCTTTCGTCGTCTTCTTGCTCACTCTAACTTCATCCATTCAGGTCACGACCGACAAAAACTCGAGAGGCAAGACACAATGCTCTCGAGTACATGGCGGCACTTCTGCAGCAGCTCCAAACGCTGTCGGTGTTTTTGCACTTGCGCTCGAAGTTCGGTATGTTGATAAAGCATAACTATCAACGCACTGACGCCAATCAACGTTGCCACAGACCTGACCTTACATGGCGCGATATACAGCACCTTTGTGTCGAAACCGCTCGCATGATCAACAAGGAGGACCCTGATTGGGACTACATTGCCAACGATAAGCGATACAGCTACAAGTACGGCTTCGGTGTTTTGGATGCAGAGCGGTTTGTCAAGGCTGCACAAGATTGGAAACTCGTCAAGCCTCAAGCCTGGTTCAATACTCCTACCATTCAGTTGGAGAATGGCACCATGAACGAGAGCAAGGAATACAGCGGAGGAACGTTGATTGGCGCCGATGGCGTCAGCAGCCAGATAGAAATAACCAAGGATATGCTCATCGAGAACAACTTCGAAACCCTTGAGCACATCAACGTCAAGGTTTGGATTAACCACACGAGACGCGGAGACGTGGAAGTGGAATTGGTTAGTCCTGGGGGTATCAAGAGCATTTTGGCCTCGAAGCGGGACAGTGACGCCGCTACGACTGGGTTCCCGGGATGGACGTTCATGAGCGTCAAACATTGGTAGGGCCTTCTGTCTCCTTCCACCATATAGCCTGTTTTTTACAGTCATCTTCAGGGGCGAGGATCCCATTGGCAACTGGACACTCACAGTGTTCGACCAGCAAAAGGAGGACGAGCACGGTCGGTTCCTTGGCTGGAACATGATTTTCTGGGGGAGCACAATCGACCCATCAAAAGCTGAAAAATACGAAGTTCCCCTAGTCGAAGACGTTCTCCCACCTATTGTACTTCCGAAAGTAGAACCGCCGAAACCCTCAACTACGATACAGCACTCGAAACCCACGGAACCTCCACTTCCTGTCAGCAGCGAGGAGTCATCTGTGGAGGCCTCCACGACGCCGGCATTGTCACCAACCGAAAGCGCCCCTGCTTCCGCTTCCGCCTCCCCCACGCAGAACATTCCAACAATAGACCAAGGATGGTTCCCCGACATGTCGAAACTCATTGCAAACCAGAAGTGGTTCTTCGGTGCCATTGGCGCGGTTGCGGTGTTCGGTATTGGAGCTGTAGCCTTCTTCTGGAGAAGGAAATTGGCGAGGCGCGCTAATACTGAATACAGCGCGCTCGCGAACGACGAGTTGTCGATGACAAGTGTGGGTCCACTAACCGGCCACGCTCGTACGACAAGGGAACTGTATGATGCCTTTGGAGATGTTTCCAGCGATGAGGACGACGAGACTGCTGCCTTACGACCTGGCCAAACGCAACCTTTGGGCGGTCAACTTGGGTATCATTCAGGCTTTTTGGACGATGGAGAACCGTCTGTAGGTCCGACGGCAACTACATATCGTGACGAGCCCAATCCAGAAGACGCCGAGACACCAACTCAACCACCACTTCCCCGGTCAGAGACCGCGACCTCCACTTCGACAACAGCGCCAGCAAGTCCGAGTGGTAGTGGGAGTAGTTGGGAACACGCACACGCTTCGTCTTAATATTCTATAGACTTTGTTATTCTTCGATGCTTTCGTACCTGTACACTGTTTGCCGTCTTAATCTTTTGTTAGCGCCAGGTTTTATGTATCTGTAAGACCGGTGGCTTACCACGGTTCCCATAACGTGCACATATACCTGACGGTGGCTCAAGAGCTAAGCTCTTGAGTCATGTTGCCTTTTGGTGTAGCGGCAGTGAGCGTCAGGCCTGTCGTCTTACATTGACTGAAGAGCTTCGGCTGGGAGTTCGATCCCCCAAGTCAACGGGACATTTGAAAGGTTCCCGACGAAAGTGGCTTGGCGGGATTGTCGTCCACCGGTGACGTACCAGTTGGAAAGGGTCGCACCTTTCAGGTGGCCATGTATGGCCCTCCACCTCACGGCTCCCCTTGACGATGACGATGACTGTCTGACGATTTACCTCCCGGGATTGACGGATTGGGACGAGGCCGGGAGGGGGAGTTTTTCGGGGGGTGGAAGGGTGTAAGACCGGTGGCTTACAGCGGTTCCCATAATGCTCATATACCCGACGGTGGCTGAAGAGATAAGCTCTTCAGTCATGCTGCCTTTTGGTGTAGCGGCTATGTGCGTCGGCTAGTCGTCTTTTGCTCAAGGCGTGTGGGTTAGTGCCCGCCGCTGAAGGCGAAACATCGCTATGTACAGAATTCGACGAAGATGACGATGTTCTACCTGAATTGTCTTCGATTTTCGACGATTCTTCCGATGAAAGCGACGATGACTCCTTTGATTCTACCCCGCCTTTGATTGTTCGAGATTACGTTGACTTCGACAATTGGGGTACTGACGTCGACGTTCCAGACTCTTCAACGATGTCGTACAATACACGCATGGCAACGATCAAGGACAACGGCAAACACTTCCCCACCCTTACCGCAGGGAAGTGCACGATCGACGTCCTCGACAGGTTCCACGTCGCCTGCGAAAATAAATCTTACCAGAAGGGTTTGGAAGAGAACAAGGTCGTCAAACACTTATTCGGTTGCTTCGAGGACCATCGGGTAATCACCTGGATCGGCGCTAATAGGGCCACCCTTGCCGCCGTCGACCTCACGGAATTCATGAAGCAACTGAAGGAACTTTTATTGGAACGCGACTGGGCTACGGAGTGGAAACGAAAGGTCTCCAACAGGCGACAGAAGGAAGGCGAGTCTTTCGAAGATTTCGCCAACGAAGTCATCTACTGGAATAGTCTGCTCCGTGGAACCGAGAAACTTCGCGACAACGAGCGCTTGAAGGAACTCCTTTTCGCCAACTGTCTTGATGATATCTCCGACGAGTACCAAAACTCCGAGATCGCGGAACAGTTCGAGAACGCCGATTTCAGCGAGACTGCAGTCTTCAACGAATGGATCCGAAAGGTCGTTGGCATCGACAAGAAGATCGCTAGGCTGCGTGCTCTTTCCAAGAAGCTTATCGAAGCTGAGAGGGCTGCGAAGAGACCTCGAACCAACACCGCCGGCGGATCTTCGGACAACAACCGCGCTGGTCGTCGCGCGGACTGGGTCCCCAACCTTACCGAGGAGGAGAAGGACATTCTCGGTAAGCATGGAGGTTGCTTCAAATGTCGACAGTTTTACGCCGGTCATCGATGGGCCACCTGTCCCAACGGCTACCCATCACTGAAGAGTTACAAGAAGATCACCGCCGAGATGGCTGCTGAGGCCAAGAAGAAACGCGACGACGCCACCAAAAATACTTCCGCTGCCAAGGGCAAGGCTGTCGCGGCCGTTTTGCCCTCCGACGAGATCGAATACGAAGATTCGTCTTCTGAAGAATCAGCGAAGGCCAACTCATCCGACGAAATCTTGGAGGAAAACGAGGACGAGGAGAAGGACGACGTGAGTGATCCTACCACATCCATTCATCTCTTGTGGAAGGCCTGCATGGCCGGTACCTCCGATTTCCCGGAGGATGTATTGACGATGTTTGACACCGGATGCCATACAGTTCTGATGGACTCCAAAGTCGCACTGAAGCACGGTTTGAAGCGTTACCCTTTGAAGAAAGCCCTCCCTGTCAACCCCGCCTTCCTTACTTCCGACGATACCGAGCCGTTTTCTCTGACTGAGTTCGTTAAATTCGACTTGTGGTCCAACGACAATGTATTCTTTTCCAAACGCTTTAAGGCAATTCTGGTCGATAACCTCTGTGTGGACATCTTGCTGGGTTTGCCATGGCTGGAAGCTCACAACGTCATCATTGACTGCGCTGAACGTAAGTGCTTCATCAAAGACGGCTATGACTTCGTTATTCCCCAGCAGGTACCACGCCGCCAAGTACTACCACGTTCGGGCAAGGAGCGGACACAAAAGCTTCGACGTGATTGGAAGGTAATGATTGCTGAATTAAAACAGGTTCTCAAACCGATTCGCGATATCGTCGACCGTCGCTGGGATCGCAGACCTAAACAGCGTTTCATCAAATCTATGGTTGGAGCGATTAAAGCAGCCGTCATTAACGTCGAGTTGAAAGAGAAGGCCGATAAGATTCGAGCTGAGTTTTCTGATCTCTTTCAACCTATTCCGCATGCTTCCCAACTTCCCGACCAGGTCACGGCCTCGATTACGCTCAAAGACGCTTCGCGAACAATCGAAACCAGGACGTATAGTTGCCCCAGGAAATTCCGCGACGCATGGAAAAAGCTTATCGACGAACATCTGAAGGCAGGCCGCATTCGTCCATCTTCGTCTCCACACGCTTCGCCTTCGTTCATTATTCCCAAAGCAGACCCCTCCGCTCCACCCCGTTGGGTTAATGACTACCGACAACTTAACGCAAATTCAGTGGCCGACAGGAATCCATTGCCCAGAATTGATGACATCCTCGCCGACTGCGGAAAGGGTAAGATTTTTTCGAAGCTCGACATGACAAATTCCTTTTTCCAGACCCGAATGCGACCGGAAGACGTCAAGTGGACGGCCGTCACCACTCCCTTTGGGTTATACGAATGGCTTGTCATGCCAATGGGCTTCAAGAACGCCCCCGCCATTCACCAACGTAGAGTTTCGGAAGCACTAAAGAAATACATCGGGCATTTCTGTCATGTTTATCTCGACGACATTATCATCTGGTCAAAGGACGCCGCTACACACGAGAAGCATATCCGACTCATACTTGACGCCCTCCGCAAGAATAAATTGTACCTTAACGGTAAGAAGTCGAAATTCTTCTGTGAATCTGTCGACTTTCTAGGACACGTTGTCTCGAAAGACGGCATTCGCCCGGATGGCTCCAAAATCGAACGGATCGTCAATTGGCCGGCGCCGAAAAACGCGTCTGACGTACGAAGATTCCTGGGATTGGTGCGTTACCTTGGAAGCTTTCTTCCTGACCTCGCTAGATGGACGTCTATCTTGAACCCCCTCACCAAGAAAGAATGCGACCGATCTTGGCCAGGTTGGACGACGGAACACGGACGAGCTTTTGAGGAAATCAAAAAGCTCGTTGTCTCCAGCGACTGCCTTACCACCATTGACCACGAAAATCCCGGTGAGAATAAGATTTTTGTCACAACAGATGCTTCTGAGAAACGGACAGGTGCAGTCTTATCCTTTGGCCCCACTTGGGAAACGGCGCGCCCGGTTGCCTTCGACTCCACGCCTTTGAAGAAGGCCGAACTCAACTACCCGACCCACGAGAAGGAACTTCTGGCCATCGTTAACGCGTTAAAGAAGTGGCGTGCCGATTTGCTGGGCGAGAACTTTTTCATCTACACAGACCACCGAACGCTTGAATTCTTCCAAACACAGAAGGAGCTGTCGCGTCGACAGGCTAGATGGATGGAGTACATGCTCCAGTTCGATGGCAAAATCGTGTACGTCAAAGGGGAGGATAATGTAGTAGCTGATGCGCTTTCTAGGTTGCCCGTCGTCGACGACAGCATTCAGGCAGAGAAATCCGCCAAGGAATTCTTTCAATGGGATGAAGAGTCTGGTCTTACCAAGTTGCCCGTCGCTACCTTGTTTTCCCCTAAAGGTGCGGGTATCGACGTCTGTGCGATGACTGAAGCATTGGCCTCTGTTAGATTCAAGAAGCAAGACACTTCCACTAAAGACCTCACTCTCGACGAATCGTTCGTTCGCGACATCATTCAAGGTTACAAGGTCGATCCCTGGTGCCAGAAGTTCGAGGACGCTGCAAAAGGCATGGCCGCTTTCAAAAAGCGAAACGGTTTGTGGTTCGTCAACGACCGCCTTGTCATCCCAAAGTACTCCAACTGTCGATCTATCATTTTCCAACTGGCACACGACCGACTGGGTCATTTCGGATTCGAAAAAGCCTACTCAGCGATCAAGAACGAATACTACTGGCCAGGGATGCGGACAGACTTGGAGAAGGGTTACATTCCGGGTTGCGAAGACTGCCAGAGGAACAAGGACAGCACCACCAAACGAGCCGGACCCCTCCACCCTCTCCCTGTTCCCGACGGACGAGGAGAGTCCATCGCGATGGATTTCATCGGTCCTCTACCAGTAGACGATGGTTTCGACATGCTGCTCACGATAACGGATCGCTTAGGCTGTGACATCCAGCTCATCCCGGTGAAGTCCTCTATCACGTCCGAAGAGCTCGCTAACATCTTTTTCGATAAGTGGTACTGCGAAAACGGAATGCCAGCTCACATAACTTCGGATAGAGACAAGCTTTTCACTTCGAAATTCTGGAGAACTCTACACACACTGACTGGTATTAAGTTACAGTTTTCGACGGCATATCATCCCGAGACAGATGGAGCCAGCGAACGAACCAACAAAACCGTCATTCAAAGTCTCCGTTTTTGGGTTGACCGTAACCAAAAGGGCTGGGTTAAAGCTTTGCCTCGAGTTAGATTTGCACTGATGAATACTGTCAATGCGTCTACAGGTTTTACTCCCTTCCAACTGAAGATGGGACGCTCACCCCGTATTTTTCCGTCCCTGATTCCTAGGGAGGGCCAACCCAGACTTGAAGACGTCCTTAATGTCATCGAGAAGCTTCAACATGACGTTTCCGAAGCTCAAGACAACCTACTGGCATCCAAAATCACCCAAGCCCATCACGCCAACAAGAATCGGTCTCCCGAACAAGCCTTCCAGCCCGGAGATCGCGTTTGGTTGACGACCAGACATCGTCGCCGTGAATACCTCTCCCAAGACGGCAAGCGTGTCGCGAAATTCATGCCTAGGTTCGACGGCCCTTATACCATTCTCGACGTCGACAAGAATACTTCGTCATACACCCTACTCCTTCCCGAACATTCCAACACCCACCCCGTCTTCCATGCATCTTTGTTGAAGAAATGCGTTCCCAATGACAACGACAAATGGCCTCATCGCCAACACATCATTCCCAAACCAGTCGTCACCGAAGATGGGCAAGAAGAATGGGAAATCGAACGAATCCTCGATAGGAAACGCGCGGGTAAGGGTTGGAGGTATCTGGTCAGATGGGTTGGACACGGAGCGGAGTGCGACGTTTGGCTGCCAGGGAAGGAAGTGGAGGACTGTGAAGCGCTGGATAGATTCTTGAAGGAATTGGAGCACACCGGAAACGCGGATACACCATCGTAACTTCTTTTTACGGTACTTTTCCTTTCGAGTTACTGGGACTAACGGTTGGCTTTTCCCCACTGGGGTTTTTGATGCACCTCGTCTAATGGGTCCCTCTTTTACTATAGCCTTTTTTTTTTCTCTCCGTCCTTGCTTTTCTTTTTTTTTTTTCAGAGGGGGGAAGGGTGTAAGGACGGGCCTTACACGATCACGTGCGGACTACACATATCCTCAGGCCTTCGACTACACTTCTACACCTTGCTTTCACCTCGCTGTACGTGTACACGACGAACGCTCTATAGACTCGATTCATACGCATTTACGAACTCTGTGAGTGTTTTCTGTTCTCCTGTTTCCGTAGGAGAACAGATTCCCACTACATTGACTCAAGAGCTTTGGTCGGGAGTTCAATCCCCCAAGCCAACGGGACATTTGAAAGGTTCCCGACGAAAGTGGCTGAGGGTTGGGATTGTTGTCCACCGGTAACGTACCGGCCAGAAAGGTTCGACCTTTCAGGCGACCGTATGTGGTCCTTTGCCTCACGGCTCCCCACTTGAACGACTCCCGGGATTGACGGATTGGGACGAGGTCGGGAGGGGGAGATTTTCGGGGGGTGGAAGGGTGTAAGACCGGTGGCTTACCACGGTTCCCATAACGTGCACATATACCTGACGGTGGCTCAAGAGCTAAGCTCTTGAGTCATGTTGCCTTTTGGTGTAGCGGCAGTGAGCGTCAGGCCTGTCGTCTTACATTATCATACTTGGGGACTTAGAATCACTGGGTTGTACCACGATCAAACTGTTCCGATGACGGGAAGTGGAATTGTCGAGTTGATGACGGGTCATGGAAGAATCTTTTGCGAGTCGACCATCATCGCAAGAAGTACTTGGTCGTTGAACTCTTTTTGTTTCTACACTGGCATTGGTGCGCGTCTTTATAGCGCGAATCAACGGGCTCAGGCCGCCACGACTGCCTCGCATACCGTTTCCTGGTTCTACACGGACGATGGCATCGACAGCGAGCAACACCGAAGTCCCAGAAGGATTCGTCCTCCACACCGAAAACACATCACATCTGTTGCTGGAAGCCAATGCAGCGTTCTTGAACCCTGTTCAAGAATTCAACCGCGACCTCAGCGTAGCCACTATCCGGGTCTGGAGCGAGTTGTTGAACCAGAAGAAGGAAGAGCAATTCAAAAGAAACCAGGAGAAAAAGTTGAAGAAGGCGGAGATTCATCGCGCCAAGCGGGTCAAGGGTATGTTTCCGACCTACATACCTTCTACTGAAATGTAGACCGACGTATGCAGTTGCAGATGGCGAGGAAGTGGTCGTCGAACCAGAACAGCCGGAAGAAGGGAAGCATCAACCACCTCCACCGACGGTATGTAACGACCTATTCTCCTTCATGGCGCAGCACGAGTTTGACTTAGAATCCAGTATTCACCGTATAGATTCACCCTCTTGGAAGCACTCTCAGCCACTGGTCTACGTTCCATCAGATATGCTAAGGAAATCCCGCTTTTGAAGTAAGCGCTTGTTGCTTTGGGGGTCTAAGTGGGCTCAAACTGGTGCCGTATAGACAGGTGATCGCAAACGACCTGTCTCCTGCTGCAGTCGAAGCAATGCACCGCAACGTCAAATACAATGGACTGGCCGATGTCGTCGAAGAGCTTCCTGACGGAACGAAAAAAGTCATCCCCGGGAAGGTCAAAATTAACGAGGGTGATGCATGCTCCTTGATGTACCAGCACCGAGAGGAAAAGGCACGAGTGGACGCTATCGACCTCGATCCATATGGCACCGCAGCACCCTTCATCGACGGCGCAGTACAGGCAGTTAAGGATGGAGGTGTGTACGTGTAATCTGCGAGGACGCTCTCTTCTCACAACCTTCCTATAGGTTTGCTTTGCGTCACCTGTACCGATTTGGCCGTACTGGCAACCAATAACTACCCTGAAAAATGGTAGGATGATCACGATTGGCGTGTCCATATTCTCACCCTTTCTCACCTTTTCAGCTTCTCAAACTACGGAGGAGTGTCCTTGAAGGCGGAGTACTGCCATGAAGCCGTAAGTAAGCCATTGCCATCTTCCAAGTACCGCTTGCTCACATAAGATCAGGCCCTTCGTCTAGTCCTTCACAGCATCGCAACATCTGCAGCACGCTATGGACGATACATCACCCCTCTCCTGTCCCTCTCAATTGACTTCTATGTTCGGGTTTTCGTTAGGGTAGACACCAGCCCTATGGAAGTCAAGAAATTACTAACGTACGTCGCCTTCTTTCGCCTTGCCCTTCGGATGACGTTCAAGGTCGCCTCTAGTAAGAACTCCACCATCTATCTTTGCAGTTCTTGTCAAAACTTCTATGAACAACCTCTCGGACGAATACTCGAGAAACCGCATGAGAAGTCAGGCCATGTGAACTACCTATTCAAGACCCAGCAAAATACCGTACCAGAAAAGTGTGAAGAGTGCAGTGGAGGATTACATGCAAGCCTTCTTCGTCCGTCACATGTTACCTTTCTCACTCAGATTATCTGCAGGTAGCTGGGCCGATGTGGAACGGACCTCTGCACGATAGCGAATTCGTCGGCAAAGTTCTTGAACACCTTGAAAGTCACACCGATCACTATGGTACTGCACCGCGGATGAAGGGCATGTTAACCGTGGCAAAAGAGGTAGAACCGAGATAATCATTCATCCAACGACCCGGAAGCTGATCAGTAGACAGGAACTCGAGTCCTTGTTCTATTTCACGCCAGCAACTGTTTCAAGCTTCTTCCATTGCCAAACTCCGTCGTTGGATAACTCTGCGTAAGTGCATCCTTCTCAACTGAACGAAATGCATGCTGACGAATTCATAGCTCTGCTCTTCTGAACGCTGGATTCAAGATCTCTCGCTCGCACGCCGCGCCAGGCTCTCTTAAAACGAATGCAACAAGGAAGGATGTCTATGACGTTTTCAGGGGCTGGATCAAGACAAACCCCGTGAGGTTGGATAAAGTGTCGGAGAACTCACCGGCACGAGCGCTTATCGCAAAGGAACCCAGGTAAATCGCCCATCGTTCCCCCTCAGAACGACCGGAACTCACGATTGCTATCTCTCCCAAGTTTCATTGCCGATTTCACAAAACACCCTGATTCTGTCACTCCTTCAAGCAAGGTCAAACTCGTTCGTTACCAAGAAAACCCCACATCGCACTGGGGCCCTGCGAGAAAAGCGACTGGTCTCAAGCGAAAGAGGTCTGGCGAGGACGTGGCAGCGGCTTCAGCTTCGACCGCGGAAAAGCCCTAGTAATGGCTACTATTGGAACCTACGGGACAACAGCACTAGACTAATAGTATGGATTGAGACAGATGGGGTTTGAAATACATAGCATCTCGAAAACAGCGATGAGGACGTGTGCGGTGGATAGAATACAGACATGTGCGGAATCCCGTGTAACAAAAACAACCAAAGATAATAACTTACATGGAACAAGATAAGAACCCAGAACGAAAGGGGGTATAGGAGTGCTCGTCACGATGAAGGCGAATCATTAGTGGAGGAGGCTGCGCTGGCGCTGGCGGCGGCGGCGGCGGCAGCTGCTGCCGCTGCTGCTTTTTTACCCTTCTTGGACAGCCAGGGGTGCTGAAGAAGTTCGGCAGCATGAGGTCGAAGCTCGTGGTTGATTTCAAATGTCTTCTGAAGGAAATCTTGTGCCTCAGCAGAGATATCAGAAGGAATAGTCGGTCTTGCGGAAGAGCCGATCTAAGAATAGCAACGGTAAGCATCTAATCCCGACAGCTGCTTAATCCATAGTTACCTTGAATATGGCTTGCATCTGAGTCAGTTGCGCCCAAGGATGTTCACCGGTCAACATCTCGACAACAAGGCATCCGACACTCCAAATGTCAGCCTTCTTCGTGTGCCCGGTTTGCTTGACGACTTCAGGCGCCATCCAGAAGACCGATCCTTGCAATGACGGTCTGTGTAGCCGATTTCCACCCAGTAGATCTACGTAGAGATCATCAGTTTACCACGTTACAGACCATCACAACCAGGGTAACTCACTATCGTCGACCTTCTTGGAGATACCAAAGTCGGAAATCTTGACTCCTCCTTTGTTATCAACCAGAATGTTAGCACCCTTGATGTCTCGATGAATGATATCACGTTCGTGAAGGTAGCTGAGACCCTGAAGGATTTGCCGAACAAAGTTCCGAACCAAAGGTTCTTCGAAAGCGCCGTAATTCGAGAGGAGAGTGGCGACCGATCCACCGGGGACGTATTCCAGGAAAATATTGAGGTACTCATCGTCACTAGAAGAGTCTACAAACTGCGTTAGCATGGATGGCATTCCCGAATTGAAGCGACTTACAGAGATATTGGACAATGTTTTCGTGTTGAAGGACCTTCAAGAGTTCAATCTCTCTTTCGAGGGCGCTTAGCATGCTCTTCTTGCGTTCCTGGCTAGGACCGTCGCCCTGGGGAAGTTCGACTTGCTTGACAGCCATGAGGAGACCATTGGACGCATCCATCCCCAAATAGACTTTTCCAAATGACCCAGCGCCAATCAATGCACCCTTGATCCATTTGTTGTCTAGAAAAGCAGTTAGTACCGAGCGAAGATTGGCACTTGGCAGTAATAATGCTTACTCGTCCGTGTTGGGATTGCAATACCAAAGTCATCGTCGGAATCATCCTCGTCCTCATCCTCATCGTCTTCTGTGGCCAAGGTAGCCTCATCATCATCAACCTCGACCTCATCAGCAGGGACCGTAGGAGCGGTATCAAAGCTAGCCGCATTCTCTACCTTCGTCCACCCCTCCAGATCATTCGCGTTTGACATATCTGGCATCTTGCTCACCCTCCTACTCTCCACCTCCGCTGTGATCTCATCCACGGTCATCATACTTGCAGTGTCAGATCGATCTCGTTTGCTTCGGAGTTCAGACATGAAGCTAAGTCGCTTGGAGCCTATGGACGTGGCTCTCGAAGCGGGCCTACTTCCTGTGATTTCCTCCATGGATTGAGAGAACGAACCAGTTTCGATGGGAGGCAGAAGCCGAGGGGCTACGGAAGCGGAAAGAGGAATGTCGTCGTCGTCGTCGTCGGAATGAAGGTCGATAGAATGTCCATCGTCGGTGGAGAGTGACATTCGAGGTATTGGTTCCCCTTCATCTTTTTCTGGAAGCGGAGGGGGTGGCAGTGAGGTAATAGACGCCCTGCCTGGGGACATCGAGCGTCTGCAACCCGAGCCTTGTGTGCTGGTGCTAAACCTTGAGGGTAACGGTGGCGGTGGTGGAAGTTGAATCGAACCGCCTGACAAGGCACTCTGCCGTTTCAGAGTTCCAGAACGCAATAGAATACTGTGTCGAGCTGTACGCAGCACTTTCTTTTCCGCCATAGGAAAGAATTCGGGAAGATGGTCGGTGATGAGCTCGCTGGGGGGTCGTTGACCAAAGAAGTTGCGCAGCTTTGACGGTCGCTTGGCATTGCCGGCACCGCTTTGCCAGAGGGGAGGAGGGGGAGGACTTGGAGCTTCGTTGCTGGGTGAGGGTGGGTCGCCGAGGACTTTGTCTGGATTGCGAACTCCGAGGCCACTGAGAATACTGATAGAGCTAGCGCGCTTAGTTGCTTTGCTGGTTGGTTGTGTCGGTGGTTGGAGATTCCTTGCAAGCGGGCTTCCGCTTCTGTCCTCTTGTCGGCGTAGCCTGCGCACAGCAAGTCCCCGTTCTCGTGCAGGGTGGTCTGGAGCGTTGCAGATATTTAGAAGTTGGGTTTCGGTCAGCGGTTCCGCTGGGAAAGAGTTAGTTGAGATTGGCATATAGCATCTAGACCGACTTACAAGGTGACTCTTCCCCGGATGCAAGGTATACGGCCCAGCCATCGACGTTCAGACTACCATCATCCCGGTCACCATGGCCGTCGTTATCAATCCCCCTAAAGCCTCCCTTTCCAATCTTCTTCAGTACTTTCTCGATGACCTCTTGACCGCTGGAGCAGTTGGTGACATCAATCATGTATGATGTTCCTTCCTCGGGAATAACGAACTTGACAATCTTCTTCCGGATGTCATCTAGGCTTGGAGTGTTGTAGGCATTTGCGGGTGTGTAGGATCTGTAGGGTTGAGACGGCGGTGATGGTGTGCTGGTTGATGAACTGTTCTGGCCTGCTGCCGCGAAATGTTCATCTATAGGTGAAAGGTTGGGGTTCTGTAGACCTGTCGGTGGATGCAGTGTAGCCTGTACACTAGGCATTGCGTAAGGGTGTCCGCCCAGTCTCCTGGCTGGGCTGTTGTTCGGGGATGCAACTCCTGCTCCAGAGGCTTTGGCAACAGGTCCTCGCACACCCCGAGGCGGCGGCAACGGAGACGTTGATCTGGAGGGTTTGGAGCGTGAATCCCATGTAGATCCGTTTGAGGGCGTGAGTAATCCCTGGTTCTGAGGGGTAGGAGGCAAAGGTTGGGATGGTGCTTCGGAAGCGGAGGAGTTCCAGCGATTGGGAGTGCGGTTTGTGGTCGGGGGTGGGGGTGGTTGGCCGCGTGGGGGAGGAGGAAGTGGTGGGAGATTGGGACGATGACTCCCACCTGGAGTGGAGACCTGAGATGCTGTTGGGGTTGCATTCTGAGGGACTGGCAGAGGTCGCACAGGTGGTGGAGCCATCATCGACCGCCCAGATGCCGAGTCTGGTGGAGGCTCTCGAATAAGATCAGGTAGATCCCCCTTGTTCGCATTGGGGTGGATGGTAATAGGAGGTGGTCGAGTCGATTCTTTCCGCGAGTGACCGCGACCAGAGGCGACACCTTGTTCCAGGCTGAGGTTCTCTGAGCCAGTGCGGGTATGGGAGGCCGTGGGGCGGGTAACGTGGATAGGAGAGGGTGTTCTCGCTGCTGCACGTTGGCGAAGGAGCTTGACGGCGTTCAAAATGCGAATGCGATCGCCAATGCTCACGATATTCATTTCCTTGAGTGTATCTTGATCCAATTCGAGGAGAACATCGCCGCGAATGTCGTTGATACGAAATACTTCTGCATGCATTCCGCATTTCATATCGGATAACCAGCGGGCAACATGGTTGTCCGTCCATGCTTTTAGGGATTCCGCGAAGGTTGTGCCCGGTGGTGGATCAAGTGAGATGGTCGGTCCAGTTGGGAAAGGCAGTTGGCCACGGAGGTCGACACTGCCCATATTCTTAAATGGTCGTGTAGGCTGTCGGTTTGTCGAGTAGGGAGGTGATACCACTATCGGCGACGATGGCTTTGGCGGCGATTGGGACGACAACGAATCTGAGTTCATGAAAGAGGAGGGTGCTGCCAGAGCGGACATTGGGCGAGCACCAGGTCGTTAGCAAGTAATGTAAATGTTCTCCAGGCTGTTCAGGCTGACATGTGACTTGGGAACGGGGACGAGGACGACGGGATCGACGACGAGCAGAGGGCGAGTACGCTGTTGGTGACGGCGCGCAAAGGTATTGTTTTTCGCCGGCCCTAAACCGCAGATTCCCACGATCGCACTCTGTAAGCCGGTTGTGGATGGATGTGGCTGGGCATCAAAGAACGTCTGATTGATACTCATCTCTCTAGTGATTGCGAGTTACGCGCTGGAATGTCCTGAACCCAGACCTCCGATCCTGTATTCTGTGCGGAAGCCCAAGGTAACCCATTCTGAACCACCTGCGGAGAGATAGACCGGTAATACGAGGCTTCACAGTCTAGTGCTACTTATAGACTCGGAACGTGCATCTGGGTTCTCGCTGAGGACCAGACTGAGCCTCTCACCCACCGTCCCTGACCGGTCGCACAGGCGCCCTAGCCTCATGGAAACGGTGGTATGTAATACCTGCGGACCCATGTGAGACGCCGTACGGCATCGAAAAAAACTTTGTCCACTCTGGCAGAGATGCAGGTCTGAAAAGGGTGTAATTGGGGGAGATAAACGGAGTGCAAGGCAGGCAGTATCGCGAACAAGAATTAAGACTGAAAAGAGTAAGAATGCTTGGGGAGAAAGAGAGAAACGGGATAAGAATTGCAGGAAACATTCAAGATTAAGTTGGGGGTGCAAATAGATGTCAACAATGAAAATGGCAGACCGAATGCTATGGCCTGCGTTGGCCGCTATAAGGTTTAAGTATATCTTTACCCAGTCACTCCTTTCCTACACGACCCTGCCACGCTGTTGCTACCTTATTCCCTCTAATCTTCTCTTCGTCGTCGTCGTCGTCGTGTACCGTCTTCCTCGTCGTCTACACAGAACGAACAACCCCCGTCGACACTGTCCGCTGCGTTCATGAAGCTAGTGTCCTCGCTCAATGCCCTTCTCCTGCTAGCCTCCTCAGTCTTATCAGCACCATGGCGTGAAGATCTCGTCGGATACAACCTCAATGTCAATCGCAATGCCCAGTCCGTTCTCGAGTACGACTCCGAGCCAAGGAGGAACTACACTCCTTCCCCTCAAAACTGGCGCGCCCTACCCACTTATACAATCCTCATGGATAAATTCGCGGATGGCGACCCAAGCAACAACGACTACTTCAAATCACCTTACGAGACGGACTGGCGAGAAACACAACTGCGCTTTGGTGGTGACCTGAAAGGACTAGAGGCCAAGCTGGACTACCTCTACGGCATGGGTGTTAGGGTCATCTACATGTCCGGTACACCCTTCCTCAATATGCTATGGCAAGCCGACAGTGAGTTCTCCCTTAACGACACTTATCGCACCATCTGACCATCGTCTAGGTTACTCCCCCTTGGACTTTAGCGTATTGGATCCTCATTGGGGCAACATCGACGACTGGCGCCACTTCCTTGACGCTGTACATGCCCACGGGATGTACTTCATGGCAGATTTGACCGTTGGCACCATGTCGGACCTGATTGGCTTCGAGGGGTCCGTGCTCTTCGCCCTCTCATTTGCTACGATCTCATGCTGACCCCTAAACAGACATCTCAACGTCAGCACACCGTTCAATCTGAACGAGTATAACGCCATCTACAAACGTCCCAACTATGCTCCTTGGGGATTCGACGAGTATGCTGATTTCCATGTAAGCCTCCGCATCATGTTTTAAACAGACCGGATGTGACATTGCCATACAGATCAATAACGAGCGGGATCCCAACTGCAAGATGCCTGTTATGTGGAAAGAAGATGGCGAACAGGTAGAGATCAAGACGAATGGCTGTATGGATTCCGATTTCGATCAGTACGGAGACATGGAGGCGTTCGGTGTCCACCCGGATTGGCAGCGTCAACTATCCAAGTTCGCTTCAGTCCAAGACCGTCTTCGTGAATGGCGTCCAGACGTAATGGAACGCATTCAAGTCTTTGCCTGCATGCTCATCAAGGCGCTGGACATTGACGCGATTCGAATTGACAAAGCGACTCAAGTTACTGTGGAAGGAATGACCGCCTGGGCTGTCCACACCCGTGCATGTGCCAAGGAGTTGGGCAAGAACAACTTCTTCATCGCCGGCGAGGTCACTGGTGGTGACACCTTCGGTTCCCTCTATATGTAAGCATGGTTCTACCTCGTTGGATATGTAGTCTGACTTCCCTCTCCATATAGCGGTCGAGGTCGCACACCTACACAGCGCCCTGGAAGTCCGCTAGTCGCTTTCAATCTGACCCACGACGACAGCTACTTTTTGCGTGAATACCCAAACAGTGCGCTCGATGCAGTCGCGTTTCATTATTCCATTTATCGCAATTTTGCCCGGATTCTCGGAATGGATGGAAACCTCCAGGTTGCTTTCGACACTCCGGTCAACTTGGCCGATGCTTGGAACACTATCTTCACCAGCAACGACATGCTCAACGCTGAGACCGGAGTGTTCGATCCTCGCCACATGTATGGAACCAGTAACTTCGATGTTTTCCGCTTCCCCAGCTTGGAACATGGAACGCTACGAAGCTCATTGGGTACGTTCCTGGCATCCCTGGTCATGCCTGGCATCCCCCTTTTGTACTACGGCGAAGAGCAGAACTTGTATCTGTTCGATAACGGTGCATCCAACTATCTCTACGGGTAGGTCAACCGCCATCAATTAACCACTCCCGCTAACACCTGAATAGCCGTCAAGCAATGACCAGCACGCAGGCCTGGAAACGCCATGGTTGTTATACTTTGGGTTCCGAGCAGTACTTCAACATGCCTCTAGAGCGTGCTCTGACGGGATGTCTCGACGACTGGAACGCACTCGATCACTTCGACCCGACGATGAACTCTCGTCGCATGTTTTCGCGTTTCTTCCAACTGCGAGAGCAGTACGGGGCCCTTCAAGATGGTTTTGTATTGACCCAGGTCGGGAACTGGACGTATTGGATCCAACGCCCTGGTTCGAACAACACTGGCACCGAAATGGGTCTGTGGTCTATGCTTCGCAGCGACATGCCCGGCCAGACGCTTGGAGGAGAGTCGCAGACACCCGTCGCGCTTCTGTACACGAACGAGAACACGACCCAAACGTACACCTTCAATTGCAAGAACAGAAGCCCTCCACCGATCGTCATTGGTCTCCCCATCGCCGGCGTCACCACCGTCCGAAATCTCTTCTATCCCTATGAGAACTACACGCTTCAAGCCTCCACCCATACTCTCTACGACGACGGAAGAACCTTCCTCGGCTGCATCCCCTCCATCGAGATGGAAGCCTATAGCTTCAAGGCCCTCGTTCCTATCTCTGAGTGGAGACCACCGACGCCTGCCCTCACCAAGTTTACCCCAGGGCACGATTCGAGGATTCTAGTTTCCGATGGGAACGCCACCAGCATACCCATTAGTCTAGAGTTCAACACTATCATGGAGTGCGAAAGCGTTACGAATAGTGTGACGATCGAGGTCCAATCTTCAGGCCGAGGGGGTACAGTGACACGGTCGACACCCCAGTGCGCTCCAGTCACCAATCCAGATCCTAACCAACTTCCTGGTGGTGACGTATCTGTCTGGTCATGGTCTACCACCTTGTCCAACGTCCCCGACGGCGTGATTGTGATCACCATCGACCATCCTGCAGCAGCGGGTCAACCCGAATTCACGACAAATGTAAGTATATCTTAACATTTATTCACGAGCGAGATTTGATGTCACTTCTAATAACAGGCCATTGATCGTGTGATGATCCGCAAAGGCGATGCGTCCAATGTCATGGTTTTCCCCTTGAATGACTATGACAATGATGCTTTCACTCTCACTGATGGACAATACGTCTTTACGCATAAGGCCCTGGGCGCGGAGAGGTTCAGATATAGCGGAGACTTTGGTCTGAGCTGGTCGGATTGGGCGGATTGGGAGGATACCACTACGATTGATCGCGACGTCTTCTACGACGACAAGAACGTCTGGGATGGTGCTCATATCATCGTTCAATGTAAGCCCCTCTCCTTGGCCTGTTTGGAGTGGTTTCCCTGACTTGCTTCAACGCAGACTGGAGTAGCGCAACCATGTCCACCGCAGCGGTTGTCCACGCCGACCATGGATGGAAAGGCGGTCAACGTCGTGTCCCCCAATTCATGGTTCGAGGACCATTCAACACCTGGGGATACGATCAGGGTATCGACCATATCATGGAGCTGAATGATGAGGGCAAGTGGGAACTCAAGGTCATGTCCTCATGGCCGACCTACATGCAGCTCAACGTTTTCGACTTCAATGATTACTTCTACGGCGATGCCGACGGTGACGGGGTTCTCGACCGATTGCCGCCCAACACCGTTGCTCCCAACTACGTCAACCTTTCCGCTCCCCCGTACCCCCACTTGTCTTGGTCGCTCATCGTTGACGACTCCGGCATGACTTGGTCGTTGAAACCTCACGGCCATGCTATCGTTGGCGCGATCATGTACGCTCTCCTCCTTTCCATCCCCCTCATCACTGGCACATTGGCCGTTATGGTCTTCATGTGGACCTTCTACGGGATCAAGCACAACCGCTACGGTGTCAAGGCCAAGAACAACACCAACTACTTCCCTATCCTCGGTGCTTTGGGCAAGTCCGGTTCGGAGGGAAAGGATAACAAGTCGATGAAGGAGAAGGTGTTCGGTAGGCCTAAGATGAACAAAGAAATCATTGGTTGGCCCGAAGACAAGAACAAGCGACGCAAGGTTTTGATTGCCACTCTGGAATACGAAATCATTGACTGGAAGGTCAAGGTCAAGATTGGTGGCTTGGGTGTCATGTCGTCCCTGATGGGTAAGGCGATGACGGATGTTGATCTCATCTGGGTTTGCCCCAAGGTCAAAGACATCGATTACCCCGCAGGCGAACCCGCCGATCCTATCGAGGTCATCATTTTCGGCGAGCCGTACCTCATCGAAGTCGAGACCCATCAGTTAGACAACATCACCTATGTCATCCTGGACAGTCCTGTTTTCCGAGCACAGACTAAATCGGACCCTTATCCCGCTCGCATGGACGACCTGAGCTCTGCCATCTTCTACTCCACCTGGAACCAGGCTATCGCTGCCACGATTCGACGCTTCCCTACCATCGACATCTACCACATCAACGACTACCATGGCGCTCTAGCTCCCATCTACCTCCTCCCCAAGGTCATCCCGGTCTGTCTCTCCCTTCACAACGCCGAATTCCAAGGTCTCTGGCCCCTTCGCACCAAAGAAGAAATGAAGGAAGTCTGCTCGGCATTCAACATCAGCAAAGAACACTGTACCAAATACGTTCAGTTTGGTAATACGTTCAACTTGCTTCACGCAGCTGCCTCCTTTATTAGCGTCCACCAAAAGTCTGTTGGTGTTGCTGGTGTGTCCGACAAATATGGCAAACGGTCTTGGGCCCGGTATCCTGCACTTTGGACACTCAAGCACGTCGATTCGCTGCCCAATCCCGATCCTAGCGACATCGCCGCTCTGGACGAGAAACCCGTCAAGGCAAAGGAAGTTCAAATTGATCAAGAGGCAGAGGCTCTTCGACCTGAACACAAACGTCAAGCACAAGAATGGGCTGGGATCAAGCAAGACCCTAATTCCGATTTGTTCGTGTTCGTCGGACGTTGGTCAAAGCAAAAGGGTGTCGATCTCATCGCTGATGTTATGCCCTCTCTGTATGTCTTCTACCCTTGTTTTCGTTGTACGCCTGTCTGATTTCTTCTTTAGCCTGGCCAAGCGTCCCAGTATCCAACTCATCGCGGTCGGTCCTGTCATTGACCTCTACGGACGGTTCGCTGCGGAGAAGTTGGCTCGACTCATGGAGATGTATCCTGACCGAGTGTTCTCGAAGCCCGAGTTTACAGCTCTTCCCCCATACCTGTTCAGTGGTGCCGACTTTGCTCTGATCCCTTCTCGAGATGAGCCTTTCGGTCTAGTTGCTGTCGAATTTGGTCGCAAGGGTGCCCTTGGTGTTGGTAGTCGCCTCGGAGGTTTGGGTTTGATGCCTGGCTGGGTAGGTGTTTTATGTCATAGTCAAATCGAATCATGGGCTGACTTGGATACCAGTGGTTCCCTGTCGAATCGAGCGCGACGAATCACATGTTGTCACAATTGACCAAGACAATCAAGTTGGCGCTCAAGTCGACGGAAGAAGAGCGAGCGGTTCTTCGTGCCCGGTCTGCAGTTCAACGATTCCCTGTCGTTGAATGGCGTCAACGGATGGAAGATTTCCACAAACGCAGTATCAACACCAGTCGCGGCCTTGCTGGAGCGAACGCGTGGCGGGAATCTGATTGCGATGGCTCTGGCCTTCGGCCTGTAGCTCACACCGGAGACTGGGACCCAGTGGAGCAAGCTCAGCCTACGCAACCTGAGTGGGACAGTCGTAGCATGCGTAGCTTCAACGATGGAGCGTCTACTCCTATGACACCTGGATCACCTGCGGCCTGGAGTCAAGAGACGCTCAGTCAAAGGAATGGGTACAACGCAGAGGGTGATGACTACTTCGCAAGTCATGGTCGAGGATCAAGTTATGCCGGCACACCCAACAGCAATGCGGGAGACTTTGGCAACTTCCTCGAACGGGCGAATCGTACAATTGGCCGTGATCAGCGTCATGCTCCCGATCCCTTCTTGGACGGTGGACTCATGCCCAACAGGCCTTTCGGTTCTCATTCCCGCGTTTCATCCGTCGAATCGATCTCGTCCATCGTTGAAGAAAAGTCAAACTCGCCTTTGAACAAAGCCATTGCCTCGGTAGGTTTTGTGTGCACCGATTTCTTTTCCGTTTACTCACCTTTTCACAGTTCACCGACGCCGATGGTGGTGTTGCGGCTGAATTCGTTCAAAGGCTTCAGCATCTCGATTCCAAGAACTCGGAGACAGAGTTGTCGATCGAGAAGTTCTTGATGAAGAGCGAGGAAGCATTCTTTGGCAAGGTCAAAAAAGAGAAGCTGTCGTCCAGCGCTGCAAGTCTAAGGTCATCTCACCGAGACCGGGAATCTGTATGGGGCACTCCTACACCATCGTTGTACTCTCGCCCAGAGTGTAAGTCTCTGTGTCGACTAAATGCTGCACCCGGTACTTACTCCTTGCAGCTCCCAACACGGCGATGTTCCAGCCAGACTATGATGGTGGCTTCATCGACCCCTCGCAGCCAGACGGACCACCGATGACCAGACTTCAGATTGCGCTAGCCCGGGAGATTCTTGGTTGGCCGCTCTACACGATCATCATCGCCCTCGGGCAAATGTTGAGTGCAACCAGTTTCCAAATCACCCTCTTGTCCGGTCGAAGTTGGTCGAGCGATGTTCAACTCTACATCATCGCTTCGGTATTCTTCGCGGCGTCAGCCATGTGGTATCCTCTCTTCAGACTAAAGCCGTCTGTCTACGTCCTCTCTGCTCCCTGGATCTTCTTCGGTTTGGCGTTCTTCATGATTGGCTTGCCTACTATCCACCCCGCCCTTGCCCCAGCTCATTATGCCTTGTCCAACGCTGCAACGTGGTCTTACGCTGTCGCTTCGGCTGCTGGATTCTTGTTCTTCGGCCTCAACTTTGGTGAAGAAGCAGTAAGTGTCTCGTGCCGTTTCGAGAGCAAAGTATACTGATCAACCTTCCGAAAGGGTGCGGCAACTGAGGTCTGGACCCTCCGAGCTTGCATCGTGCAAGGTTCGCAGCAAATCTGGGTCGCCGCTTTGTGGTACTGGGGTTACTCTTTGAACGGGCGGGAGGACGGCTACATCCCACCCTGGTACATCATCTTAGCTGTGTGGCCCCTTGCCATCATGAGCTTCCTCTTCGCGTATCTCATGCTCTACGGCTTGCCCGGTGAGGACATTCTGTTCAGATGTGCGGTCGATTAAATCTAAATCTAATATCGCCCATAGATTACTACCGACAAGCTCCTCCCAAGGTTCCTGGATTCCTAAAGACCATGTTCCGTCGTAAACTCGTTGTGTGGTTCTTGATCTCTGTTGTATTGCGGGATTACTGGCTCAGCACTGTACGTCCTATCGTCATCTTGTCGGGTACCTTTGGTTAACCATAACGCTTCCTAGCCCTATGGTCGCAACTGGACTTTCCTTTGGAACGTACCTATTCCCAAGTGGCAGACCTTCATTCTCGTCATCGTTTTCTTCGTTTTCGCCTGGGCCGCGATGATGCTCGTCCTCACGCATTTCTCGAAGACCCACACTTGGTTGTTGCCGATATTCGCTGTCGGACTTGGAGCACCGAGATGGTGTCAGATGTTGTGGGGTACATCTTCGTTGGGCCTGTATGTGCCTTGGGGTGGTTCGGCTGGCCCGTACCTTAGTATCTCTCTTTGGCTTTGGCTCGGTGTACTTGATGCCATCCAGGGCGTTGGCCTGGGTATGATCCTTCTTCAGGTAAGTATCTCTCACTATCCTCGTCTACACTCCACGGGAACTGAGATATCCTCCAGACCCTGTCCCGACTTCACGTTTGCGCTACGTTAGCATTCGCTCAGATGATTGGTTCACTTTGCGTGATCCTAGCTCGCGCAACTGCACCGAATAGGTTGGGGCCTGGTACCGTCTTCCCTGATGCTTCGAAGTGGACGCCTTCGGAAGGATGGTCAGAAAGTCCTATTGCCTTCCCGCTCTTCTGGGTGGCACTGGTATGCCAAATCATCATTGTCTTGGGTTATTTCTGGTTCTATCGCAAAGAACAGCTCTGTAAGTTCTTACGCTGTTATATCTTCAAGTCGCGCTAATGGTACCTTCCTTAGCACGCCCATAATCTCGCCTCTGTTGTGGCATCATCTCAAAACAATTGCATGCGGACTATTTCACGTCACTTCTTGGATGAACGATTCAATTCATGACGGACTACTTACCTCTCCCATATATATATAGACCACACATAGGAACTGATATAGATAATGCTCAGCTCGATACTTGTTGTGCTATATGCACTCTGCCCTTCGTTTGGTATATTAATACGGACAATTGAATATTCTAGTAAACAGATGCAACTTATTTTCTTTCTCTCGTTCGCCTCGAAAATGGGCGCTTTGAATTTGAACTCAGTCTGTCGTTCGGAATTGTATGGCTTTGTTGATGGATTTGATCCTCACTGCCAGGGAGTTGGGGCTTGCCTCTAGCCACCACCACATTGCCGGCATCATGAAGCTCTCCTTTTCACTGAAGGCAAAGAAGGATACGGCACCAGCCAAACCTCCTCCACCAAAACCGGCCTTATTCTCAGGAGATGACGCAGAGACCGAAGAGCCCGCAGTACCCGTTTCTGTGCCATACAATGTCGAGGCGTCCAAAGCAATGCAGAAGAGAATAGAGCAAGAGAAGGCTGTGGACCCTTCGGTATACGACTATGATGAGGTCTGGGACCGTATGCAGGAAGTCAAAGAGAAGCAAAAGGCTGCCAAAGCAATTGAAGCTATGGAGCGCAAGGTAAAGTCTAGGGTCCCTCACCGTGTTGGATGGATGCTGACGTCTGACACCCTCAAGTAGCCCAAATACATCCACAATCTACTGTCTTCGGCTGCTACGAGAAAGCTGGACCATTTGAGAGCAGAGGAAAAGATGATGCAGAGGGAGAGAGAGTTGGAGGGCGACGAGTTCAAGGACAAGGAGGCGTTCGTCACCCAGGCGTATAAAGAGCAGCTCGCAGAGATCAGGAAGGCTGAAGAGGAGGAAAAGAAGAGAGAAGGTGAGAAATGCCGCTTCTGGTTTGACGCTGCAGTACTCACGGTCTTCCTTAGAGGAAGAGAAGAAACGCAGGGGAGGCGGAACGGGAATGGCACATTTCTACCGCAAACTACTTGAAGAATCTGCGCAACAGCACGAAGCCACTATGAAAGCAGCAGAGAAACGAGTCATTGGTCCGCAAGCAGGCCCCGAAGCAAACCTAACGATCACGAAACCACCAGACTTTACGCCCAAGTCTGACCTTGAACTTGCCGCACTTGCTCGGGAACAAGGGAAGGAGGTGGAACTTAATGACGACAACCAAATTGTTGATAAACGAGAACTGCTGGCTGCTGGCCTGAATCTTTCACTCCCCAATACTCGGAATCTCGCGCTACGAAAGGCTATGGCAGCCAAAGCGGACGGGGAGAAGAATGACGCCCCTGTCCACACAGCTGTCGGTTTGGCAGCGAGTAAGAAGGAGATTCAGGAGCGAAGGGCCAGGGAGATTCGGAGACAAATGGAGGAAGAGCAGCGAAAGGCGGCGGCAAAGAAGAAAGAGGAGGAAGAAGAGTCTTTACAACGGGTGGTGGCCAAACGGAATACGGAGGAAGATGTTATGAGTGCGAGAGAACGGTATTTGGCTCGCAAACGCCAACGGTTAGAGCAAACTCAGACAACATCGGAGGAAGCATCATAGTACGGACATTGTCCCCAGGATATCTGGTCGATTCGGATATATATTGTACCATTGTATGTAGCATTAATGTCGATTGGAGCACTCGACCCTTGATTTCGGCCGCATGTGTATCAGCATCTTGTCGTATGTTTCTAAGACCGCACTGGCCGGTGGTCGTTGTTCTGGTTTGTCGTGTAGCATTGGTCGTGTGAGGAGTAGCAGTTCTGGTATGTGGAGCCCGCTCGTCTGTTAAAACTGTCAGCAATGGCATAAGAGACATGATAAATGCGAAGCCCAACTTGCCTTGCACGCACGCAGTATCAAAACTCCCAGCGCCCAGATATCGACTTTAAACGGATCGAAGTAGTCGCTCTTTTCGCATTCGGGAGGGATTTCTGTGGCTTGATGACCAGGGGCATACAGATATGGGCCATGTTCTGAAAGGACCCGGCTCAATTCAAAGTCGATAAAGGCATAACGACCTTGATGGTCGGTCACGAGATTTCTTATAGATATGTCAAGGTGTGCTAAACGGTGCCTGTGCATGAAGTCAACATGCTACCGTGACCGTTAGAATCGGCCGGGCGAATTTGATTGGGTGGAGAGAGCCTACCTCCAGAAGTTGCCTAACGGCGAGTAGGAAGCCTTCTGGACAACATGGACTTGACTCGGTAAAGAGTTCTGGTGACCATTGTTCCATTACAATGAATGCTATGTGGTCTTCGTGGCATTCGAATAAGTCTAAGAGAGCTGTTGCCTCACGCGTTAGATTTTGGTGAAGGGGTGCATACTTGAGTGTGGTCAACCATACGTATTGTGTGGTTCGATCGGTCCTCTCGTATCGGAGAGCAAGAGAGAAACCGAATTGTTGAATATTCACGGCTATGTGAATGAACGGCCTTGACGACGAATCTCCTACCGTCGCATATCCTCTGGCCTCTGAAAAGATTATCCGGCTGCGAAGCAACGGTAGATTAGTTCTCCAGATACAAGCAGGAAACTCGGGGATTTACGACGTACCACACTTGGGTCATGGAAGAGATCATGGTCATGCTGCGAGCCCTCCTGACTTGACAGTACTGACAGGACTGAGTTGTGGATGCAGTAGTTCTGGGAGGTCTGGAGACGACGATAATATGGTCTGACATCCCGTACAGTTTCAAGATGCAGGCCACGGGCCTTGAAAAGACCCCTGTACTTGGGCCAATACGGGTTTAGACGACAATTGACGTCGTCGTCGTCCAGAGAAGCCTCTGACGAACTTGGGGAAGGCATAGTATCGACATCAGCGTCCCAACGCATAGTCGACAGAGGGCAATAGCGGGAGAGTATGGGGCTGAACGCATGGTTAGGTTGGCGCTTTAAATGGGCGATCTTTGCGAACTGTTGACCCCGAATAGGGAAGTTTTGGATCGTACGAAAGGGGCTTTAATGTCCTGCGCAAACGGGAGGAGACTAGAGGTCCGGAAAGGGTAGCCATAGCAGGAACGGGCTCTCTGAAAGAAATGCCAGATCAAGTAATGAGTTAGGCCTCGACATCTCCATAAAAGGGGCGCTCACTCCCATACAAGCACGTGGCCGTGCCGCGCTTTCCTCTTCGCCCTCGTCCGGACCCCCACTGACATTGTCCGTTTTGTTAGATGAACGGACGACGTCAGGGTAAGTATGTATAAACATCTAATTCTGTTCTATCCATCCAAGAAACCAACACCTTTTTCCGGCACTTCAGCGAACCTGCTCGCACCACCCTTACACATGTTACATCGGTTACAACCACCAACTTGACAATCCAGATACCAAGTTGTGAAGCTTCGTTCGTAACCTTGAGACCCACAGGCGAGTGCCAACAGAAACGTGATCCTGGATGCACTGTACATGTTGTAGTAATCCGTCCCACAATGCTTGCGAAACATTAGACGTGCCCGACCTGCAGTAGAATGAGAAGCTGCTTGGATTCATCACGCAAGCCAGGGATCAGCAGATTGAGTGCATCACACGTAAATCCATAGACAAAATGGTAATACGCCCCGAGGTACATACGGTCGTCCGAGTAAAAGTACACGGTTGTAACTCGGAGAGTCGGAGACTAGGCAATCAAGCTCGAGACAACCCGATGATGAGGAGAAGCTTGATCCCAGGTGAACCATCCCACACACCAACCAGAGCCTTTCAGAGAAAGCAAACTGCCATGATAGAGGGCTGTGGACAACTTATACCACAGCCGGAACCATCCCATGCGACGTACCTCCTGCCAGTGTCTAGTACTGCTTCGGGTTCTGGATCTCTGCTTCGTCAAACATTCCTCTGGCTCGCTTGATGTCTTCTTGCATGAAAATGAGCTCTTCCAAACGGGCCAATTTCTTCGCATCAGCGGGGTGAGATAGGGCTTTGCGAAGGTCTTCGACAGACAGTCGTGCCCGCCTGGAGTTGGCCCCGGCGACTTGGCACTGCAATCAAGGTTGGCTATAAGAGTTAAAGAGAAATGTCGAGAACGACTCACCACATCGGTGATGTATTCTATCAAAATCTCCTCCATGACATTGACGGTATCGTTGGAAGGGTTCCGATCGTCTCCAAAGCCGTACATCAAGCTTCGCACTGTTGCATGGTTTGCGCATGAAGAATAGATAAGGAATTTGACCTACAATCCTTGGTGAACAACCCTTTGAGATTAGACTGTCTCCTTCCTCGCCCTCCGCCTAAATGGTGACTTGAGGAAGAAGTTGGTATTGCAGTACTTTCCCGGGGAATATAGGCTGGTGTATAAGTGGAAAATGTTGTTGTTGCTGTTGAACGCTGCGGGGGAGCTGCAGGAGTTGCAGGAGTTGCAACCACTGGAGCAGGTTGTGGAGTTGCTACCTGGGCTGTCGTTACTGCAGGTCTGACAGGAGCTGGGACGGGAGCCGGTACAGGAGTCGTAGCCACTGGGGTCGCTGGTTGTGTCGGAGCCCTCTGATATTGAGCCGCCTGCGGATGCTGATGAGGCATATAACTGTATGGGTACGGCCATGCATAGCTGGTTACGCCAGCCGCATAAGGGTTCTGATATGCGTAGGTTCCTGGGTACGGTGTCTGATAAGCGCCATACGGGTAAGTCGTGGACGTTGGTGGTGGAACAGTGCCCGTCGGCGTTGTATATGGTGTGTAAGACATGATAGTGGTCGAAAGCAAAGAGCAACTCGCCGCGCCAAACGCGGTCGAGATCAGAAATAAAAATACATGTACAAATAACGCGTGAAGAAGATTAGTCGCGGTCAGCCCCTCCTCCAGCCTTAAAGTCGGCGTCTAGCTTATGTGCTCTGTCCATAAGACCTTTAATCCTTGACCATTCAAATTCAATGACATTTCGGTCATCTAGCCATTCGCAGATACCGTCTGCATCTGTCAGATCGTCAGGAGGTTCTTTCCCGCCCATGTATGCAACGCGGTGGAACCCTCCCCCAGAATGGTTCTCCCGGCTGGACCGTATGTCATCGATCTCTCGCTCTATGGCTTTGAAAGTAGCATACTGTAACCAGATTGAGTGAATGCGGTGGAGAAAGACGGAAAGACACGTACCTCCCAGTGACAATACTCGTGGAAGGTCTGCGTACGAACGGCACAAAATCGACCAAGGTCAAACTGTTTCTTGATTTCTTCCTCATCCGATTCAGATTCAGAGTCTGAGTCGGAATCAGACCGTGATCTTTTGCCCTTCTTTTGCCTCTTCTTCTTTTCTTTCTGTTTCTTCTTCCTCGCGCTCTTCTTCTCCTTCCACTACAAAATCGTCATGAGACCAGTGCAATAAGCGACGTAGAAACATAGCATACCAGCTCTCTAAAGCCAATAGGATTGTAAGGTTCGCCTGCGAGGGCACCTCTTCGAGTGGCCACTCGACTGCCCATATGACAGGCATCGCAACCAGGAATAGTGAAGTCAAGTTGGGTCAGAACGAATTCGGGATACGTCTGAAGCGCCTTTTTGAACTGTGGCCGCCACATGGATGATGCTACGAGTGAATCGCGAAGGCCATCCAGTTTCCTCTGCACCATTTTCAATGGCACCCTAAAATACTCATCTGCAGGATGAGGCATGTGAGGTTAAGTTGATAAATGAATCCATGAGACGGACCTTCCAGGAGCCTTTCCATTTCTTTCTTCCTCTTCTTGGAAGGGTGGACAGCAACGTGGACGAACAATTGGAAGACCTTCTTGAATTGGTGGGCGAGGTCCTGATGTGTCTCCATACTGAACATCGCTGGTAGACGGGGAGCTGCCACTGGATCATCCTCGACAATCCAATCCGACTCTGAATCCTCTCCTTCGTCGCTCTCCCCGTCCCCGCCATCTCCATCATCCTCGTCGCTTGTATTCCTGTTGCTGGGTTTGGCGCCCTTGAAAAGTGTTGGGGCAGAGTCTCCATCAGATTCACTGTTCTCAGCGTCGTCGTCTTCGTCAGATGATGGGGATGCGGTCTTCCTCTGTTTCCGTTCTAAACCCTAGTCGATACTTGGGGGCCAACATATGCTTTGTATACGCACTCTTCAGTTTCTCGAGATTCTTCTGGTACTGAGTCTGTCTGCGTTCTCTAAACCGTGATTCAATGATGCCTATAAGGCGTGTTAGAGGACTGGTCGTTGGAAAGGCAGGACCGACGCACAATCTGAGTCCAGGTCATCCTCCTCCTCCGCCGAGTCCACGTCCGTATTTTCGTGCACGATGATGGTTCTTCGACGGGTTAGGCGGCGTCGCTTTGGTGGAGGGCTGTCTTCTTCGTCATCGCTCTGGGTTTGTGCCAACCGTTTGGCTTTACGTGCGCTTCGCTGTTGCACGATATTCAAAGGAAGTGTGTCGGAGTCTTCTCCCTCGCTCTCAGTCTTCACTGTGGTTCTGTTCACGCTCGTTCTTCGAGGGGTGCGCAACGGTTGATCACTGGCTTCTTCGTCATCGTCCTCCTGTTTTTCATCTTCTGAACTACTACTGCTGCTGCTGGACTCTGCACTCTCCAATTTGATTTCTCGGATGTCCTCTGAGTCAGACGATGAGTCCAGAGTGTTCAGGTTCTTCTTCCTGGGGGACTGGGATGCCAGCGACGGGGTAGTTGAGGCTCTCCGCGCATCAGAGAACTCAAAAAGGGTGGTTTGTCGCGTAGCGTTGGATCTTCTGCGCTTCATGGTCTGCAAGGAACGACTGTCAGATGTGCGCCGCTGCTCCAAATATGTGACTGTGATCTCTCCCTCGGCCCGCCAAAATCCGGTCGGAGCTTAAAAGAACCTTCCTGGTTTGGAGAGCAGACGCCGACGGGCTTGGCATAAACCTCGGATGTCGTCTGCAAGTCGCGTTGGACGGATTCTCCCTTCTCGAATCGATACAAATATCACCAGAAATACTTATTCAGAATTCGGAAATATCCCTTCTCCGAAACCCTCAGAAACAGAAGACTCGTTCCGGTCACGACCCGATGTCCCGTCCTTGCTCATATCACCATCCTACAACACCACAACGTTCGAGGAGTCGGCCAGTTCGTTTGGAGGTCTAAAGCCGCAGCAAAAACAGAATACAAATGCGAAGGCCAATAATGAACTCAGAAAACTCCTCACTCATGTTTTAACGCAGCTCGTCAATCGCAGGAAACCGCCAGCGATATCTGATACAGTGAAGGAGATTGGGAAGGACGCGACGGAGCACGGGGTTGCGTCCTTCACAGATGTATTCAAAGATGTAGCGAAGATAGGGAAGGCGATTAGACGGGCACCTCCCAGGCCTGTTACCGCTGCAGACGAAGACGAAGAGGAGGAGGATCCGCAGAGCTTTTCCACCGAGGCTACCTTCGACTTGTTGTTGCAGCTGAAGGATCTGTTGTCAATGTCTTTGAGCCAAGGCTGGCATATTTTCGAGGAAGAGTGCGTTTCAGTCCCGATTATTATCGGTTGTCGCTCACAAGCTACTAGCCAATCTCAGGACAGTACCTTTAAACCGAAAGAAGAAGTGAAATCAGCCTCACTCTTGCGTCGTTCTCGCCAAAGCTTTTCGGGAAAGCGCTCGCGTTCGTCATCTCCTACAGGAAGTCGACAGCAAGTTCGGGTCCCTGAACTGCTTTCCCTATGCATTGCTGTTCTGTCGTCCATAATCTATGAAGACTGCAGATTTCAGATCATTTCCCCTCGGCCTTCACGGCCTCCCAACGCATTACAGGCCCTGTCCCTCGCCGTCGCCCAGTTCCTCATTCATACACATCGACATGATCCCAAGGTTATATCCCGCATTGGTTTCGCCGTTATCCCAGCCTTTTCAACTTTCCAGCCAGAAATGCACGGGCGCCTAATCTCATTCTTTGAAACCTCTGTCATACGGGGGATCTTGGAAAGCTTGAGGCATGCCCAAGGATTTGTTTCGGCGGAACCATCGACACTCATGAGCCCAGTAGGTGGGTCATAGAAGGTTGACAAGGAAGTGACTTTTCTGACTTCTATCTCAGAACGGCGCGAAAGCAACCCAATTGTGTCAATCCACATCGACGAAGTCCAGGGGAACTCCCACCATGAGCTGACCGGACCCGTCGTCAAAGTTCAATCTAGTAGCGCCCCTCACCAAGACTCCGCGATATATTATCTCTCCTCTCTGGTAGCGCCACTGATGGCCGCGATTCTAGAGACGGTCGACATCATCTCCCTCGATGCGACAGACGAGTTATCCGTCCGATTTCACCAACTTATGGATGTCATCTCAAATTTGAAGGTCGATGCCTATAACGATCTCCTGGCCATTGTCGCGTATCACACCGCCAGGTCAAGGAAACAAGCTTGCGCTATCCTTGCCTCCCTGTGGCCCAAGATAATTGGGCACAGCTCGATTAGCACCCCTCTCTCGATCCCGTTGATGCCACAATGGAGTCACATTCCTCATCGGATCTCCTCCGCCTACGTACATAACCACCACCAATTTGTTCCGTGGCACTTCATCCAGAAGTCCACCTGGTCGGAAGAGACCCTACCTCAACACCCTTGCTCTGCCTGTGCAAGTGCCATCCACGGATTCGGGCTCTTGTGCCCCTTCTGTCTTTGTTCAGTCCATTTCGACTGCTATGACCCCCCGGAAGGAAGCCTTTTCCTTCAATATAGCCTATCCAGTGATGCCTCCGTTCAAAAGGTTGCCATGTTCCGCTTTTCGTACCTCCTGGCCAGCCGCGACGTCGGTGACCCTTTATTGACCCCACAACGACACAACTTCAAAACGATTAACTTGTTCACCGTATCGCTTTGCCATGTCTGTTCCCAGCCTCTGTGGGGAGATGTGGCACAAGCAGTCAAATGCACGGAATGCTCCTTGATTGCCCATCCTTCATGCCTGAATACATTATCTCTCCCCCGCTGCACCATCCTTCAGTTAACCTCCGACCAACTCACCATCGACATTAAAGCTCTCCGGCGCTCCATTGTCAACCACTATCCTGAACTGCGATGGACATATGACCATCTTAGCATGCTCAGTTTCGAGGAAGTCGTGGTCATCCATGATATCCTCCGAACGCAGCTGGCTCTGCTAACGAACGGGATCGCGTTGGGCTCAATTATCGTCAAGCAGAAAGGTGGAAGCGCCTCCGTGAACCAGGGCACCAAGCTGGAGGAGTTCGAGTTGCATAGAGCGCTCGGGTGGTGTAGAGAGTTGGTCGAGTCTCTCAGGCTTCCGAGATCAACAGCGACCATCGACTACATGGAGGAAAATAACTTAAACCATCACGAGATCTCGTTCCTTTACGACTTTTCCAACCTTGTCTACCTTACGACTGCAATGAAATCTCCGATCTCCACGCAAGCTTTCAATCATCCTCCGTCTTCTGATCTCCTCAATGTCAACCACTTCGAGGCCTTTGGGGAGACGACGGGAGATTCCACTGCTCATCCTTACGAAGCTGCCCCCCTCTCGCACCTCCGAGACATTCTCAACGTCGAATTCAACATCCACACCCCAAGCGTCGTCAACACCCTCCTGATCCAACTCCACCACATGTCCTTCTTCGAGCGCCTCGAGGCAAAGACAACACCATTTACGGAATCCATTTCAGACAATTCGACTACCTGTGTCTTTCCGCTGCCTTTGGGATTGGATCTGTCAACTGACGTTGAGACTTTAGTAGCGGCGGTGGAAGTGTGCTTGCTGGACCTCGACTTGTCTGTCAATGAATTCGCTTTTCTCTTGTTAGTTCGACGGTTCTGGCCCAATGGGTTGATGTCGGACTATGGCCTCAAGAGGTTGGCGAGGAGTATCTTGTCGTGGATCATTGCAGAGGTATGAGTCCATCGCCATTTTGGCCCCAAGCCTAGGTCATTATACTTACTGCGGTGCCAGGATGACAACTTGGCAACGATATTGCGCGAATATATCGCCAAGCAGCGGCCTCTTCCGGGCGTTAAACATCCTCACGACATCCCTCCCTGGCCAGCTTCGCGCTTTGCCTCTCGTAACACTACTGACTCGCCGGCTGTCAGCAATGGTCGAGATTATGTTCAAGCCAGGCGGGCCCTGCTTTCTCGATATGCTGAGCCCTGGTTGCTATCTCTTCACAACCAGGACCCGGAGGCATATTCGAGCATTATTTATGACGCTTGCGTGGAATTGGCGGAGGATCGGACTGCCAGTGGCGGGGTGTTCGAGTACACCTCGGAAAGCGCATTGGTACGCCGCCTTCTGGGTTTTGCGTCCACCTGCGCTATGCTGATCGGGATTTTAGGGGAAATCGCCCACGCGGTTAAACGAGATCCTATACTGCATCAGTAAAGTCTCGCAGTCGTTCATTGCTTTCACGGCAATGAACGATCTGATCCTGCGCTGGTTGCGGTCAGCAGCCAATCTTAGTCCTGATGCAACAGTAAGTTTCCGGTTTCGCCTACAGTACGCAAGCGGCGCTGAACAGCTCTCAAGCACATAACTGGTCTTCATCGGATTTTTCCTCGAGATGTGGACCCCGGTACTCCTGCGAGCATGCTTGTGAGCCCGGCGATTGTCCGATCCCCGACCAAAGAGGCGAGTCCGTCTCCTGTTGAGGTCGATGGCCCATTTCAGATTCTACTGGACGTTGCTTCGCACAGCGAGGGGGACCTGACCCAGTCCTTAAAATGGCTTTTGATGATTGCTCGATCCGGGATAGAACTGTCATCTGACATACTAGAACGGTTCTTGACCCTCGTCAACACTTACCCAGCTAATCTGGAGAATGCGCATCTCTTTGTGCACACCGTCATGCTCTCGTTTTGGCTCAAGTCAATAGGGAGACAGAACATGCAGTTCTTGTTCTCTAAACTATTCTCAACGTTTGAGATGGCGCTTATATCTGCACTCAAAGGCGATCTTGCGACACTATATGGGAAGAGGTGTGTTTCTCTTCTTGCCACCGTAACATTGGTCACCTGATCTGAATGTCTTCAGCTTAAATACATTCCGCATGTCCCTTGCGTCGTGCGCATTGATTTACGGATGCGATCGACCTACCATTCTTGAGACTCAGTTAATCACGGAACAGGAAGTCAAGGAACTCCCTTCAAGGTAACCTCATCTAGAAAATTGACGGCACCGTTCTCATCCCCCTTCAGGAGGAAACTCATCGCACGGGCCTCTAACGTTGTCGACCCCATCCTGATTGACCCTGGTATCCTCTTTACAATTGGCCAATTCTTGCGCCTTGACATACCCGTGGTTACGGCCTTCATTGCCAAATTCTTCCACCTTTTCTTCAGCCATTCACCGCTCGTTGCTCCATACGAGATCGACAATTTCATATTAAGGAATAGCGCCCTTGTAGCGAGTTGGTAAGGAGTTTCCACTTCTTCTCTTTCCGTGACTGGGAGATTGATGCCATTGCCCAAGTGCCTGGAAGTTCTATGGTGTCGAGAAGCACGACATCGACGCAATACGATCCGAGTTCCTGCTCAGGGTTTTGGCTGTTGACTCCGAGTCCTTCATATCAATCGTCGACGACGGGCTGGATGTCGCACTGCATTGGGAAAGGCGGTACGTCAATCATGCTCAGGTGGTATCTATCGGTCTTACTCAACCTGTCCATAGGCTTAGGACTGTCACTCGGTTAGCGCGGATACTGAATGACGTCACGAGCCCGGCGTTCTTCGTCGATGGACGACAATGGCGCTCGACGGTCGCAGAAGTATTCAGTACCTTTTTCTCATTGCTCTGGAAGGAAGAAAAGGTAGCTATCCCGCTGCCCTTGATGCTGAAATCAGGCTCAAGGGTTTTTTTTAGGAAGAGATTAGATTGTCAGTCCGCACAATCTGTACAGGTCTCCTACCAGCACAGCTTGAGGCCATCTCGCAATGCTGGAATGAAGCCCTCGCCAAGTCACCGATGAAGGATCGACTGAAGATGGTTGCTTTTTTATTGCAATTGCGACCGCATTTTCCTGGCTGGAAACGTGAGCTGGTACCGTTTTTTGCCTTGAATCCGGTCCTCACCGTCTTCTAGTCATCACCTGGGAGACCCTCGTTGAAACGATGGTCGAGTTCCACTACGATACTCCAACTGATGCCACCGAACTGCAGGTTATGCAGTCCTCATACCTGTCTCAATCAAATCCAGACATGGCTCATCTTCTTGTAGGTGCTTGGTGCGTCTTGAACCCTTCAGCTACTAACGAAAACCAGGTATCCGTGCTGTTGCTTGCTATGGCAATGTTGTCGGACGGGATGGAAATTGATGCCTTTTCCCTCCTCAAGATCAAAGTCCAGCTGGTCAGAATCCTCGGGTTCCGCGAGGTTTCTGTTGTTCCTATACATGACACGGCTTACTTCGAAATCCAACATGGCGACGCACTCGGCATCCCGGACATCGCATACCCATGCCTGGACTATCTTGTTCCCCTAGTGGACGCACCCCATAAAGTCGAGCTACCCGCCGCAATCACGGGGTCTAGCTACGAGCAAACCCATGGGTCTACCAATTTTTTGGTCGGCTACATGTTCATCGATGTTGTCTTCAATCTCGTTGGAACTTTGGAAAGGCTCGAGTCCCTCCCTGTGCTATCGCTGAAGGCGCTCCTGGAATCTGTTTACATCATTGTCAACAAACATGATTTCGAAGTATTTCCGGCAAGGTCATTCCAACCTCTCCTTCGGAAGGCTGTGGTTCGCATTGTAGACCTTATCTCGAAGAACGTCAACTATGAAGTTCGACAGCTGGCTTTGACGGTCACCCAGGCCTTCCTGAAGCGGTGCTTCTCATTCCTTGGGTCAATCATCCCGTAGGTCCGACAGTTGAATTTCAACCTGGCTCTAACTATAGGTTGACACAGGACAATTGTGGAGCACGTCACGGAGATGGTAGTTCCTTACGGGACCAGCAACCAGGATCTATTGATCGCACAAGGAAGGTCACTCGTCCTCAGCATTTTGACGAGGTGAGCTCGAAACCCCCTTATCCTATTCGGACTGGTCAGAATATTAACGGGCATCTCCAGCCATTCCGGGAGCGGTCTCCTTGCCGGGTTATTCAAGGTACGCATTAGACTCGTAATGAGATCCTGCGCACTGACGTTTGTACACGATATAGCGCCAACTTAAGCCCAGCTTCTTTACTGTGTTGAAACAAGTACTTGATTCGAAGGAGGCCGTTACGGACCCTTTCACGGAGCCCCTTGCTGCGACCCTCCTCCGCGACACATTGCACAGGGCCTCCTCTGACAGCGACTCGGGAACGATGCAAAACGTTATTAACAACCTGTACTCGTTTGTGAAGCTTCACTATGAGGATTACAGTCCAGAGCTAATGTCATGTGAGTACTCTCTGTCCGTATTGCTTATGCCACCTGACTCTTTCTAGACTCTGGCCAGCAGATCACGTCGATCATGCGAAGGTTATCCGACCACCTCTTTGATTACGTCGATTCATCCCCACTACTTCTCATATTGGCACTCCTTGCACAAGGCAACCGAAAACATGCAAGGGTATGTTCACCAGACCACTTCTACTCCGTAACGGGCGGTTGATAACACCACGACAGGAACTGTTGCTCTGTATCGAAACCTGTCTGCGGATAGCCTTAACGAGAGGTTCAATTGGCAGTGAATGCCTCATTAAACTAATTAACGCTACGCAGCCCAGGATCGTGAAGCACTCTGAAGCAGCCCTTGGAAAGGTGCTCACAACTCTTCTGGAAATCATGTCGGACTCATTGCGCATGAAAGCGCGGGTGCTGCCCTCCACACTCAACGCAATCATACAAGTAAGAGCTCCATTGGCTTAAATTTAATTGAGTATCTAATGGTCGAATTTAACAGAGCTTGACAAGTAATGAGATCCCTGTATTCGAAGAAGACCCCGACGCTCGGTTCAAGCTACTCATGTCAAACATGGTAGAGAATGCGTCTTACTTCCTCGACCATCACGTTTGGACAGATGGGCAGACAGACAGCGATTACAATGTCTCTTTGTCAGTTGCGAGAATCGTCCTCCAAACGCTGGAGCAGGATCCCACGAACAAACAACCAGCTTCCTACAAAGAAGTCGAGGTGAGTCCTGCTGCACGATCAATCTCAGATTCGTTATATATGTCCCTCCGCGCAGATCGGATATCGTTTAGTGAACTCCACACGGTCGTGGATCGTCCTGGGTATAGCAGCACTTCAAGAGCCCAACCGCAAATGGCCTGCCATCCTCTTCCAACATCTCTCCATGTTCATTCACTCTTATACTGCGACGATGCGACCCTATGTTCAAGGCAACCTTGCGCCAGACATTGCAACCACTGATTTGAATCACGCCTATATTGCGATCAAGGTGTGGTTGATGTTGGCACACCAGACGTCGATATCTGCCCGGGCAGGGGATGCCTGCATGATTCGAGTATGGAATGACTTATGGCCGATGTTCGAGAATGTCTTGAACGCCCTAGAAGCGGATGCGCGGGCAGGACTGTCTTCGGTGTGTATTCCTTGAATGACAATCTGCACTCAACGAGAATATTGACGTAGACGGGTTAGACGCTTATGGTCCTGGCAACAACGTCGGTCACAGATCTGTTCTTGTTCCTTCGAACCCTGCATGCCCCTGTGGCTCTGGACTTGAGCAGTCAAATTGAAGTTATGAATCGATTGAAGATGGCCGCCGGGGAAAGTTCGCATTTGAAGGTGAGAACCTCAAATTAGTTTCGTGTTCCGTATAGTCTGACTGGCGTGATTCCAGCTTAACCGTGCAGCTCGCGCCGTTCTGGATGGCTCGCAGGACATAAGTTTCGATGCACTCGTCCAGCAAACAGCTAAGGAGTTGGTAGCGACGGAAAAGCTGAGAATCGCGGAGAGTAGGAGGGACTTTGGCAGGGCTGGGATAGAACGATACCGATGATAGTAGTCGCAAATGGGTATATAAATAAAATCGAGGGAACATAATATTTTGCGTTAGGCGGTCCGTAGCCGTGCCTTCTGAGCTCTGCGTCGCTTCTCCTTGATAATGGTCGAGCCCACGAACATGCCGATCGCTGTGACACCGACGACAAGAATGAATGCTGGGAGACGCACTGCCCACTCTCGAGCAGGGAAGAAGCTATGCATGATGTTGGTTTCCTCCAAAAATGGCTGGAATCTGTGTGAGGATTTGCACAAGTTGCCAGGTGGCGATTACTGACCAAGAAGATTGCCCATAGTGTGTAATATAGGAACACTGTGGCTGCGGCCACGATCATTATTCCTCCAAGAGCTTTATCTGTTGCTCCCTGTCCCTGTATGAGTGAAACACGCCTTTTGTGAGTTGGGCAAACTGACCATTTTGAATTGGTTTTGACTGGACGATGAGCGAGAATCTGAACCAGTTGCCAGCGGCTTTGGGAACGGCAACGTCAGTCCGTATGAGTGTGGGAATCTAGTGCCGAATTCAGTATTCCCAGCGCCTACCCGCATATCGCAGGCTCACGCGGCGGGGCGGCTTCGACCTCGCTTTACGACGACCGTCTCTGTGACTCCAAAGAGGCTCTCTATCGGGATACAGAGCTGTATATGATCAAAGAAATACTGTGAAACAGATCAACACTATCCTGAACGTGTAGGTTTTCAAGCCATCTGTTGCCTGCCATTCGTTCCGAGTTCATACAGATTGGCAGCGGTTACTCGACGCAATGGATGTCGACACCTTCGCGTCCCTGGCCCATATACAGATTCTACTGCTACCTGTGGGCGCTACACCACAAGTCACCTTCGAGAAATATGCATCTGAAATACGAAGCTTCGAAACTATAAGACTGGGCGATATCCCTGTAGATGCGAAGGATGAGAAGAGTGAGCTTGGGCTTTTCTGTTGTTTGAGTACAGCGTTGAATAATGGATTCCAGGTAGATTTATGCCTTCACCGCTGGCAACGGGCCAGCTGCACATCCGATTCCCAACACACCCGCCACCTCAGGCCCACCTACCGCTTTCTCTCCTTCGGCCATCCCACTTCCCTCTTGCAGTGATTGGTGTCGCATCATGCACCCAAGAAGACTCACCCTCTTCGATATATGGTCAATTTAAAGCTGCATTATCTGACATATTCGTAGGGGATTCTCTGTTCCCATTAGCACGACAGCTCTTCATATTCGAAGAAGGCGACACAACCACCAACTCTAACCACACAGAGTCGCTCAGAAACATAGCGATCATTCCAAGTCTCATGGGCAATAAGAAGCTCTACTTGGGGACACTCCTGGCGGACGTATGCTCTCAGATCCTCAAGGAATTTGGCAATGTCGTAAGTCCTCCGTTCGCTCCCTCGTTGTCCTCTCTTCACATATGGCAATAGGCTGAAGCTCTCGAAAGTCCCTTGGGGAATGAATACCTGAACGCCACTCTACTATCCGTCCTACCACCTCTCACTGACTTCCCATCACCTCTGGATTCCTCGTCAAATACAGACTCCCCATCCGCCATATCTTCCCATAATAGTCAACCCGACTTACCTACCAAATCGTTCTCCTTGGGCCCAACACCCTTAATGAAAAGAAATTCCTCAGCGCGAGAGACATTCCGCCGCAGCTCTCTGGGTGTCCCACCTGCGAAGAAACGGGCCAGTGCAGTTCCTTTCGGGACCACTTCACCCTTCGGAAGGTTTTACAAGATGCTTGGAGATTTCTATCTCCTTGCTGGTCGTACAGAAGACGCGTCAACATGGTATTTCGACTGGCTCCTTGTAATGAGTCCCGAACGTGCTAAATAATCTACCAGGTACACCAAATCTGTGCAAATCCTACAATCGTCGTCAGACCCTGTGTGGCAAGCATCCGCACTGGAGGGCCTGGCTACCATCGTTGTCATCGATTCATGGTCGACAGGACAAGGCTTAGTTAGTCAGTTCAACTCTCCTGCTCTCCAGTTCACCGATCGTGTTTTCATCTTCAACAGCAACAATCAACCGCTGCCGCACGAGAACTATGGGTACCGGTTGCAGATAAACTCACGCAAGCAACCGCGTTATACCACAAGCCCGTTTCCTTCGAAAACGAACAAGTCTACTCGCTTCTGACATATCTCTTTTGCTCTTGCGTCCTCCGCCATACGTCACTACTATACGCCATATGGTCCGCGAAAGGTTGGGGTCCTTTGGCATTCACTGCAATGCTTCATCCGGGGCCAAAGCCGTATCTACCACCCACTTTGACTCATGACCGGAACAACGACAAGGATGCCTTGGAGCGTCTATCTTACACCTCTGGGGTCTCTCGAGCCTCCATCGCTTCTGTGCTTGCACAGGCACACGGCCCCTGGTTAATGCATCTAGGACCCCGTGAAAGGATAGCGATTCTCGAAGCCATGGCCAGCATGTATTCTTCCATCGGTTACAAGCGCAAGGAGGCCTTTATTCTGAGAGAGGTGCTTGGCTGCCTACTCGACCTCATAGTGTGCGGAAGGGAAGAAGATGGCATGTCCCAACCAACGGCCCTCCCAAGCGGACTTGGAATCCACAACATGACCCCAGCTCCAACGTCGAATTTTGCTACAGTGGGAATTAGGCTCAGCGAAAGTCCTCGAGGCAATGAAAGTATTCTAGCTGTTCTCAAACAGGCTTGCAGAGTCATGGGGCTTGACCTCGACGCGGTTCAGCTCCTTGATCCGGACGAGAGCAGACCCCCCGTCACCGACGCCATCCTCTTCAAGCAGTACGACGAAGAAGAAACCGCCATCTTCCAGGAGCCTTGTGGCTGGGCTGAGCTTCAGGTCGGGATTGTCCGTGAAGCGGTCGCGGTGGCCGAAGCACTGCCAGGTATGTTCGTTCAGTCCCCGGCCACTGGATGTAACTCCTAATCTATTCAACTGAGATTACCCCGCTGTCGCCCAGTTTGCCCTTTCTTCACTGAAAACACTGCGTGCGGTCCTCGAGCCGGACGATCAACGTCGACTCAACGCAAGGGCTACAGATGCGCTCAAGGTGGCGCTGCGTCGCGGAGATCGACGAAGTGTTGAGTATTGGTCAGGAAGGCCTGTCATCGATATTGCGCTAACACCGTGAGCGTATTCTTCTCCCCCTGCGGTCTATGCTGATCTTTGATAGATTACCGTCCATTCGAGTGCCAATCGAGAAATCGAAAGGGGTCCTTCAGTCTCAGGGAAGCGCTGTCCCGCTTATTCTTCAAGGTGGAACAGACCCGTTCCTGTACAATCCCAGACGAGCACAAGCCGGAAAGGTGAGAGATATTCTATACACGTCGGCTTAACTCTTCATGGGTTCTCCAGGGACCCGCCTTGGTGGTGCAACACGAGCCACTGGAATTCTTCGTCACGTTGCAAAACCCGTATGTGTTTGAGATCGAGTTAGAAGAGCTGTCTCTCAGGTGAGTATCTACTGGCTGGTGCTCCTTGCCTGTTGCTTAGTGAACTCATTCACAGTACATCCGGAGTCGCGTTCACGACCCAGCCCATTCGCTATATAATACCACCACAATCGACATGCGAGATTGTTCTATCTGGTACACCGGAGGAGACTGGAACGCTTGTCGTGAGAGGATGCATAGTCCGCGCGCCCGGTGGTGTATCCAAGGAGTATATCCTTCCTCTCCATACCGACCAGGAAGAGGACCGTTTGATGAAGAAGCGTCAGTCACTTGCCTGCGAGTTCGGTCGGTATAAGTACCCCGGCCTAGATTGCTATCCCTGGGAGAAGGAACAGCGCCGCCAGAGCCGACAGATAACGGACAGGTCTTCATCGTCCTCAGGCTCTTCCTCGACCACGGCAATCTCCACCTTCAAATTCCTAGAATGCAAGGTCGTACCCGAGCAACCTTTGTTGAGAATCCGGAGAACCACTATCACACATGGAGCTCTCATGCTTTACGACGGGGAAAGGTTCGTCAACTCTGTCCTCACATGCTTCCTCCTTGACCTTCGGCCAACAGGTCCTCGATACGTCTTACGATCGAAAACATATCAACCCACCCGGTGGACTTTTTACGCCTTGCCTTTGATGATTCGACTGTCGCCCCCGCCCAGCAGTTGCTTCAAGAAGGCAACCTCTCGGTTTTTGAAACCTACGAGACTGAGCACAGTCTCATCAACTCTCCTGTTTTCTCGTGGGACTCGAGCGAAGCCAAAACAATTGCACCAAACCAAAACTTGACCTTGAATGTCGATTGTTTCGGAAAGGTTGGCTGGTGAGTGAGCTTTTACTATATTAGAGCCTTCACCTCACATGCGCCTTCAGCGTCCAAGGGACCATTCACCTCTCGTATTCCTACATTGAGCGGGAGGAATCCAAGTCGTCTGACGTGTTCTATGTTCGCCAGCTGTCATATCCGCTTTCCGTCACCGTCTACCACATGCTCGAATGCCATGAGATGGACGTGCTTCCTTTCCCATCCTACGTCGACAACGAAGATTTCCAAAAACGCTTGAAAGCTGGAAAAAAGAAAGGTCTGGTATTTGACGATGATTGGGGCTGGTGCCTGTTCTCTATAGAGGTTCGAAACGCTTATGGTTTACCATTTGACGTCACCTTCTCTCGGATGGAGGATGGTAAGTGTGCTGCTCGTGCTGCTCGATGATTGTCTGACATGCCTTTCAGGGAAGGCAGTGGCCTCGACAACCACCACCATACCTCCAGGATCGATGTCAAGGTGCGTTGGTGTTGAATTCATCAGTTGTACACGGGAATTGAACAGATTGCAGGATTGTCCTTCCCATTAAGAAGATGATTCTTCCGGAAAGTGTTACTAGCCAACCTATCCCGACTCTATCAGATCGACAGTTCGTTGTAACAAAGTCGGGACTCACGGACGTGGAGCAAAAGCTGCAAAGGGAACTCTTCTGGTACCGAGAAGAGTTGTTCAAATGTGTTCGAGGACAATGGCAAGAGGTCAGCGATTGCCTTGCATATACTTTGACTCCGTACTGACCTCCGTACAGACAGGCGGAATCCGCAAAGGAGAACTGTCCCTTCGTTCACAACGAATGACGCTCCATATGCTGGAAACGCTGCGGTTGGAAGCTGCAAGAGTACAGCTTTCCTTGGTTTCTGCGACAGGCGATGAACCTATCACGAAGTCTGGAGGAAAATACGAACCCACCGCGAATGAATTCATCTCACTCTGTGTGAAGGTACAAAATATCTCAGGTCAGTTGTCCTTTCAGAGGTCTTTGCCAATCCCCTAATATTCGATGGCAGATTCACCAACTGTCTATGTCATGGATCTTGAGATTGTACCCAGCGAATCCATAATACACGAGGGGATCTTGAACGACATTCCTGTGGACCGCCTGGATGTTGGAGAAACGCGGGAATTCACAATCGGTGTCTGCTTCTTGTCCCGAGGACACTTCGAGATCTCTGCCCAAGTACGGCCGTTCAACGTCCCTCACCTCGAGGCCCGGACAACCCGTTCGACACTAATGGCTGTTGTCACCTGATTGGTATTAGATATCATATTTCCGAGAATTTACATAGTCCGTTTACGAGGAACAGTAATAGAATACAATGGGCAAGAGCGAACAGAAGAATCAGACAACAGAGGACGCGGTGTCGTGAACAGGTTCCAGCCTGAGAGGAATTAATCGTATTCAGAATCTTCTTGGCTGAAGGCAGCAGAATAAGCCAGGATGGTTCCATAGACAAGCCTAACGACAGTGTTAAATTTAGCGCGCAAAGTCTCAAGTGAAGGGGCAACAAAGTGACGTACCCTCCTCCTGCTATCGACATGGCACAAGCTCCTGGCGTGATAACTTCTGAATGGGTGAGGACAATGGGGAGGGCGAAGCCGGTGATGACAATCATGGCAGTGATGAAGCGACCCAAATCTACAGCACCAGACGCCGAGTCGTAGCTGGTGGTGAATTCATCGTTTCCGCAGTGCGCGAAGAGTGCGTTTGGCAGAGGAGCAATGACAAAGGTGAGGGCTTCAACGAGGGACGTTCAGCAGGCTGCCCAAGGTGACCACGACGGCAGCGACATACCGACAAGCAGAGGGAGCCAGTTCTGCCATAATGCACATGAGAGAATGATCAATAGGAATCCAACAGCAAGGACAAAAGACAGAAGAATGACGGCTGTAAAACAAAATTAGTGTCTATAAATGATCAGAAAATTGAGGACTCACTTCTAAGACCGGCTGCCATGGCGTTGACAATGAGAAATCGGATGCCGACACTGTTGAGGACGATGTTCAGGTGCACCCGGCGCCATCACCAACTGCGTTCACGCCTGTGCATCCACCGTGGGAACAGTTCGACTCAGGCACGTGGTCATAGTCTAACGCCTTGGTGTAGTCCGGGTTTCGTGAACGTCCAACTCAAGAAACGCCCATCATGAGCGAGGAATACGAAGTTGGTAAGTGAAGACCATTCGTAAAGTATTGTACACTGACATTTCCTGGTTAGACTTTATTGCTGAAGCTGAAGTGAGGAAGAAGAGAAATAAGACTCTGGAGTGGGTGAGTCCGACATACACCCCAGTCTTCCTGCCTCCGGGCTTCTCATGCGCGTCCCGTTGTGCAGAAATTCCGCGTGCGGGTAAGACCGACAGTCCTTCAAGATGCAGCGGACTGTTCTGATATAAGTATGAATGCAGTGGAAGGGATACAAGGAAGAGGACGATACGTGAGTTTGGACCGTCATGGCTAGAGAACATTGAACCAACCGTCAACCTACCTAGCTGGGAGCCTTTGGATTCTTTTGATCACTCGCAAGAAACCCTTGACAGGTTTTGGGAGCGAGCAGGGGATGATCGTGACTACAGAGACCTGAGCCTTTTCAAGGCAGGAGAAAAGTTCGCTCCCAAGGGTCCCCCACGTACGTCCACAACATTATTTATTGTTACATATCCCTAATGCTTGCGTGTACCCAGGCAAAAAGAGGAAGAAGGAGACTGAGGCCAAGGACAAGGACAAGACATCTACAGTTGCCGAAAGTTCCTCGAAAGCTCAAGGCTCCAGCGTCGTCGAAATCGAAGCCTCCCCGACCAAGCGGCGGCGAGGCATTGTCGACTACCTCCACGAATCTAACCGTGCTTCGAAGCGGGCCAAGAACGATATTGCCTCTGTAATTAACGGGAGCGCACGCTCCAGTCGGCAATCGAACGCTTCACCGAGCAGAAAATCTGAAAAAGATTCCAGAAGACTCTCTCCAAGGAAAGGAAAGAAGAATGCCCCGCCATCCCCGTCTCCAGAATTGGTCCCTGACTCCGACGAGGAGGTTGCGAATGCGATGACCCTGGACGCGGATATGCGGTCTTCGAATGCAAGCTCGCATCAACAGACACCTGCGCCTCCATTCCAAGACGATGATTCACAAGGGGAACCTGATCCCTTATTCGATGAAACAGAAGAGAGTACTTTACCAGCCCATCGTTTGCGCACAGTCAAACCTTTGGTTAAAGTGTTTGAAGACCCTACACTTAATGTCCAGGAAGGTCAACTCTCCGCAAAGACCCGCGCGCTTCAGCGAAGCAAAGCCAGCTCTTCAGCCACGCCCGCTCGTTCGACTCGCGCCAAACGGAATACTGGACAGTCGACCGCGTCCTTACTGGTAGCAGGCAAAGAAGGACTAAAGACGGTGAAGGGACGCTATCGACGGCAGTCTTCACGGGCTGAAGACGACGGGGAGGCTTCCGGCGACAAGGAACCGGAATGTCCACCTGAAGAACCCCCTAAACCTGAAGAGCTACTTGCCTTAGCTGGCATGGATTCAACTGCTGCCGAGGAACTACCAGACTTCCCGGGCGACGCTGATGTAGAGCAGCAAGCCGAGAAACAAGAAGAGGCCGCCGCTGAAGAGAAGGCTCTCGCGGCGGAGCGTGCGGCGAGCTTGAATCAGGCAAAAGAAACCCTTTTCCCTTCTTCCTCATTGACTGCTACAACAGCAGATGTCCCAACATGGAAGCAATCCACCATCTTCGGCCCTCTGTACGTCCTTCGCGCCGTGACGGTGTTCCCTCGACTGACATCTCCCAGTGGGTTAGGAAGAGACGGAGATCACATTGTCTCTGCGGAAGCTGACCCGAATTCGTAAGTCTAGTATCCTAATCCCAAGTTCCCAGTGTCTCAATTGTTTTAGCCCTGGAACAACTCCATTCTCGATCAATCTCGACGCCGATGTGTCGATACCCGCCCTGTTCACCGACGTCTCCCCTCCCGGAACTAAACTATCGCCAGCCATCACAGTTGCCTACAAATCTCCCTCGGGCAAATTCCATTTTGAACGCAATATCCTTTCCCTTTTGGACACGATCCGAGTCGATCCTGGTTCTGCTCGCGTTGCCGTTCGCAACGATGCATCTTCAGAAACGAAAGATCATTTTGCCCAATTCCGCATGGCGCTGTCGAGCCAAAACGAGCTGGTAGCCTTCTCTGACGACTACATGTTGTTGACGCATCTGATGCCTTGTGCCACTAGTTCATTGCACCCTCTGGCACTCAACTTTACGCGTTTTGTTCTTCGAGCAACTCGCTTGTATGCCAAAGACTTAACATTCCTGCTTCCCTACAAACCTCTCCCAACCAGGTGGTCGTTACAAAAATCGTCATCGAAAATTATTCGGCGTACGCTGATGTTGCTTATCGAGCTGACCCTTCGACCTGGACGCAATACCTAGCGTCGGCTACTACTACTTAGACGACCTTGGGCCTTCTTTCTGGTATATCTACTTTGTGATATTGCTATCATCTGCTTTCGCTGTACATTACCGATTCGAAATTTCACCATCGCCGTGCATACTTGCTTTCACAACCTCCGGCCGAGTGCGAACAGCTTTAAGTTTATGCTGGCTGCTGGCATGATTTATGGTCAAGGTTAGGGTCAAGTTAAACGACCACGTGACCTAAATGAGATCCGCGTCGTGTTTGTTTGCCTTTGCTTTACGCGACGCTCGATTGCAGCCCTGAAGCAATCGACGACGACGCCGACGACATATTTTTGTAGCCAACCACCAGACAGCTCTCATTATACCCCACCGATGCTTCGAAGACCGCCAACGACGTCGGATGGTAAAGTTGTCGACAGGCTATCCGAGAGTACTCGAGTCAACAAGCCGTTCAAACCGCCTACGGTCGCCAAACCAGTAGAACGTGTCCAACCTCAGCGGAAGCGCAAACGTGTCTCGTATGCCGGTCAACAGAACGAGGACAGTGACTCTGACGACGATGGGAACTCTAAGAAGAAGAAGAAATCGGATGGAGGGAAGGACAAGGATGGGATTTACCACAATGAGGACGAGCTGTGGGCTATGCACAAGAAATACCCGGTGTACAAGCCCAAGCCTTTCGATCAGATAACCCGACGGTTCTCTCTGCCGACCATGAGGAGTAAGGATGGGTCCATAGTACCGCTGGTACCGACTGGTGCATCATTAGGAACACGACCACCTGCAAAGATCATCCCACGACCTCTCCATGACCCAATGGAAGACCATGCCATTGTTCTCTACGACCCCACGATTGACGACCGAGAGACGGATGAAGAAAGACAAGAGAGGTTGAAGCAGGAGGCGAAAGAGAAGGCAGAGCAGGAAGCAAAGGAGAAGACAGCAGGGCTGTACAATCCTCACAAGAGCTTGAAGAAGTTATTGGGAGAGACTGAGAAGGACAAGGCCAAGGTGGATAAAGTGCCGGTTGTTATCGACCCTCGTCTCTCAAAGGTGCTGAGGCCGCACCAAGTGGAGGGTGTCAAGGTGCGCATCACTATGGCTCTTGGGAGTACATGTACTCAAGTCGACCTGGCAGTTCTTGTATCGCTGTACAACCGGTATGGTCGAGGAGAACCAGTATGGGTGTATCATGGCAGACGAGATGGGTCTCGGAAAGACGCTGCAGTGTATAGCGCTGATGTGGACACTCCTCAAACAATCACCACACCCGGGAAGACCGACAATAGAGAAATGTATTATCGCATGCCCCTCCAGTTTGGTCAAGAACTGGGCCAACGAACTCAGTATGTATCCAATTGCTGTACCATGGCTTTCAAGGCTGCTCATGTTCATCTCACTGTCAAGCGAAATGGCTGGGCAAGGATACAGTTACACCTCTGGCTATCGATGGCAAGGGCGGTAAGGCAGAGTTATTAGAGAAGGTTGCTCGATGGGTTGCTGCTCGGGGGCGCAACGTGACGCAGCCGGTTATGATTGTCTCGTACGAAACTCTGAGGACCCTTACTGTCTACCTCGCTGGTTGCAAGATTGGGTTGCTCCTATGTGATGAAGGGCACCGGCTTAAGAACTCCGGTTTGTGCATAAAGGCCTACCATCTTTCAATCCCTCCCTGACTGCTCTCTAGAATCGCTGACTTTCCAAGCCTTGAACTCTTTGGATGTCAATCGGCGGGTCATCTTGACTGGTACTCCCATCCAGGTGCGCCTACAAACGGATACCATCGTCACAGCCACTGAACCTCTCGCAGAACGATCTTTCCGAATACTTCTCCCTCCTCAACTTCGCCAATCCCAATTTCCTTGGTTCAAAGAACGACTTCAGGAAGAACTTTGAGAATGCTATCATTCGAGGACGCGACTCTGATGCTAGTGACGCGGTGAAGGCTGCAAGCGAAGCTAAACTCAAGGAACTCGGTGGGCTGGTGATGAAGTTCATCATCCGACGTACCAACGACCTGCTTTCCAAATACTGTGCGTCGCCTTCGTTCTTGTACTACTGCAGCGTCTTACACCATGTCCCTAGTGCCTGTCAAGTACGAGCAGGTGGTCTTTTGTGGTCTATCGGATTTCCAACTGGCTCTGTACCGACTTTTCATCACCTCACCCGAGATTAAGGCCCTGCTGCGTGGAACCGAGTCACAGCCGCTCAAAGCCATTAACATTCTGAAGAAACTTTGCAACCATCCAGAATTGTTGGATCTCCCTAAGGATTTGAAAGGAAGCGACCATCTCATCCCAGAAGGCTTCGTCGGTGCTGGTCAGCAGCAGCAAGGCCGAGGTGCAGGGCGCAACGTCGGCGTCCGTTGCGACTGGAGTGGAAAGTTCCTCGTACTCGAGCGGTTAGTCCATTCTGTCCGCGCAGGTCCATCCGTTACTGAACCCTCCAACAGATTCCTTCACCAGATCCACACGCAGACAAATGACAAGATTGTACTGATTAGTAACTATACCCAGACACTCGACTTGTTCGAGAAGTTGCTGAGAAGCAAGAAGTAAGCATTTCGGCTGGTGTATGGAGTCCGCTTGCTCACCCAAAGCCTACAGGTATGGTTACTTCAGGTTGGATGGAACCATGTCCATCACCAAACGGCAGAAACTAGTGGATCAGTTCAACGATCCGAACGGGAAGGAATTCATCTTCCTGCTTAGTAGTAAGGCTGGAGGATGCGGTATCAACTTGATTGGCGCCAATCGGCTTATCCTCTTTGATCCTGGTGAGTGGTACACTGCGGCCTTCGAGATTGTGAGCTTATGTTCGCCCTTCAGATTGGAATCCTGCTGCTGATCAGCAAGCGTTGGCTCGTGTGTGGCGTGACGGCCAAAAGAAAGAGTGTAAGTGATCGTCGCGTGGACTGAGGTCTGTTTGGGACTAAGTGGCACCCTTAGGCTTCGTCTATCGGTTCATTTCGACTGGTACAATCGAAGAGAAGATCTTCCAGAGACAGGCTAGTAAGCAAGCATTGTCATCTGCGGTTGTGGACGAGAAGGAGGACACGGAGCGACATTTCTCGCTCGACTCGTTACGTCAACTATTCACCTTTAACGAGAAGACATTGTGTGACACGCACGAGACTTTCAAGTGCAAGCGATGCAAAGACGGGAAGCAGATGGTCAAGTCGCCCGCTTTGCTTTATGGTGATGCTAGCACGTAAGTAATTGCTCCCAGTAATGGCTACGGTACTCATCGTTGCTTTCAGTTGGAACCACTTTACGAATCCCGAGCTCAAGAACAACCACGATGATCTTCTGCGGGCCGAAGTTGGACTGCCCGAAGTTTCTTTCGTTTTCCAATACATCAGTCATTAGGGGATTCAATTTGCAAGTACTACATCGGACTAGACTACTAGATATACATTGTACCACTACCAACACGCTAATTCACGATTCGACTACGTCGTCCCAAGAACCCCATTCACCACCCACGCGACGAACCTGTACCTTCTCCCCATATGTCCCAAAGTACTGTGCTTTGAACCATGCCTTCATGTCATCCTCACTGAAGGGGCCAAAGACCTCTCCCTGTTCATTCCCTGGTACGTCCCACTTGTATTCATATTTGACATCAGCAGATGGAGGTTCCCAGTTCTGGTCGACTTTGCCGCTCGAACGTACACTCCGGACGAGTTCCTCGTAGGTTTTGGAATAAGGGTCGGCGTCACCTAATGACATGAGATTGGAGGCAAGCTGTGTGATGAGTTCGATGGGCGTTGGTTCTTTTGGTGTCGAGTCTACGGGCATAGCAGCAGCATTGTTTGAATCCGAGTCTACTTTCCGCTTGTTTCTGGTAAGGACATGAGTATCAAGACTGATAAGATGGGTGCACATCCGACGTACGGTTTCTTTTGAGGTTGTTTCCCTTTTGCCTGAGCACCGAGTCTCTGAAGAGCTTCGAGGACGGACTCGCCCTTCTTGAGTAAGGGGAGTAGCTTCATCTGGATGGCTGGCTGGCCACCGCTCTCTGCGAGCTCCCTCTCCTCCTTTTCCATCTTTTCCTTCTGTTTCTTCTCCTGTTCTCGACGTCGTTTGCGGGCTAACTTGATTTCTGTGTCTGTGAGGCCTTCCATCCATTTGTCATGGGCTGCATGGGGGTCGTAGGTTCTGATATAGTTGCCGTCCTCTGTGAACTTGCCCTCCTCCATCTCGTCTCGCATGTTGAAAGACGATATCTCAAAACCCATAGTATCTCTGTTCTTCTTCCGCAGAGCCGCCTCATCCAGTTCCTCGTCATCGTCGTCTGAACCTTCCCCTGCCGAGTCATTGTTGAATTCCTGTCCCTCGATGTCACCCAGCCTCATAAACTTCTCCTTCTTCTTCCCAGACTCTTCTTCCTTGTCTTCCTTCTCTCCCATAGCAAACATATCATCATCGTCGTCGTTATCTGCACCACCCTTCTTCCTGCTGTAAACGACACCTTCTCCATCGTCACTAGAGTCGGATTCGTAGCCTTCGGTCTTGACTTTGCCCTTTCGTGACGGGCCTTCGAGCGAGGCGTCGACCTGTTCTGCAAAGTTTGCTGGGTCGTCGTCTGGCTCTACGAAGCGTGTTTTCTTGGATGCATGTTTGGTGGATGTAGAGGGTTCGCCATTCTGAGTTGCGGATCGTTTCTGGCCAGCGTGAGGAGGCATCATGGTCAAGCGCCAGTTTTGAGTGATGGGAAAGGAGCAAGTCTAAACCAAGTGGTTCCGAGTCTATTAAAGTAGTAGATTGAATTTGAAATAAAAGCTTATCGAGACCATAAAGAGTGCACTCGGTCCAGGCGGTGCCAACGCATACTCATTATTATTACTCGCTTGCGCCGCCGTCTGTAGTATAAACACCCCTGTTCGGGTCAATTATCCATTTTGTCCACGAACCGCTCACACCAAATGGCAGGTCCAGTCACCCTCAGCGATCTGCTGGGATACGCTTCAATTGCGTGTTGGTTGGGCGCTCAGTTTCCGTGAGTGCGCTATCGTTCTTCGAAATCGCGACATTGCCAGCTTAATTAAGGGGTTTACGTCGATGCCAGGCAGGTCCTAGAAAACTATCGTCGGAAGAGCTGCGAGGGTCTGGCCTTGCCGTTTCTTGCAAACTGGCTACTCGGTGAGTTGCTGTAATTTATCATTGTAACAACGTTAACCGGTGGCATTCCAGGGGATATCTCAAACTTGGTAGGATGTATATTGACGAACCAGCTGCCGTTCCAGGTGAGTTTGCGCCTTTGATGCTTTACAAGGTCGACTGCAGAACTCACAACGAAGAAAGACGTATCTTGCAACATATTTTGTCGCAGTGGACTGTACGCTCGTCGCTCAGTACTTTTATTACTACAAGCCACCCAAGCTGCCGCCTCTTTATGGACATCCTCGGTTGGCCTCAACCCCCGGGACAGCTCGTCACCTCTCCGTTGAGCGAGGTGCTTCACGATACCGGACACTATCTACCGTCGCCGCCAACGTCGCAGCAGCAGCTGCTCTCGCTGCTCAGCAACAAGAAGCCCAACCTGGGTCCGCCAGAACGCTCCGGCCACTGCGGTACGGAGCAGACGACCTTCATCCGGGGCTGTATTCCGCCTCCAACTTGGACGACGATGATGTCGATGACGCCGCTATTTCGGCCCTCGCAGATAGCTTTCATTCAGAAGGAGGGAGGAAATTGGGACGGAAACGGTTGGCATACAGTATCGAGCGACACGGGCGGGACGCCAGCTATCCACCTCTGCCACCGCAAACACCCTCCACGATCCATATCGTCCCTTCGGACCTAGTGTTACCCAGTCAGCCATTGAGGCGCGATACCGATAACGATGACGTAGAAGTGCCCAACAGCGGCCACCGAAGCTCCCGAGCTAACCGTCGTGGTGCTAGCATGGTCTTTCTTGGGGCTTGGGCACTCTTTGGAATCGGGACTCTAGTGGGAAGCAATCGAGGAGTAGCTTCCTCCTCGTCAACAAGCGTCGGTAGACTTTTGCTGCCAGACTTGTCCACTCCTTCATACCCTGTGGCTGCTGTTCCGCCATCGTCCGACGCCCAATTCGTCAGCGTTGAGGATATCATCTCACGAGCAGAAGGCGAGCTCGACTTCGAATTTGACCCTGATGATGAAGAGGTTCCGCAGGAGCCACCTCCATCTGAGCCGTCGGCTGATCGTGTTCTTGGACGTATCTTCGCCTGGCTCTGCACCACTCTTTATCTCACATCCCGACTACCGCAAATATGGAAGAACGTAAGTTGAGCCATCAATCTCACAAAAGTAGTACTGATGGTTTTCCCCCAGTATGTCCGGAAATCTGTCGAGGTGAGCCTTTGGTGTCGATTGAATGTACTCATTGTTAATAAAAGCCTTTCTTCAGGGACTTTCCATGTATCTATTTGTCTTCGCCTTTCTCGGCAATGTGTTCTACGTTGCATCTATTCTCCTGTCACCCAAGACCTCCCTTCCACCACCTGCATCGACAGAATTTCTTCGGGAGAGCATCCCGTGAGTTTAACTGCTCTCTCCTCTCTTTCTCCTCTCTCAACAATCGGCTGACTCTCCTCAGTTACCTGCTAGGCAGCGGAGGCACTTTGATGTTCGATATCACCATCGTCACCCAGTCCTTCATCTATCGTCCCCGACCTAAGAGACACCTAGCACACAGTCGATTATCAATATCAGAAGAAGAAGCTGGCCTCCTTTCAGCAGACGCCCTTCACCCGCCAATAAGTGCGGGAGAGTCAGCGATCATGAATCGCGGGCGCACGTCACGAACACGCAGTGTTGGTTGAACTTGCCTTTGACTCCGGGTCTTACTAGGGTTCTGTTGCGCATAGATCGGTGGACTACGGTTTCACATTCAGGGTTATGTATTTATTGTATTGTATCTCTACTTCACCGGATTAATGTCACTACCCCGCACTGTGGAATAAGAGTTGCTCTGAAATGGGCAGTTTGGACAGTGAGGCGCCCGCCAACGCAAGAGAGAACACGTGCCGAGCGCGACGGAATATCCGAATGACGACAAACCTTAGCCCAGCTTGACTATGTCCCACCTCCTCCCACCGCACTGAACATAAACTCAACCCCCTATCCTTGACCACCCTGCAAGGAGTATTATGTCCAGTGTCGATGCGACCTCCACCAAGAAATCGAATGCGGCGTTGAAGTCGCAGACGCCTTACCAGCTGGTGTGTGCTAACAGTTTTGGCCCGAATCCCCCCTTTGCCTTCAACTCGATGCTAAGCTAACTCTTACCTGACGTTGACAGCGAGCATTGATACTGGACTATCTGAGCCACCACTGCTATACACGCACTGCGAAAGCGTTCATCAAGGACAGCACCGTCACTGAACTTGACGCAGATGGAGACGAAGTCGAAGGCAATGCGAATTCTAGATCTGTCACAACACTATCGGAATCGAGGTTGAAGCAGGTCGAGCAGCGTAGAGGTACGGACTATCCCTCTAGTCTTTGTCTATTCGACCTGTTGACTCGATGTTCCTCTATTAGAAATCAGGGAGCTCATCCTCGATGGAAAAGTCGACGAAGCGATTGAGCGTCTGAACCAACACTTTCCATCTGTCCTTGCGGATTCACGTCTCCATGCGAACGATACCCCTCGCTCTGAGCGATACGTATCTGCCACCTCTGTCGATCCCTCCCATCTGTTATTGAACCTTCGGATCCTGGCCTTCACTGAATTCTGCAGAACACGGCCTCTCAAACGACCGACGAAGGGATCTGCTGTAAATGCAACACAGAGCCCTGACGACGACAATCCTACACAGCCCTCGACACCCTCGGACCTGGCAGATGAAGGCGCGGAAATGAGCATCGAAAAGCAGAGTACCCTAATCTCCAAAGCCAGAAAGCTCTACGCACTCGTCGAGACACTTGTTACGCAAAGCGAACGCGATATCTACTTTAAGGAGTTGAGGAACGTGACTGGACTCATGGCGTATACTGTCCCAGAAAAGTCGGAGGTTGCAAAATATCTGAGCTTTGAACGGAGGGAGGCCGTTGCCGAGCAGATTAACCGTGCCATCCTGCGTATGTTGCGCTGCGTTATTTAATTGGGAGGAAACCTTACTGACATCGGTCGTTTACTAGATCGGTGTGGACTTCCATTTATCTCGGAGATTGAGCTTGCAGCTAGGTATACGACTGCTCTGTGGAGTGCGGCCAAGCAGCATGGGGCGAAGCCTCGGGCTGGTGTGATGCTTCCTCCGGTTGCACCAGCCGCAGGCACTGGGTCCAAAGGGGAGAAGGGTGAAGTAGCGGTCGAGGTAATGATGGTTAGCATCCTGATCCAAGCAGTCTCTCACCGTAACTCTTCTCAGGAGGTGCCTGATTTCAATCTGAAGCTATTCTTGGAATCCAGATAACGAAGGCTGTCAAGGTATACCTTCCATCCAAAAACTACCCTACTACATTCGCCTAATGTTATTCACGTACAATCCTAACGTCATCCCATCGACCTTCATTCACCTTCTCCAATCTGTCTGGCGACATGTCACATCCTCTCAACCCAAGGACCTTTAGTTGACTCCACCTGCCCCAATATACGCGATCCCAGCTTTTCAACGTCTCCTCCGGTGGATCTTGTAACCAAGTATTGAATGAAAGATCAAGGAAAACCAGTAGCGGGCAAACGAATGGTAGGCGGTGAAGGGGGATGGGTGTGGGGAGGTGAATTAGGGCGAGATGGGTTATTGTGGGTGGGATGGAGAGGACGGTGGATGTCGATAGATGGGTTGAGACGATTGCGACCACGCGGAGGAGGGCGGGGGATGTGTCTTCGGCTTCCCAGTCATCTTCGATCGAAGGGGTCGGACTGGGTGAGGATCTGGATGTAGATGTGGAAGGTCCCTCGGTTGAGGCCGCGCTGGCTTGGATGAAGTAGTCGTCTCGGATAGAGTTGTTGGGTCCGATAACGATGATTTCACCATTCGCATGGGATTCGGCTTCGTATAATGCGAACAGACGTGAATTAGGAAGAGGTGAATGGATACTCGTGTATCTCACGAGGCTTTGGCGTAGATGCTGAGGTACAAACAGGAGGATATCTTCTCGAAGCTCCGTTAGGGAGTAACTCGTTATAAGATGCGTTAGGCACATTAGCGACAGTGGTGGGACTCGAGGTTCGTCGACAGTGGCTCCCAACTCCGAGTATAACAACGATAAAGCTTGCGAGCGCCATGAAACAGTGTTGTAGATGTCTTGCTGAGCCCGATTTCGCCTCCAGCTTTTTGGAGGTACGGGCCCTGAACATGTCTGGTCGGACGCACTCTGCGTTCCCTGGTTGGATGGCTGGGATCCGAAGGTATCATAATCCAACACAGCTAGGTCGATGGGCAGTGTCGGCTTGTTTCGCGCGAAGGAAGACGACAGATGTGCTTTGGATTTGAGCAGATTCTGAGAGCGTCGGAATTGCTCGCCTCTGTACGATTATTAAAAGATACTCCACGGTGTTGCAAGATTTTTGACTCGCCTTAGGGTATGGAGTAAATGGTTGACATGTTTATCGGGTCTCTGGGAAGTATTGTGAGTTGTTTGCTTCATTTCAGAGAGACAAGATGAGGAGAACAAGAGGACATTCTGGATATCTGACCGACTTACATGACGGTCGGGCTCGAAGGAGCGCAGCGGAGATGACAAGCGCCGAGTCGACAAAGGCGCCGTCGGCTTACATATCAAGCACCCCAATGCAAATTAAAATGCGTAGCATAGATTAGAATCTAAATTATGTAGTTTACTCGGGAGGGGTGAATGGACTTCTACGGTAGGCAGGAGACTCGATGATAGGTGGAAGGGTCTTTGCAAGCTCAGCCGTTCCAGCAGGGAAAGGGAGGTCATCAACGCCCTTGGGCAAGATTTTGTCGTTCAACCCCTTTGCTTCGTTGTGCCTGGCGACAGCCATGACCTTCTTTGCGTCCCGGATGTACACTGGTGCGTTGTCAACGCCTGGAACGGCTCCGCGGACGTAGACGAGGTTGAGCGCGGTGTCGACTCGGACGACGGCGAGATTTTGGACGGTTACTTGGTTTCCACCCATTCGGCCCGCCATTTTCTTGCCAGGGTAGATTCGGCCGGGGTCCTGGGGATGTTGTGTCAGAATGTAATCATCGGGATGGATACAGTGAGCGTACCTGGCTGTTACCTGCCGAACCTGAGGAACGGTGCGATACTGACACACCGTGACTGGCTGCCAGACCATGGAAGCCCCATCTCTTCATACCACCTTGGAAACCCTTTCCAATCCTGAAAGCGAATCAATTCATTAGCGTCAAGGTGGTCTCCGGGGAACTGTTCCGACATACGATTTCGCTACAACGTCGACATATTGACCTGGCACAAAGTGGGCCGCGTTCAATGTCGTTCCTGGTCCACGAGTCAGTTTATTATCCCATGCCAATCCAGAGGACTGACGTACCAACAGGCACATGTGCGTCGGCGGTTACAGGGAACTCCTTGACATAGCGTTTCGGAGGGACGTTTGCTTTTGCGAAATGGCCCAACATTTGACGGGTGGTCGTCTTTGGTGGTCTGTCGGTCGAAGCAACCTGGACAGCATGGTATACTGTGTGGTCTGGTCGAGGAGTTTTGATGTTCGCGGTGACTTGACAATTGTCGAGCTGCAGTGTCCTCGTGAGTGTGACGGCCAACGACCACAATCCCAATACACACCTGCAGAACCGTCACAGGGAACTTGACGCCCTGGTCATTCCACAACGCCGCCATACCCCTCTTAATAGCAATAACACCTGTCCGAACCGACCTTGGTGTCCATTTCTTTGGTTCCTCCGCGTCCTTGCTCTCCCCGTTGGGCCCTTTGCTGGCTACCGCTGCTGCATTGGAAGTCGCTGACGAATGAAGGCAACGCAGCTGGCAAAGCCCCGTTGTTCGTTGTCGCGACACGGCCCAAACCCTCCACATCGTTGGTGTAACTTGGTCGGTGAGCGCGCGAAGAATTTGTCCAGCGCACCTACTCACCCGCGAAGGCCAAAAAGTCACGACGCTTGGCATGGGAAGATGGTGATGACGGATCACGGCGGCTTGATGTAAGCGATAGAGGCCAGTCTTGGTCTTCTGCTTGTCGATTCGCGTTTTGACTTTTTCCTTGACCTTTGCGACAAGTCACTTGTTCCAATGGAATGGATTCTTGGCCGCGCGATGACAGAGAATCTAGAAAGTCTACGTCTGGAGATGGAGGAAAGAAGAAGGTGGAGAACATAACCAACGGCTTCCCAAACCTTCGACAAGGGATGGTTGGAGCTGCGACTCTGGTCAAGAAATCTGGACGGTTGGAGTGGTCGTTTGTGCAAGATTCTTCTTCTTCACAAGGTGCGTGGACGTGCAGACCGCATACCTCAACTCTTTAACTCATAAACGCTGAAGCTAAAGCATGGAGGGTGGCTACTTCCTCGAGCATCTTTCCAAACACCCGCGCTCCAGTTCTACCTCAGCCAACGCTTACGGCCAGGCAGCAAGGAGAACTACAAGTAAGTATCTCAGAGATCGAACAAAACTTGAGAAAGTCTGACCGCTGAATAGGCCAATTTCTTGCGAACATATCTCCCTGATGTCGAGGTCCCAGCAGAGCTCGTCCGCGACCAGATTGTAGAAGAAGTGGAGTTCAGCAAGAATCTCCAACGCTACGATCCGTACTTGGGAAATTTACTGGTATCGTTAACGAAGGCCGCCATCAAGTCCAACACCCCTGGTATCCTCGCCTTTGCCATGGGCGAGGATTTGACTCAACTAAGTCAGTCCTTCTCGTCGCTGAACTCTCGACCGTTGCTCATATTTCCGTCAACAGACCTATCGAGTTACGATATTCGCAAGAATAAAGGAATCACGCTGAAGCCTGTGGCTGAGGCAAAGGTCACTTTCAAGACACCTATTCAGCAGCTCGTTGCAACGACGGTGGGAGCAGGTCTGCCCAACTTAGTTCTACCTCAAGCTTTCCATGCTAAAGATTTGCTCTCAGACCCCTTTCTTACGGTTAGAACGTATGCGGATATAAACGTACTCAAATTGAGGAAGCAAGACAACACTCGGGCTCCTGAGAGCGTGGTGACCATCGTGAAGCAAGAAGTTGCCGACCGGAGCCCTGTCGACGTGAAGTTGAGGTCTTCGACTTTGATCATCGCGGACGACCACGGTGGGTTGCATGTCCGAGACCTAAACTTCAATTCTGCAATGTAAGATCTGTCCTCCCCTTCCAAGTACCATCTGACATCATCAGCAGTACATCCCTGGACCCTGTTTCGGACAGTTTAGAAAAGGAGAATAAGTTCTGGCGTGTTGGACTTGGTGCGGGCCCAACTGACGGATTTCTGGTTTCCGGGAAGCATTTGTGGTCATATGACTGGAGGACACAGTCTCGCGCAGTCGTACAACAGTGGTCAATTCCGAGCCCCAGAGACTTCCTTACCTCTGTCGAGGACTGCAGCGCAGAGAACATTGTCCGCCTTTGCTCAACGAATCGATTGGTATGGCTCGATCGACGGTACATGAACGCTCCATTGCTATCGGTCTTGCATTATCGCGAACATGATCGATACCTTCGAACAGAGACCCTCGGAACCCTGTCGCGTGAGTCGGGATTCTACCACAAGGTCAACCGAAAGCTGAACCAATTTTTCAGCTCTGACTTTCTTGACGACACGAAGGAACAGTCTAGTGTCCATTTACGATGCTTCTCGAGGGGGCGACGGACTGTTCCACCTTCGCGGGTCTCCATACGGGGTTTTGCCTGCCTGTGGTGACTCGCGAAGCTTCCTGGGCGAAACCTTTATCACCTCGCCGTTCGAGTCGGGTCGTTTTGATGATATCTACTTCCTGAGGATGTCAGAACGGGGCGCAATAACAGGCCACGCTTTATCGTCATCGCCAAATGATGAGGATATCCCAATCAAAGTGACGACTTCAAAAGAGATGAAGCAACTCGAAGCCAGCGCGCAGAAACTAGCAATTGACTTTGGACCCCTTGGTGGTAAAGAGAACTCCGAGGTTAACTTTTTCCCAGTGTATGACAGTGCGTTAATTGTGATTTTACCTGTCAACCTCTCAGCGCTAACATGTACCAGAGCTGTTCCGGCAATATTACGATCGGATCGACGAGCTCGAAGAATCTGAAGCGCAGGCAGTATATGATCTCCTTGAGACAATGCCATCCTACTTCCAGCGCTCGGAACAACCAAGTGAACAATTGCTTACCACGTCCGTTTGAATGCATCTTTCCCTGGCTGTACCGGAATCTAACCGTCGGTCTAGATATGACGTCGCCTTTCGAGCCGGAGAAGAACCTCAAAGCGCATCGAGGTCTGATTTTCTTACGGGAAGCGTTCTCAACTCTACCCGAGGGTATCGCGCTCTGCAGCAAGGTCGCCTGGACCCCGGACCTTTGAAGAACTCGGTACCATGGCATTTCAACCTGGACAATTTGATGCGCCGTCTCGATCCTGAACTAGGCGTTGATTTGAACCCAAAGAATGATTCTCCTGCTCCGTACGCTTTAGAAGATGACCCAGAGCGCCCGCTGCGATCGTTAAAGAAGGAAGAGAAGGACAGAAAGCAACTTGAGCTGGACCTCGCCCTTTCACGCGACGTTTATTCGACGTATCCGTTGACAGCCTCAGCCGATGTGGACCACACACTGGAAACAATGACGGAGGCTCTGACTCTCGGTGACGAACCACCTCCGATGGAGCTTTCTTTCTTCAAGCCTGTTCGAAAGGATCACTACGACTCGGAAGAATCGGCCGGACAATCTGCATCGGTCGAATTTGGAATGGGTGTTCGCCTTCTGTTAAAGGATTGGGAGCTTGGGTCCAGCCTGAACAACTATCAATACCGAGACCCTTACAACACTTTCGATGGACCGAGGGTCGAGCTGGAACCTTTGAGTGAAAAGGCAGTTTACGTACCTCCACCACCGGCAGCGGTACCTCCAGTTGTTACGCAACGACCCCCTACACTTGTCATTGCTAAGCCCAACCCAACGTCGAACCAACCACCCGTACTTGCCACGGCGAAGACTCGACAGTCCCAACAAACAATGCCTCTATGGGGGATGCAAACTCAATCTCAGACCTCGGAGGAGTCGCAGAGTCAAAGTATGATGCCAAGTACACAGATTCTACCAGGGCCCTTTGGGGGGAGACCCACAGCGAAGAAGAAACCGGTCAAAAAGCGGATTGGAGGATTCTAGTCAGTTGATAGGGGCTTGTAGCTATTTATAGTAATGGGGTCAAGTGACCGCAGAGCCTCAGGCTCGCGTCGGCAAATACGAAGAGTTGTGTTCGCAACTTTCTTTCTACCACATTGGTTAAAATCCTTCTTCATTCGTCGTGAACGTAGTCCAAACTCGCTTGTCGTGCTACTGCACGAGGCTCGACTGAGAGCCGGCTCAGTTACCGCGCTCTATGGATGGAACAAAGTACGCCTTTTCCGATTTAAATTTGGGCCCTTGTCGGGTCGTTGACGTTGTCTTTTTTCTGACCTCGTTGTAGCAAATTTAGTCCCTTGTATGACCCAAATGCCCTCCATGACTTCCTGCGGCGTATGTGCTTGCGCACTGTCTTCAACCTGTATCTTCAACTCAAACGTATGCATCTACCGACTTATTACCAGGTAACAAGGCGGTCGTATGTGCCCTCTCAGCCAGCTACATCTCCACATTCGCTGGATACCCGGTACGCAACGCATCTCAAAGCATATTGGGTCCATTATTCAAACTCTTTGGGCGAAATAGCTGGATTCCCTCAAGTCGAGGCTGCAGACGACGAAGACGTCCATTTCAATCCCGAGATTGGCCGCCTTAGTCTATCGGGAGGAGGGTGTTATGGGCTTCTATCGTGGACTCTGGATACCTCTTATGACGATATCATTTGTTCGTGCGTACCGTCCGCGTTTTCTGCCTACCCTGTACTTATTCACTTTTGCATAGGAGCTGCCAGCTTCACCATCTACTCGAGGACGAAAGAATACTTTGCCAATCATGATATCCTCACCAGAAACAGCATCATCGATGTGGGACTCACGGGTGGTATTAGTGGAGCCATGTCGGGAGCCTTGATTTCGTTTGGGAGTGCTCGTATGTGTCTACACTTTTCTTCGTTTTCTGGATACTAACCAACAGGAAAAGCGTTCGAACTCGTCAAGGTTTGATCCGCCCCCTTTGAATGCCAAGAACGACCTACCTACCTGACCCAACCATCGTTGTTCCAAAGGTCCGGAGGCAACTTGAATACAGTATCGCCGCGACCAAAGGCATCACGTTGAAGAAAGCTCCTGGGACCCTCGAAGCCGTCAGAGACATCTATAGAATCAACGGAATTGGCGCGCTTTACATGGGATTCAGGCTGCACTTCAGTACGCTCCTCATACTCCACCTATCACCCTGTGTCGCTGACCAGTTGTTTCACAGTTCGGGACACGATGGGAACAGCCCTCTATTTTCTTGAATACGACGCCATGCGGCATCTACTTGGACGAAATAGGCTCGGAGAACAGGGAGAAACACCACCCTGGCTACCTATACATTCGTCGCTCGTTCCATTCGTGTGCGGTTCATTGGCCGGGGTGCGTAGAACTCGCTCTATTCAGTCCGATATTTTTTTAAATCTCCGTCTGCTAGGTCACGTCATGGGCGTTAATCTACCCTCTCGATGTGTAAGTGCTCTGTGGGCTATCTTTTCCAGCAATGGTCTGGTTTTGACGACACTGCCTTTCTAGTGTGAAGACCAAGGTTCAGCAACGCGCTTTGGCAGGGGAGATGTATCGAGGACCCTTTGAAACACTCTACCGGCTGATACGAGGTCTGGTTTCTGTTTGTATCGTCTTCCTATTTCAATTCTCACCCCAAAACCAAAGGTGCTGATCCGGCCAATCCCAAACCCTTGCTAGCCGGCATCATGCGTCTGTATCGCGGTCTTGGGGTTAGCGCCATTCGAAGTATCACAACGCACGGGTTATTGTGGACACTTTTCGACATGACTGCGACGTACATTGATAGGCTACCGAACCCTTCCCGTAGCATGGAGTCCTAAAATGTGTACGATGGTGTGGCTGTTTCTGGTATTTGCTGTATATATCACCTTGGTTCAATTTCCCCCACTTCATCTCATATTCGTGTTCCAATCTCTATTCTAGACAGCCCTATTGTTAGCATATGTATCATAGGCAAACCTTACCTTGCATAAAGTAACTCGAATCTTCTATATGCAGGGCTAATAGCATGCAGTACCGTCCTTCAGTGAGGTTGAAGCAGATTTATTGCAGATGTATATGTATTCTATTTCTTCGAAGTGATGCGTAATTACCATTAACGTGCTTGAACATAGTCGTCAATCTTCAACAAAAGACACACAGTCTCCGTCGCCAATTCAATAGCGCTCGTCGTGACAAGCAGAGGCTGGACGACATCCTCCTCGAGAATATTCGAGATCAAGCCCTGTAGTTTTGCGTTAGAACGATATGCGTACATTCAGTGTAAGGGTTAACACGAACCTTGCGGACGTTGATGCCAGCATTCCTCTCTCCAAGTGCGTGTCTGTTGCGCAGCTCGGTGACGATTGCAATGGGGTTCAAGCCAGCGTTTTCTGCCAAAGTGTTGGGGATGACCTCGAGAGCGTCTGCGTATGCCTGGAAGCAATAGGCCTCCATTCCCTTGAGGGAGTGAGCGTATTGCGAGAGCAATCGGGATACGTGGATTTCGGGTGCACCACCACCTCCAATCAACGCCCTAAAATGACTTTAGTCAAAGTTGCTATGCAGAAAAGGTCAAAGGGCCTACCGCTTCTTCACCAAGCAACGGACAACACAGAGAGCATCGTGGATACTTCGCTCGCTTTCTTCGACGACAAGGTTGTTGGCTCCCATGGCGAGGATGCTGACCGTTCGTCCCCTATTCTTTACGCCTGTAATACGCACGACCTTGACATCGTTATCGTCCCGCTCTTCGACGAGATCGGCATAACCAAGCTTGTCCTCTGTGAAATGTTCGATATCGGCGATGGGTTTGCATCCAAGCGATTTCGAAAGGAACGAGATTTCATCCCGCTCCACATCCTTCACGACAAGGATATTCAAGCGCTTAAGGAAGTTGAGTGCGATGTCGTCGACGGCATCACGAAGGATGGACTTTTGGATCAAGAGAACATTGCAGTTGGCCTTCTTGATCTTTTTGCACATGTTGAGGAGGTATTGACGACCTTCTTTGATCACCTTGTCCATCTGTCTGTAGTCGTTAATGACGACGGTGTTGTCCATCTAATGACACATTTATTAGAGGTGTGACTTTCAGGCACACAAGGGAAGGGTATACGCACGTCGGGTTTGGGTGCGCTTATTTGGAATTGGACGATAGCAATTTTGGCCTTCTCCATCCGCGTAGGTCCTCCTGCAGAAACGACGACATTCTGATTCAAGACGACACCGTCAATGAGTTCAGTGTCTTCGATCGTTCCTCCGACTTTCTTCACGATACGGATATCACGGAGATCGACGTTGGAAGATGTGGGAGTGACAAGACGGGTAACGGCATCGACGGCAATGGGCGAGAGGATGGAGGAGTATTGGGAGACGATCTATACAGGTCACGAGGATTGGTAAGGTCTCGCTTCAATTCGATGGCAGAAAGTCCGCACCTTTGAGTTCAGAGAGGTGCTTGCAGCGCGGAGAAGGCTGGCCCGATCGTTGAGGTCAACAGGAGTGGACATCTCTTCAAGGTACTCGACTGCCTTGGCGGATGCCTTGAAAAAGGATTCTGCGACGGTAGTTGGGTGGATTCCTTTCTGAAGCATCTTTTCTGCAGCTCCCAAAAGACTTCCCGCGAGGACGACTACGGAGGTTGTTCCATCACCGGCTTCGACGTCCTGAGCAGCGGAGAGATCGACGAGCTAGAGAGGCGTGGTAAGTATTGTAAAACCAGGATAGCTTCGTAACCAACCATTTTTGCTGCAGGATGGAGAGCCTGGATACTTTTAAGGATCGTTGCACCATCATTGGTTACAATGACTTCTCCCTTGGACGTTTGGATCTTGAAAAGTGTTAGAACGAATGCAAAGGCGTGTTTTGGCAAAACTGACCATTTTATCCATTCCCTTTGGGCCCAAAGATGTTCTGACAGCATCGCTGATAGCTGGAAGCCCGTAAGAACCCATCCAAAAGGAACTCAATTATCTTCCGTACCCTTTGCGGCGACCATATTCGATAACCGCAGTTCCATCGGCTTGTTCTACACCCCGGACGCGTTCAGAAATGAATTTCTCTAGCATATAATGGTCTTACCTTGTCCTTGAAGGCTGCATTTGCGCCATTACTGACTGTTGCGGGTGCTGGAGCCTGGGCGGACATGGTGAAGGGTGAGTAAAGACTGAAATCGAAATCAGTGATGCAGACGCGTCTGATCTGACAAGTGGTCACGCATGTGACTCCATTAAGCCTCCACTAGGGCGACGCGCAATGCTCACTGCTTTCTGACTATAACCACCACTATCTACAAATGGATTTTGTGAGTTTACCTTTTCTTCAATAGCGTCCTTTTATGTCTGAACAAATGCACAGTTTGGCAATATCCAAGGGCCTGGAGGGTTGTTCCAGCAATTTGGAGGGTAAGCCACACCCTGTGGTTCTCTGTATGACATTGACCCAGAGTGTGGCAGACTACACGGACAGCATACCGGTCATGGTCCACGAGCAAACCCAAGAGCGTACGATGAATATCTTAAGGCCTACAGCGTCGCCATGATGCAAGGCAGGGAGAGAGAGAATGTCTCATACGGAGGAAAGAGTAAGGTTTCTAGGCCTTGCTCGTTCACAGCGTCTAATCAGTCCTCCAAGTCATTATGCCACCATCAGCCCTTGCACGGTTAACCCAACTGGATATCGAGGGCCCGTGGACATTTCAACTGCGAAATCCGTCCAATCCCGCTGCATCTACGCACGCTGGTGTGCTGGAATTCATTGCCGAGGAAGGAGTTGTCCACCTGCCATTCTGGATGATGAAGACCTTGAGGCTAAACGAAGGCGATCCTATTCGAATTACGGGTACGGAGCTACCGAAAGGAAAGTTCGTCAAGCTCCAGGCCCAGACAGTGCATTTCCTCGAGATATCTGATCCAAAGGCCGTGTATGTGCTATCGTCCTTCTGGGAGCGCATTCAAGACTAATCTCTACATCAGCCTCGAACAAGCATTACGAAACTTCTCGGCCCTGACACAAGGCGACATTATAGAAATCTCCTACAACTCAATTATATTCGGGCTGTTGGTGATGGAAACAAAGCCTGGTGGAGCTGGAATTAGCGTCCTTGACACCGATCTTGAAGTTGACTTTGCTGCGCCGGTGGGATATGTCGAACCGGAAAGGCCGAAACCACAGGCCCCCCCTACGATGGCTTCCAAACTCAAAATCGACCTCAATGAACACTCCCCCGGGTCATCGAGGCCGGGATCGTCCCTGAGTGGTGGCTTTGCTGGTACCAGTACCGGTCAGCCGACACTCAGCAAGGGCGGTGATCATTGGGAAAGTTTTAAAGGGAAAGGAGAGACCCTCAGTGGAAGAAAGACCAAAGGCAAGGGCATCAGTCATCGTAAAGTGGAACCAGTACCCGAAGGCAGCAAGATCATCCGGACAGAGTGGGTCGTCTATTCTTGGTGATTGTCTTCTATCGTTGACGGGAAATCAGCAACCGGAAGATTGTCTCTAACGCCACGTTAGAGACTGACACCAAAGTACCAGCTGCCTTGAATCTTCCCTTCGGGCAGTTATTCTTTGGGTTCAATGTAGTACCGTATTCGCCACCAGCAGCTGCACCTGGGTCTCCCGAAGCTCTTCCTCAGGTAATTACCTTTTAATCAGCGCGCCACCTGTTCTGACACCATTAAACCCAGTCTCCACCTGCATTCTCTGGCTCAGGAAATAGGTTGACTGGTCGGTCAGTTGGTCAGTCTTCGGCAAGCTCTTCGGCAAAGGCGGAGGAAAAGAAACCGGCCTCGACGTATAACTGGGGGAGTGGTGGTAATACTCTGGGTGCATCGACGCCGAGAGAGCTGGGATCGGTTGGTGCAGGTGGTGCTCGAGTGCCACGACTGCCGCACCGGACCAGTGCCCAACAGAAGGCTCGCGAACGAAGTCCGACACCAGATTTCGGTGTATCGGATGACGAAATCATCGATATCGACAGTGATTGAAGACCTCAAGATTCATGATGGACTAGGACCGTTAATGACTCGATAGATGTTAGTTTATTCAACGCGAGTCGATTGGAAACGACAATGACCTATGCTCCCGAACATGCGAATTCTAGCAAAGAAGGTGCGGCGACCGCCCTCTCAGTGCTTACGGCTGCTACGATGGCTCAGTACTCAAATTCTTCAGAGTAAAACTCGATGTGTTTTTGCCCACTCTACACCATTAGAGACAACACAGCTTCACGTGTCAGGGTCACAACCTGGATGAGAATGTCGGAAAGTTACTGCGAGAATGGAAAATGTGCTCACAAGTCACCAGCAAAGACACTTCTATTTCTTCCTGCTCTACCGGATAATCTTGGGCAGCTCGGGATTTCCAGGCCTTGCATATTCAGCGGCAACTGACATGTCATTGAGCTCCTCGTCCAAGCGCAATTCGTCTTCGACCTCTTGATCCACGCCGAGAGTAGGCTTCGGGGTGTCTGGCTGCGCTACTACGAGTGACTTTTTCCGCTGTGCGACCCTTCTTTGGAGGGGATGTCGCCCCATTTGTAGTCACGTCCAACGAAGGCGAAACAACATATATTTCTGTAAAGAGAACAGTTGCTGAGAGTATATCGCCGTTCGATGGCCAGAATTGAGGGGTCCTCTGGCTTGGAACCAAGATCGGGAATGTATGGTCATATCCCAATATCTGCACCGTCTGAGTAATCGCTGGAGTATGGAGGGTGTCGTCTCGTTGTAAATGGATCTGAGAGATAGCCCCACGCTAGCAGGACGGTGAAAATAAATGACCATAGGAGATACGAATATAGGAGGAATTTTGAGTTTAGGTAGTGGTTCCTCAGGTACACACAGACGCCGACGTCCTCGTCCGTCCAGGTCATGCTTCGAGACCGAACGGGAAGGAGATGAAGCCACGCCGCTGTGAAGAGCTTTGCGCAGTCCAAGACTGAATGAGTGCTGGCCCTCAACCTCTCAGAGTTAAAATTCATCGGCAGAGCTCTCCACGTCCCCTCCGCTTAGGATTGAATAAATTGATTCCTAGGGCCAGGCAGGTTTTCACGCTTCCTGTAGCTTCCTGTTGGCTCGATAACTGGGCGCTAAACCCCATTCCCGCCCACTGACACCGGATCAAATGACAGCTCGCGCCTTCCTGATTCGATGGTCTTGGCGTTGCCACCGGTCACTCAGCGCAGACTACTAGCTCGTAAGTGTAAGTAGCACGATGCTGGCATGCACCTTGACAACGATGCCTAGACTAGACAGAAGAACAAGCAATGGCACACGGAGACCAGAAGAATGGGTCGGATCCTTCGCTGTTGGTGTGCTTCGCCGGATAAAATAGATCGATAACCAAAAAGAACCCCTTTATAGTACACTGATATCGGCTGCCAGGAGACAACTATAGATTGCCGACAAAAACGCTCACTGCTCAGTAACGACGGCACCAGAGCGAACCTAAACAACGGTCTCAGAGCCTATCGCAGTAGACAGTGTACAGAGCATACCTCCTTGCCAGTCTTCTTTATTCTCGCGAGCACATCATCGTAGGGAAGAGTGCCCTTGACGACGACCTCCTGCTTCTCGAGGCTGACATCGAACGATGTGACGCCTATGGGGTGAAGGTTAACCAGTAATTCTGGAGATCAGGGCCACTGGACGCACCATCAGCTTTAGCCTTCTCCAGGACTCTGGTGACGGCACCAGAGCAGCCGCCGCAGGTCATCTAGACAGTCATGTTTCTGGATGAGTCTGCTAGGTCATATTCAGACAATGGCGGTGAGTTTGACCTTGACATCGAATTTGTAGGTTTGTTCGGCCTTCAAACACGTCAGCGAAATGTCACCCAAATACTATTGCCTTCACATATCATATCACTGACCATGTTAATTATAAGTTATTCCAAGGAGGGTTGGCCCTGCAAGATAAGATCGTTGAGCGATCGGACCAGCTTTGGGCTGAATCGACCCCAGAGGCCCTCTCGACGCACTCACAGCGAAGGTTAGTTCAGAAGAAGCGATAGTTAGTGAGGGACAAGGTGCGTCCCGGGTCGTTTATAGATGGTTTCCTCCCTTACAAAGCAGGACAAACGGATGGCGTCAACCTTGATCGGGATGCTGACCCACCGATAACCTGCCGCTTAACATCCGTTGCTAATTAACAGCATCTCCCTAGGAAATCTGTTCTTTGGCTTCTAATACTGGCTACAGACTGGGGTCAGTACTAGTCTGAATGAAGTGCTTCACGTGGGCTCCCCTGGGGAATTCGCAGACCAACTTCAAGTTCGCGATCTTCGTCAGAATGGCGGGGAAACACAGATCCGAGTGGCATTTACCCGACCCTTCTTTAAACCTACGTTGTCGGACCAGATGACACAGCCCAAGAGTATGAAGAAGTATGTGATATTGCTTGAGGTTAGCCGCAACGCTGTCGTCGAGGCTTCATATGCACCGACTCTTCAGGCCATCCAGACGGGAAGCGAGACCCAGGACCGTGGCTCACGGGGTTGACATCCGTCGGCGCCAACACCTTTCAAACTGAAACTCCTCATCTAATGCCAACCGCCGACGGAATCAAATACCATTACATCGCTATGATGGCGCTCTGCACTACCTCCGGGTATTGGCTTGTGTCATCTCCAATTCATCTGCATCCGTCGCGACAGCTTCCCAGCCATCCGCGGATGGCGGTCTGCCTCGTATCCGCGCGATCAAGTCCGAGAAGAATCCTAGAATGTTGCAAATGAATAAAGCGGCCAGGTCTAAGAGTGAACGCGACCCACCGAATATCCGAGGCTTTTCGTCGACCTGCGTGAGGAAGTAGACAGGAACGCCGGCTGCAACGAAACCTGAATAGCGGCATGTCAACACGGGAATACAAGCGCGCCTTGAAACCAGAACTAACCGAGGACAGCGATTGCCTCCAAAGGAGCAGCGATGATTGGCATCAACAGCAAGAAAAGCGCGACCTGTGGTCTGGTCAGGGTTTGCGAAGCAAGAAGACCGCGATAAAAACGTACACCACAGAATATAAGAGGAGTGGTGATCCATACTCGGTATGGACTACGTATAGTCGCAAGTTAATGAGGGGACAAACAATGACTGCAAGCAAAACATACCGCTCCAGCATTGGTTCCTTAAACCGTAAAATTACAAGACCAAGGACCTGGAAAGAAGTTAGAGGACAACTCCGAGAGGACCTGAATCTCATACGTACAGTGAGGAAATAGAAAGCCCAAGATGCAACAACAGAAAAATTGATTAAGGAACGGAAGCCTCCGCCAATTAGAATAAACGTTATGGTAATGGCTGATTGAAGCAAAGCAGCGTTGATAGGTGTTTTCCGGGTGGTGTGCAGTCGTCCGAAAAGTGCTGGGAGATATCTTTCTCTGCCGGCAGCATAAACGAGCCGCGAAGAAGTGTATAAAGAGCCTACGCATTTTAATATAAGTGTTGGTGGCAAGGTGGAACAAATGAATATACATACCGTTCAAGGCACCGAAGCAAGAGATGGCGACCAACAGAGCAAATACAGTGCCTCCAGCCTTACCCCAAAGAGCACGACCAAAGTCCATTGCAACCGTATTGCTCAATCCGACAAGGTTCTTGTCCAAAACGACAAAATAGGATAGGTTGGCCAGCAGGAATAGCAGCTGCAAGAGAGATATAGGCGTCGAAAGTCAAAAGAGAGTTATACATCTCGAGCTTACCGTCACGATGATCATACTGGAATGGATTGCCCGGGGAATATTCTTCTCTGGATGGTGCATTTCTCCACCGACATAGTTGGCCTGGTCCCAGCCATCGAACGCCCAAAGTCCGGAGTAGAGCGCAAGAGAGTAAGAGGACGGGCTTGTACTTGATCCGCTCAGCCATGGCTCATGGAACGAGGAAGCAGCCTTTCCTCTAGCCAGTTGCACCAAGCCCAAGACGGTCACCAATAACTGCATGGCCGTTAACAGTGGTTCAAACACGTAGTTTATTGGACTCACCAAGGCGATGACCTTGCAGGATAAAAGCCATCAGACTGGGAAAGACGAGAGGATGCGAGAAGACGTACCTTGAGGGTAGTGAAGACAACGGCCACGCGCGTACCCAACTTCTGGGCAGCGATACAGATGATAGTCACGATCACCACCGCAAGCACCGCTACGAGTTTGATAGCCCATTGCGGTATGCTGTCGGGAGAAGCGTCTTCTTTGGTGTGGTTCCAGAATATGCGGTTCATGTATTCTGCGAAAATGAGGCTGATTACCGCGTTCCCTCCTATGTTGGCGATTGAGTGAGATGCGAGCAATCAAGCGAATAAGGGGTTTCTGGGTCTAACCTGGTTTCAAAGCGATGATGGCGGTCCACGCGAACAGATATGACACGAGGGGACCGTACGCATAAGCGAGATATGCCTGAGCTCCTCCGTTCTGCGGGATGGCTGATCCCAGTTCCGCAAAACTACTTGCGCCTGTCCATGCCAATAGACCAGATGTAAGCCATACTAGGAGACTGGCCCCTACACTGTGGACGTTTGCTACCACCACGCCAGGAGATGAACTGAAGCCAGCGTCAGGCCCTTCTTGTGAAACCAAAACGACGTGGGCTGCTCACAAAATTCCCGATCCAATCTGGGCGAATCAAAGCTTTAATCGCCTCCATTTATTGTTTGTTGTGTTGCTGAACTCACTTGAAGGCCGACAACCAAGGCAATACCTATACAAGTATCAGTGAATGAGCTCTTAATTACAGGTAACTCAATCGTACCATTAATTAGACCCACACTCTTCTCCGTCCCCTCTGTCGAATGAAAGCCGGGTTCAGTTACACTCGCACTAAGCGGCAACTAGCAGTTTTGTTATCACTTGGACTGTCTAATCGTAGCCTGGTACCATGGCACGCACCAGGTCATGTTGGAAATCAAAGCCAGTGAATGAATATGCGCGGCCACTGGCACAACGTGTCAGAGTCAGCTTTCCACCACAGATTCCGTGCTCATGCAACACACCGCCGCGTCTGCCCTTGTATTGGGTCATGAGAGATCTCCAACGCTCGTAATGAATCATCCGAGTCTTGAGAATGTCGAGGGGAGCTTAAGCTTGCATATTGCTTGGTAGGAGAGCGCAGTACAACATAGTCGTCTCGTGAATTGTTGGACATGGAAGAGAAATATAGTACACAGAAACCCGAGTTAGCACTCCAGAGTCACTGCTAACTGGGTTCGGACGTCGTGAAATGAGGGGGAAACGGTTAAAGTGACGAGCAAACAGCGCGGTCGCAATTTCTTTGCATGCGCTTGGCATTACCCTTATCTCCTTTGGGGTATCAACGCCAAGGGAAAGAAAGAAACTGAAAAAGATGATCCAAGTCATTCATTGAAGTGTTTCTCGTAGTCTTTCCGCAACAACAGTATGTATATCTACGCATTGCTTTTCACAAATCTCCATAGCCTGAAAAAGAGAGTCAGATCCAATTCAGAAAGGATATACAGAGCGGGTTCGTACCTTCAGAACTTGGTCTGGAGCCATCTCTCCGTTTTGCCAGATGCTTGTAATCGTGTTCAACGCGGGCATAGTGGCTAGCACAAACGTGCCTTTTGATTGTGATGACTCCTGCTCTGAGGGATCCAGCCAGATTTCTTCGCCAATAACGGCCTGAATATAGTGTCAACATTGGGAACCCAAGCAAGACGCCAGGAAGGACGCACAGCTGAGGTTGAGGCAACGATTCCAAAGACTTCGATACCCGCATCCACCAAGGCAGCGCTAGCCGCGACAGAACCTGCGGCAACACAACCCTCGATCCCGTCCTCCTCGAGCACGGTGATGAACACGTCCACAGTGGACTTGGGCAGCGTCTCCAGTCGGACAGAGGGGAGAATGGCTTGATGGATAGCCATTGCAATGGATCGATCCTCCGCATCCTGTAGATAGGCCGTCAGGCTGAGTTCGCGTCAACTATGAATGGACCTACTCGTATAGGCGCGCGTCTCTTTGGGCAAGAGAATGGCGCAAACTTTAGCTCGACATTAAGCCTTCCTTTGTCGTGAAACGCGACGTTTTTCGATTGGCGAGGACCATATCTATTCCAAAGTTATGAGCAGGACATCGGGGGTCTGGTATGGAGGGAACTCACATGGCACAGGCAATCTTAGTCTTTCCAGTTTCAATGTACGCAGATCCATTGGCCTGTTCAATAAGTCCTGGCTGAAGGACTAAGAGTCGCCTGAGATATTATGCGCCTCGCCGATTGAGATGGGGTGGGTGAGGCTCACATATAGGTCTGATAGCTAACGGAAGGCGATCCTGCCTAGACATTCCAGGTTTCCATCGCCCCGAGTCGTCTTCATCGTCTTCAAATACAGGAGCGAAGCTTTCTTCTGGGCCATTGATTCGCCTTCGGTCAAACCCACTCTGTGCCATGACAAGCGCTCGATTTCGACTGTGGAGGGAGGAGGACAAACTTTTTGAAACTCCGCAACTCATACCTGTTCGTCGTCCTCGACCGTACGTCATCCGCGACCTCCACACGCCAGACATCATGGGCCTCGTCGACTATGCTAGTGGCAGCGAAAGCGAATCTGAAGAGACCCCCGTCGTCGTCAAAGCACCTCCAAAGGTTGAATCAAAACCCGCGAAACCAGCAGCGAAACGACCCCCCAAGAAGATAGCAATTGCTCTTCCAGCTCTTTCAGCCAAACGGCCAGGAGACGACGACGATGACGACAAAAAGGACGCACCGCCGGAAAAGAAACCAAGAATTGGCGCAGGCAAATCGACTTTGCTCTCTATGCTGCCCACCCCACAGCGGACAACACCGATACAGCAACAACCACAGAGAGTACTAGGTGCTGGGACAGGACCTGGATTAGTATTCAACACGAGTAGACCAACGCAGGCCGCACAACCGTCTGATGGGCCTTCTGTTGAAGATACTCCAGAGGAGGACGACGACGACAAGCCTAAACCCGCTGAACCTGAGCTACCCCGGTCGTCTCTATCTTCTTTATTGCCACCCTCATTACAGAAACGTCGACCTAACGTATCCCTGGAAGAAACCCCTGCAATAAGGACTCCTCCAACCAAACCGCCCTCATCCGCACCAGCAGTCGACTTCTTTGGTCTGGGGAACGCAAGCAAGTCCAGTGCACCTTCAATTCCTTCTTCGTCATCATCAACATCTTCCTCCACACTCCCCTCAATACCCTCCATGTCCGCGGCACCTTCTGTCCCTGAATTTAAACCTCCTGAACCTACGCCCTACGACCCTTATCCTGGATATTACCAGCTCCCATCAGGTGCCTGGGCACAGCACGACCCCGAATACTATGCTACGTTTATGAAGAAATGGCAGAAGGAGTATGACGCCCATGTTCGTGCGCTGGAGAAGGGTCATGTCAAGGGCTTCGAGGATATGGAGCAGGCAGGAATCCAGGATGTTGACCCGGTAAAGGAGATGGAGCGCGCAAAGAAGGAGATCCAAGAACGAGAGGAGCGCAAGGCGTTGACCAAGGGCGCTGGTGCCGGACCATCTGTTCCAAGGATGAAGATCACTGTATGAGTCTATCCTCTTACCGTATCGCTTTTGATTCTCATATGTTTCTTTTCAGGCAAGCAAGATGAGCGGTATCGCACGAGCGAGAGGACAACTTTCCACTTTGCTAAGGGACGCTTACGAGAACCGCGAAGCCTTGGAAGAAAAGATTGCCGAAGGGAAGAGGAACAGAAAGGAGGCAGGCAACAAATACGGTCAGTTAAAATGTAACGGGTCATTTGGATACATCTGACACTATTTTTTAGGTTTCTAACCATGTTGCTCTATTCTGCCGTTGTCACGAGGCCGACCATTCCAACTGCTCCTTCATCGTCCACACACCATACCTTCGCCTTTGACGGACCGATCCAGGTCCCATTGATAGTCAACACCCGATTGACGTACATCGGATTGGTCGCGCGATATTCAAACTCTTTGAGGTGCACCAATGGGTTGTGGAAGTTGACAGTTTCCAGCAACATCGTTGCAGTCAGTGGTCCGTGGACGAGGCGTTCTAGACGCCGTGTTATTGAACTTCCCAGCGGAGACGGTCGTATACGTACCTGGGTATCCCTCAACTCTTGTTGTATAGTCCTTGTCGAGATGGATATGATGCGCGTTGAACATTAAGGACGAGTACCGGAACAGCGTGACGGGGCTAGGCTGGTACTGGAAAGAGAAATCGACGTTTTCCGGGATATCAGGGACTAGACAGACTCCATAAGCGTCACGCTTCTTCCACAAACTCGATAGTGGTACATACCAACTCGGGGCTCCTTTCGTACAACCCTCAATCCATCAGGAATATACACATGTTGCCTCTCCTCAACAATCGAAGGCTTATCCTTCCCCTTTTTGAAAAAGTTGATCCTCTGAGTGACAAACACCAATGGTTTGCCCCTATCGAACCCCTTCTTCAAGACCTCTAAAACGCTGGCCGAAGTCTTGGACTGGACGCCCACCGTCAAGGGGTTGTCGTTGTCCCAGGTAATCTTGCCTCCAGCCCACATCCTGGTCGAGAACGGGGGAGGAGGCGAGAGCTCTTCATCGGTACCGTCTGCTCGCAGTCGATGCTCGGGGCTCTTGCAGTGGAAGAAGGCGAGGTGGTGTCCATACCCAAGAACATCCCCGTCCTTGGGCGTTTCGTACCGCCTACGGGTGCCGTCTCTTGTGGGGAGCGTGGCGTATAGGTCTGTGAGGTGGTCGAGTGTCACTCCATCGGATAACGACAGCGTTGGAGGGTTGGCAATCCATTCGTCCAGCGCACGGACCGCTGAGGGCTCTAGGTTGATTCGAGGTGATGGTGTATGGTGATGATGACGTCTGGGCAGCGCTCGCAGGCGGCATGGCCCACCCAAGATGACAGACCGCAGGCGTAGAGAGCTCATCGAGTGCATCAAAGGAATGTTCGACCTCGCAGATTGCAGAGGTATAAGACAGGGAAGACAGGGACAACCTTGGGAACATCCGTGTATATGTAGAAGGGCTCTAACAGGGGCCGCACAAGGCGTTGTCCGACCCGGACCGCCGTTCTGTCAAGGTTATCATCTACTTCTTATTATGTCGCATGAACTATTTAACCCAATCCAATAATCAGAGATGCAGATACGAGGCTATAGAAAGGTGCGGGGTATCATGGTCTACTTGGAGGCAGACCGAGGTTTGAACTCTGCGACAAACCGACCGTGAGGGCTGAGAAGGGTTCCAAGGCCTGGGTGGACCTCCACCTGGTACTCTTCGAAGGGGAAACGCTCCCCATCAATCGACAAGTTGCCTTTCTTTCCGAGAGTCTTTATTCTGTACGCTTCAGCCTTGAAGTAATGAAGCTACGACAACGTCAGTCCAACATTTCCCAATAGAACTGGTCCTGGCGTACTTTAGGGAACCAGAAACACTCTCCTGTTGGTGCAGTGGAGATGTTGGCGAGGGCATCCTTTCTGGAGGACTGTTGGGCGGGTTAGAGAGGGTTAGTGTCGATTTTTCAACACGTACGAGTGGCATTGCAGCAATATCAATCAAGCCGTCGTCCGGTAGCGAAACGGGGAATGCCATGTAGTCCCTGAAAAGAGAGTGAGGCCATGTCATCTCCAGCACAAGGGCCAAGCGCACCTTCCCACATAAGGGCCCTGCCCAGCATAAACGAATAAGATGGGTTCATCTATGGTATACCAACCATCGTTATCGTCTGGAAGGTATCTTAACGCCGGGAGCGATGCGTGCGCTGCAGCGGTTTTATCATCTTCCAAATTGCATACACAGACTTCCTGGTTTCGGGCATGTGCGATTTCAGCCATCTTGTCCTTGTCCTTCTCGGCCACCTTTATCGACAGTTGAACCGGGCAAGCTTCAAATGCAAGGACTTGGAAAGAAAAGGAAGCGTTATTCTGAGAACAAGAAATCGACAGGCGTTGGAACTCACCACCACGTAAGAAACCATACATGAAACGGGTATCTCCCATCCAGCGAAGGTGTTCCGTATCGAGGTCAAGATCTGCCATTAAACCCAGAGATTGAGACATGAAAGATATGCTCCGTTTGCCATTCTGAACGACAGAGAAAAGGTCTATGCGCATGGGACGCCCTGGGACTAATCAGAACGACGTCGGCGTCATTCACGACTCCGACGTACCTTTGACTGCGTTCAGTGCCGCTTGGGTAGCATCAAACCCATTCTAAGTAAAGGCATGAGTAACCTCTAAGATATATCATGTGCAACACGTACGTCTAGCCCAAGAAGGTTGAGTGAAAGACCGTTCCCAGAGCCAGCCGGAATGGGAGCGACAGGCGTGGTCAATGCCTTGAGCGGCTGAGCGTGTTGGGCGAGTCCGTTAAGCACTTCATGAACCAGCCCATCGCCAGACACAGTGACAATGGCATCGTATTCCAGGTCCATAGCCTTGACAACCTCGTACGCATGTTTATGTCGTTCGGTTTCTATTGGCGAGATGAGAAACTACAAAAGCGGACGCTATACGTGTTTCGTGGACTCACGAATGACCTTCAGCGAGCAACCAGCAGCTTGGAGGATAGGTTTTACAGTCTTGTTGAAAATCTTGACTGCTCGGCCCTGTGAGACGGTTCAATGGTTAATTCGACCCGATGAGCGCATTCGCGTACGCTGCCTCCGTGAGGATTGACGAAAACGAGCAGACGTCGGGCTGGCTTGATACCACGGTCTAGAGGAAGGTTAGTTGGTTACAGTGAGTAGTTTGACGGCAACAGAAGAGCTCACTGTCGTATAGGCACTTCATGGCAGTCTCTGCCCAGTTCTCTGCTGCCGCCTTCTCTTCACCATCCTGAACCGCGCCAGTTAGAACCACTAGCGACGCGGGTTTCTTCTTCTTCTTGGGTTTGATGTATGAAACCGATAGACTCGAGCCTTTGGGATCATAAGAGACGCGCAGTACATTTTCATGGGGTATACGGTGGGATTTAACCTGCTTGGAGGCTGGAAAGTTTCGGTGAACTGCGGCTCAATGGTGGGGAATGTATAGTCTACGCACCTTTGTCTTTCTTTCGGTCGTGCGCAACGATGAGCTCGGTGTCGGTCCATTGATATGTCAAGTCATGGTGCGACGAAGAAAGGCGGACACGAATGCTGGTCGGGCTCAAGCTCATTGATGCGATGTGGGCAGAACCAATCGCAATCACAGAGACCGGCGTCAAAGTCAGTAGACAGCTTTGGGTCAGGTCACATCACGTAATCTAATTGGCTGATCACCCCACTGCCCGGAAGCACTTGCTTCCTGCTATTAAAATCGACAGAGATGGCGAGCGGCTTCACAATCTCTGGTACTTATGGTTACTGTTCACTCTGTCGCTCAACAAGGCTTTGGTGAAGGAACCAACGACTTGTATGACCGGTAAGGTACAAACTCTGGTGGAGGACATGCGATCGACTAAACGCCCCTGTCCAGTATCAGACCGACATACCAGTCATGGGCTTTGAGCCATATCCGTAGCTCTATCAGAAACAAGGCTCCTTTGGACATCGCAGAGTAAGAATCAGCAGTGTATTTGTTATGGTATTCTAACACACTGGTAGGCTTGGATCCGGCACAGGAATCTTCACTCGAGCACTGCTCAACCATCCGGAATGGTCGAACGAGATAAAGGAGATCAGGGCAGTAGAGCCCAGTGAGGGAATGAGGAACACTTTCTCCCAGAAGGTCACAGACCCACGAGTGACGGTTTCGAAAGGGACTTTCGACACCACTGGAATCCCGGATGGGTGGGCTGACGTGGTGATCATCGCCCAGGTGCGTCTGCTGCTGATCTTTCGCGGCCTCCACCCCAATGATACATTCGCCTGTAGGCCTTCCATTGGTGTCCGGACTACGATAAAGCTGCTGTTGAATTCGACCGAATCTTGAAACCCGGAGGTGCCGTGGTATTCATCTGGAACCTCGAGGACAGGTGAGAGGAACGCAATCGAGTCCAATGTTTCGTCCTAAACCAAGATTTCAGGGATGCTGATGCATGGGCTGCACAAGTTAGAGACCTCATCGAGGTGCACGAACAAGGAACCCCGCAGTTTAGGCTCGGGTTATGGCGGCAAGCTTTCGAAACACCTTCGTACAAGAAGGCATTCATAGAACCAGAAGAGAAAGTCTGGTCGCACTATATTCCTGCGACCGAGCAAAGCGTCGTCGATAGAGCTTCTAGTAAGAGCTACATTGCTATTCTTCCAGCTGACAAGAAGGGGGAGGTTCAACAAGGAATCCGAGATATTTTGAAGAGAGGCGACGGGTTAGAATGGCTTGACAAGGAAAATGGCGTTTTCAGATATCCGTACAAGACGTGGATAGTGGTTTCGCAGAAAAAGTAGAGAGTAGATCGTTGTAGACTTAGACGAGCGTCATCGTACAAATTGCCAAGCCATCATTTCTAACAGAGCCAAACAGACTCGACGCGTGAGTTGATGCACAAGCGTCGGAGGTCAAACATCCTCCAGAACGTTGAAGACGGCGAGCTCGACCATTGCCTCGTCGTCGACATCAACATAAGCCAATTAACCAGCTCCATCAGTTAACGGAAAATGGCGACATTCTCCCCTGCACCAGCACCCCGGCGGTCAACTCGAATTCAGCGTCAAGTAGTGTCCCCGCCTCCCCAGAGACGCGCTCAGCGGTCAACTCAAGTGACGACCTCACGAGCTACCCCCAATCGACTGCAGAGGAATGTCTACTACGTTGATTCACTTTCTCCTTCAAATGGAATGGACATAGATGAAGACTCTGGCAATGGGACTGAATTGTCCGGCCCTGCAGAAACGACATACGCAAAGACGGAAGAGTTGTCCGTTTCTTTCTATGCCAACCTACCAATAGAAGTCAAGCAAGTATTGCGAAATGCTGGTAAGGATAAGACTTTAGTTGCGAAGGGTGAATATTATTGACTTTGTCGTTTCCAGACTTTTACAAAACGGCATATATGGGAGGAATCGATACGACCACTGGTTTTGCAGTGGTGGCATCCGCTAAAACGTGCTTTGTCTGGCAGCATGCCCAGGTGCGATTCAGACAAATTTTACTCTCCTGAACACCGGTTAAGCTTCTTAAAGGCTATCAAAGGAACTCCGACATGCTACATCTTTCTATGTCCACCTGAGTCCGATGCACTCCACCCACCGTTCCACGCACTCGTTCCTCAAGGTGCATCCCAAGAGCCCGGCCTTATCCTTATCTCTCACTCTGGTCAAATTCGGTTCTGGGAGAGCATAGGCATCGGTCTGGCGGGAGGTGATAACTTTGCGACCTTTGACCTGAACCTGAGGGAAGATGAACATGTCACGAACCTGACTCGCGTCGACGTGAGTTCACGAATACTGTTCGGAATGCTCAACACCTTAACCATTTGTAGTCCCAATTATTCGTTGCCTCGACTTCACAAGGCGCACTATATCGTCTGGTCTTGACTTCCACTGGAGGAAAATACCATCTGTCTTCGCGAATCTTCTCTCGACCGCCCGTCGCTCGAGGCCTCTCCAGCTTCTTGCCGTCCTTCCTTGGCTCGTCATCTTCGGTCCTCAACGATGACGCTAACAGCACCTACATTCGTTCCATTGCAGTCACCCCACCTTCGGACACTGGAGAAAGATCTGTTTGGGTATTGGGTGAAGAGAACATTCAGCAGTGGATCATGAGACCTGATGGATGGGAGGAGAAGGCCATTGATGAGAATGTTTCCGAGTCTATAAAGATCGTACTGGAGGACCTCCCTTCGGCTCCCGACGGAAACTTGGACTTGGAGTTGCTTGACCTTGCAATTGACGAGTAAGCAGCACAGTTCTCACCCTTTAACTCCCTGGGGTTGACCTTTCCACTCTTTCCAGTACCGGAAAGTTCATCTTGCTGGTTTCGTACTCTGGAGTCGAGGAGGATACTGGTGGAATTAAGCGCCTGTATGCCTTGACGCAGTTGGTGCTCACATCGAGCGAGACCAAGGAATTCTTCTCGGTGGACACTATCAAACAAGTTCCTTACCAGAATGTAGGAATTCCTTTCTCAAATTTTGCTGAAGCGACTCTGAGATGTGAAGATAGACTTCTGCACCTAGCGCACCTGTCGTCCCAAGGATACAACTGCTTTTCTCGGGCTCCATTGTCAGCGTCGAGTTTGGCGACACTGTGGCATTCTGTGCACAAGGTGCGCTTATTATCCTCTATTAGAATCATCCGTAATGCTAATCGAATCGACCTCTAGAATCCAACTTCCAAGACCGTATCCAGCTCAAGTCCATCGCGGACAGGACATTAGGAGTTGGTGTTAGCCAAGCAACAAGCACACTGTTGGTTCTAACGGCCACCACAATGATGCAAGTTGAATTGTCGTTAGATAAAATTCGGGCATTCAACCCTGAGTCAGTAATTGTCTCTCCTGGTGTCCCCGCTTTGCTGACGCCAATATCTTAATAGGACCGGCCATACCAACTTAATCAAGTCGATATTGATGCAGGCCATCTTGTACGGCGCATCTCCCGAGGTAAAGGACACCAACCCTTAACTCTTTTTCTTTACTGATGCAGCCCGAACACAGAACCCGCTTCACTTCAGCTTCCCACCTCAGATCGATGAAGAAAGTCTCATGCGAGGCGCCGAACAACTCAGCCAAGCTGTTCTCAGATCTGACCCTGAAGTTGTCCGACGGAACCATGACCTGACGGCTCAACTCAACGGTCGGAGGGACCGCTTGAACTGGCTGATTGGATTCATCAATGAAAACCTCGTACTTGGAAAAATGTCACAGCGGTCGCGACAGCGTCTGGCCATTGATGCCGAAAAACTATTTGCGGCCCTTCAACTCTGGATCCAGTATAACGAGCTCCTGGCGTAAGTGCTTCCTGCCCTCGTGAAAACAGTCGCGTAGAGGGCTAACACCGATGATAGTACCAACCCCACATTTACAGTTCTCAACGATGCCGTTCATTCATACATGGCGGACGCAGGGGAGATGCAGCACGAAGATGTCATGCGAGCCTTCTTCCGGTACAAAGTTGCTGATTTGGGCAACTTGATTCGCAAGATTTTCTCCATCATCACTTTGTCGGCCAGCCAAACCAATAGGGACGTCGCTCTCCTCCTGCCGGAAGGCAACCGTATTGTGATTGTAAGTATCCATTTCCTTCACTGAAGCATGTCCCCTTATCATTGTCCCAGACGGCATTGCGATCCGCCTTCGAATACAGGGCGCACAACTTCCAAGTCTATGGCATTGAACTTCCCATGATCTCGTCCTGGACAAGTCGCCCCAAGACAGCAGATGTGGTGCTGGACTTGTTCAATGCTACACACGATGCTTTGGAGAAGGTGTTGGTGGAGAACCCAGCTTCAAAGCCGAGGGAAATCGAGCCCGGGTGCCAGCTTCCTCAGCTCGCCGCTTTGTTCTTCGAATGTGTCTCTGAACGATTGGAGTGGCTTTCCAGGTACGGGTATTCTGGCAATGCATATGTTCTGGTACTGATGCGAGCTATGTCAGCCCCAAGGCTGCTGACGAGGCAGGATCGAGTCAGGACAGGGACAAGCTCGAGCAATACTTCAACTCCCTTCGACCTGGGATGCTGGAAACCCTTCGTACGTTTATTCGAGCTCTGTCAGTCGTTCTACTCTGATCGGATTGACCACACACAGGAAGCACCGGGTTCCAGGAAGAGGCGTTCTCGCTCGCGGAGAGATATCAAGACTTTGCCAGTCTCGTCGCGCTCTGCCATCGAGAAACCGTCTACCCCCCTGAAAACAACCCCAACCTTGAACGCATCAAGATGTACATCCAGAAATATGGGGACAAGTTCACGGATGAGCTGTATCAGTGGTACATTCAGCATGGTACGGGTCTTATCTCATTTCATTCCGGAGGGAAGCTAAATGGAATAATGTGCAGGTGAACTGCGCGCGATGTTCAGTCAAGAACACGAACAAAGCGCGTTCATTGACAAGTTCTTCCTCAAAAATCCTAATCCTGGTATTTCATGGCTGCACGATATAGGGAAGGAGAACTATGGCGATGCATCGGCTGCCCTCCTCGAGGAGTCCACCCGAGCCAATAGCCTCGAGGTCAAACATGTAGGTTTTTCCCTCTGTGAAAGAGGAGGGTGCTGCTGACGGGTTTCAACATAGCTCATGCTCAGTTTGGGTAAACTTTCAGCTCTGGCCCAGCTGCATGAAACGAACGAGGCGGTGGATCAGCGGGTCCTCGATGGTAATGTCGTTCTCTGAAGGTTTGCTTGGAGCAAGAAGTGACCTTTTTCTTCTTTCATAGCTTTCCACGATCAATTGGACTTTATCAGTGTGCACGATGGTTTGGCAACCGAATTCAAGTCGGCGTTGCAAGGAGTTCGCGGCCGACATTCCCTGGAGAGTCAGGTGGACATCATCATGAATGCGAAAGCACCGGGCTTGAAGGAATACAAAGCCTTCGCCAAGGTAAGCAAACTCGGCGGCGACCATGCGCCTTGCTAACCCAACTTCAATTGCAGTGCTTCAAGGACCTTCTGAAACACTTGCTGCAAGGGCGAGCGCTATCAATCGAAGACGCCGTAGATCTGTTGACGATGAAGGATAACCGGGAGAATCTCTCGGATTATTCGACAGCCCTGCACCTCCTGGCCTCTGCCTCGGTATGTCAATGGATTACTCCAAAAGGGAGAGTTGGCTGTCCTGACTGATATTCCTGTGTACAGAATCTTCCGGAAGCTAGAAGGTTGTCTGCGTTCCGAACAGTGTGGAGGAGAGTTTATCTTCATGACGAGTGAGTCTTCTCGACCACTAGATCCAGTAGACCGTGTAGCTGACGCTCTCTTTCCAGCTGGAAGGCGATTGGCAAGACTGCCGGAGTTGCAGATGCCACCATCACTGATCGCTACAAGGGCACGGCGCTCTATGCGACACTCTGTGCAACCTTGGCACGGGCCCGAAGTGAGCGAGTACCGAATGGGTACGAGACATCTCCGGATGTTGCGCTCATGGTTCCTTCTGCGAGCGAGATAGCAGCGAGGTGGTCTGGCTTGTCGCAAGAACAAATTGAGGCCATTGTGGAGGACTACAACTTGGAGCGTGACAAGTTGGGTGAGTTGGAGTTGGAGGACATCTATCATCGCATTCGGGAATTGGCCGTCCAGGATTCGTCAAGTTGGTAATTCGATACTGTACTCCGTGCATGTAATGCGTCAATTAGTCTCTTGATATCGATACTATCGTAGGTTAGAAGGATGGATGAAAAGGTTATGTGCTGCGCAGAGCTTGAGATATCCGTGAAGCAAGTTTTTGAAATTCGACCTTGGCACCGAGACGAATCAATTCAAAGTTTCTCCTCCGCCATTCCGATGTATATGCATCCACCCGCTCCTTCTCTTGGTTGTACCAGTGTCTGTTGAACTCGGACAATGCATTTTCTTTGTCTAGGGACGACGCAGATTCAGGTAGGTTGGAGAGAGCGGTTTCTTTGGCAGCGTAATATCGGACGTTATTCTGGAGATGTTTAAAGTCAGCGGTCAGTCGGCGTTTGTGAGTTTTCTCGACGCACGTCTAGCCAAAAGTCCTGGTGGAACGCATCCAGTTGTTGCCGTTGCAGTTTGAATTGCAGCTCAAGGTCGACTGGGGTTCGCGAAGCGTCGTGAAACTCGTTGAGGGAGTAAGGGTGGCGGAGGAGGGTTGGCGCTGTCGCTCGCGGGGCGTCGTCATAAATTATAGGACGGATGTGGGATATTGGGTGTGGTGGTGCGACGCGGTCCAGCCTCTTCGTTGAGGCGTGTATACTTCGTTTGAGGACATGGCGAGCGGCAGCGTGAGTTGGTGCCATGGCCAGTGATGGTAAGAGGGAAACCCGGTGTGAGAAGCGCGCCGTGAATGTCACACGATGAGCTCATATTGAAAACCGAAAGTCTAGTGTATATTATCGAGGTATATACATTGTCTAAATGAGAATGTCTATCCGAACCACTGCCAGAACGAAGTTTGAGGACGGGGTTTGGGGGCAGGAACCTGGTTCAACAAACCGAGGTCCTGTGCAATGTCGAAGAACAAGCCACCTTCCGTGGTCGAAGCAGCTGCAGGTTTTTGAGTTTGAGATTCAGCACCGCCAGCAACTTGGGACAGAGGTGCTGGATCTGTGGCATCAACAGAGGCATGAGCTGGTCCTCCTCCAATATGTGTGTTTGCTCCTGCCACGACGACAAGCTTGGGCACAAAGTTTTCTCCAGGTCCAGTCGGTACTCCGGTTCCGATGTAGTCTGGAAGGAAAGGCTGCAAGGGTTGTGAGTGTTGGCTTTACGAGGGTGTAGATTTGGTTCGTACAACTGGGGCTCCGCGCTCCGGTTCAGGGTGGAAGTCTGGGATTTTGATGTTCATAAACTCTGCAGCAGCAGTAGCTGACGATTCGTTGCTTGACGCCGTGGGTGCAGCAGTGGCAGCGGTCGACGCTTGTCGGGAATTGGAAGGCGACGGCGCCTGTCTTATCGAGTTGGCTTCATATTCCTCTAGTCTCTGGATAAGCAAGGCCTTGGTTCCTTTTCTTTGGCTGGTTTAATGGTGGTGCGTTATGAGAATGAAGTGGGACGTACGAGGACAAGCCGCGTGCCTTTGCTTCCTTGCGAAGTTGAACGACGGTTTCGTTGCCCCAGGAACGGGTGAGCAGCACGGACGAGGCCAAGGAACGCCTTGACAACAGCTGAGCAGGCCGGCGACCAACAGTTGCAATTCTAAACATGTCGAGTCCGGAGAAATAGAAATTCAATACTTCTCTCAGTTTCGACCCGCTGACCTCCGGGCCTTTCCCCGGACACGTGATGGGACGATGGCGGCTGAGTTGGGATCATCATCAAAGGGGTGAACGCTCTGGAAGCTGCTCGATGTTGATAACGTCGACGACGTTGGCCTCGTTCAGGACGCGTGTTGTGTCGCTGTGGTTTGACAGTATTCTATCTATCGCCTATATCGAGCACTGAATCGTCGCAATCTCGGGGCTCAGACTGATTGGAACTGATAATCCGGGACCAACACCAGTCTTTGCCTCGTGTTCTCATCGTGGTCCTCTGGTTTTACCCTGGAATATGACCTTTTGCGTGTAATTGCTTTGGAAATCACATCAACCACACTTCCCTTTTTCTCTGGTCATCATGTTACTCTCACCAGCGTACGCGTTTCTTCCCAACTTTCAGTCCCGTTTCTGTTTCTTACTCGACCAATCTGTTCGGCCTTCTAACCAGGTCTTCAAACCACGGCGGCCTCCCTCCCCAAGGCTCATCGTTCTGGGGGAAGTTCAAGCCTAAACCCAAGGAACCAGAACTTCCACCAGCCGCGATGGCCGTCGCCAGGACAAAGCTATTAACCTTGGTCTTCGCCGATATGGAGACCATCCGAGTGGTAAGCAGGGTCTGCTGTTCTTCATGTCCCTCTCATATTAACATCCCGTTACCGTAATAGCTTCCAAACTCGTTCGTCGTAAGTCTTGATTGCTCGGACACCGTCGATCTTGCTCATTTGCCGGTGTAGGAGTTGGAGGCGCTCGCCAGGGACTGGACCAAGCCCCCTCCAGATGCCATGTTCACGCTTCGCGTCCCAGTCGAGTTTGTATCCTTCCAAGCTGCTGTGCGTCTCCCCTTCGATGTCCCCTGCGATGCAACTGCTGACTCGTACTCCAGCGACTGGTAACAGGGCCATATATCTATGTTCGTTCGATTCATGAAATCGGTGGATTCATCTAACGTTCGGATCTAGTTAACAGGCGAGGAGTCATATCAAATCGCTACTATGGGTGTGCAGGGTCTTCGTGTCGAGATTGTCAGTGATGGTCCTCCGCCTCCAGACGAGCCTCCGTAAGTCCTGCTCTGCCTAACATATACGACACTGCTAACATACCCCACAGCCCACCACCGTAAGGCCTTCACAGATCATATCAGTTTATTCAAGTTGTTGACACTTTCACAGCCCTCCTCCGGTTTTAGAAATGCCTGCTTCGTTTAATCTAGAACTTACTCCCGGGCAAATGGTCGCACTTGACGTCACAGTCAACTCAGATGAGCTCGACATGGCCCGGATGGAAGACGGAACGACTGTGGATGGAATGTTCTGGGGAAAGCTCGATATCGTACATCAAGGCGATACACACAAGATGGAGTTTAGCGGTGCCAGGCTACCACCGAACGATGATGTTCTCACGCCCGAGTTCATGGTTGACACCCGAATCCTGCGCAAGCTTCCAATTGCTTGCAAGCCATCAACAGCCAAATGCAACCTCATCCTTCTAGCGCCCGCTGTTCAATATTGCGAAGTCACGCTGTCGTTCTCACCGCTATGGAAGATTGGCATCACCTGGCCACCTGCTGAACCTATCGCAGAGAATAAAGTCAAGTACTTTTTGCGGGTGAACCCTGGTGGAGCTTTGGAACATTTCGAGCAAGAGATTGTGACGACGGCTCTATACTACGAGGCCATGTGAGTATCTCTTTTCTCTTCAAAGTACCGTCACTCTTAATGTCGACAGTCCAAACCCGGAAATGGTAGACCCTCATGAATTCATCGCACCTCGGAATGGCTTCGCAATGTCCTTCAAAGATTTCATCCCCCATCTCAACAATGTACTCGACCAACTGGGGATGTCCCTACACGCCCGCACGAATTTCGTTAAGTACGTCACCTTTCGTCACGCCCGTGGTATCCGCTTACTGATCCCGAAATAGCAACAACATGTCGGCGTTTGCTTCACACAAGAACATCGCCTACCGTTTCCTTGGTCCATCGAAGATTGCAGCCGCCATCGACATCACTGTGACGAGTGACCCCTGCGTCTTCACCCGCATATTCCTCATCTTCCGTGGTGTCAGTGATGACGAGATGAGCAACTTCGATACTGCGGGCGAGAAGGAAGCCAACAGTTATAATTGGCGTGAAACAATCGGCTGGTCAGAGGACTCGAAAGATACCACGGTGTTCCGGGTGTTGGAAACGACGGTGCTCGAAGTATCATGACATTCTCGCCCACAACTCTCTATCTTATCTAGACTCCCCTTACCTTTCTTCTTTATCGACTGTAGTAAGATATGTAGCCTTATATCCCTTCCTGATGATCCCCTTTCTCTTGCTTTCTTCTTGGATTCAGCTTTATCGTTATCATTTCAGGCTGTCCTTTTGCTTTCCTGCTGATATATTTTGTAATCTACTAATTGTACCTCTCAGAGAACTCTCGCTTGTATGTAACCCTTCATTCTGCAGACTCTACAGAGACAACTTGGACGCTCCCTTGGGCGCGCTCAGCCAGAAAAGGCAACCCCGACTCGGAGGGCGGGGGCGTGACGCTGAATCCACGTGAGTTGTGACATCGCGCTCCCGCGTCACTCGCGCTGCCACCAATTTGACAAGGCTTGCACCGTTTCACTTTTCACGCACCGCAGAATGGTCAAATTATCGGAATAGTACGTGGGTTTCATGAAGAAATAAAGCTTTCTCTGAATACTCTATAGTGAACTCGAGCGTGAGGCTAACATCGCCCGAAACAAGTTGCTGCTCCAGCAGCTGGAGCTGAAGGCCGCCGTCGACGACCTCGGCGTGTCCAAAGCCAAGGCGAAATCAACCGCGAAGCCCATCCAACCAGGGAAGAGGGAGAAGAGAAAGAGGGAGCCAGAAGCAGACTTGCCGCGTCGACAGTCTGCACGTCTCCGGAAGGCGGTTATTGATCCTAATGAGTCTCCACAGAAGCGCCGGAAACGCGAGGTAAGCAGGGCACTTTTGGACGCGGTTTTTCGTCTCTGGAACCAAGAGTATTGACATGCATTGTAGAGGGAAGAAGAACTTCAGCGCCGTAAAGAGGAAGAGGAGAGGCTGAAGCGAGAGGAGGAAGCTCGCAAAGCGTCGCGACCCCGGCATAATAAGCTCGATCTTATTGCTCTCGTTGAAAACGGTCCGGAAGATATCGAAAGCTTGTCCAAGTCTATGAAGGACATTCCGAAGGATATCAAGAAACGCGTCCCCGATTTTGATGACTTTGTTTACGAGGATAACAAGGAAGAGGAACGTCTGGTAGCGGAGTTGAGGAAGAAGATGAGTGGACTCAAGGTCCATGCTCGCGCCAAAGTGACTAGGAGTCGTGTTTACTGTGCCGCGTATCACCCTGAGGTGACCAAGGACTTGATCTTCTTTGGAGGTGCGCTACTATGCCTCGCGTTGGACTTGTTACTCATGTTGCTTCAGACAAGGAAGGTGCTCTCGGTATCTGGGACGCTCGTGCGCCCCCAGAAGAAGACGAAGACGCGAAACAGAACGAGGGGGAAGACCGTGAAGGTGGAAGATATTGGCGAATACAGCTACATTGGCCTGCAAATGCAAAATCCTCGATCTCGAGCATAAAGGTGGACCCCATTGACCCTCACAACGTACGTCGCAGCATTTCCTCCTCGTCTCTTCATAGCCAACGGTATTCTCTTTTAGGTTTACACGAGCTCCTATGACACCACCGTCCGAGCGCTCTCATTTACCACCGGCGTATCGCGTGAAATATTTCACTCGGATAACCTGGTTAACTCCATAGACCTCGTTCCCTCTGGCCACGAAATGTGGCTGTCGGATACCTCAGGCTGGGTGACACACATTGACCTTCGAGAGTCCAACCAGAAACATAAGAGCTTTCAGCTGTCGGAACAGAAAATCGGTTCAGTAAGCGTCAATCCTACCTTCCCCAATTTCTTGGCCACTGCTAGCAACAGTCGGACAGTCAAGTAAGTGCCTTGGCGTCTCAAGGTTTATTTGGCTGACGGACCAAAAGAGTTTGGGATGTGCGAAAGCTCAATACTGCTCTAGAGGACTTTACCGACTCTGAACCGCAAGACTCCACTATAATTGACGTGAACTTGGAGGTTATTACCGAGTTCGCACAGTCGGACAAGGGCAAAGGTTGCCTGCGAGCGGAATGGCAACACGATAAATCTGCTACTGCTGCGTTTTGGGATCCTCGGGGTCGTCAGCTCGTCAGCACCAGCTATGACGATACACTTCGACGTAAGTACTTCCCTCACATCCTCGTAAACCGATATTTATTGACGTATCGTGTAGTGTGGAATTTCAATAATTCCAAGCTATTCAAAGAGGATGCACCATTCCCCTCTTCAAGACCGTTTAGCCGTATTAAGCACAATTGCCAGACTGTGAGTCTACATGGCCCATCGAGTTGCCTTATTCTTACAGATTATGTTTAGGGGAAATGGGTGACATTGTTGAAAGCTCGATGGACCCAGAACCCGGATGTATATCCTTACTTCACGGTATGTATCCCACTACTAGGTGGTGTCGAAGTTGCTCAGGGTTGATACAGATTGGTAACATGAACCATTCGGTCGACATTTACTCGGGCAAGGGCGACCATATTGCGAGCCTTTCGGACCCCAGGAGGTACGTCCGATATTTCTTATCCCGAGGAAGTCACACTGATGGTGTGTACCCAGAATTACTGCCGTGCAGGCAGTCACCTGCTCGCACCCCAGTGTAGTAGAGCGCGTTGCCACAGCCAACGCGAGCGGTCGCTGTGTCCTGTGGGCCCCCAAGGACCTGTAACTTATTTTTGCCTATTTCCGTTCCTCTTATCCTTGCTTTCCTTCGCTTTGCCATCCCATTGGTTTGCTCTGTATATTAAACGTATCTAGATTGGAATAAGATTATTAGTCGTTTCAGACGTAAAAATCTGCCATATCGTCGTCCTCAGGCGGTGGGGGTGCTGTAGGCTGGGGCTGGGGTGGATTGGCTTGCTTGGGAGCAGCTGGTTCTTCATCGAACCCCCCGATCTCATCCATGATGTCCCAATCCTCGTCCATGGAGGCGTTGGTCGCCTTCGGCTTATTTGTAGGCGCACCTGCACTACTAGGCTGGGCGTTCATTTCGAGGTCATCGAAATTCTCCCAGAGCGACGGGTTGTCGAAGGGATCTACGTCCATCGTGGCCGAGGCTGCTGCACCCGATCCTGAAGCCGAATTGGACTGCGCTGGCTGTGGGTTTGTTTGACTGTCGTCCCTAAAGAGAGCGTCCAAGTCTTCGTCGTATAACCCTTCGTCTTCATGCTCTGAAGCAGACGTGGGCGGTCTGGAAGGTGCTCTCGACGAACTTGGAGCATCCGACGTGGGTGCTTGATCTTCGTCCATCCGTCCATTGTTCTCTCCGTCGTCACTGTCATCGTCACTGTCAGGGTCGTGGAGAGTGTGTACACCTTTCGCTTCGTCTTTCCATCTTGATAAATGGCCCTGGGTTGCGGTTAGGATGGGTGTGACCTCGTGGAAAGTGCATGGAGTACCATGAGCATCTTTGTCCTGCATAGCTTCTCTATTCGGGTCACAGTTTCGCGGAAAGGGGCTTTGGGATACATTTGATGAGTCCAGAACTGGTATATTTGGAGTAGCCTGTTCAGGTCTGAGGCCTGGGACGCGTCAGTACATGGTAAAACGCGTCTTGTGCACGAACAACACGTACTTCATGGCCTTTACCCTTGGGTTTGAAGTCTTTCACGTCCTTGATGAGCTTTGGGAAACCCTTGTCACTAACCAGGAGGCCCTCGTTCAGGTTGACTGGCTTCCGCCTGGGCTTTTTCTCCTCCCCATCCCTCCCCTTCTTGGACTTGCCGTCCCTCTTGTCTGGATCGTCGCCGCCGCGTGTTGGAGAGCTACTGGGCATGATTTGGTGAGGGGTCAATGGTGGGGGCGCGCTGCGCTTCATCTCTGCTGCAAGCTTCTGCTCAATTTCTGCTGCACCGCGCCACTCGAAACTAAAGTCCTCGTCCATGCCAGCTAAATTCTCCATCGCGGCCATGCTGACCTCGGTGGGTGCGATCACTCCAGAAGTTGCCTCGTCGTCATCCGAGCTGCCTCCAACGGCGCGTCGCCTTCTCTTTGCTGGCCGTGGCGATCGTCCATCCTCGTCGTCGTCCGAGTGAGGTGTTTTCTGACGTTTTAGCACGTCTTCCACGTCATTGTCGTCGTCGAAAAGGCTTGCGAGTGACTTGTCCATTAGAGAGAGCGCGTTGTTGATCCTTGTTGTGGTGGACGCGAAAGGAATTGGAAGCGCACTGCACGTGATGGACGGCAGCGATCTCTTTTCTTTTCCTCCAGTGCGATGTCGACGACGAATACAAACAACGGTGACCAACCCGACGTCAAGCAGGGTATTGAATACTGGGAGAATCAGCCTGCAAGCTACGATGGAGTTTTGGGAGGATTTGGAACTGGGGTAAAGACTCATATTCCTCTAAACGATCCAGACATTCCATCAATTTTGACTTCAAGTCTCTACCGCGTATCGAATCTTTAGGATCGCGACTCTTTCTCTTGAACCTCTTCCCAGAACTGTCGACTGTGCCTTCAGCATACAAACCCCTCAAACCTGTTGCTCCTTCCATTCGCGTCCGGGCGCTAGATGTCGGTGCAGGTGTTGGACGAGTGACTTCAGACACTCTGCTACCTCTGGTCCACGATGTGGTGCTCCTGGAACCGGTAGAGCCTTTTGTCCAAGAAGCTCTCAAGCGAGCTAGAGCAAGCGCAGCTTCGTCGATAGTCACGACCACGCCCGGCGAGCGGACATACTGGCCAGGCCTCGCAGATGCAAGCAAGAGCGTCACTATCCTCCAAGGAACGCTACAAGACTTTGACCCTCTCAACCCTCATCGCGTGACCTTTCTGGATCGCGTCGGATACCAGCCGTCTCGACCTGCAGACGATATCGGACAGGGCTTTGATATCATTTGGTGCCAGTGGTGCTTGGGCCATCTTTCGGATGAAGATCTTGTTACGTTCTTCGTTCGATGCCGGGCTGCTCTGAAGCCTCATCGGCGTAGCCTAGTGGTGGTCAAGGAGAATCTATGCCCGGATCTTCCTGGACCAGAGCCCATAACGGTATTTGACGACCAAGATTCGAGCCTGACAAGGTAAGCAAGGATCCCCTTTATCTACCAACTTGGGCTCATGCAATTCCGCTCTACTAGGTCCGACCTTGCTTGGAAAGCCCTGTTTGCTAAAGCCGGATTCAAAGTCGTTCGAGAGCAAGTACAGGAGGGTCTGCCCGAAGGACTTTATGTCGTCAAGATGTATGTCACCGTCGTACAAATCTTCTCTCGAACCCCGAGTTCTGATTATTGATGTACAGGTATGCGCTTCGGTAAACAGCCGAACGTTGCAGAACTCCACAACAATGATAAATTTCGAAGATGTATGACTACTCAGATACATGGTGTATGAAAGCGGGAGACGTAAAAGAAAACAACTAGAATACAGTGTGAAAGGGTGAAAGGAGTGACAGAACGACAGACGAAAGCGGCGTGAGCGTGAAGGGGTCGTGTCTCTATAGTACAGACGGACGACAGAATTTTCGTATTTTCGTGCAGCCTCTCTATTTCAAGGCGGCGGCAGCGGCGAGGAGACCCGTAGCAGCAACAGGCTCTGCCCTGGAGTCGCGCTTCTTAGTGGAAAGATCTGATCGCTTCTTCAAGCCAGGGAACATGGACATCATAATGTAGTCCAGCTCTGGCCAGATCTCGTCGGAAGTGTTTCCGGTGAGACTTCGAAGAGTCAGCTTGGCTGGGCGATGGATGGAAAGTTGATGGGGATGCAAGTGGGGATTTTCGGGAGGGGGAATGGTCTGAGAAGCAAGAGCCTCGTAATAGGCCAGAAGAGGGGAGGTCGAAGCATAGAATGCTTGCAGTCGCTGAGCAAAGATTTCCTGAAAATCTGGGGGTTAGAAACCGAGCTATGCATGATTGGACAATGCACTCACAGGATTGTCATCTGGGCGCCTAGTCAGTGGTTCTCCCGTAACGTCGTCATAACCCGCGACTCGAGGGGGGTTGTAAGCAGTGTTGTACACACGACCGGAAGGAAGGTGAACCCAACGGTCAGAAATTCGGCTCAAAATAACTTCATCGGGAACGTTAAGATTGACCACCAGGGTCAGAGGAGTATTTTGGGTTCTGCAATGAATAAATACCCTAGTCACAGTGACCATGTACGAGTTGTCACTTACCTGAGGTGTGATTCGAGAAGCTGCCCCTGTCTCAGGGTTCTGGGGAAACCGTCCAGGATCCAGTGCTATTTGGAGACACGGTTGAGCAACGGGGACGAGTGAATAAGACGGGAATGGCTGCGCACCTTATTGTGCAGAGTATCCAGCTTGCTTGTGACAATCTTCAACATAAGTTCGTCGGGCACCAATCCGCCACGGGCCATGATTTCCTCCGCCTGCTTCCCAACCTCGGTCCCTTGTGCGATTTGCTGCCTCAAGAGGTCGCCGGTGGAGATGCTGAGCAGGTCGTACTTCTTAACGAGCCTGCTAGTTAAGGTCCCCTTCCCTGCAGCTGGCTTTCCGAACATGATCATTCGGACTGGTCGTTCGTCCCGGTCGTCGAGGGTGCTGTTGAAGCCATTCAAGGACGAGGAAACTGCGCGACGGGAGGCGGCCGACGATGTGATTGAGCGGTACGAGCTGCAGGACGTGGAGGGCGATTGAGACTGAAGAGCAACGATGCTGGACTTTGGCAAGCGCTGGGAGGGACGGGAGGCATGGCGAGCAGCAACTTGGACGGCGTTGAGCCTGAAGAGGTTGGGGAGCTTCATGGCGGAGCTGTGGGTGGTGTGGCGGAGGAACGACCGTCTCGTCGCGGGTATTTAACCTCGGACGAGAATTGACGGAGGAAAAGGTTCTGGCCCTATTTTTTCTGTGCCACTCCGAAATTTCCTGATGGCGCAATCACCAGGCCCTGTCATGGCGTCACAAGTTCTCTGCCCCCGGTGATCCTGTCCCCAGAAATGCAAATAAACATGTCGTGGTTGCCGGTATACAGCGCCTACCTACTACAACCAGCATTGCTATCTAACCCGTACGGAATCCCGCTGCCCTCCGGAACCATGGGCAACGCGACCCGTGAAATCGTCTCCAGCGCTAGACTAACAAAAAATCTAGAACTAAACGAATCACATTGATTCGGTTTAAATTGCCGATGTCATGGACGGCTTGCAGCTTCGCATTAGCAGGCAACACTTGGCTTGACCGTGACATTCTTATCACTCCCCCATCCTATCAATTCTCGCATTCGCAGCACCCCCACCACACCTCGAACATCACGCGACGAGTCTAGAGTCGCCATGATAGCAGCGGCGACCTGGTCGACGTGAATCGGAGGTAAGGTCAACGCGTTCGCGATCGAATCTAACGGTGATGCTTCTTCCAAAGAACTTGACGACTGAGGAAACACGGACCCTAGTGAACGGAGGATGGAAGAAGGCGCGGGGAACCCTCGAGGAAGTTTACGATGGACTGCGGCCGAGACATCAAGCACGGTCGCAATGGGTGTCGTCAGTGGCCTTAAATGAGCATGGTACACCAAGCCTTGTTTGAAAAAGATTTTGCACATCAGAAAAGTGACAAGGGACAGGCAGGTATCATGGCACTCACTCGGTCGAATGTAGACTCCTCTATAATCGGGATTTTCTCGCATCATCTCTTCGATACGTTGCTCGGCCTCTCGTTTCGTTTCAATATACCTTGCAGGCACTATGGGTCGGAAAATATCCTCCGCAGAAACATATACAAAGGGTCGAGGTTGGTTTGGAACATTCGACGCGGTCTTAGAAGACTCGAGGAATGATTCGCAAACACGGAGAGCTGTTCGAAAAACAATAAGCCCCATTCCTACTCCACAGTCCGAGCCTTGTGATGAAGTGACGAACCAGAATCGCGATTTATGCGCTCGTAACTTCCCTGCTGTTCTTCAGCTACATTTCTACGAAGAGGGTTGCTGTCCTGTCCCGTTCCCAGGAAGCTCTTCACGAGAGCAGGCACGTTGCCTTCGCGGATAGCGCGTTTGTACGCGCCGTCTTCGAGGAGGGTTCCAAGCGTGTGTACGACTCCACCCACACCCTCGAACAAGTGGGCGAATGATTGAGGGTTAAGGGCATCCCCTTTATGCCAGTTCACCTGATTATTGGGTCACATTCCGAGGGGTATAAATCGGGATTTAAGGGACTACCTTGCTTGTCCAGGACGGACTGTGACCTTTGGGAGTGCGGTAAGGGTTTCCTGAGGAACTGAATAGAGATCAGTAATGTGTTTCAGGAAAACACAGGTGATTTTGGAAAGTACCTGACACTGGTCACCTCCAATCCTTTTGCAACAGCTGCTCTGCACACCGCCGAGCCTTTTACAGAGTGTCACATCCTCTTGCGCTGCGGTGAAGCAAGGCACAAGAACATACCTATAAATCCATTTCCGCCAACAACGAGAATCTTTTTCAATGAAGTTGCGAGGCTCATCTTGTAGCCATGAAGTCCTGGGGTGTGGAAGTTGCGTTCGTCGAGGACAGAGTTACCAGGTTGATGACGCGCGCCGAGAGTCCCGACGCGAGTTCGAGGCCATCAGATCGGAAGAAGTTGCTGGACTTTGCAGATGAGCGCTTACATCGAGAGGTTGTTACAGTGCAGAGTATTGGTATTAAAAGACAACAAGGATATATTACATGTCAAAGTAATTATAAAGGAATATACTCTCATGTCATTTTCACCCTGAACAAGTATCGCAATTTAACTTGAGAAATATCGTAGACGATATACTGTTGTCGAGGTTAGAACTTGGTAAGCTCTGTCAAAAAACGCACCAACTCACTTCATTGTACTGCAGGTATAGACCGCTGTCGCTGCTGTTGCCGGTTATGTTGTCCTTTTTGCTCGAGACCTTCGGAATCTGGACACCCTCTAGGTCCTCATGGATGATGGATGCGTCCTCCCACTCCAATGGAACGGTGCGGCCCAGTCCTTTCGTCGCAATTGCACCGCTCTTCTTGGAGTTGGTGGCAGCATAGTAGTCTGCACCTTTCGACTCGTACATCGGGTCACCGAGTTGGGCTTCGCATAGCAGCAGCAGCCCAGTGTTTGCAGATATCTAGAGCAGTACTATGTCAATTGGATGCACTGCTGCGATGGAAGGTGTTGCCTTACCTGAGGGTAGCAGTAATTGGCACTCTTAGAGACAATGTCCGCAAGGTAAATACCCTTGTCGAACATGTACCCACTGACTGGGGCTTCGGGTGGTGCGATACGCAGACTACAAAATCAAGGGTCAGCTCAAGCCTTGATTCACAGGCAAATCGACCTACCCTTGGGAAAGAATACCAGAAAAGTTTGTTGTTCGACTACCGTGCCACAGAAGCATTCGGTTGTCATTCTCGTACTCGTGCCATTTCTTCTCTTTCCATCGAGCTTCTTCCGAGTCTCGTCGGATGCGGAAGATCTCTTCAACTTGCAGCTTCATGTAATGGGTATGGCCCTGGGTCTTCTTGACGTATGCTTCGAGATATTTGTACTCTGAGGACGTCTTGTCGACTGCACAAGTGTCAGACGCAGACTCTCGGTAATTGCCACAAAGTAGAACACTCACGAGGGATGGCCTCGTTCAATCCCAGAGACGCGAATTGCTTATCGACGGGGTGGACATCACTGTCCTTCACACTCGCTGTCATAATTTCGGTGCTGATCTTCATGTCGATCAAATTTTCAACGAGCTCTGCCTCCCGCTTCAACATACTTTGGTCTCCAATAACCGGTGGGACGCTGCGACCAAAGTTGTGTGGAATAACAGTGTAGTACCGGCTGCTCAACTGGCTCAAGATCTGCTGGTACGAGTTGCCGTATTCGCTGAAATTTTGAACGGCATTTGCTGGGTCTCCAATGACCTCGCCGATCTGCTTAAGCAGGTTGAAGCCACGGAGAATGGTGTCCTTTGACAACTTTCCAAGAGGAAGTTTGTTGCTGTCATAGGACATGGAAGCCATGGTCTGCTGCATGAAGGAAGAGTTGAAGATGAGTTCCATGAGTCGGACGAGTTCTGGCGCAATAGTTGGTTTGGGAGGTGGTTTGGAGTCCTCTGCTCCAGGTTTATTAGAGGTCGGTGTGGTTTCTTCTTCTTCGTCGTCGTCGTCATCGTCATAGTTTCGTTCCTGTCAATGCCATCAGTCAAGTGTCTGCTACACCGGGAGAGAAAGTCGTTCCGTACCAGGTAGGCGTACTTCTTGTTTCCTCCGAGAGCCTCTTTCCGCTGAGCCCAGGATTTGCCTGACACTTCTCAGCATCTGTCGTGGCGCATCAAGAAACAAACATACCAGTTTTAGCTTTCATCTGTTTATCGAAAACTGATTTCGCAGCGGGAAGCGAAACGGATTCAGCATACATTTTGCTTTGCCCGCGGTCTCCCACACGTCCCCATCGACAGAAGACGGCATAGGTCATAGGAGAATTGTCCCTCTCCAGTAACTAGGAACAGAACGTCAGAAAACAACAGAGAGATGATAGTGACAACATACTTGACAGTAGTAAAATTTGTTGTTGTTCCTTCCGATCTATTAGTATCAGGACAAGGTCAGCTTCTCCCTGCGGTTGGCACCGAAAACGACTCACGTCTGTTTGGTTGAGGGTGGCGTCCCAAGCGACCCCAGTCTCGTCGACGTAGACGTGATGACTGCCTGTGGATTGCATCCCTGAATTAGATTCCTCTGTCAGCAAAAAGACCAACCCTCGTACCAGCAAGGGGGCACAATTCGTCGACAGGAGCCTTCCCCTTCCTGATGACGGTCTTCATCTTGGGCGGTGGTGGTGTCGGTTCCTTCTCCTCTTCCTCCTCATCTTCGACGTCTTCCATTTCCTCGTCCTCAGAAACAACCTTTGCCTTGGACCTGGGCTTCGCCTTCCCCTTGGCGTTGCCCTTGGGAGCAGCGGTCGTCTTCACCTTCTTTGCCGGTGGTTCGTCGCTGTCCGCATCGTCAGCGGTAGCAACGGCAGGTGCAGCAGCCTTCCGCTTCGGCCTGGTACTGGGAGCAGGAGGTGGGGGTGGTCCACTAGAAAGAAGATAGGAGGTTTCGTCCTCCTTCTTGCCGCCCTCGATGGAATCCAACAGCCACTCAAGGGTGACTATGGGCGTGCCAGCATTGTTCGCAGCTTTGACTATTCAAGTTGGAACGAATTAGTTCGCGCGTAGACACAATAGGAGCGACAGGAGTACCTTTTGCGGAGTTCTTCTTGACATCCGCTTCAGTAGAGACTAAATGCGTGGTAGAATCTACAGTTTTGGAGAACGTTCCTCCATTGTCAGCGACGAGCGCTTCAATCTGGTAGCAAGCATCCTGTGAGCTCCTCGAAGTTTCGATGCACGTTTGGGTGCTCGTACCTTGGCTGGGGTGATGACAGGAGCGTTAGAGAGCTGAATTGGATAAACAAGCACACCAGCGCTTACCTTGATTGTAGCCTCTATGCGTCCCACTGGCAGCTATGACGAGATTAGCAAGGGCGGACATTGGCGCCTGTAGATAGATTTGAGAGGAAGTGGGGAGTAACAAGATACGTGGGGGGTGTTGGATGAACGTAAACGGGCGTAGGCGCTTTTATAGACAATTGACACGCGCACAAGGGGTAATGTTGGGAATGCGCCGTTCAACCGGTATTGTACGCGGTGATCTTGACTCGGGCGCATCACGGTTCCTTTAAACGGTCTTGACTCAACAAACGGCGGGACCGACTGATTTGGCCGCCATCATGCGCATCATATCCTAATACGGAAGGCCCGACTCTCCCCGACCGTGCAGAATGAATCATGAGATGATTCACATTGCGAATTCTACAACATGCGGAGCTGTTCGAGTATACCATTTCAAATGACATACAGCGGTATACATCATCCACCGGACATTCTTCTATGTTAACGAACGGGTGCATAGGCACAAGAGATAAAAAAAAGGGAAGATACATAAAGAGGTTTTGGCGGCTAGGCCAAGTAGAGAAAGGCGAAAGAAGGGAACGCACGGGTGACCCGCAGGATCCGTGATGAATAGGAAGGTGAGGCATGTCTCAATTTGTCAAGTCTTCAAACCGACGCGATACTCCGCTACCAGCGTTTATACATAACTCCATGAAACTGTCCAAATGGTCGTTAGCAGGCTGAGGGTGATATCAGGGCATGCCGTCGGTTAAAAGACCTACTCTTGACAATGCCCCTCTCGAGGTCCGCAATCTTCATGAAAGCTGCTTCAGACAAGTCGATCGAATTTGAATTCGTGCAGGTGGGGCAGGCGTCAGCGATCATGACTGTTACTGTCTGCCTATATGTCAGGAGAGAGCAAGTAGGGCGAGTAGGAATGGGCGAACCTTCTTGTTCTCGAGGTTAGTGATCTTCACCCGTTTACCGCACTCATGGGAGATGGCATTTAGATTCCCGTAGCGGTGACCATCTGGCAAGGGAACTGATTCAGCTGCTTCAGTGGAAGAACTGTACGACCTGATTTACCGATAGCAGCAATCATGTCAGAGTCACTATGGACTTTGCCACAGGCTCCAGCAACCCCGTGTTGATAGTAATAGGTGGCACTAGATATCCTCAATGAGACAATAATGTTACATAGAAGACCCGGAGACACGTACAATCCACCTTCGTAAACCTTGACAGCAGCGCTTTTCGCGGACGCTGATACATAGGACGGTCTTTCAGTCTCCGCCATCGCAGAATCAACAGGCGCAGTGGAGGGGTCAAGAGTGGATTTGGATTCGCCTTCGGGGTCGTCGGTAACGGATCGCGTGGCCCTCGCGCCCTCGTTTTCATAGTCATCTTCATCCGCCTCGTTATCGCACTCTTCTTCGGGCTGCGAACCACCTTCCGCCGGAACCGATGGTCCTTGGTCCGTTTCAATCCCAGGGGAAGTTGGAAAGCAAGCTGCGAGCCTCGATGATGGTTTCTCTTCCCGCTATTGATAAATAGTATTAGTAACCAGGGCATCGTTGCCTGGAGCTGGTCGACTCACGAGAAGTGGATGGCAGCACTGAGCGAAGAAGGGGCTATCGTGCTTCGTGTGGCAAGAGAGGGCCAGATAACGAGCATGGTATGTGTCGTAGGGCTGTTATCATCCACTGAGATAGAGAATCTCCTTCCTTCAGGGAAAGGACGAACCTCGAGTAATGGTGTATTCCACGCAGGCGGAGGCCCGGCGCGAGGAACAACGGCTGCAAGAGCGGACGAAAGGGTGGAAGCAAGGACAGTGAGCTTGGCAAGAGGGAACATAATGGCCAAGGATCGTTGGCAGTGAGCGATAAAGAATGGGTAGCGAGGACCCGGACCTTTATGTAGCAAAAGGGGGCGTGGCTATAGCAGCCTCTAGAGGCGTATTCCACTCTGAAGGAAACGGCCCTTCTGAACGGAAAATGTACAAGCAAGAGCCGCAAGGAGACAGAAAGAGGGTGACCGGACGCCAAAATGCCCAACAGACTCAAGATTAGAATGGCTTCTGACCTTGTAAGGCTGTGGAGAGAGCTTGAATCGCTCTCCTTTATACCTTCAGTCCGTACTCGTCTTCGCACCATGAGCCTTGGACGAGTTAGCGCGACCTGCCAGTGCCTTCCCCCTTCGCTGTTCTTGATCAGCGTCAGGTCGAGTCATGGCGATTGTGCGCCATGAGAGGGAAACTAAAGAAGACATCAAGACAAGTCGAAGCTGGACAAATGGTACCGGGGAAGAAAGTCGAGAGATTCTCCAGCTTTTGCGGCCCAGTTGGTAATCAGCACCTAGTAGGTTAACAAGTGCCAAGGTTCGTAGCATGAAATCATGATCGGTTCGTTACATATGACTGGAAGAGCAAAGGCCGACAGAGTCCTCGGCGAAAACAGTAGCGAGCTTGTTTGGCACCATGTGCAGGGAGCTGTGTAGGTCATGGGTAACCAGGAAAGACCCCTAAAATCGAGCGCTAACGGATTAATGGGCTCAGCATCGATTCTCGGCAATGGCCGTGATGGGCGTTCGAGGCCAGCAAGCGTTGCTCTGCGTTGCACTGCTCCGAGTTTACGACGAACCACGACTGCGACGACATAATGAGCGGTATTTACACAAACTCTCTTGATTGCGATCATGTTAGATGTAACATTTCAATTGTATAGGTTATAACACGCAAAATCCATTTGCATCTACGCATTCTTTGGATACAAACCCTTTCGATGACCCAACGCCCCAAGCGCAACCGCCGTCTTTCCCATCCCCATCGGACGCTGCCAGACTTGAAGAAATCCGACGAAGAGAGCAGGATTTGGAACGCCGAGAGGCAGAGCTTAACAACAGAGCAGAGCACATTCGCCGCCATGGCAGGAACAACTTTCCGCCCTGCACGTACCTTCAACTTGATCATCCCTTTCGTTATTCTCACATGACTATCGCTTTCCAGTCTTCCCCTTGATTTTCCATTCCATCCCGGATGAGATTCCTGAAGTTTCCCGACCCTTGATCACAAGGCTGTTCCAGCTTTGGATGGTCTTCATTGGTACCCTCGCACTAAACATGGCGGCATGTATCGTCCTCTTGGTCGGCGGTGGCTCTAACGCTGGAGCTGGCCTGGGAGCCAGCATCGGGTACGTGACTACGCGGGTGTCACTATGAGAAGCGCCAGGGTCTGATCGCTTACCCCAGTTATCTCCTGTTCATGCCCATTGCATCATTCTTGCTTTGGTATCGGTAGGTTATTCCCCACCTTCCTGAGCTTCGGCGCTAAACCAGGAACACAAAACAGGCCCATCTATAATGGCTATATGAAAGTAAGCAAAATTCTCTTCAAAGGAACTCGATGCGACTAATAACGCCGACTCAGAACCAATCGTTGTACTTCTGTGTGTAACGAATCTCAGCACCCCCCAGGTCATTGGAACTAACCGGCGTTTAGATATCTACTTTTTCTTTGGAGGGTTCCATTTACTCTACAGCATCTACATGTAAGTAACCATCTCGAAGACTTCTTCCGCTGCGCCTTACTTTCTCCACCAGGATTATCGGTATCCCTGGGTAGGTGCCTCTCGCCTAAAATCCGAGGCCAGAAGTTGCAACTCAAACGGTTTCCAGTACCGGCTCGGCTGGACTCATCTCGATGATTGAGAGCTGGGGCAAGCCTGCGATTGTCTCTGGAGTGTTCTGCACACTCGCCACCGTGGGCTGGATCCTCCAGGGAGCTGGTCTTACCTTCTACTATCTCCAGGTATGTCATTCCCGTCAACCGCGATTAATGTGCGCAAACGATACGTGTTTAGATCTGGCGAGAACACAATGCGGCTGGACACAGTCTCGACAAGGTGAGATATGTTCGATGATGGATTTTTACCTCTCCCTGACAATCTATTTCCAGGCGAAGCAGGAGCTTGCCGTGCACGGCGCCAAGTCATACTTCTCCCGGGGATGAGCAGGATCCGACTCCTGGGCCAGGGACTGAATTGTTTGATTAGTCGCGTAGTTCTGATACATGCGTCTCTTGGACCCTTAGAATGCAGAGAGAGAATGTACATAATACGGCGTATGTCTGAAGCAAGGCAATGCAGGGTCGTTGGAGTTTGGAACAATAAAGCAGCGGTGCAGCGCAAGGTCAGTGCACTGCGTCGGAGTTTGAAATTGATGATGAGTTAAAAATGAGCATTTGCCGGCGTTGATGACTTCTTCCTAACCCACCACATTCAAAAAGGTTTGTTATTTCGCTGCTCATCGCTGTCGACGACGTGCTCAGATCATGTCCTTGCAGCCCAAAAACCGTTTAAAAAATATAAAAAAATCTTTTATATCAAGCGGTTGCATTATTTCTTCCCTTGTGAGTAGTCTTCTTCTGGCACTCAGATCAGAGCTTGGAATTCATCAGCGAGATCTTGTCGTTTGCGTCGCAGAAAAAGCCAATAAAGCAGTAACGACTTTCGAACCCGACCAAAACACAATCAACATGTCTTCTCCTTCTGTTGCAACTTTGGACGCTGCTCCTCAAGTCGTTGCTCCCGATGCTGTTTCCCCGCCCGTTCCCGCTCCTGCACCCGCTCCGGCTCCCTACAACCCTCCTGCACCCGCCTCAGTTGCTTCGGTGCCCTCTGCTTCCCTCTATGTCGGAGAGCTCGACCCCACGGTCACTGAAGCCATGCTTTTCGAGATTTTCAACATGATTGGCCCAGTTGCCAGGTATGCACTCCCCAAACGCCTTGTTTGACAAACGCATGTTGATCGGTTCTTTCCAGCATCCGTGTCTGCCGCGACGCTGTTACTCGTCGCTCCCTCGGATATGCCTATGTTAACTATCTCAACGCTGCAGATGGTGAGCTTTTTCCTTATCTTTGAATCAGTGAGCAGCCTCTGATTCATCGCCTCCCAGGTGAGCGCGCCTTGGAACAGCTCAACTACTCGTTGATCAAAAACCGCCCATGGTATGTTCTTCTTTTTCGTTGGGGTAGGGTCTCGCCTCATGTTCCCCTTCACTTGCAATCAGCCGGATCATGTGGTCTCAACGTGACCCCGCTCTTCGTAAGACGGGTCAGGGCAACATCTTCATCAAGAACCTCGACGAGGCCATCGATAACAAGGCTCTTCACGACACCTTCGCTGCCTTTGGTACCGTGCTCTCGTGCAAGGTCGCTACCGATGAGACCGGACGATCCAAGGGTTACGGATTCGTCCACTACGAGACCGCTGAGGCAGCTGAGAACGCCATCAAGGCCGTCAATGGAATGTTGTTGAACGACAAGAAGGTCTATGTTGGACACCATATTTCTCGCAAGGTTAGTGACCCAAGGATGCACCCGAGGGCTTTCGCTGATAATATTTCCAGGAGCGTCAATCCAAGTTGGAGGAAATGAGGGCCCAGTTCACCAACCTCTATGTCAAGAACCTCGACCCCGAAGTCACCCAAGATGAATTCATCGAACTGTTCAAGAAGTATGGCAACGTTACCTCTGCTGTCATCTCCGTCGACGAGGAGGGCAAGAGCAAGGGTTTCGGTTTCGTCAACTTCGAAACCCACGACGAGGCCCAGAAGGCAGTCGATGAACTCAATGACTTCGAGCTCAAGGGCAAGAAGCTATTCGTCTCCCGTGCGCAGAAGAAGGCCGAACGTGAAGAGGAACTTCGCAGGAGCTACGAACAGGCCAAGCTTGAGAAGCTCAGCAAGTACCAGGGTGTCAACCTCTACATCAAGAACCTTGAGGACGATGTCGACGACGACAAGCTCCGCGCCGAGTTCGAACCTTTCGGTACCATCACCAGTTGCAAGGTCATGCGCGACGAGAAGGGCCAATCCAAAGGCTTCGGCTTTGTCTGCTTCTCCTCCCCTGATGAGGCTACCAAGGCTGTTGCTGAAATGAACAACAAGATGATTGGCACCAAGCCGCTCTACGTCTCACTTGCTCAGCGCCGTGAAGTACGGCGCCAACAGCTCGAGAGTCAGATTGCCCAACGCAACCAGATCAGGATGCAACAGGCTGCTGCCGCCGGTCTTCCTGGCAGCTACGTCAACGGCCCTCTGTATTACCCTCCTGGACCTGGTTTCCCTCCTCAGCCCCGAGGCATGATGGGTTACCCCCAACCTGGTATGCTCCCCCCTCGTCCTCGCTACGGCCCCAATGGCCAGGTTCCTGTTCCCGGCCCTTACGGCCAGGCCCCTCCTCCCCAAGGTTACGGCATGCCTCCCTATGGTGGACAGCGCCCTCCTCGTCCCCAGGGCGGTCCTCGTGGCGGCCCAGGTGGATCTCCCACTCATCCCAATGCCCCCATCCCTCGCTCCAATGGCCCCCAGAACGGTGCGGGCCGACCCCCGGCTCAAGGCGGTCCTCGTGGCCCTGGTCCCGCCAATGCTAACCGCCCTGGTGGTGCTCCTCGTAGCGGCGCTCCTGCCCCCGCTGCCGCTGCTACCCCAGCCAAGGCTCCTGCTGCCGCCCCTGCTCCTGCTTCACCCGGCCCTGCTGCTGATGTGCCCACTGTCACTGCCGCGCAGCTGGCTGCTGCTGCTCCCATGGAGCAAAAGCAAATGCTCGGCGAGGCTCTCTACGTCCGCATCTCTCCGTGAGTACTCGCTTTCTACGCTATGTTGAAACACCGACTTAACCATTACTATAGTACCCAACCCGAGCTCGCTGGCAAGATCACCGGCATGTTGCTCGAGATGGACAACAACGAGCTTCTTCACCTCCTTGACAATGCCGAGGCTTTGAACGCCAAGGTTACCGAAGCTTTGTCCGTCTTGCAAGACTTTGGCAAGGAGGAGGGTGCCCCCGCGGCCCAGTAAATGGCTAGCTAGGCGTCTCGCGTCTTGGGTATCTCAACCCGTCCACTCATTTCATTCTCGCTTGATGCTTGCGGCCGTTGCTTTCAGGAGCACGTCTTCCCCCCTTCGTCTTCGGTTCCATGTCTATCTACTTGCGATCTGTTCATGATCGACGTTGGCGTCGCTTCTTGACTCTTTCAAGATATCACGAGTATATGCTGTCGTATGCGGCAAGCGCATTGTTGTTGTAGTTTTATGTCGGGTATTCGTTGTCGTGTACATTGCATATTGTCCAGGGAATAAGAGGTGATGCAAACGCCAATTGTACTATTATTATCGATGTCTTCTGTGTAAGCGTGCGACCAGTGGTCAATGATTACGGTTTCTGGTCTACATACGGTCAAGAGCTTCAAGCGGCATAGGTCTATTCATTGCTCCATGTCAACGTCTAATCTTTTGGACGCATACACGATATGTATCCGGGCAAATAATGGCGTGGATGGATAGTATAAATCATGCTGGGCATCCCGGATTAATGTGTCGACTTCATCAGCAGTTTTAGGCGCTTGAGGATGGTTGGAAGCCATTCTGGAAAGGAAGAACGGCCGCATAGCCGGAAGTAAAAGCTCGTAGTCCATCCACTGCAGTTGGCCAACGGTAAGGAGGTGAGGGTCTGTATGAGTTTGTCAGAACAGATGGTAGGACATAAGAAGCAGGCACTTTCCTCTCGGCCAGAAACCAACGGGAACATTAGCTTGTCGAATGATTATATTCTCGAACAGCTCGGTCGCTGCTAGAATGCTAGTTAACCGCCGTGGGACCGTCGTGTCGATCCCACCGCTCGCCGAACTGGAATCGGGCCTTCCGTTGCCTGTCCTGCTACGTTTAGAGCCTGAAGTTGCTTCTAGACACGCTCGGAACGTTGACCACAGCCTGGCCCAGTTATGCATCTTTGGTGTCTCTGAAGCATGTCTGCTGCATCTCCTATGGTCTGCAGGCGAACTGGTCGACCGTCTTGTCGGTGACACGGATTTGCCAGTTATAGAGTGTGGGCTTCCTATTAAAGGCAAGGAGAGTGCCGCGGTGGAGGGCGGTGTTCGCGGCCCAGGATTTCCTTGAGAAGCGCTCGAACCAGGGTAAGCGTGCGCGCCAGTTGACATAACTCCTTGATTTCCACCCATCGGAAAAATACCACCACCGACGGATGAAGACGAAGGTGACATCGAGCTTGGATGATGGGGGTTCTGCTGGTGCCGCCCTAGACTCCTTCCGGGTGTGTAAGGCACGGGCGTCTGAGATAGAGGGTTGAGAATTGAATTAAGCTGCCGATTAGTCGTCAGGTAGCTGCGAGGCGCCGAATTTGCTGTCGCTGACGATGGTCGACTTGACGGGGCGGGTGGAGTACTTGCATTGGTTGACGTTAGAGGCGATTGCTGCCATCGCGACGCGGACAAGGGCGCAGGTGAAGCGAATATGGTGGGGCGTGAATTGTAAGGGGAATTCGAATCAGAACCCCCAGTTGTAAGGTTTGAATGACTATCTGTCGCGGTCTGAGCCTGCACGGCGTTTGCCTGGGACAGTCGAATGTCGTTGTCTTGAATGATGATGGGCTCCAGATCGGGTTCGACGAGGAGGACCAGGCCACCCGGTCGCAGCAATCGCCCGATTTCTTGAGCAAGGCGAGGGTAGTTCCGAACCTAAGTAAAGGAATGAATAAGGTTTGTTTGAGATTAGGATTTGGACATTGCGCTGGTTTACCCCGAGATGCACACTCCGCGCGTGTATGAGATCAAACGACGCGGAAGGATAAGGCAAGAACGCGTCGTCCAGATCGCATGTTTCGAAGCTAGATATGACGTATTTCGGGCAAGGCACAGGGGTTGAAGCATCCCGATAGCACAGCCGAGCAAAGGTCGTCGAGCGAACAAGGCACAGGGAGGCAGCCAGGAGGGAGCGAACAAGGAAATAGGTCATGATCATCAGGTCCCGTTTCAGTGGCGCGTTAATTAACACACCAAGGGCCAACCGGCGAAAAAGAAAAATGGACGAAAGGCGCGGAAACGAAAGGGTTAGCGTTCCGGTCTGGTGGTAACAGACAAAAGGCGAGCTTACGTGCAATTCGGAGGAACATATCTGTTGGGACTGTGGTGAGCAATGAGGTGCGGGGATGCCGGAAGAGGCAACCTACTTGGGTTGAATAGGCGCTATGTCGATTCCAATGACCTCTGCACGGGGAAACTCGTCCGCCATATCGATAGCCCATTGGCCGCTACCGGTTCCAAGGTCGAGAACTGGAAGAATGGCTCAATAGGGTGATAAATCGAGAGAAGTAGGGGCACACGCACTACGCCGCTTCTGACCGAACTGCAGGGCCTCTTTGACGGGGCCGACGTAGTTCTTGCCTGAAAAGACGAACTGCATCATGCGGTGGTGAAGCTCTGAGCGTTTGACCTCGTCGTCGTCGACGGGGAGAGGGTATGTGGAGGAGACAGAAGACATTCTGCGGCCATGGTAGTCGCGAAAGAAGTCGTCGAGAGGGACGTCTTGTTGAGGTTGGGCAGATTGTGTCGGAAACATGAATACTGGGCAACAACGGGTCGATGTGACAGGAAGGGCATGATCTTATATTGAAAAGAGAAACTGGTAAAGCGCCTGTTAGTTGTTGTAGACTAACAAGTTCAAGTAACCGAAGAGAATAAATCGGATTGTTTCCACGTGAGACACAATTTCTCTCATTAAACCACCACCGTCATGGACACCATCGAGCTCACCGACTTGTCACAGCGCCGACAGCCTACCCAACAACGGACACAACAACGATCAGACTTGGACACCAATACATTCATTCAGGCTGCCGTTCTTGCAGCCCTGGGCCTGCTTCTAGCGTTGTTTCCAGGTTTCGTCCAGTACCTTGCTGCAGAACGTGGGAGTGACACCAATTCACACCTCGAGCGCTTCCTCTCACTCCACTTTGGGATCTACCTGTTGGCATTCGCTGTTTCTTTGCTATTGAACGTATGTCGAATAGTAATAATGTACAAAACTGACGTGCTGAATATCCGGCTAGACAAAGGCACATCCATTGCTCGTGCCACTGACCGTGGCGTCATCATTATCCACCTTCCTGGCCTACAACACAAACCCTCCCCATTCTTTCGCAACTACATTCTTCCTCGCGAATCTCATACTAGCTGGGTCCGGTTGGATAATGATACTCTTCCCCACTGAGGACCTGTCCAAGACGACTGGCGCAGACAAACGAACGTCTGCCTTCATATTCGGTAACAAGTCCGCAGCGTCCCGCATTAAGAAGGCATGGAGGAGGGAGACAGAGTCCAGGTGATGGATAAGTTTCAAGGTCGTTCCCATTATCGGCCACCCATCCCGCCCATCATCTTTCCAAACATATCCGCCATGTTAGGCATGCCGCCCAGTCCCCCCAATCCTCCGAGACCACCCAATCCACCCAATCCCCCTAGCCCTCCGCCACCCATTTGTGCCATCATTCCTGTAACATATCAGCCATCTGTTACATGTACACGAAGCAGTTTGCTTACTTTGCATTTCCTCGATATCGAACTGATCGCCTCCTTGTCCCTGCATCATGGCTTTCATCATCTCCTGCATACCGCCACCACTGCGAAGCTGTCTCTGCATCTGCTGCAACATACCGGGCGGCATCGCACGCTGCATTGCTTGAATCTGCTGTGGCGTAGGCATGCCATTAAGTCCACGTCCTTTACCACCAGCAGCCTGCTGCATCTTCTGCATCGCACTTAGCCAGCCGTTCTTGCCGCCAGCCTGTTTCGCCATATTCGCCATCATCCGGTACTGACATAGCAGTTCCTCCACTTCCCGAACGCTAGTACCACTGCCCTTCGCCACGCGGGTGACCCTCCAAGTGAGGCCGGTTGGTTTGCCGTCCTTTCCTGTGAGTAGAAATGGTGACCCATCGGAATCCAGTTCGCTTGCGGTCATGCTGTCCGTGATGTAAATCATCCTCTTCATCCTCATACTGCCTTCTTCGTCCGATCCTTGCAGCAACTCCTGCGGCAATCCGGGGATCATGCTCGCAATCTTGCTTATCGGACCCATGTTCATCACGTTCTGTATTTGTTCGCGCCAGTCTCGGATCGAAAGCTTTCCCTCTTCGAGTTTCTTCGCCATTTCTTTCTGTTTGTCAGGGTTCTGTGTCGCCAGATCTTGCATGTGTTCCATGAGTCCCTGAACATCGCCAAGTCCGAGTAGTTTTGAAATGAAAGGTTGAGGAGAGAACCTGTCAAGATCGTGTAGATGTTCTCCTACACCCAGGAAGATGATTGGTGTTTTGGTGGCCGCCACAGCCGAGATAGCTCCTCCTCCTTTGGCATGACCATCCATCTTGGTGACAATGATCGCGCCAAAGTCTGCCGATTCCTTGAAGGCCTTCGCCTGTCCTTCCGCAGCTTGACCAATACTCGCATCCAAAACGAGCACCGTCATGTCTGGCTTCACCGCCTCGCTGATCTCTATCATCTCTCCAAACAGCTCCCTCTCCTGTTTATGCCGCCCACTGGTATCCACGATCACCACCTCGAACCTCTCCTTCTTAAACTTCTGGACACCTTGTTGGGCGATAGAGACCGGGTTGGTTTCGGTGTAGCTACCAAAGTAAGCAATTTTGGCTTTGGTACATGATTGGCGAGTTTGGTCGAAGGCACCAGCACGGAAAGTGTCCGCGCAAACGATGGCGGATTTGAATCCACGTTTCTGGTAGTAGGCGGCGAGCTTGGTACATGTCGTGGTTTTGCCGTTACCCTGTAGACCGACGGCCATGATGACGTTGGTGCGACCCTTGACGGGTTTGTAGGGTTCGACACCCGGGTCTACCAAGGCTACGAGTTCATCGAAGACAGCCTGTGGAGTCGATTTAGTGACGACTGAATATTGGGTAGTTCGATAAATGAGTACCTTCTGGATCAAATGCTTCTTGTTGCTCGGTTCCTTCTTCTCGCCCTGGCCGTCGAGAGCAGCCTTTACTTTGGCCTTGACCTTTTGCCTCAGCGATGCAACGAGTTTGACGTTGACATCGGACTCCAGCAGAGCAGCGGTGATTTCTTTGAGAGTCGCATCGAGGACCTGTGTGTGCCGTTTAGGCCCAGAATCTTGAATAGAAGTAGGTTTATTACCTTCTCATCGATTACTGGCGCCCTGTTGAGTGAAGAAAGTGCTGAATTGAGTTTTCGACCTAGATCTGCTAAAACCATAGTGAGGGTCCTGGGGGAGCAGAGTCAAGACGAGGATGATCGCAACTTCCTAATGCGGAGGGCGCTCGTGTCCCTTTGCCGTTTGGGGGTTTGCCCCTTTCTCCACGACCATCACAGCTTCAGTTTTCAATATGCACCCGAGCGAAGCAAGCCATGATTCAGAGGACGACGAATACGACCTTGAAGTTGAGGACGACGGTGTAGGTGGTAGCGAGGCCGGGGATTACGATCCTACTGGAGGTGCAGGGGATAACGGGACGGACGGAGACGATGTACGCATGTGTTCTTCTTTGGTCTACCAATTGACGTTATCAATGATTTAGGACTCGAACACAGACGATTCGGATGACTCGGACGACGATGAAGATGAAGGAGAGGATAATGACAACGACAATGACAACGATAACGACAACGACATGGTAGACGACAATGCAGAGGAAGAGGACGAAGAAGCCGACAGGCTTCAGCAAGAGTTGCAGGAAGCTATGGACATTGACGCCGAACTTTCAGAGCTTCACGAACTGGAGAAGTCTGCTGCAGAGGCACCTGAAATTAGCACGAACGATGAAGAACTGGCTCTCGAGGACGACTTGTTTGGCGACGACCAAGAGGAGCCTCCGCAGCTTGGACAGGCGCGCGGAATATCGCCTGGGACAAGCGCGCCCCCACCTTTGGATATTCCCTTGCTCAATGCAGAAGACGACAGAGATGCGTCTATGCAACCGCTTTCTTCACCGCCCCAACCACAGTCACCGACCTCTGTGACAATGGGCTCACCAGCACGTCGACGGCGTTCACCATCGCCCGAAACGCGCCATAGGCGTTCTTTGATCTTTGCTCCCATTGGAAGCAACCTCTCTACCTCTTCTCTCGCCTTAAATGGAACGGCGCCTCCACCCTCAGATCCAGTCAACGCGTCGCCGCGAACTCCACGGTCATATGCCGTCGAGGCCATCTGCGCGCTCCCACATCCAGTCCCAACCAACGCCTTGGCCTCGTCCCAGTGCATGACCCATTTCATAACAGGGTCAGACGACGGCTATATCAGAAGCTATGATATATTTGCTGCGGTGAATGGCAAAACGTTTTTGACCCAGCCTCAAAGGCAGCACGCGGGCGTGGTGGAAGGACTGTTCAAGAGCGGCCAGATACGATGTTGGTGGGAAAACCCCGCGATTGGAGAGAGCCAGAGACGGTTGGGATTGCTCTCCAACTTGGCCATGCCTCAATCGGGTCCGTTTATCTCGACCTTTGGAGACGATTCAGATGGGCTCGCACCTGTATATAGCCTACTGATGCACTCTGACGGCCTGTGGGCACTCGCCGGTAGCGACGTGAGTCTTCTTCCTTTTCTGAAGTAAATTTCTGAGACGACTGCTGACTCCCTTACCAGTCTGGTCATATTAACTTGTTCACAGTGCGACATGAGCCTGGACGTCTCATCCATACCATGGACAAGCATCGCGGACCTGTCTCGGCCATGGCGATGGATTATGACGAAAAAAGTTTCTTCAGTGCAGGCTGGGATGGTGAAGCTCTGGTAAGGTTTATTATTAGGTTTTCAAGATACATTACTCAGCTTGATATTAGCAATGGGACCTCAATACAGGCAAGAACGTTCGTAATTTCATCGCGCATGGAGCGCAGCTCGCTGCCATTGCTGTCCGTCCAGATTATTCCGGCCCTTACGTTGACCCCTCCCCTCCTGCTGCCGTCGTATATAGACGAAAGGATCGCAAGAAAGAGAGACGGGACAAGGAAGATGAGGAATTCGACGGAGATTCGAACCCTATCTTGGCTGCAAAGATGGAAGACCCGATTACCGCTGCGACACACACAAGAGGACCTGTAGACGTATCCATGGGTGATGCAACCGGATCAATGTCATTGCTTGGGGGATCTCCCTCCAAACATGACAGTCAAACACCCGTTCCTCAGGAATCGTCTTCGAATCCAACAGAGCCCGATGCCATGGACGGCCAAGGTGACGACGCCGACAACAAATCCGACGACTCCTTTGATCCTCTATTCGACGAGGAAGGGGACGATGGGGACGGGGAAGGCAACCCAACACCGCCGCAACCTGCAGAACCATCGAATTCACCACCAGCGCAGCAGCAACTTGCTAAAGGTTCTAACCCGTATTCCAATATCACCTTTACTGCCCCTCTCAACCCCGCCACTAATCCGCCTGGCAATGTGAATGCAGCCAAACCCGTCGTTCCTGGCGCACCCCAGTCCCATTTTGTCACGTTCAATCTTGGCCCATCTGCACCGCAAGGAAACCAACAACAATCGGGCGTGCAGTCATATTTCCATGCGATCCCCCCTGCAGCACAACCAGCACCTCCGCCTCAAGGAGGCCAACAATTCCAATTCCAACTGGCAAAGCCGTCCGGGGCTTCCAAAGCTGGATCTGTCTCACCGTCGAAAGCACAACAACAACAGCAATCTCAACCACCACCACTGCCCCCTCCTCCACCGCAACCGCAGCCACCGCGCGCTGCCTCCGTCAAGCCTTCGAGACCCGCTACGCAGGCTCCGTCGTCTTCCATCGGAGGAGGTATCGCGGCTCCCAAGAATGCGCCTCCTCTCTTGGAGCCGGCAGGGTATCAAAATTTTTCCAGCGATTTACTCATGACTGCCTTCGTTGACGGGCAAGTGATACTCTGGGATCGACGTGTGTCGAGCCCAGGAAGAGGGGTCGGACGACTCTGGATGAGCGAGAAGACTCCGCCATGGTGTCTCAGCGTAAGCTTCCTCACCTAGATGCATCTATGAAAGCTAACATTTCGTTGCCCTCAAGGCGTGTTGGTCATGGGACGGAGGTCAGATATACGCTGGTCGGCGAAATGGAACAATTGATGTCTGGGATGTCCGGTTGATGGGCAGGTCAGGGCCTGACAACATCCCTCGGCTATTGAAGACAATCCGAAATCCACCAAGTTCAGGCGTCGTTTCTTGCGTGGTACCATTCCCTGATTGTCGACACATTGCTTGGTGAGTACTAGTCGTTGAGGGTTTTGTTCATGCAATAGGCTAACTTTGGCTTGTAGCGCCTCTGTGGATAATATTCGTCTTTGGAACGTTGCCGAAGCAGCTGGGGAAGACTCTTCAATGTCCCGTTCTTCGCGAGGCGGTGTATTATTCAAGATCATTCCGGGACACCATGGAGGCTACATTTCGCAAATGCGTAAGTGCAAACCGTAGTCTCAGAAAGCCTCGACCTAACGAGATCGCCAGTTGTCGACCCAGGAGCCAGATTTATGATAACAGCGAGCAGCAATCGAGGATGGCACGGCGACTCGACAAGAACCGTCTTCGTCCATGACATCAAACAGTTGTTCTGATACCAGCCATTCTTCTCAGCCCATCTACTTTATTACCTAGTCGACCGTAATCTACTATCGCATTCAGAAATGTAGAATCTAATGTACACAGTGCCATTGCCGAAACTGACATAGATAAAACGTCACACAAGAGAACAACAAACGAAATTAGAAAAAATAGACGTGCCAGGTGAGCAACAAATTACAAGACGACAAGAGAAAGTAATTAAATGAACACTACCAGCCTCCTTGCCCCCAACCAGAACCAGGGTTATTTTGCTGTACATGCATCGGAGGACGAGGAGGTCCCTGGCCGCCAGGTGGCGGCATGTTGGGGTGGGGTCGGTGGCTCGGAGTCTGGTACCCGTAAGTGCTGGAACCATATGGAGGTTGGGGTACCATGGGGTTGTGCCCATACGGGTTGGGCGTTCGGCCAACATGTCGTACAGATGCATGGCCAGGAGTGGCAGCGCCAATAGGTCGGGCTGGTGTTCTACCATGTCCCGCACCAAAGGGGGTTTTCCCGCCATTTTGTGCTTGGGCTGCCCGAGTTTGCGATTCGTGAAGATGGCGAACTTTGAAGGCATCGCACAACTCGGAGACACCGACAGCGGAAGCATCGAATAGATAGTATGCTTCAGGAGTAACCCGGATTGGCTGAAGTGGCGATTAGGTTTGTAATCATACTCTACGGTCAAAAGATAACATACCCAGGTTTGCACAGTCGAGTTTTTGTTGGCGAGGAAGCAGAGGCTGAAGTTGCCTGGCTTCTTGCGATTGAGTGTGAAACCGTACATGCTCTTCATAGGATTTGCAGCGAGGAAGTTCTTGAGGAATAGGTCTAGCGTCAAAAGGTCAGCAACATCGCCAAAAGAGGAGCAATTTAACGCAACATACGCAAGTCTTCTTCTGTCCCAGGTTTGAATTTCTCGTGGTTCATCAAATCTTCCACACGACGTGCCATTGCCTGGACATGGTTGACGATGAGCTCGTCCAAGTCCGCATATACGTGGTTGTCGTCGACATAGAGCTGCCCTCCCGCTGTCTGGCCCGTGGGATCTGGGTTCTTCTCGACGACATCTGCAAAGAATCGGTGAGATGGAGGCTCCAAACGGAGAAAAGCATACTGCCCACCAATGTGTTGGTAAAGACCAGTGTCCACTTTCCAAGTAACAGCCAAATGGTCGTTGCCCCTCGATGAAGGGCGGATGACGACGTCGCCGCGCTGCTGCTTCTCAAGATACGCCTCGGCCTGCGCGTAATTGAAGTTGTGGAAGTTGGGATGCTTGATAACCCTGCGGGACCTATCCGTCTGCTGACGTTTCTTGCGTTCGAGAGCGTCCTTGTCCTTGTCGTGCTGAGCTTGATTCCAATGCTCGTCATGAGCGACCCGCCTGAAGGCTTGGTCTCCGTCCTGGACCTCCCTGTTACGCGTTGATAGCTCGACGAACAACGTCTCTTTGTTGTCTTCCTCGATTCTGCAGTCGATGATAACGCCGGTGACGGTCTGACCCTTCTTAACAAGCTTGTTGGGATTATCGGGCTTGTCTGCGATGTATTGAGCATTGATAGTTGCCTCGATGCCAGAATCCAGTCGGACATTGACGAAGCCGCTGTTGATTCTGTTGACGACAGCGGACACAATGACACCAACACGCAAAGTGCGGGGGGTTTCGCCACTAAGCATGGTAATGATTTCCCATCCCTCCGGGAACCGGAACAATCTTCGCTGATCAGCAAAGGGATGGAGGAGCTCATTCCGGATGAGGCTGAGTGTATGCCGCTTCTGGTCTTGATTGGCCTCGTATAAGCTGATTGCGAACTCGTCCAAGTTCAATTCCATGAGCTTCTTCTCCCTCTCTCGGTCCACCATGATTAAGTTGACAACATGCGACGGGTGTTCGTCGTGGATATCCTCTTCATCCAATTCCAATGCGTCGGTCGCCATTTTGCGTGCTAACTCATAGTCCTCGGGGTGTATCCTGGTGTCATCCAATGGGTCTGGGGCGTTGTCATCGTCGTGTCGGTGTTTATCAAGTCGCGCTTCGCCTTTGTACTGAGTGATACGCAGGAAGCCTGCCGCGTTGAGGAAGATCTTGGTGGTCAACACACCAGCCTTGATGAATTGTTCCCGGTTGACGAGATTTCCTCCCTAAAGGCGGCGTCAAACATGAGTCAGAACACAGTGTAGCTTTACGTACCAACGACGCAATTTTTGCGACGAGGGCATTCGCCTTCCTTGGCCCAAGCCCACAAACGAATTGCAGGAGGTGTTGATAATATGGATCAGAGACGGACCGGTTAATGTTGACGCCCACAGCGTTGGTAACATCAACCAAGACGCGCTCTAAGGCCAACAGCAGCTTCTCTTTAGGAACCTGAGGAGAGAGTAAGTATCCGACAGTTGCCAATTTCCGAAGAGTCTCACTAAATGCTGGTCTTCTTCGTCGAAGGATATGGCTGCAACGTCTGGACCGAGGGCAGCGAACTCGTTCAGAGGACTCTGCATGTAACGGGCTAGGCCAACGCAGTACTTTGCCGTCAAGGAGAGGGAGCTGAACTCCTCAGTTGCCCGCTCACTATGTTGGTATATCCTGGCAACATCGTCGGGGACGTAGTTCACATTTATTTGGAACTCTGGTCTGATTAGAGCTCCATCTTGACTGTAAGCCTGCGCGCTCAAAACTTCCGTAATCCGCTGCTTGAGTTTGACTGTGGCCATGCTGAACCCTCCAATGACGATGATATCTGGTCGCTTTTGACCAATTAGGTCGTGAAACTCGTCCAGGTTGTCTTGATCATAGAGATTGTCGATCTTGGTCTGGGCGCGAAGACGTCCAGCAGTGTCCAGGAAAACCATAGTGATCGGATCCTTGTGAGGGTCGCCCTTGCCCCATGAGACGGCTAGCACAGACGAGGCATATTCGCCCTCGCCAAGGGAGCGACGCATATACGGAGCAACATCAACGCGCTACATATACGGTCAATAGATGACAAGGTAAGTAAACGGAAAAGCGCACCTCTCGCAATTTCTCCGCACATTTCTGTGCAAGGAAGTCCTCCACTTCATCGCGCAGCCATTCGCGAGTCCACTTGACACCAACGGCAATGAGATGTTTCTCGAGAACTTCCTGCACTACGAGGTTGCGCTCCATATTCCAAGCTTTGGCAGAATCGCTGAAGCTGTCCGAACAGATAGCATCGGACAGCCTCTTCTCAAAGGTCTGAAGGACAGCGGGAGGAAGGAAAACGGAGACAGTGACAAGATGTTCGGCTTCCGCGGTGAGAATGAGTAAGAATTGGGAGGAGGTCGTCATGTCCTTGACTCGCTTTCGGAATAGATATTTGAAGTTCTGCGAAAAAGCGTGAGTTCAATGGAGTGTTGAAGGAGATGCAAAACTGACAAAGTAAGGATGATGGTCGTCGATTTTTGCGATGCCCCGTTCTGTGGGCTCGACGGAGATGAGAGCCTCTTCCTGGAAGAGCTTTCGAATTTCCTTGCGCAGGAGAGGGTCTTTGCCGAGCTCTGTAGCCATGACCATGCGGGCACGTGCGAGGAGCGCCTCCGGAGATTGGGCCTTCACTGGGTCCGGATCGACGTATTGCTCAGCAAAGGCGATGGGATTCAACTCGGGATCTTCGACATAATGGGTGTTGACAGCCCCCATGTTGAAATAGTTCTGGACGACTTGGTGAGGCTCGATACCGAAACCCTGTTTGCCATACCGTCAGAATGATTTTTACGCCCATTATGCACCAACGTACCTCTGCCAGTTTGGAAACTATGCTCTTTTTAGCGATTTCATAGGCAGATATGCGACTTGGCATCTTAGGCTTCTTGACTTCTGGTTGTGGCTCTTCATCGTCGTGGAATCTCAATTCCGGTTGCTGCTGTTGTTCTTCCTTCCTGTCTCTGTACTTCATAGTCAACCACTCAGTGGCGTCGGCCACAAACTCGATGCTGTCAACCTGGGGTAGAAGGTCCGAGTCGAAATATTCATCGTTGACTTGAAGGCGCTCGTAAAAGGTCGTCAGCGTTTTCCGGCGTTCGAGAAGTGAGCGGTATTTTTGGCCCAGGTTCATGATGATCCAGAGTTCGGAAAGGCCCAGCAATTCAAAACGATTTTTGGGGTCGTTGGTGTCGAAGTGGGATATATAGTCACGCTTGTGGACCCAGATATAGGGAACTTCGTACTGGTCGACGAAGAGGGACTTGAGTACAAAGGTGACAGCCATCACCAAGTGGCTCTTGAGGTGTTGGTACTCGCCATCGCTGGCAAAGAACTGGTGGGTCTTCCGCAAAGGTAGCCTCTGGGTAACCCACATAGCAGCTCCCCCTAGATCATCTTCAGCCATGACTCCGTAAAGCGACAATGACGAAGATTGTGACAGGGCGGAAGAAGCAAGTTGCATGCGTTCCGGAACATCTCTTGCTCGGATGAGATCGTCGTCCTCTGTCAAGTGTCGGCGTCGAATTTCACTCGGCTCGAAAACCTTTAAATCAATCAGTTACAGTTCGGTGAGCATGCAGCAAAGATTACTCACATCCTGGTATCTCATGTCAGGCTTAAGATAATCCATCTGCTCAATGTCATCGTCAAGCTCCAACGCCCAGTTGTAATCTTCCCCATCCCCGAACACGTCGTGCAGTTCGTCCCATGCGCTGTCAAAGGGTCAATATGTAGTCGTAGCCGGTGGTTTGATTAAACGTACTTGATATCGATTCCAGCAAGCTCTGGGCGCGCTCCACGTGCTCGTCGACGACGTTCTGCGTCCTGTTTCTGAGCACGTCGCCTTTCTTCTCGTCCTTCTTGTCCCCCCGCTTCATCGTCACTGTATTCAATAAAGCTGTCTGTATCCATTCCATCGTCGTCGTCGTCGCCTCGCTTTTCATCATCCCACAAGTCATGTACCGCGGAGCTACGATTGCGACCATCGTCTCTATCGAGGTCCTCGTCTGAAGACTCAATGATAGCTCGTCGCTTGGATGAAGATGCCGCTGGCGGAGACTCGGATTCGCGACCGCGTCGTAACCGTCTGAGACGATTCTTGTGTGACGTCCCAGTGTTTTCCTCCAGTAACTCGAGATCGTCCTCTTCCAATTGTTCCTCTTCCTCGCCTATGCTTGGGTCAATCCAAGTGAATACGGAGAACAAGGAGCATACTTACGGCGACGGTGGTGCCTCTTTCGGCGTTTGCGACGGCGTCTTCTTTCACGTTCCTCCTCCTCGTCTTCCTCTTCTTCTTCCTCATCTTCGTCGACAATAAAACCCTCGCGAATTCTCCTCTCTTCCTCTTCGTCCTCTGACTCCTCCTCCGAGCTATCGTCCAGGTTCCTCATTGCAACATCGTCTGCCTCCCCTTCCCCCTCGCCGTCCTCTTCTTCGTGTGTGGTCATAGGGACATCTTCTTCCTCGTTTTGAAAATGAGTGAATTCTTCAAGTGTGGGAGAGGCCATTGGTGACCTTGGACGTCAGTGTGGAAGGTGAGAAGCCGGCGCGTTCGCTGGAACCCGAATGAAGTTTGTATGTACAGGATTTGTAAGCAACACCCTTGAGCGGAACTACGATGGCCCCCCACGGTATGCGTTTTCGAAAATGTTGTATCCCAGACCACTGCTTATTGTCTATACAAGACGACCATATTGTCTATATGAAAATGGCCCTAGAGGAAGCCGAGAAAGCGGTCCCAGTTCCAGGTGCTTTTTGCGTCGGATGCGTTCTCGTCGCGCGCCTCCTACACAAGTCTGTCGTGCTCTCCACCGGCTATTCTCGAGAACTTCCAGGAAACACACATGCAGAGGCAAATGCATTGGCCAAGGTTGCGGAAATATCACCAAAGGAATGGTCAGCGCTGTCCGAGTCATATGAAGCCTCCTCCGATCTGAGCAAGATCCTAGAATGCACGGACGTCTACACCACTCTGGAGCCTTGCTCAATCAGGACATCGGGTCTAAGCCCCTGTGCAGACGCCCTTATCAAAGCAAAGGTGCGACGATGTATCATTGGCGTCAATGAGCCCCCCGATTTCGTCAAATGTGAGGGCGCAGATCGCCTCAAGGCTGCCGGGATTGAAGTTATATGGCTCAGTGGCATGGAGGAAGATTGTCTTCGTGTAGCAAGGAAGGGACATTAATCATTACGGGCTCTAAAGGAGATTACAGCATTTTAAACATATTCTAATCCTTGTACGAAAGGGTGGTCGAAACAACGGAAGCCCATTCTTGGATGATGTCCTTCGCCTGGCCTTCAGTCATGATGTTATCCACAGCTTCAATGGACATCAAGATAGAATCCGACTCTTCGTAAACAATGATGTCCACCACCACGTCGTTCTGGCAAAGAGGGGAGACTGCCAGCCGGTCCAGAGTGGGTGTCACTGTTGGGACCGCGATCCTTGGAATGTAATACGGAGCCTGTAAAATGTTGGTCATCAATAGGTCGAAATGGAAAACGACGAGATGCCTTCTCACCTTGACAGGTTCCACCAAACCATCGCGCTTGAGCGTAACAGGGAGCTTGACGACGTTGACATTGACATTGAAAATGGGGGTCTCTCCCGACATTCCAGTCCACTTGGAAATATTGACCAGGTCGCTATGCTCGATAACTGGCTGTGACAGCCTCTCCGAGAGATCAACTTGGATGCGCTTCGTGACCTCCACCAGCGACCCTCCCACCTTCACATGAATAGGGAGCACGTTGACACAAGGAACCGCAAGACGCTCGATGCCGTCGATGTGCCCGGAACGACTGACTTGCCAAACTCCGAACGTCGAGGCCGAGGTGCGGGAGCGGTTGGCCTGGACCTGCGCCCAAGCGGCGAGCAAGACCGTCTGCAAAGTGACCCCCAGTTTTCTCGCCTGCTCTTCGTACCGGGAGACATTCGTCAAAGCCCCCGGAACCATGATTAACTGAGGCTGTCCTGTTGGGGTGGCTAAAGGCCCTTGTACCTCGTTCAACAATGAAGGGAGGAGCGAAGGTTTGAACGATGGAGACAGTGCCTTCTCCCAGAACCTCCGTTGTACGCTAAGGCGCTCTTCGTTGGGATCGAAAAGAGACGTGAATGCCCGGAGATCGGTAACGGCCCAAGGTTCTTGATCGTAATAGATAGAGGAGAGATCGTTCAGAAGGACTTGCATGCTCCATGCATCGTATTGGAAGTGGTGAATATGGAAGATGAAATAGGACTGCTTGTCCGACCGGAAAAGAGCCGCTCGAACAGGGGGGCGGGAAATCGGGACAGGGTCAGAAACCATCTCCTTCATCTTCCCGAGGAGACGCCGATAGAAGACAGCGTCGTCGACCACTATTTCAGCCCAGTGATCAAACTTGAAGTCCTTGGAGAAGGTCACGATTCGAGGTTCGGTGCCACCTGGGGCAGTGGCAAAGGTGGACCGCATTAGTTCATGGCGCCGGATAAACATATGCCAGGCGTTTTTGAACCTTGCGTGATCGACGTCGTCCGGGAGCTTGAAGGTAAAGAGGTACTGGAACAGAGATCCGTTCGTCCGTTGCCAACCACCAATGGCCCATTTCATGCCAGCTGTGGTGACCGAGATGTTCTCGATGTATTTGGCGTCGTCTGCGAACCGGCGCGCGATGCTGTCCTTCTCCTCGCTGGAGAGGGGTTTGAAGACTCCATCAGAGACCTGTGTCGACTTGGCGGTCGCCTTGATCTCGGTGGCTTGCAAAACCAGATCCTTCACAGTGCTGGAGTTCAAGATCTGGGTTGCAGTCAGACGAAGGCCAGATCGCCTGCACTTTCCAGATATCTGGATGGCAGTTATGGAATCGATACCCAAGGCTGGGAGAGGAGTGTCGAAGGTTACTTCCGCGTCAGGGGCGAAGTCGCGGATCGCTGACAACAGAACTGGGTGAATGATTCCCGCTTGAACCGTCGCTGGTGCTGGAGCGACCACGGTGGTGGGAGTAGGATCCGTGTTGGAAGGTGATGGGACAGAGAAGGTACGACCAATGCGTTCTTTGGGATTGGCGACAAATTGCTGAACCGTATTGGATAGAGTGTCCATGAAATTTAAGAGACCTGCTTTGTCCAAGACGTTGGATTGGCAGGCACAACGCACCGAGAAGCCATCTTTGTTCTGCTCGATCTCTACATGGAGTGGATACTGGCCAATAGGTTTCAGTACACCTCGCGCTGTGACAGTGAAGCCATGTGGACACACCTGTATATGGATGTCTTCGTGTTCCTCGATATCGAGACTCCAGATGGCGGCTTGGGGAGGAGGGGCCAAAGGCTGGAATGTGAATAAGCAGTCCCAAATTCTGTCCACCATGAGTGCCTTCTGGATTGACCTCAACGACGCTTGTTGCCATGACGCCGCCTCCATATTGAAGCGATGAATGGACTGAAGCAGGGCGTCGACTGAATCATGGTCTGAGATGTGAACCCGACAAGGAATAGTGTTCTGGCAGCAAGGTCAGTGGAATCGACTTCCTAATGGATAAAAAACCTACCAAGATGGGTCCGACCACCTCTTCGGTTCCACGTCCAACTCTGCCAGATACAACGTTGCCGAAGACGACGTCCGCAGATCGAGTCAGTATAGCGAGAGATTGTGCCAATGCCCCTTGAAGAAGGCATTGCAGTGTGACCTCCGTCTCTGTCAGAAGCCTCTTCAGATCGACATCTTTGACTTCAACTTGTCGGATCGAAATGTGGTAGGGGTCAGAGCTCGGGAGCGAGTGAAGGGGAAGGAGGGTGCGTTCGAGGTTCTGCAGCTGTTTCTCCCAAAATGCAGTGCCTTCACCTCTTGACGGAAGAAGTCGGGAAGTAGATCGGCAAACTGGACGGGGTACGAGATTGACTCGCCGCGATAGATGCGTTGTACGACGTCGAGCAAAGAATTTACGGAACCCCCGTCGTAGAGTGCATGGTGCATCACCAATGCGAGCACGGAGGGTCCCTTAAGGGGCGTGAAAACGCGAAGCCAAAAGGGTGGTGTGGAGAAGGCAAATTCGTCCGTGCATTCAATGCTCTCGACGAATGATTTCACAGCGGAGGTGACATTGACGAAACCCTCGAGATTCTGGATAGACCATTTCAACTCGTTGAACGAGTGAATGACTTGAACCCATGTTCCGTTGTCTGGAATGAAGTGGAAAGAGGTCCGCAGAATGTCAATCTTCTCTGCTGCAGCTTCCCAAGCCGACTTCAGGCGTTGCACGTCGACACCCGGGGATAAGGTCAAGGGGAATGCATGGACATACAGACGACCATCCGATCCGACAGTCTGCGACACCAAAGGTGAGTGAAGCGTCATCAAGATGACGCAGGTACGTACCTGTGAAAGCATTCCTGATTGTAACGCCGTGGAAGGGATGATTTTCACTTCGTCCTCCGGCGAGAGTTGCACCTCGGACTTCGAGATGTACCCTTCTACTTGTCGGACAAGCTGAGCGTAATGTTCGTATGGTTCTTCCTTCTTCTGCTTGTTGTTGCTGACAACCCGAGCCAAGCGCTTCAGAGTCGACGCCCGAAGGATTTCAGTCGAACTGACGTCGTAGCCCAATGCGCGGATACGCTTCGCCAATCCGACTGCCTTGATCGAGTCGAGGCCAAGAGAGATGAACGACACGCGGTTCGTTAGAATGGCTGTAGGAATTTCCAAAAAGTCGCAGATGGTTTGTTGAAGGTCGGCGACGACGACTGGGTCGAGAAGGACTTGAGCAGAAGGATCTTCGTCGTCATTGACCTTGCGAACTGGTTCCGGTGAACGGCGACTGGGAAGCGGCAGTTCTTCGCCCTTGTCTAATGTAAGCGTGACTTTCTCAAATCCGTGCAAAAGATCTGCGACATGGTCTTGAGTGATCAGACCGTCCAGCCAAGCAGCACGGACGATCAAAGTGTCATCATGAACATTGACCACTGCTTCTACGGAAAGGGCGTACTAAAACACGCTCAGTACGGTCGGTGGGTTGGTAGTAGTGATTTAGAACATACATCGGCTGCGGGGGGCTCATAGTCACACGGGCGCCAGATTTTGCTTTCTTCCTGCTGTTGGACGGAGACCGAGAAAAGCACTTCGAAAAGCGGTTCACCAGGACGGAGCCAATTCTGCACTTTGCCCAGAGGAACATGCTCATGTTCGGTCATAGTTGAGATCCCGTTCTGAATATTGACTAGGGTCGAATTGGCGTCGCCGAGCCTGACCCGCATGGGCAATACCGTGATTGTAGGACAAAGTGCGACGTCGACATTGTCAACAGGAAGCATACGGCCTGACCGGATGACCTGGAACTCGATATCAATATCCACGAATACGATTTTTATTCGAAGAATGTCACTCACCCCAAAAGCAACATCGTTGGAGTCGTAAAGACGCGACCCGATCAAATAGGCGAAGGTGAACGACAGAAGGGCTTGAAGAGTGACTTGTTTTTTGTTGGCGACCTCTCTGATGACGGAGAGCTTTTGAGTGAAATGAACGGATAGATATTTGACGGAAGAGGCCAAGGCGTTCGAGCCCTGCCTGAAAGCGGGGCGAGGCCACTCGAACTCGCGGAAAGAATCTCTCCAGAATTGCTGTGCCAGTGCGAGGTCATGTTTGGAGATCTCCGCCAATATAGCGCGCAGGGAGGCCTTCTGAACACGTTCCAGGCCAAGGTAGCTGTTCTCGACGTCTCTCAGTAGAACCGGAAGGGAGGTTCCATCGTACAAGGCATGATGGATAGACAACACGAGGACATTGAAGCCGGTGCACCTGAAATAAGCAAGTCGGAAAGGTGGGATCGAGGAAAGGTTTCGGTTTATGTCCTTGGTAATTTCACCAGCGAAACGGGAATAGAAGCGCGCTCTGAACTCTTCCACGGTTTTCACGGACAAACTTCGATCCGACCAAGAGTTGGGAAGATTGAAAGATTTGAAAACGACCTGCCAGACGGAGCGATCAACGTAGAATACAGTCCTGTTGAAAACATTTTGTTAGCCCTGGCTAAGGCGCTTGGTAAATGACGCTTACCTGAGGATAGGATGGGCAGCGATAACCGATTCCCAAGACCTTTGCAGTTGCGACATGGATGTCCCAGAGTCCAGATGGAGGATAACGTGTTGCACATATAGGCTTGTGTCCTCGACCGAACGGGCCAACACTCCTTCTTGAACTGGGAACGGTGGAAGGATGTCCTCGATGTCATTGGAATATATTGATGATAGATGCTTGTGTGTCGCCGCGTCAATAGTTGGGAGAGGAGTACCGACCAACGAGTGGTTCATGGTAGAGACATGCACTAGTTGCGCAATATCCTGCAAGGCCGGCTTCTTCATGATCTCTGTCGCTGGAATCGCCTTGCCGAAGGTCAACTTGAGATCTGCTGCAAATCTGATGACTCCCATCGAATCAAGCCCGCACTCGAAGATGTTGAGCTCTGGGTGAGGACGCTGGGCATAAGAAGGAGCGTGGCGTTGGACGATCTCGAAAACCTCGGCCTCAAGGGGCGTGCAATCCCTCGATACTGATACATCGTCTTCTGAGGAGATGAGTGAAGCCAGCTGGGCGATGTCGAGGTTCTTGAAGAGCTCCACCAAGATTTTTGTGTCCGTTTTGCCGTTGGAGCTGAGGGGCAGCCAGTTCAATGGAATGACGTGGTTGGGTCGCATGTAACTTGCAAGCTCCTTATTACAAATCGACCGAATGGACTTGAGAAAGCCCCGTGGTGGAATAGAGAGACTGGGTCGCAACGATTTCCGAGTGGACACTGGGACGGTCGAATCCCAGGTAACAAAGGACACCAGTTGCTCACTTCCTAGCGCCGGATGCTTTGCAAGGACAGTCGTGGCGTCGAGAACCATGTCTGCAGACGGTACTTCCGCTTTGCGCACAATGGCAGAAATTCCTTCTGATTCGATGCGAACGCCGCGAACCTTGATCTGGGTGTCGATGCGTCCCAGGATTTCAAGGGTTGAGTCGGGCATCATGCCTAGACAGCATGTTAGCAAGGATCGTCATGCAAAATGGAGTTTACTCACGAACTAAATCGCCCGTGCGATAGGCCCAACGGCCTTTCTCTGGCCATTCCAAAAATACCTTCTCCGTCAAGTCCGGTCGCCCATGGTACCCTCGGCCAACTAACGGTCCTTCCACTACCAACTCTCCAACGCCTCCACGAGGAAGGATGTTGAGGTCGGCGTCAACAACCTGCGGGTCGTAAGTCATTCAGAACGAGAATTATATATTCGCAACAAGATACTCACATATCCTGATACATTGGCAAGAGGTCTGCCTATGTTGGCGCGCGGAGTGTTCGAGTCCATGTACCGGGCACAACAGCCGATGGTGACCTCACTGGGGCCATAGAAGTTGGCGAGACGGACTTGAGGATGGTTCGCCCACTTGTCGAGGATCTGTTGCAGTACGAATCAACTACATGAATCAAGAGAAATAACGCGAGACTTACTGAGTCGCTCATTTTTTCACCTCCACTGGCAATGTACCGCAAAGCCAGTCCCCCTTCGTTGTCTTTGGAAGCGTTCAACGTTGCCTCGATCAAGCTTGGGACAATCCCTAAGTGGGTGATCCCGAGCAACTTGACGTATTGCGGGAGATTCTCGAGCAATTGGGATCGAGGAGCGCTCAGTAACGGCATGCCCAGAGCCATCGGAACAATGGTTTCGGCAAGGTGCACATCGAAGGCAATGGCTGTCAGAAATGGAATGAGAGTCCAAGGCCAGTGCTAATGAATCCGAACTCACAAGCAACTGCCAGATAACGCCCTTCTCTGATATCTTTCATCCGAACGTCCGCCGCTGTGCTGCTCAATGCGATAATGGCTTGAGCAAGACCGTGATTCGTAAGGAGACAGCCCTTGGGGTTCCCGGTGGTACCTATGGGAATCGCCCAATGAACAAATGCCTTGATTAACGGAAGAAGGAAAGACCTCACCTGAGGTATACAACATGTACCCGAGGCCTTCTGGTGTGGCAATGTTAAAGGTACCGCCGTCTTGTTCATCAATGGCATTAGCGACTTCAGGTTCATCGACGTAGATAGTGCTCGAGCCGAACAAATCTTGGGAGGATAATTCCGAAGTAGTAAGGACAAATTTGGCTCCAGAGTCCCGCGCAATATAAGCTTTCCTCTCATCTGGAAGCTCGGGGTCGATCTAATAATCCGTGTCAGTACGAAGCCCAGATCATACGGATTTGTACTCACAGGAACATAACAACCACCTGCACGCATGATGCCAAAGAAGGCTGCGTGGAAGATAAGGTCGCGACTTAGACAGACAGCCACACGATCTTCTGGAGCAAGCCCGCGTGTCACTAGCCATCGCCCAAGCTGAGACGCCTTCCGGTCAAGCTCTTCATACGTCGAAGTCTCAGAAGGGAGATTTGAATCGTCAATTGAAAGTTCGGGAAACCATCGCACAGCGATGTCGTGCGGGTTCGTTTTCGCGCGTCGTTCAAGATACTCTGTGGCAAATTTGACGAGCGGGATATGCGGATATGCATTTGAAATGTCTTCCTCTGGGAGTCGGTCGTAAACTGACGTCAAGTGCGATGGGAAAGTCGGATTGGAAGAGACCGGTGTCTTTGGGTTGGCCCCCGCATGATGATAAAGGGAGATAATTTGGGACAAAAGTTGGTCGTTGATAGAGGGGTGTAGGAGACTTTTCGGTGCTGATAGCGTCAAACTGGACTTCTTCGCGTCGAAGATGAATACTGCCGGGAAGTCGGAAAAGTAACTCGGTTCTTCCGAGGGTGTGAATCGCACTAAAACTGGGCAAGGATTTTGCTTATCCGGAAGTTCGAATGCACGCCGAATGTCGCCCACCAAAAGCTTGCTCTTCGTTTTGCGAGTCTGGGATGCAGTCCGGGCGGCGACCTCTTGCCAGGTCTCGTTGTCAGACCAGTTTACACGGACGAAGACGTAGTCGCGTTTGTTCGGTACTTGGACAGCCAACAGAATGTCAGAGGCGCCACAATAAGCACCCAGCATTCGGGATATGGCTGCAAGAAGCAGGCTTCCTCGGGACTGAACATTGAAAGATGACAACGGTTGCGTGCTGGTGTATGGTGTCGGCGAAGGATGTCGGTCGCAGGTAAGGTCAGGCCATTCGACGATGCTATAGCCTTGGAGTAGGGGAGGGACTCCTGCTGTGTCCCGTAAGGCCATAATGGGACGGTTGCGGGATGAGGAAGGCAGGTGATGGTCAAAAGGCCTCGCAGTCAAAGATGAAGTCAGTGAAAAGGATTTGCACCCATCCTCCGGGCCCCTTGGGCCAGAAATCACGTACAAGGGACCTAGACTTTCGGGGAGGGGACCCGATGACAGCGAATTCGAGGAAAACCGGGGCCATAGATCTGGGTTACGACACGCGGACTTGTGCAAATTCCACCAGGGACATTGAAATGTCGGATGTGAGTTGACGAAGTTCGACGTGCTTGGCATGGGAGTGAACGGGAAATCTTATCAGATATGCGCCGTGATTGGTTGAGCACAGAATCATACGCTATCTGATAAGAGATTTGAACCTCGTGTTGTGCCGGCGTGTGAATGGATCTAACCTTTATGGGGTTTAAATCCTGGTAAATCTTGGACGTGTTGTCAGGCTAATCTGATTAGATCATCGGTCATCTGCTGGCCGTCTGTTATATTCCTGGAGAAATTCTTGTAACCTTACCTTCGTTTCGCCATTCGAAAAGGTACCACAATATCATGACATTTTTTAGCCGAATGGCCCCAAAGAGGGTTCCGGTCCCAGACGACGGCCATCTAGATTTTGGAGTCCAGATGCGCTGCAAGAGTATAAGTATGAAGGGCGCAATGTGACAAGCGCACTTCATACCTGGAAATTCCCCCAGCTCGCTCCCTCTTTCCCTCCCAAAGACCCCCGCCCTCCGCCTATTACTATGTCCGCTGACGACGTTGTTTATGACCTTGTCGGTTTGGGCTTCGGTCCCGCCAACATCGCCATTGGAGCAGCGTTGACCGAGAAATGGCAACAGGACCCTGTAAGCTTTCAGGCCCAGTGCCTTTGACGACGATGCTCACACACATTTTCCTCCAGACCTTCTCTATTAAAAATACTCTCTTCATTGAGAAGCATGAAGTTTTCCGATGGCACCCTGGGATGCTGCTTCCTGATGCCAAAATGCAGATTAGGTTAGTCTTCATTGAGAATGAATATGGCTAGATGGCTTACGGATGTCTTGCGCAGCTTCCTGAAGGACCTCGCTACGTTGCGAACCCCCAATTCCCCATACACCTTCCTTTCTTACCTCCACAGCGAGGATCGTCTTCTATCGTTCATCAACCGCGGGTCTACAGTCCCTTCCCGCAAAGAGTACTCCGATTACTTGGCCTGGGCTGCACAGAAGGTACAGGACAACGGAGTCAAGGTCAAATTCGGCCATGAAATCATTGCATTGGATGATGGCCCGGATGGCACCATCGAGGTTCGTTATCGCAACGTCCGAACACAAGAGGAGACTCTTATCCGTGCCCGTAAGTCTAAGTCTTCCCCCAACCTCATTCATATGGAAGTAAGTATTGACGTCTTCAAAGGGGACCTGATAATCGCACCTGGAGGAACCCCTTGCATCCCCGACTTCCTTCAACCATTCGTCAACCATCCCCGGGTGTCGCATAGCTCTTCATACGCCCTCAAGATTGGCGATATGTTTGATTCCTTGAATCACCTTTCCCGGCCTCTGAGGGTGGCAATCATTGGCTCAGGTCAATCTGCAGCCGAAGTGACAATCGACGTTCGCAATCGTCTCGCATCTATCCCATCCACCGGCCGACATGAAGTCGACATGCTCATCCGCAAAGGCTCACTCAAGCCTAGCGATGACTCGCCGTTTGCCAACGAAATTTTCGACCCTGCATGTACGTCGCCCTTGCATCTATCTTCAGATTGTTTCTGACCTCCTACTGGTAACAGCGACCGATGCCTGGTTCTCGACTGGTTCAAAGCACCTTCGGGATGCCATTCTTGCTGAGTACAAGCAAACCAACTATAGTGTCGTCAACCCCCGAACACTTGAGGCAGTAAGTGATTCTGAATGAACTGACCTCTTGTTGAACGCATCATTGACGTGTTACGCGTAGTTGTATGAAATCATCTATGGCCAACGTTTGAACGCGGCCGTCTCGCGTCGCACAAACGTAGAAGAGCCCTCCGATCCTGTCATCAACATCAAGCCATATACATCGGTGTTGTCCATCCAGACAGTCGGCAGCCAAGGCGAGCGAGTGCGGGGCGAGCTCCTCCTTTCACCAGAAGGCGCTTCGGCGTCGAAGGATGAAGGGTTCGTCATGGTCACTAAGCACATGATGACTGGTGCGGAGAGCCAGACCAATTACGACGTTATTCTTTACGCCACGGGTTACCAGCGTACTGCCTGGGTCGAACTCTTCAAGAACACCGGAATCGCCAAGCACTTTGGAATCACACCTTCGACTTCCAAAGTTGTTTTGCGCCCGTCCGCCGACCTGGTTGGAGGACGACAGCATCAGGAATTCTTCCATGACTCCTCCCCATCCACCGCAAGCAGCAGCACCGTCAGCACTCCTCCTACGTCGCCAGAGACCTCGAGGTTCTCGTCGCCGATTTCATCGCGCATCGTCTCCCAAGACTTGTACCTTTCGCGCAGTTACCAGTTGCTCCCGAAGGACGGCGAGAACACACTGCGTCCTCGTGTTTACCTTCAGGGTGTAGAGGAGGCTACCCATGGATTGAGTGACACTCTATTAAGTGTCCTCGGTGTTCGCGCGGGAGAGGTTGTCGCCGATCTTGCCAGTCGGTATCACAGTAGCGCCTAGTCACATATCGTTATTTTCGCTTTCGACATTGTACTTGTAGATTCCCGACAGTGTGTCATTAAAAGTTTTAAGTAGCTCTTATAATACCTATCTTTTTTTGCTCTTCCTGGTGCGACGGTGAAGACTTGAGAGGCGAGCTGAGAAGGTGATAATGGTGAAGTGATGGTGGAGAGACGGTCAAAGGGACCGAGAGACCCTTCTCGTGAGTTTGGTAATTTGTTCCCACATTAGTGCCAAGCGATTTTGCAGAAAGTTGTAAACCACTAATTTACCGTCCCCCACACCGTTCTTCGTCGCAATGCGGGTGGAAAAGTGTTATTTCTGCTCGACAAACGTCTATCCCGGTCACGGTATGCTACCACCATACCCACATCTCGAGCGGACCCCACTAACAACACCAACCAGGGTCCGCGTTCGTAAGAAACGACGCAAAAGTATTCAGATTCTGCACATCAAAGTCAGTCCCTTGCTCTCGATTATTCTTTGTTCACTTGCTCATTCCACGGATGTAGATGTCATAAAAATTTCAAGTACGTTGTGTTAAAGCACGTTGGAAATCCCAGAAAGTTAACGGGAGTATAGAATGAAGCGCAACCCACGAAAGGTCCGATGGACTAAGGCATTCCGCAAGGCTGCAGGGAAGGAGATGACCATCGTGCGTCTTACGTTTAACGACCAGTTCCGGACGGAATTTTAACATGTACGCCAGGACTCGACAATCGACTTCGAGAAGCGCAGGAACGTTCCTGTCCGTTATGACCGCGAACTTGTCCAGACTACCATCAAGGCAATGAAGAGGATCGCAGAAATCAAAGCAAGGAGAGAAAGGGCATTCTTCAAAAACAGGTTGGTCCCAGTACTCCGGACCTTTAGTCATATTCCTGATATGCCTTCAGAATGGCAGCTGCTCGGTCGAAGCACAAGGCACACCGCCAAAAGATGTTGGAGAAAGCCAAGTCCTCCGTCAAACTGCACGAACCCATCAAACAGACTGCTGCAACCCCAGAGAAAATCAAGGTTGCTGTCAAATCAAGATCAGCACTGGTACCTGGAGAAGGTCGCTCAATGGGCATGGATATCGATTAAGCGAAGGTGCACATCTGTCCTACTGTTACAAAAACAATTCATACTCATCGTTCCACAGTCTCTCAGCACGCCCGCGATTCGCCCTTTCCACTACCGTTACTTGTACTTTGCCTCGTTTTCCAAGCGCACATTCGGATCCAACGTGTTATGCAAGCCCAGCAACGTTTTGCTGACGGCTTCACTGGCTCCAATCATTGGTTTCAAGACCGCGATTGGGACAGCCCGGATAACAGAACGGACAGGACCCTGTTGAGTGTATTAGAGCCATTACGATCTTTTATGATAGAACCTTTTTCGCACCTCGTTGCCCGACCTTTCGTACACCTCCATCGGCACTGCAAGGATGGTTTGCGCCGCAGAGCTCAAGTTCTTTTGAAGACTCCTGTACGCTGACTGAACACCCTCCTTGATGTCGGCAGGCTGTTGCGCATATTTCGATATCATGTCGAGTTCGTCGTCTTGTGAAGCCTCGAAATCTTCTTCGAACATCACTGGCACGGTTTCCGCAGTGACTGGCCTATCGAAATCACCGCCGAGGAGCCCTTCCGCCTGTTCCAAAATGACCTGAGTCCCGGTCGCAAGTCGGGCTCCCATCTTGATTGCTTCGATTGCAGTGGACTTGACGAAAGCAGTTGCTCCCTTCTGGACTCCACGCACAATCCTGCCGTCCTTCTTGTATTGTGATATCGGGAGGAGAACCAGGTCTGCGACGCCAGAACCAACGTTGACCATCGATCGGATTGGTGCAACGCCGGATATGACATCCACGAGCTGGGTGGCCTTCACGTCTGGAGTCCACAGGTCGTTCAACATTTCGAAGACTTTGGGCCACCCGGTTATCTGAATAAAAATTATCGTTAGGCAAAAAGTCTCGCAATCAACAACGACACATACCCCAGCCAGTTTGATATGTCTTAGAGTCATCTCTGCCCCATCGAAGTGGAAGAAGTTCATGAGCTCGATGGTTCGACCCTCTTTGAGTGCCCTGTAGTCTACACGCCGTGGTTTGTAGTCAAGCTTGAGGTCAATCGGGAAGATTTCTGCCATTTCTGTGATCGACTGTCAGGGGCGTATAGAGAGCGATGAGAATCCAAGCTTACGGATGAAAGCGTCACCGTCGCTTGACTCAGAGTCAGACACAGCAGGCGCCTCTGGGTCTTTGAAGCTAAAGAATTTCTTCAGGAAATCAACCGCATCTTGGTCCACGTATAGGCGGATCGGCAGGATCTTCGCCTGGATGTTCTGGTTGAGTTTACCCTCGAGGACAGATGATGAGACTACTGACCCGTAATCGAGCCTCCTGGGACGTTTCCCCTGGCGCTGGCCGAACATTGTGGAGCTCAATTCGAACCATGCTGGCTCCAGTTTCCCGAATGTTTCCTTTGGAGTCAGATCGTAACGCCGTCAGGAACTTCTTCCATGTCGAGGTCTTGATGTGGTCCAGGATTTCCAAATCCTTGACCGTGACGAAAGTGCGTGACACCAAAAGGATGTCCCCGTTGTACTGATTAAACTCGGCGTTCACTCCAAGCAGACAGAACTCCATTGAAGGAGTTTTAGACCGGTTCAACTTCTTGCCTTGAACACGGACTGAAGGGACGCGAGGTTGATTTGGTACTGGATGCCGTAGCGTCTGCCACGAACTCTGGGTCCCTGTTTCGAAATCTTCCCTGAGCTCTTCGTCGATCGCAGCTATCAGTGCATCCGGTTCGGCAGCATCCACATCTTGATTGACACCGATGTAGAGGGAATTGAATAGGTATTTCCCCGTATCTTCGGGGACTGCCTGGGGTTCTTGCACTTGGCCATTCGCCACGAGCTGTCGAATTTTGGCAAGGCGTTTGCGCATCTCTTTGACCTCAGATTCGATGATCTTGCGCGTCCTGGGCCAGTCGTAGCCATCATAGAGTAGGAGATAAACGTCGCAATTGTGGATACGGACGCGAATAGCCTCCTCTCCAGCGCTATCAAGTGATATCAGAAAGGACACGAAATTGAAGGCTACTGGTGGGACTTACTTGGGGCGGTCCTCGATGGTTTCCCGTGGAAGAGTGTCGTAGTAATTCTCGATGATGTTGATACCATCTTCGTGAAGGAGCTTAATAGTCTCGCCTCCGACGCTCGAGATGACACCGGTAAAATGATCAGATATTTGGACATTTTGAGCATCGATATCGTGCGCATCGAATTCATCAAAGTCGTCGTCAGTCAACTCCCGAAGGCCCGCTGCGGCTCCGAATGATTCATCCAAGTAATCCAAGTTGGTTGGCAGATCGTCGTAAATCATATCAGGCGCAGGCCCGACTTCAGGCACACGGCGAAACGCAGCCTCGTCGATCGATCCTGGCGTAGGCAGTGTGAGGGTGGTTCCACACGACAAGAACAACATCCTCACCTGTCAATGTTGTACCTTCTTCCTTAGCCCTCGAAAGAACAGCCGGGCCTTTGTCAGCCTTTATTGGCCTACGCACAGCGATCAGATAGAGAGCCACATCATCATTTAAAAGGTCACTCACTGCTGTGTTGGTTCATCCTCTGGAGGTTTAAACAGCGACGCAAGGTCCCCGGCAAAAGCTCCGACAACAGCAAAGGTGTCAGCACAAGCATGCACTTTGAGACACAAGCCATCGATGATGATCTGAATTCTCCGCTTAGCAATAGACCCCAATGTCAGAAAGCGGCTGCCATACCTGCCTCGCGGGGGAACTGGTCTTGCTTTCTTGGTACTTGAGTTTCATCGTCGAGAGGTCAGCAAGGAGTGCATATCCCATCGCCTGGTTCCTGAGTTAACAATCCGTCTGCAAAAGAGACGAGAGTACTCACTCTCCAGTGATTCGCCACATTGGCATCCCCCTTTCTTCTCGACTCTTGCCTGTCGGCGATATTTTCTATCGCGAAAGCAGACAGAGCGGCGACATCCACCCGGAAAGAGGTATCAGGAAAGTTTCCTATAATGTCGGTGACAAAGTTAAGCCCTCCAATAGCGAGTACCATGGCTCCCGGGTGAGAGGGCGCCAGCGCACGTATCGACCCGTCGGTGATCTTGAGGCTAACGAGCGTGCGCTCGCTGGGGACAACAGATTCGAAAGTCTATAAACTCGTTAGTTAGGTTTTCCTTGGAAAGGGGGAATCCTTACGCCAGGGGGCGATTTCGAGAACTCTGCAATATCCTGTAACCAGACAAGATCCGGGTAAAAGTTGAACGTAAACCCGTTGAGGGAGATAGAGAATTTGGTCTCCTTGGCAGTTGTCTCTGGGATAGTCGATGAGATGAACCTAAGTTTGAGAAGCGGCACTGGGATGGCCATCTGAAGGATGGATGCATTAAATAAGGATTACGCTTGTAGTTCTGGGATGTACTCACCAAGCTGCGCTGGGAGGTCAGTGAAAGGAATGTCCGGACATTATCTGATGCCTCTGTATCTTGTACTAGGATATCCATCAGATTTATCAGTGCTTCAATCTGTGCACAATGTCATCTGAGGCCCGGTCAGCGGTGACCAGAACTAGACACTCACCTTTCCGCCTGTATGCATTTTGACATCAACACTGAGGTCCGAACACGCCACATCAAATGGTCTGTTTCCTGCACCACCATCGGAACGAGGAAGATGCACGCGACCATAGACTGAAATCGAGTTAGCCGGATGTCTAGTAGCCACTGCAAAACCACTTACATTCTGTGACATTGATTGAGACGGCCACCTTCACTCCCTCGTCCACCACTCTCTGGAGGTCGAATCCACTTCCCATCCTGGATTTAGAGAAGAACCGGCTGCCAATCAAGCTCGTGTCCTTCGAATCCTGACTGCCTGACCGCGCGCTCGGACTCCGGGATGCATTCATCCTCTCCATGGCTTGGCTGAGGTCGTCTATCCAATACTGCAACGCATCCAGCTGTTTCTTCGACACAGCAATATAGACCGAGGGGATATCGATTGACAGTACCAGTATCGAATTTTCTTCGCCTGGGTTGCGCCTGGAGATGGAAATCTGCGGCGTAAGAGAGGGAACATGTTCGGACGGGGCCTGGAGGGGTCCAATAGAAACTAAGCCAGTGGAATGGTCTTCTCCCACCGTCGAGCACCCTACTACAATTCGTGCACATCCGATTTGCGCCAAAAGTTGCTTGTGCACACGGTCCTCCGTTGCCTGGAAGCCCGACTCTTGGACGGAGGGAGCCGCAAATCGTAGTTGGGGAGGTTGAGATTCAGCTTTATCACTGATGACAATCTTGTGTACGTCGAATGTCAATATGCCTGATCGGTTTGGACGGTTTGGAGGAGGGGGTGCTCGGACAGATAATCGTAGCATGGGTACATTGATTGTCCATGAAAGTGTAGCTGAGCTCGAAGTTGACTAGGAATTATCAGTGAAAAAGTAATTATTAAAATGAGGCGACATAACTCACCCTTTTCACCGGGACCGTTTCCTTAGCGGGAGGGGAAGGAGGTTCGATAGGGGATGCCGGGGCTTCTTCGTCACTGAGATATCCGTCTCGAGCCGAGATGGTAGATTTCCTTGCTCTGCCGTCATTCAATGCATTTACGTGCTCGGAAAACCACCCCATTCCTCCCTCCGCCTGGAGCATCTCGATATCCACAAAGGCCTGCAGCGGTGCCACATCTATTGCCACGCGTTGAGCTGCCGGTGCCCTCTTTCGTGCTTTAGATTGAACCGTATCGAAACGAAGACAGAGGGAGGGTTGGCGACTCTTGCCTCCATCGTCAGCGGCATCGTCCTTGGGCTGATTAGCGTGACGTCGATGTCGCTCTTGCGGATTCTTGCGCGTCCTCCAATGTGATATCTTTGCACCAAAGGTGAAGCACTTCTTGTCGAACCAGTCAAGGACAGGGATTGTAGGTTGTGGGACGGAGGTTTGGAAAGGATCGGAGCGGGAGGGGTAAACATGGAGCGAGTCGTACTGCGATGGGAGATAGGGGTCGGTAATCAAGACGGGGATTGCAGCAGGTAATTTGGCGATAGGGTCGCTCATTGCTCTGGAGCCTGTGAACTGGAAAACGGAGAAGTCCCCCACAGTGAGCGAAGCAGATAGCCCTGATTCTAACCACGAGGCGTGGGCAGCCGCCGTGTCTATTAAAAGTCTTGTATAACCACTCCCAAGCCTAGGAGGGACGAGAGGATGTTCGAAATAGTCATCGATCGGTTCATCGCAAATGGATCCCAGCAATGGAGAGGCAAATAAGAGAAAACTGATAGACCGGATTCTCGCCTCAGCGTCAAAGGTGAATGGAAGGTCTTTGGGGGGAGACTTGGAAGACGATGACTGCGACGAGGGGCCATCAGATAGCTTCTCCATCAGATGGAGTACCCCTGAAACTTGCCATGGCTGGAGTGCGATGGCTATAGAACCGCAGGAAATATCCACTCGATACTTCTCGTTCGAAGCCTTGACTCCTGGGTTTGCCTGCCCCGGAGGAGGTGTCGTCAGGCATATTTCCAATGGGACCGCGCCAAATGATAACACGACATGTTCCTCCCCAGATATTTCAGGTCTTTCAGGCTGAGAATTGCGGTTAGGCGGGGTAGTTTCAGATGATGTTGGGTACGAGGCGACGCGACTCTGCCCGAGCGTTGGTGCTTCGGATATGATGCTATGATAGATACTGCTCGTCGTCGACTCTGCAAGGAGGTTGGGGCGAGGTGGAAGGACGGCTAGGGATTGTGACATCTGAAACTGAGCGTCTTCGTCCAATGACGAAGAGGACGAACTCGAAGAGCTGGGGGTGTTGCTACGGGAAATGTGGTGTTCCGTGTCGACATCCCCGACCGTGGGTGAGCTAGGCCGTGTGGTGGAACGGCTTGTGTTGGGGATATGCTGGATAGAGGACAACTTTATTCCATGCAGGGATAAGCTGCGTTTCATCCCGGCCTCTGAATCAGCATCTCCCTGCGCCGTTCCTTCTCTAGTCGAGTACCGGATCTCAGAAAGTGAGAACTTCAGAGTAATGTTGTCTGGGTCCACCACCGTGATGCTGATATCTCGGGCGTCGAAGTGGAATCGTGCCAACAACCGCTCTATCAAGGTGGCGAACATGGAAACACCGATAGGGTCGACTTCCTGGCTGCCTTTGTCTCCCTCGCTGTCCGGTACAAATGACTCCAAGCCTCCTGGAACGGTATGGTCATCGTCCGTTTCAGGATCATGGTGCGCGACTGCAGCGTGGAATGACTCCCAGAGCTTTGCCTCTTGCGGATCCGAAAGCTCCTCTTGGACAAAGCTCTCCGCTACAGAGACTACAGAGTCCGCAAGGTCGATGTCAGGGTTAAGATGTGGGCGACGGGACGGTTGAACCCGCAGGGTGAGATGGAGGCCACTAAGGGAGAAGCCGATGTTGGATGTCAATGGATTAGGCCAGGGAATTCGAGCTGTAACTGCTTTGGCAGTCCCGGTTTCCAAGAGCAGCGGTAGTCCCGTAAGATAGGAGTTGATAATCTGGCATTGCAGGAGGTGAATAGAAGACTAGGACGATGCTCCGATCTACGCACTGTTGGATCCAACTCGAGGTCGTTGATTTGCACATATCCTGATCCAATCTGAGAGTCAATTTGGGGAGTATCGAGCTGGCCAGGCTTGAACAGGTGTCCGAGAAACTTCTTCAGGAAGAACGAGACAAAGCGTCCTTGGATGCTAGTGGGGATGGCAAGGTTGATAGTTGGGATTGAGGGCAGCCATGACGCAAACCACGACATGGCCAGACGTCTTCAATATACAGTTACAGGGAGAATTCTAATCAATGTATAGGAGCATACCAAGTTCTGGTGAATGGGTTACAGCACCGGCAGGGAGTTCAGTTGGTGGTTGTGCAGAGCACACCGCGACATGGACGCTTCGGCTCAAAGGGAAGACGTACGGGGCTGTCGAACGGAGCTTGCGGGCCTTATATCCGGGTCATCCCAGTTCTAATAATATAATTACATCCATGGTCCCAAGTGTTGTCCAGTACCCATAAACTACACGCGATATATTAGTACATAGCAGTCATTCGGCCGTATCCTCCTTAGTTGCGGTATCTTCTTCCGGTTCATATTTTGGGACCTCGTTGAGGAAGTCACATAGGAAATGAGCGATCAGATCGTGGATCTTGCTCGTGGGGTGAATATGGTCAAGCCAAACCGTCCCGTTACTGATGTGTTTGTGGCTTGGGGGAAACCCGTAGGTGTCGAGGTCATCGAGGACGACCGAAAACATCTCGTATAACGAGTAGACGAGAATAGTACAGTCGGGATGCTTGCTTTGAAAATCTCGGATAGCAGCAAGAAGCAGGGAATTCCATTTCTGAAACTGGGTTTCTTGTGAGGGGTCCACTTCTATCCCATACTGGATACGCTTCTCAGCAACTATACCACAAATGATCAGCGAAGAGGGGTTGGGTTGAAACCAAGAAACTCACTAGCCGGTGCCATATCGATAGGCGGAACGTCGAAAAAAAGGAAATTGCGGGCGCCATTGGCATACAGCTCTTCTTGAAGCTCCATTAATAATGAAATCCGTAAGGGAAAGTCACCCTCGCGAGATACCCTGATTGGAACGACAGTGAGAGAAATGAATGCTGGAAGCCGGATGAGTACCTACGCGCAATCGTTGATCCCAACGGACGTGACTAGGACATGGTTAGCGCACAGGAAGATACGAGGATGGCCGGGCATTGCTTACCGAACAGGCTATCGTTTTCACTCCATGGGGCCCACTCCGGCTTGGTTCCAACGATCGGGAGGAAGAGTCTTCGTATTTGCCTGGCTACTCCGCTGACTTGATCGCCGCCTCTAGCATAATTGTATACTAGCAGGGGATCGTCTGCAAAGCCGTCTTCCTGGTCGTCTGTAGAAGGATCGTATCTCGGTGCAGGGCAATATTTGGTGATCAGGTGGCCGACCCAGTTAGGGAGATCTTCCTCGTTGAATGTGCTGCCAGGAAAGGGTGTCCCAAGAGGATGCTGTGCAGTTGGGTGGCTGCTAGGTGAGAATCCTGTGTGACTCCAGAAGACAGAGCTGTAAGAGTCGCCACTGCCAGAGCACAGTTAGAGCACGGGGTGATTTGTGGGGGAGCGATGGGGCCGTACAAGATGAATAGGCGCCTAATGCCCTCGAACCCTGGCCAGTGAGATGACTTGGCGATGATTTGGGACATCGCTACCGATTCTGAGGAGCCTGAATATTGCAGAGACTAAGATCGTCTTCAGTGGCCAATCTGGAAAACGACATCTCCCTTATATCTGCGGCCTGCCACGGACCTAGTAGATCAATTGGGTTGTTAGTCCCTTGCTTTGTCAGGCCGGGATCCCCGGCCAGTCACGCGTCCCATCAGTGGCTGTGACTTGGGATGCCGTCGCGCCTATTGGCAATGCATGTGCCCCATCGTGTCGGACGCGTCGTTCTTCTACCCATTCAAAATTCCAATATGAGCCAAGGTAGGTTGACCGAATTCAATTTGATGAAAACAAGGTCAAATCTGCACTTTAGGATTCTATGGTGGCAGTGGTGGCGGAGGTTACCTCCCAGGATCACCTTTCAGCGCGACAGCCAGTCCAGGGGGAGGCCAAGTCAGTAGAACTCGCACGTTGACCAGCCCAGTGCTAACATGTCTTTAGAAATCAGAGCTCTCAGCATCTCTACGTCCAATGACCATCGCCCAACTCAACAAAGCGACTCAACTGCATCCTGAAGCTGAATGGCGCCTCGACGATATTGAAGTTGGCCAAGTAAGATCATTTCATTCCCAGAAAGACATCCTTATCCATTATTACAACTCAAGGTCACCATAGTCGGGCAAATATTGTCCATTCAGCAACAGGCAACCAACTCTGTGTACGCAATCGTTGATGGCACAGGAACAATCGAGGCTCGCCAGTGGTTGAACACCGACACCGACGGCAGCATACAACAAGGGCTCAAGTCCGTGCATCTCGCGCTCTCCCATCCCGTTACTCATGTTTTCCACAGGGAAAACATCTACGTTCGTGTTGCCGGCAACCTCAAGGCCTTCAATTCCAGACGATATATCAATACAACTCACATCCGTCCAATCACTGACCCCCATGAACTCTACTTCCACATTCTCGAATCCATGACCGTAACTCTGAGCTTTGAGCGGGGCGTTGTGCGTTTCTTGTCTTATGCCGTTTTCATCTTCTCACCCTGCCCATAGCCTGCAGCTCCAGGATCTGCCAAAGGAAAAGATGTGGTCATGGCTGACGCTTCTGTATACAATGTTGGGTCGACTGCGACATCCGACCAATTCTCGCACCTGCCAGTTTTGCAGCGTCAGATTGTCCGCTTCCTCCAGGAGAACTCTACGAGCGACGAAGGAGTGCACGTCTCGGCCATTGCCAGAGCTGTCGGGTCTGGTAACGATGCCCAAAAGATCAGGTGCGTACAATTTATCCCCTTTTGCGTACTATGGGGACTGACCGTCTTTGCAGCGATGCCCTGGACAAGCTCATGGATGCTGGTCACGTATACACAACGCTTGATGAATCGCATTTCCTACTCACTGCCTAGATGACATGGACCTTGCTTTCACTGTATTTCCTAGCTGTAATATCTCTCTGTATACGCGCTTTGCCACCATCTATATCTGGATTCCGCTGTCAGGCCTCAGGTGGCAAACGCGGGGGCAGCCTGATTAAAGCTCGACGTGTCGATGGCATTTGGCATTTTCAGTGTCTCCATATCAGATTCTTGGCTTTCAACCTTACCCTCATGTCGCAAAAGTCCGAATCCCCTAACATTTCTCAACTCACGCAGCAATTCAATGACCTAGGCATCCAAGGGGGATTGGAGGATAACTTTGACGAAGTCCGTCCTGGCGATCCGATTTCTTTGCTTCGGGGTATCCGTCCGGTAACTTGTGCACATGTTTCCAGTGCGCAACCCGTCACCGTCAGGAGCGGCGACAAGGAAGAAACAGCGTACATCCTCGGCAAGAAGCCCTTCAAGCATGTTCGTCTTGCTTTGTTCCTGAACCGGCAGAAGCCCCTGTATAAAGCTTATGATCAATGACTTGAACCGCAGGTTGATATAGTCGCCAACATCTTCGATGTTGAGAAGGCTTCCAATGGGCAGATTGTCTACACCCTAAGCGACGAAACAGGGCAGGTGAAGGCCAGGGCATGGGCCAGTGAATACTTCAGATACGTCAATCCTTCCAGGTCTGTATGTCTAACCTAGATGATTCGTCAATAGGAGTGACGGCTCCTTCTCTAGCCACCTGGAATACGTTCGGGTGACAGGCGAACTTGAAACGTACAATAAACGAAACAGTATTCGAATCAAGCAGATCAGGGTGCTCGAAAACCCTCACGAGGTGTACCACCACCTACTCTCCATACTCTTCTACATTCAAGGCCGATCTGTAAGTTTGATCGTCATCTCATCTCAGACTCCAGCGGGCGCTTATTCAACTGGCCTTCCGCAGCTGACCGCAACCCATACTATCCCACAAGGACAGTCTCACACAGCAAATAATCGGGTTCCCAAACCTGCCTCTGCACAAGTGCCAAGGAACGAAAGACCACCTCCCATTGACAACACCCCAGAGCCTCCCTCATTTGCTGTAAGAGAAGCGGAGGAAGCCGACCACTCCTCGGACGACCAGTTCTTCTCGGATGAGGGGGAGGACTGGGCCTCCATTCTGAGCTCAGGGCCGGTTTCCTCGGGGCCCGCACAAACCCGGGGTCAAATAAACCATCCCAACAGCCCCAAGCATCCACGGCAGGTCGGAGGGCAATCCGTGCGATCCCCTCGTCCAGAGGGACGCCATGTCGCTCCTACACCCCCTCCGACTATGGAAAGGTATAACCAGACACGCCAAAGACATCCGTCGCATGCCGAAAGCCCAAGATCCTCCACCACGCGGACGAGACCGCAGCCATTAGTCACATCCGAATCACCAAGTGTTGGGGCGACACAGGGACGAAAAGCATCGGGGAGGTTCAAAGCCCCAAGGGAAACAAAAATGTCAGAAATGCAAAAATCCATCCTCGTCCACCTTACGTGCCATGCAGGCCGCGAAGATGGATGTCACGTTTCCGAGATCGTGGAGGATATCTTCAAACAGTACCAACGCAAGGGCATGACCGTCAACTTCAAGCCCATCTTCATGTAGGTCACAGTCACAGCTTGCTCCATCTCGCGCTAACGTTTCACTGGAAGTTCGGCGCTTGACGCGCTCGCAAGGGACGGATACATCTACACGACCATCGACGACGAACACTATACACGAAACTTTGATACATCCGATTAGCCATGTGTTCAGATTAGCATACACTGTGTTTGCGACAGAATGCGATTGATGTACAAGTACAATGCAGATGAGTGGGGATGCAAACGACAGGATGGGAGACGAAGGGATTGTTGGAGCCGACATCCTTTATGAAGGTGACTATGAAGCATAGTTGGTCGCAACCTTAGCGAGTCCCTTGCTGACACCTTCCAAAACCTTCTTCCTGGACTCGACGATCTTCTTGGCGGAGACGAAAGCGAAGTCGTGGTCGATCTTTATCATTGTCAGCGTTCGAGTTCACCGAGATGGGGGTCAATCTGACCTTGGAAGATGGGACAGCACCGCACGCCTGGGTGACAGCCTTGCGAGAGTCAGCAGATCCGACAGTCTCAGCAATCTCGAGTACGCTAGCCGAGATTTCCTTCAGTGCACTGACACCAGCAGCTCTGATAGCTTTGATGTGGGGAACCAGCTGAAAGAGAAAGCGTTTAGAAGCGCGAACATGGCTATCAGTGTGGTGACGTACACCGCCGAACTTGTTGATCTTGATCACAGAGGCAGATTTGAAGCGAAGGGTCTCGACAGTGACGAAGAGGAATGCCTAAAACCATAAATAAGCCACAAAGTCGAATGAAAAAGCGGACAGAAAATGTACCTCTTGAACGAGGGCTGCGAGGTGCAGGATATCAACGACAGAACCCGATCCCTTCAAAGCGGCAAAGCGTGCTTTGGCATCCTCAAAGTGTTGAGCAAGTAGGGCAGGTGGCTCAGTCACCGCCGGAGGCTCCTCATCCTTCTTGTGAGAGCCATTTGTACCATTGGCGGGGAGCTGGAAGCCCTTCAAGGGGTGACCAGTCTTAAGTTCAGTCTGCTTCGCAGCTTCAGCCAAAACAACCTCGGGCGGAGGTCGGGCGTAATCGTGGTAGGGCTCTATCCAGTCAGCAAGGGCGCTGGTGAAGTCGACAAACTTCCTCTCCTCCTCTGTAAGCTCGGCATACTCCTCCTCTGTGCGTTGCTTCAGGCGCTCACGGTAAGTGAGCGACTTGTCGAAGACGGCGGTTTGCTTTGGTCGATCACCGATCAACAGTTTGTCCTCGACAGTATCGTCCATGTCGCTGGCGTGTTGGAAGGCTCGGATATAGGTCTTCAGGAAGATAGAGAGCCAGCCCATCTGAAATACATTTGGTGAGTGCATCGTACCGATTCTAAACGAGAAAGCCTACTTACACCCTCAACCTTGTCGAACAGAACGGTCTGTTCGTGGAGAGATTTCGAGGCCTTGGGTTGATAATCGGGGAAGATCTCGAAGTCTCTGTTGTCGTAGTGCACTGGAATACGGTTCAGTAGTTGCATCTAATTGTGAACTCGTTCGGTACTCACATCGGTCAAAGACAAACTTGAGCTCGATAAGCTCCATGTCAATAAGATCAGACAACAGCTGTTCATGTGACAGTCGCATTCGCAAATATTCGATCTTGATGCAGTCCCGTTGAAGCGAGTTCTCCAAACGTTCCTCGAAAGTAATGAATTCGGGGATCTGGATCTAGTTAGACAGGGAACCGCCAATAAAGTACTAGAAGAGAACGTACCTGAGAATATTTCTCAGAGTTGAAGGCTCGGATAATGAAGTCGGACGTCTACCATCCGGTTCAGCGAAAGGTACAACACTATATGGAGCGACAAACCTCCTGAGAGTTGCTGAGGTAGATGGAAGTAGCATCCAAGCACTCCGAGATGTAGGTGAGGTCACCGGTTGGCGCCAAGGAGAAGGTCGAAGCTCGGGATAGATGAAGATGCGAAAGGGTATCGTTCTGAACCTGCTTAATTCCCATGGCACGGTAGTGCTCCAAGGCAAGCGATGGTGCACCTAGTTCACGAGAATTAATCGTCACCCCAGGATAGCTTGCCTTCTTACTTACCAAGAAGTCGATAAATGCGGATGAGAATAAGCCTTGCAAAGAATAGCTGCTTGCTCTTGGTCAGCGCATATTCCAAGAAAGCAGCGCCCGCCTGTAAATGGCTTTCATCGCCGCTGATGGTCCAAAGATTGACGTAGGTGTTGCCTGCCAAGAGAGCCAAGTCATCGGCGGGCTGGCGCTCGGTCGATGGCAGATTAGCGCCGAGAGGTAGCGCATGTTCATAGTGTTCAATGTAGACCTTCAATCGCTCCTGCTCGCCTTCGACAGTGAGCTGATCACCCGATAGGTTGTAGCGGATGAATTTGTGAACGTTGATAGTTCTTTGGAGATTGTCGACGGTGTCCTGTCATTGTGTTTGTGAATGGAGGATGACGTGTGGTCGTTCTACGTACGACGTTGAGGGATACGGTTTTCAAGAACGATGACCATCGTTCAAGTTCTTCACCTTCCAACGAAAGGAAGGGCTTGAGGTCCTCGAAGCAGCACGACTTGTCGCCGAAAGTGTTAAAGTATTTCGACATCAGTGCGACCAGCTTGGAAGGATCTGCACGGGAAATGTTAGATACTGAGCGAGATGCCGTTAGGGCTAGTGATGCACCTTCTGAAACACCGTGCTGTCGAGATCGGCGCTCGAGTTCTACGAGACCGAGCAAGCCTGATCTATCCTTGAGACCATCCAGCTCAGCGACCTGAGTGAACAGGGAACGAGCGGCATCAACGTTGGCAGACACCTCCGCTTTCCGCTCGTCTGAGACCTCGCCCTCGGCAGTGGTGATAGGAGCAAAGGCAGCATCGAGGACAGCCAAGAACTCGAGCCAATTGCGGTCACTGAAAACATCAGGAAAGTGTAGGGAAAGACATCGCTTAGGGAGACGTACTTCTTTTCCAGAATGAGTTCCTTCGCACGTTGGCTTTCTTCCTTGTGGAGGCCTTGCTCCTTCCATATCTCCCTTCTAATTTCATTAACAGACAAACTAGTCGCGCAGATGGCCTTGCCGACATCGCTGTCCAGCAGCTTCTTGGCTTCGTCCCAGAGTTTAAGCTCGCGTACGATGGATAGGTGAAGATAAAAACGGTCGGTGTTAATATAGGATGGTGTAGGGCAGGATTCGATAAGCCTATGAGCGAGTTTGTAGAGGATCGTTTTCATATTGGGAGGGGTCTCGGGGTCGTTAGCCTACATCGCCTTGTTAGATGACGAAGACATTCACATTGAGGGATGGAGTTACCTGAAGAATGGCACTGATCACGTTCCAGTATAAATAGCGGTCTTCTTGGAATGCCTTATACAAGCGTGTCGCGATCTGCAGATCAGTTAGTACACCGGGTCGAGTGGTAGGTAGGGTATCGCAGCACACCTGTTGGGCAGCCTTCCAGTTCGCTGTACGCGTGTTTGCAATAAAGGTTTGAGCTCCGAAGTCTTCATTACCGGGCTGTTGCTTCCAGGCATCTTCAAACATCGTGATAGTGTCATTGTCTGGAGAAGAGCTAATGAGTCGAAGGGACAATACACATGAGATAAAACGTACATCGTCCAAGCCCCTTCAATACGAGGGTCATGGCACTCAACGTGGCATCATTGGTAGGTTTCGATTCGAGGATCTCGTCGCACAAGACGAGAGATTCCTCGACCTTCTGTGACCTCACAAGTGCCAACGATTTGAGAGCCTAGATGATGTGTTAGGAACGCCACTGGGACTGAGAACGAAGGCTTACTTTAACGAGTTCATTTTTAGGATATTTCTTGAGAACCTTGTTGCAAGCCACGAGGGCAGCCTTGGTAGAGCCAGAATCGAGAGCCTCTGTGTGATGAATACTTGTATCAGCGGGGAAAGCGGGGGAAAGCGATGATGCCATACCATAGATGGGGCGAATTTGACGTTCCAAAGCTGCTTGAGACATTCTGGGCGATTTCAAAGAGTATAAACCGTTGAAGAGGATTCGGGAGGAAACGCGAGCACGTCGTGGTCGTTGGCAAGCCGGGCGACTGCCACGATTTTGCACGACGCGATCAGAGCTCAAATTTTGGCTGGGCTGGATCAAAAACACCGGGTCTCCGGTCCCCAACGCGTTTACAGCCAACCACCAACGTCAGACACAATGCCCCCAGTTCTGCTCTCCAGGTTCATATTTATTCCGTGTCTACAGACGACTCCAGATTCTGACACCTTGCATTACAGGTCGCTCGACACAATACTTGGCATTGGCACTGGTTTTTTTGCGTATTATTTGTACGAAACACACCCTCGCACCGCTCCCCCGCCGGAGCAGAGGCTCCAGAACCTGGTCCAGTGGAGGTATTCCCAGTACAAGGAACAACGTGCTCGCCAACTCCAAGGGGTTGACAATTAGCCGGATCCTGCCCCACGGACGATATCCTGAAGCCATGTCATGATCCCGCGGAACGTCGCCCTCTCGTTCTCGCTCAGTTCGCACCCCGGACCATCTACCTCTACCCGTTTCAACGCGATCCCAACGACCACACTCCTACGATGGCCCTCGATGGAGAATTGGGATCTTTCATCCCAGACGATAGTGGCGATTTGTGAAGCATACAAGGAATGAAGCGTTTGCTGATGTTCAGAAATGCTACTGCCCAGCAAGGGCGTAAGTTGGATTGCCGGTGAGGGTGTCGGTATCGTATTGTCGTCGTTTTTATCGGACAGAGGCAAGGTCGATGTGGATAACAGGTTAGCTTGGATCTGTGACAGTATACCGATAAGATTTGTGTGACCAGTATCAATACGAAAGGCGCACCAGATTGCCGACTTTTCCTAGCTGGGTTACCAGTACCAATATTCTGTCTGCAAAGGTTTGAATAATAATTGTAGTTGGAACGCCATTGACGACGTTATGATGCTGAGTGGAAGCCATGGAAGATCGTAAGTAGCAGTTTGAAGCCTACTAATATTTGTAGTTGATCCCAACTCCGACGCGCGCTCTTGTCCTTGTTCCTCGACCTCGACCATAGCCTTGTCTACCTCACAATGGCTTCGATATCTGTATCTCCTAGCAAGGGAAAAGGACGGGAATCTGCTCGCCCAACCTTCGAGGCTGGCTGGTGGGATGTATTCCCTCTTACAGAGACCCCCAAGAGGTACTGCCCCCGGTACTCAGTTCAATGAGACGTGTTGTTGACAAAACCAGGTCCCTGCAGTGGTCGCTCTCATCAGTCATGTTTATGGCTAGTCCTCTTGAACCAAGGGTAATAGGACGCCATTTCAGCAGTGCAAGGGAGTTTTCATTAGAACAACCAGGCCCCGTCGCGTGGAGCCCGGAATCATACCGTGCACCGACATGCATCATGGTTTCCCCAGACGAAGAGCACATGTTTGCTTTCTTTCCTTCATGTGACGAAAAGCCTGGAATAGGAAGCCTATGGCATCGCGGAGACGCAATAGATAGGTGGAAGCCGACTACACATTGGGAGTTTCCTCGAGGCTCTGGCGTTATCGCTGGTCAATGGCTCGGAGAGCATAGGAAGGTGCGTTTGAGGTCTCAGCCCTACCAGCAGTTTTACCGAACATCTGATTTAAAACAGTGGGTATTGGACTCATCAAACACGCCTATTCGACTCCCGCCTCAAGGCCCCCGCATTTCCACTGCGCAAGCTATGCTAGTGCTTGTCACAGAAGACCACTTCGTTCATCTGAAATATGCGCGTCACTTACCTGAATTCAGGAGCCTATCAACTTCGCTTCTCCACCCCAATGTCGCCATTGAAAGCCAAACCGCGATTTCTCACAGACCGGTTACCGACAGAGCTTGTTTCGATGCCAGCATTGGACACCATTTCTCGGGTAAGGAATCGGTCAGTGATGTACATGCAGAGATTTAATTGTTCCTGTAGATAACACCGTCTTCATTGCGTACCGCTCGCGCAATCTGGGATTTCCGAGGAACAGCGTGGAATCATTCGATTTCAACATGGACCTCAACTTCCCTAACCCACCAGACAGCCCCACAGATTGGGAAATGCTGGGAGAGGATCCTCAAATCCATATCTGCACAGTGGACTTGAAACTACGGGATGAACTAGTAGGTTCGATGCAGTCCATTTTGAGTTATCAGGACACCCTCTAATATCCGAGGCCAGTTCTGCGCTCAACCCCTCTCCCGCCTATCAAGAATGTCCCAAGACACGTTACGGAGATGTCCTTCATGTCATATCCTCCAGGACCGTCACCCGAAGCGACAGAACCTGATTCGTCGTCGGGAAGCGAGAACCTCTTCTTTGGTGTCTCAACACTTGACTTGAAAGATTGTAAGTTTCTACACCTGCCATGAGAAAGCTAGCTGAAGAGGCCCAGTCAATTCAACCCCTGTCACCTCCTCTTTCGCACTGTATAAATTCTCTCGTATCTCCGCGGAAGCGCAGGAGTCCTCATGGGTAAGTTCTTAGTTCAATCTTTTCGCTGTGGTTCTCATGTCATCCCATTCCTCCAAGTCCTACAGCCATCACAAGACACTCCCTGTTGACGGTGCCCTGGTATTTGTTACACCCACTGTCCAAAACGGTGATACATCTCAGGGAGTTGCCTTCTTCGGCGTCTTGGATGTCGCCGGACAGCAGCCCAAACCTTTAGTTCGTCGAAAGGAGACCGCCGTCGGGAGCATCAAGGTGCTCAATATGTGCGGCACCTGCTCTTTCTTCCTCGGCAACCCGACTTACCTCACCCGCCCTTAGACCAGATCTAACCGATAATTCGCGATGGGAAACATCCACCATATGGTCTTCGATATACGCTCATGGATGTAAGTTCGCCTTATTGTTCATCTGGAAACAGTCTCAAATCAATGGTATAGTGCCTCACTGTGGTATCATTTCCCCGAATTGCAAGCAAATATGGACGCCGTCCTTCGCAATCCAATCATCCCTACAGTTGCTTCCTCAACCACACCAGGGAGATAGCAAATACCTACCTAACTCTATTAGTGCGCCTCTTCCTCCTAGTGTCCACGAGTATTACAGTGCTCATAGAGCAGCGTCAGGCTTCGCCCTTGCCATTCTCTCCAGGAGGACCGTGATAGATATTACCCACATCCTAGCCCGACCAGACGTCCCCATTCCGGAGGTCGTTACAACCCTGAAGCAGGCTCTGGAGATTATACAATCAATCCCGACTCCTTCCCAGCTGCCATACATTGCCGATCTTGTGGGGACAGCGTTGGAAATTTACAAGTGAGCAATGTTTGGATTGCCTAGTCCATATTATTCTAATTCTTGGCACAGGTTACGCGCACAAATAACGAAGAGCGAAGAGGATAAGGCGGACCTGACGGCCAGGTGGCGTACAGCTCAAGATGTTACCTCGTTGCTCGCGTATCGGTTGGCGTTCGATGCCATCAGCGAAGGATACAGATACGAATCCAGTTTGTTCATCTTCACTACCAGATAAGTAAGGGACTCATCCATTACTTTAGCGGCTATCTGGGCGAGTATGAGGATGGCGAGCTTCACATCGGACCTTGTAAAAAGACTCATGAAACAGTGTGTCCTTGCATCCACTTTAGCATCTTCGGCAGATGCGGCGGGCGAAGATGATGATCCTTTCGCCTCTAGCAATGGTATGGGGTTCGTTTCATATCCAATCAGCATCTACATAACGGACAATTCGTTGCTTTCTTCAGGTTCACCCGACGAACATCTCCAGCAATCCGTTCTACTTCACTTGTCCCACCCGTTCACAATGGAGAATTTGGGGATTCTACTCACGCACATCAAACGCTTCCGCAACTTCATCGAAGTGACAGCACCTCCCAATGCTGACATGTGGCGCTTTGCGCGAGGAATTTTGACCGATTTGATGGATTATTGTCCAGTGAATCTAGTCGAGTTGGAAAGTCTGCTGGAAACTACGAGCGAAGAAGTTCGCAAACTTGATTGTGTGTTCACTGTTCATCTGCGAGGTGGAAAAGTACTGACGTATTGAGCAGCGGAGTCCCTTAACGAAGCCCTGATGGGATGTAAGCCAACGCGGTCTATGGCTCCATATGTGCGGAACCTCGTACGGACAATTTCGAATCACTCGACGCTGATCGACAAGGCCCGACTCTTTATCGAACCGTACGACCTCTTAGATGCAGTGGGCCGACTTTCTGTTACCAGCGTCAAAGAGTACGATGTGATCACTAGGGACCTGTTAAAGAAGGAGCGAACGACATGGTTATGTCTGAGGTGTGATGGTCGGTATGACCATCCAAACCAGATCGAGCCCCCGAGTCGAAGTGGGATGAAGACTGAGAGGTGGAAAACTTGGGAGAGGAGATGGATATATCGATGTACGTGCGGGGGTCCTTGGTCTCAGTTATCTTGAATTACACCACGTTTATCTGTATTGTTGTACCTACTCGAATACTTAAATGGCATTCTACGCTGCCGAGGGCAAGATTGATGGCATCAATTTGGCATCCGATCCACGAAAAGGTGACGCTGAACAGCGCAGGGTCGGCCATCCTCCTCCCACCGATCCCAACTATTCACAAACTATCCACCAGAATGCCAAAGGTTTTATCAAAATTCCCGGTCTCTGGGCTGTTTGGGGTTCTCAAACCATCAGGACCCACCAGCATGTCAGTTGTTCACGACCTTCAGGAACTGGTAACGCGCTCGAAGCTTTTCGTATTACCCGACAAGCTCGAGCAAATGAGGAAGAGGAAGCCCGCGAAGCGCAAGGGAAAGCCATCGAAGGACGCTGTAAAAGTTGGACAGGGTGGTACCTTGGATCCTCTTGCGGACGGTGTGTTAGGTGCGTGCCTCCCTTGGTCGAAGCTGAATAGATGTTCATTGACTTGGCCAATAGTTATCGGTGTTGGGAAGGGAACGAAGAAGCTTTCAGAGTTTCTTGATTGTACCAAAGTGAGTGCCGGCTAAGGGGCACTGTTGATTTTTCCCTAATGAAGATGTGATAGGAATACGAAACAACATGTCTTCTTGGGTGCGAAACCGATACCTACGACAGTGAAGGCTCAAGAGTCCGCCTTGCACCCTGGCACCATGTCACCCCTGAACTTGTCAAGTCCATGCTTCCCAAATTTACTGGAGAGATATCCCAAACTCCACCTATGTTCGCGTCATCTATATCGTTCTCCGTTCCGTCACCGCTAACGTTTAATTTCCTGTAGATTCTCTGCTCTAAAAATGGATGGTAAACCGCTATACGAATACGCACGCAAAGGAATACCCCTCCCTCGCCCTATCGAACCCCGAAAAGTGACGATCCACTCCCTAGAATTGGTTGAGTGGAAAGGCAAAGAGCACACTTACCGCTGGCCCGAAAAGACTTTCTCCGAAGACGACAAGCGTGCGATGGAAACGGCCCTCAAAAGTGTTGACGCCTCTGTCGAAATCAAAGACGACCCAGACCTTCCTTCTGAACAGGAAGCGCCTACTGCCTTCGTGCTCAAAATGCGGGTCTCGGGCGGCACCTATGTCCGCTCTATCGTTCACGATTTGGCCCATGCCGTTGGCTCAGCTGGGCATGTCGTGACGCTTAGCCGGACTCGCCAAGGGCGCTTTGTCACAACACCCACTGAAGGGGGGGATCGGGCTTGTATTCCTTGGGAAGTCTTCGAAAAGGCTTCAGAGGACGAAGAGCCTGATGCAGACGGCTGGAAGAAGTGGGAGCGGGAGGTCATGGATCACTTAGAAGTCATCGAAGAGCATGGGCCTGGTGGAAAGAGTTAATGTCCAGCTGTATTCGGTAGGTCTAGTACTGGAGTTGCGAAGTAGAGACCAATGCTCATGAGTGTTTGCTATCTTTCAGACTCAGGGGACGACCTTGGTGATCCGCTGTGACCAATTCGCCTCCGTTCTTCTTAAATCAAGAACTGCTATTCCGCGTAAACCATAAGCTATGTATCGCATCCTTTATGGGTCTTATCCCCATCTGCGCCCTCCTCTTCTGCCGCTATCAAGCGGTCCGCCTCTCTCGATTTGGAATGGTCCCACTGGTGCAAACCATAGACGTGACGAGTCAGATATACGCATATTGCCCGAAGGGATCCTGTCATTGGGAGAGACACGCATGCAATGGCAATATCTGTTATTGTTTTCTAGGATCATTTATGGAAGCTCGGTGCAGGCAGTGTCAAGATTCGCCTTCTCTGTTCGAATTATTGCATGGACGCTCCGAATCCATCGAGAAGCCACCTTTAGGCACTTCCGGACTATCACCCTTCTACGGTCCGCAATCACAGGTGGCGGACCCGGTCCGTGGATGATGCCACTTCTGAAGATCGTTTAAATAGCCCAGTTCAAACGGCAATGTGATGTCCTGCATACCCCCTACTCTCTCAACCCCTGTCATCATGAACTCCAATGGCATCCTTAACGGCCACAGTCCCATCGTCCGACCTTTGAAGCCGGGTATTTATGCCCCCATTCCTACTTTCTTCCTCCCTGAGAGCGAGGATTTGGGTACGGTCCATTGGTCGTGGAGTGGCTCGGTATTGACGTTCAAACCGTTAAGATCTTCCCACTTTCGAGAGGCACCTTGCCAAAGTAGCCGCGGCAGGAGTGGGGCCATTGATCGCAGGGTCAATGGGTGAAGCAATCCACCTGTCACCAGACGAACGCATCACGCTTATCCGTACAGCTCGCAAAGTGCTCGACGAGGCTGGTTTTGTGGACGTTCCTATTATTGCTGGGACGGGAGCAGCGAGTACAAGGGAGACTGTCCAACTCACTCGTCAAGCTGCGGAAGCTGGTGCTGATTATGCCATCGTCATCGCAAGTGGCTACTTCGCGGGAGCTCTCGCCACCAATAGGCAGGCGTTGAAGGATTATTGGACTGAGGTCTCCGAAAAGAGTCCTATACCAGTCATGATCTATAATTGTGAGTGGTGCGCTTGTGTTGACTGTCCATCCCTTAAGGTTGCCTCATAGACCCTGGTGCTAGCAGCGGTATCGACCTTGACTCTGATTTCATCGTCGACTTGGCCATGACATGCCCGAATATCTGTGGAGTCAAATTAACGTACGTCTGATCCAGTTGTTGGCTGCTGAAAGTTGTGATGATGACCTCTGAGTTTCAGTTGCGGAAATGTTGGGAAACTGACTAGAATTGCAGAAGCTATTGCGGAACCTTCTTTCACCACGAAGTATCCTCGCAAGAATTCGGCAGCGCCGTTCCTCGTACTTGGAGGTTTTGCCGACTTCCTCTTGCCCTCCGCCTTTGTCGAGGGTCATGGAGCTATCATCGGCCTCGCCAACCTCGCACCGGTATGTCGCTGCTTCCTTTCAGTTCATATCACTATAAATGACACTTTATCCGTAGTATTCAACTGTGAAGCTTTTCCAACTATCCGAAGAATCCAAAAAGGACCCGTCGCTTCTTCCTGAAGCACAAAGAATTCAAGGCATCGTCGCTCGAGGCGACTTTACCATCGCCAAAGCTTCGATCTCTGGCACCAAGTACCTCTTGGAGAAGGTTTATGGCTATGGCGGCCTGACTCGTCGCCCACTTCCTCCAATCACTCCTGAAGCAGCGAGCGCGATATGGGAGCACCCTCACACACAGGCACTGGTGCAACTAGAGCGAGAACTTTCCGGTAAATTAAGAACTTAACTCTATTGAATTCAAGGACCGTGATTGGATGAACCTGTGATATTGTCTATGAATGCGTTGCCTCAGATGCTTTCGGTGAAAACACTTATCCGGTGCCACATACAAAGTGAGCATGTCCTCGAGTTAACGGAACCGAGATGAGAAGCATAAGGTCGGTCTTAATTCTTCCAACAACCGCGCCTTGGGACCTTTGTATCCTTCAGAAGTACCTGGTACAAGATTTAGCCCTTATTTCTTTGGCTGCAGTGGACTTCGACATAGAGTAGTCTCGTCGAACTGTTGGATATGACTACATCACGTTGGGTTGTCTGGACAATTATCGGCACTTCCTCGATCTTCGACTACGTCTTCTATCACTGGAATGGCGCCTAGAAGTGCTGCGACAGGCTCGAGAGTCCCTTATGTTGTCCATATCAACGCCAGTAAGTCGACCTCATCGGGTGTCGTTCGAAATATCGGCGAACGCCCTAGACAGGACAGCTCAGGCACTAATGATGAAATTAAGAGGACTATGCCTTCTTGACATCTTGGGAATGTGTTTAGGATAGTTGCTGATGGGCCATTTTCCCTGTCTCATGGTTAAGTCGTTGACAAGGTCTGATCCCAAAATTCTGTGCGCACGGGCGCTTAACTAGGTATGTCGCTTGTCGGAGAGTCGCGGGCCGGCATAATTGTGATAACAGGGTAACAGGCCACGCCCGAATCCGTTGACCGTCGCTAGGATTGTCTGATACCCACAGCCCTGTCCTGATTATAACCAGCGTGTACTCGAACCAAGTCTGTAGGGCGCAGCTGGATGATTGGAACACCAGAGCGCCAGAGCTCCCGGTCCAGGATGCCGGAGGACCAGGTGGTCGCAATCTCGCTTCAAGGGTTGAACCTGGTCAGAGACTGGGTACGCTACGTGTATAGTGCGTCACGGAGTACTGATCGCCTTTGCCAGAGCTTACCACCAGCCTCCTGTGCATAATGTCCACAGGTACTGGGAAAACAAGCGCCCTCCCTGAATCACTGCAAGCCCACTCCACCGGTTTGATAGCCTCTCTGACTTAGGCACGTTGCGAAGAAGTGGTTGGAAGGAAATGGAACGAGCCAAGGAGAATTCTAGCGGCTTAGAATAAGAAAGGATTTTGGACAATCATTTGTAGGGCCGCGCAATCGCATTTGCTATTTAACATGGCCACTAAGTTCTCGTAGATAATCAACGTCTTTATCTCAGCTGCTTTCTGTCAGTTCACCGCCTACTCCCTAGCAGGATAGGGACGACGGAGGTTGGGACCCAGCGCCGAAACAGAGCACCTCTAAATGGGTGGTTTTATTGATGCTCTATTATTTTTGTCCATGGTGGCAGTAACGGGGCTGCTATAGCTCTTATTATAAACGGGGACTTGAGCACTGTCCAGCGAAAGCAGCAGACGTGGAGGATGTTGTAACGTACCACCGTGACTCAACCTGCGATGTCTCCATGTGAACGTCCTCATGAACGTTCCCTCCCAACGGTATAAGTTTTCGCGCATACCCTCGTAGACCAGTGATCGCTACTGTTTCCGAGTACTCGGTCCGGGAGAAGTGGTAGTTACCTCCGAAAGGAATGTGACATGATTCCGTTCACGGACTCTCGTTGGTCTGCTCACTCACACAACTTGTAAGTACAGGGTAATAGACGGGCTGGCCTAGTCTGCCCTTTTCTTCTCAGTCTTTGGGCGTCTCAGTGCTGTACTTGTCATCCATTTCCTGTCTGGATCTCTCTGCGTAATCGGGATAGCAACGCCTAGAGGGTTTCCCGGATCCTGTCGAGGTGCTTCCCATTTCCAATCTACCGCTCTTCAGTACACGTGCTGTCAATCACCGCCGCCCTTTGACCCCGTTCGTTCTCCTTATCACCTACCTATGTTGCGCTGGTATGTGGCTCTTCTGTCCTTCTACCATTCAGTATTGACGGTAGAACGAGGGCAGGGCGCATATCTAAGCGAAATCCGGGTTCAAGTTCTGGGCGCTCAACCTGCTTTTCCCATTGTCTCTATATTGTACGTCTTTTATGATATCACCAAAGTCTAAAACGTGACGTTTCGTCGTTCCTTTGTTCAAGTAGCTTCTCGAGTCGCGCACGCAATAAAACGCATGGAGGCTTCCTCTGTCTTGGCCTGCTCTTCCATCGGCCCCACGGTCCTCGAGAACCCACAGGGTATGTGTTTTATCTCATGTGTTCCATGTGAACGCAATTGATTGGGTGTTATTTTACTCGGTCGTTCCAGCACCATCATCATTTACCCCAACGGCTTCCAGTTCACCAGCTTCAAACGGAAGTCGTCCGACGCTCGTTTTCACCAGCACACCTGTCCCTCCCCCGTTAGTTGGGAAGAGCCATGGACGAAAGAGCCTGAAGAAACGCCCACCTACCCCCGGCGGCCCTTCTTTCAGTATCTCTCGCTCTCCTTCTCTCTCGTTTGATACGAACGGCTACCCTTCCCTCACTTCTTCCAATCCATATATTTCCCCGGGCCCCCCTCTTACATTTTTTTCGTCAACCAAACCCCAAAGGCTGGCGAAACGATCCGCATCCCAATCTTGCAACGATCCCTCTACTCCAGATTCACCCGGGTCACACCTCTGGCCTTTCCCTGCCGCGAGGACAAAGGTCACCACATTTTTACATCGGCGCCCTTCCCTCCCGCAACTCTCCTTGCCCAAGTCTGAACGAAAACACTCACACATGACATCTGCCGTCGTATTTGGCTTGTCCTCGTTTCCTTTAATCGGGGTTTCGACTCTGCCCGTACACGAGTACGACCTCTATGACGACGACAACGAAATGGTACGCACCAATCCATACTTCTTCCATCGTATTGAAGCCGGGCTGACAATACGACTCTACTCAAGGATAACGTCCAGTTACAACAGCTCCGGCGACGACCTTCAGAATCCCAACAGTCATTATCTCCCGCAGTTGAGAATGAAACGACGCGACCGAACCGATCCCCGTTAACTCGTGCTAAGCCCGAGTTGCCCAAACCCATCCACGTACCCGATAATACCAACAACCGCCCCAGTTCAGCTGGGTCCACCGCTCCTGACTCACCCAACACGAGGGCTCTCATGCAAAGGTTACTAGCGGCACCTGATTATCCTGGCATAGGGAACCGCTCTAGCCGTGTCGTCGACTTCGACGACGACTAGGACATCCGCGATGAATTGAACAGTCCGGGAAGCGACTCACATAATACCCTCCAATTTGCTTCGATCAAGGGGAACCACGAACTCACCTTGGACCTCGATTACGATGCAATTGGTGCTCTTAGCTACCACCAGGCCCCACCTCAGCAGCGCGGTAATTCGAAGGCATCACGGCTGCTGGGGACAACTAGCGATGACGAATTCGTGCGGCCAAGACATGTCAATGGTTTCTGGAGTGGCGAAGAGTCCAGTGGTGAAGGCGGAAGACTCAAAAAGAAATCGAGAGCGAGGAGGTCTTCAGGTCTTCGCCTGAAACAAAGCGGAACCCCCAGTCCTTTGGCTTCTCGTTGGTGGGGTGACCAAGGCTACAGTTCTTGTGAAGATATCAACAAGTTTTCACCAACCAAGAGCCGACATACCGATCCTTCTTCGCCTGTGTCCGCGGTCATCCCCAACCTTGAACGTCAACCCCCTCGCGTTCACGCCCTGGACGCCCTGGCCCCTAACCACAGCAGCATCAAGAGGTCGCGTTCAGCCCTCGTAGTACCATCAGCATCGTCGCCGCAATCTTGCTCGTCGCTTTCGTTTGGCACTCCCTTTGGCCCAGTACACTCCGTGTTCCCAAGCCCGATCGACGATACATCCTCTCCCACTTCCATTCAACCTCTCATCTCCGCCAGGACCAGCTCAAAAACAGGCCATGCATTAGCGTCGCTATCCAGTCGCCCATCCAGACCTGGCGAACGTGGTTCCAAGGACAAACGGAGACGCACCGCCTTGTTGTGGGTGAAGGAACATGCTGGACTGATGTCAACCAAGTTGTCGCCGGACTCTGCCCCAACCTCGCCTCGAGCTGACTCATTTGTCCCCAAGTCGCAAATTATCGCCTCGCCGCAACACGGCGCAAGCAAGAGCGAAGGAGGCAACTCTAGGAAGACGGTGTTAGGGATGGACCCGAAGCTTAACAGCTCTCTTCCAAGTGCGTTAAGTCAAAGCTCGAGTCTATCGAACGGTTACCCACCTCTGCCGTCTGCTGGCCACTCCCCCTCTTTTGTTGGTCTCGAGCGATTTGGTGTTCCGTGCAGAAGCGATCCTGGTCACGACACACATGAAGATATGGGTGGCTTCAAACGTTCTATGGACACCTATTACTGCAGTCAGGGCCATGGCTCCCTTGAAAACACCGACAATTCCCCCTCTTACCACAGTCTCAAGACTGCTCCGGACTATATGGATATCCCTCCACACCCACGTCACGGTACAAACAACAATGCCGGTGGGATAAACTCAAGGGGCCCTTCCAAGTCTGAGAAGGGGTTGTTTAGCTTGAGCGGCCTGAAACGTTCAGTGTCGAAGAGGAAGTTGGGCTCGGGATGGCTGGAGGAAAAGAAGCCCAGGAATCGACTGAGGGGAAAGTCAATTAGCGAAACAGCCTCCACCAACAATAGAAAGTCGCATGAAAGTGCGGCTTCTCGACCTCGGATACACAGTGGCGGGAACAAGACACGACATCGGAGATCGTATAGCTTGACCATGGAGCGACCTGTTTTCGACGAGAACGGGCGCCCTATGGCCAGCCGTAGCTTCGCTGCGGATGGGTTTGAACAAGACGTTGCGGGGGCTTCCGTGTATCCCAAGGACGACCCGAGCAGTCGCAAGATCTGGAAGCTAGTCAAGAAGATGGGAAGTAGTACTGCAGTGCGCGACGACAAACCCAACGATGACATCCCTCCTGTCCCGTCGATCCCGCCACTCCCCTCCAAGGTCAATAACTCTGAAGGTTTACCCTGGCTTGCTTCCAGCCCGAGAGGTCCTGCCGACGTGGACGATTTGGACTCTTCGTCGACTACCCCATCAAAGCCTACGTCCTCAAGTCACTTGAAGTCCAGCACAACGGTGTCGGTGGACAGCATTCCCAGGACAACTACCCCTGCCTCCTCAGAGCATTACTCGTCGAAATCCGCACTGTATCAAACGCATTCGAGACGTTCACCGTCCTCTTCTCTGGTTGAGAAAAAGACACCACTTCCTCCCCTTCCCCAATCTTCTAAAGTGCGGCGTATGATGGCATCCCCGATCGACCGAGGTCATCTGAGTGACAGTGGATACAATCCTCAAGGAACCAGAGCAGCAACGGGCACGAGAATGGCTGACACGAGGAGGTTTACCGCTGTAGAAGAGGGTGATCTAGCATTGCAGTCACCCTCGCTTGCTTTCCCTTCCCTTCCGACTCCCCCTCGGCGTCCTAAACCGATGGTCTCGACTGTGCCGGATGACGATGATCTCAATCCAAACCGAAGTTTGTTTAAACCAGATGACCTGGTCGACAAGGATGATTTCGACAACTTTGATGCCGCTAGCATCCCAGAGTTCACCGTCGACAATGCCATCAACACATTCAAACCTAGGACGGTACCTCGGGACACTATACGACCTTCAGGAGATGGACTGTTACTTCCTGAAGCAACCCCGCCCCCTCCTGTTATTCCAATGGCCTCCAAATCGGGGTCCCTCCCGCCCCCTCCTCGGCCTGCTCGCAATTCCCGAAGACCATCTGCACTGCCTATTCCACCGGTAGCCAATGACCACCCCTGCAATATGCCGGATGAATTAAAATCGCACAAGTCCAACAAAAACTCGGGGAAAACGAAAGTGGACGATTACGATAGCTACGGTCCTCGACCTCTTACCAGTTCCTTCGGACCTTCGCCACTACTGATGACCTTCCGTGAGTCTCAACCACGCCTTCCTTCACCCCACGAAGGGTCAACTCCAGACCTCCCGCCGACCAAGCTCCTGACGGAGGAGGAGAAGGCTGCCAAATGGGATGCGCTGTTGGAAAGGAGCGCGATGGCTGCCAGTGGAACTTTGCACCTGACGCTGAGGGGAGACGACTTGGTGGCCACCAACGACCTTTAAGCCGGTTTACGACATTTATGTTTTATTATCGATCGCTCATTGACTGTGCTCCAGTCCCTGTATTAAAATCCGTTCATTCCAATTTCTTTGTTATCGTCAGTTAATCTCACATCCCCTCATTACTATACACGTTGTCATTTGCAACCTTCATTACTCTGCTCGCTGTCTACCGTACACCTACATGATACCCCTTCTCACCGAGCTTAAATACCAGGTCTAATCAGAGCTTGCAATGGTTTCACGTTCACATCTGCGCTATATACGTATCTTTACCGATGTATGTTCTCACTGCGCGCTAAGTAATTTCAATCCCTCCTTTGCGACTCGGAGTCTCGTAGTAACAATGATTGCAACCATGGAATTCTGACTCGGGCGGGCGCATTTGCCTCACAAGCCAGGGACTGCTTAACCGAGTCGTTTGCCAGTACTACTCGTGCTTACCTTTAGTAAAGGTTGCTATACATTCACCATTGCATGGGTTGGTACAACTTGGACTGGACAAATGTCGGGACTGGGTGCTTCCTCGATCTAGATTCAGCCATTTTTTGAATCGAATAACAGAGACGACTTCAAAGCGCTTTACAGTCGTTCATGGCATTGTCATCCAGTTGCGAGCAAGGGTTTAAATTGCCGACGTTCCTTGTCAGATAATCACGATGGATTGCGTTATGTAGGCGCACTCCTCACCCGCTGCGACTTCGTGGACGGACCGGGTAAAAATATGGAGCGGACCTCCCCGCCTGCACCGAAGTCCGTCGGCCGCGAAGACTCCCGCTATAGTATTTCGAATTCATATGGGTGGGCGCTTAACTTGAGACTGCTTACTAAGCTTCCTAATTGGTCACGGAAGCTATATTGTCGGACTTTAAGTTTCCGAACACAAGTCGGACGAGTCAACTGTCAACAGGTCTTCTTCCCGTCCACCCACAGGTGCAAGGTCCCACTAGTGCCGTCGTCGTTCTCAACGATAGTTGGCTCTACTGACCTTGTCCAATCCACCCAGACGAGGCCTCCAGGATGGAGAAGCACGTACTGAAAGCGTTCAATGGCTACTGGCGCTTAACCTCCTTCAACCCCAAGCTCAAGAGCACTTTTGGTAGATCTGGTCCATCTATAATTGAACGGCACACTCAACAGCTTCTCTCTGTAGCCTGTCGTGGTTTCAATATCTCAGCAAGGAGAGCTAATGCAACATCGTCACAACCATCAACGTCAGGTGCCCCAGGAACACCCTACTCGTCTCTCACAGTCGGCATCCCTCGAGAGTCGTTCCCCAATGAACGTCGTGTCGCGTTGACCCCGCAGAACGCCGCTCTTCTGCTGAAAAAAGGATTCAAGGAGGTTCTCGTTGAACGCAACGCTGGTGCTGAGGCCAAATTCCTTGACGAGCAGTATGCCCAAGCCGGTGCTAAGCTGGTCTCGCGAGAAGAGGTTTTTGGGTCTTCCGACATCCTCCTGAAAGTCCGACCACCACTTGCCGGCCAGGAAGTTGAGAGTATCAAGGAGGGAAGCACATTGGTCTCGTTCCTATACCCTGCTCAAAACAAGTCCCTCGTTGAGACCCTCGCTTCGCGCAGAGTGAACAGTTTCGCAGTACGTAACAAACGTTCCTCTGCTTCGACCAATACAATTGACAATCATCCAGATGGATATGATCCCCCGTATCTCAAGGGCTCAAGTCTTCGACGCACTGAGGTGGGGCCCTCCTGCACCTCGTGTCTGTCGACGTTGGTCACCTTATCCATTGTAGCTCGATGGCAAACATCGCAGGTTATAAGGCTGTTTTAGAAGCATCGAATTACTTCGGAAGATTCCTCACAGGACAGGTTACTGCTGCTGGGTGAGTTCTTCCTCTCCCCATGTGCCGCTGTGACACGGGTTTTCTAATGCGCCGTTGTTACTAGAAAGGTAAATGTGTCACGCAGTGTACACGGTAGTTCGTCCCGTTGTTGACTTCTCTGGTCCAGATTCCCCCCGGTAAAGTACTGGTCATCGGTGCTGGCGTCGCGGGCTTGAGTGCCATTGCCACGGTATGACCTCGGTTTCGAGAATATTGTTCAGGCTTCTAAACCGTAACATTATTCAACAGGCAAGACGCCTTGGAGCCATTGTTCGTGGATTCGATACCCGGTCTGCTGCCAGAGAACAGGTAGAATCCCTCGGTGCCGAGTTCATTGAGGTCGATATCAAGGAGGAAGGCGATGGTGCCGGCGGCTATGCAAAGGTTATGTCCAAGGAGTTTATCGAAGCCGAGATGGCTCTGTTCAGGGAGCAGTGCAAGGAGGTCGATATAATCATCACAACGGTACGGTGCCAACCTTGTGGTACCCTGAATTGGTTACTGAGTGGACTACAGGCTCTCATTCCCGGAAAACCCGCCCCAAAGCTGATCACCAAAGACATGCTAGCCCTCATGAAACAAGGTTCGGTCGTCGTTGATCTGGCAGCTGAGGCCGGGGGGAACTGCGAAGCAACGCGACCCGGTGAATTGGTTGTGCAAGATGGCGTAACGGTCATTGGTGCGCGTTACCCTGCTTTCAATATCTCTTCAATTGTTAATCCTTTTTGCAGGCTACACTGATCTTCCTTCTCGGTTGCCCACTCAGTCGTCCACTCTGTATTCAAACAATATTGTCAAATTCCTCTTGTCTATCGGCAACGACAAACGTTTCAATATTGACCTGGAAGACGAGGTTGTTCGTGGTTCTTTGGTGGTACATCAAGGCCAAATCCTCCCACCCGTGGTTCGCTCATTACCGCCACCTCCTGTCGCCCCCGCCACCACACCCAAAGAAGCTGCAGAAGCTGTCAAAGCCATCACGCCTTGGCAAAAGGCTAGCCGCGAAGTTGCCGTCGTCACTGGTGGAATGGGCTCTGTCATTGCTCTCGGAAAAGCGACTGGTTCTGCTTTCATGGACAATTTCTTCACCTTCGGTCTTGCGGGTTTGGTCGGATATCGCGTCGTCTGGGGAGTGGCCCCTGCTCTGCATTCGCCCCTAATGTCTGTGACCAACGCCATTTCTGGTTTGGTACGCGCTCCGCGATCTCTCACTGTGATCGACTGCTGACCTGTATCTAGGTCGGTGTTGCCGGCATGTTCATCATGGGAGGTGGCTACCTTCCGCACACCCTTCCTCAGGCGCTCGGTGCGGCCGCAGTGCTACTTGCAGCGGTCAATGTGGCAGGAGGTTTCATTCTTACGAAACGAATGTTGGATATGTTCAAGCGTAAGTGCCGGCGTTTCATCCTGAATCCTCTATCGATGCTGACAATAAATCTAGGTCCCACTGACCCACCCGAGTACTCTTGGCTGTACGGTATCCCTGCCGTGGTCTTCACGGGCGGATTCTTGGCTGCTGCCAGCACTGGAATGGCAGGTCTAGTCCAAGCTGGCTATCTCACCAGCAGTATCCTATGCATTGGTATGCTTACTCTTCCCCTTGCCACGCGTCCTTCGCAGTGCTAAACCCGGTTCTTAGGCTCGCTTTCTGGACTTGGCTCGCAACTGACCGCAAGACAAGGCAATGCTCTTGGTGTCCTTGGAGTGAGCTCCGGCGTATTGGCATCTCTAGGTGCTGTCGGTTTCTCCCCGGAGGTGATTGCGCAGTTTGGAGGTGTAGCCGCCATTGGTGGCATTCTGGGAACCATCATCGGTCGCCGAGTTACTGCAACAGAACTTCCCCAGACCGTCGCTCTGCTGCACTCCATCGTCGGCTTGTCCGCTGTCCTTACCAGTATCGGAAGTGTGATTCAGGATCCATCTCATCTCACCACTCTACACGCTGTGACAGCTTACCTTGGTGTTGTAATCGGTATGTTCCTTGGTCGCTGTTCGGTTATACTTGGCTTACATGTTTTGCAGGTGGAATCACGTTCACTGGCTCTATCGTCGCCTTCTTAAAACTCGCCGCCAGGATGTCGAGTAGGCCCATTAAGCTGCCCGGAAAGCACGCGACGAACATTGCCCTCCTTGGAGCCAACGCTGCCACCATGGCAGGTTTCTTGGCCTCCATCCCCACCAGCACTCCGAAGATTGCAGCCTCCTTTTTGGGTGTGAGCACGCTTCTCAGTTTCCTCAAGGGCTACACCTCAACTGCAGCAATTGGTGGTGCAGACATGCGTTCGTATCACGTTTTTCCTCCAATCAGCATCGTCCTGATCTTTTCTACTCAGCTGTCGTTATCACGGTTCTCAACGCTTACTCGTAAGGCCTGTCCTACTCGTTTCACATGGAATGGAGGTTGATCCCCTTGATCAGTGGATTCGCTCTGGTGGCGGAAGGCTTTATGTTGGATAATCCGCTGCTCGTCTCAGTAGGATCGCTGATTGGTGTCAGTGGTTCTATCCTCTCGTACATTATGGTACGGTTTTATGCTGCCTCTGTTGTCCTTGGATTTAATGTTTGTTTTAGTGCGTTGCGATGAATCGGTCGCTGACGAATGTGCTGTTCGGAGGCATATCCTCTGCCAACACTATGGAGACTCAGAAGATCGAAGGTACCATCACGCAGACTAATGTCGATGACGTTGTCGACGCACTGGCAAACTCTGACAGTGTTATCCTGGTAGGCGACATCGGCAATCTGCGTTGGACCTTCCACTCACCGTATTTTACTCTAGGTGGTTGGCTATGGCATGGCTGTCGCCAAGGCTCAATATGCCATCTCCGAAATCACATCTATGCTTCGAGCAAAGGGTATCCAAGTCCGGTTTGCAATCCACCCCGTGGCTGGTCGCATGCCAGGTCAATGCAACGTGCTGCTCGCTGAAGCTGCTGTCCCCTACGATAGTGAGTTCTGACTTGCCGTCCTCGATAGCGATTCTCTAACAGACCCGTTTCTTGCAGTCGTCTTGGAGATGGAAGAGATCAACGACGACTTTAAGGATACTGACTTGACTCTTGTCATCGGCGCCAACGACACTGTCAATCCCATCGCTTTGGAGCCAGGATCTCCCATCGCAGTAAGTAGCGTCGCGGAAGTACGATGCTGGTTGTCTAATCCTTCCATAGGGGATGCCGGTGCTCCATGCATGGAAGAGCAAGCAAGTCGTCGTCATGAAGCGTGGCTTGGCCAGCGGTTACGGTATTTATCTTCCTTTGTCAAATGCGAAACGAGACTAACTCTCCGTGCAGCTGACGTTCCCAACCCCATGTTCTACATGCCTGGCACGAAGATGTTGTTTGGTGATGCAAAGGATAGCTGTGAAGGTGAGCCCTGCCGTATGACTACCTGGCAGACTTCTTGACGCCATCTCTTTCCAGCTATCAAACGCGGCCTTGAAGCGCGCCTGAAGAATTAAAGATTGAAAAGATCACGTTTTCTCGTCATATTTATTCGCTCTGCTATCTTGCTATCGTCTTGTCTATGGTTACGAGTATTGCCTATGGTCAGACTGAGGTGGACTAACGCTACGACCGGTCGACTGGAAGGCTTCGCATTGGTTTACTATGCCCCCTGTTTCGAGTATCCCCGTGTCCGTTTGTTTCCTCTCATGTTGGATTCTTTAATGTACATTAGTAGGACTGTTTTGACCCGGCCTAGATGCTGTTGTGTCTAGAAATATACATTCTACATGCGCGTGGTTGGACAACTGGCGTCCTTTGCATCGACTTGCATGCTGAGGTGCATCACGCACTATCATCTAAGCACGAGTACTGTGGTGGTGGATACAAGGTTTATACATTGTAACGCTTGCGGATGCCGGTCTAAAAGTGGAGAGAATTAGGCTGTGGTATACAAGAGCGCAGCTCTTTCTCTTTGCCTTGCTGGCACAATATATGATAATCGAGAGAAAAAGAAACCTGCAAGTTAGAAGCCACCCCCCTGGGTAGCCCCGCTCTTCCTGTCCGGACCGTACAATCCACAGATACTATACGTAGGGCTCCTGTAGTTGTTGTAGGCCTCGGGGTGGTTGTGCGCCAACGCCATCTGGGTGAGGGACGGAAGCGGGGGAGGCGAAGGCACACGAGGTGGTTTGTCGTCACGATTGTTGCGTCTGTTCTGCTCCATGGCGGCGGTGGCTAATCCAGCCCTCGGAAGCGCCTTATATACCTCCGAAGGTCTCCCAGCAATCTCACCCAAAGACATACGGCTGACCTCGAAATCCATCTCCAGTAGTCCCTTCGACTGGCGTTTGACAGAAGCTTGACTTGGATACGTGGGCATGGTATCGGGATGGTGGAGCTTAGACGTCCGCTTGCTCTGTTGCAAAGTCTGACTTGCCCTCTTGGTTCGTTTAGACGCGATAACGCTCAAAGAGTCGTCCGGATACAAGGTAGGCTGTGGCGAGGATGGGACATAAGATGACCTTGGGGAGTTCGGATCGCTGTAGACGAGGCCAAGGTCCTTCTCCAGTGGTGGGAGATCGCAGTGACCGTGGTCGCTCGGAAGGGCTTGTGCTTGAGCCTGAGAAAGGTTGACTTTGGTTGCCGTGTTGATTGAATAAGTGACTGGGACGCTCGAGAGACGAGGGTAGGTCCCAGTTGCGAAGTATGACGACTGTATTCTCGCACGGCCTTCAACTCCTGCGGAAGGCGTAAATCCAATAGTAGGTGTCGCTATCGGCTGATAATAGGTTGGAGGAGAAGACACGTCGGCACCTTCATACGCGGAATCGGGTCGGTAAGTTGAATGCCTGTTCCTAGGTTCTTGTGATCCTGAATAGCTTTGGCTCCGTCGAAGATCCCTGGACAATCGTTGAAGGACCTTTTGTCCGTCCCCTGTAAACGAAGTCTTCTGAGAAGTATAGTAGGAGGCCGAAGGGGCGCTGTTATCAAGTCCGTGTCTGAGAGACGAACGAGACCCTCGGTTTTTTGAGGGGACCGTATCGGATTGAGGTGGTTCCGCGGGAAGTGGATCGTCCCTATGGGACAGCTCCATCCTGGAGGCGTCGAGCGGGTCCACATCCTTGGCGGAGCAATTGAAGGTCTGCGCTGATTGCGAGTTGGAATCGTAGGATGCAATGTCTGGTTTCGAGTACTGAACCCATGTCCAGAGGGGACCTTCACCACCGAATTTTTCGTTGGCAGTTAGTCGTTCCTTGCCACCGAACATTGGAGACTCCTGGGATCCAAAGTCATCGTCATCTGCATAACCTTTCTCAAGAATAGGGAGAGAAGGTTTGATGGTGCGTTTCTTTCGCGGCTGTTTACAGGCCTTCAGGATAATGCCAACGCCCAGGAGAAGACAAACAGCGCCCACACTGATCAAGACGATGATCGGTGGAGAAAGTTTCACGGCTTCGGGTTCGACGTCATTCGTAGAGGTATTCAGATTATCCGATAAGCTAGTCGTTGCAGATGGAGCCAAAATGAGAGTCGAGGTAGACCGAGGGGACCGAGTAGATAGCAAAGGAGGGAGAGGCGTGAAGGAAGGGAATACTGATAACTTTCCGGGGCTGGTTTTCGAATGGGGTAACAACTGCAGTGGATTGGTTGCCGAGAGCAAAGTCGTCTGGTCGTGGATATCCAAGGGAAGATGGGCTGCCGCGAACGCTCCTTTTCCATGCGATGAAAGGTCAGGCTGTAGGGATTCTCGAACAGGTCCTTGGCTGGTAACGAAAGACCCTTTGGAACCGAGCTTTCGACCCTTAGTGACAGGGGACTTGTCCAGTTTCCCACCCAGCTTTTTAAGCGACTTTTCGACAGTCGACCCCTGGTATATGCGTAGTAAACGCCTTTTGTGACTCTGGTTCACTGGCTCGCCCAGTAATTCCTCTGGACTATTTTGTTGAGCAACAAGACGATCCGGTCCCCAGATCAGCGACTCGCCGTTGGGATCTTCCATGACTGGAGTCGGCGTGAACTTTAGGTGTGGGCGTGTTGGAGCTGTGTTATACGAATCGCTAGCTGGGAGAGAGAAGAAGACACTTTGGAACGCTGAGCGGGTGAAACAAACAAGTTACTGTTTGCCTTTAATCTATTTCCCACGACTCAAACTCCGCTAAGCGCCCAGATCCTCGATGCGAGAGAGAGGTAGAGGTAGAGGGTACTAGGGTTGTACTGGAGAAACATGGGGTATGTATGTATCTCAGCCTTTACAATACCGTATATCCAGAGTAATGCATTAGCAAATGCTATTGGCAAAGCCTTGGCCGAGGAAAGAGCAATGAGGTACCACCTCCTGTCACTTACAGGTTGGGTGAGTACCGGGATGTACACTAAAGGGCGCCTCTAGCAACTCTATTTGCTGTAAACTGGCTTGAACTACTTCCGCTCACGTCTCGATCTCCTCTGTAGAAGGTAGGACTGCTCAATCATCATGTGACTATCACGTGACCCTCCGAGTCGTCGACGGTCTGCGCATGAGTGCGTCGCAACTCGTTCCAGCACCATCGCGCACCTGAGGCTTTTGGTAAAGAGGACTTAGGAGTGTAGAAGAGTCTGACAAGTAAGCCGGCAGGTATGCTCCTCTCCAGCATCTCACATGACGAGGTTTGACGCCGTTTTCCTAGCTTGACGTTCTCCACACGGGTAGCCCATTGGCTTGGACGGATAGACAGCGGAGGACGCTAACACATCAAACACCTGCGAGCGTCCAGTTTAATCTGCACTTCAAAACCTTGATTCATAAGGACCGACGCGTGGCACGCTTTCACAGAGCCAGGATGGACGCGTTTGATGGCGAGCTGAGGTACGCAAGTTAACCAACCCTTATTTTACTGCCAATTGAATTTGCGTTTTCAGCGATGTTGAAGAAAGCCAGGCAACCCAACTGCTGCTAGACATTGTTCCCCGAAAATCTCCCAGCCCAGGCCTGCCTTCAAAGGGCTCCTCAAAGCCAACTGCCGTGCAACCAGCGGGAGCCGACATCTCGGTCGACTCGCACAACTCTTCTCGCATTTCAACTTCAATACCAACGTATCATTTTCACGGATTAGCAACTACGCAGACCGAAACGGACCTAACGATGGAGGATCACAATGGAGGATCACAGAAAGAGAATATCCAAGCACCAGTGGGGGCAGCGGAGATACAGCAAGTAGAAGGGGGATCTAGAGCTGTGCAAGGCCAGGCAACTCCCTCCATTAGCAAAAGTGGCCACAACAAAGCAAGCCACTCAGTCTCGCACAGCAAAGTGCGTTTTAGCTCTTATTACCTCTTTGTTTCGACCGACCGAGTTTTTGTTAGTCCAGGACACCGAACGCGAGACCTATCGCACTGTCTTCTCTACAATCACCGTCAAACTCGGTGAAACAGTCGCTCAAGTCCTCGATGCGCCAGAAACCCAGCAACTCGGTGGCATCATCAAGTCGAAAGCCTACAAAGTCCCCGATCCGAGCTGAAGATTCGTTCGCTCATGATCCATTTGCGCACCCGCGCGACGTGTTCATAGCCACCAACGAGCAATTCAGGGTCCCCATTAACAGAGTTGGCGCGTCTTCCATGGCGCGCAATGTCTCGAGCTCCTCCTCGGGGCTGGGATACACAATGCCCCGACGTGGTGGGCCCATCGTTGCGGAGTTGCAAGGCAATGTTCTTGTGGAGTCGACACCCACCAATTCAGCAAGTTCCCAAGATCACTCCGCCGAACAGCTCCATCCCAATGAAGAAGCGACACAACTGGTTGACGATTACGACTCCGACAGCGACCCGCCATCCAGCCTGGGGGCTTCCCTTTTCGTCCCTGGACCACCCGTGCCAGCCGAACCTGAAAAGCAGTCAGAGAACACCTCCGAGTGGGTCGCGACCCAGGCGGCTACTCAAGTCGTGGATGAAGTTGCAACCCAGTTAGACGAGCCAACGACTGTTGCAGGGGCGTCTCACTATGCCACAGCCCATACCACAACCGGTCCCTCGGTGCAATCCGCTCAGCCTAATAACGTCGGCCCCCGCTCACTGCTTGGCCTTGTACCTCCCGGCAATCGATATCGCTACAATAATTACAGAGGTCCCCAAGTTCAGCAGCAGCCACCCCAGCCTCCTGCCGTCCCGTCTACTACCACCTCCGCCGGTCCTGCGCTCCCTTATTACAACTTGCTCGACCCTACTCAACGAAATAACCTTAGTCAAGCCAACTGGGAGGAAACTCAGCCAAACTATGTGCCGCCTCCAGCGCCTTCAAGCCCGGTCCCACCTCCAGCGGACGTCAGTGGATCCCGTGTACAGGATGTCGGCTCGGATGATGCCATGGACATTGTACCAGATTCTGAGGCTCAACGCCTTGGTCCGCAAAAGCCTGCAAGTGATGTCGAGATGCAGAGCGATGAAGAAGAGAGCCCGGCGCATGCTCCCAAGAACAAGAAACCAGAGTCAAAGGGCAGTAACGTTGTGGTTCCCTCCTCAGAGTCAGAGGAAGAGTCGGATACCAATTCCGATGAGAGGCCAACCAAGCGACGGGCGATTGAGCGGGAACAGGAATCCGAAGAAGACGATATCCCTTTGGCGAGCAACGCTAAGAGAACGAAAAATGTGGCAAAAACTGCAAACAAAGGAAAGGCCAAATCAATAGCCACAGAAGAGGGTGTGAAGCCGGTGCGTCCTTTCATCAAGCTACCTTGCGCTTGTTCTCATCCATTGCGTCTAGCCATCGAATTCCAAACCCGCCCAGACAGGAAGAACCGCGAGGAAGAAACCCGAACCCGTTCCAGCCGTCACGACGCGTGGTATGCAGAAGAAGGCCAACATCGCCAATCGTTCATGGGAGACTGGTGTCGTCCCTTCATCCATTCCCGAAGAAGAGGTTACCCCTGCCCCAGCTGCTGGGAAGCGGAAGGCCAAAGGAAAGAAGCAGGCAGCGAGGGCACCGGCAGCCAAAGGCCGGAAGCCTTTGGAAGATGAAGAAGAGGTCGAGGCAACCGACGAGGAGGGAGGCGGCGACGGCCCTGAAGGCGGCGAAGTGGAATCGACACCTGCGCCTAGTGGCCCGTCCAGAGGCAACAAGAGAAAACGCGGTGGCAACGCCAAGGCAGGGCAGAAGGCAGTCGCCAAACGCGAAGCCAAGCGACAGGCCGCACAACCTAAGGCGGACAAGGGCAAAGACCACGACAGGATGGCCAAATTACTTCGCTCTGCCAAACGAAATCCCAATGCCACCCGCGTTTTCGCTCACTGGCAACCAGACGGCTATTGGTACCCCGGCATTGTCAAGTGTTACCAAGATCCTACCCATTGGGTCGTAAAATTCGATGACAACAACGAAGCACACCTCTCCATCGAACAAATGCGCCTTGCCGATCTGCGAGTTGACGACGAGGTGTGCTATGGAGGGTCCAAGGTCTTTTTCTCGGTCACCAATGTCGATAAGCTCGCCAAGGGGCTAATCACTGTCCGTACACCTCAAGGGGAAACGGAACTGCCTGTGAAGGATATTCGGATCTCTCCCACGACGATAAACGTAAAGTGGAAGGATCGCATGGTCGATCCGGAATTGATCCAACCTTATCTGGATAACGTCCATGGCCAGCAGTCTCCATCCCAAGGCACCAACGTTCTCTGGAAGACAGCTGTAGTCCTGACTTCGAGTGTAAACAACGCCAGCCAGAACAAGGAGTCGTTCATGACTGCCAGCCAAAAAACCGGTGCCATCATCGTGGAAGATCTGGTTTCCTTTTTCAATATGACGGGTGAATGGCAAGAAGCAGGGAAGAGATGGGTCATCAAGAAGCAGGATGTTGAACTCAACCGCAAGGACATTTGTCGCTTGTTCCTTCTCGCGGATGGTGCCAACCAGAAGCCCAAATATCTGATGGCCCTCGGACTGGGAATCCCATGTTTGTCGCTTAAGTGGTTGGAGACCTGTGCTGCTGAGGTACGCTGTCTTCACTTGCAAGTCGTGTTCTCAATTGACTCGGACGATGTGGCATAGAACGAGGATGTAGACTGGCCGCCCTTTTTGCTACCGCAGGGGCAGTACAACGATTCTTGCCTTACCCAGATGGTGGACTTGAACTGGGGAACCAGCGCATACCACTTGGCTAATATCATGGACAACCCTGCCCCCATGAAACTTATGAAAGGCACGTCGGTGTTGTGCGTTGGTCATGACATCTTTCCGCAACCAAAAGGCAAATCAGTGCGTACCAACCTCGTGCGACGAATAATCATATCCGACTGACAGGGTTCTGTGTAGCACCCCAACAATGAGCAAGGGTTCCAAGATGGTATCAATTACTGCACTCGCATTATCCTTGCCATGGGTGCCGACAGTGTCGAGGCAGTCCTCAACCCAGACTTTGCCAGCCGCGGATTTGATGACTACACCTACATTGTCACCAGGGCGCCGCCCGCCGAGAATAAGTGGCCGGAACTTCCTCGCTCAAGATTGGTGGACTGGAGCTGGGTCAAGTCCTGTCTCATTGCCAACCGATTGCTGCCAACTCCGGAGTTACCTCAACAAGAGCACTCGCAAGAAGTATAATCACCGACTGATAATTCGTCGAAGTGACATCGCAACCCAGCAGACTATCATGTTTTCCTCGGCGGTGGGAACCCTGGGATGTTGGTGTTTGAATGTAAACTGCCATCTTTTTGCACATTCTATTCATGCCCGTAGCTGTTAACCTCAATTTGACGATTAAATGTACGTATACTCTTTCATCTCTATTCTGTTACCTTATCCATTCCTGTATATACTTGTTACATTTGATAGCTTGGATTCAATACATTGTCGTGATAGCTGAAAGTACTGGTACAGGCGTGTACAACATTAGGCGATGTAGGGCAGGGTAAGGTAAGGGGAGCGTGATTGAGTCCCAATGGCTATAGATGTCATGAAGTAGTGCAGGTGCGCGATCACATACGGGCACCGCAGCGAACGCATCGCTCTTCTCTATCGATGCTGAATCCACCAGTTCAATAAAGCGAGGACCAACAACGTTTCTTCAGGGACGCACCATAATCCAACAAGGCCGATTGGGAAGCAAAGCTTTAGGTCGACATGGTTGATTAGCAGGAGGCAAATAACTATGCATGGAGCGAACACGTACTATGGCAAAGATGATACCACAAGCACCATATTTGGTGGTCGTGTCATGATTACCGACGGCACACTGTGCTAAACCTGGGTGGAATGAGCAAGAGTTGTTACGCGTAAAGGATAGAACCACCCACGGTCTTGTTGGTATTGTGCGCCAAGGTTCGCAGCCGGAGCAGGTGCGGCTCGAGGTTGGGGATGGGCTTCTGGAGCCTGGACTGCATATCCAGAGCTATGAGGAACGGGTGCCGGTGCAGGAGCGTGAATAGACTCAGATATAGGTGCAAGGGCGAGTGCGGGCTCAGGGTAGGGAGGAGGGGCTTTCTCAGACATCGCGTGGTTGGTGGGAGGGAGAGTAAGACGATGCTTCGTTAATGCCCTCTATCGAAGATGGCCTTTATGTTGAAAAAACCGGTTTGTAGAATCAGGGTCCTTGATCCACAGCCTCAGCGCAAGTTCATGGTAGTCTCACCCAAGCGCACCGCGTACATGGCCGTGAAGGCCGCTTTTACAGCAGCGCGGTATTGGCGCAGTAGGTAGCATGTAAACCATCAAAGAATAGATCTATACCGTTTCATTCTGACTCTGGGCAGTCTTCGGCAGGATGGCCATTTTGCTCCCGTTCATGTCCTACGTGGAGCCAAAGTATGAGCGGTGTAGAGCGATGATAAGATACGTTCAAGTCTGGGCGCTTGTAAGCATCCTCGTCGGATGTCCATCAGGAAAGTTACGTCATTGACGGGTCGGCCACTGAGGCCCAGCCCCAGCGCACGTCGGGGCATGCATGCCCTGAGGCAATGAGTTGACCATGTGGATGATAAATTAAAAATGAGAATACATGCTAAGTAAGGTGCTGTACGTAGGTAGGATATCCGGTGTAGAAAGAAGGTATCACAAATCTGAATCAGGCCCTCATCACTGTCTTCTTGACCGAGTCGACACGTTACGTTTCCTCGATTCTGCCAATGTTTCGACAGGGATAGACGACCTCATTTCCTTAAGCGACTCGCGAGTCTTGATGGGAAGTTCTTGCTTGACTGGCGGTGTAGATCGCTCTTTCTCCATGGGTCTTTGAACGGGGATGGAGTTCTCAGCACCGGATGAGACACGGGGTTTCGGGAGTTCGGGAGGCGGGGTTCGCGTGTCGCTCGCTGAGTCGTCCTGCGGTTCTTGGACAGGGAGTTGACCATTCTGAACACGCCAGTCGTGGAGGATTTCGTCGCGTTCCTGGGTGAGCTGCCACTGCGACACATAGTTCCACTGTCGCTTCTGGGGTGTCTGGCCGGTCGGTTGGTCTTCCTTCGCACCCTTCTCGAGGACTGTACCGGCTGTCCTCTGTAGCGCGTCGATGTTGCGACGCGACGTCTCTTGATGTTTGCTGGCAAGGTCCTCCAGCGTTGCAACCTGAAGAGTAGGGCATCAGACAGAAAGACGGAGGTAAAGGGTTAATGCACATACATTCGAGATAACTTGTGATGCGAAGCCCTCGACAGCCTGATATGTCGAGTTCAACGTTGACTGAACAAGCTCCTGTTCCGATTCCAATCCAGCCTGTATCGATTCTGTCTTCTCGATTCTCGCCCTCTTGATTCGTGTTTGCTCTTCCAGACCTGGTTGGGACGTTGAGTACTAGAACCAACTAAAACTCAAGTGGAAAGTTGTATCAAACTTACTTGTCGACAAGGAGCCCATGATCCGCTGTCCATGCTGGCGAACATATACAGACATCCCCTCGACCTTTTGGCCCGTGGTGCCTTGCAGTTCGCTGAGCCTAGCATCCAGTAGTTGCTGGGTATTCTTGACCGTCTGCGCAGGATCGTCAATATATAACGCGATACGTACCAAAGGCGAACTTACCTCCCCGACCGCTTCCCGTTTCCTCTTGCCCTCCCGTGATGCCTGCTGTAGGGACGTTTCAAACACCTTCGACTTGTCGCCGACAGTCGACAGCCGTTTGTCTTGCTGTGCAAAGTATGCTCCGCTCGACTCGGCGTGTTGATCATGTTTTTGCTGTATGTCCTTGACTGATGCCCGTAACGATGCATCACGCTCGTCAAGGAAGTTACCCAGCAGACCCGATATCCTCTGAATTAGATTGTCCTTCGAAGCTTCGGCTTGCTTCCTCTCCTTATCCACCAGTTTGGACAGCCATTCGTTCTCCTTCTTCAACCGAGCGATCTCGGATGCAGCGTGGCTATCCGCAGACTCCTTCATTTCGGCGATGATATGTCGCTGTTCTTGGAGATACTGCTTCGCACGTCGAACAATGTCATCCAAGGCGGCTTGAAGAGCGTCGACAGATTGTTCGATTACAACGTTGTGCTTCTCGACAGCAGCGCCTATTTCACCACAGGAGACCTGGAGGGCATCCTTGACGGTCGTCCTCCATGTCGTCAGTTCCATCTCGAATGCTGAGTGGACCTTCTGCAGATCTTGTTCAAGGGCAGCAAAAACTCTTGTTTCAGCCTCGTCGTCCTCTGCCATCCTTTGGAACAGATGTCGATTGGCATCGCCCTGTTTCTCGAGCGCCTGGAGGTTGTTGGATAGTGACTCGCTTTCGGATGCGATGATCTCCTCTGCTTTGTTGGCAAGGTTGTGGTGGACGTCGGCGGCGGCAGAGACATAGGTGTCGATAGAAGTCGATACGGAATTGGCGGACGAGAGGGTTTCTTTGCCGTATTTATTGACGGTTCTCCTGTTGGAAGAAAGGACAGCATTCTTGCGTTCTTAGATATTGGGTTGTCAGTTCAATATCATTAGCCCGGAGGAGCCACTCACCAAGTTTGGCATGGAGTCCTTCTACGTCTCTGGTACTCTGAGTCACCGTCGACTTCAAACCAGTGGCAATACCGTTGAGGTTCCTCTCCGAATCTTGATAGGCCTTCCGAACCAGCTCTTCCTCCTTCAATGCGACTTTGGTCGCCTGCAAGTCCTTCTCCTGCTGGGCCAGTTTCTCTTTCGCAGCGCTGAGCTGGCCCCTGGTCTGCTTCAGCTCGTCCTCTCGTTGCATAAGAAGCCCGATGCTCTGGTCGTATTCCTCCTGCACATTCCGCAATTGTCCCTCTACGATTTGCACCTGTTTCTTGGCTTCCACGAGTTCGGTTTCACGCATCTCCCGTTTAGTCTCCATTTCTTTCCAGCTGTCTTCAGATATGTAAAAGCCGTTCTTCTCTCGAGCGGCAAGGAGGTCAGCCTTCAGTCTGTCGATTTCTGCGACGTACTCCTTCAGCAGGGCATTGCGTGTCATTCGCTGGTTAAGCTCGGGTTTGTTCTTGATGGACTTGGCTCGAAGCGCATAGTCGAGGGTGGACAGGGTCTCCTCCAAGTTGGAGCGAGCAGGAGAGATTGTGGCAATGATACAGGTTTTGGTTCGGCCACCAAGAGAATCTTGGAGGAGGCGGGTGAGTTTCGATTCTCTGAGAAAGCTGTGAGTCGCAACGTATGTCTTACAGAATGGGGAAGACTGACCGGTAGGGTACGTGGTGTGCCTTGTCCACCAGGGCATTGATGACACGACCAAGAGTGAGAAGACTCTGGTTAATCATACCGGCTTCTCTTGCGCGTTTGTTTTCGGCACCCGAGCGACCAATGTTCTCCGAGCCCGCAAGGTCAACGAGATGGAGCTTACCGGTTTTGAGAAGGTCCTCCCCAAAAGAAGTGTCCTTGGTGTGGACGGTGATGGAGAACACCGAGTGGGAGCGACTGGAATGTTCGTTGAAGTTGGTTGCTGCAGATTGCCGCCTTTCGCTGCCCTTGACGAGGAGAGCAAGTGCATCCCTGGAGTCCTTCACAGCAATTTCCTCGAGTCCCTGAATGAAAACCCCTTTCTTCCCCGAGTCGTCAAAGATTTTCAGACCGCCTTCTCCTTGCTTGTCTTTGGAGGCCATGCCCATCGGTTGTGTAGAGCCACTAGGTGCAGATAGCTCAGAGGCCAGGAGATCGCGAAGCTCTTCGTTATACAGCTCGACGAACGATATCTTCACGCTGTAGTCGGCGCTGGAGGTCTCCAGTTGATGGAAGAGGCGGAATAGGACTCTGGGGATCATGCCAGCATGGGCAGAGGGATTTCCCATAGGTGTTCGCGCAAGATCACCCTGCATAGTGTAGCTTTGGGAAAATCTCAGTTTCGAGGCAAGATGAAGAACCAGTCAGACTCACGTTTTACCTGTCCCTGTTTGCCCGTATGCAAATAGGGTGCAATTGTAACCCTGCAAGACTTGCTCCAACATAGGGCTGACAACTTCATGATAAACCATTGCTTGATCTGCTTCGGGGCCAAAAACGAGGTCGAAAGGGTATGTTCTAGTTGGCGGCATTGTGACGACCCCCAAGCTTGAACTTCCAGAGCCCGTCTCGATCGACACTTCCTTGCTCTTTGCTCCAGCCGAGGTGACAATGATAGGCGAGTTCTCTTGAATTTCACGATCTGAGCGACGACGACATCGAACGACGACTTGGATATTGGTTCCCCCCTCTTGGTTTCGGCTCGCAGCTGAATCGCCCAGCTCGCTGCTGGACGATGACGGCGGCTGTGAAATCGGTTTTGACAAGACTGATCGTGAGCGTATTGGTGGGTTTGCTGGAGGCGGCATCCTCGAACGGGACGACGCTGGGCGTCGAGTAGCCATAACGGAGGCGGCGAATCGAGTTCGATTACGGTGAGAGAGACGGGACTTGGCTCTAAACAGACCGCGTTCAACGGCGCGTCAGATCACGTGTCATCAGTGCCACTTTTGGAAAGCCCCTCAAATTACATACGTGACGGCCTGTTCCCGAGCTCAGCTTGTCTACGACCATGGGCAAACGGAAAAAGTCTTCAAGAAAGCCAGCTCCTGCTAGGCGGAAAGAACCTCTCGGTATGTTATTTGCTCCTTAAATATACTCTGACGCCATCTAACCTTGTTCTTGAAGACACCACCTTTACCTGCCTATTCTGCCACCATGAAAAGTCTGTGACCGTCCGAATGGATAGGAAGGAAGGCGTCGCCCAGCTAGTCTGCAAAGTCTGTGATCAACGATACCAAAGCAAAGTAAACCGTGAGTTTCCAGTAATCTCAGCATAATCCGGTGCCCCTCATCGCCAATGTTCCAGATCTCACAGAACCAGTCGACATATACTCTGAATGGATTGACGCTGCCGACGCTGCTCAGAGAGAAGAAGAGGCTCCCCGACGACCGGTCGCCTCTTCTTCCAGACCCGCTCCAATACCTGCATCAGGCGATAGCGATGACGACGACGACGACGATGAGTGATCTCCCCCTGATCCAGGAGATTCCCTTCCTCAATTTAGACGTTTATTGCATAGTCACTATGTACTTCTATGAACAGTCAGTCAAAAGGCTTACGTTTATTCTAGACTGTTGTATATTATTCGCGCTCCTCAATCATACCTTCGTAATGTAGCCGTTTGACCTTATTTCTGACTGTGCATCGAGATAGAAGGCTGGTTTAAAAGTTAGGGGTCGGAAAAATAAATGAGGACAATGCGGTGTCGCGAACCTGCGGCTTTGAGCCTGGCAGCGGCCAAACTTGGTCGGCTCCTCTTTGTCGTTAACCTCATCCATCGTTCCCCGGCCACAGCGACACGACACAACTACATTCGAGTGATCAGCACGAAATCGGCTTAGAGAGCGCCGTAGACAACCAGAGGACCTTATTCACTCGTCGTTGGCAGTCGCCTCCCCGTAACGATGGCGAGCTCGAACAACATCAAGGTCGTTTGTAGGTGAGGACGCGCGCTCTTTCGACCGCAAACTCTTCTTAATGATCCTGATTCAGGTTTCGGCCTGTCAACAAGATCGAGGAGCGTGAGGGAGGCGAAGTGGTCGTGTCCTTCAGTGACAACCTCCAGACCATCTTTATGAAATCGGCCCAGTTGTCGACAGGTCCAGAGAAAGATGGCTTCACATTCGATCGAGTCTTCCCTATGGGCACGAAACAGAATGAGATCTTCGAGTACGGTGTAAAGGAGTGAGTTAATTTCAGTTCGCTTGCGTCGTGCACTCATCACGACCACTGTCCCTTAGCATCGTGAAAGGTTCGTCCTCCAGATGAAGATGGTCTCTGGATTACCTTAATCATCACCCTTCGTAGACGTTCTGGATGGATACAACGGCACGGTCTTCGCCTATGGTCAAACGGGTAGTGGAAAGACGTTCACCATGATGGTGTGTGCGGGAGCCTTGTTACTGGTCTCAGGACCACTGACGAAATTCATCCATCCATAGGGCTCTGACATCGATGATCCCGAGCTGAAGGGTATTATCCCTCGTATAACCGAACAGATCTTCCAGTCTATCGTCGAAAGTGACTCGCATTTGGAATACCTCGTCAAGGTCTCCTACATGGAGATCTACCTCGAGCGAATCCGAGATCTTCTCGCACGTATGTTATCGATCGCCAGCGTTACAATCCACGCAACTGATTATGCGCAGCGCAAAACGACAATCTTCAGGTTCACGAAGAGAAGTCGAAGGGTGTTTATGTGAAGAACCTTTCCGATTACTACGTGAGCAGTGCCCAAGAGGTCTACGAAATCATGAGAACTGGCGGCAATGCTCGTGTGGTTACAGCGACAAGTGAGCCCTCTGCTCCTCTTCCAATATCCCAGCCACTAATAAATTTGCCTTCAGACATGAACGCGGAATCTTCACGGTCCCATTCCATCTTCCTCATTTCTATACAGCAACGCAACACCGAGACTGGCGCGATTAAGACCGGTAACCTTTACCTCGTAGATTTGGCAGGTTCAGAGAAAGTCGGCAAGACAGGCGCTTCCGGCCAAACACTAGAAGAAGCGAAGAAGATCAACAAGTCGCTTTCTGCGCTCGGTATGGTTATTAACGCCCTCACCGACGGAAAGGTAACCTCCCCATCCCCCTCGAAGTCCGACATATGTAGTTCTGACCGCATTTGTCCAGGCCAAGCACATCCCTTACCGTGACTCAAAGCTCACACGGATCTTGCAAGAATCACTTGGAGGAAACTCTCGCACAACCCTCATCATCAACTGCTCTCCTTCATCCTACAACGAAGCGGAAACTTTATCCACTCTGCGTTTCGGTATCCGTGCCAAATCTATCAAGAACAGCGCTCGTGTCAATGCCGAACTTTCACCTCTCGAACTCAAGGGCCTTCTCGCCAAAGCGCAGGTCGCCAACAATTCATTCAAGACTTACATCGCAGCGCTCGAGGCAGAGCTCGCTATCTGGAGATCCGGCGGAAAGGTTGAGGAGAGCGAATGGGCAATGCCGGGCAAGGGCGCCGCTGCAGCTCCTGCTGCAACCACCAAGAAGCCCTCGGTATCCCCTTCGCCTTCGGCTTCATTGTCGACATCTACGTCGCGCAGTATGACACCTGTGAACCCAGCCGTCGAGTCCCTCAAAGACTTGGACAGCCGACCTCAAACACCAACAGTCATCGGGCTTGACAAGGACGAACGGGAAGAGTTCCTCAGGCGCGAGAACGAACTATCCGATGCTTTGGCGGAGAAGGAGAGTGCCCTGGCCGCCGCCGAGAAGTTGGTCAAGGAACTCAAGGAGGAGCTCGCCTTCCTTAAGGATCAAGAGGCAGCTGTGAACAAGGTCAGGCTGTCACCGCTTTCATGCCCGGTAGTTTCTCATGTCCCATGTAGGAGAACCAAGCAATGTCCAGTCAACTCAACGAGTTGAGGCTCCAAGTCGAGCGACTCGGCTACGACAACAAGGAGGGTATCATTACAATCGACATCCTCAAGGAGCAGAACCAGGATATCAAGAATGAGTTGGAGGAGGTTCGCAAGCAGTTGACCGACCTCAAAGCCAATCAGAAGGATTCCTCTGCTGAGGATAAAGAGAAGCGCAAGCAAGAGAAGATGGCTCTCATGATGGCCAAGTTCGATTCTGTGTGTATCCCAGAATTGCACTATTTGAAATACTCACTCAATGTGATGCTCCTGATAGGGCGCCTTTTCCGACAAAGACGATCAGTTACGACAAATTCTCATCAAGCTCGATACCATTGATTCGGCGGAGCCCCTCACGTCAGAGGACCTCACTTCAATTCGTCGACAGCTATCTGAGGGTCAAGCGCTACTCAAGGAGACTGTCGATAAGCTTAGACAATCTCAGGAGGAGAACGATTTGCTCGTGAGAAGGAAAGACGAATTGGAGAACCGAATTACCAGTCTGGAGGCGGAGTATGAGGAGCTCTTGGGTGCGTGTCTGGTATTACATCACCTTACGTTCCGCTCGCCTTAACATAACTGCCAGAGAAAACCATTCAAGATGAGGAGACCAGTAATGCGGACACCGCGGAGGCGGTGGCTGACCTTAAGGTTGGTCCTTTTACAAAGGGTCGTCAAAACATGTCGTTAATTGATGTGACAGGCCAAACTTGAGGCGCAATACAACGCGAAGCGAGAAGCCCAACAGAATGAAGTCAACGATTTGAAACAGCAATTGGAGCTTCGAAATAACGAAATCCGTAACCTTAACGCCTCCATCGATACACTAAAGAGCGTCAACGAGGAGCTCAAGGTAGGCCCCGTGTCACGGTTGCTTGAATTGAATGCATTTTCAAACACCTCTTGCCCCTTTCTCCCAGCGCGCTTTCGCCGTGACATCGGCTGGTATTGAGGGCGGAAAGAACCTCGCCGAGAGTGCTCAAGATCTCGAGAGAACACGCAAGGCTATCAACATTCAATTGGCGGAATTCGATGGTGTAAAGAAGTCGTTAATGCGGGACTTGCAGAACCGATGTGAAAAGGTGAGTTTATCTGCGAGGTTGAGTGCGTATCAAGAAAAAAAATTGAACGCCTCATCTTTCCCAGGTTGTCGAATTGGAGATCCAGCTCGATGAGATCAAGGAGCAATATAACAATGTCATCCGAAATAGCAACAGCAAGGCCCAACAGAAGAAGATGGCCTTCCTTGAACGTAACCTCGAACAGCTGACATTGGTTCAAAAACAAGTGCGTCATTATCTTTCTTGCTCTACATCACTATGGCTCAACTGTCACTCCAGCTCGTCGACCAGAATTCCGCTTTGAAGAAGGAGGCAGGTATTGCCGAGCGGAAGCTACTTGCTCGAAACGAGCGCATTCAGAATTTGGAGGCTCTTCTTCAGGACGCAGATAGGAGATTATCTGTTCAGAATCAGAAATTCGAAGCGCAACTCCAAGCAGTCAAGGAGCGGCTAGATCAAGCACGAGGTGAGCTAATCTTAACCGCATTTAGTATTCGTCGTTCTCATTCTGTTTTTAGCATCCAAAGCGGCCACGGCATCGCCGTTGAACTTTGGTCGTATCGCTAAGCCTCTACGGGGTGGTGGAGGAAGTGTACCTGCAGGCAGCCCAATTGCAACAGCCGTTCCGTCGGCCAATCCTTTGGCCAGATTGCAGAACGAGGAAGGAGGGTGAGTGTTATGTTATCTGTATGCCCGATCATAAGCTAATCTTGGAATTCTTCTTACCCTCGATTCAGAGCATGTGAGTATTTTTTAAGTCTTCCTCAAATGTATTACCCTATACTGACCGACCTTTGATAGCTAAACGCGCATCTTGGTTTTTTAACTCTCGGTAAAAATGTCCGCCACACCACACCACGTCGTTCGCAGCTTTGTCGTCTCGTCGCTATATTGCTTATCTTACAATACCTCGATCATCTTATCGCTTGTTTCTATAATGAAGAAAACCTTACGGCTCATACCCCAGGAGGACCCTTCATTTGGCGGATTGGATCCTGCAATTCTTGACGTAAACCAGCGTAAACCGTGTCCAGCCAATCATCCGACCAAAGTCGTCACTTTCCATAATTGCTATGTACATATCAATCGGCCATCGCAACAAATTCCCCGGGCGGCTTCAATACCAGGAACATCGGTCCTTGAACATACGGTGAACGTCTTTGGATCATTTGCATAAAAACTGACTATCTCGTCCTTCAGTAACACTTGGGAAACGATCTTGCACAGTGACATCCATCTCAAAGACGCTTATAGCGCCTACAATCGGAAAGGTAGCATGAAAGACTTACAGCACATTGCTGGCACAGATCGACCATGAGCCGGTCGCCGAATCAAAAGGCTCTGGTGCCCACATGCTGCCAAATTGCTTGGTATATGTTGGGAATATCAAAAATCAAAATTCTCAGATTTAAATCTCGATCCGAGGAACCTGAGGAGACTACTCAAAATAGGCTAGGTTCGCTCTCACGGCAGGATTTCTTCCACTGCAGGGCGTCCCTGAGCGCGATGAAGACTCACTACTCCCCAGGTCACATAGGGAGGGGCTATTTGCGATCGGTACGTGCAACTTTAAATGACTGTCTTTCAGCTAATCACCTGTGATGGAGGTGAATATTCGATGTAGGAGAGAAGCGAAATCCACACGGGCTATAATTTTTCTTCTTGCGTTCTTCTTGCGTGCAACGTGAGGAGCAAGAAATATTGAGGGCCCGATTTGGAATAGTCCCAAGAACCGCCAAAGCAACGGGGACCTGAACGACTCGGAAACATGAATTAAACGCAGCGATGGAGCCGCTCTTTTCGGTAAGCAGAGATCGATTTGGTTCCGTTTCCAGTTGCGTGCCGTCCCCAATCTTCGCCCAAATGGAATTGGAACTACCCCCGCTTGCTCCCATTCAGTCGATATATTAGCCTTGATACGCCGGACGCATTCCACCTACTCCAATCCTCTTGCCCACTGCCACTTCACCCACTTTGCATACCATTCTCTCGTTGTCTTCCGTCGTCGCGACACCGACGCGATTTGTGAGATCTGCGGCACATCAACGGCATACAATTTGGAGCTCATGTCTGCAGGCTATCCGAAATATCGTAAGTGTTTTCTTGAAAAACGTGCCAATCCTCGGTCACTCTTTCTAAATCACGTCGTTCGTTATATCATCGTCATTGGTGAGCTATTTCACGCGTCAAGTAGATGCTTTCTTTTTTAATGCGCGTCGTTTTATTTAGGCGGTAGACCCGAGCCCTTCCAATATGCCACTCCTCCAATTCGGCGACATCCCACCGAAAGAAAAGCCCAGCGAGGGCGTTCCAGACTCGGTACGACACTTCGATGTGTTCGTTGACCTTTGCTTAAATCCCTTCCAGAGTCCTTCTTTCAGCTCGATCCCACCCCTTTCGCCGCCCGTATTCGCTACACTCAATGACGCTCCCGTTGTGACGGCCCCGCTGCCTTATATCCCGCCGCCACCATACCAGCGAGCGCCTCCAACAAAGTCCCTGGTCTGTATATGTATTTTACTTTCCGCTGCAGAGTGCCTCCCTATTGATGCGGAACTGAAGGTGAACTTTCAACCCGGAGAAGCCTGTCCGCCTGTGGTACACTTTGTTCCCGATATACACAGCCTTCCCCCGCCTCCGAGGTTCATACCACTGCCTGAGCCCTTTTTTGTTCATGGCCACGCTTACCCTCCGCCATTTCCTCCTCCACAATGCCAGCCTTTTCCACAGCAGCCGATGTACCGACCTACCCACTGTCACATGCCTTCATTTCCGATGCCCCCACATCCACCACCACAAGCTTGCCCTTCACCCCCCTTTTCACCTCCGATGCATTATCAAGTCCTGTCTCCATTGCCGCCGTATTTCGCTTTGCCGTCTCCTCCTCCACCACCACCTCGACCTCCCCACATGCATCCGAGTCCAATGGCGGGGCAAGGATTGCCTTTCCTTCCGGCTTCGAACGCTCTCTCACCTGTCATTCAACCTCCCATCCAGGTCGATGGTGTAAGCACTCATTCAATGCTCAATCGTTATATGTATATGCTCATCATATCCGACAGTCTCCTTCGATACTCCCTGAGATGCCAACTCTCCTTCGGCAAGCGCCCATGCTGCCGCCACCGCCCAAGGAGCTTGAAGCACAGCCTTCAGAACTCCTTCAACCTGGGTGCAGCAAGTTACTCTTGGAATTTAAAACCAATTTGAAGAAGAGATGGGAGTTGAAGGTAAGCAACTTTGATGGTGACGTCAGTTTGGTCGTCTCACATTTCTGCAGGACGTTAGGGGCCATATAGCGGAGTTCTCGCGAGACCAACGCGCCTCTCGATTTATCCAGCAAGTAATAGAAGATGCTGACACTGACGCCTTGGATCTCATCTGGAGCGAAGTCGCGTCGGATGACTTACTCACCATTTCTTTCAACGCGTGTGGTAATTATGTGAGTATTTGGCGAGTTCTCCAGCTCAGGATATATCACTGACACCAGTGCAGGTTGTTCAGAAATTATTGGACCGGGGCTCGGAAGCACAAAGGGTGAAACTTGCCACCGCTCTCCAGGGTCACGTCGTGCAGGTGTCGCAAGATGCCTATGGGTGCTGGGTCATCCAGAAGGTCAGTCTATGTCCTTCCATCCAAGAGACCGAGTGCACTCACAGCTGGGTCTTTTAGGTCTTGGACGTTGTTCCAAACCATGTTCGCGGTCAAATTGTCCTCGAAGCGGAACCGCATATCTTAACTCTAGTCAAGGACCCGAACGGCAACCATGTCCGTGACCCTCGTTGCCAGTTTCTTTTCCTTTCGGTCTGACGTTCGTCCGGTTTCCAGGTCGTTCAAAAAATTTTGCAAGTTGTACCAGCTCGATACCTGACTTTCGTTGATGCCTTCCATGGGAGGGCCGTCGAGATTGCCCGAGATAACTATGGTTGCCGCGTGCTTCAACGCTGCCTTCAGCACCTGCCCTTCGAAGCCGTGCAGCCTTTACTCCAAGAGTTGAAACCGTTCATCTTGGAGATGATCTGCGACCAGTTTGGGGTAAGTGGTGGAATTTTGACACCATACTTTTCTCATTTACGAGTCACAGAACTATGTCATCCAGCACATCCTTCAGGATGGCAAGACCTCCGAGAAGGAGGAGATCTTCCATCAGATTCGGGGAAGGGTTCTCCGGCTAGCGCGACACAAATATGCATCAAACGTACTCGAAAAGGCTCTGACCCATGCCCCTCCACTAATTCGTCACGCTATCATCGAAGAGATGTTGACGACGGTCAAAGGCTTTCCTAAAGGTGTCTGGCAATTGATGAACGATCAATATGGGAGTAAGTCATTTCACTCGTCGTATCCGGACCAACAAAAATGCAAACCAACTTCACAGACTACGTCCTCCAAAAGGCGCTGACTTTGGCAGAGGAGCCTCAGCGCACTGTTCTCTCGATGGCAACCAAATGCCAGCTATCGAATGTCCGCGCCGCAGGCAAAGCGCGGGCGAAACAGATGGCATCAAGTGAGTGGGATCTCGCGCGCTCGATTAACTTTTGGTTCTAACTTCGTCTAGTTCAACAAATATTGCAGGGGCTGGAAGAGCTCCGATGTTAACTTCGCTATATGACTTCGCTATATGCCACTTATACCCTCTTTCTTGATATGCCTTCTAATCTGGTTTGGGCGTTTGTAACACTATTATTACACCGTATACTCCACCTATCTGTGCGCTGCGTGTATTGAAGTTGCCTATATTGTACTGTCGCTTTGTTGCCTTCACAAGACTAACTATCACAGACTAACTAACTGGGACCACATCTCGCTGTCTTGTAATCTATACCCTCGAATTAACTTACTTCTTGACTTGTCCACATCTCACGCTAAACTGCCCGGTGATCCGCCAATTCATCGAGGTTGACGTGTCGAAAAAGGAATTACCCCAAATCTATCCAAACACATCGCGGTCGCTGGCCTTGTGCGACTCTGGATACTCCGTCACCGGCTTCTTCGCTGAGCTTTGGACGTCCAGTTTAGCGGTACAAAGGACAGCATGAGCGACGTACCTGAAGCAGCAGCTTCTCTCTTTGGCTCAGCGGAAGAGTCTGCGGACCCCTTTGCAGTCATCGGCACCGACGCCAGCGCTGAAGGGAACGACTCGGCACCCAATGACCTCTTCCCGGACGACCAATCGAATTTCTTGGATTCGACACCTCAAGAACAGGCGACAAATTATCAACAGAGTACATATGAAACCCATTCTTCTGTTGGGTACCAGTCGGCGACGACGGGCGCTTCGTGGACGCAGACTGACGTGGTCAATGAGGTTCACCAGTACCAATACCAGCAAACGTCCTCGTACCATACGGTCCAGACGGGTGCGTTCTTTCTTTTTTGAACTATCGACTCCTTTGTGTAACCTTTGCAAAGGAACGACAATCGGTGGCCAACAATCAGCATACGAGCCATCCACTTACCAGCCGTACGCACCCGCTGCTCCAGCCCAAATCCCCGCAACAATCCAGGTGTCAACGGCGGATAGATATGCACCACCCTCTGTAGCCCCCGCAACGAACCAGCCGACGTCGTACTACCCGAATGATTATTCGCAACCTGCTCCGAACTCTTATTCGCCTTATGCACCGACCAATTATGCGACAGCTCCTGCCCCTGCGAACGCTGTAGCCCAGGTCACAGCACCCCCGCCCCCAGCTCCAAAGGTCCCGGTAAGCAGGCCAAAGGTTGTAAATGCTTACGATCCACCGTTCCCAACGACGACCCGCAAACCCACTCGTCAAGCATCGAATAGCTATGGAGCATATGGAGCGTATCAGCCAGTGCAACCCATGCCTCCGCCATCTCCCTTCTATGCAAACAATCAGTTCGCCGCGCACCAAGGTCACCCTTTACCGCCGCCAGCATCGAATTACACCCAGTATGGGGAGCCGCCAACGGCCAGGGCGGCACCACCACCACCTCCCCCGGCCAAAAGCCCACCCTCTGGCTATGGACATGCGCCTCCGCCTGCAGTTGCCCGGATGCAGACTCCTGACTATGTACTACCACCCAGAGCTGCTCCTCGCACCCAAACCCCCGATTATGGGCCTCCCAGGGCAGCTCCCCGTACGCAAACGCCAGACTACAGCCCTCCCAGAGCTGCCCCTCGCATACAAACGCCCTCCGAAGGCCCTCCTAGAGCTATCCCTCGTACACAAACGCCTGACCACGGCCCCCCGAAGGCTGCTCCTCGTACACAAACACCTGATTATGCCCCTCCGAAGGCTGCTCAAGCAACGCACAGTAGGACAAGTTCTCACGGGCGGCACAATTCCGTATCTGCAACAAACCCGCTGCATACTTCCACCTACATTGAGGAGGTTACTACTTCATCCTACCCGCCGCAGCCCTATGGAGTTCCAACTTCCTTTGAAGCAAGCGAATCAGGCGGTATTGAAGACGGTGCACAGTTCTCAGAAAATCAATCCGGTTCAGCGGCAGATGCATCTATCGCGGCGCCAGGAGAAACCGATGAAATCACGTCTGAGTCGGCCATGCCTCCCCCGCCTCCCATGAAAAAGGAAACGGATGCAGACGGCCTGGTAAACGGGAAGAAGCCCGTACCCGATTTTTACGTCCCGACTACTTGGCCTAGGGATGAAGATGGATCCTTGTCGACGGAGATTCCTCGCGTAGAATCCCCGGTCGCTTCGCCGGATATCCATCACATCAATCAAGTACCTTCCTCTCCTCCAGCATCGCACACGTCTTCTCCCTACGCCCCTCCACCTCAGTCCTACGCTCCTAAGCAGACGACCCAGACGTATGACCCTTATGCTCCATCCCGGTCCACGAGCTATGCCCCAACGGCACCAGCGACTAATGCAGAACCAACTCCCCAACCTTATGCAGCGCAACACTATGCATCCCAGCTTGCGTCTCCGCCCGTGGTTTCAAACGCATACGCGCCCTCCCCATCGCTCATTGGAGCGGATGACCCCCTGGCAAGGGTATCGGCTAGGGCCCCTGTTTTCAGTTTCGGTTTCGGAGGCCGCCTTGTCACTTGCTTCCATGGAGCAGCATCATTAAACACAGGATTCGATGTCGCTCTGAGCACTAGGAACACCACGTCTGTCAAGATACAGACCTTGAACAAGTTGCTTCCCAAATCTGCTCTCAGCGAGTCTGAAGCAGACTATCCTGGGCCATTGTATGCTGATCCAGGAACTTCTTCTCTCAGTCTGCGTTCCACGGCAACTTCCCAGGCGAAGACGAAGAAAGCACGAATCGTGCAGTATCTCGAGACCCGAGCGTCCGAGATCAACCAAGGGCTGGGTTACCTCAATGCTGCAGATCGCCGAACGGCAGAGGCAAAATTGGTGCTCATCAACCTCTTGAAGATCATGGTGGAGAACGAAGGCAAGCTCTCGGGATCGTGGGTGTTTCATTTCTTTCATTGAACCTTTTCTGACGTCTTTTTAGTCCCACCGTGGACAACGCCGTTCGGTCTGTGCTCGTGCCACGACTCGCCGAGTCCGCCACAGGGCAGGCAGCTGCCCCAGGATTTACGACGCTAGCGGTAGACCCTCAAAACGATGTGTCCGGAGGAATCTATTCTGGCGGCGCTGTCACCTCTAGCTTTGAGCAGCCAATCTCTGTTACAACCTTGCAGCCCTCTGCACTTAACAAGATCGAAGACTTGCTCATGCGCGGTGAGCGGAAGCAGGCTTATGTCTACGCGCTGGACCAGAAGCTCTGGGCTCATGCAATGGTCATTGCCAGTAGCATCGGTAAAGAGGCATGGAAGGAGGTCGTCAACGAATTCATCCAAGTCGAGTTAGGTGCGCATGACGAGGCCCCTGGCTCAGCCTCACTGCCAGGGTCCAACGACTCTGCCGGTCACTCTACTGGTCGGGATAGTCTTCGTGTTGTCTACCGCATGTTCTCCGGTCAGGGTGGAGACGCGGCTAGTGAGTATCCGCAGCATTTCTTACTTCCTTTATCGCTAACGCGGTTATTCTTCACTCAGTCCAAGAACTGGCGCCCAAACAGTCGCTCTCGCGCCCGACCATGCACCTGCAACCCGGTGCTGGTTTGGCTCCACCACCTCAGCTGACCCCGAGGACTCCTGCATTCCCACCTCCCACATTCAATAATATACCCCCGGAATCGCTCAGTAAATGGAAGGAAACAATAGCGATGATGATTGCGTCACCTCTGAGCCCGGACGCTTCGCAGACCTTGTCTGCCTTGGGCGATCAACTGTTTTCCTGCGGATGGATCGAGGCTGCTCATGCTTGGTGCGTCGCATCATCGTCGATGCCTGAGGTAATTAACTAATCGCGTTGTAGCTATTTACTTTCTCCTCTAGCATCTCGCCTTGGTGGAAGCGGAACGCCTGGTACACGAATTACATTGCTTGGTTCCAAGCCCCCGCACCTCTTCCCTTCGTTCGCTAAGAATCCCGATCACCTCATCTTTTCTGAGATCCTCGAATATGCAATGTCGCTGGTACCAGTTGCCAAAGGCCAAGAGCCATTCAATGGTCTCAATCACCTACAACCGTATCGTCTATTGCATGCCACATGGCTTGCCGAACTTGGATATATTCAAGAAGCTAACCGCTACTGCGACGCCATCACCGCCTCCATAGCCAAACCGTCACCCTACTTCACCCCGACATTTGTTCACCAGCTTCGGAGCCTGGTAGATCGCATCTCAGGTGTGGCGCATTCCGAAAAATCCAACTCGTGGATCGGCGGGAAGATCAGCAAGCCCAGTCTCGATTCCATCGGTGGCTGGTTGGAGGGTCGATTCACGAAGCTGGTTACCGGGGACGAAGATGAAAATTCCCCGAAGGAGGGTAGCGAAGCTGCACAGCAGAAGCCTTTCGACGGACCGTTCGCACATTACAGTACGATTTCGACCACGCCTTCGGCGCGTTCGTCTCCTCAGCCTCGACCTCCAGTGACGAACCCATACGGTGTACCCCAGCGGACGTCGTCAGCGATGGCAATGTCGTCTCCGTATCAGTCCTACGCGCCTGCTCCCATTGATCGGGCATCCTCTGCGATTGACTATATCAAGCACCAGAGGCTTGGGCGACAATCCCCCGCACCTCCTGTTCCACCTTTGCCCGCCCATTTGTCTCAGGGACTCGGACTCAACACCAACGCGGCACCTGCGAACAATGCGCCCCACGGTTCATCTCCGTTGGCCAGTCCGGCGATGGAGACCCCGGTTCAACAGGCGCCCTCGTCCTCGTGGTGGGATTATACTTCAGGGGGAGGGAATGCTACCACCCCTACGGCTACTTCTTTCATGAAGGTGGACGAACCTGTGGCGGCGGAACCATCCAGCGACGGGTTCATCTCATTGATGGACTCGCAGAACTTTACCTATGGAGCGACGTCGCCTGCTGCGCCTTCTCACACCACTCCTCGGTATGAAGAGGAGGAAGACATTGAGGATCTTGGTTTCGGGAATTCCAAGAAGAAGAAGGACAGCGAGGAGAGCGAGGAGGGTAGCGGTAAGGCTGAAGCGGCGAAACCCGAGCCTGCTAAAGCTGCACCTCCGCCTGCTGAGAAGAAGCAAGGTTCGTTGTTGTGGTGCTTTGTCTTTATGCCTATTGATTGAATGAACAGAGCAACAAGCTTCTGGAGGTGGTTGGTTAAGTCGATGGTGGAAGGGTAGCAAGGATGAGGGCAGTGGTGGCGGGCCCGTCAAGGCCAACCTTGGTGAAGAGAATAGTTTCTATTATGACAAGGAACTCAAACGATGGGTTAACAAAAAGGTGACGAGTATCTTTCCTCTCTTTTGACAGGCGAGTCTGACCGGTACCGTATCTAGGCTGGAGCAGAAGAGGCTAAACCAGCGCCTGTCCCTCCTCCCCCGCCATCGCGTGCTCAAACGGCCTCTCCTTCGAAAACAGCGATGCGGCCGTCACCCCTCGGAAACAGCACACCTCCACCGCCTCGGGCGTCTTCAGCAATGGGCGGCATGTTATCCGAAGGTCCACCGCCAGCGCGTGTGCGGTCGAACCTGGTTCCAGTCGAAGCGGGAGGTGGCACACCACCACCTCCGCCGATGGGTGGCAGTCGACCACCTTCTGCGGCTTCGATGGGTGGACCGCCTGGAGGACCGCCTAGTGCACCGGGCTCTGGTCCTCCCAGCCGTCCTAGCTCTGGAGCAGCGAAGAAGAAGAATTTGAGGAGTCGCTATGTTGATGTCTTCCAGCAAGAAAACGCGGCGGCTTAGATGATATATTCCTCCCTGACATTATGTTTCTTTTTTTATGGCTTTCGCGTAGACTTTCTATATCCTTAATCATAAACGGCTTTTGACTCGGTGAAATTGGTCTTCATTGTCAGATAATTTAGTAGGGATACAATGAAGTGAGTCCAGGTGGATTACAAGAAGAGTTTGAATGGATATCCCCTGTTCTTTACCCTGAAGATGGAGACAAGGACAGAGTAGACGATCATGATTACTCCCGACCAGATCCAGACCTGTAAACGCTGCTTGGCGGGGGAGGTTTGTCGGGGCACGACGAGGGTGAGCATAAGGAAGGACAAGGCGAGAAGGCCATCTGCATTCCTGGTCAGTCACCGCGACAACACGAAATAAAGCAGAAGAAACCTACATATGAAAGCGATAACGTGCACTTCCTGACCGAATTGGTTCGTAAAGCCAGGAGCGATCCAGTTTCCGTCTCTTGCGACATAGGGCGAGTTCCTGATACGCGTAAACATGTAGCCGCCAGTCATGATCAGACTGGAGACGACGGAAACGATAGCCCAAGTCCAGCGACTGAGTGCGACGGGTGCGACGTATTTGATAAGTGCGCCGGCACCGAGGACTGCGATGGTGGTTGTAATCCATTTCGCCCAGTCAATGGGCTTGGTGTAGGGGATGGGAACGGGTGTGAATTTGGAGAGTTGCTCAGCGAGGGGGGCGGCGTCAAATCCTCTATAGTCAGGGGTGTTCAGTTGATCTGCGAACAGGGAGGGAGTTGGACGTACTCGGAAAAGTCATATTTCATGGGGACAGGTCTGGCTGCTTTGCGGGGACCCTCCACGGGTGGATAGATGAATACAACTGGTGCAGTTGCAATACCGAGCTATGGGAGAGGTTAGACATGTGACCACCAGTACAAATGACACTTGAATACCTTTTGGAATACATTGGGAGCGTGGTCAAAGTCGAGAGTTGCAAAGAAGTGCTGGTCCTTTTGTTCGGCATCGACTTTGGCCCAGGCAGCCGCGACTTCGTTCCAGGAAGGGTCAAAGTCCCTGAGTGGAGATTAGACACATCTTATTTCAATTGATTTTATACGCACTTGCAAGGATGGCACGCTCGTTTCTTGTCGAGAGCTGTAAACTGGATGGACGCCGACCATGTTCGCTTTGGTGATGTCAGCAAGTCGTAGGTTGGCCCGTCGAGTCGAATAACGCCATTGTTCGCTGCTGCAAGCTCTGCGAGCTGCTCAATTGAGGGTTTTTGAGCAGAGACGAGAGCGACGCCGGCTGCGACGAGCAGGGCCAGGAACCTCATAGTTGAAGGAGAACGGTAAAGTGAAGACGTGTCGGTGATTCGATCGCGTGGCCGAAAGCAGAAGTCGCGCGTGATCTTCAACTTGTTAACTTTAGAGAGATTTGGGTTGAGACTCTCGAGTGACTGGTGCCAGAGCCTCGATGTCGTCGCATGCCCTGTTGCTCCGCCTCTTCCTCTCCCCTTCTTTTTTCTCGGTTCATGTCGCACTCAAATATCTCCTCATTTATGCAGACAACATTGGCATCACATACTATTTGACCCATCGCCTCAGGGAACTACAGGTCCAGGAGCTGACCGATGTCTGGGGTTTTATATGGCAAGATTTTATTTTCCTAATTTCCGACTACGTATTCTGACAGTAAATCTATAGCCATCTCCTCATAACCAGGCCCACGAAATCCAGGGCAATAGAGTGCTTTGTGGTTGATACAGCCCGACGCTCGACCCATATCGCGTTGATAGTGCGTCCTTCCTGCTTCTCGTTCAAAAGTGTATTGAATCGGGAATAGACGCTATGGTTCATGCAAGCAGCCTTAAACGACCTGTCTGTCCAACGCCGCAACACTCAGTCCTTTGCCGTCTGTCAGCGTGTCCTCCACAAGTGCCATGAAATCATATTCAGCGACCTTTCCCCCGCTCCCTCGGGTCCTTATTCCATCTCCAACCTCTCCCCGCTGCTGCGTCGCCACAAGATTAAGCACCATGCTGAACCCGTCATCGTGGGCATTGGGACCATGCTTGCAGGCGCGCCGGGCATGCCTCGATTAACTGCCATAATGGGAGATGTCGCTATTGAACAGGGGAGAGCAGAGGAAGACTTTGACGATCGCACCGCCGTAGGTCCTCGATCTGAAGACGACCTCGCACCTCCAGCCGTCTCTGCACGCACGTCCCTGGACGAGGACGACGATGACCAGGAGGGTTCCCCAAGCTCGGAAGAGTCTTTGCCAGCAAAGCCTACTCTGCCATCCAACTCGGCTCTGCTGGCCAGGAGAAAAACTGTCACCGGTGCTCAGACGGTCCCCACACTCCCCCTACACCTACGATCTTTACGAAAACCGAGGTTGTCCGACGACCCCTTGGGCCAACTAGAGACGGACAGCTTCAATACTCCGTCCCACTCGTCTCCGTCCCTTACCTCGGCCCTAATGTCCGGACGACCTTTACGATCCGCTATGATGAACCCCGCAGACATTCTCCTAGAACGCTACGATCACGAGGCACAAACGCAACTACTCCGGAACCATTTTTGTATGTCCGAGGTCAGTTTAGCTTTTACGCTTCCGCTGCTCCGTCTAACCGACAACAAGGTTCAATTCTTGCTTAGTCTTGAGAACATTTGCAACCGACTATTGGTCGTGCCGAGACCGGCGCGAGTCAGTGCTCTAAGAGCAGAATTGACCGCACTCAACCACAAACTCCCCGCCGAGGTATGATTGTCCCCAAAAAACCGACCAACTCGGAGTTGACTCGCGTAACCCAGGTCTGTCTACCTCTATGGTGTCCGGGAACGGATACCGCACATACCAATCCATCTCACCCGCACCACCGCATAGTCCGTATCCCACCAGGCGAGAGCGTCGTGTTAAACTCTGCGGAGAGGGCTCCGTACCTCCTGCTCGTCGAAATTCTGACCGATGACCTCGATTTCGAGCCAGCAAAGAAATCGAACAAGGATGTGCTCAGGAGGATTGTCCTCAAAGATCAGGAACGAACTGAACGGAGGGGATTCTCTGTCGATTCACCATCATTTGTCCCATCTCCGAGTCGACTAGGGCGACCTTCTGGCGATGTAGAGTTGATGTATCGTTCCGAATTGTCACAAGAACCCCAGACTGCAGTATCAGTCATTCCAGCCACGCCAACGACGGCAATACCGCCAGATCCCGACGAGGAAGTCGATCTCGTCGAGCAACTATACGGAGCTGATCAACCGCTTAAATTCAAGCTAGAAGAACTCGTATCCGACTCTATGAACCTTCCACCAACGCCCAAGAATAAGGACCTAGATCTGGCCACTTGGTCTCGCTCGTCCCCCATGGGATCCTTCTCTTCATCCTTCGGTTCCCCCCACAGTAGACAACCATCCCAAACTCGAGTATCCATGGAGAGGACACATTCGTCGCCTACCCCCTCGACGCCTGCAAGTGTAGATTACTCTGGCAATGCCCTATCCCTGGACGAGTATTCAGAGCGAATGCGGACTGCTGCTATCATGTTGGCACAGCTGAATTCGGGAATCATGCGCAGCGATGCTCCTGTTACTGCCTCCCCCAGACCGGACGCCAACGACTCGAGTGCGTATCCTTCCCCGCCTTGGCCTCATATTTATTGACTCCATGCTAACAGACCCCTCTTCCCGAATGAAACGCTCTCTTTCCAATGGAATAGACCCAGCTGCGCGCATGAAGGTACATCACGCAGAAACGGCTGCCATCCGGGATCGAATCATGAAAGAGATGATTTCGTTGGAAGAGGAGAGGATGGCGCGTATGCAAGAGGGGGATGGGGCTTTTGTGACTGTCCCCCAGATGAGCGAGACGAGTGGAAGCTCCAAGACGCTGGAGGATGAGAGCATTATCAGGAAGGAACTGAACAAGGTGGACCCATCTGCTGTCGTGTTTAGTGAATCGTGGGCAGCGAAGAAGGTGCGTTACTTTAACTGATGTAGGGGATGGAGGCTTGATGGTGCTGTTTAGAGTCGCATCCGCCAGTCGTCGCCGTATGGGCATTTAGGTAACTATCCCTGTGTGCTCCGCGGCGTCTCCCATGCTCAGCAAGTTTAGCTCAGTGGGACTGCATGTCCGTTATCGTCAAAACTGGTGGAGACCTAAGACAAGAGCAACTTGCTGTACAACTTATTCGCGAGTTCCAATCAATATGGGCAGAGGAGAAGTGTGCTTGCTGGGTCAAACAGTAGGTTTGGAGATTGTGTTTATCCAGTCTGTGATGCTCATGGACCATTAGTTTCCGGATATTGATCACGGGTAGTACATCTGGTCTCATCGAGACGATCAAAGACGCTGTTTCTATCCACTCGATCAAGAAGGCCGAGTATGCGAAGAGGATTGCAGAGGGTAGACTCGGTCACGTTACGCTTCTTGACCACTTCAAGGCCGTCAGTTCCCCCCGTATATAATTAGCTAATTCACGCTCACGCCTTTCTTTAGAACTATGGCGACCCTTCATCCTCTCGCTTCCTCCGCGCCCAACGCAATTTTGCCCAATCCCTCGCCGGTTACTCTATCGTCACCTACCTCCTCCAAGTCAAAGACCGGCACAACGGCAACATCCTCCTAGACCGTGACGGACACCTTATCCACATCGATTTCGGCTTCATCTTGAGCAACACACCAGGTAATATTGGTTTTGAAGCTGCGCCGTTCAAGTTCCCGCTGGAGTATTTGGAGGTGCTGGGAGGGATTGACGGAGCTGGGTACAAGGAGTTTAAGAGGCTGTTTAGGGAGGGTTTCGAGGCTGCACGCAAACATTGTGATCGAATTATCAGTATGTTCTTGTCCATCTCTTAACGCGGGCGACGGCTTATCTTGCCCTGTAGCTCTGGTCGAGTTGATGCAGAAAGGTTGGTGCAGGGATTCTTGACCGCGACGGCTTGCTCACTCTTGCTTTATAGACTCTTCGTATCCTTGTTTCGCAGTTTCTGCAGACCAGACTGCAAACCAGCTGAGAGATCGCTTCATGCCTACGCTGACGCACTCTTTGGTTGGCGAGCATGTCGAACGGTTGATTGCTTCGTCATTGGGTTCGCATTGGACCAGACTGTATGACTCGGTAAGGGTGTTGAAGATCACTTGGTGTCCGACCTCACTGACTGGAACGCTTGCTAGTTCCAATACTACTCACAATCCATCCTATAATGACTATTCATATATCCCTCATGGACAAGCGTGAACGAACGAATGACTGAGATTCACCTGACCAAAGCAGGGCAGTAGGTTATGACGTAGGTACAGCTAAATGGTGGAGCATATTAAAGCAGAGGGTCTAGTTGAACATCCTATCGTATCGGTTGAGGCACGAGTACCATTCGTAATCTGCGACATAGGTTTGTCAGGAACACCTGGGATCGTTGGCCAGGTTGCAACTCACCAAAGTTGTCGTTCTCATCACACCAGCATTTGCCCTTCTTGTGGGAAGCACCTTGAGGGCAGTGCTGGAAGGGCTCGTGGCGGTAGCCAATGTCATTGAAGAAATGCTGTTGGTGGTGCTGTTAGCTGGGACGCTAGATATTCGGTCACAAGGTGCCTCACGATTTCATCTTTCTTGGCGAACAGAGCGGCTCCAATGCTGTGGACTGGGGCATCTCCCCATCGCTGAAAAGACGTGAGTACGGGTGCGTACAAGGCGTGTAAAACCGCGAACCTCGTAGTAGAATCCACCAGCTCGGTCTAGGAAGTCGAAGAACTTGGAGTAGGCTTCTCCTCTCCACAAGTCGAGGTCTGCGATCTCAAAGTTGCTCCAGAAATGGCACCGGTTGTACGTCTTGCCTGCATCGTCTGAGATGAACGACAAGGCGTTATCCTCTGCGATGTATTCCGGATGCTTCTTCATAAAGTCGCGGACAGTCTTCCAGAGCGTTGGAATAGTAGCTTCGTACTCGTAGAGCGAGATCGTGAAGCCTAAATGACGATGAGTATCAGGACATTGGGTCAACTTTGCAGAGGTATATATACCATATTTCTTCTTCTGATCTTGCATGATGAGGAATGGATCGTAGTCGAGGTCACAGAAGAACTTGACATCGGGTCTTTTGGACAGGGTCAGCTTCGATGGAAAGTCGGGGGGTTCGCGGTACTCACTCGACTCTGATGGTAACGGTATATAGTCGTCAGCTATTTTTAGCATCCATGAGTAAACGCTGTGCATGCGTACCTCCAGTAATACTTGTATGGCTTGAGCAATTCGTGACGGTAGAAGAACTAGAATAACAGTCAGCCGAGTGGTGAGCGATGAGCGGTGAGAGCGGAAACGTACGCCAGAGTTGAAGCGACACATGTTTCGATATCTGTTGTAATCAGCATTTCGTCTCCAAAGACGGATTGCATCACCACTCACGGAAGACTTCCTGAATGAGCTGTTAGTATTTTGTAAAGTGTCGATGGTGGGTTATATGTACCTCCATAGATGACGTTTGCCTTGGCCATGGCCTCTCGCGCCTTGGTAGCCTTCTCTTCGTCGATCCAATCAGGCTGGTTCCAATGGTCTTTAGGGATAAGACCAAACTCGACTTTGGCGTCTGTGAGCTCCGAGACACGTCTGCATACGGGTTAGAGTGACCGCAGTCAGCACAGGGAAACGTGTGACCTACTTTTTAAAGTTGTCGTCGAATGGAGCGTCATTTAGGAAGACGTAGGGGTAACCAAACTTTTTATTGAATCTGTCTTCGAATTGCTTCATAGTGTAGACAACGCCGTTGATGTCGCCATTGCGAGCTGGTCCATATGAGCACGAGTTATTGTCATTGAGAGATTGAGAACACACCGAGTATAACGACGACCGCATTGGCTTTGCGGCCTTGTGGTGAGGTGATGTTCTGCTTGATGTAGTACTCGTCAGGGACGCCCTGCTTGTACGGGGGGCCCTGGGGACGGTTTACGGCTCCTGAGATCCTGTCCTTGATGTGGTCGATTCCAGTAACGCGGCCATAGGATTCGTGGGTGAAGCTGAGGATAAAGTGCAAACTGATTATTATGCCCAGCACAAGAACCACATATCGCATAGGGGTCATCATCTTGTCGGACTACCCCGCTTCCAGGTCGTCGACAAATAGTGAGGAGGATGACAAGGAACTAGTTGGTTGTAAAGACCCAGGTCGGGCCAGGATTGCCCTTCTCTAACGTGGAGCCCCAAGCTGAGTCAGCAAGTCTGTGCGGGCGCTTTGCACACGCCTCTTGGCGCTTGTTGCTTTCCTCTATGCCAACGAAAGATTGCGACGTGGATCGTTGACAGGGAATCCATGATGCAGAAGGAGAGAAGTGAGCTGCGAGACTGACTCAGGAACCCCCAAAGGTTGTCAATGGGGAAACAAGTCTGAAATTTCGGTCCAATGGACTCTTTCTCTTTTCCAAATTGCAATTATCTTTCTCAGACCCAGACTAGATGAAAGCGTTCAATTTTCGTGGACATCGGTTGTCCCAAAGTTGTGTGGAAGGATGCCGTCGGAATCAGTGTGTCAGGATCAGTGTTTGTTGATGCTTGGCAGCCTTTTTTGCGTTTCCGTTTTTGAGAAGCGCTACGTATTGGAGTTGGACCGCGACGACGTGCAATGGCTTCTACATCCCTCGAAAAAGCAGTTCCCTCTGCACCCTCAACGCCCCCAACTCCCCCAGGATGGTCCTACTTTAGCCCAGTTTCTCCTCTCTTTAATGCCTACGACCGCTTTGCCAGCTGGCGCAGGGACCTTGGCTTGCCACATCCCGGAACAGTCGAGGGCTTGCAGAAGGAAGTCAAGTGTGAGTAACTCTTCAGTCGTCGTATAATGTTTCTATTAACTGTTCAAAATAGCGACGCATCTCTCCAACTTTATCTTCGATGGCGCACGCGCTGATTTGACCAAGACCTTCTCTATGAGCCCGCTGTTCCAAGTGACACATTCATTTGCTCTCGGCTCCCAGACCTTGCCCTCGTCATACAACTTTGGTGCCATCTTTGCTACCCAGCAGGTCTTCCTTCAGGGTGGAGTTGACCATGAAGGTAGCGTCAACGGCCGCTTAAACTATGGTTGGGCCCCCAACAACGTCACCAAGGTTCAAGGCCAGGTATGTGCTGCAATTCCATGTAATCTGGCGCCCTGCTTATACCTCTGTAGCTTGCACAACAAGCCGGCCATAACATGATCCAAATTGAGCAAGAGTACCAAGGCTCTGACTTTACCCTCAACGCCAAGGCTATCAACCCCTCCCCCGCCGACGGAACTGGCATGTACATTGGCAGCTACCTCCAATCACTTACCAAAAACCTCGCTCTTGGTGTCGAGGGTCTCTGGCAGCGCCCAACACCCGACGAGTCTGATGTTGCCGCCTCATACTTGCTCAAATACACGAGCAACGAGAAGGACTGGATCGCCACCGCACAGGTGCAACCTTCCGGTATCCTCCAGTCGACCTACTGGCAGAAACTCAGCGACAAGGTTGAAGTTGCCGCTGACCTCCAAGTCATTGCTACCCCCGCACGACGTGACGCTATCGCCACCCTCGGCGCCAAGTATGACCTCCGACTGGCATCCTTCAAGGCCCAAATCGACTCTACTGGCAAGGTCTCTGCTCTCCTGGAACAGAGATTCACCCCTACGTTCTCCTTCTTGGTTGCTGGAGAAATTGATCACTTCAAGGTATGTGCAGTCCGTCTTTCCTGACATCATTTGCTGACATTTTCTCCAGAATGCTGCGAAGGTCGGCGTCGGTGTGATGATTGAGGGTACCACTTTGACACCTGAGGAGATGGGACTGCCAGCGGAGCCTGGACTTCACTAATCTATTTATCATTTTACTGTAATCATACATACACCCATCCAGCTATACGTAGACGTCCCTTAATGCACCTGTTGGGCAAAACGCATCGTATCAGTGAAATTGGAACCCCGCCTCTTCCTTCCAACCATGACGGATCCACCGCTTTTGGAGCTGTCGGATGTGACCTGCACGATAGAAACAGGTCAAGTCTTGTTCGACCACCTCGACTTGGTTGTCAATGAAGGTGAGTTCGCTGTCCACCATGTACAGAGAGGAGATTGACGTTCTCAGGTGACATCGTTGTACTACAGGGCCGAAGTGGGACTGGCAAGACCACTCTGCTCAAATGCATCGCACACCTCATCCTGTACGAGGGTGAAATTCGATACCGCGGCGAGTGAGTGTGTTCGAGATGCTGCAAAACCGCTTCTAACGTCTCTCCAGGCTCGCCCGGCAGATGGGTGAGTTGAACGCCTGACGGCTGAGCAAGGCTGATCAGTCCTAGGGATCCCCAACTACCGCACCAGAGTGCTCTACGTCCCCCAGCGGCCGTCGCTCCTCCCAGGTGGCCCACTGACCTTTCTCAAATCCATCCTCTCTCTCCAAAGCCAGGCCTCTGCTCGTCCCGCACACGAACGCAAATCTGAGATTCGCATGGAAACGACCCATGGTCGTGCGCGTGAGATAACCGAGGCCTGGGATTTGGACTCTGAGCTTTGGGAGAGGGACTGGAGTAACTTGAGCGGTGGGGAGGCGCAGAGAATGCTATTGGCTATTGCTTTGGCGTTGGATACGGCAGAGGTCATCTTGCTAGATGGTGAGTCTTGGATTGTCGGGGGCTGCTAAAACAGCTGATGGTGTTGTAGAACCGACTTCGGCGTTGGACGAGGAGACTTCTCTTCTTGTGGAACGATACCTCGTGGACGAGGTGGCGTCGCAGACTGGGAGTTTGAAAGCTCTGGTATGGATTACCCACTCGGCTGATCAGGGTAGAAGGGTAGGGACTAGGTTTGTTCACCTTGCTCGAGGCAAGTGCATGGAGGGTACGCCTTCATCGACCCCCAGTACGACATCCCTTGTGTGATTAGCGGGTGAGAATTTTCTGGTAATAGATGTCAGGCAATCGCATGTTTCCAAGAGCTGCTCCCGATGCCATCTGTCCTGAACTTGGTGAATTCCGATGTCTGTCGAACAGACTACGGTGCCTGGTGGAAGGCGAGCGCAAGTCTCTGCAGTGACATTCAAGGGTAAGGCAAAGCTTGCTCAGAGTGGAAATGCGACCGTATCTATTCAATTGCGAAACGAAGTGCGTGCCCGTGTAGTTCGGTTGGTTGAGAGCACATTTGAAAAGGACTCGGAAAAGGACAACAAATTCAAAATCATACGCTGAAGCCCGTTCGCGAAGGGAGAGAGGGTCGTATTGTTTTGAAGTTGCTCGGAAAGCAAGCCCGTGTAGCTTAACTGGTAGAGCGTTGTACTTATGAGGTTACGTAGGCTATGCAAAGGTCCCGAGTTCGACCCTCGGCATGGGCACTTTTTGTCTAACAAAGACCCCATTCAGGTATAAGCCACAACATTTTTATGGCTAAACACATATTCCGAGTCGTCAGTCTGACTACGGGAGACTAACCACATGAGCATCTCCTTTTTGACTCGGGGCTCATGCGAGTAGGGTGTAGATCACTGTTACTACTGATTCTGATAATGCCAGAATTTTATGCAATGTTCCCGTACCCTCCCATCCATGCCGCGGCTTGCTTCTCTCGCTGCCTGTCACCCAGCCTCCAGGGCGGATCTTGTTCCAAGCGCCATCCACCCATTAGCCTTGAACTTTGACCGCCGATATGGCAGGTACATTTGATGGAATTTTTAATAATGACCTTGCGTTTGAAGGAAACCGGGCACGCATGAACTACCAGTAGGTTTTAGCTCAATTACTAACTGTTTATGGATTTTTCCTGTGTAGGAGCGCAGCCTAGCATGCTCAGCAAGGTCGCACAGTCAGGCTCTACCAAGAACTCGGACGCGAATCGCGATAGTCATCTCGTCCGACTCGGAAAGGGTACTGAGCACTGGAAACGTGATGTCGCGGTCACAACGAACAAAAAAGGAGACATGTTAAATGGCAGTAGAATATGGGAACTTTCGTGTTGCGACTGGACAGGAAACGGAGATGTGTTAAATGACAGTAAATTGGCGAGATACTGGGCAGACCCCAAGAAAATCTCGCTGCAAGTACCCGGACTCTGAACAAGAGGTACGCCCGTTACTTCCTGAATCGGTAGAATATCGCCCGTACCCGATGGCTGTATACTAGTCGACTGGCGGCACCGGCCCTACCAAAAAGTGAACGCCAAGACGGTAGCCGAGAAACACGAACAGGGCCGAATGGCAGGGACAGCCAATTGCCCCTTCGTCGAAATCTACCTTGAGCGGACAGATGGATCCCAACGAAAGCAAGAAATTGTGACATTGAGCTACCACCGGTTCCTTTATTGTGACAAGAAAAAAATCTCCAGGGCCCCGGGGACATCATTGGGAATTTCTTGAAGATTTGGCCAATGACCGACGAGGATGGGTGGGAGTGAGGAAGAGGACGGTTATTTGGGCGATGAAGATGGCGTCCGTGAAGAGACTGCAGGCTGTAAGTGTGCCTCTCTCCCCCACGTACCTTTCTGACGCAGAGTTTTTACTATCTCTAGACCTGTAGTATCCGACTGGCAACTGCAGGAATTTGGAAATCGGAGGAGTTTGCATGCAGGAGACGGGAGGAAGATTTGGATTTGGGGTAGTAACTTGAATAGACTGGGGAATTAGGCCCACCCAGATTGAAGGTAGAATTGGGTCAGGGTGTTCCTGTTTCTATCGACGATAAAAAAATGCTGTGTCTGGCGTTTCGAGCTATGTGAAGGAATCGGCTTTAGACAGACGTATTTTCCCAAACCGCCCCGAGGCGTGCCAAAGCAGTCCACATAATTTCTTTCCCAGACTCCCCTTCAACGACCGATTGGAAGTTTCCAGTCAACGAGAGCATGAAATATTAATACGTCCACGAGGCATCTCGAGCAGGACCCTCCGACGTCTCCTTTGCGCTCAAGTGCGTCTGCAGAGACGTGCGCTCGACCAGACCAATCCCCGGCAGCACTCAACTGTTGTCCACTTCTGAAAGTCTCATCTCGTTAGTCCCGTGTGCTTGGGACATTGGCCTTACAGCTTCGGTCGAATCATACTCAGAAACAGAAACGTGGCCATGTCCGGGATATATTCAGCAGATACTACTGTACGCGCGCTTTCCAAGGCACTTGCCGATTACACGGGCGCTTATGCGGCATCCTATACCCATTTTGGCTGCGAAAGGATTCTGCATGACCAAGAAGTACTGTTTTGAATCATCGATATCATCGAATCAAAGCATAGACCTCAGGGAAATGGCGCTGCAGGTTCGAGCTTGGAAAAATAATCAAATCAAGAAGAACACATAGCGAGAGCGTTCCTCGTCATTACGATGATCGGTGAGCAAGATGGAACCACTGTTGAGGCCTCCGCTTGTGCCCTGAGAGAACCAACCACCTCCGAAGTCAGTATTACATTCAAAGCAGGTGCTTCGTACGGGCAATGTTTCCTTGCCGTCATGAAACAATAACCTCCAGCAATATATTCGTGAACCAGTATTCGTTCTAATCCCAAACACTGACGATCTCTGATTCGTGGGTCATTACACCGACGTCGTGTCGGATAGGGTTTATCCTTGGGTAAACAAACTAAAGAAAGACGTCAGGCGCTTCCTAGCAGCAGCACTGAGGGCACTCACTCCTTCGTTGTACTCGCTCATGACCTCCGCAGCAATAGCTTCCTTGTCTTTTACCAACATTTGATACTGGAAGATGAGGACATTGAGCTAAAGCAGTCGTCAGTACAGGGCATGGAAAAACAGTGGCGAATGCATACCGTGATGGTTAACAGTCCCATGCAGAAGAGCATGGTTATCCAGTTGGCAGAGGACGTGGCCTGCCATAGCAAAGCATGTACAGGTGAATACAAGCTAAAGAGCTGCAGTTCGAGTTCATTCGGAGTCCAGACTTCCAATTCTTGGATCTTGGATGCGGGTCCTGCGTTAGCAGGTGCAGGCGGTGGCGAAGGAATGTTCAGGAGGAACCTCCATGAGCTGATAAACGCCCACCAGGAAAACGACAGGGATCGTCTCCACAGTGGCCGACGGAGTGGCTGAGCAGTGTCCCAGTCCTTGGGCACAAATTTCGCGTTGGGCGAAGAGATGGGGTCGACCCGGCGATGAAAGTGATACTTTCGTGTACGGGACAAGAGGTATGCTGCATTGGCGAAAGCAGCACCGAGGAGGATGACGGTCAACAACGAGGTCTACATACTGATTAGCTTGGGCATGGGTAAATGATGAGAGACCATACCCAATCGAACCATGCATCGTCGTCGTCGCCGTAGATATCCTCCCAGTTACTGGGTGATCGGCGTGCTTTGCTCACACGTAAAGAAAATTGAGCGAGGTGCATGATCCCGGCCAAGATCCTCGAGGAAGCCTTTGCCGAAGGAAGTGGAAGATTTTGAGGGAACATGGATAGATAAAACGCGACATTGGATGGTGTATCCCGGAGTCTAGATGAATTGTCAGAAACAGCAAATCTTCCCCTTCATCAATGTCCACCTACTTTTCAAAGAAACCTTTCTTTCGTACAAAAGCGCGCCTAACTGGACGAGGACTGTCAGTCGAGTCTCCGGCGGTACTTTGTCTGAGTTTGCGCTGAAGTGGTGTATACGGTGGTGGTGCACGAGAACGAGCGGCTTCCCAGTCAAAGGGAATCGTGGCAGACAGAGATGGAGTCGAGGCTGGGGACCGATATGGGCCTATAGAGACTCTGTTTCTTGGGGTTGTCGGCATCGATAGCCTTGGCTTTGCGACTGGGGAGTCGGCCTCCCGCTTTGGGGTGGCTGCCGCTGCGTTGTTCTGGGCTAAGCGACGAAGGGCCATATTGTTGAGGACGTCGGGGACAGTGGCGACGGTGGTGGCCAAACACGTCGGGTGAGCGAGGCCCAATGCCAAATTTGGTGGCGGTGATGTGACAATAGAGGAAGTCACGTGTACGCGTTGGAAGCCCTAACCCTAGAATACACGTGTTTGGTTCGAATTTGAACAATGGACAGCAAGAAAGGCAATAAGAAGGCGCCAGCGGTTCTTTTCCCCCAAGCCACTTCATTCCTCCGTCCCATTTTTTTCTGCGTCACCCAATCTACTTTCTTCCTTTCACTTTCCCTAACGCTATAAACGTGCATCGCACAAAGTCTTTTTCCACCACGTCGATCCTACGCCCTACAACCACTACTTCATCCTTGTCGCCTAGTTCATCTATCAGCGGTCAGTTCTTTTTTTTTTTCAACTAAATTCAACTTTCAAACTTATACAACCATACAGTCAGGATGGCCGGTCAATCCTCTTCTCATCACGACGAGCGCAGGCACCGCAGCGACCGCGACCGTGAACGCTCGTCATCCCGCCACCATAGCAGAACCGTCTCTTCAACCACCCTTCTTCTCGTCCTCTCCCTTATCCTCGCCGTCTTGGCCGTTATGCTTTCCCTCCCATCCGGTGGCGGTGGAGGTGCCAGTGCAGGCGCTGGGTCAGGTGGCGAAAACGCCGGTGTATTGGGCTATCTCACCCCTAAACGAAACCAGGCGCTTATTGCCCGCGAGAGCGCTGTCGCCGTTCGTGAGGCCGAAGTTGCTCGCCGTGAGGCTGAACTCTTGATTGGTGCGCCAGGTGGTGTCATCCCCACTCCCGCCCCCGGCAGCGTCGCAGTTTGCCCTCCCTGCATTCAAGCCACCACTATTGAAACCGTTACCGGCCCCGTCCAAACTGTCATTAAGGAAATCGTCAAGGAAGACTCCCTCACTCCTCCTGGTTGGCAAGCTCCTCGCATCGAAGACATCATCGAACGAGAACTCAAGATTGCCGAGCGTGAGCGCGAAATCAGCAAGCGTGAGGAGCAGGTCAACCGCCGCGAGCATGACGCTTCTCGTCGCGAATCCTGGATTATGGAGCAACTCTAGTACGTATTCTTCATTCATGTCTACATTGATCCAAGTCTGACATGTCCCAAGTGCTCTTGGCAATGAGGTCCCCCAAAGCGTCGAAGAAGAGTATGTTTACGAGCAACAACCGCCCGTTAAGCGCCACGTGAAAGCAGCCAAGGTACCGCCACCCACTCCGCGCCGTTCCGAGCTTTGAGACGAAGGAGAAAGCGACGACGACGCCCATATTTATCCCAGTCTGTATGATTCTTCATACCCCTCGTTCTCCTCCTTCGTCCGGGCTTGGGGGACTACGGTTTCATTCCTATCATGTCCCCCTCGTCTTCCCGGAGGTTGTTGGTGATTCGCGACTCCTATCCTTATGTCCGATCGATCATTTTTGCTGGCGTCGCGTCGCGTTCAGCCCCACGTGATGGATACACCCATGGCGTCCCGTCGCTCGATCACCCAACAACCTCCTTCCTCCTTAATTTGGTTTGAACTTTATACTGATTGATTTCATTACAGCAAATGCAATATCAAGAACTCCCTCCTCACGTTATTGAAGAAATGGCCTATGGTGGCCCCCCTCAACCCGTACAGACCAAGGTCATTGTCGATGGCCCCGCTCCTGCCAGCACTCGTCCAGCTCCGTTCCCAACTCCCGAAGCGGCCTCTCATTCTGCCACTGAAGCAAGCCCTCGTACTACCGCCGTCGAAATCGTTCGAGAAGAGGCTCCACCCAAGCCCAAGCCTATTCTCCGTGGGCCCCCTCCTCGGGCTCCCATGCGACCTCACGGCGGTTGGTAAAAAACGAATGGCTGGTTCCAACTTTTTTGTAGTTTTATCACGACACGGACTTGTTTCATCTCCCCTTGCTCATCTTACGATTCGTTACGCTTTGGATAGAACTTTTTTACGACGACAGCTCCGCATACAGATAGTATTGGTAGCGAGACCCCTCTGTACTAGTGTACTCACTTTTTCCTTTGGCTCTTACGAATATACATGCTACGTTTTTAATGCCCGAACATGGTTGAATGGCCGTCGAGGCTCGGACTGAGAGCGGCGCTTTTTGCCAGCGCTTGTTTGTTCCTTACATAAGCTGAAGACATGACTTTGTGAGCGCGCGGAAATTCTTTCGTCGCCAATGCTCTCTCGACGACTTGTGAGCGCGTCTTCGTTGCGGCACCGGCCTCACTGGCAGTGCCGCTACACCTCTTCGCTGCGCCATGTAACTATTGGGAACAAGCAATATCCTGCCGATGACTGGACGAACATTACACCGTCCATAATCTCCAAAATTCCCCTGCAGTTACACAACAAACCCGGACATCCTCTGGCCACCCTCCGGTCGCTCATCGAGAACCACTTTACAGGTTTCTCCCATGTCTCCTCCTTTTCCCCTGTCGTTTCACCCTTCAAGAACTTCGACGAGCTCTCTTTCCCAGCCGACCACCCAGGTCGGGCAGTAACGGACAGTTACTACATCAACAGGGACCTCATGCTCCGCACTCACACCTCTGCACACGAAGTCGAGATGTTCAGAAAGGGCGAAGACAAATGGCTTCTCACCGCTGACGTCTACCGACGAGACGAAATCGATGCCTCTCACTACCCCGTCTTCCACCAAGTCGAAGGTGCACGTATCTTCGACGCTACGCCTACCGGCCTGAAAGAAGTCCAAGAAGACAACGCACGGCTGGCTGCCCAACTGTCGCAGACCAATATCATCATCGAGGATATCCCACATGTCTCCCCAACGAATCCTGTGCAACCTATGCACGATCCCAAGTTCTCAGAGGAGGTTGCGTTGAATCTCAAGTTGAGCCTCAACGGGATGATCTACAAGTTGTTCGGAGGGGCGACGAAGGAACCATTGAGGGTTCGGTGGATTGAGGCGTATTTCCCCTTCACTAGCCCGAGTTTTGAAGTAGAGGTGTTCTATCAGGGCAAATGGTTGGAGATTTTGGGGTCTGGAGTGGTTGTTCAGGCGACTTTGGACACGGCTGGTGCGTATCCCTCCCGTTGGTTGATTTAATGGTCGCTGACGATCCTCTCCAGGTGTAAACAACAAGATTGGATGGGCCTTTGGACTGGGATTAGAACGGATAGCCATGGTGCTATTCTCAATTCCCGACATCCGCCTCTTTTGGTCTGCCGACGAGCGGTTCCATTCTCAGTTCCAGGCAGGAAAGATCACCACGTTCAAGCCGTACTCCAAGTACCCTGCCTGCTACAAGGATGTGAGCTTCTGGCTTCCCAAAGAATCGGCCTTTCACGAGAACGACTTTTGTGATCTCGTCCGAGACATGGCTGGTGATTTGGTCGAGGACGTGAAAAAGGTCCGTTTTCTTACGCGCTAGCATTTGCAACGTCACTGATGTTTTTCTCGCGCAGATTGACGAATTCGTTCACCCCAAGACGAATAGAACGAGTTTGTGCTACCGAGTCAATTACCGTTCGATGGACAGGTCACTTTCCAACCAGGAGATCAACGCCATTCAAGCCAAAGTAACTTCGCAGTTGAAGGATCAATTCGAAGTCGAGATTCGATAGTTCTCTGTATTCGCTATATCCCTAGAGTTGTGGTGCTATATTATAACTAAATCTAATATAATTTTTGCTAAATAATATGTGTAGAGAGCGTGTCATGTCCGTCGTGTCAAATCCCAAGGCAGACGAGAGCAGCCTGGTGAGTATTATGAGGTATCCTGTGCAACACCGACTTGTGCAGCGCGAAGGACGCGGTCCTTGATCATGTACCCAATCTTTTGGGTGTCGATGACGGTTCCGGGGGTCTTGCCGGGAACGGGTGCCTGGTAGAGAGCTTCGTGAAGGTTGGGGTCGAAAGGCTCGCCTGTTGGGTCGAAGGGCTTGACATGGTACTTGGCCATGGTCTGGAGGAGCATGCGGTGGGTCATCTCAACACCAGTGTGGAGATCCTTGAGGTGGCTAGCATGAGACTTGGTCCCGGCTGGCGGCGGGGTCTCTGCGACACCTGACAGCGCAGAGGCAGGAACGGACTTGATGGCAATAGCCAGGACGTCGACTGTCTCAAGGAGGTCTGCTGCGAACTTTGTAATGGCATAGTCGCGTTGCTGGTCCTTTTCCTTGGCCGCGTTCCGTTGGAGGTTGATGAAGTCGGCCTGAAGGTACTGGAGGCGCGACTGTGGAATAAAAAAGCGGTTAGACGTGGCTAGAAAAACGCAAGACACGTGAACAAACCTTCAAGTCTGCCACTTCGCTTTCTTTGGCCTGGAGCTTCTCTTCGCAGAGGGCCTTTTCATCCTTAGCAGGCTCCTTGTCTGCTGGCTTTGATTCTGAGGCCTTGTCGTCTGAATAATAACGTCGTGAAGGGAGAGAAGCAAGAGTTGGACGAGCCAAAGCCCTTGAAGAAGAGGCCCTGGTGCAGGATCTGAGAAGCTGGAAGGACGCGGAAAGGTTCATGGCGACTGTGAAGTGACGTGTGGGGACAACCCGGTTTTTGGAAATATTTTGCGAGTTTTTCTCGTGTGACTAAGGGAATTGATGCAGCCAAGCCCCGCTCCGAGGGTCCGATGTGAAGTTTGGCGCTGGGCCGTCGCGGTATTGTTTCCCTACAAAAACTTGTTCCCGTCAAACGTTGCCGTCAAAAGACCCTTGATTTCTCCACCGTTTTTGCTTTAAAAGCGACGTTGGTGGGACTGCTCGGCAAGGAGTCTCGCCCCCGCACTTGCGTCTCCATTTTCCCCGCTCATCACAAAACCGGGTGAAAACGCGGAATCCCGTGCAGTGCCAGTTTGGTCATGAGCCTTCTGCGGCGATGGAGAATCTTATCTCCTCGACATCTCTCAACAATGGCCTCCACAGCTAAAATCATCGATGGCACTGCACTCGCAAAGTATGTTTATTCGTTTTATATACTACATTCTCTAACAAGTCAATTTCAGGTCCATCAGGGAAGATGTCGCTGCACGAATCAAGTCTCTGCAGTCCACCTTTCCCCGCTTCCAGCCCCATCTCTCCGTTCTCCAGGCTGGCGACCGACCCGACTCCTCCACCTATGTGCGCATGAAGGGAAAGGCTGCCACAGAGGCCGGTATCACCTTTGATCACGTCAAGCTCCCTGCAGAGGCCACCACCGACGAAATCGTCGACTACGTCCGCAAGCTCAACGACGACGAAAAAGTCAGCGGGATCCTCGTCCAGCTGCCTCTCGGAGACCACGTTGGAGCTGCTGGTGAACGCCAGGTTACCGAGGCGATCAGCCCCCACAAAGACGTCGATGGGTACTTTTTTCGTTTTACTCTCTTGAAGAACTCGACTAATTGTATCGAGTGTAGATTCCACGCCTACAACATCGGGCACCTCTCGTCAAGGGCTGCTGACCCTCTGTTCGCACCCTGCACTCCTGCAGGCTGCATTCGTCTTTTGGAATCTACCGGAGTGCCCATCGCAGGTGCTCACGCCGTCGTCCTCGGTCGTAGCGATATCGTCGGAAGCCCCGTCGCTGCTCTCCTTCGCAGCAAGGATGCTACAGTCACTCAGTGCCATAGCCGAACCAAGAACATCGAAGAAATCGTACGTTGCGGAAAAAATACCTTTCTCTCTTCTCCATTCCGCGAATGTCGTTCTAATATTCACATGTCTGTTTTAGGTGAAAACCGCTGATATCGTTGTTGCTGCAATTGGTAAACCGGAATTCGTCAAAGGATCGTGGATCAAGCCCGGAGCTGTTGTTATCGACGTCGGAATCAACTACGTCCCTGGTCGGTATCTTTTGCCTTTTCTTCCGCTCCACGCGTTGACTCTTTTTTTCGTCCAGATGCAACCAAGAAATCCGGCTCTCGCCTCGTTGGTGATGTAGAATTTGCCACTGCCTCACAGGTCGCCTCTCACATCACCCCCGTCCCCGGAGGTGTGGGCCCTATGACTGTCGCTTTGCTTATGGAAAACACCTTCCAAGCTGCGCTTCGCCAATGGGAGGCTGCCCGTGCTCGCAAAGTCAAACCCCTCAAGCTCAACGTTCTTGAGAAGGTCCCCTCTGATCTTGAAATCGCCATGGCTCAAACTCCCAAGCCCATCACTCAGCTCGCTGGAGAAATCGGTGTCCTCCCTGACGAATTGGAGAGCTACGGCAAGTACAAGGCCAAGGTCAGCTTGAGCGTCTTGGATCGTTTGGCCCACAGGAAGGACGGCAAATACATCATCGTTGCTGGTATCACCCCCACTCCTTTGGGAGAGGGCAAGTCCACCACTACCATCGGTCTCGCTCAGGCTCTCGGTGCTGAACTCGGCCGACCCGCATTTGCTTGCGTCCGTCAACCCAGTCAAGGACCTACTTTCGGTATCAAGGGTGGTGCCGCTGGTGGAGGATACAGTCAGGTCATCCCCATGGACGAATTCAACCTTCACCTTACTGGCGATATCCATGCCGTCACTGCTGCCAACAACTTGCTCGGTGAGTACAGGTGTCCCGGCCCTCTTTTTCATAGCTCTGACAGTCCTCCCTTAGCTGCCGCTCTCGATGCCCGAATCTTCCACGAGGCTACCCAAAGCGACAAGGCCCTGTACAATCGATTGGTGCCTACCAAGAAGGGCAAGCGCGAGTTTGCTCCTCTCATGCTCAAGCGTCTCAAGAAGCTCGGTATCGAAAAGACCAACCCCGACGACTTGACTCCCGAAGAAATCAACCGCTTCGCCCGTCTCGACGTCGACAAGGACACTATCACCTGGAACCGTGTTCTCGACACCAACGAGCGATTCCTCCGAAAGATTACCATCGGACAGAACCCCACTGAGCAAGGACACGAGCGCCAGACCGGTTTCGATATCGCTGTTGCCAGTGAAGTCATGGCTATCTTGGCTCTCACCACTGGATTGCAAGACATGCAAACCCGACTCGGTGCTATGGTTGTCGCCACCAGCAAGCGAGGCGAGCCCATCACTGCCGACGACCTTGGTGTCTCTGGTGCCCTCGCTGTCTTGATGAAGGATGCCATCAAACCCAATCTCATGCAAACCTTGGAGGTGTGTACCCTTCATACGGGTGCTTGAATTCCATTAACTGACTTGGCTCTCGTAGGGCACACCTGTTTTCGTGCATGCTGGTCCTTTTGCCAACATTGCCCACGGTAACTCTTCCATCCTCGCTGACCAAGTCGCTCTCAAGTTGGCCGGAACCGAGCAAGGTGACGGCCCCGAGCGCGTTGGCTACGTCCTCACTGAGGGTGGTTTCGGAGCTGATATGGGAATGGAGAAGTTCTGCAACATCAAGTGCCGAACCAGCGGATTGAAGCCTGATGCCACTATCATCGTTGCTACCACTCGTGCTCTTAAGATGCACGGTGGAGGACCTGATGTCTCCCCTGGCAAGCCCTTGCACGATACGTACACCAAGGAAGACCTCGTCACCTTGAAGGAGGGATGCAAGAACCTGGTCAAACACATTCAGAACTCGAAGAAGTTTGGTGTCAAGGTCATTGTTGCCATCAACCAATTCGCGTAAGTCTTGTGGTTGGCTGGACCGTTGTTCGCTTGTTAACGCAGGTAACGACAGTACCGACTCTGAGGCCGAACTCGATCTCGTCCGACAGGAATCCCTCGCTGGAGGTGCTGATGCTGCTGTCGTCAGCAACCACTGGGCCAAGGGTGGTGCTGGTGCCCGCGACCTCGCTGAGGCGGTCGTCGCTGTTTGCGAAGGCGAATCCCAATTCAAGTTCCTCTACGACTTGGACAAACCCATTGAGGAGAAGATCGACATCATCTGCCGCGAGATTTATGGTGCTGATGGAATCGAGTTGAGCGATCTTGCTCGAACTCAGATCGAGACTTACACCAAGCAAGGATATGGTGGTTTGCCAAGTGGGTGTTTTGTTCCTTCATGAACTTGAAGATAGCTAACGCGTTCCATCCTTCTAGTTTGCATGGCCAAGACCCAATACTCCTTCTCGCACGACCCTAAACTCAAGGGTGTCCCAACGGGTAAGTCGATCGACCGACGATGTCATGGCGTGTGCTGATTGAGTTCAAGGCTTCACTGTTCCCATCCGTGCCGTTCGCCTCTCGGCCGGTGCTGGCTTCCTCTACCCTCTCCTTGGCGACATGCAAACCATGCCTGGCCTTGGAACTCGTCCTGGTAAGTTTTCTATCCTTCTTTCCTAGTCATCAACTAACTCTCGTTCCTCCCTAGGCTTCTGGGAAGTCGGTTTGGACGAAAGCGGTCGCGTCGTTGGCCTCTTCTAGAAGAAACTCGGCATTTGAATTTCAACATTACACATTTACTCGCTAACGTCAACTTCAACGTTCGTCAAGATCTTCCACCACTGTTATATTAGATGAAAATTGTTGTTTCGCACTTTCACACCCGATCGTCAACCGATTAGAATAGAATCCTCAGGGTAATCTTTGTAGACTGGCGAAAAGCAAAGGTCTGCATCAATCTATGTATATTTAGAAGACTCAACTCGGACTAGAACAGCAATATCACAATGTTTTTCTCCTGTTTTACTCAATTACAGGTTCGGAAGAGGGTGACCTGGTAACCGAGCCGTTTCAATCCTATGCTCATCGAGTGAGGGTAAACTGTAGGCAAATCGGTGGGGATGTTTGGTAGCCAGGGTACCGCTGATTTCGTCCAGGCTAATGTTGTTGAAAGAAGCGTTGACCCTTCGTCTGTACGTATTCCCTTCCTCGTCGGCGTAGCTGAAGATGTTGCTGTTACTTCCATTGCCAAAGTTTCCAGTTGGCGAAATCGTATACAGGCCATCTGAATGCAGGAATGAATCAGCCATTCGAAAGGCATAGAGAGAAGTCGCCTTACCGGCAATTTGGTGGTTGAAAATCCTGTAGCGGGTGACAATTGGGAACGGAAGTAGATCACGGTCGTAGATGTGGTCAACTTCCAATTTTCCTGAAGATCGTTCATGTTGGAACGGTGTCAGATAAGCGTTGTGGATGGCGTACTTACGATGCGTGAAGTCGGGACCTGAGATGGTGAAGTTGAATTCCAATGGGTAGTCGAACGTGTCATATACGACAGGCGCGCCGTTATGTCTCGACGCGACGCGACCTGATGTCGATTGTTGGACCTTCTATAACCATGCTCAGCACCTTCAAATCGTAGATACGGACTGTGAATAGGTACCATGACCGAACCACCGTCCGAAAAGGTTTGTCGGTTCCTGAAACTGAGGTCCTGCGACCACCTCACCCTGTTCACCTTCCCGTTCCCCTCCACAACCTCCGCTTCGATCAGTAGCTTTCTCGTTGCTTCCACGCTGATATTTACTTCGCCTGTCTCCGAATCGACTTGACCAGAGACTCTTGATTGAGCGTAAGGCTGGGCTTGGTACTCTGTAATCCTGCCTCGCGTAGGCCGAGACGCCGACTTGGAAGTGAAGACTTGGAGTATGCCGGAGACATACCAGTTTTCGAGGATGGCACGGTCATGTTCGGCGGATGCGACGTCGATGGTAAAGGTATGTGGGTTCCCGTCGGCTAAGAGGGGTACGAAAGGCGTGAGGTCAATGAAGTAGGTCGGGAGGTCGTGAGCTGGGTATGCTGGGATTGGCCTATGGAGTCGCGTGTTCATCACTTGGACGGCACAGGGATGGTATACAGGACTCACTTCCAAGCGGCCGGTACAAAACCGCCGGTGAAGATTGTGGCGTACGGAAAGGCTACTCCTGCCACTCGCCCGTCTACAAGTAAACGGACCTCGCGGAGTGGTCCTTGTCCGGAGGTGGTACCTGGTGGAAGATCGTCAAGGTATTCGTTAGCGGCATTCAGGTACTGTGGGATAACATCAGGGCGTTTCGAGATGGGAGACCTGAAGACTGTCCACTAACCCAGAACTCTTCGTTGGCATTCCCGGAAGCGTGTAGTTCAGCATAAACTTGGACAGAATTCTGTGGTAAGGTCACGTTGACCTGGTCGCAGGATGGAGTCAATGAAGAGCATTGCAATGTTGAAGTGCGCACCGAGAAACCAGGTGGAACAGAGGCATGGTTCCCTTCGTTGGGCTTCATCGTAGACAATGGGATAATGAGATCCGCTTGTTTCACCGGGGGGTCCTGGAGGGATGAGGCATAGAAAGTGGCATCCACGGTTGCTGGTGTCCCATGAGCGTGGCCAGAACTCCCAAAACCGAGGTTATTGATACTCACTTGAAAATACACCATCCAAACCAGGCTGAATAACATTGTCCAGCTGAAGGACAAACGTCCCGTTCTTCGCAAAGAGAGGTGCATAGCGCGAGACATCCTTGACGTACGACCATACAACCCCGTCACCTCGGAGTGGTTGTGAAGTTGTCATTCGCCATACTGCATTGATAGGCCCCAATTTGCTTGACAGACCAAAGAGGTGGAATGCGACACTTACTCTCCACATTATGAAAAGTGAAGATCCCGAGGCGATCGTACTGTGTCCCATTGATGGCTGCAGTAAAGTTCAGCGTGATTGATGCCCAAGTCCCTACAGGCCCACATTCGGTAGGCGGCCTGCCCAAAGGGTATCTGACTCATGCTTTTCAGGCCTCGGAGTGAAGAGGGGAACGCACGCATATTGAACTATTTCTGGACTTCGAATTGTAAACAAGCAATCCCTTGAGTTTGAGCCTGAGCTTAATTCAACCGTAGACTACCCACTTGTAGTAGGAATGGGCAAATTCACGCCTATACCACGGTCAGTGGCTCAAACCCGTTTCGAACAACTGGGGCACCCACTTCAAAAGCCTGACAGTACAGCTTTTTCCATTCTTAGGAACGACTGGTGGCTGTGTGAGTTGAAAGTTGACCAAGGGCTCGGCCACCACATTCGGCGCGGAAAAGAGAGTAAAGAGAAGCGCATAAGGATAAAAACCTGGAGGAGGCCTCATGGTGCGACTCGGGTCCCTACCGCAAAATGAGGGCAGAGGAGAAAGCCACGATATTGCAAACAGCATGCTAATGTATGGTTCCTTGTGAGAACGCAGAAGTCTCGGTGAGAAGGCGGGACCCAAGTCATGCGAAAAGAAGATGGAAGTCGAAGCAATACTGGACAGCATCATGAATATATTTAACCACATCGATACAGCTTCACCTTCAGAACATTGACGAAGTGGGTCAGGTTCCTCCCGGGAGGCGCACTCGTAGCTGCCAGATGCATGTATATGGTCAGACACAAGGTTTGTTAGGCAGCCGCAGTAAAACACACCTTGCGCGGACATTTCAATCTTGCAGACTGGGATGTCACATACACCCCAAGGTGGAGCGACGGAGAAACAAACCTTGATCCGGCTTTTAATTTCCTTAGGGCTGTTATGATGGAGGTATAACAACTTGTGATTCCAGGCAGCCGCTGTATACATGTACTTGGATGGAAATGTCACCGTCTAGGGTCAACGCCAATGTTTCTTTGCTGGCCTGCTCGGTTGCCCGGCCCCAGCTCCAGTGAGTTGAAAGAGAAGAGACGTGCCCCTGGTCTCGGTATCCGATGGCATCATCGAGTGGATTGCGGTATGAGATGGGTATCTTGCAAGTGAGAACCCGGTGGTTGCGGGGATGATGGGTGGCAGAGCTTCCGCCAAGAAAGGCGCAGTAAAGACGACGATGAATAGGTTGGAATGTGGGCGATCAAGGATGAAGGTAGGTTGTAAGTTGAAGGACAAATGACTGGAGCGGTTTCAACTAGAATTCGTGGCCAAAAAGGTCCTCGTCCGTTGTCCTGTTGTTCTTATCCCTTCGCCTATCGTCTTCCTCATGTGGCAGTCGTGACGAATTACCGTACACTCCACCTTCGGGATCCTCTGGGTATTCGTGAGACCCGCTGTTCGTGCTCTGAGTGTCGATGCTATCGACGGTAGACATTCCCTTTCGCTTCTTTTTCCTCCTCTTCCGGCTTGAACCATCCTCGTCAGGAGGAAGTGAATAGGCGTCCTGTGTGCGCTCCCACCGATTCTTCTTGTCCTTCTTCTTCTTCTTCTGCTTTACTAGAGCGCGATCAATGACAGCGTCGTCAAAGTTAGCTGGGTAATGCCATCTTCCTGATGAACTGGTGCTCTTGTTGGAGTTGTAATACATTTCTTCCTCTGAACGCCAAAGCTCCCCGTTTGCTTGGCGTTGAGCACTTCCGTTGATGTCGTTGATGTTGACACTTGAACCAGCCTCCTGACCCTCTTCATATGGCTGGCCTTCAAGCGTGGAGTGTGGTAAACGATCCTTGTAGCGGTTGGCCCATTGAGATTTGCGCTCTTTGCGCCTGATCTCTGAGAGGTCGACTAGGCCGTATTTCTGAACCCATTTGGGTGTGCGAGCATGGTTCTTGTTGTTGCGAATGTTCTATGTCCATGGTGTCAGTCCAATTCGATGCCTTTTTCTGAGATGATAGAGGTACCTGGATGTAAAAGTTGTGACCATGTCCTGGTAGGTAGTTGAGCGACAGATGTGACAGACAGGTGTACAGACGACGTACCGGGAATATAACCCATTAATGTGAGTACTACATTGATCCAGAAGTCCTTTCCGATACCAAACCTTGCTGCTACGGCTGAAATAGAGAGGTTGAGAGAGACAACAAGAGAGACGGAGTGCAGAACATACCGAGTGGTGGTAGAAGAGTACCCATAATGAATAGGAGAAATGCAAAACCATGATATCTTCTTGGTCTGAGTTCTATCTTCTGTGGGACGATGCCATAGGCAGCCATCTCATCTTGAGCCATGGCAGGCAGACAGTTGGGCAAAGCAAAGCCGTCAACACTGGGCGGAGTAAAGACCTTCCTTCTCAAAATGGAAGGCGGTCACTAGTGAAGGTCCCGTGACTCTGAACACAAGCATCCGCCAGTCTTTCTTTCCTTATCTTGCTACGACCACCATGGACGTCCCTGAAGACACCATACTCAACCTTTCCGACGTCGTGCACGATGAGCCCGTAGTCAACGACGCACCGACCAACACCAACCAACCACAGCAGTCCGACGACCGCCATTCACCCACTCCAGACTTCGATCCCACTGCCAACATAATGTCGACGTTGCACGATACATTTGGCATCTCAGACCACTCACCGTCTCATCTTTCATCTCCGGAATACGCTGTACAGATTATAGAACGCGAGATCGCCTCGTTGTTGAACCAGAACGCATCAGCAGCATCTGCCGCACTCTTGAATGCAGCAGCCCAGCAACGTCAGGCAAGTATGGACCTATCTCGCGGGAACTCCTTGAACTCGGCCCAGCCCGACACAGATTCCAACAACGACCTGAATCCAAGTCTCAGCAATCTTGTCGCTGTTCTACAAGCGATCCACGAGCGAGGCGGGGTTGAAGACGGTCGAGAGTCGGTGAATAAAGAACCCCAAACCACACGCACTGCGCCAGCCTTTCATTCGCTTACAGCAAGTGACACGCGTGACCAGCCTGGACCGAGCAAGAAGCGACGCGGCGAGCGTTCGGGCAACTCTGAAAATACAGGATATCTCTTCTCAGAAGACGAACACGACAGCGACTCAGACACTCTCGGCGGAGCGGATCGAGGTCGCTCAACTTCCCATGAGCATCAAACTCTCAGTGCTCCCTCCTCGGTTCCTAATCCTATCAGCGACCTCCCCCCTGTCACAGTGCCTGGCGAATTCTCGGATATCAACGATATCTTGACTCAATTCTCGGCATTCGATCCCGACGCGACGCACTCTCCAGCACATGTTGAATCGACTCCCGACGCGTCCCCTGTGATACCCCATACAAGAACAGTCGACAGAGACCTTTCGATGTCGTCACAGCCTCCATTGCCTGTAATGTCAGCTGTACCCGTGTTGCTGCCCTCGAACAGGGTGGAGGCGCCGCAACCTACCGCTTCGACCTCCTTCATTCCACCTGCACCTGTGCCTTACGACGCCAGCAAGAGACCAGCAACGAAGAGGCCCAGGGAAAGGGAAAAGGCGTCCAATTCGCATACATGCGATCACGAAAATTGTAACAAAACCTTCACCCGTCGTAGCGACCTTGCTAGGCACATGCGGATACATACTGGGGAGCGTCCCTTTGTCTGCACTTATGCTGGTTGTGGGAAGACCTTCATTCAGGTTCGCCCTTGCATCAGCTCCTTAAATTCATCTAATCGAGAGTATATTTATAGCGTTCTGCATTGCATGTACATTCTCGTGTACACACTGGCGAGAAACCTCACTGTTGTGAATACCCTGGCTGTGGCAAGACATTTGGTGATTCCAGTAGTCTAGCACGCCACCGCAGAACACATACCGGCAAACGCCCTTACAAGTGTCAAGAACCGACTTGTGAGAAGACCTTTACTCGGAGGACTACTTTGACGACTCATATGCGAACCCACGACCCCAACTGGGAGCCGGATCCCAATGTGTAAGTTATCTTGGACTGTTACTGGAAAAGAGTCCTCATGTGCCTTGCTGTGCTAGTAAATATAACTTCAAAGGCAAGAAGCGGAAATTGGACGACGAAGATGACCTTGAAGAGTCTGTCCGTGCCATTTCTGCTTTGCTGCAAGCTGGTAACGGGGCGGTAAGCTCAGGAAACGCACCCGACCCAGAGCTTCCCATTGAAGCGCACGTCGCCAGCATCAGTGCAGAAATTGCTGCTGCCATTGCCCAGGCTCGATCGCGAGGGTTTCAGGGTCAAGATGACGATGATGACGATGACGAAGGGGGAGAAGAGTCGGGCTCGGGACAAGAAATGGCAGTTCCGGAGACGATTGGCCCGAACACGAGCGGGATACGCGGTCTGGGTTCAGGGGACGTAGCGGCGGCAACTGGAACGGTTCCGGCGCCAACAGTGGCAAAAGAGGTATTGCCTTTGACAAGCCAACAACCAGAACGCGACGAGGATGAAGAAGACAGCGACGCCTTCCCTCGGCCTCTCCATTCACGGAAGACTCGTGAAGGCCCTCTGAGTTCTGCTGGAACTAAACGCAAGCGGTAGGTTTATGCGTTTCCGCGCCAGTGTATATTTCGTCAGTACTGTAAAGCCTGTAATATGTTGAAGCCGTTATAATCATCGAAGTTGTATTATTACAGCATGGCGGACCATCGGGTAGAAATCCAGATCCGAGCATGTGAATCGAGCGCACCCCCAGCTCTTTGAGCAAAGGTGATTGGAGACACGGGAGCCCGCGGCTCATAAATATGGAACGGAACCAAATGAGTTTCACAACTAGGACCCGTCCGAGTCTATCCGTTTCCCCACTCCTTGTCCACTTACCACTCACTCTTCTTGCACATCGACGACTACGATCACCACCAATTACCACATACTCTCCACAATGGCCAACGAGGAACCCCCGAGCACCGACCTTATCACCCTCACTCGGTGCGTTGATCTCATACCACTCTTCCAATCAGGGGTTTAACGCGCGTCGTTGTAGCCATGTCCTCAGTGACCAGATCCGTCTGGGGTCGTCTGCAACTGGCGATCTCACTCTCCTTCTCAATGCCATCCAGCTAACGTCCAAGTTCATCGCGACCAACGTCCGGAAAGCTCGTCTAATCAACCTGTGAGTTCCGGACACCTTGGTCGCGACCCTGAAACGACGCGAAACACGGAGGGACGTGCTGACATTGCCACTAGTGTTGGTCTGGCAGGCGAGACCAATGTACAAGGAGAAGAGCAGAAGAAACTGGATGTGCTTTCAAACGATATCATGGTTAACGCCTTGCGTGCCTCTGGGAAGACCGCCGTTCTTGTTTCAGAGGAACTGGACGAGGCAATCTTCATCGATGACCCATACAAGGGCAAGTACTGCGTGGTCTTTGACCCTCTGGATGGCTCGAGTAACATCGATGCCGGTGTCAACATTGGTACAATCTTCGGTATCTACAAAGTGGTGGGTACTCTCTCTCGCTCGCTTTGTCGCCTGATATCGCTGACAAGCGTATGTCTTATCTTTAGCAACCGGAATCTACAGGAACTATCGAAGACGTTCTAAGACCAGGAAGGGAGATGGTCGCGGCTGGATATACCATGTGCGTGATTCAAGAGGATATTCCGTTTCCCCGACAGGGCGCTCACTTCTGGTTATCTGTTTCTCTTTCTAGGTACGGTTCTTCGTGCAACCTGGTCATGTCGACTGGAAATGGAGTGAACGGCTATACCCTCGATGCGGCCCTCGGCGAATTCATCCTTACCCATCCTAACGTACGTGAACTAGATCCGAGTTAACGCCCTCTATCGTATTCTACCTTTCACTCGCTTATCTTATTCCATGGCTAGATCACTATTCCACCACGAGGGAAGATCTACTCCTTTAATGAAGGAAACTCGATGTACTTTTATCCACCTACGACGGCCTACCTCAAGTCCATCAAGTATCCCGCCAACAACAAGTCACCTTATAGCGCTAGGTATATCGGATCCATGGTGGCCGATGTACACAGAACCCTGCTTTACGGTGGAATCTTCGGATACCCGAGTGACAAGAAGAGCAAGAGCGGGAAGCTGAGGCTGTTGTACGAAGCGTTCCCCATGGCCTACTTGACCGAACAGGTAGGTCAATCTTTTCTGCACGGGACGTACGAAACACTGACCGCCGATGAAATTTAGGCTGGCGGTATTGCTACTACCGGTACACAGCGGATCCTGGATATCACGCCCAAGACCATCCATGAACGGTGCCCTGTCTTCCTCGGAAGCAGGGATGATGTGCAAGAGTTGATGAGGTTCTACAAAGAGGTCCCTCTTGAAGGATAGAAGAAACGAAGTAGAAAGTGCATAACATCTGACCATTGAATACCACCAAGGACTGTAATTCTGTATTTCAATTGCATATTTGACCACTCGTAAAGATGAGCGCATGACGTCACAACCCCTATTCATTTGCTTGGCATTATTTGCTCCGTGCCGAAGTCGGCCTGATTCGTGTGCCCAATTAGGAACGTGAACCTTGCTCTTCGTCCAACAACGACAATGGTTTCCGAATCCCCATTGACGGTAATTCAAACGCATCTCCGCTTTCAATCACAAGAAAGGCTCACACAAAGTTTGGATGCCTGCTAGTCTCCAGAACGTTCCCCTTCCCACAGTCCTGGTCCATCCGTTGGCAGGCGGACTGCTGTTAGCGGGAGGAAGAGGCAATTCATCGCTTCTGACGACGACGAAGATGATGTCGAGCAAGCACCCGTCGCTTCTTCATCCAAGAGCAACCGAAGACAACTTTTACACGCGAGGGCTCTCGAAGAGGATGAAGACGAGGGATACCAGCATAGTCGACCCAACGAAGAAGACGTAGACGTCGACATAGACGGCTCGAGCGACGCTGGCTACGCTCATACCGACGACCCGTTTTACCAGTCTCAAGAACCGGTACAGGCGCCAGTAAAGGAAGAACGAACAAAGAAGTCCAAGTCGAGCAGGAAGGGTAGCGGTAAATCCGGACCACCAACGAAGAAAGTCAAAAGGTCGTCATCTAGACGAGAGCGGTCGGTGGGCGATGGTTCTGACATGTCGGATGAAGAATTTGAGGCGGACTTTATGGAGGATGAAGACGATGATATGAGGCCTGTATCAGAAGAGGAGTATTCTGATGAGGAAGAGTATGGAAGAAAGAAAGGGAAGGGGAAGGCTGTCGGGAAAGGTGGAAAAGCGAAGGGAGGCAAAGGGACCAGACGTGCTGCATCCCCAGAGATAAAGTTTAGAAATGAGGGCAAGACAGCTCCACCACCCCCAGCAAGGACAGGTAAACCAGATCCTCTCCCATTGGACGACATGGATGTGGACGTTACCAATTCCGAACGCTCAGGTCGACCACTTGGAACCGCGGACTCGCGCCCTTCTGGTTCGTCGAAGAGTCCGGCGTCGCGCCATGGGTCTGTTCCCAAAGATACTGGGACTGGTCCCCCGCCACAGAAGAAACGCAAGCTTCCAACTATCAAGAAGAATAAGGACGGGACGGCGCCTACGACACCAGCCACTGCGAAGTCGACTGTGAGCAGTATCTTGAGCGAGGTTTTGCCTGCTACCCCTGCTCCGAGACTACCTGCTGCACAGCAAGGCGTGGCAGATTTGGATTTAACGAACAAAAACATCTATGACCAGTTGTTCAAAGGAGTACGTTGTGGTCCTGTTTTCAGAGAGTTGACAATAAGCTGACCATGCTGCAGGGGGCAAGTGCACTGAGCTCGGACAGACGAGCGAAAGAAGCAGAACGCCAGAAGGAACTCATGGCAATGAAGGAAGAGTGGAAAGCGAAGAGGGCAGTGGAACAGGTCGGTATCTCCTCTGTTGCATAGACAAGCTATCTAATGAACGTCGTAGCGAGAAACACCACCTTTCGACCTGCAAGCCCAGTATGAGAAGATTTCGCGGTTCGAGGAACGGCTAAGAACATATCACAGCGGTGCTCTATACCCCCATTATCTTGCTGGAAAATGGAGGGAGATGTGGGAGAGGAGCAAGGCTCGCGAACGGGAGCAAAGGGAGAGGGAAAGTCAGGAATCACAGCCGCTCGCGAATGGAACTTACGGTCATGACAGGCGATAATCTGCATCGCATTCGAGGCTCCTTTTTTTTATTAGGGATCTGGTAGCACATCCGACAACTCCTTTATAGATTTGTTCAACTGATCGAAGCACGTATCAAACCATTTTTGTGCTGAAGCCTCTTTCCCAGATCCCTTCAGCAGCTCGCCTACGGACGGTAATGAAAGAATGGAGGTTATACGACTGGAGAGGGTTTCGATGAAGTCGGTGAAGTTGCGAAGCTGGAGGGACATTTCCTCGGTGTCCTGGGGCGCATAGACGGTGGACGCGAGGTCGTCGACAGCAGCGGCGAACAGAGCTGAATCCTTTGCGAGGGAATCTAGGAGTGGGTTGAGATGGGTTTGGATTGGAAGGGAGTCATAGGGTGCAGAGAGTAAACGTTTTGCGACGTATTTGTGAAGGAGCGTCGACAGCTTGATGATGGGTTCCACCTGCCATTGAAAATGAATTCATCATTTTCAGGGGAATAGCTGAACCAGTAATACCTTTTTCAATCGACCCAATTCTTCAGCAGACATTTTAGAGGGTGCATCGATCCCCAGCTCGTCCCAGCCATCATCGATGTCGTCAGTAGAACCAGGGCTCCCTTCTGATTCGGACAATTCCTTCAACTCGTCCATGGCGTCAATGAGGGAGCCTTGATGCAGGCCCCATGCCTTCTTGACCGCGATGTGATTGCTGGAAGAGAGGCCGCCTGGGGAAGAACGAGCCTTGTCGATCGCGTGGTGAACTTCACCTGTCTTGGACAGATATGCATCATCGTTCACTTTTTCCCCGTTTGCATGGTCCAGGAAAACCTGGGCCAATTGTTTCAAGGGGTTTATGACCGTCTTCGCCACAGATTTAAATTCGTTGAGTAGGGTCAAACCGTGTTCTTTGCGGACGAGCCGGACGTTCTGCGACAGGTTGCCGACATGTGTTGTTTGGTCTTTGAGGGGAGTGATAGACGCCGAGTAAGTCGGTGAGCTGGGTTTCAAGCACAACGCGATTTTTGTGGTGGATGCATAGAGCAGCGATAGCAGGGCCAAAAAATCCTTGTGGATGACGTTGAGGCTGGTCTGATCGAGATCTTTGAGGTCGTCATCGAGATTACCGTCGGCAGCGTCGATGGCAGAGACGGCGGCGTCGCAAGCAGCAATGAGCAAATTAAGAGCTGCAATTGCTGTGGACGATGAGGAACAGTAAATGGGATAAAGAATGGGAAATGGACATTACAGTTTTCACGGTGGGACATGATGATGAGAGAGGAACAAGAAATCGCACGCTCCCGCGTCATCACAGCTTTCGCTCAAACGACGACTATGCTGGCCGTACGAGTCGCCCGCGCCGCGGCCAGCCATCCACCGCCCTCAATATTTCTGCGTCAAATACGGCCTGTACACCGCTCTCTCGTACTCAGGTCCGTCGTTCACCACCGCCAGCTGTCCCTGGGTTCCATTTTCGCCCGTCCTCGCCCAACTCCCGCCCCGACGCCCCACCTAGTCGCTCACATCACGCGTCTCGAGGCAGAGGCCAACGTTCATCCACACGATGTTGCAAAACAGGTCGCCCTCTACAAGGCTCTCGCCGACACGAAATACAAGTCGTCCTATGAGCTCATCATAAGTCGTTGGGAGAGAATGTGCGAGTTTGTGAGTGCAGCCCACTAGTCATGAACCAACGCAGTTACTGAACAAAACGCCAAATAGGACCCTTCGTCGCCCCTTCTCGCAAGCCCGGAAGCCTTTGAACTGTATTTGACTGCTCTCGTCAAGACCGGCCAACAGTCTACGGTATTCTCCGCGGTTCGCAGACGGGACAGTCTGCTAGCCGCTCATCACCCTGCCACCGCAACGGAAACCAAACAGGACGCTCCAGACACTACTGGGGAGGCTACTATTGGTTCTTCTGCAGACTCCCAACCTTCCTCGACGCCCAGTGTCCCAACCAGTCAGAATATTGCAGAGTCTGTTCTCGCCGGCCCACTCGTCTCCCCAACCCCTACAACGCCACCACCGCCCGCTCCTGATGCATCGAGACTCGCGGCAGCCAGTGCAGCGCATCCCAATGAACCCATACAGGTTTCCATAGTTGAACGTGCGTTTTGCCACATTTTCAATTGTAGCACCCGATACTGACCATGTGTTTAGGGAGGGGTTCATGGATTCCACGTCTTGTGAGGTTCTTTGCCGTTATGATTGTCAGCTCGTTCTGTGCGTGGTCACATTCAATCCCCCGCGCGATCATGCTGCTCATTCATTAATTTCAGTCTTCTTGGTCATACTCTCGGTATTCTTCGAAAACAGCGGTTTCATGAAAGCTGGGCCTCGACAAACGCAATTTGAGCCTTCGGAAGGTAAAGCCGTCAAGTTCAGTGATGTCCATGGCGTCGACGAGGCAAAAGAGGTTAGCACTATCGACATCATCGTCGGAGTGTATTGACCATCGAATCAGGAACTTCAAGATATCGTTCAATTCCTCAAGGACCCTGCAGCGTTTTCGTCATTGGGTGGTAAATTGCCGAAGGGTGTTTTACTAACTGGGTAATGGCATTTGCATATCGGTCTCTGCGCAGTTCGACTGATTGTTGCTGTTTTCAGACCACCGGGAACCGGAAAGACCATGTTGGCTCGTGCTGTTGCAGGGGAAGCCGGCGTGCCTTTCTTCTTTGCCTCCGGGTACGGTTACCCCATTTGAAGAAGCTATTCTGTCTAATGCATTGTTTTAGATCCGACTTTGAGGAGATGTTCGTAGGTGTTGGCGCCAAACGTGTTAGGGAACTGTTCGCGGCCGCCCGCAAGAAGGAACCAGCCATTATCTTTATCGATGAGTTGGACGCTGTCGGTGGCAAGCGCAGCAGTCGTGATCAGCAATACATGAAGCAAACACTGAACCAGCTCCTTGTGGAAATGGATGGTTTCCAGCAAAATGAAGCCGTCATCGTCATTGCCGCTACGAACTTCCCGGAAAGTCTCGACCAGTACGTTTCATTCTATACTTCGCCTTGTCACGTTTACTTACATCTGGCGTTGCCGTCAGGGCCTTGGTTCGACCTGGACGATTCGATAGGATCGTTGCGGTCCCTTTGCCAGATATTCGTGGCCGGGCCCAAATCCTGCAACACCACATGCAGAATGTGACAACTGGCAAAGGTATGTATGCCGATGGTTGCTCCGCCTGACCTGGTGACTTACCCCTAGCTTCCCAGATGTGGATCCCAAAGTTCTTGCTCGGGGCACTCCTGGATTTTCTGGCGCTGATCTCCAGAATATGGTCAAGTAAGCCTCCCTGTAGCATCTCTGCTGATGTCTGGCTCAACTATTTTGCGTGTAGTCAAGCTGCGATTCAGGCATCGAAGGAGAAGGCGCGTGAAGTCACACTCAAGCACTTTGAGTGGGCCAAGGTACGCAAGGCACACTAGTATTTCTCCTGTCACTAACCGCCTATCGATCTAGGATCGCATCCTCATGGGTGCTGAGCGAAAGAGCCAATACCAAGACCAGAAGGTGAAACTAGCGACAGCTTATCACGAGGTGCGCATTGTTTCGTTGCTCCAAAGTCAGTCGTAATATTTTATTAATTATATCTCAACAGGGAGGACATGCTTTGGTGGCCCTGTATACCGATGGAGCAATGCCTTTGCACAAGGTTACTTGTGTACCTCGTGGACATGCTTTGGGCTATGTAATTCCCCGTCTTTCGGTTATGTAGGCCCTTGAACTGACAATGACCGCCACAGACTTCATTGCTTCCCGAAAACGATCGAACATCTGTTAGCCTAAAGGAATACTTGGCCGGCATCGATGTGTCCATGGGTGGCCGCGTTGCAGAGGAACTCAGTAAGCAGCGCAGATTATTGCCTTACTTCGGGTTTTCTAATCTTCTTTCCAGTCTATGGTGCAGAAAACGTCACTAGCGGAGCTAGTTCCGACATCAAGAATGCCACCAGAACCGCTCAAGCCATGGTCAAGGTTGGACAAACTGCTATCATTCTGTGACTGTGATACTCACCAGCTCATTCTAGCAATGGGGCTTTTCCAAACTTGGACCAGTCTATTACGACACTAGGGACGAATCACTCAGTTCAAAGAGACGGGAAGAGATTGAGGAAGAGGTGACAAGGTGAGGGTCTGCTGACTTGTGGTTCTCTCTCATATCGTCTGTTTTGGCGAAAGTGGGATAAAGCATTGCCGGCAGTCTCCGAGCGCTTGCTCTTTTCTCTGCCGTTCGCCCGTGTCTACTGTTACTCAACCCTTTCATTCCAGGATCGTGAGGGAGGGCGAAGCTCGTGCCCTGGCACTTCTCAGCTCCAGGATCGATGAACTCCACAGGGTAACCCAAAATTCTTTTCCTCCACGACACCAGGATGCGATTTAACCTCATTGTTCCTTTTTCTAGCTTGCACATGCTCTTGTTGAGCACGAAACTTTAGACTCCGAAGAAGTGAAGAAAGTCATCAAAGGGGAACCTATCCGAAATATCTCGGAGGTATTAGAGGAAGAGCTTTCAAAGCCTAAGGAGCAGCCGTGATGGCAAAATGTCAGGAAAAAGAACCTGAACGTCAGTTAGATGCGTAATTCTTCGCGGGAGGGCCTCGTTATTTTACAGCGACGATATAATTCCACTGTACAGTCCAAAAGCCATTACCTACCGACCGTCCTTCTTTACATACCGCCGCCCATACACCCTACTTCTTTACTTAGCAATCTACGGCACTTTGTATTGCGCTTGATCGCTCAGATCTTGCGCACTCTGTGCATGAAACGGCACTCACATTCGGGCCTGCTGGGCAGTGATGAACGCTTTGGAACTCACCTTGCGACCGGTTCGGAGTTGCTTGTGGAGGGTTTTAGGAAGTACTAGAGTAGCATGGAGTTCGCCGTCGGCTGCCATCTCACCTGTGTTCCAAATGCTTTCCAGCACCTAGATGAGTCTATAGACTGCAGATTCACTGTGGTCACGACTCGCTTCTCTGATGAGCTGGGAAGCGAAGGCCAGTCACAGGATGCTCACTCCTTCGCTAAGATGTCGCCCAAGGGCAATACATTTCCCACTCTAATTGATAACAGCGGCTTGTGAGGCCGAAGTTACCCACCCGCAGTAAGGACAGTCTTTACGATAGCCGTGTTAAAATTAAAGATTCGTGTTCAGGGCGTGGTTGAGCCACGACCTTGCCCGCTCATTGTTTCCCCCAAATCTCCAAGGCTATTCACTCCCATAGGCCCGATCTTCCACCGTACCGTCGTCATCTGCTGATTGACAGGAACACTCTCATCTGCTTTACGGCCTTTAAGAACGGCACGGGATGATCAAATAGATAGCACTCGCGCATTTCTCCAGGTGCTGGTGATGGAACCGTATCAGGCGATTCGAGCCATCCAGACACCGGTGTCCTTTTGCCCTTATCCTTCAATCCAAATCTCGATCTGACCAATGTCGTCAAACCTTGTTGTCGCGCGGAAAATCCCATCTGGTGAACCCTGAATTGAGTTGGATATGGTCAAACTGGTTCTCCAAACTGGTTCGGAAAGCCTCGCTGACGACGATGGATGGGTCATTAGCCGGACCGTATCAAGCCTGAGGGGAGGTTGTAAATCGCATAAAAGGGGAGCAGAAAATGGCTGTTGGAATCCCCAACGACTCCCCCTTTACCAGAGCTCCCTTGCTGGACCCATCCGAGCGGTACGTGTCGCCAGAGTTGGAACATAACGCACCGTCTGACGGCCTTGATCGAAGCTTAAACCCATACACACAGGCGATCAGCCCATTCCTGCGTTCTATCCTACCTCCGCCGAAGGCCAACTAGTAGGCAAGTATAGGTCCCAGCTCGGAGCCGTTACTTGATGTCTGACACTGCAAATCGTTACAGCCATGTGCTTCCGGAAACTATTGTTCACCGACTACACTTGTAACCACAGAGTCTTTAGCCATGAAGTCAAAGTCGACTGCGAAGAGCCCGACTGTAAATTGAGCTCGCACCATAACCCCTCCTGCCCTCCCACAAATTGCGGGTGCCGCAATTTTTGGACACAGCCCGAGCGAATCCATAACCCTTCGGTACGTACAGTGTTGATGTACTGTCTGACGTTTGTTCATTCACCCTACGACAGTCCGAGCGATGTGGCCAGTCACCCCAATGCAACTAATGAGTTTGGCCAAATAGCGCTGTTGGAACCTGTAAAGATCGAGCGACATGAGTCCCCCCGTCCTGCAACTTTGAACACGCAAACATACTTACGTCTGTATTTAATCCTTCAATTCAAGTCCATCTCCATCAATGCGCTGTCACTTAGTCCACCGTCACCATATTCGTCGTCGTCATCCACAGTTCGTTGCTGAGCTTCCAGTTCGAGGGCCTTTTGCTTCGCTTGGGCTTTCTCGACGTCTTCCAAAGTCCATAGGGACACGCCTGTCTGGTTTTCGTTTGGGTTCTGGGATATCGTCCGCATGAACAACTTTGACAGAGTCAACGCCATATCTGTTGAAAGATTCGACGCAGTCTCCGTGATGCACTGGTTTATCCAGCGGGGAAGTTTTGATCGTTTGTCTGAACGTGCGAACCGCTGGAAGGAGACAAAGTTAGTAGGTTCGATGACTTCAAGAGGCGCAGATGCTCCGTACCTTGTCTGCGAAGATCATCAGCCCCCAGTCCGTCTTACCGCGCAGAACACGCCCTACACACTGTGCGGCGGTTCTCATCGCATCGAATCCGAGGAATTCTGATTCGCGTATCCGATATGCATCACGTAGATATTCCAGGCGGGCTTTCAGGATCCGACTTTCGGTATATTGGTATGGGACACTTGAAAACGTTCAGTCACGCTGTCCGCCGGATAACCTCTCAACATACCCAAACATGATGACCGCACGTCCATAGTTATGGTCAAAATCGATACCTTCGGAAACCTTTCCTCGCGCTACAGACAGTAGCACGGCACCACGACCGTTATCACAAGCCTAGACAATGCTCTTTTAGCCCCAGTAATGTGTCTCCAGGAGAAAATGGTTACCCTGCGATAGTTCTCCAACGCTATGCTCGTCTCGTTTGCGTCCGGGGTTTCCACAAATATCAACTTGTGCTTCCAGACTTCGTTCAAGATTCCCTGAGGGAGGTTGATTGTTGAGTGACATGCGAAGGCCTAGATGAGGTACGCCCACCATATCATTCCAAGCTGCAACAATTGATTCCATGTACAAGTAGCTCGGGAAGAAGGCGACTACCCCATCTGGGACGATCTTGCTGTATTCGACGAGGATGCTTCCAAAATTGCGAACAACCGCAGGATCATTCCGGACCTCGAATCGCGAACTGATAGCAACTTGGTCGCTTCCACGGGTAATGACCTGACAAGGGTTACAGGACGATCAGAAGACATGACACTGGAAGAGCTCACCAAGGGGAGGAACGCGTTGCGTGTCAATGTCATGGGGTATGTTTCTTGGACCACCGGCGTAAACTGCAGCATTTTGGGATACATGTCGAGCGGCGAGATCGTCCCTGAAGTAATAACTACGCTGCTAAAGCGTTCAAACACGGGCTTGATGGCAAGAGAGGGATCCAAGCATCTGAACTGGGGTTAGTTGTGTGATTGCGGAAATCCATCAAGCACTAACGTCAAGTGGAAAATGGGATTAGCAACAGTTGATGTGTCCGTCTCGTATGGCTCGAGTATAAGAAGAAAGCCTATGGTTCCGTCAGATCTTGAGAGAGAGGGAATGGAGTGCCTAGGTGCCCACCCTTTTCATATGTTGCAACCAGTGTCGCAAAACTAGCCACTTTCTGTAGACTTGAATACTCGTCCAGGCGGTTTAGCTCAAGCGTCCGAACGAGCGACTGTAGCCTCTCTGCACAAAATCTAGAAGATCATGTCAGATGGTCTGAAACTCATTGATCTGACAACCTACCTGAGCGGACGCCGTTCGATGTACGTGATATCCTTCAGATGTTGCAAAAAGGAAAGAGGGGTTTCGGCCACTACATGTGTCACCCGCATGCGGGTCTAGACAAGGATTAGCCCCGTTAAACTTCACAGAAGCTTGCAAGAATCACTTTCAGGTATTCCACAAATCGCTTCAGGAACGCAACGAAATGCTCTGCCTTGCGAATGTTTCCTGGTATGGCTTCATGTAGTAGGTCATCTGGTAAAACTGAGGAAGATGAATAGCGATAAGAGCGTGATACAGGAACACGAGAAGAGCTTATTGCTTACCAGGGTTTCCCATAATGCCATCGGTGTCGCTTTCTTCGGCCTCCTGCAGCCCTTCGACAAGCTTAGCGTATTCATTCTGCAGTTTGGCAGCGTCGGTGGTTTTGATTCTTTCAACGTCGGTTTCAGGTTATATAGAATAGCAAGTGGATGGCGCTTACTCGTCGATCTTCTCTGAGAGTTTTGTCACACTGCGAGCCGCCGAATCGAGCATTGGCCTGGTCAGATCGATGCTAAGGGACTCGATGCAGACATTGTCTGCATTTGGCGAGTGAGAAGTGGTTCCTGACAAACATAAACTACGTACCAATGTTGTGGGCCTCATCAAACACCACTATGGCATCTTTGGATATGTCTTTAGAGACTTGTTCAGCGACTTTGGGGTCCAGAAGATAATGGTAAGAGTAAATGACGATGTCGGCAAAACCCATCTGGCCATTAATGGAACGAAGTTAGGTATGTCAGTACGATATCCTTTAAGAGAACACCTACCATTCTCCGCACTGCAAAATAAGGACATATTACTTTCTGCCGGGCGTACTCCAGCACGCCCTCCAAAGTCCAGATACCCTGAGGTATCAGCGTTCCTGGTTCCATTTTGCCTAGATTCTAGTACAACGCAATGAACAGGCCAGTCGAGCCATACCAGACTACACGTACCTCATGCCAATCGCAGACAGGAACAGACCCAGGGTTCTCTCGATTCTTCTCGCAAACTGCAGTATTGGTAAGGTCTCGACACCGAGCATCGACAACTGTGCCCTTCTTCTCTCTTGCAACATCAGGATTGATGCAAAGGTTTTTTCGACTGGTTAAACCGAGACCCATAAAGTTTCTCTCCTTCTCCTTCTCTTCTTCCGTTTCGGCATAATCGATTCGGTATTTCATAAGACGCTTCAGCTCAGTCAAAGCCTTCTCGATTTCGGGAACAGTTCGAGAGCAATACACGAGTTTTCGACGCGTCGGGAAGAACTACACACTGCCATTAACGACGGAGCAGACGAGACAGTACACAACGCACCTGTTGGTACGACACGATCAGGGAGAGAAGGGAGACGGTTTTCCCAGTGCCCGAAGGCATCTCCAGCACGCAATGGCCCTGTAGCCGCCCCTCAATGTACTGAATAGCAAGTTGGTCGTTTGCGAAAACATACTGTAGCGTCCAGAGTTCTCTTCAGGTCACACATATAGGCATATTGTTCTGTTTCCGGGTTCAGAATGGTAAATATGTGAAAAGGGATGCGTTGCGAACCTGGATATATACGGTCGTAAGGGAAGATGATCTGGAATATGTTCAGAGGTCGCCATGAGAGGACAATGGATTGAAGAGACGAACTGGGAGGTTGTCGATGTAGAACTTCATGGTGGTTGAGGTCGTCAGTAATTATGTGTAGCAAGATATTATACAGTTAGATAGAGAAGATAGATACAAAGAACGATGGGCGAGGTTCGTCAACGTCGTTTAAGACAAACGACAAAGAGAGTCTCCATTTGCTGTCGACGCGAGCAGCCCTTCCGTGATGCCAAGCCGTCGCAAACTCAAAATACTTCCGCGCCCGAGACCAGTCAAATCCAAGTCAATTGTTCGAATCATGTCCTGCACAATTTCTTTTCAAAATCCAAGTAAATTAAGCATGAAAGGAATGACAAGCGGAAGCGTAGAGATATGCTATCCGATTAATGCTACGAAGATGGATATCTAGACTAAAAAAGTTACTGTACATGAAAAGACTGTTGCAGATTTGCTGGTATGTGAGGGACGTCACCGTCGTGTCTAATATCTTGACCGTGGAAAATGCAATGAAAGTTGGTGGATGTTAGTTTGTTAGATGCTTCTGCAAATGGCGCAGTCGAAGTTGAGCTTGTCTTTGAACAAAGCGGCTAGGAAAAAAGTGGGTCAGGTTGGGCATTCAACTTTCATGGGCTCGAGGAGGACACTCACGAAGAACAAGCAAGGCTGCAAGAATTGCAACCACGAAGATGTAAACGACGGTGTATTTGACGACGATCCAGCGGCGCTGCCGTTTCTGCTTGGTCGAGAAAAGTGGTGGTCGAATTTGTTTCGAGGGGCGAAGCCAGACTAGAGAGAAATTGTCAGCACAGACTGGAGTGCAGGGTAAGCCAGTAAACTCACAGAGCATAGTTGAGTGTAGGCTGTTGGCGAAAGGAATCAAAATGGGTGGAGTGAGAATAACCAAGAGAATATGTCCAAGAATGAAATCAGAGCCCCAAAGTGACATTTCCACAATTTTGACGATGAATTCACGAGCTGGCTGTGACATGGCAGAGTTGCCGAGGCCACGACCATACCATTTACCCGTCCACCAGGCCCTGTTGGATTCGTCGTGCTTGAATTCACGGGTGAGGAAGACGGCGATGAAGAACTTGTGCATGGCCCGCTGGATGGCAACAATGCAAATAACACCCAACACGGCGTTGGAGGCATCCCATTGCTCGAGGAACCACTACAGCGACGTTAGCAAACTGAAACCAGCCAATAAGGTCAACTTACGAAGAATTCAAAGGCAGCAACCAACCCAATCAAGCAGGTGATGTGGGCAATACTGGCCATGACGGAACCAAATTTGGCCCAGCCGTCCATCATGGGACCAAGCATGAGCGAGATGAAGAAGAGTCCGAGCAAGACAGCCGCGTTGAAAACGATAGGTCCAACGGAGACGATGGCGATACGAATCAACGGGCTGGGTTGTTGCTCTCCAGTGACGGGGTCGGGGAAGGACTTGACGAACATGTATGCGATCACGAATAGCGCGGCCAGGCAGATGGGCCAAATAATCTCAGAGAAAATGAGATTGCGCCAGGTGGCTCGAGGCACATCACCGGAAAGCTTCTCCGAAGGGTGACCGAGTTTCTTCTTCTTGTATCCAGTAATCATGGTCCTCGAAAGTCGGCAATATCCGTACCAACTGCTCGCCTTGGTCCTCGAGTTTCCGCGGGACATCCATCGCAAGAATTCGCGGTAGTCGATGATGAAGTCGGCGAAGGCGAATTGATGAGGGTTGAAGACGAAGGGGGCGATACAAAGGGATGCAACGGAGAACCAGAAATAGGCGAGATGGGGAATCCAGATGGTGAGCGTGACATACAACAAGATCAACAGATTCCTGAAGCCCATGTAGATACTGGGTCCCGCAAAGCGAGAATACAGGATGCTGAAGTTGATTCGAGTGGTTGCGAATCCACGACCAGTTGCGATATATCGTGCTCCACCGAAGGTCAGATTGCTGAGAATCGAGTTGGAGTAGATCTGGGTCGAGAACACTTCGAAGATGGGCGACAATGACAGGAAGTGCTTTCCAAGCCGAAGGAGAGCTGTGCCGGTACCACGTTCGAGAAGTTCTATACGCAAGTCAGCTTCGAACGCAGAATGATAGAACAGTGAAATCGAACCTTGAAGGAAGAGTGGCAAGAACGCAATGAAGAAGACCAAGAAGATGGAGATGATACATCGCCTAATCCAGTCAAAGACGGGAATCAAATTGTAACATCCTGGTTGTCCGGCGATGACATTGCCTCGCGCATCCAAACGACAGATGACCAACATCTTGTTGAGAGTACCGATGAACATCACTAAACAAGAGGCGTGAATAGCGCAAACGAGAGGATAACCTGCGATACTCACGTGTAATCATGAAGACGTGAATAGAGGTAATAACGAGGATATTGTTGATGTGGAAACCCGGGTGACCATAGTAGAAGGTGAGGAATCGATCGATAGGAAGTTGCGTGCCCAAGTAGTAATATTCTCGGCTGAGCATCTGTTCACCCATGCCAGTTCCAATCTTCGTTTGGAAGTTGAGAATGGTACCGAAACCGAGATCGCGACCCTTTCCGCACTGGTAGTACTCCGAATGCTTGATGCGACCTCCACGACCGAAGGCGTTCATACCGGCGAAAATATCTTCGTTCAGATGCAATCCCTTTTGGGCCTTGGAGACTCCTCCGCGAGTGTTCATAAAGGTGGCGTTGAGGAAATCGGGATGTCCGTAGTGCAGCTTCCCTCCAATCCATGCCAATGCACGAGCGGTCATGGTACCGAACGTCTGTTCCTTTCCAGCCGCAATGTCACCCAGTACACCGATGTTCTCCGAGAAGATATATTCACGGGTACCGATGATGGCGACTGGAGACTTGGCGAATTCCTTGTGGCCCCATTGCGCATAGGGACTCTGACTGGATACAGAGTACTCTTCAAACTCGCCAAGAATGTTGCGGATCTTGAGACATTCTTCAAGGTAGTTGTCCTGGTTGGCATCGATAAGCTGGAGGTATTCACCGCGGTAGAAGACGATGGCGTGGTTCTGGTTGTCAGACTTTCCGTCTCCGAGAATGGGATTGCCGGGCAACTCGATTCTGAACTTGGGCTTCCTCTTTCCGGTCTTCTCGTCGATTTCAGAATGTCCGTCGATGAGAGCCGAGTAAAGACGGGCCTCGCCACCTTTGGAACTGGGTTCTTCGTCAAGGTAAGCGATCTGCAAGTCGGGATAGGCGCGGAGCAAGAACTCTGCGTTCTCCTGCTCTTCCTTGTTGAACTTGGAGAACCGTTGCATCGAGATGGCGAACTTGAACTTCCTGCGGGACATCCGTTCCAATTCACGCTCCAAACGCTCCGTGTTGCCGCCAAAGGTGTGGACAATGTCTGGGTTCTCGACACGATAGAGGAGCTTGATGGCCTTGGAATAGTTCATCATGCCTGAAACAGTACGATAAAGGGTCTGCGCGCGGAGACTGGCCCAGATGCGGGTTCGGAGCGTGTATTCTGGCGACGAGTTCTTGAAACCGATGCAGTAGAAGGGCAAATCGTCGGCCTTGGCTTGCTTCTCGTTGGCTTGAGTTCCGGTACCATCGTCGACCTCTTCAGCAAGAATCTTGGTGTCCTTGACGAAATTGTCCCACTCGACAGGGTGAAGCTGCTTGAGATACTCCAAAAGGGTGACACGAGTGTTTTGATCCTCTTCACGAATGATCTCGCGGAGGCTGAGCAAGATCTTTTCAGAGTAGTGGGGGACAAGGACAGTGAAGGTGGGCATCGCGTCGACCGAAAGGGGTTCGGGAAGAGCTGTGGTAAGGGAGGAGGCGAAGAAGGAGATGCGACGTTCGGCCTCGCCCCCCGCGGGGAAGAAGGTGCCTTTGAACCCCTTTCCATCTTGATTTGTGAAGAATGGCGGGGCGCGAAGGGTTCGTCGGCCGTCGGGAGAATCTACCTGGTGGTAGAGAAGCCTCTGGACATTGTCGATGGAGAGAAGGTGCTCGCGGTACATGGAGATGATGATTGCGTTCCAGATTTGGGAAACAAGTACTTTGGGCTTGTACTTGACTTCCATCTCCGCGGTTGCAAGCAACTTGGCGTAGATTCGTTTGGGAAGGCGGGTGTAGATGTCCTTCCATGGCGTCCAGATGGAAAGGCCAAGGGCAAACGAACGACCAACGGAGAAGATAACAATCCAGATGATGTACCAGAGGTAGGTGTCGAGGAAGAAGAGGACCAAGTCCATGACGTACATGATTGCGAGAGTGAACGGAACATGATTCGTGCACAAGGCAGAACCGAAGAACCGGTCACTACATCCCTGGACCTTGGTCCGGGCCATGACGGCGACGGGGCTGCTGAAGGAGGAAGTCAAGAAGTAGTAGGACTCCGCGAACTTGCAGGCAAAGATGAGGACCCAAAGGGAGATCGACGCAATGCGAGCCGAGCGAGGGAGTGCGGGATATGAGGCTGTGAAGGTTTGGGATGCCATGTACTTTCGCGACTTTCCTGCCACTCGATCACCGAACATGCGACCGGATGGGATGATACCGAATGCGACCGTGGCTAGCACGGAGATGAAGAACTGTACTATGCCGATGATGAGGGGGATATTGCCTTGGTTCGGCCTGCCGTCGACAATTGCGATGTAAACTGTGGGGCCGCCAGTGAGGGCCAAGATGACCAATAAGAAGATGAGCCGTGTGGTAAGATGGGACGCGTTGTTCCATGTGGTGGGGATGTAGGAGAATTCGGCGATGGTGGCGAAAATCATGATTAGGGTTGAGACTGCACCACCCAATGCGACTGCCGACCAGGTCATTGGCGCGGACGGTTCTAGCTGGTCTCGGGGTGCATAAACCCGAGGTGAATGGAATGCCGTAAAGAAGAAAAACACGGATACGTGAAGGATCCAAATTCGATTGAAGTTGACCAATAGATGAGCAACGGATCGCTTCTCGAAATAGGTCTTGAAAAAGACCTTATTCCATTCGACCTTGGCCAGCTTGGGATACCGTTGTGCAGGAGGGGTGTCGACCAAACGAGTCTGAAATCTGGTATGAATACCCCTGTCTAGCTCTTGAAGGTAACGGCATTACTCACCCCATCTCTGAGCACGATCTTTGCCAAACCCTCGGGGTACCAGAAAAGCTGGTTGATGTCGTCGTAGCCGATAATATCCTTGTGGTCCTTCTCTTTTCGAACAAACTTGCCATCGACAACCTCGTAACCTTGATCACGGATAAAGTTGTACAGAGGCTTGATGATGGTGTTCAGATAAAGGCCTTCCGGGACGGGCTCGATCCTGTTCTGACACTCCGGACTGCGGTAGTAGTCGTCGGCGCACTTGAAGAGGAAGCAGAGACATTCTGGCATGAAGCGGACATTTCCTGCCTCTCCCCATACAAGAAGATACAGAGCAATCTGACGAAGCCTGTCGTACTGGCTCATGTTGTTCATGGCATTTCGCCATCTGTTGAGTGCCGTGTCAAGAGATTTGTTCCCACCCTTGATGCTTTTGAGACGTTGGAGGCCGGGGTTCTGAGATTGGCCAACTGCATCGTCAAGGTTGAGCTGAGCGGCAAAGTACCACTTGCGATAGTTTGCGTGTTGGCCACCAATGTAGTCTGCGTGCAGTGTTATCAACGCCTGGTTCGGTGTCATTCGGGAGGCGCGGGAGTCAAGGAGATGCATGGTAAAGTCGAACTATACGACACGGTCAGCAATGCAGTGGTGGAGAGAGGGGGAGGAGGAAGATACTAACCATATTGCGCATGGAGTCCCTCTGGAAACCGAACTTCTGGGTGAGGTCGAGGAAGATGTCCTCAATCTCCTCAGTTGACATGGGTATTTGACGATCCGCAGACCAGGCGGGGTAGTGTTCGGATGCGCCCAACCCGGGGTCGGCAAAGGGAGATATGCTTGGAGCGCTGCTTGCATGGGAGTCGACTGAGGGGTTGTAGGGAGGGTTGTACATATCTGGGCCAGAAGAGTCGGCTGTAAAAAAAGGAGGGTTACATGGTTACACCAAATGGAACCAGGAGTGAGACCTACCGCTCTGGTCGTAGAAGCCGGGCGCTCCTGCAAGCCGGGTGCTGCTGGAGTTCATGGCATTGTAGTGGTCGCTCATGTCAGATTCGTTGTCATAATCGCGGCGGGCAACAGGGAAGGAAGGGCCTGAATTTTGGCGCTGAGGGAACTGAGGATGGCTGAAGGGATTATTTCCAGAGTCCTGAGGCCTCGGAAAGCCGTTGGGAGCGGCCATATAGTTGGGTATAAAAGAATGGTTGGTCTAAGAGAAAGGACGGTCGACGCCAGCAACTACAAGATGAGAGTAAATGGGAAACTGCTTGGTTACCACAACAAGACCACACAGTCTCTTCCCATCACAATCTTGGCCTCACGCCCTCATCGCCACATGCGCACCCTCACACAATCCCCACCGCTCCAAGGCACTTATACAAGCCCAATCCCACCACTCGCTGTCCCTTCTCTGGTCTGGTTCGCGATAAATGGCCTCTACGAACACCCAGACCAACTACACAACCTCCTTCACTTTCGCCTCAACTTTCGCAGGGAACAAATCGACATAGACCTCAACAATTTGGACCCCCGTTTATGGGCAACCCTTGTCCAATTGTATGACAATCTTCCCCACAAGCTGTCAACGTACGAGCTACCTCTGAATGATATACATTTGCCTCTGCTGCAAGAAATTCCCTCAACCCCCCTCTTTTCTCTGCTCACCGTGCTCAATTTGGCATCCTGCAAGTCCTTAGATGACCGGACAATTAGCGAACTCAAATCTCTCCATTCCTTGGTCGCGCTTGACGCGTCCGATACCGTTTTGACTCCAACCGGGATTCAGAGTCTGGCCAATACCCTCCTCCTTCGCGAAATTGGAGACGAAGATGCCCAGCGTCAACACCGCGGGCCATGGCCCCTCCGTATCCTCAATCTGCGAAACTGCAAAAAAATTACCTCGGACGTGGGTCTGATCCTTGCTAAATTTCCGCTCCTCTCGATCGTCGGCAAGTCTTTAGTCCATTGGACAATTGGGATGCAGCTCACGCTGCCATTTAGATCTGCGAGGTACAGCTTGCACCCGAAAGATCGAACTGCCTCCTGGTTTTTCTTCTGCCGCCCCTGAGGTGTTCTTTCACCCAACTCCATTGCTTCAAAGCCTTGAGACCCTGCGTCGAATAAACTCCAGACTCCATTCATCGCCCAATGCATACACCCTTCACATAACCGAACTTCGTCATAGGGCACTGCCAACCGCTCGGTCCCCCTCAAAAGGTGTGGAGAACGCCGTGGTGACATTCTCGTCTGGATCGAACAGGGTCACGGTAGACAATACCACGGCTATTGATCGACGCGCCCAGGCCAGAGAGGATGCGGAACGTCACGAACGAAACAAAGAGGCGTGGTATGAGAGGCACGAAATGACACCACGTCCTGCGGGGCCTTCCAAGCCTGCCTTCCCCTTCCCGCCGCCAAAGCCCTTATCGAAGCAGCCCCCGTCGTTTCACAATTCATTCGCAAAGAGCAAGCGACCACGTCTTGCCCAATCCAAGCCCCTACCAATTGTCTCCGTACACAGTACCAGCGTTCAGTCTACTTCAAACAGCGTTCACCGCGACCTGCAGACACGCAAGGCCGGCCTGATAGAAAGTGCCTCAGCCATTGAGGCGGGCGCACAGTCCCGGGCTGGGGACACAGTTAACTCGTTCAACAATGTGGACCCGTATGAGCCTAATCGAGACCAGCAGTTGTTTCTTCCTTCTGTTGGACCAGGGTCGCACTTCATGCTCTATCGCAAACCACCGCCTTGGAACGCGCTCGATGCGGCTATCATCCAGATGAGGCAACGCGAAACAAAGCGGAAGGAAACCATGAGAATCGCACAGACGATGCGGACAGCGGATTTTGCTTCCGTCGATCGCACCGGGGAGCGAGCGAATATGGTCAAACAGCAAATCGTGAGTATGGTACCTAGGCGCGCCCAGAAATGGCAGAGTGATTTTGGGCCAATCTCTGCCTCGGGCTCCTCGTCCAAACCCTCCACAAGCAACAAGAATCCATTTGCGAAACGGTCGCCTCCCCCTACGGAGACGCCAAAGAAACCTCTCGTCCCCATCTCTACCGTCCCCACCCCCGTGTTCACGCAGGAACTCTTGGACGTTAACGCGAAAGAGAATCCTGAAGGTTCCCTGAAACGGTCATCCTCCAGCGGCTCCACCAAGCGCCAAGCCCGACCGCGCAAGGCCAATGAGCCGCCGCAACCCCAGTCTGGATTTGACTGGAAGAAATGGGCCAAGTCTTGACGATACACTCGCCCTCGTTTTCTACCAGACTCGCCTCATAGTACCTACCCTTGTACTGTAGAATCCCATAAAAATCAAATACATCACGTGGGATGAAATCGTTTCGTCATTGGGCAACTGGCCGAGGGGACAGCGCGCCTTGGTCGGCCTCCACTTTCACGTCCCACGTCCTCCTCCCTTCTCCTCGTTCATCTTCAATGCCCATTCCTCACCACTTACCTTCTCTCTTTTCTCGGTACAATTCAGCTCGAGCTCGTCAAATTCTCCGTAAAAGCGCCAATTCTCATGTCCGATGCTACGCGGTAGCAGCCGCCAGACCTTACACATTCCACATTGGCGCCAGCTGGGCAGGCAAAACCGAGGACCCGGTTATCGCAGCGACCAAAGTCCCCTTCCCATCCGATACACTCATAGGATCATGGCGAAACAAGATGCTTTCACGACCAAAACACGTCCGTAGTAAAGACGCTGGAGAGGACTTCTTTTTTGTGCAAGAGGTACGTTCCGTGCTGTCTTTTGTCCATTATTTCATGCGAAGAACCAAGTAAAGCTTAGCATCTCTCTCGACGCCCCGACGCGTTCCCTTTCATAGATGCGAAATGGCTCAGTATGTCTCCCCTTTGCGGAATTCATCAAATCAAACAACTAGCGGGGTCCTTACCAAGTATTCCTTTCCTTTTTCTTCGATTTGCTGGCTTTTCAGGGTGTTTCGCTGGGAGTAGCGGACGGAGTTGGCGGTTGGGTTGATAGCGGGGTAGACCCATCGTTATTCTCCCAAGCACTGATGTACCATGCGCATCGGTATTCGCGGAATGCATGGCCTGGAGAACCTGAAATCGACCCCACGATGGATTACGAAGAGCGAGAACAGGTTGAGGGATGGGAAATGACACCGTACGAGTGTTTAGACCTAGCGTATGGTGGTGTGTTGCGCGAAAAGTTTGTCCAAGCAGGTAAGATCCCTTTTCCTCTGGTGCGGGGACATTCTCACCTGTTGCGCTATTCAGGTTCAAGTACAGCATGTATCATCAGCCTGAACGCATCTTCAGGTCTTCTCCGTTCTGCAAAGTACGCCAGCCGACTCTCAGCCTCCTGAGCTCGTGAGCCCTGATTCGAAATAGTCTAGGGGATAGTGGATACTCAGTAATACGAGGAACGTCACTGATCCACCACCAACGAGCACAAACTCACTTTTTCAACTGCCCAAAGTATGGCTATCAACACCACCTTTCATTTTACATTCCTCATCAATGTTTGCGACCTTTTTCTACTTCAGACAACTGACGAAATTGCCGCCAAATGCCGGTCGAAAGTTTGCGAGGGCTTGCGTCGATTCCCCGAGCGAAGCTGATACGCACCACGTTAAATTGCGTGACGGTGACATCGTAGTGGCTTATGTGGGTGGTCCTACCCTTGTTTTGGGGACTGGGCGCTAATCCGAAACCTGTAGACTGATGGCTTCTCGGATAATGTTTTCCCTGTGGAAATGGTCCGAATTTGTCGACTTCTGGCTAGGACCAACGCTTCTGAAGACGAACAAGCGCAAGTCATGGCAGACCGTATGGTCGAATACGCACAGAAGTGCATGCACAACAAAAATAGGGTCAGCCCCTTTGAAAGTAAGTTTTGTATACCTTGCAATTGATTGTGTCGCCTTGTTTTTGGCGTGGTGCATGCATCATGCCAATGTCCTCTCAACGTCCATTTCATGGTGTCTGTGGTGTTGAAGTCTTCTGATTCTGATAATCTGTCATTTCGTGAAACGTTCACAGGGGACGCCGCCAGGCATGGAATGTTTTACCGAGGTGGTGTAAGTCTAGTTCCATCCGTCGTCTTCCTTCTCGCTTTCTCACTGACGTCCCGCTCTCCTCGCATTAACAGAAAGAAGACGAGTACGTTATCTCATTAATGACTTGCAAACCCTGTCTAAGCTTTGTACAATTCTAGCGTGACTGTCATTGTCGCACTCGTTCGGGAAACGGATTAGCGGTGCTGCTGACGGCCCAGGTCCTCATGGCGTTTCCGCCAGGCTTCGCTTTCGTCTTAATGACCCTTCATCTAGACTATCTTTATTGTAGGCTTGCGTGCTATTGGCACTGCTGGATTAATACGCTGTTCGACAACCCAACACGATCCCCAACCAATGTCATTTTCGTTACTCTGCTATCGTCGCACTTATCATCGTTACTGTACACAGATAGACATTCTTCCTACTATTATACAATTAGATTGCTGTTTAGCTGCTCATATCACACATTCTCCGTCGGTCCGAAGACCCAGAACTAGAGTTTGCGGTCGATGAAACTTTCAATGATTCCAGCAGGGGTCAGGGGGTATTCCTTGAGTTGGACCTCTCCGTTTTCAGCGACGTATGTATTGGGTTGGACGAAGAGCTTTCGGGGCTATGAACAGGTATATCAATCAGCTCTGGAGTCACATGAAGGCAAAGAGATGAAGACTTCGTACCAGCTTCTTCTTCAAAACAAGATCTCTGATCTCTCCAGCCCAGGTATCACTAGGCTTCGTGAGCTGTGTATAGTATTCTCGAGCACCCGCACCATCCGCCGTGCTCTTTCGGACCTGCAGCTCCACGAGAAGCTTCCCGGCCGCTTCTTTGCCATGCGTCAAGACCTTAGCTCGGTCAACCTGTGATCCAGAGTGGGCGTCAACGCTGTTGAACGGGGAACGGATGACGACGGACACATACCCGAACATAAGCATTCTCTAATTTTCCGTCGGCATCGCGAATTTCTTCAAGGCGGGCGATGCCTGAGGCGATCAAGTGCTGTGTGATACCAAGCCTGGTAAGTAGTGTTATGGCAAGCATGATGTTAGCTATGTGTTGGTGTTCGCAGAGGTACGTGGCAATTCTTACCTTGCTTGCATGTGGGCCTGACCATGCTTCTTAGTTGTGGGATCGTAGAACTCGAGGGCCCTTAGACCGGCGCGGGCCATGAGCAGGAAGGTGATGTACTGGATGTTTTCGACATCTTCCTTTTCGATGTACTGAAAGGAAAATCAAGTGTGTGAGAAGGGAAGCTCAACGAACATAGCCAACGAAGCGAAGTTTCAGTTACCTTAAAAATCGCGAGGATGTCGGGATTGCTGACCACTAAGAAAAGTGTGAGTACAGCCGGGCTCAGTAGTTGGAGGAGCACGGGGGACTTACAGTAGAGAGCCACAGCCTCAGCACGGCATTCCTCCATCGAGGAAGAGACTTCGCCGAGAACCGAGCCTGGGGTTTGACCAGGTTTGTACCATGAAGTGCTAGGGAGATTTCATGAGCCAACCGTTTAGCATGCGCGTAGTTACGGCTCTTACATTGGCTTCCCGGTCAGGGGATTGATAACCTGGAAATGGGTCAGTAGATGGAGCAAGGCGCAGCCCCTTTTTACGCACTTTCTCTGGGTCAAAGTTCTTCGTCCCATCGGCATACTCCTCGAAGAGTTTACCTGAACCGTGACCAAGGAGTTCATGATTGGCAACCTGGAGCTCGAAGGCACGACTATCCCATGCGTTGTACAGTTCGACATCGTCAGGGTGAATAAACGTAAGCTCCTCGTCTGTCGAGGTAAATCAGCGAAAAGTCCTCCGTCCCGAGTGCCAGGCAGACTACGAACTGGGGGCTTTGGCAGCGAGGATGTTCTGAAAAACAGCATGAGACAGTGAACGTGTCTCCGAGACAATACGTACCGCAAGTGAAACGTTCTTGAAGCCGGTTGACTCCCGGATATCATAATAGTTCTGGGGAGGTTGTTAAGCGGCGAGAGCAACGCTGGAAGAAAGGTAGACATACAGGGATCTATTGTCACGGGTTCAGGGATTAATTGTCAGTGCTCCCGCTGCATTTGTTCCGAACCTACGTTAATCCCAGCAGGGATGCCTACGCAATAATCAGTTAGAACGGGATCTGGATAATTGTGCAAACAGTGAGCCTGAGGCTTACCCCCCGTTGCGAAAGTTAGGATCTCCAAGGCCGTAAAGTCGGGTTTCCTGAATACATCAACCTCAAAGTCTTTACCCCAAGGAAGGTCTTGGATGAGAGTAGGTGCCTTCTCTACCAAGACTTCATACTTGGAGCTCAACTCCTTGTTGACGATGGCAGTAAAGCCTGGTCGACAGCATCAGCGGATATACAGCATCACTAAATCTATGCATCTACCTTCCCATTCGGCACGGCCTCCATATGGGTCGACGTAAGTTTCGATGAACTAACAAATATCCGAGTGCAGTCAGACCGGCAATTGCGGAAGATAAACGTGTTATCGACAACTCACTCCGATGTATGACTCTACGACAGGGCCCACATCCCTCACCCACCATCTGGAACCTTCCTTGTGATCAGGGATGGAACCTGACTGGAAACTGTGGGTGCGTGGTGAGACTAGCGCTTTTTCGTCACGGTGGCGATTGCATACGATTTGATGTAGAATTCCAGCATTCTTGTCTGATTTTCATTCGCTGTATACTTCTTGGCCTGTGGACGAGTGTAAACAATGCTTCCTCGTGGCGGGGACGGGAAAGCGACATGCCTCTTCTAGAGCGGCCACAGCTTTGGCCAAATCTTCAGAGTGGTCCCCATACTGGACCTTCAACTTGATCTTGGAACCGTTGGCCTCGATCTCGCGGATATCATCGGGTTTGGTATCGACTGATGCCACGAGCAAGGTGAAGTTGTTGGGCCCGTTCTTTACGACACTGATGCATGCTAAGTTAGTGGAACGGAGTCCTGGACAACGGAATCGTCGCACCGTGTATTGAGGACATCAACGTCGATTTGCTCAGCCGCAGATTGCACGGCAGCGACCTCCTCATCGGTGATTACTTCACCGAGGTAATAATTCGAAATGTGTCCTTCCACTCGCTTGCCAATAAAAAGACTGGTCTCGGGTTCGGTAGAGTATATATGTTCTTTCAGCTGTTGAGTACATTCAGTCAAGGAGCACTGTATCGCCGCCGTCAACGTCAATGTGATCTTACCTTATTCCACAGGGGGGAGGCGACATCACTGTTGGGCGACTTGTTGACCACAACCTCGAACTTGTCGGCAGGAATACGGGGGATAATCTTCGTATTTCCGAATGTCCTGAAATTCACAAGATTATTGAGAACCTGTGCATGAAAGAAAGTAGGTTTGGGTCAATCATTTGGGCGCTGGATTATTATGACACTTGGTACACATACCTGGGTGGTATAGGCGAGCAGGTCGTCCCAGTCGGTATCGGACAGCCCTGAAGCACTTTTCAACGAGCTGAGATCAGCCAGACCATTGTTCTTATTGCTAAAAGTTGCAATAATGAGGTTGTAAAGGTCCTTGGCCTGTGGCGTCCATTGCTCTGGACATCCGCGAAACGGTCGTTAGCCACACGGAACCACCACGAGTTGTTCAGACTGGATCTTACCCTGAATGATTCGAGCACCCGCCCATGAGGCCTGCCCGACATAATGGGCGTACTTCTTTTCCTTCGGGCTAAGATAAATCGATAAACTTGAGTACGTTTCAAGGGTTTGTTATGCCCGGATCCCAGTCACCTCAGTTGGCCGAACGCCTTTGCGACATCGAGGCTACAGATGGGCGCTCCGCGATCTGCGAAAAAGCGTTCAGCATTCAGGCTTGCAGTGGTGGCCATGGCAAGATTTCCTTCAATGAGATGGTACAGATCAGAAAGAGATAACAGTGACACAGTGGTCTAGGGACCGGTTTATAAATAGCGACGCGCATGGTGCATTGGACGGGATCAGTTGGTGCCTCACTTTCATCATATTCATTGCAAATGAGCTGGATTAGTGCGTAAACGCCGCAATAGACACTATGCATGTAAGTAAGTACAGATGGGCAGATCTAAGATTACTTTTTGCCTTCGGATGCGGCCTTGGCCCTTTGGTAATTGGACACGAAAAGGTCCCAATCGGACTCCGTAGTCGATTCATTCGCCGTCAACTGCGCCTCGCTCTCAAGGGCCTTCCCCGACCACCTGAGCGCCATTTCGTAACATTCAAGTGCCTTTTTTGACGCCGGTCCCTCCTTTCGCTCATAGAGCACGCCAAGGAGGCTCCAAGCCTCGGCAGATGTCCGCTTCGCGTCTCGATATAGTCTCGAGGCAGCCACCTTCATGTTGGGAGAATTGGAATAGGTCGGAAGGAGTTGGGCGTCTTGACCGGGCACCAGGGATGCGCCAGATGGGTCGTCGACTTTAAGCGGCAGGCCGGCCAATGCGCGAGCAACCCGCCCCGAGGATTCTGCCGCTGCGGTGAGATATTGGATCGAGGACGGGAGTGCCCGCTTCGGCTTCTGTGCGTATAGGACTTCCGCGAGGTGGATGGATATAAGGGAAGATCGGTGGAGAATAAAGAATGAGTGCAAAGCTTGAGCAGGTGACGCTTGTTCGAGGCGTTCTGGCACGGGGGCTGATCGCAGGAAGTTCAACGCTGCTTCTTCGAATGTCTGTGCTTCGCGCAATTTTCCCGTCTGGGCCATATGTGCGGAAACGGAAACGAGTGTTGAAGCAAGAATCCGCTGGGCCCACGGAGAATCTGGTAAATGGGATGGTTGCAATAACGGGCCAACTTCCGGGTGAGCCTGTCCTTGGCACAATTGCATTGCCGACTTCCACCACTTGCGAGCTTGTTCGTCGTCCTTGATGCGTGAGCTGAGATCACCCAAGCGTAGAGCTATGCGAGCTGCCTGCAAACCCTGGCCTTGGTACCCCTCCCAGGCACGGAGGAAGTTCTCGAAGGAAATAGGAAGGTAGTCCCCACCCAACCGCTCGAGGTATGACGCATATCGTGCCTGAAGCTCTGGGATAGTGTGTGGATGCAGCTGTTGCGACCTTTGAGCTTCCTGAGCTATTGCCAGAGTGGTATGCAGGTAGCTTGCGGACTGGGCCAGCGGGATGTCAAAGTCGGGAGGAAGATGGCCGCTCTGACTGACCGAGGCGAACCACTCAGTGGGACCAATTCCCCAATTTCGCGCCATCCATGCGGCTCGAAGTGCGTGCCTTCCGACAAACCCTAGACCTGGATCCGTACCACCAGCGTAGGGATCTCCGTGCCAATTCTCTTCAGAGATGTCCCATTGAAACTTTTTAACGTCATCGTCTGTCTCGGGTGCCAGAGCATATTGCTCGACATAGTGGTGAATGCCTTCATAGCCTGCAGCGATAGCGAAGCCGACAGTGACTATGCCGATCGCTGAGTACCCGACGAATCGACCTGTTGCCTTGAACGCGGTTGCTGCATGGTCGGCGATGATTTGTTGGATGACACCTGCTGCGTTGCTACCACCGGCTGGCTGATTGGACTGGGATGCAAAGGGCCGTTGGAGACGAGGGGGAGGTCGTGTTGGTGGGCGTCGGAGAGCGCGCGTCGAAGGCGCAATACGGCGCAGCATCGTCACGGACAAGTCGAGGGCGAATGATTCTGCCGACCAACTCGGCCTGAATGTCAGTCAAGTTCCCAGGTTGGAACTATATCCCCATTTGGATAAACTACCACCTGAAGGCGCACCGATCCCAGCTCGATCGTGGCGTTGGAAAATCATTTCTTGACCAGGAACTTCGACCTGGGTGTCTACCACATGAGAACCAAAACCACCAGGCCATCCTCTTCGACCCTATACATTCCAGATTCAAATCACCGCCCTTTCCTACATCCTTTGTGGGCTTTGGGGTCAAACTTCCGAACTTAAAGCTGTTCTGATGATGTGTATCATCTCATGTCGTAGGGGTTCGGGAGATTTTGGCCATCACGCAATAACATATTCGGCAGCCAAGTCTCGCACCAATTGTGGGGGTCCCGAGCGCCCAAAAAAAGGGCAACGCCGTGATGACAGATGACTGATTCTATAAAGGCTTCATGGCATTGGATGTCATTCCGAGCCCCCTTGCGCCCTTCCCGCAGGTTGCACGCCTAGGCTTCACAATGTTCGTCGCTGCCCTTTGGCCCGTTGCTCTCGGTGCCCTCGCAGTGCTAGCGACTGCTAAGCCGACGCGAACATCCCCTCTTGCGAAACGCCAAGCACCATCCGACATTCGGTTCGTTACGACAGATAATGGAAGATTCGTGGTTAATGGGGCGTAAGTCGCTGCCAACTTCTCACCGGCAGATGCTCTTCTCACGAATTGTTATAGCCCAATCAACTTTGTTGGGACCAATGCCTACTGGCTTCATACCCTGAACTCTGAGCAGGATATTGACTACACATTGGGCAACATCTCTGCTGCAGGTATTAAGATAGTCCGCACTTGGGCGTTTAATGGTCCGTTCCCCCTCCCTCCCACAGGCTTATCATAAGCTAATCCAATCTCCGCATTCATTAGAAGTCACGTCTGTCCCTGAGACCGGGACATGGTTCCAGTTAATTAAAGACGACGGGACCGTTGAGATCAACGAGGGACCCAATGGCCTCCAAAAGCTGGACGCAGTCGTGAGGCTGGCTGAAAAGCATAACATCTACTTGCTTTTGGCCCTCACGAACAATTGGAGCCCCGACCCGCTCTTCGACGACATCACGATTGGTGCAGGCCCTGTTCGCCGCTCGGATATCACCCCACCAGCGAACGGAAGTCTACCGAGAAACTTCCTCAGCAACGACTATGGTGCCCCAGTTCCCAACTCAAGTGGAAACTGTATACTGACCAAATGAATGACAGGTGGAATGGATACCTATGTACGACAGTTCGGATTGGATAATCACGACGAATTCTATACGAACCCCAAAGTTATCAACGCCTTCAAGAATTTTACTGCTACGATTGCTAAACGATACACCAATAGCCCGGCTGTCTTCGGCTGGTGAGCCCTCCTTCCTCAATCAATCCAAACAATTTGGAACTGATCTTGGTTCAGGGAGCTGGCGAACGACGCGCGCTGCAGCTCAACCGTTGGAGCTACCACTTGCAATCCAAAGGTTATTACCAAATGGCATTCGAATATCGCCCAACATATCAAGGAAGTAGACCCTAACCATCTGGTTGCTTCTGGGTAAGGCCCACCCCTGTTTGTGCGACTTGTTCACTCATCTGTGTTCTAGAACCGGCGGACAATTCTGTGTTGACTGCCCAAAGCTTTTCCCTCGCGTCGTCCCTCCGCCTCCAGCCGTGTCCCCAGTACCTGGCCTACGCCGTCGTGGGCGCACAGGTTTCCTTACCAAATCTAGGATTATTCAAGACCGTCTCGCCGCCCGCAAGCGCAACATGAAACGCAACAAGACCAAAGGAGGTGTCAAAATCCGAGGCCGATGGACTTCTAGTGGTATGTCATCCTTTGTTGCAACAATATCCGTCCCCCCAATGTGACATCCCGTCCAGTTACGAGGCGACAGGAAGATCTTCAAACTCTTGGGCCCGCCTTTGACGGCTCCTCCGGCGTGGACAGTGAAGACATTTTGAACATTCCCGAAATCAGCTTCTCCTCTTTCCAACTATTCCCCGACCAGAATGAATACGGCCAACCCGACCCGGATTTGTCTGATTTCGAGAACACCATGCAGCGTGGTGTAGAATGGATCCAATATCACGCCGAATCTGCCCTTGCGTAGGTTTTATCCGTTGTTTGAGCATCTAGCTTTGCTTATGCGATCTCTTTTCCAGTTTCGGCAAGCCTGCTACCCTAAATGGATTTGGTCTGGTCACCCAAGAGCATGTTCCTAACTATGTCCCGTTCAACAGCTCGGAAGCTCCTTATGCTTCGGACAGTGAGCGATTCATTGTCCCACATCATATCGTCACACTAACGTTTCTGACAGCCGAAACACCCACAGAGGAGCAACCGTATGGAGTCACCAACGAACAGCGTGATGAAGCCTTCTCCACCTGGTTGAATGTTGGTTTCAGGAGCGGACTTTCCAGTATGATTCACTATCAATGGGGTCAAACCGGATTGACTGTGCAGCCTGGAACCACGGTATCACAGTCTGTCCCTGGAACTGGTCTTGTCGAGAACGATGGTATCACTGGCGTCTCTCCTAACGACGGTTACTCTTCCAATGGTGTTGGGTGAGTATCTGGTCTTCGCATGCAGCCTGCTCGACAAACTGACACGGACATCTAGACGAGATTCTGTCATTGAGGTTCTTCAAGAGAGTGTTCAAGAATACGCATCGGATTCCACCCTTCGATGACGATAGCGCTGAAATTGCCTATTCTACTACGTCCCTGATCAGATGACTCCGATGACGGTTTGCGCAACCTCGATCCTGCCCTGTCAGTTGCTTCTTGGACATTTCAATAATGCTTTGAAATTTGGACACTTCACTTTGGTCGATCACGTTTGCTTTGCTTCTAATGTACAGTTAACCCCTAGCTTTCACGGATTTTATATACTATAATTCTACATCTCTTTCGATTGAGAATCTGAGAGGGTACATAGATGACGGCCCCTAACTACCCGTGGAACAATCCGCGGCCCGTCACCCGCTCGTAACTTGATTGATACTTAGAACCACGCGAGGAGACCATTACCTTTCACATCCATGTCCTATTTCTCCAAATTCCTAAGATCGACGACACAACCTCCCCCTAAACCCCAAGTCGACCATGTTCAAGAATTCCAAAAGTCGTGGAACATAGTGAAAGTTTGTATTCACCGCTCTTTGCTATGGTTTCGGCTGAGACTTGGTTGGATAGAGCACGCTTCTGGAGCCCGATGAGAGGCAGTTGACAAGGGGGATTGCCTCGACCGACGTTCCGGCTCATATTCGGTCGATGGTGGATGCGCTGGTCTCTGAGTCGTCCAGGGTGGAAAGGGGGTGAGTGAGAGTAGTCTGTAGTCACTGTAAGGCAGCTCACACCGTAGTGCAGAGAAACGGGTGAATGTATGGAATATCTGCTCAAGAATGGTTGGTGTCCTATGATATGATTGAATGACATTGCCTAGGTCTAACCCTCTCGTAGATGTTCTCGGTACCCTTGTTCGACTGAGTGAAACTGATCGGCCCTCGGGGATTCAAGCAGAGGTCTTACGAGCGGTACAAAACATGGTCGTTCTCCTGGACGACCAGTTTCTCGTGCATTCTGCTGTTCACAGAGCAGTGCTTCGCTTGTTGAGGACATGCGTGGGCGATGATATACAGGAACAGCTAGATGGGCGGAACAAGGTCATGGGGGCTGCAGGGAGTGCAACTAGGACGTCACCCTCTGAGCACGAGGAAGATTGTACGCTGCTCAGGTCATGTACTTGGCGCTTGAACTGACGAATGGTTTATTCAGTGGTCAACTTGCTCTGCATCTTATGCAGCAGGATCCTAACCTATCGCGAACTGTTGATGATATTCTTCCACGACAAGCATTGGTACCGGTCGGAACCTTTGTTCGCAGTCGAAGAGGAGGACGAAGAAGATGAAGATGACGAGGAGGATGAAGAGGATGAAGACGCTGCTCAACGAATCCCCTCGCCGACATCATCTCAGGCAACCATAACGAGCGCCCAGCCTTCGACAACCCTGAAGAAGACAGAATATGAGTTTCTGCTATTCAATTACCTGCTACGGTTTGTCCATCGTGAAGGACAGATCGGCGAATTTGCTCGAGCAGGGATTCTATTTCTCATCGATGTCGCGATGTATCCCGGGGATGCTAGTGGCCCTCACCCTACCAGCGACGACGACTCTGATGCCTCGAGACCCGATCCAATCAACGACGCAGCATTGGCATTGGCGGAATACATTCTAGACGGGGATTTCTCAGACGTGTTGGGCGCTGGATTAAACGCTGTCTATTCAGTGCTTCCGCGGAAGCTCGGTTTCTTCCCTCTCATCCATCAAGACAGCACCTCTTCGACTGTCATGACAATTGGCTCCTCCGGTCTCGATAACGAAGACGAACGCGAGAAGGTCCTGGCGAACAGAGATAGAAGTAGGGCGATGGGTATAGAAGATGCCCAGAGTCCGGACGTCAAGGCGCGATTAGACCACTTTCTCAAAATTCTGGAATTTCTCCAAGATGTAGTTCGCAGGAATGTCGAGCACGAGGGTGTAGACGCATCAACACTTATTGGCGCTCAGATTGTTCAGTCGATACTGGATGCTGTGCGCCATACCTTCCTTGAAAACGTCCTCTACCCTTCATTACTCGAATGCTCGGACACAGATGGAAGCGCGGTCGCCGTGATGTCCTACATCGAAACGATTGTGCGGACCCTTCGACCAGGCCCTATTCTCGACCTCATCGTCGAGTTCCTTGTCTCTGAAGATAGCGATGCGCCCGGGGAGAATCCACGGAGCATGACGAGCAAACCACCAACGTCAACCACATCTCAGGCAGAGCTCCGAGCCGCCAAGCACCGTCGACGGAAGAGCAGTGCGATGGCGCTGCTTGAAATGGAAGCCCCAGAAGCGAGGAAGAAATCGGAATACTTCACTTCCACAGGCCGATTCACACTTCGTGACCTCTTGCTCGCCAACATAAAGTCAAAGAACCAGGCCACAGCTACCACTGCGCTACAGCTTCTTAGCACGATGCTCACTCACCAAACCCACATAACCGCTGACCGACTCTTGGTCGTCATTCCAGATCTCCAGGCTACCGCCTTCCCCCATCCAGGCCTTTTGCACGGGCTGAGCGGATTGGAGAAGGCAATATCCGCAACAGAGGATAATGATGGTGACGACGACGATTTCCTCTATCCCGGAGAGTCAAGACCCCGTCCGCGGCTTGACCCCCTCTTCATCCAGCCGGAAACAACCTACTCCACGCATGAGCGAGAAATGGCCCTTTATCTGAGCCTGATTTCTCGCGCGGACCCATCCCATGATAACGACGGATTCAGCACCGGCTACGAACACTACCTTTACGATGCACTCCTTTCCATCCAAAGTCAGCCCCTGTATCGTTACATCGACGACAGTGGTTTCGACGAACGTAGCCAACAACTCAAACACCGTCTCAACGCAAACGATCCCATCTTATCCCAACTTCTTGAACACACAAGGACATTCTTCTCCAATACCCCCGAGTTCAACGTCGCCCTCACCGGAGTATTTGCGACGCTTGCCATCAACCCATATCGCTCTCTGGCCGGATGGCTGACTTTTGCTCACAAAGACAGTGAATTTATTCAGCAAGCATCTGATTTGGACGACGGGCGGGATGATCGCTCGATTGACTCTGTGATCAACTCGAAACTTTCCAGTGAGGCCAATGCACTCCCTGCAGCGCGGATGGATGAGCACTCTCGCCCGGTGGTGTACACCGTTCTGCATAGCCTCCTTAACCAGCTGGAGCGATACCGACAACAGGTTGACGATTTTGACATGTATCTCAAGGAACGGAGACAGGGACTGTTGTTCAACGAGAAGCTCACCGACGCGTTGGAGATCATGCTTGACGGAGAAGAGTTTACTCCAAGACCTATTTCCCCGCCTGAATCCGTCAAGCCCAAGCCCAAGTCGCGACCATCGGCAACTTCAGCGATCGCTTCGTTCCTGAGCCCAAGGAAGTCGAAGCCCAAGCCCACTCCGCCGCCGGAACCGGCTACCCCTCAGAAGGACCACAAGAAACTCGTTCCTCCGAGCCCGTTTGGTGCTCACTATCATCAGACCAGCGCTATCACGCTCGAACCGTTTATTGCCCCAGTTCCCTTTACAGCCTTGTGGACACCCTCGAAAAAGGTGGATTGGAGTACGATGGAGGAGGATGTATTCGGGCCGACTTCTTGGGGTGGTGATAGGTCGATGACGATATCTGAGCTGGATGAAGAAGAGGAAGAGTATGTTCCCAGTAAACCCACTACAGTGACACTGTCGCAACTATTGGATAATGTTGTGATATTGGAGGAAAGTATCAAGGAGCTAGTGTCGATTATTCATGCGAGGAGAAGTCTAGGTATTGACGCCCTCAGATATGTGTAGACATTGCTGCATATATTGACTGAATTCAAAACCCGGAACGAAAGACGTACAAGACAAAAATAAGAGTAAATTACAATAATACAGACGAAACTACCGGAAATAAATAGCTGGGGAACCCTCTACTAGCAGCTACTTTGTCTTCCTTGCCTTGCCACTCTTGGATTTAGAGTTGGGTTTACTACTGGCACCTTTCGACTTCTTATCGCCAACAACCTTGGCTTGTAGTTTGGCGAATTCTTCTTCGGAAATCTCTGGCGGAGGCGGGACCGCAGAGCGGGATTTCTTCTTGCTAGGAATGTCGAGTTCTTCAGCATCCTCGTCGTCGGGATTCGCCCTCTTCTTCCCTTTACCCTTGCCCCTGGTGGGCGCTGCACCGTACTTTGCAGCTAGCCCGTCAAAGAAGCTGTCCATGTTCTTCTCTCGCTTCTTCAGAATCAGCGCCTGTAATGCAGACACGTCCTCCTCTTCATCGCCTCCTTTGTCCTTGTCCTTCTTGTGACGCTTGGTAGGCTTTCCATCCCCGAAGAACTCATCCCAGACGCCCAGTTCCTTCGCCAATTTCTCCGCTTCCTTGGCCTCGCGTTCCCCCTCCTTCTTTCGCGCCAACTTTGCCTTCTCGTCCTTGACACTCTTCTGCCATTCAGGGGTGGATTCCAGTTCACCCTTGACGATTAGAGAGGATATGGTGAGCACGAAACGAGCCTCGTCTTCATATGTCGAGTGAGGGATGTGGGACATAATCTCTGCTATAGACCCTCCTACTTCGTTGTACGCGTTCTTGAGGTCCTCAATCTCTTCCGCGGAACCTTTGAAGTAATTATGAGCAAGAGCTTCAGTATGAGATATACACATGCACATACCTTGATACTGCTTCTTATCTTCGTCTAGTTTCCCTCGCGTCACCCGTTCGAACAGCTCCTCGAAGTATGCCTCCCAACCGTCGTCACCGACACCAAGGTCGAAGCCTTCATCCGTCTTCCCTGTTTTGTCATATCTCTCCTTCCTCTTCTCGTCACTGAGGACAGCATAGGCAAAGCCAATCTGCTGGAACTTCGTGGACGCGTCGGCCTTGGCTTGCTCTGTCGCAGACGCATGCTTGTCTGGATGATATACAAGGGCCATGCGTCGGTATGCCTTCTTAATCATGTCTTGTGTCGCATCGTTTGTTAGGTTGAGTACAGCGTAGAGGTCAACATCCTCCTCTCCTGGGAAGAACTGGTGAATAGGGTCATTGTCGCTGTCCATGGTCGTCGTCGAAGTCGCTGTACGAATAGCATCCGGCGTGCGGCACTTTAATGTTGACACGACTCACGTGATACCGCGTCAACATACCCAGTGACGGGCCGCTTCTGGGCCGCTTAGCCCAGCTCAGGGGCTTAAAAGTCGTCTATTGAGGACTCACACCCGAGTCAAATATGGTTTTACAAACTGTTCTACGGCAAAAGCATAGTCGTTTACCCCACGGTTCCACAAGTCATACGCAATGGCAGCAAAGGGGACTCCTGTAGTGAACCCAGCCAGTACTTGTGTCCACGTGTGGTAACCCAACCGCACTCTGGAGACCATGATAGCGATCGCCCATGGCACAATGACCACTATTGGCAGCAAACGTTGGGATTCTTGGAGGGGTATCGATGGGTGTATAGGCATGTTGAGGCATGCGAGGATCACGTATGCCGCCTGGAATGACACAACTGCAGAGTGCGTACTCGGCATGCTGCCAGGCGCACATTGACAACTATCAGACAAGGGCAGACGACAATGACGCTGGTCGTAACACCCACCCAAAGCTTTTCTTTGCTCTAAGTGCCGACTCTGCTGGCGGACGTGCTTGTCGGACTATTCGTTTAATGACTTTAGCCACCACGGCGCATGCCAATGAACAAGCCGCGAAATACGCTGCCCCGCTTGATTTTGTCCACAGGACGAACAAAGAAACCACTGCCGTCACGATGATATTGGACTACCACGCCAGGGCCCAGGAGGCCAAGTCAGCTCTCGAAGGGGACGCAATACGCAAATGTACACTCACCCTGTCGAGGAACTCGGCGCAGAGCCGCCTGAAGGTAATAGCAGCCATGGGAGGAGTTGCAACGGAGAGCAAGCGGGACCTTGAGATGCAGATATATAAAGCGAGAGCGAGCCCAGTGATAGTGGGTAACTATTGATCAACGATGTATCAATTTCAGGAGGTCTCCTTCTTCGTTGAAAGCTACTCGACGCCTCTCCGTCGACTGCGCCTGTTGCGAGGTGAGAGTGAAAATGAGTTGAAACACTTGATCATAAGGACATTTCTTACCGTGCCAATATTTATACCGTCCTCCCAATTTCCACGGATGCTGTGTCTCGATGCCTCAATACCCAGTACCACGCGGAGCCAATTCCCGGGCGTTCAATGGAAGAAGCAACTCTCCAGCGCCTCAAGTATCCGTTTGATTGGTTCGGGGTGAGCGCTTCAATTTGACGTACTCAGACAAGTGATGGCTTCGGAGAAAAAACGCGGAACCATTGTCAGTCTATCTTGGGCCCGTATATTCAGATTGCGAAGGGACATCCACTTTACAGCCGCAGAGAGAAAGTAAACTTGAAAGACGAAAAGAAAACTTGCTGCCGTCCATGAGACGAAGGTGGTCGTCGCAGATGGTCTCCGCTTGAAGCTGGGCATTCTCCTGTAATCTCTGGGAAAACGCGTTCAAGTTGCGGCGACAAAACGACTACATAGTGGTGAAACCCGGGAGTTGGAAAGAAGCATTCCTCTGATGCGAACTGCAACAGGAATCTCAGCGCGGCGACGAAACGGAATCATGATGAAAACCAATGTACTATTCGTATCGCAAAGGTTTCCACAGTCAAAAATAGAAGCGAAAGGTTGATAGGAGTGGCCGATGAAATCAAATGGTATACGCTGGTGATAAGTAGTTCCAGGCCAGAAACTGCTGAACGGAAGAGTCCTTGGGGTACTTAGAGTATAAATATACAAGAATATACAGATAAGGGTGCATAAAGTATCTTCATGAGTGTGCGTCGTATCGATGTCCTTGGGGTGCCCATGGCGATCTGGTCTATTCAATGGATATCCGAGGACCCAGGGGAACACCCTCAGTCCCGCTCTTCGAGGATTCCTTTGATTGGAGAGCCGGAGGTGTTTTTGCCGCTGGGAAGACGGATGTCAGTTGGCATTCAGAAAGGTTAGCAGGCGATGGACTCACCTGCCATTTTCGACGCTTGCAATCCTCGGTCAAAGTCAGAGAAACACCGCAGCCCGACTGCAAAAGTTGCGAACAGCAGTAGGAAAGCGATGATTGCTAAAAGCGCTGTTCAGCTGTGGCTACAGATTGCATGGTCGTGCAGACTGACTGGTAATCGTCAGGGACGCTCTTGTCGTTTCGTACTGTTCTCGACTACCTGGCTGGTAAAAGCGGACAAGCTTATACACTTGATTACAGAATTAAGTTTCTGACCCTCCATAACGCGAATAATTGCACTTACGGACTGTTAAACATGATATAAACATCGGCCAGTTCGGAGAATTGGGATAGAAAGGACTCACAATAGCTTAAAGAGGCCAACATCATCACGAGAGATACGGCCATGATACTGGAAGAATTTCACTATGAGAAATGAGTCGGCAGCGCGGTTCCCTGAAACTCACGGTTTGATTTCTCGCTGGACCGCCAGACCACAGAGGATCAACAGAACTAGGACAACAGGGATGGCGGCTATAGTGATACCGAATTCTGCTTCACTGGTTTGCAAAACGAGGATCAGAAGCTATCGATGGGAGTAATTTGTCAACATGCCGAAAGACACACGAGGGGGCTGCGTACCTGCATAGTGACGCCGGTAAAGAAGAAGAAATCGAATTTGAGGAGACAGATCATGATCTGGTAGTATTGATACATGGCTGCAGCAGATATAATCAGACGAATAGGTCAGCCCAAGATCGCATTTGACTCACTCTTCAATCTCGGATTTGCACCGACGACGTGGAAGATGGCCCAGCTATACAAAAAGAAGAGACCGAAATGAGTCTAAAAATGGAACGGCCACCAACTATGATTACACTTACCCGAACTCTTCATACAGCTGCTTCGTTAAATATATGAGCGCGACCCATGATACCCCAATGACACAAGGTGCAACAATCAGGAAAGGCTTGACTTGATTGAAAAGAGTCCCAGGACCATCACAGTTCTAACAGATCCAAGGTGAGCGCAATCCCACCGGAACAAGGCCCACTAGAGACCCACCACAAAACTAAAATTTACTGCGCATTCTGCAGCCGATCGCGTCACTAGAGCTGTCTTCGTTTGCCCAACCTGAATTGCAGCAAAAACCATCATAGCAGCATGGAAACCTGTAGGTCCGGTTAACGGTGAGATGATGTCTTCATAACTGAGGGTGGCGATGTTGCGCACATAGTATTCCGAAGAGTTGGATGACATTTCGCAGTCGCAGAGCATCGAAAGCCATGAACACTTGGAATAATCTGCAAACATATCAACACGTCCGGGTCCGATGAGCACGAGTATGCACGCTACGCACTCTGCTAATCCGAAGAGGGCAAGATAGCATGGCAACGTCTGGTCGAGAGCCTAAGTCGTCGGGTTTTCCGCTTTCTATATAAGAAGTTCGAACCTTGTAGTTCAGGGTCGACCGCAAAGCAACGTGCTTGTCAACCTGAAGAGATCAGATTTATTAGAGAAAAAAGACCCTTGAATTGGTAGGTGGAGAACTCACAATGCCAAATGTGATTGCGACCATCACAAGCACTACGATCGCCTCTATTTGAAAAGCCTGTGTGAGCCCTGTGTCTTTGCGTCCCAGTCAGAAGTACGAACGCAGGGTAGCTAGAACGGGTTCGAGTGACATATTAACGCGTCTGTATCGTACAATAGATCGGAGGAGACGACCAACTGGTAGCAATGAACGCCTTTTGGGCTCTTGTGCCCAGAAATGGCTCGATAGCCATGGTGAGGGTCGGGGGAGGAAGAGGACGGAAGAGAAGGACGATGGCAAACAGCACTGAGTTGTGTGCGACATATTGCAGTGCTGCATCGGGTTCTATTGACGGCGAACCCGGAGCGTTCCCACAGCCACACCGGTGGGCGCGCCAAGGCCAAGAGTACCGACAAGTGCGGCGCGCCGCCGCCTTTGAATCGACGAGTTGCAAACCCCTTGTGTGGAAAGCAATATGAAATTCCTTTGATTGACGGTGTAATATACACCCACTACCTAAATCTCCTCGCCATTTTCGACACTTTGGATCACCGCACGAGCCACCTCCCGTTCCTCTTGCCACAGATAGCGAAGACAGTTCTTCATGTACCCCGCCCATGAATACGTCGCCAGACCGCAAAGTTCAAGATGCTCTCCGGAGGTACCCCGCAGAATAGCATCATCGGCTTTATCTTCAATGGACATGCAAATCTTCACCAAGCTTTCCTTCCATTGGACCTCGTTCTCTGCTGAAATAGTATCTTGAATTCCATAAATGAGGTTCCTCCAACCATCCAAGACACCCTCTTGCTCAGTGGTAATCTCGGTCAAGTCCAAGGGGAGGGTGTGATATAGTCGCAGTGCTGAGATTAATCGATAATCCGGGTGGGCAGGTCCAGGTGTGAGATGGAGTGTCCAGTTCCTAAAGAAAACAACCAGCATCAGGTACCACCGCCTAGACTCAAACATGAACGGGACATACCCCCAGTAACCTTCCTCTTTTAACAAGGTTTTCATCCGTTCTCCGACCCTACCTCTCGACGCGAACAAATCCTCTACGACGGGTGTAATGTTCACATTCCCGTAGCCGCTGTTCTCCCTGCACCTCTCCGCGAGCGAAAGAAGACTCACAAACCCGTACTCGGCGAAGAGGAACTGATTGGAGTGATAACCGTACCGCAGGTATAGCTCCTCCCCTCTAGCGACCGTGACGCGCGGAGGGGAAGACAGGGTAAAATCGTCACCCTGACCAGGGCGAGGTGCAATGTTCCAAATGTCGCATTTTGTTGGAAGTGGAGATGTCGAAGGGTGCACCGGAGAATGGTTCGCAAAGTCCAAGATCGGACACAGAGTTAGGTTATCCGGGTCGGATTTCATTGGGGCGACTCGGTAATAAATACATCGAGTGTTGACTATGAACAGGGTCAAATCTTGGGCGAGCCGACGTAAGCTGTCTGCGCTCACCGTTCAGCCATGCCCACAGGAAGTCCCATACCGCGGTCCCAGGTTGCGAACTGTACGTCGATAGGCCTGTATTCGTCGATTCCTTCAACACACTGGGGTGTTCTGCCTGAATAAAGTTAATTCCACATTCGACGAAAAAAAAAGTAATGGGACTAGCCAAGTACTCTTGCACACGTCGCCAATCAGCAAAGAAGGTGGTCGCAATACGTTCCAGTTCGCGAGCGACGAAACGCGGGAGGATCGAGAGGAGGGCTCTCTCCGCAGATATTTCAGGTAGATCCGAACCTAGGCGACTCTTTAGCAGCCATGTGAGAGGGTGCGCGTCAAAGTTATCAGGGAGGACAGCGATGTAGGGTCCGAATAATGGGTCCAGTGACCCTGCTGGGGTTGGGCGGTGGAGAAATAAATGAAGAGAGCACAGTTGTACGTTCGACAGTGTCGGATCTGACTTTGGGTACCGCGGACCGAGCGTCACTGAGTTCAGAAGAGCCTTTGCTGGAATCGTGAACAAGGGTGTCGACGGGGGAATATCTCGTAATGCGAATAGGCCATATCCAGATCCTAGCCGTTGGTTAAGGTGGCATTAGCCTCGAGGAAGAAGTGTGTCCGAGGAAGTCACCGCAGACCATCTGAGGTTGCCCTAGCCTCTACGCAAACTTGATCGGCGTCCAGTCCATTTTCAACCAGCCAAGCAATTAAAGGAGACCATTGTGGATGACGAGCTTGCATGATGGAGGAAAGAAAGAGACTATAATGCAGCAAAGCCCGGATTTGACAACATATCGCGATGCAATCACGCGTCGATCGCGACACGCGCACAAGGAAGCGTACCCGGATAGCGCTGGTGATGGCTAATATAAGGCAGATTCGGCATACTCCACGATGCGTTATCCAGTTCATATCCTCTACCATGTCCGTCTTCAATTCCTCCAGATTGCTCAACAAGACCGTTCTCATTACAGGTGCTAGCTCCGGCATTGGCGCTGTAGGTCATCAGGTTAACATGACAGAGCCTCACTAACCAACCGACAGGCCACAGCTGTTCTCTTTGCAAAGGTGCATAATAAAGGATGCTTTGATTGGTTCCTCCCTGATCACGATAAGAAACTATAGGGAGGAGCAAACGTTATCCTCCTGGCGAGACGTGCAGAGGCCCTTGCTAAGGTGCAGGAGCAGTGCCGACAGGCCCACCAGGCGTCTGGGCTGAAGGAGGGTGGTCAATTCGCATCTATTCCACTCGACGTCTCCGATAGGAGCCAGATTGCGTCTCTATGGGATAAGGTCCCCTCTAACCTCCGCAACGTTGACGTTCTTGGTGAGCATCCTTCACCGATAGGCGGTATTAACAGGCTGAGACTGACTCGTCCAAAGTGAACAATGCGGGCTTCGTCCTCGGTGTCGACCACGTAGGCAACATTGCCGAGGAAGAGGTCCAGAAGATGTTTGAAACTAACGTCTTTGGTCTGATCTCCCTCACGCAACTGCTCGTCAGAGGTATGGTCCCATCCCCCGTCCCATGACCCGATAGCTTACGAGACGCACAGACTTCAAGGCAAAGAACGCTGGTCACGTCATCAACCTCGGTTCTATTGCTGGACGAGAACCATACGCTGGAGGAAGCATCTACACTGCAACCAAGCATGCCGTCCGTGCCTTCACTGGATCTCTGTTGCGCGAGCTCGTGAACACCCCTATCCGCGTGACTGAGATCCAACCAGGTTTGTGCTATCTGCTCCTTCCTTCCAACTAACCTCACCCCTTTTCCAGGCATGGTCGAAACCGAATTCTCCATCGTGCGATACCGCGGAGACGAATCAGCAGCGAAGAAAGTGTACGAGGGCCTCCAACCTTGTAAGTTATCTATAGCCATCAAGTTAAATCTCAGCCCTTAAAGAGGATGTCCAGTGGTCGCAGAAGACATCGCCGAAGAGATCGTCTGGGCAGCAGCTCGTCCACCTCACGTCAACATCGCCGAAGTCCTCGTTTTCCCAGTAAACCAGGCTAGCGCGGGTATCAAGTGGCAAGGTAACAACAAGTAATAAAGAGATAACCCCCGGAGAAGTGCTGGAAACGTAGTAGACCTATGTACTTTAATCGAAACAATACAAAAGTAATCACACGAAAAGAGGGAAAACGTTACATGAGATGTCGTGAGATGCATACAAATATGTGGATGTAGGCTTGAAGAGTCTGGAATAAACCCATTGTCGCTGTACTATGATTTGGCCTTCTTGTTTCGAGATCGAGTGACCTTGGGTGGAGGTGGGGGAGGAGGGTCCACTGGTTCTGGTTCGAGAACATCGCTGTCGTAAACGAACTTTTTGACAATCACATTCTCCGACGGAAGGTCCACTAAAGGGGCCTTATCCTCCGGCAAGTTACCCAGTGTGTCCAGAGGTAATTGCTAGTAGACAGTCAGAATGGCTCAACACAGTTAAAAACTAGCAGATATACCTTGGCAGCTGGTGCTAAGCAGCCTTTCAGCTGTGTCGTAATCTTCTTTGGGTATGGCCGTGATCCAAGTTTGATCTCGTCTAGGAAAGTAACGGAAAATAATCGTCTATCCCACTTGACTCGTCTCTTCTCTTCTTCCTCTTCCTCCTCCACTCCATTCTCCGTCAACCTCATCCGCTTAAACGCGCGATGTGGTGTTTCATAGTCCTCATCTTCTCCAGCCCCTCGTTGATGCCGTGCGGGCGATACGTCCATACTGGAAGCTCCCGGCAGAGCATCGTCTTCACTATCAGGCTCCACGTCGCTCGACCCCGGGATACTACCTCCACTTCTTCTCGCGTACCTCTGCGCCCTCTCCATTTTCAACTTCTGCTTCTCCTCCTCCTCCCTCTGGGCAATAGTCTTGATCTTGACTGCCGGACTCTCAGGCCTCGCGCCATCCTTCCTGATAATCGCTGTCTCCAGTTTAACCGACAAGTACGCCTGGTTCCGAACAGTGTTCGCAGCAGTAAGACTTTTCAAAGCCGTTGCACTCATCTCGGAATAGGCGTCAGTGAAAGTGAACCGGATGTTCTGCGTTGCTGCCTTGCGCCGCGAAACAGGTTTGCTGGGTTCAGCTGCAGACGCCTCGGCAGCCACTTGAGTTGGCTTGCGGATTCGGCCCGTCCGACGGACTCCTTGAGGAACAGGTAGTTCCACGGTTACGAAAGGCGGTAGCGTTTCTATTGGCGGGGTTTCATGAGGTGGATCAATCTGGATGATAGGAAGAGGCGCTGGCTGCTCCGGTGTTGAGGATGCAGGTTGAAGCTCCGCGGGCGAAGGCGCGTCATTTCTGAATGGAGATGGGGCCTCTGCTTGCATCGGCGAGCCCAAGGAGTCTGGTAGAGGAGTATTGTTGGAAGGATCCGCCTTCTCTGCATCGGGGACGACCACTGGTCCTTGTGCCACGGGAACCTCGGCAGGAGGGGCGATAGGCTGAGGAGGACTGCTAGCCGGAGGGTCGGGCGGTAAACAGGCTATAGAGGCAGCGATCTTGGCGGCGGCGGCAGCAGCTGCCGTTCGACTAGGTGGCTCTCTTGTTCTTTGAGGACGCATCGCGGATGTCGCGGCGGTCTTCGATGTTTTCGCCGTGGCCCTGAGAGCTCGAATCGCACTGGACGTAGGAGGAACAAGCACTGATGGAACAAGCCGCAAAGGTTTCTGCTTCACAGGGGAGGCCAGTGGTTCTGGAACCCTCTTCCTTTTCAACACCGCGCTTTTCTCCGCTGCAGCAGCTTTGGCGGCCACTGGGCGCGTCGTCGAAGACGTTGCCTTGCCTTTGCCCTTTGCTAGCGAATCGACAGCTGTCGAACTGCCGGGAATCACCTAAATGAAGACCTAAGATATTGTCAACAAGGAGAGTAAATGTAATTGACGTACCATCTTCGTCGTGCTAGGTTTTGTCAGATCAACCTTCCTGATGGTCGCAGGTTTTTCCACGGCTGGTGGCTTTGCCACTGATGTAGTTGGCTTTGGTATAGCTGGCCTAGCGTATGGCTTTGCGGGAATCCTTGGTATGCGGCTCGTCGATTGCTTCAACGCAGACTTTGCAGGACTTTGGAGTGCACTGACAGAGCGCGAGCTTTCGGTGGGCTTACCAATAGCAGGGCGGGAGCCGCTGGCGCTGGGAGGTTTAGAGCCCGTCAAAGGGAAGGGCAATCGCGATATCCGTCCGCCCGTAGAGGCACCGGCCCTGTGCGGGGCGGTACTCGATCCTTGGACAGCAAGTTTAGCCATTGACGAGCTTGTCGCATCGGACATTGGTACGTCCTGCGCTAGTTCTTCTTCAGGTCCCTTCGATTTGGCACGTACGGGGCTGCCGAACCGCAGGGTAGCTTTGCTCGACGACGGTGCTGCCTTGTCGGTAATGAGGACACGTCGAGCTGGGGTGGCAGGTATCGCATTCCCAGGAGCTGTGGAAGCTGTAGCAACGCGAGGGGTATACCCCATCTGTGCCGCCTTTGCCGGCGAAAGTTGTCCTTTCTCGATGGCCTCTTCCATAGTGATCCTTCGAGCTGGGGTAGCGGGCACATTTGCTGGCTGGGAGCTGCTTAGCAGAGGCTTGCTCGGAGAAGCTACCAGGAATGGACGCGCTGGTTGGGGACGCTTGGGAGTTGCAATACTGCTGTCCGATGGAGGGGGGAAAAACACTGGCGGTCTTGCTTCTGTTGCAGCAAGCTCTGTTGTCTGAGGAGCGTCAGGCGCAGTGTCCAGTTCAAGCGGTGTTGGGTCGGCGAGTGCGGGGATGAGCTGGTGTAGGAGATCCGAAGTTTTGGGTGACAAAGAACCCACTTCCCGGTTAAAAATTAATGGACTCTTCGACCTTCTACCTCTCGGGATATCCGGCTGTAAAGCCAACGTAGGTTTAGCCGCGGCAGTATTCGAATCATCTTCACCTTGGGAATCCTCCACAACTTCTGACTCCAGTTCCTTCTTCCGCCTTGCTTTCTGAGATCGAGGGGTTGGTTGGTCGCGAGTTGGCAGCGGTACTACAAGTTGAGGTGCCTGGGAAGGCGTCGGAGCTGCAACGCTTCGTCGAGGAGATCTCCGCAGCACTGGAGTGGCTCCTGGCGATAGGTGGGTAGCTGAAGCTTTTGCAGGCGGTGTGGAAGGGTCTACTTGGCTGTTTCCCAGAGAATGCTGTATTAGCGGTTGAGAGACGGGTGGTTCCACCGATGACGTTGCGTCTTCAACAGCAGGATGAGAGGCATCTGAAGAATCCCCTACAGGTGAACTCGCGCTGGAGACGGATACCGGGGCATCAAGCAAGAGTTCGTCCACGGCAGACACGGCTGAGTCGGGAACGTTGTCTGTTACCGATGCGACGGGTTCTGACTCGATGACTGTGTCGAGGTTAATAAGATTTGGCTGGGGTGACGCGTCAAGCGTCGCTGCCGTGGGTGGGTCCAAATCCATGGCATCCTCAATGGGTGGACTGGCAGAGTGACGCGAAGATTGGGGTGAGGGTTCATCGTCTGAAGGGGTTGGTTGAGATGTCGGTGGCTCCTCAACTTCTTCAGCAGTAGGAATGGGAGCAGTGAATGTGAAAGGAGTCACGTCCCCAAATATGCTCATTGGGGCCAAAGGACTCGGAGGGGGCGAAGGGTTGTCTGTGGCGCGAGAAATCTTTTCGGCTAGAACAAAGGAAGGTTCTGGCGGAATAAATGGACTGGAAGTTCAAAAAAACTGTGACAAGATGATGAGTTTGGTTGTCGCACCGTCTGGGAAGTAATCCAAATTGTCTTTCCCCTCGTCTCCACCGGATTCCTCCTCTTCGTTGTCATCGTCCTCCACTTCCTTCACTAACTCTTCTACTAACAATGCTTCGCTCGCATCCTCTGTTGCCGTCGGCGATGCCTGGGATGGGGACAAGTCGTCAGGTTCGGAATTGGAAGGTCCAGCGACTTGGGGTTCGGAATCTTGCTGTTGGGACATAGTGTCTTGCATGGAGTTCATACGACGTTCTGGCGTCTTGAGTGGGCCAAAGAATAAGCGTGCACCTTCTGTGTTATACTGTTCATCGTCCCCGAGCATGGATCGCGTGGGAGACAACGGCAATGCGGCCTCCATGCTGCTCGTTCGAGTCAATTGTTTGAATCCCAAAACAAGGCTTAAGTCTGTGAATGGGTGTAGAGGCGTTATCAGCTGAGTATCATGTATTTATCAATGTTTGTGAGCGCTAAAGAGCGAGCGGACAAGGACTGAGGAGCCGGAAGCGGAGATTTTGAGCGACTGTGGTGGTTGTTGATGCGAGACTCGAGAGGTTCGTTTGTCGCGCCGCCAGTTCCAACACTCGCCACGCCTACCACGTGACTCGGATTTAATATTGACTGTAAAAAGTTAAAAACCTCTTTCTCTCCAGGAAAATTCTTTCACGACCAATTTGAGTGCATGCAACCTCTGTCCTGGTGGATGCCAACTTGCTGTCATCCGCAGAAGTTGGGGGAGGCCCTGATCGAGACTCGGTTGCCAAGAAGTTGTATGTGTATTCTCGACGCGATCTTGACAAAGTCACTTCCTACTCCCTGAGGCTGAAGGAATGACAAAGTTCGCGGCGATGTGACATCTGCCCAACATGGCACTGCTTGTCATCATCGGGATCCTTATCTTTGAGAAATCAATACGACAGATCGTCCACTATTTGGAAAGTATGACCTGGTGGTTCTGAATGACCTCTTCTGTTCAATTTATTCGATTGGTTTGGCCAATGGTCCAAGATCTCGCGCCATTTTCACTACAAAGAGAAAACCCAAGGCTGAGGCTCGGAACGCGAACTTGCTAGACGGGAAGAACACGACATTGAATAAGATAGCCTCCGCAAAGCCTGTTTCATCGGTGTCGAGCAACGCTTCACTGTGGTAAGGCTTTCCAGGAAAAGTTTATGTCGGCGAAATGCTTGACGAAGACTGGACTCCGTTTCCAATCCCGTCCTCGGGTTTGCTTTATCGAGGACGGGAGCATTGGATTTCCGGATGCAAATTTGCAACTGCAGGGGGGGCCCTTGCTGCATACCAGTTTTTTGTTGGCAGCATAGCCATTGGAATATTGTGAAACCCCTTGGCAGGACGAGAGAGGGGAATGAGCAATGGACGATACCTGAAGTTACGTGTTTACAAGAGCGCTAAGCAGACTCGGCATTCGCTCCACCGTTTATCGGCACTCGTTATTCGTTTCATCATGGGCGGTGTCTTATTCCGGTTGCGTATCGACTCTGGCCACCGCAGTCCGCTCCAAGGTTGATGCTTCGTCCTTCTTGACCCTGAATCGTCTTCTCTTCTTCCTTTCTGCATGTCGTCTCTCTCCTCCCTTCAAACCTCGTCCAGGAGACGAATATTCTTGATTCTTTTCGCTGTTATCGTGCGTGTCTCCCTGCCTCCAGGTGTCCTCTTACCACTTCCCTTACATGTCGATCATTCCTCAAGATCTTCGTCACCTTGCTCTCGACTTTTCTCCATGGCCAGTACCGACAATTCCCACAACTTCAACAGCTCGTCAACCCGGATCTGCCCATTTCAATCCCCTACCGCGCCAATGCGACCTTTGTGATGTTGTGCAGGAACGAAGAACTTCAGGGTGTGCTGTCCAGCATTCGGCAGATCGAAGACCGATTCAACCGAGACCACGACTACCCATGGGTGTTGCTGAACGATAAACCCTTCGACGAGGAATTCAAGAGGTGCGTCAACATCCGCCGCGCGGTTGCCTCGTTTCACCGTCCACTCATTCCGTCGGTTGGTTGAGCAGGAGAGTTTCAGTCATCACCAAAGCACCCGTTCACTTTGGTTTTATTCCCCCCGAAATATGGAATCAACCGGATTCAATTGACGAGGAACGAGCGGCGGCTGGTCGAGCCAAACTCAAGGCTGAGGGTATCATCTATGCTGGTGCGTCGTCTCTCCGTGAACTCCCAAAAAACACGAACTGAGGAACGCTCGACCTGTTCATATCGTTGCCATAGAGAGCGTCCCGTGAGTTCATCATTAATCTCTCGTGTCTCAGCTGGATTCAATTCTGATGACGCTATGCTTCTTCAAGGTATCGGAATATGTGCCGATTCAATTCGGGGGTAAGAACATTCTTGATGGATGACGTTGAAGCTTGTTGACCCCGGTGCCTGCTGGCCATGTATAGTTTTTCTATCGACATGAACTCTTGAAGCCCTACCGCTACTACTGGAGGTAATACGTTCGTTACCTGCCACGTCAACTGCAACTGACCCATTTGATCTTTAGGGTTGAGTATGTGCTATTGTTGAGCCATAATCAGTGCACCTCTTTAACGTCCTCTTCCAGACCAAACGTCGACTACTTCTGCAACCTCAACTATGACCCCTTCGAGTTTATGGAGAGGAATAACAAGACCTACGGTAGCCGCGGATTTTCGTTACGACGATCGCCCGCTCATTCAATTGACTAGGCTTCACAATCTCGCTACTTGAGTGGCATCAGACTATTCCGACGCTATGGGACTCCGTGAAAGGTAAACGATCGGCGTTCTCTATCCCCCTAGACATCTCTAACGATCCAGTAATAGAATTTATCGAGGCCAATCCTCAATTCGTTCACCCTAACAACGCCATGAATTTCGTTTCGAATAACGGAGGAAAGACGTATAACCAATGCCACTGTACGTACCATCCGTCTCCCTTCTCCACAGTTGCTAATCGACGCCTAGTCTGGAGCAACTTTGAGATAGCCGATATGGACTTTTGGAGAGGGGAAGCCTACTCCAAGTTTTTCGATTTTCTAGAAGAAAAGGGTGGGTTTTACTATGAGGTAAGTAAACCCCATACTTTGCGGATGATCGAGCTAGCCACTCACTGGTGCCGGAAATCAGCGATGGGGAGACGCTCCAGTGCACAGTATCGCAGTTTCGTTGTTTGCCCCAAAGGACAGCATCCACTACTTCTACGATATCGGATATAGACACGATTCGTTCCAACATTGCCCATCCGGGAACACCTGGCGTGAAGGAAGCTGCTCGTGTGATCCCACTGAAACATTCAGTAAGTCTGTATCTTTATTCAAACGGCAACAGATGCACTGATGCGATGGACAAGACAACCGCGCCTCCTCGTGCACAGAAAAGTTCATGGTTGCCGTTCGGTGATAGAGATGACGAGGGAAAACCGCGATGATATACTAGATACCGTCATGCTCAATGGTCCGGTAGCGTTGAACCTGAGGCTATCTAGAGCCTGCTAGGATCCCATTTTTGGAGATACCGCGACCAATTTCATGAATCTATGCCTACCATATCGTCGCCTAATAAGAACAACGAAGTACAAGCACTATTTACGTTCATCTAATTCATTATTTGTTGTCTTCTTAGGATAAGCGCCTGTGGGGTCAACTCGTGGATGGCCGAAGCACGGAGATTAAGCGGACCGGTAATTGAGTTGCCGAAGCCGGCGATTCGAAAATCACGCGGCCTGCATTTCTTTGGGAGGGCGTCTGGAGGTTCGGATGTGAGCTCAGAACAAGACGCTAGCGGTGTGGCCATCGTCATCAATTGTAAGTAAGTGCGTTGATTCTGACTAGTGGATGTATATCCCAGACAGATGATAAAAGCAGTTCACATGGACCAATAACATCTCCACCTTGTTTTACCCTGTGCCGGCAGACACGCATTTCTATCCCTGAACTTCCTTGCTTTTAAGTTTTCTCTTCCGACACCCGCAGCGAATCGAACGTCCCCCACCCAAGCACCCGCGTAGAATCGATTTTGGCAGGTTCCCGGTGTGGTCGATAATGGGCTCCTTCCTGAGCATCCTCGGAATAGGTTTTATGGGTGCCGTTCTGTCTACCAACCTCAAGGCCTCAAGTTCTGGCTCAGAGAGCAACTCCGTCATCCACTTTCCCGACCAACCCACTCTCCTACCTGTGAAAAACGGCGACGAGGAAGAAGTCCAGCATGTTCCACTACGGACATTAATCGAAACACACTGCCCAAGCCTCTTCCGTCCGTTCAAACCGTTGTGGTACCTCTTCAAGTGCGTACGTTTGTTCTCTTGTGGGTCGAAGACACTCTTAACACTAGTACAGTGGCCATTTACAGACACTATATTGCGTCTTTGGAGACTTTTCAAAGCACGATCGAATGGGTTACCTTCGGTGCGTCTCATCTGTGGCGGCGTTCCATCGTCGCGCTGTCTGATCACCATCAACTCTGCAGGCGGTATATCAAGACCGCAGACGGCGGAACGATGTAAGCTACCAGTGATTTCATCGTCTGTACGAATTCCTCTGAGGATTCATTAATTGTCGTTCGACAGTGGACTCGATTTTGCACCCGTTGATCAAGGTTCGGTCCCAGACGATGCTCCCGTTATTGTCGTACAGCACGGCCTTACAGGAGGTGCGCAGTGTTGACCCGCGGTGTGTCTGGTTACTCTGGTACTGATAAAGGCCTTGTAATCATCTAGGATCGTACGAGCCATATGTTCGGGCAGTGCTCAGTCGCGCGTGTAAGCCTGTGAGCGAAGGAGGGCTAGGGTATCGAGCGGTAGTGATCAACTTCAGAGGATGTGAGTTTTCCTTGTACTCTCGACCGGGAATCTGTGCATCAACCTCGTGCTAGGTGCGGGTGTCCCTATTACGAGCCCGCTCTTGTACTCTGCAGGTCACACTGACGATACTCGACACGCGCTGGCCTATATTGCGCACAAATATCCCAAGGCCCATCGACATGGTCTGGGATTCTCACTCGGTTCCAACGTCCTCACGAGATATCTTGGAGAAGAGAGAGAAGCAACTAGGCTGCATTCAACATGTGCTCTCGCATGCGTGAGTTCTGATCCACAACGCTTCCACTTACAGGGTATCTGATAGCCTTCTCCCAGCCGTGGAATCTAAAGGCAAACAATCATGGGTGAGGGCACACTTCTATCTGGCCATCACTTTGAATTTCCTGACACGAGTTGTGAAACTATAGTCTTCTTAATTCCTTCCTCGGCAAACATGTCTATTCAAAGGGAATGGGCGGAAACTTACTCAACCTTTTGAAGAAGCATGCAAAGTCTCTGACAGCCGACCCTTCACATTATGTGGCCATAGCCGCACTGAATGCCCTTCAGCTCAAAAATCCAACATTGGAAATGTTCGACGAGTGTTTCACGCGTATCGCCGGAGGCCCAGCACCCCACTTCCCATTCAAAAATTCGGAAGAGTACTACATCTGGGGCTCAAGTGACCATATCGTCGAACATATCACTGTCCCTTTCCTCGCCATCAATGCTGATGATGACCCCGTTGTGCGACATGTCCCTATGGATGGCAAAGGAAATGGAAAGGTCGTCATGCAACTGACCAAAGGGGGCGGGCATTTGGGTTGGTTCGAAGCAGGAGATGGGCGTGTGGAGAGATGGACGACGCAACCAGTCCTCGAGTGGCTGAAGGTGATGGGAAAGGTTGTTCACGAGCATCACCACTCGTCCCCCAAACTTTACATCGATGGAGAAGGTTGGCTATGTGAAGAAGGTCGCGACCACATCAGGTGTAAGGAGTTGGAAGAGTGTCATGTCGTGAATGGTAATGGTGGGGAGACCGGAATTCTCCAGGGGCTGTGATTGGGTTGTGGGCTGGCTTCATTGCATACTTAGAAACTTCCATTGATATCATAGACTCTGCGTCCATTTAGTTTGACTTTAATCTTAATCCTCACATTTCAATCGCTGTCGCTAAATGTCAAGCCTTCTTCTTGTTCTTCGTCCTCCTGTGTCCTGTCGTATTGGCTGATGTCAACGGAGGTGGTGCCTTCTTCGATCAAGCCTTCGTCTCTCTCGTCGAGGTTTCTGTTGCGCTCGAATAATTGACGACCTGAGGTATCGGTGGTGTGTTATCAGCCGCGCTTTGTCCCACAAGATTTCATGCTAACCTGTCAATCGAAGTTGAGCACGTTTGTACTCTTCTCGCTCTTTTGGGGTGAGGCCCTTGAGCTTTTCTTCCTCTTCTCTGGCCTTGGCCGCGGCAATTTCTTTGTCGAACTTGGCCTTCCATGCCTTGAAAGAATCCACAGTCACGGGAGTACCACGAGTTCGGGCTTCCTCTTCCTAGATTCGCAACCTCATCTTTAGTTGTGGGGTACGCGGAGCAGTGAAGTCCAAAATCCGACCTCTAGTGCTAAACGCTCCATCTCCGCTTCCAGCCTTGCTTTCTCGGCCTTGTTGGATCGGGCAAGATTTGTGAGCTGCTCCCGCAAATGAGAGACCAGAGTGAACGTCATAGCCATCCCGAGGTTCTCTTCTCCCTTGGAAAACCCTGAGCTTAGTGGCGAGCGGATTCAAGTCATCGTGGAGAGCATACTATTGCGTGTAGGTCCTTCATCAAGGCTTCGATCTCCTTTTCACTTATCTCTCCCTCCACCGCTGATAGCTTGAGCTCGGGTAGAACATCGGGATAAGCACTCGGGTAATGGACAGCGAGGAGAAGCTTTACTGTGAGTGAGGTCATTCTCGATCAATACCTTGTGCAAGATGAAGAAAGTGAGGGGCTCACTGTTTGGGATACCCTCCAACTCCTCGTCCTGCTCTGCTTCAATTTCAATATCCGTATCCGATTTTCCTTTGCTGTGACTTCAGTTTAACGATCCAAATGCGACTGATGGTCGATTACACGAACGATGCAGCTCTGTTGGATAGATGGACTCCAGGACCTGTGATTCAGCATTAGACGAGATTGTACAACAGGTAATGTGACTGGTGTGACCTCTAGCTCCTCCAGGACAGTTTCGGACGCCATGACTGGAAAACGAGATATTAGAGGACGATGTAGACCAAAGCTTGGCATTTCCCGATAGCCTTTGGCATTTCCCCGTATGGCAATTCAAATTTCCATCACGTGAAGGGAACCTCCGCCCGTCGACACGGTTTCCGGAATCCGCTTTGGCTCGGGCTCTGTGACATTGCACTCGAACACCTTGTCGCTGGCAAGGCTCTGCTCACCATGTTTGCCCAGCTCTCAAGGAATGTCGTGGCCAATGCTCTGGCATGCAGACGCTCGGTAACGCCACGCTTTTCGTTCTTCCAACCATCCATTCTGCCAGCTACGGCGCGCCTCTATTCGACTCCAGTGAACAACCTAGAGCAGACTCGGAACGTCCTCGAAAGTGTTACGAGGAATCTCCCCGAGACAGATTATGAGAAAAGGTGGGCAGATATGTCTGCTATTGCCAGACACTCGGCACAGAAGAATCCCCCTGCGGGGCCCTATGACGGTAACTTCCAAGCTGTCATTCGATTGATTCTTAGTGGCTAACTCTCGAGGTGCAGGTCGGAAGGTGACTGTTCAAAAAGGAAAGGGAGTGGCAGACGCGATGAGGGCACTCGATTCAATCCTCACTCGCAACAAGGTCCGTCAGCAACTCCGCCTTCAGCAGAGGCACGAGAAGCGCGGCGAAAAGCTGCGACGCCTGAGGAGTCTGCGGTGGAGAAAGTTGTTTGCCAACGAGGTCCGTTCTCATCGCCTATTCTCCTTCACCAGCTAAAGTCTCCCAATCTATAATAGGTCCGACAAAAGGTTCAACTGGTCACGAAAATCCGTAGTAGAGGAGCTTAAACACGCTGTCCCTTTAATATCATTTTCTTCCCCACGAGCCCCACACTGAACGGATTACCAACGGAACTCGACTCCTCGACACCAACCTCGCTGCCCGTATCAAAGCTAGTTCCGTTGCGACCCTGAACAGCTGCCAACCAGGGTTATGGTGCATGGACCCATATCCCTCTAACGCGTTTCGCATTGACGTGGAACGCGAGATTTCGACACCAATCTCCAATGTCTTTGTTCAATACCAATCAATGAACTCCCTTCACTGACGCATGGCCGACCTTTACTGTAATCCGCTCAATGTGAAAGCATACTCCATTTCCCCCGGGATTAGCTTGCTCCAAAGGACTTCTTACTCCCATTACGTGCAAGCATGTAGAAGACTAGATGGGCCTCCCACAGCCTCCAGATAAGTGCTCTATTCTACCTCCTGAGGATCTCTTTAATGCCCCGGAACATACCATCAAGGAATTGGCAAGGGTGCAACCTTTTCGGTATTCTAAGCGAGATTCAGGGATCGGCACGTTCCGATGACCTTGCTTCTTCACACTGCCTAATCGCGCGGTGAAAAACGAGGCCATCCAGGGATCCCTTTTAAAAGCTCTCCTCAGTTCGAAACTGGCCCCTCATGTTGACCTACCCACTTTTCTTCCACTTCATCTCATAGATTTTATCTCTGTTTTCTCCCCACTTTCAGCATGTGCCACAACGTGCGGGTTCTTTCACCGCAATTATTGCTCTGACTGATCGCTTCTGTTGGGGTATAGATCATCGACGGTCGCTATCATACTCAATGCTTTCATTTCGTGGAAATGGCGACGCGCAGTGTAGACTGCCTTCGACCTGACTGCTTGTTCAGTAGTCGCCATGTCCACCCCGTCGGTGTGTTCTCGCCCTCGCTCGTGGCTAATCTCTTTCGTTTACTCTGTCTTTAGGATGTCGCAACTCTCAGTGCATTCGCTTGATGAACCAGCCTGTCAAAAACCCGATTAGAGTCAGCCCCTCCAACTGTCCCAACTGCATTCACAAAAGCTTGGGCGGTCCGATTGGCCACGCTCAAGCCGCCAAGTAACCGCTGCCTCGAGGCCACCGCAGGCCCGGTCTTCTGTTTCTCACTTGCTTTCTTCCCTTGCTTTTCGTTGACTTCTTGCAGTTCGGATTCTCCCTCCTAAGTTATCGGGCGCCTATAATACTTACTTATTCGTAGCATTTCTTGGTTAATCGTACGGACATTGGGTTTCTGGTTTGTTTCCTCATGGCTTTCTTCTTTTTTTGTTCCTTTAATTTGGGGTAGATGATCGTTATGCTGTGTATAGGTCGTATGCTGTACTATGTTACTATGCATTCTTGTTCTGCTGTGCACACACTTTTCGGTCGCAAGGTGGCTGAGTTCAATTGTTGTATCCGAATGGCCAATCCCCTTTTGTGCCCTTATTCTAGCAACGAAGTCGCGTTGTCCGCCTTCTCTCATGCCCTTGTAGGTTCTTGTTCCGCGCTTTATAAACACTGCAGTGCGTCGTTCGAACCATTGTAACAGCCCCGTCGTTTCACTGCTAACAGCAATGTCCTTCATGTTTAGGTTTCGAGAATGCCAGCTGGATCTGCGCAAGTATATGCGAGAATGTACCCTTCCTCCCCTGGTCTACAATGAAGACGACGTGCTACTGCCACCACCAGGCCATGTCAGCCACAAGAACAACTTATCCATTCGGCCCGATAAAAATAGGCGACTCGAGACCATGTACTGCATCAACGATATGATCTTCGAGGCGCTGGAGTCGTGTAGGTCTGGTGCCTCGTGCTAAGTCTTACAGTCGCTGACCGCGTCCTCAGGGCTAGAGCAAGCTGTACCGTCCGAAAAAGTGCGCACCAATGAACCTGACCCCTACACAGGAGAGTGCCTTGCTATTCCCACTCCAGTCCCCAGTGGGTATCATTGGAACCTCGATAAATCCCCCGAGGATATCCGCAGGCTCCTACCATGGCTGGACAGACTCCCGCTCATTACGGTGCAGAGAATTCTACATCTCACAAATCCTGATACCCTCAATTGGGGATTCCGAGTCACCACCCGCGATCGTGAACCTGATCCTGGCATCTGGTCTGAGTATGTGTGGTCCCCAAGGGGGTTGAATCCCTCTCAGAACCCAGGCGATGCCTCACGACGCACGCTCGTCGCGGTACAGCCTCCTTGGATATTAAGCGAGAGCGATATGTACGAGTTCGTGATGGCTTTAAACGTACGCGTCGATCTTATTCATACCCATTCGTAACTTAAAGATCACTAATGTCCGTTATTCTACTAGTTCCCGCCGTTGATTAGGCCAGGGCATGCTTTCGCCCAAACCCATGCCACCCGCCATCGACTATGGGGAAAGGTAAGCTGCCATCCTCTTGTCGTGCTCTCCTTGTGCTTAGGCGATACATTGGACCGTAGCTATGGGACTCATGCGTGCGGCACAACACCCGCTACTTCGTGCTGACCTCCTATAGCCATTGGGTCTTCGGCGTGTTCTCTCCAGGCAAGCGTATTATCCATAGCCTTATCCCAGACTCCGCTAATTGAGCTTGTGCCATCTATCAAGGTTGGACCATTGCATATACCTCGGGCGTGCTGAGCGGAACCCAATCTAATCCTTCTATAATCGAGCTTCTTTCATTCTGGGTTGCCTCGGGTATGAGGCTTCCAGGTGGCTACGTCGCTCCCGAGGTGAGTGTCGCTTCCTTCTGAGCTGCAAACTGATAGAAGGTCTGACTCCGACCGTGTTACAGATGGCAGAGCCGTTTTACAACGAACCTCTCAATGAAACCCCGCTGCGCCAGGCCTATCAAGTCCCGGAGCCCGCAGACTCTGAGTCTGAATGGGATCCTGCTGCGAGTGACGGTATGTCGGTCCCTGATGGTGCTAGAATCTGGTCTGTATTAATACCCTCCCAGCTGGTACTTCTGCAGGGGTTGATCTGGATATAATGACTGCGACAGACGGAGGGATAGGTCGGTCGGTCTACGGGCTTCGAAAGAAGGAGCGGTATCCTTTCATCGAAGACTGGATACGGAAGGCGGCAGAATTCGCTACAGAGGGTGGGACGATCATGGGTAGGGAGCTGCTTCAGAGGGAGAAGCCCGGCCTTCCAGGGCTACCATTTGTAGTGGAGATGACATATAACCCGCGACTCGTTCAAGGCTCCTACGCAGTAGGCCAGTGGTTAACACCCTTCAAAGACACATACGAGTGATAACGATTGATTCACTATGGACTATGAGTACACGGACAACTATGCTACATGACGCTAAATATGATATATTATACATTTATGCTAGGGTATCATACCATTCTGGTTGGCTGGAGAATTCGCGCTGCTTGGCTCGGGACTTGGATCTCCGTGAAGGGAACGAGGGGTCCTTCCGAGGTTTTCTTCCGGGACCTGCTGGGTATTGATTTGAGTCGATGAGACTGTCGCAGTTATCTGGGCTGCGGGTACGAAGAGTCTGGGACGAGCGGTCGATGTAGTCGGAGGGGTCACCTAAGACAGTGTAAATGAAATAGCGTCATCCCAACCGGGAAAAGGAACGTACTGAGGCGATGCGAGAAAGATAAGGATACGATTCAGCGTCTTGGGCGGAGTAAAATTCGAGCATGATGCTCAGAACATCTAGAATATTTTTGAGAATATTCCACCGGAGAAATTCCAACTTACGAACCTGCGATTGAGGAGAGCTCAGAGTCACTGAAGCCATATCGCTCCACCACAACGCGTGTGGCATCGGGAGACGGAGGTTTATGGGAGGGTGGTGTTGGCAAATGCGCTGCGGGTGATGTCGCCGATATCCTAGCGTCCAATGAAGGGGAGTTCGGTCCGTCAAACAATCGTTGAGCTAGAACGAGACACGCCGTCGCGATTATCCTCGGAGGATATAGCAGACAAACGGGCGTTCGAAAGCTACGGGACGGTATTTGCTAAATGAAAAGACGACAGGATGGTGAGAAGATGGTACATACGAATCATGAGCCAGGCTCCATGCGTACTCCTGGACCAGAGGATCACTCTCGCAGGAATCGAACAAATCGACAAGTTCAGAATGTGGATTCTCGACCACAAAGTCGAAACATAAAGCTTCCAACAGAACCTCCTCGGTGAATAGGATCGCCTTTTGGCAGTCCTCGACTTCCTGCAGGTGGCTGAGAATTAAAGGTGATATAATATATTTTTGGGAGGTGACTTTACCGGACTATCTGAAGGTATTTTGTTAATATCCTGAATGTTTTGGACCTTCGCTTGATAGACTTTGGCCACGTCGACCAGTTTCCTACCGCACTCCTCCGTTTTTGTGGCTAGGAATATACATGCCGCTGCGACTTCCTAGTTATGACTTTTGTGAGTAAGTGGGTCGACTGGGCGCTTGGAATATGTACTTGACGGTGAAACTCTTCGAGGGGATATCGCATGTAGAAGCGGTGGAGCCATGTGGCCGCAGTGCACATAGCTGATGTTGGCCTATCGTTGATACTAGAGTTTAGCATGTCTACGAAAACCTGTAGAGAACACGGACAGCTGCAGCGAGGAACCTAGCCGGAACAGAAACTCAACGCCTCTTGCCCTGTCATAGAGTTCCCTTTCCAGAGAGCATGCAGAAGGTGTGGCCTGGAGAGCTGACAGAGGAAAGAACCACTGAGAATTTGGAGCAGACATTGCAGTCGCTGGCAGGTCGTCGAGAGAGAGCGCGCCTTCGCTGCTACTCACGATGAGCTCAATAACAAGGTGGCTGCCGGCCGGCCCACTACCAAAAGCAGTTCCGCTCCGGCAGTTCCCGTAACATAGAGCCTCCGAGTCGTCGATCGCGAGGCTGCCATACCGATAAATTGGAAAATCGCGAAAAACGCGTTTCCAATGCGCAGAATAACATTCATTGTTCACTTGAGCGCCATAAAATAAGCGTCGTACCTTTATGTCATTTTTAATCAATCCACGAACCGCCTCCCAAGGCATCAGCGCCATTTCAACGGTACGCAACGTTGCTTCGCGCAGGTGTGGTTTTTTCTCGCCCTTTTCGAGCGGATCTTTTGCTTGATATCACTGGGATAATATTATCAAGTGATTATCTTGTGGATAAGAGAGAAAACAGCAGGTTGTGCACTTTTCTCGGATCTTACAGCGAGGCGTTTGACCGAAAGAACTTCCTGTTCGAGCTGGCCATAGTAATAAACATACCTCTACCGCGAAGTTGTTGGTTCTAATTTCGAAGTCAGATATAGAGTTGACGTCTCCCGAAGTGCCCTGCAAAGCATGCGATAACGGTCCTGGAACGACAGATTCCTGGGTTTTCCCCATGCAGCCCGTATCAGCTCGATCACCTGCGTCAAAGGCGAGGAAAAAGGACGCGCAGTTCACACAGAAAGCCATAATCACCGTCAGCTGAGCTTCCGAGGACAGAAAGCTCTCGATAACAATAATTGTTATTGCTCGGGGTAAAGAGTCAACTGCATACGGTAGTTCTCATCTATATCCCCGTTTAAAATTATCTTGAAGTGCTGAACGTGCACGTTGCGAGACATGTCAGTCAATGACGAGTTTCCGACCTGGACGCCCTTTGTCCCCTGCCCACTGATCAGAAAGCGTTTAATTCTAGAGAAAAGAAGTCCTCTTTCATTCTAGTCGCTCGGATGGCGCAACCAATGCGCAGACAGTTACGAGATGGTCGTGCAAACGTTTGAAGCTTCCTCGAATATCGATACCAGCCACAGACACTTCGTCCCCTTGGTCGGTCCATCCATCCCTCACCGCAAAGAGCGGCGCCATGAATCATGGGCGCAGCTACAGAATTTATCTATCTATGTACCCCCCTCTGCCTCTTGGCCCTTCCCTCGCCGGCCAACGGGTCTTTTAACGATGATGTTTTCCTTCGGTAGGCTTCGATCACCTTCACAGCCCTTGCCCCCCTTCAAGCGTCAGGCTTGGGTTGTTACTCATTCCAGCGGCCGATGATGCCAATCTGCCCTGTGTACCCTCAAAGGAGTCGAGGAGTGTCGCATGCCAGGGCTTGGAGATGGAATTCCTGGACCTTTGGAGCAAAAGTATATCGATACGCCGGCACGCGAAACTCGGTCTAAAGTATCCTGAATTGCAGATGTCCATATGTTACAGTGTAATCCTAGGGACAGTGGATGGAAAGAGGACGAGACGGGTAGCTGGGACAATAATGCGAGGATGTTTCTATAAAAACAAAAGGAAACGTTGCGTGTGTGTCTACCGGGCCATTGAACAGAAAAAATACAGTAAAGATAACGGAACATAATTAGGATTAAAGGATTAAATCAGCGTGGCTGCACAGCGTAGGCCTGTTGGCAGTGGGGACAAAGTTTGTCGAGTGTACGATCTATGACAATGCCGAGTCAGTGCGAAGGACCGGACGGGGAATGACGCATGTCTGTCTCACTTATTTGGTCCGGGAATTGGCGACTTTGTTGGAGAGAGAAAAGGAAAAGGAGCGGCGATTAGTTCTAGAACCGGTCAAAGGGGATTGCAAAAACCTACTACTGCCAACAGGAGGTCTTGCAGTTGGGACCACAGTCAGCTGGGTGTGTGGTGCTGAACTTGCAATACCGGTCATCACACTGAAGCTTCAGGAGCGGAACGGAGATCAGGGATCAATGCGTTGCCTTCCACGAGTGAAGGTGCGTCATACCAGCTGGTCCGGCTATAGGAGCGGAGAAACAGCAAAAGCAAGGCGTCAGAAACACGGCGTGCCAGTGTGGCTGAATAGACGAAAAAACCGCACCTGTCGATAGACGTGGCCACACACTTTAAAGGTATCCTGAATCCTATATAAAGGTTCCAATTGAGATCGAGACGCGAGGGCAACGACAGGGGCTTTTTACGCACTGTCGCCATCGACACATCTCGAAGGGGCGGGGTGGTTATGAAGGTGACTGGAGGACTTTGGGGGGAGGTGGGTGGTAGGAATTTGAAGAGACAAAGGTCGGCGAAATGCTCGTGGTTTTATAGCATTCATCTTCTGGGTCTCAAGAGAGACCTCCGCCAATCTTAGAGACACGGAACTGATAGTATCGAAGATCCCCTGTTCGGGCCGTTACCTGGTAGTCAGGTACGTGTCTATCAAGATGAAGAATCTGTCGGGTTAGTCGCCAGTAAACTGGGCTAGTAGTTGTAAAAGGCACCGACATGACTTTTTCGTTGCATACACGGACGTGATCACCAGATTCGTAAGGAATACAGTCGTAAAACCTGTGTCGAAGTCCGAAACTCTAAAGTCAAAATTGGTTATTTAAGCCAGGCCAATCATCGGTGCAGTGAGAGAGATAGAAGGAAGGGGGACGAAGGGGAGCGAGAGTATATTCCTTGGCCAAATGCGTGGTTTCCCGTGGTGATGTCGTCATCTACTACAGCGTCTTTCCCGCTCCAGTTCTTCTTATCGAGAGTTTGTCGGATGAAAGGTCCACCTGAGCTGCGTGTCGCATTCATAGTCGGATATGAGACATGTCGCCAGTTCCGCGGATGCATTGGTCGGAGTGATTCGACAATATCCTTTCTGGTACCGATAAGAGAAACATGAGACGAAGAAGCAAGCGGTGCTTCATCTGTACTGTTGCGGAAAACAGGCGGAAATGACGGGAGAAAAACAGGAAGATGCTCGATTGGGAGGAGCTGGTACCATGAAGGCGAATGAAGAGATTATCGCTCATCATCAGAGCGATTCCATCGTGCAGATCCCACAATGAAGAAATCAATGAGGCTAAAATTATGCACCTGCTGGATACAAAAGCCGGAAAGCTTGTTCCTTCATCCCGCAAACATGCCGACAAGGTATTGACTAACACCCTCTGGCGTTAAGCTACCAACGTCTGAAAAGACCAGAGAAATCAGGTCGGGCCTGCACGTAATGGACCAAGAATGAGTTCATTAAACGCGAAGCGAGCAGCGTGAAATTTCACCTGGTGTAATCGACTGTTGGATTATTCTGGGAGATTTGTTCTTGAGTAATTGTTCCAGCAGCAGGATCCGGGGGAGTGGTGGGTGGGGAGCTTGCCCCATCAGTGGGCTCCTTGGTCGGTCTGCTGACTGAGGCGGAGCGTCCAGACCGGACAGGACGAGGAAATGAAAGAATTTTGGAGTTGTGACTTGGCAGATCGTATTGCGATAGCGGGAAAAGGCGGTGGAATTTGTAGCTGAAAACGATATAAGACCGGTTATCGATGAGGGAGATGATGGAGCCGAGCCCACCTTTCCGCCAAAGCGTAGAACGGCTTATTGGCAGCTCTTGCGATGATGGCAATCTGATTACTGCCTACCGCATTGACCAACCCACCGCTCTCTACAACTGCCTCCGATCCTACAAGAACGAAGTCGACCTTGTCCATGACGTATGCGACGGCTGAATCGAGGATTACGGTACAAGGAACGCCTGCAGCGGAGAGAGCCTCGGCTGTTTTGATGCTGGGCAAGGTTATGAGTGGCAGATAATGACAAGTTTAAAAAGACCAACCCAAGGCCGCGAGGACGGGCTTCTGTGACGAAGACTGAAACAGAAAGAGTTTAAAAGAGAGATAAGACAACAAAGGAAGTAGGTATACCAGAAATACGCTTCGATTTGTGGGCGAGGAGGAGTGTTTGAAGAACGACTCTCGAATATGAATGGGTGAGAATCTGGAACCGAGACTTGCATGAAACGGTGCAAAACAGGCAAGAGAGGGATGTTCTGAACGCACCACAGAGCCATCCTTGATGAAGCCCACCGCAAGCTCTGCGATTTTGGTACGATATGTGAGAGCCTCTGCTGCGTATATTTGGCCATGGCGAACAAGCTCTTGCTTCAGGTCTGCAAAGTTCTGCAAGTCCGCGGTTTGATGAGAGAGCTTATCTGATTTACAGGGGCGAGAGAACATACGGATGAAGCGTGGGGTAGGAGGGAGACGAAGGCGATGAAAAGCTCGCAGCCTGCCGCTGTGCTGATCGGACTTGGACTTGCGGCCTTGAGGGCAGCTGCGCCATCTCTGAGTGCTGTGACGAGCTCGAAGACGGTCCCGACTGGCACGACGAGGGATGAGGGAGAAAGCTGGTGAACGGCTGGGCCGGCGTACCGTCTGAATGTCGGACGAGTTCAGTGAGAGCGATGACCGCTGCGAGGGGAGTTGCGATCTAGAAAGGCCAAGGTGAGGATTGTGTTGACGACGGTGGATGGCAACGTGCCTGCTGATCGAGACTGTCCTCGAAAGATTTGACGATGTCGAAAGAGTGCGCCATCAAGGAACGAACGACTCGCCTTGTCCATGAGCGCTGATTGGGGTCCTTGCTCGGCATGCGCCGAATCGCCCGCTGGCCATCACACGTGGAACGACGGCGACGCTTGATTTAAATTATTCGGGTTTGGTCCCCTTTGCCACCTTTCAAACCCCTCACACCCTCAATTCACGCACATGCAGCGCAGAACAGAGGTCGTCTTCAGCAGCGACGTCGCCAACATGGACGACTGGGCAACCCGCGCAAACATCCCCCTAACCACAGCAGATGCTCTCGGTGCGACATATGCCAGAGCACACCGCTGGTTCAACTCGCTAAAGTCCCAGCTCGTCCGCGAACACAATTGGACAGAGGCTCCCGCCGACCCCCGTATGCTCTTCTCCCTCGAGACTTCCTCAATATGGCGCTCTTCCGTAGGCCTACCTGCAGGCCCAAAGCTCAAACTCTGTCTCCCCGTGCACGCCAGCTCTTTCTTTTCTCCAGAGCGCAGAGTGCAGTGGGAAATGGTCTTCCACAGCGACACTTTTGAATCAGTACGCAAAATATGCCCACCCATTACCGACCTCCTCCATCTCATCCAATGTCTGCTGACCGGTTTGGTCACAATCGTCCTCGAGGAGCGTCTACCAGACGGTGTATATCGAACAATTCGCGGCCTTCCCCCAGTATCATGGATAAACGCCAACGAGGCGGCCCTCATCGAAGTATTCGGCGTCGCCCACTTCAAGGCACTGCGCAAGGCATGCAACGACACCAAAGCTGCATTCAAGCTCCAGGTCGTGTCACGGTCATGAATAGACTTTGTATTTTTCTTCCTTCTCCCTTTCATCTCTTTGCATTGGAACGCTTTTCTAAGCGCCCTTCAAATATTCTCTGCTTGTTGTTTTCCGCTTTCGGCTCCGCTGTGTTTCTCTTGTGTGTTGTGCTGTCTATCTCTCCCTCGCATACATTATATTACCCATCCTACGCATAGATTCTTTATAGTCACCCAATTGTTGTCTTTTTTGTTCTTTGCACATAACTTAAATTTCTCTTTCGCCTTCATTCGCATAGTATTATCTTTATTCTTATTGCCATCACCATAGCATGTATCATCTCTCTCTCTCTCTCTCTCTCTATGCCTGCTCTGTCCAGGTTCGTACTATACAGCTCATATGCCCTACTAAAATAATAGCCTCTGTGCATTTGGCTCATGGCCTCACATACTCTAATACGGTGCAGTGCATCTGTCGGTGTCACTTGTCCAGATTTCTTCGAGAAGTTCCAGTTAATCAGCCATCACAACGGATATGAGAAAGGTGCGAGACCTCTGGAGAGAGGTTTCCAGGGTCCTCACCACCTTAGTCTGGCACTTTGTTCAATTGCGCCTACTCTTGGATGGCGTTTTTCAAGCGCGAAATGTACGCGCTAATTCTTTACAAGTCAATACCAAGGAACGTAGAGGCCGATCGGAGACGGAACTGTCATCATCAGATTAGTGTTTGGTATCCCTTTAGATCCAAACATCAAGATCTGCTGCGACCGCAGGTTGCCCTCCGACTACGGTTCACCAAAACAATATGGCGACCAAGGACGTTGTTCTGTGCCAAAGCTCCTCTTGTCCCAACGGAAACCCTCCTTCGCGTCTAGAATGCCCCACGTGCAACAAGTGTGTCCAAATTTGCACCAGCCAGGCCGCCCGTTCGAGAGTTGACCGCCATCCGCAGACTAGGCATCAAGGGTTCCTTCTTTTGCGGACAGGAATGCTTTAAAGCTGGATGTAGGCGATGTAAAGGGCTCTTGACGTTCTAGCAATGCTGATATCCTTTTTCAGGGGTGCGTACACTCGGAATAGTATCTTCCGATTTACTGAAATCTCAACAATCCCACTTAGAAAACTCATAAAATTATCCACGATCTCGCAAAACCCGGGGCCAAGTTCTCGCTGCTTCCAGGTACGTTCCTCTTGGCCCAGATTGGGTGAGCCAGCCGCCGATGCCCTCTTCCAAAAGATGGCGTGTACAATCCATTCCCCAACTACCAATTTACGGGCGCACTACACCCTTGGTATCCGCTATCCCCCACGCGCCTGGTCCCAGACCACATTCCAAAGCCCGATTATGCTGTAACTGGTAAAGTCCCGTTTCCTCATTTTGGCCGGACCCAGTAAATTCATATCTCGTGTTCCCAGGCATTCCCAAATCCGAGATGCAAGCCGCAGGTCAACCCCCAAGAATTCTCAATGCCCAACAAATCGAGAAGATGAGGACTGTCTGCAGGGTGCGTGCTTCCGGTGTTACTTATTGATAGGACTTGTTGTAACCTTGTTGTGCCTGGGATTTGATGGAATTGCATTGAACAATGTCATAGTTGGGAAGAGAAATCCTTGACCTCGCCGCCACTTATGTCCGCCCAGGAGTGACCACAGACGAAATCGACGAAGTCGTCCACAACGCTTGCATCGAACGCAATGCCTATCCTTCCCCACTCAACTACCGTGGCTTCCCAAAATCAGTTTGCACGTCCGTCTACCTTCTTCTGCTCAACTACTTGATCCCAACTCGGTTCTCCATTCTCCGCTTTCCTTGTCAACCCCTTCCTCTATTGGCCCCAAATTATGTTCCTTGACGACGCCACGCAACTGACTCTTTCCTTTGTTCTTTAGCTCCGTGAATGAGGTAATTTGCCACGGTATCCCGGATAAGCGCCCGTTACGCGAGGGTGATATTGTCAACATCGGTGAGTGAAATCTTCCTTGTTACCGTTTCTTGCTTGGAGTTCCCAAGCAATTTATTTTCCGTTGTCCCCCTGGCGTTGTCTTTTTTTTTGTTGTCCACTTGAATCGGGTCTTTGAAGAGGTGTCAGGTGTCCTATCCCTTCTTCGCCTCATTCGTCAAAGGCAATGATTGTGTCGCTGTGGATCCCTTAATTAAAGCACAAGGCTAATTTTATTTGGTTGTCTTTAGACGTCTCACTCTATTTCGACGGTGCGTCATCCTGTTTTCTAATGCTCCATGTCCCCGTTTTAATCGCATTTTCGGTTGGTAGGGTATCATGGCGATCTAAACGCTACATACCCTGTTGGAAAGATTGACGACGAGAGCGCCAAACTCATTCGCGTGACCAGGGAGTGTCTGGATGCAGCCATTGCCTTGGTCAAGCCTGGGGCGCTCTTCAGGGACCTTGGAAAAGCCATGTGCGTACACTTGCAGTTCTTTGTCGTCCCACCGTCTCTCATATGTCATGGCGACGATGACCAGTGAACCAATAGCCAAGGCCAACGGTTGCTCTGTCGTCCGAACGTTTACAGGCCACGGAATCAACGAGCTCTTCCATACCGCTCCCAATATTCCTCATTATGCCAAGAACAAGGCAGTGGGAACTATGAAGCCTGGGATGGTGAGTCACGCCTGCTCGCATTAATTGGTTTCAGCGATTGACTCTCTTGGTGTTGCCAGACCTTCTCCATCGAGCCGGTGAGCACAGAAACACGATCCCTACCTATGAAAAGGCGACGCAAATCTCATCTCTCCCTATTACATTAGATGATTAATCTCGGCAACAACTGGGCTGACGTTCATTGGCCTGACAACTGGACTGCGACAACCGTAGACGGCAAGCGAAGCGCCCAATTTGAGGAGACGGTTTTGTAAGTTTGTCACGCCTCTTTCAGAACACCAGTCCTTCTCATTTTGGTTCTCTTCTAGGGTTACCGAAACTGGTGTTGAAGTTCTCACTGCCGCCAAATCTGCGTGATTGTATATCTAATGCAAGGCCACACCCATTGGATAGATGAGAACTCCGACCACAATGGAGACCACACGGTCTTATTTATTACATATGTTTGGTCTGTATGCTAGACGTCACAAACGAATGTATCTTATGCAGTGTCCACACTACAGTCCACAGGTAATGCATTACCAGTCCTACTAGTCCTCCGAATGGGTAGGTTAAAATGAAAACTACATACACACAACAAATGCAATATGTACTCCTAGTATAGAAGAACGAATCTAGAGTAAGAAACAAGATGGAAAGCGTCTAGGTAGATTTTGAGCGGGTCATCTCCTTGTTGAGGTCTTTGGTCACCTCCGGGAAGGGCTCCTCGCCCGGAATTTGAGCGAGGCGCTCGACAGGGACATCGTTGGATAAGCTCGGCCTCCGTGTTCGGTGACTAGCGGCCTTGGGCTGAGGGACGGCGGTGCTGGTGGCTTCTGCGGATTTGGCGGAGATCATGCCAGACATTCGGAGTCTCTGAAGGTCGGCATAAGAACTATTCCTGCTCCGAGTTCGCGCAAGGCCGTCATCATGGAGAATACCGACAACATTGTCATAATCTCCATTGTCCTCCTCTTCCGATTCGTCCGGGGTCGCAACGCGACTGATATCGTCGTGACCACCCCATGCACTTGTTCCACGCCGAGCACTTTGCGACCATCCGAACAGCCGTTCGTCCAACCATGTCATGGGATGAGTGAGCCCGAGGCCTTGAGCATCGACAGCTCCGACGCTGCTCTTCCGCCTCCAGATGCCCGATGATCCTCCAGATGGTGGGGCACTAGCAGATGGCACAACGATGCGGGTCTACAAGGGAGGATGTCAGACACCAGGAAACCAAGGGGCGTTGAACTAGCTTACTTCGTCGAAATCTTCATAGAGACGAGGTCCAAAATCATTGATGAGGGAAGCAACCTCGTTGGAGAGGTGCTCTCGGGTCGCCTTCAGTTTATCGAGGGAGCGCTGCTGACCAGGAACCAAGGCAACGATGAGAGGAGGAAGGGACCTGGTAGAATATTTGGTAGCAATCTAACGAGTCTTAGGAAGATTACTTACTTGAGAACGTCCATCCCAGCTTCTCCGAATTTGAGCGAAGCGTAATTCATGAAAGGAAGAGAGAAAATCGTAATAAAAGGAGTGAGGATTCTCCATTTGAGAGGAGCTTTGGCACGAATTGCAATGATTGTGGCGATAATTGCGTAGATTGTATAGAGGATTGGCGTTACACCGAGAGCAATCAATACCTTCCATGTTGCGAGAACGTCTCGCCCCGCAACCTTGACCACGGAAGCCGCGAGAGCCTCTGAATAGATGTCAGTATATAGGTAATATGATTGCCCTGCATGACTTGCCTTTGGCCTTTTTTCGCGAGATAATGGACGCAAGGATGAACATGGGGGCGTTCAAGATGGTTCCGGGCAATGCCAAGATTGTCCACACCAGCAACAAACCGAGGCGGTATGTCAATAGCCCAAAAGACTTCCAACCGGCTTTCTTGGCTCGAGGAACCTAGGTACCACGTTGGCAAACGCCGGTCAAGAGGAGGACGAGGTGGCTCACCTGATGATCACGCAAGCCCAGATCGCGAACCATACGATTATACTTCAGAACGTCACCTCTCAGCTTCTGAACGCGTGGCTCGTCCTTGAAATGGGTGTAGCCTTCCAATAGCCGCCGGTTCAGTGTCACGACCTGACCTAGTGTTAAGTGTTGGCCTGGGGTTTTGTAAAGGCGTCGGACTGCTTGAATAAGCTAACAGGGGTCATTATTTCTGACAAGGCGTTAAAATAATACGATTCTCTTACCATTAGGGTATCGTAGTCAGGGGCTCGGACGGTAACAGTCTTGAGAGAGTTGTAGATCAACTCAAGAAAATTGGCAACCGCTTCACGCTTCTTTGCCCCACCCTCCTTGAACATTTCTACATACTCAGTGGGTACGTCGAGAGCCGCACCGAATTCCACTACAGCACGCGACCTGAAGCGATGGGCATGGAAGTAAGACAGGCCAACGGGGACAATCTTGACTTGAACGCTAGGGTCATTTGCCATGGCTCCCAAAGCCATGATGGAGACGCCGGCTTTTAGCGGAAGGAGATCCGTTCGGTCATGACTTCCACCTGAACGGAATTAGATTGAATATCCCATTGAACAAGACAAGACCGGGAAACAAACCTTCGGGGAAAATACCAATGGAACCACCGTTCTTCAGGGCCTGATAGACGTGTCTATACATCTCTTGTTGGTCGACAAAGGGGAGTTTCTTGTATTCGAGACCCTGGACGCCCTCTTTTCGCAGCTCTTCGACCTTCTCCCTGATACGAGCAGTCCCCTTGCCTGATTCTCCACCGAATTCGCGTTTGATTCGTAGTTCGGTGTCAGAGATAACTTCGCTGACTTCAGCAAGTGCAGAGTTGACAGATTTTGGTAACATGATCTGCATGCGAGGCGTAAAGTCTTTGGTAAACTGTGTTCCGTCTCCGAGAATAAGGCAGGGGTCGTCAAGGGAGAGCCAGATCTTGCCAACACCGGAGGTCGCTGCGTCGGCCGCTCGCTCGACAGGGACTGTAGGCAATACGTGAAATTCATTACGGAGAAGCGAGAAGCAGTTTACATACTACTATTCATCATTTTGATGAAAAACCCGACGTCCTTTCGCTTCATACTCTTCGCTGCCGCCAGGAATTGCACTGAGCGGTGGGTCTCTCGCCATACTTCAAGACTGAGCAACAGGGGATCAAGGAACTGGCCTCATGAGCCTAACTTTTTACTCTTTGACGCAGTTGGAGCTCACCTGGTTGTGGTGTGGTGCGGCCACGAATATCACTGGACCAGAACGAGGGATGTTGAAGGCGCCGCGAGGCCGTATCTCTCTGAAGAATATCTGGGTAACCATTCTCCAGAAGAGCATAACGGCCTCGTAAGGCACTGGCGACTGGGAAACCACTTTCTTCGCCATTGGAAAGGAACGGGAATCAGGGGTGAACAGAAGGAAGAAGAAAAGAATGTTGAGATTGGTGCAGCTTTTGTCGGAATGCGACACTGTCACAACCGACGTATTTGGATTGCTCCCGCGTCCTGGCAAGCCTAAGCCCTTGATCTCAAACAATACCAATCCATCATTCTAGTATGTTCGGGGGAATATCTAGCATATAATTTACACATGCGATGCAGCGAAAGCGACGACAGTAGCGATAAGTTCGAAGAACAAAAAGAAAAGTGGTTAAGAAGATCCAAAGTCGTTGGATGTCCGTGGTGCAGACGACCCCGAGCTGATAGTGCTCGACCGGTACTGGAAGATGTCATGGAGCCGAGAAAGGCGCTCTCCAGTATCCGCTGCACCGGACGTCGCTCGAGTAGGTGAACGCAAGGTCGGGCTTGGCATCCCCCGGTCCCTGCTGGGTGTACTTTCTAGCGCTGCAAAAACCGTCAGTTTTATATCGCAAGATAAGATGCCCCGATTGACTTACATTGTGTGACAGCAACTTCCCGTTCTTGGTCTTCGGCGGCACGGCTTGCCAATGCACGATTGATGTACTTCCTAAACACTGGACCTGTTGATTCAAGCATCTTCTCGACCCTCGGCCGCTTGTGCGGATACGCTTTGAGGAAGTGGTGTAACTCGGTGATCCCTTCTTTGTGCAGTGCCCCCGTGGTTTCGCTGGAGATATGGCCGATAATGGTTAGTAGCTGTGCGTCTGGGTCTGGTTCCTCTGCGGGTGTATAGGGAGGGTGATTCCCGTTGGCCGAAGAACCACTGGGGCTGGTGCGATGGCTGGTGGCTTCCCGATGGGAACGTGCTGAAACAGAATCGACAGGGGATCGTGGCCGACTGGAAGCAGGTGAAATCGCTCGTGAGCTCCTGCCAACGGGAGGGTTGATGTTGCCGCGGAGGGCACCTGCTCCTGCAGCGGCTCCCTTGTTGGACGAATTCAAAATCCTATACACATAGGGGTAGACTATCGTCGCCGAAGGGTCGTCGAATGACGCGGAAAGCAACTCGTACACGTCGTCCCCGTAGTGACCTGCATTGCGATCAGAATAAATTGAGGACTCCCTCCAATGAAACAACCACTTACCGACGACATGCTGAATGATCACCTTGATTGTTCGCAATGGCATGTCTCCACAGGGTACCTTGTTCGTTGCACGTGCTCGCCATTCATTGGGAGGAACAGACTGAAGGAAGTGCTCAACAGCCGGGAACAATTCCACAGGGTCCAAGACGGAGTCGGCCAAGTCTTGAGGGATGTTACGTGCCAGCTTCCAAACACACTTCAGCACCAATTCAGCAACTTTGGCTTCCTTGGAATCAGGGAGGGTTCCTCTGCTCGGGAACGGCTTGACAATTTGCAGCAGCAATGCGAAAAGAGCCCTGTATAACGTGTTAAGCTATAAGAGGGACCTGACAAAAACTCATCCTTACCTGAAGATAGACATACGGCGACCAGTGGCGAACAAGCGCAGAATGATCATGTTGATGAACCGTGATAAATCCTTGATCTTCTTGACAGAGCTGTCATCAGTCTCCAATAGCCGTAATGTCAACTCCTCCAGAAGAGATGTTAAAATCCCCACCGTGAGCGACTCGGCCAGGAAGGAATGGTCACAGAAGTTGTTCAACGTCTGGATCAGGTGTTTGGCAAGGCGGAAGTTATCGTCTGGCAAAAGGTTTTCCGGGTTCTCAAAGGCATGCGCCATCTGGAGTGTGATTGTCTCTATGAGTCCTTCTGTGTGTTCAGCCAGGTCCCGATATTGAGGGGATGAAGGCCCTGCTTCAGGACTGACGGAAAGAATCTTTTGAATCTTCTTGAGCGCATCAACACTACGCGTCGGATCGCTGCTCAGTATGCTAGAGATCGTAATCGTAACGTCGTCGGAACTTTCGGAGCGCGGAGCGGGCAATTCTCGATCGCTAGAGTGGTACCCATTCGAAGTCGCTGTCCTCATTCTCAGAGGCTCTGGCTCCGGCGGTGGAGGCGTCTCCTCTCTTGGCGGAGGGGGAGCAGTGGCAGCGGAGTTAAATGCGGGCTGAGGCATGTTGGTTCTGGGTCTTGCCAATCGGGAGGGCAGAAGAGATTTGGGGCGAGCGATGCCTGTTGGAGACGCGGGCCCATTGGATGCAAGACTTCCTGCACGAGCGCGAACAGGAGACTCGGGGGCGGAAACGGCTGGGACCGCAGGTGATACTGGTCTTAGTGACCTTGCAGGAGATGCCGGTCTTGCTAACCTTGACATTGCGGGACTGCTCGGACGTTGAAGGCCGCTCCCTGCCAACCGTGAAACAGGTGCTGGAACTGCGGAAGGTGCAGGTGCCGGCTCAGGCTTATCCACTGTACTTGGACCCGGGACACGACGGAGGCGCTCTTCGAGCTGGGTCTTGTCCTTGGGAGACAAGGGGCCAACCAAAGACCATATCTTTTCTCCAACGAGGGTGTAGACCTCACTACGACCACGTCAGTACCGGATTTCATCATAGGGCTTCCGTTCTTACCTCAACGCGGTTAGAGCTGATTTTCGAACAGCGGGGTCCTTGTCAGAAATGAGTGCTGCAATGGCGGGCATTGCCTTCGAGGGCTCGCAAGCGCTCATCCCTGATTTCTTCAGGATCGCCGAGATTTCATCCAAAGACCCTTGTCGGGTTTTAGCGACCTTGGCCTTACAACCGTGTTCCAGGAGGAACTGGAATATCCGGCTGTATGCGTAGACCTTTGGTAGACTTCGGATGATCAACGACACTCGATTTCTGACTGGCTCTCGAGCATCACCAAGCTGAATGAAGAACTGTGTGAGCACTGTGAGTCGTGTGAAAGAAAGAGGATCTAACCTTGTAGGCCATGGTCGGTACGAAGCAAATCGCCTCGCTTTCGCTCAATTGATAGTTCACGGCTCTCGCAAATCCAAGAACCGCCTCAGTAACGTCGAGACACTTGGCGACGAGGTTCGACTGGGACTCGTGTACCTTCAACGATACATATTTGAGTGGGAAGTCGATGTTCGCGATGCAAATCTTCTCCGCTATTTCGTCCCCCTGAGCGCTGGAGTAGAAGTCCGCCATCATGCCCAAACCGGTAACATGGTCATTGACAGCATTGTGGTCATTGCTGAATAGCCGAGAAATAAGCTCCTTGGAGGCATGCGGTTCCATTTGGGTTTGAAGCAACTCTGCCAAGTCCTTCCTACCCGCCCCGCCCTCGTTGATCCACTTCTGCACATCCTTGCCAAGACGTAAACGTTTACTGTCAGGGTTGGTGGAATGGAAAGGCCCTGTCGAACTTTGTACTGGGGATTGGACAGCAGGGGCCCCAGGTTTTCTGAGGCCTGAAGCACCAGGCAGTCTGAGTCCCGACTCTGCGACAGATTCGGCGCGGGATTCCGGACGACTTGTGCCCTGGGGTAACTTTCGTCGAACGCCAAGTTTGCTAGGAGGCTTCATGGCGGCTGGTGCAGCGGCCCCAGGCCCATCTGAGGCCCGGCTGGGTGGTCTGATCGAAGCCACGGACGATGGCCTTGGTGCTGGTGCTTTCTTCTCAGGTGCGGGGGCTGCAGGAGGAGGAGCTGGGGCCTCGGAACCGGCTGGCCTGGCAGCCTGGATGAGAGGAACGGCCGTGGATCTGGAAGCTGGCTTCAGGGCATTGGTTTGTTGCAGAACGAAGTCGTAACCGGCGTGCTTGATCAAGAAAGGCAGGATGGCTTGAGCACCTTTGCGAACATCAGCGTTGCGATCATCGAGGGATCCAACGACGGAAGCTGCCCATGCGTGTAAATCTAGGCTGGAAGAGGCCTCGTTCTCCTTGAGCCAATCGGCTAGCCATCCAAGGAGGGTAGCTTTCTGGAGTGGATTCTGCGTTTCCAAAGCAGTTGCAAAGCCGGCAACCAGAGATTCCAACCCCTCGCAGGCTGTTGCAATCGCGGTCAACGTCTGGAGGGCGGAGTTGCGGATAGGCGCCTTTTGATCGGAGAGCACAGTCGCGACAGGGGTCGCAAACAGTCTGGAATGCTTTTCAAATCCCTTGCCCATGCCGGTCGCTATGCGAGCGACGATGTCAAGCGCCAGGGTTTGGACAGCCTTGTTGGTATCGACCACTCTTGCCTTGAGAATCTGACCAATCTCGCCTAGAGGTGAATCAGTATTTTTGATAGCGCTGGCAGACGAAAGACGAACCCATGTTCGGCTTGAGCCGTTTATTGTTTCCTTGGTCTAGGATTGCTTGCAAGGTTTCCAACGCTTCTTTCTTGGTCTTCCAAGCGTCGCTCTTGGCGTCAGTCAAGATCGTAGTACCCTTCATCAAGCCATCCAACTCGACTCTCGGGAAGAGGTCGTCGAGAGCATCCGCAGCTGCAGCGCCACCCTTCCCACTTCCACCCGCAGGTGCAAGGTTAACAACGTCGGCCGATGTTCGAGACGGCGTTGGTGCTGGTGTACCCTCTGCTTTGTCGAATTCACTCGAGATGGTTGAAAGTAGCTGAGGATTGATGTCTTCCAGGAGGTCTTTGATGCCTGAACCAGCGAACAATTTGATAGTAACTAATGTCTTCGTTGCACTGGTACGGACAGCAGCATTAGAGTTTGCGAGGCCGACCTTGAGGAAATCGATGACCGAACGCAGAGACAGACCCGCGATTCCAAACTCAGTCAGAGCAGTACCAATCCAGGTGATAGCGTCGGCGAGGACCTTGGGAGCCTTCTGTTTGGACAACGGCTCGTACGCTGAGGATGTTGGTAAGAAAACCTTACAGCCTGGAAAATATTGATCGTACCTTGAGAAAGGACAAACTGCAGCGAAGTTTTCTCCACAAAATCCAACAAAGTGTCTCCAGCTGGCTTCTTTAACTTCATGTCACCAAGCTTCTCCGTGAGATGACCAACGCTCAGAGCCACGCAAGACCGACCGAAACTGGGACACCTCTGAGCGAGGATACTCAGAATGGCATAGAGTTTCGTCGACACCTAAATCTCGGTCAGAATTTAATGTGATAAGGGATTCTGTCTGCGCACTTGGAAGTTCTTCTCGCTCCAACCCTTCTTTGCCAGAGCGCGTACAAGTACCTCGGCATCAATCGTGTCCACTTCGCCTTCTAGCCATGTTGTCATTTCCTCTAGGGCGGCCAATCGCGTTTTCCAGTTGGAGTCTGCGAAATCGGTAAGCAGGTTCGAAGGAATCATGTCGGCAGCCACTGCTTCTGCATCTTCGGGAGTGTGCTTGTATTTGAAACTATCTAATGCACTCGCAGCTGGCGCGGGTGCAGGCTTCCCTCCTTTGGCAGCGGGAGGGGCAGTCCCAACGGGCTTCTTTGCTGCAGCAGGAGCAGAGGCCGCAGCCACAACAGCCGGAACTTTCTTGGCCTGTAGATTGCAGATGAGCATACTTATTCGCCGTCTCTGGGAGGAAACTAGTCACCGATGGTTTAGCAACAGGTTTCTTAGGAGGGGGCGGGGCCTCAGGCTCCTTCTCTGGCTCGGGGGGAGGAGCTGCTGCTGCAGGAGGTTTGGCTGCGGGCTTTTTGGTGGCTGGCGCTTTGGGTGCCGCGGCGGCAGGAGGGGCCTTGCGAGCTGGAGCTGCACCGCCTGCTTTGCATTTCACGGTTGCTTTCTCGAAGGCTTCTTTCACCTTTGCTTTTCTTACATCTGCCATTGAATCCATGATCGCGTTGAGGGGTCGTTCCCCTACCATCTTCATAAGTGTACCAAAGCAGTTTGCAGCTTCATTACGAGCGCCCTCGAAGCCATCTTCCAGCAATACTGCCAAACTTTCGGATAGCGGCTTGATCTGGTTGGGAGGAATAGCACTAGTGGCCGCTGAAAGAGCACGACCCAGGAACTTCAACGTCCCTTCCTTGACTTGAGGGTTCTTATCCTTCAGAGCCGGCTCTAAATCCGGCAGGATGTCGTTCAAGGTAACCTAGAATAAGCCAAGGGTGAGATCGAATTGACGCCTGACCATGGTGCCTCCTACCGTGGAGAAGATAGCATCTAATGCGGCCCCGATCGCGTCGGTTACAGTCGCTTTGCGTTCCTTCAACCGAACGAGCATGAGTGGGACTGTGCTCTCTCGATATTTGGCGAAAGAATCCATCATCGCCTTTGCAAGACCTTCTAAACAGTTGGCGGCGACCATAACGCAATTGATGTTGGCATCTTTCGAGATGCAGGTTGCCAGTGCTTTTGCAAGTTCTGAGAGCTCTGGTGCATCCTTTATCCGGGGGGTGGCATTGACCAGGGTCAAAAGATCGTCGAGGGCCTCCTTGCGCTCCTTCCACTTCGATGATTTCAAATTTGTGTGCAAGTTAGCAGGTAGTTTGGGTACGATATCTTCGGGCTCTGCAAAGGCTCGTGGATCAAAGTCCTCGGGCTCTAAAACGCGATTATAAGCAGGGACGATCGATTGTAGAAGGTCACTACGCACCTGCAGGGGCATCGTCTTCCGCAGCCTCTTCTCCAGCGTCTGCCTGCAATTCGGCCTCGCGCGCAAGTTCCCTCGTCAAACGCTCGGGTTTAACAGATCCCTTCCCTTTCCCATCCTTTTCCAACCCCTCGAAAGCCTCCTTCAACTCTTTAACCTGGACGGGTTTGAGGTCTGAAAGCCATGACTCGATTCCGGGTCCGAGATACTGGTAGAGGCTGAGTGCTAGGGCTGTTCCCTCTGCTCTGACTGTCTTGTCACTGTGAGCAAATATTTTGGGGAGGGCCTTCAAAACTGGCGGGGGTGGTGTAACTTGTATGCCGAAGTTGCTGAGAATCTCGAGTTGGGAATATTGATCTCTATTGTTTAGGGTAAGAAACTCACCGAATAACTTCTTTCAAAGCTGTAACACATCCAGCCACGACCTTTGGCTGTTTTGCACCTAGACCGGGGAGGAGATCGTTCTAACCGAGGAATGCCAAGTCAATCAATTAGTTGGGGCCCGGGACCGAGAAAAGTGAAATCAAGACTTGCCACAACGCCAGTTCCCCCGTTTTCAACTTCAACATATTGCAGAACCAATTCAATTGCCTGGTTTCTCGTTCCTGCACGGGTTGAACCCAGGCATTTGTCCACGAGCGCGGGCACGATTGCCTCGCGGGTCTTTGCTGCTGTCTCTCCAGCGAACTTGACGAGGGCGACCAGGGACTCTACACCCTTTTCCTGAGCCACTGCATTTGCATCTGTTGCGAACTTCTTTATGAGGTCTGTGTTGGAGATATATGGCTTGAATGCGGGATCTGTGTCTGAGGCGGTATTCTGGAAGGTCTTGATTAAAGCTTCGTAACCACTGACACGGGCTTTCCAGTTTTTGTGGGCGATTCTGTCGGATATTGGGAGGGTGGTGAAATCCTCCTCTGGTGGAGCTGGACCGTCCATGGCCGAGCGTTGACTTAGGAGAAGACAGTCACTGAGCTGGTTGAGGTTCAAACCTTCCGACCCATGTCACGTCGTTGATTGAAATGATTGCATCACGTGTGTTCCCAGACGCGTCCACTACCGGCGAGCTAGCGCTGCCCCTACTTCTACCACTAGATTATACACCTGTTCAGATTGACTATCCGTCGCCGACTTTCCCATCTTCAGAGCCGCCTTTTCCGCCTCGTCGTACGCATGCATCCTCTCGTTTCGCTTGTCCGTCTGTCCCAGATTTTCGTACAGCACAGCTTGCATGTAAAGCACCTCCTTGGCAGACGACCGCATTTCCAGCCGGTCAAAATCCATATCTGCAAAGGAGAGGTAATATAAGGCTTCCTCAATCACGGCAGCTGCGAGATATTGGTTAACAGGGGTAGAACTTTAAGCATCGAAATTACTCACGGGTGACCTCGTCGGCAGCTGCGAGTAGGCACCTGGCGTAAGTGAAGCAAGCCGTCGCTCTCAACTCTTTGACCGTGCTGGTCAGGATCTGAAGGGAGATGAGTTGGAGTACAGCGCTATCATACAATATCTTACCTGGGGCATGATCTCTCCAAGGATCCTCTTCGACTTCTTTGCCATGTTAAATTCCAAACCGAAATCCGCCATCAACACGATGCCTGTCCGGTAGGCATCATATCTGCCCAGGAACTCTGCCTGGAATAGCAGCTTTAACAAATCATTCACAGCTGTGGACAGTTGGTCGTGTTGCTGTCGACACTTGTCAGTCCCCCTCTGAACAGCGGCCATGAAAGCACTGACCTTGAATTGGAGAACTTGGTAGATACATTGACGGATTGCAGGCAGAGAAGCCGCTTTGAGCTCTTCAAAGGAGAAATAACGGGGATTGAATTCGCCCTGAGGCTTCCTAGGAAGGAGATATTCTCTGTAGTGTCGAAGTTGTCCTCTCATTAAATGTCAGTCCTGGCATCCGCCCGAAGCCTGAGGTGGGTGTCTTACCGACGAACAGACCGAAGCGCGAGAATACACCATATCTCGTGAGCCCAAAGTCTATAATCAGGGATTGTTATTCCTCTCCAAGTGGTCGGGTCGAGCAGTAGCGCAAGTGCCGCCTTGTAGTCGCCTCCCAGTGCAGTCTAGGTATGGTACATTGGCACAATTGTCAGACTTCAATCTCGGGATACGCACCGTATATGCTCGGTTCAGCAGCACACTGAGTCGAATGGAGTTGTCCCCGCCTATGTCTGTGAAAGCAATAACAATGTCCTCTTCCAAAGCCGCCAACTGAGAACATCCTGCAGGATATCAGTGACTTGGACATTAGTCTCGGCGTACTCGACGTACCAGCTTCTTTCCAAACATACGCCTGGACGGCATGTTGCGCCCATTGGTACTCCTCATTCGGTACTGAAGACTCGCGATCACGGGATACATCTAGACGATGATCGTACAACCCCGTAGCCTGGACTATCTTGCTGAACGCTGTGGAAAGAGGCTGTTCCTGGAGACTTCGTCAAAGCCTGTTTGCGGCACGAATGCGAGTCGGCCTCACGTTTTGCTCATCCATTAATTTCTTCACATCGAAGAGTAGCTCGAGAGGGTCCAAGTCGGGCTGAATTTCATTTATCGTTGCTTTGAATCCAGGTGCAGGCGGGAGTCGATGCAGCAGGCTGTAGAAGTGTTAGTACTGGTCAGGAGTCCTTTAGAAGATACTACCTTAGACAGTGCAATAACGTGGCCCTGTCATTAGCTGTACGGGAAACAGATATGGCTTCTCCTAGAAGCTTCAAGAGAATGAGCACAGCGAAGACTCGGACTAAGGTCCCTCACCTTTCTTGCGGCTACATATTCCTTGTTGACATAGTGCATTTGTACAACGTTGAGCAAGGCGTGCTGCCGGAACCCGCTGCTGAAAGGTGAGTTCAAGGAAGGAAAGAGAGCGGAAATCAACACACGAGTCTGTATTATCGTGAAAGTGCTGTTCAAAGAATCTGCGAATGTTCTCCACCGCGATATTCTCGTCCCCTATGGCCTTGCCCTTCTCCCACCTACGATAGGCTCAGTTGATAAGGGAAGCCCGAAACAGGAATACACATACGCTGCGTATGTTTCTGCTTGTGCCCAAGACTTTCTGTCTGTCGATGTTTTCTGAAGCAGGTAGTCGACTGGAAGTCCTTGTCAGGCATTTCCACTTCGGAACACCCTTTTTCTTGACGCACATACTTGTTAAATCGACTTCGGGAACTGAGTTGTAGCTCGGAACTGGTAGTCCTGCACACCATGCTTGGTATTCGTCTCTCAACTTGACGAGACCGACATAGGAAAGCTTGACGAAGCTGACGAAACAACGTCGACAGAAGTAGCCGAATAACGATCTGCGCATCTTGAGAACGGGTCAACTGGAGGCCATGATCGAAGGAATTATGCTACACACAAATCTGGGGTTATCCTGTCCAAAACTAAGTATCCATATTGGCCAAATTGATATTGCCACCCACCTCCATTATCTTCTCAATGAATAGAGTGGGGAGGTCTGCGGGCAATGAGAGAGAGTCCTGCCACTGTGTTACAAGACACTCACTGCCCAAGAAATTGCCCAGTTTTTCTGTAGTGACCAGCTCTGCATGCTAGGGAATGTTTCAGACAGAGATGTTTGAGTCCGAAGAGTCCAGGCGTACGATGGTATTAATGGCTGCGAGGAATTGTGCCGATTCCTTCGTTGTCGACCCTGGTCCTGTATTGATCTCCTTCATCAATTCACGATGCGATTTGGGCTGTGTAACCTGTCCAGGCGTTATACCCAGTATCAACTTTTGTTAACACAACGCCATACCTCTGAGACCTCGTTGAGTAGAATTCGGAGCAAGTGTAGGGAGAAACTCGGTGGTAGCTTCTTGATTTCCATTTCCCTGAAAGCTATCATCAAGATAGACAACAGCACCAGGTGATGTCCTCGGAGAACATGTCGTGTTGGGGTGGGTGTGTCTTCCATTTGAGCCTTCCAGTTTCGAGCCAATATCGTCGCGCTGTTGAACGCGGTCGACGCGAGGGTGAGGAGCAGTCCTTTTGATCTCGGCGCCTATTGCCCGACGGATTCTGTGTTCGGCAACGGCCGCCATCAGCGATTTTTGGAGGACGGTCCTCTCAAGACTCTCTCGGCGCATACTCTCGCTTCCTTGAAAGCCCTGGAACGAACCAGTTCCAATACAACCGAGAATGGCCAATAAAGCGAGCAGAAAACGACCGTCAAATGACGTCGCGGTACGATAATCACAATTTGACAGGCTGAAAACCAAAATCTAAACGGTTTTGCAGGGCCCTTCGAAGAAACGGAAATTCTCCAAGGAAACGTCGAAAGATCGCGTCAAAGGCAAAGCAAAGGCTCCAAAGCAGGAAAGGCTTGCGGACAGAGGGGTTATACCCATTCCGGTCGACGACGAAGAAGATGTTGAACTCTCAGACGAGGACATGGAGATGCTCGACGAGTTTGGTGAATCTCTGGGCTTCTTACAGAAACTTGATAAGAAAGGAATAGCAAGGTGCGGTTCCGCTCTTTGCGCGACGTGACCTAACTTACCCTTTTGTTTAGGAGCAAGAAAGAAACGCAAAGATTGAACGAGTTAACCAAACCTGTTCGACAAGCACCGAAGGTGGACGGTCTCCCCCCAATAGATTCCAACGACGAAGACTCGGATGATTGGAGCTCAGGTGTAGAAATGGATTCGGACCTCGACGACGATGACATCTCTCTATCGGATGACGACGCAGGCGACTTTTCCGATTCAGACCAGGAAATGCCATACGAGCTCAAACCAAGAGTGGTCAAGGTCAAGGATGACCCCAAGGAACGTGAAGTACAGCGGTTGCCCATCAAGCTGCCGGATGGAAAAGTCAAAAGCAGTGGGACTCGGGCGGTTCTTACAGACGGGTCCGAGGATGAAGAGAGCGAAGAGGAATCCGAGATAGAGGGACCTGCTCCCATAAAGATCGAGGACGGCTCGACTGGGGCAAGGTTTGGTAGGCCGGCCGTGGCAGACGTACTGAAAACGTCGTCGAGGAAGCTAAGAGTCCAACTAGCCAAGGAACAGATTGCTGGAATATGCAATGACATCCTCGCTGATCCAGAAAACAGTGTGAGTGTGGACTTCTTAGCTTCGTTTTGAACGCATTCATTCTCATGGAGCCTTTTAGTTGGTCCTTTTGAAACGGCTGCATTCGTTTGCGCTCTCAGAGTTGACAGTTCCTGGCGAAACGAAACCTGTCCCCAACGATGATGTAGTACGGAAGTTGGCCATCCTCTCCCAACTAGCTGTATTCAAGGATATCATTCCTGGGTATCGGATACGTGCATTGACGGACAAGGAGAAGACGGAAAAGGTTAGCCAGATGGTGGCACGTACTCGTGAATGGGAACAGGGCCTAGTGTCCGTATACCAAAACTACCTACGTCTCTTGGACGGCGAAATCAAAGGTTCGTTAATGCCCTTGCATCGTGACTTCCACATAGCTAACATGCTGTCACTAGCTCGCTCACCTCTGGCGGACGCCGCTATCCATTGCATGTGCATCCTGCTAGCGGAGGTCACGCACTTCAACTTTCGCCAAAACCTTATGGCATGTATTGTTGCCAGGTTAAGTAAACGCTCCTGGGACGAGGTATGCTCAGTTTTCAGACTCAAGCTTAACACATGCCGATCCCTTGGTTAGACTTCAGAGCGCTGCTTGAACACGCTCAACAGTGTTTTTCGCGCGGATCAAACTGGAGAGGCGTCCTTGGAAATTGTACGCATTCTGAACCGTATGGTCAAGGAGCGAAGGTTCAAAATCCACCCCAATGTCCTTTCCTGCCTCCTCAATCTTCGCCTACGGACCGAACTAAACGTCCGAGCCTCTCAAACCACCGCCGAGGTGCCCGATTCAAAGGAAAAAAAGAAACGGAAGAAAAAGTCCGACCAGCCACATCTGAGCAAGAAGGCCAAAAAGATGTTAAAGGAGAGGAAGGAGATCGAAAAGGAGATGCGGGAAGCTGAAGCTGAGGTGGACAAGGAGGCTCGGTCAGTTACGGTAAGTATTGTCACTATCGAGAGGAAGAGGCGCAACTGATTCCCCCTATGTCATTGCGTAGCACACGGAAACTCTAAAATTGCTCTTCGTGTTATACTTCCGTATATTGAAGCATCCGACGCCATCTCCCCTTTTGCCAGCAGCGCTGTCCGGCATCGCCAAATTTGCCCATTTGGTCAACATCGATTTTTTCAGAGACCTTATGAAGGTTTTGAAGGAGTTGATGGCCACTGGCACTGCGGAGGACGACACATCGGATGCTGAGCTCGCCGCCGCACCTCTCGGAGACGACAAGAGGACGTGCCACCGCCTGTTATGCATCAGCACGGCGTTCGAATTGCTCTCAGGTCAAGGTCCGTCTAACCTTCTCCAGCCACCCGCACCCACAACAGCGCTAACCTCGTGACACCTTTCCAACAGGTGAAGCGCTGAATATAGATCTGTCTGACTTTATTTCAGAGCTTTACGCTATGTTGCTTCCGCTGAGCTTGCTCCCAAACATCGATGCACCCCATTCCGGCATTTCCGTCCCCAAGATCAGACCGAGCAGTGCGGACCAGCAAGCGCCGTCGATAGCAGATCTCCTTTTCAACACCCTCAATATAGTCTTCTCTCCGCGAAGTCCTGGGTCCAGCGGCTTGGGTAGTCCGCCCTGGCGTGCCGCAGCATTCGCGAAGCGGCTGCTGATTGCTTCACTGCACTGGCCCCCGGCAGTCAGCTTGCGGGCTCTGAGCTTTGTTCGAGCGCTTGTGGCGAGGCACCCCAAGCTGGAGGGGCTACTTTCGACGGAAGACCGAACTCATAACGGCATCTACCGTGCCGACGTCGATGACCCGCAACTCTGCCACGCGCTCGAATCTTCCTTCTACGAGCTTCACTTGCTGCAGAAAGCTCATATCAACCCGCGGGTCGGCGAGGAAGCGAGAAGGATATTGGACTACTCATCGTGATGGAGAGAGGAGGACTGTAGATAGTTGGCGCTAGTCAAATGAAGATGATTTTGTAACGATCGCGAGCTGCGTAAAGTCGTGCCAAATCGATTGTCATGGATCATTGTAATACACATGGGTGGGATGTATGGATGAGAGGGGAATGATACAGTGGTGCTATATGAGTCGAAGATCCCAAGGTTAATAGGCAGCCGTCAACGGTATACAACAAAAGAGGATAAGTAAAGCAGAGTCCTTCAAAGTTAATAATGATAGGAGATCGTCAAATCGTCAACTGGGTATGCGAATCGCGACCAACCGCAAATCGAACACCGAACACATTATGATACAATAGCGAATAAACATATTAAAACTCCAGCCCAAGCAGATAGAAAAATGCCGTGTAAAGCGAACGAAAACTAACGCGGTGGTATTGAGTAAGGATTTGCGACAGGCGAAAGCTGCTGAGACATGCGGCGAGAGGTCGAGGAGGTGTAAAGGGACGTAGATTGGGGGTTGGCAGGCTTCTCCGCCATTCTATAGTGCTGGAAACCGAGAAACTCGGAGCAGGGCATTGGACCGTTTTTGCGATCCAATTCGTAGATCAGGAAGAGAAGGACCTGATCATCGACGGCTAATTCCTGCGTCACAGTGGTTGGCAGGTCTAAATCGGGTCGCGATGAGCATTTGGTGCAAAGCGAGGGAAGGAAAAAAGCGTACTGTGATCAAGCCACCGGCAACGGGTCAAGGACGAATCAGGGAACAGAGCATGTACTGTGCCGTTGGCGTTGATGTGAGACACTTGGAGATTGTCGTGCTCCTCGGATACCAAATTGTTCGCGGCATAGACCTTTGTTGTACACTTGGCAGAGTTGCTCCATACGTTTGCCACACTGACGCTGGCGTTGAATCCGTGGAGAGTTGATGGACTGCGGACGTCGTTCAACAACGGCACCGAAAGCTTAATTCGTAGGGTGAAAGCCTGCCGAGTGGATGGTGCAGTCTGAGCGAGAGCATCGACGTTGACAGAGAATGGTGTCATGCCCTCGGCGCAGAGAAAGAATGTCGTAATCCTGTTCTGCACTATTTGCGAGAATGACGTCGCAGCCGGAGAGGCAGCTGGTGCGGTGTATGGATATCCGGTGAATTGAGGCGGAAGTTGCTTATAGGTAGCGGGGTTGGTGGGAGAATACTCGGTGGGGAGGGCATGAGTGTAGTCGTTGTAAGGGGATGTCGAAGGACTTGAAAGGAAGTAAAGGCCTCCTGGACTACTCTCTTGTTTGATCGCAGCGAGGCCAGAGGGAGAGTCGGAGGGATAGAGGTTGGGGCGCTGCTCAGGTGTCAAAGGAAAGTCTGAATGCGAGTCGGGAGGCGAAAAGTCCGGGGATGCCGAGTGGGAGGAAGATTCTTCCCAGTCGAGGGAGACGAGATGGTTAGAGTCTGCCTCCTCTTTGATGGGTATATGGGTCACTGGATCGACTATCTCGTCGCCTCCAGCGACTAGGTGGAACTCTGGAGAAACCTTAGTTGGATCGGATTGCACAGCAGGTTGGGGGGCTTACCTGGCTGACCCTTCCACATATTCCGCAGGACCTGTATATGGCTCGCAACCTGCTTTTTGGTGCGCTGAATGCCATGGCGCTGCAGGTAGTCGACGAGAAACTGGTTTCTCCATCGACTTCTACCCCTGGACTGAGAGTAAGTTGCATAGGGCGACTGCCAGTACTCTTTGAGACCTGTAATATTGGAAGTCGGTGAATGAAAAATAAGCTGTCTAGGCTGTGCTCACCTTGGACAAAGGTCTTCTCGATGCTCTCTGGCCATACCTCGACGCCGCTGCCGTCCTTGAGGAGCTTTCTGTGTTTGCGTTGAGGGGTGAGGGTGTCTGTCGGTGTATCGTGTTTCTTCATGGGAGAGGCAGTAGTGGACCAAAGCGCGTCAAGGGCGAAAGAGGACAATGAAGGACGAGGTAATATATAGAGATCACATGTGCTTCCCGATTTGGAATCTCGATTCTCGGATCTTGGTAAAACAGTAAACTGACTCAAATCATCCAAACCAGTTCTCGACCAGAGATCTATTCCCGATCTCCAGGTTTTTGGGCCTAGAAAGTGCCCAAAGGTCCCCGTCCACAGTAGAGTCCAGAAATTGGAGAGATGCCCCGGACTGAAAGTGAGTAAAACCCAGGCCCTCGGATGGCCGGTCCTTGCCTGGTACTTTGGGTGAAGAATTTGAGACTGGGGGAGACTTTTTGGATGGAGATTCCTTTGATGTTTCTTCTTTCGGGAGGGCAACGGCATCGTCCGACAGGTGTTCCCCAGCAAGACCGAGCCCGCCGGAGTGCGTCGGCAATTGCCTCCGGCGAGTTAGTGAGGGAGCGAGTTTGGATGGTTGTTGCGGTTTATACAATGGAGCTGACTCGCGCATGGCTGCTCCAGAACGTGCAGCCATATGCCAGCAAGGAACGGGTGTATGCAGATGTCGACGCTGTGCTCCTGAGATACCCGACTTTGAGGCCTAAATCCGATGTATACAGTGCGCCCTTTTGGTGTCTGATCAGGCCGTATTGTTAATCCTTAATCGTTTCGCCAGCCTTCGACGACGGTCGCAGCCAGTTGCTGCTCTGTGTCCATGGCCTCCTGCCGATCACTTATCGCCACGCGTCCTACAACATTCCCCTCAATGTCTGGCTAACAAGGGACTATCCCCGTCACCCTCCCTTGGTCTATGTAGTTCCCACCGCCGACATGCTCGTCAGGCCTTCCAAGGCTCTCGAGGTCAGTGGCCGTTGCAACCACGAATATCTGCAGCACTGGCAGCGCAAGGACGAGGTGTGTCCACAGCAGTTTTATCTACTGTTCCTTATTAACTCGATCGACACAGGGTTGTAGTCTACTTGGGTTGTTACAAGATCTACAAGACAACTTCTCGCGTGAGCCTCCGGTCTATGCGAAACCCAGACAACAGGCGCCAGCTGTGAACGTGCAGGCAGCGAGTCAGTCAGGTGGACCTCCGCCAGTTCCTGCGCGTCCGCCTCTCCCACAAGGGTCATATCAGTCAGCCCCATTATCTCCTCCAAGGCCGCCTCCTCCACCTATCCACCAGCACGCGGACCCTTCCCAGATCCGTCGATTCGTGAGTAGCCCAAGTCTCTTCCTTGTCTCCCACTTTTTTTTTCTCTCTAATGCCTCCTTTAGTCACCCCACGGAGCCTTCACTCCTCCTCCCGCCCCACCACCACCACCGCCGCCACCACCACCACCACCCTTACCGCCTCAATTATCCGACACCGTCCGTCCTCCTTTTGCTGAAACAAATCCCATCGGTCGTTCAGGATCGGCTTCAGCAGACGGCAATAACAATTCATACCCTCTCTATCGTCCTCCCATTGCAAATATCCGCCAGCCTGATCTGCAAGGACATAGCGTTTCACCGACAACCAATCATACGGCACAGCCCGTTTTAGCACCGCCACCCGTGCCCCCTGCGCCCCTTATCGCCAATGCAGTGCAACAACTCGCTCAGCCAATCCGGTCCACTCCCATCCCGGACCTCCTCGATGACGACACGGAATCAACACCTTCCACAGAGTGGATCCAGGCTCCCTTATCATCGGCCAACCAGCCACCTCCCCGACCTCCAAATCCCGAGCTCCTCGAACTTCACCGTCAGGTACATCACAAACTGACGTCAGAGCTAAACTCACTGTCCCAGGCACTCGCACTTGACGCCGAGAGACTACGAGCTCATCAGAATGACCTGTTGGCGGGTGAGCCGGCCATTCGCGACGAAATGGCTCGTCTGGAAGCCGTCCGCGACGTATGTCGTGGGGTCGCTGAGAGAACAAGGCAGGCCGTGCAGAGCACAGAGTCCAATATTACCGAGTTGCGACGGAAAGGTGATCCGGAAGTCGATGAACTTGTATGTGCAACTTCTATCGTCCATAACCAGTACGTCACACCATCGTACCACTTTCTTTTTGACGCTTGACATAACGCCATCTTAGGCTCATCAACCTAGTCGCTGAAGACAATGCCATTGAAGATACCATATATCACCTACATCGGGCACTCAATTGCGGCAGGATTGACCTCGAACGGTTCCTCCGTGTGCGTTCATCCTTTCTAGCATCCATGGTGGCACCCGTTAACCTATTCCCTTTATCTTCGGATCCTAGTCCACTAGGGTTCTTGCGGAGGAACAATTCACAAAGCGGGCGCTGATTAACAAGATCTTGGGCGGTATGTCATCCTTATCTCCCAACCTTGGGTCAGGATGGACATAACATCGGGCTTTAAACTCCACCCACTCCCCCAAGTACCGGCTTCCCATGTGTATTGTCCCCCAAATGGTGCTCACCGTAGACCTTTACGTTGTACTTGCAACGGGCGTTCACTCAACGTTCGCGTGGGCTTTGGGCTCCGGCCTCTCAACAATCAGCTGTTTATACAGTTGATGGTCCCAAACGAATTGATTGAGTTTATCCGCTTCTTCAGGAGGGTATGTAGCAGTACAGGACAGACCTCCGATAAATACGAAAAGATACCACTTATACTATGCCAATCCACGACCGGTATTTCCCACCCACCTCCACACCCTCAATTCATCGCCACCCTCGATTTCCTCGAGGTTAGCACGGACATTCGCATTTCCTTCTACGATGTGCTCCACCTTGTCCCATAACCTTCGTCGGGTAGGAATCGAGTGTTCATTCTGAAGAATGACATCCCTCAATTGAATCGAGGACAAATACGGATGAGGGGTGCTGACGGGGTCCGTATGGTGGGCCAATTCCTGGTTCCTCAACGTGTCCAACGCGATTTGGACAAGCTCAGAGACACGTCGGGCTTCCGATTTCTTCTTGAGCACCCTCAAACGAGCGAAGAGTGTCGCAAGAATGGCGACCACAACCCCTGCATACGGTAATCAGAAACGGTTGTCTATAATGAGATGTGGGTTTCCATTATCGGCTCACCTAATGCGGTTTGTCTCCAGGCAGCCCACAACTCTCTTGACTTGACGGTAATCATACACCCCCATGTCAAGTCTGCATCCTTACTTGCGAGATAGCTGTTACCCCTGTGGTGTTTTCAAGATCAGCCGTGTGTCGTCCTCGAATGCAAGCACACATACTCCTTATCCGAAGAACGAAGGACTCGACCCCATGCAACGAGCTCTTCAACAGCTTTGTCGAAGGTTTCATTGAATGCCGACTTCAAACTAGGCTAAGGGCCGCCGTGAGCAATTCGTATTAGTGATGGAGAAAAAATTGTGGCTTACTGAAGTTTTACCCTTCACGATTTCCCGAAGCGTTTCAAGTTCGACTCCCCATTTACGAGCCTCTCCCCCATCTTCCTCGGAATATACTTTTTTCAGTTCCTTTCCACCCACGCACAGACGGCTGCCGCGTTCTTGGGAGAGCATGGATTTCATGGCTTTACCCAAGGCACTGATTTTGAGTTGCAATTTCGGGTCCGGAACACATCGAGGAGGCAGTGCAATGGGGCCTAACCCAGGAAGCCCGTTAAGTCCAGTAGACAACAACGACCATATGATTTCTGATGGTGTGGATGACGATGATATTGACAAGTTGAACGAATGAGGCGGGTCGGGGAGGAAGCCAAGCAGTAGAGGAGGCTTCAAGAGGTAGCCATTGTCACACTGGACGGAAAACTGCGAACATGTCGCCTGTCTGGGACATGGCGTGCAAGCATCGGGATGGGGGCGGGGCACCAGTGGTGGCAATGGACAGGCAATAGCGGTTTCGTTGAGATCGGAGTCGCGGAGAGAGGGAAGATACAGTTCCGTCCGGTTCTCTTTGTTACAGGCCTCTACGGCATCTCTGTACGATCGGGCAGCTTCTAGCGCGTCGTTGGTTTTACTGTCAGTGTCGCAGAAACCGATGGCCGCCGATTCCATTTTGTAATCCCACATGGCTATAGCAGCGAGAATGACGGACAACAGGATTGCCAAACGAATGGACAAGCGAGAGAAGGTTAACCTCGCAGCTCCAGGCGCCAATTCTGCGCTCTCGGATGTAACCAACTGCTTCTCCTCCGACTCTCCAAGTTCTCTTTCGCCTTCAACTTCATCTCGTTCATCGTCAGGGTGCTGCAGCTCTGGCTCTTGGTCATCTTCCTCCTTCTTGACGGGAACAATGATGTCCTCGTATACTTCCTGCTGGAGATGGCCTTCCCCCGCATGATACTCGTCACGATCCTCTTCTTCTTTGGATGGTTCCCGAGGTACGAACTGGAAGGGAGACACTGGAGCTGGGATAGACTTTGGCTTTTGAACTGGACTGGGAAACACGAGCGGGGGAGGTGGTCTGTCGAATCTTGGGTTGAACGACGATTCAGGAGGAGAAAATGGTGAGCTTCTCGTTGGCGATGAGTCGGGAGGCGCAGACATAGACTTTCGTGACCTCCGGACTGTGCCACTTTTCCTTGGAACTCGTGTTCGTGCGGGCGAGGGTCGCGCTGGAGACGAAGACTCTGCCCCAGACTGAAAGATATTGTTGTCCTCCCATCCGCTATCTTCGCCGAACTAAAAGCTAAGATTCAGTCTTCGACACACGGTTACTGATGCCACTGCGCTACCTTTTCAGATATTCGGCGAGATGTCTACGATTCAAGACCTTAATTGATACGAACAATGACGATGTCCAGACGGGCACGTACCGATTTCTTACTTCGAACAATTTTCTTGGGAGGCTGGACTTCCTCTTCTTCCGGTTCGCTCTCTTCTATAAGTGGAGGCTGAACTGTAGATCTGCGACGTGAGGAACCGCCCAAAGTGGGTTGTGCTGAAGATCGCCTTCGTTTGGGCTATGGACAGGGTTCAAGTCCTCTGTTCGAAGCAAGGGGAGTGGTCACTCACAGGTTCGGGTGGCGGGACGTCTTCCTCGTCGTCTTCGACCTCGACAGGTGCTTGCGACAGCCGCCTAGAGGAGCGGCGGGGTGCGGTCTACGCGGTCCAAGTTACTAATGTCCTCATTGCTGACGCTCTTGGACCGTTACCTTCCTCACGGCAGCCAGCGGGCGACCTGTGACTCCGTCCATGATTCCATCGTCACTGGGAGCACTGTTGTTCCTTTTCATGCGTTCTTTCTTGAATTTGGCTGCTCGCGTTTTGACTTCATCGTTGAAGACCTTAACAAGCTTGGCCTTGGAGTACGGAGTTGGATATTGGATGTTGTGATAGCCCAGGACACCGAGGAGCTGGGATATTGTGAGAGATGCAGGGTTGAAATCTGGTTCCAGATATTCTCCCAGAGATATCACTTGCGTCGCTGTGAGGCGCGACATTGGCGATAACGGCGAAGTCGGGGGGGAGCAGCGGACTGAGTGGATGGGTTTCAACTTTGCAGCCACGCGAGGGGCTCAGTTTCAACGAACCTGACCTAGATTACGTCATACACACGTGGTCGTATTATGCTTTAGGATTGAACCACGTCCTCAAGAATTCTGAACTAACGACTACACCGTACAGGCCAATCATATTAAAGAATAGCTTAGTTATAGGTGGGTCGGATGGTTCCCTTGTTTCCGAACCATTTGCCTTGAACCTGAATGATGGTTAGAGCGTCGACACCCTGAACGAACGCAAGCGACAACGAACCATATAGTTCCAGTAGGCAGCGGGGAAGACGTCCTATAACAGAGAAGGTCAATAAACACGCCAATATTGTATTGTACGCCATTACCTTCTTGAGGTGGTAGAAAACCCTGATGTAAAAGAGGCATTAAGCAGGGACTCCGGTTTTATATACGCCAACCGTACCTTCGACTCTTGGATTGATCGACAAGGGCACCAAAAGTTTCTTTGGGTTCGAGGCCATACTTGAATTCTGCCAACATGAGCTCCCCATAGGCGGTCAAAAGCTTATGAACCGGTCAGCAGAATATTCCATTCGCGAAGATATTGCACGCACAGGGCAGCTGGTGTAGCCGTCATATCGAGCAGAGTCGGAAACCTTGCCAGAGTTGATGAAAGAGAAGAGATTCTCAACCATCACAGGTGCCTGCGCCGTAATGGCAGCGGCGGTCTTCGAGGTTGGAAGCGACGAGGCATCGCCAATGGCGAAGATATTTTGGTAGTCGGGGTTGGTGTGCTGGAGGGTGTTTTGGTTCACCGAGACCCAGCCAGCTTGGTCGGCGATAGGGGAGTCCTTGATGAACTTCAGAGGACCCATGGGAGGAGTGACATGCAGAGTGGTGTAATCGACATCGACAGTAGAACCGTCTGGCTTCTTGAAGGTCGCCTTGTGGTTGGAAGAGTCAACAGAGACCAGGTTATGCTCGAAGAAGCCTTCAATGCCTCGCTCAATTCTGAGTTTGTTGAGCGCGTCGGAGTATTTCTTGACAGAGAACATTGACGGCATTCCGGTATAGAACTGAACGTCGATATTATCGCCCCGACCCGTCCGACGGAATCTGTCCCAGGCCATCCACATAATCTTTTGAGGGGCTACGCTGTTTTCAGCCTTGTATAGGTGTGTTCACCGAAAAATCCCTCGTACCTCCAGCGCATTTAATCACTCCAGCGGGCTGTGTAAAAACAGCCTTGCCAGACCTCAAGCCCTCGATGTCATCCCAGACCTTGTCACAAGTAGCATAGGAGTAGATTGATGAAACACCAGAGGTGGGGTCGGCGAGAGCAGAGGGCAGCCCCTTGATTCCCTCCCAGTTGATACCCAAACCAGCAGCCACTACCAGATAGTCGTATTTGACCTCCCTACCAGCGGTGGTTGTGACTGAGGATGTATTGGGAGAGAAGGTGGAGACATTCTCTGGAATGAGAGTGATGTGGGGAGGGATGAGAGAATCAAGAGGGCGCCGGAAATCAGTCTTGGGCTTGAGGCCAGCTCCTACAAGAGTCCTAGAAAAGGATATGACTGAGGGTTCAAGTCTCGGAGGGATGTGGATTACCATCCAGGCTAGAAGAAAGTGTTAGCGGTGGTTGTTTTCAAAGGGGAGGTGGTATACGAACCTGATAATAGTGGGCCTCGGCTGCATCCAAGATAACAATATCATCCTTGTTCAGCGACCTGCCTGCACTTTTGAATCTGTGCCAGATTTGATTGGCCACAGAGAGTCCCGCGCTTCCTACACTCCCTTTTAATCAACTGTTCATGCGATGGGCTACTCTGGCTCACCAGCGCCGACAACCACAATCTTGTGATGGTCCTTAGCTTCGGTGCTCGCACATCGAACACGAGTCGCAGCCAGGCGACGCGAGGCACTGGCCTTGAGGACAGATCTGGAGGCAGACAGCATTGTCGTGGAAAGGAACAAAGTAGTTTGCCTGGAAAATTGCGAATACAGCCAATTTATACAGCGTCGGATGTCTCGTGCGATCTGGAAGTCGACATAGGCACGAATATGTGGCGGCAGAGTGGTCGGGACTCGGTGCGAGTCGGGGTTAAAAGCGTGACCACCGAAATCTTGGTAATGCGACAATTGGCCTATCAGAGATTCAGAACCAGTTGCTTGTCCTTGGTAGTGATGCTGTGAATCTGGAGACAAATACTTCCTTCTCAATGCTTTATCTGCTCGACCGTCACTGGCTGACGTCTCTGTTCTGCTATGCAATCTCCCCCGGCATCCAATACCTCTAGGCGCGTCCCAGTTGGCCTTCCCCGAAATCCTCGCGAAGGCCGCCTGTTGAAACAGTCGAGTCAACCGGCTTTGACTCGACAGACCACCCAGGCTGAGGGCAGCGTCTGGGATGACCCGGCGGGTCCAGAACAGAGGAGATTTGCTGCTAGATCTCCCCCTCCTTCACTCCCCCGACACGTTACTCAGGAAGTAGCACGGGTTGGGGTCTCTTCCAGTCCACGGCCTCATCAACGATGGCAGTCTGTTACGTCTGCCTCATCCTCGTCCTCTTCGGTCACTTCGTCCCAGGTTATTTCGGAGAAGGCGCATACTCGAGCAGTGAGTCAAGACAGGACTGGTAGCGCAATGCCCGCGGAACAAGGCCAGCCAGGTAAGGTTACTCGATTCCTCGACCTCCGCAGCTTTGCTTAACAAAGTTGTAGCATTGTGGAGGACAGTTGCCAGCCTAGCGAACAATCTGACAATCAATGTCGGGATAGCATGGTCGAGTACTGTTACAACGAATGAGGGCGAAGGTGTGTGGATCTGGAGTCGCCCATGATGGTGTCTTGCCACTCACACCATCGATTAGATACGCCATTGGGTGCTGAAAGCCGGCTCACGCGGGCCATGAAAGCATACCATCTTTCTAAAGCACAGGACCTCTCAGACCTGCCCGAATGGTTGTTCACGGAGAAAGAGCGACGTTCTCGCCCAGTCGTTGTCCAGGGTAACCAATCATATCGCAACGACCTCGATGAACGCCCAGCTAGCCAACCACCGCGTCCGGATCGCATTCCTACTTCTTCCAACGACAGTCGAAGTAGGGGTGTCGAACCTGCCTCGAGACCTGCTCGAGGTACTGCTGCTACCGACCGTCTCAAGGCACTCCGAGCGAGGGAGCGGCAGTTGAAGGCAATCTGAAGGATTTTCCTCGTAATTGGATGCAGTATTTGCTCCGGTTCGACGAAAGTAACGCAGTAGCGATGCTACGGACTTTGTACATCATTGAAGTTGATTCATCTGGCTGGTGTAGGATGGATTCTGATGTTGATTACAATATGTAGTTACTCCCTAATGATCATCTATTCAGACATAGCCATTATTGACGAGTGCAAGGTCATAGGGGCAACAGGCAAGGTACCAACTCCGATTCCTGAATATCATTGGGTAGGCATAGGTTTAATCAACCGATGTGACGACGATGAGGAAAAGTAAAGGATTTCCCTTTGGGTGCCAGTTGCCATTGCACTTCACTACTTCCGTAAGTACTGCTACACCTTGTTACACCCACTGGCGAAGCTCGTATTCTAAGGTAGCGCCCAAAGGCGGTAAAGCTTGGCGAGAATTTTGGAGAAGCGATATCATATCGCGTAGTTACATCGGATGCCATCAGTTTGATGGGCCAATCAAGAGGTGCTGTGGGCTTCCATCCGAGGCAAGTGATCCCTCGTCCTCTCCTCCGAGTACCCCGCCGTCGTGAAGGGCATAGCGAGATACAGCCCGATCTATATTGCTGTAAGGCATTCTCAATGTCCAAAGTGCGTTTGTCGAATGTTTGCCAGGCTTTTGCAAGAGGCTTGCGAAGGAAAACGAGAGAAAAACGAGAGAACGGAGCCAATAGGAGAGCGTTAGTCGAGCTCCCACCAACCAGAGGAACGGGTCGAAGATGGGGTGACTGTCACATCTCCAATGATACTGTTACCATGTGTTACCATGGTGGCATCAGATTCTGAATCTGCTAAAAGGTCGAGGAACTTGGGTCACACCCTCTTCATCCCTTCCCCTCGGCTTCGTTTTCTATCTTCCCTCTTTTCGTTCTTTTCTGCCTCTTTTTTTGTCGAGTTGACTCGACCTGGTGGTCTTTCTTTTCGTTCACAGGTGAGCATGAATGTCAGCTAGCCCTCTATCCAATGCGCTGATATTTTTCTAGTAGAATAACCGCTCTTTGAGAGAGATCCAAACGTAGTCCTCCAGGGAGGTTCTTTCTACACGCCAACTTTTTTATTCGTTCAACACTTCGACTTTTCGAAACCACAATCTTTTAACCCTTCGTTCTTCGTTCAAAATGGTTCAAATCTCGTCTTTCATTGGTGCTATGGCCCTTCTCTCTTCTTTCGCAGCTGGTCTCCCACGACCTCTGCCCCAGGACGACAGTGCTATTGGCATTGAAGTCGCCGTCTCTGCTCCCGATGGTATCCCCATTACGAATACCATCGAACTTGCATCGTGAGTTACCTTCTCAAAACCCGCTATCACCATATTAATCAGGTAATCCAGTCAAAGAGCCCGCGAGGCCGCGCAGACTGCTGCAGCCCCTGCTGTGACGCCTATGTACGGTGCCGCCAGCTATGGCGCTGAGCATCAGCAACCCAAGCATGAAGCTCCTGTTCCTCAGGTCGAGCAGCCCAAACACGAGCCTCCCAAGCACGAGGTCCCTGCTCACGTCACTACGCCAGTCCATGTCCCAGCCCACACTCCTGTTGAGCAACCTGCTCATACCCCCGTTCACACTCCCGTGGAGCAACCCGCCCATACCCCCGTTCACACTCCCGTGGAGCAACCCGCCCATACCCCCGTACACACCCCCGTCGAGCAACCCGCTCACACCCCCGTGCATACCCCTGCCCACGAGCCCGCTCACCCCATTCCCACTCATGGATCCGGCAGCGCTCCCTGGAGTAACCAGGATTACAACGACTGTGTTTCGAGTAAGTCATGGTACCTGATCGATCATGTTCAATTTCTTACTCTATTTCCAGAGTGCATTGCTACCTACGGCCAGGCTCCTGGACAGTACAAGCCCACCGTCACTGAGCAGCAACATGAAGCCACAGGCACTGGTGCCACCCACACTGTCATCGTCGCTCCCACTCAGGGTGTCCTGCGATACATTCCCTTCGCAGTCAACGCCTCTGTCGGCGACACCATCAAGTTCATGTGGGGTGCTGACAACCACACCGTGACCAAGTCCACTTCCCTCTTGCCCTGCAACCGAACCGGCGAGGCTGCTTCTTTCAGCTCTGGCATCCAGAACAATGGCTTCGTCTTCACTCAAGTTGTCAACGACACCAAGCCCACTTACTTCTTCTGCAATGCCCCCACTCACTGCCAAAAGGGAATGTTCGGTATCATTAACCCTGCTACCCAGTTCGCCTCTCCCTCTTCAGTCGGGCTTCAGATGTCCAAGCTTGCTGCGAAGAGCGCCAACGTTGCTGGATACAGTGATATCACCAGGCAGGCTACCAAGGACAGCGACGCTATCAGCCGCTGGGGTAGCAACATCGACATGGCTGAGATCCCCGACTGGGCACATGAATTTGTTGCTGAGAACGTTCTCTACACTCGCAACTTCTTGGCCGCCAACCCCGAGGTCATGAAGGAAGATGGAAGCATTGACTTGAGCACCGCCTCTACCGTTCCTCTCGCCATTCCTCAGGACGTTGCTGCTGCCTTGAACAACGCCGGTTCTTCCGAACCTGCCAGCTCAGACGCGCCCGCTGAGGCTTCTACTCCTGCCGCCACCTCCGATGCTCCCGAGGTTACTGGCAACGCCGAGAACCTCAACTCTGGTAGCTCCAGCACCCTTGCTTCCCCCAAGGTGTTGCTCGCTGTCGTTGCTGTCGTCGCCACTTTGTTGATGTAATTTCGATCTCTTTATTAATGGGACATTGCTACGGACAATTCTTTCGACTGTTCTAATGCCATTTGGTTTGCATTCACTTTTGTCTTAGAGAGATGCATTTTTCACGCCATATACCATTCTTCGCTTTCTTCGGACATTCACCACAGCGATGCTAGATTTAACCACCCTTTTCTACCTAGTTGTAGTTGACATCGTTCTGTATGTCGATACCGCTCACTTTTCGAAAATAAAGCCAGGGATCACTTTGCGGACTCTTCATAAGCAAGCAGCATAAGATGAGGATGTAGCAACACAAATACAGTGGCGCCCATCGCCTGGTCAAAACCCGAAGATATCGTCAATTTCGTCACGCTTCGATTTCTTTTTGGGTTTGGTTCTGCCAGGTTTGGCGACGTCCGTCTTGGATGACCTCGTGGGCTTTGGGCCTTGGAGACCTGGTACTGCCTCCCTGTTTGGGGGTTGTTCTGACGCCTCAGGCAGAGGAAGGGCCACCGTGACGACAGGATGCATCACTGGTGCCCCGGGTTGAGATGATACGTCAGAACCCTCTGAGCCCTTCGATGGATCATGTTCCTCCTGAATGTCTACCATGGTGACCATTGCGTTAACCTTCTCCTCAGGTATCACCAACGACGATGGCAGCACTTTCGTCACCTGGGGTACATCAGAAAACGAATCGAAGGACTGCTAAACTGGCACTGACAAAGATTGCGATCCGGAGTCGGTTTGTGTGAAGCAGGAGGTCGTCTGTAATGTTGACTAATTCTTGAGCTAGACAGCAGAATCGTGACGTTATCGCGGTAAGGGTCAAGATGAGTTGCAGGAAAGCACCACTCTGCATCGAGAGTGAGAAATGTCTGGTACATGTTCAGTTTCGTGTGTAACTCGGTTTTAATGAAGACACTCACTGGTAAGCATCGGTGCCACGAGATGAAAGCTTCAAGGAAGTCATGAGTATTCGTCATGGTAGGGAGGGGGGAGATAAACCTTGAGGAATAATCGCTTCAATATGTTCAGGCTGTCCAGAACACGCTGGAACGATGCTTCGTCTGGGTAATGGTTCCATGATCCTTTGAACAGAGGTGGGCTGGAAAGGATCAGAGATGAGAGCTACTATGAAAAATTGAATACATACTCTGTCTCTGAAGTACCACCGAAGAAAGACTGGCATAGAGTAGTCATTGTGAACAGGGGATCAAGCTCAGCAATTCGGGTTGAAAACCTCCGTAGCTCAGACAATCTTCTCCAGAATAGCGCTGACCGGTGTTGATTTTTGCCTTTGTAGTAAAGCCTCTCAAGAACCTGGCCCTCGTTCTTCAGAGAAAGAATGGATGATTGTGAGCGACGGTATAGTGGTTTCAGTGCCTTCAGATACGCGTCCACCTCGCTATGCAAGGACGCGTCTAATGATGCTCTCTCGTTCCTCGACAGGTGAGTAAGGCAGTTCCTTGACCTCTTGCTCATGAATTTATCTGCGACAGAAAACATTCATATTAGGCTCTCAATCAGGAATATGTGATACTCAATACGTACTGGGCCAAGCCAATTGGGTCAGCTGCTATGTTGTGGTTCGAGGCCAAAATGCGCGCCATCAAAGTCTCCCCAAACGACTAACTCGTTCCCGATGCCAAGCCAAACAGCGCTCTCGTTACACCCTCATATGCCAGCGACGGTTAAACCTGCCTGGTATCTTCAACCTCGTATCTCAGCATTGGCAACGATATAGATCTCGAGAGTCGGCATGGCACAAGCTGGACAAGATGCCAAGTTCTTCCAGAGGGGAAAGATCGAGGTCAGACGCTGAAGGACTATGAAACGACCGACACCCGCTCACGGATGTGGTATTATAGGAGTTCAGAGCCGATCTTCATGCCGCCGATGCAAAGGACAAGAAGTTTGTCAAGAGAAAGACAGTCTTGAAGAAGATTGTCGCCAATATCACGATGGGGAACGACAGTTCGTAGTGCTATCCGACAATGAAACCGTGCAGCGACACTCACCATCCCACCAGTGTCGCCATTGTTTCCCGACGTAATACATTGCCTTGGAACACCTTTGCTTGAGATTAAGAAGAGTACGTCCTCTCAACGCGTCGTTGTATGACAATAACAAATTCACATACTCATAGTGGTGTATCTGTTCCTTGTCAGCTATGGAAGGTCGTCCAAACCGGAGCAGATCAACATGGTCATCCCATTCTTCCTGCAGGTATGACTGCCTGCCTTGAATTAACTTCGCGTACTAAAGGCTTCACAGGACGTTACAGACCGAAACCCTCTCATCCGCGCACTCGCAATTCGTACGATGTCATATATTCCAATCCCCGTCGTAACAGACGCCCTTACGGAGAATCTACGACACTGTCTGAGGGACAGGGATCCCTACGTGCGCAAGACAGCGGCAATCTGTGTGGCTAAACTATATGCTGCAGATCCCAGAAGAGCAGAGAAGGGAGGGTTCGTTGAAATGCTACGGGATCTCATGCTTGACAGCAATGCGACTGTGGTTGCGAATGCTGTCGCTGCATTGACGGAGATTGGGGACAGGCCGGACGGCGTTATCTTCAGACTCAATCTCACGACGGTCAACAAGCTACTGGCAGCCCTCGAGGAGAGTTCAGAGTCAGTCTATTTGCTTCCGCTCGTCTCGCCCTACCTGACTTTCACGTTAGATGGGGGCAGATCTACATCCTCGACTCGTTGCTGCGGTTCGTGCCCGAGAAGCATTCGGACGCTGAAATCATGGCGGAACGAATCATTGTGCATTTGCAACACGCCAACTCTGCAGTCGTTCTCACTACAATCAAGATTCTTCTTTACCTCATGAATTATATGGAGAATAGGCAACAAATCGACTATTGTTGCAAGAAGATGGGTCCACCATTAGGTATGAGATTTTTCTACTGACAGGTATATTGGTTGTTGACTCGCGGACGTCGAATAGTTGCACTCCTTTCATCAGGTCCCGAGGTGCAATATGTAGCGCTTCGCAACATCTTGCTTATCATCCAACGACGCCCTGCCGTTCTCAAGAATGATGTCAAGGTATTCTTCTGCAAGTACAATGATCCCATTTATGTGAAATTGGCCAAACTGGAGATCATGTACCGTCTGGCGAGAGCAGAAAATTACGCAGAGGTCTTGACGGAACTTTACGAGTGAGTCCCATTTCCATGCTGGCAAGCCCAAACTCAAATGCAGTTCCCCAGATACGCTTCAGAAGTTGACCTCGACTTCGTTCGGAAAGCAGTTCGTTCGATAGGTCGACTTGCAATCAAAGTCGAACCAGCTGCAGATAGTTGCATTGACACTCTCCTTAAGCTGATTGAAACAGGTGTTTCTTATGTCGTTCAGGAGGCCATCATCGTCGCCAAGGACATCTTCAGGAGGTACCCAGGGAAATACGAAGGCATCATCCCTAAACTCTGCGAGCATCTGGATACTCTCGATGAGCCGGAGTCGAAGGCGTCAATAGTCTGGATCATAGGGCAATTTGCCAATAAGATCGACAACGCTGATGAGTTGTTGGAGGTGCTCATAGACTCTTTCCTTGACGAAAGCGTAGAGGTTGATATCTTCCCTTGCCCTCTCATTTCCCCTGATTTGACGATACCCCTAGGTACAACTAGCGCTTCTGACGGCGGCAGTCAAGCTCTTTATCTACAAGTCCAAATCCGAAACGGCAAAGAATTTGGTTCACAAGCTGCTGAAGTGGGCCACGGAAGAAGTGGACAACCCGGATTTAAGGGATCGAGGATTTATGTACTGGCGCATGCTGGCTATCAATCCGGCACTGGCTGGAGAGATCGTTCTGGCGCCCAAGCCACCTATCACAACAGACTCTGATAGGATGGACCGAGGCGCCCTCGATCAACTTCTCCTACACACAGGGACACTTGGATCGATTTACCATAAGAATCCAGAAGTGAGAACTTGTTGCATCGATGACCCCCTCGGTTTGCTGACACCGCTTCCTCCTAGACCTTCATTCGCAACGCAGCACCACGGGCATTAACTGATACACCCGCTTTGAATGCGCACTCGAGGGCCGTTCTTATCCATCTACCTCGAATGCAGCTCCCGCCTGGCCCAATCAACGTGCCAACAGGGCCCACTGAATCGCATCGTGCCCCTCCACCAACGTCTGGCTCAGGACCATTACCTCTCATACCGGATGGGGAGGAGCCTGCATCGCCAGCACCGCCTCCGCTTCCAGCCAGAAAACCGACACAGACCAGTGATGCAGATCAAGAGGATTCGGACGACGAACACAAGGCGGCTCCTGCTAAAAGAACTGATGACCCATACTCAAACCTTGACAGTGCATTCGGAAACTACCTGGTGGACCAACCCCAACCGATGGACCACAGAGGAAAGCATGATGATGACCTCTTATTTTAGCCATACGATGTAATGAATACAGACAGACCCATGTGTCGAGAACGATTCCAAGATGGAGAAACACTGGAGGTGATGCGAACGTTATTGATTCGCGGGCCGTAACGAGTTGTAATGCTGGTCGAATTGTTCAGTTTAATGGATCGACAGCGTCTGCCTGAACACTCACCTCCCCTAAGCCATACATTCTCTTGTGGTAGCTGACCCGGACTACCCGCGATGGGATATTGTAGGCTGGGTCCTGGGGCTCATGGACGACTATGGGAGGTTTGCCCCCTTGCACCACATGGATAGGAACGTTGAATGCCCTGGATAAAGCCAAAATCTCAGGTTCCCCTCCCCAAAACGCAGTATTCCGGACTGTATCGCAGTAACTTGCGTACTGCTCCGGGGTCATTAAGCCCGTAGTCGTGAGGTCATCCGATGCTGGGAGGAACGGTAAGAAGTCGACCGGATGAGCCTGCAGGTAGTCAGCGGCTGCTGCACGAGTTACTGCATAATTGCTGTGAGATTCGGGGAGAATTCCAATGAGATGTAACTGATCTGCAACTGCAGAGAATAGACAATGTCCGTCAGGGTTCACCTAACCAAAGGAAGTCAATTGGGTGGGCCTTAATATCTATCTATCCAGTCTGACCTCGTGTATTCGGACGTTCAGCTCCTTGCAAATGCGATCAATGTCCTCCTCTTCTTGCCTTGCTTCCTTCTCCAACTGGGCCTGGGTAGCGGGGTTATCCGGTGAAAATGATTCAGCTAGAGCAGCAGCTTTCCTAGCCTGGTATCGAGTCAGTGAACATCAAAGGTGCACCTTTCCTCTACTTTACGGACCTGTCGAGCCTTGAAACGATCTTTGGCCGAAGATTTCTTCGAGGTCACCTCCAATTGCTCAGCCTGCTCTTTCAGGTTCATTTCATTCAGCACTTTGGCTGACTCTATCTGAACCGACTGGTCTCGAGCATCCAGCTGGTCGAGCAGATCGTTCATGAGGTCGACCTCGTCGTCGTTGACGATTGGAGGGGGCGTCGGCAATCGAGAGGCAGTCTTCTTGGATTTATTCTTCTTGTTACCGGCCATTTTTTCACGAAAGCTGTCAAGCAAGTGGAAGGAAAGAAAAGGTGCTCCATGAGTATGACGGCGGTGAGGACTAACGAACGCAGAAATCTAATCTGGCACTGCCACCAAGAGGACTTTGTGAGTACTATCGGACGGAATCAGTACACAGCTTGTTCACAACTCTAGCTCCTTGCTCTGCGCGGTCGTCGAAGAGTACACTTATCACTGTGGTCAACGACAATGGCGGTCACCGATCTATCGCCTCTGCAACTCCGTCTTCAAGATATTGCTGCGTCGCTCAAGCAGAACGACTCCCCGGAAAGTTGGCGACAAGTTGAGCAGGTCGCCAATGCGATTGCGAATGGGTTAAGAGTCAAGGACGAACAAGGTTGGTAGCTAGCCTGTCCGCAATGGTTCATACAAAACATCTATCCCCGTAGTCGACAACCATACAAATCTCGGCAAAAGCGCCTTGCCCCAGTGCTTGACGGACCTGATAACTCTGGCATTACACGGGTCCCCTGTCCCTGCCGATGAGTACACGACCGCTGTGTTCGAGATTCTGAGGATAGCCGCGAATCTTTGTCTGGATCATGGTGGGTCGCCAGTTCCCAGTTCCCGGTGCTCCAAAGCTAACACGCCAACCAGATGCGAACAGAGGTTACCTCCTAGACGCCGGTCTACCGCAGGCGATCGTGTCCCTTCTCGAAGGCTACGCAGACAAGGTCCCTGCACCAACCAGACAAGAGGCCCTCTCACTATCGCTTCCCCACCTTAGGATCGTCAGGACGGCCGTTGGTGTCCTTCTGAACGCGTCTATCGGATATGGTGCGTGAGCAAGACCGTGGGGAACGTAAGGCGCTAAAGTCGTGGCTCAGATGCTGTTCGGTTCCGCCTGATTTCGTTGGAGTCTGCTCTTACACTGTTGAAGCTGTCCTCCTCGATATACCCTCCACTGTCGTGGCACAATGTGGGCACCCCAGCTAACCCGCTTAACGAGGACAGTCAAGAGGAATGGGCTTTGAGGAGCGGTATCTCAAACTGGGCCTGGAGAACGATCTCTGAGCTGAAGGAAGCGAAAGATGATCCCAAGGAAGATGGTAAGCCGCGGCATATCCCCTCTGCCAATTGTTCGTTAAACTGTTTTCTAGCCTCGCGCCAGATTTTGAACGTCGACGTACTACCTTGGATAACTCCTGCGCTTTCTCGTTTCATCCCACCGTATAATCTCCAACTCGCGCCAGCCCTAACCGAAGATGAAGATTTCTACACAATGCTAGTCCAGTCAGACTTTGAAGTCCTCGAAGAAACCTGCACTCTTTTGGAATCTCTTTCATTAGATGTTGAAGACATCCGTCTGGCCCTTGCACGGGGATATTGCTTCCCAGCTGAACACCTTGGCGTGCCTTGCTTCAAGTCGATGGTAGAGTTCATTGAACACGGCGGCTATCCACCAACATGGGACCATCCCTCTATTACACCAGAAGACCGTGCCCGGAAGGAGAAGACTTTCAACATATGCAAAGCTGCGCTCATCAAGTCGGTTGTCGAGGTTGCAGGGGAGGAAAAAAATGAAGATGTTCTGTGGGATGATTCAATGGAAGACAAACCTGGGGGAGAATTCGTGTGGACTATGGCCAGATGGATCAAAGAATTCAATGCCGACATGGATATCGAACCGAGTGCCACCCATCGGGACGATCTTGTTATCTGTGCTGCCTTGTCTTTAGGGAATCTAGCCAGGAGAGGTGTGTCTCCTGCTCCTCCTCTTCTGGCGACACACTCACCATCGTCCAGAGAAAACGTCCACGGCTCTTCTTTCACCGCCGTTATCTCTGGCGCCTGTCCTGGCTTCTAAGCATATCTTCGCGCAGTCGACCGATGTTAAATTGAAGCATGGTGTTCTCGGCCTGCTGAAACACGTCGCACAATCGGCTGCGTTGTCGCCTATAATCCCAGATTCTTTGGCAGAGTGCCATATCGTACAGCTTATTGCTGAGAGCGGAATCTGGGATGAAGGGTCGGATAACATGGCCATTGTCGTTCAACTCAATGCCATCGGCGTCGTTAAACACCTCTGCAATGCGAGCGGTAAGTTGAGCAGTCCTCGAGGCGGCTGTAAGCTGACTAGTTATCGTCAGTCACCCATGCCCTGGCATTGGTTGCCCCCGGCAAAGACGAGAAAAGCCCCCTTGACCGTATCTTGGCATTGGTTTCGCGTTCAGATTCTATTCCCATAAAGAGCGAGGGTGTTCGCGTCCTTGTTAATGTGATCAGGACTTTGCTCATGCGCAAAGGCCCTCCGACAGAAGACACCACACCGACCCCTCCAGACGCCGCTGCTCAAGAACTGGCCCAAAGAAAGCAAGCAGCGATCGCCAAAGTGCTGACAGAGAGTAATGTGAAGACTTTGGCCTGGTTCCTGGCGCGAAGTGGGAAGTTCCCTATCCTGATCAACGAAGGTATTGTTGCCTTGAACCTTCTTGTGCCACAGAAAGACGCGGGTAAGTCCAACTTTCCAGTGCGTCAGGGTTGAGCACTCACACATGCGACCAACGTAGGTAACTTAGTTTTGAACGCCATCCTCACGCCGGAAAACACCCTACCGGAACCTACTCAACTCTCCCCTTCTGGAAGTGACGGGAGCTCCCCGACGCTCGTGAATAAGCCTCGCCCTCCGGTGGCTCGCCATGGACTGGAAATGATTGTCAATGTTCTCAGAAACACTGACAATCCCGCAGTCTACCCAGTCGAGATTCGCGCGAATGTCTGCACCTTCTTGGCACAGCTTTCACGGTATTCATCGGGTCCCAAATTGGTTCAAGTCCAAGAAGCTGTTCGACCGGTTCTAGACAGAATCAAAGAGACCAAACCAGGTGACAGGGAAGAGATGTTGTTGATTTCAGCCAGCAAGGTCCTGGAGCTGTGGAAAACCTCTTGAAGTTCCACTCTGTCTCCGTCCTCAAACGAGATGCATATTACCTGTACGAGATTGATATATTGGATCCATACTCTTCTGGATGTTTTACGACCTTACGAACATATGATGAACGGAATTCAATTCCTCTGTCGTGCACTCCTGGCCGACCCCTGTTGAGAATCAAAAAGTGCTGATGCATTACGCATCGCGTAAGGTAAAGCGGTTCGCAGTTCGCCCACTCCATTGTGCGAGATTGTGCGTCCTCTCGTCAGGCACTCCTTTAACGAAAGTCCCCCGTCTGCCACTGCATCCGTGAAGCTTTTTAACCCCACATTACACCTGATGGCCCGGTGACCAGTGTAAAGCCGTAAACAGCGAACTGCCCGGCATTTTGAAACAGTTTAACCGGAGGACTATGCATAGGGGTGGGGGTATAAGTTTGCTGGGGCCGAACATGGATGGGCGACACGAAACTCCCCACGACGAAACTCGAAGATGGCAAGTCCTATCATTGTCCAGGTGGCAGACAAGATTGCGACCATCACCTTGGATCGGCCGCGGACTCTCAATGCTCTCACTCCTGAAGGTACGCATTTTCGCTTTTCTCATCCTCAACTTTAGCTCAATTAGAGACTTCAAAGATTATGACAAGCTCGCGAATTCCCTTCGGGAAATAGACGCTCGAGACGACGTCTTGGTGACCATCCTGCAAGGTAAGCCCAGTTTGATTTCATTCCTCCCATTTTGAATGAATCAATGTCATCATCTCGGCAGGAAATGGATCGTGGTTCTGCGCGTATGGACGGCTACATTGCCCTCTCTGGGTTGAATCTAATACATCGTCACAGAGGAACAGACGTTAGAGGATCGGCAGATGGAGCTGTTCTGAGAGAGGACGGGCCAAAGCAAACTGTCCGAGATTCTCTCAAAGCCGGCGTAGTGAATACGACCATGGATGTTGGTCAGGCTGTAAGTCGGCCTCCACGGTTCTCCGGTTAGCTTGTGTTAATTGCCAAGTAGCTATACTCGCACAGAAAGATATTGGTCGCTGCGCTGAACGGACCTGTCATGGGTGAGTGTCCTTTTGCTGGTACTTCCAACTGGTATTAACAGGTTTGTGACAGGTATTATGGCCGGTAAGCTATTATTCTAACCTTCCCGACTGTCGACCATCCTTGACAAGCCTCGACAGCCTTCCTCGGGTACTTTGACTTCATTTATGCACTCCCAAGCGTGTGGCTGTCCTGCCCCTTTACCTTCATCGGTGCGTAGCGAAAAAAAAAAAAAAAAAAACTTACCTCCACTACAGGGCGGCTTACTCGACCATATAGGTATCGTTGCGGAAGGTGGTGCAAGTGTATCATTTGTCAATCGAAGTGAGTAGCGTCGCAATTCGGGATGTGTCCTCGTCGTCAATTAATGTCCGTTAGTGGGACTGGGCATGGCGAAAGAGGTGTTGATCTGGGGAAAGAAGAAGAACGCACAGCAATTACTCGACGTTGGTTTCATCAAGTATGTTCCGACGGCTCTGCACCGCTCCCAGAGTGATAATGCTATTTTTAGCAAAATCTTCCCCACAGAGTCGACCGAGAGCTTCCACCGAACTGTTCGACAGGAGGTTTTGAATGAACTTGAAGGGTTGGACCCTAGCGCCGTTTTGACGATGAAGGCCTTGATCCAGGCTGGTTTGAATGAAAAGAATAATATGGATGGCGTTAATTTGAGAGAAAGCTACGGTAAGTCATGTATTTGGTACCCACACGACCTTGTTCTGATGGCTATCAATCTCTCACTAGCCCAAGCAGCCCGCTTTGCAACTGGAATTCCGGCGAAGCAATTTGGAAGGATTGCCAGGAAGGAAATCAAACATAAGCTTTGAGCAGTCTGTCTATCTGCGCGCCTGTTGCTCGGATTTCAGCTCATCAGAATGGATAACGCAGGTTGTAATTTAACATCATCTCAGTGTAAAGTACTCAATTGCCCAAGACCTTGGATTGCCACGAAAGGCATGTGACGTTCCACATCCGTCCGCCCAGCCCATGCAAGGACCGACAGCATCTCCACACGCGCCCCAATGTCGCGAAATCTATCCCCCGTGCTGTGACTTGACCTGGACAAGTTTCCATTGTCCACAAGGTAAGTTTATCGATAGCCGCCCATTACTTCACTCCCGCATCAAGAAGTTCGGAACTTCCGCGTGGGGCCCAGTCTGGTTGTATTGCGGTATCGTTGGGGTATCACTGGGTTGCAGCATGCATCCTGCATCATGACCACACAATTCACACCAAGTGACATCCTCAGTTGGTTAGCTTCTCCAACAGCATACCCGTTTATCTCAAGGAGCAGTTCACCGACAGGGGCTTGGCATGCTTCTCGGAGTTCTTCCTTGTGGCACACACTCCTTATAAACTCCTTTCGTGCGGGACCTTCCTTTCGATAACCAAAGCAGGTGCTTCTATTTAAACTAGTTGGTGGGCCACACGGAGCCCCAGGTTCTTATCCCTCCTTCGATTCACTTCTCTCGATCATCCCGTCTCTCCAGGGCGGTCAAGATGTCTGTCGACGAGAAAAAGGTGCACAATGAAAAGGTCGAGGAGCAGTCTCAGGTCTCCAGCGAGGTCGAGGAGTTCGACCCGAATCTCCATGATCCTCGTGAGGCCAGTCTTCACCGTGGCCTTAAGGCTCGGCAGATTTCGATGATAGCTGTAAGTCAGAGGGCCATCTTCATCGTGTCTTCAGCTAACTCGGCTCGGTGTTTAGCTCGGAGGTGCTGTTGGCACAGGTCTTATCATCGGGTCTGGGACTGCTCTGCGACGAGGTGGACCCCTGGGTTTGCTCTTAGGTTACGCCTATGTTGGATTCGTTTGCTATCTTGTCATGGTTTCTCTTGGTGAAATGGCCGCCTACTTGCCCCACAAGAAGGGTTTTGCTGGATATGCCACTCGGTTTGTTGACCCCGCCCTCGGCTTCGCACTCGGCTGGAACTACCTACTCAAATACGTGAGTTGCGGTACCGTTTCAGCTGATATCATGTCGAATGTCCTGATTCACCTTTCCAGCTAATCGTCACCCCGAACAATATCAATGCTGCTGGTGTCGTAGTTCAATATTGGCCCAACGGGAGGGAAGTACATATTGCGATATGGATGGGTGAGGAGAGGTTCCTAGGTCTATCTAACAGATTATGCTTACCTTTCCTCAGTGATTTTCATTGCCGCAATCTTTGTTGTCAATTTCCTCGGTGTTAGAGTCTTCGGTGAACTGGAATTCTGGCTATCATCTGCCAAGAGTGAGTGGACTGTTTGCTGTTCACTGCAAGCCCTACACTGACGTTTGGCCTTAGTCCTTGCTCTCATTGGAATGTTGCTCTTCGGTATCATAATTGACTTGGGTTCGTCTTGATATACCTGTATGGAAAAAGAAACGTCGTTCTCACTACCACATCTTTAACAGGAGGCAATCCACAGAAAGACCGAATTGGATTCCGATACTGGAAGGCGCCTAACGGGCCTATGGGCAAATATCTACTTGACCAAGTCAAAAACACATCCCTATCTATCTTCCTTGGCTTCTGGGCAACATTAACGAACGCTCTCTTTGCATATATGGGTACTGAGCTTATCGGTGTCACCGTGGGAGAGGTATGTCAGGTCACATCCCCAGCGAATACCTCTGATCATCGAACGGTAGGCCCAAAATCCTCGTCGAAATATCCCCATTGCAATTCGAAGGACCTTCTTCCGAATTCTCGTCTTCTATGTCGGGGGAGTCTTTGTTATTGGCCTCATTGTCCCCAGTACCGACGAGTCCCTCTTCATTGCCACTCAGTCGAAGACTGGTGCTGCTGCCAGCCCTTTCGTTGTTGCGGCTGGTCTCGTAAGTTTCTCCACTTCTCCTTCAACCCAAATGTTCATCGCCTCCTATAGGTCGGTATTTCCGCCCTTCGCCATGTCATCAACGGAGCCATTCTCATCTTCGTCATGAGTGCCGCCAACTCTGATCTTTACATTGGTTCGCGAACGCTGTACGGCCTGGCCATCGAAGGGAAGGCACCTGCAGTCTTCAAGATAGTCAACAAGATGGGTGTGCCCTGGCCCTCTTTGCTTTTCTGCACCGCTTGGTGTGGCCTCGTGTTCCTCAACGTAGCGTCCACCGGTTCGAAAGGTCAATCTGCGGATTCTTTTCAATCAATTTCTTTTTCTAACATCCGCACAGTCTTCGGTTGGTTCGTTAACTTGGTGTCCACGTTTGGTGCCTTGACTTGGCTCTGCATTCTCTACTCTCACATGTATGTGTTGTCGTCCTCCTTCATTTGTGGCAAAAGGGACTTAATCCTCGTAGGCAATTCATGAAAGCGCTCAAGGCACAAGGAATTTCACGAGACACCCTTCCTTATAAGGCACCATTCCAACCTTGGGGGAATTGGTTTGCATTCGTCTCCACCCTGGTCATCACCTTTTTCAAAGGATTCGATACCTTCATCCCTTTCAACACAGCCAACTTTATCACGTAGGTTTGATTTCTTCGAGTGGCGAGACGTTGTTGACCAGAACGTTCGGGAATCCAGGAGCTACATCGCGATCCCAGTATTCTTCATGATGTGGTTTGGATACAAATACCTAATGAAGACCAAAGTCGTCAGACCCGCTGACATCGACCTCGTCACTGGTCTCCGTGCTATTGACGAGGAAGAACAGAGATACCTCGCTGAGCAAGCAGCGAAAGGTCCACGTACCAGATGGCAGCGCATCTGGGACGCTTTGTAGATATTTAGAAAACGTTTATTTATAATGTAGTAACGAAACGACCATACGCCGTTGACTCGGAAAAAGAATTGATGCCCTTTTATAGTCGGACGTGCCCATAGGATGACCTCATCCTCCGTTTGATCGCCTCAGCAATACCTAAATCGAGATGGACGCTACCACGGATACGCTTGGTCCCTCCTATCTTCCGAGGTATAAAGCCAGAATGGGTTTCCTCCCGAATGTCACCACTACTCTCAAAAACGCTCATCGCCCTCTGCATCTGTTATCTCGCCACACTACCTCTGTTTAACACAGAAACAATGTCGGTTGCGCGAATCTCCAGAAGTGTCGTGAAGAAGGTTTTTGCCATCGAGCAATCCGAGGTATTTTCTATCCAATTTTCTGACCAGACGCATATTTTACCGGTCATATCCAGGGTGCAGGTGCTCGTGTCAGAAGGAGCATCGGTTCAATGAACCTTAGAAATCTGACGCCCTTCCTAATGCTCGACCATTTCCACGTTGGCAATGGCGCAGTGGGTACCCCGATCCAAGCATGTTCGCCTTCTGACGCATTAGAACCGTTGGTACTAGGGCTTCCCCGATCATCCTCACCGTGGCCAGGCTACCGTGACTTACATGATCGAAGGGTCAGTCTTGTTTCTCCCGTGGTGAGCCCTGCGACAAAAGTCTAACCTGAACACTATTCGTTGTAGTTCGAGTCGCCACGAGGACTCTGCCGGACACAAGGGAACCATTGGTGAGTCTCTTTCCCTTTGGCGGAAGTATTTCGGAACTCAGACAGAGGTGAACATACAGTTGCTGGCGGTGTACAATGGATGTGCGCTGGACGAGGTATCATCCACGCTGAAATGCCTGTGCATGAACCAGGCAAGCCTGATCCCCGTGGCTTCCAGCTTTGGGTGGATCTCCCTAAACAGGTCGGTTACTTTGTTTCTTGTCAGATTGCTCTCTTTTGACATTCGCTCAGTTCAAAATGGTCGAACCCTCTTACCAAGAATTAGGGCCCGAAGAGTAAGTTTTACAACCAGAAGGAATGGATCCTCCGCTGACGCTGAGGGTTGAATAGGATCCCTGTTGCATATCCCGAAGGGAAGGATGGACCAACCTCCATTAAAGTCATCAGCGGGAAGAGCCATGGGGTGGAATCTCCCGTGCGGCCTCTTGGAGGTTGCTGGTTCTTCCACGCGACTTACAAGCAGAAGAAATCGACCATTTTTCAAGAGATTCGTTAGTGTCTTCGTTCGCCTGCAATTCCATGTGACTGACTTCGTTGTATCAGCCGCGGGATGGACCACTTTTGCCTATGGTGCGTAACTTTGCCTGGCGTGTCCACATCCCAATCTCAAGACTTGCGCAGTCTTCAAGGGCAAAGTCTCTGTCGGCGAGGATCAGACCATCCATGATTCGTACAATACCCTCGTTTTCTCTAGCGAGAAAAATGAGACTGGCGTTTCCATCACAGCTGAAGAAGATGGCACCGAACTGATCTTGGTGAGTGCCCTGTCTTTTGACTGCCGAAAGCATGGGCTTGTCTTACTCGCGCTCAAGGTTGCTGGAGAGCCTTTGGACCAGACTGTATTCCAATACGGGCCTTTCGTTATGACAACCAGGGAGGAGATTCAGCAAACATTGCGGGATTGTAAGTGACGCCCTTCCTTCGCGCATCCCAATTTGTCTGAGACTAACCCCTTAACTGACAGATCAACTGGGGCAAAACGGCTTCGAGAAGGCGCACAGGTGGAAGAGCGAAATTGGAGGATTGTAGATTATTGCTCCTGGATATACCTGAGCCAAAAAATATCTATGTCTTTTTTGAGGACGTGCGACGACGTTTGCCCTTATTATCTGCATCTTCATCTTCGTCTTGAGCTGTTTCCAGATCGTCCCAAATATCGTGATCTGGGTCATCATCGTCTTCCTCCTCGACTTGTTCGACCCCGGAACTAGTTGAGGACCAAGGTCGTTTATCCCAAGTAATGACCGTCGGCGTGCTCTGGAAAAAATGTCTTTCCAGGGTGATGCCTCTATTGTCCAACCGTTGCTTCACATCCTTTGGCGGTGGTGTAACGCTGTGGACCCGGACGTATTGGTCAAGGGCTCCAGAGAGCAAAGGTCCTGACGAAGTAGAGATGCAAGACACGGAAGCAGCGATCCCTATGATTTCTACACTCAGCTCACCAAACTCACACCAATATAGGCTGAGACCTACCGTGGTAGCCATAAAGGATCTTTCCAGTTCGTAAATCAACAGAGTAAAGGTTTGTCCCGTTATCGCTGACGAAGAGCTCACTGAAACCACGATCAGAAAACTGACGACTAACGAAAAGAGCGAGGAGACGAACTTCTCATTGACGCCTGAAGCAAGTGTGCGGATGCCGCCGCTTTTGCCAATGGATTTCCATTCAGCAACTGGTCTTCTACCAGAGCGCGTATCATAGCGCTGGACGTCGCCTGCCTGGTTACCAACTGCCAAGGACGTGTTCGGTTTCTGTATGAAATCCAAGGCTGTTATTCTGATGGGCTGTCGAAGGCTCAGAGAATCGTTTGAGAGCTATATTTTAGGGTCAGAAGGCTATTCAGGAAGCGAACGGCCAGTGCATACGTTCTTTGCGCGCCATGTTTCTCCGGGGAAGAGCACATCGTTTCGTTTACGCTTTTTCGAACTTGCGTTCAAACTTTCGGGCTGGGGTGAGGTTTCTTGGAATGCCTTTTCTGTGTCCCAAACGGAAAGGGCGACCTCTTCGCCACCATATGCAAAGTGTTCGCCATTCGGAGAGAGTTTCCAATCGCATAACCGCATAGGCAGTCCTCGCGTAGTTTGAACGGGCGCTTCTGTGCTCAGATGGGAGTACGCTGCTCTTCGCAAGGCGCCGTTCCCTGTACACGAAAACACCGCGCTGAATTTCGTGACACGTTAGCAAAGCATCAAGAAGTGCATTTATTAACACATACCGGTCTGTTAATGCGACCCCTACGAAGCGATTGGCTTTCAGTTTTGGTTCCGTCCAAGAACAGACCGTTTCAAGGGTATCATCATCTTGGAGCCTGGAGAGTTGTAAATTACCATCTGAAAAGGCTGTTGCAGCCTTTCTTATATATGTTAAGTCAAATATCTTTTATGGTTCTCGAAACACACACCAAAACACCGTCTCCTGTGTTCAAGGTTGCAAGACCCTGCACACCGATCCTAGCCTCTCCTCGAAACGATGCTTCCGAACGGTATACACTCTTCACCTCGACCTTGCTTCCAGATGGGCCAGCTTCGTTTGAGTATTTAAAAATTTTGAGACTTCCAAGGTCGTCGCCAACGAGAAAGCGTGCCATGATGTTGTGGACTTTTGCAGAATAGGCTACCCTCGCAAACTTTTTCTGAGCAGAAGGCGACTCGTCTAATCAGGAAGGAGGCGCCCACGACAATTACAGGGTCCGATTCTGGTCCCGGGCAGGATCAAGCCTGGGTCTTGCGACCTTGCCACCATTTCGCTGTTGACAATGGAGGCCCCCTTGAAAGAGTTAACGAAACTGGAGCGCCTTGCCACAGCCAAAGGCAAGGCTGCCTCGATACAAGGCTCGCTAGACTCTCTCCTTCAGGCACTCCAACAGGCCAAGGTTGCAGCCGCATCCGGAGATGTGAATAGCGACCATATCCAGAATCTCTCCAAGACGGTCGAGGGAAAGAAGAAAGAGGTAGAAGAGCGACAGAAAGAGATTTACTCCAGCATGTCAAGGTTTGGGAAAGCTTGGGACAAGGTGCGCCAATTGTTCATCTCAATAGGCTATTTCCTGAATTCATATGTCTTCCTAGAAATTCACCACCTCCTTGCCCACTTATTCTGATCTTTTCTCATCCCCCGCCTCTGTGGCTGCGCTTCAAAGGACAATTGCTCTACACCTGCTTAGAACAGGTCAATTTGACGTCGCAGAGACGTTTCTCGACGTCAGTGCATTATCATGTTGCGGGAATTTGTATTCAAACAGGCGTTTCGTTTCAGGAAGCAGGCGTTGAAATTTCTCCAGAGATGAGGTCGCAATTCGTAGAACTTCATGATATCCTCAAGGGTTTGAGGAACCAGGATATCACTCTAGCACTCGAGTAAGCTATTCTCGTCCACACCGGCCCTATTCGCTTGCTAATTGACCACATAGTTGGGCTCGTCGTCACCAGGGATTCTTACGAGAACGAGGCTCTCCGTTAGAATTCTACCTCCATCGTTCACAGTATATCAGATTGCTATTGTCTGCGCATCCTCCAAACCCGATTCCAGCAATACGATACGCCAACGAGAACCTCCGACCATTCTACACGGAGCACGAGTCAGAATTCAAGCGTCTTATGGCATGCATAGCATACCTTCCCCTTCATAAACTCCAACACTCGCAATACTCAGACCTTGCTAGTCCCTCACTTCATTTCGATCTTGAAACTTTGTTCGCGAAGGAGTATTGCGCGCGGTTAGGAATGAGTCGGCAGGTCCCACTTCGGGTGGTGGGTGACATCGGTGGTGGAGGTGCACTTTCGAGGATAGAAAAGGGCAAGAAGGTCATGAGGGACAGGAAGAGCGAGTGGAGTCACAACGAGGAGTTACCCGTGAGTTTCCTAAGACTGCCATTCCTTTCCTTGCTTTTGATGCAGTACAATCAGATCGAAATTCCATTACCACCAGAGAACAGGTATCATTCAATATTCGCTTGTCTCGTCTCGAAAGAACAATCTACAGAGCACAACCCACCAATGATGCTAACCTGCGGTCATGTCATCTCCAAGGACAGTTTGCTCAAACTAAATAAATCCGCAGGGTACGTGAACGCTACCTTCTTCTCGATTGCTCTGACATCACACGACAGACGGGCAAAATGTCCATACTGTCCCGTGGAAACCCCTCACAACACTGCATTGAGATTGTATTTTTGATTAGGGATGGAAAGTATTGTATGTATTATTACGCGCACTGTATAGTAGACCAGTTCAATCAGCAGCCGTCAAGGCCCCTATTTATGGCTTGGATGATCCATTACATAACTGTGCCCCTTTCATTCCTCCACCAATCTCATCTTCGCCTAGCACTCGTCCGAGCTTCAGTTCCGCGCCACTTGCATCTAGTGTTGGTCTAGGATGGAACAGATCCCAGTCCACACATCTTTATCAGACCTGAGGTCCGTCTGAGCAACCCCCATCAGGTTGAGCGGGGAGAGGGAAAGTCTCACCACACCATTCATCCAGGGAATCATACCACCACATATTCTCCTCGGGCCTTTCCTTCTCTCGTCTCAAAGACGAAGCCCTAACCGACCGGCTCTTTCCCAAACAAGATGCAAGTTCCAACGAAGCGCCCGGGGTATCGGGACGCAGTATCGCATGGAAGGTGGTTAATTGGGTGTTGCCTAGTTTTGCACTCGTTAACACCTCTAACCTGACGTGATTCTTCTCGCATGTTTTGCCTGTCGCAAAAAGCTTTTTCTTGCCAAACACGAACCGCTGCAAGCTTCGGCACCTCCGAGGACAGGATCCTTGTTGGAGGAATTGAGAAAGTCGAGGAACCGATATTCGGAGTTGTTGGTGGAGAAGACAAGACCTCCGGATGAAAGATTGAAGGGCGTGCCGTCCACGACGACCTCGAAGCCTTTGGAAGTGACGAGGAATGTCAATCTGAACAATCCTCTCAGTCTGCATAATGAGGTGAGTATCGGCAAGCCCTAACTTACCGTAGGCTTATCAAGAGGTGTAGAATCCATGGAACGAGTGGTTTGCAGGGTTGGAGGTCAAAACAACAATTGCTCAAGATGTGGAAAGAACGTATGTTCCTCATGCCTATCGTGAAAGGCCTGTGATTTTATCATCCTGTGAAGCTTTCCAGATATCCCATTCTTCCGGGAAACCGAGATCCAGAGCCAGTTAACCAACATACTTTTCATCTACGCCTCTACGCATCCACGTATAGGTTATCGACAAGGTAGGCTACAGATAGCCCTTACGTCAGGAGATTCAACTGACTACTGTATCCCAGGAATGCACGAACTCCTGGCACCTCTGTATTATGCCATTTATTTTGACTCTGTCGACGAATCTGCTGCCGTCGAGCCTGAACTACGCGAAATATGTTCTGTCGCCTGGATCGCTGCGGATGCCTGGGCGCTCTTTGACACCGTGATGGACGGCGTATCGACATGGTATGAATGGCGGGAACCAGACTATCGAACACTCGCAGCGGAACGCCAACCTGGCATTGCAGGCCACGTGCATCTCGTCGCACCCAACGGGCCAAACGGCCTACAGCCTTGGGTTGCACCGATAGTCAAAGCTTGCAATCATATTCAAAATGAGTTGCTCAAGAAAGTCGATCCTGCTCTTTGGAACGCCATGTCGAAAGCAGGGATAGAGCCTCAGATCTATGGAATGTGAGCCATTGGTTGTATATCCCATGTATCTTTCTGACGATAGCTTCACAGTCGATGGCTTCGTATGCTGTTTACGCGCGAGTTTTCAATGACGGATACAATGAAGTTGTGGGATGGACTGTTTGCATGTGACCCAACCCTTGCGCTGGCGCAATGGGTCTGCGTCGCCATGTTGATTCGTATTCGTGGAAATTGTAAGGCATGTTGTCTCGAGACCTTCCGTACGCTAAACCGTTTCTTCCCAGTAATCAATGCCGACTATAGCTCACAACTTACGACTCTCCTGCGCTATCCATCACCATCTAGACCACTATTGGACGACGCTCCCATCCATACATGTCTTCTCCTTCAGCAAGCCCTTTCACTGCAGTTGTCGCCGACGCCATCGACTGCTGCGACAATAGCAATGGAGAATAGGTCTCTGCTTGGAATCCCAATCGAACCTGCGGAACATCACCCGCCATCGCCCAAGAAACGCGTCCCGTTGACGCGACATCACTCTGGATTTGTACCAACCAAAGCTAACGGTGCCAAGGACGCTTCGACTCCTGGACACAGTCGACAAGCATCTTCACCACCTCTTGGACTGTCAGAAATGCTGTCTCGGGGGTTGCTCGAAAGGGGAGAGAGTCTAGGGATCAATAAGACACTTTTGAGTGCCGTCTCCGAATTAAAGGTGAGTGATTTCAATCCAAGCTTTGATGCTGTTCATATAACACTCTACCCAGAGAAACATACCGGATATATCTGCACTGGTCAAATCGCCAACATATGACTCCACATCTTTCCCCCTCGAGGAAGACCGCCCGGTAACAGAGAGACCGCCTTGGGAACCAAGAACGCGATTAGAGATGGAACGCGAGATATCGACGTTGCGCAACAGAGATAAGCGACTCGGAGACTCTCTGGGATGGATAGTGGATGTACTACTTCAAGATGAAGAGAGCACGGGGGACGTGGAACGGTTGAGAAGACGGAGGAGAGAAGCCGTAGAGTCCCTCTCCTACATCAGGGATGTCCTGATAAGCGAAACGACAGAGCTGGAGGAAGAACGGTTAACGAGCGAGGAGGTGGCTGCAGACGCCAGGAAGAGGAGACAGCAACGGACAGAAAGTTCGACCTCGCCGCCACATCCTGTGATACAAACTCCCACCCCCCCTCTCCCTGTGACTGTGGTTGACTCCGGGACGCGGTCGTCGACAGATCGCAAAGTTATACGTGCTCATCCGAACCCGTTTTCTCCAAACAAATCGATCGTAACCTCCTCATCGGATGGAGCAGACTTGGCGAAGGTTGCACCTTGGAACCATACACGGTCAAGCTTTAGTCGACCAGTGATTGGGCTGCCATCGACCACGCTTCCACGAAAGCCTCCACCTACATCGAGCGGAAATGGCGAACAGAGGAAGTCAGGAGTAGCTTACGATCCTCTGGGCGCGTTGTAGTTCGCAGAATGCGTGCGGGAATCCACCATATAGCAACTCGTAACATGTTCGGGGCCACAGGGAAAGAAATCAATAGTATAACGCAAGAAAGTTGCGCAAAGGTTACGCATGAAGGTGCATTACAGAGGGACGGAAAAGTCTCCCTGACGGAATTTGGCTTCAGGATAATATCTAGCTCGGATAGATCTCCCTCCAAAGTATCTTCCATCGAGTTCCCGGACACTCTTCCACGCCCCAGCTGGTCCGGCAAAGACGACGAAAACCCGTACCGCCTCAGCAAAGTTGGGTGGCAGTGGGTCAACAACATGGACAAGAACTCTCTCAACTGTCCCATTCTTCGAACATTCTTCGCCTGCACCGTGTAATCAGTATCTCATCAGTCATACAAAGAAATGTAAACCAGACATACCAATATCTTGACGAAGATCCTCGTCATCAGCATCGTTGGGATCGACGATGTTGGTCAGAACCAGAATTCGACTGGGTTCTCCGAACCGTACAAGGTCTTCTTTCGCACGCCGATCTTCATTGTTGTTGATGATCTTTCCAATCTTCGGACCTGGTGGTCCTTTTCCTTTTCCTTTGCCGCCAGAGGCTACTTGTTCCAAGGTAAGAGGATTGACAATGCCTGACCCGTCCGCACCCAATCCCTGGCCTTCTTTGTGACCGTACTTCGCAAGAAGACGGGCGCCGAATCCGGGTTGTCCCGGCCTAGATAGATAGGATTAGGTATTTTGGGCAATGATATCGGAGTAGAGACCATACCTCTTGTCTACTGCATCCTCTTCTGGGGTCTGTACCGGTGGGGTGGGTGAGGCCGAAGTTGCAGCTCCCGCGCTTGCCATCGCACTCAGCCTGGCAGCGATGGCTGCGGCCTGCTTCTTCATCTCTTCCGCCTTGTTCTCAAGTGAAGGTGCAGTGCCAACTGGAGGAGCCACGACAGCCGGTGGAGGTGGCACAGTGGGTGGAGCAAATGGATTGTAAGCCAGAGGTGGCGGGGAAGCAGTCCTCATTGGCGGTGGAGGCGCCGCGGGTCGCGTCGACATGGCGAGGCGTCGAAGGTAGGCTTCATCACCTGTCTGCTCTCGAGGAGGGGCAGCAGGCGGCGGGGTCGGGGTCGGCACTGCAGAGGATCCTTCCACGGCATCGGGTTCGACGAGTGGCGGATAGCTGCGTCCTTGCGACATGGCTAGACGACGGAGGTAAGCGTCTTCCCCTGAGAGGTTCTTGTCCATGACCACAGGAGTTGGCGACGGGTCGCGCGGAACATTCGACCTTTCCTCGTCTGTTCGGTTCCAACGATCGAAGCTTTCTCCTTCGTAGCGCCCTACAGACTATAAACCTTTACACCCTGAAATATCAATCCAAATGACATACCTGTCTTGCGCGGTCTGTCATCGTCGTCGGAGCCGGTATAATCTGAATCGGAGTAGCTCCTGCTACGACCATAATCCTTGGACGATTGATATCGGCGCTCTGCAGCCAAGCGCTCCCGTCGTTCAATTCTTTCCCTGGTCTTCCAGAGTTTGTACTCGTTGTAGTCATTGGGTCTCAGAGGGTCGTATTGGTCCATCGGGTCCCAGGTGTTCACGGGTTGTACATGCTTATTCTGCACGGAACTCATTTCAGGACCCCACGCGAAAAAGCTAAAAGATGTTAGGGGCGCACCTTCTTTCCTTTGCCCTTCCCGACTTTCCGCTTGTGTGATTTGAATCCATTTACGTCTTCGTCAAGCACCATGGATGGCGGCTTGACTTTCTTTCCCCATCCTTGTGCATTCTGAGTGTGTGCCCCAGTTGTGGTAGTTGCAGCCCCAGTTACAGTTGAAGATGTGTCGCCGGTGGCTTCAGGGGTCTTCAACTGTGGTGGTGCAAAAATGACCGCGGTGGACGACAACCCCGGGGTGGTAGCGGTGGTGGTACCAGCGGTGGACAGCGTGGTGGAGGTCAACACCGACGCGCCAATCGGGATTCGTGGTGCAGTCGGTTTAGCCTTGTTAGCTGCGGGTCTTCGAATGGGGGCAAATGCCAAAGCTGCAGACCAGCCTTTTTTGTTGTTGCAAATTGGTTGGAGGTAAGGATAGGCAGGAAAGGAATCGTTATTTCAAAGTTGCATTTAGACACATGTTGAGTATGGAGATACCAGCTGTGGACTTTGTCGTTGCGGTTGAGCTCGAACTTGAAGCAGTAGTCGCAGCGGTCGTCGTTGTTGCCGACGAAGTTGCAGGTTGGGCGACGGGTTTGGGGTCTGCTTGTGTGACTTCAGACTTGGGTGGGTCAGGATCTTGAACAGATTGAGAAACAGAGGATTGGTATGTTGTGCCAGAAGAAAACTGAATGCCTCCATAGAGGCCGCCAGCTCTGTTTTTCGACATGGTCGTGGTTGCGGTTCAACTGGAATCATCGCTTCCAATTGTACCTCAAATTGGTACAGCGTGGGAATAAACTACTACATTTAATGCTTCCCATAGATCGCCTCTCGCCCCACTTGCTTCGTTTGCTCATCTCCTACAACCGTTCCGTATACGACTTTGGCAGCCCCAGTGGCCGTGTTAGCCGCTCCTCTGGCAACTTCTGTGGCTTGGGTGGTGATTCCAGACACAATGCCTTTGGTCGGCGCGTTACCAGGTGTCTTGGTCGCGTTCGCCCACCCGTCCTCTGGATTTTCATGAACACGAACGATTGGTTAGAATGTAATCAATAAGCCTTACCTTTGTTCGAGTTCTCATTCAACGGATCGATGTTGGTGGACTCGATGATGCCAGGGCGCGCTTCCACAACACCGGCCTGTTGCTTCAGCGTATTCTTGGCATCCCGGTGGCCAGAGAAGGAACTGGGGCTGGCGCCAGCACCGAACGCCTCTGACGTCGGGTCGTTAACCTGATCCTTCTTTAGGAATCGTCTACAAAACCAGGTAGGGGATTGTAACCCACAAAGTTGGCCTGTCGGGGATCAGGCGTATTGTCATTGGCGGCAGTGGGGTTGGCAATGCCAGGGTAAACCGAACTTCGGCCGGATTGAGCAAGCATGTTGGTATCGTTGAGAGACATGTTGAAAGACTGTTGTTGTTAATGAATACAGTTTCAATTCACTTATATACACCAGACAGGCTTTCGTGGAGAGAGGTGACGCCAGATTTCATTCCCTAAAACCAATAATCACCGGGGGATGATATCACTAAAGTACTTCTCTCGGGCTTCCTTGCTGAGAATATGGACGGCAAAGTTTCCAGCATCAACCATGGCCCAGCCGGTCTTCATTTGGCGTTTTGACTTGGGAGGCAATGTCACAGGTGGAGTTCGCTCGAGCAGCTAAGGGAGATATTCGTCATTGTCAAGTTCAAACTGGACGGGGACGTCTCCAACTCACCACTTTGCGCACAGCCCGAACAACAGAGTCGATAGCTCCCCGTCCCTCAGTTCCTTCTTTCACCTGACGCAAGAGTTGAACCCTGAATACCGAAGGACTCTGGGAAGAAGGACTCACCTGAGCATAGACGTACCAACTCCATAGCCCACTCGTTGCATCATAGATTGATTCTCCAGCGTAAGTTCCACCCCGTCCTCTTCTCCCCTGCGGGAGACGCTCGGGCAATTCGGGCCCGGGAGGTGGTGCAACGGCTGGAGTCACCACTAGCTGCGATATATCCAGATGAGGGGACTTTAAGAGCTGAGCGTGAAGTTCCCTCAAGACTTCGGGCGTGTCTTCAGGTATTGGGGGCGCATTCTGTCTCCGTGAAGCAGGTATAGATTGTGGTGTCCGTCTTGCCACAGGCTCAGGGTCTACGAACCAAGGAATGCCCTGGTTCGCCGTCGTCGTCGCGTTAGCATCGCGCAAGGACGTCGTTGAAGCAAATCCGCGAAGCAATTGTCTGTTGACCGTCCAAGAGGAGGAGAGACAGCGACGAAAAGCAGAGGAACAGCGCAAAGTGGTGGAAGCCATTATTTCGAATGGAAGAAGTGAAGCCACGTGAATTTGATTTCAGGACGCTTGTCAAAAGTTTGAAGCACCGCACGTCAAACGATCATCGGTCGACGCAGCAACCCCACTCTGTCTTCAAACAACCACCTACCCTTTTCTTTATTTCCTTTAATCTTTCTTGAATGGGTGTCCGAGCAGGTGTAGTCGTTTGTGTCACCAGTTTCCTGCTGGGTAAATATTCATAGTTGCAATACACCTGGTATTCGACTGACCTGTTGGTGTTTCAGGTGCTCTCTTCACCCACTGGATTGCGGACTCGCTCACCCTGTGGAAGTCCCCCGTCACAGATGAGCACTTGTGGACCGCAGCATCTTACTACTCTATTCTCGCAAAGGGTCCACCAGAGACCCTCTACTTCCTCGCAGCCATCACAACGCTTGGAGGTACAACCCTGCTGTGGAGTCTCAACGATCTCCGTGCCGAAAACATCATGTTCGATGGAGGCAGCATATGTACGTCTTAAAATATTGCCCCATAACCACATCATACTTATGGCCGTCCACAGTCCTATTTGCAACGACCGTTTACATTTACCTGAACACCGTTCTTCCAAGTACGTGTGACAACTCAAATGCCATTAAGCGCCAAGTCTCTAACACCTTAGCCTTTTTCCCATTTCAACCACAAGGCATCTTTGCCAACTTCAGTACTATCCCTATGCATCAGATTAAAGACGCTGTCCCCCAAGCCCTCCGCACCGCGACACTCGACCTCGCCTCTAACCACCTCATCTGCAGTGTTGCGCTGACAGGTGTCTTGGCATTGCAAGCTGGCAGACTATGGGCCGAAACTTCAGGCGACGACGATGACGACTATGTTATGGTCGAACCTGTGAGCGACACCTCATCCAACACTACCAAGTCGAACGCCATTTCAAGAGCTGCAAGTAAAGGCCCGGAATCTCGCTCGGACGAGTCGCATGAGGTCAAGCTGCCCTCGGTCACGTCTCTTCGCGTTGACCCCATCCCTACTTGAACCCTATCCGACCACCAGGAGCGTTTGTCTGACGTGTAACGCTCGCGATTTTTGGTCAATGCCCTGCTGATGAACCTACTTCTGCCCTCCCCATTCAACTGGATTCTATATTTTGGCTCTTTGCTTCACCTCCCTCTGCTCGCATCTGCTTTTCTCTTAGTAACTACTTGGTATCTCACGACACACTGACGGCTGCGGATTTCTGTAAAAGTAATGATGATTGTTTTATATCTAATGTTCAACCAAACGAGATTCAAATAAATAAACAAAACAAAGTAAAAGCGGATTGATTAATCTAATTCAGAGGGTATTAGTCTAATTCCTCTATTCCTGGACGATGTCCTCCTTCCTGGGCTTGGAGTTCTTGATTTCGTGACCTTGCCCGATGATAGTCTGCGCATCGTCATCCATGACAATTCCTAGATGTCGGTCAGTATAGACAGCAACGACAAACTAGGCAGAAGGCGTACCCAAACCCTCTTCCCTCACGAGCCCTAGCACATGCTCCAATTCGACATATCCATCTTGATCAACGTCCAACTTTTGGATCACGGCTTGGCCAACTTCCTCGTCCGGCTTATGCTTAATGACAGAGAACGCCTTTTCAAGATCCTGAACCGAGATCCTTCCTTGAGCGTCAGCCTTGATCAACTGGAGGGAGCTTCCAACACGGTCATCGTATTCCTGGAGTTGGGTATCGATCTTGGTCAACATGGATCGAATGCGCTTGGTGAGAGCACCAGAGGGTGACTTGGGATCTTCCTCGGCTTGCAAGTTCTCTTCCATCAGTGCGCGGAGTTCGTCACGTTCCTTCAACACGCTAGATTTAGAGGAGAGAACCATGAGGGCGTCGCTGAGTTCATTGAGCTGATCTTCGGTCAGACGTGCGTCAGTGGGGCTAGGAGTTTCGAGGACTTCGGGATGGAGCTATGTGCATGTGTGAGCGTTGGAAGGGTGTTTCAATGATAGAAGAACGTGCCTCAGAGTCAGGAAGCAAGGCCTCGGCAGCACGAGCTTCAGCTTCTTCAGCCTCACGCTTAGCTCGGCGAGCATCTTCTTCCTTCTGTTCCTGCTCGGCTTCATCGTCAATGAGTTCCTGTTGTTGTTGCAAGACTTCCAATTTCTGCTTGTAGCTGGCGTTGTCGTCCACTTCCAATTCGGCTTCGTTGAGCTAGATGCCGTGTCATTAACAACTCAACTATACATTCCAAGACAAAACTTACAAGGTTATCGGGCAGACCAGAAAGGACACTCTCCAAGCTTTGAATCACGGCTGACCTGCCATCTTCATCGTCGCCAGGTTTGCGATCAAAGTTGAAAGCACGTCCGAGGATAAGCAAAACACCAGAAACACGTTGATGCAAATGGAGATGAATCCAAGTGGTCAACTCTTCGCGCAGCCGAGCAGGGGAGATTCCTCCGGTTCGAATACCACGGGACTGGCACGCAGCCTGCAGTTCCGAAGTCGAGAGAGTATCAACACCTTCCGAGTCGATGAGCTGATCGTCCCGACGCAGATGCAAAAGCCGAGTTCGGATTTGTCCACGCAAGAAATTGTCCGTTCCGAAGGCGTTCAAGCCCATGTACCGTGACATTGAGACGAGTTGAGGACGAGACAAGTTGTCCAGAGTCAAGTCGTCGTCGAACAGTTTGGCAACGTTGATAACATCTGCTGAAGAGGGTACTTCACCAGTGGCGCGAACCTTGCGGAAGAACTCTTTGAAGGCTTCGGAACCGACGATGTGGGCATTGGCTTTGAGGCCTGACTCGCGCAGCGTTTCTTGCAAGAACTTGGCCATGTCCAGTCGGACTCGAAGCAGCTTGCGTTGCTTCTCTTCCTAGAATTTTGTCATGAGTGACGTGACCGGCGAGGTTGGGAAAAAACGATGACTGACCGCCGCGTATTTGTCCTCAAAGGTGGAGGGCAACATGTTGGGGAAGAGTTTCAAAGCCACAGGGAGAAGCAATTCCATGAAAGGAACGACGAGGAACACGGAGAAGGGGACGAGACGCATGAGGTCCTGAGTCGTTCGTTTCAACTACAAAGGTGCAACGTCAGCACGGCTCGGGGCAAGGAATAGAATGAGCTTGCCTGTCGTCGTTCACGGCGTGTCAGGGTGTGACCCTGCAAGACCTTCCATTGAAGCTTGCTAGAGATTCTGACTTCGGAGACGAGCAGCTTGGAACCGTGCCAGTAGTGCTGGGCTTCGTGTTTGACCTTTTTCCAAACTCGGGTGGAGAGGGGGAGTTGGGGTTCCTTGGGTGCAGGTGGCGCTGCTGTCTTCACTTCAGGGTCTTTGGACGGCGCAGAAGAGTCTGACTTGACTGTTGAAGACGGCGACGAAGGTGGTGGTGGCTTTGCATTTGAGGTTGAAAGGAGACGGGGAGGATTAAGGGATTGTGTGTTGTAAAGTAGCGGACGGGAACGAGCGGCGAGGACGAGTTTTTTGTTTGTTGACTGGATAAGTGCTGCGCGGCTAGACGAGTGGATGAGGTTCGCAGGGCAGCTGCGCGGAATCCATAGAGACATGCAGAATATTAGTAGTCGTGACTAGCCGCCCAACGTACTTCGCATTCGAAGCGAGACTGAAAAGTCCACGCCTTTCCCTGTCATATTCACCTCCTTGTTTGGCTCTGTTGTGCTCATTCTCAATGTCGACCTCTGACCTCCTCAATCCCGAGTCTCCCGCCTACAAGAAGGCCCGTCGCCAGTTCTACAAAGCTACAAAGAACAGGCCTCCTGTTTCAGAAAAGGACTGGACACCCTTCAGAGCCGCTGAGAAGCGATACAAGGCCCGCTTTCCACCGCCTGATCTCTCCAATGTCCTCGATCTCGCACAACTAGATCCGTCAAGGGAACATGAGATCACCCAAGGTGTTTGGAAGGGCTCTCTAGATCCCGTCGAGTATAGAAGAGTTGGGTCGGCCTACACAATACCAGACATACCTGGTGCGCACCAGTGTCGATCTAACCATCTAAATATAACGCCAAGTCTGTATCAGGCCTAGTCATTCTGCCCTCCTTTGTCTCTCATAAAGACCAACGAAACCTCATTCGCTGGGCTTTGGAGAGGCAAGCTCGTCACCCGAATCCCACCAACCTCGATGTCCATTATCACCTGCCAAAGGAAGGTCTTTGGAATCGGTACCTCCAGGAGCCGGAAACCACCATCCGCCCAAAAGCTGTGGACTCAGATGTAGTGGATGTTCCTTCCCCTGGTCCTCGGCAACTGGTCAACAACACCCCCATATCCGTAGACAACGTGAAAGAATTGGTCGTGACCCCGAAACCTCCACCGGCGCCCTCTGCAACTGTCCAACCTGCCTCTGCGTCGTCTCTGCTGTACAAACTCCGATGGGCGAATATTGGATGGTATTACCACTGGGGCACGAAACAGTACGACTTTTCGCAGGGAAAGGGAGATATTGACGAAGAATTGCACGACATCTGTCGCAAGGCTGTTCATTCCGTTGATTGGAAGGAGGTCTACGAAGGAACCCAACTCGAATGGGAGCAACCTGAGGATCCAGAGTGGAAATATTGGAGAGATACATATGGTGGGTTTCTTGTACCTCTAACAGGCCCTTGGCTAAAACCTTTTCAAGAACCCGACGCTGGAATCGTCAACTTTTACCAAACTAAGGACACGCTCATGGCACATGTCGACCGCTCCGAAGTATGTGCAACATCCCCTTTGGTGTCGATATCGTAAGTTGCTTCGCTTCATCCCCTGATCCAACGCTGATTTTCGTAGCCTCGGGAACGCGTCTGTCTTCTTGATTGGTGGAAACACTCGAGAATCTGAACCAATCCCTCTCCTCCTTCGCTCAGGCGATGTTGTGATCATGTCAGGACCTGTGGCAAGGCGAGCATACCACGGAGTGCCTAGAATCTTGGAGGAGACCCTTCCCCCTCATCTACAAGGAGACTCGGACGACTGGCGACCTTTCGCGCGATACATGAAAACCACGCGAATCAACGTTAATGTTAGACAGGTATTTCCGATGGGTTTCAATGCTGAAGAAATTCTGCAGAAAGTGGATACGCATTGCAGCCAGTAGAATTAGCGCTCAATCAATCGCCTTGTTTGTGCTTGTTCGTGTTAGGAACGAAAGGTCTTCGGCAACACGGCCGACTGTACAGTTTTGAAAATTAAGGTTCAGCGTACTCATCGTCAGCACCGCTCCGCTAATCAGCACATCCCCGACGATACAATGGAAAACGACGCTGTAAGTCTGCATTATTGACGATGGGCAAGGCAGGGCATTGACACTGGGCGATGTATACAGGGTGTCCTTGTCGATCTCTACGTTCCCCGCAAATGCGCGGCAACCAGTGCGTTATTACTTGGCTCAAACGAATAGCAACGATTTAACGCAGGAATTCTTGTCTAATAGACCGACTCATTACCGCTAAGGATCACGCATCCGTTCAAATTGTCATCGCCGATGTCGACGCCAACGGCCGGGCCCTTACCACTGGCACCACCTTTGCCCTTAGCGGCCAAGTGAGATCCCAGGGAGAGAGCGATGACTCCCTTAACAGACTGGCGACCAAGGCTGGACGTGAGTCCAATTCCGTTTCTTGTAACTTGGTGGTTCTCACTGTTTTGTTGATTCTAGTGTTGAGAAACGTCTGGTCATACCAAAAGTAAAATTCTGGAGATTAGTTCGGGACGACTTTTTCCATTGTATTCAGCCGCTTTCCTATTGCATTTCCATTCACGCATCCTGAATATCCCCGCGCTTTGAGAAATTTAAGAAGGCTGCACTCAATCCTGCATCTCTCGAAATCTCTCTAATTATAGCCGTTGGCTTGGCACTGCACGTGACTATGACGCTGGATTAATGTGTGCAGGAATCGCAGCGGCGCGCAGTCTTTCCCGCAAAGCCCATGAGCACAAATAATCTCGCACCTGCTGCGATTTGATGGTTCAAATCCCTCCTTCTCTTTCCTCCTCGTTTGAGAGCACCTTGTCCACAGAATCTGTAGGAAAAATCCCTGAATCACTGTCTACAAAGCTCATTAACAATAGTCAGACTCGATGGTCGAAATCAAGCGGACAGAGGCCCCCAGAGTCGACGATGACTCGGAGAGATACAGATTGCTATACAGCAAATCAAAGGTCTATGTTCACCCAACAGCCTATTCCAGAGACAACATTCCTGGTTTCGTGGCATTGGTGAAGCGGGTAAGCGCCCAGTTGCAACTGTTGTGGAGAACATCGCTCACCGGATCCAACTTCAGGAGGCCACCAACCCTATTTACCTCTTGGCATGGATTCCAGAGACTCTGTTGAATGAGAAAGGACCATCTGAATGGGACAAGTTTGTCAAGATTGAAGAGAAACATGGCACCGCCGACGAGGACGATGGTGAGTTCCAGTGGTCCTTGCATAGCAGCCTTGTACTGACTGTGCAATCTTCAGACGTCGTGCTCATCGACTTTCCAATTCAAAGACCTGAATCTTACGCATTCTCCGTTCCTTTGACGTCCATATACTCTCTCATTGTTCACCCGCCGTCACTCTCGTCTTGGTGTGCGTTCATTCAAGTATCCTCGCAACCTGGCACTGACTCGAGCCTCTCCAGATGGATCCATTGCAATCAATCTCATAAACGGCGATACTCTACCAACGTTGCACTTCCACGACGACGAATCCAGCTCGTTCACGCTACAAAGCCCCCGCACGACCACTGCTTCTGGAAGTAATGTCACCGCCTACCCTCCGCCACCCACCCAAGGCACCTCTCATGTTCCGAAGGCCGTCACCTCTTGGGGCGGTGAAGACGTCATCTCACGACTGCGCCAATACGCCCATGTGCTGCGCTCGACCCTTCAACCGAGCCTATTTCTGATTGATCCCTCAAGAGCCGACATCGAGGCCCATTCGACCCAAATCTTTTCTGACGATGCTGTCGATGACATTCTCGCCCAGTCGTCATATGCAAACTCACATTCGCCAGTGCCTGCACACCGACGACCCAGACCTCTGTCGACAGCAAATGGGTCGAGTAACCCGTACTCCCAGAGATCCTCAGTGCTCCACAGGTCTCTTGGGTCTCCACCTATTTCCCCGGCCCAGTCTCAGTCAAGCTCACAAGCCCGAACCGCCCTCCTCCAGTCCTTCTCTAACATCACACGAGCCACACGCCATGCAGCTCAGAACATCCTCTCTCACCCCCTGGCCAGACCCATCGTGCCCCACCTCCCCGATCCCGTAAAGAGTCTTGTGAACGCGAACGGTGAATGGGGCAGTTGGGTGGAAAAAGGTGGAGTGGGTGAGTTTGAGAGCGCACGGGTGTATCTGGCGAGGTGGGCGAGGATTGTAGCTGAGGAGGGTGAGAGGGCGCGGAGGCTGGAGGCACAGGCGCTGCCTTCGTCTTCGAGTTTGGCGGAGGAGTCATCGTCGTTGGGCGTGTTTGAGTTGTTGCATTCTACTTCGAATTTGCCTCCACCGAAGACGTTGAGAGATCCATCTCACCCTGTGGATGAACATACTTGGGAGAGTTGGTTTGATGGAGAGGGCAGGCCGAAGATCAGGGAAGAGGAGATGAGGAGGGAGGTGTTTAGGAGAGGTATTTCTTCCAAGGGAACCCTCAGACAGAAGATTTGGCCGTTCTTGCTGGGTGTGCATGAATGGGACACCACTGCGGCACAGAGGGAGGCGGCGTGGAAATCTAAGCGGTAGGTTTCATTCCTTTGTCGAGATGTCGGTCACTCAGATTCTTCGTAGGGAGATCTATCAGAAGACCAGGGACGAATGGTGTGGGGTTCCAGAAGTATTCGATCGACAGGATGTTATTGAGGTCAGTATTTACTACCCTATTTCCTCGGGCAGGCCATTTACATCTGTACAGGAGAGGCACCGAATAGACGTCGACTGTCGCCGTACAGATCGCAATCAGCCTCTTTTCTCGGCACCCGCTGAAATACCTACAACAGATCTAGACGATGAGAAGGGGATCAACAGGCGCTACTCGACTATATCTCCCAACATGAACGATATAGGAGCCCAGTCTCCGAGCAATGAGCACGTAGACCGGATGGCTGGAATTTTGTTGACCTACAACTTTTACGAGAAAAGTTTCGGTGAGTAGAACCCTGACTCGATTGCGAAACTTCATCTCTGAGGGCGTTTAGGATATGTGCAGGGAATGTCGGATTTATGCGCGCCTCTATACGTCGTTATGGCGGGTGATGAAGCGATGACCTTTTGGTGTTTTGTGCACTACATGACTCGCATGGTAAGGCTTCGTGTGTAAGTTGGATCTGTTAAACTGACGGGCGGTGTAGAAGAAGAATTTCTTGAGAGATCAAAGCGGCATGAAGCAGCAGCTTTCAACACTTCAGCAATTGATTGGTGTCATGGATCCCGAACTGTTTAGACACCTTGGTACGTGCCATTCAGACGTTTTACCGTATTGAACCTAGCTGACTTTTTCCAAAGAAAAGACCGATGGAATGAATTTGTTCTTTTGCTTCAGGTTTGTTTGCTCTCCAGCCCGCGGCTACCCACTGACAGATTGCATAGATGGGTTCTTATCGCGTTCAAACGCGAATTCCCGTTCGACGACGTTCTACGGCTTTGGGAAGTACTCTGGACAGATTACTACAGCACCAGCTTCGTTCTTTTCGTCGCGCTGGCAGTTCTAGAGTCGCACCGAGACATGATTCTACGCTACTTGGTGGAGGTTTGTACACGTCATTTACTTTGCCAGAACTTGCGCTCATTTTCGCCTACTTCAGTTTGACGAGATTCTAAAGGTATGATATTGTACACTGGAAACATTCTACAGTGAAGTTTACCAAAGACGCAGTACTGCAACGAACTCAGCATGACGATCGAACTCGACACCACCCTCGCCCAAGCCGAGGTCCTATTCCTCTCCTTTGCGCAGCTAGTCGCAGATATCGATAGAAGAAAGGCCGAGCAAGCTTCTCAAACTAACCAACTTCGTAACCGTGTAACAGGACAGACTTCCGCCGCCGAGACTGCTGCTGTTTTGTCCCGAGTTGAACTTTCCGACGATTTGAGAGACCTGTTGAAGACTTCGCGTTGAGTTTCGATTTGCTTTCTGGTCTGGTAGCTACTTTTGGTTGCTTTGTTACGTTTTTTTTTTTAGTACGAGCCCGTACAAGCTCGACGTTGTAATTGATAGAGCGAGAAACACGATTTACTCTACTGCACGCCATGGAAAGTACAGTCATTACCCGGCCAGTGGGAAATGACCCCCCAGTGGGAAGGATGATTTTTGTAACCTGGGTGTCATGGAATCTCCCTCGGAGAAATTGTTTTGGGGTAGATAGATAGGTAATGCACTCTGGATAGCAGTTTGAAGACTATCGGTCTAAAGAGACACTTGCGATACTCAGTAGATGGTGTCGAAAAAGTGATTTTTTCAGTATTTTTAAGATTCACTCATATCTACCCTCATTGGGAGCGAAAAAAAGGGATATAAGTGCTTCTTCAGTTTGTATCTACTACGTTAGCGCGTATACATGGGTTGAATAGAAGAATTCCACGAAATCGTTAGTCTTGAGGAGGAGGGGGAGGTCAAGCACTGATGGCACCTGTCACACACCAAAAGGGGAAAGACGCGACACGTCTGAAAAACCATCCTCTTCACGATGTGTCACGAAATTGACCTCACACTGAACGGTAAACACCTCGTCCAACTCGAAAAGAAGAAGGATGCGGATGAAAACGAACAATATGACGACGAAATGGAAGTCAAGGACTTAGACGATTAACGAGGTCCTTGCCTTTTGAGGAAACATCAATCTGTGACTTGATGTGACAGTCACGTCCCACTGGCTAGGTATGGGGCCGATAACGAGCACCTTCACTGATTTTCAAATTTCTATCCATTTACTGCACAAGTCCATTGATTAACTGCATACTCTAGTACCTGTACCTATATTACATCCCAGTATCAAGTTTATTTTACGGAGAGGCCATCACAGAATTTCTCCGACACATTTCCAATTTTGCTGTCCCACTGGCCGGGTAATGACTGTACGCGTCACGGCCGCGTTCTTCAGGCCCTCTTATGTTTTGCTTCCGTTGATTTGATGGCGTGGGCGGCGACGCGAGTCAGCACGAGTCTGAGCGCGGTTTGGTCGACAGAGCTTCAAACGTCACCGCAATGTCAAACCTCACAATCCTTCGCCAATATGCGGCAAAAATGCCCAGCAGTCTACCCAACGCTGTACTATTCCAGTCCTCTGACAAATACCTGACTATCTTCGATGCGTACCCCAAGTCCATATTCCACTTTCTCATTTTGCCTCGAATCGAGGATGGTGCAGTCGCTGGAGAGGAAAGCCAGGGCAAATTTTCAGTTCAAGAGCTGCGCAATCTCAAGGCTCTACTGAGAACGTCCGATAAACAGAAGGCGAAGAAGCTGATCGAAGAACTGAAGAGTGAGGCTGACAGTGTGAAGAGGCAGATTGAAGAAGAGATGGTGGAACGCTACGGGTTCAAATGGGGTGTGTGGGTCGGATTTCATGCTGTACCATCCATGGAGTAAGTTTCTCCAAAGTCGTCCCCAATCCTATTGAATCATCGTACTATAGGCATCTCCATTTGCATGTCCTCTCTGCAGACCTGGTCTCTGAGAAAATGAAAAAGAAGAAACACTACAATTCCTTTCATCCTTCACTGGGTTTCTTCCTACATATTGACGACGTTCTCGAGTGGTTTGAATCAACACCAGAATACTTCGAACAGGTCAGCCAGAATATGCGATGCAACCCACTTATTCACTTATTCTCTGAACATTATACAGGTGACAGAACTAAACCCAAAGAAGTACGAAAGCCTACTGAAGGACAGCCTCGCTTGCTTTACCTGCGGCTCAGCCATGAAGAACATCCCAACACTAAAAGTCCATTTACAAGAGGAATGGGACAAATTAGAGAAAAAGTTTAAACGACCAGCAGTAAAGAGAAAGATGGTTGAACACCCAGTGGAGGATCAAGTGGAAGGTGCTAGGGAAGGGAGGAGCGAAGTTGGAGACGATGAGAACCCGTCAAAGAAAGCAAAAAAGGATGGCCAATAATACAATATGTCTTTCGTATTCCTGTTCGTTCTAGCCAAAAGAAACAGAACCGCAAGAAGATATCTGCCAGGGGTGGCCTTTACTTCCTCTACTGGGATCTACGGTTTTCCGTGTCCCAGGTCACTGGGCCAAAGCCTTCGTTTTCGCCCTCGACGCTTCAGCAGCGGTACGGATAGCCCAAGTCAACTCGTATGTTCGGACGGCATCTATCAACAAATGAACACCGAGTCGAGCAAGATAGAACTCCAAAGTGGACCCCTACCTTCATAATTGCTGAGAATATTGCCCGATTCCGAGTCATCATCTTCGATCTTGTCGATAAAGTTTGAAATTTCTGAGAAGAAGGGATCATCGTCAGGGAAGGTCATTTGAGTTTCGTTGTCGTCTCCTGGCTGGCGAATATAGAGGATGGGCTGGACATAGGGGTTCACGAGCCTGTGATACCGTCAGAACATGTGCTGCCGACTGAACAACGACTCACTTTAGGTTATAGCCATCCGCGTAGACCTCGAGTTCGCAACTGTAGTTCTGGCCTTGCAAGGCGACCACGTGCACAAAGTTGCCCACAGCACCATTCTCATATTTCCTGGGAGTTGACAGGAATCAGCGAAGCTCGCCGAAGAGGAAAAGAAAAGTCCCCCACCAGGTCGCGGAAGTAACACGAGGGATTCTATTCTCTGGTGCGATCTTGCTTTCATCGACAGTCATTTTGGACAGTTGACCAGCATGTTCATCCCATTCGAGGGAGTGAGCCACCACCGTGGACAAATCGACTTCGCCACCGAAGTAACGAGAGAGATCGCAGAAGTGCGTTCCTTGTTCAATCACAGGCCCGAAACTGTCGATAGTAATGAGAATTAGGCAGACGGGACAGTCGGTCCATCGCACCTCTTGGACTTGTCCCACCAGTCAGGCTTTGCAATGGCCTCATATGCGCAAGCATAGCGAGCGATGGTGCACATGACAGTAAGATGGTTGTCGTGAATAATTTTCTTCATCATCTGGACGGCCTTGAGATAACGCAACATGTAACTGACCGATAGTGAGCATCATAAGCTTCCGTTGCAAAGCAATGGACGAACCCGACGGAGCAAATGGTCTCGCGGTCGCTTATTGCTTTCGCAACTGCATAGGAATCTTTCATCTCTTCAAGAGGACCTGTCGCAACCGGCTTCTCCACGAACAATGCGACGTCTGGGAAGTGTTCCAGAAGTTGTATTTCGATGTTCCTTCCCGGCTTTTCGGTGCCTCTGAACATAGGGGGACTCCCAATGACGACGGCTCGAGGCGTCTCCTTGGGAGTCATGGTCTGGACAAATTCCTCGAGGTTCTTGCATACCCTGGTGTTCTGATAGGCAGAAACGACGAACGAGTCCCGCTTTTTGCCAAGAACTTCATTCGCTCGTCGTGTGTCAGGGTCAATCAGCGCGACGACCTTCAAGCGCGGCCCAAGTTTACTGGAATAGGTTGGATAAGAAGTGGGTCCGACAATAGTCAAATGGTACGTACTGCTCGAGACGGAAGGAATGATTCCATGGACCCTCGGGTGATCCTGGGGAGATGCTTTAGGTGACAGTCACTTCACACAACTCCTTGGCACATACCAAACATAATATTACCGGCGCCGACGAAGAGAACATTGAAAACGTCGTGACCTCCAATGTGTTCAGTCCTGGAGACCAGTGAGCACATCTTGAGGCAGCCGCGCCCAAAGAATATGGGTCCACTCACTTGTCCATGGGTAAGAGTTTGGAGGGATCAATGGACGGCCTTCGAACTAAAGGCTGGCCTATACGACTTCTAGCATACTCGTTCTTTGCGGGCATAGTAGTGTTAGTCGCCATGGAGTTCGAATCGCTGCCAAAGACACTTTGATATCAGTGAGCTATTTTTCTGAGTCGAAAGGCGGAGGCCGTTACCTGAGTAGGAGGGCTTGGGGGGAAAGGAAAGGAGAACAGACTGCTATATGAACGAAAAGTGAGTTGGCCCCAAGGGGAAATAGCGATCGATCGACGCAATTTCCTAAATCATAGGCTCTTGAAATAGGAATAGAGCTCCTCAGCAGCTCCAATAATCTCGACCGAAGGTAGGGACGCCGTAAAGCAGTTCAACCGTGGCAGCCCCAGGATCTTGTCACACTGGTGATGTGATTCAAGTCAAGCCTACATGAAGATACATTTGATTCGTTGGGGAATATCGGGGCAAGATCCGGAGGAAGTGGTGAGAAATCTAGGATGAGGGAGGTTCCATGACCTGTTGGCGCCGCGCTTGTAGTTCGGTTTTTCTCCTTTCCGCAGCCTCGAGTCGCTCTGTCATCGCCTTTAATTCCTCCTTAAGTTTGTCGTTCTCCTCGCTTAGCTTCATGACATTCGATGCTCGCTTTTGCAGCTTCTGGAACCTGTACATGGGGAGGTCAGATAACACAATGTGCCCCACCCCATATCGCTTACTCGGTAGTCTCCGTCTGCTCAGGCGTTGCGAAACCGAGGTCAAAGCTAAGCTCGCCAGAGGGGATATCCGGGAGCAACGTCTTCGGCGCAGCTGCCGCCTGAGGCTGCTCGCAGGACTCTGTCGAGTCTGTCACCGAGCGATCCTGTTCATCGACTTGGTCGCGGTGGCCATCGTCCCTTCTACGCGAGTTCGTCAAAATTCTTGGTAAGGAATGTTTCAACCGACCCAGGATGAATCTGTTGCGTCGCGTCGCGGCTGGTGTCGTCCATGAGCAAGAAACGAAGGTGGTCGTCAAGTGTTAAGCATCGTCCAAGCGTAGCCAACCGATATGCATTGCCGGAAAGTTTGAGTTTGTTTAGAACCTCAGAAACCAGATGGTTCCCAGGGCGCGTCTCTGCTTTCGACCTCCATGTTGCACATTGGCCATGCTGTCGTAGTTTTGTCTGCAACTTTCTTCGCAGTGGCTGCCTACGCAGTTCTGCTCAGTGCGTTCATTCCGAGTACAGACATCCCTGTACGCTAAAACATGTTCTCACAATGTGCTCCTGACTGACTTGCTTCGTAGCTCCTTGACGCCCTCAAGGGTGACACCCACTACAAATACTTTGTCATCCTTTTGGTGCCAACAAGTGCCTACTTCGTGATCGCCAATTGGGTCGGATGGCAATACTACCAGAATTCCTAACTTCCAGCAGAGACCCTGAATCAGTGCGGCCATTATGCTACAGGTGGCCTGGTATTGTACACGGATGTCCAAATAAATAAGCAATAAATTAATGAGTCGCTCGAGGCACATCCTTGCATCGCCCCCGACCTTACTTGGGGATATGCAACCGTGGTCTCCGCGAGAGGTCAGGCCACACTCTTCTTGTCATTGGAGCATCAAGGGAAGTCACGGAGCTTGGGGCTTTCTTCACAAGGGCTGGGGCAATGCCGTCCTCGCTTCGTGTTCGGGACAACGGGGTGGCTTCGCCTGACCGGAACGGGCTCCTATCGCGACTGAGCGGAGCAAACGAGGGACGAGGGGATGCACTCTTGACGGAGATAGATGCAGAAGGAACCCCAACGTATGTTGAAGAGATCACCGATGGAGCATGGGTGGGAGAGCTGTCCACTGTTCCAAGCCCTTTCGAAGGCGCCTCGAGAAAGCGATCGCGTCGAGGGTAAACCCTGGAGTGAACTGGGGGCGGTAAGTTCCGGGGAACCGCAGTTGGCAATCTCAGAGTTCGAGCACGACTGCGAAATGAAATCAGAATCACAATTCAAATGGGAGATGTGAATCGACCACTCACGCTATCGCCTTCTTCGTCTTCTTCAATTTACACGCCTCGAGCCACTTGACGAAATAGGTTTCTGCAAGGCCATGAGGACTGTGCCACACAAATGAAAAGGTTGGCCACGTACCGAGCAGCCGGGCACGATGCAAGTTACGCGCCTCCTTCACCTGTACAGCCCGCGACATGCCCTCTTTCCAGAGGTCAAAGTATCGCCGCTTCACCCGTACAGCATGGAATTGGATGGCTGGTGGAGTCTTTGTCTTATCATACCATCGCCTGAAGTGAGTGCGAACCGTGTTTCCATTCCAACGGAGCAGAAATTCGTCCTCCTGAAGCAGATATGAGCACTTGAGCACTTGCGGCCATGACTTGGAGTAAAACTATACTGACCGCATCTTTCAGCCTCCTCTCTCTCCAGATTTCCCAATACTTTTCCAAGGTGCGCAAACGGACCTCTTCTTCAGCGTCATGGAGTACTTGCCTCCTACTACGTGCCAGTCGCGTGAGTGCCATCCAACGGCTGAAGACTCGATGAAGCAGTTCTACGTCCAATTTAGCTTGGTTCCAGAGGGGAAGTCACGCAAGGAAACTACCTTCTCGCCGAACCAAGTGATAGTTCTCTAAGAGACTTCTCTGCTCCGCCCTTCGCTTGTAATACTGTTTCCATTTGTTGAAAGTTGAACTGTGTGAGGAAAACACTGTCAGGGGAGGCATTTGAACAGTCCAAATCGTGCTTACATCTGGGTAATCATTTTGCACTGTTCGGTAATCTGGAACTCCCGCTCTTTGATTTCCACCGTGCGACGGACCCAACGAACGAGTGCGGCATTGAGAGTACGTTTGTCCCTGTGGAGTAAGAAAGCCTGGACGGCAGCTTCCCTGCTCGTCCTCACCCGTGTCTTCGTCAGCCAGGCTAGTTATACGTTGAGCATCTCCCCGTTCCATGTCAGAGATCCTAGATGCTTACCTTGGAATCTCCGCTTCTGTATAGCTAACAAGTAGACTTGCAATAACCGTTCTCTCTTCCTTTCTTCCACTTTCTCTTTCCATCGGGCATACATCTGGCGTGTGAGGAAATACTTGTGGGCCGCACGAGCCATCTTGATCATCTTTAGTTTATTCCGCAAACCTTTCCTCCAGGTCATGATCACTTTGGCCATGGTGTTGTCATTGTACAAAGTGTCAGCCATTCGTAGGACGGATTGCAGCTCGTGGTACGCGTGCCGCCACTGTGCAAAACAGTTTATGACGATGGCCAGGCCAGGCCGCTGGCTAAACCTGTCAGCAAGGGCTGCCGAGATGTGGGTGAGCGATTCGCTGGTAGCAATAATATCTTGCACTAACCATAATCAGCCTGCCGTTGGTGAAGTTTCCGCTCCCATGCTTCAAGCACTGAGTGCTTAGTCCTGAGGATCCGCCTGCGTTCCAGCACATTCCCGTTCACCTTGTCCTTCCAGATTTTCATCAAGGCGAACAAGAAGACAATATCCGATTTAGCTAATTGTCTGTCTGCCCGACGTTCCATGGCGTCCACACGTTCCACGGCATTTCTCCACTTAGCGATCACCAATCTCTTCAAGGTGTGCTCGTAGAAATCACTTGCAGTATTGCAATCGCGCCTAAAAAAGGATTAGCACGAATTCCACGGCGCTGAGCAGGTATGACCACATACAGACTCTGCCGCCAGCGAGTGAGAGCATTGTCTTGAATGCGAAGTTCGACTCGTCTGCGCATGGTCGCCTCCAGTATTTTGAATTGAGTTGCCTTCCTCCATTGCCGCCAGGCTGTCCTGACAACTCTAGTTTCTTGTGCGTAAAGAAATTCTTCGGCACGAGCACTGGAATCTCCTATTCGCAGCCACTTGCTCCTCCAGGCAGCATAGAATCGTTGAACGACAAGTTCGTTGCACTTCTCTGAAAGCAGTAGAAGCCGATGGGCCTGGCGCCATCGGTTCCATGCTTCAAGAGTAACTCGGTGCTCCCATTTGTCGCGAATCTTCTTCATGTTGAGTCGCATTTCCTGTCGAATTTCTTGGCGCCGCTTTCGGTGTCGAACCTCCTCTAGCCTGCCGTACCAGCGTTTAAAGACCAGTAATTTCGCGAATTGGTCCGCAAGCTGGACGCGATTGCGTTGGAGCGTGAATTTATCCCTCCATCTTTGAAGGGATTGCTCCACTATAAGGCGTTCACGGGCATTTGCGACTTGCTCGCTAGTGGTCTATTCGTTTGTCAGTCTTTAAACGTTGCGGGTCAACCGTATCACGCTTACTGTAATCCACTCGTGACCTTGTCTCCACATCGTCCAGAACCGCTCCGTCAGCTTGTCCTGGTAAAACAGGTCTGCGTTCTGTTCGTCCCGTTCCATCTGTATTCTCCTCCACGCTTCCGCTTCGTTGACAGTCCTTACCCTGGATTTCGGAGTTTCTTGGGCAGGAACAGGATTAGGATGGAATTTTGATGTGGTATGAACCGTAGTGCGGGGCTTGGTCTGGATGTTGGGTTGGTACGGTTTCGTAGGCGAAATTGGCCGATTCAATTTCGTTGGAGAGCTTGGCCGATGTGTTCGACTGGACTCCCCACTATAGGGTCGTGTGGTTGGCAATGCCCTACCAAATTGACGCGTCATTCGCTCTGGGGGAGGTGCTGCAGGTCGATTTGTGACACGGCTGACGCGAGTTTGTAGTCGCGGTGTCGACTCGGCAAAGTCGGTCGTGCTGTCAATGTCGGAAGGATTGAAAATATCGGAGACGCTGCAAGCTTGGCCATAGGGCGACGATTTCTGCTGCATCGAAGGCGCAGCGGGTCGAGTGCGTGGAGGGGCCTACATACTCTTCAGAGGGGTCGCTTATTCCGTTGTAAAGGAAGGGGACGTACCGCGATTCGTTTGGGTTTCACTTTCTCCCATTTCTCTACCCATGTTCGACCTTTCAAAGTTCCAAGCTTCAACAGCTTCCCGTAGCAGACAGTCTCGTTAGCGTCTGCTAACCCCCTTTCTGCCAGAACTTCACTGTAGGCCTTGAAGATAGTTAGAAACGTTGTCGCCGAAGTCCCGGCTCGAGCAATCACTGCGTCGATGAGACCTATTTCGTCTGCAGACAGCTCTGCCAATTCTGCCGCTAGCGATTCCATCGAGGATGAAACATCAGCAGAGTCTTGTAGTATCCTGTTGAGGCGAGAGGCTGGAGGCGATGAGCGGGGCGGCTTGAACCGATCCATATAAGTAGTTCAGGGGTAAAGTTATGGTCCAAGAGACAGCTAACAACTGCCTCCACGAGGCCGAACACCAAAACGCGTCGGTGTTCCCACGACATTGTTGGTTGTTTGTGACACAATGTGGCAGTGCCACTGATCAAACTTTTAGCGCCCGCAAAACACAAGGGCGAAGATGGGTGGATACAAGGAGTCATAAAATTGGTATGGGCCCTCCGGGCAGACCCGGACACAGAGGGCACCGGGTTTCCTCTGATGCGATATACAGGGAGGTTTCAGGAGTTAATGCTGATCGAGCAACACACTCGATCTTTTTCCGCCGTCCTAAGCACCCCGAGCCAGGACCCAGCCTTTTCCCAATCAACTCCCTCCGTTTCACTCAGATTGCCCACGAAGCTTGCTTCCGACGTCTTTGCTTACAGTTCTTCTATAAATACGACGTCCATCCCCAGTCGAGTAACCAAAGTGAACTTGGGCTTGATTACACGGGCTGTATATAGGTTGTACAACGTACGGATTTGGGAATGTACAGTGTACACTGTAACAACTTGCTAAAAATAAATATCGCTACCATATACTTAGAGTAATTTAGTGACCCATCTGATGCAGGAATGGGGGTAAAACCTGAGACACTGACGTGTCCAGGTACAAAACAAGGGAATGCTACAGATATCACCGGTATTAAACTATGATACAGATAGGATCCATTCTTCACGATAAAGGCCCAAAACTCCTTCCTCCTGGAGCTGAATTTCTCAGGTCAAATGACTCATTCCGCGTGAGGAACGAAGAGACATCTCCTGAGTAGCTGACGCCCTGATGTGCACCGTAGTATCCAGGTTCCTGCCTGATTAGATGGGAAGGCTGTAAGCCCAATGCCTCCCCGAATCGCGAGTAGATTAAGCCATCCTCAAAGTTAGCACCGAGCGCCGAGGGAGAGCCCACGCTGGCCGAGGAATTGCATACTTCGGGCCAGAAGTACATATCGGATGGCGGGGTAGGACTTGCCTTGACGTGGCTGGACATCGAGGGCGTTATGGACTGTGCGCGGTAATGGTACTTGTTGAGAAGGGAAAGTAGAAAGCGCGCATAGAGCACTGGCGTGTGCCTTGCGTCGAGTGCAACCTTGGCCGATGTCAGCACTTCCGTAAGATTTGTTACAGCGTCAATTATTCTCTGTCGCTGGCATTCGTCAAGCATTCGCTTGAATTTAGGCCGTAGTAACTGTGGTATTGTTTGTAAAAAGGACCACTACATTCATTATCAGTCAAACACTTACATTGATCAAGAATGAAGCCGCGAAGGAAACATAAAGGAAATTGGAATCCATAGCGTAACGAAGGTACCCTGTTGGTGCTAAATCTTCGATGACGCTCCGGATCACTTCGTGTGCAGAACCAAGCGCTAGAGGGAGTACTACAGAGCTTTCAAAGGACCCGCTTCGGAACTCGGCTTGAAAGCCAGAGGAGAGGACCACCAGCTCGAGATACGCCGTGATCCTGCGGCAAAAGTGGAATTAACGGTCTGATTTCTAGCGACAAGTTAAACACTTCCTACATTGGTGTGGTAAACGCACGATATCGGCAGATGGGTAGAGCTAAGAAAGGTTTCAATCAATTGATCCTGCATTTCCCCCGACTAAATATGAGACGTACGGAAAAGCTGTAGTTCTCGGGCGTACGCCTCGCGCCATCTCCCGATTTCCTTCTGAAGCTTTCCCCGTGTTTCAAGTGCCAGCTCGATGATACTTGAATCCTATCCCCGGGCTATCAGCATTGAGCTATCAATAGAGATCAGAGTTGCCCACATTCAGATTGGGGTCTTGCAACTGAGCGGCGTTTGCCGTTCGCCATTCCGCCATGATAGATAATACTTGAACATAACCGCACAGATGGACATCGAAGGGGTTGTTCAGATTCGAGGACATGTACCAGGTGTTCGACAGCGTCCTAGCAAGGTAGTCGTCCAATGGTAGCATGGGCATTTTACCAAACTGAATCGCATGGGAGCCATCCACGCAATAACAGGTAAGCCAGGTTCGGACGCGGTTCAGGCGCTCCATTTCGGAGCAGTCACCTGGTGCAGGTTGGTTCAGACCCAGTTCCATCGCCATCCTGTTCAACAGCTTCTGTCAAACCTTGTTACTCATCAAGGGACAAATCGACTTGCCTTATCGCCACACCCATTAGCAACCAGCTTCGGTCTTCCACCCACTTCTTTTTTGGAACAGGATACACCGCCATGAGTAAATAGGCCTGGCACATGTCGATACTTCTCTTTCCCTCGACAAGAGCCTTCCCAGCCATATCCCGAGCAAAGTCCATGGCCAGAGGATATAGCTCGGGACGACTGGCATAATGTCGAGAGGAAATAGCACAGACTGTTGGAAAATATCAATTTTGTATGTTACGGCTCACGACGAGGGTACACACCGACGGTAAATAGGAAAGGTGCGGTCCAGATAAGTGTGGCCGGCTTGTGATAGCCTTCGTCGAGGATGGAGAAATACGGCTGAATCAAGGCCCTGTGAGTGTTCCTTCGATACAGTGGTAGCCTTTCAAGCTCACGTTGATTTGATTGAAGAAACTAGACGAATGGTCAGTCCATGATCGCTCACCGTCCGTGGAACGCTCACATTGCAAAAAGGTCCTCAATTTCCTCTGGGTAAAGGTCACAGTGGTTTACAATTGCGGGGAGATTGGCGGTGTCCAGCCGACCTGCTACTCATCGATCCACCATTGGTAAGTCGAGGTTCATACTACTAGAAGAAGATATCGCCCAACCATTTCTGAAGTACGACAAGCTCGCCTGCTCCACGGAAAGCCCACGCTGCATCCAGCGATGGCGGATTGCAGCGGACTTGCTGTTGGCTGTGGTGGTTGAACGTTGAACATGCGAGGGTCAACGGACGGGGGTAACCTCTTACCAGGGAAACCTCTCGAATTAAAAGGATTCGATTTGGTCATCCAATGTGTGATCTTGTCTGCCGCTCTTTGACTATCGTACTGGCGCAATAGCTCTTGTATTTGGAAGTCCTGTTGGCGTGCCTTTTCCTGAAGTTCTTCGTGCGTTCTGTCGACAGGTTAAGGAGCTGTTACGACTGCAACACCCATGAGAACCTTACTCGGCTGCCTTGCGCCTTTTCCGCTCTCGAGCCTGGCAAGGGAGGTTCTTCAACTGGCACCTCTTGCATTTGCGCTGCCCTGGAACTGGTTCGCATCGAACCTAGACTTACTTTAGCACCCGCTTTCCACTAAACACATCCAATTTTCACCTTGACTGATTTGCAGTCTGCACAAGCGCCGGACCTACAGAATGGCGAGGCGGCATACTATGAGAGAGCGCGACAGATGAAAAGACGACGTTTGACGTACGGCTTTCGTTTGGCAACGAGGAAGTCCTTGCTATCCTCCCCGTCGACAAGTTGCAGAGCATCGTCCAAGCGGCGAGGGGAGTGGGTTGGCCAGTCGGGAGGGCTAGTAGGCTCTACTGATGACGGAGTAGGGCTGCAGCTAGTCTCCATTCAGGGGTTCAATGGGAATTAAGGTTTTGAATGGGACTGGAATGGAGCGGTAAGTGGGTCTAGAGGCTAGAGAATTCGTGGCGTTGTTTGGTGATGACTTGTTCTCGAGGATAATGTTTGGGCAGAATGGCACAAGTCAGGGAACACCAGGTCCTGTAGAAGCAGGTGGGGGTGGGGGTGAAGTGCGGGAGAAAGAGATAGACAACTAGAGCCACCAGCTGATAGAAGTTCAGACACGAGCGATACTTTATCTATTTCTGAGACAAGGCCATTGAAACGGTATGGCAGGTCTTCCGAGGACATCGGCATCTGACCGTGAATGAGGATCTGTTTGTTCCATGAAAAGGCCCCGAGTGCCAGCGCTGGACCCATTGTTTCGTTCCTTGACTAACTTTTGTCGAGGAGTGGAAAGGGAAGGTCTCCGTTGTGGGTCCTGAGCAGTAAGTACCGGCGCCTGGTAGAGGACTCTTGCTTCGTCCTGCACACCGTGTCAACCTTTCCGAGTCCGAGACCCCATGGCCAAATCTTTAAAATATACGCTGTAAGTACAAAACGCCAGAGTCCCAGCAACTTGACCACAATCGCGAGGGACTAGCCACAGCCCAAAACACATACCAGCAACAAGGTTATCTGATTTGATGTCGCCTGAAGTACTTGGAGAGGAAAGATGCGCTGGAGTGAAATGACGATCGCATCGTGTGAAATGCTTCAAGCTTCAAGACCCAATGATACTATGCATGCCCGCGAGGATCGGCTTTCCAATACGGAAATCTACATAGCATTAAATCATGGAGGAAGGCTGGGAGCAGGGCCTTGGGAACGGAAGCAGGCATAGTCTCGTGAACCAGACTCCATTCCTTGGAGAAGATAAGCATGCTTCAAGCTGCAATTGCTAACTAGTACTCTCTTCTCCAGTGGCGTACATCACTGGGTTACATCGGATGCGACAAGTTAACAGTGGACGCGACGTCGTATGTGTCGCGAAACTCATAGACAGTAGCACTAAAGTCAACCACACCTCCACAGCCGCCGTGATTTCAAAGAACAGCAGGGGAGGAGAGCCATCCAGTTGATCGGATTCAAAGGGTCGAGCCTTGAGACTCTATTTTGGTCATGATTCGTCTGTTTGTACACGGGCGCTTGATACAGACGTCTGCTGCGATCTCACCGAGATATCAGTATGCAACACACCGCGACAGTCAAAGACACGTTCCATGAAAAGCGACGTCGTTCAGGAAAAGGTAAAGAACGAAAACAAGAAAAGCATTACAAAACAAATAGAAAAAAAATGCAATGAGTCGATACAGTACAACATGAGTGGTATTCGTTCAAGTCCCAGAATTGAAGAAGTGGTATATGATGTGCAGAAGAATCCCGGTCGAGCCTGTCGACTTTTCACTCAGAGAACGAGTGTCGAGACGAGGAGAGCCAGGGCGGCAGCACTGGCACCGAGCAGCGACGAGCGCGTCGAGAAGGCGGAGCCAGCGTCTTCCTGAGACGGTGGAGCAGCGCCAGTGGCAAGCGCCTTGAATGCTTCGAAGTTCCTGGGGCCATCCTCGACAGCGTTGGCCGCGAAGACCATACCGTTGGCGCAATGTTGGCCTTGAGCGCAGTAAGCCCAGATTGGCCTGGTGTCATTCACACGGATAGTGAACGTCTGGAAATTGGTCTCGCCAGCAGCGACAGGAATACTACAAAGAGGGTCAGCACCACACGGAGAGACCGAAGAGGCGGACACTTACTAGCCGGAGTCAAAACCGGAAAGCGGGTTGGTCTGGGAGAGGGGGACGCAAGGCTGATCGAATGAGCTGGCAGTCACAGTATGGTTCTTGGATCTGAACTCAAATGTGATGGTATCTCCGACCTGAGCGGTAATATTTGCCGGGCTGAATGCGAGACTTCCACCGTCACCAACTAGGACTTTGTGGTCCGTTCCAGTGCCGGTGGGTGTGGGAGTGCCGGAGGAGGTGGCGGAGGGAGCAGTCGAGGAAGCACCGGTGGGATCAGCGGGGGCAGCACCACCGACGGCGTTGGCCTTGAAGGCTTCAAATCGGTCACCGGGATTGATAGCGAACACCATGCCCTGGGCACAGTGATTTCCTTGCCGACAGTAGACCCAGATCGGGTCGTTGCTAGTGATATCGAGCTGGGCTATGGGGAACCCGTCCGTAACATCAGCCGCGACAGGAATACTGATAACTCTGTCAGCAAGTGAAACACTATGGTTAAAGTAGAGAAGGTACGGACAAGCCTGAGTCGAAGCCGCCAGCGATTGGCGCGCACGGGTCAGCAAAAGACGACTGAGTGGCGGTGTGGTTTTTTGCTCGGAAAATGAAGCGGACTTGGTCTCCTGGCGCAGCCGTCTGTGAAATGCGTTTGATGAATTCTATGGATTGGCATAATGATCTGCAAAATGATACGTACAACAAACTCGGGGTCGTACTTCAGGCCCGCAGGGCCACCGACGACAACATCAAAGACTTCACTTCTTACAGCAGGGAGGAGGGATGCGATGAGGAGGGCTGAACGAAGGAGGTTGGAAGCAAACATGTTGGAACGACCGGTCGTGCAAGGAAGAAGAGCTGGAAAATGTGGGAGGGATCAACCCAGAAAAATGAAAGGGACAAAGAGCGAAAGGGAAAAGGTGGATGTTCTTTGCGGTCCAACCACCTCTTTATAGACTCTCAGGACAATTATGTCCGCTCGTGGCAACAGCCTAAAACATACCACAACAATCTTCTTGTTGCCAACCCGCACATCATTGATCGCCAATTGGAGATCAGCCCAAGCCGGTCTTATATCGGCCAAGGCGACGACCGTGGACTCCCGTGGTCAGAGCTGGTCAGAGGGTACGATCATATTGTAATTGAAGGGCACGATGCCATTGTTCTGTTTGCCTCAAGTCATCCTGTCACAGTATGAAAACTCCTTGGGCAACTTACTATTGTGCAACAACATTCATAGATACAGTTCTACAAATTTTCCCCACCGTTCGATAACCGGCTTCACGATGTTCTCCCATTCCCTGTTTTTATTGGGCCCAGATGACCACCGTCGGAATTCGAAAATCTCTTTGTGCATGCTTCCGCAGTCAGGGCAACGGTCTACCTTCTTTGAGGCATTTCTTTTCCCAGACGATGGCGTCGGAGAGGGGTCAACTTCAATGTGAGGCCATTCAGGGTCCAAGTAGACTTGTGTGAGGGCCAGGTCGGCCAGCTCTAGGTGAATCAGACGTTCTGTACATCAGATATTCAGCTTCACTATGTCCGGATGGGTGGCAAGCAAGCCCTTACCCAATCGATGACAACAAGGTGCCTTCTCGCCAGCTCTCACTCTGCCTTTCATAAGGCTTGTCTGCGCATCGTGGTCATCTTCCGGATGCGGGTAGTACCCGCGCAATACCTGTTCTTTGGAGCCGCACTGTTTTGACCATTCGTCGATCCGTTTGGTAAGATTCACTGCCCGTCCAACCTTGAGCTTGACCGTGTCACTGTCGTCGTCATCTATAACCACGTCCATGTCAGAACAGAGTAGGTTGATGGTCGTACATGATAAAGACTTACCTCGGATTTCGAAAGTGTAGATGTAGCCATCGACATCAGACAGGGATCGAGCACGCTCCATTTCAATCCGAAGTGACAGCTGAGTCTCATGTGAAAGATATGCTGGTATCCAGTCTATGAAGCTGTTAGACGGCTTGGCTTGATAATAGGTTAGATACGTGCCATTAAATTCAAACCACTCCCCATTCTTGCGGGCATAGCACCCGGAAGGGCCCTGCAATATCTCTTTGGTATGTTGGAAACAAAAAGCTTCCAAAGGTGCTTCATCATCACTGTCGCAGTCTATCTTTGACGAAAGAGCTGGGGAAGTTTTGACCATACGCGTACACCTTTCCCCCTTTTTCGTTGTCCCGGAACATTGGACTTGTCCTTCCTTGGGCTCCTTTCCATTGGGCGTAGAAGGTGTGGAAGAACTACCCGAAGAGGTCGCCTGTGGTTTCGAGGGGCGCTGCGGCGTTGAAGGTTTTGCACTAGGCTTAGATGCGGAGGGCTTGCTTGCATTGGGTTTAGGCTTAGAAGGAGTAGCAAGTGCATTGGCCTGAGATTGAACGGGTGACGTTATTGGAGCAGAAGACGGCCTTGGGGGTGCAGTGTCAAGTTCTGGACGAAGCGCCATTTGCATAGTCAACGACTGCTGGGGCGAAGCGGGTGGCACGAAAGGGGCGGGCATTGTAGGAGGTGGGGCGGACGAGGCATGGTGAAGAGGAGGAGGAGACACAGAGTTTCCAGGGAGAGAATAACCAGGATGAAATCCTCCAACGAAACCACCTGCAGCGGCTGGGGTATCCGCAGAAGGTCTGATCTTCAAGGTATTGAACGAATCGACGAGACTATGAGCGGCTCCCATCAGGCTGGAAGATCCAGACGCAATAGGGGAAAACGAGGAAGGTTTCGGTGGCGGAGGAGGAGGTTTCTCCTCGTCATCGTCCTTCTAGATCTAGTTTCAGCCAGAAAGCAGCATCCTGGACAAGACATCTAACCTTGTCGAGGACCTCGGCAAACTTGTTCAATAGGTTTCCCGCGATCTCTTTGGCCTTTAGCTTTGCGTATGCTTTAGGCATATCGGGGACTGTTGTAAATCGATCCAGAATTCAGGTGTATGTATGCAGAACGCGAGAACGAGAACGAGCAGATCGCGAGGTCGAGATTTAGAAGAAATCCGGAAGCTGTTCGCCGCTCACATGAGCAGGGCTTCTGACAGCGATTCTCCCATGGAAATAGTCCTATATAAAGGTCATTTAGCAATTTTAGATTTCATCCCATCCTCCACGCCTCCGCCCATCACTCAGTAGGTATCTGCCAATTCTCGGTCGTGAAATTTCAAGGATGAAACGCACTGGGCTCTGACCAGCGAATAATCGCGCTGATGTCATGCATTACACCCGCACGCGGGTGGCGGCCTAGAAAACCGTTAACTGATTTTTTTTATCCGCAACCACTACCTTCCTTCGACCTCTTTACTGATCTCGTTCACCAGGACTATGGACGAGAACCCAGCAACAAACGCAGAGTTTAAAGCCCTTCTGCAGTCAATGACGAACAGCATAGCTGCTTCAAGAACGGCTTTAAAATCGATGCTCGACGAGTCGGTATTTATTTTTTTTGCTCAACCACGGACACGGCAGCTTCTAACGACACCAGGCTTCAAGCATAGAATTTCGAGATGGAATCTCATTACTCTCGCTTAAACACCATGCACTCATCGCTTACGTGCGATCTCTCGCCCTCATATCCGCACGAAGGGCGCTTGGGCATACCCTAGGCAGTCGATCCAAACCTGAGCAACCCTTCAGCGCTCTCAATCGGGATGCAAGAGGGAAGGATGCTGGCGATCAAGTGGATGCTACTATCGAGAACCGTATAGTTCTCGAGAAAATCAGCGCCCTGGAAAACCGCATGCGATATCAGATTGAAAAGTTGTTGAAGACGGTAGAACAGTCAACTTCAGCAGAGGCTGTGGTGAATGGTAAATGACAACACTCCTTTGACGATTCGCCTGTCTGACATGACTGACATATGCCTTCCAGATCCTCTTTCTTTCAGACCCAATCCTGCAAATCTGGCCAACGCCGATGAAAGATCTGACGAAGAGTCGGATGACGACCATGACAGAGACGGGGTCTATCGCCCTCCTCAACTCGCTCCTATGCCCTACATCGAAAAGCCTGCAAAAGGCGACAAGAGACGCGCCGTCATTCCGTCCGCGCTCGCACAGCTCCCCACAGACCCGGATCGTCCGCACCTCGAATCGGCCTCTGGTTTGGGAGGAATTCCTTCCCTCGCGTCAGGACGCGCCAAGCACCTCAAGCGGCTCACTGAATACGAAGAAGAGAACTTTACCCGTATCGTTACCAAGAAGAGCGAAGCTAAACGACGAGCTCGTGATGAGGCCGACCTGGCTCTGGGTGGTGACCTCGCTGACTACGGCACTGGTCGCCGACGCCAGCGAGCTGGTGGACTGGAAGACGAATTTGGAGACGTTTTACGAAGCGTTGAACGCGGCATCAATGGACCTGGCGGTGGCGATGGCTATGACGAACTCAGAGAAAGAGCAAAAAAGAAGGACGTTTTCTCTCGGAGCCGCCTTTCTCGCAAAAGGGACACCAGTCCTACAGCTGAAGAGGATGGACCTCGGATGCGAAAACGCAGTCGATTTGACCTTGAGGCCAAGGCTGCCAAAAAGCGACTTGCTCGACGGAAATAGTTACATTTCATGTCATACTTCATACTTAATGATCAGTATTGCGGGCTTTTTCTTTGCTTTTGTTTCTTGAACTTGAAGTCAAAATCGAGTTGAAGACAGTTGCAACAGGACGCAAACAACACGAGGGCTTTGTATTGATGTTTGGTAACCGTCCAAATATCGCGCGAACAATAGAGGCAGCTACACGTTCCTCACTCTCCCACAATCACTGAGCCACAACAAAGTCTATAGAATCAAGTCGTGCACAATGCTGCCCTCTTCCTGCAGGCACTTGCCACCCCTCGACGTTGTCTCTGGTAGACACGTCCATTTTCTTCCGCTTTCCTGAACTTTTCTTTCTGTTTTCTTTACGAACGGCTGCTGGAAGCCTTTGATGTCTCTCATGTCCGAATCAGTCTGCAGCACTATGGTGGACCCAGTCCCGAAGAGGGAATACTCCCCTGTATTTTTACGATGTCGCTCTATTGCGTTTGGTATGTTTCCCCTTCTCTTGTCTGTGTCTGATATTGACTTGGCGGGATCGTAGGTGGAATTTGTTTCTTCAGCTTTCTGTGGATCATTCTCCTCTGTATCCTGGTCTTTCTCGATTGGGAGTCGCTCGATCGCCCCCAGCGTAGGTCTTCGCGCCACTTAGGCGTGGCCGGAAACTCACAGCTATCCAGAATCGTTTATTGTTGCCATGCTAATCTCACATACGCTTACCATTATCATGCTTGTATTTCTGTGAGTCCTCCAGGAAGCCATTCCTGAAAACAAGGCCTAACCAACATCCAAAGGATTGTGCGAGAGTTCCGTGAATGGCTGGACGGCGCTCGTTGTTTTCTTGGATTAATTGTACATTTTGGTGGGTTGTCTTGTTCTCCTTACGGGGAAGATAGTACTAAACCTATCGACACAGGTATAGCTGGCGCGTATGCCTACTGGAGTCCTAGGTTTCAATGCCTTGACGCGGGTAAGTCGGGCTAGTATTAGAAGAAGGACACTGCCGTCTGACCGAGCAATAAGGTCCCGACGGTGGACTGTGCAGGACGCGCATTGTCCTCATCCTGACCTCTAGCTGGCTGATCCCTGCCTTGCGTAAGTCATAAAGCGAGTTCGCGGGGCCGCTGACTGACCATTTATTGTAGTGTCTATTTACACTGCATGCCTGGGTGTCGTGTCATACCATCTTCGCAGTCGAGAAAATCTCGGGGCTGTCCTTCAGCACGAGAAAGATCTCGAGAAGCACTCCCTCGACCAGAAATGGCCCCTTCCTTCTCCCCATCCTTCGAGCTTTTGCGCACCTCCAATGTCACCGGACGCTGTGAAGTCGATGCGCCGATCTCGCTGCTCTGCATCTCAGCCGTCCTTGTATTCTCAACCGTCGGTGTATTCCATGCCCCCGTCGACTTATTTGCATTACGGATTCCCTCCGCCACCGGAAGCAGCTCCCAGTCGACCTGCTTCCATGCAACATTACGCCCATGCCGCTGTGATTCAGCGGCAATCTCTGGCCGTTCCCAACGGTCTTCGATTCTCACAAAATCCTCAGCTGCAACCCCCCTCGAATATCACGCGCCACCACCTACCTTCAAGCCATCGGGATTCGCGCCAACGAATGGCTTTGCCGCAAAACAAGCCTACACCGCCACCGCTGAACCTCCAATCCATCGGCAACTACCAGCGCAATCTACACTATTCCCTTTTATTCCAGCAAGGGCCGAGGACACCAGTGACTGCCCAAGCGAGCCCAGTAATCGGCGTTCCCCAGGAATTTATCCCGCCCTTGCCTTCCCCTTGGAGAAACCAACGACACCAAAGCCAGCAGATTTCTCCCAGCTCCCTCGAATATTTGAAAGACTCTCCGTCGAGTAGCCCCCGTTCGTCTGCTCGTCTGTCCAAACCTTCAAGAGCGAGCAGGATGCCATCACTCTAAATGTACTATATCATTGTGTGTGTGTATATATATAATGTTTAAGTAGCTTGTATATTTAGAATTAATTGGTTCTTGTGGTTTCGAGGATAAACGCTTGGTCGACCGCGGGACTTCCTAACAACCAGATGGCAATGGACACTCACTCATCCGCCGGATGCAAACAGGTTCGATCCAAGTTCGATCACTGATTTCACGGCCAGACAGGGCCGCCAAAGGCGACGCAAAGGACTTTTAAATTGGCGTTTCGAGTTTGAACCTGAACCACTCAGTGCACCTGTGATCCAACGTTTGTATCCTGTCTGAATCCTAGCTCCTCCGGCCCAGTGCAGAGCCGCGATTCGAAGCACCAGCTGGCTCAGAACATAGGTTTCCTTGCGACAAATGTCAGCGTTGGAGTGGGATTCAAGTGCAGTCAAGGTACATGTGCTTGTCTTCTTTTCATCTCAAAAATACTCATGACATGCGGCAGTCCCACCTACGCCTCACATGCCAGCGTCTAGCCCAGTTGCAATCTAAATTGGACGCGGACGGCAGCATAACTCGGAAAGACATCGCGACGTTACTGCAGCAAGGAAATGTCTTATTAGCTCGGGCAAAGGCGCAAAAGCTTTTACAAGAAGATGCTCAAGGAGACTTGATGGAAATTTTGGAGAATGAGATAGGAACGCTCATAACGCATCTGGCAGAATTGGAAGCCAAGTGAGTACCTTGCGTTCCTTCTGTCTAAACATTTCCTTACCTTTAATTCTGAGCTTGACTCCATCTCCTGTCCTTGTCGAGGCTCTGTCAAGTGTGATATATTCCGCCCCACTAGTTCCTTGCAAAGGTACGCGCTCCTGTGTTTGAATACATACATTCGCTCACAATAGCACTTCAGAATTGCACATCCTCAGAAATCTCCTTGTCCAGCGTGTTGGGCCGGATTTCGCTCTTTCTGCGATGAAAAACAATGACCGACATGTCTCCCCTCGCATCATTAGAATCACCTCCACCCCGGTCCCTACAGCCTCGAAACTAGATCGATACCTCGCCCATATCTCAAGAACCTATGGGGGAAATTGGACGCCAGACCCTCAGCGTCACAATGTGTGAGAGACCTACCCAGCGTGGTCGTGGTTCTGAAGCTAATAACCCGACACAGTGTCAATATCTTGTCCGAAATCCTCAACCCGGAACCGTCGAAGGAGGTGGATATGACTTCACTCCGCCGATTTTGCTTCTACGGTGCTTCTGAATTCGATCTGAGGCTCTTCGCTTCCGGTTGCTAATTGGACTCCCGTGAAGGTATTCCTGATGTCCCATCCTGGCTTCGACCGCGCATCTGGAAGTGAGTCCTGCTTTGCTCTAGGGATGACTAGACTTCCTCAACGCCATCCAGACTCTTCCTTGGCGTCCTCCCCGGTGAACAAGACGCATGGGGGAAGGAAATTGCGAAACAGCGAGCGTGCTACTATGTGAGTCGTGGAAAGTGCTCGAAGATAAGTGCTGAAACGGATCCTAGGATCTTGTTCGACGTCTCTTGGAACCATACACCACCTTGCCTCCTCCAACCACACCACCTCATGCCAGCGATGAAATCCTACTCAATGTCGTTCACCATCTTTCTCGAATACCGCGAGAGATGTTCTCACATCTCGAAGATGCCCCAGAGGAGTCCAATCTGTGTCCACTGTCTGAGAAGTCCGACGACAGCATCAAGATCCCGCAAGCAACTGCGCTCGATGACCGATATCGAATCTTGAAGGAGAAGGATCATGGAGCTCGTCCAGAAAGCGAAACAGACGCAGACGCGATGCCAGCCATTTCAATCTCCAACTACGACTCGGTGGCCGAGGAGAACGACGAGACTGCATCACAGGTTTCCAAAGCTCGCCCGCCGTATTCCTTTGGGCATGCCCATCCAACTCATGGGTCTGCCATCTTACGACTGCTATTCATCCATGCTTCCATCAATCCCGGCCAACTGTCACAACATATACCGGCCGTGTTGATCCCTCTCTACACTGCCTTGCAAGCGGAAGTCGAGCCAGAGGACTTGGCGCATGTGGAAGCCGACACGTTCTGGTTATTCGAGGCGATCGTGGCTGAATTTTCGGAATTGGATGATGGAGAAGGCAGCCACAGGTGGATGGCTCAACTGGACCAGACATTGGCTTGGGCAGATCCTGAGTTACACCAGAGTTTGGTAAGGCCACCGGCGCCGTATTCTTCATGATAGCGTCCTGATATCTGATTTAGGCAGCCAAAGGCCTCCAACCGTCCTTGCCTCATTATTCATAGTGGGTTCTCGTCTTCTGAATATGCGGTGTCTGTCTAATCCTCCTCTCTTGTATAGTCGCTGGTTGGCCCCAGTCCTGACCTACACAATCCCTGTTCCAGCTATTTTCGTTTTCTGGGACGCCCTATTCGCGCGTTTACCTAGGGAGCGCGATACGGCACCTCGATTAGACTTCTTGATCGATCTTGCCTGCTCTATGCTTCTGGCTGTGCGAAGGGAGTTACTAAGGTGAGTGTTGTTTGCTTTCGGAGAGACCCTTTTCTCAAGCATCTATTAGTCTCGGTCGTGCTCCAAATACAAACCGACTGTGGGTGGAGCAGGAACAGGATTCGGAGACAAAGTCGAAGACGATCAACGAGAGTGATCCCTTTCTCGAAGGAATATCCCTGCTACAAACCTACCCTCGGACCTTCGTCGATGACGCAGAGCGAATTATCCAAACAGCCAACGACCTCGTGAAACGGCGCGAAATGGAAGCTAACAGGAACCAGCCCCTGTCCAGCCAGTCGGAACCCAGTTTGGGTGTCAGGTTGCGGAATACCGTGTGGAAAGGGATCACCAACCAAATTGATCCAGACCCAGATGACATTTCTTCGAGTTCCAGCGATTCCGACCAGGAGAAACAGCAAGAGGACGGGAACGAGACGGAGAGAGAGTCTGCTACAAGTTCCTGGTGGTCCAGTATTGCAGGAAGCAACCTATCTGGGACTCGCCTGACCATCTCTCATGCGGACACCCTGCAGCCTCCAGAAGATGAATCTGGCTATTCGTCTTCCGCGAGCAAAACGTCTACTGGTAGTATCTGGAACTATGCAGAAAAACTCAGAGATTCAGATACTGCAGCAACCCTCGCTAAAGTCGGCACAAACTGGCGAGCACGAGCAATGAACGTAGGGACTTGGAGACAAGCCAAAGCTGACCAAAATAGGGCTGGAGGTTCCAATGACAGGACAACCAACGGAGACGGGACTGATGCTGAAAAGAGTGCTCACCGCCACGAATCCCCCGAGCCTTCGTTTTACTCTCCAACCAGTTCCCATCGGTCCACATACAGCTCGAGCTCGTCGATATCCCCCCTCTCCGACCACCATAATCAAGAAGAATCCTTGGTCAGCAAGACCAGATCGTTCCTATCCCTTGCCAAAACCCCTTCATCCGCCGGATCGAAGACCGCGCCTCGTCCGCTGTTGTTAAGCTCGGCATCTCCTATTACGTCTCCCCCAATGTACACCTCTACGACGCCTGCAACGCCGGAGAATCCGCAGTGGGCTGAAGTAATGAAAGCCAAGAAGCAATTCCTGAACCGAGAGTCCAGGTCGTCTGTGTCCTCTCTCTCGCCATCCGAAGCCTTCAAATCGAGTCGCTCGGATTGGGAATCCGACGGGGGCAGTAGGATTGTGCCCCTCAACCGTCGGTCAATATCACCTATGGCGCCGTCGTACAGGATCAATCGTGGCTTGGCCAGTCCGTCTCCGTCCGTGGGCGAACCGTTCAGTCCTTCTGTCTCATCCACAACCTCAACCGGATCGCCAAGGCTTCCTGTCCTTTCCACTTCACCTGTCTCCGCCTATTCACCCACAATATCGTCAAACACGCCTCCCATATCTAGGTCTGCGACACTTCCAGACACCTCAAGTGAAACTCATGTGTTCGAGCTTGAGCGGAATGACACGGTCAAGAGAACCCCTCGCGCGGATGCGGCCAGGAGTCGCATGTCGTCTCTCGATGCATCAGATGCCCCAGCAACCGGATTATCTCGTCATGCTCGAGTCCGCTCAAGGCGACAAACGCGACCAAGTCATCTACAGCTGAAGGACACAAACGTTACCAAGCCTCGTTCCCCTGTCGAGATCAAAACGCCGAATTCGAGCAATAATCTGACGGTAGAGTGGCCTACAGAGGATCCAGACATGGCAGCGACACCAAGGGCGACTACCTTCGACGCCACGGACGATGATGATGCAAGTCTCTCTCAAAGACCGATATCCCCTCGTTTCAGACGGAGAAAAGTGTCCACGGCTGAAGCACGAGATCGTTCTAACGTTCGGAAGTTGTCCGGGGACGGACAGGAACCTCGGTTGCGGAAGACATCGTCTGGTCGGTCGAGGAAGGTGTCCAACGAGGTCAAGGACAAGAAGCACTATAGGAGGGAAAGCGAGGCAGACGAGGGCGACGACGAAGGTTACGATGACTTGCTCAGTGCATACGAAAGCGAAGATCTCAGCCACACCAGTTACAAGCTCATATCTACTTCCCGCTAGTTTGCAATTTCTTGTAGTAAATCGCGTGGACATTATGGTTTCTGTATCTAGGTTCTCATAATGATTTAAATTCTGTATACGACTAGAATGGGATTAATTAAGGTTGCTGCCGTTTGATGGGAGAGGTGGTTGTTTCGGTGAACTTGACGACGTGGCAATAGATCTTGGATGTCCGTGTAGATTTCTTGGAGAATGGGAAAATGTGGAAGCATGTTCTGCCAGCGACGTTAGTGAGCGGATGTTGACATTGACCACTCTGAATGGCACTCACCGGAAACCCAACCCGCAAAATAGGAGCTCCCGTACTTGATTGCGTCAAAACAGCGATGTAGTACCTGACATTCCAACCGTAGAGCGCTTCGTTGATAATGAGGTCCTCGAAGACCGAAAACGGGATGAATTCACGGCTGGAAGACAGGACTTTTGTCAAGAAACCTCTGTGGGTCTCTATCTGTATTCCATGACAAGGTATAACGACCAGACTTTCTGCAGTGGAACGTGTTAATTGTAGTCCAAGAGCACCGCGGCCAGCACCGACCATGAACGATCCCAGAACAGACATTTCGAAGAAATAGGGATAAGAGGATGGTAGTTCCAGTGTACCTAGTCGGTCCCGGACCCTAATTGCTTCATGAATGGAACAGCGCGGTCAAAGATGAGACGAGCAAGCGCACCGTTAGATAGAAATTCCAAGCAAGAAGGGAGATGGTCAACAAGAAAGCCTGGAAGGTGACCCGCCTAACTTGGCTTCGTGCTGAGGCTGTCTTGTTTTCCAATTTATATTCGCGATATTGAGGACATTTTGATATGGAAAACTCGAGATGAGAGGGAAGTGGGTAGATGCGTTGCATTCATGGTCAACCTTGGTCGCGTCCGACCTTTTCCCATTTGTGGTCAATCCAATGATGTAACTCTCAATGCCAGCAGCGCCATCACGAAGTGAAAGTTGAGTGAAAGTAATCTATTCTGTAGAGCCCAAGTTGAGGCAAAAGTTTTGGCTACACCTGATCTAATGTATCTAAAGAGCTAACCTTTCCTAAAAAACCGAGAACGGTCCACAGCGAGCGCTGACACCCTTGCTTCGCTGTATGTTACCTAACGCGGGTGGACGCGGTTCAGAAGCTTGAACGATCCGAAAGCGAGGAAAGCTGCTCCAGCGTAGATAACAATTCTAACTTTTAACGGGTTCTGGGTCAAGAAAGGGTAGGGGACTAAAATACCAAGGTGTCAGCAGCCTGGCCGCACGTCCGATGACAACCCCAGACTATACTCACAAATGTTTCCGTTTCGGCTTGCACAATGCTCCACCCAGAGTCCGTAGAAGACAGCATACAGAGCCACCACGACAGGTACATGGATGTTAACTTCTTTGCGACTGTACTTCTTTTCGAAGACCAGGAAGTCGAGTAGTAGCGAGAGCGCTGGTACAGCATGAAGGCCTAGGTCAATAGACAGCGGAAGGCGGAAGGGCACTGGAGCTGCATCAGAGCTGGTGGGTTCAGGGGTGGCGGAGACGTCTGAAGCTATGATGAGGTCGGGGAAGAAGACGAGTAGCGTCCAGTAAATCGACGAGATAATAACTGCAAGCTATGTGGAACGAGAAGATGATGCTCCTTCATTGTATCGAGGTTGGGCGGAGAGACTTACTGGCATGGCTGCGATGAAAAGGCTGCGTCTGAAGCTGCGAAGAGATGCTGGTCCGTCGCTCAGAATTAGGCCGCCATCTGCCAGATTGCAAAAGGGGACCCACGACGAAGAGGGGGAATCACATCCGTCAGGACGCCGATAAGCATAGTGGCAATGGCAATGAAGAGACTATTGAGACGAGAACTGAGTTCAACAGAGTGAAACGAAGGATGGATACAGACCCTTGGATGGTCAAATATTGAAGATGGCCTCCATACTGGTTGCGAATGAATGCGTCGACTGCAGAAGTGTTCAGAGAACGAAAAGCAGTGATCATAGCCCCTGCAGAGGCCAGCCGGAAAAGCCCTCTAAACGCAGAAAAGGCCATGGTCGGTGGTGGGACGAAGGCAAGGAGCAAAGCATCGCATAGTTCGAGTGTGGATTGTCCCGCTGACGGAATGACAGTGACATAAGAAACCTAACAGCAGCAAGCGCCCCATCCAATCAAGCGCCCGGATCACCACCGTGAGAGAACCGAAATCAAGTGTTGTCAACGCCGCTGTGCGCGATGACTAGGCGCTTGTCGCACTGACTCCTCAAACTCCTGCTCGACAACCAGCTGTGCTTTCGTCTCCGGTCGCAGACCGGTCATCAATTTACTAATTGACTATTCAACGAAATGTTCCTATTCTCAAGATGCGGTCCCGGCGTCATCACTGGTTACAAAAACCCATCCGGTCCCTCCATGCTGCTCAATAAACTACTGAACAACCCCAAAGGCTCACGAATAATGTCGTATAGCACGGGAATCGTTGACGGCGGAAAATCTTTACACATCTTCGTCGCAGGCCTCGGCAATGCACCAATGCCCAATACACGACACAGGTGAGCGGTTCTTGACATCCCTAGCCACCTTGTCGCCAACTTATACCCATGACCCAGCATTGGTCAATACATAGTCAGCTCGTTAGGCACCCACTTTGGAATCGCTCTCAGATCGACGCGCGGTGGCCACATAGGCTCTGGGGTCGTCGACCTCCCCTCCGCGTCTGGCCCCGTCAAAATCACCCTCTTCAAGTCGAAGCAACTGATGAATGCCTCGGGTCCAAGTATTGTGCAGGCATACAGGGCCGTCCTATCTCAAACAGGTGGTGCTCCGAAAGGCTCCAGTAACTTTGTTGTACTGGGAGATTCCATCTCACATACTGCTCTGAAGCTGAGTGCGAGGCTGGGTGGGTCGGCTCAAGGCCACAACGGTCTCAAGAGCATCTCGAATGCTCTTGGGAGAGCAAAAGACTTTTGGCAATTCAGAGTCGGTGTCGGAAGAGGGGTGGACGAAGATGGAGGTGAGCATGATTCAACCTCGTTTGACCACGCCTTTACTGAAACGCGGCCTGTTAGCGAGCATTATTGACAAAAACATCGACGCCGCGGAATGGGTAATGGGACGACTGAGTGAAGCAGAGAAAGAGTATTGGGGCGTTGGAGGAAAGGGACTGGACAGCGTGATGGCAGAGCTGGGAAGAGTGGCACGTCAATTGGAAAGCTAGCAAGAGATCGGGCCTCTGAACCCACACCTTGCAAAGCGGGCTCAGGCAGTCTCAATCCCATTTTGCGCAGAGCCGGTGCAAAGGTCGACACCACAGTCGCAGACCATGCCACCTCTCCTCCGAGTCCTTTCAACTTCTGGCAGATCTGCACAAAGGAACAGGGGTAATATGGTGGATGCAATAATGCCAGCCTCGAAATGAGGCGATTATATCTAGTACAGGGGATGTAGCACAGCGATTATGAAAAGCATATGTACGGTATCATAAATAATCAGAGATAGTCCTTCCAGCGCCTCCAAAGGACGAAGGATATTAGCAGAGATATAATACAAGTAATGCTGATGACTTCAAAGGTCCCTTCCCAACAGATGCGTCCTTTGCACATAGATCCTTCACTTGCATGGGACTCCGAGACGAATGCGTAAAGATAGGAGAAGATGGGGTTGCCCACGAACGGTGCGTACATCATGATGCCAAAGTTGCGGCCGAGGTTCTTCATTCCCCAGATGGAGGAGACGATACTAGGGCTGTATTTTTTTGAATGGTCAGCACGGAAACTTGATGACTAAAGGAGTGGCTTACAGGACAGTGAAAACAGAGCTGTAGCCGATGCCCGTTCCGACACTTAGGACCCAGACATCGTCACGAGTTACAGCCCGTTTGCTAACCCATGAGAACGTCCAAGCGAGTATCAGGGATGACAAGGACAAAAATGTGACTCGAGTGATGCGGTGCCTTCGAGGGAATACCTGTAAACCGGAGGGCAACGAGGAGGCGACAGGGGAGATGAAATCTGCGAGCAGACCGACAGAGATGCGAGAAATCGTGTTCGACAGTGAGAGTAGCTTCACTTGACGAGCCGTGAAGGCCTGTGCCGTGGCATCTCCAGTACGCTCTATAGAATAAGGGGGAAGCGATACTACGATAGAACCGATATTCGATATCACCATCTCAGACTAGAACGAGCAGGGTTTAGGACATAGTGCGTGAGAACCCATGGGATAGCGACTTACTGTGCCCAATGTAACCACGCAAAAGATTGCGAGAAGCCAGAAGTCGCTTTTCTTGAGTAGTGTAAGCACCGACTGTTCTTGATAAGTAGGGGGCTTCCGATTGGACGACAGGAGAGAAGTAGTCTCGTCAGCGTCTCTATTCTCTATGTCTGAAGATGCGGCCTGGCTTGCAGCAGTTGCCTCAACGTCGGAATTAATATGGAGGAAGAGGGCGGATGAGAAATAGACCGCAGCTGAAGATATCGCAAGGAAGGCCGTGTAGCGGGTGACGTTGAGGGTTTCGGTTGACTGATCTGTGAACCAGCGGGAGGCTATGACTGAAAGAAACAATGGAGAAAGTCCGAAAAGAGCCATGCTTGTGCCAGATGCGACTCCAATGTGTCTGGGGAATATCCTGGAGGCAGCGAATAGCGACGAGAAGTATCTATGGCAAAGGGTAAGCATATGGGATAAAACACCACGAATGACTGGGAAAACTCACGCAAACACCGTTCCCAGTCCTGCGCACAAGAATGACAGAGACAATCTATGGAACATCACTTTTGACTGTTCGGGCGAAGGGTCGTCCGGAGTGAAGTAGATCTGGACCGAGAAGCCTGCGTAGGCGCCCGTGAACAGCATTGCAGCGACCAATGAGCATATTGCTGGCCCGTATGTGTCGATGACCTTTCCAACGACGGATGCGATGGTGTATTGGCTCATCATGCCACTAAGCAGGGGCTCCGTTACACGTTTCCGGGGTAAATCGAACTACTCACGCGAGGACAATGGTCGTCAATTGGGGTTGGCTCAGCTTCGAATGCTCTGCCAGGATTGGGGACATCAGAGGAAATGTGAATATTCCACCAGCCCATATTCTAGAGGCTGTATTGTCAGACCAGAACGCTTCAACTATCAGCACGACATACGCATTCAACACAATAGCCACGCAGGCCAGCCCTTTCCGAAACGAAGTCATAATGATAGCGCCGGGTAGGACGACCCAGGAATGAGGGAAACAAAGTTGGGAAGTTGGTTAAGATTTACGGAGTATATGGGAGATAGCAGTTGGTTCAGAGGAGAGGAGTCGGTGCTGGCATGAGACGAGTTGGAGCTGTATGGGGAAGGGGGCCACTTATAGTCGGCGCGAGCGTTCCCAATCGGGGTTAGTTCTTAGATAAGATGATGGCCATCAAAGCTCAGAAACTGCTTCCACGAAATCACAATTTCCGCCTTTTTGCGACCCGACCTGACGCTGTCTTTACCAAAACCTACGACACCATGGCTGAGCAACCAACAAAACAGAAACTATGGGGAGGTCGTTTCACAGGAAAAACTGACCCTTTGTGCGCCGTCCTTTGCGTTTTTCTACCTCGGAACTAACTTGCGGGAATCACAGAATGCATGCCTTCAACCAATCGTTAAAGTATGACCAGCGCATGCATGACGCAGATATCCGGGGCTCTATCGCGTATGCAAAGGCCTTGACCAAAGTCGGAATCCTCACCCCCGAGGAGGAGACGAAGATGATCGAGGGCCTGAAGGTCGTTGGCAAAGAATGGGCAGATGGTTCTGTGAGTCATTTCGGACGACATATCGCGTTCACATAGACTTATCGGCCGGAAAAGTTCGTACCAAAAGAGGACGACGAAGACATTCATACCGCAAATGAGCGTCGTCTTGGGGAAATTATTGGTCCTTTGAGTGGAAAACTCCACACTGGTCGTTCTCGAAATGACCAAGTCGCGACAGATATGCGGCTCTGGCTTTTGGATCAAATCGCGGACATCGAGCAAGGCCTTCGGGGACTACTCAACGTCCTCGTTGAGCGAGCCGACAAGGAAATTGATTTCCTCCTCCCTGGGTACACCCATCTGCAGGTGCGTTATCATGGTAGTCCCGTCAACTGTTTCTAACAATTGCAAAAGCGAGGCCAACCCATTCGATGGTCGCACTTCTTGCTATCTTACGCGACCTCATTCCGATACGACCTGGAGCGACTCTTGCAGTTGGTTCCTCGTATCTCTGTCCTCCCTCTCGGAAGTGGTCCACTCGCAGGAAACCCCTTCGTAGTCAACCGCGAATTCCTTCGCCAGGAGCTTGGCTTCCAAACCATCGCAGAGAACAGCATGTGGGGAGTTGGAGACCGCGACTTCATTGTTGAGTTCATGATGTGGTCGAGCTTGACTATGACCCATATTAGCCGACTTGCTGAAGACTTGATTGTCTATTCCACAGCCGAGTTTGGCTTCGTTAGCCTTAGCGATGCCTACAGGTATGTTTTTTTTTTTTTTGTCTTCCAGTAAACCACTTTCTAAATCTTGTCCTAGCACGGGTTCGAGCATTATGCCGCAAAAGAAGAATCCAGACTCCCTGGAGTTGCTCCGAGGTAAATCTGGTAGGATATTCGGAAACGTATGCGTGCACTTTTCATTAGTTCTGGACTGGGGGCTGAAACCTTGGGTTAGATGGCCGGCTTCTTGATGACCTTGAAGGGTCTTCCCTCGACTTACAACAAGGACTTGCAAGAAGACAAGGAGCCTTTGTTCGACAGTGTCGACAACGTCTCTGCCTCCCTCAAAATCACCGAAGGCGTTATCGCTACCATGGACGTGAGTTATATGGTAGGACGATTTGCATTGTGCAGCAGGCTAACCTCCGTGTTCAAGGTCCACGCGGACAAGATGCGTCAAGCTCTTACAGTTGATGTCCTGGCCACCGACCTTGCCGAGTACCTCGTCCGTAAAGGAGTATGTGGAGCCAATTTCAACACCTTGAAGCTATGCTGAAAAACTCCTTTCCCCGCAGATGCCATTCCGTGAGACCCACCACATTTCTGGCCGCGCAGTAGCCTTGGCAGAGTCCCGAAAATGCTCCTTGAGCGATCTGACAGTCCAGGATTATAAGAAGCTAAATCCTCTGTTTGAGGAGGACGTTCTTGATGTGTTCGACTTCGAGGCTAGTGTTGAGCGACGAGACGCGATCGGTGGTACCAGCCGACGAATGGTCGAGCGCCAAATTGCTGTCCTCCGAGAGTTCTTGCAGCAGTAATTTATGATATTGTAGAAGTAGAACGGGAAGCAGTGCAACATGAAGAATAGAATTTGAATGTCATCCCGCGCTGCGGCGCATCATGCTCCCACTCCCACGGGGTTAATCACTGCCTTGTCAACTGCCAGCTCTCCTTCCTGGTATACATAGTACCCCGCCTCCGATCTCTGCTCTCTCGTCTACCCTTTAAATCTTTATCGCTTTCTTCTTTACCTAAATTTACCCTCTTCTTCTTTAATAATGGCGAGAGACAGACTTGCGGCCATGAGGGTAGGTCAAATTTCCCGCTGCCGTGGAGACCGTGTCCGAATCTTACGACTTCACAGGCCCAGCAGCAAGGGATGTACGGGGGCTCGTAGGTGTTGAACCGCAACTACATCGAATTCGACGCTCACCAAGTAAATGTAGAAACAATTCCTACCCGACGCAGGCGTCTGGAGGATACGGCCAGAGGTCCAACCAGTATAACAACCTTTCCGACTATGAGATGTCAGACGTCGGTGGAAGCAGGACATACAACGCAGCGCCAACACCAGTCGGTACACCAGGAGACGCAATGTCAGCATTCTATGCTGAGGTGCGCAGACTCTCGCTCTACCCGAGGTCCAAGAAATAACGCCTTTTCTGCTGTTTCCTCCCGCCGCATGGCATGTATAGATTGCCTCTATCCAAGACTCTATCCGCGCTTTCAACGAAAATATCTCTCGTATTGGAGAACTGCATTCACGCTCGTTGAACAATATGGATGATGTCGCCGCTCAGCAAAACAGCGCTGCACTCGATGATTTGGTTGCGGAGACCAGTGCATTGAGCGCCACCTTGAAACGTAGGATCAAGGCCTTGGAAGCACAAGGTGCTTCAGGCCGAGACGGACAGATACGAAGGGCGCAGGTACGCTGGAATTTGGCTACCATCCAGAGATTTCGCTTACACCGCTGTGTAATAGACAGGGCTTGTCAAATCCAAGTTTGTTGAGGCCATCCAGACGTACCAGTCGGTAGAGCAGCAATACCGCACTAAACATAAGCAGCGCCTTGAACGGCAATTCAAGATTGGTGTGTTTACCCTAACCCCCTGATAGCGATCCATTAGACTCAACGCTGTTCTGCAGTTAAACCCGACGCTACCCCGGAAGAAGTGCGCGCAGTGGTGAATAATGAAAACAATGGACAGATCTTTTCTCAAGCTGTTGGTTTCCTTGTTTCGTGCTGAAAGCTGTGAACTCATAGCCCATTGCAGTTGATGAACTCCCAATTTACGAACGCCCAAATGGCTTACCGTGAAGTGCAAGAACGACATGAGGACATCAAGCGTATTGAAAAGACATTGGCGGAGCTTGCTCAACTCTTCAACGACGTAGGCCGCTAGTTTTTTGTCGCCGGTAATGGTCGCTCACGGAGTTTTTAGATGAGCATTCTTGTCGAGCAGCAGGACGAAGTCATCAACACCATTGAAACCCAGGCCTACAACGTTCAAGCTGACACCGAGGCTGCGTAAGTGACTTTGCGGGGTATGTTTTCTGCGGAATTATATTGACCGGTACCCAGGTACAAACACACCGAGGATGCTGTCAAATCGGCAGCGGCCGCCCGCAAGAAACGATGGATATGCTTCTTTATCATCCTCATTGTTGTTCTTGCTATCGTCGGCGGTGTTGTCGGAGCCATTGTGAGCAAGCAAAACACTGGCAGCAAGTGATGCCAGAAAGCTTCCGTTACATCTGTTTCGAGTTCTTTGTTTAATTCGCATTCTTTGGCACGAGGACAAGTTATATCTATCTCTTTGACGACGATACCATTTCTATTTTTTCTCGCTACACGGACGACTTTCTATCTGCTTGGCTGAACCATTAGGATAATGCTGATAATAGTCTCTCTTAAAATCCAAGGCAAAGGGCTGTTCACTCCACGAAATGCGTTGAGTCTATTACAAAGAGGAAGTCAGACCGTCGGATCACACCAATCCCGAGTGATAGTGGCTGTGGTCCTGGATCAAGGCTTACGCGTCATCTGTCGCTGGTATATAAACCCCTCTCTGCTTGTTCTCACTTGTTTCTAGCCCTTTCTCCTTGTTCTCATTTGTTTCATCGCCTGTTCCCCCAACCCGTCTCCAGTACCTGCATCGTCCTCCTCTACAACCACACCCAACACATAATGCCAGCCAAGAAGCGATGCCAATTCCACCTCGGTACTGATTCGCAGTGTTCTTCAGCCGCACTGAGAATAGTTGGGTCCTGTCCTCATTGCCAGGCTCAATTCTGTGGTTCGGTAAGTACGTCGACGTATGGTCTATGTTCGCCCCTAACTTGTGGTCTCTAGCACCGTCTCCCTGAGCAGCACGAGTGCACCCACCTGCAGGACTGTCGGCAGCAGGCGTTTGAACGGAATAAGACGAAGCTGGAGAGCGAAAGGACCGTTGCTGCGAAGATCGCTGCGTCATAACCTCGGTCGTATGCCTTGTTGGACCGTATCCGAGTCCCTGTACAACACATCGGCCGCTGGCGACCACGCACACGCATGACCGACATATTTCCGTCGTCGCACGTCCTCGCTTTCCCAACCACTCAGATATCTTCCATTCACCGTCCCTCGCCATAATCACATCACGAACTTCTTTATGCCGTCTAATACACACGGTCGTTTTCGTTGTTTCATCTGCTTGCTTTCATGGAAACCATGTACTTATTTTGTCGGAGGCCCAGTGGCTGTCTGGGGGAGATCTGACTCCATGTCTACGGAGACACACCATCGCTTTTAGGTAGCTCTTACCCACTTTTATTGTATCACATAATGTAGAGTTTTGGCTGTAATACAGGCGTTTCCTATCTTCACAAGATCTGGAATGATTTTTGGCCGGTTCTATTTGAATTCAATTCTCTGAACAAATATGTCGACGAATGTGGGTTGGGGAACGTAATATTTATCTTGATTACCTGTGCGATCACGTTCATTATTGACTCGATTTATAAAAGCTGGTTCAAGATCCTTCCATGATTCATCGACTCCCTTCATCTTCCCCCAATATCGATTCTTCGGATTTCAGCTGGCCCCCAGTCGGTCCAAACCACCTAGGTCAGTCGCGCTCTCCTCTGCTCGCTGTTTATGTCGACAGATTAGCTATAACGGTCACCGTGAACCCCTCATTATCACGTGTGACTATACTGCTGAAGCGCGCCAAACGGCTACCACTTGATAACCAGAAGCCCCCTCGTCGCGCAGTCCATTCCGGTGGACGATGGTTCTGAGCGTTCATGCTCCGGCGGGTACCCCAGACTATATGTAGCCGGTCACCACCTTTCCCCACACCCCTCTATCTTCCCTTCCCCAGCTTCCCCGTCTTTTCGTTCTTCATTCTCTTATTTTGTTTCTTTTGTGGACTAATCTTTTCAACTCATGGCGACTAGACTTAAGCAACTTTTTGGACACTTGTCCTCCTCAGACATGACCGCAGGTAAGCGATTCACTCAATGGTTGGCATTGGAATGATTCCTCACATTCGTCTACCCCTAGAATTGTGGCAGAACGTCCCCCTCGCCCCACCGGACAGGTGACGCGTCTGTTAGGTCCCAGTCACCAGTACTAATTATTTCATCTCAGTATCTTCAAGCTCACCGCAGCTTACAAGGCAGATACTTTCGAGAAAAAGGTTAATTTGGGCGTCGGTGCTTACCGCGATGACAATGCGAAGCCATGGGTCCTCCCAGTTGTAAAAAAGGTCAGGGGTAATGCAATTCCGTTCACGGCACCCGCCAACATTATTTCTTCAGGCTACGGAACGTCTCTTGAAGGACGATACCCTTGATCATGAATACCTCCCTATTACGGGACTTCCGGAGTTCACTGCTGCCGCCGCCAAACTTATCTTGGGACCCGATTCCCCCGCTATCAAAGAGAACCGGGCTGTCGCTGTCCAGACTATCTCTGGAACTGGCGCAAACCACCTCGGTGCCCTCTTCCTCTCGAGGTTCTATGGCTGGAACGGGGAACCCAGAGTCTATCTCAGCAACCCTACATGGGGTAAGTGCGCCTAGAGAACAATGCTTCTACCGGTCTGATCCTTTGCTTCCAGCCAACCACCACGCCATTTTCAGAAACGTGGGGATTGAACCGGTCGACTATCCGTACTACAACCCCCAAACGATCTCCCTGGACTTCGATCGGCTCATTGACTCCTTGAAAGAAGCCCCTGCACGATCGGTGTTCTTGCTTCATGCATGTGCACACAACCCGACGGGAGTGGACCCCACTCCTGAACAGTGGGAAGCCATTGCCGATGTGATGCTTGAACGCGGTCACTACGCCTTTTTCGACTGCGCCTACCAGGGATTCGCTAGCGGTGACCTCGACAAGGACGCGTGGGCAGTGAGGAGGTTTGTCGAAAAAAATGTTCCGCTCCTGGTTTGCCAGGTGAGTGCCTGGGCCTGTAAGATGACGAACATGCATCTGACGAATATTTTCCAGAGCTTTGCGAAGAACGCGGGTTTGTACGGTGAACGTGTTGGAGCACTCCACGTCGTTTCGCCTGACGCCGAGACTGCGAACCGCGTCCGCAGCCAGCTTTCCGTACTTCAGCGGAGTGAGATCAGCAATCCACCGTCTCACGGAGCTCGATTGGTAAGTTTATTTAAATTGGCCAGAAAAGACATGTGGTTTAACCTATGGGACTGCAGGTCTCCTTGATTCTCAACGACCCTGAACTGTTCGAGGAGTGGAAGCGGGACATCGTGACGATGTCCAGCCGGATCATTGACATGCGGAAGGAGCTGTACCGTCTGCTGACCGAGGTGTACAAGACACCCGGGAATTGGGACCATATCCTGAATCAAATTGGCATGTTCAGGTAAGATCCATTCATCATTTGGGGAGATGTTTCCTGACGACGGTTGGCCTGCAGCTTCACCGGGTTAAATCCCGAGCAATCGAAAGCTATGGTGGAAAAAGCCCATATCTACATGACTGGGAACGGTCGTATCTCGATGGCGGGGCTCAACAGCCACAACATCGAATACTTTGCGTCTAGCTTGGACAAAGCGGTCCGAGGAGAACTATGAACGTCACATCAGCAGGGTCTCGACTTTATGCGGGAAAATGACGTCACGGCCGATGACGCGAGGTGTGATGTGTGGGGCATTCCTGCGAAGGACTGAACCATAAATTTTGTATGTTTTCGCCAAGTTTTCGCACCGAGAAGAGAAAGGATAGTCTGAAGCGTAAATGAATGGACCTGTTTCTAGTTGTAAATAGATGGAGAAGATGTATTTTTTCGACGGACATAAGTTGTTTGTAGTAGAAGCAGATAATAAATACTTAGGAGATGAAATTGATTCAAGTGTTGGCCTATTTTGGCAGTTCGCCCCGTCCGCTTTGTTTTTTCAAGGAGAGGATTGAATTTTTGTGCGGGAGCAGAGCGCTGGTGTCGCCAACGATGACCTCGGAGCACTCGTCTCGTTCAATGGGCCCCTCGTCGATTACTCTTCCCCCTCCTCCCGTATTCTCCTCATTCTCTCTTCAGGGCTGCACTCCCGACAAATCCCCTTCCCCACAACAGTTCCACACAGCGCCCTCGTCCCCGCTCTCCCCGCCCGTCCAGTGGTACACGCCCCCGACAACTCCAAGAGACGAGTCCGTGCCCTCCGAACACAAATCTCTCCCACCACAGCCCGTCGAGCTCCTTCCACCCTCAGCCTCCGTGCGCGTCTCCCAGTCCCCCCTCAGGCACCAAGACTCCGCCCCCGCAGCACCCACACACCCGCCAGATATCCAGACCGATGACGCTTTTCCCAGTGCAATCGTCGACCTCGCCGCAGACCTGCCGTTCGGAGAGGAGAGCCTCAACACACTCGAAAAGATCTACCTCTACTCCAGGAGCGAGTCGAGCGTGCACCGCGTGTTTATAGCACACCAACTACCCACGTTTCTCGACCAAGTCGCTCCTCAAGAGGCCATTGAATATGTCTTGCCCCTTATCGGCCTTCTCGCCGTTGACGAAGGTTCGTGAAACTCTCATCGATAGTCCGGAATCCGAGACGACTTATGTGACGACACAGATGAAGACGTGAAAGAGGCTCTCGCTACCGAGCTCGTGCCAGTCATCTGGTGGTTCTTTTCGGTGATTCAAATACATTTCCCTTCACCCTTAGCAAGAGAACTAACTCTGATCAGAATTGTCAAATTATTCCAGATGATTCAGACTCGATGCAGACTTTCGCCTCCACGTCCACAACCGCAACGATCTCGGTGCAGGTTTTCACACCAATCTTGGCCGCTCTCCTTCTAAGCTCAAATCCTCTCATTGTCGGCTCTGCTCGCTTTGCGGTCGTGGATTTGCTCACGCGAATGAGGAGAGCCGATGACCGGGAATCTGGTGTCGCTACCCCCGATTTGCCCCAACCCGCGGACCATGGCAATCCTGGCTATGCGAGTAGCAACATTGACCTCTCTGACGATGACGAAGCAACCTTCAAGGTCGGCATGTTCAAACATGATGAAAGAGCGCTGTTCCGTCATGAAATCCTCCATTCCGTGGTCATAGGAATGGGTCGTCTCGGACTTGATGTTGATCCTGACACTCAACCGTCCGACCCTGTTAATAGGGCTCGGGAAGACGCCGGTGCAGACACTAACAGGAATCAGCACCTTCGAGTATCCACCCCACAAGAGGAGCGGCCGCAGTCTCCCCTTCGCACATCTGTCAATCCGTACTTCCCAGCGACACCCTCGGAATCTTCAGAGGATGCCTCGCGACAGCCACCCACTCGTCCATTGTCACCCCCTACCTCGCCCAAGGCAACATCCCCCAAATCTTGGAACCATTTCACGGGTCCATCCCCGCCATCGCCCCCGCCGATACCTACACCATCCCTTGATCCCGAGCAAGAGCAGCCAGAGGGCGAAGAGAATGATGAAGAACAAGCAGCTATTGGCCAATTGTCGAGCATGAGTCTCATGGCCGCTGTTACTGCGACAGGTAAATAACTTGGCCAGTGTATCGACGGCATTCAAACCTAACTTTTAGTGTTCCGGCCAGGACTGATGGCAGAAGACGTCCAAAGAGCCTTTGTAAAAGAAGTTGAACGGGTGGGGAGAGATTCAGGTCACTTTTACGTTCGGCGGGAAGCGTCGTTGGCCTTGGGCGCACTGGCAAAGGTTGTCCCAGAGGAGCTCGTGGCTTCTGCATTGGTACGGAATTCTGTTCCAAGGTGGATTTAAATGACTGTTAATTGTCTCCAGCTCCCTCTCTTTGACACGCTTCGATGGGATTCTGACTGGCGAGTACGCCATTCAGCCCTTTTTGCCTTGCCAGCGATCCTTCCCCGCCTTTCACCTAATCAACGTCGGACGGTCGCCCTCGAAACGATCATGGCATTGTCCAAGGATGTCTATGGCGCAGTACGGTCCAGCGTGTTAGAGTCACTTGGGGAGGTTCTCTATACATTTCATAACGACCCCGGCGGGCCTCCAGATCAGCTGTTGCAAATGTTTCTCGGGAGAAAGGAGGATGTCGACGTACGTCAGGGCAAGACAACTCTCTATCCGTGGATGGTCAACCAGCAGCAAGAAGATGCCACAGAATCTTTCTATACCGACCCTGAAAGGCCTCTTATTTGCGCCTTCAATTTTCCAGCCGTTGCACTTACTCTTGGTGGTCCCCGGTGGCCTGAACTTCGGGAGGTCTATCTTGACTTGTCGAAGAATCCCAACGGTAAAGTTCGCAAAACATTGGCCGCCAGCTTAGGAGAAATGGCCAAGATCGTTGGCAGGGACGCTGCTCAGAAGGATCTTTTGCCTGTCTGGTGGTCATCTGTGCGATTTGAGGACGAGGAAGTCAGGTCGAAGGCTATCGAAGCTCTGGCGACTTTCTTGCCCATCTTGTCCGTGGAAGAGCGAGTCAAAGTTATTGACGGGGTACTAGTTGTATGGAAGGAGAATATTTTCCGTGGTTGGCGGGAAAGAGAAGCTATTCTCGGACTGGTTGAAACATTCCTCGAGCTTGGTGGTACGGATTCCTTCTGTACGGTCAAGTGTCTGTTGGTCAAGGGGCTGGAGGACTCTGTGTCTTCCGTAAGGGAGGCAGCTATTAGTCGCGTGAGTTCTCCCTGTTTGCATCACTGAAATACGTTAAACTGACAGCCCGCAGTTGCCTCGCATTTGGCATGCATTCACGCCCAGCCCGGTTGTTGCCCAAACACTACGACATGATTTGGACGCTTTCGCTACCTCGCCGTCCTATAAGCGAAGGATAACGTGAGTTTTCTTGCCCCTCCAGCAGCAGGAGTTGGCTCACCAGGACGTCGTTAGTTACGTTGGGTGCCTTCACGCCTGCGCATTGCACATCGACGCTGGCTTCCCGCCACCCGTCGATGCCAATGTCATCCTGAAGATGTTGGAGCCTCTTACCGAAGACCCTGTGGTCGACGTTCGCATTGGCGCGGCCCGCATACTGAACCTTCTCTATGGTATTGCAGTTCCTGCTATTAGCAAGTCTCACAAACTCATGTCTTCGTTCTCAGTAAAAGACCACGACTCTTCGCAGTCTCCTGTCCTGACGCGGCTGTCCGAGCGTATGTCCTCGGACACCTCCCAGGAGGTTCGGTCATACCTGCCTGAAGTTGGCTTGCCTTCGCACCAGGAAGCGAGTCCGTCATCAATGTCAACTTCATCCACAGGGCTTCATCGCAAGCGCCACCCTCCGCCATCGACGTTTTCTCGGCCACCACCAGTTCGCCAGTGGCAGCCAGCACAGAGCGAAGTCAGCTCTCTTAGCTCGCCAAATGTCAGCTCGTCTATTCAGCGGGAGAATCCCGGGCCTGGCATACAGCCTTCGTTCGGAGAAAGAGATGGACAAGAAGCCTCGACGGAGCATCGTGAGATGCGAAACGGTCCCGTTGAGATATCTTTAGCACAAACCTGGGTGGACTCCAACCCAACAACATTCATGTCTGTTCAGAGTTGAAGATCATTTTCACGATGCGAGAATGGATTTTCGCCTTATTACTTAGTATTACCCTTATTCTTTTGTTTCAGTCACGCGGCACAGTCCGAGCTGCCCATATTCCGGCGGGCGCTCATCATGACGTCCGTCCACAACATATTGATTGTCATGGCTGAGTTTCAATCTCTGGTTCTGTCTTCTGCTCTTGACCACAACCTTCTGAGGCTCTGCAAGCGTGCATCCTTACGCTTGTTTGGAGCAGTCGTGCTTCCGAGTCCTCGCCGCTCATTTGTAGACCCACCCTGCAGCCGTCGACCGGTGCTACCCTACCCTCGCTTGACCAGCGCTTTCATGTCAAGTTATGTATAAATTCATTCGTTACTTCACGTTTGGTACGTATCTTACTGCAGCTGCTCCCTTCGGGTAGCATAGTGACCTAGAGATAATTTATCTTGCTTTCTAATCTACATAGGACTGTTCGTGATCTGCAATGTCATCATCGCAACATCGGCCATATGGAATTTGAGCCTCATTAACGGCTGGGACGCTGGGCGCGATCGTATGTTCCTTCTCTCTTCAGGGTTGCTTTGCTGGGCATCGTGTTCATTGAGGTCACAGTGAGTCTGGCTCGACACTCTGACGGATATTCTATCTTTGTCGGTTGCGCTGGCCTCCTCCTTATCTTTCCTATGTAAGCTCTGCTACGATCGCCGTGCCTCAACAGGGCTGACGCCGGGATATTGATTCTTTAGCCTATTTTGCGAAATCTCCACCAAGGACATCTTTTTAACGAAACTGTGGTTTGAGCTGGTATGGGTTGGACTTTTCTGCACACTGGGACTGGGTATGTAATGTGGGCTGCCCTGGCGGCAGTGAATCCGCTAACCTCGCTTGTTCGCTATTGTAGTCGGCGCTGCACTGGCAACTGCAGTGGGAGCTGATCATCTCTGCCAGGCGATGATTTCTGGTTAGTCCAGTTCTGCCTCGGCTCATGTGTACATATCTGATTTTTCTGATGGGTAACACTAGGCATTGGCAACCGTCCTGGATGTATCTCGAGTCGGTTATTGCAAGGCTCTTCCTGGACGTGCTCGCTTCTTCGTGAGTAGAAGATATGCCACAGGCTCCTAACCGCTGCGTTGCTCATACCTTCCACTAGTCTTGGTGTACTTTGTGCTTTTGACGATTTTCACACTGTTGAAAGTCAACGAGGATCCCACAGTGTGGTATTGCTACGCCCGGAAGTTCCCCTGGGGTGACGGCCTTTTCGAATTGCCCAATTCGCCCTCTGGTGCGGTCACACGGAAGACATCCAAACTTTCGAAGCTATCTCTTCGTCGATTCCGAAGCAGCAAAACCCCAACTATTGTCGCCCCTCTACCCCGCCGTGCAGCCAATGATGCTGTGGTGCGAGAAGCCATCCTCTCCTATCGCTCCGGTCTGAGTCTGGAATACGAGATCGAGCACTTCCAACACGCAAGGCCGATCCCACGCCCGGAGCTAGCTATACTCATTGATGAGAGGCCTGGACAGGCGGTCATGATGTCCCAGCCCATGCAATCTATGCACGGCACCTCCCTCTATCCCGAACATATGCGTAGAGCACTAGCCGGCACACCACGCACACCACCCCTTGCATCAAACCCCGAAGCAGATTATGTGCCAAACTCCCTGGACCAGCTCCCACCTTCTCCGAATCCCGTTGGCGACTGGCCGCAACTGAATCCTCCTGTGCGGCGGCTGGGTGAGAAGCGAAGAACTGGCCAGACCATTCGTTCGCCTTCTTCACCATCTCAAGCTACCACTTCTGTGCCATCTCAGCGTACCCGACCGACTGGACCTCGCCGACCTTCTATTGACGCCACCACCCGTCTCAATTCCCAGGCGTCTCCTTTTTCACGGACAGAAGGTTATCTGTAGGTTACACGAGAACTTCTGGCACAATCTTCGGGCTAGGTCCCGTCTGTATTATCTGTCTTTATAGTATTTTTACGGCCTACACGACGAACCTGGCAATGCCAAGACACTTGCCATGGACATGGGAAATCAATGCTTTGACTTTGCATCTTGGTGAATCCGTTGGAATATAAGCGCTCGCTTACTAATACGCTAAATTTGGCAGCCATTGTCCCGCCTTGCATTGTCTGCCCAACGCGGTTAGCGCGTCGCGCATTGTTCTCTCTGTTGGCAAATGCATCGGTGTTGGCTTTGTACACATCTGCACTAAGGCCTTTGTACGCGTCTTTAAAAAGCCGTTCCACCTCATGGAGACTTCCCCCAGCCCTCTGTCACCGGTGGACCGTAGGGTTTCGACGAGTGGCTCAGCTCCAACATCGTCCCAGTCCCTCATTTTCTTGCTTTTTTCTATTGCTACCTCGACCTAGGCGTCGCTGGACGTGCGTTATTTAACGCTATATTGCCTGCCTGCAATTCAATTCGAGCCTTTCATACAGCAGGGAGAACCCTGTGGGGGAGCGACATAATGGACAACGGTTTTCATCTGATTCGGGCTGTATTTTTTGGTGCGTCCATCGAGTCCAGCGTATACTTACACATACTGACCAACAGCAGCCCTTCTCCTACTCTTCAACCTTCTGACGTTGGGTTTCTCGGCTTGGAACATCAACCTGCTCTCGAAAACCGACTTGGGTTCTTCCGCCACTGCGTCTTTCGTCCTTTTCGAAAGCTGTCTTCTCCTCGTCTGTATTGCGATGGGCTTCTTGGAATCATTCATTCCCACGGCGAGGACATCCAACATCCTGGTTGAGTGCGCGTGGACTGTGACGCTGTCTCTATTCCAACTAGGTATGCCCCAACCTCTTCGTCCCCGAACCAATCTCACAGGCCCGTTTTAGGCGCAGCTATTAGTGCCACCATGAATGGCCCCCCTCTGCTTTGCCGATCTCCGTGTATGTGGAACTTGCATTTAATGGTTGCTTAGTTCTTGTGCTCACGACGACCTCCTTTCAGCGAACGACCAGTTATGCACAGCGTCATCCCTCCTCGTACCCTCAATCTGGCTCTCGTGTGTGATTTGTACGTCTGCTTCAATGACTCGATGATTGTAACCTTGTTGACAACGCCCACAGCATTCGCATATTTCTTCACCTTCTTTATTACCGTACTTGCACACCGCATCGCAGTGGCAAACATCTGGGCGGAGACTGTCTACTCTGTCAGTTGGTTTGACATCGGCCCCGCCCATCCAAGAATCCAAATTCAAAAGGGCGATTCATTTTGGGAGAGAGAGAGTATCAGGAGTCATATTCATGGGGCTTCGTTCAGTGATATCGAATCCGCAAAAGGTATTTTCGAGACCGTCGAGGTAACCGCACCCTGGGCCAAGGACGTTCCTCTGAAACGAGGTGTCGATGCACCTTTCTCTTTGTCGTCAACACGCAACACCCCTGCGACTTCCCCGGCTTTCACTTCGAAGACGCTCCCACCGATTCCCTCTTTCCGACTTTCTACCCCACGTGGCACCTTCTCTCCTTCGCGTTTCGTAGAGAGATTCCGAGAATCTCGCGTCCTTTCTCGGGCAGAGACGCCTACACAGTTTGGCAGACACCTTGTCCGGGACAACGCTCCTTTCCCTTCAGCGGTCGTCGATCACGACCAGCCAATTCCCAAACCCCGTGGGTGCGAATGGGTCAGGGCGGACGCTTTGAAATCGCCTGTATGATCGAATCTCTGCATCACTTCTTGGACTTGCTGAACAGCCTTTGACTTCTTTGCAAGCTAGTCGAAGTCATGTTCGATGTAAACATTCACGACATCATTACGCCCGATATTTACTCATGGACTCAACCATATTCCACAAGACTTTTTTCATCAGACTATAATTCTCAACAACCACTGTAATCATAAGGGAGTACTAATCTAGCTACGAAATGTATACTTTACTGTTAATATACACTGCATCTCGACCGTCCGTTGATTCAAACAGCGGAATTCGATACAACCTTGGTTTCGAATGTTGCTAAGCGCTGTCGAAGATTGAAAACTTCTTCCTCGACCTTTCCCAGCTCTTCCTTCGTCCGATGTAACTCTTGCTTGGTTGCTTCGAGTCGCGCTTCCACCTCTTCCTCAAGACTATCGGTGGCCACGGCGACACCTGAACATGTCAGAAATCAACAACCCAAATGACGCGCTGCAAGGTTGAATGTATTCTCTTACTTGACACCAGCTTGGCAATACGCCAAAGACGAAGGATAATGAGAAGGGAAGCCAGTTCCCTTTCGCGACCCCGAAGTACTAGGTCGAGAATGAATGTGGCGAGGTTGATAAGCGCATCGAATAGATGCAAAGCTGCCCAGTGCACGGCGCCAAACGGGTTAAAGTACTGTATCCCCATGCACCAGACCGTGATAGGTATTTCGGTGACCAGAAGCGCTGACAATGCCAGGGAGGTAATAGACAAAGCTTCCATCCAGACTGGCGTCTCTCGTGGTTCAAGCTCACTGCAATTGGGATTGAACAACGTATAGCCCAGCTCGACGAGCACAAAGACCACGTCAATAAAGATCTGCAGCGGCATGTTGAGCGGGATTGGCGCATGTGCATGTCGATGGAACCAAGCTTACCAGTAGGATAAGAATCCTATGCATGTGAGGGCTCGTGAGGACTCTGGCTGTAGTGGTGCGCCATCGGCGATTTGATTCCTTCCAACGCTTCCAGTAGACCATGGCCTCCAGTTGGAGTTGTTGATGCATCCGAGGGTATTTTGCGCATAAGTATCAAGAGGTGAAACTGAGTTTCAAGGCGAACAAAGCGCCTTCTACCACAATGCTTGCCGCCAAGGAGCGCTTATTTGGTCAGTGGGATCACTTTGTGGCTGTACAGTGTAACCCTTTCTTCACCTCCCACCATCACCGTGCTTGAGACGAATGGTGACCGACAGCCTGCGTTTCTCCTTGCTTCCCAAACACTATATCTCCGCGTACGGCAGCTACTCCCCTGGTAACAGAAGAACTAGGTCCATGCCATATAACAGGTAATTTCTCGACAAGAACACAATCAATTATGACGGATTCAACAGTATCACGCCACGCAAGTTTGCTTCATGGGGGTTTGGAAGGCTGAGTACCGTCTGTCAACTGACTACCAGATGACCACTAGCATCACGAGTACACCACCCGATCTACGAGAGATAATCGTACAGAACTCAAATGACGGGAAAGTAAAAATGATAACAGTCGCAATGCACACAGGTCTTCTGGCGTTGGCAGCCCTGATCATCATGCTACTGGCAACACGTTTTCTCATCTCTTTACCATTGGTTGCAATCGACCTATCACATCTCCGTGAGACAGATGAACTCGGTACCTTCGATCTGTCCAGTATAAAGGGTCGAGGAAACACTGGTTAATCATGGCAACCCATCGACTCGAGCGGTCATAGACAGGAATCGCCTCTTGTTGACCTCAGGGTTTCCATTTGCTTCTCCAACTTTCTTCTGTCTCACTTCATTCTTCTTCGCCCTTTTTTCGTTTTTTGTGTTTGTGTCCTCCGAACTATGGCCCTCCACACATGGAATGTGTTTGGACGATTTAGAGCTGGGATCTTCGGTGCGTCCACTCTTGAGCTGAAGGCTTCCTTGCCTGATGTCGATGATACCGCATTCACAGGTCTGGCCACCATCCTCGGGCTAGGGGTGGCTGTTGTCTGCACTATTATGCTCGTAAACGGCTGGGCTGTTTATCTTTCTCATCAGAGTGCGTAATGTGTTGAAGTTGTGAAACGACCACATGTGTCGTTGAGATCAAAGTTTCCTCATTCCTATCCCCATCCAACTTAGAAGCGGCCATTTCGTTCTTACTGGCCGTCAACGTAGTTTCCTCTGTTGCGCTGGTATTGATGTGGGTTATCGTGACTACAGCTTCAGGCTTACATGCATTCTAATCTATCGTACAGGAGTATTTTTCGTTTCCGGCCTATTGCGGACCTGGTCCGCGTAGCCACGGCCTTGGTTTTCCAGATAGGTATATTCTTCCGGTTACGTGTCTAGTATACCTACTTACACGACCCGAAGGTCTCATTGTCGTCTTCACTCTCTCCACTCCAACCCTTCCCTGCGTAGAGTCAAGTATGATTTCCTTGACTAGCATCCTCGATACGGTCCTAACAGCTGGAATGCAGGCCTAGTACAATCGTGCAAGGCTCTCGACTCGATTATCCTGTTTGGGTCCTGCTTTTTCTGCGTGCTCAGTAAGTCATAGCACAGTATTTTCCCTGTGCCTATGGACTAATGACTGGGCACTAGTGTTCCTCTATATTGTAATATTGATTCCGACGCTGAAGCAACCCCTTCGCCCGCCTCCACCCCCGCCTCCTATCTATCGCGATCTCAAGCGGTGGCCCACTGAAGGAGACGGGCGCTCCTCCTGCTCCTATTCATCGTGGGACAGAATACCAGAGAAGCCGATTTCCAAAACCGATCGCAGCACCTTCACGGAATCGTACTACCACAAATTGCAGAGTAAGGTTTCATCCCCGGAGCGTCCGAAGCCACCGCCGCTCTCTCAAAGTCCCTTGATGCACAACAATCCTTTCCTCACGCCTGAAACAGCTCTTATGGAGCTATCCAATCAAGATTCAACCTACCTCCGCCCATATACACCGATGCAAGCGTCAGATCCCAACGTCGAAATCCGAGGCTCCATGGCTTCATTTAGTTCCTTCTCTTCTAGGGACTCTGCTGGGACCAGCATGTTGGAATATCCTCGAGCTGCCTTGACCTCTCCTCAGACACCGTCCTATCACCCCCGACGAACGCGATCGATTGAGAGTGCAGCGTTGCTCCTTCCAAAGCAACCGGTGGTGCTCGATGCTCCCAAACAAGATCAAATTCAGGTGAAGAGGGATAGCGACGTGCTCCCAGCACCTGCCATCACTTTGACCGATGCTGATTTCATTGGCCCGAGGAGACCTCAGGGCGAGACCAAGCCACTGAAGGTCAAGCGCAGAGTACCGCAGCAATTGTTCTTGGACGACCATTTGGAGAGCCTGGCAGATAGCAACTTCTCTGCCGTTCCCCGTAGTCCATCGCCTATATCTGGTCCATACTCCCCGAGCTCCTTCCCGGTCACACCCAACTCAGGAGCCCTTCCATCGCATCCGCGACTGACCATGCACTTCCGCGAGCTTAAGCTGGCCAAAGGCGCTCGCACTCTCACCTCCTAAGCATCGCAATAGGCTCGATGTCTTGGTTACGATCCTTACGAATAGAACGAACCCTAGTAAGTTATAATGTAGCATAGGTCTACTTAGTAAGGAAAGGGTATTGCCCGGCTTAGCCGCTCACAGATGGACTTCTTGCGGTGGACTTTGTAATTGTAGTGTGACGTCATGTGCAGACGCTGATGTACGCTTGTGTCGGATCCTTTGTCTCTTCCTTCATCAACGTTCACTATGTTTGTCCCACCGGTTGGTGTAGCAAGGGGATTCCTCTCCTATAACGGGTCCGGTATTTTCGCCCGATGTGCCAGACAGGGATTAGTCCCTCGCGCTCGTCTTCAGAATCGCGTTCGCCATGGGAGTTCGTTCCCAACAGCCGCTGTCAAACCCGGTCTTGCTAGGACCAAGCCTAGCAACAAGTTGTTCAAGTCTGCTACCATTACCACTGTTGGTCTCGGCCTTGCTGCATGGTGGACTCCAGTGAAATGCGATGGTGAGTAACGTCCATAGGTCCTGGTGACCTGGTGTTGACATTCTTCAGCGTCACCGATCAGGACTCCCCAGAGCCGCGATCCCCACATCGCACCAGTAAACGATTACCCGCCCCCACCGCAGTCATCTGTTTCACTATATGAATTGAGCTTTGGAACAGTAACGGGGCTCTGTGCTGGTATCTTTGTCAAGAAAGGCGCCAAGGCTGCAGCCTGGTTGTTGGGTGGAATTTTCGTGTTGCTCCAGGTACGTGCATAAAGCATGCGGAAGGAGCGACCATCAGCTGAATTCACATTTGCACCCAGTACTTATCTTCGCAATCTCTCGTGCGTGTTGACTGGTCGAGGATGGCTTCACGGTTTGAGAGCGCATTCCACTCGGTCGACGCGCGAACTGGCGTCTCAAAAGCACCAACTGTGGGGTCAACATTTAGAAGCATCATTAATTTCCTAACTGCCGATTTTCAACCTCGAGCATCGTTTGTTGCGGGGTTCGTTTTGGGATTGCGAGTAGGCTAAATGCTGGGATTGAACTATCGACCTTGCGTTGGCCCCTGCTTCTAACACGGCCAAACAGTCTGCGTTTGTGGATTTTTTTCAAAGTTCTATTAATAGTATCACAACTGTTCTATCGTCTTTATCTCTTTCAATGGGTCGTCGAGCGAAGAAACAGCAGGGGGCCCCTGATCTCAGCGATTTAGAAAGTCTCATAACCGGCAAAAGTCTCCGGAAACGAAAGCAGATGGTCGGCACCTGCCAGCGTCCCTCGAAGAAACCAAAGGATTCGCTGAAAAGGTCGACTTCAAAATCCAACAAGAATAAGGAAAGTCCGTCTTAAAAAGAAAAGGTCGAGCAAAGTTTCGAAGGTTGTTTCTGACTCGGGAGACGGTTGGGAAGATGTTGAAGACGGTGTTGACTTTCAAATGGAGACCGAGTGCGTGGTTATGGTTGCATACCGGAAGACTCTCATCTTATAGTTGACAGGAACCTTTTCGATGACTCGGACGAAGGTTTCGTAGGAGACCTAAACGATCTTGACGATGAATTCGACGACGAGTGCGTAGTCCCTTGCCCGGCGAGCGGTAAGGATATTGACATCAATTCTCAGCGTGATTCTGCGTGGTCCAGTGCAGGAACTACAGTTCTCCGATGACGACGAGGAAGGAGCACTGCGTCCAACAACAAAGTCGTCCAAATCTTCATAAAAAACGAGTCAAAATTAAGGCGCCTAGTTCAAGCTCTTCGAGCGACTCAGATTCAGATGATTCAGACGAGGAGATTACCATGGCCAACATGGAGGCCAAGTCCCGCGCATTGGACGAGGAAGCCCTACGTGAAGCAGAATTGGACGCAGAAGAACTTCGACGGGCCGCACTGGAAGCAGACGACGACGACTTCGACGATATGGATGAGGACGAGGAGGGTGAAGAAGGAGGTGAAGGAGAGGCCTTCCATCTGCCAACGGCTGAAGAGAGGGAAAAGGAGAAAGCTGCAGGCGGACCTGATCTACATACATTGCAGCGGCGGATGCGTGAGTGTGTCCGAGTGCTAGGGAAGTTCAGGAAACGCGCGGAACCTGGCAGGCACGTTTTTCATCTTTATTTCTCTAATTCAAACCTAACAGGCAATCGTCAGGTCCCGGTCAGAGTACACAGACCAGTTGATAAGTGATATAGCTAGTTATTATGGCTATAATTATTACCTGGCGGAGAAGCTATTCTTGCTGTTCCCTGTGGCCGAGGTGAGCGTCTGTTCTCCCCCCTTTCACCGGTACTTGACTGATGGAATCGACAGGCAATCGAATTCTTCGAAGCTAACGAGGTGTCCCGTCCAGTTACCATCCGTACCAATACCCTCAGGACTAGGCGACGCGATCTTGCTCAAGCACTGATTAATCGGGGCGTGAACCTTGAGCCAATAGGCAAGTGGACCAACGTCGGCCTCCAAGTCTTCGAAAGTCCCGTCCCCATCGTGTGCAACTCCTGAATACCTCGCTGGACACTACATGCTGCAAGCGGCTTCGTCATTCCTTCCCGTCATCGCTCTTTCTCCTCAGCCCAATGAACGCGTTTTGGACATGGCATCTGCACCTGGCGGTAAAACCACACATATGGCTGCTTTGATGCAGAACACAGGCGTCATCTTCGCCAACGATGCCAACAAAGCGCGCACGAAAAGTCTCACCGCCAACGTCCATCGCCTGGGATGTAAAAATGTCGTTGTATGTTCCTATGATGGTCGAGAGTTCCCCAAGGTTATGGGAGGCTTCGACCGCATTCTGCTTGATGCTCCTTGCAGTGGAACTGGCGTTATCAGCAAGGACTCGAGTGTTAAAGTCAACAAGGTCTGTACCTCAATACTATCTTATGGTCTCGAGCTAAAATATTTCCTCCCAGTCGGATCGCGATTTCATCCTCCTGTCCCATCTCCAAAAGCAACTCATCCTCTGTGCAATCGACAGTGTTTCTCCTGACTCGAAGACTGGTGGTTATTTTGTGTATTCGACCTGTTCGGTCACGGTGGAGGAGAACGAGGCCGTTGTCGATTACGCGCTGAAGAAGCGACCAAACGTCAGGTTGGTCGACACGGGCCTGTCGTTCGGTCGGGAGGGCTTTACGCAATACCGTGGCAAAACATTCCACCCTAGCGTAAAACTCACACGTCGATTCTATCCCCATGTTCACAACATGGATGGGTTCTACGTCGCTAAATTCAAGGTCGAGAAAAGGCAAAAGTTGTCTAATGCCGATAAGGAGGAAGAAACATCTAAGCCCGGTATAGTCAAGACTGGCGATGATCACACAGAAGACGCTGGCTTTGACTCGGAGGAGGATGAAAAATACATTCAAGGTGAGCATATCATTATCTTTATGAATGATGATCAACTGTCGTTAACAAAATTCATCCGTCGTTAGAGGGAAAGCGGAAAGCAATCAAAGCAAAAGGTCTCAAGCCCCCTCCTCGTACCTCCAAGTCTGCATAAACTACTCACGGCGTTCAACTGGTTCATCAAATTCTAGGGCATGGTCCTTGGTGGCATTCTTTAAAATTTTGACTATTTCTCAGCATCAGTATTTAGCGCACTGTTTTAGTTTGAAATCAACTGCACCAAGCGCTCAGGGCCTACAATTCGTTGATGGCAACGCTCGTGGTGAAAACTTGCGTTCCGTCGTGATTCCGATCCGGATGTTTGATTCGACTTATCCTCAATCTTCCGCCGAGAGCTTGGAAGTTTGATTTTCGAAGCGGGTGTCGAGGACGGGCATACGAGACCCTTGAAATTCCGATGAAAAGACACCTGTTCGCGTTACCATTTACGCGACCCCCTGAGGGAGTCACCACACCGGTGACCATCGCATGAATTTCACCAATCACTAGTAGTGGTTCCTTGAGATGTTCGAATGGGATGGCACCACCTTGGAGTTCAGTGTAGGCCCTGAAGACGACGTCTGAGCTATTCGACATCTTCTACACAGGCCGAAACATCTGTATTATTGAAATGCTACATAACATCCAAGGAATTCGCGCATCCACGCGGAGCGCACAATGGGTCCGTCCATTTCCAATCGGGAAAGAAAAAGAAGAGAAGAGAATAGCGAAGAAGGATGTGGTGGAGTGATAACGGAGTGGTTCTCCAGGTGTCTGTTCACATGGATGTTCTCAACAAGCTTCTTTTAGACCATGTTCATGGGGTAGGTGATAGTATGCAAGGCTGGTAATGGTAAGTATGTTACACTGAAAGCATTGTCTGTAGCGCGCATGCAAGGTTAAGTTTGACTGACGACTAAGTGAGTTGCGTGTGAGGGGTTCAACAAACGATTATTGGATGGTTAAAATAGGGGCTGATTCCAAACTTAAGGCTTCGGATCCGGAGTGGCGTAAGTTGGTATACAGTCTTCGTGAACAAGGTCGTAAGAGGCATTCATTGTGACTCTTTGCGTCGTGGTAAGGATTCATTTCGTCATGTCTTCGCAGCTTAATAGGTGCCGTTGACGTGCTTCCTGCTCATGTAAAGCTGGTGAATGAGGCCCCAAATAGGCGGTGCAAAACACAAACCTGCGACGGCCTCCACAGCAGACCCCCCAAATGGCACCAATGACGGCAATCCAGAGTGCGACTGCGGCACCCAAGGTCATCCAGACCTAGAACGTAAAATGTAAGCACCACAGGAAATAAAAAGACCAGGTAATCGTCGTACCGCATTACCCCAATTGAGAGTGACACTGTCAGTGGCATCACTAAGCCTGTTTCTCACAACCGCGACGATCACGACGTTAATCAGGAAAGCAGTGGTCGCCGCAAGAGCTGCTAGAAGGCCCAATGCAAATGTGACGAACGAAGCGATTCTGGACGTCCTCGTCGTTTTCACAGTGGTCGATCCAAATCGGCTCTGAGAGAATGCAGTGTCCCTTCGGAGCATGAACAACGATACGACGAAGGCGAAGAAAGTCAAGCCAGTAGCTAGACCGATCATACGTCATAGGAAGGTTTGAAGGATAAATGGGTTAGTACTTGAGCAGAGTCCATTGTAGATCCGATGATACTTACCAATAGGATTGAGAACGAATGCAGCGGTGGTGGTGCGAGAGACTAGATCTCGGATATCCTCCGCTCGCCTGGAGGAGATTAGTAGAATTTAGATTACCGTATAGCTATAGAATGAGAGGATGTTGCTTACAGAACACGGGCGACAGTTTCATCGATCGTATAGCCGAGACGAGTCGAGGAGCATCGGGCATCTCTATCAACCCCTATGCCCAAGATGCTGTGGCGGCGATAAGAGGAATTGGTGAGAGGCAGGAAGGGAGAGGAAGGAAATGTAACGTACGAGGCCTGAACATCTGACACGCAATATCCAAATACACCAAAGCGGACAGCGCCCGTGGCTCCGGACCCAGGAAAAGAAGTGCCAGTGTCGATGGCCAGACGAAAAAGATATATAGCATCAATGATAGGCGCAGACAGAGTGACAAGGAGCAAGAGCAGGAAGGCTGCAAAGAGGAGGAAGGGCGTCACACGAGCGAACATAGCGGAGGTCGTTGTGGGAGCGAGATGTGCGGGGTGGGATACTGGCAACGAGGACAATAGACGAGCGACCCTGGATTTATAGGTGGACAAGAGAGAGGGATGTAGTCATTGTGGTGCAGGTGGCATTGTAGTGTACAGCCCTTGCTCGCTGTGCGATGCGCGATGACGCAGCGGGACAAAAGGCTTGGTATGAATAAAACCAAGATTACGCGCCTCGTGTGAGGTCGAGCAACGATTTGCCTCGAAGACGGACAGAGAATTGTGGTCAAGAGGTCTGGAATGTGAATCTGATGTGATCTCGGCTGCTGAAGGGTACAGGGAAAAAGATGGTGGTTTCCGCATTCGGCCACAAGGAAGACATGCTCAGGAGGCCTTGAGGCGCTAGAAATCGGCGAATTAAAGGGAATTTACGCGTTTTAGAGTTTCAGAGAGGGGTTTGTCGGTGTGTAACAAGGTCAACAGGGATTATAGAACGACGAGCAAGCGGAAAAAGAGAACGGGAAAGCAAGGGATTGTTGGATTTAGTTTGTTTGTTAGTTGTTTGTACACCTGGCAGAATTGAATAAAAAGTCAGATCACATCCGTTTTCGTGTTTCTCTCAGCCCTTCCTTCTTCTGTATTTTCGCCCACTGCCCGCCTGGGTTTTCAGTTCGCGTAGCACGCATCGACAGTCTCTATCCTTGTTCTTAATACCCCGTTTATTTGTGAGTACACCACTAATCAATCCTCTCTCTCCCTCTTCTGACGCGTAACCTGACAGCTCAAACATAATGTCTGCTCCTGCTGCCACTGAAACCGCCCCTGCCGCCCCCGTCGTCGAGGAGGTCAAGAACGAGGTCCAGCCCGAAGCTGCCCCCGCCGTTGAGGCCGCCCCCGAGCAAGCAAAGGTCGAGGTACGTGTCGCGTTGCCATCCTCCCTCTCACAGGCCCCCTCAACCTGGAAACACAGGAGGCTGCAAAGCCCGAGTCCGAGACCCCCGCCGAGGCTCCTGCCGCTGAGGCCGCCGCCCCCGCTGAAGCTGCTGAGGCCCCCGCCGCTGCTGAGGAAGTGAAGGAGGAGGCCAAACCCGTACGTCCGTCGCCCCATCGCGTCTTTACACCCACTCACATCCCACTCACAGGCTGAGGAGGCTAAGAAGGAGGACCGCCCCAAGAGCCCTGGTTTCTTGCAGAAGATCCTCGCCCCCTTCAAGGGTGACAAGAAGGCCAAGAGCCCCAAGAAGGACAAGAAGAAGGACGAGGTGTGTGCCTTTGTACCCCCCTTATCGCTAACCCATCTCATGATATTTGCTAGACTCCCTCTGAGGAGGCCCCCAAGGAAGAGGCTGCTGCCCCCGCTGAGACTCCTGCCGACGCTGCTCCTGCTGAGGCCAGTGAGGCCCCTGCTGCTGAGCCAGTGAAGGAGACGTGCGTACACTGTTCCCACATGTTTGTAACGTGTCACTGATCCCTGACTTAGCGAGACCGCCGCCGCTCCCGCTGAAGCTCCTGCTGCTGCTACCGAAGAGGCCAAGGAAGAGAAGGTGAGTTCATGGCTTGGTACTTTGCATTCGCAGCGTCTGACGCACCCCCCCCCCCCTAGAAGGAGGAAAAGAAGGAAGAGGAAGCTGAGAAGAAGGAGGAGAAGAAGGAGAAGGGTCCTTCCAAGGCCGTCAAGGTTGGCCGTCGCCTCTCTGCTCGCGTTGGCGACCTCTTCAAGTCCAAGCCCAAGGCCGAAGTTGCTGCCCCCGCCAAGGTCGATGAGCACCCTCCCAAGATCGATGAGCCTGCCCCTGTCGCTCCTCTCGAGAATCCTGCTTCGGAGAACAAGGAGGAGGCTCCCGCTGCTAAGGAAGAGGAAGCCAAGCCTGAAGAGCCCAAGGCCGAGGTGAAGGCTGACGCTGCCCCAGCCGCTGCTCCCGCTGCCACCACGTCTGCGTAATTTCTTTCGATTTTCTACGCACGAGACGATCCACGACCTTGACGAGCATACTGATATCCCTTATTCATCTTTTCAATCTCGGCTACTCTTGTTCATACCCTTTCGTGGAACGATACACCCTTGCTATTCTGGTGCCTCGTTGATGATACGCTTGGATTTCTGCTTTTTTATTACTTTGATGATATTACGACCCCTAGCCTCACTTCATCTTAATACGCGTTCCAACCATACCCCATTTTGCTTCCTTGGAACGTGCTCTCATGTCATAGGTTTCGCTGTATAATCCAATTTCGTGTTTTGAAGACATGAGTTGCCACATTGAAAGACAATGAATGCCCTGGAAAGGAAGCCTGAGTCATCGAGTGAAAGGGCCTGGAAATGCTGCCGCGCCTCTCGGAGCACGGGCCACCAACGATTTTTGTCTTGCGCTCATCATGGCCTCCAAATCGTCTGGAAAGGACAAGCTGCTCGACGAGCAAGACGAAATCTTGCAGGCTGTCGTGCTTGCAGACAGCTGGAACAGGCGCTTCCGTCCTCTGACAACGAACAAACCACGAGTACGAGGCCCAACGATCCCGGCGACTTGATATATCTTATCTCTTCTTTATGTGACAGTGTCTCCTCCCCATCTGCAATGCCCCTCTACTCGACTGGACCTTCGAAAGTCTGTCTCTGGCAGGCGTACAAGAAGTTTTTGTTCTCTGCCGCTCCCACTCTGGGCAAGTAAAAAAAGCAATCAGGTGCGTCCCGACTTCTACCCAATAGATCTTCGCTGACGACTAAAAAAATCAGGGAATCCAAATGGTCAAAACCGGGCTCAGGAATGAAGATCGTGCCCGTTATGACGGCGAAGGAGACCTTCTCTGCTGGCGACGCGATGCGCGATATCTATACCCGCGGATTGGTGACCAGCGATTTCGTCCTCGTCTCTGGGGATTTGGTGAGCAATATCCGGATCGACGAAGTCGTCAAGGCGCATAAGGAGCGGAGAAGGACGAATAAAGACGCGATCATGACCATGGTGGTTAAAGAGGCGTCTGTTGAACATCGAACCAGGTGAGGGTGGTGATTCTCTTCGGTCAAGTAGACTCCAGACTTATGGATTATCCTCTGTAGGTCGCAAGGAGAATCTGCGGTCTTTGTCGTTGATCCTTCCAACTATGAGTGTCTGCACTATGAATCCGTCCTTGGGCATCCGCGCAAAACGGTTGTCGACGTTCCGAGGGAAGTCCTTGCTTCGCGTAAGGAGGTGGAGATCCGCTACGACTTGATTGATTGCTGTATCGATGTTTGCTCGGTCGAGGTAAGGGTTTCAGTTTCGTGCTGAGTTTTGGCGAAACTAGAAGCTGATTTCGACCCCCAGGTTCCCTCGCTGTTCCAAGACAACTTTGATTATCTTGATATTCGAAGGGACTTTGTTCATGGGGTGTTGACGTCTGATTTATTGATGAAGAGCATACACTTGTACGTTGCGCAGGACGGATATGCCGCGCGTGTACGGGATACCAAGAGTTACGAGTCCATTAGGTTTGTTGTTTCGTACTAGTCGATGTTTTTTGGAAGCTAACCAGTTCATTCAGCAAGGATATCCTTTCGCGATGGACATTCCCTCTAGTCCCCGATGATAACTACCCAGGTTCGACACGATACGAGCACACTCGCGGAAACCGCTATCTGGCCAAAGACAAATCACCCATTCTCGCTCGGTATGTTTTTCTCTCTAATAGTTCTCCTTGTCACATACCTATACTCTGTTCCCAGCACATGTAAAATCGGTATCAACACCCTCATTGGCGCTTCAACAGAAATCAGTGATAATGTCGAAATCAAGTCTTCCGTCATCGGTCCCAACTGCGTCATCGGCCCCAACACCATTATCGAAAACTCTTACATCTTCCAAGGAACGACCATTGGCGCCGATTGTCGAATAACGAAGAGCATTGTTGGCGTCAATGCAGATATCAAGGATGGGAGTGTGATTGAGAAAGGAGGGGTGGTTGGGGATCAGGTTGTGCTGGGACCGAATGCAAAGCTAAGTCCGTTTGAAAGGGTGTCAATTCCTTGGAAGAAGTTGAAGGAAGAGGCCAAGGCCGACGGGGTTAAGAGTGATAGGAGCGAGGGTGACAGTGAGGATGAGGAGGACAGTTTGTCAGACGAAGAGGACGAAGATTCCGATATCGAAGAGGTCGAAGCTGGTAAGTGGCAAATTCGCATCTCGTGAATTTAGACTTATTCCTTTTAGCCCAAGATTCTTTGGACAAGTCAAAACTGGGTCCGGCATCCAACGCGATCCTGTGGCCTGATACACCACCCGAGGACGAAGATAGCGATGATGAGGATAATGTTGAAAACTACACCAACCAGCGGTTCATGCGCATGGGTAAGGTGGTTTCCCTCGTCGTTAGAAAAATGTATGCTGATGACCTGAATAGCCGATGATATCCGGTTCTCAGACGACTTTGACGACACTGGAGATGCAGCAAAGGCCCTTCGATCACCCTCAACCACATCTCTTACCAGTGGAGTCCGCGATGCTGAGAAGGAATTCCGTTCGGAAGTCGTGCAGTCTTTGGAAAGAGCTTTCGTCGAAAACCATTCGTTGGACAATGCTGCTGTCGAGTTGAAGACCCTGCGTATGGCATCCAACGTCCCGCTTTCTCGGGTCAAGGAAGTTGTTATTGCGACCCTGGTGGAAAGGATTCCTCTGGTCGAAGAGGGTGGCATTGCCCAGCGCAAAGAGATTCATACCGTCCTCGGACGATGGGGCCAACTTATTAATAGAATTGGGGGTGTCGATCCTGTTGAGACCCTCGTTATGCTTCAGGTATGTCACTTTCTGTGGGCGTAGGCAATGGCTGACATTGGCGTTTCAACAGCGACATTGCATTGGTTCTCCTCGACTGTCGCTATTCGGTCAGATCTTGGCAGCCCTGTATCAACACGATGTCGTGGAAGAAGAGGACCTCATCGCATGGCATCGCACGCCCGGTGCCAAGGGCGAGGATGCAAACCCCGGTCCCGAGCAAGACAATCTAAAGAAGACCTGGCTTGTGGGCGGCCAGTTGATTGTTCAGCTGGCTGAACAAGACAGCGAGGACGACAGCGACGAGGATGACGACGACGAAGAGTCTGACGACTAACCCACTCAAAAGGTGGCCCTCTGGACTGAGTGAATGGTCGAAGGTTTACACGAGGATGAAAGCGAATGAAAAGCTAAATTATAAAAGTCCAAGTACTACAGATACAGGTACAATAGAAATGGCGTGAGATTTATCATAGGAATCGTCCTGGCCTGGATGCAGAATCAGAGACAAGTCGTGCATTATCGTCATGGGGTATGGCGTGCAATCGTCTTTGGCTAATATTTCAAGATGATGTACAATGCTGGAAACGAGACAAGGGTGAGCCAATGTGTCATGCTCGTGTTTGTTTCGGGGCAAAAACGCACCATGGATGATTCCGGGGCTGGTCGGGAACTGGTCAGTGAGGGTTGGATAAAGATAGGATATTCAGAGCTCACATATAACCCAAGCAGGTTAGGATGATGTTAATAATCTGATAGTCGTCGACGTCAGTGAACCCGGTGCGTTGGTGGCTTGAAAAAGGAAAGGGCTCACGAGATCAGCACCGCAACCTCTTTCTAGGAATACACCCAAAGGAGGAAGGAGGATTGCGAAAAGGATCTGTTGGGTGACCTGGTGAGGAAAATATTGTAAAATTGCAGGGAGAAAAGAGCTACCTTGCAGATGTCTGAAGCGGTGAAAGCCATTGTTGTAGGGGAATGAGGTTAAACCCCTGAAAGCTCCTTGGACGACCTTATAAAGGGGCTTGAAAAGGTGACGTCATCGCTTGGCCTCAGACGATTTTGGCGTCTGAATTTCGGCTTGGACTCCAACCAGCGGCCATGGCGATGATCACAGTCCTCGGCGTACCGTATACCGCAGCGCACTCTGATCGCTTTCTCCAATTCGACGGGTATGCTGTACAAGGCAGTGTTCAAAGGCCCGTGCTCGTCTTTGTCCACGGTGGTGCTTGGCGTTCGTAAGTCGTCTTGCCGCTTTCTTGTCCCTGTGAAATTCTGTGAAATTAAAAACGTGCTCAAGGGAAGACAAGGCAGACCATGCAGCTCTAGCCCAATCTCTCGCTCTAGCCACGAATTGCCCAGTCCTGGTCCCAAACTACAGGCTCACATCGAAGACGATCAGCGACTTGCGCCATCCTGCTCATGCCCAGGATATCCTTCATTTCCTAGAGTTTCTTCTAGACTGGAGGCCCCTTGAATTCCCTGAACTTGCCGCTGCAATGGATCCGAAAAATCTATACCTTATCGGACACAGCTGTAGTGCGCATATGCTTGCTTCCATCATCCTCGACTCCGATTTCGTTACGCCAACGCTTGCCCCGTCCGCCAAGCTACTAAAGGCAGTGAAGGCGGTCATCTTCTCCGAGGGTATCTACGATCTCGACTCCCTGGTGGAACGCTTCCCAAATTATCGCGCTTGGTTTATCGACGAAGCATTTGGAGCCCAGTCTTCCTACTCCCAATTCAACGTCAACCAATATCAACTACGCAAAGGGTTGGGTGATGATGGTCGCCCTGCGTCATGGCTAATTATACATTCCAAAGGGGACGACCTGATTGACGTTGGCCAGAGCAAAGCCATGCTAGCTCACCTTCGTCAACTCTACGCCGAGCAAGCTGATACCTTCGTCCATCACGATTTGGACAGGCTCACTGCCGGACACGACGATATCCTGCGCGGCGACCAGGGATATGTAGACATCGTAAAGTTGTTTTTACAGCGGGTGGATACCATGCTCCGAGAGCCTCAATCAGTTGTCTAATTTAATACTAGTGTTCCAATCCAAACTATTCCCAACTATATCATTTATTTACTGAGAGTGTCTAAGGCCTCGTTCAAGTAGCGAACTGCTGCGTCGCAGTCCGCAATGGTGTTGTAAAGAGGTGCAGGTGCAAGGCGGATAACGTCCGGTTCTCGTTCATCTCCAACCACACCATGCTTGATCAAATAGTCAAAGACTTTGACCATGATCCCCCCACCAACAGGTAGGAAAAGAAGCGATAATTGTGCCCCTCGTGCTTCGGGATCGCTTGGGGTGATGATCGTGAAGCCAGGGCTCGATCGCTTCGAAGCGGTAATGGCTTCACCTGGAGGTACAAAGTATTTCGACGCACGAAGCAATTGGTCGAGGTGCCCGGTGAGAAGGAGAGACCGTTCCCGCAGAACAGAGGTCCCGCCTACTTCTTTGAAGATTTGAAGGGACCCGTAGAGCGAGGCAACGGCGAGCACACAGGGGTTGGATTGTTGGAATCCCTGCGCACCAGGTGTAGGTGAGAATTTGGGAGGCATCTTGAACCGCGTGGCCAGTTCGTGGCCCCACCAACCAGCATACCTATACAGTTATTCCCTTTAATGTCCACTCAGATCTAATGTGTGAAGTCGATGCTTACTTAGGTTTCTCAACTTTATGCCACCTCTCGTGGATGAACAGACCCGCGATACCCCCGGGCCCCGAATTCCCGTATTTATAAGTGCACCAGACGGCAAAGTCCACATCCCAGTCGTGAAGTGATAAGGGGACGTTACCAAAGGCGTGGGCAAGGTCCCAGCCACAAATGCAACCCTGCGCACCCAAACGAAGCAAGACGAATCAGCGCAAACTGAAGGGTGATAACTGTGTGAGGGACGTACCAAATCTTTGGCCTTCTTCGTGATGGATTTCATGGGGAAATACTGGCCCGTATAATATTGGATACCACTGAAAAGGACAAGGGCGATGGACGAGGCGTTTGCCTCAAGGACGCCGAGTATATCTTCTTCCCTGAGGGTGTATTCACCATCCCTCGGTGATACTTCAATAATAGCTTCTTCAGGGTCGAACCCATGGGCCTTTACTTGTGATGCAAATGCATACTATGCGAAAGAAATGGAAATGCGTCAGTAAACGTCCCTTCTTGAAGTCAATACAAACGCAAAAAGCATACTTGATCCGAGGGAAAGGCTTTCGCTTCGCAGACAATTTTATATCGTTCAGCAGTTGGTTTATAGAACGAATCCATCATGAGATGAAGATTATTGGTCAACGTGCCCATACACGCGACTTCTTTCTCATTCGCCCCTATGTGTGGAAAAGAAAGAAATGGGTGCCACCGTCGAAGATTGAATAAGAACCATGAGGCGTGTCAGAGTAGTTTTCCACTTACCAACTAGTTCAGCCATCAAAGGGTTCACCTTATCGGTACAGGTGACCCATGGACGATCCTGAGGATGCGAGAAATGCCCAACGACGGCGCTGGATAAGGACGAATGGCACCCAGCATGTTGTGATTAGTGTGAAGATGGGAGAATCTATGGGCGGGAAACTGGGCTTACCGCGTCCCCCATGCTTTAAGCTCTTCTTGGACCATCTGATTGGAGCGGTTCGACAACAGTCCCAAGGAATTGCCACAAAGATAAACAGCCCCGTTCCCTTATAATAGTGCAAAGCGGTAATTAAAAGGTGAAGAACGCGGGTAGAGATGCTCTCACCTGGTTCTGGGCTGTCCACAGCGCCAATCTCTCGATTTATCGGGCGCAAAAACTCATTGCTGAGGGGGACGTTCAGGTCTGTTGTAGCTGACATTGGTAGTGGATGGTAGAGGTCGAGGAACAAGCAGTAGATCCGGGTAGACGACGGCTAATGGAGCGTCGAGTGGTTTTGTGCACGGTTAACGAATTTAGATCCGCGAAGGTTGGTTTGATCTTATCTTATCTCATCCCCGTTTGGTGGGTAATGGAGCCGATGGCGAAATCATGAGTTGCCTCCCGCATGGTTTATTTTTCTCGAGTCTCGAGTCATGTCACTTGAGTTGCTTGACATCACATTATCCGGAAGATAATAGTTATGGATTCAACACACTCATCGACGTCGACGCTGGCTTCGTTAAGCCACGGTCCTCGCAGAGCAGTGGTCGTTGGGGCAGGCCCTGTGGGCTGCTTGACGGCGTTGGCCCTGGCGAAGCGCGGATGGCACGTCGATCTCTTGGAAGGCCGTCCTGGTGAGTATTACGTCCATCCTCTTCACACATAAATTTAGCCTACTCACCCTGTTACCAGATCTAAGGCTGCCATCGTCCAAAGCTGCTTCGCAGCAACGGTCTATTAATCTGGCAATATCGCATCGGGGTCTCGCAGCGCTAGAAGCGATAGATCCAACTGCAGCAGACAAATTCCTACATACAGCTATTCCCATGCGTGGCCGAATGATCCACACTCGAACCGGCGAACTCGATAGCCAATCATACGACAGGGACGGACAGGTGAGTACCACCCACGCGTCGACTCCACTCTTGTTTCGTTTCTATCGGTTCAGGGGTTCCTGACTTGCCAAATTGTTCACAGTGTATTCATTCCATTGACCGTGCCCTTCTCAATGAAGGCTTGTTAGAGCGAGCAGCTGCTTCGGAGAATATTCGCCTGTTTTTCAACCACAAGGCTGTCTCCGCAGACTTCGATGACAGAATATTGACCGCCAGGGATATTCTTTCAAATAAAGAAGTCCAATTCCACTTCGACTTTTGTGTCGGTACGGACGGGAGCTATTCTGTTATTCGAAGACAGATGATGAGAGTGGTTAGGTCAGTCTGTTGATTTTTCTGACGGCTGGTTTCTGACAGACGAGGTCTAGAATGAATTACCAACAAGAATATATCACCTCTGAATATGTCGAACTCAAAATGCCGGCAGGACGGGACGACCATGGGGAACCTACGTTCCTTTTGGACCCCAATCATCTACACATATGGCCCCGTCACTCATTTATGCTCATTGCACTTCCCAACAAGGTTCGTGCTTTCATTTACTCCTCCAAAAACCCTTCTATTTATTCTTCGTCAGGATAAAACATTTACATGCACCCTATTTGCACCAACGGCGGACCTTGATCGCCTCAATAGCCCCGATTCTATCCTAGCCTGGTTCAAATTCTATTTCCCAGACGCTGTCCAAGCGATTGGGGAGGACATACTTATTGCGGATTTTCTGAAAAATCCGAGAAGCCCTCTCATTTGTACGAAGGTAAATGAATGTGGAAACCCGCGCTACTACCCGCACTGAGCCCTTTTTTTCTCGTGTAACAGGCGAACCCGTATCACTATTTGGATCGGGCGATTATTCTGGGAGACGCAGCCCACTCCATGGTGCCCTTTTACGGACAAGGGTTAAACTGTGGCCTCGAAGATGTGAGAATCCTGACAACGTTAATGGACCAAGAGGGCATCACCGCATGTGCGCCAGAATCCTTCGATCCCTCAAAGGACGCAGTGGATCGGCAGCTGGCCCGTGTCCTCGAGAAGTATACTCTCGGAAGACACCAGGATTGTCTCGCAATCATTGACCTTGCCATGGATAATTAGTGCGTTCGGTGTCTATGCTTTTTATCGCTTAACACTGGTTTCTGAGGCTCCATTTCATTTGACAGCATCGAAATGAGACATTCGGTTACCACATGGTCCTACCTGGTGAAGAAGGCGGTGGATAACATTCTCTATACGCTTACCTCGAGGAAGATGGTTTCACTACCTTCGCTCGTCCCGACCTTGTCCCGGATGGCCTACCCTCCTGAGGCTCCGAGGGGCTGGCTCCCGCTCTATACGATGGTGACCTTTAGACCTGACATCAGTTATGCAACGGCAAAGGCCAAGGCAGAACGGCAGGCTCGAATTCTAGATGGATTAATCTGGACCGGCACCGCTCTGGTTGGCGCAGGTGGTGTTTGGGCAGCTTGGATGTTGCAACGGACACTGGCACGCCGGTGACGTTTGCAGTAGTCATAACCAACACTCGGAGCTTTACTAGCGGAACACGCCTTCGTCGGTCGTAGAAATGGGATCTACATCGCGTTCCAAGAATGCAAGCAACTGATTCACTGTATACTGAAAAGTGTGCCAAGACAGGTATGGTGTTCCTTCTATCGATTGGCTTCGGACTTCTTTAGGTTGCGCGATTCGTTGTTCAGATATCCATCTGTCCATCGGTGCCCCATTTAAAAGACGGTTGACATACTACACTAGACATGCTGTTGTACAAGGAAGCCAGCTCTATGTTCATAATAGTACAGCAGCGATAAATAATGAAAGCGAAAGAGCAGGAGAAAGGAGCAGAGAGAGAAGATAACCAAGGGTTGAAGAGTCCAGAAAACCAAGCGAAAGCAGACAAGTTCGACTGCATAAACGCAGAAAAGAAAGCAACACAGGTCATGCCGGGGTTCATAGAGGAGTACTAAGCAAGGGTTTGGTTGGTGGACGGGACAAGTCAGTGGGATAGCACACAAGCAAGCGCCGCATACACGAATCAGGTTGTCGAAGCAGGCGGGTTCTTGGGAGGACGACCTCGCTTTCGTTTCACTGGAGCGCCATCTCCAGAAGCAGAAGCAGCTGGGGCTGCGGTGGAACCCTCTGGTTTGGGGTTCTTTGGAGGCCTGCCCCTAGGGCGTTTGGGACGAGGTTCCTCGTCGTCTTTCTTCTCCTAGAAGGAAAAAAAAGTAAACAGAGAGTTAGGATCATGATCGAGGTTACATGCCACGGGCTTGACGCGGATGGATGGTAGCGTACCTTGGGAGGACGTCCCCGTTTCCGAGGGACGGTCGGGGTTGTGGGAGTCGCTGGGCTACCCAAGGTCTTCTTGTTCTTGCTGCCCTTGGGCCGACCTCTCCCGCGTTTGACAGGAACGGCTGAAGTGCCTGCAGCAAAACATCGAGAGAATGATCAGCGCCGACGAATTGAGGACGCGGAATTGATGTGGACAGGATTGGGAAAGCGTGTAAAAATGGTCGATGGTTGCTGTGGTTGACGGTGGGACGAGGAGGAGGAGGACGATGCTCACCTGCCTCTGGCTCTGTACTATTCCTAGGAGGAGAAGCTGCGAGCTCATCCTCGAGAGGAGATCTCTCAGCGTCGTCCAGGACGTCTCGCGGTGGCGGCGACGAGGACATTTGGCGGGATACGCGCGATGAGGAGGAAGGGCGCGTTGAACAGAGAAGAGATAGGAAAAGGAAGGGCAAGTTGAATTGGGGGTTTTAATCTATGCCGTATGTAGCTTAAAAAATACATTTTGTATTCAATTTTGTATTGTTCAATAGCTTTATTACTTGCTACATTTCCTCCCCTGATTTAGCCCGATATTATTTGCAGGGTTATGGTCCCAGGTCACGTAAGGCAATTGTTTGATTTACACCCAGCACCGAATCTGACGGGCAACCTACTTGTGAGGCGCCCCTGAGCATTGGGTTTTGGTCTATCGCCGCCGATAAAAAAGAGGTTGTGGTCGCTGGCTGTGAGCAGCGGTGGTGGTCGGTGGTGGCAAGGGAGGGACAGAACTTGAAGACAAGGGCAACGGGCAAAGGCCGATTGTGGATCAGATTTGAACCCCGATTGGCCAAGTAGTAAGTAAGTAATTAGTTGCTTTCTAGGTAGTATTGCTTTCAACCGACTTACCCAACAAGCGGCGTCTACATGCGCTCTCTGTTATTCCTCTTCGCTTCCTTCGTCTCCTACAAATCCGCCCTCTCCAGGCTACATTCCCTTCCAGAAGATACCCATGCCTTCCCAAAGTTCTCCGTCACCTTCCTCAACGGTCTCCCCGTCCTCAACGAGACCGCAGAACACTGGCTGAAGCACGGCCTTCGTGGTGGTGAACAAGAGTTCCTCGACCAGCCTTGGAACCCAGCGCCTCACCAAACACCTGTCCATCCCAAGGAAATTGGTTCGGGTGACACGTCGTCTGACACGCCAGCACCAATCCATGATGTCGGTGTCTCTACCCATTGCTTTCTGGAATCCTGCTGAGCTAACTGTGGTCCAGCCAGCAGCCCAAGCATCGAATTTTACTCTAGAACACATGCGCATGGGTCCCAAGGACTCGTATCTATGCTTAATTCCCAAACCATCCGAACCTCCATCATCCCCCCAACAGGAGGAGCCCGAAACTGATTCAACTCCTGCCAGAAGTTGGTCACTCCTACAGCCGCTTTCCGGAACTTGCCTTTACGTATGTATTTTACCCTATATCCGGACCATTTTTCACCTGTCAAACGCCCTAGCACCGTCAAGGCTGGTTCACATACTCGTATTGTCACAATAGAGAGATACGACAGTTCAAAGAGCTAGCGCAACCTCAGTCCCGATTGCCAGGTTCGTGTCCATAACCTTGTCTTCCAATTCTTGGGCCGGTCCAAATGTGATACCGGCAGGCCGTACTTTCTTCAGCCCTTCTCCGTCGCAATCAGTCTTCTTTACCCAGATTCAGCCAGTAAAGTCTTACCTTCATCCCTGCCATTACCTTGGCGCCTCTGACGTTGCCGCCTTCCTTCCAAACCCTTTATTTCTGTTGTCGATGCCAGTCTTAATGAAATCACCCACTAACGTCACGGCCCTCCTTCAACAGGTACTTACAGACCTGAAGAAGATCCAGATGTAAGATCTCCCGTCATTTCCCTAGCTTCCCTGGAGATTGAGACACCCATGACTTTTGACAGTGGGAATCATATACCCTCGGCCGCGCCCCTAGGTCTTCTGAAGAACCAGGAGCCGATTTGACTGTCGCTGAGCGGAATGCCCAAGCTGCCAATCTTGAGCTCGCGCGAAACGCTGGCTCTCGCTACCTTGTGCAGCGTTGGGGCGACGGATCGATCTGTGACAAGACCGGGAAACCCCGCGAGGTCGAAGTGCAGGTGAGTTGTTGAACCCTCGCCGTTTTTGGCCTTCAAAAGTTGGTGCCTTGCTGATTGACACCTTTCCTCCGCTGCCTCTATTCACTCCCCCGAAACCATGCGACCAATTGCGCAAATGCCGTCTATCCTCGGAAAAATACCTCAAAAATCCTGATTTCCCCTGATTCTCTTTGTGCAACAGTTCCACTGTTCCATGGTCATGACCGATCACATTCTCTTCGTCAAGGAAACGAAGACATGCTCGTACGTGCTTGTAATCCACACCCCAAGGCTGTGTGGGGAGCCTGGCTTTAGGTCGCGTCGTGACACGGCGGAGGAGGGTATCATCCGCTGCCGGGAAGTCGTCTCTTCTGCGTCCCAAGCGCAGTCTGCTTGGCCTCGACTGCCCGCTGGCGACACTCCCATGAAATTCCCGAGACGGAAGGCCGTTCTTCCTTCTCCTGCATCTGGCATGGCCAGCGGGTCTTCCTCTGATTCTACTGGGCAGCAAGACAAACCCAAAGCTGGTCATGGGATGTCCGCTGACTCGGATGACGATTCTGAGACAGGAGAGAAAACCAAGGAACAGCTCTACAGCGAACTTGTTGAGAAAACACTGGAACTGCTCATGGGCGAGGAGGGTGTGGACGCGATCACCGGTTCGAAACGGCAGGGCGTGAACGCTCGCGTGGAGGATGGCGAGGTTATTGTCGAATATATCGAGGAAGGAGACGACGACGGATCCGATGTCTCCAATTGGGTCGTCGAGGCGCTCAAGGCCGCTGGTTATGAAACTACAGGCGAAGTCCTCAACAAGAAGAAAAAGGGGGACAACGACAATGACAAAGAATCTTCCTCATCCTCGAAGAAGGGCAAGAATTCGAAAGACTCCAAATCTAGAAAAGGTGGCCCAAGGTGGTTTGGCGGTCGCTTCGAATTGTGACCACTGATCATGTGTGTACTTACGGCGCTTCCTTCGTGTACGAAATATAATATGGGGGTGCTTGTTATACTTTAGGGATTCGTTTCTATTCAGAATTCTAACCCTGTTCCACTTCGGTGTAACAGACCGAGTACACGGGTTCTCACATTGTTCAATCAGATCTGCCTTACCGCGAACGGGTATGTATGTCGCTGTCAGTCCATTTCGCTTGGGTCCATTGAACCCCCGTTAGACTTTACGTCACATCGAATACACAACGATTTAGTGTGCTCAGAACGAATAGGAATTTACGGATTGTCAAAAGAGATCTAACGTTCCATTGGCAGTGGCGAAAGCATACAGAAACAACTGACGGAACGTCGTCGACGACGACAGGTGACAGTCTAGTAGTTCTTACGACCCTCCGACACACGAAAAAGCACATAATCGTCATACAGGGACAGGGATCTGGAGGAAAAGATAAGCAAGTACTAGTAGATGATAACGATATAATAGGTGCTATGGCTTCAAAGGGTACGTATGTCGCAGGAAAGCAGGGAAGCGATGGTGTACGCAGGGATTGCTACATGGCGAAAGATGGCGGGGAATAAATCGATAAATATACAACAGACCGCAGAAGTGCCTGTGCTTAATCTTAAATTTCGACAGTAGGACAAGGGGGAGAAAAATCCGGTTTTAAAAGCAATCAACGTGTCCGCATGAAGGAAACGAGAGTGAAAGGGAAGGATTTAAATGGCGCGGGTTGGTGTGAAGGGTGCCATTGCGAGCAGGTTGGCGCATGCTGTTGAGAGTGGCCTCGAGGTGTTAAATCCACAGTCGGATTACATCGCGGAGGACGCCATGGCGAGGTGTTGGGGGATGTAGAATGTAGAAATGGAAAGCACGCTTCACAATGAAAGGTGTGAAAGCAAAGAATCCGTCGACTAAAACCTTCTAAGATGTATAAAAATAAAAGGGAGCGTGTAAGATAGAAGTATGCGATGAATTCCCGTGATAATGGGGTGGAGGCGCAGATGAAAAAGGAATGATAAGCAAAACTTAAAGATATGGCGCAAGGCTAGCATGAAACGTACAAGCGAAATGGAGACCGCACGAATGCCTTCCAAGCTAGGAGAAGTCCCCAAGGACCACCTAGAAGAATCGTCTCTTGCCGGCCTTTTCGTCCACCTGAACCTTGATGTGTACGTGCTGGGGTTGGACTCCAGGTCTGGAACATGGAACGATGCTCGTTAACCACTCGTCACCGTCGTCGTCGTCCTCTGAATCACATTCATCGTGGTCCACGCAAGACACTTGAGTTGGGGAATCTGTGCCATGGCGATGCCTGTAAGATTCCATCTCCGCTAACCGCTCTTCCTTTGACTTGGCCAAGTCGCATCCGCACAGGAGGTCGCTGGTCTTTCCCCTTCCCTTGAGCAGGTCGGTGAGGGTGCAACGAGAGGCAGGTTCCACATACAACATCCGCCGGAGCGCGGGCCGAGTTTCGCGGGGGAGTAACCGAAAGATGGTCTCTGCTCCTCCACCGTGGAACGTCGTAACACTCTCTGCTCGTTGGCGTCGACGAGGTTTGGGTACTGTTGAGTCAGGAGGCGGTGGTGGTCCAGCAACAACCGGCGTAGACTCCTCTTTGATAGCAGCGGGCGCTGCCGCCGATGGTGTTGGTGTCTCTTCTTCAGGCTCTTGGACAATAATAGGAGGTGCCTCGGACGACAAGGGCTCCCCTGGGGCGATGCCACCAGCTGGTAGGACCGTATCCGAGCCTGCTCGGGCAGGAAGGATAGCCCGAGGCAGACTGTTGCCCTTCGGCGTTGGAACATCTTGGAGGAGATAAGGGCTTAAAGGTAGCGACTCTGTTGAATTCCCGGGCCGGGCAAAAGTCAAGACGGAGGGATCCATCTCTTGTGACGAATCCGAATCTCGCCGAACCGCTGGTGAGCCAGTGAAGGTCAGCGGGAGAGTCATCGCACTCCGGGATGTAGGTGGATGCGGGTATCCTCTCGACTGGAGGAAACTCTTCCTTCGAGCGTCTGCTGGTGACAAATCCTTGGCGGCCTTCGCGTCATCGGTGATTGTGTTCAAGCTGTGCCCGGCGGACCCACTGGCGAAACGTGAAGGTGGGTCAGTCACTTCTGTGCTTTCGGTGCCGGCCGAGGTATGCGTCCGAATTGAGGTCGTCTCTGAGGAGTTGCTGGTGCTGGAGGACTCGGGGCCAATCGAAATGTCGGTGCTGGATGCGCGCTCCCGTGGGGGCATCCTATCCATGGGTCCGCTCGAATGGGCAGAAGGAGGAACCGTCATTTGCCGGCCAGGAGTAGAAATGGCCAAGTTTCTCGATGCGCCCTCCTGGTCAGTTACATTCTTCTCGGCGGTAAGCTTCTTAGGCTTTGGCACAGGCTTTGCGGACAAGTCGGGGTGCGCGTTGACGAAAGCCTTGAAGCTTGGGTCCGTCTTCGGATCGGGGATTTTCCAAGGGAACCGACGCAGGACCATGCAGAGAAAGATGATTGCTACACTCCACACATCCGTCTTCCTCGGGTCATAGGAGTCCTGTTGGAGTACCTCTGGAGCAAGATAGGGATCACTGCCGACAATCCCAGTGGCTGGTGTATGGGCCTTTCCAGGATAATGAAAGACAGTCGCTGTCCCAAAGTCGATGAGCTTCACGACATTGTCGGCCGTCATGACGCAATTATCGAGTTTGAGGTCCCGGTGCGCCAAGCCCATCTCGTGAAGGTATTCAACGCCATCGCAGATTTGTCGGAAGACGCAGTAGATCTCGGGGCGACACATCTTGCCCGACATGACCACCGAAAAGAGGTCGTACGGAGCGTACTCCATGACCTGGAGAAAGAAAACAAAAGAGAGTTTGGGAAAACAGAAGTTGAGGGGCTTGGAATTATGTGATAGAATGTACCGATAGGCATACCTCATAGTAGTGACCACGGTCTTGGACGATGTCGATGGTCTCGATGATGTTGGGGTGTTTCAACGTGGAGCCCACGCAAAACTCGGCTGTGACCTTCTTCTGGTACTCCTTCTCCGTCTCTCCCGAGCGCTTTGGACGAAACTCCTTCACAGCATATATCGCTCCTCCAGTCTTTGCATTCCCCTTGATAAGTCGTACGGTGCCACCGGCGCCGCTGCCAAGTACCCGCCCCCACTTGCCGTACTTTTTCGAAAGGTGCGCCTGGGTCGCGTCATGCAGCGATGTTATGGGATGATGCGAGCGCGAGGTTGCACGACGATTGGGCGACTGGTGGCGATGGTGGTGATGATGATGATGGTGCTTGCTCTTTGACCCTTCGGTCTTGTGTTGCGGGGAAGTTGGAGACGGAGGCTGCGATGAGCGAGAGCTGCCCTTGAGCGACCTTAGCGACTTGAGCGATGGCGTCCTATCCTTGATCTGGCGGATGGGCGACGGACTCCGTGTCTTCTTCTTCGAGTTCCTGACGTCCGCTAGTATTTTTGGTTCTGGCCTGCCGTCGAGAGGGGTTGGAGACTCGCGGGCGCCGGCTGGAGACAAGGGGCCGCTGCTGGAGCCCACGGAGGACCTGCGGGGGGTAGAGGCAGCCTGTGTCGAAGACCGAGACTGGTTGTGGTGGTGATGAGAATGGGGTATGTGGTTGTTTAGGAAGCGCTTGAGGTCATGGAGAGGGCCATGTTTTGGCGTCGAGGGAGTGCTCGGTTCAGGCATCAGTAGCGAAAAGCTCTGTTTGCGAATAAAGCTGAATCTTGAGGATCTCTCTGGCTTTTCAGGCTTTTCCAATGTCGACTTGTGTTGTTGTGATGACTGTTCAATAGCTGCCTGAGATGGAGACTTGCTGCGACGAAATACTGGTCCGGGCTGTTTGAGATATAATTAGATAAAGGTGGCAGTGTAATCATGACCTGGGGTAACCCACCTGCTCATCGTCCGGGACAGCGAGCGTCAACGGAAAACTGGCCTTGGCGCCGTCGGAAACGGTGGTGGGCTGCACAACATCGCTGGACATGGTGGGCGATGGTGGTGGAAAGCGAGAAAGAAGGAATCGCGGGCCAACTATTCCCTGAGAAGCATGTGGCCCAGTTTTCTTGGCACTTAGCATCATCGAACCCTCGTCAGCCCGATCCTGGCTGTGATGTCGGCTCGGAAGGGCTTTCCTTACGCCACAAGGGAGATTCAAGAAAGATAACAGATAGCATTCTTGCCCATGCGTGGTATTAGCTATATACACCATTCTCCAATGTTTCGCCATCCGGTAAGCACCCATTCCCGTCATCCTCCACACCATTTCAACCCACATCCTCAACCTCTCGCTTCCGCTTCATCTCCCGCGAAACCTTGTGTTGCGCCGCTTCGTGCTTGGCCAACTCAGGTGGCACTTTGCTGACTGGGCTCTTGGAGATTTCTGACGGAAAACATATCATCAAATCATACGCACCCCATTTCCAGGAACGTGTGGTGCTTACCTTGCTTAAGGTCGTACCTGATCGAACCACGTAGAAACAAGTAAGAAGGATCCAATCGTGAGTATATACCTTTCAGAATAGCCAAACCCCACACAGGGAAGCAATATACGCACATGACTTCGTCGTCATCATTCGTCAAGAAGGTGATGGCTGTTCCCAGTTTCCCAGCTCGTCCAGTACGACCTAACACCACTTAATACGCCGCGTTCCGAACAATTAAGGCAAGTGTGACTCACCGATACGATGGACATAGGCTTCAATAGTATTGGCCATCTGGTAGTTGATAACCAGAGTAACGTCTTGCACGTCTATTCCACGGCCTGCAAGGTCAGTAGCTACCAGGATGTCGGCATCGCCTGTTCGTAATGCTTGCAACGCCGCCTCTCGTTGTTCTTGGTTCTTGCCCGAGTGCAATGTCGAAGTGCTCCACTAGTGTAACCTCGGTTAGCTTATTTTCGCCTAACCTAACCGACGGGATCCGACGTACCCCAGCCCGAGACAAATCCTTGGCCACCATGTCTGCTGTCTTCTTTTGATTGACAAAAACGATGATGGGAGGCGCGTAGAGGCCACTGTTGAGTATGTCCAACATCCTTTGCCTAAACCGCGTTTGCAGTCAGTTAACCATCGCAGCTCAAAAACAAGAATAGCGACGTACTTCTTCTTTTCATCTCCATTGACAAACTCAACCTTCTGTTCAACTGTATCAACAGCGCGTCCAGCTTCACCGATAGTGATCGTCGCCGGCTTCTTGAGATATTTACGTGCAAGGCGTTCGACGGCGGGTGGCATAGTCGCTGAGAATAGAGTGGTTACTCTGGTTCGGCCTTTCTTCACCATGGTTTCCCCATCGACATCCATCTTCTCTCCTTGTTCTTCACCCTCCATAGTATCAGTTGGGAGTTGATCCAGGATGAAAGTCAGGTCGGCTTCGAAACCGAGATTAACCATTCGATCGGCTTCGTCCATGACAATGTAACGACATTGCGACAGCACCAGAACGTGTCGCTCCAAGACATCCTTCAGACGGCCTGGTGTGGCGATAATGATTTCTGCACCTTCTCGGAGATTAAACTGTTGCTCCTCAACGGCTCGCTGTCAACGAAACAACCATTTAAACCCTTGTCGCACTATAAGCCATGAGAGACACGTACACCACCGACGATAGAAACACACTTGTACCCCAGCGGGGTGGCGAACTTCTTGGTCTCAGACTCAATCTGCTGGGCCAATTCACGGGTCGGTGCCAGAATAAGTGCATAGGGCCCAAGGTGTCGGTTATCGTCCGTGAATATGGGTAAAGTCAAAATGAATGCGAGCATGGGGATGACGAAGGCGGCAGTTTTACCGGAACCTGGCCAAACGTCAGAACTTCAGCGACATTTTAAATGAAGCAACGTTCGTTGGAGAACGTACCGGTTTCTGCAATACCGATAACATCACGGTTCTGAAGACCAATAGGGATGGCTTGTCGTTGAATGGGTGATGGTTCTTTGTAACCAATGCGCTCAATACAGTCGAGGATGACCTGGGGAATATCCGATTCTTCCCAAGAACGCAGAGGATGAGGGATGTTGCCACCTTCGGAAGGGTTCTGTTAGCAACTGCGAGGCTATGCCAAGGAGGAGCCTACCTCTCGCTGATATACTGAAGTCTTCTCTGAAGATTCTCCAATCTCTCTCCTTCATTTCGTTTAATGGTTTCTCCGTCCAATGCCTATCGTCATACCCCTGCTTCAGCGCTCTTCTCCTTTCCATCGCATCCGCCAAGTGACCGGGTACAGAACCTGCACCAGATTTCCTAGGACCAGACCCTCCACCATCATCCATACCCGCCAAATGCCCTCTTCCAAACATGATTTGTGCTCCCTGCCTATTCTGTCCTACGGCACTCATCGAATCCTCCGCCAAAGTATCATCCTGGGCGTCCCAATCAAAGACGAATTTGCGATCATTCATTTTACGAATCTTGCGCTTCTTCTTGTCGACGCCGAGGTAGCGTGAGCGAATAGCAGTGAGGTCGTTTTCGGTGAGGGCGGGAACGAAACTTTCAGAGTCAATTGGGGCAGTTCCCCCGCTGCTGGAAGTGGCGTTGGAGGGAGGAGGAGGAGGAGGCATCGAAGGAGGCGGAGCAGAACCAGATGGCCCTGAAGGAGGAGGGGGAGGAGGTTGTGCTTTCATCCTGTCCGCTCGAGGTCCTGTAGGAATGTTTTGGTAACCCCCTCGGTTGGCGGGACCGGAGGGAGGAGGGCCCCGACGATCATAGTCTCGACGACCGTAGCGGTCTCTGTCCCTGTCACCATACCGGTTGGGTTCTCTGACGTCGTCTAAAGATATGTCAGTCTGAGCAACGGATTGGGATGGGAATTTTGGGGAGACACACATTTGGGATACTTGCTTGCATGTGCGCGTTCAAGTTCCTCAGCTTCCCTTTCGAGGGCTTCGCGGTCTCGACGAGCAGCTTCTTCCCGTTCCTTTTGCTCTTGAATTTCTCGTGCTCGACGCTCAATCGCAAGCTTGGCTCTTTCTTCTTTAGTTAGGAACTTGGGCTGTAAACTGGATGTGAGTAAAGCACGAGGCCAATAGAACGAGGCACGTACCTTTGAAGCAGCCTCTTTTTCTTGTCGCTGCTTCTGTAGCAACGCCTCGATTGAGAGAGGCTCAGACCTATTGCTCATCGTCGTTCAGAGTCAAGGAACGGACTCGGCGCGTCATGCAGCACCGAAGACTCTTACCAAAAGCGTGGACAAGTGACTCGCTAAATCAAAAGCCGCGATCAGTGGTGGGTTATTCTTCCGCCCATTTCTATAAACTTTTCTACCCTCGACTCGAACCCCTCGTCAACGGTTTTCGCACTATCCAGCGATCCCCGAGGACGTTTTTCTTACCGGAGTACGCTGTGTGGGATTCGTCTCGGTAGGCATGACTAGGTTTGCATCGCCGAGGCCAGAGACGCCCGAACCTTCGTCCCGGCAGGGAAGAAGGAATCATGATCCTGGGGTGCAGCTGCTGGATGAAGATGGGGGGATTTCAGACCAGGTATGCAACCTGATTTCTGGTGCATGGAGACCAGCGAGCGCTGATCGTTTGGGAGCAGCTGGAAGCCTGCTTGAAACACATTTTTGCTAAATACTGCACCCCATCTGTACAAAAGCCATCGGACGGTAGTCCAGCCAATGCTTTACTGACTCCACCCCCGAACGCGTATCTGTCGGCAGAAGGACTCGACGAATGGGCTCGGGATACCAATGGAACACCGTTTTCGCAGGAAACCAAAGACGAGCTGATAGAGTTTTTGGATGTCACAGATGATGGATGCCTCACGTATGTATTTGCATCTTCAGCTTGGAAGGAGTAATGGCTTGATATAGCGATTGTCCGCACAGATTTAAAGGCTTCCTACAAATTTATCAGCTGCAGACGGAGAACGACGAGGAAGAAACATGGAGAGATCTGGTGTGTATCCTATTGATTCGAGCTCCTCGTTGCTAGACACTCACTGGGATACTAGTCGAGTCATGGATTTGACAGATCTCTCAAACTTGTTTATACGCGGAGAGAAGACACTGAAGATTCGGAAATGTCGACGTCAATATAGCAAGCTCTGACGAATGACTACGATCTGTTATGATATTTATGAAAGCCTTAATTTCCAAATCTCAACCCCCGCCCAGTCCTCTTTATCCCATCCTAACCCTGCTTTCTCGATACATTTGGCCAACCTGGTGCGCGGTATGCGATCGACACCGAAATTCCACTCTTGCCGTGCCTCCTCGAACAAGGCTGCCAATAAGATCGGATCTCGATTCTCGACACAGAGCAAAATGGTTGGGTAGCGGCCTGAAAGGGATTGGGACAAGGTGCTTAGGCTGTGCAAAGTACGCAAGAGAGGTGACACGAGTTCTCGCGAATAGACGGTGTCCGCTGAGAATATCAGGTCGAATGGAGGTTGTAGCAGGCTTGATGGTGGATTCACAGTCGGCGCAGAGGACGTCACAGACACAGGATTCCGCCAGCTCCATTTGTCTGGTTCCACTGTCCAATCCAGCTCTCTTATCTGGATGGTCCCGGAAGCAGGCGGAAGCGCAGTGGCATTCAGATCGATGTTTTTAGAGAGAACGGCGTCCACGACATGGCGGATATCAGTTGCCAGAACGTCCCAGCCAAGAGAACTGAGAGCCAGCCTTGATTCCGAGTGAGAAGATGGTTAATAGAGAGTTGATTGACCTACGCAGTCAGGCCTATACCGCTCCCTAATTCGATTGCGCGAGGGGGGGCCTTGTTCGTGGTGAACCTTGCATGAAAATTGGCCAGAAAGAGGGCGAGAATTTGACCACCGAGCCAAAGGGCGGTGCCATTGTGTGAGCCGTCTGTCTGTTGGTTTAGAATAAAAGTAGAATGTTGAAAGGGATAGGAGAGCTGAGGAAGATGTTTTGTGGAATGAGCGGGCTGAGGAGAAGACATGATGTTGACTGTTATTTGTCCCAGACTGTAACCAAAGGGGGACGCAAACTCGTGTTCGCCTCCAGCCAAAGTGTTGAGTTGGGAGTCGACTAGCGCGTCCATCGCCAATGAAGGCCTTTTTTAACAGACTCGCAGGCAAGGACAAGGACAAGGACCAGTCAGCTATCGGCAAGGAAAAGTTTCCGCCCCTCAGGCAATGGCCGCCCCCAGAAGACCCGCCCCGGCCAGCTTCAACACCGGCAGTCGTATCCTCAAACTTCAAGCCCCTCCCTGAACTCGTTCCTTCCCAATTTCTCAACCAGCTCACACAACGACCTCTGCCGCCTATAGAACAGGGCGGCCAAACGACCCCAGCGCCAACTTTCAAATCACCCCAATCAGTCAAGCATTCAAGTTCAGAGGAATCAGCGCGTCAGGACCAGGAAGTCAGTCCAAAGGTCTCCAGAAGGAATACCAAGGATAGTGCACGCGATGGCTCGGGCACCTCGAACGATGTCCAGAAGAAAGTCGCCTTCATATCACCGCCGCCAACGCCTACGCCAAACTTTGAGCGTACTCTCCCAGAAACTACTCCCACATCTTCTCCAGTAGCGACTCAACCATCCAAGACTCCAGTCTCCCGGTTCCAGGCTGCCCATGGAAAGGAACCTCGTGCTTCACCTTCTTCTGGCACACCGGCTTCCTCGTCTAAAACGGACGTATCAACCACTGCTAACAAGAACTCGGCAAAGTCTACTTCTACTCGAACTGCGTCTCCTTACCTCCAGAAATCCTTCGAAGCAGCCTCTGCCCCTTCCCTGCGCTCAGGAACTCCTTATTCCTCGATGTCCAACACAACTAGCGGCAGTCGTATCCTAGCAGCCACCTCGTGGAGTGAACTGGCCGAGGGCGACCTTGTTTCCAATCTGGGATCTCGGGAGCGAACACGCCAGGAAGTCTTGTTTGAAATCATTCAGAGCGAAGACAGGCATGTCATTTACTGTCCATGTCCATTGCACCATGTTGACACCCATTCAGATACGTACAAGAACTAATCAAGTTCAAGGACACCTTCATCGACCCCCTCCTCCACCCATATGCAACCTCGGTCGCCGCTATTGCCTCCACTCCAAATCTCGAGTATGATTATTATCGTGCGGAATCACCCGCTGAATCCACTGAGGAGCTTCCTCCTATTGCGGCTAGGTTCATGTCGCCTACCCCGGGAATGAACGCATCGCACGGATATACGAACCGCAGCAAAGAAGTCACCGCCCAAGAACCCGAATCCATGGATTCCGACGAGGAAGACGAGGCCGCGGGAGGGACAGCCAGGAAGTACAGCTCCCGCAAATCCACGGCCTCGAAGCACGAGCATCCCCGATCGCCTTATCGACTAGGTGCCAGTCGGTCAACAGGCCGGGCCAGTGGTACCAATGTTCCTTTCCCTTCTCGATCCCACCACTCACTCCCTCCCCCTCCTCGCCACGGGCCAACAGCTTCCACGCATTCGCTGGGACGTCAATCCACGATCGCCGAGGAACAGCGGGATCGTAAGTACAGCCAAGGGCCCGCAGAACAGCCCCAGAAACCCGCCATGCTGCGCAAATTTAAGAAGAGCCAGACGGGGCCGGAGAGTGTCCTTGGTAACACTCTGGCCCCGCACCAGATACCCGAAGACCTACGAATATGCCTGGAGGTGATCGATGGGGGAGTATTCGACGGCCACAAGCGGCTGTGCGACGCTCTCAGGAAGCGATACGATGACCAATATCCTCTCGTCAGATCCCTGGCCGACGTCTTCGTTTCCAATGTGAGTAAAGGTGTCTTTGTCTCTATGGGTTGTCCCCGCTGACGAGTTTGGTAGTCGGATATCTTCCAAGGTTACGCCAAATATGTGCTTCATCTCGAGAGAGCGCTGGAGCAGGTTGATGCCGCGCTATCTAACGTAACCACGAAGAAGCCCAAGAAGCAAGATGCAGCAGAGTGGCTCAAGGTCTGCAAAGCATTGCAGAAACTCGAGGAAAATGCTGTCGACAAGGGCGAGACTGGTCTTGCGATCACCTTGTCAAAGCCCTTCCAACGCCTCCTCAAATACCCTCTTCTTTTCCAAAACCTCCTTTTCCATACTGATCCCAGCACGTTCGAGTACGAAAGTACGCTCCAAATGGTCGCCGAGGTGGAAAACATCGTCCGCAGCATAGAGGATGAGAAGATTCAGAAAGAAGAGCGTGACAAGACTCGGGACGTCTTTGCGCGGATAGAAGGCCTGGACAAAGTTCGCCAGCTCGCCCTTCCAAAACCTTCTCGCGTGTTGATCGAAGAACGAGCTTGTGCTCCTGGCGCAAGTCCTCTCAGTAGCTCCGTCAAAGCTAACTCCTCGCCACCTCCTGTAGCCAATGGGAAAGGAGTTCGCGGGAAATCTTCCTTCAAGCGCCTTAGTGATGTATTACAGAGCAACAGCGTGGGCGGGAAGAAGGATCTGTGGTTCGTGGTCTTTAATGATGTCGTGCTCCAGTGTCAACGGACTGGCACCACATCACTGCCCCTTGTCGCATCGGTAAATTCCCGAACCAATTCATTACCCGATTTCCAAGGCAAGGCAAAGTATGCCACCACAGGTCGACGGAACTCTTACACGAAACCCCGTAATCTATACAAGTTCATCAAAGTGAGTTTTGTGCCGCCTGATTCTTCTCCCGGTGGTTCGCTGACGTGGGTGTCCGCAGATTGAGACGTGGACTATCGGGGATGTCCCTAGAGAGGGTGTGATTTCAATGGACGAGTGAGTTTCACGCCGCTCCAAGGCAGATCAATTCAACTAATGGACCTCTTTATTCTAGTGTGGTTCGATCACGAGCCCAAGCAATGAGCCTGAGCAACCAGCCGCGGATGGTACCCATGCCCGACGACAAAGAGGATAGCGACGGTGATTCTTCCGATTCCGACAAGAAGAGCAAGATGAGCTTCTCCTACTGGGGCGCAGACAAAATAACAGTCCAAAAACCCGTTATACGAGGCAAGCCAGGGGCTGGTCCCAGAAGAGGGGCGATTACTGCATCCTACGGGAGAGAATCTTCTGCCAATGCAAAGTTTGGCACTCGTCTCGTTTCTGATGGGTCTAGCCATGGTCGTCCCGCAAGCCGCCGACCAGGAACGACAACACCCGTTTCTCGACGTCCTGGGACAAGCACCGCTGCACACTCGGCGGATGAAGGTCCGAACTATGCGAAGTCGACCGTTACTCGGCCTGCTTGGGACACGAGCACGAGGACGCTTCCTCCGAATGCTGTCGTGAGACGTGTTCGCAACGTGTCACAGGCTAGCAGGGCGACCACTGTGAACAATACGAACACCAGCACCCAGACGCCAGTACCTGTCAAGTCACCTGCGCCCTCGGAAGATTCTGGAGTAGGCCTCTATCGACAGATGCTTGCTCAAGACCCTTCCTTGAGCAACTAACGCCTGAAGCCATGCCATGGCCAACAGACGTATTCGCTCTCGCTTCTAAACATATCAGCTCTCTTTGCTCTCGTTATCATGTTACTTCTCCGCGTCGAATATCGAGTCTTTTCCCCCTCAAACTACGCTATACCTCAGATATCCACTGCCTCATCTCGTATCACCTAATACCCTTCCCTTCCTTTTTTTATGATTTTCCTTCACGTTTCTCGATTATGATACGCATACATTCTCTACGGCTCTCATGATTTCTGTCTCTTTTGCTCTTTTTGGGATACCAGAACCATAATTCTCGCTTTCGTTCTGGGCCTTATCAATCGCTCTTTAATCTTGCTGCTTTCTCTGTGTTCAAAATCCAGTAGCTGCGTCTGATTCCACATTAATACTCTTCCTCCCACTATTGTGAACCCACTCTCCCTAATCCCTTTCTCTTTTCCATGTTGACTTATTCCTTCAATTAGATAGGTATACAAATTGTAGCAGTATGAAATGTTATAGCGGATTTTAGTCATCGACAGAGTAGGCAGCGTTGTGAATGCTGACGCTGCGGCCACTGGGATCGGAGGAGCAGCCCCAATCTCCTCGAGGGATCCATCTAACAAAACGGTCAGATGGTGCAAAGGAAGCCAACAATAGAATTACTCACCTGACAGCTGTCTTGGCTGCAGCCGGGGAAGGGAACAAATCTACAGAAAACACGACATCGATGACTTTGTGAGGTGGATGGAAGAGATAAGCGCCACGCACCATCAAAGATTTGTCGGATGAGGTAGGCCTCTTTGGTGGCAGGGGTATCTTCTGGCCATCTCTCAGCGCCCTTGGCGAACTGTTCGTCTGTGATAGTGTCTTCCGCATGCTGCTTCATTCTAGAAAGGTGTGTTAAAATCTCAAGAAGACCATCGATCGTGCAACGACCGGGAAAAATAAAAATAAAAATAGTATAGAAAATGAAAAATACTCACCCGTCGATCCACGAGTATCCCACGCCATCAGAGAATTGTTCCTTTTGTCTCCAGAGAATCGACCGGGGGAGGTAAGGCTATAACGGAGATGAGATGAGTTTAAAATTCAGGCGTACACGGGAGGCTGAATACCTTGCCATCGGGGGAACAATCGAATGCCTTCCTCAAGATGTACTACAGATATGGTTTAGTTGGGGAAACTGGGGGCCTTTGGACGTTTCTCTTACCTTCTCCATTCGAGGGCAACCATCCTCATCGACTTCTTGTGTGCTACCCTTGGAGAACATCTTCTCCTTTGGATCAACGTTCATGGCAACGTCAAGGAAGGCCTTGTCCAGGAAGGGGACACGAGCCTCCAGGCCCCACGCCATCGTCGATCTGAACATCGCAATTGAATTAGTGTTTCTCATAGAAAGAATCCGATAAAAGCACTCGCTTGTTGGCCCGCAAGCAATCGGCGGTGTGAAGGTTTTTGACTCGTTTAACGGCCTCCTGGTGGAAAGACCGAGCATCTGGGGCGGCGTGGAAGTAAAGGTAACCTGAGTAAGGTATATTAGTACCAGGCTCGCTCATCCCTTGGAACTCTCTTACCGCCAAAGATCTCATCACTTCCTTCACCACTTAACACCATCTTGACGCCCATGGCCTTAATCTTACGGCTGAGGAGGTACATTGGCGTCGAGGCGCGGACGGTGGTGACATCATAGGTTTCGAGGTGGTAGATGACTTCAGGTAGTGCGTCTAATCCCTCCTGGACGGTGAAAACGTATTCATGGTGGACGGTACCCAGGAAGTGGGCAGCTTTTCGGGCAGCGAGAAGGTCGGGGGAGTTCTCCAAACCGATGGAGAACGAGTGAAGTTGTGGCCAAGCAGCCAAGGTCGCTGAACAACAATGAGCCACCAACGGCAACAGTGAAAGGGGGGCGGCATCTCACCTTCCTCGGTAACCAGGCCGCTGCCGGAGGGTGAAGGAGGACCGCTGCTTGCCTCCTGTAGTTTCCTCTGGCGGAGTTCATACTGAGCTTTGGCAACCTTCTCGGTCTCGCGAGCAGCAACAGCAGCAATCAAACTGCTGTCCAAACCACCGCTCAACAGCACGCCGTAAGGAACTTCTGACATCAGCCGCTTCCTCACAGCCGCTTCAAGAGTTTCCCGGATCAACGTGAGATCTGCTTTGGTGGTGGGAATGGTGGCCTCGGGACCATCAAGGTCTCCGTTCCACCAAGATGGTTTGTAGTAGCGAGTGGTGGTTTTATCTGCACTGTCGTAGACATGGCCAGGGGGGAAGGAGATGATCTCGTCGCAGTCGTCGACGAGAGCCTTGAGTTCGGATGCGAAGAAGACAGCTCCGGGCCTTTGCGAACTCCAGCCTTGGTACAACGTGGTTATGCCGATTGGGTCCCGGGCGGCAATAATTCGGGAGGGCGTGACGGATTCATCCAACAATACGAAGGAGAACATCCCATCGAGCATACCGCAGAGCTCGGTTCCATACTTCTTGTACTTTATGTAGGACCGTCAGTCATTGGGCTTGAGATGGTAGTGAGTTGTCCCATACCAGGGGCAAGACGACTTCGCAGTCAGAGTTGGTTTTGAACTTGATATCCCTTCCAACGTGTTCCCGCAGGGCAACATGGTTGTAAATTTCACCATTGACGGCCAGTATCTGCTTGCCATCCTCGCTAACGAGGGGTTGAGCGCCGGATTCTAGGTAAATGAGCGCAGATAAGCTACATGAAGTCGAAGAGACAGGATCAGCAGCGTACCAACACCGACAATGGCCAATCGTTCGTGTACGAGGACGCTCTGTTGGCCGACATAGCAACCCGACCAATCTGGCCCTCGGTGTCGGAGACGTTTAGCGAGAGCAATGCAGCGAGCTCTGTCTTGAGAGGGCTTTTCCAGGCCGTGGGCAGCGAAGATACCACACATTGTGAGCTGGGGAAGAAAAAGGAATTATGTCGGTCTGTGAAAGTTGTCGTGGAGATAATAAACTTTGAATTTGATGACTCGAGCGATAAACAAACGTGATAAGATAATTTTCGGACCAATCAACGGCCATCTCGGCCGACGGACCTTGCCGGTCAGGAACAATTTAGGCGCTCGACAGTGGATCTCCTAATTCCTCTCAAACCTACGTCTACCTAAATAAGCCGGGAACCCTCCCCTTACTGGCACGCTTGAAACAGACTGGTTTCCGATCGGGCTAATGATGAACCTACGTTACCTGCAATGACTTGTTCTCCTCTTTATCCTCGTTCGTCTCCCTACGTAGCTTGCCTCCCCATCGTTGACCTTCGAGGAGGGGATGTCCTCGACAGTGGACCGCCTTGCTGCCGTGAGGGTGGGTACAGAATAATGCTGTAAGCCAACACAACCGCTAATGATCTCCCAAGGCACAACGCTCTCGATCTGGCCGTGAGGTCAGAATAGTATCACCTCGGATACCCTCAGTTTCCTCAGTCTCAGAAATTTCTGGGCAGCATCAGCCTGAGCCTCCAACCTCTGGCGTCGTAGAGATTTCACGCGAAACATCTCCGACGCAGCCGGCATTCTTTGCAGAGGTACTCGGATTTGTGCAGCTCCATTTGACCCCATGACAAACGTGCTCCGTTGCCACAGGTCGCCTCAATACAAGCGGATATTCTTAGAATAAATGAACTTATCAACAGGATCTCTGAAGCTCACAATCTTGCACTGAGCACGGTCTTGTCTGGGGAAGAGAGTTCCGGTGCCCGGGTGGATCGTCTGGCGGAGAACGCCCGTGACCTGCTGGAGAACACCAAGAATAGGATCAAACACCTCCAGAACCTCCCTGCACATTACGATGTTCAGATCCGTAGGAACCAGGCAAGAGGATGGAACTGTCACCATTTACAACTATAAGCTCATCTTCCCTAGATATCCCTACTGCGCTCCCAGTTTCTCGAAACCCTTCAACACTACCAGAGGGTTGAATACGATGCGGATGTGAAGTCCAAGCAGAACATAGAGAGGCAGCTAAGATTCGGTAGGCGTCTATTTTCTGAATATTCGTTGCACTACTACGCCTTCTGACGCTCGAGGCAACTCAGTCAAGCCAGATGCAACCGCGGAAGAGGTAAATGCGTTCATTGAAGAGGGTAACCACCAGGTCTTTGCCCAAGCAGTATGTCCACACTCAAGTTGCGGTTTTGGCATTGAAGCGACATCCCATTTAGTTGGTTAGCTCGACAAGATACGGGGAATCCCGATACGCCCTTCGTGAAGTCGAACAAAGACAAACTGAATTGAGACGCATGGAAAACACGCTGATGGATTTGACTCGACTTTTTAACGATGTACGCGCCTTTCTGTTCCGAACCTGGTTTGAATTCTGATGCCTTGGCGCTCAGATGGGCGCCCTCATCGAACAGCAAGAACCAGTGATCAAGCAGGTCGAGGCAACTGCCGAGGAGGTCACGGAAAATACTGGAAAGGCGTAAGAGACGGACCAATTCCGAGTGGTAGACATTCCACTAACTTGTTAATAGCTTCGAGAATACTGTGCAAGCTGTAGTGCACGGTGTGTATCTCTGTTTTCCCGTGAGTAAAGTACATGCCTGACGAAGAAATCGAAGCTCGGCGGTATAGGAAGGGGAGGTGGATATGCTTTGGACTGATCGTCGCTATTTGCGCTATTCTGGCTTTAGTTCTTGGACTAACGTTAGGCCTCCGAAACCGATCCAGCCAATAGCGTTAATGGGTTCAGCTTTGATGTTCTTGTACAACATTAGAATTCTGATCTGCTGCGTATTCTCTTCCAAATCTTCCATAGGGATTCAAGGAGAGAGAGCGTGGTTTGCTGTTTTTGTATCTGATCAAGAGTAGTCAAGAGTATATGTTGAGTAAGTGCCAACTTTTCTGTGAGCGTCAAGCGTGGGCGTCGAAGGCACTGCGCCGCAGGCTTCATGGAACGTCGGCCATCAATTCATCGGATCACACGCCTTCCGGCGCGCCCAATTTGTCAGAAGTATGTGCTCAGCCAAATGATCTTGACGTGGTTGGTTCTGCACATCGAGTTCGCGTCTCTTTATCGTTCACCACCATGACCAAAGCAAACGCAGCATCCCGTCGACGAAGAGCCTCCCTGGAGCTGGTGGACGCGAAGCAGGCTGTCGACCTTGCCACAGCACAGTCCTACTCTGAAAATGTGTTCCTGTTCATTCCAAACCTCATTGGTACGTCTCCAGCGCTCATAGGTGCTGTTATCCACAGCGGGGACTGACACGCTTGTTCACAGGATATTCTCGTATCATTTTAGCTGCATTGGCTTTACACTACATGAGTTACCACCCCAAGTACTGCACGTTGTTGTATGGCATTTCATGTCTGCTGGATGCTGTAGACGGACATGCAGCGCGGGCGTTGGGGCAAACCTCGAAATTTGGAGCGGTTCTGGACATGGTGACTGATCGGTGAGTGCTTCTGAGGCATACATTACTACCAGAAGACTGATCTCGCGGAATGCAGTTGCACGACCTCTTGTTTACTCTGCTACCTCGCCTCTGCTTATCCACCATACGCCCTCTTTTTCCAATTCCTCATTGCCTTGGATTTCAGCAGCCACTACATGCATATGTACAGGTGAGCGGCGATAACCATAGTCTTCTGGACGTGTTCTGATATTCTGTCGAGTTCTCTTGCCACAGGTTCCAGGAGTCATAAGCTCGTGACCAGTGATGTTAGCCGCATCCTTTGGCTTTACTACAATGATTCTGTGCGTTTCTGGGGTTGATTCTCCCGAGCTGTAAGCTAATGATCAACAAACAGCGCACCCTCTTCTTCGTCTGTGCTGGCAACGAGTTGTTCTTCGTGTCCCTCTACCTCATGAAGTGGACCGCCTCATCAATAGGCCCCGAGGGCTATCTTGCCCACTTGTCATACCCACAACTCATCGCTATTCTGACGTTCCCGATCTTCCTCGTCAAGAACATCATCAACGTCGTTCAACTGTGGAAGGCTTCCAAAATCTTGGTCGGCGTTGATTTGGCCGAAAGAGAGTCTGCGAGACAGCAGGCCAAGTCTTCCTAATATTGCAGACGCGAACGCTGTGCAGCTATCTTACTTTTCGTATACGATATATTACTCAATCTAGTACTATTACGACTGGAACGAAGGATTGTACCACTGTATGTACAGTTCATTGATTGTGTTGTTTTCAGTGTGTTGGCCAGGGTCGTGCCCACACCCACGAGTTGGATATAACTTGATGGACAAGTAGGATATTATGGTTATACCCGAGCCTTTGCGATATTTTATACAACTCGAATTCATTCCCCAAAATTCAGCGGGAGGTGAGCCAATTTGAATGAAGCGCTCGACAGTCGCGTTGGGCCGGAGTCAATCAATTGTGTGCCAGCTCCACCTCACGTGCATTTTTGCACGGCGCTCTCGGAGTCGCTGCCACTTGAGCCTTGAACATAGACGACTGCCAACAGTCTTCGTACAGAAACCGTCTTCTCCCTTTATTTCTTCACAACAGCGCTCTGGAAGCACCGACACTTGGGACGCAATATATTTCCAGCAATTCTGGGAACAACAGCGACTTTGAATGCTCTCGCAGAACCTCCGTCGGCAATCCCAGTTGTTGCTCAAGAACTCGGTTCCACCGTCATCTTCTTCTTCAGTACAACTCCGTCGATTATGTCTCCTTCGACTGAAGCGCTCCCATCTCTCTCAGAGGACAGGTGTTCGACAACTTTCGTCCTCCAGCAGTGACCCAGCTCCGAACAGCCCCGGCTCACCCGAAGACAATGGAATAAACGAGGCCAATCCAGCGGACGAGAGGGATCCGGCGGTGGTCCAGGCTGAAGAGTTGGCAAAGGTCGTCAAAGTCCGTCGTTCCAGAGTAGTCGCCGCTGCTAGAGAAGCAGAAGCCATTGAGCTACCCGACGGATTGAATTTGTTCTGGCTGCCCGCCGAAGAACCGCAACACGCTTTGAACCCTGAAGACTCGAACCTTTCCGACCTCCCTCCACCAGAAATTCTCGACGAAGCCCTCAACAATATTCTAATCACACTACATCCTCAGATTCAGCATCGAGCGGTTTACCCTGTCAATTCCGATACACCTGTCGAGCCCACACTGGGCTTGTATTGTCCCATTGAAGGAGGGGATTACATTATTGATGCCACTGTTCGGGAGCTAGCTCGTCGGACGGGGGCGGAAGTGCTCGTGCTTGATTCAGTCCAACTGGCTGCTGGCGAATGGGGACAGTTTGGCAAAGGTATGTCAAACAATCCATAGATTGACATTTGCTTTGGCTTAACTTTCTTTAGCTGCAAATTCTTTGCAATTGCCTCTTAACCCCTTAAAGTTTCCTGCAGTATCGCACCAACCACCAAGTGGTAGACAGGAGGCTTTCGATCTAGAATTCGATGGTGAAGAGGACGGCGGTGTACCGACCCAGCAAACGATGACCTTGACCCTTCTCGCACCACAGCTCACTCAAGGTCGCAGCTTACTACCTTCCCCCTCCCGTCGTTCCCCTGCTCGCAGCAAGATCAAAGTCTTCTTCGATACTCTCGTCAATTCTACCCCTCCACCATCTTCCCCTAATGAGACCAGTGCGAGTGCCACTCCCATCCGACCCCGAATCGTGTATATTCGCGATTTCACCACCCTTGCCGCGACATCGTCGGTCTGGTACCCTCCTCTGTTGGCGGCAGTACGGCAACGACGTCGAGGTCCAATGTCAAGGCCTTCCTCCGCCATTTCCAACCCGATGACCATTGTGTTCGGAATGACACCGCCTCTATCGGGCCCAGGAGGAAGTGCCAGCCCAGGCAGCAGTGTTTTCAACATGATGATGAACCAAAATTCACCGACGGGTATGATGAGCCAGGAAACCAAGCAAGAGAAGGTTGACTGGACAGAGAGTGAGCAGGCGGATCGGGCGCGCGAACGGCGGTTGCAGGATCGGTTGAAGAAGTGGGAGAGGCACGAGGCCTCTCTTTTGGCTGAATTGCCCAAGCTGGCCTCAAATGTCGAAGAGGATGCGCAGGAGTCAGGGAAACCGGAGGTGATCGTCATTGGGCCCAATGGTTCGAAGGGGGCCCTTCCACCGTTACTGGGTCCGCCCAATATGGCTGGCCGCCCAGGACGTTCAGGGGAGTCGGAGAAGAGGTCCTCGTTCTTCAGAACCTCCATCCTCGTACCTGCGAAGCGCTCTCACTCTCGTGAACGCTCTGTCCGGATAGCCAGGCGGCGGGAGATCAACGAATTGAGTATGCGCATGGGGGTCGGTGCCATCGGTGGCCATATCGAACAGGTCCCTGCCGGGCAGATCCTCGAGCAACCTGAAGCAGACAGACCTGCTGAAGTCGAAGACGGTCCCGTCGGGAAATCTACCACCGATGCCCAATCCGAGTCTCAGAGCATGTGGGAGGATTGGGGAAACCGGATAGAGGTCTGGCCGAACGTCAAGAAAATCGCGGATAGCGCTGTTGGGCGTGTTCTGTCGACCGCTAGTCTCCCCGTACCATCTCTGGATTCCACAGCCGTCCCTTGGACTTCAGTGCAATCAGCTTGGAAAGCCCACACAATGGCCAAGGATCGTCGCAAGTCGTGGTTAAAAGACTTTGGTGCCCTCAAGGCAAAGGAGTCGGAAGAGGCGAAAACGGATGAAGCTGCTCCACCGATAGACGAAATTGTCGAGCGTGTGCGGAATGAAGCTGATTTGGACCCATATGAACAACGACTGCTTGGCTGCATCGTAGACTCAGGTATGCTTCCTTGCAGCTACAATTTTTTCTGGGAAGCTGACTCGTTTCCAGCGTCCATGCCGACATCGTTCAGCCAGGTCCACCTTCCTCCTCACGTCATTGATTCAGTCAGGACAATCGTATCTCTCCCACTGCTCCATCCACAAGCCTTTCAGCAAGGGATATTGAAGCAACATGGTATGACTGGTTGTCTCCTGTTCGGTCCTCCTGGTACTGGCAAGACGCTCGTCGTTCGTGCTCTGGCCAAGGAAGCTGGCTGCCGGATGCTCGTCATCACTCCATCAGACATCATGGACATGGCAGGTCCTTTGTTCTGTTCCCTTTACCTTCTACTCACGGTTCATTTTAGTACGTTGGCGAAGCCGAGAAGCTCGTTCGTGCGACTTTCTCCCTTGCTCGACGCCTTGGACCTTGCGTCATCTTCTTGGATGAAATCGATGCACTATTCGGTGCTCGCATGGCTGCGAGGGAGAGTGGCGGCGCAGCTGCAGCCCATCGCGGTGTTATCACCGAGTTCATGCAGGAGATGGACGGGCTCAAGTCGTCTCGTGAGGATGGAATCATTGTGATCGGCGCGACCAATAGGCCTTTCGACCTTGACGATGCTATCCTCCGCCGACTGCCCCGCCGTTTGTTGATTGACCTTCCGGGAGTGAAGGAACGGGAAGGTAAGCCTATTTCAATATGGTCCGAGAATTTGTACTGAATTTAGCCCCCTGTAGAAATTCTGAAGATCCTCCTCCGAGATGAGGTTATTGGACCAGATGTCACGCCGGAGTTGCTCGCTCAGAAGACAGAGAGCTTCTCTGGATCCGACTTGAAGCGTAAGTCAATCGTGTCTTCATATACAATAGTCCAAAGTACTAAAGCCCGACCCTAGACCTTTGTGTTTCTGCTGCTTTGGATGCAGTGAAGGAGAACGTCCACGTCCCGTGGCTGTCGGTTTCTCAGCCAACCGAGGCCAAGAACGAAGCCGAGTCGACCGTGTCATCCGAATCCGATGCCACCCCAAAGTGTCCTCCCACAACCGTTGAAGGAGCCGTCGGTTCGCCTGTCCCAGATACATCAGATGGAACGACGACCACACCTTCGGCGGAGCCGGAGACCGCGCGTCATGCTCGGGTTTTGCATTTGCGCAACTTCCTCAAGGCCCTCAAAGAAATCACCCCCTCAAGCTCAGAGTCATTGGGAAGTCTTGCTGATCTGCGCAGATGGAACGAAGAGTTTGGAGAGGGCCGCAATGACCGTCGCCGCAAGCAAGTCTGGGGCAAGGGTCGTTTCGGTTTTGTCGATGAACGAGCGCTACAGAAAATAGAGGAGGGGAAAGTTGTCCAACCAGCCCCTACGACTCCATCGGGATCATTAGAGCTGCCATAGATTCTACGACTAATTGGCGGAGAATGTAATGTACACGTTATATACTAATGGATGGGGTGATGGTCGATAAAAATTTGGGTACCATTACCCTCGTCGAGTGGAGCGGCGGGGTGCCTGAGAGGGACCGGCGTCCTCCATTTCCACGTCGCCAGTTCGGCCTGAAGATCTTCGAGTAGTCCTCGTTGTTTTCTCCTTCTTGACTTGCGTTTGCGCCGGCTCGGCTTCGTGGCTTTCACTTCCAGAAAGCTGGGCCTCCTCTTCCTCGTCTGTTTCCCGTGTTTGATGCCGAGTGCGGCGTCGGTTGCCGCCGTCGTCCCCTCTGGCAGCGTCCTCACCCACCGGCCGAAGAGGTTCGGCTTTGGCATCGTCAGGCCATTGGATTGAACATGCAGGGCAAGTCAGGGTTCCCTGTTTGCTGGTTCGGTATCGGCTGAAGCAATGATAGTGGATACGGGTTTTGCAGTTTTGTCGAGGACATGCCGCACCACGGGTTAATATCTGAATAGAGGGGTCAATGGCAACTCAACCCTTCTGTGAAAACAGAACGCACATCTTCGCAGATCGTACATTCGAGAATTTCATCGGGGTAAGTCGTTTTGAGGTAAGGCAAAAGTTCGAGAAGAGATCGCATTGCCAGGGAGTACCTTCCCCGCCTATGAGAGATAGCCGTCAAAAGCAAGTTAAAAGAATAATCCGTCTAAGCTCACTTGCTCCGGTTCAACCAGCCCCTCGCAACAAAACTCGACAGGAGAGACTCTCCTTGAGCCTTGGACAGGTTGAGCTTCAAAATGCTGATCTCTCGAAGTGCGGCGAGCGAGGTGACAGAGTAGGACTCGTTGGGTGCCAACATGATTTGCTCAACCTATGTAAGACCCAAGAGTCAAATCAGAACTTCCGGTGAATCAAAAGGGAACGCACGACACCCTTGAAGAATGCAATTTCTGCTGGGTTGTAGTCGGTTGCGACCTGTGCGATTTCATCTCCTTTTCGGTTGACCTGAATGGCCGTCAGTCTGCGGCACATCCAAGTCCAAAGTGATTGGCTTTACCAAGGCATAGAAGACTTTGCCTGTGTTTTCATCTTGGATTAGTCGGAATTCAAAGTCGAGCTTGTCGATGGACGCGTTGATGTTTCTGATGAAGTCATGCCAGTTGGGATTTCCAAGATGGAGTTGATCATTAGAGGCTGATAGTAGAGCTTTTAGACAAGACGCGTAGCAGATGAAGGCCAAAAGGACACACCTACGACTGCTTTGTAGCACTGTTCCATCAAGAGTTTTGCTACTGTTTCCGAGAGAATCCCTCTGGACAGTACGGCTTGCAAGAACAAACGATATACATCGTTTTTGGAGACCTCCATCGCGGGTTTGGAGCGGTATACCAGGATTTACGCGTGAAAGGGTCGTGATAACAATTGAGGAAGAAGACGCGCTCAGGTTCATGACACGGGCCAGACTCAGAATTTAGATACCACGCGACTTTGTTTCATGTGACTTGGTAAAGCGCGTTGGGCTTGGCAAAAAGAACCTAAAACGTGCCATTTCAGTGAATCAGTCGTGATACAGCGTCCGCCGTCAGAATTCGATGCTACATGACCGCTAGCAAGTAGATATTGTCCCGTATAAAAGATGCAAAAATGCAGCTGAAGCGACTATACTATGGCTTGGGGACCTTGAGCGTCTTGCTGACCATCGCTGCAGCCCATGCCCCATAAATCACACTGACAATGTGTACCTCTCCCCGACCACCGGCTTCTCCCCACAGAATCACAGTTCCACCAGGAAGACCTTGTTGGCCTTCAATCCAGCCTTTTTTCACCCAATATGCAAGGATACCGACAAGTCCTAAAGAGGACGGGATAGGCAACCCTTCGAAGTACTTCGCTTTACCCTTTTCTTTGGGAATGAGGGCAACGGTAGCGTTGAAACGAGCCAGTCGGGCAAGTCCGCAACATATGAATCCGGTCAAAAACACGGTGTCGAGGTATGTCCGGAGTCCTACGACAAATCCAAGCAAGGCTGGGGCTACTCCAAAAGATATCTACGAATGGTTAGTATTTGGCATGTCCCCCAAGGCTTTCAAGACCTCCCACGTACCAGGTCTGCTAGACTGTCCAGCTCCTGGCCCAACAGGCTACTCGATTTTCTCCACCGCGCGACTTTGCCGTCGAGGAAGTCAAACATGAGGCCTGCCAATGGCAAGGTCAATGCTGTCCACAAGTAGTCGATGTCCTTGGTTAAAAGGTAGTGTGCCGATGAGAATACGGACAGGGAGCCGCAGACACCGTTCATGATGGTGACCAAATCCGCCAGCCGGAAATTCCTGGATGTTTACCGTCTTCAATCATGACATGGTCTGATAACACGGGTGTACAAGGACAGTACCTGACTAACGAAAAGTGGCCATCTGTATCTTGATATTGGTGCAGCACATGCTGCTGGTCGTCGGACATTTGTACAGGCTTCGTCGCAGATTTTCGTGAGGTCATGAAGGAGATGGACGTGGAGGCGTCGGAGTCAAAAAGGATAATATTAGAACGATCATTTACATCAAACACTGTTTCGGGCTCCGATAATAGTCACATGCACCCATTCAGACTCAGCTCGCCTCCGCCATCTCTGCATCCCCCTCCGTTGCTTTCCTCAATTCCCGACTTCGCGAAGCGTATTGGTTCGGATGCGTTACGCTCTCGCCCCCGCCCACCCCTTCACCCTTCTTAATCCCATACTGCGCGTGCGTGATCTCGAATACTCGAGTACATGCAACATGGTAGTGGCCGCCGTCCACCGTCGCCTTCACCTCCTGCAGATCCGATGCCTTTAGCCCCAGTGGTGCATACGCCGATAATAGAGTGGATTGAAGGTTTTCTGAGGTGTACGTCCTATAAGGGCATCCGCAGTCGTTGGTGTTTCCAGGAGCTAAAATCTGAAGGCAGCTACAAATGGTGTCAAAGGCCATTCGCCAATCTGACAGATAGATGCTCATACTTTTTGGCGGGATAGTTGGCTCTTTTACCCTCTAGACCATACGAATGACGAATGTTATAGCGGTACTCTTTGTTGAACTTGTCGTCTGTGATTCTGCTGAACGATTTTCTCCAAAAAGCGACAGCTTCTTCGACCGAAAGGCCCAAAACCTGTCTTCAATAAGTATTTGTCTCCGTGCTTGTGTAGACCATGCTGCCAACCTTCAGGAAAAGACCGTATTGCAGCCTTCCAAAGTGCTTCAAGTGATTGTCTCGTCTAAGTTTATCGTGTAGGGTCTTCATGCACAGTGGGAAGTGTTTCTTGGCCAAATCGTCGATCATTTCGGCCTTCAGCTCTTCACCGCTCCCTTGCACTCCGTTTTCGCCCATCCATTCCGATGGGACGCCGGTGAGGAAGCCTTGCGCCAGGTTTTCCAGTATGGGTATCAGTCGGTCGTCTTCGTCCAGTCGAGGTAGAAGGCGCGCAGTCATCTAAGGAATGTTAAACTGCGAACGCCTTAGCTATAAGGTTCCATACCTCGAGCACCTTCTCCAACCTGCTTTCAAATTCTTGATATACGATGCTCGCCTGTTCTTGTGAGGGAACGTAAGCCCAACCGCCATGCAAGAATACTCTCCGCTTCTCGACAAGGTCCGGTACTCGAGACCACCGAACCTAGATAGTAAAAGGCAGCTCTGAGCAGGGGACGCTGATATACTGACACCTCCACACACCTTGACGTACTTTTCCCTATCAAAAGCAGCCCTCTTCTCTGCCTCGGGTCTCGGTAGAAAGTATAGTGAATAGAGTTGATCACGGTATTTGTTCTTCTCCTCTGCACTGACCTGAGGTGGTGTCAGTAGTGGAACACAAGGCACGGGAGACGTCACCCTACGGGAATATAGTTGAAATCCCTGGAATTCAGAAACGCCTCCCTGTCAGCGAGCGCACTATCCTCGTAGCGAATCTTGAACAACTGCGTCTCTGCCTTCACGTATCTCCTCCTCAAGTCTTCTCTAAGGTAGCGGTGCAGAGCGTAAATTGTGTGAAGTGGTCAAGGAAAGTAAGCGACACGCACGATCGACAAAACGCAAGCCTCAACACGAAATGACTGAGGTGGTCTCTTCTCCTTTGCTCATCCCTGTCCGTGGTTGATGAATTATCCTTCAATGGCATGTATTTCTCGCATTGCGCCCGGATGACCTTCGTAAGTTCGTCCCATGTCCTGTTTCGCGCTGCTGAAGACTCGATTTCGGCGAGAATCCGGAGTCGGTCCAATGCACAAGTTTCGAATTCCTCAATCGTCACGTCAAATAGTGGTGGCTTGTCATAGCTTTTGAATGAGTGGTGCAGTCAGAAAGTACTCTTGGGGAATCTGGCGATTACTTCGGACGTACAAATTCAATGGTAGTGGATACTTCAAGCCATTTGCTGAGCTTGGTAGGTGACTGGCCGTTGAACCTTGATTGAGGACGTTGGGCTTTCGTTCACCTACTTTGAACATCCTGGTAGGTCCCGGAGGGTGTCTGTTATCGATGTCAGGACCAGAAGGGAACGGTGCAAACAGGAATGCATAGTCGCGTCACGGCGTCGACGCGCCTGTCACATCACGCGCCATTCCCGTCACGAAATCAGTGTCACGCCCCAGGGCTCAACTACTAGTAAAGGAGTATCATAGATATGAAGGTATGCTACAGAGTCTAGGAGGATATGTACAATGCATGGTATACATAACGGTGTACTACGGTGTGCAAATATAACGTGACGGGTCGTAAACATAAATAGCGACGAGGGTTTCGAAAGCAAAGTGAAAGCAAGAATAAAGAATATGATACAAAGTCGACAAGGGAGGTGAGAGAAAGGGAGCCATAAGATTACATTAATAAAGAGTCCAAGCTTTTGTTTATCGTGCACTAGTTTCAGGTCGATTTGAAGTGGGCCGCCTGCGGTCTCTGGTCCTCTTTGGACGGCGCGAAGGTTTGCTATCTTCGCCTGGATCTTCCGCCACCCCGATGACGACGCCAGGTCTCGGGCGTCGGTTCTTCTTACTCTCTTGGAACTTAGCTTCCTCCTTATTCCTCCACTCTTCGGCTGCGGCAAGGGGATCTTGGGTTGGCGGTAATTGGAAAGGGGCGGTACTACATATCGACACGCTCGGAGAACCCACGACGGTGCTTGGCTGTACAAGAGTGTCAATGTCATCACTCTAACGAGTGCAGGTGTACTCACGGCGCCATTTCCATCTCGTGCCTCCAGAGAAGCCTGGGACATCGTACGTTTGAGCTGCTGTTTTCTGGCCCGTTCCAAGTACCGAAAGGGCGTGAATACTGGCTTCTGTTGCTGCAGGTCCTCGGTACTTCCATGGATGGGAACAGCCCGTGACCCATGGCGTTCCTCTGTCTCAACCTTCGGGCGATGCCTCCGCTTGGAAGGTTTGGGAGGGTGCTCGCGATCGTCAATGACCTTCGATGGCTTAGGATCTATCTGTGGTTCCGGATGCCTTGAAGGGGCTGTGGATGGTTGCCGTTCTGCCTTGAACCCAGAACTCACCAGCTCGTTTACGAATTCCGGAGGAGAGTCACGGAGAGGGACAATGGAGCGAGTGAACGACTGCTGAGAATTGGAGGCAAGCATCATCGGCGCGAGTGATGAAGGCGTCATCAGTATAGTCTCGTCGCCTTCGTTGCCTGTTTGATGAATGGTCTCGTATGACCGCGCGGGGAGAGGAATGGGCGCTTGGCGCGTGGTTCCCGGGACAATTGTATGACCAGATCGATGTGGTTGTCCAGATGAACGTGGGTCAATTGAAGCAGGCGGATGAGGGATGGTGGCTGGGAACGAAGACGAGTGCTTGTGGCGGGAGGACTGCGAAGAGAGCTGGTTCGGGGGTGCTGTCCTTCCCGAAGAATCAGCTTCTTGTGGGTTTCTCGGAATAGCGTGGCGCTGGACAGTAGGAGGAGCGGAAGTCGGAACATCGGATTGGTAATGACTCGCGGGGCGCCTGGTTGGGTTTTCATCATCCCTAGAAGGAAGGGGAACGAAGGGAGGGCGGACGGAGCCAGGTACAGTTGTATTGGTGGGAAAGCGGTAATCCGACCTGCCATGTTTCATCGTCTTCAGATCATACGGGTGTTGTCGGCTTTGTGGCTCATTGGCGGAGGAAGGAAGGTCCACCAGATGAGGACGAGTGGAGCCCGGAACTGGAATCATGCTGGAGGCCTGTCTGGCGTCATAAAGATGGCTACTGTAACGTACAGGCAAAGTAGTGGAGCCAACCTCCTCTGCTATTCGCTTCGCTTTGTCATCACGTCGAGTAAAGGGAACAGAGGCGGCGGTTGGAAGTGGGACGACACTCGGACGCGCAGAAGCATGAACAGGTCGAAGGCTAGGCTGCGGCTCGGTATTCTTGTGGGCTGTATCAATTGCTCCATGGCCTCTGTCGTTGCCCGTCTCTGCAGGTAAGGGAATAGAAGGGGTTAATTGCATCGATGGATGTCGCGTAACAGGAATTTGGCCTCCGACCAATGATTGAACTGATGCTAGGTGATTGGTAGATAGGTGGGATAGGACGGGGTGACTTGTCACAGGTAGTTGCGCTAGAGGAGGTCGGGTGGAAGGTGGAGGTGTCATCGAGGGTTGATCCACGGATGGTAACTCCATTGGAGGAGGTCGGACAGAAGGTGGTGGTATCGAAGGATGACTTGGTGGAGGGAGTCGCATTAAAGGTGGTCGCACTGAGGGTGGAGGTCCCGTTGACGGCTGGTCTACAGATGGAAGTTGCATCGGAGAGGTGCGAATAGAAGGTGGAGGGACCATTGTCGATAGGGAGCGGACAGGAGGCCCCTGAACGTGATGCGGATGAGCTGAACTGGGAGGTGCACTTGATGGTTCGATCATGGAGGGCAATTGCATCAAGGGAGGCCGAACTGAAGGCGGCGGAGCAGGGAGCGAACGGTTGGATGAACCTGGTTGTTCCTGGTACTGAGATGCGGAGGCTGTTGCATGGCGCTGAGAACCTTGGCCTTGCGACGGTATGAGATCTTTTTTCTCCCCAAACGACTTCTGGCGATTTTTCCTTTCCTCATCCGAGGCTGCCGCAGAATCCCTGGTGCGATATTGAATGGGTAAAGCGTGCTTAAAGCTCCCCCGTTCCAAATGGGTCTCGTTGAGGGTAGGGTTGCCTGCAAGCGTGTCGAGATTATCGAGGTTAGAAGGAGGGCCTTGGGCAAGTTGCTGGTCATGGATTGCGATTGCTCCACCGTGCTGGCGGTGATGACGATTGATCTCCATATCTTGGATGCGACGAAAGGTGGACTTGGCTTCTTTTGACGAGGATGTCGCAGTTTCTTTCGGAAGAGATTCACTGGATGCATTCATCGTGCCTCCCCGTGCAGCAGACTTGGCATTATGAGATGGATTGGCCCCCATGGAGTGCATCTTGGGCGGAATATTCTCAATTCCTTCGGTGGTCCCCACTTCTTTGGAATTCAAACTGAGGTCGGGAAGTTGGCCATTCTTCACCAACGGCGTTGCGAGAACACGCAAGTCGTATCCACCGTGACTGGGAGGCTCACCAGCTAGACGACTCCAGTATGAGATTGGATGGACCGGACAAACGATGTAACGAACTAACCGTCTGTAAAATGCCTTGATACAGTTCGCATGCTGAGGGGCGGTCGCATGGACATTGGATTCATTGATTGCGCACGGTAGCCCTGCGCGGTAGCTGGTCTTGGGACCGAGAGACCCACATATGTCCGGTTATCGATCCTTGTGGACTCGACTGGATTGATGGGAGTAGGACTGTTAGACTATAGTACGGACACCCGTCATCAAAGCTTCTGAGTATGAGCGCACCGAGACTCACAGACAAAAACAGCCCTTGTTGGCTTGATGACGCCCCAGGAGTAGGGTCTTCTTTCGTTTCAAGGCCATGACTTGGAAGGCGATTCCAGTTACTCGCTTCCGTGCTAGTTTCGGCCTGGTGTACCACGGTTCTAGTGTTCCAGCTTTCGAGATTTGGCCGCTGTCCGCCGAGAACATTTGCATGAGCTGTTGAGGCTGAGCCTTGCGTCATTTCGGTGCCATACTGTGGGTCGAGAGCGTCGATGGCGGGGCAGTGGGCAGTGGAGTTGACGGGATTCGCTGAATGAGGGTTGAGTGCTGACGGTGCCTTTGGATGGGAGTTTGCGCTGAGTTTCAAGTCACTCTCAGTACGGGGAAGGACATCAGCAGCCCCCACAGAACCCAGCTGGTTGCGCGGAGACGACCTCAGCGGTCCCGAATGAGAGGTCACTCCAATGACATTCGACAGCCTTCGCCTCCTCGGTTCTAAGGACTCTCGACTACTATTGTCGTTGCATACCCCGAGGGCAGAGCTCCGGACCTGGTGCCGGGAGATACTGCCTTGGAGTTCTCCAGAACCGTTGTGCGTTGCGATGGCATATGGCCCTGTCCTGAGAGGCAAATCCACAGTACTCGTGTTCCTGGACGACTGTAATATTCCTTGGTCAACAATAGCAGCTACGCGAATCTGGTTTGCCGCGCTTTGCTGAAGCAGGGATTGCGACGGGGGATTCTGAATGGATGATGTCCGAAGCGCATGGCCACTTTCACCGTCAACTTGTATCGATTTTCTATGGTTAGAACTCGGCGAACCCTTGGTCATTTGACGATGTGTTCGATACTGACTGCCGGGAACCTAGAGAAGGTCGTAAATTCAAGGGTGTGGGAGGGAATATGGAACCAATGCCGACCTCGTTCGAGAAGAAAGATGCGCCATTGACCTGGCCATTGGAAAGAGTAGGTTGTTCCAAGGGAACCTTCAGTGATAGAGGCGCTGTTAAAGTGTTGCTCGCGATAGTAGGGGATGAGACTTACGTTAGGATATGGCGGGACCCCATCGCTTGATTGCAGATGGTTCGTTTGTTCAGCCTAAGCCTTGTGATCAGACCATCCACGATTCCTGTGCATGGGGAACTTAGGGTTACCTGGAGAGCGCCTGAAAGTTGTTGCAGAACCATATTGTCAGTGGCACCCGTCGGTTTAGGTACATGCCCGTGGACAGCGTTAGACGCCGAGCGGACTACGACTGAAGGGGGAGCTTGAAGAGACTGGACCGCATTGCCATGCTTCTATAATTGGTTAATTTCTGGAGACAAACATAGCAGCTGCATATCTCACTAGATGGGAAGTATGGCCCCCCAATTGGAGTGGGAGGGGGAGGCGTGCGTTGTTCGTTGGCACTTTCGGGTGCGCTACTTCAAGAGCTTGGGAAGTGACTGGTAGGGGGTCCGGAGATAGCTGCCCTCCTGTGGCAATGTCATCACGGTTGTCTTCGCGGCGTGGACTAGAGCGTGTGTCTTCACCAACAGTTTCGAAACGCTCAGGTCGTGCTTCCTTTGGAGGTCGTTCATGGATTTCGGTGTCCTTGTCTACTCGTCCAAGTAACTCCCTCTGACTTTTTTCCAGTTCTTTCTTGATCCTCTCAAGCTGGGCCAATTTCTCCCTTCGCTTCTTGCGACGCGCCTCCGCATCTCTTGCTCGCCTGGCTCGTTCATTGTCTTCTTCGTCTTTCTCCTCTACAGCTTCTGCCTGATTCTGGTGCCCCGTTCCTTGCTCCGTGTCATACTGTCGTTTGCGCTGTGATGCATGCTCGTGGTGAACCTGAGGTCCTCGATCCACGTTTTGGATATGGCCCTGTGGCTCCCAGGCCGGCTGTTCTCCTGGCTGTCCATTTCGTTCGGAAGGTTGAGGAGGATGGGACTGGGATCTGTGCCCATGTAATTCAGGCGGTCGATGCTGCGGCCGATGTTGACGGTCCTTTTCTTGCTGTAACTTCATTGTGTATTCCTGTTCGTAGCGTCGTTGCGTCGCCTCTCGCCGTCTACGTTCCCATTCCTGCTGCAACTCCTTCTGTTTCCGCTCTTGCTCTAATTGCTTCTCCTTTCTGACATCAACTTCCACTTCGACCTTCTTTCGTTCTTCCCCCTCCTTCAGCCGTTCCAGTTCCCTCCGTGTTCGCTCTGCCTCTTGCCGCCGTCTTTCGTCTTCCAGTTTACGATCACGTTCCTCTCTTTCTCGTTTCTGCTCTTCTTCTATCCACCTTCGCTCGGCCTCCTCTCTCTGCCTTCTCGCATATTCTTCTCTCTGTCTCCTCTCTGCTTCCCTTTCTTCCCGCTCGGACTCTTCCCTCTGACTACGTTCCAGCTCTTTTTGTCTCTTCTCCGCCTCTTCCCTCTGCCGACGGTCATATTCTTCCTTTTGCCGCCTCTCGGTCTCTTCTTTCTGCCTACGTTCCTGCTCCTCCCTTTGCCTTTTCTCTGCCTCTTCCCTCTGCTTTCGTTCCAATTCCTCCCTCTGCTTTTTTTCCATCTCTTCCCTAAGCCTGCGTTCGCGCTCCTCCCTTTGCCTTTTCTCTGCCTCTTCCCTCTGCTTCCTCTCTTCCTCCTCCCTGCGCCTGCGTTCGTGCTCCTCTCGCGACTTCTTCTCCGCTTCCTCTTTCTGTCTCCGATCAAGTTCCTCCTTTTCTTTGCGCTCAAGTTCCTCTTTCCGTCTACGCTCCTGTTCTTCTCTCTGCCTCCGCTCGACTTCCTCCTTTTCCTTGCGTTCCCGTTCTTCCTGTTCCCGGCGCGCAGACTCCTCCCTTTGTGCTCGCTCCAGCTCTTCCCTATACCGTCGTTCAATCTCCTCCCTCTCTTTTTGCTTTCGTTCGGCCTCCTCTCTCAGGTACCGTTCGCGCTCTTCCCTCTGCTTGCGCTCCTGCTCCTCTCTCTGCCTGCGCTCCTGCTCCTCTCTCTGCCTGCGCTCCTGCTCCTCTCGTTGCCTGCGCTCCTGCTCCTCTCGTTGCCTGCGCTCCTGCTCCTCTCGTTGCCTGCGCTCCTGCTCCTCTCGTTGCCTGCGTTCCTGCTCCTCTCGTTGCCTGCGTTCCTGCTCCTCTCGGTGCCTGCGCTCCTGCTCCTCTCGCTGCCTGCGTTCCTGCTCCTCTCGTTGCCTGCGCTCCTGCTCCTCTCGCTGCCTGCGTTCCTGCTCCTCTCGTTGCCTGCGCTCCAGTTCTTCTCTCTGCCTGCGCTCCAGTTCCTCTCGTTGCCTGCGTTCCTGCTCCTGGCGCTGTTTGCGTTCTTGCTGTTCTTTCAGCCTACGCTCATCCTCCTTCAGCTGAAATTCATGTTCCAGCCTTCGTGGCGCTCCAACTCTTCCCCTATCCTTCTCTCAAGTCTTCCCGCTCTCTTTGCACCCTTTCGCTTCCTCCCTCTGTTTACGCTCCAACTCTTCTTTTAGCTTGCGTTCTGACTCTTCTGTTGTTTCTGTTGAGCTCTGCCTGCCTACGTGCGTATTCCTCTCGTTCTTTGCGTTCATATTCCTCCTTCTCAAACAGTCGCCGGGCTGCCTCTTCTCTTTCTTGCTGTTCTTTCTCTTCCCTCTTCTGGCGTTCGTACTCCTCCCACTTGCGCCTGAATTCATGCTCCTCCTTTTGCTTGCGCTCAAGTTCCTCTTTCTCTTGCAACCGACGTTGTTCTTCTCTCCACCTTCTTTCAGCCTCTTCTCTTTCCTTCCGGTCACGTTCTTCCTTCGCTCGCCTCTGATCCTCCAATTCTTTCTGCCTGCGCTCTTCGTCCTTCTGTTGTCTGCGTCTGTCTTGCTCATCACGCCATTTACGCTCGGCTTCTTCTTTATCGCGCTTCCACTGGAGTTCCAATTCCTCTTTCTCCCTCCGCCGCCTTTCCTCGTCCTCTCTCCGCCTCCGCTCCGCTTCTTCTCGTTTCCTCTTCTCCTCCAGTTCTGATTCCTTTCTCCGCTCATAGTCCTCCTTCTCGCGTTGTCGGCGCGCCGATTCTTCCCCCTCGTTTCTGCGTTCGCTTTCACGGCGCAAGCGTTCTTTCTCCTGCCGCCGATACTCCTTCTCTAGTTTGCGGCGATCCAGAAACTCTTGTTCCAACTTCCTCCGCTCAGACTCTTGTCTCTCTGCTTCCCGTGCTTCTCTATCTCTGTCGCGTCGATATCGATCGCGGTCTGTGTCACCGTTGTTGAGGTTATGTTCCTGGTCTCCATGTCTCGTGCGCGGTTCCCTAGCTTCCCCCTCGTTCCGCGACCGGGGTAACTCCTTCCCCCGTTCCCTTTCCCGAATTTCCTTCTCTCTGTCCGAATCCAACGCTCTCTCTCTCTCTCGTTCTTTGCGTTCACGCTCTCTATCCCCTTCCCTCTCCCTTTCCCTAGCTCTCGACTTGTCTCGATCCCTCCTGAATCTTAACCACCCTCTTGTGTCCCGCTCTTTCTCTCGTCGTTCATCTTCCGATTTGGCCGTAGACCCAGAACGGTGTTGTGTTTCGTCGTAGTTCTTAGAACGTAGATAGCTGGATTCCTTCAGCTTGACTCTTGCCGCAGACTTGTCAGTGTGTTTGGTCGCATAGTCCATGTAGTAGCCTCTCTGTACGTCCATAATTTGAGTTGCGGAATGCGAAGCGGCTCTAGAAGGTGCTCTGACATTGTCTGGGCGTGAGGAAGGGATCGGTGCTGTATCCTCCGTTCCGTGGTACTGAGGACGCTGGGAACTTCGAGGGTAGGTGTTGGACGGCGCAACCGACCCAACCTGGGCGTGCATGTGTCGCAGGAAGGGCTCAACAGCTCTGTCCAGGCCACGATGCGAGTTGTGTGAATGCGCAGTACCCGGTGGAGGTGGAGGAAGGATCCTGGTGTTTTCATCGAGGCCGACGAGCTGTTTGCGGGTGGTCTTGGACGCATGCTTGTCGTTGTGTTTGCGTACATTGACGGGCGGCTGGTCTAGACGGTCGACGACGGCCTTGGGGCGTTCGTCTTCAGAGTCGTTCCTCGGTTGAGGAACCCAGAATTTATATGAGTCCCTGGAGCTTGAAGGTTTACTGGGCCGCGGTTGGCTGTCGGTCCTACGTGTGAAGAAACTTTTCATACAGAATGAAAGTTAAAGATGCGGAAAACAGCTCCTGCTTGGTTCGGGAGCCTCTGCGTTATATAAAAGGGAAAGAAATCCAGTAATACGGACTTGGTTTCGTTAACATGAGGCAAAGGGGAGACGTTGATGAGTCTGCCGCATTTGGCATGCTGGGGCCTACACATGTTTATTGCCCAGAGCTGCGCCCGAAAAACGAGGGCGATAACACTTGCAACGAGGCCTCTGGGATTGAATGAAGAAACGATGTACATTCAAGATCAAATTTCTACTTAGTCAAAGGTACATGTTTGCCAACTATCTAGGGCATCGTGCGTGGATGGGACTGAACGCCTGAACGCGACGCCATAAGTGAGAGTTAGGCCAATGCCCGGAACATCAGCAGCGCAGAAAGAACCCAAGACGGGTCCCTCCTGCAACCGATGTACCGAGCTTGATATTACACGATTTTGACTCATTACAAGACAGTGGGACAGCGGTAAGGCTGTTGGAGAACAAGTCTCCCTGTCTAGACAATTTAAGGATCGTGTGGGCTAGAAAAAAAGGAGTAATCGCGAGAATAATGCGAACCTAAGATCAAGTGAATGTCGGTCACATTGAGTGATTAACGAGGACTATTATTGGGATGGAGAAGAAGACAAACGATAACCAGCATCTGGCTCTGCGGCAAAAAATAAGAAAAGTAATCGGGTATTGCCGCGATAAGTTCGCACGGTCCTCACGTTTTGGGAAATGGGCATCGAGGCGACTCCTGGCACTGGCAGTGCTTGCTCCCTATCTTCCCGCAAGCTTGATTTCTTCCCCTTCCCCGTCATTTTTGTCTCTTGCTCTTGTAGAATTCCTCTCCTTAAATCGCCAAAAACCAAACAAAGTATCACCGCTGGCTAGCACCAGAGATGGTACGCCATCTATCGCACTAATGACCTCCATGTGACTGAGTCAACGTTCTCTTCTCTGACCAGATTGACGGCATGGAAATCCTAGACGAGAAACAACCAGGACCCCCCATGGAAGTCGACGAGGCTGTATCTGTTCGAGATCGTGAGCCTCCTCGTTCTATCTAGGACATGGCATCTTACTAACGAGATTCCAGACGAGGCCTTCGCTGCGAAACATCTCCCAGATTTGGGTCACGACGTCAAGGATTTCAAAGTTTTTACGTGGAGGTTGGAGAATTGGCGCCAGCTAGACAAGAAATTGACAAGTCCAGAGTTTGAATGTGGGGGTCACAAATGGTCAGTTAGCGATGGAACATGTCCATATACGCGGTACTGACGATGGTCCAGGCGAATTCTACTGTTCCCCTTCGGCAATTCAAATGCACCACCAAACGATACAGTGTCCGTCTATCTCGACTACGCTGAGCCAAAGAAATCTCCAGAAGGATGGCACGCCTGTGCCCAGTTTGCCTTAGTCATCTCCAACATTCACGATCCTACAATCTACACCGTTAGCCGTACGTAAGATCACCTTGTCTAATATCCTGATGCCAACCCTTTGCAGATGCTCACCACCGATTTATCGCGGAGGAATGTGATTGGGGGTTCACTAGGTTCAGCGAGCTACGCAAGCTGTTCCAACCTGTCGAGGGTCAACCGCGCCCAACAATTGAGAATGGATCTGCGGATATCACAGTGTTCGTCCGCGTCCTTGAGGACCCGACAGGAGTGCTATGGCATAACTTTGTCAAGTTCGTCGTTTATCAAGTCCAATTGATGCAACTGTCTCTAACCACTCCATCAGCTACGATTCGAAGAAGGAGACTGGGTTTGTGGGTCTGAAGAACCAGGGTGCCACCTGCTACATGAATTCGTTGCTACAGTCTCTGTTCTGCACACACTACTTCCGCAAGGTAAGAACAAGCTTTTCCGCCCCACACGTCCATACTGAGCCCAGATAAGGCGGTATATCAAATACCGACAGAACACGATCACCCCACCGAAAGCGTGGCGCTTGCTTTGCAGCGAGTATTCTATCACCTACAAACTTCAGATCAGCCAGTCGGTAAGGTTTTATCACTTACCCTCCTTTCAAGCGATGATTGAGCAATGTCCTATCAGGAACCACTGAGCTTACCAAATCATTTGGATGGAAATCGTTGGACTCGTTCTTACAACATGATGTCCAGGAATTCAACCGGGTGCTCCAGGACAAGCTCGAGTCCAAGATGAAGGTATGATCACCCTATACGCTTATAGTGTATTGGTTTCTCAACCGTCGTACTAGGGCACGAAAGCTGAAGGGGCTATTCAAAAGCTTTTTGTCGGTAAAATGAAAAGCTACATTAAATGTGTCAATGTGGATTACGAATCCTCGCGCACTGAGGCTTTCAACGGTAAGGGGCTTGTGGTCACTACTTTTCTGCTTTGTCACATTTTAAACACTATTATGACGTACAGATATCCAGCTTAACGTCAAGGGCATGAAGAACCTTTACGAATCATTCAAGGACTACGTCGCTGTTGAAATGCTGGACGGAGAAAACAAGTATCAAGCCGAGGGCTTTGGTTTACAGGACGCGAAGAAGGGCATCATCTTCGAGTCCTTCCCTCCAGTATTACATCTCCAGCTCAAGCGTTTCGAATATGACATTCAGCGAGACGCGATGGTCAAAATCAACGACCGTCATGAATTTCCCTTTGAGATCGATCTCGAAGAATTCCTTGACCCAGCTGCCGACAGGTCTCAACCATGGGTCTACAAACTCACAGGCGTCCTGGTCCACTCCGGCGATTTACACGGAGGACACTACTTTGCCCTAATCAAACCGGATCGGAATAGTCGATGGCTGAAATTCGACGATGATCGGGTCACTCCTGTAACCGATAAGGAAGTCCTCGAAGAGAACTATGGTGGCGAACCCCTTAATGGAATCCCGCCTACCTATCAGCGAAACCAGGGACGAACCATCAAGCGCTTCACCAACGCCTACATGTTGGTTTACATCCGCGAATCCGCCATGGACGAGATCTTGGCACCGTTCACCGAGGAAGACACCCCTGCGCATCTCAGTGAGTGCTGTCTTCTTATGAGTTGGGGGATCGGCTAAACAAATATAGAGCGTCGGTTGGACGAGGAGAAGCTTCAACAGGAAGCGAAGAAGCGGGAGCGGGAGGAGCAGCATCTTTTCCTGACTGCCAAAGTAAAGAGTCGCTTTTCCCTTGCAGGCGTTGCAAGATACTGATGTTGGGTTTTCTAGGTTATTACTGACGAGACCTTCTCGCGTCATGAAGGATTTGATCTGGCTTCGTTCGACGAGAAAAACTGGCCGCCGTCTGATTTGCCTAGCTTCCGTGTGTTGAAGCAGGAAACCTATGCCACGTTCAAGAATCGAATTGCCCGTCATTTCAATTACCACGATAACCAAATCCGACTGTGGGTCCTCGTCAACCGTCAAAACAAGACTGTCCGACCAGACACCTGGATACCCGAGAACGAACCGACTTTGAGTGAGTAGCTGCTGGTCTCGAGTAACCGCCGTGGCTTACATTGTGCAGCTGTCGATGTGATCCGAAACCAAATGGCCGCTCGTCAGACCGACCTCCGCCTCTACGTCGACGTGATTGCTGATCCATCGAAGCCTGACCCGCCCCCGCAAACGATCATGATCTTCCTCAAGCACTTTGACACCACCAAGCAGTCACTTACTGGTGTCGGAAAGGTTTACGTTGGCCGGCAAAGTAAAGTTGGAGACCTCATCCCGATCATCAACGAGCGCATGAGATGGACACCTGGCACGCCCTTGAAGCTCTATGAGGTCCGTGACGATTGCTGACGCCAGTTCACTTGGGCTTACCCGCTGTTCTTTAGGAAATTAAACCTGGGATGATTGAATTGATGAAACCCAAGCTCACTTTCTCGCAGAGTGAAATCCAGGATGGTGACATCATCTGCTTCCAAGTTGACCTCTCGGAGAAGGAGTAAGTCGCGTGTCGCTTGTTCCCGTTTCTCGGGCTGAATGGTCCACACAGAATCACCGACCTCGACAGCCAAGGCCTGTACTCCAACCCGGTTCAATTTTATGACTTCCTTCAGAACCGGGTCATGCTCATTTTCAGACCCAAGCACGAAGATGGTCAAGATAACCCTGAGTTCCACATCATCTTGAGTAAGAAGCACAACTACGACATGGTACGTTCCTTACTTCCATTCTTCAGCAATGGGCTTATTACCGTGTAACAGATGGCCAACAAGGTTGGAGAGGCACTTCGCCATGACCCTATCAAGCTTCGATTCACTACCACTCATGCGTCCAACGGTTCACCTAAAGCCATCTTGAAGCGATCCTTAAACCAGAGCATTGCAGAAATCATGGCACCCAACTACATCAGCCCCACCACGACGGTTATCCTGTACGAGAAGTTGGACGTCAGCATTGTGGAGCTCGAGACCAAGCGCAGCCTCAAGGTCATCTGGACTGGTATTCATAACAAGGAAGAGGCGTCGTATCCTTTCCTTCTCCCAAAGACGAGCATGGTCCATGATCTCGCTGATCATCTTGCCAAGCAAGTCACGCTATCACCTGGTGGTACTGGCAAAATTCGTGTGTTCGAGATCTCGAAGGACGGAAAGATGCAGAAAGAGTTTACCGGATCTGAGATGATTGGTAACATCCCTGACCCAGTGGAGTTGTATGCAGAGGTTCGCGTTTTTTTATTCGATTGGCGGGCAGCGTCTCATCCCGGTCTTAGGAAGTGACTCGGGAAGAATTGGAGGCGGACGATACCGACAAGGTTATCGGCGTGTTCCACTTCTCCAAGGAACTCACGAGGACACACGGCGTTCCTTTCAAGTTTGTAGTGAAGCGAGGAGAGAAGTTCTATGATACTAAGAAGCGGTTGCAAGCTCGCTTGGGAGTGTCGGACAAGGAATTTGCCAAATATCGATTTGCGCTCATCCAGGCGTCAACCTTCAAGCAGCCCTCGTACATCGAAGATGGTACAGTTTCTTCTTCTATTCTATACAGACAGTCTTTGACATATGATTTGCAGAGGACACTATCTACGACCATCAGTTTGCACCAGAGGATGTGCTAGGTTTGGACCATGTGGACAAGTCTGGAAGGACAAGAGCTGGTGGAGGGGAGAAAGCGATCGTGATTCGAGGATGATTGTAGCATCATCGTCAGCTTTCTTCATTACATACTGTACATCGTTCTTTCCCCGCTTTGTTTCGATTCGTCACTTATTCTCACTGTAACCTTTGATTTGCAACTTGCCGGCCTGGATGCGGACTGCTCTAATGGTATCTCTGTCATAATATGCCTTAACGTGGAATCATATAATAGTTTCAACGTGGACAGACAACAGATCTAAGGCTACTTTCGTCGCTTAGACTTGGCCTAGATGAATGGTGTAAGGTTGGTTGGTGGGAGAGGCAAAGGGAGCACTTACAGATTTGGGTGTTCCCTCACCGTCGCTCGTTATCGACTGTTCAGAAGCAGTAGGGGTTGGGGGAGTTAGACCGTTGGATTTGGTGGGTGTGGACGGGGGAGGACCTTGGACGGGAGTGAGTTGGAACTTGGCCTTGACATCGTACTTCAATTCTGTATATAATCAATGAGAACCAGTTGTTGTCTTGGGGGAGGAATGGACAGACCCAGCTCAGATTTCAATTTCTCCGTGTTCTCCCAGATAGCGCGCATTCTTTCGTTGGCAAGCATTTCGTTGGCAGTGGGGAAGATAACCTGACCCCATCCCTCGACGAAAGAGTTGGCTTCCTGGACGACTTCCATTACTTCTGCTTCGAGTTCCTTTTCTGCGGCCAGCAAGCTGTTCCAGAGATCGTCCCCGATGGAACCTTTTTGAAGGAGGGCCTGGAGAGCGGGTTTGTCTTCGCGGATGCGCAGGACCCGCTGCACATCGGCCATGGCACGTCGCACGAGGGCGGCTTTCAGCAAAGAGTCGGAAGCAGGTGGGTCTTGTTGTAAAAGAGTGACATATGCATTTCGTTCAGGGTGGGAAGGGAAATAGGGTTCGTATACGCGGGCTGGATGTGGTGTGTGTTAGTAAATAGTTGAGTGATTGAAATAAGGACTGACTGGAGGTGTGTTTCCTGTAGAAATAACTGAAAACAAAAAGGCCGCCAAAGACGATGAAGATGTAGGCCACGGGGACGAGGATGGAGGCCATGGTGGACGGTGGACAGACGTGTTCCCTGGATTCTGCTGGCGAGATTGATTTGTGCCGACGTGGATGTTATGTTTGGCTGTATTAGGACCTGAAGACGTCAGCGCCCCCAGTTTCTCCCATCTCTACTTTCATTTCATCTCTCTGTTCTCGCAACTGCTCAAATTCAATACGAAACATATGCGCACAACGGAATTCTATCAAACTGAAGCCCGTTCGTGGATTGACTGGCATTATTCTTTCAAGTGGGATTAAACACTCGTTTTCAATGAATAACCAACTCTAGTTATAGATATCGCTCCCCAACCGCCCATCATAGATTTTTACATCTGGGGCAGTAAAAAGACACGTCGCCTCATAAAAAGGCAAAGGCACTGAACGCAGCCGTTGTTTTAGTCATTGCTTCCATTTCGAATAGTCGAACTGGCCGTGTAGTCGGGTAACGATCTTCATAAAATCGGGTTCGTTGTCCGGCGTGATAATGCCCAGGCGGATGAACAGGTCGATCAGGACTGTCAGGTCGACGGAAGTTAGCAGGTGAAGCTCCCGTTACATTTTTTGGACACACCCATTCCACAGTTCGGTTTGAACTGGCCTGCGCGTAGTTCTTTTATCACGCGCTCCTGTGACATGAGCTATGGCAGGGTGCAATGAGACAACATTGAAACGAGTTGAAAGAGCTGAGTAAATACCTCGAAGGACTCGACCTCGCCATCCAGGGGTTTTGGTTGGAACAATGCGGGGTCACTGTTAGGTGGGATGACGAGGTCGTAAACGTATCTAGAATTGGACGGTCAGTGACATTTTCACGGGATGGTGTAGGCACACTCACTCCACTTCGGGTTGAAGCCACCCTTTGGTCGTTCTGTCGAATGTCATCCTTAGACAGGGAGGATGCCAGGGTATATGTAAAATACCTTATCGTATAGCTTATCGCCCCAACGGCCTTGATGTGCTTCCGGACGACATGATCAGGAAGACTGGCCTCCTCCATGCACTCCTTCACCAAAGACTCGAAAGGCGACATGCCGCTTGGAATGCCTCCAGCGACGGTATTGTCGAGAAAACCCGGCCAAGTGGGTTTGGTCAACGCACGGGTTGGAACCCAGATTTTGAGGTTCGTTTGGCCATCGTCATCCACGTTGTGCTCGTAGATAGTCATGTGAACCCCATAGGTGATGACCCCGAACAATGCGCAAGCAGATCGCTCCATCTCGAAGACATAGTTCAGCGGTCGGTCGGGCAGAGGCGCAGTCGGGTGGTCATGGGCGCCAAAGGGGTCTGCGTAGATAGGATACATCTCGTTTCGCCATTTTGTGGGGCCACAGACTTCGCTGAATAGCCCAGTATCTCGCCATCGCTCGCAGATCTCCTTCATCGCGGCTGTCCTCTTCTCGTGGTCGTCCAGCCAGCTCTGAAAGCTAATGCATGGTCCAACTGACCGACCATTGCTCAGAGTCCGGTGTTCTGAGGGTTCCAAGCGGAGGTTCCATACTTCGGGTGTACCCTGCTGTCGATTGCGAGCGTTGTCGGCGATGAGCTCCTTGACGATGGGAGGTCTTAAAAGGCCGATTATAGGACTATCGATGTCTTCAGTCAAGGCGAACGGTATCAGTTGCTCGGTGACGTCGAATTTGGCGTCGTACAGAAAGTCTGGGGCATCTCGTCGAAGGTCAACGTTATCACACAGGTCGACGACCTGAAGATAGGAGAGATCGGCGAGCTTTGGTGGTGGCATCGCGGAAAGGGTTTGGTTTTGTGATGCGGCGCTCGGGAACCGGATCTAGTTTGACCCCAGGAATCCGGGGAACTTTTAAATCATAAGTAAGGGGCGCAACGGAACTCAACCTCTTATCCTCGTTCACCCACCATGTTCGCTAGATTCGTCGTCCCAACCCGTGCATCTGCTGCCAGGTTTGCAGCTACACAGTACCGCTTTGCATCCACCAAGGTTCGTTCCATTCTATCAAGGCACTCACCGCGATCCTCACCCCGTCCCAAAGTCTCTTCGCGACACCCTCAAGGATATCATCCCCGCAAAGCAGGAACAGCTCAAGAAACTCGTAGGTCGCGCAGTTCACGCACGCGATTCGAACTGACACACCTTCTTTAGAAAACCGAGCACGGCCAGACTGTCGTTGGCGATGTCAAAGTATGTGTTATCCGTATCTTCGTGTCTTTCCGGAACAGAGTAAAGAGTGACACAAATCTGGGTTACAGGTCGAGAACATCATTGGGGGTATGAGAGGCTTGAAGGCCATGCTCTGGGACGCCTCCGTCTTGGATCCCATTGAGGTACGCGCTCTCTCGCCGCTAGGCTGAGCGCGTCACTGACACATGTTTAGGGCATTCGGTTCCATGGACTCTCCATCCCAGACTGCCAAAAGGTTCTTCCCCCTGCCCCTGGTGGCAAGGAGATCATTCCCGAGAGTATGCTCTGGCTCCTCCTCACCGGCCAAGTCCCTACCTCGGAGCAAACTCGCCAGCTCTCCCGCGAATTGGCTGAGAAGGGTGACCTCCCTAAATTTGTTGAGCAACTTGTTGATGAGTGTGTCTCTTTCCTTGTGCGCCTTTTATGTCCAGTACTGATTGGGTTGGCTAGGCTCCCCAAGACCCTCCACCCCATGACCCAGCTCGGCATTGGTGTCGCTGCCCTGAACCACGACAGTGCGTTCCAGGCTGCCTACGAAAAGGGAATGAAGAAGACCGAGTACTGGGCACCTACCCTCGAGGACTGCCTTAACCTCATCGCCCGACTCCCTGCCTTGGCTGCCCGTATCTACCGAAACGTCTACAAGCCCGGCACTGAGCTCCCTGCTATCAACAAGGACCTCGACCTTGTCGGTAAGTGTTTATGAATAGCGCGTTTTGAACCTCGCTGAACGCCCACGATAGGCAACTACACGAACATGCTTGGTTACGGCTCGAACCAAAACCTCACCGAGTACCTCCGATTGTACATTGCTTTGCACGGTGACCACGAGGGTGGCAATGCTTCTGCACACACTGCTCATCTCGTCGGCTCCACCCTCTCCGATCCTTACCTCTCGTACTCTGCTGCACTCTTTGCTCTCGCTGGACCCCTTCACGGGTATGCCATTCATTGTTTCTGGTTTCAGGTCGGGGTACTGACGCGTAATAACCACTAGTTTGGCCAACCAGGAAGTCTTGAGGTGGCAATTGGCCATGCAACAGGAGCTCGGCGACAAGATCACGCATGATGATATCCGTGACTACCTCTGGAAGACGCTCAAGAGCGGACAAGTCGTTCCTGGGTATGCACATTCCCTTTCCGCACTGTTTCTGTCTACTCACGGCAAGGTAGATATGGACATGGTGTTCTCCGAAACCCCGATCCTCGATTCATTGCTTTGCAAGAGTTCTGCCAGGCGCGACCTGAGCTCAAGGAGAGCCCCATCGTGCAGTTGGTGAACAAGACGTTTGAGGTTGCGCCTGATGTCTTGAAGGAGCACGGAAAGACCAAGAACCCTTACCCCAACGTTGATGCTACTTCTGGTACGTTCGACGCTGGCTATCCGGGATGGCAGTTCTGATGTGTTTGGCTAGGTTGCGTCCTCTACCACTACGGCTTGACGGAGTTCAAGGTAGGTTTTGATCTGGACGGTGTTGCTGCGGGATTTACTGAAGAATCCGCGCACAGTACTACACGGTCATCTTTGGTGTTTCAAGGGCTTTGGGTGCCCTCACTCAACTCGTCTGGGCTCGTGGTATGTATCAAAAAAAGACGCTCGCAAGATCCGGGCTAACAGCTCTGCACAGCTCTTGGCCTCCCCATCGAGCGACCCAAGTGTACGTCTGCATGTCTTTATCTCTCACTGCCTTGCCTAAACTTGCTCTGTTACCAGCGCTCTCGCTCGATGCTTTGGAGGAGCTCATCAAGAACCAAAAGCAATGATTTGTTCATACATAATACACACATCTGTTATCCCGTTGACATTGGAATACATATACATCATTTCGGCCTTGTCACATCACACGACACAGAACCCGGGGCATGAGAGAAGAGGAAAAAAAGAGAGGGTATAGTGAGCAAGATTAGAACTTCCTGATGGGGCCGCCTTGAGGAGGAGGTGGACCGCCTTGAGGGGGGAAGGCGCCGTGCGGTGGAGGAGGGCGACCTCCGAACCCGGCGGGGGGAGGACCTGGACGTGGGGGACCTTGGCCGGGTGGGAAACCGTAACCTTGAGGGGGTGGGGGGCCTTGGCCTTGGAATCCGCCTGGTGGAGGAGGACGGTTGCCTGGAGGACCCATTGGCCCTCCGGGAGGCATGGGGCCACCGGGAGCGCCTGGTCCGGGTGGACCAGGAGGACGGTTGCCTACCGGCATAGGCTGCTGATTTGGGCCGCGAGCTGGGCCGCCTGGAGGGAAGGCTTGAGGAGGAGGAGGACCACCCGGACCTGTTGGGCGCTGACCAGGGGGCGGACCACCGTTTGGCGGACCTTGCTGATTAGGCATTGAAGAGCTTGGGGACGGGCCATCTCTGAGTTGAACGGGTGCAGGAGGGGCATTCTTCTCAGCGGCTTTCATGATCTCGTCGCTGTATGAATGATGAGATGGCGTGTGACGACGGAATATTTGCCATGGAAACTCACTCTAGCAAGTTGAGTGCGGCACAAAGGACGACCCATTCAACACAGTCCTCGTTGCCCTCCCCGAGGGTCTGCCAGACGGCCTTCTCCTCTGGAGTTTTGCCTGTGATGCTGATTCTTGTTCCGCCGCCGTTTGGGCCAGGAGGATTCTTCTGGATTTTGCCAAATTCGATGCGCTTGGGAGGGATGTTATGGCCTGCATAGGCAAAGTAGAACATGGACCAGAAGGCAGCGTTTGGATTTGGTTTTGAGATCTGGAATAGGGGAAGGTCTGGAGAGTCTGGGGAGGGGAGAGAGAGCTTGTAGATGGGAGATATGACGCCTGTGTTTGCTATTGTCCACTTGAGGTTGCGTGAGGCTTCGCAGCGGACGACGCGGGAGGAAGCTGGGGAACCATGGCCGGGGTCGGAGGCGGAGCCCTTGGCGGGGTCCTTGGGGCGAGGCGGGAAGAGCTTTGCGACACAGAGATCGCCTTGAGGGGAAGGAGTGAGCAAATAGTTTTCTGTGTTCTGTGTTGTGTTAGTTGAAGAGTTATAAACTGAATGAATGAGTTGTTACATAGTTTGTATGAAGGTAAGAGTAAAGGATGTTTGAGGGTTGACCGTGTGGGGTGACGATGAGAGTGGGGAGATGGTTTGGGATGGGAGGATGGTGAGGCGAAGTGTATACAGCGTAGATGGCGGCCATGATCAAGTTGAGAGAGACTCTGACTACGGTCAAGTCGGATCCCAGGACTCGCTGAGCACTCTGTGATGGAAGTCACATGACGTTGTGTCACGCGCGTCTGGGTTGGATCGATGCCAGTCAGGGCTGGTGTGGGTTGTTGTCGAGCATCTGAAATGAAGAAAATCGGCAAGAGTCTGGTGTGTCAAGTTGCTGTTTTAACAGGGAAAGTCTCTAAATCTGGCGCAGCTCAGCAGAAAGTCGTCTCAGGACTCGGCGTCGTCGAAGAAAGAGTCGAAGCAGGGGCATGCAGCGCAAGCGGCCTCCGCGCCCCCGCCTCCGCCTCCTAACACCTCCAAGCCGCTTCCACAGCCAGTGCAGTCAACCCAGCATCACAATAACTACTCTGCAAACTCTCGCTTGGGCCAACAATCAGATCGCAGATCCGCCCCAGATTTAACCCAGACGGCCCCTCCCATCGTCGTCGTCTCCTCAGATCCTGCCCAGGATCGCCCCAACCACGCCCAGGACAGGCATTCCCTCGGCCTTGACCACTCATCCCCGACGCCTCCCAGAAACACTACCCTCAACCGTCTCCGTGCTGCTCCCAAAGACACAATCCCCATCGTAGGAAAACCTCCCCGCAAACAGCGCAGCAGCAGGTTCGTCGTCACAGAAAAGGTCGAGATCGAGCGTTTGCCTCCTTTCAATGGTCCGTATCCATAGTCTCTCTTTATATATCTTACTCACATTCTATTGCTCAGAAACACCTCCCAGCGAGCGCCCAGGTCTCTTCATCAGAAAGCTGGCACAATGTCGCGTTCTCTTCGATTTCAACGATGCCAGCTCCGAGCTCAAGGGCAAGCAGATAAAGGCACAGACCCTCCATGAGATGCTCGAATACATCACAACCCAGCGCGGTGTTATCACAGAAAACGTCTACCCAGAAGTCGTTAACATGGTGTGTTTTCATTTCCTACCCCCATTACCACAAACACCCTTATCATTCCCACCCCCAGTTTGCCACAAACCTCTTTCGCTCCATACCCCCTCCCGTCAATCCAACAGGAGACGCTTTCGATCCAGAAGAAGACGAGCCAGTCCTCGAGCTTGCCTGGCCTCACCTTCAAATCGTATACGAATTCTTTTTGCGCTTCGTCGAAAGCCCAGACTTCAACACCAACCTTGCAAAGCGATACATCGATCAGCCCTTTGTCTTAAACTTGCTCGAGCTCTTCGATTCAGAAGATCCACGAGAACGCGATTTCCTCAAGACAACTCTCCATCGCATCTACGGAAAATTCCTCAACCTCCGCGCCTTTATCCGACGCTCCATCAACAATGTATTCTTCCAATTCATCTATGAAACTGAACGCCACAACGGTATCGCTGAGCTTTTGGAAATCCTCGGTTCCATCATCAACGGTTTCGCCTTGCCCCTCAAGGAAGAGCACAAGGTCTTCCTTACACGTGTCCTCATCCCTCTCCACAAAGTCAAGTCCCTCTCCTTGTATCACCCCCAACTCGCCTATTGCGTCGTACAATTCTTGGAAAAGGATCCCACTCTGGCCGAGGATGTCATGCTCGGCTTGCTCAAGTACTGGCCCAAGGTCAACTCGCCCAAGGAGGTCATGTTCCTCAACGAGGTCGAGGAGGTTCTCGACGTCACCGATCCCATCGAGTTCCAAAAGATCCAGGTCCCTCTGTTCCAGCAGCTGGCTCGCTGTATCAATAGCCAGCATTTCCAGGTCGCCGAACGCGCGCTGCTCTACTGGAATAACGAATACGTCGTCAATCTCATGAGCGACAATCTGTCCGTCATTCTTCCCATTGTATTCCCTGCATTGTACAACAATTCGAAATCACACTGGAATCGGTATTTATCTCTTCACGACTTTTTCCATCAGTGCTGCCCTTCTAAACCCATCTCCAGCACCATTCATGGCATGGTTTACAATGCCTTGAAGCTATTTATGGAGATCAACCCTGACCTCTTTGACGAAACACTTCAACATTACAAGCAGACCAAATTCCGGTGCGTTTTGCGATCAGCACTCGGGTCTCAAATTTTAGCCTCATATACAGCAACAGAGAGCAAGAGCATGCTGTATCACAGTACGCCGCTTGGCAAATGCTGCGAGAGAAGGCTATCCGCAATAACGGTGGTTCACTTCCAGAGGGTTATGTGGAGCCCCCTCGGGAACCCCCGCCACCTCCCACCGCGATTGATGATTCTGAAATTCTCGACCTCTCCATGGAGCTGAATGCCGCTTCCATCGACGACATGCAAGGGGACTTGGATGAATCAGGCATTGAGCGAGTTCCCATGGCAGATCCTGGATTAGATGTGAGTGAATGAAAAACTTGGCTCGAAGAGTCTCTCAGACCGCCCGAATGTGAACAGACTCCTATTCCCCAGGTTGGACACCACGAGAACATTGTCGGTGCTGAACATGGTCTCCACACCCGTCGAAAGAGTGTGCTACCAGGTATGCCATCGTCGTTCCATCCTCTTGCTCTCCGCTAACCGTTGTTCCAGTGGATCCAAGCGTCCTCAGGGATCTGCAAGCACATAGAAGTCTTGATGACGCCCCCATCCTACCTGGTCGTTGAACGATTCCATTGTAGGATGTCTCCCTCTTGAACACCCTAGTAATCGTCTGTCTTACGAGTTCTGACACGTTCCTCTCTCTCTTTTTTTTTTTTTCTCTCAAAACATTTGTGGCCTGTGTACTATTCTGCAACGATGTTGTTGTGCTAGCGAAATCGCGTACATACCAGAGAGAGAGCAGCTGTATTGTTTCCAGAGAGTCGATATTATTTTTGATTTAATCAGGATTGCCGTCTACGTGGCGAACAGATCGGATGGACTCCACTGATGGATCGGGTCGGGAGGGGAACCTGACAGGGGTTGCAAGACAAAATGGGCACAGATGTGTATGGAACATTGGAGAGAGTTGGATAGGACAGCTACAAGCTTGGCGTACAGCAGGGAGGTGTGGATAGCACATAGCTTGAAACGGCAACAATGGCGGCAAGACTGTCCACAACAGAGAACCGAAAGAATACAAAAAGCCGTCAAGCATAAGGGTGGAACGAAGATCGAAGGGGTATAGCAATGGATTAAGGATCGCAAGCCTAGTATAGATACGGGGTTAGATATCTGGGGGTGTGGACATGGTTGTATAGTTTGGGAAATGGGGTCGTAACATCGTGAAACATGGGGTGTTAAGGGATGGAAAAAGATTCCATGCTAATAGTCCAATAATTTATCCAGATAGCATATACGGCTTGGTAGTAGTCCATGTCGAGAAGTGGGGTAGGTCGGGTGTTAAGTGGGTGGTGGGATGTGACTCGGCGTGAGCCATGGGGACTTTTGCAGCGGTCGGCCATGCCAGGACGACATGCCATGCTGTGTGCTTGTGTTGCGGGGGAAGAGGGAACCAAGTCCTGGGATCTTGACGCTCGTGGTAATCAGAAAGAAATGAAAAGAAACGGGAAGCGGTCATTGGAAGAAAAGCCCTTCGTCGTCGACAACAAGTCTAGTAAAGAATCTAGATCGTCGATGACGGCTTCATTCTTCCGGCCATTTAAGTTATTCTGCGACGTCTTCGTTGTAGATGTAAATCGATGTGTTGAACACGGCTGGATTTCGACGTCTGCGCCTTCGGGGAAATGACTCGACAGGGTTGATGGGAATTCCGAGGGTGGCAGTTCGCGCTGCCGCGGACGCAGTCGCTAATCTGGCGCCTCTGGCTCACTGCGGGTGGTGCAGAAGCCAATACTTTGGGTATAGGCCTTGAACGTTGCTGGTAATGACACAGCTCGAATACGAGGGCGGGTGCGTCGGGCTGAGCGGTCGTCCTCTGGAGACGGAGACCGAGGTCGCTTGACGGGTAGAGACGGTTCTTCGAGTATATCGCTCCTCCATTGCTCGATATATGCCAAGAGAGAGTCCGGCGGTGGAAGGAGGGAGAGGGTCTCCTCCGTTGTTGGGTAAACGAGATCGGAGTCTTCATGGTTAAGTGTAGAGGGGAGATCTTCGAAGCTGCCACATCCCGTCCCCTCCGTAAACGAGTCCATGTCCTTCAACAAAGGCGCCCCTGGTGGTTTAACAGGCTCCATACGTTCAGCACTGTTCGCGTATTCCCCGCTGTACCAGTACTGAACGGGGGTCTGGCAATCGTACGGCGACGCTCGCACGGTGAAGTCGACATGCGGGGCCTCAGGCGTCGGGAGTGACGCTGAGCCATAGGATGGCGAGTCATCCTCGTCGCTGTCGATGTTGATGATCGAGAGTTCCTCCAGTTTGTCCAAGACGTCGTCGTTGCAGACTCGATTAAGCGACTTGCTGCTGGTCATTCTTGGAGCAATAGCGCCTGAAGAGGGAGGCGAGAGCGCTGTTGGCAGCCAGCTTCGCTACAGGCCGTTTGGGGCAAAAAGAGAGAAGGTGAAGGTTGGGGGAAAGAAAGATTGTCGACCAAATCGTTTTGCAAACGTTATAAGTATCGGACACCCAAGCCAGACCAGAGCCAACGACCAAGGATTTTCGGAGTCTGAATTTGACTCAGATAATGAGATTGGTCAGCAGTTTCCCATCCCTTACAACTTTGCCGCTCGCCGGCGATCAACAGCTTTATCCGTATCGGACCGGGTCCCGAGTTCAATCCTTACCTGCGTCACTTTTTTTCTCCAAGCCCTTATTTGAATCATTGAATGATTGTATGTAGGAGAGCAGAGAAAAATGAAATGAAAATTGCAATGAAGTATATGATACAATGAGGTAATTTTAGTCTAAGTCCACTATAGAAATGATATGCGACAAAGAGAGAACGCGAAAAGTGATATCATGTTGTTTAGTCGACCTCCTCCACGCTAGGACCGTCTTCGCTAGCACCGGTACCGGCACCAGGGAAGCCACCAGGAGCACCGCCAGCGCCAGGGAAGCCGCCAGGAGCACCGCCGGCAGAGGCGTAGAGGTTTTGCATGATGGGGTTGGCAATACCCTCCAACTCCTTCTGCTTGCTCTCGTACTCCTCCTTGGAAGCCTCTTGCGAGTTGTCGAGCCACTGGATGGTCTCGTTGACGGCCGCCTCGAGCTTGGACTTGTCAGAGGCATCAAACTTGTCAGCGAGCTTGGGGTCTTGGATCGAGTTGCGAAGGTTATAGGCATAGGACTCGAGTCCGTTCTTGGCGGTGATGCGAGCAGCGGCAGCCTCATCCTCAGCCTTGAACTTCTCGGCCTCGCTAACCATGCGGTCGATCTCCTCCTTGGAGAGACGGCCCTTGTCGTTGGTGATGGTGATGCGGTTGGACTTGCCAGTGGTCTTGTCAGACGCGGAGACGTTGAGGATACCGTTGGCGTCGATGTCGAAAGTGACCTCGATTTGGGGAACACCACGGGGAGCGGGAGGAATGCCCGAAAGTTCGAACTTTCCGAGCAAGTTGTTGTCCTTGGTGCGGGCACGCTCACCCTCGAAGACTTGGATGAGGACACCGGGTTGGTTGTCGGCGTAAGTGGAGAAGATCTCAGACTTCTTGGTGGGGACGGTGGTGTTTCGCTTGATGAGGGCAGTCATGACACCACCAGCGGTCTCAATACCGAGGGAGAGAGGAGCAACGTCGAGGAGGAGGAGGTCTTGAGTCTTCTCGGAGGTGTCACCAGAAAGGATGGCAGCCTGGACGGCGGCACCATAGGCGACAGCCTCGTCGGGGTTGATGCTCTTGTTGGGCTCCTTGCCGTTGAAGAAGTCGGACACGAGCTTAACGATACGGGGGATACGGGTGGAACCACCAACGAGGACGATCTCGTGGACGTTGGCCTTGTCGATCTTGGAGTCACGGAGGACCTTTTCGACGGGATCGAGGGTGCTTCGGAAGAGGTCCTGGCAAAGTTCCTCGAAACGAGCACGGGTGAGGGAAGTATAGAAGTCGATGCCCTCGAAGAGAGAGTCGATTTCGATGGAGGTTTGGGTGGCAGATGAGAGTGTTCGCTTGGCACGCTCGCAAGCGGTTCGGAGACGACGGACAGCACGGGCGTTGCCAGAGATATCTATTAGGAAGATTCATCAGTAACTAATCAAACTATAGTATTGTGTTGAACATACCCTTCTTGTTCTTGCGCTTGAACTCTTGGATGAAGTGGTTGACGAGACGGTTGTCGAAGTCCTCACCACCCAAGTGAGTATCACCAGCGGTGGCCTTGACCTCGAAGATACCCTCCTCGATGGTCAATAGAGAAACGTCGAAAGTTCCTCCTCCAAGGTCGAAGATCAAGACGTTTCGCTCGCCAGTGACCTGCTTGTCGAGGCCGTAAGCAATGGCAGCGGCCGTAGGCTCGTTGATGATACGGAGAACGTTAAGACCAGAGATGGTACCCGCGTCCTTGGTAGCCTGTCGCTGAGAGTCATTGAAGTAGGCGGGGACGGTAACAACGGCGTTGGAAACAGTGGTGCCAAGGTAGGACTCGGCGGTCTCCTTCATCTTGAGCAGAATCATAGAGGAGATTTCTTCCGGAGACTACAAAGGGAAGCATGTTAGATAAGAATAAGAAGTAAGCCAAGATCAACTTACGAACTGCTTCTTCTCTCCACGGTACTCGACCTCGACGTAGGGCTTGCCATCCTTGCTGAAGACGCGGAAGGGGAAGTGTTTCATATCGGATTGCACTTCAGGATCCTCGAACTTGCGACCGATGAGACGCTTCGCGTCGAAGACACTGTGATGCAAGCGCGATCAGTTATCGATCTTGAGAAAAATGCAACGATCGAGGGGAACTTACGTGTTGTGGGGGTTCATGGCGACTTGGTTCTTTGCGGCATCACCGATGAGACGCTCGCTCTCGGAGAACGAGACGTAGGAGGGGGTGGTACGGTTACCCTGGTCATTGGCAATAATTTCCACTCGGTCGTTTTGCCAGACACCGACACATCTAGGGAAAAACAGGGTCAGAATCGCTCCCGACGAGGACGCAGTACCTATGATAAAAGAACTTACGAGTAGGTGGTGCCGAGATCGATACCGACAGCTTTTGAGGTGGACATTGTTAACGATGAGGTCTAGATGAAAGTCAGTGGGTATATCGATAGATTGGGAGTTGGTTGACCGACTTTAGGAAATTAAGAGGAAGAAATGAACTGTGGAGGGACGATGTTTGGTGTGCAGCATTTTATATGTTCTGTGGCCTTTGGAAACCCTTCGAACGAGCCCGAAACATCTGGAACATTTCCCTTGCACGTGAGGAAACTTGCCCTTGCGTCATCCAGTCTATTGCCAAATCGGGTAACCCATCCTTCTAGTGCCCTCGACGCGCCTCTTCAACGTTCAACTTGTTGTGCTGAAACGTTCTAGCATGGTCGCGAAAATGAACACGATGGAAACCGCTCGAACGCTATCCACAGTGTACACGGATAAGGTCGATCCACTCTATGCTACGGCGAACGAAGCGGAGAATGGAGTGAGCACCAGTTCTCGCTCGAAGAAATATGGTGGGGCGGGTCACCATGATCCAGCGCGCCAGGAAATATTGGTGGCAATTATGGTGGGAGTCAGCACAAAGTCAGCACTGACTCCAGCACTGAGCTTCTTATCGCATAGTTGCACTTGTATATATATATGTGAAGAACCTCACGGTAGTCCACATGATGGTGCCCCCTCTCATACCGTCATGCAGCTGATCCACCGGTACTGCAACAACCGGTTATCCTTGAGCACTCAGGAGACCGGCGAATGCTATAAAGAGGACCGAACCTTTGGTATTCAGTGATTCCCCTCCCCTTTCTGCAATCGACAGTACTACAATGGCTTCAGAACATATCGGCGTCCATTCCAAAGGCGACAGTGTCGCCGAAGAGATCGAGAGTCAGAACAAGGCGTTCACCCCCCGCCCACCTACTTTTTCCACCAAGCTCGAGGAACGAGACTGGCTCAAGTTCCGTCTAGCTCAGGCTTTTCGGATTTTTGGTACGTACAGTGCAGCAGATGTAGGCTAGAAGCAATATTCACTCGAGAGGTCAGGTAACCTGGGATTTAACGAAGGCGTCGCCGGGCATATCACTGTCCGGGTAGGTCATCTTAACCTCACGCACCCCTTTCTGTAACGTCTCTTCCGCCGTCTAGGATCCCATCAAGACCGATTGCTTCTGGGTTAACCCATTCGTAAGGATCTAATAGTAAAAAACACAAGTTGGATGATGGCTTCAACTCACGTATGGACAGGGGTTGCATTTCTCCCTGATTAAACCTGAAGATCTCCTGCTTGTCGAGTAGGTCTTTTCTTAGTTGCATTGTTGAACGCTAATAATCCGAAAATTATAGTCACGCAGGGAAAATTCAGGTAAGCTCCCTCACTCGAAAGAAGGCTTGCTGGCATCTAATGTAACGAGCCCAGGATGAATCAGGGCCTCGTCGAATGCTCAACACTGCTGCCTACATGATCCATGCTGCAATACACACCGCAAGGCCAGACGTCCTTTGTGCTGCACATACGCACTCGATCTTTGGGAAGGCATTCTCGTCCCTGGGAATCGAGTTGGCAATGTTGAATCAAGACGCTTGTGCATTCTATAACGTATGTGTCCTGGAATTCGACCAGTGCAGAAAGGCGACTTACCTCCCCGCTCTTTAGGACATAGTCCTATACAATCAGTTTAATGGCATCGTCCTGGACAAGGACGAAGGTTTTAACATCGCAAAGGAACTCGGGTCCAAGAAGGTCTGTTGAGACTTGCCCAGTTTCACTCACTGACGAGAGCTAACCGAGAACTCCGTGTCGCATACAGGCTGCCATTCTGCAGAACCATGGCCTCCTGGTGGCTACCAACACCATCGAGGCAACCGTTTTCTTTTACATTGCCTTGGAGAGGGCATGTCAAGCTCAACTTATGGCAGACGCAGCCGCCGGAGCCCATGGAAGGACGCCCATCAAGATTTCGGACGAAGAGGCGGCATATACCGCGAAGAGCAATGGAAACCTTATGGCTGGTTGGTTCCAAGCTCTTCCTGAATTCCAACTTCTCGAAGCCAGGGAAGGGGTGAATTTTGAAAGCTGGAAGAAAGCCCGTGAGGGCAAAGTGAACGGAACCGCATAAAGGAGTAGTACATTGCGCGAATGAAGAGAGAATAAAGGCACTGTACAATATCATTCAGCAGATTAAGAGATTCCTGTGTCATTGTACTAGTTCTAGGTTACTTAGATTCGGATGGCTAAACTTGATGTGAGAACGCCCATTCGAACCCGGGCTTGGCACTAAGCGGCCATCAAAGAACAAATCTCTACCATCATCACCTTCCTCCATCGGGTCTAGATACATTTCTTCGAAATTACAGCCTTTCTTCGACCATGAACATACCCACAGACGCCATTCCCGGAGGACCCCCTTCCACTGCTGGTGGACAAGATGAAGAGGCCGCTAAACGGGCAGCCGAGCAGGAGATGCGTAAAGACGTGATTGCTCGGATACTGGAACCGGCAGCAAGGGAGAGGTGTAAGTATTGATTTGTACATATAGATTGTCGTGTTCAGCCGACTTATGTCTGCAATGCTACGGGGTTCCAGTGTCCAGGATATCACTTGTCAGTCAGCAACGTGCACAGCAAATCGAAGCAGTCCTCATCCGCATGGCGCAAGGCGGCCAACTTCGAAGCAAAGTCACGGAAACGCAGCTCATAGATCTCCTTGATCAGGTTTGGAGATGTGGCTCTCTACGTTGCAGGCCTGCGACTAACTACCGGTTCTCTCATCAGTTTGAAGAGGTGCAGGACTCTGGAAAGACGAACAAATCGAAGATCATTGTGAGCATTTTTCTTACCGTCAATCCGAGGGCTTAATTCTGACGGACTTGATCTCTTGCATCCCAGTACCAACGACGAAAGGATTTGGATGACGACTTCGACATCTGAAGAAGCGAGGCTCAAAAAAGTTTGTATTCACTATTCATATTCAAGGACAGGACTACTACAATGCACAATACTTGCAACTCTTTCAACTGCGCCACGATTTGCTTGGGGGATACACGGCGTGCTGACCCGGATGGAATGCCATATGCATGGGACTGCTGTGTTCCACGTAGCTCTGTGCAACCGAGTGGGTGATACCTGGCGAAGATAAGATAGGTGATGCAGATCCCTCTACGACTGGCGGCTTGAAGTTCTGGTTAAGAAGGTTCACGATTAGCCGAGCACAGAAGCAGAGAAACCGGCACTCACGTATTGCCTCCCTTCCTTGTAGATCTCGTCCAGTTTCGCATCAAACACCCCTTCTTCCTCCATTTCTTGATATGCGTGGTATAAATCCAATGCCGAACGCGCGTCCTCGATGGAGTCGTGGGTGTCGGTCTGGATGTGCTTTTTCAGAACGAACCACGCCAGGAAACGAAGGGATAACCGCCGCTGTCTTGACTTGACAAAGTATAAGTCTACAGTGTCGATCACCTGTTCCGGAGGCACGAAGATATCTGCTCAATGGTTATCAGCACGGTACCAGACAATGACTGCATTGATTTACTGATGATCCTGAAATCCTTGGAGAGGCCGTGACCAACGAAAATGCATCCGCAGTCGACAAGTGCGCGTAACTTCTTGTAAACAACCTTCAGAGGTGTCAGAGTATACCTAGAGAGCATGGGATCGAGATCCCCGACTATTCAAATGTCATCTCAGTTCTGTTGCCGGAGTTTGGGCAAACAACCTACATCGGATCCCTGAATATTCGGTCAGATAATCCACGATGACCTCGCTCGTGTGAATGTGGTCGTCGATGAAGGGAATGCCCCGCTTGGGCCCGTCCCCTCGAAGTACAGACACTCGAGCCAAGCTCAGTCTCGCTGGTCTTAAGACTTTCTTCGCGCCGTCAGACCGGATCTCTGTTTCTTCCTGTCGCATGTTTAGGCCAGTCCCTTTTGTTGCATCAACATGAGATAGGAAGCACCTGTTGCATCGACACAAATTCAGCGTCGATGGCCACCAGAGTTCCTGGCTTCGGCAATTCGTCTGGAGTCAGTAGCTGGTGGCGGATAGATCCCTGATCCCGGTTCCTTGTATCATCCATCAGCGGGAGCAACAGGCGAATGGGAGAAGGGACGAACTGCGATATCGATGTATCTCGAGTTAGGATACTTGGGTCGCCCGCTGGGAGAAGATTGCTCAGATCCAATCTGCCTCGCAAATCTACCCTTTCCATGTAGATAATGGCAGGAACCTGTATGTCTTGTTCGTATCAAAAAGAAGGGACATGTAGCTGTTCACTTGCCTTCCATTTCCCGGGGAAGCTAAGTGCCTCCTTCCCGGATATATGTCGTACCATGAAATCGTTAAAGATTAGCCAAGAGCCTTCAATCCCATCGTTCTCCTCGGGGGGAACTACAGGCATTTAAGAACTTGGGAAGGGTGCGTGACTGGACCAACGTACGCTTCACGAGAGCAACCAAATGGGATTGCTTCCCTTTGGTCGTAATTTTGACAACAAGGCACTTTCATCGCGAGTTAGCATATACGAGGAGTCCCAACAGGTTGCTCTCACCCTGATCTCATAGGTGACGACCTGGGGATCGTCCATGTCGCCTAGCTGCCCGGACACTTGTACTTGAGGTTTCAGGAAAGGACCTGCTTTGGAATCCAACCAATATTCAATATTCTCATCGTTATACACAGCCGCGTTCAGTGCAAGGATGGGCGGAAGGTCGCTAGAGGGTATCGAGCGTTGGGATGTGAATGTAGCGAAGTGCTTGCAAGATTGGCAAGTTGCCTTGTGCGTCATACTCCGGAGAAGCGATGATCGAAGTATCGCCGCAAAGTCTGGGGCAGTGGTGGTATCCTGAAGAGTCAATCAGTGTAAACTTGGAGTACGACAGAGTCTGTGAACCTTTCGAGGGTGGATAAGGTCGATTACATGCGTCATGTTGTCCTTCTCGCGAACGGCTTTGCAGCTTGAGCAAACTATAATGTTTTTGGCATCGACACCAATAAGTTGGGTGATCGGCGCTGGTGCCAGTTCGCCATGGTTTGCAGCAGTAGGCTTGAGCAGTAAGGGATTATAAGGGAAAGAGTTGCCTTCCGAACTGAGGTGGTCAATGAGGAAGCGGTGGAATATCTGAATCTTATGTGCATAGTCAACTTCGGAGGTTTCCCGTCCGAAGTCGACGAGTTCAATAGCATTAGAATCTGGAAAGAATGTCAGCATCTTTCCAGGAGAGGGATGCGCGCTGACTTACTGTGAGCCAGCACTCCAACCGTCCGACAGAAATTGCTCGATTGGCAATTCGTCCCTTTGGCATCTTCCAGCATGCGGGAAACGAAGCCGAGTTCACAAAGAAGGCAGTGTTCCCTTGAACAGTCGGTCGTGATATGTGACTTCCCGAGTTGGCGAATGGGGAGAATGTAGTGAAGGACTTGAACGAGGGAGTTGGTGTAGGAATTGAGGATGTGCGTTTCCAAGCCGCTGAACTGGGTTTGGTTGTAGAACCTGAAAGGAATTAGATGACGCGGACACATGAAAATCAATGGAAGCATACCCGAAGTCGAAGTCCTCGACGCCGAACTTGGAGTACTCGATTTCGACTTTCCGATAAAACTCAGGGATGTGGATGTCATCGAGAATGGTAGTGTCAGAACCAGACTTGGAAACAGCCATAATGTTAGCTCCGCGGTGGGTGACGGGGGGTGGTCATCCTCACCTCCTTTCTACCCTTTCCACTTCGGAATCGAGCGTTTTCTTTCTTGGGTGCAGCAATAGCTAGATTCCGTCTTCCCCGAAGTTCCTTTGGCAGTGGGGCATATGCAATGTTGTCATTTGTCTTGATTGAGTTGAGGACTTGAGGGGGGATCCTCTGCGGCGGAGGGAAGTAAGGGGCAGTTGCAACCACTGGAGACCATGCCGATAGCAACGGCGTCTCGTAGTAGGGAAGGCCAATCGAGTTGAGTGGTCTAAAGTCATTTCAGCAACTAGCTTTGACAAGGGCTGTTGCTCACATACGTATCATCCTGCCAATCGATCTCGGGAATGGGGGCAGGAGTGTCCATCCACGGAGTAGGCTGGCCATCGAAACCATTGAACGGAAGGGAAGCATCCTCAGCTTGCGAGAGAAGATGAACTAGTCCGTCGGCATCTCCACAGGCAATATATGTGCCGGTCGGGGATATGGCAAAAGAGGTGAGGTATGAAGGCACGTCCAACTAAAAGAATCAGATCTGGGGAGGGTAGATAGAGGCGTGGACTTTACCTGGTAGAATTCTCCAGCAGCGGAAGGGTTTGACGCATCAACAATGTTTATCAGACCTTGCGCAGATGCGACCGCAATGCTAGAAGAACGTTTGGGAAGCACATGTATGAGGGCTGGCCCGGAGGAACACGGAATTGGCGGGAGCGCTCGCATTGTCCTCAAATCGTATACTTTCACTAACGGATCGGGAAACGGCCTCGCATGCCTGTATTGGACGATGAACAAGGGATATCACAAAAGGAAGAAAGTGAGCGAACCTCTCCCCCATGCCGATGCTGAAGATAAAATTGCTTGTAGCCTGAAGGCCGGAGATAGCGCCAATATGTGCTTTGACGAGACTTTCTGACGCCCCGTTTTTGGTGACGCCGGTTCGTGGGTCATGAATCCGAATGTATCCATCGGCGGAGCCAGAGATGAGGGACGAATGGGAAAAAAGTAGGTGGGTCAACATGGAGCTTGTCGGAATCTGTCGCACTGTCCTTCCTGTCATGCTGTTTAAAAAGAGCAGTTCCAATGTCGTCAAAGAAACTGCGATAGAATGTGAAGAGTGGTATGTGTTCGAGAATGCCGCTATATTGGATGGGGCTCTATACCGTCATTAGTAGATCTAGCAGTCGCAGCGTAGCAGAGTAACGTACGTGAAAAACCATTTATTCTGTCCTCCCTTGGCCCAAGAACCGACTCCGTTGCTTCCCATGCAAAACGCGTTCACTTGACTATCTCCAGCCACAATCTTGGACACTGGAGCATCTTTACAGACCGGGAAAGAGACACCTCGCAGGCCTCTATGCCCATAATACGTAGACACCACACCGTCTTCCGCGCCAGTCCAGAGAACATCGGACACGGGATCGAAGGCGAGAGCGGTGATAGCCCTGGAAAAGTTGGACAGCTCCGGAGAACTCAGAGGTGGCAATGGATGATATGATGCCATGATCGTTCCTCGAGCGTTTTAGTGCAAATAGATGCTCATCGACGCCAGCCACTCGACAAAGTTCTGGAGCAAACGCGGTGGACACTATGGTGGTAGTGGTGGCGGCGGTAGTCGTGGTTGAGGTTCAAAGAATACAAGACGCGGCGAGCGCTTATAGTATCACGATCAATTCCATCTCGTGTTCAGATCATGCAATTCATTTCAAATCGTATCAAGTCGTAGGCGGTACATTAGTAAACGGGCTAGTACTACAGAAAGCTATGATAACAATTACGAGGCTATTGAGGGGAATGCAATAATGATATATGATATGGTTATCGTCCAAGCGAGCTCATAAAGCTTGACAAATCTAACCCTTCATACTCTTCTTCCGGCATGTCCTCCAAAGCAGCCAATAAGCTCTTCTGAGTCATGGGCTTGTTGGCCTCCTTTGCCTTCTTGGCCGCTGCCGCTGAATCCTCCTCTTCTGTGGTCCGTCTAAAGAGATCTAGTACTTGGTCTGTGTCCATCGAAGATAAACCCGAATTCTGTTGATTGACTATAGAGTTGGCGATATTAAGCTTGAATCGTTGGAGACTACAAAATAGTCTTTAGACCTCTAGCAGCAGGACGAAGATGTGTATTTACATACCCCATGATTTTCTCTTCCAGTGTGCCCTTTGTGATAAGTCGATAGACATTGACGACCTTTTTCTGCCCAATGCGATGAGCACGGTCCATAGCTTGCAAGTCTTTCATGGGATTCCAGTCGTGTTCGACGAAGATAACGGTATCGGCACCGGTCAACGTTAAGCCCAATCCGCCTACATGTGTCGTCAACAGCAAGCAGTCGATACTGGGGTCCGAATTAAATGTCTGGACGATGGCATGTCGTTTGTTGGCATCGGTGGATCCGTCGAGACGCATGTAAGTCACTGAAGGCATGTGAGGCTTGAACAAATCGGTCTCAATGATATCCAGCATCTGCTTCATCTGACAGAAGATGAGTACGCGATGCTGCGAGAACGTTCCAGAGGTATCCGTTGGCGCGTCGATTAACTCGCTCTTCTGGCTGTCAGCCGCTAATGCCGGAGGTGATCCAATGCCGCAATCCATCAGGAGTTGTCTATGCACAAGGCAATGAGTAAGGTACGCGTCAGAGAAGCCAGAATACACACTTGAGAGCCAACAGCTTGGGTGCGTTTTGAATGTCCCTCAAGCTATCCTTCGTGAGCTTCGCGTTTTCCAACGCAACCTTGGTGGCCTCTTCATCCCTAAGAACCAGTGCTGGGTGATTGCACAGTTTACGGAGGTACTGTAGGGACTGGAAGACATGCTGTTGAGCAGGGTCGCCCTTCTCCACCACATCTGACTTCAACGTCTTGCCCGTCGCAGTTCCCGCCTTTGATTTCGAGAAGTCGTCGTAGAGGTTTTTCTGCAATTCGGATAATTCGCAGTAATAATCCTGTATGATCTTCGGTGGAAGGTCATTCAAGACGTCTTCTTTCAATCTTCGCAACAGGAAAGGAAGCACTTGTTTGTGGAGCGCTTCCAGGGCAAGCGCCGCTAGTAGCAAAACGGTCAGGCTGTATGACATGGCAAGAAGATTTAGACAACTTACCGGCCTCTGCGTTTTTGTTCTTGCCATCACGGTTGGAAAGGATAGGCTTCCCAAACCTTTCGTTAAAGGAAGACTCCGTGCCAAGGAACCCGGGCATCAAGAAATCGAACAAACTCCATAGTTCAAGCACGTTGTTTTGAATCGGAGTACCGGACAAGATGAGACGATGCTGCGCCTGAATCGATTTTACAGCCTTAGTCAGCTTGGTCTTCGCATTCTTGATAACATGTCCTTCGTCCAAAATGCAGTATAGCCACTTGAGGCTTTCGAGATTAGCAATGTCGTTTCGGACAACCTCATAGGAGGTGATGACAACGTCGTGTTGCTGAAGTTTGGGAAGCATGCGCGACCGCTCTCTGGCGTTGCCGGTATACAGGATAGGCTTCAGGTTCTCGACGTATTTGAGAATTTCGTAGTACCAATGGCCGGTCAATGTTGGAGGACATATGATGAGGGAAGGGAGGTGGACAGCGTCGGGGCTCTTCGTTTCGCGATACTTGTCCCGTCGTTCTTGATGTTTGCTGGCAAGGATGCATATTGATTGTAGCGTCTTTCCGAGACCCATGTCTATAATAGTTTTTTCAGCTATGTTGAGCACATTGGGTGGACTGCAACTCACCATCGCAAAGGATGCCGTGCAACTGATACTTGGCCAGGAATGCCAACCAATTGACACCATCCTGTTGATATTTGCGAAGTTCTGCATTGACTTTGACGGGAATTTGGTACTGGTCGACTTTGGAGCCATCCAAAAGTTGAGCAAGGAATTGTCGCTCCTCGTCTCGTCGTTTGAGCAGTTCGTCCGAGAAGCCGATGGGATCCGGAAGCCCAGCCTTGAAACAACATTAACATCATAACGGCGATAATGTGAGCAGTAGTGGAAAGGTTCATACCTCCAGTGGGACCATCTTGACGAGTGACGCAAATGTATTGGTTGCAGTCGAACGGATTTCATCGTTGGCATCGCTCATACGGCCGAGTACAGGGACGACGAGAAAGATGACATAGGGCAAAACCTTGATGTCGAGTCGCTGCACAATCTCTGGAACCAAAAGGTCAGACCATTCCTGTACCATAATGATTACATTCACTCACGATAAATCAACTCCACAGCCCCTTGTCTATTTGAGAGGTTCAAAGGATCCCCAATCAGTGGGATGATCTTCTCAACCACATATCGCATAGCGTCGTTGGTCATAACGTCGCACAGCGTTGCGAAACATCTTGTAGCGCATTGTCGTATGATGGCGAATCGACTGCGGATACCAAGTTCCAGCATGGGGAAGATCTGATTGAACTTGGGAAGAAGGTCTGGGTGGAATGTGGGTAACACTGCTTCAAGGACGCTGAGAGAATCGATAACATCCTGTCCGAATTGCTTCTCGATCAACTGGTCAGATTTCTCCGGAGAATCTAGAAAAGATGTCAGAAGACGTAAATAGAAGTGAGACAGACTCATACCCGTCTCGTTAAAGGCACTGAGCAGACCGCCAACCATACATGGCCATACATTGGGAAGGACATCGAGCAACCGCGATCCAAACATGCGGGAGAATTCAGCGAATGCGAGTTTGCCACCACGTCGGGATAGTTGCGCTTTACGAGTTTCCTCGAATTTGGCGTGAGAGGCTCCAAAGCTCTCCTTGCCATTCGCCTGGGTACCATTGGTGACAGTACGAAACGATAGGATGCCCTCCAGATCCTGCTTGCAATACGAAAACATTGGCGTCTGTTCTGAGTCTTGACACAAGAAAGTGCACAGATTCTTCACGATCTTGTCAGGCGGTTGGACGATGTTATGCTTGATACAGAAATCGATGAAACGTGCAACGGATAAAGCTGAACGCGTCTGCAAGTCCTCGTTTTCTTCGTTCTGGTAAGACGTCAGTCTCGATAAATGTGGAGGATGCGCGAATGAATCAATACCTTGACGCCGTTCATGATGCCCTTGACAATTGGACTGACTTTATCAGGCACGGTCCTCAACGAGACGAAAGCGGCAGCAAAGGAAGCCGAGACTCGATTGTCGTTTTGCGCTTTGAGTTCCATGTAACGAGTAATGCTGGCCTCGATCTTTTCCCGTCGTTCAGCAAGTACAGCCAGTTCCTTTTTCTTCGTTCGCCCGAGTGAGTCACGCAATCGAGTGTAGTGCGACCCAAGTGCGACACGGGCCGTGTCGATTGTGAACGCTCCTGGCGCTGTACCGGTGATGTCCACTTCCTGACCCAGGTTGGGAATGGAGGACATCGGAAGTTTGCAATCAGAGTGGAAGGCTTGGAGCAGTGCTGCACATTCCATATGTATCCTTGTCAAAGCTGGCGTCATTTCGTGGTAACCTAGAGGTGGTTTAGCTTGAAGCCAAAGAAGTGTCTTGTCGCTAATTTCCTTCGCCATGTCGTTCTTTTCCGTTAACAACGGTCCAGAGGGGTTTTCTCGCGCGTATTGCTCAGCCCATTCCTCTGCAATGATTCCACTCAGGAATTTTTGCAGCATGCTAATCGAATCGACATAGTGAATGAGGATCACGCGGAAAAAGGGTGTAATGGCCTAAAAGTCATCAATGACAGCAAAAAGTCGAAGCGAAATGCCAAACTCACTTCCGAAGGCCAGCGTAAGAGCAATTCCGCGAGCGCGGTGGCAGCAGCGACACGGGATTTCATGATTGTCTCCATGGGTATTAGGGACAAGTCTTGAGCCAGCATATTCTTGTCGACATTGTGTCTTTCAGGCAGATTTTCGCCGTTGGCAGTTATTGACGGTCGGTAGAACTTGCTGGAGTCGATCGGAACCCCAATCGGTGTCATCATGATCGCATACCAATCAAGGACAAGCTGTTGGTCGAGCATCGACTCTAGGGTTCCAGGAGTTTGGGACAATATGAGGAGAGCTCTCTTCCAAGCTTGCGAGGTTGCGACCCGGATGTCTTCCCTCTCTTCGCAAATGAGGTTTTGGAAAAGGAGGCATAAGAAGTGTGCTGCGACCCATCCCCTTGGAAGTGAAGGGACAGCCATGAAAGAATCCAGCGTTTTGACAACCGCAAGACGAACGTTAGATATCGTGTGTCGGAAGAAGGGGAAAAGGGTGACGGCCAACGTGGAAAGGGGAAGGCTGTAGACACTTGAGTTGAGCAATGCTAACGGAGAGGCATATCTGACGTACGCAACACTGTCGTTTCCAAGGATTTGGATAACTCTCTCGTATGTGACCAGGGTTCCTATCGCAGTGTCAGATTTAGATGAAGATGGTGAGCGAGTCGTGCGTGCACGAACCTAGCAAGTCCATGACTGCACCAACGGACGAACTGAGATCGTCTTTCATGTCGGACAGGCAGTGCCACAAGACCACGAGTACGCGTTCCAACGACTCTGGCAGCTGTTCGACCAGATGTCGGGCCACTGGTAATAGACATGAAGCTGCGACTGCGCGAACGTCATCGTCTTTGTCTCCCAGCCTACGAAGAGGAAGGAAAAGGTCAGCTGCGAACGATCAGCAAAGACATCCCAGCGTACCCTAAAATTGCGGAATCCACGACATCCTTCAAAACAGCACGGCCTCCTGCATTTTGCCCGTCCTCTTGTTTAGGAACGACGTCGAAAAGGTCACTTCGCACGGCCACTTCGTATTTGATTCCCAGTAGCCCAGCATGTCGAACTTCCCATACATGGGTACGTTCTGGATCAGAAGTCGCCCCATTTTGTGGTGGTGTAATGGAATCTTGTCTGGTCATCTGCACCAGGATTGAATGAACATGGACGAGTGATCGACGAGGCATATGGATCAGAAGGGAGGCGAGAGTTTGTGACACAGTTTCCCTTACGGGCGCGATAACCTGTGAGGGTTAGATAACGTATGGTGATGAGCCGCAAAGAGACGCGCACCTGGTCAGAAACAAAGTCACCGAAACGATCCAGAACAAGAACACAGAGGAATTGGGCAGAGAGGTCGTTGCACCATTTCTCGTGGGCAAGTTCGTTTTCTTCGTACGAGAGTGAATCTGGAAAAACACTGTTCAGCGGGACGTTAGGGAATGCGAGAAAGGTAATCCTCGCCTTTCATGCCACCAAATCTTCCTTGCACCTTTAGCAGCTCTCGTAGAGCTAAAGCGGCTCCGTGTCGAACTTCCCAAGCTGCGCTGAACAGATCGACCTCGAGCAACTTGACTACGCCATCCCATATCCAGCACCCGTCCTCGACCTCAAGCGCTTTCGATTGCTTCGCCAATTTTGCATTTACGGCACCACCCTTGGATGGATCGATGACGACCCGTTCGGAGGTACTTGAAGAATCACCTGGGATGGGACTGTTGACTCGGGATTTGGTGGATGTGCTCTCTTCTGCTGCAATCAGTCTCGCCCTGCAGGATTGAAATAAGAAAGGCATTGGCCACAGCGACTATGAGCACCTACTTGCTTGAAGAAGCGCCCATAGCGGGTGCATACTTTGAACCTGAAGATTGAGGTGGAGGTGGAGGCGCTGCAACAAATGCAGAATTGCCAGGCTTGCGCTTTCGCTTTAGCCGATTGCGCTCTCTGGCTGAAAGTGTTGATAGGTCGGGTTCGGGAATAGAAGGCGTTGCAGAGGATGTCGGTGAAGGTGCAGCTGTGTCGCAGGGAGCGGACGGTTCTTTCACTGGTTCTTTGGGCAGAGGCGGTGTTTCTAGGGCCATTTCGACGTCTGCTGATGATTGGCGGGTCTCTGTTGATTGAGGCGGGGGAGCTTCGTCCTCGATGACCATCTGTTCAGTCAATTCCTTGTCCAAGTCCATGTCGTCTGCAACGTCGTCTAGAAACTCTAGCCCTAGCCTGCTCATCGCCTCCTTTCGTGCCTTTTTGACCTCTGCTGCGCTGGCTAGAATCCCAGCTGGCTTGATGAATTCCTTTCCCGACGAAGCTAGGAGAAGCTTTCCCTGGTCCAGCAACTCGGCGAGCAAAAACTTGGGGTATTCTGGAGGAGATTCGCAAGGAGCATCGACCGGCGAGGTTGGAAAATGACCGTCAAGTGGTTGCCATACTGGTGAAAGGGAGAAGATCTGGGAGAGGGCTACGGATGCTGCTGTTCGGGATTCATAAGATTTTGAGTGAAGGTATGGTATTATCTGTGGTACGGTGACTATGAATACAACCTGACACTACCAAAACAACACGCACTCTTGCCACTACGGCCATCAACTCTGCCCAAGACGTGCGGTCCCTCAACGTCGCCTGTTGTCGCTTGGACTTTGTATCCTCCTCGATAACGGCGACATCGCTGGTGACCGACTTTACGGCAAGTTGAGCGAGTTGTTTGGCAGCAGTATTTCTGACTGAAGTAGAAGAGCCGGTGTCAAGGAGAAGAAGTAGCCTGTCTAATCTGTTTCAAGGGATTATAGTTGGTAAAACGAAAACCAAGTCTGAAGAGAACGGGCTTGCCTGGAAGTCATTGCCTGGAGGCCGACCAAATTAGACCGAGAGATCGGAACAGCGAGTGTTTGGCTTTGTTTGGGGAGTTGCGTTGAAGGTCCGAGTTGAGGTGACAGATGGGTGGACCGAGAATGGGTTCGCTGGGACAAGCCTCTTTTAAAGTATGAGTCCGGGCGTTGAAATCAATGCTGACACATCACCACTTTTTCCCACTTGCTCAACTCTTTCAGAAAACGTCACGTCCGCCTTGTTCTAGTTGTTGCTGAGCCCTGATAATCGAACTCCATCTCCACCTCATCCTTTGCGGCCTGCAGGATGGTCGTATTGGTGGGATGTCGTTGGAAAGGCATCGCTAGACCTTATTGCTTTGATGTACTGGACCTTTTACCAGACTCGATGAAATGGAATACGACACAACTATGTAGAGGAGACTTTATTAGTCTCGTGTGAAGCGCTGTGACAGTCACATGCGTGACGGCGTCGCCACCGTCCTCTCAGAGTCGTTCGCCATTCCAACTTGCATGGAGCTATTCACTGAAATCGCAAAAAATGTTGTAGATTCCCTGGAAAGCGATGTCCCCCAGGGTATGTCAAACAAGTGTCTGTCAGCCTGAACAAAGTTCATCCCCCATGCAGAGTTTGCAGAATGTCGAAAAAGTCTCTTGCAAGTGGCCCAGCAAATTGCACGGGGAACCATTCAGCAGAACCACAGACCAGCCTTGCGTGACCTTTCGCATCGCCTCCATCGCCTCATGGGGACGTTCCGGCGTGAAGACCGCATCCTTTATGTCTGCCGAAGAATCCACACAGACTGCTGCATCATTCAATCACTGGCGGAATCATTTCTAGGGTCTCCAGAAAACGCTATTGCGGCCCTTGATCATGCCTTGATCATCTCTGGCACACCAGGCCACGGCCGCTATATGTTGGTCCATGAGCTCATTCATCACTTTCAAGCTGCAATTCCCGTTCTTCTTCCCCGCGAGACACCGCACACAATCGAGCCCAACGCAGTGTCCACAGATCAGAGACGCCTTTCGTCCACAGCCCACCACATACCAAGAATTCCCGCGCCGTCGATTCTCTACTTTCAAACAAAGCTATACAACACCCCGTTCATTGTGTCTGGTTACGCGAACGATTGGCCCGCACTGGTTGACCACCCCTGGAAGCACGCTCGCTATCTCTCCAGTGTCGCTGGGCCAGGTCGAATGGTACCCGTCGAAGTAGGAGGCCACTATCTACTGGATAGCTGGGATCAGCAAGTTATGTCTTGGGACAACTTTCTCTCCATGCTGGATTTCGAGGACCAACCCGCTCAACTGCCTTCAGATGAAAAGCACTACCTGGCACAGCATAATCTATTCATTCAGTTCCCTGACCTTAGAGATGACATCCTCGTTCCAGACTATGCCTATGCCACCGGGTTCTACAAACACCTTCCGGATTATAAGCCACCGAACAACGAAGAGGGGATAATTTTCAACCATTGGTTGGGGCCAGAAAACACAATATCCCCGGCGCACATCGTATGTGGGCTTCCTTTTCTCATCCTCTACCCATCTTGACCATGCATCTAGGACCCGTATAACAACCTGTATGGTAGGCTACTTCACTCATTCTCTCGCAGGTTTACCTGTCTAACCTTGCCATAGTGCAAGTAGTGGGCCGCAAGACCGTTTGGCTTGCGCCCCCGTCCGTTTCACAGTATATGGTGCCTTCATCCACTGAAGCATGTCTCGAAAATACTTCGCATCATGATGTTTTCGCGTCTGAACCAGACTCGAGCTTTCAGAGGCACGTTGTTCCTGAAGCGATGAGCGCAGTTCTGGAACCTGGCGATTTGCTGTATTTTCCCAGTGGATGGTGGCATGCAATGCGAAGCGAAAGCACAAGTTTCTCGTTGTCCATTTGGTTCTAACTTGTAAATACATGAATAATAAACGTTTTGGATAGTCACAGCCACCGGTAATAACGTCCTCACGATCAGTCGCGACTCTTGAGTTCTTGTTCATTGGCCTCGTCTCAACGTCCGAGATTTCGCCCGCTCTTCGCGTCTCAACAGTTTCGGTACAATCCTGGGACTTAGATGGCCTAGGATTGAAGGGGAAAGGGGCCAGATGTATTTCGATATTCCACGTGCAGGCAGCAGGACGTTCAACTCACTCACACAAGACCTCGTCACCAATGCAATTGCCAGCTCCCCCGATGGAGGCCTGACCATCGTTCTATCCAAACTCGATTTATCAGATGTCCCAGTGGATGCTGTTTACCTTCTCGCCAGGACGGGCAAGACCAAACCCGACGATGATTGCACTATCGAGCGGTAAACATCGCCCTTATTTCCACAATTGACGCCACGGTTGAGCATCCATTGTTAGCATGACGCTCGGTAACAATCGTCTTTCGACGCTGCCGACAGAATTCATATCGCTGTCTCGGCTGAGGTATCTGAATCTGAAGCATAACAGCTTTACTCGATTCCCGGAAGTTGTACGTGTTCTCCTGCTGCTCGGACGACAATGAATGAAGGAGTGCCATACACAGGTGACTATCCTCCCAGCTTTGGACACCCTCGATATTAGCCACAATAAGATCACGGCGTTTCCTCCTCAACCGGGCCAGTTACTCCAGCTAAGGGCACGCCTCCATCTTCGTCGCACAGTCCCCGAGCTAACCTCCACTCACAGGTCTTCTCCTTCGCCCGGAACAAGATCACGCAGCTCCCTAACTATTTTCCCCAATTCCGAAATTTGGAAGTGCTCAAACTCGAGCGAAATCCCGTCGAATGGCCGCCCAAGGACATCATCCACTATGATGCGAAGAGCGAGACGGAAGGGGACATGAAAACCTGGATCACTGGCATCCAGGAATGGATTGAATACCACGTCTCTTTTCAAGACGATTCAGGATATGGCGAGACCATTGAGATCAAAGGGTAAGCTAGTCGAGATATACCTGTAGAGCCCGCTCACAGTCCTGGCTGCTTAGTACCCAGGAGAAACACAAGCCATGGCAGTTCCCAAAGCGCCAAGCGTCAGTCGACATTGATTCCAGCATCCACTCGAGATCTTTCTCAGTGGATTCCAATGCTTCCATGAACTCGGATTCCTTCGTCGACACCCATGTCGCGTCCACGAACGTGGAATGGCCTCCTAAGACAGACAGGCCGATGATGAACTTCGATTCCCATCATCCATCCCGTGACGTCTACCTTGGAAGCCCTGCAGACTCGGATACCTTCGACACCAGATCGACTTCGTCCAGGCCAGAGCTATCCGACGCGTGGCACTCCACCCAATTACAATCCCATCTTCGCACTTCGTCAGTGACGGAACCTAGACAACCAGTTCACACACTGGGACCAGCAAAGTCAAGCCTTCCTGATATTCATTCTCCGCGATGGAGATTGGATTCCCAACCCAGCTCACCTGAAATACCTGCCCCAATCCTCCAGACCTTGCAGCCATCCATTTCCCAAAACTCGGCCAGGTCGATCGAAACCCGCTCAGATGCAACTCCCACCAGCAAGACGCCATCCATGGCTTTCGAGCGCAACTCCTACTTCCAACGGCTTTCCACCATGCCTCAATCCGTCAAACTCCCCCCACCCCTCTTCTGTCTCGTGGAAACGGCTCGCAGTATTCTCTTTGTCACCAGTCAAATCTACCAAACCATTGAGCACTATGCGAATCACGCGATAGATGAGAAGCATGCTGCCGTGTTCAGAAAGGTCCTGGAGCCCGCCAACAACGACATGATGCAACTCATTCGTGCGTTGGATCGCTACGACACCAGTAGTCGGAAGGGGACCCCTTCTGGCCCAATCTGCCGCACGCTCATCGAGAGTTGTCGAAACACCATCGCCGTTACCCACAAAGCCGTTGGACTGTTCGCAATCCAACTCCGAATTGCCCCATGCGAAGATTTCCGTTACTCTAGGTGGATTCTTCTGGAACTGTACGCATCCACGGCGGAGATTTCGGTGACATGGCAAAACCTAGTCCCCCACTCGGATGCCCTCAAAGGCTTCTTAAGTGGGAAGTCCGGGTCGTTACTCTCTATTCCGGATCCGAGCACAAGTTCTGCGACTCGCAGTGACAGTCTGTATCCCATGGCTCGTTTGCGCACCAACGATCTCTCCGCGATTCGCACTCATAATGCCCGACGACATGCCGGATCCTTCAGTCACAGGGATGTCGAGATTGGCAAAGACCTTCCAAACTACGACGAGCCGCCCATCCTGCCCGGTCGTACCCCTGTGAGCGCTCTCAGAGCCATGCCCAAGCGCCAAGCAACAGCCCCTCCATCCATGTTCAGTCCCGGTGGCTCTTCCTCAAACATCACGGTACCCCCAGTGCCGCTGTCTAGATCCACGACGGAAGACACAGCCAATTCACGACGTGGCCATCGTCTAGACGATTCCATAGAGCCGCAGCAATCACTTCCTAGGCAGAAGTCCGTCCCAAGACTGAAATCGTTTGACCTGAATGCGGATTCCCGAGTTCGTGTGGATAGCGGTGTAATTCAAACAACACTAGAATCGCTCGAGGCAACGTCTCAACTCTGGGATACATTTGAAGATTCGCAAGCCTCTGCCGATCTGCAAATACAGGACAGTCTGACAAGAGTCCGCGAGCTCTCGAAGAAGGTTTCTCTGGCGTTACGAGTTGCGCTGGACAATGATTGCTCAGTCGATCGCTATTTGTTTGAGGATACTGTTGCTCTTTCTAAGGTACGGCCGTTCGCGTGGTTCTCAGTTACAGCTGCAGCTAACATCGATAGGCTGTGAACCAACTTTCCCGAAGCAACAATCGATCTCGGCCGACTTTGGCCAGGGGACGCTCACAGATCGCCAGGCTTAACGAATCTCTGGATGAATTTGTCAAACTGCTTCATCTACCATCAACGTCCGTCGGACGGTCCTCTCCGGCCTTTTCCAATCCTTTCCCTCTGACAGTAGAAGACAATCGATTGGGCTCAAGCCTTTCACGGACGCGTAGTGCCCAGCCAACGCCTACTACTCTCAAGACGCAGTTTACGATTGGGAATGATGCACCGAGTAGCGCTATGCCTATTTCTAGTGGGTACAAGGTTCCCAGTATCAGTCGGTTGCCGAGTCGAGAACCCTGGAGCGAACCCGTAGACCCCGGCTAACTAGGCTGTAGCCCAGCATATGCTTTGTAGGCATATCCATGATCTTGATTCATTTTCACTCCTCGGTATTGCATGTAAGAAATCTGCGAAGTGACTGTATATCTCTTAGTTATGTACCATAGTTCATAGATAGATAAAATGCAACTAATCCTAATCGACGAAGATCAACGGAGCCGTTAATAGCTGAAAGGAAATGGCATCGTGAGTGGTCGAGATTTACGCTCGTCGCGTACTAGTTCGTCCACTAGCTGCGCCTTGGATGATGTCTGCGTTGTCAAGAAGTCTTTCGATTTCCCGCCGGATCTCGTTCTGATTCAGCTTGAGTGTCTTGACATCTTCAAACTTCCGTTGAGCCTTAGCTTCTCCAATGAACGACTCCAGCAACGCTTCTTGTTCGAGGAGAGGTTGCAGTGTCCGCGCAAGCTCAGAGTCGGGGTCAATATCGAGACCATCATCCGTTTTCGGACCGTTTGCTTTGCCGGCGCCCTGTGGCATCGAGGGTCGAGGTAGGGACTGTTCGCAACCGTTAATCTACAATCAAATCGCGGGTCCGAAATACTCGCCTGCAGAGGGAACATGTTCTTTTGCAAAAAGAGGTTCGCTCTAGCCAAGATAGACGCCTGTATCCGGTCTTGAGAACTTCCTGGACCACCCGGGCACGGTAAAGCACGGATTTGTTTCGAAAGTCGATCGTACTGGGCGAAGGCTTCCAGCAACCGTTTCCGTGCTGCCGAAGCTTCTTTCGTTGGTTGGCCGTCATGACTGCAGAGCATGGTTCCATGTCAGTGGTTGTTTCAAGATTGTCGGGACAGACCTTAGGGATAGTAATAGTTCTTGGAACTGGGGCAAAGCATCCTCTATCTCCCTTTCAAGGTTTATAAAAACCTGTCAAGAGTGAGAGCGGGGAGTGAGTTGTTAGCTGGAACATACTCACGTCATACAGTGCGCAGAAGATCGGGACCTCCCGGACTTGCTGGGAGTACTGCTGGTGTATTAATACTGGTCGGCAGCTTCTACAGATACGAACGGCTCGTAGGAATTTATCCTCGCCTTCAGGTCGATTCCGCCGCCGAACGCCGTAATCGACGCCTTCCCCAACCTCCTCTATTTGTCTCGATTTTGAATCGACCACGAAGAGTAGCGAACACGTTAAGGGTCGCTGAGGGGATTTAGGAGGAAGGGAGCAAATGATTTTCCCGCACAAGCGGCAATGATGTTTCCTATTTGTGAGGGGGTGGAAAGAAGCCCTGAGAACCTTAGTGAGGCGACGTTCATTCATGACGGTCCATGGCACTTACGAACAGAGCGGACATTTGCTAACGGCGCTGTCTTCTTCCCAGGGAGTAATCCTCTGTTCAGTAGCTGGGGAAGAGCTATCAGTACGACGTCAGCGCAACCGAGTGTGGTACACACCTCGGATGTCTTCTTTTCCTCCAGGATCCATCCCACTAGCAATAACCCCGCGCCACAATTCACCCGGGTCACTCAACTTGAGATTCTTCACCTTCTCTAGGTCGAAGAACGAGGAAGCTCGTCGGACTGTAGCACCGGGGGCTGAGTCTTTCTTCTTTCGGAGGCCAGGACTTAAAGGCGTGCCTTTCTCACTAGTTTTCGAGTCGGCCGGAGGGAAGTGCAGAGCGATTAGCTTCTCAAGACGTCTCTCTAGTTTCGTACGTTCAATACGTTTAAGCCTCCCTTCTTCCCCTTCACCCTCCCTCTTTACACGTCTAATGGCAAGGAATTCGTCGGTTCGTGGTCGATAGACTCCTTTAGGTTGAAAGCCGGGACGATAGGGAGCCGATTTAAGCTTACCCTCTGTCGCACTGGGGGAAGGGGAGGCACGTAATGTCGATTGGCTTGCAGTCGACGCAGAACGATCAATGGCCTCTGGCTGAGGCGCAGGCCGGGCACTTGAACTGGGTCGGGATGTCTCCGGTGGTAGATTAGGAAGTGGTTTGAGAGGGGAAAGAGGAGATTTGACAGAGGGACTGCGAAGTGAGGTGGTCCGTGGCCTGTCGTTCAGTATCGTGCTGGTTTGTGCTCCGCTCATTGGCGATGCCGGGGACGCTGGCAGCGATGCGGTGGAGACATTGCGAGAATGAGTATTAGGCTGTAGCGACGGTGCGGTGCTTGCGGGGCGAGGTGTTAGACGACGGAAGGTGGAAACCTTCCTTGCCTTGGGTACGGGACTTTGGTGAGGCGAGAGGGTCTGGGTGGAGAGTGCGGGAGAAGGGTGTGACGATGAGGTCGGTGCGTGTTCCGTGGGCCGAGGTGCTGTGACGTCGGGAGCGTTGCTGGCTGTAGGCCCTTGGACGACGACTGTGGCTATCTCGGCAGGGGGAAGAGGTGGTGGGGGCTGTACATGGTCGGGCGCCAATTCAATGCGAATGGCAGGTGAATGGGGTGTGGAGGGTCTGAAGCTCATCCCGTTCGAGGGCGGGGTGCCCTGTGCAGCCAGTGAAAGCGACGCAATCGAGTCCTTGTCTTCGTCCGCCAGAACCCTGAGCAATGGGGACGCTACTGGGCTTACAACGATGCTCGATGGGCGAGAAGCTGGTGGAATGGCTACTGTCGCAGTGGAAAGGTTCCGAGAATGCCTTTTGGGCTAATGTCAGGGTCAGCGGAGTTGATGATTAAATTGTAATAGATACTCTAACTTTGTATGCCTGGTAGGGGACATATTGTGGGCTGTTGGGGCTAGAGCTGGGTTCAGGCATGGGTGGTCGTTTGTCGGAAACCCGGTGTCACTGTCGCTGCAATGTCTGCGGCGTTTGAATTCTACTCTCACTCTACTCTCAACCATCACAATCCGAATATGTCAGCGACATCTGGCATTGGCCCCTCAGAAGAATTGACTGCGGCATTCGCACAAGCTGTCGAATCCAAATCCACCCGCTTCCTCAAAGTATCCATTCAAAATGGTCCATACTACCTCGCATTCAAACCGATTGCCTCTCATCCGCCTTTTGAACAGAAACACTGGTCCATGATACTTCAATTCCCATTTCTGCCTCATTCCAGGAGGATTTGAACATTCTTCAAGATGACTCAGTCCTCCCAGAGAATAACCCTGCTTATATCCTAGCCAAATTAGACGACTCCCCGGATTGGGTCGCCATCTTCTACGTACCAGACAATGCTAAGATTCGCGACAAGGCAAGTATGGCCCCTATCTGACCATGAGGAGTGCACTACTAAATGTTTGGTGCAGATGCTTTACGCTTCGACACGCTCCAGCCTTCTCAAAACCCTCGGTTCTGCTCTCTTTGTGGACACGATCTTTGCAACGTCCAAAGCTGATCTGACCCCCGATGCCTACATTGCTCATCAGCAGCATCTTGCAGCCCCCAAACCTCTCTCTGATCGCGAGAAGGAGCTCTCCGAACTTCGTCTCGCTGAGAACGCTGCAGCAGACTATGCGGGGAGTCGTGTGCGAGTTAACCACATCGGCACTGGAGTCGGTTTGAACTGGTCTTCGGAAGCTGAGGAGGCCCTTGCAGAGTTGGCCCGAGATGAAGGCTCTGGCATCGTCATACTGGTATATGTTTTCCCTGGGCCTTTTCTCTAGCAATTCACTCATCCATTACACAGTCTATTGATACCCAATCGGAGACTCTTAAGCTCCATTCCGAAGACTCGATTTCCGTAGCGGGTCTTCCTTCAGCTCTTCCGGCATCCGAGCCCTGCTTCGCCTTCTTCGCATGGGTACCCCCAGACTCGAGGCGTCAGATCGGTAGGCGTATCTCACTAGGCTGCGAGGCACTTTGTATTGACTTTTCCCAGTCTTTCTCTATTCTTGTCCGTCAAACTCGGCGATTAAGAACAGAATGATCTATTCGTCTGCCTCCACTTCCACGTACCAAGCATCAAAGACCATCCTCTCTTCATCATCTCCGACCGTCACCCTGGCTTCCCGGAAGATTGAAACATCAGACCCTAAAGAACTTGATGAAGCCTTCCTGATCGCAGAATTGGGTTTGGGGGATTCCGCAGGCTCCGTGGCCCCGGCCAATAGGCAGGCATTTGCTCGGCCCAAGGGTCCTGGTCGAAGACGATAAGCAGTCCTATCCAATGTATACCACATAATTAATGTTAGCTTCCCGTGTCAATCACTATTAGCAAGTTGCGTAGTGTCCTCTTGCGCGTACGACGTTGCACTCGCCTCCAGTGGCTGACGCTTTATGATGCAGGGTCCAGCGCCCTCACAGAGTCTGAATCACACATACACACAATGGCACAGCCAGTAGTGGTCAAAAGTTGTGGGGCGAGTCATCGAACTGCGCAGGGCTCCCGAGCTCCCCAGAGTCCCTTGCTTGCGTGCGTGGTGCAATCCGTATTATATCTCCAAGTGTGGTGCAATCCGTATTATATCTCCAAGTCATTGCCCATCCAACCCTCCCTTACTGTAATCCTCCACCCACTCCGAGCACGGAAAGATCGAATCAAGACTATGAACCAACGTTCACCATCGTCCGGCGCTATCGCAGTGTATTGCGCGTCCTCTACCGGAAACCATCGAGCATTTGCAAGTGCTGCTATCTGTGTGTTAAAGGCTTCATTTGCACTCACTCGAACAACGGCTGATAAGCTGCATGTCATAGCTGTCGGGAAAGCACTGGCAAGTGCGAATCGCCCGTTGGTCTATGGGGGTGGATCGAAAGGTATCATGGGCATCGTCTCGGGAGCTTGTCTAGACAGTGGTGGCAAGGTCACCGGGATCGTTCCCTATGCGATGGTCGCAGCAGGGGGGGAGGGCGAGAAAACGAAGAGCAGTGTAATGGTAGAGTTGAATGAAGCTGGACGTGAAAAGGTATTGTATCCCTTTCAGTCGCCTTCGATTGCCTCGATGTCTTATAGTGACCCCTATCCTCGCCCCGCGACAGGTTGAAACAGTGAGTGCTATTACCAAGTACTGAGGTGAACGGTGTTACCATCTAAGCTTACCTTTTCGTCCAGATCGTCGTCGATTCGATGCATGAACGCAAAGTACAGATGTCCGTGCGTTCCGATGGATTCATTGCTCTACCTGGAGGATTTGGCACTTTTGAAGAGGTGAAGAAATAAAATTGCGACGTCAATGTCTCAGTCATGCTAATGTACCCCGCAGCTCCTGGAAGTGACTACGTGGACACAAATCGGCATTCACAAGAAGCGTAAGTTATTCCAAAACTGCTCGAACCCTCGAACTGGCCTCATCGTCATCGGTTATAGCTGTGGTACTGGTTAATGTCCTTGGGTTCTGGAACCCTCTCAGAGAGCTAATCCGGTCTTCGATCGGACACGGGTTCATTAGTCCTCAAAACGAAGATATTATAGTGTTCGTGGACGGTCCAGAAAAGCTTGAAGAGCACGAGACCTTTGACTGGGGAGCTGCGGCTCTCAAAGCCATCGATGGATGGACCCTAGAGCAAGAAACCCCTGCGTTCCAGTGGACAAAGGGACTAGATGGTAAACCGAGAGATGTCATGGAATCCACGTAGACATGGATAGTTAGTTTGATGTACAAGATATATCTTCTCTAAGCCTTGGGCTCCGCAGGAACTTTGCACTTTCCGATTGTCGGTGCGATCTGCCTCTTGGGATCCATGAACGCATCGACGAGATCGTCGGTGACAGCAGCGCGTCGCTTTCAGATGAGAGTGATTAGCGATGGGAAATTATACCTAAAGCCAGTGCGCACCTGTTGGAAGGAAGATACGAATTCCTGCAAGATGGCGATACACCTGGCCTTCAATTGGCCCGTCAAGAGGGTGCCTGCCCGGTATTCCTGAAAAGATCGCGTTAGGAAGGTCAAGGTGGAACGAGGATCACAACTACCTCTCCAATCCTCTTCAACTCCTCGTCATCCTCGAGGAAGAAGGTTAGGTATTGGTATGCGACGTCAACTTCGGTATCACCACCAAGTCGACGATGTTCTTCCTCCGTCTCCTTTCCGCCAGAGAAACCATGCCTATTGATCTTGTTTTTGATTTGGTTGGGTTTATCGGTCATGAAGATACTGCTGTTAGGATCACTGGCGCTCATCTTGGTCTGTGGTCCCTGCAAGGCAGGGAAAAACTTGGAGTGCAGCAAGGTGGGTTTGGGGTATTTCAGTTTTTGTGCGATATCTCGCGTGAGTCGGAAGTACGGATCCTGGTCAATTGCGCAGGGAATCAAGCATGGGACCTTGGAGTCCGTTCCGAATATTTGAGGGAATGTGTTGGAGAATGAAGGCGCAGCTTGAATGGAAGCAAAGTGTATTTTGCCGATGTTATCCCTGTGGAAAGGTTTAGCATTTCGGTCAAACGTGGCGACACCGAGACACTTACGAGTCGTTGAAACCAAAGGTCGCCCGGACCTGGTTATAGGTGATCTGGCGAGAGATCCTGGAGACGTTCTCGTAGAAAGGGCCCCCCATGAACTCATAGTTGCTGAAGATGAAAGTTCTCTCGAGATTGAAACCGCAGGCGATGATATCCTTTGCATTTTGTCGCGAAAACTGCTTGGTCTGTTCAGGCTTCAATTCATGCTTGAAGAGGAATTTTTCGTCATCTGCGGACGACGTCAGGCTGCATCAAGCAAGAGCTTTAAGTAGTATGGCAGACCAGTAAGTTGGATCACTAGAGGGACTTCGAAAACGTCTTGAAGCCATCTGACTCGTATGTAAGGATCGCCTTTCGTCGAGCAAATCAACACCCAAGCCTACTTTGCGAAAACGAAAGGGACCATATGCCCAAGGTGCATGCTGTCGCTGCTGGGACCTCGGCCGGTGTAGAGGAAAAAGGGTTTCCCTTGCTCGTAGCGATCGAGGATCTTGTCAAATTCCCTGTAGATAATTGTCAACCAGAGTCCATTCATGCGAATATACTATCCAGTACCTATGGGAGAAGAACATTCCCCGGCGAAGGAAGACATGGGGCTTGTGCCCAGTAAGTCTCTCGAAGCGTTCCAAGAGGGCTTCGTCTATCTTCCGCGTGCCGAATTGAACGATCAGCTTGTTGTAATCGATTCCTGTCTGTCTTCCGTCCTCTGTGACACCTCCCTGGACGTCCCAGGGCGTTACAACTTGTTCATGGGGCTGCTTTTCCGACGGTTTAGCCGAGTCATCTAAGGACCTGGATGTTGAGTCAATCGGAGAAGGGCTACTGAGATCTTGGGTCAAGCTTACTTTGTGAGTGTTTCTGTATTGAAAGAGTCCTGTACAGGTTCTGCCATTGGAAGAAGGCCCAGATTTAAGAAATCGAAGGGTACAAGGAGGAGATGATAACGAAGCCGATAGGAGCGATCATATCTTTGCGGTAAACTCCGAGACGATCGGCCAAATTTGAGTATGCCCTGTTTTTTCTTCTACTTAGCCTCTGGCTATGAGATGACCACAACGATGCTTTCCCGATAGAGGTTGCCGTTCTCGACTTCGTGAACACCTTCTGTCACAGGTCCTAAGTCTGAGTCGGGAATCGCCCCTGTGATTGTTTGGAAAAAGACGACTTGGCGCCTTGACTATATTTTGTCCTCGAAGGCGCAACATTGTAGTCTGCTACCTTGCCAAAAAATGACCAGCTCAACCGGGGGACAACAGCATTCAAAATTATGTCTTTAACTGTAAACATGATCCCCGTCTCGAAACAAGGACTGGAGGAAAGGCATATTGAATGTGGCGTGGGGTTAAGGTTAAGGCTTATCGGCAACAAACTTGCAACAAATACCCCGAAACACGGGTCAACATTGGCAGAGGCCTGCCTCATTGTAGCGCGTCCCTCTTCTTTTTCATCACAAGTCCTTTCTATCGTCGCCAGCTCACTTATTTCTGCCCGCTTATACCACGTTTTTCGTTAGAAAAATGTCCTCAATCAAGCTCTCGACTCATCATCCGCTGCCAGCACCAGCAATTCTCTCAGTTTCCCAGTCCAAATCCCACGTTTTGGCTGGAGTTCAAGACGCGTACTGGAGCGATGAAGAGGTATTGTCCTTTATCAGATGCTGCAAACATAATGGCCTGCTGAAATGAGATCTAGGAGGATGCAGAATGCCCCCTTTGCCTAGAGGAGATGGACATAACCGATCTCAATTTCAAGCCGTGTGTCTGTGGATACCAGGTAATTCATTCCTCCCCTTTCACCAACGGGCGCTAACGTGCGGCGCATAGATCTGTCGATTCTGCTGGCACCATATCAAGGAGAACCTGAATAAGCGTTGCCCGGCCTGTCGTCGAGTTTATACAGACGATGCTGTCGAGTTCAAGCCCATTGCAACCCAGGAGTGAGTACCTAAACAGCTTCAATCACTACTGTATTCTGATCAACACCAGCCACAAACGCCTTACTCAGCAGAAGAAACAGCGGGATCGGGAGAAAAAGGAGCTCGAAACGCTCGGAAGGAAGCATCTTGCCAACGTCCGAGTCGTCCAAAGGAATGTCGTCTACGTCGTTGGGATCGGCCCTCGTTTTGCCAAGGAAGAAGTACATCCATCATTTCTCTACTCGATGATCTTTATTCTGACTGTCGTTACCTCCAGCTTATCCCAACGCTCCGATCGAACGAGTATTTTGGACAGTACGGCAAGATTTCCAAGATCTTGATCACCAAGCGTACGCCCCCAGGTGGCAATGGACCCGTCGTCGGGCTCTACATCACATACCACAGACGCGAGGATGCGGCTCGTGCGATAGCAGCTGTCGACGGTGCGCCTTCACCCGGCGGTGGCAGGGAGATAATGAGAGCCAGTTACGGGACCACCAAATATTGTATGGCGTTCCTTCGGAACGTTACCTGCAATGATCATAATTGCATGAACCTGCATGAATGGGGGGATGAAAAGGATTGCTTCACTAAAGAAGATCTTACCACCTTGTACGTATCATTTCTCATCTATGATCCGCACCGTTCATACCTGTCCCCAGGAAACATACCATGAAGACTACCGAAACCCGGTCAAAGACTGCATCCGCCAAAAAGGAGGATGACGGTAGGCTCAACCAATCTTCTTTCCCCCCTTTACTCAAGGAGGTCGACGCAGCCGCAAGTTTGCCTCGTGCCGCTTCATGGGGTCAGAAGAGCGGTGCAGTGTCCTCATCCTCCTCCGGGACCGTTACCCATACTGTGATTTCCGGTGGGCTACCTCGCGGTACTCGTCGTACTACCACAACTCGTCAAACCCGACATACCGCTACTTCCAGCCAGACGTCTGCGACTGCGCGGAGTGTGGCAGAGAAAAAGGTGGTTCCTCCAACCAACGTTTCGACGTCCCGACCCTCGACGCCGGCCAACACCTCAGCATCACCGGCGCCAGCCCCTACAGTTTCAGAGGCCAAAGCATCACGGGCCAAAAAGGATGCCGTGTCGTTGGTGCGGGAAACAGCGTCGCCAGCGCCGTCAGCTGCGACAGAATCGGATGCTGCATCTGTGCAACCAGAGCCTCAAGACCAGCAGGAGTCCAAGGAACAACCGGAGCAGCCAGCGCAGGCAGAGCCTGTTTCGCGTCCGACATCGACCGGATCAGTTCAACCGGCCCCTCAAGAGGTCGTCCCAATCCCCATGGTCCCCCCTGGTCTCTCTGCACCTCCTGGTATTCCTTCACCCAGCCGTCCTCCCAGAACAGCGACCGATTCTCCGCAAACTCCGCTCCTGGCTTCAGCGTCGTCATATCAAATGTCTACTGCAGCCAAGATTTTGCTTGACGATGTTCAAGCTCGACGACAATCCACCGTCGCTACGACTGGTATCAGCCCTTTCCCAGATTTCGACAGAACGCTTCAGACGCTTAGTGAAAGCGATGGGGGCTTTAGTTTCAATCTCGATCCAAAGTTGGCCGGTGGAGCAGACAGTACAGACGTCCTGGCCGAGTTCGAAGCTGAAGCCAGCACCCCCTTCCATGGAACGTATTTGCAGGCATTCCCTGCCTTGCAAATAGGGTCCAGCGTGCCAGCCCCGCCTGGATTGGGATATCCTGGACATCGTTCTATATTCACTCCCGCACCTCCCCGTACGATACAGCCCTCGCCCTTGAGCTTGTCTCATTATATGGGTTCCTTCAATCCATTCTCGGAATCTACAGAAGAACCAAACGCATCTGCTTCGGTACAGCCTTCGCACCCGGATGATGATCGCAAGGTTTCGAGATTTGGATTTGCTCGAGGTCGTCAGGGGACATCCAGTATCACCTCATCGCCTGCTCTGAATGGGACCCATTCTCCCCAGTCATCTCATGCTTCTTCAGTCCCTCCACTCGGCCTAGATAATCTTTCGCAGTCCGATTCGCACTCCCGCTGGCCTACTCCTTCCCACCCATATGGTCTGCACCATATGCAATCTTCCATGCAGTCCCCTCCTGTTGAAGGTCAGGTCAATCCTGGTACTCGGTTCCAACCTTTCGAAGCGGAACTGGGGGAAGCGCAGCTTCGCGAGTTCATTCAAGCTAGTCGAGAAAGAGAGCTACAGAAGGCCGCGCTCGGTGAGCTTTCCGTACACTTTTGCACTAGCCCCAATTGACCCTTCCTTTACCAGCAAACCACCAAAGCTTCAAATCGCATCAACCGTTCTCCGACCCTGCTATCATGTCGGCAAGCTATGGGCCTCCACCCGACACCATGTTCTCGCAAGTGTCTTATGGTCCTCCACCTGGACTTTCGATGCCCCCTGCTATCCCCCCGGGTCTACATATGCAAAACAGTGGGATGGTGGCGGCATCGGACTCAGCTGGTAAGTCTATTTATCTTGCTTCTCAGGGGAGGGAGGTCTGTGTACCAAGCGCCGCTTTGTCAGTGCGGAATACATTCTATCGACATTAATGCAACAAATTCTCGGCTAAGGATACGCAACTGTATGAATCAAGATCCCACTGTCCACATCCACCACCCTTGTGCTCCCTCCCCTAGCTCCTTGTTGGTACCATCCCCGAATCTAGCAATCCACTGATTCTCCGTTCCTTTCTGTGGACCTGGTAGCCTCTCCGTCGGCACCGTCGGCACCGTCTCCTGTACCCTCACTCTCTGCTGCGGATTTTCCTGCTCTGGTTTCGAGCGCCCCTAAAGAGGAATCGTCGGCTCTGGCAACAGCCTCCCTTGTTCAAAGCAAGGCCCAAGAAAAGGCAGCTCGAAAAGCGGCTAAGAAGGCGGAGAAACAGGCAGAGAAGGAGAGAGCGAAGTTGGCGCGAGAGAAGGCAACTGCTACGCTAGCGCGATCTATGGAAGACACGCCTTCCGAAAGCACGATACCATTGCACACCAATAAGTCTTCAAAGGGTCAGCAATCCAATGCAAAACCTGAAATCCCTACTGCCACCGTCGAACCCAAAGCTGAAGCGGCAACGACAGCAAGTACCAAACCGGCCAAGGCTGAGGAGAGGCTGTCCAAGAAAGCCAGAGAGAAAGGGAAGGCCCGTGCTAAGGCTGCTGCTAACGAACCTAGTAGGACTGTTGCAGCTACTGAGGCACAGCCTAAGCAAGCGGCCCGCCCCAAACCACCCCTTGCACCTGCACCAATCGTACCCGAGATCAGCCCTGAAGTTCAAGTCCCGATCTTGTCCAAAAAGCCGAAGAAGAACAAACCTGTCACCCGGGTACATAAACCGTTGCGAGACGAACCCGCTTACGACGATAGCTCGCGCACAACAACAGGTGGCGAGGGCAGTTCAGCCTCTATGACCAACACCCCGAAGGTCGACACGCGATCGCCTTCCAAGACTCCGGATGTCATTCGCCGCTTGTCCTTGGAGGAGTTGTTGGAACAAATCACTCAACTTCACCCTCCGATGGATCTCGCTAGCCATCCTTTCTTCGACTTACAGAGGCTCGGGTCGATCGCTAAAATGCCTTTGGAATATGAACCGCTTGTCCATGCGTTGTCTGCACTCTCTGTTGGAGGAGGGTCTTTCGCCAACAATGTTCCTTCTGGGTCCATCGACACTGCCGTCACATCGTTCCAACAACTTCTCGAAACACTTACTCAAACGATCTCTGACCTCTTGCGCCTCCTCCCCCGCACCACCTGGGATGATAGCTCGTCCTTTGATGGTGTTTTGCGGGACATGCTCAAGGGTGACGACTTTTTGGATGAAACAGGGGAAGCAGGACAGGAGAGGGACGACGAGGTGGCGGCATTAACGCTGGCATTGGAACGCAGGGCACGGTGGATGGAAGTTCAGCTTTCGAAACTCGAAGAGCTTCACCGGGATATCAACAACGCAGCCGTTCGTGCCGTCCTTTCCTTCAACGACAATGGCTGGGATAAGGAAGGCTTCCTTCCGCGATGCGGTGATACTTTGAGCAAGTTTGACGAACTTACCTCGCGTCCAATGACAGTTGAAGAGTTGGAAAAGAAGTTGGCGGTGGCTAAAGAGGCGGCGGCTTTTGCCGAGGCAGAGGTTAGAGAGTCCATGAACAAGCTACAGTTCGTCAAGGAGTTCGACAATGGTTTCTTGTAGCTTTCTTTTTATCCAGGGTAGCACAAACAGAATGGATTGATTGTTTTCCAGTTGCGGATTCGTTTATCCAATGAAATCATGGGAATTAAGGTATGCTCAGAAACCATGCACGACGTTGTCTAGTCTTTCTTGCTGTTCTCGTCAGGGTAAAGCTGAAGTTTACAGATGAATGTAAGGCCAAAAGAGGTGGTCTCTCGACTCACTTTCCCGGGATTAAGGATATTGAAAGGATCGACAGCGCTTTTAATCTTGCGCATGAGTTGGACGGTCTCCTCTCCAAGTTCGTCGACGAGATACGACTTCTTGCCGAGACCGACGCCATGCTCGCCGGTGCCTGTCAAGGAGATGAAGGCGATGACTCGCGAAGAAGAAAGAAGGGACATACAAGTTCCATCCAAAGCCAGTGCACGGTAAACCAGTCGATGGACAGCCTCCTCAACCTTCTGAAGTTCCTTATCATCTTTGAACAATATCAAGGCATGGAAGTTCCCGTCTCCTACATGTCCAACGATGGTACTTCGCAGGCTATGGGCAGCAAGGTCCTCTTTGGTTTCTTGGACCAGCTGTGGCAGACGCGAGACTGGGACACTGGCGGAGAGGCGGTGTCTATTAACATCGTCGAGATCAAAAGGGTAGGATACTTACCAAACGTCCGTGGTCCAACAACGATACCCAGGGTTGGCAGCGATGGAAGACATAAGTGCGTATTTTCGGTTTAACCACAACTCGTCGGCTTCCGTGTCTGTACTGGCAAACTTGAAATTGGATCCTTTATGGCGTTTGACGACCTCTTGGATGACATTGGAGGTTTGTGTCACTGTCGGTGCGTCTCCCTGGATTTTGAAAAATAGAGTATCGCTAACAGGGTATGGATTGTCGACGAACCCGGCGTCGTTGATAGCCTGCATCACTTGGGGTTATAATTAGCTGCAGAACAATTCCGACAGTGGCTTCCCCCCGTACTGTGGTCATCAAGTAATTCAATGCACTCTGTGGGGAATGTCAGTAGCGAGATACGCGGGAAGATATAAGATGAACTGACGCATATGTGGGCCTTGAGGTGAGTTGAGAATTTCCTGAACAGCACTGACCGCATGCTGTACACTTGGGAACTGAGCCATGGCGACTTTGGTCGGGAGCACAGGAGCCAGCCTCAAGGTCGCTAAATGGGGTACCGTTAGTCATTGCAGGTCCTACTCGGAAGCCGCTTCCTGACCTTCAGTCACGATGCCCAGGGTGCCTTCTGCGCCGATGAATAATTTGGTGGTATCAAAGCCCGCGGCTGATTTCCTTGCGCGACTGCGAGTCTTGACTACTGAACCATCAGGGAGCACGACTGTCTGCTCGGTTTTCAAGATTATGCTGGAGGGCGGAGGGCAAGAAAACCCACCAAACTAAGAAACCATTCGGATCTGGCGGTACCGTAACGTACGGCATTCGCTATTATTGACGCGTTAGTTAAGGGTCAGTGCCAGATGATTCGTATTTCTCACTTCCGCTGCATCCAGTGCCAATCATCCCGCCGATAGTCTGAAAACATCGGTGAACGTCGCATTCGGCATGGAAAGGGTAATGCTCACGGCGCCTGGACCTGGGTCAAGCTTTGGCTAGTCAGCACAAGGTAAAATTCCAGGGACTTCGGTACGCACAGGAAAGAACAACGGGATTCCCTTTGCCTTGAGAGTCTCATTGATGTCTTCCCACCGAGCACCAGCCTGACATGTCAAATCCGAATCGTCAACTGAAGAATCATTATGAGTCGCAGGTTATTATCACTCTTAGCAGAGCAGTACCGTTGATTCTCAGGATCTGATCCATGCCCGACATGTCCAGACAGATACTGCCTGTTGGGTGCTGGGGATACGATCAGATCCAACAATAACTGCATCTAAATGCAACTCACACCAGAGAAATGCCCTTCGAGGCTGGTCGCCCCGCTGTATGGCACCACAGGGATTCGATATCGTCGAGCAATGTTAATGACCCTGACTACATCATCTGTGGACTTTGGCCGGACCTGATTCAGAATCATTTCCCCAACAAAAGGTGAGTGATCTAGAACGTGAAGGTAGAAAGGGTAACGTACGATTACTGCATGGGGGGAGATGGGATGATAGGAGTGCTCTGAAGAACCGTAGGTTTTCAGGCTTTCGTCGTCGGTAGCGACAGCTTTTGGATCGCTGAACGCCTCCCGAAGTTCCTTGATTGCTTGGGCGACATCTTCAGTAGAGCCATATTGGGTCTGGGTTGAATTCTGGAAGGCCTGTGCAGTTTCAAGGAGCTAGAGGTTAAGCAGAGGCTCTGGCATTCAATGCGACCGACGCACCTTGCTATCCGACTTCAGATGGTCGTAGACTGCAATTGCAACCGCAGTGTATGTGACCGCCTGAAGCAAGGCTTTGGTTCCCTGTGACCCTCGAAATTGGCTAGACCAAGGGAAATACTGCAAGGGGCCATTCGAATTTGCAGAGGTATTGACTGGGCGTCTAAGTTGAGTCGATAGTTGAGGGTTCCAACGAGCAAGTTGCTTCCGCACGGGCGCAAGGCTACCGCGGCTTCGAAACATGATGGCAGTGTACAGTTTGGCTGGTAAGGGAAGGATTCCCACGATTGCTTCTTGCCTTCTGACCATCAAATCCTCGCGCTGGCTAGCCAATCCACAAGAATTGTAATGGTTCAAGATGTCCAGGAAGACCTGATACAGTCTCGTGTCGAGCAACTCAAGTCAGCTAATGTCCTTTTTCACGTCCATGCTCTATTCTGATGTTTATTCGCCTCCCAGAGCTATCGCTGCGCGCCGAAATGACCTACTTCGCGAAATGTACCACTTGGTCCGCCATCGTGACAACATGGGAAGTATAATCCAAGTAGAGGAACACCCAGATGGAGATGAGGATGAAGATTGCAACCAATTCTTGCTCAAGTTCGATCTCCGTAAGCAGTGCGTACAATTGCCACATTCCTGTCGATTATTCTTTCAATGTTGCTTCATATCCCTAATTTAGTGGCGAAAACGGTTGTGTCACGAATCATCTCGATTCCTCCTGGAAAGTAAAGGAAGAAGACAGAACGGAATCTATCCAAGCTCCACCAGATAATATTTCAATGACAGCCCCCCCCAAAGCCAATCCAATCCAAACGACCCAACAATCGACCTCGGCTTCTGTCCCAGGCGAGGCAACTGGAACAACAACAGGACAGGAAGGGCCTTCTGATGCAGGCAATGACCTGCCCGTCACTGGGACGCGTGTTAGTCAAGGCTTGACGAAAGAAGAGATAGACGACGATCGTGATGAACTCGACCTCATCGGCAGCACCGACAAGGATGGCACCGGGTCGTCCTCCCCTTCCAAAGCACACCCTGAACCGTCGGACCAGCAGAGGGACTCTTCACAATCTGCAGCACCACCGCCCTCAAGTTCGCCTTCGCTCCAGTCTCTACCAGCTTCGTCTTCCCAAGTACAATCGCTCGGTCAAGCGGACCAAGAGCCAACCAAGGGAATGTCCAGTGATGTCAGCATGGTAGATGTGAGCGAGGAGTCGGTGAAGGGAAATGCCACTACAGTAAACCCGTTGGCAGTGTACAAGCCATCCGTATCGTCTTCGATATTTGTGCAGCCGACTCCAAACCCTGTTATCATTCCCGAACCTCTGGCACCTTCAGTATCGAAGGACCAATATGATATTCAACAGCCACCTCCTCCGGAACCCAAAGTGGAGCCCAGTTCCCCTGTCCTTCGATACGGCATCAAGACTGAATACACCCTACCGTCACTACAAATTCTTCCTCCAGAGTTCACCCGCAAAAAGTCATCGAAACGAAGGAAGGATCGCGAGCGCCCCGAAAAGTCGCAGAAGGATGACGGTGTTCCGATGGGAATCAACCGTTGGGCGGCCATGCTGAATGCCAACCCACTCTACAAAAGAGTTGCTCGGTCGACCAAATGCCTGAGCACCAAGGAGTGGTCGGTGAGTAGTGATGCAGCCCAAACCAAGAAATACGCTCAAGTCATTCAAACAGGTTGCTATTGCAGAATTGCGTCTTATTCGAACAGCTGAAAGGATAGAGGTCCTCAAAAGTCAGGCCCGCTGGGGCTTGCGGCAAATTAAGAAACAAAGGGGGGTGGGAGGACTACTCAAAACGCATTGGGACTATCTTTTAGATGAGATGGTATGCTCACAAGTCGACTTTGATTCATCTTTCATTCATAAAATTGCTAATAGAAATGGATGCGCACCGATTTCCGCGAGGAACGAAAATGGAAGCTCGCGGTGGCGTACCAACTCTCAACATCAGTCTTAGAATGGCATTCGCTTAAAAACTTCGAAGAGCGCGTACAACACGGCGTATGCGTGAAGTGGAGACCGCATGAACCAGTTACGTTGGACGATAACCAAGTTGACTCGCAGAGCATGGATATCGACATGGAGTCCAGTGGCAACGACCCTGAAGCCAATCCCGTGCCTTCCAACTCCATCCTTGGTCTTGACTACGCTTCCGACAACGAGGACATGGATGGCGACTCGGAGAAGCAGTTGGAGGTGATGGATCCGCTAGAGACAGGAAATGCAATCAAGGACGCCCTTGACGGCGCGGATGAAGCGAGGATGAAGGAAGCCGAGCCAACGCCCATGGAAGAGGTCAAACTTAAAACAGAGGAAATTGACGACACTGTCGCTCTCCAGGGTCCTATGGTGGTGGACACTGCGCAGGCCGAAGCTCTCGAAAAGTCGGCTTTAAAGTCTACCTCGAACGACCCTCTTCTTGGTTCGAAATCGAGTTCACATTCACTGAATGGCGATGGCGACGAGAAACCTCCTAGCACCAAAACGAAAATCGCCGCATATGCACCTATTCGTGAAAAACTCGTTTATGAATCGGAAGGCAAACTCTTTATCGAACCGGAAGACCTGCATATCCCCGACCAAGAGGACACAGACTCGCTCCGACAGCTTGACATCAGCAGTATATTCCCCGATTTGCAACCTTTCGCTATGTTCGACGTCGCTCCTGCAACGGAGCCAAAGAAAAAGAATAGGATCGAAAGAGACGACCCCAACAAGAGGTTAGAAGAGACAAACTATACAAAGGTGTTCCCATCTGGCCAATTCATGTTTGTCAAACCTACTTTGTTGGGGCCCCTTCAGCCAGCGAAACGGTGGAAGGATGGGAGTTGGTTACCGATGGAAGAAAATCCGATTCCTTCAGAGCCTGAGTCTGGTTCAACATCTGTCAAGAACTTGGAAGAAAGCGTAAGCGGTGAGCATTCCCTCTCTCGAACACTTCCGCAATACGATGTGGAACTTATGTTCTGGTCGCGGTTTAGAGCTCTTCGACTTCAAAATCAAGACTTCGGGCCCAGCGCTTCCCCCTCAGGCACGAGACGCCCGGAGAGCCAAGGTCGACCAATACTGGAGCACCAACGACGACCTTCTGCTCAAATCCCTAGTAGATAAGTATCCCGGAAATTGGAATCTTATCGCAGAATGCTTCAATGGCTGTCGGAAAACAACCCCGTCCGATCGACGAACACCGACAGATTGCATGGATCGTTGGAAAGTGAAATGGGGTATGGATTTGTTGACGAAGGACAACCCACAAGGCAACTCTGAAGACCAGTCTCCACCAACGGGCGTACAGGCATCGTCCTCCAACGATATCTCCATGTCCAACTCTACACCGTCAGTCGCGGCAGGGCCAAGCGTGACGACAAGGGGTGTCAGGCGACTTGCTAGCGCCAGTGTGTCTAGCCAAGTGGCGCCAAGTGTTTCAGCAGGCAATGAACCGAAGAAGCGAAGGCGGCACTTACTGCTCCAAGAAACCATTCGCAAAACGAACAGGAAGAAGGCTGATCAACAGGCGAAGCAGCTGGGTCAGTCCAATTTTATGTTGCTCTCGACGACGTACGGTTGATTGACGAGCTTTATCAGCCAACCAGCGGAAGACGCCAGGAATGCACGAAACTCATATTCAGTACACCAAGTTGCCAAGGTTGTCTCCGATGGAACTGAGTCGCCTCAAAGCCGAGCGCGACGCAGCACAATTGGCTGAAATCCAGAAGGCTCGTGCTCGTCAAGAGGAATTGAAAAAGCAGCTGAGTGGCATCCCGGTTAGTTCGTAGAGTGCAGCCCCTGGACCAGTCCATTAACAAATAATTAGATTCCCCCTCAAGCAGGCCAGCCTCAGCCAGGTCCCCAGACGCCTGTACCGCACGCACAGGGAGGCCAACCTCAGCCGCTAACTCAACAACAACAACTTCAGCTGCAGGCTCAACTTCAAGCGAACCAAGCCAGGGCTGGAAGCGTTGGCGCTCCAGGTACCCGGCCAGGAAGCGTCAATATTGCTCGGATGTCGACTCCAACTGGCGTCGCTGTTGCAGGTCCTCCACGCCTTACTAGCCAACAGGTTCTTCAACTACAGCAGCGTCTGGCAGCTGGTACAGGTCAAACAGCTTTGAATGCAGCAACGGTCAATCTAGCGAACGGACTTGTGAACAGCCAGTTTGGCAACCGTGATGCAACAGCATCGCCCGCAACACACGGTGTCAACTCTCCGCACTTGGCGCCTTCGAGCGGCAATGCAGCGGTTAACCCGCCACGATCCCCGCATGATCCAGCAGCGGTCAATGCAGCAGTGGGACAGGCCATGAACGCAGTAGGTGCTGCCAATGGAGCGCAGCGAGCAGCGTTCAATCTCCAGTTCCAAAATGGCCAGACACAAAATTTACATCCCGACCAAATCAACGCGTTGCGTATACACATGCTGGTAGGTTGCGGATTCATTTCGATGGATGAGAACATCCGTACTCACACCGTAAGTTTCAGTCCCAGTTGCAGCAGCACCAAGCCCAGGGCTCGGCAGGGCCCGCTCAACCGCAACCTCAATCACAACCTCAGCCTCAACCTCCTGCACAAAGTTGAGGCCATTTTGCCCTAGACCTACGAAACGGACCGATTATTGTATTCTAGTACATTCGTGTAACATATATAATTGTTTGACGCCCGTCTACCTGAAGGCTTGAATCGATGAGAATTTGCCAAGGGGACTGTAGAGAAACTTGGGTTCTTGGGGAAGCGCAATTAACCCCGGATCGAACACAGCCACGACACAAGGGTTGTTTTGGTTTCCGACTAGTGACTGAAATAGAGGTTGTGTCCCTCCTTTCTTCACCACTGCATTGTCGCTCTTCGATTCAGTCCTTCTTCTGCTCATCGTTGCCGACGTTGACCGAGGGCCTCTTGTCCGCCGTTCCTTAAGCTCGACCGGCGCGTCTTTTCGTGCTTCCTCATCATGGCCAACAACCCGCAGAATCCATCAGGAAACGTAGTGTACGACCCACTCCCCTTGACTGGGGATGACGTGCCCTCGAATGCGCTCTACAATGCCCCGCCATCGCCAGATCCGCGTCTGACATCGTTCAATACCCCTCAGATGGGCCACTCAGACCTGCCTCGCGATGACACCTTCATCCCCCCGGGAGCAGCCCAACCACGTTTCATGGGTCAATATGATGAAGCTTCTGCCCGCAACTCATTTACTTCTTCCCAACCTAGTCTGCGCCAGTCAGAGTATGGTTCAGTTTACCACCTCAACGACGCCCAAGGCTCCTCGGCCCAATTCAACAATTACCGTGACGAACCCAACTACACCGACAACGTCCCCATGTCTCCCGTCGGTCATTCACGCGGTATGCTCCACGAAAAGAACACAGCCTACACCGCTCCCCGGCAGAAGTCGAAACGAAAGGTCATGATCATTGGGGCTATCGTTGCTGCCATCCTCATCCTAGCTGCCATCGCCATACCGCTCTACTTCGCCGTTATTAAACCAAAAACAAGCAAAGACAACAGCAAGTCCGATAGCAATCATGATAAACCGGACTCGACGGCTTCACCTAGCGGAAAGCCAGGCAGCGGTGCTTCGCGGGCTGTCGTCACAGGCGGTGATGGTAGCACCATCACAATGGAGGACGGAACGACGTTCGTCTATCGTAATCCATTCGGCGGCTACTGGTACTACGATCCCAACGATCCTTTCAACAATGGCGCAAAGGCCCAGTCTTGGACCCCTGCACTGAACGAAACCTTCCGCTATGGAATCGACAAAATCCGAGGGTGTGTATTCACCTAGTTCATTTCAAGAGGGTCTCTAAATATCACAAACAGGGTTAATGTCGGTGGTTGGCTTTTGACCGAACCGGTAAGTCCACAGCCCTCGTCGCGTTGTCCATGTCAGTCTTCTAATGCCAATTTTAGTTCATGCAAGTAGAGTACCTTATCTTCGCAAACGCGGCGCCTAATTCTCCTTTCCAGCTCTCCAGCCCTGTATGAAAAGTACCTGGATGACCCAGCAGGTCCCGCCATCGACGAGTGGGACTTAAGCCTCCGTATGCGAGCTGATACTGCTGGTGGAGGGATTGACCAGATGGAGGAGCATTACAAGACCTTTATCGTGAGGCCATCATCTGGTACACCCTACTGATAACTTTGCTAACGAAACATTCACTCAGACTGAAAGGGACTTTGCCGAAATCGCCGGTGCTGGACTCAACTATGTCCGCGTCCCAATCGGCTATTGGGCCGTCGAAACTCGTGGAGACGAACCCTATCTGTCTCAGGTCTCTTGGACGTGAGGTCGCAATGGTCTCTCTTCCATCAAGCTGCTCATTCTGTTTCAATTAGGTACTTTTTGAAGGCCGTGAAGTGGGCAAGGAAATACGGACTCAGAATCAATCTCGACCTTCACGGGGTCCCTGGAAGCCAGAACGGATGGAACCATTCGGGCCGCTTTGGCACTATTGGCTTTCTTCACGGTCCTATGGGTTATGCAAATGCCCAGCGTACCTTGGATATCATTCGTGTCCTCGCCGAGTTCATTTCTCAACCCCAGTATAAAGATGTTGTCACCATGTTCGGGATTATGAACGAGCCCCTTGGCGATCCCATGGGCCAGGATGCTCTTTCACGATTGTGAGGTCATTTTTCCCTTCCATAGTCGGTGGTCTGACAGTGTCCCTCTCTCCTAGCTACATGGAAAGTTACAATATCATCCGCCGGGCTGGAGGTGGAACCGGTGAAGGAAACGGCGTTTGGATCTCTCTACACGATGGTTTCTTCGGCCGTGCCCCTTGGGAAGGCTTCCTTCCCAACGCTGACCGAGTGACCTTAGACACTCACCCATACCTCTGTTTCGGTGAACAGTCTGCTGCACCGATGTCGTCCTACGCTCAAACACCTTGTACAACCTGGGGCCATCTCGTCAACAACTCGATGGCCAACTTCGGGTTGACCAATGCTGGTGAATTCAGCAATGCTGTTACTGACTGTGGGCTATTCCTGAATGGAGTCAACCTTGGTACTCGGTACGAAGGTGATTACACCCCGGGTAGCTGGCCTCGCATCGGCGATTGCTCCGAATGGACCGATTACACTCGTTACAGTGATCAGATGAAGAGCGACATTCGACAGTTCGCACTCGCGTCCATGGATGCCCTTCAGGTCAGTTAAATCAGCATCAATCAGTGATACCAGGAAAGTTGACCAAAAGACATACAGCACTACTTCTTCTGGACATGGAGGATTGGCGAGACACTTCGCAGCGGACGGGTCGAGACGCCAGCATGGTCTTATCAGCTGGGACTGCGCGAAGGCTGGATGCCTACTGACCCTCGTGATGCCGACGGCGTTTGTGGCAACAGCTCGCCTTGGACCCCGCCCCTTCAACCATGGCAAACGGGCGGTGCAGGTGCGGGGGATATTCCTCCTTCTGTGACGGAAGCTCTTGCCTGGCCCCCCCCAGAAATTCGCAACGGTGGTCCCATTGAATCACTTCCCCGATACACGCAGACTGGGGCCCTCCCGACACTGACAGGAATGGCCATCACTGCCGGACCCAGCGAGACCATCACCAGAACCGTCGACATCGGCAATGGTTGGAATAACCCGGCAGATACCGTTGGTTTCGCCGTTGAAATTCCAGGCTGCACCTACCTCGACCCTTGGGTAACTCCTGCTGCCGCTCCCCCTTCCCCTTTGTGCGCAGCAGCCCGCCGTGAGGCAGCGCAGGAGCCTGCCGTCACTCTCCCTCCCTCGTAACCCATCCCTGTCGATTCGCTTTTCATGGCACGTCCTTTATACTTTGACGTCACTTATTTTTACCTACCGCACACATATGGTATACCATCGGATTGTCGGCTGTTCGCTTTCCTTGCATTAGTGCTTGTATATTTCTGCCTATCGAACGGACATATTATTGGACTCTCATATAGTACAGATTTAGCATACCATCGTTTATATCCCAGTTTGTCTCACCTGGTTTTCAATCCTGTTCGATAACCAGAACACTTGGACGTGCATGTCATGTCACTACTGTCTTTACTCTCCGTTTCAGTCACCTTCGACAAGATAGATCTTTGATTGTATGTACAGAGATTTATTCAAATCCTAATGCTCGCCGCTTGTGGTGGCATAACGATCCTCAAGGTCTTCTTGCCCACCGAACCCTGCTTCGTATGGTCGATCCTCTCGAGGCACCCCTGAGTCGGTGTTGGATGTAGATGATGATGACTCCGCATCTAGCTTGGCTCGAATATCAGCAAGCTGTTCTTGTTCCTACGGGCCCGTTGTGGTCAGTGATGAAGCAAAAGATTCTTGCCATGGACGACGGTGATTCACCTTTTGACGGATGTACTGTGCTTCGGACGCCTGCTCGCGACTCTTCCAAGCACCGTCCTGAGGCGAGAAGCATTCAATCTTAACTTCAAGCCGCTTTCGAGTACCACATACCTGCGATGTCGCTCCAGAAGACATATTTGACCTACGGATAATGGTAGATGGTGGTTATGGACTGAAGACAGCGGGCTGTGATCACTTGCCTTGTTGGAAGCTTCGACACGGTTTGGATGACGTCATCTGACAAGGAGACATTTATAGACAAGCCGGCGCTTAGGCTCGCAATGGAAACCAGGTTCGCAATGAAGTTATATTTTACACTATACAAGTTATTCTAAGTACGACAGACAGAACGATTATGAACTAGCCGCCTTCTTCGCTGCATAATCCGCCTTCAGCTTGGAGACCAAGTTCAACACCAATGGGCTGTCCTTGAGCCACTCTCGGTAAGTCTTCGCGGTGGGGTTGATTGACAAAGACTGGTTCTTGTCCTGTAGAAAGACTACCGTCCTGAGCTGGTCAATGAGAGAAAACGAAGATGACCCACTCTGTAACCGCTATCGGGGCCGGCGCGGAGGACGAACTCCCACGACAGATACATGAGCTCGGCAGCAGGGTGATCTGCGTAACGAGAGGCCTCAAATGCCTCCTTGGTCAGTTCTAGAGCGAGGCCAGCCTTCTCCCCGTGGACTTCGGCGAACTGAGTCGCGAGATCTCTGAGTGTCAGGAATTCGACGACAATCTTAATCTTTTTGCCTGTTGTGCTTGGTCAGGTCTTCATCACCCAACTGCTGGATCTTGACGTACCTGCATAGGCCTCTGGCTCTCTGAATGCAGGAACAACCCACCCGCCCAAGTCGGCCACCGAAAATGCAAAGATGGGGACGTCGGGGAGGAAGCCGACAGTCCAGTTGAACCCCTTCTCCTCGTCGTAAGCAGGGGCAAAGAAGCTAGTCCAAAAGTTCTCATAGTACATTGGAATGTACACGAACGTGTATGGGATACCAGACTCGATGACCCTGTCTTCGATGAGGGCCTTGGAAGTCCAGCTGATAGCCTTGCATTCCCCTTCACGACCCTCCACTGTGGACCAGACGATGTGCTTGACGTTGTTTGCCTTGGCTGCTTCGACAATATTCTTTCCGTGGAGCTGTTCTGCCTCGTACCCATGTTCGTAGAACTGGGTCAAACCAAAGACGCCCCAAGCGCCCTTGAATGCAGCAGTGGTCTCTTCAAGGGAGCTGAGATCGGCCTTGACCACCTCGACGCCCTTGGCTGCGAGCTGTTGGGCGGCTTCAGACGAGGTATTCCTTGTGACGCCTCGGATAGTGAACCTTCCAGCTGGTTCCCGTAACAACCAGTCAACAACTGAGCTGCCTTGCCTGTGTACAAGATGATTATCATTGAAACAAAGTTTTTTTAGCTTCTTCTGGCCCTGAAGATCAAACGTTCTGGAAACGCACTGGCCAGTGGCACCGGTAACGACGATAAGCTTGGGGTCGGACATTTGGGGTGAGTGGGGATGGTTAGAGGGACGAGGGGGGAGTTGTAACGATGCGTGTGTCCAGGGTGCAGCCGGTCGTATATAAGTATAATCCTGGAGTCCCTCTTGTAGGCGGCCTATCGATTTCTATTGGTCAATATCACTTGGAAACGCCATGGCACTGGGCAGGTGGCGCTCAGGCGATACCGGCCACACCTTGAGGGACGCCCATTTATGGCTAAGCCTGCTGAACTTGTGTCATATGATGGTCTCCATCTCGGAAGTACTTCCACCGCAACAGCCAAGCTATGCGGATGCAAAGAGGACCCCCGAATATCGCGCTTAAGGTCGGAAGAGAATCCGGACAGAAAAACTGGGTTTTGGCCACAGGCCGGATGCGAAATCCGGACAGGAAGAGGCCAAAATATCGCGGAAGGCCAGATAAAATCCGGACAAAAGTCCAACAAAAATGCCATTTTCTGGCCCCCGACCCCGGAAAAAAGGGCCCGCGTGTGAAAGTATTCCCTGATCCGGCCAGAGAAGAGCGATTTTAGGGCTCGAGGATGGTGAATTTCCCGGACAAAAAATCCAAAATTTGACCATCTGGTTCCGGACGGCCAGCCCAGAATCTCATCCGGCCTTGAGGGGGATATTTGGGGGTCCTATGCAAAGGCCCGACACCCGTATATATGTATACTTTTTGCGACCTCTGTGCTCCTCTGTGCCAGGACTGAACAAAGAAGGGAAGCGAAGGACAGTGAGTTTCTCTCATCAACACCATAAACCTTTTTCGTTATGTTCTCGTTGGTAAATCAAAGGAAGAATTTTGCCAGTACAACCCATCGTGCATCATTCTCAGCAAAATAATTTTCCTGCGCTGCTTCCTTTCGTTTTGGAGCGGAGGTCGTGCATTGGTGGGCCGAGACCTGCATGACTCCGTCTCGACAGAGCTATGGACTCACCGCGACACAGTTTCGTAAGTAAGGACCAGAGAGGAACTCACCGTCCTCCACTCGGTCGTCCGCTGAACTCGGCATGTCTCGATGCAGAAGTTGATCAAACTGTGTCGCAAAGATCGATATCTCTCATGGACTTAAGTACACAAGCTTCGCTTGTAAGTACATACATACACAACTTGGCTAGGCTGGAACAGGAAGCTTGAAGCGGCGATGGACGTGGAGTTTACCAAATGATTCCATTAGAAAGCCACTGTGAGGTGTATCCTTATCATCTCAATCCTGAAAGGAACGCCATCTGAACGTAACGAGTGCAGTGGGTGTGGGGTGTCAGAATCGCGTAAGTCCACTCGCCATCTGACAGTGGGTGACAACGTACAAGTGATTGCAGGATAAAGCGCGTTCCCTGGCAGGCATACGACTGTTGGCTACTTCTACCGTGCAAAGGCCGTTCGGGTTCGGAGGCAACCACTACTTTTACCGCATGTTCCATGAACAAGGACGACTGGCGCCAGTGGGGCGCCAAGCTTTCGACCTCCATTTAGCGCCCTCCATGTGATCTTCACGCGACCGCACCGCACAAGCGCCGCTTCGGCAGGTTTGATAGAAAAAGCCAAATTCATTTCTGACGTTTACGTTGGAAAATAAGTAGATGCCTAGACTTTTACCTTTGACGCTCATCTCAAGTTCACCTTGCCTTTAAAGCTCAGGTACCGACAGCGCTCGACCCTTATCTTCGTTATGCACCCCCCCAATCGCCGTTCTCCGAACTCTTGAAGATGCTTGGCCGCCTGAACGGGCCCCTCTGGAGACCTCAGATGGCTAAATAACCCGCATCATCGGGATTTAAGACTTTTTTGTATTCTAGGGTAACAAAGTTGTGGGAGCAACTGGGAGCAATGACCCGACCTTCGGTTGGCATGGTCGACATCATTCGGGAACATGCCAAACGGAATCTTTCGGTCCTAATGGTGCACACCTCTCCAGGGAAGCGAAACTCGCCATGGAAGTTGGGGCCGCTATTGAAACCATTCACCATTGCCGTTTTTTGCCGTTCGAAGAATCGAAATCTTCCACAAGTGGGTCTACAAACGCTCGAATTTTTGATCTCCTCGAAACCCCATCGGCTTCCCGTGACGACCACATTGTATACAAATAAGCGTTTGAGGTTTCGGTCCTTATTCCACCCGTTTTTCTCTGAAAGCATCATTTAAGGATCCAGAAACAGTCCATTCATCTTCGTTTCGTCCATTCGTTTCTCCTCTTCCCTCTGTTTCCACTCTTCGACCGCCATGTCGGGTATCACAGCAGTGAATCGAGTTGCGGCTGAAGCGACAATCCCAGATGGGGAGCTTGCTGCTGTTGTCACCACAGTGCTTGGCCTTCTCCACATCTTGCAGGTGTACACTTCTTCCATGGTGAGCAAATGCATCTGTATCTGACTGGACTTACCACCGGAGATGCTAAACGACCCCATAGGTGACACTTGCCGTGTGGGACTGGCTAACCTGCCTCAAAGGTAAGATTTTCGACTGCTCCGGCTTGGACCACAAGTTTAGGGAGTTCTGGCAGCCGAATGGGAGTGCATTTGGAAGAAAGAGTGGTCCCTGATCAAGGTTCTGTATATCTGGACACGATATTACGGTCTCATCTGTTTTTCGGTCAATCTGTGGCTCTTCAATGCCAACTTCACTGTGGAGCAATGCAAGACCTTGTAAGCCGTTGTCCTATTCCTTGGTTGGATCCATGCTGACCACCTCTGAAGGCATTACTTGATCGCCGCGTCGTGTATGTGGACTACCTTAGGATCAGGTAACGAACTACATTTGCAACCTATAATCCTAGAAGCCCGCTTACCGGCTTCCTTTAGAGGCGATTTTGGCAGTCAGGACATATGCCTTCCTCGGGAAGAAACGCTGGCTCGGAATCACGCTCATTGTCCTTCTGCTCGGAGAAACTGCATTCCTGCTCTACGTGGCGATCGAAGGAGTATACCAAATTCCTCCCCCTCCCATACCAGACGCAGATGGTATAATTCGAGGACCATGCACTGCCAGCGACAAGCCCGGGCAACACGTCGTCAGCGGTTTCTGGCTCGCCCCCGTGGCGTTCGACCTCATTTGCACTATTCTGACGCTCGGAAAGGTACGTCATTCCCTGCAGGGAATCATGCGCATTCTAATCATCGTGTAGGCTTTTTCCCTGCAAAGGGCGGCCGTAAAATCCCCCATCATCAGTATCTTTATTCGGGAAGGACTCTTCTACTTCCTTGTGAGTTCATCCTCAAGGCATTCGGCAATGATGATCCTCTAACATTCCCCTTCGTGGTCCAGGCTGTGGCCGCTATCAACTTGCTAAATGTGAGTCATTATATTTTAGCAGCCCATTGAACGATAAGCTAATAGAGGCTCGGCCAGGCTGCATTCATGTTCCAAAGGTATCATTGATACGCCTCACTGACACATCATTGAACCAGGCTGACAAGGAATGTTACCTTTAGCAATCCCAACCTCCAAAATATCAACTGTGAGCCCCGATCGAGATTACTTCCAGGCCTTCTTAGCTCAACCACCCCGCAACAGGCTTCCTTGCTTTGGTTCTCTCTCAGGTGCTTTGCTGTCGCTTGGTACTGAACCTTAAGGGCCACAGAGACGCGAGCACCAGTCAGTTTACGGGATCGGCCAGCCAACACTCGTACATCCCTGGCAGCGGTACTCGCTCGGCAACAGGAGGAGTAAACATCGCTCTAAGGAAGTATCGTGACCCAACTTACACTGGCCCATCAGATGTTTACGACGGCGTAAAGGTCCAGGTACGATCCCATCGACATTGCGTGGCTTCTCTTGCTCACATGGAAGCTCAGATTGATGTTGAACAGCATGACACAACTTTGTCCGGTCATGCGAAGGGAATGGCTTCCTAACATTAGCTGATCAAGCCCGTTGAGTACCGTTCAAGCGAGGAACTCGTTTGCCCAAGGACAAAAGAGGTGCACATCATGTCCTATGCATATCCATCTAGATGTTACAATATATCGCCATTCGTTTAGTGTGTTACATATAATTTGCAATGTTCTTGACTACGTAGAGCCGCGTGGGTGTAGCCTAGAGCTTCTGTTTTTGTGGCTTTGTTGTATATCAACAGGATATCGCGTGTTGCTACCCACAAGGGGTGCACGGCTGTAAAGTGGAGTTCTGCGTCGTTAAGCGCCCGGCGGGAGCCTCCGTAGAGTGGCAGTGTGACAAAGTGAGAACAAACAAACGCGTCGCGTCTCCATCATCCATGACACATGCCACGCGTGATCCATCTCCGCCCGAATCCTGTTGATGCTGGCAGCTGGATGGACCACGGTCACATCCAATTCTAGGTTCCTGGCCATCCTACCACCAACTACTCGTCATGCGCACCTATTCATCTCGAAAGAGAAACCCTGTACCGCCAGGCGATGATTCCCAAAATCCACCATCAGGCAACCCCTGCGAAGCCCCAACCAGCAAACGCAAACAACTATTCCTGGAGACTCAAAGTAATCGGCCAACGAAACGGACAAAGAATGGCACGAAGAAGGCCTTGCAGGAGGATGAAAAACCCAAACAGAAATCACTAATACAAATGCATTTTTGCATCGACAAGAGTGTTATCAGAGAGTGTCCGATTTGTCGGCTACGTTACACCCAAGGAGCAAGGGAGGATGTCGAGTTGCATCGCGCGCACTGTAATCGGGTACAAAAAGGTCTGGAATGGGGAAGGGAAGAAGAGAAAGAGGGGTACGGAAGCACGATAGTGGAAGTAGAACAGAGGGTGAAATTAGGAAACGGGAAGACAGGGCGAATAATAATGTTTCCAGCCGATGTGAATGGGAAAATGGGTTCTAAAGTGAGTTTGAATCTACCTGTAACAACATAAATAAGGAGACCAGTCCTGAGCAAGTTATATAGCTTTCGACATTATTGGAAACTGTCAATTTATGCCTATCTTCCCCCGCCCTTGATCAGGCTACTCTTCAAGCCTCCAAAGTCTATTTATTCTTGGTTTCGGAAGGAAGCGGTGGTCGGACGATGGAACGGATTGCAGGTTGCGTCGTTGCCCAGCGCATCACCGCAGCCATGGCAGTCATCCCCCCAACGTCTTCAGCATCGCCGACGCACTCTGCAAGTGTTGATATTGGTGGTGTGTTCTGCTATCCAGAGCCATTGCCTACACCGATGGGAATATCCCGTTTGTTTGTTTCTTCATCCTATCGCAGACAGGGCATTGCCAATCGATTGCTATCCGCGGCAGCATCGACATTCATTCCAGGTTGCACACTTGATCCAAAGAAGGGACAGGTCGCGTTTTCGCAACCTACTGGAGACGGAGCAAAGATTATGCAGAGCTGGGGAGGCGGAGGCATTCGAATCTATGAGGAATAGAACGTATAGACAATGTCATTACCATTTCCGCCTGCATACATCATTTACTAACCTGTTGTGAACTGATCAGAATAGTGGTCCTTCATACATCGCGAAGATGGCCGGACGTGTAAGGCATATGACGGCGCAAGCTAGAGTGAAACAGAGCCCAATGAATAACAGGAAATCCCGGGCTGAGCAGGAAAGTTAGTGGTGGGATATCTCTAGAAGGGAAGGTAAAGCTTACACATTGGTACCCTGGACATACGAGGATCTCCGTTTCGACGGGAACGTGAGCGACTGGGTGTGCCATACTGGGTCGAGCTCATGCGACGAGGTCGAACCGTATACTCGCTTCGCACTCGCCTGTGACGTAGAGGGGATACCCTGGTCCCATTGGTGAGGATGCCCCTCAACCGGGGCGGGCTTCCCCGTCGAGAACATGTCGTGGATGCTGGGATGACAGCATCGTCAGCGACAAGAGTCACGGTGTTTCCCAAATCATCTACAGGAACGTTGGAATACGATCCTAGCAAGCGGCCATTTGGGCCATTGCCATAGTCGTAGTTGAGGTTGCCTTCACCGTCGTCAACGATGTCGGCTTCCCCACGCCAATGTCCGTCGTTCCCAGAATCAGAGTCGTAAGAAAAGTCAGATAAGGAAGAGGCGGGAGACGGCAAGGAGCTTGAGGAAAGAAAGTCTTCTTCGCCGTCGGACATTGTCCTGTCGAACCCTTTTGAAATGAACGGAGACCGCGGTGTGGGCGGCCAGTTATTATGTGACCTCACACTGAATTGTTGGCGGCGAAGTGCTATCAAAACTCGTGTTGGCCACGATGAGTTAGCGTCGCAGAGGTAATTCCTTGCCCGGGTAGTTGGCCTGCCTCCGCCCACAACACTCAGGCCGAAGGAGCGATGAAGTACATGGATAACTCCACTACTAATCCCCATAGCCTTATACTTAAGTCCTTAGGTAATCAGGGGCACTCCAGTACAAACTATATGATCATACTCAATAGCATTCAAATAACTTAAAACTATTCGTACAACACATCGATGAGTGAAGATAACCAAAAACAGGGAAGATAACGCAAGTACATATAATGAGGGTAAAAGTCTAAGAACACAGCGCCTCCAAAAACGGCTTCAAGTCCTTCTCGTCGATCTCAATGACATTTGTATTAAAAGAAGTGTGTTGGATTTCGGTGTTGGTCGTGGCACTTGCATTCAAGAAATTAGTGGAAAAGGTGCTATCACGGGCATGAGCTCTGGCGGTCCAGCTATTAGATAGGAAACAACCACTTACTTCCGACGGATGTCTCCAAACTCTGGGGAGGCCATGATACCGGCCACGATGTACGTGCCTTTGGCTTCATTCAAACATGCGACTATAAACGGAAGATCCTTCCGTTTAGAACGCGCAGCGGCTGCCGTCGCTGGAAGGCGATCTCGGAGGGCGTCAATGAGCCAGAGAGCCAACCGTGTCAACATCCCTGGATGGTGGAAGAGGTGAAGGTCAGGTCCCTGCGTCAAGACTACCACGCGGTGATTTCGCATTGTCTTAATGTCCTGCTTGTCAATAATTGACGTCCCTTGGCGGATAATCGCTTTGTGAACTGCCATTGCAAGACTGATCGCCTCTCGCAGGCGCCTGATGCTGGCCGGGCGTTATGCTATTAGTTGACTGTGACGATCAATGGAAGTAATAGCCTTACTCCGTCAGAGCATCGTATGCACTCCAGAAGTTTTTCTTCCACCAATCGACACCCGCGTTTTCTTCTGGAAGATCATCCCCATCGGTTGTGGGGCCATTGGTGGGTTGTTGAGCAGATCCTCCGCCAGGTTTAATCGCGGGAAGAACATCCTTCTCATAACCAGCGGCCTCCCATTGCTTTCCTCCACCAAACCATTCGCCGCCATTGCGGTGTCCTTCCAACTCGATCTCCATTCGGGTGCCTCCTGCAAAATCCAGTAACGCATTCACACTCTCCACTGCGTCAGCTGCAGAAAGTGGTTGTGAATGGTACCCGTAACATCGCATGAAAGAAGGGTACGAAAGTTCGACCAAGCCATATTCGGGGGCCACATCGTCCAATTTCTTGATCAAGGCACGTTTAAGATCCATGTCCATATGCGAATAAGGCTGTTGCGTCTGAGAAACAGAGAATCTAAAACAAAAGGGACGTTGGAAAAATAGCACCTTGGCAAGAAAGTGACAGTAGACGCACCCCATTTTTGCCAGGAGGCCTGTCAGCCTTTTCCGACCCCGCTCTTTCCAGATCCCGAGCTTGCTTGCGACATAACTGGAATGGTACATCGCGTCATAGAGATTCCAATGTCTGAACAACATGAAGCGGAGTTCCTCTGTCGGACGAACGCCCCAGTCGTCTGGGCTAAGGGAGTTCAGGGAGTGTGATTCTTCTGAATTTGAAGGAAGGGGGTTGAGTCGGGACACCTCGTCGTGATAAACGCTATGTTGTTGTTCATATTCGTCTCGCGATATTCGGGCGGTGGCATATTGGTAGGTCAAGCCAAGGATCGCGAGCCTAACGCGAGGTGAGAGACGTTCCTATAAATACTCTGCGCAGACTGACCACAGTAAATCATTGTCGACGCGTTCTAGAACGGTGGCTAGAATGTACACGGTGCTGGCTGCGCTCTGGCCATAGGATGTCCCCGCATAGTAATACTTGTTGAGCTTCTGTTTGTATTGGTACACTTCTTCTCTTGAAACGCGGTAAACCTGGGAGTGTGTAAAGTGCCTTGCCGAGGATATGGAAGAATATAGGTGCTCACGCTCTCATCCAGCTTTCTCCGCTTCCGTGAGTCCCTCTCCCCTTCCCTAGACTTCCGTTTCCCGTTAGGAGAGCCGTTCTCGTCGTCTTCAGCCTCTTCCTCCAGATCTTCTTCATAGAAAGATTCGTCGTCGGACTCTTCGTCGTCAGAATCTGGCAAAGGTTCAAACTACCACAGCCATGAGTAGAGTTATATTATCCCTGAATAACACGCACTTCAAGCGTTTCCCAAGCCTTGCGCAGATCTCCCAGCTTCTCTGCGTCACCGTCGTCCCAAAGCACGACCCTCTCGCCGTTCTCCCCCGGCGCAAACAAGTTGGCCATACTCCGAGGCCGTGAGGAATCGATGACATGAATACAGACTTTGGTATCGAATTCTCCGAACCATTGAGGAGTTGGAAGGTCGCAAAAGTTACCCATGTTTATCAGAATCAGCGTATGCAGCTAGAGAAGCAGGGCGTTAACGAATATTGCGAGGTGCTGGCGGGCTAGCTCGACTACGTACCTCTGTGTATGTACTCAGTTCGTCCCGTACAAGTTGTAGTTCCTGCACGCTTGATACAGGTATAACGCGATAGACGACATCGTCGTCAGTCAACAAAGAAGCCAGCATACGTGCAGCACACAACGCGTCGACGTCTGGGGCGACAAGCATGATAACTGACGACGCTGAGGTTTGTGGAGAACGTCTATAGGCTGAGATGATATTGTTGTAAGCATCTGAATACGATGGCTTTCCAGGCTGAGCGAGGTGTGGAGGAGGAATGTAGACCATTTTGGGCGGTGACGTTCAGATCTTTTCGTTCAAGCTGGACGCGACTTGTTGTTCTCAGCGCGTCGCGTTGTTTGGTCAGGCAAAACAAACAGAATCTTTCCGATCGAAACGGAATCTCTCGACAATCCACTAAATAGCTCGAATATCTGAAACTATGCAACTCTAATCTATAGACCCTCCGATGTGGAAGAAGCCACCCCTACGAAAGAATCCGTCGGCAGTTCTTCCAAGCAAAGGAGACAAGGGCGCTGGACTTACCCTCCTATCCGCGAATGACGCGAGAAGTAGTCAAAGTCAATGTTCACGGCCAATGCAAGACAAAGCTGAGAAGTGTAAGCGTCCAGAGATAGTAGCATGGTCTCCAGGAAATGTAACTCACCGCACGTTGGTCGAGGGTCAGGTTCGACCGTGCCCTCCTGGGCAGGAGAATTTGCTGGTTGTCCCACTCAATCGGCTGATCCCCGGCGCCAAATTGAACGAGATAGCGACCTATACCACCGTAGTAGGACCTCTATTCAGATTTCTTTTGGCAATGATCATACCTGTATCTGTGAAAATCTGTTCCTCCGAGGTCAGTTGTATGCAAAGGAAGGAAAGGTACAACCCACCTCTCTTCCAAAACCTCTGAATGCACGGTCTATCACAGCCATTTCCTGTCCATGTGCATCTAGGATGGGGAAGCGCCACGCAAGGAATCCAGAATCCACTTTGGCGAATTGTTGAAAAACTTGACCAGACGGCTCGGGTTCAGGCTGTGGATCCGATGCTAGTGAGAGAATACGTTTAGGGTTTTCTCTAGAGTGCACTTGTGATTGGAAGTCGAATGGAGAATGAAGGACACGGACTTGCCTCAAGAAAAGGTCGTACTGTCTTCTCCAGGGATGCCATATTTGTTGAACCTCTGCAAAGGTATCAAGGACGGGCTCTTCGTTTGAGGTGTAGTGGTCGTAGTTGTCCAGCCGTTGAACATACATCCTCGAGTTGATCCAGGCGAAAGGACGACGAAGCTAGAGAAGTACTACTGTAAGCCGTCAGAATGAACTGAAGAAAGGGGTGAGTACCCGCCCATAGAAGAGGAGTACCATGAGTATCCATGATAAGGGCTTTGAACGGTCGATGAGTAGCAAACGCCTGTCGAGTCATCATTGCCAAAAATCCCCTTGGCTCTTCCAAAATGAATCCCAGTGGTTGACCTGTCTCGTCGCCTGTGATTGGGGTAAACTTCCGATTCTGTAAGTGGTAGAGCCGATAGCGCACGGACTGATTGAGTATTTGTTGGTCTGCTCGAACCCAATAAAGATATTCAACATCTCCAGCTGGCTGAAGGGGGTCAGAAGATGCAGGACACATTGCAAGTGGGCAAACTCACCGCTCGACAATCAGAGTCTCGTTGCGAGGGTTCAGCAGTGTCAACAGGCTTTCTTGAGGGTCACTAGATGGTGGTCGCTGTGCTGCTCTCCACAGTTCGGACTCGTTTAGAGACTCTGTAGATTCGAATGTGCTTTCTGCAGGACCAGGTTCGGGAGACTTTCTTCCTAACGGTCGTTGGGCACGTTGCCGACCCGATCCAGTTGGACGCTGAGGGAACCGAGAGAATGCATAGCTTCTTGTTAGTGTTCTGCAGTTGAGATATGGCGACCTTTTGAGGTGCTGGAGGATAAGCATTGGCAGAGGATATGGATGTTCGTGTTACAGACTGACGCAGGCATCGGGCGCTCGACGGATCGTGATCGTGGAGGGAAATTTCCATTTCTAGAACTCGGAAGAGCTCGCTGCCTTTTCGCTTGGCGGCTGAAATTGAGGGTTCATCGACGGTTATACGATGCATCGTCATGGTAGTCTCGTTCTCCGGCCTCAGCAGACTCTAGGTCGAGTTCGTCGCGCCTCGACGGCGGCGAAGCTCAAGGTTCGTCCCTCTATCCCAACAAACCTTTCAAAACTAACACCCTGGAAGCCTCGACAATGGGATTCTCCAAATGCAGCTCCTCAATATCCGGGGCCCAGCGCTGCTACCTCGTCGACGGCTGCTCCATCTCCTGCCTCAAAAGCAGCGGCTCTTCGCGCTAGCATGGCCAAGATGAACTCCAGGCCACCCAGCTCTGAACCTAGATCATCAGACCCATGGTCAACTCCCCGTCAAGCCTCCGGAGGCTATCGTGCTGGCACCCCGCAGAGGAATTCCGACTGGGCCTCACAGAACCAAAATTTCGCCCATTCGTTCAGGAACGATACCAGGCAATCAACGCAGCACCACAAAGGGAGAGATATCAGGCCCCAGCAATCACCTTCAACTGCTGCTAATTTCCCTCAGACTGCACCTCCCGATTCTACACAACAGTATACAGCCAACCGGCCAACTACGACAGCGCAAACCGAACATGCTTTCATTTCTACTTCCCTTCCTGTGGACATACCGTCAACCGATGAACCTCTGAAGAATCGACCCGTCCGCGTACGCTACGACTCTAAATTCAAGGAGCGAGGATCGCTTCTACAAGACGATGGCCGGCACACCCAGTCATATTCAAATAAGCATGCTCAAGCTCGAAACGTAGAGAAACCCAAGCCAGTCAAAGCGTCTTTCAAGCAGGCCAAAAAACAACGAGAGCTGCCTCCAGTTTATATCCCAACGGCCGTCTCTGTCGTGAATTTAGCTCGTATCCTTGGAATAAAACCAGGTCCGTGAATCCCAGCAGTTCAAACCGATTGTATGTACTTAAACTGAATTTTCAGCTCGCCTCCAACGAAAGATGGAGCAGGTTGGCATCACGGATAACGCGAGTTACGATTATGGTAAAGTACTTTCGAAGTTTGCTTCCAATCTACAGCTTAAACATTCCTCCAGTCCTAACCGCCGATTATGCCGCTTTGCTCGCTGAAGAGTATGGCCGCAAGCCTATAGTTGACGACGAGGCCGCTTTCGACCTTTATCCTCCGTAAGTTGTTGAACATTCGAACTCTCGACCTTAATAACAACGACCCGAATCCAGGGCGCCACATCCCGAACCTTCGACGCTCCCATTGCGACCTCCAGTAGTAACCATTATGGGGCATGTTGATCATGGCAAAACGACACTGTTGGATACTTTGCGGTCTGCGGCGGTGGCCAAAGGCGAAGCTGGTGGCATCACTCAACATATCGGCGCTTTCTCTGTCCCTGTGCAATCAGAGTCGACAGAGGGTGTCAAGTCTATCACATTCCTCGACACACCTGGACACGCTGCCTTCTCTGCAATAAGAGCCCGTGGAGCGGGCGTTACCGACACCATCGTCCTCGTTGTTGCCGCCGATGACGGACTCATGCCTCAAACCAAGGAGGTCATCGAGTTGTACAAGAAGCATCAAGACAGCGTCGGTTTGGTGGTCGCCATCAACAAAGTCGATAAACCGGCCGCCGATGTGGTATGTCCCTTGTAACCCTTTCGAGGTTGTGACGGATGGGCTGAGCGTGTTATAGGAAGCGGTCGAAAAAGCTTTGATGGCGGAAGGCATCCAACTGGAGTCTTATGGAGGCGATATCCCTGCTGTGCATGTTTCTGGTCTGACTGGCCAAGGCTTGCCGGATTTAATCGAGACCCTATCGGCTCTCGCTGAGATGCAGGATCTAAGAGCGGAAGACAGTGGCCTTGCATACGGAGAAATATTGGAATCGAAGGTTCAACAGGGGCTTGGGTAAGTACGATCAATCATGATGCTTATTCCATGCAATTTACGCTTCTTTCAAGAACGGTCGGGACGGTGCTTGTGATGAGGGGGTGTCTTAAAGTCGGTTCTCACATCCTTAGTGGGCAAAGCTACGCCAAGGTTCGCAGGATGACTGATTCCAATGGGCGCGTTGTCAAACTTGCCAAACCCGGCATGGCAGTCACTGTTTCAGGGTGGAAAACATTGCCACAAGCTGGTGATAATATCATCGAGGGCTCGGAATCGGACGTAAAGAAAGCTCTTAACAACCGAGTGCGCAGGGCAGCGATTGACGCATCTCTTTCCGATGTGGACGCCATTAACGAATCGAGACGCCATGATCGAGAGAAAAGACTGCTTCAAGAGCAATCGCCGACGCCTAATGCCTCCAGGAATCAACATTTCGAAGAGATTAATACAGACTCTGGCAAGAAGGAGCTGAGACTCGTAATCAAGGCGGATGTTAGTGGAAGCGCAGAAGCGGTCGAGGGTGCTCTTCAGGGAATTGGAAACAACGTGGCCATGAGCAGGATCATCTCTACAGGCGTCGGTGATGTGTCGGAATCGGACGTGATGTTAGCAAAGGCTGCCAACGGTATGAAAAGCCCCCATTTTCCTCGTTCAGGGTCCGAAGCTGATCTTTCCCTACTCAGCCACGATCGTTGCCTTCTCTGTGGGCGTACCTCGCTCTGTCCAAAGCATTGCCAATCAGAACGCTGTGCCAATTTGTACCTCTAATATCATCTATAAACTTATGGATGATGTGAGGGAGCGCGTGCGGTCCTTGCTTCCTGTTGTCATCGAGTCTAAGGTCACCGGCGAGGCCAACGTTCTACAACTCTTCGATATTCACCTCAAGGGCAAGGCTATCAAAAAGGTTGCAGGGTGCAGGGTCACTAATGGGCTGGTCGAGAAATCCAAATTCGCTCGTGTTGTCCGAAATGGAGAAATCATCCATGAAGGTGCGCGCTTTACTGAACTCGGAAATTTGATTTACTTAATGTGATATTGTAGGATCTCTTGATACAATGAAACACTTGAAGAAGGATGTGACAGAAATCCGCAAGGGCATGGAATGTGGTTTGAGTTTCGGGGACTTTGCAGACGTGCGCGAGGGGGATATCATCCAGATGTTCGAGCGCATTGAGAAGCCGGCCGTCCTATAATAGTACGTCTGTCCCAAAGTAACGAAGGCTCTCATTGATTTCAAACGCCTTGCTCTACAGTCCCTCTGATCGAGCTCGGTTTGTTGCGTCGAGTATGACTTCCTTTGCACCCACTGTTCCAGTGCGACCAGTAACGCCAAACGTCAAGCTGATGCCTCCAAGATCGCGATCAGTCTTCTCCAACACGGTCCAACTCCTTCCGTCTTTCTTTTGAAGCGACAACTCAACCTACGAGGGTGCGTTAAGTAATAGAGCATTATAATATCATAGATAGAACATTGTACCTTGGTTCCTAGAACAATGAAGGACGATTTTTCGGGTTCAATTGGCCCGAACAGCTCTATTGTTTTCTTGAAGCGCTTATTGTCTGGCAAGCGCATATCCAATAGAACCTTGGTGACATATGAATAAAGGTAAGGAAGGTATGGATGAGTCACGCACCTTATCTTCTTCAAACTTCACGGTGCTCTCGGTTTTGTCTACCTTTTTTGCAAAGACCGAGACCTGGACTTTGTCAACTGTTTGATAATGGTCGATGCGACATTGAACTAGCTCCTCAGTCTACGATTTCGTCAGTGACATTCGAGCTACCTATGGCATGACACTCTTGCCTTGGTATCCTTCGCCTTTGGCACGAAGCAGTGACGACCGGTCTTGCAACCCTTGATCTTGAGGAATTCCTCAAACTCCAAAACTTTCGGTTTGCAGCAAAGATAACCCTGGCCATTCATACACATCTGGTCATCCGGCAAGACGCGAACAACTTACTTTGCTTCCCTCCCGAAATAATGGCTGAAATGGCATATCAGCTGCCAGTCCCAAGTGATGGAAAGAGAAGAGACACTCACAGGAAGTGGATGATATACGCAAACAGTTCCTTCGCCGTCTCCCTTGCGGTTGACTTCATCGCTAACGAAGGTGACACCGCAACCTCGACGCTTGCAATGCGTTCCGGGCTCTACTGGGGCGTCCAGGTCGTCTTCATCTTCAACGATCGGAGGCGGCGGGGCAACAGCAGTGGTGGCAGCAGACAAGGTGGCCGGTGCTCCAATCGTGAACGTTTCCTTGTTATCGCCACCCTCTTGAATAGTGGAGATAGGGACTGGGGTAGATGCAGCAGCTTGCTTCTGCTGCTGCGCGGCGCTCGGTGCTGGTTGTGACGTGAAAGCCTCTGAGGTATGTCCGTCGGTCTCCGTGCAGCCCTGGATCAGTCAATGTCAATTGTCTCGTCCTAGCGAGGAGTAAAGTCATCGGCGACGCGTACTGGGATGGCCATGAACTCCTCAAAGTCGAGCACAGGTTTGTTGACATCTTTGCAGCATGACCACGACTTCAGACCTTCATGAAAGACCTGCGTTTGTCGGACACTACAGTCAACGGGACAATGAAGGGCTGGAACGTACTGGCGCGCCTGAATGGAAGGTACAAACCCCCGTATTGTCATCGGTTGAAAAATCTTGATTGCAACCCTTTCGTGTACAGCGAGGCATGGTTCAAGAGGCTTCCTGGACGAATAGTAGATGTTCGAGTCTACAGTAAGTTAAATAAGTAACACAACTATAAATGTAAGCTCTTGATATGGATTATATGAGATTAGATAAGGCATCGTAATTCTGGAAGTTTCTCGAGGGAGACGCGACTTTGTCTGAAGATTTCTCAATCACCACCAACGCGTCCGTGATGCGACGCGAACCTGGACGTGACAAAATTAAAGAGATCCTAGAGCCCGCGAGCAAAGCAGTATATGTAGCACTAGTTCATGAAAAGGTTGGTCTATATGATTCCCAAACCAAAAACCCAATGCCCCAAGGGCCCACCCGCGCTAACGTTCGTCCAAAGCGAAGGAACCAAGACTGTTGATGTAGTGCAGGTGCAAGTGGATCACGATACAGTGTAAGAATACCATCTTCACGTATTGCCTTCTGTATAATAGATGGGATGGTCTTCTTCTGTGTGGTTGGATCACATTCATGAACATGGACTATCCTGCGGACCCTGTCCCAAGGTCGAGATACGGCTTCATAAACAAGTCCAGCCAAGACCTGTAGAGTTTTTAGAAATGTCGACGAAGAAAGAGTAAAGCATGACTTACTCCCCCAGCAACCAGCGTGCAGGCGTTTATAACTTTGGGTGCACTTTGAACTTTCGATGGATCCCACGGAAAAGCAGGGTGGCTCAGAAATTCGTGCGCTTTAGGAGTGATGGACGCACTTGTACGCCGTGTCATCTCGAAGACCGTGAAGAAGGCTGCAAAGGCTGAAATTCAATTAGCGATGTATCGACCCAAATTAAATCAAAAACTCACCGCAAATGTCCTTTCCGCAGCCCCACTTCCATCCATCCCAGCCTCTACCAGCCATTTCTCCAACTTCATGAAGCCAATGTCTGAGTTCCCGGATTTCTTGCAGTTGTTGATGATGCGAGAGGGAGGGTGGCGAGACGCGGCTCCGAAAGACCTCTTTCCAAACACAGCTCCAGGAATGACCTCCAGATCCGCCTTCCAGGAGAAGCCGAACATTCTCTGCCGGGGCAGCGACAAGGGCCTGGCAGCCTCCAGCGAACCCTCCAGCCAATGCGGCTGTGCGTATTGGGTGATCATCTCCGAATCGTTCGGTTATTGCTTCATTGGCCAGGCCATAGGATGTCCACAAAACGGTCCCCAGTGCTGCATTCAATAGTATCGGCGGTAGGAAGTGCTTGGGCACTACCCAAACCTATGCGACTATGAGCACCGCGCATTTAATGAAACTGCGATGGGAACTTACACCCTGGGTTTTACACATAGTGAGAACATAGTTGGGGGTCAAAGAGGCACCTTCCTGTGAAGCAATGTTCCTCAAGAATTGCCATCCTGTAACTGGTTCGGAAGGTTGAGAAGCTCGATCACAGGTGCTCATGGGCCAGCAGAGAGTATCCAACCTTTCGCTGGCCTGAATAGTCGCACCGGACGAGAAAAATACAGGGCCAGTCCCCTCGTAGCTGATCGAGCGACAGCGGCCATAACCTCTGAAGCAGGGTCGTTGCTTGCGGCTACATGAGTAGGTTAGTGGGTACTTGTCGGATGTAACGGACAACATACACGATGTCAGAGACCCGTCTGCTAGCAGATTTCTCTGCGATTCATTATTACTTGGGATATAGCTCATTCAACATGACCAGGAAGAAAAGACTGGGTCCAGGAAATGGTCGACTCTGCGAATAGCGATGAAGTGAACACCCGGAGGATGAGTTACGACAACTTGAACACTGCGAGTCCCTCCGGCCGCAAGTTTCCGTGCCGCGTTTACCGTGTTCGGGGGCGGCAGCACTGCCACCTTTACCCTTCCACCGATGCTTCGACCACGGCCAAATGTCTTGTCTTTGCAAAAGGGCTTCAAACTGGCCTCTGGTTCGCCTTCGTTTCACTACGGTTTTATTAAAAGACCCTATCTGCAACGTCTAGCCGGGTGTGCGAGAAGGAACTCCTCAAAGGCGTTGAGCTTCAACGACTTGCCCAGTCATGTAGCGCCTTCGTTTTCTTTCTGGCCCACTTTCCTGTCACTCTCCGAGCAAAAGGTGCTACTCTCAGCCTCTTTACAGAAGTTGGACTCTATGGATCCAGTTCCATTGAGAAGAAGGAGAGCAAAAGTATTGAGCAAAGCACCGAAGCAGCACTCAGATGACCTTCAAAATATCTTTGGCCCAGACGAACTCTACGACTTTCATGAGGCCAGTGGTTTCCAGCTGCTTATCATATCTCTACTCAATACTCAACGCGTTTTGCTTATATAGGGTCACTATGATGGTGTTATACACCACTATCGAGAGATGCCTTTGAGTTCATGGCCCGATGCGGCCGGTCTCCCTGCAATCCTGGAGAGGTTGCATTCACTATGTCCGACCAAAGATATTCAAACACATTTGCTTCACTTGTCATCCTATGGCGATATTTTGCCACATGTGGATAATATTGAAGCAAGCGGTACCTGGATAATGGGGGTTAGCCTCGGTGACGAAAGGGTTTTGCGCATGGAGGGTGCTGCTGGCGACTCGGACAGGATCGAAGCCTATGAATTGCTACTTCCTTCAGGCAGCGTATATCTGCAAAGGCAAGGGTTCTTCCTCCATTACCCCTTCCGTGCCGTGACATTGCGTTCCAGGGATGCTGTTAGGTATCACTATAAACACTCGATCGTTCGGAAGCCTCAGAATCAATTGGGAGGACATGGTCAGCGCCTAAGCGTCATGTTCCGAGTAGGAGTTTAATCTGACTGCCCTTCCTCGAAACTGACCTTTTGGAATAGGATTTGCCGACCCGTTGACACGTGGATTGTCCCAAAATTCTGTGATAAGCATATGTTCGAAAAGCTCCTGCTGTCCGTTGAGTTCAACGAATCTCCACTTCGTTGCTGCATCCTCCGAATCGGTTCTCGAAACACCAGTCCGGGGCTCACCCGAGCGCTGGTCAATTCCGTTAGCCACGTCTTTGGACCGTATTATCTATTTTCACAAGTCTTATAGAACACTACCTTCGGAATGGCGATCGCATATGACCAAATTCAGAGAGCGAATCACGACCGGAAGAAGCTACAGAAGAAAAGAAGACGCATTTACATCCACCCCAGATTTGATTCGTTCCGTCAATTGTGAGCGCACTGTAGATCAAATTCTTCCTCCGTCACCAACCACGAGGCGTTTTGGGGTGTGTCTGGGTCATGGTGATGTTCCCAACCTTGGAGAACTGGAAGTTCATGCCCACTCCCAAAGTCTGATGGCGATCCTTGAATCAGTGGATCAAAGGCAATCTTTATCATATCTATACTATACGCGCTATAGACGGTCACCTAGTAGATCATACTTTTGGAGGGTGTAGTCATGAGCTCCCAAGTCTCCGATATATTCTGTACCGGACAGAAGGAATTCGGGCCGCTGGGCTTCATCACACAGATCTTGGATTCATTTATTACCCCTGCTGAGGGGGAACGTGGGTGACTCCGGCGGCTCTGGAGAACGATTGTGTAAGTGACTGTACCAGTGATAAGCACGTAAGGATTGACGTACGGTATTGTCATGACTCTGTTGTCGTCCGCCTTTAGAGTGAGCATTTGCGTTCCCTAAATAACCATACGTCAGGACTGTGCGTGAAACCACCAGAATCCACACGTACATCCTGAAGGCGGGTCGAAGACTGTACAGTCGCATAGATCACCTCCCCAGTGGACTGCCAGAAAAAGACACGGGTTCCGGGCTAGAAAATGAGGCTCAGTACTTGGGGGGACGTCGCTGAGTGAACCAGCACTCACGGGGAATGCGTTCATAGCCAAAATAGCGCCAGGGGGACGTCGTTGTGGTTAGAGGATCCAACGTCGAAGGGTCTCTCTGGTTAAATACCTAGAGGAGGCCAGCCATGCTACCTCGAGGGATATTAACGAGTTTTCGGTCAAAGAAGCCTTCCTAATGAAATCTGAACAGGAGCAGATACCAGATTGTCGATTGACCAGGGCAGGGACACTACCTCAGGGAAGGTACAAACCGAGGTCTAGGATCAAGAAGTAACATTTCTCTTGCCGGGAGAACTTGTGATTTCGAAACTAATAGAGTAACCCGCAGACTCGCCACGAACCTTCACAAGGATCAAAGTCCTCTTTAAAGGTCGACGATCGATCGTTCGCAGCCTTGTCGATGAATTTGATCTTCTATTCACGGGCCCTATGAACAACGCCTGGCGTGTAGCAATTATCTACTTTCGTCGGAGAAGAGTGCCGTAAAGCCTTGCAGCATTGCCAATAGTCCCAAGCGCGGTGGTTTGGAAACGCGTGTAACAGGCGTGCCTTTCATTTGCAGGATAGTTCGACGCTGCAGACTCTGGTAAAAACAAAGAGCGTCGGAAGTAGGTCCCGCCCTTGGTGTCGAGATTTCATGATCCACATGGGGCGACGCGCAGAGCCCTTGTTTCCGGAGCGTAGTCGGCAGACCAGGCAAGAGAGGAGACATTATGAACGACAGATGTGGCACAGATAAAGACCAGTGACCGTGACGCGCGCGTGCCGTTCCCACCCATTCCGAAGGTCCAGGCTGGGGCTTCTTTCCAGCTCTTCCTGATTTGATGTCTAAATTCGTCGGAACAGAAATTTCAATTTTCTGACAAGTCCAGAGAGGTTGACGAAGAGGTCTCTTGCCCTTCAGTGAATGGAGCATTGATTTCAAGGAGTCCGACGCCGTCCAAGCTAATCGTGTGGACTCTTTCACCATATATCCAGAGATGGACACACACATGCCTTCCTGTGTGGAATAACGGCCTAGCGCCGTCCTTGATGTCTGGAATGATCACGATGCAGCACGCGGAGGTGAAGTAAACACAACGAGGGACCTATTAGTGCGTTCATTCGACCGAATGTATGAGACGTCACTTACACGGAAGAAGCACTGCTCTGACAGGGATAGAAGATGTGCGCAGCTAAAATCAAATATAAGTATGTACACAGTGCGCCGTCAACCTTCGCATCATGCACACCCCCGCCGCCACTGGGGTTTGCGACGAGACAATGCTCTCGAGGCAAGATCCGCAGAGTTCCAGCACGCGTCACCTTCGGACGTGTTGTGGAGGCATACCCAACAATCATCAAGAGCCGGCCCAATCTGTAGGATCGTTATGGTTGCATAGGTACTGTGCATATCTGGGGTAACCTGAAACCTTGTCACCAGCGAAGCGATCCGTCATCAGAACATCGATGGGACGACAATAACCACGAAACTTCGGCGGCTCCGAGAACCTGGCAAACGTATGGCTCATCCGTCCTCTCCAGTCGATCCTTCGTGACTGTGTTTGGGGAGGGGCAACAAGGGATCAATTGTAGGCTCCAGCAGAGAAGTTCCCCGTTCGGAGGTTTTGCACTACACCCTTCACGAGACGGGAGCATCTTTCAGTTGTCTTCATTGTGTTGGATACAGGTCCCTCAGGCCGCGACGTGAAGCCGGCGAACCTACCCAGGACCTGATTGCGAGAGTGTCTAGGTTGCATGATAGCTGTCGAAGAAGATTGATTGTTCCCTGAGGCCAAGTTGAAGTACAGCGAGTGCAGGCTACGCAGGGTCCAGCTTGCTGACAGACAGAGAGCCCCATGCAAGGTAGAGACATGTTCAGAAGGGGCTTCCGCTGCCGTAAGCACGGTAGAAACTGGACCGTAGGACCTGGTGTCAGTCTACAGCTCACCACAGATTTCACAAGCGTTGGGGGGTGGAAACAAGCCTGAATTGTTGTTCAGTTCTGGTCGATAGTCAGGTAGCGTGGGAAATGGCCCACACCCTCGATCCATTTTTGGTGACCTTCTTTCTTCTCCTGGCAACCACATAGAGTCAAGGCTGGTCCCCAATCAAACTCCTCATGAAGTAAGGCAGGATTGTCTATGCGTTGGAATTTGAGAGCACCATGCCTCTCTTCAAGATCCAGTGCGTGGCGTATGCTTCCTCGGCGTTCTGCTCTTGACGGAATCCAAGGACGGGAAGCTTATGTAGTCTCTTCGCTCGGTGATGATTAACGGGGCTGTGATATCGAATCCACTGCGTGTAGTAAGTCATTCTCGACTGCCTTTCCTCTTCGGATAACCGCAAGTGGGATAAAATTGAACCGTTAAAACATTCAATTAGCCAATGTCGTACTGAGATTGCCTCCGAGTAGGAAGCCACCTTTAACTTACGCCAGAACACAGGAGTTATTCCAGCCTCAGGCTGTGCGTACTCAAGGTCTTTACGTGATTATTGGTCTTTTAGGATTGGCAGGTTCCCCAGGATTTATTATTATTACTATTTCTGGATAGAAACGGGAAGGACAGTGCTTTTTCACGAGAGCTTCAAAGGCACGCACGCGCACCCCTCCTCCCGCACCTCAAGTAATCCAAGGTGACCAGACCCTTTCATGCTCTGTCATCTATCTGATTATGTTCTACACCAAGGCGGACTTGCTCTGCTCACCGTGATCTCAGTAGAACTATCCCTGCACAAACTGGGATAAGCCAGAGCTAGCACCCGCCACCGCAATCCAAGCCTGCTCAGGCTACCGTCACTTCGATTCAAGTTCCAGAATTGGACCTGCAATGCGGGAGATTGTTCTCCCTGATACTGCATGTCGATCCTTGGAAACTCAATCCATATTTAAATCCATGCTTCATAGATCTCTTCGAGGTAAGGAAGAGTGACGCTAGTCAACGGAGATCTGTCGCGGCTCAAGCAAGCCCCACTCCATCTGCATGCGACTCCATTGCGCGATCGTAGATAACCTATAACATGACAATTCAATTCCTTGCTTCAGTAGCTTGTCGAAACCCACATAGAGAAAGACGGTGCGATCTGATGCTCTTCTTCCACAACGACTGTGTCTTTTCGGCATCCCCCATGATACACCCATGAGCCGTGTCTCCTCCATCAATGATTAACGTCCGGTCCGTATACAGCCAGTGACTTCCACGAACTATAAGCAAGCTGCAGGCCACATCAACGGCACTCGCCCACACGAGCCGGCCAGGTTGGCTATTTTATAATACTATGTACCGCGGTGTCTGACTTAAGCTTGACCACCTTTTTCGGTCCTTCGCCAAGCGCCCGGATCGTAATATATCGGATAATCATCTAACTATTGCTTCCTTGCTACTCTCTGGACGGGTTGATGATCCACAGCTACAGGCTCTGCGGAAATGGACGACGTGCGAAGACCACTTAGTGTTCGGTGAAGGTGTTTATGACAAGGTAATCCGCCGTGTTGATTTATGCTGACATTAATAGAACGTGCTGACCGCTGCTTTTCCTGGTATGTGAGGTATGACATTCTCGTTCGTTATTGACTGGGCGAAACTCTACCGCCCACATGAAAGCTGCTAATATGACTTGGTCATAGTATGACCGGTGACCCGTTTAGCCCACAGCCGTTCACATACCCTATGGCAGATCCCCAAACCTTTCCTCCCAGGGAGACTCTAGCGGGGATTTGTATATAGTTTACCGCTCAAACCAATACACATCCGGACATGAGTGATTTTTCGAGTGATTTCGGCCTCGTGAACATCGAGTCAACTCGACATGTGCAACGGAGGCTCATGTACTGGTGCCGATCATCTCCATCCGCAGAGCGGCCCAGGTCCGATCAGAAAGCTTCAGTGTTTGTCGTCTTTCTCGTGCTCAAGCAGAGTCAGTATGGACTACCCAACCGTGCTTATTTTCGGATTATAGTCCCACAAATGACATCCTATCTTTTGCCACCGTATGTACAAACCGAAAGTGATGCTTCCCAAGAGTGCTGCGGATTTTGACATCTTGCTAGGCATGTTAACCTACAACGGGAGATAAGTGCGTCACGATGGACATTCTAGTCGCAAGTTGAAGAGAGAAAGGTTCGAGTCCATGGCGAAACTCGGCGAAATGTCGAGAGTACAGAGAAGCTACTGGCCGGTGGCGTGCCCAGAAGAAATCTGAGAAGTGTGTTCGTTGCAAAACGAGGCCAAGAAGCGGAAAGTGTGATATCGGCGCTTAAACTTCATAGATAACACGAGGCTTGGCGCGACCCTGGAACCAATTCTATCCGGAATCTGGGGTAAATGTGCGATAAGAAAGTCAAAAAGTGGTGAAAATGGCTGGATAACGGGCGAATATCATCGTTGGAGTAACAGGAAAAGGACCTTGTGCTTGGTCAAATGGACTTGAGTCGAGAATGTGTTGAGGTCGTGTGTGATAACGGGAAGATGAGGAGCAATGGAGGCGGACGGCGCTGCGATAAGGGATTGGAGTTGTAGGACCAATCATGAAGGCTGAATTTCCTTATCGGCCGAGGTAGCCGGAATCGCGGTTCCGTAAGTGTATATTATCCGCGCAAACTGTTATCTTCCATTTTGCTCTCCTTTCACCCCTTCACCGCAAACCAGGTTCATCGGCCCCAGCAACTTGGTCTTTCTCCTATTCGTGCTCAACGTTCTCCAGCCTTTTGATGGCAGCCTTCTCTTACGATCCTTCTCCTGTTACTTTGCCTTTGGTCGACGAGTTCGCTACCCCGGACAATATCAATGGTTTCAACGCAGTGAAACGCGACGAGACTTCATGGGCCGGGGCTTTGCCCGCAAACCAGGGTCTATACTCTAACGAGAACGAAAAAGATGCCTGCGGTGTGGGTTTCATCTGCCACATAAAGGGCGAACCCTCCCACAAAATCGTCTCTGATGCCCGCCAACTTCTTTGCGCCATGACCCATCGAGGAGCAACGGGGGCGGATAGTAGAGATGGCGACGGCGCCGGAGTCATGACCTCCATCCCCCACGCCTTCTTCAAGCGTGAGGCTGAGCGTGATTTGGGCTGCATCCTGCCAGAGCCTGGTCAATTCGCAGTCGGCAACGTCTTCTTCAAGGCGAACGATGCCGTCCAGCTGCAAACGTACCAATCTATCTTCACCAAGATTGCAATCGACCTCGGTCTTCGTGTTCTCGGCTGGCGAGAAGTCCCGACCGATGGAACCATTCTTGGCCCAGCTGCCAGAAGCAAGGAACCTGTCATCCTGCAGCCGTTCGTTGTTCTCCGTGCACATTACGGTGACGGAACGGTCAGTCAGAATGGTACTTTCGACGAGAGGCACTTTGAGCGCCAACTCTACGTTCTCCGCAAACACTCCACCCATAGAATGTGATTTCCATTTCCCTTCATTCAAGACGATTCAGGCTGACACTGGTTCGTCTTCAAGCACCCTCGCCAAGGGATTCTATATTTGCTCCCTTTCCACGAAGAACATCGTCTACAAGGGTCAACTCTCGCCTTCTCAGGTGTACAACTATTACCATGACTTGAACCACGTTCTCTATCGTTCTCACTTCGCTCTCGTCCACTCTCGATTCTCCACCAATACCTTCCCCAGCTGGGACCGTGCCCAACCTTTGAGATGGGCCGCTCACAATGGTACTCCTTTCTCCGTGTGCATCACCCTACAGTGTCCTGACAAGCTGCATCAGGTGAAATTAATACTGTCCGCGGGAACAAGAACTGGATGCGGGCGCGAGAGGGTGTCCTCTCCTCCGAATTATTCGGCGATCAACTCGACTTGCTTTACCCAATTATCGAAGCTGGCGGTTCCGACTCTGCGACCTTCGACAACGTACTCGAACTGTTGGTAGTCAATGGCGCCGTCACACTCCCCGAGGCCGTCATGATGATGATTCCGGAGGCATGGCAGGGCAACGAACAGATGGACCCGGCCAAGAAGGCATTCTACAACTGGGCTGCCTGTTTGCAGGAACCTTGGGATGGTCCCGCTCTTTTCACCTTCAGCGACGGGCGCTACTGTGGTGCCAATCTCGATCGAAACGGTCTCCGTCCTTGCCGGTTCATCGTTACCAACGACAACATCATCGTCTGCGCCTCTGAAGTTGGCGCCGTGTTCATCCCACCCGAGAAGGTCGTTCAGAAGGGTCGTCTCAAGCCCGGGCGTATGCTCCTTATCGATACCGTTGAAGGGAGAATCATTGATGACAAGGAACTCAAGAGGAACACCGCTTCCAAGCAGAACTTCGCATCATGGGTCGAAACACATATGTTGAATGTGCCCACCATCATCAAACGGGTCAAACGCAATAACATCTCCCTCGAGCCCATCCTCGATGCCACCACCCTCAGCACCGATCCAAAGCTTCTGGCTTTCGGTTATACCCTGGAACAGCTTCATCTACTCCTGTTACCCATGGTGCTCGATGGAAAGGAAGCGCTGGGCTCCATGGGCAACGATGCTCCTTTGGCTGCAATGGCTTCTCAACCGCGACTTATCTACGATTATTTCCGCCAACTGTTCGCGCAGGTCACCAACCCCCCAATCGATCCTATCCGAGAGAGTATCGTGATGTCTCTAGAGGCGTACGTTGGCCCCGAAGGCAATCTCCTTGAGATAAAGCCGGAGCAATGTCACCGCATCCTACTCCCCTCACCCCTCATTTCTGTCGAAGAGATGAACGCCATGAAGAACCTCAAGGCTGCCTACGTTACTTGGCCTTCGCGCACCATCGACATCACCTTCCCCAAGTCTGAGGGTCTTCCTGGGTACAAGCGCGCTCTCGAACGCGTTTTCAGCGAAGCAACCCAAGCCATCGACGACGGAGTCAAGGTTATTATCCTCAGCGATCGTGCCACTGGTCCTTCTCGTGTTCCTCTGTCGGCTCTTGTCGCATGCGGTGGTGTTCACCATCACCTCACTGCGCAGAAGAAACGTGCGAAGGTTGCCTTGATGATTGAGACAGCTGAGGCTCGGGAGGTTCACCACATTTGCGTCCTTGTTGGTTACGGTGCCGATGCTGTCTGTCCGTGGCTTGTGATGGAGACCCTGTACAAGGTTGAACGCGAGGGGCTGTAAGTCACCTTCCTTGGCCCTCTGTAATGAGAGACAGTCTAACCATGCTTGATAGGGTGAAGAACGATAAGACAGTGGATGAACTCCTGACCAACTATCGCCACTCTGTCGACAATGGCATCCTCAAAGTCATGTCCAAGATGGGTATCTCGACACTACAGTCCTACAAGGGTGCCCAGATCTTCGAGATCTTGGGCCTGCACAGTGAGGTCGTAGACGTCTGCTTCGTAGGCACGGCCAGTCGAGTCCAGGGTGCAACCTTCGACTTGCTCGCCATGGACGCCTTCGAGCTGCATGAACGTGGGTGGCCCAGCCGACAGACCATCTTACCCCCTGGGATGCCGGAGTCGGGCGAGTACCACTGGCGTGACGGTGGGGAGGCTCACATAAATGATCCTGCCGGTATCGCCAACCTCCAGGACGCCGTTCGCGAGAAGAACCAGTCTGCATACGATGCATATGCTCGCAACGCCAACGAGCAAACACAACACATTCATCTTCGTGGCCTTCTGGACTTCCGCTATGAGAGTGCTTCCCCAATCCCTATCGAGCAGGTTGAGCCCTGGAACGAGATTGTGCGCCGCTTCGTCACAGGTGCCATGTCTTATGGTTCCATCTCGATGGAGTCTCACTCCACGCTTGCCATCGCCATGAACCGTCTGGGTGGGAAGTCCAACACAGGTGAAGGTGGTGAAGATGCAGAGCGTTCCAGCGTCCTGCCTAACGGTGACACTATGCGCTCCGCCATCAAGCAAGTCGCCTCCGGTCGATTTGGTGTGACTGCGAACTACCTTGCAGATGCTGACGAATTGCAGATCAAGATGGCGCAGGGCGCTAAGCCAGGCGAGGGAGGTGAATTGCCTGGTCACAAGGTCTCTGCATCCATTGCTCGCACCCGTCATTCCACCGCTGGCGTGGGTCTCATTTCACCTCCCCCACACCACGATATCTACTCCATTGAAGATCTCAAGCAACTCATCTACGACTTGAAGTGTTCCAACCCTCGTGCTCGCGTCTCCGTCAAGCTCGTCTCAGAAGTTGGCGTCGGTATTGTCGCCAGTGGCGTCGCCAAGGCCAAGGCTGACCACATCCTCATCTCTGGTCATGACGGTGGAACCGGTGCGTCTCGATGGACAGGTATCAAGTATGCCGGCCTTCCTTGGGAACTAGGCCTCGCCGAAACTCACCAGACGCTTGTCCTCAACGATCTCCGTGGTCGTGTCACTGTCCAGACCGATGGTCAAATTCGAACTGGTCGGGACATTGCTGTCGCCTGCTTGTTGGGCGCTGAGGAATGGGGTTTCGCCACGACACCTCTCATTGCTATGGGTTGTATCATGATGAGGAAATGCCACTGTAAGTCGGGCCCCTCGTCTATCACCGCCATACTCTGATTCCTGTTTAGTGAACACTTGCCCCGTTGGTATTGCTACCCAAGATCCCCAGCTTCGTGCCAAATTCGCTGGTCAGCCAGAGCAAGTTATCAACTTCTTCTATTACATCGCAGAAGAACTTCGTGGCTATATGGCGAAGCTCGGTTTCCGTACCATCAACGAGATGGTTGGTCGAGCTGATATGCTGAAGGTTAACGAGAAGCTTCGCACTCCCAAGACCGCCCATCTTGACCTCTCCGCCATTCTGAAACCCGCATGGCAAATGCGTCCTGGTGCCGCCACCTACCGTGTTCGTCAGCAAGACCACAAGCTTTACATCCGCCTCGACAACAAGTTCATCGACGAGGCCGAACCGGCCTTGGAGAAGGGCCTTCCTGTTCACATCGAGTGCGAGGTCACCAATACCGATCGTGCTCTCGGCACCTCCTTGTCTCACCGTGTCTCCAAACTATATGGCGAGGAGGGTCTCCCTAAGGATACCATTCACATCGCCATGCGTGGTTCTGCTGGACAATCCCTCGGCGCCTTCCTGGCTCCCGGTATCACTATAGAGCTTGAGGGTGACGCCAACGACTATGTTGGAAAAGGTCTCTCTGGTGGTCGTCTCATCGTCTACCCACCGAAGCAGTCTACCTTTAAGGCAGAGGAGAACATCATAATTGGCAATGTCTGCTTGTACGGTGCAACATCAGGTGAAGCCTTCATTCGTGGCATCGCTGCTGAACGTTTCGCTGTCCGTAACTCTGGCGCCAACGCGGTTGTCGAAGGTTGCGGTGACCATGGCTGCGAGTACATGACGGGCGGTCGAGTTGTCGTCCTCGGCGTCACCGGGCGCAACTTCGCGGCTGGCATGAGCGGTGGTATCGCTTACGTTCTCGACATGGCCCACACGTTTGCTTCCAAGGTCAACCAGGAGATGGTTGAGCTCGGAAAAGTCAGCGATCCCCGTGAAATTGCTGCGCTTCGCAGTCTCATCGAGGACCACCGCCATTACACTGGCTCCGAAGTTGCAGACCGTGTTCTCCATGACTTCCATCACCTCCTCCCTCTCTTCGTTCGCGTCATGCCCTTGGACTACAAACGCGTCCTCGAAGAACAGGCCATCCGCGAGAAGGAAGAGAAGTCACGCCTCAGTGTCATCGACCTCATCCCCTCACGCACCGCCAGCCAAGTTGATCTCGCGTCTGACGAGATGCAAGATGTCCTGGTCAAACGCAAGACTCCTGTTCCTTCCGCTCCCAAGAAACACGAGCCTTCGCTCGTTGACATGGAAGATTCGTTGATCGATGAGAATACCACCAAACAGCGAATGAACAAGCTCGACAAGACCCGCGGCTTCATGAAGTACAAGCGTCTTGGTGAAGCGTACCGACCACCCGTCAAGCGCATTAAGGACTGGAAGGAAATCTCTACTCGTCTCAACGAAAACGAGCTCAAGTACCAGTCTGCCCGCTGCATGGATTGCGGTGTTCCCTTCTGCCAATCTGACACTGGTTGCCCTATTTCCAACATCATCCCCAAGTGGAACGACCTTGTCTTCAAAGGTCAATGGCGAGATGCCCTTAACCGCCTGTTGATGACCAACAACTTCCCCGAATTCACTGGTCGTGTCTGTCCTGCCCCCTGTGAAGGCGCTTGCGTTCTTGGCATTAACGAACAGCCAGTCGGTATCAAGAGTATCGAATGTGCCATCATCGACAAAGTATGTCTTTCGCTCTTGCTCCTTCAGTCTCGGGAGTCTTACCCATGATATTCAGGGCTTCGAAATGGGCTGGATGGCCCCGCAGCCCCCCGACTTCCGTACCGGAAAGCGCGTCGCAATCATTGGCTCTGGTCCTGCCGGTCTTGCTTGCGCAGACCAGCTCAACAAGGCTGGACATTTCGTCACCGTCTATGACCGCAACGACCGCATGGGTGGTTTGCTCATGTACGGTATTCCCAAGTACGTACAACCTGGAACTTTCTTCCTCTGTCGACGCTGACAGCGTTCAACAGTATGAAGCTCGACAAGGCCATCGTTCAACGACGTATTGACCTGATGGAGGCCGAGGGTGTCACTTTCGTCCCCAATACCAACGTAGGCGTCGACCTTGATGTCCACCAACTCCGTGCGGAGAACGACGCGATCGTCCTCGCCACTGGTGCTACCTGGCCTCGCGACCTCAAGATTCCCAACAGGAACGTCGACGGCATCCACTTTGCCATGGAGTACCTTCAGCTCAACACCAAGTCTCTTCTCGACTCTGATCTGAAGGACAACACATACATCAACGCTAGGGGCAAGGATATCATTGTCATTGGTGGTGGAGACACCGGCAATGATTGTATCGGCACTGCCATGCGTCACGGTGCGAAGTCGGTGGTCAACTTTGAGCTTCTTCCCAAGCCACCCGTGTCCCGTGGTCGTGACAATCCCTGGCCTCAATGGCCCAGGATCTTCCGTACTGATTATGGTCATACAGAGGTCGCTGCTCATTTTGGTCAAGGTTGGTGGGGAGTTCTTGTATTCATAGGTCTTGGCTGACGACTCCCATCTCCAGACCCTCGGGAATACTGTATCTCGACTAAGGAGTTTGTTGTCGACGAGGAGGGCAAGTTGAAGGGTCTCAATACCGGTATGAGGGATCCACCATGATGTATCATGTACAAAGCTGACGCCTCCTTTTCAGTCCGCGTCGAATGGACCAAGGACAGCGGAGGACGATGGAAGATGGAGGAAGTGCCCGGTTCGGACAAGTTCTTCCCCGCCCAGTTGGTTTTCCTTGCGCTGGGTTTCTTGGGTCCCGAGAACGATGTTCTCAAGGGACTCGGCGTCAAGCAAGATGCTCGATCCAACGTCCAAACACCTCACAAGACGTACTCCACTAACGTCGAGGGAGTATTTGCAGCAGGAGATTGCCGTCGCGGACAGTCCTTGATAGTTTGGGGTATCAAGTAAGTCCTTTCATCTTTGGACTCCTGTTGAGACAGTGACTGACTTCATCTTGTAGTGAGGGTCGCGGCGCAGCTGCTGAGATTGATACATGGCTCAGCGGAACTACCTCTCGTCTGCCGCTTGCTGGTGGTATCAAAGCTCGCGTATGTTCCCCGCTCCGCCCTTCAACAAGTTTGCCAAGCTAACTAACTTGCGCGCTTAGTCTTTCGTTCCTCCCCCTGTCAAGCCTGTTGATCCTGTCGCTGCTTAGTCGCCCACATTTTTTCCACCATGTTCTTTCATGACCTCTCTTGACGACGTAACTTATGCACCTCATGTATCAATACTCACTTCCATCCGCATGCACTTTCTGAAAGTACTGTAAATTGCCCGCTGTATTATCTTTCAATGCAATTCATGTCATCGATCCCACTATTATCGACCTCGCTCCCGTTACAAGGGGTGTGTATATTCATTATATCTATCATAGACTGGTGACGTATTAAGGGTGTGTGTGGTCTTACTAGTACTGGTTAGTTACGGGAGAACTTGAGCCAATCAAAGGCACCTTTCTCCTGGATGTCCCTACTTTTACCTCGGATGGCCCAAATACCCCAGTTGGTCTTGACCATAACACGCGGGTCAAAGTCAGCAATCTCCCACTTTTCACTACCGAAAGCGTTGGGGCCGGGTGTGACGACCCACTCGAACTCGCCCGCGACTTCAGGTGCCTTGGAGAGAGAGCGGACGTCTCGTTCCACATCCGTAGGGGAGAATCCAGTGACAAAGAGCGTGCACTTGGTCGCAAGCAGCATCGGGAGGACCGGGCCCCATTCGGTGGGCGAAGCAATTTGAAGCAAGGGTTCACCGTTCTCGTCGACCGAGTCAGGCGATGGGAAACCGAAACCGGGTGAGAAGAAGAAAAAGACGTCAGAGTAGGGGTCAAGCGTGTGTTGGAATTGAGCGTGAACGTCGGCATAGTTGGCTTGCATACCGGTGATAGTGAGCTGGTGGGTGTAGGGGACGGTGTAAGACGGGATGCCGTAGCGTTCAAGAGACGAACGCGTGCGCTTCAGACGAGGGATGGGTGGAGGAGTCGGGGGTTGGTAGACGTTGGGGACGTATGATTTCTTCTCTTCGTTTTCCACAGCCTTCTCCTCAGGCGACTCAGTTGCAGCAGGAGCATCCTCCTTGGTCGGGGAGGTACCAGATGTTGCAGTAGGGGAGCTCGGTGGTTTAGGAAGGGAGACTTGGGGACCGATGAAGAAAAGGTGGAAATGAGTGGAAGGGAAAAGCATAGTCAGTTGCTCCCACACATGAGGGGGGAGGGACGACTCTGCTCGTGCACCCAATATGAATATTCGAACTTGGGGCTTGCCGACAGTGGCCTCAGATGTCTCGGGAGCACCTGTTGGAGGATGCAGCACACTTCGAAGAGCTAGACGTCGAGTGTTTAACAAAGCGGTCGAGAGCTGGGAGTGGATGTCTAGACGTACCTGCCAACGAACGACTTCCCTCTGGTGTCAGACGCTGGTTGCTCAAGGTGAGGTTGCTGTGCTGGTGAAGAGCGCCGCCGATAGTGATGGGATATGTCAAGAGTTTACTAGCGTGTCTGCGGGAGCGTTCGGTGTCCATGGATGGGAAGTTTCGAGTGTACCAAAAGATGTCCCAGTTGGCGAAAGAAATTGCTTCTTCAAAGCCCTGTTCACCTAAAAGAAAATAGAGATTTAGGTGGGAGCGTCATAGGGACTTGGCATGGACGTACCCGGCAATTCGAACTCGCGCAACCTCCTCCCACTTCTCAAGTCGTGTTCATCTTCGTTCGCCTCCCTAAGCCTGGTGCAGTACTTTTGATGCTCCTTGTCCTCCTTCCAATGTTCCTCCGAGCAGTGAGTGGGCCAACCGCAATCCGGACATTCGAAGGACACCGGCTTGGAGAGATTCCTCGCTGGGACGTCCTCGTGGACATGGTGGCCTCCGGAAGAACATACAGGACATGGCGCAAGCTTCTTTATCGCTTCGCCCCTTGCCTGGATTGCTGGGAACGGTGATTTGGAAAACGGGTGGAAAAGGTTGTCTTCGGTGAGGATAGGAACGGGGTCCTTTGGCTTTTCCTGAGACTTTGAGCGGCGGAGGAAGCTGAATATGGAGCGGGAATGTGGGAGTAAATGTTGACGGTAAACATTTGAGCTGCAGCGGAGAGAAGAGGACAATCGAGTCCTCGCGCTACAGCGGAGAACGGGATTCCTGAGCATGGTAATGTCTCGACAAATCACAAACTTTGAAAATACCGGACGTGTTATTTGGCCTTTGTTTGCCATCGCCTTTATCCTTAATTTCTTCCACGCTTAATCCCCCTTTTCAGCTCAGATCACCGACAATGTCAAGGCAAGCTACTATTCAGAGGAAAACAGGAGAGACAGACATCGACGTCTCCATTGATTTGGACTGCCAACCTGGCTCGAACAATGTCCAATCTATCAATGTATCCACAGGAATCGGCTTCCTCGACCATGTTCGTCAATTTAGGCGCTGATCTCCAAAACTCCCTACTCATCCTCTTGCTCACCACAGATGTTCACGGCTCTAGCCAAACACGGAGGCTGGTCTCTCACACTCAAATGCAAGGGTGACCTCTGGATAGACGACCACCACACTGCAGATATGTCCATGTACCGCGTTACACTGTACTCAACCCTGACACCAGCTGCACAGGACTGTGCAATTGCGCTAGGAACCGCTTTCAAACAGGCCCTGGGTGAAGTCCGGGGAATTCGAAGATACGGAACTGGTTATGCTCCTCTCGACGAGGTATGTCTTTCCATACGATCTTAACCCCGCCACAGCTGAACGCGTCGCAGGCTCTGTCCCGAGCAGTAATCGACATCTGCTCTCGGCCATACTGCTTCACAGATCTCAAGTTCAAACGCGAAAAGATTGGAGACCTCTCCACAGAAATGATTCCCCACATCTTCTACTCCTTCGCCATGGCCTCTGGAGCGACACTGCACGTCGACGTTATTCGAGGAGAGAACGACCACCACAAGTGAGTCATAGATAACAGAAACATACCCCATCCAACTCATCCAATCTATCCCTCCTCAGATCCGAATCAGCATTCAAAGCGCTCGCCATCGCTATCCGACAGGCCATCGAACGCACCGGCGGCACCGACGTCCCGTCCACAAAAGGTGTCCTTTAATCAACCAATAATCGAATCAAGATGAACCTGTACAAGATCGAGTCCGTCGTAAATTATAGATAGTTCAGTTGTGTGTGCGCGTGTGTGTGGTGTTAAGCTAGCCCCAGAAGATACAGCGCTTCTCAGGTGGAGGGTTCAACTGGAAGGAAGAGGTTGTTAGGAGCCATTGATCTATTCGTGACGAAGAAAATATACCTTGGATCCCTTCGGGCAATTGAAGGCCTTGGCAAACTCTGGAATGTTAGACAAGGTGCCATCAACCCGGAACCTGGCGGGCGAGTGTGGATCGGTACGTATCCTTTGAACCTAAAACGAGTCACGATCAGAGCCTTGCGTAGCGACTTTTCAAACAACTTACCGCCGCTCGGGTCCTCATATTACGGGCCCAAATCCGTGCAAAAGAGAGGAAGAAGAGCTGCTCCCTCGTAAAGTGCGACAAACCAGGAAGAGCGTACTCCGTTCCATTGTCGAGGCCATCCTCGTACTGAGCTTTCCACGCACGGTATGCTTGTATCAGACCGGTGTCGCCAATGTTCTCTCCCGACGTCAAGTTTCCCTGGATTATGTGAGCAAGAGGCATATGCGTTCTAAACCTAGACAATGCCTCACATTGACATGGATGTGCCCGCCCTCGCCATCATCAATCTTGTATTCTAGAAACGATCGTCAGTGTCTGCCTACAGCATAAGGCCAGAAAACGCACTAGAAAACTGGTCAACAATACACTTCTGTTTCTTGTTGAACCCCTTGCTTGTCTTATCCGTCCACCATTGCTCCAACTTCCCGTCTTGGTTGTACATTCGGCCAGCGGAATCGAAGGCGTGTGTCAATTCATGGGCCGCAACATGACCGAAAGCACCGTAAGACAAGTAGCCCGGCCAATCTTGCGAATAGAAAGGTGGTTGAAGGATACCAGCGGGGAAGTTCATCTACGACCAGTTAAGCCAATCGAACCGCAACACAGCGGACATGCCCCCTACTGACCTCGTTGGCGGGTGGATTGAAGTACGCATTGACCGTCGAAGGGAACATCTCCCACTTCTCACGATTCCTCTGTTTTCCGAGTTGCAACCACTTCTTGAAGACCTCGCTTGACCTAAATAGGTAGGTTATCAGTGCGACGGCACATAAAATAGTATAACGAGACATACGAAGCGCTCATCATATTCTCAAAGAACGTGTCCTTGCTTATCTTGACTGTCCCATAATACCTGGCGAGCGAACGAGGATTCATCGTATCTGGGGAGACCGGATAGCCAACATTAATACGGATAGCATCCGCCTTCTCTGCAGCAGCTTTGGCGGACTTGTCATCCATCCAATCAAGGTCTTCGAGGGAATGCTTGAATGCCTGGACAATGTCTAGACCAGCTGTCAGAGGCGATCCTCAACTTTTCTATGGAAGAGACGAACCTTTAATGACCTTGGTAGCCTTGGACTTGGAGTCCCCGCTGAAGGTCTTCTGCACAAAGTAACGCCCAGATGCAAAGCCAAGGGTCTCCTCCACTCGGCCGACGCAGTATTCTGCGCGATCTCCAACGACGCCCTTCTGGATACCAGTCAAGGTTTCGTAAAGGACTCGTTGGGCTTGCCATGCCACTGTGTCAGGACCAAGATAGGGAGACAGCGTCAGCATGGCACGGGAGACCAAGTAAGCCTCGACCACATCAGACGAAGTCGAATTCAAGACATCCGCAAGACTCTTTGCGTAGCTTGGATAGGTCAAAATAACCCTGTCTGGATAAGCTCTGGGCGTGAAAGTCGAGAAGTAGGTCGGGAAATCGAATTGGTGGAGCGTCTTGGTGAGGTTGGAAAGTGGGACAGGATTATAGGTTGCAATGGGATCTTGATAGAGGATATCACTTGAAACGTTCGTCAGTATTCCCCGCAGAGACACCTGGGAGAATTGAACATACAGGTCGAGACTGGCATTGGCCAGCTTGGATTCAAACTCGACAACCCCTTTCGCAAGTCTTCTTACGCGCTCAGAGCGGTTGAGCGGTTTCTTTGGATCTTCTCCCTCGGGGTCGTCGTCCGGGTTCCACGGTGGCCAGGGCCAAGGAGGCCAGATTTCGGAGGCATCGTTGTTAATTAATAAAGATGCAAAAAATTCGGGACTATCTTCTTCACCCTCATCGCTGTCGGCCAGAATATGGTCAACCCTCGAAAGCAACTGTTCAATGACTTCGCCATAGACCTTGACGATCGACTCCTCATTATAATATTCCTAGGCGACATTTAGAACGAGTGCAAACATGCAAATGGCAGAGACATACTTTGGAAGGCAGCCCAAGGTCCGGCTGGCTAAACCAGAGGGCCATGTAATTGGGGTCAACGGCAACATCCCCTTCAATATCAAAGGAGAACAGAGCCGCAATGTCTGGACGAAATATCAGTGGGTAATGCACTTTGGAATTGACGGGGACTTACCCCGAGAGTGAAGGAACGCAGTGGCCGCTGTCAGCCCATTAAACCTGAATTCCGGTTTGGTGTCATCCTCGTCTGAAGGGGGGTTGGGCCTGATGTCTGTATCTTCTTCCCGGTAAAGCTTCTTGATGGTCTTCACGACATGAAGCAAGGGTTTCTCCCCCAATTTATTGAGGCGATCCTCGTTCAAACACGACGAGTAGTGGTTATGCAACATGGTCAACAATTCTCGGTCGTGCGGGTCTTCGACAGACGAAGGTTTGGCTTCAATGATTTGCCGAATTAATTGCCGGTTCTTCTGTGCCAAGTCTTCAAAGTTTGAGAAGCTGCTCTTGTCGCCAGGGAGGGGATGCTCCTTGAGCCAGCCAGTATCTGCAGCAACTCAGTATCCAAAGGGTTGAAAAAACGATGGAACATACTGGCATAATCATAGAAGCTGTCACATGGATCCTTCGTACCGTCAATAGAAGATAGAATCGATGCGGCTAATACTATGCATCGAGGCTCCATGCAAGGTTTCTATTACATTGATTCAGCCAAGGCGTGGTATGGGAATGAGTCTGGAGGCGTACCTCGTGGGGTGGTGTGGTTGGGCCTGGTACGGGTGGGCCTGATACGGTTGTGGTTACAGTGGCAGTCGTCGTCATGGGGTCCTTATGGTGTTCAGTCGTAGTAGTCACCCATGTCCTAGTCATCGTCTCCGTTGTCGTAATAGGTTCATGCCCAGGATCGCCAGGCTTGCCTCGTCCGGTGTTCAGCTTGTGTTGAGCTCCCGCAAACAACCCAATAAACACCTTGGGACGTGTCAAAGGAAGCATAGACGGTATCCATAGGTGAATCTTACCGAGCTCAACAACAATAGCACTAGGGAGAGGATGAGAAGAATCTTGGTGAGAGGCGTGAGCGGCTCTTGGACTGCAGCATTGACGCGTTCCACCAGTGTCTGGTCTTCATATTCACGTCGTCGAGAGGGTCCACCATTCTCCTCTCCTCGTAGAAGTGGTGCGTGCTCTAGAATGAGGCGAAAGCCACATTTAGCGGAACCGCCGGGTATTGTGGAACTTGGGATCCAACCGACCTTCGTCTGTGGAGGGTCTGGGATCCCTCGAATAGTCGGTCATGGCGACGAGCTCGCCGTGTTAGGTTTGTGGGCCTGTACCCTAGAAGGCGATTAAATAACAGAAGCCTCGATTTCGCGGTGTGTTGGGTGCGTGGAGGAACGTGTTAAGTCGAGGAAATGAATGAAACATGGCGGGAACCTGACGTATTGCAACTGATGCACAAACACATACAAGCTTCGCTATGTATTCCTTCCGAACCGAGTTATCTACAATCTGGCGCAATGGCCTCTACGCTATGGACTGTGTGTAGGTTCCTTGTTAGTAGGCAACTCACCAATACAGGGTCCCCTCCCCTCCGCCACCATATCCATGACCTGCCAAAAGCTACACCCCTTGCCATCATTTTGAGCTCCGGCATAGCACGTCCACCAGTACTTGTACGTCTGATCCCCTACTCTGTTCTTCATATCAGGGCGTAAGATGGTCGGAACTCCGCAGTGGCATTTGGGGGTCTTGTCTGGTCGAAAGTCTGGCCGATAAAATCGAAATGTTATATTAATACGACAATTCGAAGGTTCTATGTCTTCCCCTGGTGACCTCGGAAAAGATGGTCGGTAGAGGTCTATTGTATTTTGAGGAGGGATCGAGTGTTTAAATGTTTCTTGACACGAAGCGTGCATTATGGTGAGCTTCATTGAGAGTCACTATAGAACGTTTTAACAGGACCAAAAGGTCACGTACAGAGTTGTGAGGCAGAGGCAAATTGAATGTTCGTGCCGCCCGAATATCCTGTTCCTGCACTGGGATGACTTCACGCAGGCTGAACATTCTGCGCGTCCCTGGGTTTAACGTTGGAATCAAGAAGCTGACCAAAGAACGGTCAAAAGTCACTCACCGAGACTTAACGAAGCAATAGTTGGATAAGGCCCCAAGTAGGTCAGCTGGTCCGAGTGCCAGCCTACACTCTCCTTGCTTCCCTCGTAGCAATTCGACGCCGCCACATTCGCCCTCCATACCGAAGGTGTCCCAGGCTCGCCCCACTCCAAGTCATATCGCTTCCTCTTGGAAAGCTCCTCATTAACAACCTTCTCCACGATCTGACACGCTCTCTCCATCGGCTCTGGGAAAGTGGCAGGGGCACTCGTAGCGCGTCCATTATACCAGTATTGAGCAGCTTCTTGCCATGACTCGTCCCCGTCCAGCCCGTTCGTTCGACGTGCGAAGAAGTGTGTCTTGTGAGGGCTTTCCACGATACGATCAAATAACCACCATTTATTTCGTTGCCAGTCCTTGGACAGATCTAGCATGGTGTAGAACAGTTCACAAGCCAGCTCTGGAGGGAGGACTGAAAGGTGAAGGGTGCAAGGGGTGTGCTTTGCGATCATGGCAGGAGTGGCCAGAGTCAAAGGAGGCTGTTTGACAACAGTACTCTTCCTGGACGGCGACTCTGGTGGTTGACGCAGAATAGCCATCAGGTCTGCCGTCTTTTTGAGTGTTGAACTGGAAAGCCCTTTCGACGGAGGCTTCGAGCTCCCGGCGCTTGAACTAGAGACTCCTTGGCTTTCATCTTGACGATTGCGTTTGGACGGAGGCTTCAACCAACTATCAAGCTTGGTGTCGCGCTTTCGTTTGCCAGAGTCTGTAATCGCCGCTACTTTGGGGTTGTTGAGGAAGGCCGCCGTCGCTTCGACATCACCGTTATAGTCCAGAAGCGCTTCTAAGATTTCACTGTGCCCGATAGTTCGCGTCAGAAGGCTGGCGACGAGGGTAATAAGGATCTCTGTATCGTGTTCAGGAGTCTGGCCCGACTTGGTCATCGTGGTCGGGGTCCAAGTCCAGCTTGCGGTTTGATTGGTTTGCTCATCGTCACATGCCTTCCATATTCCGCCTCGTCCTAGCGCCCATCGCGTCCCTGCTCTACTTCACTCTTTTTGCACAATCGAGCCATATTCAAGCTCCAATAAGTCTTCGTTATGAAAGCCACTGCTCCCATATCTCCCCTATAGGACAGTCCGAATTCGAGACTCGCCAGAGTACCCTCGCAAGCACTCTCATCCAACTCGGCGGAGCTGCCTATGTCACAGAATCGTCTGCGAACTCCCAATACTATGGGAACTTCTCTGTAACAGATTGGAAGCTTTCGGAGCGGCCGCTTCTCCTCATCATCCGACCCATTCAAACCGAAGACGGGTCCGTCAGGCCACAGGTGGCCGTCGTCACGCCAAAGGTGGTTCCGTTGCTCCCCCTGCTAGACCGTAAACTTCTGACCTAGACCCTAACTCAGTTCGAGCACAGGAGAGCCACCCTCCTCCCTATACCTTCTTATCAAGGCACCGAAGTGCAGTACATCGACTGGGCAGAGGATGAAGACCCGTACCGAGCAGCGGTGGAAGGAATAGGACTTTCGTCCAATGCAACCATCTTCGTCGACAGCAACATCCGTAAATTCATTGCAGATGGACTCGAAACGGCAGCCCCGCAGGCTCGCGTGCTAACTGCACCTCTTGAAATTACGAGTCTCAGGGAACGGAAATCGGTACATGAACTGGAAATCATGCAATGCGCTAACGAGGTATGTATATGCCCCAACGTTATTCAGGGAGGGATTCTCACCCAGGGACAATCAAACAGGCTACTGTCCTTGCTATCAGGGACGTTCATCGACGCGTACAGTTTGGGATGCGTGAATCCCAGGTGCGATCTATGATGGCCCAAGCCCTTGCAGAAGTCGGTCTCAAGAATGGTGGATGCCTGGTACTCTTTGGTCGTAAGCCCGTCTCGCGCTTGAGAACCATGCATACCTGTTTTTGACGCCTTGAGATGCTTCCTTTTGGCTTCGTATTACGACCCAGCCAATGCGGCACTTCCTCACGGAACTGGCACGGATCGAATCCTCACTTCGTCGGACCTAGCATTGTTGGATTGTGTAGCATCTCTGCATGGCTATCACAGCGATGTAACGCGGGCAAGTGCATGTTCGACATCAGCAGACGTGTGTTACGACTTAACCAATATTCATCTTGCACAGACAGTCGCATTTCCCGGGTCGCATATTCCAGCTCGTCACCTTGAGCTATGGAATATCGTACGCGATGTTCAAAAGTCTGCCCTGGAGGTGGCTACAGCTGGTACATTGACAAAAGTTCCTGACGAAACGGCGAGAGAGGAACTTGGGAAGTTTGGATTGGATCATTATCTTACGCATAGATTGGGTCATGGTAAGGCAGTAACGATTCTCTTCGGTCAGCTGATTCTCACCCTGACACCGATAGGTATTGGCCTAGACGGACACGAGCCTCCTTATCTACGGGGAAATAGTGGCGACGTGATACAAATTGGCCATACGTTTTCCAACGAACCTGGAATATATATCGAAGGAGAAGTGGGCATTCGACTGGAAGATTGTTTCTACATTGACAGTCGAGGCTTACCCGTTTACCTGACCACGCACACCGGTGGACCGCAGACCTCTCCATGGAAGCCTTGACGATAAGGCAAGAACGGTGCACGACATAACGATTGGATATTTATATACATGATAGGGTGGTGGTACAAAGTGGTAATGAATACAGTTTCCTCTTGACAGACCTAGGGAATAAATGTGTTTGGTTCTGTAACCGAAAACGCAAGGTGATAATAACGAGGGCCAAGAACAGTGCTAAACTTGAAAACGAAGGGGCAACTACAGAATATTAGGCTGAGCTGGATAGGGTATAAGTGGTGTAAGATAAAGGAGATGGGAATGCAATACAACCGATTAAAGAGTCTCATGGAATTTCATTAGGCTTCCTGGAGGATCAGCCACTCGTCCGGATCCGGGGTGGGCAAGGGGATAGCAGCAGGAGAGAGGGTGCGGGCAGCAACTCCAGGCTGTTCAGTGATTTGTTTAAGGAAGGGATTACGAGTGTGCATGCGAGATACAGGAGAGGCTACGGTGAAAATGGTGAGACGCTATGCAGCTAGAAGGTAAAGGAGGGAAGGACGCACATAAGGGCCCAAAGCGCAGCCATCGATGCACTGGACCTTCTTGGTCATAATGATCTATCAATGAGTCTTGCTGCTCACCTCCCACTGGTACCGGGGACGTTGGGGCGGATGGATGGGAGTCCGATGGGTCGTCAACGTCAGATTTGAGAACTGGTTGGTTCTCAAGGCGTTGTCGGGGCTTAAAGGCCAGAGGTCGTTCATACTGATGGAAAGTAGGTATGTTCAGAGACCTGCGCGACTTTCCCAGCGTCGGCGACGTGGAGGGAAAGAAGGACGGCTTAAGAATAGCCAAGAATTCTTCCAACGCCTCGGAGGGTAGTGTGGATGACCTGCCGCTCAACGGCGATGGGCTGGTAGACGCTAGATCGCTGTTGTTGTCGTTATCTGCCCTCGACGGCGACGCATTTACGCGACGAGCGAAGGTAAAGGCGGGAAGGCGCACGGGTCTTGGGGCAGCAATAAGGCCAAAGTCGTTGACTGGGGACATGATGGTGATGGTTATGGTGAGAGTCACCTTTCGCTTACTCAGCGCTACCAAAGCGCTCAAGGACCCATCATTCCGGTATCTCCGGTCCGACAGGGCTCTCCACAAACCATGACGACCCACCTCGTCGCGGATTCTGACATTGCTGTCGTCGACAGAAACACACCAGCGCCCTACAAAACACCTTTACCCAAACTGCAGCTTGCTATTCTTTGCTCAGTCAGACTCACAGATCCCATATGCTTCACCGGAGTTTTCCCTTACATCAATGAGCTCCTTTCTAGGCTACATCTAGTAGACAACCCCGCCCACATTGGTTTCTACAGCGGCCTGGTCGTAAGTCCCTTTAATACGACCTTGAACTCCTCTCACACTTTAGCAGGAATCAACTTTCGCCTTTTTTCAGCTCATTAGCATCTACGAATGGACCAAAATATCCGGTTCGTGATCCTCGCGGCGCCAATCCTTCGCTTCTCTGACCGAGGTGCCCGTTTTGCAGATAAAGTTGGCAGAAGACCTGTTGTTATATGGGGATCGTTCGGCCTCTCGATTGCAACCATCGGATTTGGGTTCACATCCAATTTATGGTCGATTCTTTTCACGAGAGCTCTCGGTACGCCACTGCTACCTCCTCTTACAATGGCATCAAAGCTAAACCAATATGCCATCAGCGGGCCTATTTTCCGGAAATGCCGCTGTGCTTCACTCAATACTTGGGGAACTCACAGACACCACCAATCAGCATATAGCTTTCCCTATTTACGGGCTCTTTTGGCCTCTAGGGAGCATTCTCGGGTAAGTAATCTATTTTGTGCCGACCTAGTCCAACTCTCAACAGTAGTCCACGACGACCAGCCCGATAATAGGAGGTTCTTTGGCGGACCCAGCCAAAAAGTACCCCAAATTGTTCAACTATGCGCTCTTCAAAGAGTATCCATATTTTCTGCCGTGTTTTGCGGCTGGTTTGATTGCTTTCGGAACAGCTGCTGCCGCTGGGCTCTTTCTGAGAGAGGTACGAGTCACACTGGCATCCACACGCTCAGATTAACTCAATGCAAACGAACTAGACACATCCCAACAAGCAACGGTCACTCTGCCTGCAGTGCCATCGTTCCATTAATTTTGCCACTGAGCTTCCAGATGCGAAGGAAGAAAGGATAACCATGAAGGAATTGCTTAAAGTCCCGATTATGCGATCCCTAACCATTTCGGGAGCTTCCCTGTGCTTCACAGCAACAGCCTTCGATGCAGTCTTTGTACTCTTCTGCTACACTGCGGTAGCAGAAGGAGGCCTCGGTTTCTCCGTACGTCGATCTCTTCTCCGGCTTCTCCTGTTATCTTACATATCCCGAACAGACGTCCCAAATTGGATATGCCCTAGCGATGGCGGGTTCTAGCTCAATCCTCATCCAAATACTATTTCTTCCCACTCTTCTCGTAAGGTTCGAACCCGCGAGACTGTACAACTTCTGCATGTGGTTGTGGCCTCTCTGTTATATCGTTCTCCCCGCCCTTCGCGTGATTGTTCATTCCCCCTTCCTGCTTTGGGTAGCTATCGGTTTCGTTCTTACAGTCTCTCGAGTTGCTTGTCTGGCCTACTCGTGCGTAGTTCACTATGCTTTAAGGGTCCGTTGACGCTAACGACATACTACCTCAGCATCAGCATGATCTTGGTGAAGAACCACGCCCCATCTCCATATGCTCTTGGTCAGTCCAACGGGCTGGTGATGTTCGCGATGTGTGGTACCCGTGCCCTCGCTCCAGCGTTTGTCAGGTCAGTCGCCAATCCATCCCACCGTCACCCACAAAGCTGAAGATCCACATAGCTCAATATACGCGCTTTCACACAAGGACCCGGTCGCCGGTGGCTATCTTTGGGTCGTCCTGATGGTCTTGATTTCGACACTTGGCTGCAGCCTGGCGGGAAGCATTGAACATCCCGAGGGACAAATCCAATTGCATCAAGACTAAACACTGCCACTTCAAGGACACCTTCGGTATTATACACTAGCGCCTCACGGCTATATCTACGTACCCACGTCGACCAGCAATTGTCGAGTATCCGCTTAATACTAGTGACGGATTATGAAACCGGCTCCCAGAGCAAATCTAGCAAAGGTATTTTAAGTTCTTTGGCCAAGGTCAGAGCCATGTCGTAAGAGATCGCGCCTTTGAACATTGGAGGGCCGTCCGATTGGTCTGGTTTTGTCGTGCGATGCAACAGGCGACTGGAAACCAGCTCAAGGACCTGTTTGAATAGCACGTGTATGTTCAGGGTCGGTGCTTCCAGCAGGGGTGGAGGTAGGACTCACAGAAGAGTGTATACTACGGCGACTTATTTCCATGTCTGTGTACTCTCCTGGGATAGCAAATTCTTCTGTGGCCAGGCGACTATCTGCGTCGTTTTCTTCCAGCAACGCACCGAGAATGGCAACTAGCCTATCCATAGGAAATGGAGAGGGGCCGACGAGACGCTGGGAGACCTGATCACAGCGTTAACAAACCAGTGTAAACCCTCGCCATGTCTGACACACTCACTTTAGACACTCCAGATTTCGATTTCCCAGTAGCCTGAGTCGGACGTCGCCGCCGTTTTTTCTCGTCTGTCCCCCGCCCAAACATCCTCAAATCCGACTTGGGTGGGTTTGTTGAAGCCAAGAAAGATGCCACAAGAATGAATTTGGACATCCTGGGAAGGTATCCCAACGTATTAGCCAGCGCGCTTTCTCCAGGTTTTACAACCTGTACTCGCGCTAGTGCTGGTGGCATTGTCAACAGGTCACGTTCGGGCATGTTGGATTTCGCCCAGTCGACCGCGTTCATGAGGCGAGGGTAAAGGGATTCCACAGCAGCGGTCAGTGAGGGCGTGAACAGCCGAATTAGTCGGAGGCGCTCTTCCTCGGATGGGGCCTCGAACGGCGGGACATTGTCTTCATCAAGTTGCATGGTGTCTTGAAGCTCCTCCAACTTCCGTTGATGGTTGTCCAACACCGGTCGGATGAACCCAGGCCATCTTGCCGCTGCGATATATTGAAGCTCTTGAGGGTCGTGGGTGAAAACGTAACAAACATCGCACACAACTGTTGCAAACTGGGAATAGAGCACTTGGAGAGCGGGGTGGTAAAGTGTGGAGCCAGTCTCTTCGTAGATGGTTGGGAAGCGGGTTATCAGCATCTGCGCAATAGCTTGATGCGAGATTAGCGAGAGCTGGCTCTGCAAGAAGGGGAGAGCCGTACTTTCTTTCCTCGGAGGCATGATGTCTATGAAGTAGGGATCCGGTGCAGCCGCAAGGGGAGGCTTCACCGTGTCCCACCCAGCTTGCGAGACAAATACGACACAGACGTCCAGCTGACTCTTCCAAGGGGTTTATGATTCAGGACGTGTGGTTTATGGCATGCAACGCACCAACTCTTGTAGCCTTGTCAAAGGCACCAGCACTTCAGGCATGGTTTCTTTCAGCCGCTCTACCCCTTCGACAACGAACACGAGCCTCAGGCCTTTCTTTGCCGAATCCAATCCCAGCTTTCCACGTATGTGGTTGTGGGAGGCGCGAATGCCTTGAAGGAAGGTGTCCATGTTCTCGTTCCATCGTAGGTCCCCTTCAGAGCCCCAGTTAGCGCACCCATCCTCCCAGTCTGGCTGCCAGTCGACAAGCGTGTGTATGAGCGATTCGTAGAAACACCGTTGAGATAGACAGCAGATCGCGTCTGCACGACCATATGCAATGGCAGGGATGTCCAGTTCACTACTGGGTGTTGCTTCAAGATGGTTCAGGAGTGAGCGGACTACTCTCGTCGTAACCTCACAGCTCGCTGGGTCGTGGATATAGATGAATGGCGGCGGGTATCCAGATATTAGTGTCGACAATTCCAGCGTGAGGTGATCATAACCAGGCAATTCGAAGTCGTTGCGACTTATAGCTGGATGCATTGTCTTCTCCCTGAGTGAATCCGAGTCTGGTGTCGAGGATGAGGAAGGTGGATGCAGAGCATTCCATTCAAGTTCACTGTCGAAGTTCGGAAATGCGTTGACCGCGACAGGCAAAGACCCCGAAAACACGATCACTCACGTGCAGACAGTCGTCACCACCTTAAACTTCGACTGGAATACAGGAAGGAAATACTACAGTTTGTCCATTAGATAGATGGTATTTACACGATGCAGGACAATTGCACTACACTGAAGAATAGATTATACACTTGGTATGATTTTAAACCAAAAGATACATGTCCCCCGATAGATATGTGCCATAAGCTATCCGAACGGATCGCCAAGTCTACCTACAGCTTGTTCGCAGAGGTCGAGGCGGGCTCCCCGAGGGCATACAGAGCCGTGATTTCGTCCTTGTACTTGTTGAAGGCATCCTTGCGACGGAGCTTCATGGTAGGAGTGAGAGTACCCTCGTCGACAGTGAAGGGGCTGAGCGAAACGTGAATGCGCTTGACCATCTCGAAGCTAAAAGATGGAAATGGTTAAGACAAGAATAACGAGCAACACGAAGCAACACTCACCCCTTCAGACCATTGCGCTGAGCCTCCTTGGTGAGGATGGAAAGAATGTGGCTAACAACGCGCTCATCCTTAATCACTTCGGCCAACCCGGCAGCATCGTCAGCGGCGACCTTCTTGCCAATGACGCTGGTAGCGATGCTGGAGAGCATGACAGGATCGGGAACAACGACAGCAACCAAATAGGATTGCAGGCCGTCACCGTAGACGAACACTTGAGCGACAACAGGAACGCTGCTGTACAAGTTCTCAATCTTCTCTAACGCAACGTATTCACCCTGCGCAAGCTTCATGATGTTCTTAACTCGGTCGATGATCTTGATGCGGCCAGCAGCATCGATTTCGGCCACATCACCGGTGTGGAACCAGCCCTCATCGTCGATGGCATCCTTGGTGTTCTTCTCGTCTAGACAAGACAGACAATGTAAGAGGAAGTAACCAAAGGTGAATCTCTATGACTGACCTTTGTAGTAGTAAGGGAAGACATTGGTTCCGCGGATACAAAGCTCTCCGCGAGGATTAGGCTTATCCTCAGAGGTGTAACCCATCGCAGGAACGTCGACAACCTTGACTTCGTTGACTGGGGACGGGGGCCCAACGGTGCCAGAGGCAGTGGCATCATATGGCCAGGTTTTGCTGCAAGTAGCAGCAGTTTCAGTCAGACCGTAACCTTCCTGGACGTCACAAGCAAAGGCAACTTTGAGGAAGTCCATAACGTCGGGAGTGATAGGGGCAGAACCACTGATGACAAGTTGAATCTGGCCACCGAGAACAGCTTGGATCTAATGAGAGCGGTTCAGGGACAAGCTCAATGACCCAGATAATCGGCACGTACCTTGCGGAAGACAAGTCGATCCCAGAAAGCGTGAGTGGGGTCGCCAGTGGTGCGGAGCTTCTGTAATTTGGTTTGGAGGGCCTTCCTGAAGAGGTTACCCTTGAGACCAGGAACGTTACCACCTAACATGGCGGACTGATAGACGCGGTTGAGAACGCGAGGAACGGAGGGGAAGAAGTGAGGTTTGAGGATTTGGGCATCTTCCAACAAACGCAATGGATCGCCTGTGAAGTAACCGATACGACCACCAATAGCGATTGAGCACAATTCACAGATACGCTATTCAATGATGAGTAACGGTACACACGTCCGGAGCCGGGAGCGTACCTCGTAGATATGCGCAAGGGGAAGATATGACATGAGGATTCCTTGCTCGGGCAACTCCATTCCGTACAAGTTGGCCTGGGTAGCGACAGCAAGGGTCTTGTGCCTCAAAACGACACCCTTGGGAAGGTTGGTGGTTCCCTATAGTCGCGGTTCAGTGCCCTGCTGTGTATCAAACGATAGAAAAGGCATACCGAAGTGTAGCAAATTGAGGCGACGGTGTCAGGAGTTGCTGAGATAGGTGGCAAAAGGTTGGCCTTGCCGAAGTCCTCGACTAACGCGAAAGTCAGTGCTGATTAAGACGGTAAGCCTAGAAGCCGTACATTCTCGAAGCTCCATGAAGCGCTGTCCCTGAGACTGGGCCCATTCCTTCAAAACGGAGGATGCCTCAGAAGGGAGGTTGTCGAGACAGACGATGATCTTGAGCGTAGGTGTCTTGGGAGCCAACTTCAGGAGAGTGGGGATGTGCCCAGCGGTAGAGAAGACGATGGAAAGGCTCGCGTGGTTGATACTGAAAACGGATTAGCTGCGGGGGAATCAGAACGCTTATAGTTTCTTACATGTATTCTAGAGATACAGTTAGCGTTGGATAACAAATTGGAAACTCTTGTCAAGCTTACCAACAGAGTCCCTTCCCAAGGTATCGTACAAGCTGACCCCGACTTTTCCGTAACTGGTGACGGCGATGTCTATAAGCTGCCATTCTATAGAAACGGGAAGCGTCAGAAAAGGAGGTCCGTTAGCAACATTAAAGCATACCAGGTCGGTTCTGAGACCAGATACCAACGGTATCGTAGTCGCTGCCCTGGAGTTCACCGTTCTTGAAAAGGGTGTGAAGGGCGCTTCCAATATACTTGCGTCTGGTGTCTGCCTCGTTGTAGGTTATCCAGGAGTAGGCAGGGGCGAATTTAAGAGGGTTTTGAGAGATGACAGGTCGCCAACCCAAGAAGTTGCGGTTGCCTCCAAGTTTCACTCCTTCCGCCCAGACCTGGTCCAAGGTAACGAGGCTATTGGGTGTGTTTTCGTCAATCAGACCCCAGATTCCTGACATCAAGCTCGGTTAACGGTTGCAAGGGGGTTCTTAATGTTGGAGCGCACCATTTCGGTAGTGTGCTGGCGACAGAAGAACCAGGGGAGAATTGTCAGTAAACTGTTCCTACTGGAAATTTCTCGACAACTTACCTGACTGGCCAGGACGTTTGGTGCCAGCAACAGGAACGCCCTGCTTGTCGTAGGGCTTAACAGCGGGCCAGGGCACAAGTTTGTCGGAAACCATGTTGAAATGCGGGGTCGAGAGGGAGAAAGGACAAGGAGTGGGGTTGGCTGGGGTTAATCACTTAAAGTTGGCGCCGAGACGACCTCGCAAACTCGGGAACTCAGGAACGCACGTGAAATTTCGGTCGCGCGGCGGCACACTGTTAGGCTACTGTCACCGACAGTGACCTCAGCGCGTCTTCCCTGTTATTTATCTCCTACAACAAGCAGGAAAGGCAAGGCGGGGCGTGCACCCACTAGGCCATCTTCTCTTGCAGATACAGTCTAAGCAGACTTAAATTTTGAGGCATTCGTTGCACCAGCTGATGATAATGTGACATACCCTTCAGCCCCCAAGAACTCTCTACTTAGGGGTACGGAGTTAACAGAACCCGGATTCACATGGCAAAGTATGGAGAAAGGGGTATACATAACCTGGGGAAGAACATCATCGGTGAAAAAGGATGCAGTACATAGCGCGCGCAAGGTTCCTGGAACACGTTCGAGAGACAAAAGACTGTGAGCTGGTGGCTGCTGGTGGTATGCATTGAGCAACGTCAGGCAGTCTGCCACTCGCCAGTTACCTTTCACCGAAGATGTGTAGTTTGGCTTTGAATGAAAGTTCTCCGCAGCACCAAAGTATCTTCCGATGCTCTTCAATATGACGAGGGTGCTATTACCAAGGGCCTATCTCACAATGACGCTACGGTCCAGCTGCTTAAGTTCACCGACGAGTAAGATGACGGGCCCTCCGTCCTCCAAAGGTCCAGGACTTGTCTGTGGTCACCCTTCAGGTGGCAACCTCGAGGAAAGTAGCTTTTGCTCGGCATAATGAATATCTTCAGCTGCCTGGCATGGTCGACTACAGGTCGAGGAGCGACCTTTTTCCTGTCGATGAAGGCAGAATTCCAGTACGGGGGACGTAGATGGCGGGATCAGGACCACTGCGAGGGCTAACGTCAACATACTCAGCAGGCACTTTGCTAATGAATGCAGAGAGACTTTGCATAGGCATCGAATCTGGCTGATATGCTGATGTTACAAGGTATATGTGTTCGTTCACCGGTCATTATCGTCGTGGTTGTAGTAGGTTAAATAGTCGTGTTCGAATCCAAACAAAACTCTGTTTCATGGCGCGCTCAGGACGATCTGCAGTATGCATTAGAGTGACGAAAGCGGACCCGAAAGGAAAGAAAACGTACACCCATGAATTGCTCATAGTTCATTTGAACCCATCCATCACGATCGGTGTCCACCCTAGGACGCGGAGATAATGAGAACACGAGGCGCGGATATATACGTTGCCAACCTACCTTTGGAAAGCCTCTGTCAGGGTCTTAACTGCAACACAGGCTCGTACAAAACGGTCAAATGTAATGCCAGGCGGAGGACCATAGCCCGAGACTGGCTCAGAGGCTGACGTATCCAGGTAAGAATGACTATGTAAGACGGCGATAACAATAAAGAACGGACCGTATTTCTGCTCAATTTGTTTCAACAGCGTGTGGGACAGGTTGTACCCAAAGCTTCGAAGTGCCTCCGCAAGTTCGTGCCCCTCGATGGAGCCGGATCTGTCCCGATCGAAGTGACGGAAGACGTTCTGCCAATCTTGGATGTATTTCCACAACCCCGCAAACTCTGGGAAAGCAAGCGATTCAGTTCGTCAGTGTCACGAGAAACAGCAAGGTGGATCCGCACCTGTAAAGTTGATTGTGCCACTTCTGTCGGTGTCCTGGTCAATGGCGTCGGTCAGTACGGCATGGGACAGGGTCACCGAAGCACACTCACAAAGATGGCCATAAGCATCTTCACTGTGTCTAGATCGAATCCTGCTCGTGATAAGTACCCTTGGTTGGAGACAAGGCTTGAAAGAGTTCGTACTTGACCAATTCCCTGCACGCGATCGCTGAGGATGAGCGGCTTTCACGACAGACATAAGCAAGTTTCTCACCGTTTACGAGCGCCTGCTGAAGCTCCGTTACAGAGATGGCGCCTGAGCGGTCGGCGTCGACAGCGACGAAGTAAGACCATAGATTCGGGTCAGCCCCTGGCGGTGGTGGGGGTTGATAGTAGCCTTGATGCCCATAGCCAGATGTCGGACGTGGAGGCGGTTGGGGCGGGCGCCCGTACTGGGACAGATGGCGTTGAGGGCCACCACCATACGATCCGTAATTTATAGACATAAGTTGGATGTCGACGTCGAGAAGAAAGAATGCAGCGCCTGGAAAGCTTCGAACCAACCCTTAATCAGCCTGCTGCGAGGCGCGGCCGGACCGTTTAGAATAAGAATAGCGGTGCATTACATCTGCCCAGGAAAACCGATGCAATGCGTGTTGGGTCTTGGCTCGACTCAGTTATGGATGGTTGTGCATTCACGAGCACTTCTCTATTGCTTATGCGGCGAGAAAAGGAGGTCTCGATGCGCAGTCAAGAAGTGGATGGGAAGGGTATCCGAGGTGATGGCAATGGAACAGGACAAAAGTCCGCCACAAGTATGAGCGCTTAACGGGGGCTGTGCAACCTTCTGGCCACCATGGTCTTCAATTGGTTTTCAAGGGATGACGATTCCAAGGTGGCGATCCCGAACATCCGAGCTGAACACAGGGTCAACACTGAGCGCTCTACCACCGATGATGGGCATTTCCCGGGTGTTTCACTTACCGACGGGTATAGACCCGACCACCGACAGCTCCGTTCATCGCGAAGCCCTTACTACAGACCAAGAGATCTGAATCCCTCCGGCCATCTGGTATTGGGGCGGGAATGGGCGCCAGCTGTGAATTCTGACGCAAACAATTTAATCGCAATCCCCGCCTTTTTGACGCCGAGTCCGTTTATCGCTCCACCCCGAGTCGTTCCTTGCGATCTCTTCAGATCTTCACCTCCTGAACACTCTGTTCCTGCCAGAAGATAAATAAAACGGCGGACATGTCAGCGACCGACGGTGGTATTTTCTGACATGACCGTACGGGACAAGTTACCGCTTAGTCCCGTTGGACGGTCGAACTTGGGCCTCTAGGCTGGAGGCGCTTCCCGACCGATGCGGAGTGAAAATGGTACTTGCCCAAAGGGCCCTTGATTGTGTTCGGGAAGGGGGAAAGTTGGCCTGCCAATTTGCAAGTAAGCTCACAATAAATGCAGGAATGAGCGTTGCTAACCGGCTGCTTGGACAGCGCACCAGAGCGCACCCGGCGTCCAGCTCACTTTCTTTGGGCTTATTTGATATCAAAATTTCACCCCCATTGCCTTGCGATACGTATATACGGTATAGTGCGAGACAGTACGGTCCGACCGTCGTCTGAACGTCGCCATTCCGTACCGTAACGACCAGCGCGTCGGGTCGGTGCTCGGTGGTTATGCCCTGCTGTCGGATGGGGTGTGCTCAAGGCATCCCATTGGCTGTCGTTCGGGCCTTTTAATAACCTGCCAGTCTTTTCAGCGAATCACAGACCTTTATTCTGAGGTTCCCCACACCGGTTGACGCCACTGTTTCCGAAATGGACCACCGCCCTTCTGATTCCGTCCAACGGGGTGCAATACCTGCCCAATCATCGCCATCTTTCTTCCGCAGACGATTGTCTCTCCTGGAAAATGTATTTATGTATTAACTTTGCCGCAAATGGCGACGTGAAACAGATCCAGTTCTGGATCTGGAGTCGGCTAACCCTAATGTGAACCAGGTGGATGATCGGTGCAGCGTTGAATGGGGGTACATACTCATCGTCCTTGGCCCACAGCACCAGGCTGCCGCTCCCTCCACGGATGGGAGCACGAGAAGGGTCTCTGAGGTTCTTTCACCTCATGAGTTTCAATGGCAGCCCATGGGAAGTGAGTAAGGCCTCGGCCTGACGCCCCAAATTGGTTTCATTGACTTATGATTGATCGTGGACGGACTACTCTTCGTCTATTTGCCCTTTCTCGAGGTACTCTCACCTCCTTCGTTACTTCTTATGGACAACGTCATTATATGTGAATGGCTGCCATTGGCTGACACCCTGGCACCCTGGCATCTGATTGGCTGGAATGCATACCGTCATTCCGTTTACGGAGCTGTACCAAGATCTGGTGAAGTCGTTTTCCTCAACTCTTGACGGCATCGCTTATTGACCAGAGGAAAAAATACATCAGCACTCGATAGATATCAGAATATTCTCTCGATTGCTCTCAGGCTCGATGTGTGCCCAGTAGCGTCAGTAGAGATCTCGCAGCATCCTTTTTGCTGCAATTCATGAGATAGGAGTGTCTTTGCAGGACTGTACGGTTGTGGGAAAGGCCCCCGGAATAGGAAGTCACCGGTTCGGGTAAACAACCTCCGAGGACCAGTCGGTTCAGAACGCCCTCCTTTGACTTGTCGGAAACCTTCAACTAGAACCCCCAGTTAACCCTGTGTCCTCGATAAACGCTTTTGACAGGCAAGAGGGTCTTATCCCTCTTCGTGTCACATCAGGTAGCTCATCCTCATTTCAGCACAGAGTTGGGACGGGCGCCCGAAAACAACGCGTGAACACGAGAGCAACCAGATTCAAGATGGCACATCTCAACTCTCCCCAGAAATCTCACTACAAAGCGGTTATATTTGACGTGCGTCAGACGGCGAAATTGAAAAGTCCCATGTGTACTGAGGCGATCGTGTTCTTTGCGTCATTCCGCCCATGCAGATAGGTGGAGTTGTGATGAGAAGCCCTTTTGTCGCGATTGCGGCCTACGAACGAGAGCTTGGGTTACCGGAGAACTACATCAATACTACCATGTCGGGTCACCAGTTTCATCGGATAGACGTTGTACAACTAAGACTCTTTTACAGAGTTGGACACGGATCGCAAGGCGCATGGCAAAAGTTTGAACGAGGTGAAATAGATATCACCACGTTTTATCCGGCCTTCAGTCGAGACCTCTCCGACACCGAGAAAGCCAACAAATGGTAAGAGCCTTTTAAATAAATTCTACTGAATACTTACCGCGGCCCTAATTCTCCAGGTACAAGGCTTACTGCGAGCGGAAGAAAATACGTATGCCCTTGCCTCTTCATTTCATTCTGGGTGCACCACATTTACTTGCTCTGTTTAGCCTGCCCAAAGTTACCACATCGACTGAGTGTGAATGGTCGGGAGGTGAGTACAGACAACCATTGGATCGCGCTAACTTCAATTGAACCCACGCGCAGCTTTTCGGAGCCATGATGAAAGCATCGCAGACCTATGACCCCTATATCCGGGCGGCTATTTTGAGAATTCGAGGTTAGTAGCTTACTTCTCGTCCCAAACATCAGAGAAATGTGTTCAACGTTTAACAGCCGAGGGAAAGCACAAGGTCATTGCCTTAACCAATAACTTTGCTCGAGTCGACATTCCAGAGTCGGAACGGGAATTCCTGGGATGGCAGGACGGAGTTATTCCAACGCATCTTCTTGAACTCTTTGACGACTTCTGTGACAGCAGTGCGTTGGGCATGAGGTCTGTACTTCCGTTGGAACGTGTCTCAGGGCAGAAGTCGCTGAATGATCGTCACATCCAGAAAACCTGAGCCTGAGTTCTACTTGGCTGCGTGCAAACGAAACGGGATTGAACCCAAGGACGCGATCTTCCTTGATGACATTGGGATGTAAGTCTAGCCTCTCCTCTCGAGAGAACTCAGTGCCGCGGTAAAGACACGCCCACTTAACCATAACTTTGTTTCCAGTAATCTAAAAGCAGCCAGAGAACTGGGGATGGACACAATTCGTAAGTCCACCTCACCTGTCATGCGAAGTTCTGTACCTCACGGACCTGTCACAGACGTTCAGATAGGCAAAACTTTGGAAGCAGTAAAGGAGCTCGAGCGGAGGATTGGGATTAACCTCACCGACGCTAACGATAAATCGAAGTTATGACCCAACAGCAAGTGGCGAAAATGAACAGGGGGACTTAGAGGGATGTGATTTCTAAATTCATCGGGGGAATACAAATAGATGTCGTGTAAGCTCTACCTGAGTTTGGGGTGCGCCGTAAGCAGGAATCCGAATGGCAAACTCGCGACCTGTCAGTCGATGTCCGAGTGAATCGTGGTATTTTGCTGACTTTTGCCATGCTTGAGAATGAGAGTAGCAAACTGTCCTTCACGGAGGGTCACCGGAGGCAGGGCCTTTCTCCATGAATCCCTGCTTCTGCGATGGATATGTCGGTGTACATTAAGAGGTCGGTAAGTGTCGGGGGTGGCCGCTTTGATGGGAGTGGAAGGGAGGGGAAGGAAAGATTGAAGATTGAGGTGCGATAGTGCCGATTTTGAGGAGCCGCGAGGGACATCCAGTTTGGTGCAAGGACAGCAGTGGACGGCTCTGCCACCTGATGATGACGAATTGCGTGGTGGGTCATATCGATAATGTTATCGTCGGAGACCAAGTTGGCTGGATATGGGATTGGGCGTGGCCGGCGGTGGAGAGGTGTTGGTGTGGGAGAGGCGATGTTCTCGGCCATTCACAGTGCATGGACATGGAGATGGAGGGCCCGGAGACGTATACCATCCCTGGAGAATGTTGAGTTCGAGGGTTTCGAGAGCCAGCAGCTTATTGAGATGTCGAAGGTCGGGTTCCCAGCTCAGCGCGTTGGTCGAGTACTGCTCGACGAGGACGTCGATAGCCGTTCAAAGAAGAGGCCCAAAGGGGCCAAGTTAGATGCTGCGCACGCAGTGGAGATTAAGTGGGAGAGGGGTCCCGGGTCGGTAGGGATGTTGTGTTGGTCGCAGAAGCGGATGCTCATTGGTCCAGACATCTCGCGCACGAGAACGCCCGGTGACGAGCGAGTTCATTGCTGTTCCACATGACCAAGATACTGCCGATGTTGTATCGAGATAAACGATCGGCTGTGGTGTTGTGTTCTCCGGGAATGTGAATGAGTCGGAGATCGATCGAGGCGTTAATGAAATGTCGACCGCCATTCGTAGAAGAGAGTTGTATTTGGGAAGGGCTCGAAGGGATGAGAACATGTCGACGGTGTTGGAACTGTCGGAGTAAATGAGGACCTTGGCAGGTTCGGATAAGTGGTCGGTAGTGGTGACGATTAACGCCGAAGCAAGGGATAGAGCCTCGAAGAAGAATATGCCATGCAGCTTTGTTCCGAAAGGATTAGGGGAGTACTACTCGATTTCAAAGTCAGGGTACCAGAACCCCATTCCTTCCAGAGAAGCGTCGCACATGATTGTTATGTCGGCGTCAACTGGATCCCAGTACATATTGCGTAAAGGTTGAGTGCCTGGGGATGCTGGGAATGAGGAGATGTGGTGTAGAGCCCATCCAAGGTCGCGTTGGACACTGTTGGTGATCCAGATGTGTGTGGACGGATTCTCTCGCCTAGCGAAGATCGCCAGACTCTGAGCGAGAAATGGCCCGGGCTGGTCTTGGTTCTCGGAGGTGCTGCCCAACGTTGACTTTCGAGGTTCTGTTTCGCATCGTTGGGTAGTGTGATCATGAGGGTGTTGGTGTCGATATGTAGCCCAGTGATGGTGAGAGGAGAGCCGAAGACTTGCTTCTTCTGTTTGTGCGTAATTCCGAAGACGGTCCCATAGATTGAGGACACATGAACTCGCAATAGGGAGTGTAGAATCCAAAGTCATATTCTTCGTCTGTACCGAATTCATCATCAACATACGAGCCTACGACATTTCCGAGACCTTCCACATATCTCTCAATCCACACCACCAAGCCTTGAACGAAATCCAAATACTACCGGATGAGCGACCACCAAATATGTTGCGCCGATCGACGTAATGCTGGCCGTTGACGGTCACGATCTGCTTGACTTGCCAATGGGGGTGCATCGCTGTGAGGTGGAAGGCTTCGGAGACATCAGACTTCCAGAGGGTCCATGCCCTGTGGGGTGGCCCAAGGATGAGCGTCGTTTGGGACCGTGCTGTTGAGAGTGAAATATGTAGGGCAGTGGTCAGGCGGTATTGTAAAGGTTATCGGCATGGTGATGTTGAAGAAATCGTAGTTGGCTGAACTGCTCTTGAGGCGAGCGGGGCTGACGGTTTCTTCTAGGAGTGGCCGAGGGAGAAACGTAGCAGTCAGGTTCAGTTAGCTTTATCTGGAGGCGACCGCAGTCAGCCTGGCAAACATTGAGCATCTGATAAGCCGAAACCGACTCCTAAGTCGTCTGGTTTCTTGACAGGCACTGCCGTCCAGGTGTGGTCGGCTATATTCGGAGGCGACCGCAGTCAGCCTACCGAACATTGAGCCTCGCCGGCTGGGTCAGACTGCGCCCTGTCAAGCCTATTTCCTTGACTGGCACGTTACGGCTCCATGGCCTCTTTGCTGATGCTCGTTGCAGATGAGGCGGTAGCGGCAACGGTTCATTGCGATGCCCGAATGGTTGTACGACATCGGTGAATTCGATGAATAGCCTGCTGATATTGTCAAAGGGGATTTGTTGGGCCAGAGTTGGTTGCCGTAGTCAAATGCCATAACGCATTGTTTGAAAGGCATAGGTGAGTAGGACGATTTCAACGGATAGACCTGAAAGGTGTAGATCAGTGGTACACGAGCTATGGCTAACGCACCAAAACCCATCCCTCCAAGACAGCCATTACTCCGTTTGCATGATCCATCCCTTCCCACGTGATGACGAACGTACTACCATCCCCGTAGTCGTAGTCGAAGCCGACAAGGGTGTGATGGAGTTAGGTGGTGTTCTTCATTGTGTTTGCCGTCGATTCACGTCGCAGATGTCCAAGATGTTGCTGGTTGATGTTGTTGGCTATTGAGCTTGTTGAGTAAACATAGCGATTGATAAAGAGTAGTAATGAAGAATCCTCGTCGGCCAGGCGTGGCAACGATGGAGGTTGAGCACTCGTCGACCAAGCGTGGTGACGGTGCGAAGGTCTGAAGCTCGTCGACCAAGCGTGGTGACGGCTGATCAAGAGAGAGAGAGGTGAGACCTGGTTCCTTCCGATGGGCACCGGATTTGTCATCACCTGCGGCGCTGCGTTCCGCCCGTACACGAAAGGCCATGAGTGTGCGGCGCTGCGTTTCGTCCGTAGACAGAAAGGCCGCTGTGTGGCGCTGCGTTTCGTCCGTAGACAGAAAGGCCACGGGGCGCTGTGTTTCGTCCGTAGACAGAGAGGCTGCGAGATCGATTCCGCTCGTGGGCAGGAATCGCAAGTCTCCTCTTATTTGTGCTGTTCTTCATTGACCTAGTGTAAACATAGTTTAAACACCGACTAAAGATACTCATCTCCATTCACGGTCAGCGACTAAGTTTACAACTGCCGGGCCCACGATCACGTGTGCTAGATTTCGCGCTGATCCAGATCAAGCCTGCAAAATATGGCTTTGACCAACACAAATTCGACGACTCAGCAGCTGGACCGCACACTGCAACTGAATTTGCAGCTATCTGTGCATCTTACTCTCTGAGCTCATTGCATTCCACTGTTCCTGTAACAACAAACACGCTCGCACTGCATCAGTTCCACCTGCCGCGATCGGACTTGACCTACTTACCGTTAGACTTGTAATCGATATCTTCCTGCACCGTGGCCATCCCTCATCAGCACAGAAAATCACGATCATCTTCGTATACTCTCAATGAAGAAGACGTCGTAGGCTACCCCTGGCTCTCCAAATAGCCATGTCGGAAATTTGAGACGGCGCCGGAAACGCCGAAAAACGCCATTTAACGAAGGCCTCCCGGATGTCCGTTTCAACAAACCCCAAAAGGTGTTGAGACGGCCTGGAAACGGCCTTCCAACGTGTAGGAAACGCGGCCTGAAACGGCCAATGACAGACGGGCGCCTATTAAATTTTCGGCGAACGGCCTGTCAAACGGCTGTCAACAGGCCGTGCGTTGGGAGCCAGGAATCAAATTTCCGACACATGTTGCGATCCATGTTGGATCCATGAAGCAATTTGGCTCATTATCTCGACGGTGCGCGAAATCTCTTTATTGCCTATGTCTCAGCCTTGTCAGTACCGGAAAAGGTGGTGTCAGAAAAAGGTCCAGAAAGCGTTCGCGAACTCCTCAGGGGCAATAGTCCACAGGGGATTGAAGGGACCTGACTGACTTTTGTGTAGTCGAACGACGAACCTGAGTTCGGTAAGTGGAAGAGACGACGGTTGGAAGGTGAGCACTTATCTGGTTCGTTTTTCTGTTACATTGACATTATAGCGCCTTCCGACGTTCTACGCCGTGTCCCTTCGCACATCGCTTTGCTCTGCGATTACTATGTTCATCCCGGCGAACCTTGGCGTGAAAGCATCCCATCCCTTTGCATTCCTGATAAACCCTATGTCTCCATCGATGTGACTATCAATGGGTCTCTGGTGGGAACGCCATATTGGCATTGGTCTGGATGACACAAGCTGCTTGGGACTCTCATGTCGCCTGTCAGCATACCACTTGTCGGAAATTCCCAAGAAGCAGTCCTCCGCGCCCATTCCTCCTTTTCGCCACCTCAGAAACTCTCATTATGCTAACGACTGACCGTGATCGCAGAGCTTGAAAGTACCGAGTCGAGTCGCAAACATTGTCGCCGACCTTTTCTATGATGTTGTCCGAGTCTGCAACGACATGGTATGGAGAGAGTGGATAATGACAGGCAGCTACCAGAACACTCTGGCGTACAAATGGCTCGTCTCTCAACTTCGCAGAGCGAAGGAGATGCGAGAAGACAGCGCGGTCCAGTAGCGGTTGACAATTAACATTGCGAATGGACCGCGCGAAATGAATCTGTGAGCACACCGGACAGTTGCGACTTGCAAGCAAATCACCACCAGGTAAGAACATTCTCAACGAACTTACTTTGCTCTAGTGTATGCCACTGACGCTCCCAGAAGCCTCAGATGCCCATGGTTTGACAAACATATATTACGGGGATGGTGGGAAGAGAACCTTACAGACTTCCTTGTGGGGGCAAGTGTTGAGTGATCTCCTCTTCTCCCTGGTGTTAATTGCTTTTAATTATTATGTTACGCGGCTGATGTGGGCAGTCGTCGGCAGAAAACAAGTTGTGAGGGAAGTGAGATAAGGTTTGAGATTGTGACAGGCCAAGGCTGACCCATTGCCCAGGTTCTATGACGCCAAAAGCGGATTTTCCTTCAAGTACAGGCAGCAAAGACCCTTGATGAAGCTGGTTGGCTGGCTGACGACACATCAGACAAACACGGAATGTTGTTTGCAGGAAGGATGCATTCGGCATGGTGAGGGCTGTCTATTTTTGGACATGGGGAGATTCCCGACGCGTTGTGATTGGCTGAGGGTTCTGATTGGTTGTTGCTCATGCATGGATCTCAGCCAAATTAATTTGGTCACAGCCCCAGATGGATCTGCCACTCGCCGGCAAACTAAAATCCCTTCTTTGCTTCGACGAATCTCAAAAATCCATTCATTCATTTTATTTTGGCCCGATAACCATGTCAGATCTCCTTCCTCTTTCAAGATCCGCTCGAGTCGTGCTTTCCCTCAACGCCAAGTTCTTCCTCCCGTCTCTTTATATTTATCCTTCATCCGTCCCACCAATCCACCCACTCCCCCAATGTCTCCACGCGCCGCGTCGAATAATGGCTCCGCCTCTTCATCCTCGTCGGCACGCGTGGCGTCCGCGCCCTACTCTCGCAGGTCCTCAGCGCAACCCAAGTCCACTCGACAGCAGTTCTCTGCCTGCGGGGCATGTCGCATGCGAAGGTTTGTACTTTGTCACCAAACTCAGCAGTCTGCTCAAACAACAACAGAGTTCGCTGCGATTTGAAGGACCTTGCTATCCCGACCTCCGGCCCTCACCCAACTTGTTCCAATTGCAAAGAGCGTGGCATCAAATGCGTGTAGGAATCTATCTCTTCAAACGTCGCTGCGTTCTCCTCATGATACTGTTGCAGTGATGAATTCGCCGATGTCAAGGCTGTCAAATTACTCAGACGCGGTCGTCGGCTACAACAAGTGGAGTAAGAATGCTTCTTTGCAGAATCAAGTATCCCATGCTGAGTACCTCACCCTCAGAGCAATTTACGGGAAGAGCTCGGACCCCGATAACTCTGGGTTCTCTTATTCCACCCGCCTTGCCAATGCCATCCCTACCCTCCATCAAGATTTCTTCTGCTCACAGTTCTGGAGGTGGTTCTGCATCCAACGTGAGACCTGCACCACGTCAGGACGGCTTTGCCAAACGACTGACATCCTTCACCAGGTCCTATCCTTGATGCCGCCGAGTTTTCATCGAGGTTTCTATCACACCAGAAGGGCGAACGTACCCTTGGCCCCGAGGGTGGCATTATCACCATGCTTCTTGCCACCTGGGCCTTCTCTTATGGCCTCAATGAGCGTGGCCTTCCCATCGATGAACCCGAGTCCCAACCCTCCCCGGCTTCTCCGACGTCTCCGTCAACAGATGGGCCATCTAATTGCAGCACAAGTGACGGGACGAAACCCACCCATCGGCCACCAAAAAGCAAGGAGAAGTTCGACCAAATGGTCCAACAAATCCTGGACCTCGTCGATTACCATGGAATCATGCGACGGCCCACTCTGGATGGAGTCCGAGTCCTGCTCTTGCTTCTGCCTCTTTTGGAAGGTAAGCTTTGCTCTCCTCTCGTTGCAGCCATACTCATCCACTCCTGCTCTTAGATACGAAACCTTTTGAACGCATCGTGATTCACGACACCGCGATGTCACAGATCCAAACATTGTGCACCCTCGCGCCTTCCACTGCCCATCCAGCCCGTCCACTACCAGACGACGCGTCTACTCGTGCGCGTCTCTTCTGGTATGCCTACACCCAAGAAGGCTTGTCCACAGGCCTACGAGGTGGACGTTTTAACTTGTATGTCTCTCGTCCCACGCCCTCTGCCATTCCTTATATTGTCACTGCAGGCACAGCGACGATTATGATGCATTCCAGCTCACGCTTCCTTCTTACCGTGGTGGTCTGCCGTCTCCGCCATCCCCGACGTCTATCCAGGGCGGCTCGTCATCGTTCTCAACAGCTCACCAGGATTCCCAGGCGCTCAGCCGATTGGTCAGCTCATCCACCCTTCCTCTGCAGATTAATGCGGTCTGTCGGCGGATACACTCTGTTTTGACGGGACCGAAGGCTGCTAGAAGGGCGGACGAGCACAATTTGGTTGACGCCCATGGTATGCGCGAGATTTGGCATGATCTCGACCAGTGCTGGAGGGAGCTCAGCGTAATACGGCGTAACGCCGCGAGTAACGAGGATCCCGCTAGCCGGTGCGACACCGAACGCTACGCATGTGCATGGCAGGTAGGTTGTTCGACTGATCACCCTAGTGCTTAACTGACGAAGCTTCGGCCCCGACAGATATTCATCTTTGAATGCCGTGAGTACTCGATGTCCTTCCTTGTGCAAATGCCTCTCACCCTTCAATTCTCTAGACAATGTTATCCGGGAAAGTCTAAAGCAATATATGTCTACGGCCTCACGATCCCCATTCTCTTCTTCTCGACCATCATCTCATTCGTCTGGTTCTTCGCCGTACCTTCCTCCCGATCACCTCCACCTCGTGGCGACTCGCAACTGCTTGGCTTTGCTTCCCAAAGTCATTAAAATCATGCAATTTTGCGTTACCAACTCGACCTACACCGACAGATCCGGACTCTTTACCTGGGATTCTGGTTTGGTGCGCGATGGGTGCTTCTATGCAGGATATTTGGCAGCTTCCACGGATGCAGATGTCCTAGAAGCCCCGCTCGATGCTCAGGCCTCGGAAAGGGATGGACATGATCTCCCTTCGTCGCCGCTAACGACAGACGAGGCAGTCATGATTTGTCTCGCCGTCATGTCGAGCAAGAGGTGGTTGTTCTCGAAGAGCGATGAGCGGGAAGAGACGATTCGCATGATCTGGGAAGCTCGCAAGGCCAAACGCCACGGTCAACCCGTGCGATATGGTGACATGACCTACGACGCCACCTACCCTCACGCCAACGGTCATCCTAGCGCACGACTCCAGGACGTGTACCAGCCTCCCAACCAAACTGTCATGGCGGCCACATCTACATATCTCGATCGCTCCATGCTACCCTCCCTCAACGTCTTCACGCACCAGAGAAGAGTGGAGTCAGCGCCCACCACGGCCTGCACTACGGATGGACACGGGGCCGCCGGCTGGCCCTCCTATACCCCTCCCGGTACTGCTACCTCTCTTACCACCAGCACTGGCACCGGGCCACTAGGTAGCATACGCGGATCACCAGAGTTCTCGAACGTTTTGCCCACCTACAAGCCGCACACTGATGAAAGCTACTATCACGGTGGCGGCGAGCTCGACCACTTTACTTACAACGTACCAATAGCTCCATCACACCCTTCGAGCATTCCTGCCTCCATGAACGCCTTCTCCCATCGCAACTCCCCCAATATCGAGGGGCATTCATCGATGCCTACCGTCGACATGGGCAACTATTCCATCTCTTCACAGCCCTTCAATGCTACCGGGGGTACACTTCACGTTTCATCAGGAAACGACTATGGATCGTGTCCGCAGTTTGGGGACAACTGCAACGGATCGTATCATTGATCATCTTGTCTATGTCTTTTCTTCATGCCTTTTCATCCATCTTTCGTCGTTTCTATGCAGATACGTTGGTTGACATACTGTAGGTAGTTTTATGCTTAGTTTTACCGTCCCAGGGTAGGGACAGGTTGTTATATTTTTTTGCTTATGCCATCGGGATATCCCTGGACTTCCAACGTTTATACCCACACAATTTGAATGTACCACTAGCTTCACACCGTAGTAATAATACATTAATAATGTTCCTCTCGCCGGAAACCCGCCGATAGAATTCTGCCTATCGCAGTAATTGCCTATATTGTCCTTCAGAAAAACCAACGAAACACACGGACGACAGTGGCGCAAATAGGATGACTTTGACTACATTAAAGCGGCTGCTATTGCAACCTTTCTCCAGTGTCCACTGGCATGGAGAGGAATCCTTGAATACCGCCAGAAGAGGCTAGCCACCAGACCAATGTCTGATGGGGTCAAAGCCTCATGGACTGAAGGCTTAATTCCCGAGCGTAAATGGACCCCCCAACTGTGCGGAACGCTCCCAGACATGAGGAATGGAGGAGTTACTGATTCCTTGATTCTTCAGTGCAAGAAAGGTGTCCCAATCGAACATCAGCGCCCCAGAAAATGAGAACGGATGAGTCTTCTGACGTCAATTCAGGCAATTTCCCGAAGCTGCACAAGGGCACGATTGGGTGTTACTGACGGGATGATGAAGGGGCTGCTCTCTAGTTCCATCGGCCCTACCCAATCGTGGGTTTTTTCGAAGAGGGATTTCCGAATTTGCTTGCTGTCTGTAGATTCCGGACATCGCCTTGCGCCTGAAAGAGAATGGTAGCTTTGAGAATTGACAAGTAGGTTCGTCATCTTACCATTCAATTATCGATTGCTTGCTCCATCCGGTGTAAACGGCAGAAAGACATGCAGCAACAGAGTGGTTGACCGTGATATAAATCCAGGCAAGCCACGCTTACCGAGGAAATTGGGGTGCAGGTTGTTTTGTGGAAGATGATACGAATGGATCGTGGTTTCAACGAGGGATCCGTTAGGGCCAAAAGAGGGCGACCTATCAGCAGGGAGGTGGAAAAGCGTGCGTGCGTGATCAGGACTCCCCGTCCAGACAATTGAAACCCTCTAGCCGGCCTCGGCGGTGCTCGTTGTTCTGATCTCTTCATATTTCGCACTGTCGTACTTGGACAGGGTGAGATCAACCAGGGAGACATGCTGAGTTTAATTCATGGCCATCTATGTGTGTGCATAGTAGAGCTGCGGCAAGCGTTACACGCGGAACCCAAGGGGAGCCACCACCAAGTAGACCATGATCTCTTCGGCGGTCTCTAGCTGAGGATCGGGATGACCGACTTCAGCGTGCATCGCGGACACTAGACCACCTGAGCCAGCTCAGTCCATGTCGATCAGTCACAAGGTCACAGACGCTGCTTTGATTCCTTCCCATGTCAAGAATCAAGAGGCCACCGACGGAAGGTAGTTAGATAACCGTATTCCTTCCGCACGACGTCGGGGTGCCCATTGGCGACTAGATCAACAAAAGGTGGAGCTGAACGAGGACCCTGTCCCCCATTTTAAGTCTTTACACAAGCCATAGTTCCCAGCACGTCCTTAAAGCAACTCACCGCTTCAAGACGATGATTGTCGACCGTTTTGCCGCTTGTAGTTTCTTGTTCGCGTCGTCGAGGACGTTGATGATGCGGACTTGGGCTTGGCACAACATACCTGTCGTCAGCTGTGATCGAGGTTTTGATCGATTTCCCATTTGATCCCGAAAGCCGACGCTCCACAAGCACTCACCTCCGCAAGCTCACGCCAGCGTTCTTCTCGTTCTTCTCCTTCGGCTTTCTTTAAAGGTTTACGGAAAGCTCGACTCTCGAATCGCTGGTTCAATATGTTCCGTGAGTGGAGCAGACTAGTAGTACCGCCGAGGCTGGTACTCATTTCGAGTGATTCGTAGTGTGCATCCCAATTATTTGTGAGCTCGCCCGCCCATAGCTCAGGTCTGTAGTGGCACTCAGGCGTTTCGACAGTCGGAATCAACGACAGGATAAAGCCAAATAAGGATTTTCAGCCCTTGGCCTGCCCTCGCTGTCACAACAGTACGTTCAACGGTCCTCTCGGCTCTACCGCACTTGGCAAGCTCGTCTAAAATTCCTTTAACCCAATTAGCCTCCGTCATATACGCTAGGAATTGCAAGTGGTTCGAACTTTTCTTTATCCCTCTCATTCCCGTCTATTGGAAGCACATTTACCTATGTAATATTTGCGGATGGCGATCGCAGAATTCTCCTCCGTGAGTCCTCCGACTTTCTTGCCCCGTCCGTTGATGACATTTACCGGAAGAGATAGACCTGGATCCTCCGTACCGTTAACTACAACGCGCGCGGATGCTTCTGTTCTACCGCCGTACACCGGTGGATGGGAAGAGCCTAACCACCCTGGCTATCAGCCGGCGTACCTGGCGCCTCCATACTCCGAAAGTGAGACCGAGGCTCAAGCGCCCATCAAACCACCCCAACCACCCAAGGCTTGAGGCAACCGAGCTTCACAGCCGTATCCGCGTAAACGGTGTCGACGATGGAATACATGATGTCCATTAATGTTCTCTACGCACCCATTCATGTATCTCGTGCCCTTGTACTATACTTGAACCTCCATTTGTTTGTAGGAAATGACTTTATCTTGGCATTCGATCTATGTCATGGCGCAGCACGTTGCTGTGCATCGAATCACTTTGAACCTGACCCTCATCCTACTGTTCTTCATTATCACAACTCCTACAACTCGAACTTAAAAGTCATGGATTTTTTCTGTACGTGGAGCGTGTTAGAGTGCAGAAAGCAACATCTTTGACTGATTTCTGTCGGGTAGTTTGTTTGCCCGTTCTTTGTGAGACTCGACTCTTGCATGTTTTTAAGAAGAATAATTGACGGGCATGGGTTTGGTGCAGTTGGCTGTAAAACGACACTGAAGCCTGAAGGAGACCAAACACCACGAGTATGTCCTAGGTGCAATAACGGTTAGTGGACATCGACGCTTCGTTTTCCTCCGGACCATAGCAGACTGAGTCACTCGGCCATGATTAGCTGCTGCCACTGGATGCAAATCTCGAGAATGGTTCGAACTTTGCTTCGTTCCGCTGATCCCTATGGGTAGCAAGCACATATGGGTATGCTCTATTTGCCACTGGACAAGTCCCCGAGGTCAAGGACTGTGAGTCAATAGCAGCTTTGACTTGACCCTGTCTCACATATGCCCCCCCCTCTCCAGATGGGAACCTGCTCTACCCGGATTCGCTCCACCTCCACCGGCAGGCTACTACCCTCCCAATCAACAATGGGGCCCACCACCCAATCAATGGCAACAAGGTCCTCAGTATCCGCCCCAGGGCTACCACCCTCCCAAGTAGATAATTTCGATCGGTTTTTTTGTCATGTTTCGTCTGTTTTCATGTAGCATAGTATTGGCGTTCATGGTGGGACAATTTTGGATAGGAATTTTCATGTTGGATGACGGACATAAGGGAACGGGTGGCAATTAGCAAGCTGTGTGATTGCTTTTGTTTCCCTGGGAGCTCGGAGCACGTGCCTGGTGATTGCAGCGCCTTGCTGTTAGTTGGTCCTTGGACTGTTGACGCAGCCTTTCATCCTCTTCCATATCGACCTGCTTTAATCTCCTTTATTCAGTCCACAATGCACACGAGTGAATACGATTATCTTTTCAAGCTCTTGCTCATCGGCGACTCTGGTGTCGGAAAGGTCCGTTTTCCAACTGCCAATCCCTTTGGGGGGGGGGGGCTCCGCTGACAGCTTCCCTCTCATTCAGTCCTGCCTGCTTCTCCGATTCGCAGACGACACTTACACAGAGAGCTACATCAGCACAATTGGTGTTGATTTCAAGATTCGAACGATTGAGTTGGAGGGAAAGACCGTTAAACTGCAGATTGTGAGTACCTCGTGTCCCTCCACAGGGCCCCGGTGGCTCCATAACGTCAATGAGACCCTGGAATCCCTTCAACCGCTTCAACCCTACCTTGGCGTACTGACGATCTTTCCTTCTCATCGATTCACAGTGGGACACCGCAGGTGAGGGCAGCATCGTCGTCGTAGCACCTCCTGAATGACTCACGGCTCGTAGGCCAGGAACGATTCCGCACAATCACATCCTCGTACTACCGCGGCGCCCATGGCATTATTGTCGTATACGATGTAACCGACAATGGTACTGATCGCCCATTCCCGACCTTCAGCCTCCCGCTAACCTGGCACCGTAGATACCTTCTCCAACGTCAAGCAATGGCTCTCAGAAATCGACCGATACGCCTCAGAGGGAGTCAACAAGCTGCTGGTTGGCAACAAGTCCGATCTGACTGGAAAGAAGGTCGTCGAGTACAGCGTCGCAAAGGTATGGCTGTCAAGCTCCGGATACGCTGCCCGTCAAAGGCAATGTCCTAATCTGCTGTCTCTTAGGAATTCGCGGACCAGCTCAATATTCCATTCCTGGAAACTTCTGCAAAGAACGCAACGAACGTAGAGCAAGCTTTCTTGACCATGGCCAAGCAAATCAAAGACCGGTGAGTTCCCCGTCCAAGATTTCGAAACCGACTGTTTTTGACATTGCCATACCTTAGCATGGGCTCGACCTCGACCCCTTCTGGAGCCGCCAAATCGTCGACTGTTACTCCCGGCCAGACTGTCCAGTCCCAGACAGGCGGCGGATGCTGCTAATTGCTCGCCCTCCTTACTCTCCGTGGTGGCCTGATCAGAGCGCTGTACTGCATGATGTCGTTAATTCATTCATTTGGACTGATATTACATCTAGTTTGTTTTTCATGTTTCTAGTACTCTACCCCGGGGAATGGAATTCCTCGTATTCTAGAATCCTTTCGTGGCTCTGAACGTTTGGCAATCAGGGAAATACTCGCCGTGGCAACGGCGAGCGGAACAGGGCAATGAGCCATTTTTAGTCAGAAACGCGCAGTCACATAATTGATGCGCTCCGAGATTGGGTGGTCTCCCTTGAACCACCACGTTCACCAGCACCTCGATCGCTTTTTCTATTTCTATCGATTGCAGGTGAACGTTGTAACTTGACAACTGGGACTTATATAACTATTAAATCTCGATCCACCATATATAAACCCTCAGACCCAGCGAGAATTCCCGCCGCTGAGATCGTCTGAGATATGACAAATTGGACGCGTCTATTTTGTCATCTAGCATCGTCTCTCAGCGCGATTTTTACCCACTTTTTTGTGCTCAGATCCGCTTAGAAATGATAGAAACCCGAAATCGTCCAAATGTATCACATTTATCATATGTCGTACTCTCACAACTAGAGTACCAACTGGCGCAGACATGTCAAAAGGAAAAAGATAACCAGTCCGGGAATAGCTACCACTGTGGTTGTATGCCGCGCCGCAGACAAGGGGAAGACTCTGGAATTTCTGTTAGGTTTCGTCGTTGCAAGCTGCAAGGAAGAGACACTCACCAGATGCAGATGCGCGACTGTATCGTGAACTTCCCACTGAGCTAGAAGGTTTCTTGTCAAGAGAGAATAGGATGGGCAATTTGAGGCAACTCACCACTATAGAAAGTCCGGCGGGTGGAGGGCGGGTTGGAGGCTGTTGGAGGCTGTTGGAGGCCGCAAACGTCGAGTCGATGCACTCGAGCACGCTGGGCCAAGTTCGTGCTTTGCTTAAGGGGCCATCGCATTGGGAAGGTGATATAGGTCCTGGGAGGCGTCGAACACAGTGGAGATCCAAAAGATGCCTAGACACGATGGGGACGTACCTCCTCCCCCTGATCCCTCTCTCTGCGTGCTCTGTATGCTGAATCACAGACTACCTGGATATCGGCGTCGTCAAAGACAGTTTTCACTTCCCGCGATTTCGATGTAGAGGACGGCGGGGTGGTGTATGTGTGGTGAACCGTGATGGTGGTCGAGAGGAAAGAAAGCCCAAGTCACCGCGCGCCGCATTGGGCAGGGTCTGCACGCTCGTGACTAAGTCCAAAGTCCTTCGGCTTGTGGCGGAGAAAACGAGGAACGACCATTTCTAAGTCAATTGAATGGGTCGAAGATATCATCTGTGAGCGGAATCCAGCGAACACGACGGCAGCGAGGAAAGAAAGGACGCGTGGAAAAGCTGGAAAAATCGGGCGTATCATTTCACAGCATCTATGAGCACGTTACACACGCGTTTTGGCGGATTTATCATATCTCAGACGATCTCAGCGGCGGGCATTCTCGCTGGGCCTCAGAAGCCCTCATTGCTTCTTCACGTCTTCACCACCCAACCCTCCACCAAGCATCGATAACCAACCTCTGCCTTATCGATGGCTTCACATTCTCAGAGAAGACCGTCCAGCTACCAGCCGGTACGCGTACTTACCAACGCGTACTCCATAGAGAGGTAACCCCGTGTCAATACTCTTCGCCAGTAGTGATCGCTCACTTTCTACTATAGACTTCCAAGCCATCGTTATACTCAGTACACCAGTGGGTTTCTCTCTTGCACTCATGGATGACGTGCACTAAACCCAGTACCTCTTCTCCCTCTAGTCGGTACGCGTGGAACTCGTATTGCTATTCAACCGTCTGGATGTTGACGGCAGATGTTCCAGAATTTGAACCCAATTTCAAGGGAAAAGCAATTGCCAAAAAGCAGCAGTACATCCACCACCTCGAGCATGTTGTGTGCCCTGATGTATTCACCCGCCGTTTCTTGTATGACGGGAGCAAAATTGGGTACGCCCACCCGGACGTTGCTCAGAGGCTTGGTCCCAACAAGACGGTGGGTCCCCTGTTTACCACAGTTCCTTGAACAGTTGATTGATACACTTCCCTTAGTTTTTTGTTGCCCTTCGGTCAAACACGCAGTTCGACCCCAGTGCCTGGAAAAGTGAAGGCAAGACGTCGTGTATCAAGATCACGTTCTCTGCGACTTCCGGTGTAGAAATTCTCCCAACGTAAGGGTGTCTGCAATGGGACCTAAACGAATTCGCTGACGCTCTGTAGCCATGCTGCCGCCATTCGGGGACCAGACAGGGAGCTTCATACTAATCTTTTGCAGCTTCTTGTTCGTCAAGGATCGAACAACATCCATCCCAACAATGGAAAGGCATACTTCCCGCCGTTTTCGAGAGGAGAAGATTTGAAAATACTTCCGAATGGAATCGAAATCCGACGTGGTATCTTCCAGTACGTGATTGCAGTGTCCAGGTCGTCGTCGATGTCTGACATCCCTTTTCAAGTTCTGTCCGGCCCACAATGGAAAAAATGATCGTCACGATAGACACTGTTGCATCCCTGTTGTACGTGAATCCATCGTTTAATTAGCCGCTTACTCACAGTTGGCATATAGCTTTCCACATGGCTCCCTACTGGAAGCAGTCTCCCTATTCTTACGGGAATCTGACTGGCGCAGTTTCCGAGAGGACTCTCGGGACCCAAATATAAGATCTAAATTTCACAAAATGCTAAAGTATTTCAAGGGTCTCAAAATTCGGGTTACCCATCCTCGCAAGTCCTCGACCTCGATCAAGTGTATCATGGGTTTCGTCTCCGATGGTGGTGGATTCAAATTCGACTTCGAGGGGAAGATGATTACTGTTGCTGTGAGTGGCCTGTCGTGTGTGTCATGGATGCTACTCACACTTTCATTTAGCAACACTATCGAACTGCACATAATGTGACCTTGTCCCACCCATTTGCGCCAGGTGTCATCCTCCGAAAGGAACCGCATATGGTTGTAGTTCCTATGGAGCTCTGCGAACTTGTCCCCAACCAAATGTTCAAAAAGAAGGTACCCGATGACATGGCCGGTGACATGGTCAAGTTTGCCGCAGTCAATCCCAGCGACCGCTTCCAGAAGATTAAACTCGCGGTAAGGAGATATCTTTGATTATTGACCGCTGGTAGCACATCTGACAACATTTCGAGGCCAATAACTACCACCGATTCCAGCCGATGGTCGAATCGGGCATGGTCATTTCTCGAGACCCGCTTACAGTCGAAGGGAAATTGCTGAATCCTCCAATGATCAAATATGATTGTCGAACACAAGTGAGCTGAATCAGACCTTCCCCATGGCCATACTAACGCAATTACGGGCAGGAACCCAAAAACGGAGGCTGGAATGTACTTAACCAGAAGCTCCTCAAGCCAATGCCCATGAGGTTGTGGGCTATCCTCAATTGCGAGCCCACGCGTATATCTAGCCAACAGGCGTGGGGGATTGCAAAAACGCTTGCCGACTGTTGCAAAGCGCTTGGTAAGCATTCGCAATCTCCCTAGTCGCCTCTGATCTAAGTTATTCTTCTCTAGGGATGCGTATGTAGCTTCAGACCATTCTGAGGAAGTGTTATTCAACCTGCATACTATATAGGCATAGATAAGCCGCCGATCGTTGTGAAGGACTACAGTGGGGGTTCGCTGTCTAGTGTAAGTTTTCTCTGTTTAACCGAGTCCAACTGTGTGTTGAACCGGGTTGTAGGTACTTGACAGTGTCATGCAGGAGTCCTCTCAGATACTGCAGAGGCATGGGATCGACCTCAGAAAAACATTGAAGGAATTCATGCTCATTGTTCTACTTCCTTCCGAAGCGGCCCATTTGCGAACGGAGGTGAAGTATTGGGGTGATGCTGTCAATGGTGAGTTGAACGGTGCGATGTCCACTGCGCCCACTAACCTTCTTGTAGGGGTTAAAACCCAGTGTCTTCGATTCGGAAAGACAATGAACAATCAGTATTGCAACAACGTCGCACTCAAGTGAGTTCAACCGGTTCGCTGATGGGCGCAACTGTGCATAAGCTGTCTTCCAGAATAAATGCCCGCCTCGGGGGGACGAATTCCTTTATTCAAACACCGAACCAAGGGTCGAGTCTGGAAAGGCTCTGCGGGAGTTCGCGAACGATGATCGTGGGTATGCAGTATCTCCCGCTTTCTGTAGCGAAGAAAAGTTTAACGCCCCTTCAACAGGTGCTGACATCGGCCACCCTGGTGCAGGCATAAGGAACAAGCCCTCGGTGTCTGGTCTGGTGTTCTCAATTAGCCAGTTTGCGACAGAGTATGCAGCGATCACCAGGATCCAACCCCCTCGCGTCGAGGCTATTGTCGACCTGGAAGAGATGTTCAGATACGCGATGGACAAATTCCGGAAAAGTGCAAATGGCCTCCCTCATAATATCATTTTCTTCCGCGACGGCGTGTCTGAAGGTGAATTTGCGACAATAACCAACACGGAAATCAGGGTTTTACAAGGTTCGGTCTCCTGTCTCCGATGCCATATTATTGACTGACCTTTTTGAATTCGACGACCCTCCCGTTACTAGAGGTGATTGACGCTTTCCACAACGAAATATCCCCTGAGAAACCGAAGCCCAAATTGACGTTTGTGGCTGTTGGAAAACGGTAGGCCCTCTTCAGAACGGTCTCCGTGTGTTTCAGCTCGACTAAATTCTGGCGCAGGCATCATACACTTCTCTTCCCACCTCATGGATCAAAGTAAGGATGGTCCATGTTACTCCCACTATTTGGTATTAATACACACTCACTTAGCCTGGCTGATCGCAAGGGGAATTGCCACCCTGGGGTCGCGGTTGATTCTGGCATCACACAACCCTTTTTACCAAACTTCTATCTTCAGTCCCACGCGGCCATCCAAGGCAGTGAGTAGCCCCTGCTGTACTTAACTAGTGCCATTGACTCATGGTTTGTGCCTCCCGGCGCAGCTTCGAGATCCAGTCACTATATCGTGCTTCGCGACGAAGTCTTCGCGGAATATCGCGAAAGTGCTATCCTCCAGTTAGTCCGTTCCCGCTTTGATTATAATTCTCCTTAATCACATTGTCAGACTGGAAGAACTGGCCTATGGCCTCTGCCATATCTACGCCAAGGCCACTCGCTCCGTCTCCATTCCCGCCCCTGTGTACTGTAAGTCTTTTGCTTTACTGACACGGATCCCACTCATGTTCTATTTGCGGTCGGTTGGTTCCCGTTTCCGTTCTTAGATGCCGATGTAAGTTCACTCGCACTTGCGATGTCTCGAGGTATTCCAATTACTGAAATCCTTCACAGCTTGTCTGCAGGCGAGGCATGTTCCATATCGACCCCAGGAACCAAAATGTTTCGTTTGACGACACCACCTCTATCCATACATCGGGGACGGAGCCTCCATTCGATCTCGAGCCTTGGAAAAATGCCTTCAAACCCCTCCATGGAGCCCTCGAGCCCGCCATGTACTTCCTGTGACCTTTTGTGACTTTCATGATATGATATGTACTTCTACACACTTAGTCCAATTTGATGTTTCTCGGATTTCACTGCCATTCCTCGGGAAAATTAAGTATTTAAAGTATCGCGACGAGAATGATTGGAACGCGCGAACATCAAGCCGCGTCAACGAATTTACACCGCTTCTTTTAACTTGCCTTCACACCGAAATGTCTAATGCTCTACGGTCGAGCTCAGAACTTGCAGCAAAGCCAGATTCTCCTATAGAACCTGGTGAACACAAGCCAGAACCACCAACCTCCACGCCAGACGTATCTTCTGGTTCCAAGGATGCAAGACGGGAGCGGGCTTCATCACCTGACTCGACTTCAAACAGAGGATTTGCACGTCCTTTGGGTTCTCCTGGACCAAGTTCAAGGTTTCGAGACACGGATGGACGCAGAGACAGACCGTACAACCCTCCTCCGCGACATACAGATACATACGTAGCTCCAAGGAGAGGCGACGACCGCAGAGATTATGACCGCAGCCGCGATTATGACAGGGATAGGCCACGGCATCCTCTGCGACGTTGGGAGTTGGATAGGGACAGGGACAGGGACCCGAGGTATGGAGGTCGTTACTCGGACTATCGAAGAGATAGATCGCCCCCGCGACGTGGTGAGCATGAATTCACTTCTCGAATCTGTCGCTAGTTTGACATATTGCTGTCCAGGCCCTCCACCGCGACGGTATGGCGGTTATTCCCCACGAAGGCGTTCAAGATCCCGGACACGCTCTCCTCGCCGCCGTTCACGATCTCCAGGCCCTCGGCGCGGTCCGCCTTCTCGGTCGCCACCTGGAAGAGGTTATTACTCACGACGACCTCTCAGGTCTCGCTCCCCCCCACCTTTCCGACGAAGAGGCGGGTCTCGCACACCACGAACCAGGTCGCCTATACGGAGACGGTCGCGCTCGAGGACACGCTCAAGGAGCCCCTACAGAGGATCTCGACCGTCTCCGTCTCCTGCAAGGTCTGTTCGCCTGGGTAACCATTCCATTGGCGGTTCCAGACATGTATCGCCTCGACCTTACGAAGAAAAGAGGCGTACTGTTGAATCGGAAGGTCGTACCAAGGAAGCAATAAAGCCAATCGGATCCCCGTCTCAACTAGTTGTTCAGGATTCTGACAAGAAGCCACAAGAACCCGTGGTCAACGTGGAGGCGACTCAAGATGCCGTTATGAAGGAGGAGGAAGTCCCTCAAGATTCACCGCAATCGCCTAGCCCTCCTCCGGCGGACGATGCGAAAATGGAAGAGGACCCACCTACTGCACCTCAGGTCGGAGAAGTCGTCGCTGCGTCTGATCCACCTCAGAAACAGCGCTCAACGACTCCTGCTCCTGCTCCTGGACCGCCTCGACCTTCTACTACAGAATCTGCCGCAACATCGCCTTGCCGTCTATCTGCTGCTGAAACGAAATCGCCTATGTCTCGCAGGCAAGACCGACCTTCTCCAATCCCACCGCATGTCAAGGCCGAAGAGAAACTTTCCCTTCGCTCTCTAAAAGTGGATCATGCGGGACTCCCCCCCATTCCTCCTCCATCAGCCTCACACCGCTCTCCCATACATTTCAAACCGACAGCTCACTCACCACTTGCCACCCCAAAGTACGAAGGTCAATCGCCTCGCTCTCAACATTCGCAACAGTCCTATCAGGCCCCAGCAGCGTCGTCGCATTCCAGAGAAGAGCATAAACGCGAGTCAAGCACGCCTCAGTCTCCTGATGTGGTCATGGCGGATTCAACACCTCATTCTCAACAAACACACGACAAGTCTTCGCATCCTATCCCGCCCCCGCCTCAACGGACTGGGATCCCGACGGGCCCTAGGGCTCACGGGTATAAAGATTATAGTATACCTGCGGGTCCGGCAGCAACCCATCCTCGTGGCCATCCACCCACTGGTCCAGCAGCCCAACAACCACCTAGCGGGCCTTCGAACCGTCTCCCTACGCCTCAAGGAACGAAAGGTCCCAATTGGTCGGGTGGGCCGGGAAGTAACCGACATTCCAGTGATACTATGGTCAAGACCGTTCAGGACAAGGTAGATGAATTGTGCGGTGTTGGACGACCAAGGGTCGCGAATTACCCTCTTGCGAGCGAGGTCAGTCTTGCGGTTTCCTGTTCCCCCTTACTCGTCTGACGCACCTGGATCGAAACTGTAGATTCAAACGCAGGTCGAAACCCGCATGCTCCGTGAAACGAAATACTATGAAACCACGAGTATAGCGTATCCAGCTTTGTGGGAGTTGGAACTCGCAATGCTTGATCTACACACCAGCGAGCTACGGAGAAAGGCGGCATCGAGCCAGCTGGATAAAGCTATGTTTGGTGCTCTGGGCATCGATTATGTTTCCGAGGGGCTTACATTGTCGTCATCAAGCGCGTTGCAAGCTCCACCAATGGTTGCTTCAACTTCAACGTTGTCTACATCCTAGTTGTTCAAACGAAATTAGAGGCTGTTTCAATCGTTGTCGAGCCTCCCTGTTTGCATCTTGACTACTTACTTTCTATCAATGATACTATCAATCTTGTCGGATCCTTTTCTTGCTGGAAGATGGGTGCATGCGACTACGGCGGCGGAGGCATGATGATCTTTGAGCCTTCAGCTCAGGGAATACATATTACATTATTGAATGGGTATAAAGCTTGGTTGCTACGGAATTGGGAGAGCAGGGCGGGTGAGGAAAGTCCTTTCCAGGTCGTGGGGGTAAAGTACAGTAGACCAGAGCAAACAACAAGAAGGGAGTGTGACGGAGGTAGCTATGTATAGTGTACAATTGAAAGGAATGCGCGAATGGAAAGACTGCTTCTGATGGAGCCGGGAAGACACTTCGTCGATTGAGTGAACAATGAGAAAGAGGGGGAACCAGACTATCTACAACACGAAAATAATGGTGGAAACGAGACGCACAACAGAGAAAGTTCGAAAGATCTACAGGATAAGGTGGTGGCAAGAGTCGCCGAGATGCTCGTACGATAGTCGAGCACCAGATTGGGGCGGGGGTGGTGGTGGTGGTGGTGGTGAGGAACGGCAAATAAAAGGGTGAAGACTAAGCAACAGAAGGTTTATGCTCGTCAGTGCAACTCCAGCAGGCAAGTACCCTTTCGGACTCACATCAAGGGTGTTCCAGGCAGTTGGTTCGTTAGGGGTATAGACACTATGAGGAACGGGCCCCAGGCCTGGAGAGTGTCAACTTCGTAGGAATGTTCGCGCAGAATGTGACGAAACGTCCCGATACGCTTTTTTTGTGTCGAATGATGGGCGTTGGAAATTGCCCCACAGAAGTCGACCTCTCGTCGCTGAAGTTCGTGCGTGGCGAACACTGCGATATCGGAGAGCAAGGTTCGAAGATCATCATGGATGGCTTGACATCATGCATATCATCGTAGTAAGTCTCCTTTTTCGTATCCTATCATAGCACAAAGGTTAGCTCAGGGCCTCGTCAAGGTCGAATGATAGTGATTATGGAGTGAACTAGTGGGTAGGTTAGACTAGGAATGTCGTTTGCTTCTCCCGCAGCGTTCTGGCATCACAGACCTGGAAAAATGCACTCACCAGTGTATTGAATCCTTTTCCAACATGAGCGCCATGAGCGCCAGTCACTGTGCCAGTACTATAGCAGTCATCCTCGTACCCCTCTTCTTCATCTGACTCGTCGTCTGTACCGTCCGACCACGAACTTGGTGCCAAAAAGACGGGAATGGGGGACTCGGAAGCAGTCGTCTCGACCGATATCGATGAATTTCGGTAGGGAGGCGAGCAATCATTGGCTGCCATAGATGCGCCATCCCGCCTAAACGCCTGCTTAGCGTCATTGACAGCTTGGAAGCTGGGTTTTTGAGGTGTGCCGGGCGTGATGGCAGCTTCCCAGCAGAGGTCAGCAAAGGCGACTTGCGGGGAGTGAAGCAGGCATCCGTCCAACCCCTGCAAACATGTATGATCGAAGTGAAAGGCGAGGGTGGTGGGATCGAGGATTGAAGGGAGCCAAGAAGGCGGGGAAAGGGTGACAATCTCGACGGTTCCAACAGACATTGTATCAAGCTCCAAGTCGTCCCCCTCGTCGATATCGGCGGGTCTATGCAAGGAGGATATAATATCGCCAGACAGGCTTTCCTTGCAGGGGGACCAGATTTTTGACTGGAAGAGAGCGGTCCAGGGTTGAAATTCAGAGAAAGGATCGCTGTCTGAAGTCGAGACGCTTCCAAAAGCTCGCCGAGGTAACTGAACGATAGCACTGAGCCTGGGTGTACACGAGGTGATGGTCATACAACGAAACTTACGATGGGTCTTGACTCGTGGTCGTCGAAGCTGGGTACAGAGACTTTGAGCGGTATTTCCCGAGGGACTCCATGGGAGTCTTGAAGTCCGAGAACGCCATCGTCCTCAAGGCGAGTGCGAGAGACTGAGATCATGACCGTCGTCGTCTTTGGCGACAAGCACACAAAGGTCAAGGCGGCGACGGGAAATGGATGTAGGCGGTGGTAGGGAATAGAAAAGGCGGAAGTTGAATTGACATTAGTTATATTTATATCGGTGTGTGTGGCTAGTCTGTGAATAGCGGAAACTTGAACTTGTCAATGTAGATAAGTACCTTGGAAGCCAAGTCACGTGCTCGTGCCCTGATCGGTGACCTTCCCCCTCCCGCTTTGGAATGAAAGAACGCTCTAACGCTGCCAATATGTCGGAGCCGACATACCACATCCCCTGGCCCATTGGACACTGCAGGACAGGCCTTTGACATGGGCAACCGGGACAGTAGCCCGGTTCATTCTTACGGACAAAATACAAAACGTTCGACGACAATTCATCGATACCGACACATTGGAAACGATTAACATTGTCAACGCCGATGTATCGATACCAACTCTTTGAGTATTTCCGGACCACTCTTCAAGCATCCCTACTTTTCATTGTCCAAATCACAAAAGGGACCAAGCCCCGACACAACAATATTCATATCAACACTATTCCTCATGCATGCTTCACTTGGGCATGGGTTTGCACTCCATGTGCGTCTGGGCGGGGTCGCTAGGGAGTGAACAAAAGAACCCCTGGTTCTGCATTGCTTCGAACATCTGCTTCGAGCTCATCTGTAACTGTAACATAAAGAAATCAATTTGCGTCCCCACGAGCAACCACACAACGAAAACGCGGAGTGAACCTACTGTGATACAATCCCTCAATGCTTCGGTTCCACCGGAGCTGCTCCCCCGACATAATTCAGACACATTACTACCTGCTTCGCTGTCGAATGTATACCGTGAATTTGGATCTTTCTATCGAGAGGTCAGTCCTGTGTCGCCAGGGTGCAGTAACCAACAAACCCACTGAAACAAACGACTCCAATTGCTGTACTGTCGGGTCGACCTTGCCTCGTTGAGAGTGTCGTGCGGACCCATAGTTCTCGGACTCGTGTTGAGCGCGTTGGGTGTCGCTCTTGTGTTCTGAGCCTAGGAATGTCGAGGATAACATGACTGTAGGGGAAGGAAAGACGTATGTGCCGCTGCCTGCCTTGGCTTGGAGCTTTTCGACGATGAGCCCCGAGCTCAGTGATGGGAAACAATTGTATGACGTCATAGACCTAAACTTGGCTACTCCTCCATTTAAGCGCCCATATATGACTCAGTTAGGAGACAGTCAATCTAGACACGACAACAGCATAAAATTTACACGAATAAAAAATGACACGTACAACTGTACACAAAAGAAAGAGTTAATACACATTGTTGAGAATGAACACAAGAGCAAAAGCCAACCAGCTACCCTACCCAACCAGACTCCGAGTTTGACTCGGAATCCCCCGTCTGGGTATCCATTTTATTTCTTAAATATTTTCGTCGTAATCTCACCGTTAAGGGTGCTCATTTACCTAACCCATTGTGAATGGGTTGTTTTTTACTGGAAGGAGACTGATTATGTGCCTCGACCGGCCAATCGTCCACCTTCGATGTTGTCGCTTCTGCAGACTCGCAATGAATCATGATGTCCAAGATGTAAGAGGAAGAGACTTACATCGTCAGTCCGACCATGGCTTCACCCAGATCTTCAGAAACCTCGGCCAGAATCTTAGGGTTGTTGTAGTGGGTAACAGCCTGGACAATGGCGCGTGCACGCTTGGCAGGGTCGCCAGACTGTATGGGCAAAAGTGAGTCATATTCCCTCCTGGTACTTTGGGGAAAATTTCGGGACTCACGTGGAAGATACCAGACCCAACGAAGACTATTATCAGCAAGTCAGTCACGAATTTTTGGTCAAATGCAAAAGGGTACCCACCTCCGTCACAACCGAGTTGCATCATAAGCGCCGCATCAGCTAAAAGGCAGGCTAGTGAGCGCCTCGCCTTTTCTCGAATGTCATGGGGTCAGATCCATACCAGGGGTAGCGATTCCACCAGCAGCAAAGTTGACAACGGGAAGCCTCTTCAACCTAGCAGTCTCCTTCAAGAGATGGAACGGCGCTTGGATCTCTTTGGCGAAGACGTAGAGCTCCTCGTCGCTCATAACGCTTGCCTTCTTGATGTCGCTCATGACAGCTCGCTCGTGTCGGACAGCTTCGACAATGTTGCCCGTGCCAGCCTCACCCTTGGTTCGGATGAAAGCAGCTCCTTCAGAGATCCGGCGCAGAGCTTCACCGAGGTTGCGGCAACCACAGACGAAGGGTACCTTGAAGTTGTGTTTGTTGATGTGATGTTCTTCATCGGCGGGAGTGAGGACTTCGGATTCGTCAATGTAATCAACACCGATGGCTTGAAGGATCTTCGAGGGGAAACAGTGATAAGATTGAATGGAACGCGGGTTAGAGAAGGAAGCTTACCTGAGCTTCGACGAAATGACCAATGCGGACCTTGGCCATGACCGGAATAGTCACGGCATCGACGATTTCCTTGATCATTTTGGGATCACTCTAATGTCTCTTCCGTCAGATTTCCGAGAACATAGTCAGAAAAAAACAGTCACCGACCATGCGGGCCACACCACCTGTACGGCGGGAACAGAGCCTCCATAAGCACTTTATCGACTGTGATATGGGTTTTTACGGACCTTCCTTGCGGATATCAGCCGGGACCCGCTCCAAAGCCATAACGGCGCAAGCGCCTGCCTCTTCGGCAATGCGAGCCTACACCAGAGAGACGTAAAACACAAAAAAAGTGGACGAATGAGGTCAACCGACCTGCTCGGCGTTGACTACGTCCATGATCACCCCACCCTGCAATCGACGGAGATTAAGATAAGGAGGTCCCCTCTTTGACTGGTTGAACGCACCTTGAGCATCTGAGCCAATCCCGATTTAACCTACATCCCAACCGCAAGTTAAGTCTATAGCCTGGAAGAGGATCGCGAAGTCTAGGGAACGCACACCAAAAGTGCCCAAGTTTCCGGCTTCACGCTGACTGGAGGAACGTGCGGGTGCAGCAGCTGCGACGCTTGCTCCTCCTGCGCTCTGAGGAACTGGGGTGGACAACGAAGGGGTAGAGGGTGCTGGAGAGGCCATTCTGTAATGTGGTGGAGAAAGAAAAGGATTCTAAAAAGTTGGATCGATTATTTGTTCGATTATAAGCAAGACCGGATGCCCGTTCCGTTAAGTTACAACGCAACCCTAACCTAAGGTCAAATTGGCGGAAGCAGTGCGCAAAACTTGCATAACATTTGAGTGACGAAGTATGGTGTGCTCGTGCTCAACGTCTTCAACAGCGAACACAATTGGAATAGTCGTGTCTTGGAAACACACTAAAATCCTCTAGCCTTCAGCCACTCCACAACTTCTTGTTTCCACCGCCCGCCAGCAATCACAATGTGTTGGTGCTTAGTCCGCACAGCGAGTTTCCTTGCTTCCCGTGTCCCCGGTTCAAACAAGGATTCAGACAGTTCCTTTGCCAACGCCTATCGTGTATGGTTTAGAAAAGACACTGAGCCCAAGAATAACGACGTGGACCCACCTCTACGCTGCCGTCCACATTCCTGATTTGCACTAGAATTCGCGAACCCGCGTTGCGGACGTCGGTATAGACTGGGAGGTTGCCATTCGCGTTTCGCTGAACAAAATAGGCTGGTTGCTGCCTTGCTGCAGGTGTGGACGCAGAAGCCAGTGCCTGTTGGCAGCAACGGAGGGTCGACCTGAACATTTTGGGTTGTGTCGTGGATTGATGGTGGTGGGTAAGGGACTCTTTCTCTCGCGTGCACCGGAGACTCGGCCTTGTTTGCGATTGATGGCTTGACTTGACAATTAACGGCCAACTATATAAAATGCCGTTCCTTCTTTCGCAACCACCCATACAATGCATCTCCGTCGTCTATCAGACCTGGACCTCCCTCATCTCGGTGAGCAATTTCTCTGCTTTTTCTCCCCCAAAAAATCAGAATTTAATCACTTGAAACAGACGCTGAGGAAACACAAACTGGGGTAGTAGTATGCAAGGCCCCGCTCGTCGCCCCAGTGCCTCTACCCTACCACTCTCCTCGATTTTTGCAGTTTCAACTACTGCCAGACACAGACCAGGACCTCTCGCATCCTCCGTATATTTATCGGCAAACCAGTCGCAAGCGCAAAGTGGAGGAAAGCGACGACTCGTCTTCGTCGGGACACTCACAACCAGCAGACTCTCCACCCTCCAACAAACGGCGACTGACACCCGGTGCTCACCAGCACCAACTGAGACGGTTCTCGTCTCATCACCAATTCCGTCAGATCCACCGCAACACCGCCTCGACTCAAGATAACGAACTTGTTCTTGGTGTCCCCCTTACCCACATGAGTGCCCGATGATTCTCCATCATCCTTGGGCCACCCCGCGTGAAGAACCAGGTCCAGTCAATGCCACGACAGCTTTCGGGTTTCTTCTAGATCCAAGAAGGCCTTTTCTTCCCGTCTTAAACGCGTACCCACTCGCTATCTTCGTTTCCGTGGGCCGTTGGTGCATTCTTACATACTCCGCGCTAAGTTATTCTTGTCCTTCTTGCTTTCGTATCATAGTAATGGACTAATTCATTTGAAAGACACCATTTGTACAGTAGTCGTTACATAAAATCATTCGCAACACAATGCATATCGCACTGGCTTTTTGGCGTGACCGCATACTCATGGAACTCCCAACCCCTGAAAACATCAATCATGGTGTCATTGACACCGATCTCCATCACACTACAGTTGTTTGACGCAGCCCCGACAGTCCATCCGTCCACCTTGTCCAAGAAATGGGAAAGACCTTGGTGTGGCTTGGGTGCTGGAACCCCCGAGTTCATAGAAAGTACATCAAGGGCTGCAAGTTAACATGAACCTTTCGGAATACCTCCTTCCAGTAGTCGTCGTCGTACTTGTCGGACCCGGTGGATACAAATGAGGCGCTGTCGTCTATTCCGTGACCCATGATCGTCGGGCTAAAATGGAAGTTTCCACGCCCACATGCCAACTGCGCAGGGATGGAGCAGGTCAGTGGAATCCAGAGGGACTGCTCTTGAAAAGTCAAACTCACGTCAGCATCTGAAAAGAAAAGGCGGTCGTCATCAGTAGGGTGTGAATGGAGAGGTGTCGCAGACGTACAATAGACAGGGGCAGGTATAGAGACAGATCGAGTAGCTTTGGCATAGATATGACATAGCTCGAATGACAGACGCTCAATCCTACAGTTGCATAGAGAGTAGGCGTTAGATAGAACCTGTCAAAGAATCCAAATGAGAAACAAACTCAAGTAGACTTGGGAAGGTGTCGTTTCGCAGTACGATGTAATGGCTTGAACGAGACGCTGTGTCGGAAGTGAGTATAGTCCGTAGAGGTGGCTTGCTGTAGTCCACTCACTGCCTTGAATCGCCGAATGCGATTGCAAGTAAAAGTTGGGGACAAATGGCTGTACCACTCCTGTGTCAACCGTAATGCCTGGTATATAGTTGCCTGTAGAGTCTGCCACGTCCCTGGACACTCCTGTTAGCCAGTTTCCTGTGGTTAAACCGAGAAATACTTCAACTCACGGGGTAGGAGGAAAGAGGAGGGTGTGATGTCTAACCCATCTCTGTAAGCTATGCGCTTGGTGCAATGAGATACAGCCCTAACCGTTTTCCTACGACAATGAAGGTATACTGCAGTTTGTCTGGAATGGGGCCCTTGCCCTTATTCTGTTCTTTGAACTCTAAGAATCCCGCTGGAGAGAAGGCATAAGCCAGATCCCTGAGAAACACGAAGGCAAAGTCCCCACCTTCTAGTTTCGCCATTTCATCTTCGAAGATGGTTGTGTATTCTCCCTCAGAGACGCCGTCGCGATAATAGACGATGGTATTCGGTGGCCCCTCCATCACTGCCGAATAGCTATTCAGGGCATAGGTAAACATCGAGGCCAGCTGTTCGACTTTTTCTAGTCTGGGTTTCTGGATCGTTGTCGTTGCTGCATATTGGGCTCCCCCTTGGTACAGGCTGAATACCAAACTTGCTACGGATGGTCGGTTGGTAACTCCAGGACCGGGATGGCTGACATCAACACCTAGTGTTCCATTGAATTGCCGTCAACAATACTGCATGGAGATTGCGAAGCTGTACGAACCAATGATCATCGTCTTTCTCCCTTGGGTGGATAGTATCGCCAAGGGCGAACCCCCAGGGATTTTCGACTCCAGCATTACATTGACACCTCGCAAGCGAGCATTGATTCTGCAAGCAGGACAAAGCAATGAGCAGGACAGCCCGGGATACGGCGGGGAAACGCACTTCAGAGCTACATTGTTGAAATACTGGTTGAGTTGTCGTGGCTGTTTCAATCTCCTGCTTTTCGGATCCAGTAACTTGCTGACTCTCAAACACTGGGTCGGAACGCCTGGCGAAAACACTGTCAAGATCATAAACTCGACGAGAGCGAGAACCTCAAACCATGCGTGATGTCCCCGAAGTACTTCACTTTAGCTTTGAGATTGAGCGCGTCCTCGGGAAGGATTACGACAAGCATAAACCGCCGAAGGTGGTCGTCCAAAAGGTTGATGTTGTGTATTCTCCCTGCAATCGCGGCACATTCTTTCACGAGAGCGACAAGATCCTGCAGAAGCTGAGTCATTACAAGGAGTCAACCCCGAGAGCCGACATACCCCTTGCGTGCTCGCACTGTCGACGAGACTGCGTTGCACGAGAGGAGGCTTTGCGTCTAGGCGCACATGCGTATCATTCATTGTACGTTCGCTGCAGCCCGCGGAATACTTACTCATTCCTACAAACCATCGTTAGGAGTTTGATTCAGCCTGCACCGGGTAGCCCACTTACCAAGCTCTCTGCAACAAGACGCCAAGGCATCAGCAATATTTGCTATGTCCCCCGAAGAGAGTTGCATGGGGGTGAAATTAGCTATTGCCCACAATTTCATCTCGGCGGGCCTGTACAACTGCTTGCGTACCACATTCCAAGACCCATTTTGTGGTCTCTGTCGGTGTGGTGAGAAAGCGAGCAACCACATACATTGAACTTGAAAGACTTGCCATGCGATCACCGTTACCGTATACGAGTGTAGGAACCGTCAATAACTTTCCATCCACCGTCAGTGGGTCTCTGCCAATCTCCATTCCTGCCTGCACCAGTGCCTCGTATGCATCGTAGTTCCGGGCCTAGATATGCGTCAGTCCGCCAGTTGGCTGAAGGTAAGCTTTCTCGGCGGCGTACAGCTTGTTTGATTTTCTTCAGTCGATCCTGTGGACGAATGATGGAAAACCGAACCATGTGGGCAGTCTCTTCAGGTCGTTTCCTGCGAAACATTTGGTTCTCCACCAGTTCGCACAATTCCATGGGTACCACAACTTTAACCGGATTCTCGCGAATGACTACACCTGGTGCTTGTGGTACCCGCACCCTGTAATTGTGTGTGCGCAGGTAATGCTCCTGCAAGGAGTCAGTTACAGATACCAATCGATGCACCTGCTTGAACGCACTGCGACACTCATCTCTCCGTCTGGACCTTCGAACATAAAGTGCCCTCCACTGGAAACGAAATTCCGTATTGTTTTAGTAACCTCGGAATTCTTTTCCGGAACTTTCACCCTGATCTTGACGTTTTTGAAATACTGCACCATCTTCCTGAACTGTGGAGTACCCTCTCTCAGCGATCGGAGATTGTGCTGATCCAGGAAAGTGCCAATAACATCTTGGAGGGGTCCTCCAGGAATACTGCCAGCCACGTCAATTCACCAGCTAGCGAACATGTATTTCGACCATGGACTTACAATATTGCAACTGAAGTATCGACAGTCACGATCATTCGGTCGAAAGTAGGGCGGATTGAACTTTCCATACAAATCAATACTGTTAAGGGTTTCCTGGAACAAACGCTTACTGGAACAAGCCACGTCGAAGCTCAAGCCCGCTCGAGGGAATTCGCTCAGCGTCCCGGATTGAATCCCGAGGTAATCTCATTCTGCGTCGGTTGTTGTCGTCTTCCTCGACGTCCCTGACAGTGTACGGAAAATAGGTCTTCCCGTTATTTGGATATGTGCTACAGTAATTGTGAGTAGAACGTAGGCCAAATGTGTCATCAGACGTACTTGTTGGTATTGTGGCGTAAGATCAACTGTAGGAAGTTGGTTACATTTTCCCTTCGTTCCTTGGCTTCGGGATTCCTGAGGTTCCCCATGACATAGGATATCTCTCTATGCACGGTGAACATGTGGCTTCTCTGTTCAGATGTTGGCGGCTTACTGATACCCAATGAGAGGTCCGGACGTCCGCGTGAACTTGATCTCGACGCAAGGAGTCTTGGTCTTCAGCTTGCCTTTCCCCGTCGGCGGTATGAATTCGGTCGGACTGAATAATCGTGTTGACCGAAGATCAGCATAAAACTGTGGCAGAGATAAGAAACAGCATGAATATGATGACAACAACTACCAACCGTTTTGGCTGGCCCTAGAATCTTCTGTAGTTCCGGTTCGGCATAACCAAGCTCCCTTCCATCGTAGAGGAAGTAGTGTCTGCCGAAAATGTCGTTGGCTACCTTGGTTTGCAAATGATGAACATATTCTCGCTTCTTCACAAAATTCTTTCCCTCGTTGAAGTCGGGATTGAAGTCTGGACACGTAGCCGTTGAGGATGGGAATGCTAATATGGAAGGAGCATTGACACACACCAACTAGGCAAGTTCAGAGAACAAGACTCAGGTTGACGGCATTTGGCGATTACTCACCTCTATATTGCGCGTATGCAACGGAGGGCAGCCTGGGAACAATATGAGAACCAGAGACCATCTTGAAAGTGGGATACCAACTTGAGCAGAGGGAATGAGTTCGTGATGACCTTAACCTCTGTGAAGGTCTCTCTCGACATTGTTCAATGGTCCTACTCCTGCTTTTCTTTAGTCAAATGATGAGATGGGTCGATTTGCGCGACCTGTTGGAAGAATGAAGTTGTATTGTGTTCGACCGCGAAGTTAGGTAGGAATGCGAGATAATCGATGAGATAAGGCAAAAGAAGCCACGGTCCAAGCGACAAGGTTCACGGTCAGATTTCGCTTCCAGACTGACGATATTAAATGGCGCCAGCCAGTGTGAGCGTTGCTGGTGAACGTTGTGGTTTGAGGGAAACCTGGGGACTGCGCGATCATTGATTGGCCCCGAATAAATACCCGCGACGCGTGTTTGCACGGTGCACTGTTTGGTCCGCGACTTTGACTTGGTTTCGAACCACGATGGCTGCGACGTTTTACCCACTGGCTTCGCTCTCCCAAATCGAAAAGACACCCTCCAGGGAAGATGGGATCCCTGCAGAACTTGAAGAGGATCTGAGAGCTTACGGATGTAAACTTATCCATCAAGCTGGCATTTTATTGCGGCAGTAGGCATTCAACACTGTTTCTTTTCGCTAGGCTTCGTCGCTGATTCACAACCTTGGACCAGAAAACAAGTGGCGGTTGCGACTGCTCAAATCCTCTTCCAGCGCTTTTGGTTTGTCACTTCCATGAGACAATTTGGTGTTGGGGTCAGTAGCCAACCTATCGCGACGATAACTTTACGAAACGCGACTTGCTTCTTCTTTCCAAGGACATTGGCATGGGTGCGCTGTACCTCTCGTCGAAACTGGAAGAGTGTCCTCTACGAATGAGGGACATCATCAATGTCTACGACTTGCTCTTGCAAAGGGCTACGCACTCTATAAGCCCCAAGGGAAAGTCTGGGCAAGAGTTTGTTTACCATCCAATGTCATACTTTGGCGACACATTCTATCAACTCAAGGAGGCGCTCGTCGTTGCAGAGATGCAAATACTGAAGAGGCTGGGCTTCAATGTACATGTTACCCTGCCTTATAATACCCTCATAAACTATCTGAGGCTACTCGGCCTTGGCCAAAACTCTGAACTATGTACCAAGGCTTGGGGGTATCTCAACGATGCGTGCGTTCTCATCCTTACCTTCACGACACCACTTTCTCACTGTCCTTCAGCTTGCAAACGCCGGTTTATGCCATCTACCAGATTCCCACCATCGTCTGCGCTGCCATCGTTCTTTCGACAAGACACTTGAACATCCCTCTGCCAACCAGTCCACCATGGTGGGAACTCTTTGACGCTCACTGGGACGACATCTGGAGTGTCTGTGGCTACGTGATGCGGCTGTATCGACCGAGGGAGACTCCGAATGTAGCCGAAGCCTTGGTAACCAAAAAGGACGTACGTCAATGGTTAGATGACCATGGGATCTCTCCTAATGCAAGCTAGATTATTGTGCGAGTAAATGTAGTTCTTGTAACTAAAAGCAACCTTTTTATTTACCTGGGGGTTACCACCGCCGAATAGGGGCCGATCACTGAGATATTCCACGTGATCTCCGGGTATGCTGGCGGATTTTGGTCGTCGGAAATGTAGAGGCTAACGCTTGCTCCATACACCTAGTAATGCTCGACCACTGTTCAATATCACATAAAGGTAACAGTGAACAGAAACTTATGGCTACAAATCTAATCAGTTCTACAGGAGGAATAGTCCTTTGGTCGAGGTCATTTACCCCCGACGCCGCCCAACTCGCATCATCGTCTGCCTCACCTGTCAACTCACTCATTCGAGAGGCTCTAATCGAGGGTCGGACAGCAGAGGAAAAGTACGAAAAGGATGGATACGCCGTTAGATGGACATTCGTAAACGATCTGGAACTTATATTTGTGGTATGTGCTCTCTTCACTGGCATTCGAAACACCCGGGTAACTCAATACAATCGTACAGGTCGCGTACCAGCGTATCCTACAGCTAACATACGTCGACGACCTTTTGAGCGCCATCAAGACCCTCTTTATCAAATACTTTGAACCGTTCATTGCTGCATTCGTTGCCTCTTTGCATGCTATCAATACAGCACGGGCTGCTGCCGTGCAAACGACCTCTTGGGACTTCAGCAAGGCGTTCGAGGGATGGGACAACATCTTTGACAAGGTTCTTCGTGGTTTCGAAGAGAAGGCTGCTTTGGTATGCGTTCCCGATGGTTTAATTGGCACTGTCTTAACCGTACACAGGAGCGTAAGTCGCGACTCCGAGCGCCCGTCCGGCCAGTTGAGGACCTGAGCACTCCGCCCTCGGATGACCAGGGAACGGGTAATTGGGTCTCCTATCCGCTCAATTTGTTCGTACTGAAGATTGTGCAGAACCCACTGTGACAGCCGATACCTCACAGGACGAGCAGCAAATCGCAAGGAATGTTCAAGCCTTGAAGAACAGACTCCGGGGGCGAGGCGGTCGTCGTGGTGGCAGAGGAGGTGGACGTTCGGACGCCGGAAGTGGCAGGGACAGCGTCCCCCACTCCGAGTAAGTTATTACTGTTTACCGCGGTTAGATTTCCCTCTCGTTTCTAACTCCACATCCAGCTCCGAATTCACTCCAAAGCGCAAAACCAAAACGAAAGCACAACGAAAATGGGGCGACGAGGTTCCTACAGAGTCCGACATGGCATCGTTGGACTTCAGTATCGATAAGCCTGAAGACAGCGAGGTCGGATCGCATGACCTCCAATCACTTGTCGATCAGGCTTCGTTGGGAACTCGAACACGAGATGGGATGTATGAAGTTAAAGACTGGGAATTCTCTACGAACGACAAGGATACCGACAACGCCATCGCTAATGTACTGAGGCCGATCGAACACAAAGCTGCTTCGACCTCTGCATTGGGCTCTCTGTTCGCGCGTTTGACTGGATCCAAGGTGTTGACAGAGGCTGATTTGAAACCCGTGTTGGAGGGAATGAAGCAACACTTGATGAAGAAAAATGTCGCCATGGATATTGCAGAGAAGGTCTGTGAAGGCGTTGGAGAGACGCTAGTGGGGAAGAAGATCGGAAGTTTCCAGAGTAAGTCTACCGTATCGTTTTGATATGGGGATAGGCTAAAGAAGTCCGCTTGTAGCTGTCACCGCTGCTGTTCGAGTGGCCCTGTCAAATTCTTTGACGCGGATTTTGACGCCGAAAACGTCAACAGACCTCTTGCTTTCCATCAAGAACAAACGAGCTTCGGCGTTACCTTCAGGCCAGCAACGCATGCCCTACAGCATCACCTTTGTCGGTGTGAACGGTGTTGGAAAGAGTACAAATCTTTCAAAAGTCTGTTTCTGGTTAATTCAGAATGGATTACGCGTTTTGATCGCCGCGTGCGATACCTTCAGGTGAGCCCCGCCGTTGATTTAGGACTTGAAATAAAATGTAACCGTGTGGATGTGCAGGAGCGGCGCTGTGGAGCAGCTTCGTGTACATGTGCGAAATCTTGGCATGCTAGGGGTGAATGGTGCTGGTGATAGTAAGGGTCGCGTGGAGCTCTTTGAACGGGGTTATGGCAAGGATGCGGCAGGTATCGCAAAGGAAGCCATCTTGTATGGTATGTTATTTATCCTATATCTTGCCCTAAAGCTCTCCTAACGACCTTTTCAGCCAAAGACAATGACTTCGACGTCGTCCTCATTGACACCGCTGGCCGAATGCAAGATAATGAACCCCTCATGCGGGCCCTTGCGAAGGTAACGCGCCGCCGTTCAAAACTCCTTCATCGTCGCATTGATCAGTTTCTTTCTGCAGCTGGTGGCTGTCAACAATCCTGACAAGATCATCTTTGTGGGCGAGGCATTGGTTGGGAACGAAGCCGTTGATCAGCTCACCAAATTCGATCGGGCTTTGCGCGACTTTTCTTCTGCTTCTGGTGCAGGAAAGGGTCGTGGAATTGATGGAATGTTGGTGACCAAGTGGGACACTGTCGACGATAAAGTTGGAGCAGCTCTATCCATGACCTATGTCACTGGACAACCTATCATATTCGTTGGCTGTGGTCAGGTGTGTCTCTCTCCTCGTATGATTTCATTGATCATCTAACGATGGATATATAGACGTACACTGACCTCCGGCAACTTCGCGTTGCCAATGTGGTGGGAGCAATCCTCGATAACTGAGCGCGCCTACCGATTGTCGTTTTACGATTCTCTCTCCCACCCTTCCGAGCATTTCACCTTGTGCCACTCTTGTTGTATGTACACGCCATTTAACTTATGTTGCCATGCACACTGCTGCTTTGTAGTACGCATTCCGGTATACCCGCAATTCGAGATTAAGTTGTACAGAAAAAATCCTACTATGATATCGCGACTCGAGATGGGCAGATCGAAAGATCGATTGTCAGTAAGAGGGAAGGAAACCAATGAGGCCTAGGGTATAGTAGAGCGTCCAAGTGGCGAGCATAGTAATACTAGCTAAGCTATACTAGAGGGAATCGGAGGCAAGGGTCCGTATCGACGGTACAAAAAGAAATAAGGAATGTCAGTGATCCAACCTACAAGGCGGCGGGAATTAGTGGAGACATGGGTTAGGTGAGATAGAGATAAGAGAAGGACGTGTGTAAGACGGGTGGAAGGAATGTTGACGAGAGGCTGATACAGGCGACAGCTGGCTTCGTCGGTGCGGCATCGGATCGATAGATTCGAGTTGTTTCACTTCTCAGCGATGGCAGAAGTGTCGGAAACGTCTTCAACACCGCGTTGTTCGGTTTCTTGGTCGGTAGTACCGGCAGGAGTGTGCTCCTCTGCCCTGTCGGCGTTGGCAATAGCATCTGCGGCAGTCGGTTCCTCCTGCTCTTCACTGACTGGTTCAGGAGCAAGTTCCGGGAGTGGAGTTGAATCGGCGCCTTCTTGGTGATTGGCCGGGGCAAGGTCAAGCGTTTCACTCTTTGGCGAGTTCACCGCGGATGCTTGAACAGCCTCAATGATCTCGGGGGGAGTGACCACTTTGTCGACCTCAATTATCTCGTGCACAATCTCGACGTTGTCTTGTGTCACGGGAGCGGCGGTCTCAACTTGAACAACCGGCGTGGGCTCCGCGACAGCTGATTCCTCGGCTGGAGTGTTTAAAGTGGCTGGATCTTCAGGAGCTGAAGTCGTGGCGACAGCGGGCGTTTCTTCCTCTCGGGTAGGAACAGGCTCTGGCTCCGCGGGTTGATCTTCGGTCGAAACAGGTGCTCGGAGTTCAATTTCCTCGACAGCAGGTCCAGGGACGGGTACCTCTGCATCAGGAGTGTTGTCGGCGGGGGCGTCGTCCTTAGCTTCGTCGATGGCAACAGGCTCTGAAGGCTCGGCTTCTTTGATGATAGTCTCCTCCACCACTTTGGAAGCATGAGTCGCTTCAGGTTCATGCTGAGTCGCAGGGGCCCCCGCTTGAGCCCCTAAAACATCAGCGGTGGTGACTTGCGCTTCGGTCGGAACGGGAAGAGGTTCCTCCTTCAACTCTACATTAGAGACGATGGCGTCCTCCTTGGCCTCACCTTCACGCTGAGTAGCGACGGCGACGGCACCGGCACCCGCGACAGCAGCAGCAGCAGTGACTGCAGCTACTTTATCCTCTTTGTTGTCATCCTTCTTGTCGGCGTCAGTCGGGGGAGTAGTGTCGACGGATTTGGGAGCAGTGTCAGCAGACTTGCGCGGCTTAGGGGAAGGCACCCTAACCTTAATGAAGCTTTCGCGCTTCTTGCCCCTAGCCGTGTTCGAGGTAGACGCTCTGGACAGAGGTTGGCCTTGACTGCCCTCTTCCAAGACCTCGCCCATTTCCCCTACAGGACCCCCGAAGTTCTTATCCTTGCCTTCTTTCCTGCTCTTGGTCGACAACAGCGAGTTGGAGCGTGAGGACCAGAATGCGAAGCGCTTCTTGGTGATGGAGGAGGGTGCTGGAGAACTGGAACGTTCGGCAAGCGTTGTGGCCTCAGGAATAGGAGGTGGTGGTGGAGGCTTTACAGCGAATGCTTGTTCCAAGACGAGCCATTTGAGGTTCTTGTCGCCCTCCTCTCCGTAAGGAAGTTGGGAAGTCAACGCAGGTCGCAGCTTGCAGACCACGAAAGATGGCCAGCTCGCTGAGACGGGGTCGAGAAGCGCATCGCTCCAGAAATCAACAAATGCCTCGTCGAGTTGCACGATTTGGATACCGGCAATCTTGGACTCGAGCTTCAGCTCGTCCTTCAAGCTCGATCCGCTGGGCTCCTTTCGAAGCTCGACCCGGGATCCGTTCGGGGAGGAAGGTTTACCGGATGTAGATGATTTAAGGGCGTCATCGGTGTTGAAAAGAGTGTTCGCGAGAGGGGTAAGAGGGGTGGAGGAACTGCTGAATCCGGCGCTTGAAAACACGCTCCAGTCAGCGGTGAGAGGACTTGTCTCTGTAGCCGCGCTTTGGGCAGCAGTGGTGCGATTGCCGTCAGTGGTGAACTCGCTGAGAGAGAAAGAAGGGCGCCTGCCGCCGGAAGAGGGAAGAGCGAGCAGTGAATGAGCGGGGGATTGCTTTGCTTTGTCCTCCGCTGCTTCATCTCCCGCAAGAGTGAGGATTCGGATGGTATCGTCAGTGAAAATGCGAGTTAGCGGTGATCCACTGCCTTCAGCTTTGGAAGCCACCACAATCTTTGACCACAATGCAGCGTGGTCACCTTCTTCTGCCGTACATGATAAGGCCTCAGCGACGATGCGCAGAGGTTGGAGCTTGGATTTGGGACGGTCGATCTCTGTCGGAAGTTCGGTTTCAACGCGTACAAAAAGTGCATCATACACCTGTGTCGTAAACTGCGGTCGAGACAGTAGTCGAACATCGGTGGTGGGAGAATGATTTGTGGTGTACGGATATCGGTGAACAAGCTCGAGCAAGCGAATGGGAATTCGTTGTTCTGCTGCTTGGTCACTGGGAACGTGATCAGTGGCGTTTCGAGGAACAAGACGCTCGACTCACCGAATGCTGGCAAGGAACAAGTGTTCCAGCTGGCGCCCAGAATGCTCCCAGCGTTCATAGAAGGATTTCCAGTCGTCCTTGGGTTCAACGCGGTTCGTGGACAACAGCCAAAGACCAAACATCTTGGATAGTTTTCCCCCTGATGTGCTATTGGTCTCGGCGTGCGAGGCAAGGGATGAGAATATTTCGAAGACTTCCTTCAGGAGATCATAATTCGAGGCTGGTACGAGGGGTGCCAATTTCTCTGAGAATGCCTTGGGAGGATATTCGGCATTGCGTTCCGAGTCGAAGAAAGTGTTGTACCACTCCTTCTCCTTTCCGAAGCTGCCACCTTCTAGCTGAAGGTGGCGCAATCCCCAACGGAGGACAGCGGCAACGTCGTGGGGAGAATGGGTGGTGGAAATTTCGGATTCAAATGAAGGGACTGAAGATGGTGTCTGCGTGGATAATGAATGAATGAAAAGGGAGATTAATCTCCGTTGGATGTCTTGGGAAGCCGAATACCAATGAGGGTGCATAATCCCGAGGGTGTCGACTCCTGATGGAATGCATGAGCATCGAACATAAGGAGATGTGGGTGGTCACTAACCTCGAAGAGTTATGGCTTGCGAGCATGTCCGTACGAGCCCCGCTGCCTCGACTGGTGTCAACTTGCGGTCACCGAGAGCCTTGTTGGACAAGAGAACAGCAGAATCATCCAAGACCGCTGTTGGCTCGGAGCCAGCGTCGTTCAGGAGATCCAGCGATAGGAAAGACACTGGTGCGTCTTCCGACTTTCTCTTGCGCTCTGACGGCGAGGGAGCGCGCGATTTAGACCTGAAAAAGGTCCTCAACGCACGATCCTTGTCCTTGGTCGCCTCTCGCCCCCTGCCTCTCTGTTGTCCATTGTCGTCCGGGAAGTTTGGGGTGCTTGGTGAATCGTCTTCTCGCCTGGCGCCTTTAGCTTCGGGTTCTGACCGCTTTGAGGCTGAGGACCCTTCCCTGTCATCGCGTTTACGTCTCAAAACTTTGGATAAAAAGGAGGGCATGGCGGGCCGGATGCGGGGACCAATGCTATGAAACAGGTCAAACAGAAGGATCTCGGGGGAACATGGAAACCATACGCACGAAACGGGTTGAAAAGTCGACCAACAACGACCGTCGGTTGTAATCCTCCTCTCGTTGGCACAACACTGGTCGCTTCACTCAACACGTGGGACCATATTTTGCCATTCTCTTACCTCCGAATCTCGTGATCCGGCTGCCGGTCTAGCCTCCGCTCCAACTCCGACCCAGCGCTTACCGACACGTAGCCCAGGCGCTTACACGAACAACCCCAATTGCGTGTTGAGACTGCCACTCAATGTATAATTCGGTGACTAAGGGTATATAAGCTCAAGCTTTGTCGCGGAAAGGAAGTTGGTAGTTTCCCTGGGTATAACCTGGCACCTGTTCCTCACCGACCAGTCCATCATACCGTATGGGCGAGTAAGGACTTTGAGCATGCAGCATGGCCGAATTTCCATATCTCTGCATAAACTCTGCGGATGGCGGAACACGACTTCTCCGAACTCGTCGTCGATAAACCAGAAACGCAGCAATCAAAAGTCCAATGAGAGCAAGAGCGCCCAAGACTCCACCCACAATTGCGCCCGTATTGCTTGAACCTGATTTCGCACCACCCACTGAGCCTGGTGCGTTGGCAGTCTCGTCTCCCCCGCCGCTCGACCCGGATGTTGGGAAAAGGATGCCGTCGAGAGCAGTGCTTGTAACATCTGCCTTGCTTGCTCCAGCGACCGAGCCTTGTCTGTGAGTCGGCTCTGAGGGCGGGCTCCCAGCTGTCGACGTGTTTCCGTCGTGACTTCCCGTATTCGTCCCAAAAACTGGAAGGGGCCGACCCTCGCCTTCGGATTCCTCCGGTGAGCTTGCGTCCTCTACGGACTCGGAGGGTAAGTTGTTCTGAAGAACAGTGGGATATCAATCTGCTGCCCCCTCTTTTTCCATCTCTGGACTCACCGAGGTTTCTGACGGAGGTTCACTCGAGTCACGAGAAGGCGTGCCCGCAGGTGGGTCCTCAGAGTTATCTCCGGTCGCTGGCGGAGGTACAACAGGTTCCTGGGGAGATGGTGAAGCAGGAGGTCTCGTCGGGGTAGGAGTTTCGGCTGTCGACGAACGGGTGGAGCTTTTATTCCCTCTCGTACTTGTAGCCGGTGCTGTGGGGGATGGCGCAGGCACTGGAGTACCCCTCCCTGAAGTCTTTGGTGGCGACTCGGGTGTCCGTGTCGGCGGGGGCATCGGGAGGAACGGATTGCAGCGCCAATTCTGTACCACCTCTAGCCCTTTCAAGAATGTCTAAAAACATATCCGTGGTATAGGATCATGTGCTAATCGACGTACAGGATAATCCGCGGCAGAACTCGTGGTCAATCCCTCTGTGTTGACGGGATTCAACATTGCTATCGACTTTGTCCACTGGCTGTCGAGGCAAGGTATGTATTGGGCATTCAACAACAACGCGGCCGCAACTCACCGAGGGCCCTCTCGACAGCAAGCTACCATGGGAAGGATTAGCGTTTAGCTGGGGTAGCCGGACCATGGCCACAGCTGAGACAGCACGATAGGTGGATTTAGATAAGTGCGCTCAGATGGATGGGCACATAAATACTTATGTTCAAAGGAGTGTGCGGGGTTGAATTCGAAAGGACCGTCACGGCCGCGCCCAGACGTAGAGCGATTGGCAAGGGGAAGGAAATCGGTGGGTGTTTTACCGTGTCGCATTCGCCGATATATACATGAATCCTGGCACAAAAGGTAAGACAGGACCATCATGGCGGACGGTGATGATCACGAAAGATGGAATCCCAGTCTTTGGGAAACGAAGCACGTACGGGCGCTCATTATTGAATGGAATCTATTGTACTCCTCTATCTTTAGCTCAGCCAGCCGAAAGGCTGTGGTGACGACGGTTACTTACCTCAGGCTGTGTATGCAGATCCGTGGGCGACTCCGATTGTCTCGCTCGTAAGTGTCTACCATCGGATTTTCGATTGGAGGAACATGAAGACCGGTCGCCCACCTGGGTGGGACAGCTTGGGGGATCTGTTGATTGGAACGAGCGGTTTTACTGCCCAACCTACAATACATGTAGGCAAAGACTGTTCTCTGGCCAGGCCTACAAAAATTAACGACCCTGTATACGTTTTGGATCTCCTCGTCAGACATAATCAGATGTGGGTCACGGTGGGTGCAGTGTGGGGTCCTTAGAGCATACAAACGAAGTATGCGTACTCTAAAATTGTGGACTTCATGGATTTTACGCCCAGGAGAGCCGGAGATGCAGTATAATAGAGCACCAGGATCCCCTCGTGTGCAGACTGGACACAAGCCACTTATCATGTTCGGATGTTGCCGTGGCCTGGGGGTTGACAGCCGCCTCCCATTTGGGCGTCTGATGGGCGCTAGCTATTATAATAGACCATCATCTGGAGCAAGAAAGGTCAATGTTGGCTGTGGGCAGGTCATTAGATAAAGAGAGCTCAGATACGTGACTATGAACACTGAACACCGCAAGAAATACTTGTCGGTGATACCCCTGACAGCCCAGACTCCGAGTCAGGTCGAAGTCAACGTTGAAGGAAGTGCGACCCTGCCTGCCGTAATTCTGCACTCGCCAAAGGTCTTGAAGAAGTAATATGGGAGTAGAGCAGTAGAATAGTATCTACTACTCTCAGCATCTTGGAAGCGCCGTCAACGCGTCAGAAAGTTGCCGTGGGACCAATATTATAATCGACGTCACCGGAAAGAAACCCGGCGACTGCAGCTTATCCAACCCCTCACATGTTACAGTCAGTCTCCAGAACTTTCCACCACCATCTTCGACTCCAGAACTACAGGAAATCGTCCTTCTCGTCCACTGCCTATAGAAATATGAAGATCGTCCCAGTCCCTGTCCGCGAGGACAATTACGCCTACCTCCTCATCGACGAGCCTTCGAATAAGGCTGCTGCTGTTGACATCTACGATGTGCCCAAGGTGACGGAGAAGGCAAAGGAGCTAGGGGTTGAAATCGTTGCAGCGATTACCACGCATCATCACTACGACCATGCTGGAGGGAATAAGGTGTGTTCTGGTGGGCTACAGGTTCGAGAGCGTGGCTAATGATAAGGCTAACTACAACAGGCATTTGTAAGTGGCTTCTATTGGCTGGTGAGGGATGAGGTTGGTTGAACATTGAAATAGGCCCAGCTATACCCTGGTGCACCGATTTATGGAGGGAGTGACCAGGTGGCTGCAGTGAACAAGATCGTCAAGGACAACGAAACCTTCACGTTCGGTGATAACATTACAGTCCGGTACGTCCAACAGAGTTCTAATCCATGACCATGCGACGCCAATACCGTCACTGTAGCTGCCTCGCTACTCCATGCCACACCCGAGATTCCATCTGCTTCCATGTAACCGATGCAGTCAACAAAAACCACCCAGGAGGCGTGTTCACAGGGGACACCCTCTTCATCGGTGGTTGCGGCAGATTCTTCGAAGGCTCGGCAGAAGAGATGGTTCAGGCCCTTAACTATCTGAGAACTCTCCCTGACGAAACTATCGTTTACAATGGCCACGAATACACCGCTTCCAACCTCGCGTTTGGGAAACATATCGAACCTGACAGTCCCGGAATCGAAAAGCTGACGGAATTGGTGGAGAAGAATAAGATCACGACCGGATTGACAACTATTGGGGACGAGAAGAGGTGGAATGTGTTCATGAGGTTGGGGGTTGAAGCCGTTAGGTGCGTTTCTTTTCGGTCTGGGTGTGTGGTGGAACCAGGACGGAACTGACTCTGGGTTCCATGTTCTAGGAAGGCAACTTCTGCAAACGATGACACGCCAGACGCTGTGGTTATGGATTCCCTGCGAAACCAAAAGAACACGTACAAAGGTTGATCCACTCTCGATCCTCTTCCTTCAACACACATCGTACTCAATCCCACCCTCCGTCTTCCAAACTGTGAAGCCGCGCTATAACGAGAACCAAGCTGCCGTTCGTAAAGCGAAATTCAGATACATGTATATTATTAGTTCGAGAATATCCAATCGCGCCCTTTTGCCACCGAATCGAAAAAGAGGATTCTCTTGAAGTGAGATTAACCGAGGCCCACAGCTTTGGATACTGCGGCGCGCGCGTATGGGATGTATGAGAGAGTGTACCAGATGTAGGCCAGGTACTGAACAAAGACGAGAACTGTAGATGGGACATGAGTGGAGGAATGGATGAGTGAACGGACAACAGGTACCGAGGCAAAGAATCTGGAAGTGGGGATACAGTGTCAGTACTGCGTCGCCGATTGTGAAGAGAAAAGACCCTACATCACTGCCAATTACGAATGCGCCGACAAAGACGAGACCGATCGATGCGAGGAAGATGATCGTGGCCACTACTCGCACAGGTTTGAACATCTGTAGTGGATGAGGAACGTCCATTACTGTGTTGCTTGATTGGAGACTAGTGAATGGGACATACGAGCTTCAGTTGATTGAAGAACTGCACAGACATACAATCAGCTATGGTAATGGAGAAGTGAAGAGATTTCGCGCACCCCAATGATAAATCCTGTTCCCAACAACGACACAAGCGTTCCAAGACCAAAGAAGACTGCCAAGTGGTCCTTAGGATTGGTGAAAAGGCCTGGCGGGAGACATTGAGAACGCACCAGCAAAAACGACAACATTCCCTCCAAAGAGCAGGATAGCGCCCACCAAACTCAGCACAAAACCGAACAAAAGGCTGTTTTTTTGTTTCATTGTTCATGGCATTGACGAAGGATGGTTGAGCATTCCAGGCAAATGCGCGGGTCAGTTTCATCGAGCATGTCGCGCAGTTCTGAAAGCAGACGCACCATCCGAGGAAGCCATAGATACGCGTCTTTTTCGAAAGATTCAAGAATTTGAAGGCTGGCTCCCCTTCAGAGAAAGCAGAGTCGGGAATCACGTTCGTCGCTGCCTCGAGGTTAACCCAGCCTGGTGCCATTATGGTAGATAGTTGCTTTGCCGTTCAGGGTAGGCGTTATTACAGAATTGAACAATGTGAGTGGGCTTTAGTACAATTGTTTCGAGGTTGGGCCCAAGAGGGTTATAGGAAGCTGATCCTGCAGCAGAGGATGGTGAAAGACAAGAATTGCTGCGACGGATGTGTTGTTGCTGCAACCAAAGTGTCGTTCGAGAGCGCGATCAAATAATCGTGATGCCAAGCCTTGGCCCCTATCCAATTCTCCGTTACTCTACACCAGTGCAGGTTGGCTTCGACAAACCGCCTGTCAGCCCTGCATACTCAACATGGCATTGGCAAGTACGATATCGAAGACCCCAATGTCATCTACACTTAGATTTCCACACTTTAGCTTCTCTGCTTGATATCTTAGTATCTATTCAATCCGAATACATGGTGGCTAGAGTAAAATTACAACATCCAAAACGGTCCATAGTGCGAGATGACTCGGATAAATGCCGACAATATACTTATACAAGATAATTTATTCAGATGAACGAGGACTGTGCCTCTGTGCCTGCCAGAGTCTGGGTTTCCCTTGAACTCGGATGTCTTCGAAAGGCGCGGGTTGTGTAAGTTTGACGCAGTCTCTCGTTCCAAGGACAAGAAGCTCAAAGAAGAATGACGCAGCTGCGCGACGGGTTGCCTATAAAGGAGCGTGAATGGGTGGTTGGTTTGATGTGACCAGGCACCAAGCTTACCTTCGTAGCCATCGCGTTGAAGCTCATAGTGACATCCTCCACATCATCGGTTGGCTGCAGCTCCTTGCGAACGAAACCCAGTGCTTTCACTGTGTTCTTGCTGAATCCTTTGGCGTCTGCTTCTTGGGCCTCTTCCTGCGCTTGTGTCGGAGGTTGGCGTCGATCGAACATGGCAATGGGACAGCTTGAGTCTATGTAACCTCCCTCTCCCTCCCATCCCTCAGCCCCAGGTGTAGACAATCTGCTTCGGACGCTAGGAGCGACTGAGACAGACCTGGACCTCCCCAGTTCAAAGTCGACGTTGCCGTATCCATCTTCGTTGGGAAGGTCCAGCTGATACTCGTCCAAGCCCCCCGTTTGGTCCCCGAAGTCGAAGTCTCCAGTTAGGTTGTGGTCTTCCCCGCCCTTGTCAGTAAGCCCAGCAATGCTTGGAGCCAGGCTCACTCCCCGTCGACCTGCCTCCACTTCGTCCTCGTCGAGCCTGATACGTTTGCTACCATCAGGAGCAACCGAAGCGTATCGTCGCTTCTGACCAGACGACTCGAGAGGACGGAGGAAAAGTTCAGCCAGTTCAGGTGCTAATCCTGGGGGCCCGGCCGAGAGGAAGAGGTCATTGTTGATGGTTTTGGTAGGAAGGAAATGGGGTAGGGGATCGTCTCCAATGGCAAACAGTTTCATTTCCAGTGCTGTGCGGGGAAGGAAGCGCTGTTCAGTGACGATATTACTAACATCCTTGAAAGGGCCGTCCCCTTGAGATGCGAACCCGGGGCCATCTGCCATCTCTGTCACCGAGTCGATGATTTGCTTCCTTTCCCTGGGCTTCCTAACGGGTTTCGGTTCAACGTTGGTATCCGGCAGGGGATTGTCATCTGCAGCTGGGGTATCTGGAAGTTCTGTTAAGGGAGAGGCTACCAAAAGGCAAGTCAGCACAAGGTCTTGCTGGTACACAATTGACACTCACATGCCCGACTTGAAGACGGTTGGTCGCCATTCAGAGGAACATCAACGGGTTGGTCGAATCCAATACCCAGGTCACCCAAATCCATTCCACCAAAGTCGGGGAAGTCCATGTCCATTTGAGACTGGAAAGGTGGCTCTGACGGGTCACGACTCAAGCTGCGAATCGATTGCATGTCGAGGTCGATTCCTTTGGAAATGCCGTTGAGATGAAAACTACGCATGCTGTGAACGCTTGCAGCATCTCGCCCAACGCCAATACTTTCATGGTCGACACTCATCCCGTCTTCATTCTCCCGGGCGGGTGCCCCATCCCAGTCAATACCAAGGTCAATATCTTGGAAGTCTTGAGACCCAATACCGTCGGAAGGCCCAATGTCAAAGTTGTCAAAGGTTCCGAAGTGATCGAGTCCATTGGTCAGAGGAAGGGTGATATCTTCAATTTGTGCTTGGTGGTGCCCAGAGTCGCGAAGTGGACGGTCGATGAATCCCATGTCCCTTTCGAAAGGCGATTTGTCAGGACGATTTAAGAGTGGTTTTGGGCACGACTTACCAATTGTCGTCTGGAAGCACTAGATTAACATCAATTGTGTTAGCTTGCAAGGTAATGGTCGTTGTGTTGACGTTCAGTTGGTCTTCGGTGAGGTCAACGACGCCGGGTCGAAAAGCCTGGGATCGTTCAGCACACTTGAAGAAACGCGACGAGGGGGAAACCTGCCATCTTAATTTTCACCAGGGCATCATTGCAGTCATCCAATAGATATTTTGCCTTTCGACTGTAGATGCGAACCACGCCGAGCAAGAGTTGTCCGCTAAGGCGCAGGGCCATGACTTCAATGTCTTCCCCTTTAATGGCGTCTATCGAAAGATTCAGTTATCTGGACGTTGTTATTACCAGAGGCACCACGCACCAACTGACTGCTCAATGTCAGTCTGCAGCGTCTGCGCTTTGGAAAGCTTGCGCTCCATATGAGCGGCGAGCCATACGCGTCCAAGAGGACCGCGCCTCGAAAGAATGGCTTCAGCGTAGAACTAGAGAAATAAAGAGTTATTAGATCAATTGTACGAGCCAGGGCCTCTTTCCTCACCATTTCGACCCGCTGAGCACGTAGTTTGAAATCAAGAAAACGCGTCCAGGAACTGGCTGCAATTTCCGTCAGAGAGCGCGTCAAATCTCCCACGTGATCGATGCCTTTCGAACTCCGCGTGTCAGTATACTCACTAGTCAGGCTGTCAGTGTCAGATTCAGAAGGAAGGCGATGAAGCGCGCAGATAGATAAAGTGCCATTGTGGTTTTCTAGAGTTTAATGGTAGTAAAAAAGCGACAGTTACACCGATAGCTAGTAACCAGGGAAGAAAATAGGAAGAGGAGGAAAGCAAAGAGCCAACGGTAGAAAGTCCGAGAAACGGGCTGGGGTAGCAGTAGTTTAGGTTTTTTTCATGGTAAGTAGAGGGTTGTGTAAGCGGGAGTTGTTTTTGTTATGCGAAGTGTAAAGTAGGAATGTCGAAGGATTTTTTCCAAGGTCAAGAATGGTACCCAGATGTACAGGAGTCGGAAGAAGGAGCGACAGATCGAGGCAGGGGTCGTAACAAGGTCGTGAACGGGTCGTAACGATATGAATGTTTTTCTGTATTCCAGTAGTGTCAGAGCGTCGTCATCATGGTTATAGAGTTATGTTCATGGGTTTGTTCGTTTGTTCGAGGTGAGTTCGTTCGCAATCTGAAAATGAGGCGGGTTCGAGAGTTAGAGCGAGGATGTCCCAGGTCCGCCTTTTCTGCGGAGAGTCTCGTGGATATCCGACAAGGTGCGAGCTGTTTCCATAGTCGAGGGCCCTCCGCCAGGAAGGATGGTCAATCGCTGCTTCGTCGTGTTAATAAGCTGCCTAACGTTAGGTACGACTCGTGGAATGAAGTCGGTAATTAGAGGATCCTTAAAGAGATTATCAGTATTCAGTGGACAGCGCCATGTAACTGGATGTAGTACGAACGTCGGGACGAAGGACGGCAACAGCTCGCTGCAACCACCACAATGCAGATTTGAACCACTCATCATTAGGTGGAGAGTCGGCAACGATTGAAGACAACTAAAAAAGGCGATCAGCTTTCGAGTCGTGATGGATAAGGACGCGAACATACTCGATGAACAAGGGTCAGAACGACTGCTTGTGATACGAGAGGCTGCCCATTGAGGGGCATGATGAGGTCAGGATTGGTGTGGCCCAAAAGATCGCGAAGCTTGTCTACGTCCTGGGTGTGCAAAACTCCAAGGTAGATCTCGTCCCACTGGTCGGCCTTGATGGGCGGGGTGCGCTCCGGTTGGGGCTGAGGCAGAGGCTGGGGGATGGTGGCAGGATGGGAGGCTTGAGGAGCTGCGATACCGAACCATGGCTGATGGACAGGTCCAGGGGCAGGCTGTGGCTGTGGCGGAGGAACAGGCTGGTAGACCTGATGAGGGTGAGGGTGTGAATAGGGCTGGGGCTGTGGGTTGGGGCCGGATACCGGCGCTTGTCGATGAGCTTGCTGACCAATGCCAGGTTGAATCGATCCTGCTGGTGATCCTTGAGAAGGTTGTGGGCCTTGCAGATGGTGATGAGAGGACGAGGGCGGGTTCACCGGGTTCATGGACAAGAACTTGACTTGGTCCGACAATGACCGTACAGTGAGCTCGAGGTCGCGAAGCGAACTCTACAGGATCGTTAGCGAGGATGCGAAGGTGATATTCGTTCAGCAACACCCACCTCATGTCCACGGAGGGCGTCGTTCTTCCAAGCGTTCAGTTCCGATTTCAGACCATTGATTTCGCCCCGAACCTCCCTGATGAGCTCTTGGTGCAAGGAGGAGGCCTGTTGAGAGAATACAGGGACAAACGCCTTCACAACAGCATCCTTGACCTGACGTTCAATGAGCGGCGTCAAGTTGGCCGAGATTACGTGGGCGAAGTGGTTGCTAATGTCAGGTCTTGTGAACAACTTCTCGATTTCGATAGGCAAGCTCTGGACAGCAGTGAGCAAAAGTGGCAAGGCATAGCGACGAAGTACACACCTGGTTAATGACATCAACCAGTCCCCGGCCAACCTGCTCGTTGAGCGCCGTCTTGACCTCGTTCTTGGTGATGTTCTCGAGCGATGGCAAGACAGAGTTCTGTACTTCGCTCTTGACGGCCATCTCGACGACCCTTGTAGTATTGCGAGTGAGCTCCGTGGAGATGAGCTTCAGGATCTTTTCCTGGCGCGCAAAGTCCTCGGCTTGTTCGTGGGCTCTAGCATCCTCCAAACGTTGGTCTACGAAGGCGATAAGCAAGGGATACAGTGGAAAATAACAAGAATCCTCCTACGTTGTTTGTCCATCTCCTTAGAGATAAGTCGGCTGATGCGGTTGTGAAGGCTGTCCTCAGTCTTTTTCATCTCCTTGGACAACACTTGACTGAGTTGTGGATCAGTGATGAGTGTGCTGTCGCTCGATTTGGCGCCTTTATCCTTGTGACCACCGCCCACGGCACTGTGGTTGTCCTTGCCATCATCCTTCTCTTTCCAGTTAACATTCTTTGACTTGTTGGCCTTGCCCTTGCCTTCGTTGGCGCGAGCCTCTTCTCCCCTGTTATTGAAGTCGTCTTCCTGTTGATCGGTAGGTGGGGTGCGGCCCCGGGGAGGTGGGAAGATGCCAGAATTGGGGGCAGAAGGAATGTTGATGGGTACTTGAGAGGGAGCTCCCGTGGGAGGAATGGGGAGCGGTCCGCGAGATGGCTTGGTGGCGGTAATAGAGGAGTCGGTCGGCGAGGGAATGCGTGCAACAGGTGGAGGGAGCTCGATAGCAGGGTATCGCGCGCCCGCTGTCATGAGTGCGGAGTCGAACCACTCCTTGCGAATGAGAACTTGATCTACACCACTCGAGTGTACAGAGAAAGCTACCAACGCCAATTCTCCAGGAGGAAGCTTCGCAGCGATGCAAGCAGCGTGGGCTTCATCACCATGAGGATCGGAATCGCCGGTGAGGATGACAAAGTGAATGGTGGCCTTGGGACCCGTGAACTCTACGACCTGCTCAAATTGGCCGCGAACCTGTTCTTCTCCATTGACGTATGACGATTCGATGTTGAGCTTGCAGGCAATTATACTTTCGCGGCGGCTGTTCGCAATCCAGAGAGTCTGGATCCTGCTGTCGTAGTTAGCGTGGCCGAACATGTCAGGGTCTTCTTGCTGGCTATTAATAAACTTGATCGTCGACAGCACAGACTTGGTGGAATGAGCCAGCAACTGGAAGATTGTCCCGTTCCTCCTTCCAATCACAATCCCGCCGTCGACGAAGGCAAGGTAAGACGGGATGTCTTCGCCTCGAACCTTGTGAGTCGCATATGGGATAGTATCTTGGAGGTTCCACATGGTGAGCGTTGAATCCTCTGTAATGGCAGCAAGCGAATAATGAAGAGGGTCAAAGTCGAACGCGCAAATCATCTAGACATATTCCTTAAGCGCTGCTGAGCATAGAACGGGCCCGTAAAGACACTCACCGAAGGAACGCCATACATCTGCCCGATGTGGTGCAAGTCGCCATGAGGAACAGGACCTTGCAGGTTGGCGATATCGGTCAAATGGATGACATAAATTTTGCTGTCAGACGCAATGGCGAGAGTACCAGGCTCCTTTGGGTGCCACTTCACAGCACGAAGGGCATCGACAGGATTATTGGTAGGTGGTATACAGAGCAACAAGTCACCACTGCGAGAAGTGAGAAAACCGATGGTTGTATAATAAGGAAAGTACTTACGGAACATCGTCCGTGATCAGATCGGGCAGTTCCCAGAGAACAAACCCACCATCGGATGTAACACCTGCCAAACGGTTACCGTAGACAGCCATGTCGATGACACTGGTCGTGGAAGGGAAGAGATTAGGCAGTTGAAGCAAGGTGCGGTCGCCGCTCGAACGAGAGATGACGCGAACGCGACCTATCAGTAGTTTAAGCCACGTTCGTTCGTCATGCTAGTCGAATGTCCTCACCTCTGGTCATCGCATAGGCCACCCAGTGCGTCGCCCCGATGGTACTTCCTGGCAAGAAGACCGACTCTTGGCGAACCAGCGCAATGGCGGTCGACTTGACATAGTCCCGCGGGGCCTGAACGTCTTCGTTAATCTTCGCAACGTCAAAGAGAATAGTTTGTGTCTGGGGACTTAAAGGATGAATTAGATTTACGACGTAAATCAGGGGGAAACGGGACGAACACTGGGCTTGACTGGTTCTTGTTAGCGGTCTTTGTATGGTGGAAGTTCAAATTCTTGCTCCTGTTACCACTCCTAGGACCAGGTGAGCCCTCTTTATCGCGACGATTCAGGTTCGAGGCAGCCTGAACGACTTGCTGTTGGGGTGCGCGTGCTTGCGACTTGGGCGGCGAGCCTCTTGGGGAGGATGTGCGGTGGGGCGGTCCTTGAACTGGAATCTTCGGTGGAAGGGGAGGGGGAGGAATGCGAGCTTGATTGTACGGGTCTGGTTGTATGGGATAACCGTGATCATGGACATATGGCTCATACTGATTGTTCTGTGCCTGCACAGGTTGAGTTTGCAATGGAGCCCCGCGAGTCAAGGTGTCCAAAAGATTCTCCATGGACTGTCGCTTGGGATCGGTGACGTGAGTCCACGATGAATCGTCGTTGGTGCTGGAAGCGCTGGCAGACTGTGTAGGCACAGGCTTCTTCTTGATAGAACCAGTCGTAGAGGAAAGATGGTCAAAGGGAGACATGAACTCGAACATGGAGCGACGGGGCGAAGGAGGGTTCGGAAGTTGCTGAGGCATAGCCTGAGGCTGAGGTGGAGGGAGTGGGACATGTTGAGTTTGTTGGGGAGGAGAGAACTGCTGCTGCTGTTGCTGCTGGATAGCTGGAGGTGTTGGTTGGGATGGAGGCGGGGGTTGGACGACAGGTCCAGGGGCGACGGGCTGCAGCCTCGGCGACAGCTCAGACTGATCATGCTGATTGTAAGGTCGGTATTCCCCATCGCGGGGAGGAGGTGGGTTGTACGGAGGTGAAGGGGCCGACGGTGCAGGGCCGCGTTGATTGTCTGCGACGTTGGACCGAGGGACGGCACTGTGATAAAAATATGTCAGTAATGGAAATTAAGTCAAAATATTGAAGGGCAGTGAAGCGAAAGGCGATTCCCATGAGGCGAACGCGTGTCGCTTCGCATCGACCGAGTTTTTCTGAAAGGCAGAAGCAAAGGATAGAGAACGTACCTTCCCATCAGCTGCTCCAGTAAAATCTTCTGATTCTCTGTATGAGACGGGGAAGCATTGGATCGGGATGATCCTGGAGGGGTTGGGATTTGTTGAGGTTGTTGAGCGGCTTGAGCGGCTTGAGCAGGGGGCAGGCGAGCGGAAGACGAGGGTTGGTTGAGAAGAGAAAGCAAGGCACTTTGGCGCTCCTGGACTGTTGTCGCAGACGTTCCTGGAGCTGAGGCAGAAGAAGAAACTGTAGGAGGCTCGTCCGTCAAGGGCAAAGCTGGAGAGATGGGTGCAGAGACAACGGTATTGGGTTCAGGGACTGCTACGGGTGCATCCAGGCTTCCCGATTGCTGGGATTGGTGATCCTGAGGGACCATAATATGATGAAACAGAGAGTCGATTAAATCAGAAGAAGAGTTGTTGGGAGGCTGCTGGGCTGCTGGTGCCGCCGATGTCGGGTTGGGTTGATTCTGGGGAGGCGTCGAGGCCCTTGAGAATAACTCTTGCAGTCGGTTATCCATTGGAACTGTCGACATCTTGAAATTGGTGGATACTGGGCAGGAACCGACTTTGTCAAATTCCTAATGAACGAGGGAGAGGACAAAGATACACCCAGTGACTGTATTTTTTGCGCTGTACAACTCCAACACGCTCACAACACGAGGCTCGCTCGGCTAATGCCGAAACTAACTCATTACACTTTGCTGTACGCGCTTTAACAGGAGCGCATAACTCTTCAACCGCTCTCCTTTGTTTCTGGAATAGAAAGGATACGATGCTTTCAGTGACAAACACACAACGACTGTTCCTTGGTGACATCTCGTCTCGCTCGATCTTGACACCTATACTCTGTTCTTCGACTACTACAGTGCCCGTCGTCTCACTTGAAAAGCTCACCCTATGGACTGGTCTACCACTTGCACTTATTCCAGCTGTGATGGAATCCAGTGACTCGGTTGGAGTCTAAACTACAGACGTCCAATGTGGTTTATCAGGCTTTGACGTTGTGCCTGTCCAAGTTCAGAGGCCCTTCTGGCCCGAGGCTCACTACTTGAAGCTAGATTCTGTCTCAGCCCCCGGAGTGTGAACCAGGTTTAGGGTCAAGGGGTCCTGGCAAAGACGATAAATCAGTCTTGATGATGCCCCTGGATGCACTTGATCACGCCGAACCACCGAAGTGGGGGAACAGACATCTCGTCTGGCATATCGACTCATCCTGCCGTCCGAAACTCAAAATCAAATCCCCGGAATAACGAAAGGGATTTCCAAGCAATGCCTCAGCTGTGACATGATGACTCCAATGAAGCTTTATTCACCCTCTGTCTCACACGCCCTGTATTTGGCAGTGGAAAGAACACAAGGCCCACGACCCACTATGACTCTTTGGGAAGCGCTGGGGAGGCACCGGTCCCAAGTAGTTCAGTGACAGGTCCTCGTGTTGGTACGGTGGCTTTCGGCACGTTTATGGTTTGCTCTCCATACAAACTTCCCTACCTGAAGGACAGGTCACATTCGAAGGGAGCAAATACGCCCAAACACGCTGAAGGGTATAAAAGGCCTTCTCTAATCTGTAGACAAGACCTCAGAGTTATCTCTGTAACGACCAACTCACTCGCAACTATCATCATGGTACAACTGTCCGCACATCTTCTCTTCGTCCCCCATGCTGACCTTGCGCTGCAGAACCCCGTCAACTACAACAACTGCGGCTCCTCTTCCTGCGGCTGCGGCGCCAGGTTCGTCCACCGCCATTGACCGCCCGTCTTCATGTCGTTCTGACCCTTCGTCGCTTCTCCCAGCTGTGCCTGCAAGCCCGGCGAGTGCAAGTGCTAAACGTCTCACCGCCAGCGTAACCTGTGAAATAAGTCTGAACGGAATGCTGCCTTTGTAACATATGAATAACCCACAAATGCCAATCATGGATTCGTTCTGAAACACCTTCCTTCTGCTTCGGCCAGACCAACCTCTACCTGAGTTTTGAGCATGTTGAAGTGGACTGAGGGCGTCGAGCAATCGTCAGGCAACGGCATTTTTGATGGCTGGAACGCATATCTTATCAGTCAGCTGATGATCGAACATGAGAATCAAAGCAACTACGTTGCCCAATTTAACCCCGTTTAAGCACTGTAAGAAGGGAAGGCCTGCAAAATAAGCATCTTCTCCGTGCTGGGGAAACTTCTACAGGCTTCTCTGAGCCATGGGCGCCGATGGTCAGATCGAGCAGCCCTAGTTGGGGTTAGTTGTTCCTGATGGCGGTCATGTCTTCTCAAGGGCTGTCAAAGGCATTGGAGCTGGAAGGGACGGCTGTCGTTAAAAAGAGACTCGTCACACTGACAGTTTCTAGACAAGGTTGTTCCGCATGTCATTATCATGTAAAGGACCGCCGCAAACGTCAATCCGTGACAAACTGCTTTGCATTCATTGGCTATGGTCGCAACCAGTGCCAACGTCCAGGCCATGTTTGTGTGTAAAGGCACTGTCGAGCGCCGGCTCGTCCACGGCGGTTCGTTCCGGTTCCGATATCCTGACAATCAAGACGCGGCCTAGAGCAGGTGCAAAAGAGTGTGACATCAAGGTTATATGTCCAAAGAGAGATTCTGGGCCGCAATAAGTAGCAGCAGAGAATGGAGGAGACAACCGGAGCTAAAGTCAACCAAGGAGAAGTCGCTTCTTAAACTGCTTGCAAAGTTTAAATTACATGGTAGAGGCTTTTCAAGGGCAATCAGCGGTGTTAATGGAAAGGATTTCCCTATGCACGCACCTAAGTCACGATAGCGCTGCGCTCGGTATGGATCCAGTACCTCAAGTTCCTTAAGATACTTCTGACACTTCTTAAAGAGGCCAGCAGCCGCGGGATCGGACGGATACAGCTTGATGAACAGCCGTGAATAGTGGACCGTAGATTCCATACACCCTGCAGAGGTCGGTGAGTAGGTGCAGTTGCTAGAAGGTCCATATGCATACATTTACTATCAGGCTGTTCCTCCAGAAGCTCGTTGATCGCTTCTATCTCTCGCAGCAGTAAAACTTTGTCCGGATCTGAAGCAAAGGTAAGCAGGTTCGTTAGACCACAAGTATTCAAAAACCTCACTTGATCCAACCAACCACCGATGATAAACCCATACACTCTGATCTGCTGGTTCTGTATACATCGCATTCCGCACCAATTCGAATTCTGCAGCGTAGCAAACGCGCGATTAAAGCTAGCAGATAAGCAGTGTAAATGACTCTACCTGATTCTCTGGACGTCTTTTCGTCCAAAGTACCTGCTTCCCAAAGCCTTGGCAGAACCTTGGATCTCTGGTGCCAGGCGCTGAAGTTGGAAAAGTTGGCGCCTATTTTGCGAGAGGTGTATCCTAATTCACTGAGTTCGGGCCGAGGGACTGGCATACTGGCCAAGACGTAGCGTCGGTAGTCCCAGGCATGGACTGGATCAAAGGCCAATTAGATTAACTCCTGGGGTAAGATTGGAGTGTACCCACAGTTACGCGCATCGGCGTCGAGTAGCTTCTCCACGACGTACAGTTCGTTATTCCAGGCTGTATTCCTCCAGTCATTGTGAGAAGGTGTGCCTTCCTCTCCAGGCCCGAAAGGGATGTTCTCGAGGCACCATCTTCGGTGGTTCCAGATCCAGTATACTTTAGGATGTGATTTGAGCGCCGCCATGGTCATCCCTAATTCGTCGGTAAGGATTCTGTTGACTGTTTCCAGAGAGCTTTCTCAGAAGTATGTGTTAGACTCCAGTAGACATTACCGGATAGCCAAAGACATACCTAACCGTGAATAAGCCCTTGAGCAAGATATTCCTCCTATAATTCCAGATGGTGTAGAATTCGGGGTTGATATGAAGCAATCTGGTCGTCAATTTAAAAGCATCTTCAGAGTAGTCTGATTCTTTTTTCTAGAGCGATGAGTTCGCCTAGCGTTCTGCTAGCAGGGCGTTTGGTCGCCTACCCTGCGCAACAAGTCCTCTGAAAGTGCCGTAAACTCTTGGATCTTGGCTCGTTCTTTCTGTTTCCTGGCCTCGAGGGCCTCGGGAGTTTGCTTAACCCGTTTTATCCCATGCTATCGAGGAGAAAGGTCAATATATGGATGGCCTAAAGTGGTACTGTATGCCTTTACCATTGTGGAAGACGTAGGAAGGAGCTGAAGTGATCGCTGATGCTGCGAGTCCGACGCGTCCAGCAGCAAGGTCGTGGGAATACAAGCAACCACCCTTTGCTGCCAACCACGACGCGGTCGTCGTCCAGTTCTCGGTATCCTTCAAAATGCCGTCGGTAGCGGACAAAAAGACGACGCTGGACGAGCTGTCCTCGCATTTCCCTCTCACATTTCCCATTCCGAACCCAACAACACACCCAGATTTAATCTCAAGCAAGGACCTTCACCGTGAAGAGGATTTACTGCGAAACCCAAACTCTTTTCGGGCATGGTGGACAGCAATCCAGTCGACTCGGGAGGCATTTGTTGTAAGGCAAAAGTTAGAGGCGCCTGAAACGAAGGTGTCGGAAGTAGAACGAGCGCTCTTGGGACCTTTGGCGACACCGTTGGCGCGAATCTCGTTACAGCGCATCACATATCTTTATGAAGCTGCCCTCCAGAATTTTCCCAATTCCTTCAAGCTGTGGAAGTCTTACTTGACTTTCCGTATGTCATTCGTCTTGGGCAAACCTGTCATCAAGAAGAGAGCCGGAGGGAAGAAGAAGTTGCCCGAGATGAAGGAGGCATTGGAGGAGGAAGTTGATGATTTGGAGGAATGGGAGACTTGTTTGGACCCCGTCGTTGGTTGGGAAGAGTGGAAGAGTTTAATCGCCACTTTCGAAAGGTGTTTAATGTGGATCCCAAAGGTACCTCACTTCATTTATATATGTCGAAGGTATCTGACATTGGAATTTGCAGCTTCCTCGGATATGGTTGATGTATTTCTCAATATTCTTCCATCCAAAATGTCCCTCTCTTCTCTCCTTCAAGCACGCTCGGCGAACCTTTGACCGGGCACTTCGAACTCTGCCTCCCTCCCTCCATTTCCGTGTCTGGGTGCGGTACCTACTATGGGCCGAACGCAAAGGTGGAGAGACCATGGTTTCGGCATACCGACGATACCTCGCCGTCGACCCAAGCATAACCGAACGCTACACGGAACTCTTGCTGTCAGAAGAAAACGGCACACCTCGCCCTCTGGAAGCGGCGAAATTGTTGCTATCTCTCGCTCGCAAGGCTGCAAAGGGAGAATACACGAGTGTAGAAGGCAAGAGTCCGCTAGATCTCTTGACCGAATTCACGAGTGTTGTGGAGAAGTTTGCGGAAGAAGTTGGGATGGATGTCGACGACACCGACGTCTCCAATGCCGCCATTGCGAAGAAGGAAGCTGATGACGCTGAAGCCGCTGAAAAGGCACAAGCCGCTGCCCAAGATTCCAACTCCCTCATCCGAATTGCCGGTCCTCCGGTCCCTGTCGATGCAAATGGCACACCTATCCCTGCTTATGATGAAGACGAAGATCCCCTCAGTCCACGGAAACTCAACATCGAGCAGATCATCCGAAAGGATGGTTTGGAAGTGTACAAGGATCAAGCAGGTCGCTTGTGGGCTGGCCTTGCGACGTACTGGATCAAGCGTGGAGATTTCGACCGCGCAAGAGAGACTTTCGAAAAGGGCATCGCCAGTGTTGTTACCCAACGTGACTTCAACCAGATCTTCGAGGCCTATTCCAACTTTGAGGACGAATTGATCAGCGCGATGATGGAGAGCTTGGAGGACGAGGATGAAGACGATGACGAGAGGGAGGAACTGGAGGAGGAAATGGACCGACGCATGAAGGAGTTTGAGCAGTTGACTGATCGTCGACCGTTCCTCTTGAATGACGTTCTACTTCGACGAAACCCGAATGACGTACAGGAGTGGGAGAAACGAGTGGCCTTGTATGGAGAGGACGACGAGAAGGTTGCTCAAGCATATACCCAGGCCCTCGAGACCATCAACCCTCGCAAGGCTACCCCCAATCTCCACAGACTCTATGTCAACTTTGCCAAGTTCTATGAGGAGGGAGGGGCAAGTGGTGAGGCAGAGCCCGACCTGGATAGTGCACGCAAGATACTTGAAAAGGCTACCAAGGTCAACTTCAAACTTGTAGAGGATTTGGCTGAGATTTGGTGCGAATGGTCAGAGATGGAGTTGCGTCATGAGTGAGTCCTTCGCCATTGCCAGATGACATGAAAGCTTGACAGTTTCTCCAGGAACTATGACGAGGCTATTCGGGTGATGCAGCGTGCAACTGCTGTCCCCAAGAATACCAAAGTCAACTACCATGATCAAGTAAATATCATCAGTCAACCTTTAAGGTCGCACAATGCTGACACATTGTTTGCTAGTCGCTATCTGCCCAGGCAAGATTGTTCAAATCTCTGAAGCTGTGGTCATTCTACGTCGATCTGGAAGAGTCGATAGGAACAGTGCAGTCGACCAAGGCGGTCTACGACAAGATCCTGGAACTCCGTATCGCGAACGCACAGATCATCGTTAACTACGCGGCTTTCCTTGAAGAGAACAACTACTTTGAGGAGAGCTTCAAGGTTTATGAACGCGGAGTTGAGTTGTTCACTTTCCCTGTGTCCTTCGAGATCTGGAATATCTACCTCGCCAAATTCGTGAAACGATATGTGAGTGCTTTCCCGGTGCCTCTAGGAGTCAATTTCTCAGTCGTCTTCCAGGGCGGGTCCAAACTCGAGCGAGCACGAGATCTGTTCGAGCAAGCTCTGGAGAAATGTCCACCGAAAAACTGCAAACCCATTTTCCTCCTGTATGCCCAACTCGAAGAGCAATACGGACTTGCCAAGCGGGCAATGGCAATCTACGACCGTGCTACGAAGGTCATTGATGATAAAGACAAGTTCGAGGTAAGAATTTTTCAGAATTGGGCCAGTGCAATTTATTGATGACTTCCAGATGTTCACAATCTACATTGCCAAAGCCACCGAGAACTTTGGTCTCCCTGCCACAAGACCAATCTACGAGCGAGCAATCGAAGGTATACTCTTCCTATGCCACCTCTAGGCAACTTGTTAATCCCTCCTTCTGCAGTTCTTCCCGACAAGCAGACAGCAGAAATGTGCTTGCGCTTCGCGGCCCTCGAGCGCAAACTGGGTGAGATCGACCGCGCTCGTGCAATCTACGCCCATGCCTCCCAATTCTGCGATCCTCGTGTCCATCCCAAGTTCTGGACCGAATGGAACGACTTCGAAATCGAAACCGGATCCGAAGATACGTTCAGAGAGATGTTGCGGATCAAACGTAGTGTGCAGGCACAGTTCAACACGGAGGCCAGCTACCTTGCTGCACAGGCTGTCGCTGCTCGCGAGAGTGGGCAGCAGACCACTCTGGATGAACCCCAGGATGCAATGTCGATGGCTGAGAAACAGGCCTCAGGCGGTGCCACCAAATTTGTTGCTGCAAGTAAAACAGCGCTTCCTCCACCTGACGGTGCCGCGGCAACTGCGCCAGCACCTGCGGTCAACACTGACGAAATCCAAATCTCGGACGATGAGGACTAGTCTTCAGGATCTTCACGATTTGTTGTATACGCTTTCCGTAATCATTTCTGCGCCATATTTGACTTTTCGCTTTCACAACTTCATGATCTATTCCAGCGGTCGATCTCAACACTGCATAATTCCTCCCATTTGGCTTCCCAGCTGTCCTCTATCAGATAAGGTTGTTCAGCCCATTGTTCTACGATGGTTTTGGACTCGTCGAACGGTAGGGAATGACTTCGAAGTTTAGCGACGAATTGCTTGTGCTGGTACAGCGACCGGTGGTATGGGGTAAGGATCTCAGGTATTGAGGTAGCTGGGGATCCTTCAGTGATGATCTTCTCCACGTCAGGCACTGAAAGTCTTACCGAATTTTTCGAGGGACCAGCTGACCCAGAGAGGCTCGTCGCGCACCCACTGGTAGCCCTTGACTTTATGAGCCTCCACCACGACAGCCTCCAAGTTGTCAATCACGGTATTCATCCGTTTAAACAGTTTTTCCTTGGAGAACACATGAACTTGCAGGTCCCATTTTCATTGACGACGAACATACAAGCTTTTGGATAACACTATCGAGAGACGCGATGCATTTGTCCATCACGGCCAACTTTGGGCCAACGAGATAGGTTCGAGGAAGCCGGTTTGGTAGAGACGCGAGAGTATTGTCTAGATCTGTGCGAGTATCGACCAGCGTCTTAGCATGCTTGAGTCCGTCGAATAGTACTAGGTCGTCCCATGTCTCTGATATTCCTCGAAGTTCTTGGAGGAGAGCTCTGACTTTGCGATGGAAAGTAGATTCTGTCTGTCGAGATGGCGAAGCTGGTGGAGCTGGGGATGATCTATGTTGTTGGGCTGGCGAGGACGTCGGTGTCGATGGACCTCGAAAGGACGCAAGGCGGCTGGACATTGTGCTGGTCGAAGAGGCAAATAGGGTTGTATTTGGTTTGCCGCGCTACATCTCGGAGGCTTTAGTGCCAAACAGGTGTTCTCAAAAATTCTGGGCTCGTGCTCGACATCTTCGACGACCTTCATTGACGCCATGGCTAAACGACGAAAGAACAGGACACATCTCAAGGGTGGCCAAAGGGACGAAGGCAAGTCGAGTGCCCCAAAATCGTTCATTATAAAACACGGCCATGTTGGGTCGTCGATAACACAACTGGTGCGCGATATGCGCAAAGTTATGGAACCTAATACAGCCAGTCGCTTAAAGGTGCGTTCCCTTGCCATTTCTCCTATAGACATTGGCGAATAACATGGTCTTCAGGAACGGAATCGAAATAAACTAAAAGATTACATGACGATGGGACCGGCACTGCAAGTAACGCATTTACTTGCTTTTAGATTGACGCCTATTGCTCCTTCGCTGCGCATCGTTCGACTGTCCGACGGTCCTACGCTCAGTTTCCGTGTGGAACGATACAGTCTCATGAAAGACGTCCTGAATACTGCTCGGAGAGCTAAGAGCATTGGCATGGAATACCTAACACCACCTCTGGTGAGTGAAAACTACTTCTTGCGAAGGATAATTATTGAACTCTTTCAAAGTTGGTTCTCGCTTCCTTCCCTCAGCCTGGCCCAGGAACACCACCGCATCTCCCCCTTGTAATGAAAGCCTTCCAATCATTGTTCCCTCCTCTCTCACCACACACGATCAGCCTCTCTTCTGCTCGCCGAGTCGTCCTCATTTCATACAATGAAGAACGAGGCACCATCGATTTCCGACACTACTTGATCAGAGTCAAGGCTCACGGCGTGTCAAAACGAGTTAGACGTGTTGTAGAAAGCGCAACCTCGTCTTCCAAACCCGTCATAAACCTTGGGAAAGAGAAGGATGTCGCCGACTTTTTGCTGAGGAGACGAGGGGATCCTGGGCCGGATGGTGGTTACGAGAGTGCTTCCTCGGCGGAGAGTGCGGTGGAGGATGGAGATATGGTTAGCCTGGCGAGTGACTACGTCGGACGAAACAACAAAAAGGGAACCAAACGAGCAGTGAAGCTCGAAGAAGTCGGACCCAGAATGGAACTGCGTCTGGTAAAGATTACCGAAGGCGTTCCAGGCAAGGAGGGGAACGTGATCTATCACGAATTCGGTGAGTCCAAGCGTGGCTTTCATGTCCGCGTTTCCAGCCAGATCTAACACGAATCTTACAGTGAAAAAAACGAAGAAGGAAATCGCCGAACAAAAAGCTGCTATTGCAGAAAAGGAACGGCTTCGAAAACAACGCCGAGAAGAGCAAGAACGCAATGTTGCGCGTAAAAAGAAGTCGGCAAACAAGAAGGGAGATGACGACGCCAGTTCTGATGACGAAGGCTCCGTGGAGGACGAGTCTGGGGGGGAGGGAGACGTGGAACATGAGGTCGACGATATCGGTGAGTGGGATGAAGAAGAAGAGATCAGTGAAGGCGAGGAGAGCGAGGATGAGCAAGACCTATCGGAAGAAGATAGTTCAGACGAGGACAAGCCTCCAGCAAAGAAGCCCAGGTTCCATAGGAAACGGTGAAGTGGGATTATGTGGTATTCTATCTGTCTATTACCGTCTGGAAAATATGATTAATCTAGATATAGTAAATGCGTGCCCGACCTGCTTCTACTTCAGTCCCCAAAACCGTTGGAATCGCATCTTTACGCCTTCCCAGCTATCCAATGCGGGTCGTACGTCAAGGAAAAATGACAAGTTGCCGCCGAGACCATTTGGGTTGCGTCCAGTGTAGAAATCAATGATATACCTCATACGAGTGCCACATCTGTCGACAATCCAGTCGTGGCGGTCGAATGGAGGTGCGTATCTGAGGTCGCTTTATGGTTAGAAGATGTGATAGCAAAGCGTGAACTGCAACCCACCCGAACAGCGTTCTGAGCCTGGCTTTCGGACTTCTTTCTTGCGGCTTGCCCTTGAAGTTAACCAGCTGGACGCCTCCACACGCTTCGCCACCTCTCCCTGCTTCCCACTTCATGATTTCCGCCCAGGCACGCTCGTTCACTGCGTTGTGAATCGGGACTATAGTTTTCATATCCGCGGGATTGGGCTTGTGGTTTTTGCGCTCCATTGCAGCGAAGAACTGTGCTTCTGAAGGATACACCCAGTTGCCATCCTGAGGTTTTGGTATTGACGAGACTTCACGTTCTTTCGACAGAGACGCCTCTGGAGGTGCAGGCGCTGAAGTGGAGAACAGTCGCGACCATGTGGCTGCTGAAGAATGGTCTACTGGACATTCTTTTGCTTCGTCTTTTTTGTTGGAATTGGAATGGTCAACTGGGCATGCGTTCGCGGTCGACGACGACGATGACGACGAACTGTGGTCGACGGGACACTGCGACGAGGAGGACATGGTGAAGAGTGAATTGGATTAGGTAAGCCTTATTTTCCGTCAAGAAGCGCTGCCGCGGTCCGTTCGCTCCCGGTGCAGAAAGAATTGCTTCCGTCCCTACCGGTAAACTCACCGGCTACCCCAGATGCAAGTTCCCTAGGATGAATGAATTCTCCACACCCAATTGGCGCTATTTAAGCTTGGGGAAATAGCTACTCTTTTGAAGAATCCCCCACTTCCCCTCACCCTCTGCAGCCATGCCTTCTTCACCGAAAGTCTTCGAGACCCCTCTCACCAAGCTCTTCAAGATCACCCACCCAGTCATGCTCGCTGGGTATGTCAATTTGGCCTTTTGTAGGGCAGGAATTAGCGCTCATATCTCGTAGCATGAACGTGGCTGCCGGTCCCAAGCTTGCTGCTGCGGTAACCAACGCTGGTGAGCAGCATGGTTCATGTGTGCTGCTACGTCCATCTGACACGCTCTTAGGTGGTATTGGTGTTATCGGAGGTGTCAGACAAAGCCCAAAGTTCCTTCAAGGCTCTATCGAGGAGCTGAAACTTCACTTGGAGGACAAGAACGCGCCCTTTGGTGTCGACCTCTTGCTTCCTCAAATCGGAGGCAATGCTCGCAAAACCAACGTCAGTAAAGGCCTCCCTTCCAACGTGGAACCCCCGGGATGCTTACCGTGTTTACAGAAAGATTATACCTCTGGTCAGCTCCCTGAGCTCATTGATGTTATCATCAAGGGAGGAGCCTCTCTATTCGTCTGTGCTGTCGGCGTTCCACCAAAATGGGTCGTTGACAAACTCCATGCCGCTGGAATTCCCGTCATGAAGTAAGTCTTTCACTCGACCTTGCATTCAAGGCCACATACTCATTGTCGAGGACAGCATGATTGGCCATCCCAAGGTATTAACCCAACTCCCCTCCCAACACACTGGCAGATTCTGAATTCTAGTCTTTTGATCCGTTCAGCACGTCAAGAAGGCTCTGGCTCAAGGTTCGTACTTCCGGATCACTCTTCGACCCGTTCCCCGTTCTCCCTCGTGGCTAAAACAGAGATTGACTATTTGAATTGGATTAGGCGTTGATATCATCTGCGCACAAGGCGGAGAAGGTGGAGGCCACACTGGCGACACGCCATTTTCCATTTTGATTCCTGCAACGGTCGATCTTTGCCGGGGTCAGAAGAGCCCGTTGACTGGTGAAGATGTTGTGGTTGTTGCTGCTGGAGGTATTGCCGATGGCCGAGGTCTTGCTGCTGCCCTAGCGTGCGTCTCTCCTTCTCCTCGCTTTTCGTACCCTTTCGCCTGACCTTCTCTTCTAGGTACGGCGCTTCGGGTGTCTGGGTTGGAACTCGATTCGTTGCTAGCGTCGAAGCTGGCGCACCCAAGATGCACAAGGAGCTGGTGCTGAGTGCCGGATATGACGATGTCGTCCGAACGCTAATCTATTCTGGTCGACCGATGAGTGTTAGAAAGACACCCTACGTTGCGGAGTGGTGCGTACTTGGTATTCTATCGGAGATGTGGATGGATGTTAACCCGAGTTTATGAATCAGGGAGGCGAAGCGCCGGGATGAGATCGATGCCCTTGTTGCCCAAGGGAAGATTCCACACGAAGTCGAGCTCGAAAGCCATCCTGAAAAGTCTGCACCTGGCCGACAATGTACGTCTCGAATCCCAACTTGAATAGCGCTTATTGACCCGTGGTTTAGGGCTCATGGGTAAAGTGGCTGGCTCCATTAACGGCATCAAGCCAGCGAAAGAGATGTATGTAATGGTCGCTCGTTCCGGGTACACATGGACTGACCTGATTCTTAGTGTGGACGAGATGGTCAACACTGCAGCCAGGGTGATCTCTGCAGCACAGGCTCTCAAGGTACCTCAAGTAAAACTGTAGACGGATCCAGGTGATTACATACAATGATACATACATCTATACTGTGACGTTTCATTAGCTCGCTCCACGTGCTTCTTGCTCGCTTATCTGCCCCTGAGGTTTGCATGAGTGTATCCTTTGTATCTTCTACCACGATGCCCCACGAAGAACGATGGCACATTGCCATAGCTCTATTCCTCTCTCTTTTGACCTATTATTGGATGGTCAAAATCTTCCTACCTCGGAGTGCACAAGATAACGCGCATGACTCCTCCTGTCTTCCCCGACCACTTCCTGACTTTGCCATCGCCAAGGCGCGCGCTAGGCCGTACCGTCCCTTTCGTTGGAATTACAACCAGACTATGGGTGAGTGGTGCCAACGAAAACAAGGTGCTATGGTAAACCTTGAATTAGCGCTCATGGCTCTCGACCCCGATTGGTGGATTGAGCTCGAGTCCACCTACCTCGAACGAATCGCACAACGCAAGGAACTGTATCGAATGCACGGAAGGGCTATCCTCGATGCTCTCCCCGGGAGCGAAGAAGCGTGTCAAGAGGTGATGTTTGCGGCCATCAATTTCCTCACAGCTCGTTACCCATCCTTATTCTCGTTCGACCCTGCCACTGGGAAATTCCGAAACAAGATCCTCGGAAAAGAGGACATCGTGAATGGGAGAGACGCCTTATGTTTCCTTCTTGATCATGTCCCGGAAGACTTTGCGATCATGCAGAAGGACGAGACCACTGGGAAGTATCACCTGCGGGCTGGAGTTGTTTGTTCGGCCGTTGGATGGAACATGGGGGAGAAGATGGGGATGCCGCTCCACGAGATTCACGGGGAGGTACCGTTTTATAGAGAGGGTCTGCAGACTTCGATGGATAGGTCCGTGGTCGTTGTGCCAATTACGCCTGTCGCTGACGGAAGCACAGATACTTCGAAAGGGTAACATGTGCAAAACCAATACAACGCGGCTCTTGGACGTTTGAAGTCGGCCAGCCTCTGTTCCTTCAGACAAGCGACCCGGATTACCAGCACCACAAACACTTCAATGCGGATTTGAAACTTGAAGATGTCTACCTAAGAGTGGACTGGCAGACCCTTCGACGATTACCCAAGTCCCGGGCAATGGTGTTCAATTTCAAGGCCCTGTTCACACCCGTGACACAGTTTCGAACGGAACCGTATGTCCCCCAATTGATCGCAAAGGTCTTGAAGGAGGCACGGGCTCCCTTCAAGGAATACAAAGGCTGGGGAAACGTCGAGCATAGAGTGATTCCCGCGCTGGAAACGTGGTCCGAGGAACAAAGGCGGCTTGGATTGGTCCCCATGGATTGGGAGGAAAGAACATTGGACGAATATCCATTCTACCCTGGCTGGGAGAAGGAGTATACGGTTGGCCAGAGCGGTATCTAGTCTTCGTCGAGAAGCTCTGCTAGCTCCCGTTCCTCTTCCTCTGTCAGTCCCGAGTCATTCACAGTGTTTGATTCTTCTGCGACCTCAGGTTTCTTGGGAGGGGGTGGGTTCAGCAACTCTGTCATATATAGTCAATCGACCTCGTTGATTCTCGGAGTACATTAGATTCAACTCACCCGTGAGTCTCCATTTTCGTACCGTCTGGTCCAAACTGGTCGTAACGATCCATGGTTCCACATGGGTCAGGCCGTCTTTGACCGTCTTGCGCTTCCAGAGGCGGATGGCTGTCACGTCGTGCCAGTGAATATCCGTGCTTGAGATCAGCTCGGGTTCGTCGAGGGTAGAGAGATCGTAGACCCTGATCACATCCCCTGACGCAGTGAGAAGATAAGGTTCTGAAAGGTCGGTCAAAGCAAGAGGAAGGATGGCTCGGACTGCGGTTGGATGCTCGATGGGCTTGGGCAACTTGACATTCGAGGAAGGGACATCTGATCCCACGGGCACGATTGGGCTGAGCTGGGCAGTGTCATCGGAGGATGCTACAGAGGAGTACGCGTTTTTGAAAATCCGGTAGCAAAAGATAACAGCAAGACCTACCGGTCCAGACAAGGCCTTGTCCCACAAAAAGATCGTTGATACGTGTCCTGTGGTTGGTCAGTTCACCCCGCTGTGTACTGCGCCAAAGAGGAGGTTCCGATCCGCTTCCCTCTTCCCTCTTCACTTCCCAAATGCGAATTATTCCCATAGTGTCTGCGGTGTAAATCACTGCAGAAGTCGCGGAGGTTGCGTATCCAGCCAGACATTCAATCGGACGTGTATGCGAGGAGATCGATCCGGACCCTCGTAATGGTTGAGTTGGTGAAGAAAGATCCCTAAAGCCAAGAATGTTTCCAACGTGTTTCGTGCGTATGTGAACATTGCTCACCAGAATCGAACGATCTTGTCTGATCCACCAGATACTAGTAGGCGGAGAGTGGGTATCACAAGCAATGTTTTGACAAAGTCGTTATGTGCATCTGTGGTCGTGGCCAGTGGCTCTTTGGTCTGAGATCGCGTAAGACTGGGCTCGATATCTCTCCCTCGTTAACACCCTTACCTGTGTGTCCCATACCCGAATGCTCTGGAAGAGATGTCAGTTGCAGTTCCAGCTTATTTCGTCCATGGAGCACACCCACCTTGTCCCAGGATCCGGAAATCAAGAATTGCTTCCCGTCGTGATTATAAAACGCAATGCTGGTGACCGGTCCTGTGTGCCCTCGGTAAATCTGCGAAGCTTTGCCTGACTGAGTGGAACACCAGTTATAGCTTATCTTCTCAATACAAGCTTGAGATACGCGCCTCAAGGTTCAGCTTCTTCACGACATGGTCATTCTCCGCGATCCAAACATCGTTCCCTTGAACCTCGATGGATAGTGCTTTTCCGGGAAGCTCTATCGGTTCACCTGCGTCTTTGAGAAGCTTAGCCTTTTCTCTCCTCGCCTGTTGTTTATAGTTAATTAGAATATGAGTTCACAGAGAGAAGTGAGGCGTTACCTGTTCCGCCAGAAGCTGAGCCTCAGCTACAAGATAGTTGCTCGTCGTGGATGTCATGGTGGTCGCCTTCAAAGCAGACCAATCATCGACGCCGACTTCGACTCCGATCATGATTGATCCGGGGTAACCGATCAATCCCACGTGTCGGAGATTAGCGTGACGCGTCGTGCCGCGAGTTGCCAAGAAATTCAAGAATATTCTCTACTTGTACCGTCCACAATCACAACCTTTAGATTCAACAATGACGACCCCAGTGAAACTCTATGTGTACGATCTCAGCAATGGGATGGCTAAACAACTTTCTAGGCAGTTGACTGGAAGACAGATAGACGGCATTTGGTGCGTCCAGCCCAGAATTGCACCGGGATGGCCTCACTGAGCTACCCTTAGGCATACTTCAGTCGTCGTATTTGGGAAAGAGGTGTTCTATGGCCAGGGTATCAGTATAACAGAGCCAGGGAAATCTCATGTACGTCTCCTATGCTTTACCTTCAACAGCGATCTGACCCAGACTTTCAGCACGGTGCACCGCTCGAGATCTTGGACATGGGCGAAACCTCCCTGGACGAGGACACCTTCGATGAATATCTCAGTGAGCTCAAGGAACACTATACAGCAGACAAGGTGAAGTCAGATCACCATGTCTATCAATACGTGACTGACCCGACCTTGTAGTACCATCTCCTCGGTAAGCGCTCGAGAACGCTGGGCTTCGTGTTAGTTTTAACCTCTCCGGACAGAATTCAATTGCAACTCCTTCACCAATGATTGCATCGGCTTCTTAACTGGAGGGACGATTCCCTCTTATATCAAAGGTATGCTTTACTCGCTGTTACGCAATGTCGACCTCTAAGTCATGTAAACGTATTCAGACCTTCCTACCGACTTTCTGTCGACGCCATTCGGGGCTTCCCTCCGCCCTACAATTGACGCAATGTATCGCAGGCCCGCCCCTGGTGCCGCCCCTGTACCTCCACCTACTAACGCTGGGCAAGGCCCGATGGATGTTCAAATGGCTGGAGCACTCCTTCAGGCAGCAGCAGCAATGGCGTCCCAGCAGCAGACCAGCGGCTACGCTCAGCCTTCTGGCCACTCTTCTCAAGCAACCAACGCCATCGCTGGCCCAATCCACATCATTACCAACGCGCCCAATTTTAACTCGTTCATCAAATCCCACAAAGCTGCTGTTGCATTCTTCACGAGTCAGACTTGCCCTCCGTGCAGAATGATAGAGCCCGTCTTTGAGCGGTTATCAGAGGAGAAGGGCGTTCAGGTCGACAGAGATGGAGCAGGTTTTGCGAAAATTGATCTTGGAGTTGGGAGCGCGAATATGTTAGCTGGGCAATATGGTGTGCGGGCTACGCCTACTTTCCTATTCTTCTTGAATGGGGAGAAGGTTGAGGAAGTCAAGGGAGCTGATGCAGGGGAGCTACGAACTCAAGTTGACCTCTTGCTATTCCAGGCCTACCCTCGTAAGTTGCCTCGCTCCAAACTATACCATTACCCGAGACCTGACAGACCCACCCAGCACACCCACACACGAGCATCGCAACACCTACAATCAAAGCCCTGTCACTCAACCCGATCTTATTCACACAGGCACCTGCCATCGACACCGTCGTCACCAAACTCTCGAGTTTCATCGATGCAGCCACATGGCCCACATCTGCCCCTCAAACCCAAGCTGACGTGAAGAAGCTGCTATCCGGCGAAGTCACGACCTACCTCAAAGCGCGTTTCACCCCCGCCACACCAGGCGGTGGCAAACCTTCACTCCCATCAGCTCCCATCACTCTGCTCAATTCGTGGAGCGCCGTTACCCAAACTCTCGTCAATGCTCTCCCAATCGAGTCCCTCTTCCCGCTGGTCGACATGTGGAGGCTTGCATTTCTCGATCCTGCAGTCGGCAACTGGATCGCCTCGTCTCCCGCAATGAATCCCATAACAGTTTTCCTACCTAAAGCCCTCTCGTCCATCCACGCCACATCGCCCACAGACACCAAACGCTGGAGAAACTTTAACCTCACCGCCCTTCGACTTCTCTCTAACGGGTTTTCTTCGCGTGCAAGTAGTAATTGGCTGATGTCTGGCAACAATTCGAGTGGGACAAGGGTACGGGACAATGTCACGCAAATCCTCGTTCCGAGTCTCTTGCATGAAGATGCAGCCATCCGAACGGCTGCTGCCAGTCTCGCTTTCAATGCCGCAGCATGGCTGCAGAAGAAGAGGGTGGATGCTATACAAACTGGGAGGAGGTGGAATGTGGACACCGAAGGCGGGGACGAGATGGCGGAGTGGCAAGTAGAGATGGCGAGCGCTGTGGTAGAGGCAATTGGAAGGGAGAAGGAGAACGAGGAAGTCGGTAAGTCCGCAACTTCCATAGCTGATTATTCGGTAAGCTTGACGTTTAAATTTACAGTACATCGATTGGTTGCCTGCCTGGCATTCCTCATTCGCCTATCACCGGTACACGACACACAGCTTGGCCCTCTCCTCGAAGTTCTCCAGGCGAAAGAGGTGGTTAGAGCCAAGCTTGTTAAAGGAGAGGGGTGGAATACGGACGGTGGATTGGCCAAGAAAGATGTTAGAAAGTTGGTGGAGGAACTTACGAACAAACTACTATCTTAAATATCCCTGGCAGGGTACTAACCAGGTCTGTCGCTAGTAGAGAGCTCAGGACCCGATGATTTATGGATAGCGGGTGTGATTGTACTACTAATACACGGGTTACAGAGAGGGGTGGCGTTAGATGTTACAGTTTCAGGACCGAAGATCGAATGTCAGAAACTGGGGGAAAGACTAGCCTATCGATGAGCTTGGAAATAGCTATGATGCGTATTCAAGAGTGAAGCGTAGAAAGAATCAAGGAACCATCCCCAACTTATGCAAAGGTCATAACCGAAGGCGAAACAAAATGGAACCTAAGAATGGGGGGCGAAACAGAGTCTGTGAAAGAGAAAAAAGGGGTTGTGCGTGAACTGTCCAATTAAAGCGTCCCAAAAAGTGCCCTAAGCGTAAGGAAAGCCAAGATGAGACCCTTAGTAGATTGGTCCTTGAAAAATGAAGTATGGCTTTGTGGGAGGCTTAAAGCCCGACCAACATAACACCAGCAGTGGCTACTAAAACCACAAGACTGGTAGTCAGCCCCGTTCGAACAGCGGCTCCAGAGTCATCTTCGGTAAGGTCTCCACTTGACGGAGAGGGTTCGTCTGAGCCAGTACTCTCTGATGGCGCAGGTGCGCTGCCAGTGGAGATGGGTGCGAATGAGTTGGTCGGAGCTTCCGTCTCTTCAATTATGCTGGTATCCCATGAACCGGTGATCGTGGTTCCAGTAATAGGGATGGGGTCCGTGATGGTCGTAGAGCTCAAGATGGCTGGCTGTGATGACACAGTGGGAGAGACACCTGGGAGGGAGGGCTCCGGATCGGCCACAGGTGGCCTCGAGGGGGAAGGGGAATTGTTCGTGTCATCGGCAATTTGGGTAATGGCAAAGGAGGGAGAGGTATTGCCAGAGTTGCCCATCACTGGAGAGTGATTGCATTAGCGTAAGTTGATAGAGCGAGGGGCGTAAGACGAGAAAGTAACGTACAGACGATGAGGTAGTCAGGTCGTGGTGGGACGTTTGGGACCGTGATATTGACCCTGCCTTGCCGGATGTGGAAGCCTTCAGCAAGTGGATTGTCTGATGGAGTCCATGTGAGTGATAAGGCAAGACATGGGACGGCTGAGACGAGGCGCACCTAGGTCCAGGTTCAGGCTATCGCCTGTATCACGGCCCAGGATAACTCTGCCTATAGGATTTGTGATCTGACTGTCGGGTGGAAGGTTGGTGATGTCCCTAGTTGAATAGCCGATTGGTTAATACTAGGCGACGAAAGGCGGGTTGGAAGGACTAACCAAATGACTTCCTGGATAGTTCCAATAGGCCATACACTGCTTGCATCCGGTTTGAGGATTGGTGGGGCAACAACGTCCCGCTGTGTCAAACCACGCGCGTTCTTGAGGGCAGCGTAGGCGGCGGAAGCCTCCTCGAATATTGACCGTTGGTTCAGAGCTAGTGGTGAAGCCTGCACCTGTGAGGCGAGCAGAAGAGCACACGAAGCGATGTGCTTGAATAGCCGGTAGCTTGAGCACAACATGTTCGGGATGGTCGATACTAGTCGTCGTTGATAATCGTGAGTCCGATAATAAGGGTGAAACTTGGTTCGACTTTTATCGAAGCACGTAACACGTCAAACGTCGTCGGTGACGAAGCTGAAAGCAAGAGACCGGAGTATAAATCTGCGGGCCATAGAGCGGGTGGAGAAGGAGTCTTGTGAGTCTATGCACGTCTCACAATCACTGGGGAGGAAAGAAGAGCGGTGCGACCATGATAGCGCCGGACACCGCTGAACAAGGCTGTCGCCCTCGGATGCCTGGCAAGGCGCAAGAACAGTGCTCTGTGCTTCCGAGTTTGCATTTCAATGACACAAGGCGGAAGGAAGCTTGGGCGACGTGCATGACAGGCACCGGCAAGGCCGCAGACAAGAAGATGGCCGACGAACCGCGACGTACCGTTTGTTCCTGGCTTAGTGGTTATCAATATCCGTGAACTTGAATGTCTCGCTCGTCGCCGTTTTCGTCGTCGCTGTCGTTATTGTCCTGGACGGGGGGATTTCGTTCGATGTTCTTCGTTGGAGCCTCAACCGATGTAACCCCTATCGCCACTGTCAGTGAAAGGTTCTGGGATAAGCTAGCTCTCGCAACTCACTATATAGCTCGCCGACGGCTAATGGGTTGATAGGGACGTTGGCGACAAGGGAGGCAAAGAACGATCGGACAGGACAGCGGTGGCATAGCGGTTTATATAGGCCTTGTCTGCTCTGATGCTGCACTTGAGTCGGATGACCCACACTTGCCATCAACTCTTCGCGTAACAAATTCTGATCACAGTCCAGCTCAACAATCCCAATTCCATAACGCTCTAATTCATCGAGTCCTTGCACGGGCAGCGCTATATACATAAATCTACATTCTGACCTAGAGCTATTGGGATTACTTGCTGCCCCGGAGCTGGGGTCAGGAGGATATCATGCGGACAACACAGCTGCTTCCCTCGTCGGAGCCAATCTGGACGCCGTGCCCCGGCATTCGCGAGAACCACAAATCGATTCCCAAAGATCTCACCGGACAACGTGAAACGTGTGCTGTTGGAGTCCCGGTGACAAGGACATGACACCGACAAATCCGCGTTGGGCAGATGCAGAACTATCAGGTCCAGTCCTGAGCTAAAGGAATAGGCGAATAGCTGTGATACAGGCGGGTATATCTAAGTAGTATGGATACAGATGTGAATAAATCAGAAACGTGATTATATCCTACTGCCGTCGCAAGACATGACTGTTCTATTGGGAAAAGTCAGTACTTCTGAATATCCAACTCGGAACACAAGAACACCTACCGCACTCCGATGGGCGCCTAAAAAGCTAGTCTTCTCGGTATTGTGTGGAGCACTGAGATGCTGGCGGACGTTCCTCATTCCAATGTTATGGATATAGCTGATCATCAACTCCTGTTCCCGCATGTACCGCGTTTGCGCTTCTCTCAATTGCACCTGAGATCAAATTGAGCGAGTTAATGCCGAACCAAGAATGGATTAAGCGTACCTTTATTTGCGCAATTTCCTCGTCCCGCTGCTTGATTTCCGCTCGGAAGTTAGCCTCGGCTTCCCCGGAAGTACCAGCCTGCAGACAGAGTTAGATCATTTCGAACACAATCCGGAATCCACTTACTCTCGCCAAGGGGTTGGCTTGAGCCTCCTTTAGCAAGGCGTCTTGAGTCTTGAGAACCTATTCACGGAAGAGAATGAAAAAAGCGAACGGATCCCGCCAAAAAGGTCGCTACCTGTTTGGCCTTGGCGAGTTTCTCATTCAGAGTCTTGATAGTTTCTTTCATCGTTACACACTCTTCGTGGATCGACAACCACCTTTGCTTAAACTCTTCTGGAATCTCCTTTCCAGTCGGCAGTGCGGACATCCAAGCGTTAGCGTCACTATATAACCGAGGATAAGAAACTATAATAGAAGAAGGAAGCGAAATAGTCATACCCAAAGTCTCGCTGGAGGAGTTTCTCTCTCTGCCCAATGCCTTCCGTTTGCAGAGACATCTTGTCCATGAGGAGACCATTGATCTGCTCGAGCTGCATGTGGTTCTTCTCTACCAACTCCCGAATTTGCTTCTTCTGTTTCTCGTTCTCTGCTTCCAATTCCGCCTTGTCTTCGTTCACAGATTCTCGCAAAGACGTGAGGATATCTAGCTGGTCCTTGTTCACCAGTGTAACTGGAGAGAACTCGGTCAGGTTTTGCGCTGCAAATAGGTTGGAAGATGACCCTTACGATCAGACTTGGCAATGATCAGTTCGCGATTCATCGTGTCGAACTTGACTTCCAACTCGGCATGCTCCTTCTGCAGGGTTTCCAGCTGCTCGACAGTCTCATTGAGTCGTTGTCGCAGAGCAATGGCAACTTCGGGTCTGTCCCGACAAGTCAGAATGCAGTCAAAATAATAGCGAATACCAGAGACCCACCCATCACTGATAGACTTGCCTTCCCGAATCTCATCTAACTGACGCTGCAACACCAACGTCTTGCGATGTTCATTCAGGTAATCAGCCTCAATCCGCGACTTCCCTCGGTTAGCATCCTCCAACAAGTTTTCCAAGACGAGAATCCGGCTGCTATCTGCCTCGTTCTTCTTTGCCCGCTCCAACTCTCTTTCGAGTCTCTTGATTTGCAACTTGAGATCAGTCATCGTTCGGCCTGTTAGAGCATCGTCGAGTTCCCCGCTGAGACCCTGCTCGATATAGTCTGTGTCGACAGAAGGGCTGGCGAGCGCTTCAGGAGCGAAGTCTTCTGAGACCGCAGAATCAGGAGGATCGCGAACAGAGGTCTTGGGTGGAGGAGGTCGGCTGTTGGCCGTCAGTTCCAGCTCCCGGACACGCTCTTGGTAGAGTTCGAGCGCTTCTGCATCTTTGGCACGTTCCTCCGTCGTTATCCTGAGCTTTGTACGGGTTTGGTCGAGCTCAAACCTGAGACCTTCGATTTCATGCGCTCGAGAAGCGTTCTTGGCTTCCAGCTCGGCGATTTGGTTCTTGTAGGACTCCATGAGAGGTTTGAACGCCGCGACCTTTCGGTATTCTTCTTCAATTGCCGCATTCTTGTTGACCAGGTCGGCGTTCTGGGTTTCCAGGGCCTAAAAGAATTGGAAGGATGATCGGGATGTGTCTCTTTTGCGACGCATAGACAGCATATACGGACCCTAAGTTGGTTCTTGAGATCTGCCTTTTCCTGGAGCTTCTTCTTGTACTTCTCCATGACGTTCTCAGTCTTCTGCAACTTCTCCGCAGCGTGTTTGTACCTGATCCCATAGAAATCAACACAGGGAGTTGGAGGGTAGAGAAAGTACGCACTCGTCCAGCCTATCCTTCAGCTTTGCGGCTTCATCCGCCTGGGCTTGGAGTTCGTCGACTGTCCGTGTCAACTCCTCCACCATCTTTACATTCTTGTCCAGCTCGGACTCGGCTATCGAGAGGTTTTCTTCACTCTTCTGGCTGACACCCTCCTTATGTATTAGAGAATGTAGGATTCTGAGAGAGGAGAGGGATACTCACAGTTCCGCTCGCACCCTGTCCAATTCAGCTCGAAGGTGCACATCAGATTTCTCGTTCCGTCGACCACTGTCTCGTTCGCTTCGCAGTTCCTGTAATTGGGAGAGGGCGTCGTCGCGTTCGGAGACCAGGTCTTCTTGCTTGGCTTCGAGTTTCTGGTGGGCTTCGACGAGGGCATGGTACAGCTTTTCCAAATTGGCTTTTTCGGCAAACACTTGACTCCGTTCAGACTGGATTTGATAGTAGTGGTCGTCTCTAAAGAGGAGATAAGTATGACGTCGTGAATGGGCAGATAGATAACGTACTCTGTCATAGTAGCTTCACTAATGTCACTGACATTCCCAGTACCAATGTTCCCCATCACCTAGCGCCAGACGTGAACCTCCTAAACTCCTTAGACACTGCATTTCACATACCTGTTCAATGGCCTTCATAAGACAGTGCTGGTCCGCCTGGCTCAGCTCCTGGATCTTGCCAATAAACTCCTTGTTTTTCTCGCATTGCACCCCGATCACCACTGTCAATCTACACAGAGCGAGAATTGCCCCGGGATCGCTGTCTTTGGCGATCGCTTGGAGGTTTGGGACTTCAAGATTTGCGATGGATTTCTGGAGAACGTCAGGGAAGTACTGGGACATGAGCCTGTACAGTCGTTTGAGAGAACTGAACCGCAGGACCCAGTTGTCAGACGGCTGTGAGGAGGGTTTGCTTGTTGGCCGGAAGTAGGTGCCATCTCTATAGACATAAAGTGTTAGATGTAAAGACGGTGTAGAGCATGATATTGGTAGCAATCGTACGCGAGAGATAGGATGTCGAATAGGATAGCGCCATCGTTGAGGTCGTCGACCCCGTTCAAAGGGCGTGATAACTCGAACGTCGTGAAGAAGTTGATGAAAGCTTGGAGTTCATTATGCTGGGCAGTCTCCAGAGACATGTTGAAGGTGTCGTTAAAGCAAGTGCGCCAGCACCTGCGAGTGTAGTGAGCTGGAAGACCTCGTTGCTCGGACGATGATAGTAGCTCGGAATCAAGGGCGCAGTGCTTTTGATATCCCCGGACAAATTAAATAAGGATCACTTTCACAAACACTTTATTTAGGAGAAACTACATTTGTACTAAGAACTTCTTCAGTTGAGCTGGACTGGAATATCAGGTTGGCTATTAGATGCCTGTTTCTCCAGGCGGTAATCAGTCTTGTCATTGACATCCACGTGAAGCTTCTCCAATCTGCTAGCCCACAAAGCGGCCCCTACCGCCGAGGTCAGGTTGAACGCAAAACCTGCGATAGGGATGAGGTTGAGTAAAAGAGCAGACATTCCGAAACTATTGCGGCAAGTTAATCCAGCTCCCATAACCTCAACAGTTGAGACTCACGCGGTGTAAGCCCCTTTCCGCTTCTCGATAAATTCGTGGGCCTGTTGGGAACCGTACTTCTTTAGCTGGAAGTATCGTGCATGGAAGGCGGGTCCCGTTTTACTTCCTATACGAACCTGAGCAATAATCCTTCACTCGAAGGTGCAATATGGACGCTCACCATTGTATACCAAGAACAGTCCTGTACCGAGAACAGGAATGGAATTGAGAGGCAATGAAACCAGGTAACGAATGATTCCATCGGACGAGAATCGTTTGGTGAAAGAAAGAGGTTTCCCCATGATCTTCATGCCACTCGACGTCGTCCGTATCTCTCGGCCATTTGCCACAAGTTTTTCATTGCCCTGTTGCAGCAAGACAGCGTCAACTGAGGGATGACGTCAACAGCTGGACGGGACAGGAATGATTGGGTCACCTACATAGTCTATCCTGTCCAGCGGATAGGAAGAACGACTTGGTCACGAATGACACTAGCAGGTAAGACTCAAAGAGAACCATAATCGTTGCAGGTATAGGTGCTATGGAACGCTCTGTAAACCCTGTTCACTAAGAGTAGCACAGCAAAACGCACCGAAGGGTCCGGAGAATACAGCACAAATTGCCACTTGGGGTACCCAGGTAAAGAAGAACATTCCAGCCGTGATCCCTAGTGATGCCAGTGCAGCTTTGGTGACGATCGGTACGACCGACTTGTATAGCTGCGGATGCGACGCGACATAGCTGATACCAAGGAAAGGATAGGCCCAAGCCCCTGACATGATGGCTTCAGAGCCCAGCGAAGCCGATTCCACAAGTATCGAGCGAGCAGTGTTGATGATGGTATTAGACATTGCGGGTAAAGGATGAGAGTATACAAAGGAGAAGGTACTGAGAGGACAACTTGGTCAGGTTTAAATGCAAACGCGACACGATGACACCCATCTGAACGCACCACAAAGAATTCACAGTCCGTACATGCCAAGCATGACGTCATTTACATAGCAGTCGTCAATGATCTCTTCAACGCGTCGTTCCGCCTCTCCAGCGTCTCCACTTTCTTCTCGGCTTTCAGCATCTTCCGTGCGAGGAATTTGGCACGCTCTTTACACGCGCTTCGCCTGCCTAAAAGCGCGTCATACCAACTACGGGGCTCGGTAGCCATGATTTCACCAAGCACTCGCAGCTCCTCCTCGCAGGCTTTGATTGTGTTCTCGGCTTTGGCAATAGCCTTGTCGTTATAGTTGATGTCTTGCACCGCTTGGAAAATGGGATCTAAGGAGTATCAGCTCATATTTCTAAAACTAAAGGGATACAAGCATACCTTTCACCATCCGCTCGAATACCCATCGGAGAACAGGTTTTCCTGGCTTGATAGTCGATGGTCGACCTGCGAAGCAGAGTTGATATATGAACCTTGGTGTCGACCATGTCACTTACCGTCCTTCATGGTCACCGTGATAAATTCTGCATGTTCCATGTTCCGGATCGCTGCCTCGTCGCCCTTGAAAGGGAAGTCGGACAACAATTCGTGGTATGATAACTGGCGAGCGGACCCCAAAGTCAAGTACTGAGGGGACAAATAACTCAAAGGAAGAGCATACCTCAGGTTTGACGGCAAGAGACTTGATAATAGTCCACGCCTGTTCCCTGGCCCAGGGCAAACTTTGGGCATCTTCCGTGTCGTCCCCAAACGCGTTCTTGCGAAGTTCGCCCACGCCTTGGTGAATGATTTCCTCGACTGCGTCTTCAACCGACTGGCCACTTCGAACCTTATGAATCAACTGGGGGAACGGTGAACACGCGCAGGTGCTGATAGGCGGTGAAGTCTCACGCTCTCTAGGTCACTGGCTCGACCGCCGAGCCTCATCACTTGCGCGGTTTGCTTCGCACTGAAGTCCACATCAATACCCGCGCTACTGAGTTTCTCCTTCATGAACAGTAGTGAACTAGAAGGGTCGGCATCCGAAAGGCCAATCGCGTAAAGCGGCTTGGAAGGTAGAGCTATTCATCGATCACTTGAGCGGAATTCGACAACATTGTGTACAACAAGCCCCACCTTTTGCCAATCGCTTCGCATTCTCTCGGTTGTCGCTGAGAACGAGAACATGTGCAATCTGAAAGAGTTTCGGTGCCTTGACTTCAACGGGTACATCGAGGGCACTCACTTGGTTCTCGACCAATGAAGCTGCCCAATCTGCAAGACTTTTCAGCAGTTCGTCCTGAGTCGAGCCAATCTTTGTCGCATAGTTAAGAACGACAACAATGGGAAGCACTCGAATGGCATCGATCTCTGCCTGCGATTTTTCTTTCTTTGGCTTCTCTCCAACGTCGTCCAGGTGTTCTGTGTTAACTTGGAAAGGGGCGGCGTCCAATTCCGGGTCAAAGGGCTCGTCTCCAATGGCCAATTCACTGATGGGGCCAATCCCCGCGACGCATTCCAGCCTTCCGTCGTGCCAGGTACCGTTAAGGATGCCTTCTTGTATCCGTCGGCTTTCCTGGATCTGTAGGTTATGTCTTTCTTCCGATTCGAATCTTTCCTTGAGGTCAGAGCGCTTAGCGTCCGCGGCCCTTTTCAGGCCTTGTGTGACTACCCCCAGGATTTGCTGCAGTTGGTCCGGAAGAGAGCTGGTCAGCCCCACTGCAGGGAAGTGAGCTAATCGTGATGCTTGGAGAAAGGAAGTGGTACAAACCCTTCTGGCCGATGAGACCAACGCTCGCGAGGTCGATCAGATTGCCCATGGAATTGAATAGAGTGAAGACGGGCCAATAACCTGTCTGATGAGCCAGTTCATTAACTAGCTGGCTGTCTGAGCCTGCTTTCTGGAGCATACGGCAGTCGATATACAGAACGTTTCTGAAGAGCATTTGAGATGGGATACCAGTCATCTCATCTCGACTCACCTGTCGTACTCGGACAGAACAGTCCTCACGAGAGTGGACTTTCCGCTACCTTGCGGTCCGTGCATAAAGGCAATGGAAGCTGTGGAACATTAGTGACATTGGATGAGAATGTCGTGTCACCACTCACAGGGAACGTCGTTGAGATAGTTCTTCAGAGAATCCTGCGCTGCAGATCGTTCCTTCCACACATCTGTAATTGGGACGTCGTCTCGAGGTGGCTGGGATAGTCTATCCAATGTATTGGCTCTAAGCCACTTGTATAGATTGTACTCTGTCGCGGAAGGGTAAGCCAAGGAGGCTTCTTGGTAAAGCAACGAACCCTACGCTTGTAGTCGAACCAATCCAATAGCTTTCCCTGAACCATCACTGAACGTATGGGGTCAAAGATCTATCCTTTTGGTCAGTTGATTCTTCATATATTGCTTGTGGGCTCACAGTGTAAGTCAACGAGCCCAACAGGAACACAATAATGGGGAGAATTATCTTTGGGTGCTTTGACATCCAATCGCGAACGGCATGTGCCTGAATAGGCTTCTGATAACCTGTTCTAAGGGTCGTTGTCTTGGTATCCTGAGCCTCCGTATCCAGTCCATAGAGGACGTTCCGTGCAATAACGGCTGAGCGAACGTGGCTGTAGGTGATTAACGCTGAACGTGGAGTGCCCGCAGGAACCGAAGTGGGGAGTGCAATGTCCTTGATACGTCCGTAGGGCCTGAAGAGGTGGTACAAGACGCGTTCTGGAACGTCTGGTCCTTCAAATGTGACCTTGACAATGTTCGACGCGTATCTGTTCATGTCCTAAACATGCACAGTGAGAATCTTTGTGGTCTCGTTCCGAGTTGCACATGAGGCCGCACCTCCCTCCATGTTTGACCTCTGACAAGCCAGGCATTCCCGGCAGAGACACCAGTCCAGGTTGGGAAGCCACCATGCCTATTGGCCTCCTCCCGTACACTCTCCTCGATCTCTTGTAGGGCAGTGGAATCAGGCTGCTCCGCTGGTTCCGTGTACGAAAACCGAACGTATACACCGCCATCCTTGGGATGCGGTTCTACGTCAATCACTTGAAAATTGTGTTGCTTCACATTAGTCAACTTCGAAAGGACACTGCTGAGGAGAAAGTCCTGTCGAAGTAGGCCAACATAATACCGAACACTGACCCCCGTGGTTAACATATGGCTAAAGCACGATGCTCTGAACTCACTCCCAGGTGCCCAACTTGACTGGGAATACGGAATCAACAAAAAGCCATGCTTCTCTCCTGTTCACTGGGACCGTCGCTATCCAACGTCGTTGCAGCGCTGAGCGGAGCATAAGAAAGAGTAACAGAGACGTCACTGCGACGGCAAGGCCAATATCTACATCACCTTCGGGCCGCCGTGATCCGTTATCACCGGGTCGCGCCAAAAATTGGCGGACGCGTTCTATTTTTAGCTCTCCGCCCGACCAGTGCCAACGAAATGCCGACCTCTGCAATTATCCACACAGCCGTCTTTACTGCGGGAGCCCTGGTTGGCGGTGGTATTGCTGCTGCCATTAGCAGTAAAAGGAATGCATCTGCTGCACCTCAGCCGCCCCCACCAGCCAAACCTGTCATTGAAGTCGATGGTGGTCGCGCAAAGGTATCCAATGAGGTTGCGGTCGTTTCGACACAGATTTTACCGCCTGCTCTCAGAAATGGGCACCCAGGTATGGTCTCTGTCCCCCTGATGCGTGAAGTGGACTGACCAGGGTACAGGTCCCATATCAGATTTGTTGGTACGCAGAGCTTATGTCGCCGGGTACGATCGCCGCCTGAGGCATCCTTCATGGGTACGTGGACGCTGCCATCCAACGGGGACTTGTAAATAACGCGCCATTTAGACCGCAGAGCACATTACGAAGGCCTCACTTGCACCTGGCTCATCTGCAGACTCTGGCCCTGTCGACCGTTCAAAGTCTGCTTTCATCGAGGACGAGTCGATACCATCACCCTTCCGAGCCAAGCTACAAGACTACTTCAGAAGTGGATATGACCGAGGACATATGTGTGTACCTCTGAACCACGAATGGACCTAATTCCTGATCGTCTTGCTCCAGGGTACCTGCCGCCGACGCGAAGTCTTCTCAGGAAGCCATGGATGAGACCTTCCTCTTGACCAACATCGCACCTCAAGTAGGGGACGGTTTCAACCGCCATTGTACGTCGCCATCCCCATCGTCTCTCGAGGTCGTCAGTTAAAACATTTGGCAGACTGGGCTTATCTCGAGGACTGGTGCCGCCGCTTGACCAACACCTTCCAAGACGTTTACGTCTTCACTGTGCCTCTTTACCTTCCCAAACTTGACCCAGACGGCAAATATCGCATTGTGCGTGTATCATTATCACAACATTACTTGCTTGCTCATTCGAATACTCCCTATTCAGACTCACGAAGTTATTGGATCCCCACCTAACATCTCTGTGCCAACCCACTTCGCTAAAGTCGTGCTGACCTCCAAGCCTTCTTCCCCATCGACTCCCAACATTCCCGAACTCTCCCTGGGTGCCTTCGTCCTCCCCAACGCAGTCATAAAAGATGAAGCACCTCTGGAAGGCTTCGTTGTGCCAGTGGAGGCCGTTGAGAAGGCCGCTGGTTTAACACTGTTCTCTGACCAGATCAAGTCGGGCGCCAAGCATATTTGCAAAACCACCAAGTGCGAGGTCATCGTGCGCCGATTCGATGACGCCCGCAAGAATACCAAAGCTATCGCCACACCCAAGAAGTAGTTTAACATTGCATGCTTCTCATATTACACTTCCCTTGCGCATCATACCCATCTTCCAGTCTGAGACTTGGCTGGGAGTCTGTACAGTGCTTTTCAAAATTCAGAGCCGGCTGCATATAACCGTGAAACAATGGCATTCTACCCATGTTGGTTGTGCACACAAAGCCGCGAAAGGCTGAGAAGAAAAGAAAAGTAAAGGTCTCTTCTACAGTTCAATAAAACAATTTTACAACACGGTTATCGAACGCAGTTCAAACGCGAAAATAAACAAGTGAAAGGAGAAGGGAACATTGTTGATACAGTACAGGATGCAGTTGTAGTGACCCAGATAGAAATAACAGATGTGTGCGAAGATAGCAAGGAATTACAGGAAGAGGGAAGTCTACTCTTGAAAGACATTGAAGTCCGATATGAATTATCATCACAAATGGTGAGCAACGCTCTCCAAAAGCACAGTGACTTCAGGGGCGATGCGGACGAATGGTTTGCTCCAGAAGTCGTATTTAGGGTTTCGAAGGAGCTCGATGAAGGTGACGAGGGCTCCCCAAGGGTGAGGGCGATGGACGATGAAGCGTTCCAAGAGAACCTTGGTCATGATTTCTCTGAAACGATCGTCCTTGACTTCGAGGAAGAGGTGGAGTAACAAAGAGCTGAACCAATGGGTGTGGGCGTTGGGGTATCGTAGGTGGAGGATGATGGAGCTGAGAAGATGGTGTTGCCCTACAGTACGGTGGAATCAGTATGTCACAGAAGGGATGGATTGACAGAGGACAAACCTTCGTTGTCCAAGTTGGTCGCCAAATATTGCAAAGCAACTGCTCCCGGATCGCTCGCGACGAAGAGAGAGGAACCGCTGCGCGCTTTGGCCTGGGCTACTGAGGACACACCGATGTACATGACAATAGCGTTGATGAGAGACAAGTTGTAGGACTCGGGTGCTCCATCAACCGGGGCAAGCTTCAACTTGTCCTTGAGCTGGGACAAGAATGCAACACTGCTGCGACTGAGAAGGTACTGGTCGAGGTGGTTACGGAGATCCCCAGTGCGGAGAGCAGATGTGAAGTCGGACAAAATGGGTGGAATGGGACCCATTTCGGGAAGCGACTCGAAGGATACGTTACGGAGATGGGGATCAGGAAGTACCACGGCTGCAGGGAAAGCGCTGAGGATGATGTTCCGGAGCTGGACGCAACGAGGAGGGATGATGTCGCATAGGGTGAAGTAATATTCACTCAGGAAATCCGGGAAGTCGTGGAGAATGACGAGGAGGAGGCGAAGTACGCCGCGATAGAGGTCCCGTTCTGCTTGTCTCAAGTCTCCTTCTTTTAAGAAAGGAGCGAGGAACTTGAAAAGAGATAACAAGAGCTTGTGGAAAGCGGACCAGCCCTAACAAAACGGTGAACAGGCGAATCAATTGGAGTAAACATGAACTGACCTCGCGGTTTTCAGAAAGAAGCAGCCTGGGCATGAACAGGCGGTGGGAAATCAGACACATCCACGAGAATGCGAACCCAGGGAAATAAGTGGGTTGCAAGGAGCTATACGTGTCACTAGAAGACGGTCAGCATTATATCCGTAGTGGTAGCAATGGACTGTACCTCAATGCAAGCAACAGCTGGAAGTAAACGGGCCCAAGGCTGCCTTCCACCGAATGGAGATCGTTCACCAAAGTGGAGAAGAAGCGGAAGAAAGGCTTTGGCTGGAACTCTGGGCCTTGTTCCTCGTGCATATTGGCGAGGACGAGAACGAAGATCGACAAGATCTTGGTGAAGTAGTGAACTTTAGCCTGCTCGTTGTTGACTCCAGAGGCATCGCCATGGTACTTGATGATGTAAACGATGAGCCTGGAGAAAGCATCAAGGGCTTGGAAGGCGTAGTCAAACTCTCCGGTAGCGATGCACTTGATGTAAACGGCGACACTGGCTTCGGTGCAGACGCGGAAGAAGAAAGACGAAACATCTTCGACCTTCAAGATCCCTTGCTTGGTGAGTGAAGTAATGAATGGGACGAATGCTTTCTCTGGCGACGGGGTCCTCTGGAAAATAGCAACCCATTGGTGGAACCACTGGTGAAGCTTCTCGCGCAATTGCTCTGTCTCGGGTTTCACACCTTGACGAAGGGCAATATCGGCAGACCTCCTCCCGCCTCGCAGATCTTCAAGCAAAAGGTTTATCCTACCAGCATTAAATCAGCCTGGCACGCCTCACATGGTGGAGAAAGGACATACTCTTCTGTAGCCTTACCCATGGCAGATAACTGACGCATGACCTCGATCGAAAATTGGAAGTTGCTCTGAGGCAAGGCTGGTACGTCTCCGGTGAGTGCCTCGCGGATCAAGCCAACGGCATAGGCAACCAGGTTTGGTCGCGCATTTGTGAAAAGCGATTTGGCTAGCTGCTGGTCGTGAAGGGTTGGGTTGATCAAGCCGCTTCGCAAGAGGGTGATCGTGACAGGGATGTTGTACTTGCGCTAAAGGGGTGTTAGAGCACTGATGTATGCGAGATCACCGAAGAGGACTGACCTCATCTTCCGCATACAGCAGCCAGTTGATAGCCTCTTTAGCGACCTCCTCAAAGCTCTGGCACAATTGCTCCAGGATAGCAATGTAGACCTCACGTCCAAGTTGAGATGGGGTTTTGTACAATAGCTGGACGATCTTCTGTGAAATCATGAGAGGGCTGCGCTCACGATCCGCGGCTTCTTCGGCAAGCATGAGGACCCTAGATACCAGCACGCGGATGTCGTGATTGGCAGGCAAAGCAGCGAGGGATTGGGCGGGAATTTGGACAACGACGGCTTCGAGATCTCGAGTATGGGACTATCGACCAGCAGTCAAATAAGGGAAGTCAAGTAACAGGTGCAGACTTACAGCAAAACGCTCCATGACCTCTGGATGGGTAAGGCCACCACCACCAACGCTGGGAGAACGGATATAAACGTCTGCTCCAGGCCTTTGTTCGGTAGCTGTGAAAGACATTAGACTAGGGCCCCTTGATGAACATGATGACATACCGAAATCCTCGTAAACACTGAGCTGCTGAGGTTGCAAACCGCTCAGTTTGATGCGAAGAGGGTCTGGGAGTGTGTTGGTAAAGGTGGAACGGGGTGCAGCAGGGTCCCAGAACGGTGCAGCCGGTCTCGTCTAATGCAAGAATAAGTATTGGACAGAGCTTTACTCTAAGAAGAACGAACCTCTCTGTGGCGCCTTCTGATTTCATACGACTGAGCAAAGCTTTCGTCGATGTCGACAGCAACCCTATCCATGGCCGCTTTCTCGATGGTATTACAGGCAATGTCAAGGTTGTCTTGAACAAGGATTTGTACAACGGCGTCAGGGACATGTTGCTACATATTCGTTTAGATCATATGGTTGACAGCGAATAGCCAAAGGTGACTTACTTCGGTAAATCCATGTTCATTGAGCGCTTGCCGGAAGTGGGCAGCGAGGTTGGTCTTCAAGGGCTCCTTGCAGGTGACGAGTGCGAGGCTACCAGCGAGTTTCTGAGCCATGACGTGGCCTGCTCGCCTGAGCTTCTGCTCATTGGGCTCTGAGGCAAAGTCCTTTACGACCAGCTCGGTGGTGGAGATCCCAGCAATGGTAACAGAGCGTTCAACAACAGGGACAATAATCTGAAAATACTGTCAGGCAAGAAAGACGGCTGGAGGACGAGGCTTACCTCGCGGACGGCACGATCGATGGCGAGTCGAACTGCACGGTTAAAGGTAGGGTTGACATTGAGAGGGGACAATTGAGGATTGATTTGAGCGTTGTTACTCAGAGCGGCGAGGAGCGACTCAATGGCTAGAAAGATTGGTCGGTCTGGGGAAAACAATAACTGTAGCAGTCGAAACCCTACCTAGTTGATTGACACCCTGTTGTTCAGCGCTGATTGAAGCATGATCCATCTCCGCCGGGAACTCTTGAAGTGTATGTGTGGTCAACTCCAAAGGCCGGTTGCGCAGGATGGTGGTGGCCTCGATCGCATCCAAGTCAATCTCCAAACCTTTGCAAAGGACCTCGATCTCGAACTTGAGGTTGAGTTTAAGGTCGGCAAAATGGTACAACTCCACCAACAGGCTGAGCACGGCCATCAACCATGGGTTGGGAGGTTTGAAGACACGGGACTTGGCGCAAGGTTCCAAGGTCTTGCAGACAAATGGAATCGCGACGACGAGGCGGCCGCTGTCGAATCCTTCCATAAGAAGCTCCTTGAAGGACAAGTTCTTGTGCTTGATGGGCTTGTCGCGCGCAAGAGTGATGGTTCCGAGCCAAGAACCAATGTTTTTGAGGGTGTTGCGTTCTGAGCCAGATTGCATGGCCTTCTCCGAGTTCAGGAGGGCAGCTGCCTTGACAAAGGTTTCTTGAAGGATGAACTTGTTGAGGGGCTTCTTGTCGAGAGAATCGAGGAATCGAAGATACAGCGGATGATTGTTGGGCTCGGTGCTGACACGCTGATCAACGAGATAATTTGCAAACCAGCGGGAATATTGGTCGACAAATTGCTCTCGCATTTCCTTCAGCTTCACCTCGAAGTTACTTGGAGCCAAGTTGTTGACGATGAACAGGATCTTGTCACTGATTTCTTCCGGGGGTACTTCGAGTTCTTCTTCCATTGGATCGGGTTGGATAGCTGTAAAGACAGGAAGCGCCTCGATTCCACCTCCACCCCCGCCGACGGTACCAGAAAACGGATCAGCGGTGCCAACGTTTGAAGCAAGCGCACGTTGAATAGTCTGGATCAGTTCTGGAGACGTTTCTGCCAAAGCGGGAATCCTGAGCAAGGCTTCGCAAAGCGGTCGCCATTCCACCAATCTGAACTCAAAGCGACCAAGGGCCTGCCTGCCGAATCTGAAGAGGTTCGTCTCTGGGGGACAGTTGAGGGCGTCAATGATATAGCGGATAGCGATGCCCAGCGGGATATAGTCAATGAGCTTGTGCTGAATGAGGGAGCCGAAGAGGTCAGCAGTCATTTGCAATTCGCGGGCGGGATAATAGGACTGGAAGAACTTGTACTCGTCGAAGAGGAAGTGGATCATGCAGGAAAAGACTTCGTGATCATGGGTGTTTGAGGATTCCTTGTACTGCTTGAGCATCTGAATGACTTGGCCGACCGTAATGACGTCGTCGTACATCTGCTTGTAGATGGAGTCGACTTCCGTTTCGATCTCATTGGAGTAGTTGACCACGGTGAGCCCTGGTTCGACTTCTGCTCCAGGCATGAGGCTCATGAGTCGGGGGTGGATTTGCAAACAAGCATTTCGGACTTCGATCGAAGCTTCGACATCTGCTTCAGTCATAGCACTTGAGCTGAGGATATCACGTTAATAACTGTTCGACCAAGACCAAGACATCGAGGTGCGCAACTCACTTGTTACGAAGAACCCGGAGGATAATAGTGATGGTGTTTGGACTGAGAGTCAAGGTACGGCTCTCGACGGCAGGATCAGACAAGCGAGAGACCTTCTCGCTCTCCATCTTCTGCTGCAAGAACAGAATGACGGAGCGCAAGAAATCTTCACCATGATTCGCGACATTGTCCGCAAGCCATTTGTCCAGATTGAGATATTCCCGACGAGACGCGAGAGCGGCGACGTCAAGGGCAAACGTAAATGGTTTGACTTCCAACAGGGCATCAAGAATCTAGGCTAGTGTCAGAAAAAAGTGACCATCGATGCACTGCGTTCACTAACTTTCAGGTCTTGCGCGACATCCAAGATCCTCGTAATGTTCAAGTTGTTCTCCTCATAGAACTCGCGGAACGCGTTGGTGAGATAGTTAGGCTTGATCTGCCAAATACGCATGAAGACCAATTGATGGTTGGGATGGCCGGCAAGGAACATCGCCAACAACTTCCTGGAGTACTCCAGCCGGATTTCGTTCCATTGAGGTTCCTAAATGAAAGGTCAGACTCAAACTTTGAATTTATTGACAATTGAACTCACCGGAACTTGGAGCAGGCCCATCTGTACGATTTCGGCGCTGATCTTGATGGCTTTATCAAGCATCTCTCTTACGCAATTACGAATTTCTTGCGACTCCGAATCGGCCAACTTGACAAGGATTTGGAAGAGCTCGAGCGAGTTCCATGTGTACCCTTGGACATTCAAGGCCAGGGATCGGATGGTCGGAGTTGCACCGGAGACATCATCGACAGTGACGATCCTCTTGCCAGGAAGCGAGACAAAGTTGAATGTGTCGCCAGGCAGCGAGAGAAGAGCGTCGAGGAGCCTCAGCTGATAGAGCGGATTAGACCAAGGTTCCCAGAACCCAGCAACGGCGTGAGGCTCTTGATCCCGAGGGGCGTTTAGTAAAATAGCGATGAGGAGCTTGAGGGTAGGGGTGTCAACAGTTGATCGATCTGGACGGTCAAAGGTCTTGATAGCGGCAGGCCAGTTCAAATTGGCACGCTAAATTGATGGATAAGACTCAGCGAGACAGGAAGAATTGAACTCGATACATACATAGCTTGCAAGTGTGTGAATCAACACAGAAGCGTCCGGGACATTTGTGCCTTCTGCGATGAGGCGTCCGAGCGCCGATACAATTTCGACGAGTTGAGCGTCATGAGGTGGGTTGGCATCCGAAATGTCGAAGCGCTGCAGGAGGCCATGCATCGCGTCCCGATCGCTGGTTATTTCAGATCCAAGTTGGACGAAGGTTTGGACGAGAGTAGCAGAGGATGACAAGCTGCCAGCAAACCGTAAATCACGGATTCAGACCAAACCAACAGAAAATCGAAACGGACCTTAAATTAGCGAAGAGCGCAGGTAGAATGGGAGCAAGTGCTTCTTTGCCGTATTTTGTTTGGAAAGTCATGATAAGGGCGAGTCGTTGGGGGGTGGTGAGAACAGGGGGTTCCGCAGAGCAGTCGACGAGGAGGTTTGAAAGGATTTTGGCGGCTTGGTTGAGGGTGAGATCTGATACTTCAAAGCAGTTGGGACGACAGAGGGCTACAACGGCGTTGTCGAACTCGAGCTGGATGAGGTTTATGGCCTGGGTGACGAGTTCCTGTCGCGTACGACCTGCGACAATGGCGGAGGCGAGAATCAGGCGTTCGTGTGGACGCAATCCCACGCGATCGACGAATCGAATGAGATCAAAGTGTCTGAAGATGTCTCCTTCGCCACCGCCTACACCGTCTCGGAAGCGTTCCGCAAGAAATGGGTCGCGGGCGAGGCGTTGAGTCTCTTGAACGAGCAAGCGAAAGGTTAAAGCGGTTGAGGCGTCGACAGCTGCAGCAGGCGTTGCGGTCGTGCGAGATTGCGAGTGTACGATGAGGCGTCTAATGAAATGCAGGTAGGTGTCTACGCCATGCTGCTCTGAGAGCTGTAGAATGGATTTTCGTCCAAGTTAGCGAGCCAGCAGCGGTCAGAAGTGCGTAAAAACGATAAGCACGGCGACGACATACCGAGCGTATCTCCAGCTGATTTCTTTCAAAATTCTCGTCGGTGAGAGTTGATAGCAGAAAAACGATCTGCGCCTTGACTATGGTATGGATGTTAGTCGTCGGCGGGTTGTCCATGTGGGACGACCTGGATGGGGTCACCGAACGACGAACCCCGCTGCCAGGACCTGTCGCCGTTTTTGAAGAGATATTGGGGGAAATTTGGGAGTACAACGTTCAGAAGGCCGCCCCCAACACGGTTTGTCAGTGCTGCAGAGTGGCCGCGAGCTTCGTTCTCAGAACGTTTGGTTCTTTTCCATGGCGCTGACTACATATCTCCGCTTATATATTCAAGCTCCGATTTAACAACATTCATATGCTTGTCCGCACGCTGATCAATTGCAACACACCACTCTACAGCTATAACAGATGATATGGTAAAGACGTTACATACGACCTTATCTTCGGTACACCTTGGACAGTACGAATCCTGAAGAGAATAGTAGCAATCCAAAAAGGTAAAATATTCTCCCTTCCTTGTGTATGTCTCCTCCAGAAAGCAAGTTTCGCAGTGGAAGGAACAGCAATCCAACCAAGAAGTTGGCGATCCCTGAGAAAAGGTCAGAATTATACACATACAGCCCCTGAACCCCTTACAATTGAGAGAAAGGGCGACAGAAGACAGCGCGGAAACAGCCTAGATAATAATTAGCACCGCTTTGAAATTCTACAGTCCTTAAACGCACTCGAGGAGGGGATACTTCCGGTAGAATAACGAATGGAAGCGGACCAAGGCCGATCTGTGGTAGGAGTCAGGGGATGTACAAAACACTGAGGACTCCCTTACAGCGAACGACCTATGGGAGGTGTGAATGGTGGAGGCTGAGAGTCATATGTATAGTACGCACATTATGAACGTTAGTATAGTGACGCTTGAGACAGTCAATGATCCACCATTCAGGCCAAACCCAAGTGAAAGGAGTGAGAAGATGGCGCCCAGAATAGAGACTGTGAGTAACTGCCGTCGGCCCATTCGCTAGCAACCGGGGTAAGCATAATAGTGAACACTTCGATAGAATCAAGTAACTCACCTCAATCAAAATGATAGGCGGGAATGTCATGAGGACATTCACGATGGTGATCCCCAATGAGAGATAAGGTCCGAGCGAAGGGAAAGACTTGGATAAAATATCGTTACTGTAGTACAAAACTGGGAGAGCGTGTTCAAAGAATCTTCTTTCTGCTTTTCGAAGGACTCACCAGCATTGATTCCTAGGTATGTGTTAGTCTGTTTTTCCATGGGACTCGAGGATGGCATATTCACCTGATATTTGCTGAGAGAACATAGCGAAGCAGACGATAAGCAGTGGTCGACGGAACTCGAGTGATTTGAAGAGCTGTGGGATCTTCACGGTTTTCTCGCGCTGGTCCGGGAGGGCTGGAGAGTCATCCCTTGCATTGCCCTCTTCCAAGAGCGGTTCATCTGTGAACATGAGTCAAACGACAGGGCCCCAACCAAGTCAAACCACTTACATCCGCCAGAGCCCCAGATTTGCGAGGCAACTTTCTTTCTCTCCTCTTCTCTCCCCTTGGAGTGGAGCCAGGCAGGAGACTCTGTCATGAACGGACTCGCGAAGAACTGGCCAAGAGCAAGAGACGAGGAAAAGAATAGCACGTATCGCCATTGACTCTGAGTTGCAAATCGAAGCCCAATGATCTGGGTGGTCATTATGCCCAACACGATACCCAACTGTGTGAGCACACCTGAGAGGCTGCGTCATTACTGATAGCACTCCGTAACTAGAGATGCACTCGCCAACATTTCCACTGATACGAGTAGGGGATATTTCCGCGATGAAGATCGGCCCTACGCACAAACCAATGCCAGAACCGATTCCGATTAGGAATCTGTGAGAATGAGTTCAGTGGGGGGTAAAGATAATATTGCCAGTACAGTACCTTCCCAGCGCCAGGAATAGAATCGAACCGCTAAGAGCCATCAATCCTGCGCCGACAGCGATGGCACCTGCACAGATCCTCAACGCTCCTTTGCGGCCATAACTGTCCATAACAAGGTTGGCTATGGCGCTTCCAGCCAGACCGCCAAGGGTGAAGATTGCGGTGACCAAGGAGAACGCAAAGTCCGACATTTGAATGCATGGTGGAAGACCAAATGACAAAGGAAGGAGGTCAGTTGGTCGATTGTTGCACGTTAGCACTGCTTGGATTTGGTTCAACGCTGATATGTGGTAGCCGTACTGGATTCGTCCCTGTTAGACTGGCACAAGCTCAATTGACTGTATAGAGCCAGACCTGGAACGCAATGAGCAGAATCCAGAAGCACACCGTCCACCCGTATCTTGTGAAGGAGTCACCCGTTGCTGGACGGGTGGTGGCTGTTGGCATGGTTTATTATTTGTTGAGCTTGATGGACTGGAGAGTTAGAATTGCGGACTGCAGAGTTTGACCTGTGGAGACAGGAAGGACGTATACTGCACACGACGCGGGGTGACCGTGTTGCCAAGACTATTGGCCGAAAGGTTGCCGCCGCTGATGGCCACTAGTCCGACAGCGGAAGTGAGCTCAGGACGCTTGCCTCCCCGCCCATCGCCCCACCCCAGCCTCTCTGTGCATCCTGGTCGAGGTGTATTATCGCTATTCAGGGCTCTGATTGCCATGACTACTACTACATGGCTGTATGCAGAATCAAAGCCTAGGTTGGTTGGTGCGGGCATGCCAAGCCGATCACACAGGGTTACGTGGTTCTTCCCGTGTCAAAACGGTCTCCAAAGCTTGTGGAAGCGGGCCCTTTTCTCTCGAAGAGAATACCGTTTATTCCAACTGCAGGATTGAACATGTCCAATGGTACGTGTTGTTTGGTGACTTCCGATGGTTTACTGGGTTTAGCGACTTGGCTTGTTCGAGCGGAAGTTAGGATGGAGTGACATAAGAGGGTGCGGCGGTATCCAGCCGGAGACGGGAGCATTACGGCTACAAAGTTCTGGAGGGCGACGAAGCATATGGGCTCGGACAAGACACCGTTGAAATTATTTGAAAAAGGTTGGTTCAAGGTAGGAGCACGAATCCCTCTCTTCGGGAACCATGCCTTCTTCAATGGAAGAATGTGGGCAGTTGGGCGAGCGTGATACCCCACATCAAGAAGTCAAAGTTTCGGCGCCTAAGCGGAACGAGCATTCATGAGTATTTGTGGGCCAGCTTGTCTGCCGGAAGCAGACATCGACATCAGCCGCCATTTATAACTCTTTTCCCAGTGTCCCATGTGAGAATTCATCCGACACACTCTGCCCGGCCATCTCTTCCTTCCTACCACCATCTCCAAATTGACGACAGCCCGTCCCGACGTCGTCAGCGACAGCGACGAACTCATTTAAACGCTGCTCGCCAGCTTTTCCCCTTACTTTCGTTTAACTCTGACCACCGCTCCTTACCCCCCACCACCATGCTCTCATTTACAAACCTATACTTTTTAATCGCCTTTGCAACTTTGGGATACGCTGCCACTGCTGATGAGTGGAGAAGTCGTTCCATCTACCAGTAAGTCAATAAAATCAATTTCATTTGATGACCATGCTCAAACTTCTCCTTTCCGCACAGACTTCTTACAGATCGCTTCGCCCTGCCTCCGGGAACTGAACCCATCGAGTGTGACACAGGGAGGCAAACGTTCTGCGGGGGAACCTGGAATGGGTGCGTTCAAACAGCTATCTCGCCCGCGCAACTTGCTCACCTTCATTTCCCGCAGAATCCGCGACCGTCTTGATTACATCCAGAATGCCGGTTTCACGGCGAGTACGTCCTTTTGTCTTTCGGATCTTCACCTTTCTTGAACGGAATGCCCAGTCTGGATAAGCCCCGTCCACAAAAACTATGAAGGACCGCGAACACCTTACGGTGATCCATACCATGGCTATTGGGTCACAGATATCACACAGCTCAACAGCAAGTTTGGTACATCCGAGGACCTCCATGCTCTCGTCGACGACCTGCACAAGCGTGGCATGTGAGCATCTCTCAGTCGTTTCCCATACCACAACTGTCTCAACCTTCCTCCTTCGAAAGGTACCTGATGGTTGATATTGTAGTCAACCACGTCATGACCACTTCGACGACACCCGACTACGAGAACTCTGAATTCTTCTTTAAGGACGCTGTAAGCTACCCGCTGTGTACGATTTTCATTTGCGATTTACATGAGCCATCGCCAGTCATTCTATCATCCCTATTGTCCCATCGACTACAGCAACTCGACAAGCGAACAAGTATGTTGGATGGGAGACGAGCAGGTACCCCTCGCGGACGTCGACACTACCAATCCAACAGTCATTCAACGTTATGGAGAATGGATCGAAGCGTTCGTCAAGGAGTACAAGATTGATGGTTTACGTATCGATGGTAAGCGCCGCTCAACTCCGCCTACCCAGTCAGTTGCTTATATTTCCCGTTCCAGCCGCAAAGTATGTGTGCCGTTACGCTGAGTTTTAATGCCCGGACGCGTGACACTCACCAATCTGGTTTGCACCTTGTAGACACGTCCAGGCTGACTTTTGGCCCGACTTTTGCGGCAAGGCTGGCGTTTTCTGCATGGGCGAGGTCTTCGGTGGAGCTGAAGTGGAGTAAGCCGACTGGACCTCTTTGTCGCAAACCTCACTTAAAGTCATTCAACAGCCCTGTTGCGCAATGGCAAGGTCCATTAGACTCTGTGCTCAACTTCCCCATGTACTCGGCTATTCGAGATGCATACGTTATTCCTGGCCCAGCCAATGTGACTGGTCTCGTAGATGTCTTTGAGGAGTCAAAGGCGAAATTCAAGGCATGTCGCCTTCCCTTCCCTTTCCGCTCTTTCGTTGTCCTAACTCCCTTCTCCCTGTAGGATTTGACCCTGGTTGGGAACTTCCTGGAAAACCACGACGTTCCTCGATGGCACAACTTGTCTGTGGACCCCCAGAGTCTATAGTAGGTGACCCGCGATCAGACTTCCAAAATGCCTGACTAACTATGGTTAAAGTAATGCCATGGCTTGGAATTTTATGACGGAGGGTATTCCTGTGGTCTACTATGGTCAAGAGCACGGTTTCAGCGGCCTCGGCGATCCTGTGCGTTTATTTTTCCTTCCCTTTACCGGAATCCTTACCTACACTTTTTCAGCACAACCGTGAGGCACTCTGGCCCAGCGGTTATGCCAATTCCACCGCCTACGAATATATCACCATGCTCAACATGCTTCGCAATCACCTCATCAAAACTACGGACTGGCTTCAACAAGAGACGACAATTCTCACTTCTGGTCCTCATGGTGTAGCATTCATCAAGGGGTCTGTGATTTCTATCTTGACGACCATCGGTTCTCCCGTAAGTTTTCCTCTCTTATTCTTACCTTATTTATTTTCTCTGTGGTCATTTCAATCATTCAAAAATGGGGGAAACGGACTTCTGAACTGATTGAAACCTCAAATAGCCCCAAGTCGGTACCCACATCTCTGCGAAGACGCCATATGCTTCTCAGACGCCTCTTACCAAGTGAGTTTTGACATAGACTTTCCATCAATAGTTTCTGACGGTGTTCGCCTCTGCCAGCGTGGTCACTTGCCAACAGTGGGTGGTAGGAGCCGGTGGTTCCGTTGACGCCCAGTATTCTCTCGGTGGTGTCCCCGTCATTCTGGTACCAAGCAGCCAACTCAAAGGATCGGGACTATGTGGCGAGGAGTTGGTCGAGATCGACGAAGCTGGTGGCCGGGCTGACCCTTTGAAAGGCTCTGCTTCTGGGTTGCTTGCTAGTCGACCTGGCCTCCCTGTGACTGCTCTAACTGCTTTTACATTCCTCTTCGCGATGCTTAGTTCTTAATCCCTAAACTTTCATTTGGTGCAGGGGTTCTGGATCTATGTGGCGATTTTTTAGGGTATCTTCATTCGGCCATGTGTATCCATAGGAGCACTTCTGACCGTGTATGGTCGTGGACTTTCTTAATCTTCCCTGATTACATATAGCCGTTGGGTGCTTCTGGCGTAGTTAGTTATATACACGGACAATCTGTATTTTAGGACCCCTAGCGCAACTTACATTACTAATTTCAAACCGAGTCGAACAGATAAATAATCCGAAGTGGCCATTTGTGATGCGGAACGACGAATTTGAGCATCTGTATGAGTAGCCTTCGGCACCCGGCGATTATGAATGGGCGCAGTCTGGGATAAAGGGTCATGAGGTCGTTTCGAACATTAGATTCGACAAGAAGATATGATACAAAAATGAGGCAAGAGTAGTCGGGTGTTCATGACTGATCACCGTCTGGGCCACCCTGAGATACATATGAACAAGGAGAACCCCTGAAAGAGAAGAACGCAAACCACGCACAAATGAAACGTAGTCCGGGCTCTCGCAAGCCTTGTATTCCTTTAACAACTCGTCGCATGTTGCGCTGCGGATGAAGTGAGCATATGAATTGTGCACAATGAATCATGTACAAACCGAGCGTCGTCAAACTCTTCCAACCCATTGGCGAACATCTTTTCCTTCTTGTATTGTTCAATGAAAGCGTTCCTTTTTCGTAGTCGGTCGAACTGATCCAGCATGCGTTTGAATAGCTTTTTTCAATGAAAGAAGGGATTACAGTAGCATATTATTAACGGGATCTCATCCGGAATGAGGGGATAGGGATGTGCGTACCGATGCAACGCTGGTATGGTTGGCCAACATCAACCCGCTCACTCTGTGGTTAGTCGTAACATAGGGTGACCTCTTTGTCAGAGCCACTTGGATCGAAGCTGGACCCCACGGAATAAAGTTGGCTAGTTGTCGTTCTCGGATCCGCAGCAGGGATTGGTGGACCTAGATATCCTATTCGGTCAGCCAAAACTGTGAATACACGAAATGAAGGGAACAGACGTCTGTAGGATCAACTTCGCCTTGGATGATGTTCAGAATAGAGATGTAGCAGGCTGTCTTGCTAGGTGTTGTTAGGACCATTCGGTTCTTTGGTTGGAGGAGGCGGCGCATCACGTCGAGCACTGTTGTTCTCCGAATGGTTTTGGCCTATTCGTATTCCTAGGTTAGTGTGTTGCACGAGGATGATAAATGAGATCCGCACTTTGTCAATTTGATCGCTAGTAAACGGGGTATAAGAAGTCATAAGGAAGTGGCATCGAGGTGTGGGTATCAGGGAGGCGATAATGCCAACGAGGTCATTGTTCATATAACCGGGATATCGAAGTGTCTGCGTGCTTGCGGCAATTACGGTTGAGACCTTCAATGGCCTGTAAGTCGTACATTTGTTACAGCCAGGGAGAATTAACATACCAGTTGGTTAGTCTGGTCAAACGACGGCGTTTGCACGTGCAGTCGATCTGCAGATATCCTAGCCAAGGCACCGTTATCAAGCACGACCACAGAGTCTGCATGATTCACTAGACGTTTTAGGGCGAGAAGGGAATTGTAGGGTTGCACAACGACGTCTCCTTCCTGCGCGTTTGGGAAGACGCTGTATGTTTGGATGAGTTTCTTCGGGAATTTGTCGTTTAGGCGTTCGAGGAGGAAAGAGCCTAGGCCTGAGCCTGTTCCTCCTGCTATCGAGTGCATCACCATGAAGCCCTTGGTATATGGTGTGAATATATGTGATTCTGAGAGAAGAGGAGGGGAGGTACCTCTAATGAGTCGCTGCCTTCTGCTTCGCGGTCAATCATTTCCATGATATCTTCGTAGATACGTTCTCCAGCCGAGTATCCCTGTGCCCAGTTGTTTCCTGCACCACCACCATCTTTTGATACAAAAATATTCTCTGGATTGTAGAGGTTCGCATACGGTGATGCGAGGATGTTGTTGATCACCTAGTCTGAAATTCTTGAACACATTCCAAGCCAATGTGGGCAAACACGTACTCGAGGTTCGAGATCCACCAAGATGGCTCGTGGAATGTAATGTTCATCATCTGCCTGGTAGAAAAACACGTCCTTTCGATCTCCTCCTTCGGTGGCCCATTCCTCCAGGATACCTTCGCTGCTGATACCATGTTCCGCGCACAGGCGCTGCCAATACACGGCCCCCACTGTGGGTAGATCGAAATGCCTCAGCACAAGAAAACGAGTCAGGACACGCCACCAACGCACTCTGGTTCCCGCATTGCCCTAGCTGGACGGTGACGATCTCGCGGGGCATGATTTATCGGTTGGGTGGTGGTCGGTGGTGTAAATGAACGCGTCTCCGAGAGCGCGACAGAGCCTTCGGAGCCAAAGGAGGCTGTGCTCTATCCAAGCGTGGCTATTCCCGCAGCAGATCAGGCCTTTCCAAAGGAGACAACATGACCTCAGCGATAGACAATAATTGCTATTTAGCCCCTTACCTCCAAGGGGTTCCTCTCCCCAACAGCTATGGTCGTCCCCTCCGAGGCCTTCGCCCTCCTAGTCCTCCCCAATGTCTCCCTCACCCAGAACAGGGAAACCGACACTGGAACTCTGTCTCTCGAATGTGTCACCGTGCCCCACCCAGGTGCATCCAGCGGCGTCGAGCGCGATGTCTACCTCGTCTTGCGATTAAACACCTCAGAGACTCCCCTGGATCCTGAACGGATCGTGCAACGCATCGATGGACCCACCGTCAGGATCTACAACTTTTATGGCAGCGCGACTGACCCTACCGAGATCAACCTCACCTTCCATCTGTCACACAATAATCCACCCGGATATCTGGAGGACCTGGACACGTTCGAGAGCATCCTCGCTCAGTACCATGCAGATTTGAGGGGGAGCAGCTACAATGGCGCAGCTGGCGGATCGGAGAAAGGGGCCACCTCGGGAGGACCCCTCAAAGCGACCACAAAGTCGCTGGGAACAGTACCAATCGGAGGGGTGACGAAGGATAAAGACCTGCGGGGCCATCTTGTTATGGTAGATGAGTCCACCGGCGAGGTCGTAGGCCAGGTTGAAGACCGTTTCAGGATCAGGGAGGATCCAATTATGCACACCCGAGGTCACGAAAACGACCCCGTGGTTATCGAGGTCTCGGAGGAGTCCCCTGCAGATTCGGATGCCAATGCACTCGAAGCTTTTGCTCGTGTCGTCCCTCCTGACCAACAGAATTGGATCACGAAAGGCGCGACAGTTGTCAGGTATGTTTGCAAGCATCTGTTGCTAGATGGATATCTGACTGTTCCACCATAGCCATGCCATTTCAATGACGACCAATCTTATGATTACCACCATTACTGCAGCCTCTAACTACTACATCAACCACTCGACTCCATCTCCTCATCATTCAGGAGCCAACACTCCAGCCAGAACTCCCAGCAAAGATGGATCGACACCTGCGGGGCCTGGAGGCACCCCTCCTCCCCTTCCACCTCGTCCCCGTGCGCTGGTCTTCCTCACTTCAGAGCGCACTCGAAAGGGCTTGGGTAAAGTCCACGCTGTCAGTGGCGAGGCTGTCAAGGTGTCAGCCAAGACGGTCGGATTCATCGATAACATGATTCGCAAGGCCATCGGTGCCAACCCCAAGCGGGACAAGACGGCCTTCCTCCGCACTGGAGGCACAGGCCCATCTGCGGACCTGAATCAGGTATCTCCAGCCCCCTCAATCACCTCATCTTCGTCGTCCAAATCCGCTGGGCTTGCGCCACCTGCGTACAGCCAGACTCCAAATGGACCGCCACTGCCTCCTCGACGTTCGCCCTCACCTGTTCCGCCACCCCTTCCTCCCCGTTTAAGCACAAAGGATAAGGTGCTCATCTCAGCAGATTTGATCCTTTCGACGATTGATCATTCAACGCGACAACTCTTGGATACTGGCACGGCGCAATTGGGCAAAGTCATGCACCACAAATACGGCGAGGAAGCAGCGGAGTCGTCAACTATGATCGCGAATACAGCTCGCAATGTCGGGTTGGTTTATGTCGACATGCGAGGTATTGGTCGTAGGGCATTGCTCAAGCGGGCTGGCAAGACCTATGTCAAGAGCAAGTTCTCGAGCAACAAGGGCACGAATGTCGCAGGGCAACAGCATTACGAGTCGCCCATCCCCACTCCGAATACCCTCAAGTAAATGACGCACCTTTTCCTCTTATCGGCTTTGGTTATCGGACTCACCTTATATATCTTATCACTGCGCAGACACTGACTGTTGTACGATATAATGCAAATACGAATGGTATAACAGCGTCTAAGTCTAATGGTACATGGAAAGCAAAGCTATGGAGGGGCCATAAAGCGCGTTACGTCTTCTTGGGCCCCTCCAATTTCTGTCCAATGTTGGAACCACGAAGCTTCACACCGAGCACTCGCTCGAGCTTGCCGAGGATCTGGGGGTTGGGAATGGCCTTTCCGGATTCGTAGTCTTGCAAGACGGCAGGCTTTTCATTGATCTTTTGGGCAACGTCCTTCTGCGTCAGACCCTTCTCTAGTCGGGCGGTTTGCATAGCCTGTGGGGAACTGTTGAGCGACCAAGTCGTGTGAAGGTGAGAGAGCAACGTACGCGACCGACGGTAGGAGAAACCTTGGGAGGGGGTGCAACTTCGTTTTCACGGTCAAGCTTGGCTATGCGCTGGTGGTCGGTGCCTAAAAGACGAGTTTAGCCTCGGAAAGATGACCGAAATGTCAACGAGCGTACCGGCATGAGCCTTGTTGGAGCCTCCAGCAATCTTCTTGTCTGTGCCCACTACGGCGCCGGCGCGACGAGCCTATTTCATTTGTGTTCAGTCTTTGGAAGGCTGGATCAATTTTGTTGAAAACTTACAGCTGTGGGACTAGGTCAGCACCATGGAAGATAATAGAAGCACAGCGAACGCGGTACACACCATTAAGATCAGACTCTTTCTTTGTGACCTTTGCGACGGAGCGCTTCTGGCCAATAACGAGCTTGGTATCCCAATCGTCAGACATGGTGGAGTTTGTGAGAGTATGTGGTGGTATCAGAAAGAGAAAGGAAAAGTGTGTGGGGAGGACCTGTACAGCGGTGCTGGCTTAAGTACATCGCGGCATGTGCCGGATCTGACTCGACGGTGCGAGGCAGTGAACAGAGATGAACAACTATACTGCGCCGACTCCAACTCGATAAAATGTAGTATATTCTGCACCGACTGCGACGACTGGTATTATCAAACGTGTAGACCTTCTGAACATTGAACAATCAAATATTTTGTGGCCTGGAATACGTCGGGGCCCTGGTTATTCTTGTGCAAGATCACGTGTAGCCATGGCGATCAGCAAAAAGGCCCCGCGTCGCAACGCAAGGAGGCCAACGGCCATCTGCCTATAACCAAGTGACCTGCCTGTTTCAGCGGGTTTTTCTCTGATCTCTCCCCTCTGTAGTCTGGAAAAGGTGCGCTTCTCTCGCTTCACTGCTTTCTTCCGTCCTCTCACCTCTCCCTTCGTTCTTTCCAGCGCAAGGGGCGTTGAACGTCCATTCCTTTATACTCTTTCTTCAAGCTCAAGTAGCCCTTTGTTTTTATCTCCTTTTTATCCATTTCTCCCATTTTCTTGACTCTCTGAGAGGTCACTGGCTCTTTCTGTCCTTGTTTTTTGGTGAGTATCGCGGCCTCCCTTGTCCTCGATGTTCCAGCTCATCGCCTCCACAGTCGGTCACATTAGCATTCCCTTCATTCAAGATGGTTTCCCGCAAGCTTATGGCTGCTTATGCCTTCTTCGACGTCTGCCTCCTCGCTGCTGGCATCGTCGCTTTGGTTCTCTCCATCACTTGGCGCGCCCCCGATGTTCTCATGAACATGGTGCTCTCCAATTCCGAATTGACTGGTCAGTTGGCCCCCGTCTCGTCTACTTAACATTCCCCTGACTGCAAGACGATTAACAGCCGGAACAATCCTTGGAGTATCCTTACTCGTCACATTCGTTATATCAGTGGCGGCCGTTGTCCAACGCAGCCATGTCACCCTCGGTTTTGTTATCCTCAATTGGGCTCTCCTACTCGACGCGCTCGGCATCGTGGTTATCGGCACCTTCGTCTGGTACTGGACCTTGCAACCACGGGCCAACTTTAGGGTGCTGTGGGAAGCCGCATCTCCCGCCACTCGTATCATCCTGCAAGACCGCCTCAAGTGCTGTGGCTATTTCAATGGCACCGACCTCGCTGAAATCGGCGGATCGTTCTGCACCAGCCGAGAGGTCATCGATGCTCTGCCGGTTGACCCAGAATTCATGACCAACTTCTGCGTTACGCCCATCACTGCTTTTGCTGATTCAACTTTGAATAACATCTTCACAACCGTACGTCTATCCCTTGCGCTGTAACGCTTTGTTGTGGGTGATGGCTAACGCGCCTGCAGGTTTACGGTTACATGGCTATTGTTATTTGCCTGTTCCTTACCTCGTTGTGTGTCATCAAGAAGGTACGTTGCTTGATGCCTTTGTTGTTTCCGTCCGCTAAAACATCCTGCAGAGGCAAGAGGATGAGCGTTTCAAGAGGATCGATGCCAAACGTGGTGGACGAGGTTTCGTGTAAATCATTCGGTGGACCCGGAGACGACCTTCCTATTCAGCGCACTGCCTACCATCTCTACCCTTCCCTTTCGAATTTCATCCCTCCATGACTAGCTAGCTATCACTCCTTTCTCTGTAAACCATCTCATTTGTCGGGGTTATAGGTTCGTAATGTACCATATACCAAACCACATTTTAGATTTTACAACTTGGGGTTTCTTTCTCTCAACTGTCTTCTCGTTTCGAGCAGGGAAGTATTGAGGTCCATGTGTTACGTAAGGAGGCGAAGGTTGTCCTCATTTCACCGCTTGTTCTCTTCAACCACTTCGACATGGCTTGACCCATCCCCATGCCCAAAGCACGTAAACGAAAAGTCCCTGTCGTACCCGTGGACCGTGCTACAACGAGCGCGAGCAAACCTCAAGTTACGCGTACTGTGATTCGCGAGTTTCATGTACTCTTGAAACGACAGGCGTACCTTCAGAAGAGCGGGTTGAAGAATGCGGAGACGTATAAGGAGCTGAAAGAGATTGAAGACAGAATCGAGGAGCTGGGAGGGTTGGAGAGGTATCAACATATGTCTGCTGTGGGCCAGAAGGAAGATCGGGGTGGGGGGAGTCATAGGATTTTTATTGGGTGGTTAAAGGAGCTTGGGGCGCATCTGCAGAGAAAGGAGAAGCTCAGGTACACGTCCTTTCTCTCTCGGTGTGTCTGTATCCTGAAGTCCCGTAGGCTACTAGAAGTCGGAGCTCTGAAACCTGACAACTATCAGTCATGTTCATCCTGGATCGACGTCTTCCCCATCGACTTGAATTCGAGGCATCCAGCGATCAAGGAGCAGGATTTCTTGAAGCTTGACCCTGTAGAGAACAAGGAGAAGTGGGAGGCAATTAGTCTGAGTCTGGTACTGAATTTTGTACCGGACGCAAAGGATAGAGGGCGGATGCTGAGGCTTGCGCATGAGATGCTGGGAGAGAATGGCTATTTTTTCGTAGCGGTACGTCTGGGTGCTCCATCACCATCCCAGAGGCTGAAGGATTCCCTGCAGTTACCGTTACCCTGTCTTTCCAACTCGAGATACCTGACCTTCGAACGGTTTAAAGAACTCATGGAAGCCGTTGGATTCGTGCAGCTTCGAGAAAAGTGGAAAGAGGGAGGCAAGATGGTGTATTATTTATATCAGAAGGGCACTTCCACCGGCCCTTCGCGGCTGTTCAGCAAAAAGGAGGTTCTGCGCACTGGGAACCGAAACAATTTTTGTATACTACTGGATGTATGACTTTGTAGTCCCAAGTCATTTTTTGGCCTGGCGGACAAGCGCTCGTTGAGGGATGAGAATTGCTGTGCCAAGCGGGGCCAAGCACGGGTCAGGGAATGGGACCGAGCTCAATTCTTTACTCTTACCATCGTCAAGCATGGCTGCCATTCCCCCGCAAGCCCGCTCCAAGCAACTGAGAGCATGTCTGCTATGCTCTATTATCCAATTACCTGCCGATTTCCGAAGAAATGGGTGCCCAAACTGCGAGGAGATCCTCCAGGTGCGCGAATTTATCTGGGGGATTGGCTGCATGTGTGACTGACAGTGGTGAACAGCTCAAAGGCAACACTGACAGGATTAGTACCTGCACTACGACGTACTTTGAAGGAGTCATTGCTGTCATTGATCCTGATAATAGCTGGGTGGCGAGGTGGCAGAGGACATGTGCGTCGTGTTTCTTCCTTTCTTATGCTGCTGTTGACCTGGATATTCACAGCGAAATATGCGAGAGGGATGTACGCTGTTAGGGTGAAGGGCCGTGTTCCTGAAGACGTTGAAGCTGAATTGGAAGCAAGAGATATCAAGTATCGGCCTCGAGACCAGACGGAGACAGACTAGAGCGGTTCCTGCATCTTTCGGTTTACACACCCATACCACCACCCCGATTCCTCCAGTACTTTTGGCAGCACACGAAGATGCAGCTTCACTGTCCCAGGTATCCTGTTTGGCTTTAACCAGATTGTTCGCCTGCCTCTATATTGTCGGTTTTGTGACTAGTCAGCAACCAGTGTCTCACTCATGAGTTCTGGAGGCGTCACATCTGTTGTAACAACGCGCGTATGTATTTTAGAGTCATAATGAAGGCGGTCCCTTTGTGCTCCCGCACATCGCGGAGGCACTAACAACCAATAACTACATCATCACTCCGGGATAATCTAATTAATCTCTCGCTTTCTTCATTTCGTACCCTCACCATCTGTCTATCGTCGTCCGCGCCATGACTGTTTCCAAGTCCTCGACAACGACCAACAAGCTCTCGATCTTGCATTTCAACGATGTGTATCGCGTAACACCTCAGAAATTCACCAATACGTCGAGTGAGACGATCGATGTCACGCAGTTTGCGTGGTTGGTTGATAGTCTGAGGGGCAACTGGAACGACTGTGAAGGAGAACAAGGAAAGAATGGTCTGGTTTTGTTCAGCGGGGATGTATTTTCGCCGTCCGTGGAGAGTTCGGTGACGCGAGGAAGCCATATGGTGGGTGCTTGCGTTGGGAAGGTCCTTTCGTCGTAGGATCTGACGAGCGGTGTAGGTTCCTGTATTAAATGAGCTGAAGATCGATGTTTCTGTTACTGGTATGTTCCTCTACCAGCGTTATCAGTCTTTCATGCTCTGAATTTGGTTTAGGGAACCACGATTTCGATTTCGGTACTTGCGACTGACTGACCTTTTAGGAGAGAGGACCTCGTCTGACGACTGTTCTACACAGGTTATCCGCATCTTTCGAAATTGGTTGGCGATACCGCTTTTGTGAGTGTCATGTCTCTGTGTTCCGTTTGTCGTGGAAACTGATGTTGTTTCAAAGCCATGGTTGTTGAGCAACATTGTCGACACTACAACGGGACAAGTCCCTAGCGCTCTGAAAGAATTTGTTGTTCTAGAAAGGAGTGGAGTGAGGATTGGATTTATTGGGTTGGTGGAGAAGTGAGTTTCCAGCTTCTTGCTCTTGTACGATGATCTGACGGGGTTGAGCGCTTAGGGAATGGATTGCGACTGTAGCTTCATGGCCTGCAGAGTTCCAGTACAAATCGATGGCTGATACCGCTGTTGAACTTTCGAAACGGTTAAGGGATCCAGAGGGTGAATACAAGTGTGACATCATCGTTGGACTCACGCATTGCCGGTGAGTTCTTGGATCTTCTCTCTGTGTTGCCAAGACGCTAAGCGCTGACTTCTTGGGTTTTCTCAGGTTACCGAATGTAAGATAAAGCTGTCCGCGGTGGAAGGCATGGTATTGATCGACTCTTTTCAAGGATATCCAACTAGCAAAGGATGTGTTCGCGCTTAGCCCTTCGCACCAGCGCAAGACTCCTATCGCAGATATTCACGGTGTTGACCTCTTGCTTGGAGGCCATGATCATCTGTACTTTGTTCCCAAGGGAGTTGATGGATGGGAAGGCTTCGATGTCGCAGCGCCTACACTGGGTGCAGAGGGAGACGAGGGAGACATTTTGGTCGTCAAGAGTGGGTCGGATTTCAGGGATCTCAGCGAGATTGAACTCGAGCTGGAGGATACGCCGGAGGGATGCGCAAGGAATAAGGTTGTTAAGAGGATCACAGGTGGGCATGGGTTATTCATACCTGAACTGCCATTCACGGGTCTAACGCATCGGTCCAGGTAAACGACACACGGTCTCCCCTTCTACACCGAAATCCGAACGCATGAGCAAACTACTCGAAAAGCTCCTTTCGTCAGTAAGTTCGACACTCAAAGCTCCGGTTTGCAAGAGCACCGTGTTATTGGATCTGCGCGGCCACCACATCCGGACAACCGAATCCGCTGCAGGCAACTGGTTCGCCGACATTATCCGTCCTGCATACGACGACACTTTGGCAATGAATGGATGTGAAGGAGCGGACGGGGTATTCATCTGCGCTGGAACGTTACGCGGAGACTCGACATATGGACCTGGGGTGATTACGCTTGGAGATATTTTAGAGATTTTGCCATTTGAGGATCCGGCCATCGTCATTGAGATGGATGGGGAGACGTTGTGGGAGGCACTAGAAGCGGGATTAAGCAAGTGGCCTGCTCAAGAAGGGTAGGTCCGCCCACTGTTTTCTCTCTGAAGCGAGGTGACTGACGTTGTAAAGGCGTTTCCCGGTTATTTCAGGATTCAAGGTCACTTGGGACTCGAGAAGGGAGCCTGGAAACCGTGTTACTGGTGTATGGTTACAGGTGGAGAATGTGGACAAGAATCAGTCGCACGGCCATGTTGACCATGTGCCTGTCGAGAAGACGAAAGAGGGGAGGAAATACAGGATTGTAACGCGAGAGTATCTGGCGGATGGTCATGACGGGTACGATGTTCTCAAGAGGTGTAAGCGTCTTGTCGATGAGGAGTGCGGTGTCCTGGTTAGTGCCATCGTGCGCAAGTACTTGCTCGGTATGTCCATAAGCCTCTAGAATGTTTAGATTGATGTCGACCCCCTACCAACGACAGGATCCCACTATGTCAACAAGATGATTCGTCTTAAATCGGTACCCAACGGCGACGTTATCCACCCCAAGCTCCGGCTCGCTCTGTCTGAAGAGTCGAGTTCTAAAGCCAGGATACAATGGAGGAATGTCGTGCACAAGGTTATCAACCGGAAGCCGTTTGCACATTACAGGCACCAGCAGAATGTTCCTGCTGTGCAGCATATGAGTTCGGTGGATGCGTTTGATGGGTCTGGGGCTAGAAAGGGAGAACCGTGTCCGTATGCTGAGAAGGAGACGACCCAGGATTTGCTTGTTATTAGTCCGGAGATTGATGGGAGGTTGAAGGACGAAGCGAGGTCAGATTGAGTGGAGGTTGTGGGTTCTTGTTCTAGAGGTTATGCTCATTATCGTGCCCTACGGGTGGTGGTTCGACCTTTGGTGGCACGTCCCCTGAGAGATTGCGGAAGTAGTGGGTAATTACACCTGCTGTACTTCCTAGACCTGCTCCTCCGAGGATTACTGTAATAGAGAAGGGTTAGTGCTCCATGTCCAATTACTCAAACAAAATCCACGGACAATTGATACTGCTTGCTCTGTTCCAAAAGAGAGCGGGGGTGATGACTGCCATGAGGATTGCACCGATTGTTGAGTGGTCCTCGCGTCTTATCCTGTTGGTCTGTGAAGAGTGTAAACATGATGGACATCGAAGAGAACCGGTGTACACACATCATACGCAGAGGCTATTCTCTTTTCCTTGGTCGTTTCGTAGCTGGTATTTGCATAACGAAGGTAAGCTCCACCTCCGAAGGCGGCAGAACCTGTAATACGGGAGTGAGTGTTTGTGGTTCTGTATCAAGGATTGAAACGCACCTGTCAGTCCGCCAACCCAGGTTGCGCGTAGCGTCCGATTCAGAGACCATGCAGACCTTCCCCGTCGTGCAATAACAAACGCGGTATATGCAGGAGGCGTTAAAAGGGACAACACCTGGTATCCGGTATTCATGCTTTTGCGAACGAGGAACTCCGTGTCCGCTTCATGTGCCAGAGCACGTTCCGACACTTCTGTGGCCATCTTTACACGATCTGAAGTCGTTTGTTAGACTCTTTGGATGCGATATAAAGGTTGTAACTCACCGTTTGTCTTCAACTTTGCCGGGTCGTTGACATCGCCGTTCGGCGCGTTTGGGTGGAGGTCAGTGCGCAGCATCATTAGTCATCAATGTGTCGAAATTCGCCTGAGCCTTTGCTGAGAGAACGTTGCTGGTTTCACCGTTACCCAAACGATTAGGAGCGAAAGGCTTTACCCCTTGGACGATGTCGACAATGCTAGGGGCAATTGACGCTCCTATGAGCGACTATGCAAGCGACTACGACATTACAATGCAGCCACATTCATCGGATCCTTGGTCTCAGGAAGATGGTGTCATGGAGGAGGTCCAAGACTCGACATACCCAATAGTGCGTGGACCTCTGACCCGCCTTGTTGATTTGCCTCCTGAAAAACATTCTTTTCAGGCTACAACTAAAAGCACGACGATGGACTTTTCTTCTACCATTCCCGATACCCAGCTGGCATTCTCCACGTCCCAAGGAACAGACATCGAAATCGAAGTTGAAATGGAAGACTACGTTGAAGGTCACAACGCTGAATATGAAATGTTAGACGAGTCCGAAGCCATTGTCGAGGATACCGCTGAAGTTCAAGACGTCGAGGTTGTCGATGCGGGCCCCAGCCCTGAGGTGGCTTTGGCCCTCCCAGTGGAATCTTATCCACCATCACACGCACCCGAGGCGTCCATCGTCTCCGCGCCATCGATCGATTCGGTGGTGCCCGATACACCTCAGCAGGAACAAACGCTCGACGTTCCAGTTTCCGTCGCAGAGCCTGCCGCGATTGTCGAAGAAGTGCCCGCGACGGACGTCTCCCCTGCCGCAGCACCTACCGTGCACCCAGAACCAGAGGTCATTGAGTCGCATGACTCGCATCCTCAGCCGGAACCTACGACTTCGATCAGTGAAGGCGTGCCAGAACAGCATGCTGAAAACGCAATGCATGAAGGCGAACAGATGACAGAACATCAACAAGAGCAGACAGTGGAAGGCCAAAGTGCCACTGAACCTGCCGTCCCTCAGGCATCAGGGGAGGTCGATGTCAATGCTGTTCCTGTGGATAACGAACAGCCACGGGAAGAATACGCGCCTCAACATGTTGAGGGGACAGAGGAGGTCTCTAATACCGAGGTCCAGCCAGCCCAACCCCAACCTGAACTTCGTGCAGATGAACCCGAAGAGGAGTATACAGGTGAAGAGGCATTGACCGGCTTTTATTCCGATCCTCCGGCTGTCGTTCTCCGTCTTGATTTCTTGCAGCACTCGGTTCCTTTGTTCAACCGTCCGACCGACGAGGACCATGGCATCCCTTCTGATTCGTCCGTTATGTTCCAAGATCGACCTATGTTGTTTTATGAGCCGCTACCCACGTTCTTCACCGCCCTCCGAGAGACTGATGTCTTTCAGCAACATTGCGATGTGCTGGGGCAGGCAGAGCTTGGAATCTTCGTCGACAGCCTTCAACTTTCTGTTTCTGAGGTATGTTTCTCTCTCCTATAATTTCGTTCTCTCGTTGAGCTGGTTTCCTCTCAGGACAATGCTTATGCCCAAGATGTTTCCCTGCACGATCTGAGCCTTCTGCATGATTCCTTCCACACAGGCCTACTGCAATTACAGTTACACATGAACACTCCCCGTTTCGCCGTGCGGTATCAAGAATTGCAGGATCAGCTACAGCGTCTCGTTCATGAAGATGACCCCTATGCGATATCAGAGTCCGGTAGGTGTCTGATTTCACCGATTGTACATCGATCTTCCTGACCGACTATGAGCAGACCCGACTGTCCAAGAAACAAACGATCAAAACGTAGAGCGCGCTGAAGTACCCCAACCTGAAGAGAAGCAAGAACTGGATTATCATCGGGAACCGGAAGCACAGCAATTTCTGCAGGGAACGGGTGACCTCGCTGAACAGGAACCCAAATCAACGCACAATGCAGGTACTGACGCCACCGGCCAAGTCGACGCGACGCATCAGGACCAACAAGATTTCAGTGCGCACGAATGGCCTGAAGGGGCACAGTTGGAAGAGATCGAAGAGGATGAGAACAACGTCGGACATGGCGACACAGGCAACGGCCCTGAGGTCCAAACGGAGCAAGTGCGCACGGACGAGATTCAACTTTCCGGGGACGGCGACGACCGAGTTGAGTCGACTGTTGTGCCTGAAGCCGAACCTGCCGTGGAATCAGCAGAGAGGGACGGCTCGCCGACTCTGGGCGAGGATGAGGAGGCCCTTGTTTATGTTGATCCGGACCCAGTGGAACAACCCAACGACGAAGGTTCGGAGGGACATGACGCGCCCACCGAAGGAGAGGAGAACGTGCTGGAGGGACATGATGATGCAAACTTCGGCGAAGGAGAAGAAGGATATGATTACTATGAAGCAGACCCTGAAGTTGGAGAAGTATACTACGAAGAAGAGGACGAGAATCTCTACGAGGAGGATGCAGACGGTTCCAGCTATTCGGAAGAACACTCTCTGGAAGATGGAGTATCGGTTGCACAGGAATCGGAAGAGCAGACACAGGAAGGACAGGCGGAGGTAACTCATGAAGATGCCTCTCACCCTGTGGAGCACGAAGCTCCGTCGCTGGAGGAGCTTCCGCCGTTACCCGACGAAGATGATGACGAGCTCGGTTCGTTGCTTTCACGTCCTTTCCTGCTTTATTGCTGATCGTATTATTGACTACAGACCGTGAACTTTTGGAGGGTGAAGATGGGGCCTCCACGAACGAACAGCTGGGTGAGGAGCCGGCGGCCCCGACGAATGAAAACCACGAATCGTTCGCTTTCGATGCTACTGAGGACCCTGCTAACACGACTGAAGGTACGCTACTATACGTTTTCCGTTCTTTACAGCCCCGCTAACAATATCCTTCAGTAGGACAAGAAGATATTGAGAACACTGAGGGAGACGCGGATGTCGGAGACTGGGACGGTGACCTTGACGGCGAAGGAGAAGCGGATTCTCCGTTGGACGGAGACAATGAGAATATCCTCGAGTCCGACGGAAGTTCCGTTACTCTTTCAAGCGCCCGGTCAAAGCGAAGCTACCATGACATTGACGCGGATGAAGATGACTTGGAGGGCAATCTGACACCTTCGCCTCAAGGTATGATCATTTACATTGCGTTCCTTCTGATGGCGCTGATTGTGTCCCTGCAGATGCGAAACGGACGCGCCTGCACTGAAAGGTCTGAATAAGGTCATGCTTTTTCTCTTGCGATGTGAACATGATTAACGAGGCTAAGTTATTGCATTTTTTCCTTGTATCTGGTTGTTTTGCTTTCGGTGTGGGCTAACCTTGACAGCTTTCAAAATGGCAATTATCATAAGTAACCCCTTTGCACGCTAATCCACTCAACCCTGGGCACTTTCGTTTTTCCCCTCGTTATGCGTCACCACGTGTTGTTATTCCTTACGCATTTGTATCATTATTTTTCGCATACGTTTCTACCCTATATACTTCCCAAGTCCAGAATACAGGTACTGTATTGTCTTTGCTGCCAATGATAAAAACGTTCCGTGGGAAATGAAAAGCTGAGATCACTGTGACTTTGCGTCCGGTTTGCATCTCTCACTGGTAACCTTTTTGCAAACCTTCGCTCTCGACACTCTTCTGGGCTCGGGGCTACCTCCTATTTCTTCTTTTACCTCCCTTACATCCGGTTTATGGCGGATTTTCACACTGGACGGCTATGCGATGAGATCATTCATACACAATTCGGGCCTCTGACCGCAGTGAGCACGACATGTTCAAGGAACTCCAGCTCGTTTACTGACTATGCAAGCCAGAAAGTCGCGTCAGTTCTCTTGGTTCGTGGTCGGTTGCCTATGCCTCAACTAGTCCGGTACTCTGGCCTTCGACCACGGACTGTCCGAGGATGCATACTGGTCTTGATTCAACATAACATCGTTTGGCATGTGCAAAGCGAGGGCGAGCAGGAGATGTACGAAGTGAACTTGGACGAGTGTCTGATGCGCCTGAGATATGGTCGGTATATTTTCCAGGCTGAAAAACTGTTTGGGCAAGCAGTGAGTCGTAGTTTGGCCTTTCCGGATGGGAGGATGGCTCATGGTGTGGTTTTTGCAGGGTGCAGATATTGTTCAAATCATAATGGACCATGGGAAGTTGAGGCCGCCCGATATTTTTGCTTTGTTGCACGTCCATGAATCCAAGGGTACTATTTCACGGCTTCGTTGCGTCTGGGAACTACTAAGAGAACCCTCCAGCCCTCGCCCAGCACAAACAAGCGCTCTACAAACTGGTTTCTGGATCCTACCTCAAGGCATCAACACCACGGTCCCATGTATCTCCTCGAGATCGACTTATTCAGTATGAGATTGAGGAAAAGAAGAAGATCGTTGGATTCCCTACGGCGAAACAGCTGAGAGAAGCGAAGGAGGTTGCTGAAGGTCGGCTGAAGCGGGAAGATGATGAATCTGAAAAAATTGGTCTGGTGTGTTTGGTTGCCCTTCTTGGTTGCTTGAACATCGAATCCTTATGTTAGGTCTAGAAACGGAAAGCGAAGGAGCAGACTGGTCATCGATCCAGCAAGGTGTGTGTTCTGGTTTTGTATGGTGTCCAGGTACTGAACGAATGGCATGATAGAAAAAAGCACTTGAGGAAGAAACTGTCGTTGATGTTAGTACTCTTCTCCTTCTACGATTGCATGCTCTATATCGACGCGTTAGCTAGGATGAGGTCTTCTTCCGGGTGAACTGCGAACGGTTCAATGTTCACATTCGTAACGAGGTAAGTCTTTCATTCGACCTAAGTTTGTTTATTAGCTTATCCATCCTCCTACAGATTATCGTTAACGCAGCAAAGGATCGCTACAATTCTCAAGCTGGAAGCGTAATGCAAGCGGCCATCAAGGCTACAGAGGGCGCCAACCCCAGCCTGTCCGATGCACGTTCTGGTATGGTTTGTAACTGTGCCTGCAAGCCCTACGTCTAACTTCTTCGTAGATCCCGTCTCCGTTTCTAATGTCATCATGCTGCTAACGGACGACCGCGAGTTGTCATCTGGTCTGGTGTATTCCTCCAGAAAGGTTCCTCTTGCGACATGTGTGAAAGACTATGTTGGGCTTCTTGCTGCAGCAGATAACCCCACACCCGCTGGCAAGGCTGGCGCTTTCTTGTCCTTTGGAGGATCCAAGGTCCAAGTTGACTATGAGACTATCTCAAGGCGGCTGAGGCGTCGGTTGTTGGAGGCGATGGCGCAGGAAAAGCATGGCCCTGAAGGGGTGCGCATCATTCGACTGCTGTTGGATACCGGGAAGATGGATGAGAAGCAGGTTCGTGGTGTGTTACTGGGAAGCCTCTGACAAATGAACTGACCCTGTGCAATGGTAGATATCCAAAGTGGTTCTGATGGCGTCCAAGGATGTGCGACCTCTCTTGGCTGCATTGTCGGCGGACTCCTTGGTCAGTACGCAGGAAGTCCCGAAAAGTGCAGATCGGAATCCTACGCGGACATTCTACCTATGGTAAGTCTTGTCTATCCCATCCTGTATGTGTCCACTAATGAGCGCTTTTCAGGTATGTCGACTTGTACAAGGCATATTCGTCACTCCTTGGGAATGCCTACAAAACCTTGTACAACATCAGTGCACGGCGTCGGGCAGAGCGTGAGGTCACCGAGGTGAAAACCATCCTGGAAAAGAGCCTACGCACTGACGTACAGCAAGACGAGAATCTGCTTACACGGATGGAGCGGGAGGTACTGCAACAATGGCGAGAACGGGAAACGCGACTGACCGTCCTGGAAAGCCGGGTGGAAGAGGCTGTCTTCATTCTTAAGGATCTCGCTGTACATGGACTTGGAGATGACTAGATGAGACGCAGTTCAACTTGTAACATACCTACGATTAATACACATGTGTGGTTCTGGAGAGTTCGATGGACATCAGTTTGGCGATGCTCCTTAGAAGAGTGCACGGAACAGGCTGACGTCTGTTTCACACTTGCACACCTTTCACCCTTCTTTGCTACGTACTACCACCATGGATCACAAACTCTCAGACGATATTGTGGTTTACACTGAATACGATGCAGCTCCGCCCCATCCAGGACACGAGTGGACGAGGATAATCTGCATATCCGATACTCATTCGCGACCACTGCGAGTCCCGCTGGGTGATGTGCTGCTACACGCAGGGGATTTGACGGCCTGGGGATATCCTGAACAACTTCAGGCCATTGCTGCATGGCTTCAGACGCTGCCTCACCCATTCAAAATGTATGTTCCTCAGTTGTCAACTCCAGAGTAGATCGCTAACCTGGTACTTGAAGTGTAATAGGGGGCAATCACGATGTACATCGTCTCGTTTCTCCGGTCTGTCTCGAAGGCTTAACTGATGAACGCTGAATGTTTAGTTGGGGCTTGATCCCGAAATCACTGAGAGCTTATTCCCCGTAGGTAAACTGCTCTAGTTGAAAGCGGTCGCTTACTGCTTTTGAAAGAACGACCAAGATGTCCAAGAGACCTGTAATCTCTACAAGAGCGATGCCATGCATGAAAAAGGCGTGTACTATCTGGAACATGACTTCCTGCGTCTCAAGCTACCATCAGGAAGGACATGGACGATATACGGCTCACCGGTAGGGGTTGAGATTGCGAATAAAGGGGCCAGAGCTGAATGACAACGAACAAGAGTGCTCCTCGATACGCTTCCGGTGCCTTCCAATACACAAATTCTGAAGAGGCTAAACGTAAGTAGCAACAGCTCGGAGTGAATGCTAAAATGACTGTGAATAACAGGAATATATGATCGCATTCCGGACGACGTCGACATTCTTTTGACCCATACTCCACCGCACGGAGTGCTCGACCTCACGAGAAAAGGAAAGCGCGCCGGTTGCCCATCTCTCGCGGAGCGCCTGAAGGCCCTGTCTTCGTGCAAACTACACGTCTTCGGGTAGGTCAAAGCATCGTCTTCTCGTTGCCCGACCTGAAGTCTTCTCCAAGCCACATCCACGAGGCTTTTGGTGCACAATTCGTTCCAAATGGTTCCGGTAAACGACTTGCTGTGAACGCTGCTGTCGCCCGAAGTGGAAGTCGTCCTGTAATTGTAGATATTAAGTCGGCAATGTCGTCAGTAGAGTGAGTCAGAGAGGGAGGCGAAATTGAATAGATCATGTGCAACAAAATATTCGAGCTCCGCTGAAATAGCAGAACGCGCTTTGGTCATCGTGGAACGCGTTCAGAATCAAAACTTGTCCGCAACACCCATCTTCCCGTGTCTCTCAGCTTTCAGAGTTCGTCGGAAATGCCGGTAGAACTCAATAAAGCTACTTTTGCGGCCCGCGTCAAGAAGGTCTACGAAGGCTGGAATGTACGTCGCCCTCAGACACCCATGAACCAATGCATCGACTAAGGCAACTGATTTTTGTTCTAGAGCGCCAGTCAGAATGAAGAATACAGCTCCATAGCCGATGTGGACGGCCTCTTCCTGCTTGCCGGTGACCCCGCCTCAGAAGATGAGCCAACGCGCAAAGGAACCTGCTTCCAGGTGAGCGCTCATTCCGCTTTCATGGACGTCCGGGCCATTCAACCATGCTTACGCCACCTGTCCATAGCAATGGCTCTTGGGTTATGAATTTCCTTCCACATTTTTCTTCTTCCAAAAGGACAAGATCTCAGTCCTTTGTTCGACGTCAAAAGGTCAGTCTCAACCTGTATTCGACACGCAAACGTCAAATTGACCACCTCAACGTCAGCGAAAATCCTGTCGCAAATTGAGAAATTGCCCGGGATCCCACCTCTCGATATCCACGCACAGGCCAAGGCGAAAGAGCCGCCTAATGATGCTGTCCCAAGATTCTTCCAGAAGTACCAATCTGCAAAACGGGTCGGGGCCCTTCTCAAGGAAAACCACACCGGAAAGCTAGTCACCGAGTGGCAGAAGCTCGTTGCAGAAGCGGATACGAAACCTGAGTCAGTAGAAATGGGACCCGCGGTCTCGGCGTTCATGGCTGTAAAGGACGAGGAGGAACTAGTACGTATTGTATTCTTATCTGGTCCCTCTACTTTGGCGTACTCATTGTCATTCACCTTGAAGAAATTGGTCCAAATTGCCGCCAATCTCACTTCCACTCTCTTGAAACACCATGTTGCACCGAAATTGGAATCTATCCTCGATAAAGAGTCCAGGATATCGCATGACATGCTGTCGGCGCAAATTGAAACGCGTCTGGGTTCCGGAGAAGGTGATAATGCCAAGGGCCCCGATATGAAGGTCTGGAGCAAAGGGAAGAATCTTGAGAATGTATGTGGTCAACGCACGTTTCACCGTTTCTATTCTTAACTGTGCCTTTAGATCGACTGGCAATCTGCGGAGTTTTGTTACCCACCAATCATTATCTCCAAGTCTTCCAGCACTGGATATGACTTGAGATATACAATCGAATCCACCGAGGACAACATCGCCCATAAAGGTGTCCTTCTGACGTCCTTTGGCTTGCGGTACAAGACTTATTCGACCAATGTGGGCCGAACCTTTATCGTCGATCCCAATCCGGTGCGTCTACACGCCTTTGTAGGTCAAGTTCTCCATCTGACCGAATTTCAGGACCAAGAATCTCAGTATAATCTCCTGCTTTCCTTGCAAACCGAGTTACTTTCGTTCATCAAGGATGGCGTGCAAGCTAAAGAAGTCTACGCTCATGCAGTCAACTACGTCCGAGAACGCAAGCCCGAGCTGGAAAAGAATTTTGTGAAGACAGTTGGATTTGGTGTACGCAACTTCGTGCCGTTATCTATCCGTATAGCCACTGACGAAACCGCCAGATTGGAATGGAATTCCGAGATGCTACGTATGTTCTCTCTGGGAAGAATTCGCGCGTAATCAAGAAAGATATGACATTCAATCTTGGCTTGGGCTTTTCCGATCTAACTGAGCCCAACGGACAAAAGTGAGTTTATATCCATCAGGGAAGAACGCGAGCTCTAAAAATTGGATCAGATACGCGCTGCAACTGGTCGACACTATTCGCGTTGATACCAACAAGTCCGTACTACTTACCGATGGCATCAAATCTTCCAAAGAGACACTCTTCTTCCTCGACTCAGAGAGCGACGAGGAGAAACCCAAAAAGAAGGCCCCTGCCCCTAAGGCGAACGGCGCCGCTGCCAAAGTCAAGACTGTCGGAGGAAAGGTTCTTCGAAACCAACGCCGTGTCCAAGACGAGGTCCACCAAACAGCTGCTGCTAGGCTCATCGAACATCAGCGCGAGCTCCATGAGAAATTGCAGGAGAGTAACTTGGAGCGGTTCTCGGAGGGCGGAGGAAAGACGAGTGGAAAAGAGGGCAAGAGCTGGAAGAAGTTCCAAAGCTACAAGGGCGAAGGTGCTTTGCCTCAGGAAACCGAGAAATTGAGGGTAAGGTTGATTGTAGCGCCGTTGCCTACCGTGTGTCTGATTGAACCGGTCGGTTTCAGATCTACGTGGACCGTAAAGCTCAGAGTGTGATACTCCCGATTCATGGATTCGCCGTCCCTTTCCACATCAACACAATCAAGAACGCCAGTAAGAACGATGAGGGTGAATTCACCTATCTCCGTATCAACTTCCAGACTCCTGGGCAACTCGCTGGAAAGAAAGAGGATACTGTAGGTCAATTTGATACCGTTGTTTCACATACTACTCACACTCTACATGTAGCCCTTCGAAGACCCAGATGCCACCTTCATCCGATCCGTGTCGTATCGGTCTCCAGACGGTCACCGATTCGACAACCTTGTGAAACAGATCACCGAGTTGAAGAAGGAGGCAAACAAGAGGGAGCAGCAGAAGAAGGAAATGGCCGATGTCATTGAACAAGGCAATCTCATCGAAATCAAGGGGCGACGACCTTACAAGCTTTCGGAAGCCTTCATTCGACCCGCGCTCGACGGTAAACGACTGCCGGGCGAAGTTGAGATTCATCAGAATGGTATTCGTTACCAGTCTGTCGGTGCTCAGAAAGTCGACGTCTTGTTTAGCAACGTCAAGCACTTGTTCTTCCAGCCTTGCGATCATGAATTGCTTGTTATTGTCCATCTGCACTTGAAAGCACCCATCATCATTGGGAAGAAAAAGACATTCGTGAGTCGCATTTTTCCGTATGCACATTGTATCCTAATCTTGTTGGCAGGACGTCCAATTCTTCCGAGAAGCTACAGATGTCCAGTTCGACGAGACCGGTAACAGGAAGCGAAAGCATCGATATGGAGACGAGGATGAAATTGAGATGGAACAGCAAGAGCGCAAGCGCCGAGCCATCCTCAATAAGGAGGTCAAGGCATTTGCGGAGAGGATTGCAGAGGCTGCTTCTCACTCGGTGAGTTGCCCTCGACGTGTTTGTTTTAGCGAGGTACTGACATGAAATGATTTTAGCTTGGCGAGACGCTAGAAGTCGATGTCCCTTTCCGAGAGCTTTCCTTCGAAGGTGTTCCATTCCGTACAAGTGTTCGCTTGCAACCCACCACAGAGTGTCTGGTCCACCTCACGGACCCTCCTTTCCTCGTTGTCACTCTCACCGACATTGAAATCGCCTCCCTCGAACGTGTGCAGTACGGTCTCAAGCAATTCGATCTTATCCTGGTCTTCAAGGACTTCACGAAACCCCCCCTCCACATCAACTCTATCCAATCCAGTCAAATGGACGATGTGAAGAACTGGCTAGAGTGAGTTGCGTTGTTCTTATCGGGTGGGTCGACACGCTGACTTTGGCGTGCCCTTTATTAGCTCTGTAGACATCCCGATGGCTGAGGGTCCGGTCAACTTGAACTGGGGTCCCATTATGAAGCATATCAACGACAACCCCTACGAGTTCTTCCAGGAGGGTGGTGGATGGTCGTTCTTGGGAGTTCCTGGTGCTGAGAGCGCAGAGTCCGAATCTGAGGACTCTGAATCCGAGTTCGAAGCTGATTCTGACGACTTCCAGTCCGAGTCGAGTTCAGACGACGAGTCTGACTTCTCAGATGCTAGTGGCAGTGATGACAGCGGATCTGAAGACTACGACGATGCTTCGGATAGCGGTATGTGGTTTTCTTCGTCATAGGACCTCGCGTCAGTGCTAATGAATGGTGTCATTAGGTGAATCATGGGACGAGCTGGAGCGCAAGGCCGCCAAAGCCGATATGAAGCGTAGTGAGAACCGCAACAAGGGCTCGGACGATTCCGATGACGATCGTCCAAAGAAGAAGAAAGCTACTAACGGCAAAGTCAAGGGCAAGCGCTAAGGCCCTCGAATCTCTTCGACTTCAATGGACTTTTCTTCCCAATCTGTTTCGTAGTTCTCTGTTACTTACCACGCGATCTTCATTCACCATCTCCGCATGCATGTACCATTACTCTCAGTCGGCTTTAATATTTAGTAATATCTTGTTATACACAGATTCTTTGACAAGGTTTAAAGGCATCTTGAAATCACTGGTACTGCGCTTCCCTCCACAGAACGACGGCGGTGATTGCCGCACTTGGGCCAACTACCAAGGTACCCGCGCCATACCACACGACCATGGTCAAAAGATGTCGTGTAGACTTTGCAAACCACAGCGTCGCGACCATCGTGGAGGCGATAGCGATGGTGAAATCCCATTGCAGGAAGTGCAGGGTCTTAAGACCAGTCCTCGTCTTCTGAGGAATGTGTGTAGACGGCACGTAAATTGCTTTCAGCGATTCCAAGTCCCTTGCCCAGACCATGGAAATATGGAGCGAAGAGCATAGCATGAAGCAGGACAGCAAAAGGAGTTGAACGATGGTATACCCCGACTCTGAAATTTTCCTTGGGTTCCTAATGAAGAGGTGGACCGTCCCTGCGAATCCCATTATGAGGGGGTAGACTTGCCATACGGCGGTCACCTCGGGGTCCTGCAAATGCATCATCGCGAAGGAGGGTATTATCCCACCGACGGTGAGGGCAAACAAGATGGCTTCTGCGTGTGCTTGAGTGATTTTCTTGTCTTCCTTGGTTGCTGCCCTTGTGTTGTTACCGGTCAAGAGGAATGTGAGCCAGTAGAGTGGGATAGTTGCGCCGATTGTTATAACTTGGCCGAGTAGCAGCCAGAGGGAAGGGTACGCGATGAGCGCGCTTCGACGGGTTCGTGAGGCTTCCAGGTATAGGAAGATGGCGAAAATAGACCCGCTAGTGATCATGTAGAGGAGGTAGGTTCGGCCTAGTCGGTCGGACATGGCTTCTTGGAAGAACGCAACCACCCCGCAAATTCCAGAGTTCAGGTCTGAGTTGTTGGTATAGGGTAAGAGGTACGGCGTCGGGACCGTCGAGTTTGGCTGGCATTGTTTTGTGAGCGCGTCTGCGAGTCCCGAGGAGAAGAGGTGCCCGAAAATGTAGTTGACTGCGAGGGAAAGGAAGGCTGGAAAGACGAAGAGAGGAAGCCAACGGTCTAGGACTCGAGAGTGTCAATTGGGGCCCACATGTTTGGCGAAAGGCGACGTACCTCTGAAGTTGGAGTGTGACATGGCGGTTGAGAGGAAGCTCAGCTGGCGCGGGGGAAATCAGTTGATGACCAGTCGAAGTAAGGATTTTCAGAGTTGTTGGGCTTGCGGACTGGTGCTTTGTTCATGGAAATACTCCAAAATGTGAAGGAAGGATCAAAACCAGTAGAAATTATAGAATTTGCAAGAGGAAAGACTTTACGGTAATAACACAAAACTAACGAATCCGCCTTCCAAGCCTAGCAGCGTCGTCGCGACCAACGACCCAACATCTATCATGTCTCCTTCAACATCTTCTTGAGAGTCTTCCTGAGTTCAGGCTTGACTGGTTTGAAGACCTGTTTTTTGATGACGGGTTCTATCCGGATGTTCGACGGCCAGTTCTCGCCTGCTTCTTCCCTTTGTTTTTCCAAAAGTTGGAGAACGGTCGGCTTTTTCAATTCCTCGTATTGCGGCGTTGGTCTAGGGATAATTCTGGATTCTGGAAGTTGGACAGCGGAACGGGGAAGAACCCTGACGAGGCGAGCTACTGTTGGTCGCATGGTTGGTTGAAAGTTCTGAAATTTGGAAGAAACTGGTCAAGCTGATTCTTTAAATGGGCGAAAGAATTCACTCACGCGACGTCGTTGGCAACTGCGAGCGAGCGAGGAAATTGGCCGTCTAGCGAATAAAGTAGGCGCGACTTGGACTCTTGGAGTGAGACGAGCGTACTATTTGCATCAAACGGCTTTGACAAACACAGAGCGGGCGCTATTATTGGTTCGCGCTGTTTCGCGTCACTCTGTAACCTTGAATATTTCACTCACTGTCTGCAGTCTATGAAAAGAAAGGCAGGTGCATCGTCAGAAAGCTCGAGCTCTGGTGCCAAAGGAAAAGGAAAAGCAAGACAACCCAAGAAGCCAAAGACAACCAGCGAAAAACGGGTGACATGGCCAGAATACTTTCATTCTGTGAGCCCCATTGTTCGCTCTTTACAGGGCACGGTCTTACCAAGTGTATGCTACAATGTAGCTGTTTAGAGTGAGTGGTAGCAATGGACGAGGAGTTTAAACTGAAGGGAGTATGGCAGACATTCAAAGTAATGTCGCTTCTGACTCACGAACTGCTGCCAACTGAATGAATCTGCATGGAGGCTATCAATACAGTTCTCGCATTTGTTGCCTCAAAAAAGCAGCTTGCAGTGACTTTCAGTGTCATCAGAACCTCTGTGGAGGCTCAACTGAAGCAGTTGCGTCCTCGAGCTTCTACTTGGCTGACCATAGGCTAATCGACCGCAGTCCGTTGGAAATAGCCAGTGTTGCCGAGTTAAAGTGAAGCGAAGCGTTGGAATTGAACTCCCTCTGCCGTTGACTGACGAGCTTTAGGGCACTACTCCCTGACGTCATACGCTTCTCCTATATTCCCAAGGAAGAGCTACGAGTGAATGGCGACAAGGACAAGGATTTTGAACTACGTACAGGACCTTCCGCATCCTCGGCCACGGACGAGGGTCATGTCCTCATTCTAGAGATGGTGGACAACCTAAAGGGAAAGCAAAGTAGAAATGCTGGGTGTGTATTCAGGCCTGACAAGTGGATGATCACTGAGGTCTACGCCAGGTTCGCTTACTCCCATCCCCCGAATCTAACGATTGCAGCGCTTCAGAAACTGATCGACAAGCGGAACGACGCTTGCAAAGAGGCAATTAACAAGTACGTCCCACCACCCATTTAGTGTCCAAGGGTCTTACTGTCTCTGGCAGCTTTCTGGCACAACTAGGACCCGACGAGGATCCTGTGCAGCTTCTCAAAGATGCCGGCCATGACCTTGTTCCAGTCAACCCCTCAGCTCCCTTCACAGCTGTCGAAGAGAAAACAGGAGTACCTGTGCCGTCGAGTGCAGAAAGATCTCCAATATGCGATATCATCGAAGAAATAACCTCCCAATCATGGTACCAAGACCAAATCCTTCACCGCCAAACATTCGAAGCTCGCGAAGCCCGTCTAGGGACTTTGGACCCCCCGCCATCCGAAACTATTTCTCAAGCTCTTCTTGACTCCCGGAAGATATCTAAATACTACTCGCACCAGGCGCAGGCGATCCAGGCTATCCGGAAGGGAAAGCATGTTGTGGCTTCCACGAGTACCGCGTCTGGAAAGAGTTTGATTTATCAGGTGCCTCTCTTAATGGCTTTGGAGCAGGACCCAAGCGCAACAGCGATTTTTGTATACCCTACAAAGGTGAGTCCCTGGTGAGCTTCAAAGACGACCGGGTTTCTTAACGCCATTTCCAAAGGCCCTTGCCCAGGATCAAAAGGCATCCCTGGAACAGCTCATCTTTACATGTAGGGGATTGAACCGTTTGACTGTTGCAACATATGACGGGGATACTGCACAAGACGAGAGAATCAGTGGGTGACTGAATATTTCGCAGGGGCTCCTGCCTAGCTGACTTTTCTTGCCAGAAATCCGTGAGACAGCCTCTGTCATTTTCACAAATTTCGTGAGTTTGTCACTGCTGCTGTCGAAGCTTCTGCAGCTTCTAACCATAAACCAGGACACGATACATACCTCTATATTGCCTCATGAAGAGAAATGGAGAACCTGGCTGAAGAGACTCAAGGTGTGATATGAAGTGTATCTTGGATTCCATCGTTCTGACCATCCGTTCCAGCTTTTCGTGGTGGACGAGCTCCACTATTATACAGGTCTTTTTGGCAGGTCTGTGCTCTCTCGTTGGTCGTTAACATCGGAACGCTCAATCCTTATAGTCATGTCGCTCTTATCCTCCGCCGCTTTCGACGAATTTGTGCCGCTCTCGGAAGTAAGTGTTGTCCTTGTTTCTTTCTCAGTCCTAGCTGAAGATCACATAGACCGCAGAGTGCAATTTGTATCGTGCACCGCAACTCTCGCTAATCCTGCCAGGCACATGGAGAAGATGTTCGGGCTATCGGAGAACGAGGTACATCCGGTTACCGAAGACGGTGCCCCCTCCAATAAGAAGGACTTCCTCGTGTGGAATCCTCCCCTGATCGACCCCCTTGAACCCAGCCTTGGGACTAAGAGTGCCATGAACGAGGCGACCAGTTTGATGAGGTTCTTAATGAAGCGGGGTGTGAGGGTGATTCTGTTTTGCAAGGTGAATAACGGGGCTCTCAAGCATTGGCTGCGATAATTAGCTGACAGGTTCATGATGCATAGATCCGTAAGATTTGTGAATTGGTATGTCAATTATTTTCTCGTCGACAACTTGAACACTGAGGAGGACGTCGACATAGGCGATGAAGACGTTGAAGGCGGACTTGAGCAACGAGGGACGGCATGATATTCTCAAGAAAGTGAGACCTTACCGAGGAGGTTATTCGCGAGAGGTACATTGTCAATTCTTAAAAGTCATCTGCATTCTCCTGACATATTCAGGACCGACGTCGAATCGAAGCCGACGCCTTTGCGGGTGAACTGCTCGGCATCGTCTCTACTAATGCACTCGAACTGGGAATCGACATCGGTGTGCTGGATACTGTGATTATGCTGGGATTTCCAATGACTATTCCAAGCTTCGTGAGTGCCATCTCGTGCGTACCCGTGGCGCTGATCCATTTGTCTGACGTCATTGGTGATATTCAGCGACAGCAAGCTGGTCGTGCAGGTCGCCGTTCGCAGGATTCTCTGGTGGTTCTGGTGGTAGAACCGTTCGCGATCGACCAGTACTATGCAAAGAACCCAACTGAATTATTTGATGGGCGATTGGATGAACTTATGGTTGATATCGATAGCAAGGTGGTTCTTGAGGGTGAGGTGTGGTCTTTTGATGAGAGGCCAAGTACTGATCCGGAATTCCTGCCAAGCCCACCTGCAGTGTGCAGCGTTCGAGATGCCTCTTTCAGGGGAGGATGAGGAATGGTTTGGTCCCTCGACGCGAGAGATATGTGAACAACGATTACTCAAAGACAAGGACGGATGGTGCGTCTGGCTTTCGGTCGTCTGGGAAACGAGCGCTCAATCGATCCGTCAGGTACCACACCCATCCGAACTTCCTACCGTACCCATCAGCGCATGTATCCATTCGTCAGTGTTTGTTGTCGATTCTTCGGAGGCGTGTTCATTTTAACTGTTGTCCAGGAGGAGCACAAGAAGAGAAATACCTTGTTGTTGAGGTCCTCAGTGACGGTCGGACACTGAATCAGATCGAAGAAGTCGAGGTGTCGCGAGCGATGTTTGAAGTCTACGAGGGTGGAGTGGTGCGTGTCGTGTGCCTTATGTGTGCCCTTTGGAAGCCCACTAACGACTGTCCAGTTCTTACATCAAGGTTCTACGTTCATCGTGAGCGATATGCCATTGCTTTCCCTCGAAGTCATGCAGTAACATCCCATCAGGTAAAGGAAATAAGTCATGATTCAAGAGTGGCCAAAGTCCTGAGGGCAGAAGTGAACTACATTACCTCTCCTCGGTACGTTTCTACCTTGTCTCGCAATGTGTCGTCTGACTCGGTTCTAGGGACTTCACGTAAGCTGACTTTGCCTGGTCACATCCGATTTCCCGCACTAAACATAATCTAGGAACGTGGATGCAGTACAGACCCAGCGTATCCGCCGTGCCAAAGCGTGCCTGGCATACTACGGAAGTACGCAGATGTTTCATGTCATCGACTGTCCGCATATTCACCCTGACTGTAGAGGTTCACGTTGAAGTAAAAGTGTTCGGCTTCTTCAAAATAAGGAACAAGTCGATCCTCGATGCTGTCGATTTGGACACTCCTAGCTGGGAACGAGATACGAGTGGCTTCTGGATCGACGTCCCAAAACCAATCCTGGAACTTTTACGGTCGCTGCAGGTCAATGTAGCGGAGGCGATACATGCAGCAGAACACGCGTTCCTCAATCAGTTCCCTCTTTCTGAAGATGTCAAGACGGAATGTAAAGCTGCTGAGAAGGAATATAGGGTCACGGAATCTACCCGGAAGCGACCTGCAAGGTTAATTTTCTATGACGCTGTAGGAAAGGGAGGTGGCGTGAGCTCGAAAGCGTTCGACGAAGGTACGAGTGCAATTTCCGTCATTGCATCCTGTATTGATGATTCCCCACTCGAAATCACCAGTTGAAGCGATCCTCGACCGCGCCTGCACCGTGGTCTGCAGTTGTTCCTGTGAAGACGGTTGTGCCAAATGTAGGCGCATTCTCTGTTTACCCATCTGCATCCATCTCTCACGCTGAACGAATTTCTAGGCGTACAGAGCCTCGTGTGCAAGGAGGCCAACCAGGTGTCTTCCAAGGTCGGCGCCGAAATAATCCTTAAAGGAATCCTTGGACAGGATATCAGTTACAACTACGAGCAAGTGAAGTCTACTCCATACACAGGCCCGAATACTATAGTCGAAGCGCCTGCGGTCAAAGCTCTAGAGGGGGTTCAGATCGAGGAGTCCGAGGTACAACCGTAGCAAGGCTTGCATACGCAATGTGACTGGGATCACAGTGCGATTTCAATGATACAGCCTAGTATATGTATAAGCATGGCGATTACACCATAGTCGTGGTATGAAACCCCCAGTGATTGATCTCATAAATAAGCAGTGACCAGGCATTCCGTGAAGGAATGCGGCATGTAGTAAATCGTTACAGAGTGGACTACGCTAGCGGGTCAAAGTCTCCCCAGTCTGCTTTCGACAGCTGTTTCTGTCCGCCTGCGCCCCACGCCGGTTGTGCGGGCTTGGATGGCGTGAGGATGTTCCCACCTATTCCCATACTTATTGGAGCGGCAGGAGTGCTCGCAACCAGAGGTGTGGAGAATACTGAAGGTTGTATGGAAGGCGCTTGGGTGGTTAATGACGATCCAAGGTTGATATTGTAATTGGGTGCGGCATAGCTTGGCTGTGAAGAAGCTGCCGGGGAACTGAAGCCAGGAGCGGGTGGGAGAGAAGAGGCAGATGGTGTAGCGGTAGTGATAGGGGCAGTGGACAGAGTGATGTTGTAATTCGGCTTGGACGAGGTGGAAGCAGTGGACCCGAACGAAGATGACGATAACCTGGATGCCGGTTGTGATGTCCCAAGCTTCGAAGGCCGCGGCTGAAAATTGGGTCGGCTGGGTTGCTGTGGCGGCGAGAGGGATGGTGTGATCACCGGCGGCGTCTGGAGGGAAGGGGAACTAAAGCTGCTGCTAACAGTAGGAGTCTGATGCTTCGCTGTCTGGTCTCCGTTCAGCAAGCTACCCCAGACGTCGTCTTCCCATGACGCAGCAGGAGCAGGGGCAGCGCTAGGGGTGGCGGTGACTGCAGAACTAGCCAAACCTCCATTGGCCATCGCACTGCCCTTGCTTACTAGGGTTTCGAAATCGGCTGTGGTTGTGTTCAGAGGAACTCCACCGTTCCCCATAGTAGCGGTAGCAGACCGATCTTCCAGTCGTTGGGAATCACGCAGGAATTGATCATGTTCCCGTTCAACCCGTTCTCCAAGCTTCTTGATCACAGACATGAAACGCTGGAATTGCGAGACATTAAGTAGAGGACCCATTGACATCGCCCATAGTTGCGGGAGAACGAGAGTGGCGACGGCTTCTCGATCCACCTTGAAACCCATGGCTTCTTGCACATCCAAGGTGGCCATCTGTAACAGACCGTCGTCAACCCATGCAACGATGAACGGATTCTACTTACCATCACTGACGGCTCCTTTGTTCTGATTTTCGAAAGTAACGGGACCAGTTTCTGCGTCAGACTTGACTGATCCAATGTCTTCACCATTGCTAAAAATGTGACCAATGTTGCGACCTTCACTGACAAAATCCTAGTCTTGGAAAATACAACCTGCAGATCATGACAGTTAAGAAACAATATTAAGCATCATCAGGAAGCTTGGAACATACAGCGACGCGAGGGAACAGAACACCCTGGACCTCAGCATAGTCAACCGTTTCACATAGGTCGGGAACTGCTTTCAACGCCCGCTCCTGAACGATTGCGTGTTCAGACTCAAGGGCATTATACACCAGAGGTAGGACGTCTTAACATGGAGAAACCTTGAGACCCCGCAAAGCTAAACAGGAACGGCGGGACTCACGGTCCTTGAATACATTCTTCTCCGTCTTCTCTTGCAACATTCCAAGATTGTCGAGTAGGGTCAGCATGTTCTGGGGAGGTTCCTTGATTGCGAAAAGAGGTTTGAGACTTGGAAGGACCATCGACGCGAACTGGGTCGGAGACAGTGCTTGGGAGATAGCAAAGACGTTAGGAAGAATGTATGGTAGTAAATGGGTATCTTTCATCTAACAAGCACCGCGGGTAAGCGAGCAATGGAGTAGACAAGATAATGAGACTCACCTCCTCGAGTAAAGATGGCAGAATCTTCCTGGTTTGCAAACCTTCCGAGAATCGATTTAGCACCCCTGTCAGTCCTTTCATGAAGGATATCTTCTCTTCGCGGGTTTTAGCTGTGAAGTTCGACCGATCCAGGAAGTTCAGGGTGGAAATTGGAAGTGATGAGAAGAAGGGGTGGGAAGATAATGTTTGAGGCGTCGGCCGTGATGTAGCATGACGGGTGACCAGCGAACGAACGAGCGCTAGGTGCACGGCAAATCAATGGGACTTTGACAGTTTGGATAGAATTATGGTGCGCACATTGCAAATCCTGTTCCCATCTCTCCATTCCGGGCAAAGGTTTCCCGGCATTTTCTCGGAGGTTGCTAAGGCTTCCATGGTTCTTGAAGGGAGGATTACCCTTGCTATGGACGGCGTAGACCACGCAGCCTAAAGAGTACATGTCCGAACTTGTTAAAAGCTGTTCGTCAAGAGCATATTCCGGCGCTATCTTGTCCTGTCAGTGTCCTGGGTGTGGTGGGATGGAAGGGATACATTGCGTACCCATATAATCGAATGACCGCTGGATATATGCTGGCACACGGCCGTCGAATGTCGGAAATTCCCAACGAGTTGGGTTGCCGTTAGTAAGAAGAGGGATGGTTACTCCTAGTCCAGATATCTTCCAATCGCCCTATGGTACTGGTTGGCACAAGGCGGTACAGCTGCAGATGAAGTGCTGGACGTACGGAGCTATTGATGATAATGCTCTCCGGGCAGATGTTCGAATGAATTAATTGCGCTTGGCTGTGCAAGAACGAAAGTCCCTTTGCCAATTGCAAGATGCCCTTCTGGATCTAACCGCACAATTAGACACTAGCACCCACTCGAGGATCACGCGCCCACCTCGATCTCGTCCAGTTCCACCAATGAAGCATGTCTGCCCGAACCTGGTATCGACAATTCCAGGGACGATAGAACCGGCTCCGTTGCAAATACAAGCTCTATTCGTGTTTCTTCCAACGGTTCCACCATTTCTGTGGGCCAAAGTCACAATAAGCGCTGATTCGGTCGAATTCTGTCAACTCCACGTACCCAGAATTGAAGGATGCCGTAGTCGACTTAGTGCGGACGCCTGAACTCGAGCGTTAAACCGGAAGTCTGATTAAAGGGGATTGAAGATCATCGCACCTCATTCTTCAACACCTCGAGTACTCTGTCCTTCCCGGCAACCCCCAACCTCTCCATCTCTGGACCCCGTTTGTCAAACGACCACACGGAGACGCGTTTCCCCGTCACCTTGTGTGTTGCAGGCTGTACTTTCCATAAACCAATATAAAAAGTAGGTGTGAAGGGCAGCGGGGCGATGTTGGCACCTCCTCCGCCACTGCTACCACCAGAGGTCGTTCCCGGCGTCGATGGTCGACTGGTCTGTGACGGATTTCCGATGTTATACGACTGCGAAATGTTTGTGCGCCCGAAGAACGAGCTTGCTGCTGCTAATACGTGTGCCATCGTCAGGCGTTGTGGTCGTCGTTGACCTTTGGAAGAATCCGAAGGATTAGCGGTGTTGGTGGTCGGTATTGACAGTCGTGATCACTGCTCACTCAGTTGCTGATTTCACGGTAAGTGGGTGGCTGTGTATTTTGATGCGCAGCGTCGGGATAAGCGCGCCCAAAGCGCGTTCCCCGCGCCATTGGAGTTAGGACAGGGACATGCTTTACCTGTTCGTTGTTTGGGCCAAGAGCTTAGAGAGTAGACTGTATATCTCGTATATATACATATAACAAATCTACAGATCAGTTTGAACGGTCCGTAGCACGATTTCTAGGATTACTACGGGCCTTCGCCTCCTGGACAAGCGCATACATAGAATGCTCAAGAAGTCTATCATGAGGGGACTAAAGGCGTGATGGTCATCTTAAGAAGCTTCCTCTGCTATCTGATACTGAAACACTTACAAGCAGTGCATGAAACAGCCACCCTGCCATTGACCGGCAAGCCCGCGATATCATCGCAACAGAGCTTCAACTGTGCCCCGCCAGTGCTGGAAAAAATCCACCGTTAGTAACGGAGAGAAGAAACGTCTTAGAATGATGAGGGCGCTCCTACCATTGACCCTGATTAGAGCCAGCGGTGCACTCCTTACCAACGGGTGTTTGTGGAGGGAGGTTGAGGTTGTAAAGCCTGAGGATCAACGCGAGAGAGGGATTGCCCGCAGTCGTCATCTCCTCACCTGACGAAGTAAAATCTCGTGTAAATGTCACCCTATTGCTTAAAGTTAGGAGGTGTCACCTACAACATTGGACGCGCTTTCCGGCTGGGCATTGTTGGGGAAGGCTGGATGGACGTGGAGCTCTTGGGCCTGAAATATCGTGTGCGGGGCGGGGCAGCGTTAGCTGTCGTTTGCATAAAGATTCGGATTAATACCTAAGGTTGGGGAGCGCCGTGTAGGAGGCAATGGACCAAGTCCTCGAGCGAGGCGGGCAGCGTTAGGACCACGGTGGACTCGAGGAATAGCGGTGACGTGCATAAATAAGCTAGACGACAGAACGAAAAGAGCGACAAAGAAGGCAAACGGTTTCATATTGGATAAAGATCGAGCGTGGGTGACGGTAGTGGGTTGGAACGAGAGAATGGCTTGGGGGACATAGCACTTCGATCATCGCAGATTTTATCCTGCTCGTGTGTGGATTCTCCAGTATATCATCATCTGTCTCAAGTTGCTTCTGTTATGTTTCTGACGGTCAGAACCTGTCAGTGGTTATAGAAGGATGGGGGATGGAAACAAACGAGCACAGCAAGCAGATCATGATGTCGGAGCTGGCGGAGTTTGGCGCCCACAATTTGTCTGGGCGCTCGATGAGTAGTGGTTGTGGAGGCCCACTGAGGCTTCCAGAATGAGATGAAGCTCAACGTCTCTCGTTCAAGCAGAATGACCATGCATTCCGATCATTTGAATCTTGATTCCATTCCCTTGCAACGTGGACCTCTGGGATCTGACCCTGATTTTGAATCTGCGCTCTGTAGCGAAATTGAATGCGGAGAGACTGAGAATACAGATGTTGTACACAGCAGAGGAGTGGAAAGAACACTTTAGTTGGAGCCTGGATCTATTGGAGTTATCGTTTCGCATGTAAGTGCCCGTAGATGCGTCAGGGAGGTAACAACAAGGAGACGTACAAGGTGTGCATCCTACAGCAAAGAGTCCAAAGGCAGGACCCGTAGCGTTACAACAGAGTTTTTTCATCCCGGGCAAGAAGCTAGAAGCATGTAGAGTAAGTATTGTTGTTGTCAGTGATCAAAGAGTCTGGAGTTGCATGTTCCGAGAAACGCACCACTGAGTTCTGTCAGACCCCGCCTTGCAGCCTTTGCCAATGGGAGTATCGGCCGGAATGTCGATGCCAAGTGCTTCGAGGAGAATTGATACGAGCGGATTTCGCGCAGTGGTAACTTCGTAGCCTGGAAGAGATTCAGTGCGGTGAGCTTGATGTATGTGCGAGTTATAGGCTGTCAACCACTTACAACACTGCACCTTGGCCCCAGCGGAACATTGGTTCGTAGGAACAGGGGATGGTGCTGGCCTTGGAGCTGGGGCCAGGATTGTCAGAGATTACGCAATAAAAATCCGAAGATAATTCTTACACCCAAAGGTTGGAGATCGTCTTACGGGTGGCAAAGGCGGAAGGCCCCGGGCGAGACGCTGGGCATTGGGACCACCTTGCGGGACAGCTAGAACCAACGTGAACAGAAGAGTGAAAAGAGTGACAAAGAAAGTGGTGGCTTTCATAATAAGGAACTTTTAAAGAGTGGAAGGTGTCCTGGGACAGAGGTTCTTGAAAGGTTCGAGCTCGGGAGACCTGGGGATTCCACAGTGTCACAGACGAGGCGAGCTTTATACCTTCACGTACGCCGTGGGTCATTTCATCGATTTCTTTGGCAAGTCGTTGACGGTCAAAATTTCTCTGACAAGGGACACACGCAGTACATAGACAAGCGTAAGTCCAGAGGCGTTCCGGAGGCTGTTGCGTCGATTAGTAGGAACTGGAGTCTATGCGAGATCAATTGTTGATTTTGAACAGCATTATGTTTTCCGAGGACCCTTCCAGGTACTTAGCGCGCCCACGCGAGTTTCCGTGTTACCGAACTGGCCAATCAGGTGCGAGAAAAGGGGCGGATGACGCGCCAAGGCTCTTCCGGACTTCCAGTTATTCCCTGAACAAGGGCGTCGTTCCAGCGCATTCCTTCCGGGCCTGGGGAGGTTCTGGGATGTCCACGGCTGCCCAGGGACAATCCTGGCAATCCACGGCGATGGCTTGAGCCCTGAGGTAAATCACCACATCTTGGCATGGAGCGGTCAAGACAGAATATGTTCGATAAGATAGCGACAACACCTGCTGCCCAAGGCATCATTGACAGAAGAAGCTCTTCTCAACATCCCAACAATGCATCACACTGAAACCAGAACGGAGGCAAAACCCGAAGAGGGCAGCATACCTTCCTGATCCGGAAGTGCGGCTTGTGACCATCTGGACAGCGTCACCGCGTCGCGCCTGCGACTTGCCACTTCTCCAGCCTTCCGTTCTCTGGACGTCGTGACTGGGTTGGCAACTTTAAATATTGTTCCCGATGAATGTGATTTCCACGATGTTTTCATTTCCTGCGCCGCCTTTGATTAGACAGCGAATAGGGATCTGACGATCGCCCCACCATGGGCCTACATACAATAAATCTTGGGGACGTCAAATGACCTCGAATACCTCATGAGAAGTGTTCATTCGTCACTGTTGGATCCGCCCCAAGCTCATAGCTGCCTAATCGGTAGAGAAAAGGGGCGCGCAGTTCACAGGGACATACCCCACTTTCCGCTGAGAGTGGACGGGGTGTGGTTCGAAGTCGATGGTTTCAGCTCTTTGATCGACACCCTAAGTACTATGAATTCTTCACATCAGTTCTGAGAGAATTCGGGCTTCCTCGAAGAGTGGGGAGCAGCAGAGGATTCCCTCGGGGAGCGGTGTTCGTCAGGAGGCGGCGAGATGTCCGAGATGCCCGCCTATGACATAATTCGCGTGGCCGATGACCGAACGTCATTTCGCATGCTGCCTCACCACACTCGGAGTCCTGGTGGAACCCAAAGTAGCCCAAAGTTTGTGGAAACCATCGACGGTGTATATGGGGTGAATCGAATCATATTCCCTGTCGTATGGGAGCCGAGGTACGCAGTATGCTACAGTGGTGTGTATCCATTGACAGATAACGGGTGCGAAAGACTGTACTTGTGGTTGGTGTCAACCGGTAAGAAGGGAACTTGACTACTATTGCTACATTGGAAGGGGATGGTATTGCGTAAAAGAGCGTTAAAATTTGAATAAAAATCCAGAATCCAGTCCTAGAAACCGTCATTAAAGTGAAGCTAAGGTATAAAGCAATGCCAATCATCATCATGAAAAGGGAAAGGAAAGTCAAAAGTAATATAACGGTGTCAATTATCCCCTAGACTTAGACTGTCCTAACGACTGTGATAGAGCTCACCTAGCAACGAGCTAGAAAATAAGCTAGTAGAGCCTCCTGAGACTACTTGCCAAACTGACGGCAGGTGTCGTCATCCCTCCGCTTGAGGCCATCTCCCTGTCCAACGAACCCCAACTCGACGTGCATATCTCGATTGGGGCCTCATGGACGAACGTTGGGATGTGCGTTGATAGACTTGTTGGTGGTCGTAGCGTGACCCGGAGGACATACTAGATAGTCAAAAGCAAATCAAAGTGGAGTCAAGTCAGTATTGATGTCGTTGAACAGCATGACGACAGCGGCGCCTAACGCTCAAAGTTTGATGAAAGAGACAAGCACTAACCTGGACGTACGCCGAATCCCTCAGCACCCAGCTCTGCTCTGACCCTGCATCGCCTGCCTGAATTTCGCCCTTCAACACAATCATACCCTCTGCCCACCCGGATGTCTTGCGAATAGTGGCGCTTGACACGAGTGCAGCGCGTTCGATTGCCGGGCCTACTTCCCCCGGAGAGGGCTTCCTGAAAAACCCGACCTTCTTGAAGAGCTGGACTTCAGGGGATTTGCAGAGAAGTTCGGCGAGGTAGGGTTCGGAGCGGAAGGAGACAGAGAGCATGAAGGGGATGTCCTGACCTGAGGTGAAAGATGCTGGGACAGGCAGGGAGAGCTGTTGATGAAGACAACGTCACTCGGTGAAATAAGGGTGCAGGGAATGGGGTTACATACGTAGACAGAATCTGGATAAGATTCGAGTTTGAGGCGTTGCTGCCTGGTAGGCTTGTATCCAGGGTTAGACTTTGACCGAAATGAAGGTGCAATAGGGAACGATTCCATTCGTTCAGGGCCTTGGAGGAACAAGGGCGGGTTCTCGAGGTGACGTGAGGCTGGAGGCAAAACGCAGATAGGTGGAACTATAGGGTTGGTCTTGGGGAGGTAGTAAATAGGTATATTTCGTCTGTGAAAGGGTTAACACGAGGCAAGGCGGGGATGGGGAGCACGTACGACTCTGTTTTCTTCCAGCGAGGCTTCTTCCTCCACGAGATATCGAAGCGGATGGAGTATGTGATTTCACAGAGGAAATGAAGGTCCGAGTGGTAAAAAGAAGGCGGGCAGAGTGTCTCCTCCCCCTTGTATCTGAGGTACGAAGGGAAAGGAATGGAGAATGGGATTTCGGACGTGTCGACTGAAGAGTCCTGGTCTGCTTTGTAGATTGGGACTGTTAACGAAAGGAATGGGGAGGATGAATCGTCTGAGGAAGGTATCCTCTCCGGGAATGATGTTTTCAGACGACCTTCGAGCTGAAAAAGTGCTGGTCAGATGAATAACTGCAAGTAGTGAGAGTGTACTCACTGTTGCGGTTACTGATTCCAAAGGGTGCTTCTTATCAGCCCACTGCACATGGCCGTCGATGTTCGCGTTTAAACCGTATGCGGGGCCGCTGATCTTCCATGTGCGCCTTCCAAGGTTGATTCTAGCGCGCTTCGTTGGGAAGATCCATTCACATGCTGCGCAATTTGTGCGACGTGGTACTTCAGTCTGGACCAGACATTCTGAGCTGCCCAGTGTCTGTGAGTAGAGAGGCAGCGGTGAGCCCGAGTCGTCCTCGTATTCTGGCAACAAAAGGTCGCTGGGTCGTGATGGAGAAGGCATTGAGGGAATGTCGTGGAAGGAGGGGGAGTTGTATAGTGATGGTTATATAGACTCGGGGACGGGAGTGGGGAGTGTTCGAAGGCGGTCAGTCGTCATCTTAACTTTTTGTTCGGCTGAGTGGAGTCAAAGGTCCAGTGCCATTGCTAAAGATCCCGTCACCACAACTGGGGTACCGCATCAATTCGGTCCGTTATCCCCGTCCGGGCGTCTGTTACCCCATGTTCCGGCCTTGCCACTACAACCGATACAAACCACCACGACGACGATGAGGCCCACCCTGCGCTGTCTCCAAGGCCTGGCTTACCATGCACGGCGTGCAGAGAGCACCAGCTTTATTGGCTTAGGGCGCATGGGCTACGAAATGGCCAACAATCTCTTCTCCAAGAAGTATGCTGCCTCCAAGGATGCCCATTTCGTCGTCTGCGATGCCATCCCTGATACTGCTCAGGCTTTCCGAAACACCTTTGTCCAGAAGTACCCCGGGGCCCATATCACAGTCGTGAACGATCCCGAACAGTGAGTTCACACCTTTACTTCCTCGTGGATTTTACTCACAGTGCTATTACACTAGAGCTGCCCTTGCCTCGGGCACGATCATCACAATGCTTCCGTCCTCACCCCAGGTGCAAGAAGTGTATTCCAAGATTATCCCTGCGTTGTCATCATTGCCGAAGGAGCTCGCGAGACACACACTATGTATCGACTCCACCACGCTGGACGTCGACGTCGCGAGGCAGGTCGCGTCGGAAGTGAATAGCCAGGGGGCGAAGATGGTGGATGCCCCTGTCTCCGGAGGTAAGTAATCTCTGAGTTGTTCAAAGGTTTGGAACGCCCCGTTCATTCGTGTAGGTGTTACCGGTGCTGCGGCTGGAACGCTATCCTTCCTTGTGGGAGGTCCTGAGGAATCCTTCAAGCTTGCTCAGCCGATTCTGACCCACATGGGGCAGCGCATCATCCATTGTGGTCAATCAGGTGCTGGTCTTGGTGCAAAGATTTGTAACAACGTAAGCACCTCTTTTGAAATCACAAGTCAAATTCGACACTAAACCTCAACTTACACAGCTTGTACTCGGCGTAGAACAGATTGTCATCGCAGAAGCGATGTTGCTGGGACAGAAACTAGGTTTGGACCCAGCCGTGCTCGCTTCCGTGATCAACAGCAGCACGGGAAGTTGCTGGTCGTGTTCGGTAAACAACCCAGTCCCATCCGCTCTTCCTGGAAAGGCGCCACCCTGTGAGAGGGATTACGAGGGTGGATTTGCAACAGCATTGATGCTCAAGGTGAAGTGTTTCGCGGGATGTTACCCCTATCTTGCCCATTGACGCGTCTTTCTGCCCAGGACATGCGCCTCGCGACGGACATAGCGGAGAAAAACCAAAGCGCGTTGCCTCTCGGGGTTGCTGCACGCGAGCTGTACCAGAAGGCGATCGAGGAAAAACCAGAGCTGGCCAAGAAGGACTTTTCTAGCGTGTTCAAGTTCTTGGAACAAAGTTGAGGCGCCGCGGAAGAATAAACGTGGGCTATAAATATCTACGTATATCCAGTGTTGTGTTGGAGAACAATAGAGCAGCAACAACAGAACTGAGATTACTATTGCAAATTAGATTGAGAGGCGCAGGGAGAGATGGCGGCGAGTAACCCTAACCCTATTCCAGTTGTTCTCACTGAGAGAAATTGTGTACATAGCGGCCCTTGTTTTATTAGTTCTTCGGTCTTCCCTTTTGCTATTCTTCTTTTTCTTTCCTTTTTAATTGTCCACCAAAGTTATCATGGCCGATTCTCAAGCAAAACCATCTGTCTTGATCTTTGGCAAGTCTTTTCTTCAGGTTGCTACGCCCATGGCGACCATGAACAAGGCCTGTACTCATCGAGCTCCCCAGGTGGATTGAATACTTGTTCAAGGGCACTTGCCGCCTTGCTGGTTCCGCTCGATGGCGAACCTCTGGTATCGGTACGTCCCAAATGGCCCAACCGTAACCGTTCATCCTTAACGACTGGTCCAAAACAGCACCTGAGGATAGTCGACAAGTATTCGGTTCACCCCCCAACAACGTTAGCGATCCCTACAATCCTTGAACATCACCATCGATTCTAATACCCGACTTGTTCACAGTTATATCGGGCCAGAGTTCCCCAAGATCTTGGAAAAGGCCCAAGTCGAGTATCGACAAGCCAACTTGACTGTACAAGGTCAGTTACTTGATCGAAACACACCCACAGCGAGGATTATACGATCCTCGGTGATCCCCTCATGCACGAACAACCCAAACCTTATATCTAACCTTGTTTGCTTTGTAGCGACCATCTCGTCGGTGTTTGAGCCCAACGCTGGACAACCTGAATTCGACTATGTGTTCGACTTTACTGGAGAGGTCAGGTATGACCGAACGGAGGTGGTGAGTGGTCTGGCTTGCGGTGGACGGTCTCCGATATGCTCATGCCTCGATTTAGATTCAATACAACACCACGTATTGCGTTGCGAGGATGCTCGGGTTGGAGGCCGCCAAACGCAAGATCAAGGCCTACGTCAGGATCCAGCAATCGTTTTACGAAACCTCGTCCAAGGGTCCCCAGGACGAGAAGGAAGATGCAAAGCCTGCTGGGGTTGCAGGCACTTGGTGGCACGAGACTTTGCGCGGTTTGGGAGCGATCGAAGAGTACGTCCGGAGCCCATAGGACCGGGAGATGGTTCACTGATTCCCTTCGCAGTCTCAACCTCGTCATCTTGCGCCTGGGTTTCATCTATGGGCCATACACAACTCATGGAATCAGTATGTAATCTTTATATCCATCTCAGCTGAGCTAGTCATTAATCCCGCGTAGTCACGACTGCGATCAACGTTGCAGCGGTCTACGGGTATCTCAAGAGACCCATGCGATCCTTGTACGTCCTGATTTTTTACCGCTGATTCAGTTGAAACTGATGGATACGTAGGTGGTCCCCTGGAAAGCACGCCAACAACACCATCCACGTCGATGATGTGGCTGGTGCTGCATGGGCTGCCGCCGGGTGGATGGCCAAACTAGGCCGCAAGGCTGCCGATGAGGCTGCTGGTGAAGAGATCCTCTTCCACAACGACAAGAAGAAGATAAAGGAGTTTGAGAACATCGTTCCTCACGACCAAAAGGTCATCGCTCCTCTCTTCAATGTTGTCGATGATTCGAACAACACCTTGTTGAGCGTGGGACAGACGGTCACTTCGTTCTTCGGCACCACGTTCGAATTCCTCAGTCTGGTTGAGAGCACTGTGTTCAAGGTGACGTGTCAAGTCAACTTATCGGAGAATTGCTATCCTAATTATGCCTGTAGATCACCGATGCCGTCGATGATATCAACGAGGAACACGTCGGCGGATGGACAAAGATGCTCACAGAGAACAATCCTCCGATTGTGCACACCCCGTTGACCGCGTACATGGACAAGTACGCTCTCGAAAAGCATACCCTCGGCTTTACCAACGGAAAGCTCAAGGACACATTGGGATACTCGCTGAAGAGACCCGAGTTTAGTCACGATGCCATAAAGGAGATCGTTGACAAGTGGAAGGCTGAAGGTGTCTGGCCTACTGTTTGATAATCTGTGCATCGACCCGACTTTCTGATAACCATGAAGATGGATGACGACGGTATTCCTTTATTTAGTAGCGATATCTCTTTTCTCTTTCTTCGGCTCCCATCTAACATTTCAATCCACTCCATTCAATCTCTTCGACACTGATATTAGTCTTACTTTTGGGTCAACCAACTACTTAGTCCTAGTCTTCCCTTCTCTTTTTGCTCCCGGCTATACCTTAATTCCCTAACCATAGCTTTCTTAATTCTGCTTTCATACCTCATGCATGGGTTGATGCTTTCTCGCTAACTTGAATACATACTCCTTTCATCTGACCAGACGTTTTGGTTACCCCTGCTTGTCACGATTTCAATCTGTAACGTACGTTCCGTAACTTATCAAACGGCGAAATGGGAATACATCGTTATGTTGCCTTGTAAGTGCAAGCTCGTGGTGGTAGCCTGACTTATGAATCAGTGTTCGTGGTGGTAACCGATGCCTAGCGGCGTTGCGTCCCCATAGGCGAAGCTAATTTGAGCGCCCGTCTTAGTAAACGACAAGGGATGACGACACTTTCCGCGGATACAAAGCCGTGAGGTCGACCAATCCCCGTCTCTTGATTTCCTAAACCCCCCTTCCCACTGCTCGTAAGTACCTTGCGCTACAAGTCTAAAGGGTCCTGTTCCCCACAGAGAAAGATCGCGGGCTTCGCTTGTATGTCGGAAGGAAGAGACAGCAAGCTTCGGACACATCAAGAAAGTCTCGAATCCGAGTCCCAGGAAGCTCTTCTTCCTGTAACCACTACCACTTCCAGCATCTCGACGGCCGGCGCAAGCGAACAAGCGGATATGCGAGTCACAGAGAAGGGTGAACGAAATTTGGACGGTATAGCGGGGATTGCTGCTCTTGTAGGTGGACCTCTATAGTTGTCAAGTCCATTGCTAAATCAACGACCCTGGAAATTGTAGTGTGCTGTTGGCGTACGTGTTGTCTTCCCGATCTCCGCGAGGAAGCTCGCTCATACGAGTTAACATATAGATCCTGGCGGCGATAACCTGGTTCATCGTCTTGACCAATAACCCCACTTCTCTAGGCTGGTTTGCCCTCCACCCTCTCTTACAAACCCTTTCATTAGTGTTGTTCACGTATGGTGAGAGTCCACTTTCATCCCGGCGGGCGCCTAATTGGTTGCTCCGGTTTTTTTCCTCCTCGCTCGTCTTTTCTAGGATTAGCTAGCTGCGGGCGAAATGAAGTGGAATAAGAGGTGACTGACTTCATATGCTTTCCAGGGATACTGACTCTGCAACCGACTTCTCAAGCCAACCCGAAAGCCAAAGCGGCGGGCTTGAATAGGCATCAGTTCGCCGTGTTTTTACTCGGGTTCCCTGCTATCCTCGTTGGGACGTGGGCGGTATGGCATAACAAGAACCTGAGAGGTGCAGAACATTACACCACTTGGCACGGTGTAAGTTCAACGTTCATGTGTTTCCCTTCATTGAACAGTCGACCCACGGCTTGCATGTAGACGTTCGGGGGCTTGTGCCTGCTGTGGATGTTTGGCCAGATTATCCTCGGTGCTGGAAGCGTTTGGTTCGATGGAAAGCTCTTTGGAGGAGGAGCCAAAGCGAAATCGCTTTGGAAGTATCACAGGTGATTGTGGCACTTGGCTTTCCTCTCGTTGCTCGAGAGGGCTGACAGGGGGATACTTCAGACTGTCAGGATACATCCTGTTCCCGCTGATGCTGTTGACTGCCCATTTCGGCGGCGCATGGTCATTATGGGGTGAGCGTAATGCGGCATGGATCGTGCGATTCCTCGCGTACACGATTGCACCCATTCTCATTCTTGGTGGAGTCTTGGTCCGTGTGAGGTTAGTGGCACACCATAATCACCGACCGAAGGTTCGACCGGTCAACTGACAGTGTAAAATCCGGCAGAACATCCAAGATGAAGTTTTGGTGATAAGGAATGATAGCAAGGTGATATGTACAGGTGTCGAATAAACAGTAGAACCCGGGTAGAACCTTTAGGGTAGACTACAGTGAATTAAGAACGACTAAGGGATGGGAGCTTGTGGAGGAGCAATAACACTTTGAAGGAAACCAGGAAGGAACCTTTCCAGGCGTTCGTGCGTGGCAGTCCAGAGAGTCTTGCGGAGTTGATCTTGCTCTTCACCTTCAGGAGCTGGGGGAACGAGGATTCCAACCGCGTTCATGACGAGCAACACATTCTTCAGCGATTCTGGGACTGCTTCATTCTGCAGGAGAGCAGTCTCAATCACACAACTCGGGGGAACAAAGACAACCAGAAACTTACAAGTTGGTCATCACGACCAGCGATCATAAGTCGATCCAATAGATCCAGAATCTGAATCCAGAGCAGCCGGAAATCGGTTCGCATCTTCTCCTCCCTCACCTCCAAATGCATGAACGACTTGCACAAGAGAGCAGATGCTCGCAGCCGAGTCTCTGACATTCCTTGTGGGTCACGTTGATACACCTGGGGCTTCAGCAAGTCGTCGATGAGAGGGAAGACAACACGGTTGAATACGTCTTCGACTTGACTTTGGTCAGTGGTACCGGGGTCGAGGGCTGGCCCGAGGAGGATGCGTTGTAGTTGACTGATAGCGACGTGGCGGATTTCGCGAGAGGCGTTGACAGATTGGCGGGCAAGTGAGGAAAGAAGTGGAAGTGTGAAGTGTTTCCATGCTGGATGGGGGAAGTCAACAAAGCTAACCAATATCAAATGGACAGAAGAAATCACCTTCAGGAGGAGCCACCTGAGCTTGAGTCAACAGCTCTGGTAGCCTCTTCAGCATAGCTGCAATGTATTCGACAGATTTCTTTCCCCTTTCAACGGGTACCGAGCTATCAAACACGGAATCACATTAGGACCCAGAGAAGGCAAGATAGAAGGCGAAGTATCGCATACTTGGCTGCAGTGAGGGGTTCCACACGCCTTCGTGATTGTCGAGTATGAGCCTCTACCAAAGCACCAGCCGCTGAGGCAAAGTCATCGAGGATCGTGACAAGGCCGGCAAAGTTGTCCAAAGAGACATCAGCGTCAGGTCCTTCTCCAGCCAAATTAGAGGTGAGTTCGAAGGTTAGCCTTGCTGCTTCAGGATGTGAGAGCATGTTGCGAAGGAGAGCGAACACAAGATTCCACTCGGTCTGAGAGCTGTAGGCGTATCAATCAACTCTGGACCAAGATGAGATAACAGTTAAGGCTTACCGAACGATGTTAGGGTGCTTCTGCATGATTACAATGAGCCCTGCTACAACTTGATCTCCAACTGAGCTCGACACGCTCGGGTGGATGCGAGCCAAGAGGTCAAGAGAGACGTAAATCTGATCTCTAAGGGATGGCTGTAGTACTTGTAAGCAACGGTCGGGAAAAAAGAATAGACGGAAACGCACGTTATATGCGAGAATTTGGCACAGTCGCAAGAGACAGACTACAGCACGCTCAATCAGAAGAATGCTGTACTGTGCAGCAGATGATAAGAGGGCGGATATGTGCTCGAAGATAACTGGCCAAAGTTCTTCGATAAACTGCGGGGCCTGACAAGCTATGCTTGCCATAGTCTCAAGTAGGAAGACTGATGCAGGGTCATACGGAAGCTTGTAGGGAGGGTCGTCGAGCGCTGTCAAGTTATCTTCGGAGTGGAGCCTGAGCTTGGCAACGGTTCGCTCATGGGCCAAAGCCTCGAGAGCCCGGACAGCGGCGACCATAGCATCCGAGTCGATTTGGCTGAGCGAAATGCGAGTAAGTTGATTTTCTAAACGAGCCGAAAGAAACAGAAACACATACGTAATCTGACTGTAGAATTCGTCCAATCGACAAGACGTGATGCAGTCGATAGTGCACAATGTGTTTTCGACGTCCGCGTCAGTTGCATCAGGGACCTGAGCTTCACTGCTACTGTAGGGCGTCATGAGATACGACGACAATGTCGAGAGTAAACCACCGTCGCCCCGCGACTGAGCGGGCTGTGGTTGACTCCCTCTCAAGGGGATCATGGTAAAGCCACCCAGGAAATCCTCCATTTGTAGCATGCGGGTTGGGAGGAGAGAGTGAAGGAAAAGGTTTTGGAACATTTCGAAAATCTAGGCGGAGGATAAATGGCATGTGCAGCGTCGAGATCATGAAGTGTCCTCACCTGAGTCCACCCCTCCCGAAGAGCGTTCCCATTGCCATTCACGATGTTGAACAAGACCACAGCTGCCAACTGTCCCTTGAAATTGGTTCCAAACTCGACCGAGAGTTTAGACACTGTGACAGATTGGCCCTCAACCTCGACGATAGGATAGTTCGGAACTTGGGCCGGGAGTGACTCGGACAAGAGTCCAGTTGCCTGTGACAAAGAGATGACCACAAAGTCGAAGACGTCAGGGAGGTTGAACCGTCCAGCCAAGGTGGCACATTGCCTAAATCCAGCAACAGCGCGTTGGATAATGTAATCATCGTCGAAGGTGATAAAAGCATAAGCAATGGCTGAAATGACGGGCTTCCAAACGGCTTTGAACATCTCGACGTCGAAGACAGAAGTGTTGTATTGGACGAAATCGCCTGTAGCCAGGATGGTTCAGTGCATTCAGGTCGATGAAAGTATGAAACAAACAAACCTGCTTGTCGTGACCGTGTCAAGAGTTCTTTCCAAGCGTACTCGAACCCAACTTGGCCACTGTGTTCTTCGGGCATGACGATTTCTTCCTTCTTGATGGATTCGTAAATCTTTGTCTATGGGCGTGTCAGTAACATTGCAACGCAAGAGACCCGCGATAGACCTTACCAGATATTCGGAAGAGAAATCGGTTTTCTCGTTGACACCACGCAAGTTCTTCTTGTAGTCCTCAACGGACATTCGTTTCTAAAGGAAAGCATGAAGAGAGGTAGGCATTAAGAATGAGGTTGGGGTGCTTACTCGGACTTGTGCATTGTGAAGGTCGGTGTTGAGCATGATCACAGAGTACGCCAAGACGTAGCAGGCATCTTCCGATTTGATCTCCTCTGTTTAATCCATCAGTTATGAGTTCACGAAGAGATTCAGTGCTACACACCAGGTCCAGTGGCAAAGTAAATAGAGGAGAATACCTCTGTAATTCTGCTGATCTGCTGAGATTCTCCGGGAAGACGGAACGCCTCCAACATGTCCCGCAACGCATCGGCCACGTCTTTCTAAATGATGGGGTAAGTCCTCAGTAGCACTTGCATGTTTGCTCGCCTTACTCCTTTAAAATCGAAAAGCCCGATGAACGCTTTCAAAAGTTCAATGTTGTCCGGCTTGGAGATATAGCCCCCTAAGACTCTCTTGTCCAGCCTTCCGCAAGATTTGAGGAATTTGGCAAGACTTTGGGGCTTGGATACCTCCGGCGAAAGGTCTTGATAGATGAACCCGTTCTCCTCTAAGAAGGCGACACCGGTCTTGGGTTTCGTGTTGAATTTGGTGGCACCTGCGGAAATGAGTTCCTTGCGAGATTTAGCTTGAAGCAATGAGTGGATAGCGTCGGTATTCTAGACAAATTGGTTAGGACGTGGCCAAGAGTCATTCCCAGAGTATGCGCACAGGAGACTCGGATTCAGCGGGCTGAAGAAGTGAAGGTCAGCGCCACCCTTCCAAGCAAGGGAACAACTCGACCTACAGCATTGGCGCGGTTGGCCATGTCGTTAACGAAGGCGAGGAGCATTTCCAGGCACAGGTATTGCGTATTCCGTTGACTTTCAAGGCTCGTTAAACCTTGCGCTGGGTATACAGCCTGAATGCCGTTAGAAGGTTGGAATACATGACTCATGAGTGTCGTATCCACTCACCTTCGTTAAGAATTCGATCAATTTCTCGAAGAGGTTCTCGCAGTTGGTATCGCAGTCATAGTTGGCGTAAATGTCGACCATGAAGTTGGGTTGATGCACAAGGTGGCTAAGGGTTTCCAGGATGTAGTCGCGGATCTCGCCTCGAGCTGGAGGTACGCGTCGAGGGGTGTCTGCCTTTTCGTCAGAGGGACCAAGGGGAGGCGTAGCAATGGATGGGGTTCCCGGGCGAGGGGAAGAAGTGGCGCCTCTTCTAGCAGGTACTTGAAGCCTGGCGGGAGGAAGATATAGACGGTCAATGGTGAAAGTCAACAGCAGCTCTTGTTGCAACTTGAGATCCTTCTTCATGCAGTCAAGGATGGTGAATATAGTCCTGAGAGAGAGATGGAGAATGGCGTTATTCTCGGAACGGGCAAGTTGGAAAAGATATTTGCAACCAGGGTCGGTGATTAGGACACGCAACGAGGGGAACTTGGAAATTGTGCACCCTGCCTCGTCGAAGGCAGCGTTCAGAATACCGAGGGCAATGAGACGTATGGAGTCTGTGTGTTGTTGTGCGGTTGGGTCGAGAACATTGATGATGACTCGCAAGAGCTCGATGAGGGAAGGAAGGCCGTCTAGGGTCATTAGCATCGTGAACACGCTTCAATAATAAGACTTACATTCAGGTTTCTTTCCAAATGAGACGGCAGAAGTAGGCTCCTCTTCTTCCTGGGGTACTGTAGTAGAGCTTGGCTGCTCTGGTTGCTGCTGTGGTTGATTTTCCTGGCCTTGATCCTGTTCCGAAGCCGGTGCTTCGGAAGCGTTCGTTGCCTCGGGGGAGCCCTCGACGGGTTCTTCTGTCTGCGTTTCTTGTACTGCTTCCGTACTTGACTGAACTGTCATTTTGAGTTCTCCTTCGGTTTCGGCCTCATCAGATTTCAGCTTTGCTTCCTCCGTCTCCGGGTCCAGCTGGTTTAGCTTTCTGAATACTGTCCTCACTAAATTGTGCATCGTGTTCTCTGCGGAACGTCGCAAGGTACCTGTTGCGCAGTCAAGACACGTTGCATTTGACCGCAGTTGAGCTTGACACACCACTCAATCGGGGCTGGCAGCAAGTCGTCAGGACAGCCTCCAACAACTCGCATACCTCGACATCCCCCAAACTCCCGCCCACAGGATTGCAGATAAAGTCTTCGATGACAGTCATAAGTTTCAAGAGGACCACTTCGTCACCAGATGAGTCGCTAGCTTCAAATCGGCAATGCGAGATGGTGTTGCTGAGTTCTGCCAACACGACATTGAGATGTTCTGAAGCGTCTGGCCGGATAATTCCACAGACGAAGAACGAATGCAAGGCGGATAGCGCTGAAGAAGTGATGGGACCAGTCGAGAGAGGTGACCTTATGATGGCGAGGAATGGTGCTAACAGCGTCCCGAGGTCAAGGACTGCAACATCTGTTCCGTTGTGTAAGATATCAGAACAGCGCCAACCGCGAATACGAGATCGTACCAGGTATATTTTGGATCGTCCTCTGAAGCTCGACAAAGTTGGCCATAAGCTCTGCCTCCTTGCTTCCTCTTCCAGATTGGTGGACTGGAGCTGCAGGAGAGGATAGCCGAAGTCCCAAGTCGGATCCTAGTTCCCTAGGATGGCCTCGATGGCCTATGACAACTGTCGATGAGGCCCATCTCGAGTTCCTGCGCATCGTACTGGTGACAGAGAGGATCTCTGCTTGGATAACATGTCTGAGAGACGTGCCCGTTCGCGAGCTCGTAGAGGAAGTCATTAAAGGGATATAGAGAGACGCAATACGCGAACAAAGTCTTGTAAGAACATCTGAACCGGAGTCGCGACGTGTCTGATGATCGACCGTGACTAAGCGAAATAGGGGCACCCAGAGGAAAAGATATGGTATTTATGGCTATTGCTATTGTACATGCTAAGTTCAAAGTTGATCATGATGATGTCTCCGAGGCCCGTTGAGCCATAGCAGCTTGACCCGCAGCAGTTGCTGCAAGCCTTGAACGTTTCCTTTCGGCCTCTGGAAGGAGCTATGAGCGTTTGCGATGGACGAGGGATGTACACCAACAACTCACCGGCCTCCTTTTCCTTCTCGATCTCCGACACGATAGCTTCAATTTCAGATAACTCAAGGGTCTGTGTACAAGTGAGTAAGGTATTCACAAGAGACACATGAAAGCACACACCGTGATCTTGCCATAGCTCTCCATCACGCTGATTTCAATGTTCTTGGCTCCAGTTTGCACAACCTCCAACAGGCTCTTCACTGTCAGCTTAATGGTCTCTTCCCGTGAAAGATCGTCTTTGTGGTTCTTCTCCAGGAATTCGCGCACAGTTTTTGAAGATCGGCCAATAGCGTTTGCCTGTAACAGGGCGTCAAACAATGTCAGGGAGGTTATAAGCGCCGGAAACCAACCTTCCACGCGCTGTAGATTCCACTGGGCTCGGTTTGGTAGAGGCGGGGTTTGTTATCGTTGGGGTCGAATCCTACGATCAAAGTGGAGATTCCGAATGGTCGAACACCACCGGATTGGGTGTATTTCTGCACAGAGGTGAGCGAACAAAGGATTCGGGTAGATAAACCAATCAAGTACCTGTTGGATTCCAGCAATATACCTAGTAATATATTCGACGGTAACGGGGTCTTCTACAGTCAAACGGTGGCTCTGGCACTCTATCCGTGCCTTGTCGATTAGAACACGTCCGTCGGCGGTGAGTCCTGGCGATTACTGGTAAGAAGGGGGAGCGATGGTCCTTGTACAATGAGGCTCACCCGCAAATGCCAGGCAAATGTGATCGTCCAACATGACAACTTTGCGTACTGTCCTGGGGTCTTGAAGTTGCAAAACCGACTTCTTCTCGACTCCGAGGACTACTACATCTTTCCCGCGCACACCGACCTAGAGGATGACATATCAGGCGATGCAGAGCAATAGTCTCAGATATACTCACAGCGCAAGTTCCCTTCCTAACAGCTTCTAGTGCATATTCAACCTGCAACATATACATTCACTTTGGTGCATCTCGACTGGCAATACTGGTATTGACCTGGAACAAATGACCATCGGGGGAGAAAACGGTAAGGGCTGTGGATGTCCTCGTCAGCCATCGACCTTCCTACACGTCGATTTCAGGAAAACTCACCGCGGTCGTAGGATCTGGACATGGTGGGCTGAAAGAATCTGGCGACCGTCAGCGGCGACGCGCGTGCGCTCGAGCTGGGAATTGATGATGATGTCACGTGGACTTAATTACTTTAGCGCTTCGGCGTTTTTAGTCGCCCCTTCACCCTGAACACTTTGTGGTCATCGAGTACGACAGCGGGCTCGAGTCCTCTGGGCTGTGGCATCGATGACAAACTCGATACGATGCGAGATATGCCATGACGACTTGAAGGAACTTACTGTACAGCTACGACAACTCCATTACGAGCAACACTTTGAAGAAGGGGAGTTATCTGGAATCGCCGCTTCGCCCTCGCCAACTTCGCCCTCGACGTCAACCAGCACTTCGTCGAAGATCGCCAAACCAAAGAGATGGCTGGCTAAACCTAGAAAGTTCTTTAAAGAAAATGACGTGTTTTGGTATCCATCCCAGGAAGGAAGGCCGCCTCCCAACTATACACCTGGTATCGACCCTCCCCCTCTATTTCTGGTTCAGGTCTTTGATACCGACGCGCCTAGGTCTCATACCGCTTCTAAAGAGGTCCTTACTACTCAGCCATTCGAGGGGGGAGATCCGTAAAGCGGTCTTGTGCTTCAACCAGACTGTATTCATCCAGCACGAAGCCTGGGACATGACCTGGGGGTGTGGGTGAGTCTCGCGTTCAAATAGTTTGAGGGGAAGCGTTGAAACGGCTGTGATTCAGATATCGTAACTTCTTGATGGCCTGCGCATGCTTGATGGTTCACCCATTTCAGCCGATGTATTTTCCTCTTCTCGACGACCCGGTACCACCGAGCGTACGGAACCTCCAAGGGTGGATAGAAGATGCATGGGACAAGGGTGGGGATGTAACCATCCAACTCTGTAAACTTGATCTCATCCCATTTCAGGTTTCGATACTGAAGGAAAGGCTCAACTTAAGCACTTGGTGGGCACGAGGAAATGGATAGGAACAGCGGATTTATGGGTTGCATTCTCTTCCAGAGGCATCCCGTATGTGTATTCCTTCTTGTCGATGCTTATTGTTAACAACCGTCAAGTGCAGAATTGGTCGATTTTACGGATGCTAGTAACGGTAAGCTCGCTGGTTCCGTGCCGATACGGCTCAGAACTGACAAATTGTTCTTTACCAGTCCAGATGGTCATCGATTGGATCGTGAATTACTTCTCACCTCCAGAATCCGCGGGCCAGGGATCCAGGAATGCATTTCAGGCCCTGGTATCCACTAACCCTGTCACGGTCACGGATAAACCTCCGATTATTCTCCAGCATGCCGGCCACTCTCGATCCATTGTCGGATATGAAGTTAATCGACAGGGAGAGGTCAATCTTCTGGCCTTTGATAGCGGAACGTGAGTGAACAGTGTGTTTTCCTCTAGTTTCTCTAACGCAGTGGCAGGTGTCTGCCTAAAGAAATTCGCGAGATGGCCTTAAGCCTCCATAAGTCGGCTTCCGACGATAATGACAAGGAGAACAACAAACGAAAGATGAATCTGGAAGTCAGCTCACCGAATCCAAAGAGACAGCGTTCTTGTAAGTTCGAGGATGACGAAGTTGTGATTGTGGGATCTACAGTCCAAGGGGACGACGACGAAATAATCTACACTGGATCCAACTCTCCTCTCAAGAAGGCAGAAGGAAGCAAGAGTGGACTTTCAGGTCCATCCAAAAGCAATACCCCCGGGGGAAAGACTTTCGATTATAAGGGTATAGTTAGACATTTCCGACTGGGCTCCAAGAAGCTTGGGTGAGTAGGACCTTTTCGATGTCGACAACGGAATTCAACAATTCTTTGTCCAGGAAAAACAAGCAATATCAAATCCTGTACTTCCCAATGACGGAACCACTTTCAGATTCCGAAATACGAAGTCGCAAGGTCGTCACGAGCACCAAAATATGTTGACGGATGCCATCCATTGTCCACATTACTTATACATTACACTACTTGTACACTATATCATCTGTATATCCAGGGTCTAATGGAAAGCAAAGCTTGCGGGTTCAAGTCATGATGACATCGCCGGAGGAGTCGAGTTTAGACGCTGGAGGGGCAGGGACGTCCAGACCCACCAATGGAGGCACCTCCAGACCGGCAACCGCGCTTCGTATTGCTCGTTCCCAAGCCTCTTCAAGCATATAGCCTCCTGCCCTCATAATGCCTTCTCTGTCTCTTCTGACGGCATCGCCGAGGAAGTCATTGTAGACGGGCTTGAGGACAAACATGTCCTCGTATGCGGTGTAGTCGTCCTGTATTGGCACGTGCGGGACGTCAGGAACCTCAGTACTCTGAGCTGCTCGAGTTCTCAGCAAGTCTGCAGTGCTTCGGAAGCCGGTTGTCGCTGCTTTAGCGTTCGTTCGCTTCTGAGCAGATGCACGGGCTTTTGCAACCAGCTCGCTCGCATCCTTGTCGCTTGTCTCCAGCTTGTCAATGATACTCCGTTTATCTTTCTCTTTTTCTTCCCGCTCCTCTTCTTCCGCGCGACGTAGTTCGAGTGCTCGTTGCTCTTTCTCTCTCCGTTCATATTCCTCTTGCTCGCGAAGCGCCCGTGCATAAGCTTCCTCGCGTTGCAGGTTGAGTTCGATGATTGCTGCATTCTCGGCCTTGTATTTGGCTATGCGAGCTTCGGTTTCAGGAATGTCGACTTCATTGATAAGGTTGAAGGCTGGGGTTTGATTAGTGGATTCGGGACGACGCACTGGGCCATGAAGGTTGTACACACTGATCTCTTCCACTTCTTCCAGATAGTCATTATATGAGCGAAGGTCCGGGAAATCCTCCCTTCTCTTGTTAAAGCTGGAAGGTGTTTGAAATTAACTCCTTCAAATGGTCGTCATTGGAAAGACATACTCTTTGGCTATGCGCCGTCGAACGGCAACCTCTTTCTCGACAGTCAAGTCTTCAAAGGTCTGCGGCATGAAAGCCAACTTCCGTAATATTTTATTGCAGATAGGGCACGGTGCTGGACCGAGTGTGAATAACCTATCGATGCACGATTCACACCTACAGATAGACATGTTAGATTCAAGGCAGCGTTATAGCAAAGGTCGTGCATTTTGTGGTAACACGAGCTGACCAGCAGACGGAGCTTGGGATTTAGATATCGGTCACTCCTACAGACTGGACATTGGTCTGCCATATCCTGAATAATGTTAATGTAGTTTGAGTGATTTGACTCGTGTAACTTACCCAGTACTCGACGGTCCTACCAGAGGGGTCCTTGACTCCGCCACCATAGATGGTATTGGGAGTTGCGGTGACGGTCTGGGGTGTCGAGGACCTTGTGGTAGACGCCGAGGGCATCCCCGAAGCCTTGCGAATTGTCCTTCCCTGCAGCCATCCTCCCGGACGAGTGGCCATTATGGGATGAAAGGGAATTGACAAGCCCACTGGACGCTTGGCCCAATTGAGAGTGTTGTGACAAACACGCTCAAACATGTGTGTGGCGCGTTCGCTTGTTTTCGTCGTCTCCTCGTCGTTTGGTTTTCTTCGTGCTCATCGTCCCAGATGGCGTCCACCACCAACCAGCCATCGAAGATTACCCGGCAAGGCTCGTTGCTGGGGACCATCAAGAATATCGTAGCCGCCCCTTTAACTTGGCTGGCCGGCTCAGAACACGACGACAGCTCGGACTCCACAGGCAAGCGCAGGCGGCTTGAACCCGTCTCAGAGTCCGGCACTACAGACGATGGCGATAATGCGACACGTACGAAGCGCATGAGGCTCAACAGTCCGCCCAAGACGGTCGCACCAACGGCATATAATGATCCCCCTTCGTCTGCTTTCGTCCCCCTTCGTGTGAAGCGCAGAACCCCTGCACCACCACTCGCTCGTTCTTCCTCGACTTCAGCAAATATCTTAGAGCCACCCCGTAATTCCAGGCGCAATGTTTCGCGATCGACACTGTCGCCTCCTCGCATTGGTCGCACCATGTCGATGGACCCGCCTTTGAGCCAGCTTTATATCTCCAGAGATGCCTCTATCCCTGACGTGGTCATGGAATCCGGCCAAGCATCCAACACTCGTGAGCTCTCTGTCCCCGCAGGATCGCTTACTGCACGTCCGTCCTTCCGCATGCGAACCTCCCTCACCCCCCAACCGCAACCCCGTGAGCTGTCTGAGCCCCCGCCAATAAGCACTCTCTCTTTGAATCCTACCTTTGTCCGCCCGCCTCGCCCGATTCAGGAGGAACCGAAACCATCGACGACGCTTGGAACATTGGTCGAATCAGTGAGATCTGTGCGTTAACATTTTTTTCCACTTCTTTTTGGTTTGTACTCAAGCCCGCTCCAGGCGCGATCTCCTGGCAGGCAACATAGCTCACTCCTCTTTGGGAACACTGTTCAGCCAGACGCTAATCATCGTAAGCCTTTTTCCCCGCTTGGCTTTTGACATTTTCCAACCAATGATTAGAGCCAGCTCCGGCTCCTCAAGCTCCGGCAGAGAAGGCACTGTATGAATTAGATGTCTACAAAACGCCTCTTATTCCTACTCGTCTCCGCTCAGCCAACAACCCGATCGCCTCCAGCTCCTCGGATATCCCATCGATGTTCAAGTCTCGACGCACTTCTCAGCTCGTTCTCATGCATGACGATCGTCGATCTGAAAAATCTGGCAAGAAGAAGCGGGTCAAGTCCCCTCATCGTAATGATGCTAAACCTTACGCTGGCTCTGGTGGGATGAAGAAATTACTGGCTAAGAGGAAGAAAGAGGAAGACGACGCAGACGTCCGAGAAAGGGAAGCTGGGACCAAGGATGAGGATATGGAGAAGGAGTCGAAGCCGGAAGTCGCACCGCAGCCGGCGCAGACCTCCAACGCACCGACCGATTGGTTCGCTGCAGCCACTGCCGGCACCTCTTTGCCATCGTCATCTCTTCGTGTTGGTCGTACTAAGACTTCGCGGAACCACATTCCTCGCCCAGCTGCCCGGAGCCGCCTCAAGTTCTCCGCTGTTTACGAAGAGGAGGATGATTCTATGGATCCGGAAGAGGAAGCCAGGAGAAAGGAGCGTGCTGCCCTCGAAGAAGCAGCCAATAAGATGCCCGTCTTCAACATCCCTGCCGGGTTCACTTTTGCGAAGCCTGATGTAAGTTCCCTCTTGAAAGATTCGTCTTACCTACATATCACTCAATCGATGACCCAGACTAAGCCTCTTGAGCAAGACTTGACCAATGCCAAGGAACCTCCGATTAGTTCTCTGCCTTTCTCCTTTGCCAAGCCTGCCCCAGTCCCCGAACCCTCCAAAGCAGAGAGTTCACAATCTCGCAAGGAGAATGCCGAGGGTTCGACACTCTCCTCAGAACGACCGGCGGAACCGTCAACGGTGCCTTCATTTGCACCTCGTTCCTTGGCTGATGCCCCACCTCTGGGATCCAGTGAACCGACCAAAGAACCACCGACAACACCCGCCGGAGTGCCCAATTTCTTTGCAAAATCTGCCCTCTTGTCTAAGCCACTCGAGGTTCCCTCGACGCCTCCTCTCACCTTTGGTACACCCTCTTCAAGTTCCACGTCTGTCTTTAATGTTGCACAATCTTCAAGTCAGGCTCCAGGTCCGGTGAAAGACAAAGAAAACCCCTTCTGGGAAGGCGACAGCAAGAAGGAGAGCGCAGCTCCTGAAATCCAGGTCACACCGCCGACTACCTCAGGTTTCTCGTTCGGGGCACCTGCTACCACTCAACCAGCAGCGGCGACAGCGTTCTCCTTTGCGAAACCTGAAGCTACCGCTACTACCGGAGGATTTTCCTTCGGCAAGCAAACGGAGACCGCGGCAGCCGCGCCAACCACGGCCGAGACCCCGTCTGCCCCGGCAGTAGAGCCATCCAAACCGCTTTTCGGCACGCAGCCTCCGGCACCAACGACACAGCAATCACAGCCGCCATCCAGTGAGGCGAAGCCAGAATCTTCTTCAGTACCCAACTTCTTTGGTTCTACTGCCTCCAAGCCGTTCGACGGTTTCAAGTCACAGGAGCCGGCTGCGCCACCGGCATCGACGTCGTTCTCTTTTGGCTCCTCTGCAGCATCGTCTACAACAGCCTCGTCCACTTCCGCTGAGCCGGCCAAGCCGTTATTTGGGACTTCTGCGGCTGACCCTCCTAAGCCTCTGTTTGGCGCGACCTCCACCGAACCGCCTAAGCCACTGTTCGGTGCCACCGCGCCCGCTGAACCGCCCAAGTCCTTGTTTGGGGGTGCACCCGCCGAAGCTCCCAAACCTTTGTTCGGAAGCGGCGCTCTCGAGGCACCCAAACCGACCCTCCCATCATCGAGCTCGAGTCCGTTCTCATTTGGTGCGCCTGCGAAGGATACAGCGCCAAAGGCTTCTCCCTTCACCTTTGGGGCTGCTCCCAGCACCCCGCCCACCCATCCGACTACCAATGGGTTCTCATTCAAAACCGATGCACCAGCAGCGTCGCCTTCGCCGGTTCCGTTTACGTTTGGTTCTTCAGCTCCCAGCCCAGCCCCAGCTGCGGACAAGCCATTCACATTCGGCGCACCTGCGGCTGCACCGCCCATCCAGCGTCCTACAACGCCAAAGAATAACGAACAAGAGTTCAGGATGGAAGAGAGTCCCACGCGTGAAATGCAAGCTAACGGAGCTTCCAAGCCAACATTGAGCTTCTCATTTGGTCAGTCAGCCAACGGATCATCTACTCTGTTTGGTGGCTCCACGTCTGGAGCACCTTCTCCCGCCCCAACGTCGGCTACACCATTCTCTTTTGGCGCTACAACCGCCTCGAATCCCTTCGCATCCTCTGCGAAACCAGAGGAGCCCAAACCATTCTCGTTTGGAACACCTGCCAGTACCCCAACGACCACCGCTTCTCCCTTCAGTTTTGGGCCGTCCAAATCTACGGGTGGTGAGCCCGCGCGACCCAACACGACAGGGTCTTTCAGTTTTGGAGCAACGAGCACTCCCACTTCGACAGCTGCGCCCTTCTCCTTTGGAACCGGTGCTGCAGCCGCTCCGAATCCTTTTGCACCATCTCAACCGACCTCCGCCCCGAGCAGTCCTTCGACCTTCAACCAACCCTCTCCATTCTCCTTTGCGGCACCTCTCCCTGCGACATCCTCTTCTACACCATTCACCTTTGGCTCGCAGCCTGCTTCCCCTGCCGGGTCTAACAGTGGATTGCCTGCAACTGGTGGGTTCGGGACAGCCACGAACGGAGCCTTTGGGGCTACCGCGGCACCCTCGTCTCCTTTCAACCCTCCCGCTCAATTGGCACCCTCGACATCGTCCGGTGGCACACTGTTCACCATTGGAGCTGCACCTGCTCCTGCCGCTGGTCGTCAGATCAAAAAGCTGCCTACCCGAAGGGCTGGAGCCAAGCGTTAATTGGTCAATCAATACAAAAACCATCGATTTCATATATGCCATCGTTTCTGTCGTCTGTGTATGTTGATTAACCAACCTCTCCCGGTCCAGAAGAGGAGACTCCGATGTGGAGGAAGTGCCTTTTTTGAGCTTATGGAATTCGTTCTCGTTCTCGTCTTGTTTACTATACGTTTATGAACCATGCGGTCCATTTTCCTGCATTGGTGAATGTAGTTACTGTCTGTCTCAACCAGGGCTTTGCGGTGATGATGTCTGGCTCAAGGCCGACCTTTTAGTGTAGTACCATTCCTGACTTGAAGTTAGCACGCAGTATATATATTAGGTACTGACACACGGACGCGCTTAAAGTAGGGGCTGAAAACCCTGTATCTAGTGACGATTTTGCCCATGGTAGTAAGTAGTTTAGCTTCAACATGTCTCTCTTCCCTCGCCCCGCCCTTGCTACATTAGTTTTGGTAATATATCTCGACTGTTGGATGGACAACAGCGACTTGGGCATCACGTATTGTGCTTTGTTCTGAACCACGACCATCGACATCATGGCCAGCGACGGACCTACCCATTTGCTGTCGCTCAAGGTTATGCGAGTCTCTGTGAGCAGCTACAAGTTTCTAGTCTGGAAAGAATTGAATTCGAACGGCGATTCAGAGACCAGAGCTCGCAACTGCATGGCAGCCATTCTACTCTAGCTCCCCTTCGTTCTCCGTAGGCTCTTTTGTCAATTCTGATGATATTATTGAACTAAAACGTCGTCTCAAGGCACATTCTTCGGCATCGATCCTATCCCTGCAAGGCTCTTCTCCACTCCCTGGTCATCCAAAGACGCTACGCGATCTAACACACGCCTCAGAACTCCTCACCCTTCCAGCTTCCTTTGGGTCCATCCAACTCGGCGAAACCTTCTCCAGCTGCCTCTGCGTCAACAATGAAGCCACCTCCGCTGTCGAGGTCAAGCAAATCAAGGTGGAGATGCAGACTGTCACAACCAAGGTGACCCTCTCTGAACTTGATGAAACTGGCCCGACCAAGATGTTGGAAGCGGGGGACAGCCTGGAGACGATCGTGCACCATGAGATCAAGGAACTCGGACAGCATGTTCTCGCGTGCACTGTCACGTATAGGCTACCTCCGAGCGCAAGGCCAGTTCCCGGTGCTGCTGAGGATGCGAGTGATCCCAGCCTGTTGACCTTTAGGAAGTTCTACAAGTTCGCGGTGTGTTGCATTTGATCACGTTCTCCCCCTCGTCTCTTATGGTTTGGTGCAGGTCACGAATCCCTTATCTGTGAAGACCAAAGTCCACACCAGCAAGTCACCCTCGGCTTCGCTATCTCTAGACGAGCGCGACAAGTTGTTCCTCGAAGTCCACATCCAGAATTTGACGCCAGCCTCGATGTTCTTCGAGAAGATGCGATTCGAGTGCGCCGAGGGCTTCGATGTGGACGATATTAATGGACCAGTGTTTTCGGGAAGCTTTGCGACGATGCAACCACAGGATACTCGTCAATATGTCTACATCTTGACGCCCAAATCTACGACCGTGGCTCCACCCGCTCTCCCGCCAGGGAGTATCATACCGCTGGGAAGATTGGACATATCGTGGAGGTCTTCTTATGGCGAACCGGGACGTCTGTTAACCTCTATGCTTACGCGACGTATCCCATTCCCGCAGCCCCAGCAGCAACAACCTGTTTCAGCTGTTCCTTCCTATCTCAAGCGTGCGGTGGCGGGTGGGTCGATCTCGAGACCTCAATCGCCTCAACAATCGAGGCCCATGTCTCCGCCTGTATCAGCTCAGCGACCTGGGTCTCCAGCCTTCCAGTCTCCCAATCGACCCCAATCCATGGGTGGACAACCTATCCGGCCACAATCCCCTTCGACGGCGACAATGCCCGCTGGTGGACACGGTTTCCCCCATGTAACGGACGTGGAGGTCAGTTTGATTGTGAAGTATTTGCCAAGGAAGGATATCGTGGTGGAGAAACCGTTCGCCGTTACGTTTGGTCTTGTGGTTACGAGGAATCCGGATGTGGGGAAGAGGAAGTTGGTGTTTGCGGTGCAGCATTTGAGGCCACCAAAGGCTATTCAACAGCAGCCCTTGACCGCTCAACCTCAGGCACACCCTCAAGCGGCCGGGAGTATGGACATGATGAGTCCCAGGGCACCTTCGTCTGGGTTTGCGACGCCTCAATCGGGGGCGGCCACACCTTTCAACTATGCGCTTGCTCACCAGAAGATATTGGACGTAGCTAATGCGGCCAAATCGCCTCTTGTTGACAGTCCGATAGGGGAAGGGCACGACACGCCTGGGGGTGCGGGAGCGCAACACAGCAACCCGATTCTACCTATCCCCTACTTTGAGGGCTACGACGAACTTCGGCCACTTTCGGATGGGGTAATTGCTACTGGCGCCTCGGCTGTGTTCCTACCGCCCATTACGCTATCCTCAGGCGAGGAAGGGACAGCGAATAATCCTGCTGTCCAAGAGTTTCAGTTGACATTTGTCCCTGTTAGGCGAGGATTCGTCACGATCGGTGGGCTGCGGATATTGCTGGTGGAGGACACCACGGAGACTGAGGGAGAAGAGCCGAGGTGGAAACCAACGAGAATACAGACTCTCAAAGAATACGATGTTATTGGAGAGGTTTGGGTGCCTTCGTAGAGAACTACTATCTCAATGCATAGTTTGGATGATGCCTAGAGTCATGATTGGATCAACAATATTATTTACATGTAATGAAGCAGTCCGTTTCTGCTCTACGCGGAAATCCAAGGCTGGCTGACCAGTTGTTGAACAGACAGCAAAGCTCTGTAGCGGACATCCGGGTCCTTGTGCGTCATCAAGCTCATTACTCTGTTCTTGCCCCCCAAATCGTTCACAATCCTGGAGACGGATAAGCCAGTGACGACATTGAGAAGACGGAGTTCCTTACTTCTTCCCTCTCTCATAGTACTTCACATATTGCCCTATATCATGGCAGGCCACGGCGAGTACCACTGGATCATTGGATTCCTTGAGCAAGTTGATCAGGACCCTGGGTGATATTGTTAGCAGGTTAGATTTGGCAAAAGTACGAATCCTACTTGAGCTGTTCATGACCCTTCTCATTCAATTTGGTGGCGTTCTCCTTCCAGAATTCGTCTGATTGGTGCACTGGCGTCCACGACAAGTGGCCGGAAGCAAGTTCAGATGTGTACTCATCCCATGTCCTGCACGTCCTGGATTAAAATGGGAAAAATCTGATCGAACTCGGGGACTGACGTTAGGCTTTGGAAGCGGTTTGTGAGTTCTTCTTTGAGGAACTTGACGTCCTCGACGATATCCTCATCGGTCCATTTGCGTGCAACAAGATTCTTGGAGAACGGCAATAGCTGGCATACCAGCATCGCAGGGAGGTTGGCAGCGGGCGCTTTCACGATAAGGTTCTAATGCTAAATGAGCGAGAGCAAGTGGAGAAAACGTGTAGACGCACCCTGAAGGTCGCCACGATAACTCGAATGACCTTCTCCTTCACCGCAGTCTGAGCGACTGTAATAAGTTCAGCGATTATGTCATACTTCCTGGAGAATCATCAGAGGATGTACAGTCGATTGGCTGAGGACAGCGCACTTGTTGATTTCTTCGGCGATGTTAGTCTCGAATGAAAGTAGCCATATGCAGAACCCGACTTGGTAGCTCATCTGTGGTCCTGGGTTATTCTTCAAAGCATCGACGAGTCTGATGTCTGTTGAGTCCAGCGACCATGGTGGATGGAAGGGAAGGAGAACGCACGCTTGAACCAGGCCAGGGGTTTCCCATACTATCTGTCTAAACTCTGGTCGGGCGAGGAGGGATTCGAGACATTGAACTCCAACATCGCGCTTGTTGGTTGACGGGCTTTTAATAAGCGCGGACAAAGTATTGATGAAAGGCTGCAGTTGGCGCAATGGAAGAGCGGTGGATGGGGCACTGGGGATAAGGTTGGTGGAGGCATTCGGTTGGGACAGATATTACTCGCCTCAGAATGATAGTGAGCACTTGGGCTGCTTTCAATTGGGCGAATTCGTCCGTTGTATCCAAGGCTCTAAGCGGGATCAGTAGGCGTCATCGTCCGGGGTCGGTGAGCGCACCTAAGGAGGGGCGAGTACGGAAGATCTGGATCGGTTTGTTGCGTTCGGGTAAACAGTGGAATGCGCTCTTCATGTTCTGCGATTACCGAGCTATAAATGCAGTCCAATTAGCCCACAGACGAATGTGACATACCGGATAATGCATCGGCTATGAGGACAAGAAGACATTGCATTGTATCTATTCGCTGCAGCTTCTTGAGCAACGAAAGATACAGCAAGGCGTACGCAGGCCCTTCAGACAGCAGGACCGCTTCAGTCTTCGCCCTGGACTGGCGGTCTACGCGCTTGATGAGGGCCAATTCCTCTGCAGTAACCAAGTCGGCTCGTTGGTACCCCTGTGGACTCTCTGTTGGTATGGTGGGTATTCAGACCACTGAAGGACTGACCTCCCATGGTACAGGCTTTGCACGAATCTTGTTTGAGGTGTCGTCGAGATAAGAATTTGAGACGAGAGCTACGGCCATGGTCGTTTGCTGAATCGCACCAGCAGCGACCGCGATCAGGACGAATTAGGACCCGTCAAGGTCACCTGACCTCAGCGGATCTGTCGCGGCCCGACTCGTTTTCGGGTGGGCTGTCATAATTTCTGCGCCTGGTTTCGTTGTCACCGCTATCCCCAACTCAATGTTGTCCAGGAATGCCTTGAAGTACGCCGGGGCATGTCCCAAAAGTATGTCTCACTACACTCGCACGCGTCACACGACAATGACTCCTTTTTCAGGCGCCCTACACCGCGCTTTTGCGACTGAAGCGCCAGCAGCAGCAGCTTCCTCGGCGTCGACTTCGACACAGGCTGTAAAACCCAAGTCTGCGACCCGACCCTGCATCTCCACCGCAGTCATTTTGAACCGCTCTCCTATCCTTACACGGACGCCGGCACCCTTCGAGACCGCTTTCTACTCGTACCAACAACGTATACGCCGCGCTCTGTCAAACCCCTTCCCTCATGAGTTTTACTTCAAGCAGGGGTCCCTGCTCCAGACTAGGTTCAACATGGAGGATAGGGAGCGGGAGAAGATAGCATTTGGAGAGAGCTTTGTTCCGCCTGAGGATACGGACCCGGAGAAGTTGGCCGCGGATAGGGCTGCCGTTGAGCAATTGGCTCAGCAGGAGGGCGAGGGTGAGGAATTGGCGCCTAGGGAACACCCTTCGGACATCAGCAATGATGTGAAGAGCTTGGATAGGAAGGGGCAGAGGAATTTGTATCTCTTGTTGCTGGCGGAGGAGAATGGGAAACAGGTTTGGCGTTTCCCCCAGGGAGGTTTGGAGAAGAATGAGTTCTTGCACCAGGTACGCGCTGTCTGTCTGATGGACGCTGCATTGCAAATTCTAATATTGCTATTAGGCTGCCCAAAGAGACCTCTATGCTGAAGCTGGTGACCGAATGGACACCTGGATCGTCAGCAGGAACCCTATTGGAGTTTACAAGCCCAAGGCTCAAAAACCCACTCCCGAAAACCCACACGTACGTCTTTCAGAACATAGTTATCCTTCCCCACTTGCTTACTTGTAGTCTCCCAGGACTACGTCTTCTTCTATAAAGCCCACATCATGGCTGGCCAGGCCACCATCGACGGCCAGAAAATCAAGGACTTTGCCTGGCTGACAAAAGAGGAGATCGAACCTCGCGTTGACAAGGAATACTGGAGTGTCATCAAGGATATCCTCTCCGACTTTTAACTCGTGATCTCCCGTGATACCATTGTCATTCCTAGATTGCGTCTGTATCCGTTATAATATGCTTCTTAATCTACAGGTAATTCATATCCCCATTTGCCGAGTGCACCTCAGCGTGCGAGCCAGGAGGAAGATGGGAGATATTGCCAGTCCGAGTCCCAGACTCTGAAGGTGATGGTGTGAGGGGTAAGAGGCTTGGTATACGAGGCCAACGCAGTACTCACCCTGCTCCTTCGAGCCCACCCGCTCCGAGCTGGTCTGTCTCGGGCCCTGTAATCATCCAAGCTGGTCCAGCGATGCCAGTGCGCATTGGAAAGAGCCTCCCGAGTCTTTCAAGGGACATCAGATCTGTATAAACCATGAACAGCATCCAGCTAGCGTCCTCGGTTGGATGGGGATGTAGGAAAATGGACCCCCTTCCTTCCCCCTCAACCTTCCTGTTGCGGAGAAGGATCTGGCCGTCATCGACGCTGAATCCTGTTTTCCGTTCCTTTAGGAAGAGAGATATAATGTCTGAAGTGGGAGTGCCGAGGACGACGATGTTACCGCTTCCCCAGGTCCCTTGGGCGTGGCATTCAATGGCTTCCTGCGAAGATATGAGCTCCGCGTCAAGGTTGTGGTAGGTTTGGAGGTCGTGGATAAGACGTAGTGCGAGGGAGAGCTCTTCTGGCGTTGAGTAGATAAAGGTGAGAGGCGACGGAGAGGTTAGGATGGCTTGTAGCCTGGATGGGATTGAAGACGCCTTGGGCAAGATCTGGATCAGAGCAAGAGCTGCGTGAGACGGCGGTGCGGACGAGGATTGATTCTTACAGTCCAGTGTCCGTCATCGAGCATTCCGACATGCACCGGGAAGGACTCAATACTCGGAAGGGCGATCATGGTGCCTCCTAAGTCCAGCGTCTTCGCTGAGCCTATGCCATCCCGTGACGCGATAGAGAATGACCGGACATTTAGAGGGGAAACAGCAAGGGTGTCTTTACCCTGTTTCTGGATCTTCAGCTTCCCCAGGCTACGCACGGATGTCAGTGCATATTTCAAAACTGTAAAGCGAACTCAAGGCACTTACCGTCCTGGAATTGAGAGGCTCTGGATTTGGAATCCATACAGTGACCCGCTTTCTGTGGGGTTAGAAACCGTTAGTTCGAACGATTGTGGTACCTCTCTGGTCGTGTTTAGAGATGAATGGGACTCAAGGAAAGTCTGCACTTCTTCGTTGTTGAGTACGGAAGAGTACCAGTGCCCTTGGCCCGGGTCTTCTTTTAGTCGAACACTATTAATAATGGCGCTGAATACCGTAAGCAAAGATTGTGCTCGGATGTGCGTACCTGGAGTTAACCCCAGCCTGGCGAGCGAGAGTTTTGAGTGTGTCAACTAAAACTCGGGAATGCCACGAAGGGACGTTCTCATCTGCGCCTCTAAAGTCGTGCAATCAATGGGAGGGCCTTGTCCCTCTTCAAGAACGAACGTACCCGTGTATGGCGAGAACTGGGGTTTGAAGTATATTCGACAGGTGAAGGTCATTGTCATCTGGCGTGAAAGATGTTTCGAGAATAGAACGAAGGGCTGGGTCCATGTAGTGTGCCGAGCTGGAGGCGTTGAGGTCCCAGAGTCGCTAATGGCAGACGGCGGGCTTACCGAGAATGGGTCAAGGGGACGTAAGACTGGGATTTGGAATACGCTGCTGCTGGGGCAACTAAAGCCACAGGAAGTTTCAAGTTAGCTACCCTACCTAAAGCTTACCTGCACACATCGTCGACGCACCGGCTAGAACACGGTCAGGGTAGTGTGAAGCGAGGTGCCATGCTCCTTGTCCTCCGTTGGAATGGCCTATGAGGAGGAACGGAGACGTAGGGGAGAAAGCCTGGGGTTTCCATGCCTCGTTACGGGCGAGGATGTGACTAAGTGCGGAAAGCGATTCAAAGACGTCTTGAGTACTTGGACCGTGCCAGTCAAGGCCCTGAAGAGGTTCCGACAGTCGTAACGAAGTGTATAAATGGAAAGACAAGGATATAACCCACCCAGGCTGTTCGTCCGGTAGGCATGAGGATCCAACCGTACCGGTTGGGAGGCATAGCTTCCGCCCAAAATTGGCCCGGGCTCCCTACAACATCCACTCCTGCGCCATCTACATACTGGACTTGGAAGAAGTTCTATGGGCATATGCAGAAAAGGAGACATACGAAGAGCGACGATGGGAGGCTCTTGCCCGTCTGTTTTTTGTTGAATCGGAGGGAGGGCAGCGAATTGACTAGGGATCGAACTCGCGAAGAAATATGAACCGACAATCGCTTGTCGGGATGGCTCTGGCCACTGGGATACCTGTTTGATTGGGAGGGATACAGAAAGCGAGGACAACTCCCGGGAAGTCGATTCAAGCGTCAGCGAAATTTCCAGTTCATTTCCTGTGTAACTGTCTGTTTGAGTTAGAACCAGTGGGACAATGCGAGTCTGCCCTGGAGCTACGCGCGTCTCGCGAAGCAGCGAGATCCGAACTTGAGGTCTATCTGCAGCGAGCACAGCATCCTTGACGGTCAGCCAGTCTGAAATACTGCGTATGGCAACACCTGTTGCGTTGCCAAAGGCATATCCAGACACAAAGTTCGGTATTATGTCCAACGACGATTCGTGGGTATATGGTTGATCCTGCACATCCAGTGTTATGTCCACCTTTATCTCTAGGCGCGGAGTGGGTGAACCAAGCTGGATTTCGGGGTCTCCGAAAAGACGGATCTGCCAGGGATGAGAAGAGAAAAGAACGAAGAAGTTAAGGAGATTTATACCTCGTAATCGCCGCTGACGAATAGTTGGTACTCCAAAGTGTCGGAAGGTGGGAGGGTAACAACTTGAGGGAGAGTCCGTCCCATGTCGTAGATGTTCCCAGCATACCATCGAGGGACAGTAGATGGAGATGGATTTAGAGGTATGACCGTAAAGTAGGAACCCTGATGAAGGTGAACTAAGAGTTTGGGTTGTGGCGAGGTACCACCTGCGAGCTTAAAGGTTGTGCGAAGAACAGTGTGATGCTGGAGACCCGCCCAACCTTCATGCGAGCGAAGGTAGTTCCAGCGAACGTTCGGGAAGGAGACGTAGAGAGATCCATCATTATTGGCCGTTGCTGTGTCCCAATTAACTGCGCCACCGTCAGCGTAGGAAGAGGGCCATGATTTATCCCAGTCGATCGGCTCGGACACTGGGATGTGGTGAGATGAGTCTCAGCGCAGATTGAAATTCGGAGTTACAGTTCAAGGGGAAACTTGGCGAAAGAAAGTGCTGCTCCCGTGCATGAATTGGAAATGGGCCCAAAACCTACGGAATTTATTAACTTGGGAGTATGATTGAGGTCATGGGGGAGAATGGATATACATCCCAGTCTTTGGAGAGTTCAAGACTCCAAACCTGCATAGCTGTGAAGGACACCTGAGAAAGAGTCAGAAAGTCGACGAAACCCCAAGGCATAGATAGGAAATGGGTGTATTTCGGTGGAAGTCGAGAGGGAAACATAGAGGGGCTCTATAAATAGCCAACGATCTGATGGGAACAGTATTTGTTCCGGAAGCTGATGCCAAACAGGCTCATTATATCGCCCTTGGGCATGCAGCAAACTCGTGCAGTAACCACAATGTCTGGCAGACAAGGAGGCAAGCTCAAGCCGTTGAAGGCGAGTATGCTTAAATCGTTGTTGAAAGCATTCATGTTTATGGATGGTTCTAGGCTCCCAAGAAAGAGAAGAGGGAGGAGACTGAGGAGGATGCTGCCTTCAAGGCGCAGAAGAAAGCTGAGGCTGAAGCTTTGAAAGCTGCCCGAGAGAAAGGTGAATAGATGTCTTGTTGGATGTGTGTCTTCCGCTTGCTGATATCGTGGATGCGCCCGTAGCTATGAAGCGTGAGTAGAGTTATCTGGCCTCTTGGATGTAGTATGTATATTGATTGTGCTGCTGAAGATGGCCCTCTCACTGGTGGAGGCATCAAGAAGTAAGTGGACAAGGTTGATTTTGTGGACGATACTGAGGACTGGATTAGGTCCGGAAAGAAATAAAGACATGACTGTGGATTGACTGTACAAACGTAGTAGAATAGAAAATCATTGTGGTCAATTGAGGGACTCATTCTGTCGTTTGTATTTGTTTGTCTCGCTGCCTAATTCGATGGGTATTCGAATTCAGCCAACTTGTCTTCTCCTTCAGTCCCTCCAACAATTTCCTAAATTTCGTCCAAGTCCCTCGTTTCTCTTCGACCTCAATGTTGAGCTCGTTGCAGGTCCTGCAGAACCAGGGCCAACAGCCACAGAACCAGCAGGGTCAACAGGGACAGCAGCTCCAGCAAGGCGGACTACCACCACCACCGCCCCCGCAAAATGGCCAGGACTATACCCTTTCAAGCGTCCTCCATTTCCTCCAGACAGAATGGCGCCGTTATGAGCGCGATAGAAACGAATGGGAGATTGAACGAGCAGAAATGAGGGTTAGTACATGCCACACAGTAGCATGGCTATCGCGTCTGACTGCAGTGTTGGCAAGGCACGCATCGCCCTCCTCGAAGGCGAGCGGAGGTCCTTTGAAAATATCAAACTCGATCTCATGCGAAGAATCAAAATGCTTGAATACGCTTTGCGCATGGAACGGTAGCTATCCTTCAACAGCGCGCTGTCCGCTTTCATGGGGCTTACACGTCGAAAGGTCGAAACAACTCAACCAACCCTCTTCATCCAATGCATCCAGCAAACTGTCAACGCTCCAGTCTTCCGGAGCTTCCTCGGGACAGAAGGATGAGACCGGCAGTCAGAAAGGGGACAGTGGAGGGAGCTCACCCCGCAGTGAAGGTGCGTCGAGTGTACGTGGGTGCTGTTGTAGGTTTTTGACCTGCGGAAATACCTCAGATTCACCACTTCCGGAGAGTCGACTGCCCAATGGCACTCATGCTAATGGTCCCGCAACGAGACCAAATTCATGGGGTCCCGCAAACTGGGCCAGCGTAACTAGCGGTGGTGCCCCTGCCCCCGCAACTTATGGAAAGCCACCCGCGGGGAGGGATCCTAAAAGTAGGGCAAGGAGCCGTGACTATCTCAAACAGTTAGTCTATCACTCCGTGTTTCCATTCCGACTTTTAAACTTTGTCCCATATAGGTGTCTGCAAGAGATCTCTTACCTGACCTCCCCTCAAGCGATGAACCCCCTGCCAAACCGACCTCTATTGAACAGCTCGAACATCCCATCTATGGCGATACCCAACGTTCCTTCATTCGATTCGATTCCTTTCAATGGTCGACCGCGGAAAATCATGCCTGAGAGTGGAAAGGAGTTCCCTGTCCTGAATGGAATGAATACAGTCGGACCTTCATCAGGTCCCCCACCGAACGTTTCTCAAGTCTCCACCGCCGAACACAACGGCGTACCTCCTCAACAACCTTCGGCCCATACACAGGAACCTGAACCACAACCGCAACAGCCTCCAGAAACTCAACCCGAGGCTTCCGAGAAGGAGGGTCAACCATCGAGCCATCACTTGACCGCCATCTTCCAGCCAGGCGAAAATTGGAAAGATCAATTGCGCAAAGCACACGAGGCTGCCCAACAGGCAGCGAGAGATGGCCAAGAGCCCCTCCAATCGGATAACTGGAGAGGAGAAGAGTTGAAGGAGGAAGAGCATGACATAGAATCGGAGGAGTCAGTCTCGTCTGAGGGCGGAAACACTAAAACTTGGAAGGCGAAGCGAACGTTGAGAAAGTCTGTCATTCCTTCACGATCTAGGCGAAAGACCCGTGTTCTGACATTACCCGTAGTCACCTTGATGCCGTTCGTGCCATCGCATTCCATCCGAACGAACTATGCCTCGCTACAGGGGGAGATGACTATACAGTCAAGATTTGGCGGATGGAAGTTTCTGTTCTAGCCTCGTCCAAGTAAGTTTGCCCAACTCTGAATGTCGAACGCACCCTCATATATTTCCAGTACCCGACCAACGACCGAGGTGGAGCCCCAGCTCACCCTTCGAGGACACTCTTCCGCCATCACCCGCCTGGTACACTCACCCGCCAAGGGACTGCTCTATTCCGCCTCCTTGGACTGCTCAATTCGAATCTGGGCACTCCCTACATCATCGCACACGACTTATGCTCCGTATGACGAAACGCGATCAAGAGGAGAGCTAATCGGCCATACTGATGCTGTTTGGGATCTTGCTCTCGTCCGGGACGAAGGCACCCTCATCAGCTGTGGAGCGGAAGGCGCTGTCAAAGTGTGGGATGTGAGCGGGCCGCTGGGCGGTGGTTCGTTGAAGCTGACATGGGGATACAATGGTGTCATTGAAAATCCCGACGACTTGAACGAGGATATGACCGCGCCTGGAGCTACGGCTGTGGAGGCGATCAAGACTGACCTCAAGAAGGTTGCAGTTGCATATCAAAATGCCGTCGTCAAGATTTTCGATATTGAGACTGGAAAAGAAGTTTCCAAGTTGAGCACCGACATAAGTTATGGTGGGTGTCTCGAGCTTCGCTATTACACTGAACACGTGGCTGAACCATTGCTTTTAGACGGTACCCCCGCTACCCAAATCAACTGTCTAACATCACATCCTACAATGCCGCTATTGGTTACCGGGCACGAGGACAGATACATTAGAATCTTCGACCTTGCAACAGGTATGTGGTTGAGTTTGAATTTTGAGTCTCGTTTCCGATTCTGAGATTATTTTCGTCTCGATAGGACAATGCACGCATTCAATGCTTGCACACCTCGATGGTGTGACATCGCTATCGATCGATGCGGCAGGTTTCTCCCTGGTCTCTGGAAGTCATGATTGCTCTGTGCGTTTCTGGGATCTCTTGGGTGGGCGTACATGCGTTCAAGAAATCTCAGCGCATCGGGAGAAGGCTCGAGAAGGTGTTTTGGATGTTGACTTCCATCCTTCGTTGCCATTCATGGCGAGCGCTGGTGCAGATGGTGTGGTCAAGCTCTACGCTTCATCATAACCTCATCCTGTTACCTATTTGCTGCACGTGAGCTCAGGAGATCTTTCATCGTCGTACTACCCTATCAGCTGTCATGAAACACTTACTTATGTTGGGACTGGTCTGTTTTGAGCTTTCTGTTTCTTTATTATTTGTCCTTTTTTGATTTCCCTTGTGTAGTGTTTTCGCTTTCCGATGACATGTTACTCGTACACCCATTCCACGGCAGATGACCCTAATGCTGACGCTGTAATGCCATGTTTTCTCTCTTTCTCTCTGTAATTTATTGGGGCTGTTTTTGGTGGTGTGAAAAAGAGTCGTGACCATTCGTGACAGTTGGGAGGTTGCCGTACAGTGGTGGCTACAAGAACATGCTGAGAGAGCGAGAGAACACTAAAGCTACAAGCTACACTGGCAATAATAAGACAATCTAAAAATACAGAGGTATGGAGCGATCGCATAACGTTAACCGAGAGCACCCAGAAAGCGAGGAAGAGAGTTTCGAAAGTCCATTGAATGAAGTAACCGTTCAGATCTCTGTGTGTGAGCAATGTCAGATTGTGTTCGGAGGACCACATTGGTTTCACAACCCCGTGTCACGGAAGATGGACGTACGAATATGCATGCCCTGTTCAGCGGCTTTAATAGTAACACCCAACCCCTTTGCTTCCGCTAACGATCGAACCTGCTCTACGATGACTTCCCGCATGGGCCGCCCGGAAGATTCGTCTCCCAGCCCTGCATCCTTGCAGTGTGTCACATACACTGTCAACCCCGCCAACGCATTTGTGATCCCAGTCGAGGAAGCCAACCGTTTTTGCCTCTTCCTGACATGCTTGTTTGGTCGATCAGAAGAATGCCCCGCAGGTTTTGATTTCCTGACTTCTGCAGCGAGGGCAACTAGTTCTTCAACGAGGTACTCGGGTGTCAAGTGTCCGAATAAGAGGGAATCTGCTCTCCCGGATGGATATGAACATTCGATGAAGATGGTGGAGAGCATGTGTGGAATTTTGGGAGCTGCGAACTGCCAGACGGCGAGTGTTTGAGGCTTGCCGCCGTTTAGGGATGCGACAGAGTCCGGCTCGACGTCCCCGAAGAAGAGGAATTCTTGGCCACTTGCATCTTGTCGAACGAAGTAGGCGACAGATTCATAGGGGCCCAGGTCGTTTGAACCGTGGTTCAAGGGGAAGGTAGCGACGCTGAATTCGGAGGAGACAGGTTCATATGTGGTCGTGTTTGGTGTGAGTCTGGTCCAGAAGGATGGTTAGACCATGGAGTGGCGGAACAAGTGGGAATAAAACCTCCGGACGTACGGGGAGTACAGAAATTTGTAGCTGGCATCATCCTCCCGCCAGGAAGCGAGGTTTGGCCAAGCTCTGTCGTTGAACACAGAGGACTCGATGTCCTTGAGGGTCTGTTTTACGGCGTAGATGCGTTTTCTGCAGCCCGAAAGTGAGCCTGCCGATATGACGAGGCTCATAATATGGTCCATATGAGCATGGGTAATCAAGAAGCCCCTGTGCAAGAAAGATTAACAGAGTGCTTTGGAGGCGTTAGAAGAAGGCTGAGATACGTACTGTATCGAGTTGTAGATATCAGAGGCGGTGAGGGCCTGATTCTTGACCTGGTCCGACTCGCCATCTGGATCCCGGAAGAGGTCAGGTTTCTCCTTGAGGATCCGGGCAAGGGTGCCTTGGCCTGAGCCTAAAGTGATTTATTAGGGTTGTAGCGTTCCTAGCTGGGGTTGTTGTGAGGTAAAACGTACCGGCCTCCAGAGCCAAGACGCCGTCTTCCCAGCGCGCTGTGTGTGATTTCAACAAATATCTGGGATGGCAGACAGGGGCATATTAGTTTTTAATTAGCGCCCTGTGGAATGAATTGGGAAAGGATGGACTTACGCGGAGAGATTTGATTCGTCTGGCCCTCCTCCAGCGCCGACAACGACGATGTCGAAGGCTGTCATGGGAGAAGGACACTCGTCGTCCGAGACGTCGTTTAAGCCAAGGTCTGCAACTCGGTCGGCGATGATGGCGGTGTTAGTTCCCGGACTGGGATTGATGCCGCTCGTCGTTGTTGTTCCCGTCATGGTTGTCGTAGCTGTCCTTAATGCTCGTCCAATAAATACGAGAAATTGAGAGAGAGAGCTGGGCATAAAAGGGAGGGACCCAGGCAGAGACATTGCGCCCAACAATAGCGGGCGTATCGGTTGACACTGTAGTGGCCCGTATGCGTCTTTTAATGGACCAAGCTGAAATACAATGAATCCTCGGTTTGGGAGCCCACGATGCGATATTGGCCGTCTCACAGCCTTCGAGTTCGATTGTGCTACTTCGACGCAGTCTTACGGGCGAAGTGGACACTGGGCAGGGTTGGTTGCACATCGCGGACATGAACAGCTGAAGGACGATCACACAGACAGCACCGTTCCCGCGTTGGCTTGAACCTTGCCTCTTGACTTGATGTTGCCCCACCATGGACCCAGCACAACCACAACAGCCTCAACCAAAACCTGTCGCAGCTGAAAAGAAGAAAAGGGTCCTGACGGTCGAAGAACGCAACAAAATATTGTTCGGTAGAATGAACCATGTCCTGGCCAATGCGTCAGATCCAAACTGGGTCGGATATGCCAACAAGCTGGCTCAGTACCTGTCGGATCCGCGAGGGTATTATACTGAAGCTAGGAAGGATGTATGTTGTCTGACTCTTCCATTTGTATTGCCCATTAACCTGTGTTTAGGTTCTTAAGTTGCTCGCGGTAGACCCTCTTCTCTTCATTCCACCGTGAGCAATGGACCAACCAGCTCTGGCGCTACAGGTAGCCGAAGTGTGCCTCAAAACCGATCTAGGGATGGCCACAAACGAGAATTCCAAGGTTACATTGCTTCCAGAGCATTACCGGGACCACCCACTGGGGGATGCCTATACCAAATTGGTCTCTGCGATCCATCCCCATATCAATCTCTTTGTCGAGCCGGATCTGAAGGGTCAGCGGTTCCGCTGCTTTGTTATTCCCTTGTCTTTCTGAGACTCCTTTCCAGAGGCTGCCCGTTATCTACTCTTCACCGTTGGAATCCAAGTCCCCGACGACCCGACAAATTCACCGTACGTCACGTCCAGTGCATCGCGTTTTTCTCGCCTTTCAATCAGCCGGCTTCCAGAAGTTCTGCTCAAATGCGCCCTGCTGCGCCAGTCGTTCCTACTTCTGTGCTAACCTCGCCTAGAGCCTTGTCTGCGGGGTCCCGCTCAGTCCCAAGTAGCGTAGCAGGTCAAATCCCAATGCCCGGACCTTCTGTTCGAGACTTGTTCACCAATCCGATACCCCCATCGACCACTGCTGCCATCACTGTGCAAAAAGTCCCTCCAAACATGTCAGCTCCGTTGAACCCCGCCCCTCCCATGCCACCGACATCTACTCCGAGTCCTTCAGGTGCAGCACCACAATCCTCACAACCGCCTCCGGCACCAAGCACTTCGACGACGGCAGCGACAACGACAACTGCTACAACTGTCTTGACCCGCGTGAAGAAAAAGAAAAAAACGGACATCAGTACCCTTCAGCAACGTGATCTGGAAAGGTTTAAACAACGTCAGGCTTCTGCTTCTTCCGCGTCCTCGACCCCGACTCTTCCTGCTGCTTCACCTGCTGTTGCTACTCTTACTCCCACGCCTGGACCTTCGGCGTCGAGCTTGGGCGCTAAAAATGTAGATCTGTTGCCCGATTCACTGGCATCTAGGACCCCTGTTGGGGGAACGAATTCCACCAGCTCTTCGCCCCCTCAACCGCCTAAAACCGAGGATGACCGTGGTATGGAGGTCGATGTACCAGCTGGACCAGGACCATCTGTCGAGTCGGGAATTCCAGAAACCCAACCCAGGGGATCAAGCAAGCCCGCCGCTGCTACCGTGGCCAGTACAGATGGAGATGCTATGGACATCGACACGCAAGCATCCAGCAGACTGCAGATTCCTTCGCCAATTACTCAGCCGACAACTGGATCTATTCCAGCGTCGTCCCCAACGCTCCCGGCGACTGGGCCTTCAACTCAACCCATTCTGGTTCCAGGCGCCTCGAAGACGCCTTCCGTGACGCCGCCGCTACCGTCCAATGGGCCGAGTCCTGTTCCTGGGGACACAGATGCAAAATCCACACAAGCCAAAACTGACTCTCAACCTCCGGTGCAGACAGCGCAGCCTACCCTAACTCTACAGCCGACGCTGCCAAGCGTCCCCCGAATGCAATCACAGCCTGTTGAAGGACCGAGTATACCTAGTGGCCTATCTTCCGTGCCCAATGCAAGTAGTACCAGTGGAACATCCGCGGATATTGATTTCAGAACATCGGCAAAGTCTATGACCTTGATGGGTCCCCATAACAATGTTGTGCGGTCTCAAACGGTTCCGATAGTGTCTCAACTGCCGAGGCAACCTCCTGTGGGGTCGATGCTACCTCCTCCAGTGCCGGTTCCAAAGTCGACGCAGTCATTGACGCAGCCGAATGCTAGAGGGTTACCTACCTCAGTCTTGGCTCAAACAAGTGGACCGAGACCGAGCCAACCACCAGTTCAACCGAATGTAGGGCGGCCCACACAAGTTACACTGGTTGCTCCCGCTCAAGAACCTCCACCTAAAGAAAATGAAAACGCGATGCAGATTGACAAGCCACCAGTCCCTCCCCCAGCTCCTCCAGTAGCTAAAATACCCCCAGAGCGTGAGTTATCGCAATATTGTTTTCTGACGCGCATTAACGAGTGATATGTTACTTTAGAGATTTTTGGACACAGCGATATCCCTCGAATCACGCTTCTAGGATTCGAAAAAGGGAAAAAGGAGAGGGGCACAATTCCGTTCAAGTTCAAGCTTAGTTCGATACAGGTGGATCTTCTTCAGAAGTGGAAAAAGCAGGCTGGTACTCTCGAGTGCGTGTTTGATATATGCTCTTCATTTTGACTGTGGCTTAATGGATGTGATCTTGGTTTTGAACGCGTCATATAGAGAACTCGCCTGCACGGTGTCTGTTTCTTTGGGATGTTATTTGATTGAAAGCTTGAAACCCCCGTCATCCTTCCTTGAACAAATCGCGATTATGCCTTCCACATTTGCTCAGGATGGAGGATTAAGCATGAGGTTTGAAGGTGTTGGCTCGCCTCCCGAGAGCGTGACATTGCCTTTATCTCCTCCTTTTCTCGTACGTGCCTATCCTATCCTATGTCCCTAGTAGGTGCTGACACCAACGACTGCACAGTCGACCCCCGATGGCAGATTCGACCTATCATCTCTGATCTGTAAACCCGGTCCACACTCGTTCGAGATCATCCAGAGCCGAGATTGGTCACAATATGCCTTTGTGTTGTTTCTCCATCATCCGACTGCGAGCCAGATGAAGAAGGCGGAAGAGAGGAAACGGAAGGATAGGGAGTGGGAGGAGTGGAAGGCGAGGGTTAGTAAACCGCCTTTGATGACTGTTCCGAAGCTGAAGGTTGGGTAAACTCGGGCTACATTGCAACGTTGAGGTGCGGAGGGAAGGTCTTAATGTACATTACTAGTATGGCTTCTTGTTATCATAGAGCTTGATTTCTCGGAGGACGACGCGCCAAAAGCTGTTCGTTTTGCTCGTTCAGAGTCATTATTATAATAGAGTCAATTTGTGATACTTTGTGATCCTTCAATGAAAAGGGGTAAGAAAAGAAAAGTGGAATATAAGAGTCCGTGGTATATAGTAACGAGTGTGAGGAGATAAAGGGTACTTGGAAGAAAGGAAAGGGCCAGGAAATAATAAAGAACGTTCAACGAGCGGCGGAGCAGGTGTTGCAAAAGCAAACAGATAAAGAAAGGAAAAGGAGAGGACGTAGTAGAGAGCACAGGAATTAACAACCGAGAGCCCAAATTGTATGTATAATCTCAGGAGGAAAAGCAGGAAAGCGATATTCAAGGCGCGGATAGGCGTTTATGCGGGCGCCTTTGTCAACCAATAGACCAGAAGAAACGTCAATCTTCCTATGTCTAAGCCGTCCTTGTGGACCTTACGTTTATGGGGCACCGAGGAGCGTATTCAAAGCTCTCGGAACATCATACCCATATCGTTCCAATGCATCAATCGCCTGGCTCCTGCTAAAGCCCATGTCCGTCAACTGCTTCACCGCCTCCACATCGTCATCTCCTGCCGGCGTCACGGACCTCTCAGGAGTCTCCTTATGAGGTGTAAGATGCGAGCTCGACGTCGTCGGCATGGGTTCATGCTTGTCCTTGTTCTTCTTCTTTCCAAATGGCAAGCGCAGCTGTGAAAACTTACATTTCAGAAACCCGCGATGATTAACGGTGGTATGGAGAGGGAAAGCTAGAGTACTTACAGATAGTTTGGAGTGCCTTGGAGCAGGTTCCTTAGGTTTCTCAAGTCCGTCCTTTGAGGATGACGAGGAAAGCCGAGGTTTAGGTGAGGAAGTACGGGGAGGAGGGGTGTGTGATCTTACTGCCAACGGTGAAGAGGGTCGGGGGCGGCCAGAGCTCAGACTGTTCTTCGGTGACGTGGTCGGGCTACCAGTTGGGAAGGGACTGGTGGAGGGTGCTGTTGGGGGAGGAGAGCTGGTCGAGACAGTTGGTGCCGGTTTGGGACTTGCGGTTGGTGCAGGATTGAAGGCCTCATCGAACGAGGTTGCAGCGGGTTCCGGTTTGGGCGCCTCGGTGGGCTGGGCCGAAATTTGAGACGGGGTAGTCGACGTGGTTGCCTCCCCAGAGTGACCATTGACAGGGCCGGCAGTACTGAAGATGTCGTCAAATGAAGCACCATTGGTTGCGGCCGCTGGAGGTTGAGCAGGCTGTGCGGCGGCAGTTACTGGCGGCGAGTCGGCTTTGGCAGCGCTGAAGTCAAAGTTGTCGTCGAATGCGGCGTCGAAGGAGAAGGCTGGTGCTGGCGCTGGTTTGCTGGCGGTAGAGGTGGACAGCCCGAGCGCTTCGTCAAAAGCGTCAACCCCTGCTACAGCTGGCTTCGAGTCGACGGGAGGGAATAGGTCAGCGTCTCCATTTGACTTGGCAACATCTCCAGTGGGTTGAGTTGCGACAGCGGCTGGGGTAGGGTTGAAAATATCGTCAAAGTCACTGGTGGCAGCTGGAGGTGCAGTCTCGGTTGGCTTTGTCGGTGGTGAGGATGCAAAGATGTCGTCAAAGGACTGGGCATTGTTCTCGGCCGGTTTGGCACCTTCCTTGCTCTTCTCAGAATCCTGGGAAGCTGCAGGGGGCTTGTTTCCTGACTTGTTTAATTCGGCTAAAGGAATCTCGTCGTCGCTCTCGTCTGAGGAATCGGATTCATCAATCTCCTTCTCCTGAATGGCGCTACCAAACAGATCGTCAAAGTCGTCGTTCCCATTAGCAGGCTTGGAGGAAGCTGGTGCTGCAGCGACTTCATTGGAAATCTGTGCAGTGACCGCGTCAATTGCAGGGAACTTGGAAGAGGCGCCATCAAGGGAATGCAGCGAAGTGTCGCTGGGCGAAAGAGCCCTCGCAGACGTGGGTGGAGTGTGGAATAACTCGGTTTCGTTAGGAGAAACTGGAGGTTGCTCGCTCGCTTCCACGGTCAACTTGTTAGAGTTATCTGGGGACTGGGTCCTTGCGGGTTCAGGCGCATCGTAGGGCAGACCTTCGGTTGACTGAGCGCCTCCCTCGTCTGAAAGTGCTTTCTCCGGCTGAGCGAAGCTGGCAAAGATGTCGTCGTCTTCAGCAGGGTTGCCAACAGGAGCGGAAGGGAAAGGAGAGAAGGGAGAACCGGTGCGAGATTGCGAATTGCCCATAGCGAGCCTTTCGAAAGGATTGTTACTCTTGATGCTAGCAGACGGCGAGACGACCGGGTCCGGAGTGACGGGCAAAGGTTGCGAAGCGGCGAATGCAAGAGTGTCGGCTGACGCAATGGTTTCAGATGAAGTGGCTCGAGGAGGAATGGGCGGAGCAGCTGGCTTAGGTTGAGGCATCTCAAGCTTAGCGAGAGCAGCCTCTGTCTCCTCTGTCTCCTTCGTAACCTCCTCCAACTCTGCATTGGCTTCCTGCAACTCGTCTTGAGCCTTCGCTCTCTCAGCTTCCTTGGTCGCCAACTGTTTCTTTGCAATCGCCAACAGCCCCTTCTGCTGCTTGGCGGCCTTCTTGAGCTTCTCGACTTCAGCCTTGATTGCCTCAATTTGCTGCCCCGCTTCGATCATTCGCCTCTCCAACTCTCGCTTATCCTCCTTGTCGCGCATGAACGCGCCTTCAATCTCAGCCTTTTCGACCCGCTTAGCGCTGAGGTCGCTTTCGGCGCTAATTAACTCTTGGCGGATTTTCTCAATCTCCGCTTGTTGACTGGTATGGCGATCTTTGAGGGTCGTAAACAACTTGATCTCGGTCTCATACGCTGCCTTCGCGGAGGATAGCTGGACTTGCAGAGCCGACAGCTGCGAAGCTTGAGTGGCAAGCGATTGTTCGATGGCTTCACGATCAGACCTAGTCTTCTCCAAGGAATTGTTAGTGGAGGCGAGTTGATTCTTCACGTTGCCAATCTCGGCGGATTGATCTTGGAGCGGTGGAGAGGTGGACGTGGTTGGCTCGTCATCATCCAGTAGATTACGAGCGGAGCCTAAGATGCTACACGTTAGGAGGTAGGACATTCAAAAGTTAGTACGTGACTTACCGGTATAGTTGGGTTGCTGAAGAGATGCAGCGAAGGGATCCAAAGGCATTGACACAGATCGTCCGCCAGTAGGCTGCGGAGTCATCGTTTGAAGAGGTCCTGTTCGCTGGGGCTGAAGCGTTTGGTATTTATTACCGGTAGCTTGCGAAGGAACAGGGGACGCGGGAGGCGAGTCATCGAATGAGAACAGATCCTTCTGAGGTTCAGGCGCAGCTGGCGGCTGAGCTTGACGCATCGAAGGAGGAATCAATGAAGGGGGTAATGTAGCCGGGATCTCCCCGCCGCCAAGTTTCCTCTGAATGAGATGCATGGCGACCGCGAAGCCGTCGCGCGTTAGTTTGCCATCGTTGTTAAGGTCAGAGAGGTCCCTAGAACGGACAACATGAGGGGATACTCTTGCAGAAAATTTAAGTACATACCAAACGACTGCCAAGACTTCGCCTGGCAAACCGGACTGAATCATGAAAGGAACTGCGACAGATCCTTCGATGAAACCAACTTTATCTTTATCCAAGTCATCGAACCATTGGTCAAAGCGAGCCTTGTCAGCGGGTGTGATGTCCCATGCTGGTGTGGGTGCTACGGAAACGGGTGGTCGGATGGGTGGACTTAGTGACCTTGCAGCAATGGAAGGGACAGCTGGACGGGGAGGTAGCGCTGGACTTCGCGCCTGGTTTGACATTCCGGTGTGGTTGGGTTGTATTTGACTTCTTTGACCGGTATACTGGGGTTGGATGCTAAAAGCGCTTCCTGGGGCTGGGCTGAAGTTACCGCTACCACCAGTCATGTGGGAAGCGACCCCACCACCGCCTGCTTGCTGATAGAGCCCAGGTGGTAGCGATGTCGGAATAAATGAGATCTTCCCACTCATTAGTCCTTGGATAAAGTACATTCCGATGGCGAAGTCGGTCGAATCAAGAGCACCACGGTCTTGTGTATCAGCCAAGTTCCTAGGAGGTGTACGCGGTGAGGTCGAGCGGACAGATGGCGGCAAGCTTGGGCCTCACCATATTTGCAGGAGCTGCTCATTGGGAAGTTTTGACTTGAGGAAGACGTCTCTTGCCTTCTCGCCTGGAAAAAAGATGTCATTTCAGATTTGTCACTGGTATAATCTACGATGCGCATACCGCTCAAGAGGCCGTTCGTTGCTCCGTACTTGATGAAATAGCTATCGAATTTTTCCTTATCTTGGGGTGAGAGGGGAGGGAAATAAGGTAGCGGAGACTTGGGCAAGGACATTCCGGTGTTCTGTTGGGTGACGGTGCTGATGCCTTCAATCCTGGGTAGAGGTCCGGCTGCGAAACGTCAGTCCAGGAGCGCTTTGAGTGGGTGTGTAAAGCGTACGTTTCTGTATCAGGGCTTCTGAGACGGGTTCTCCCTTCTGCGCCCAGCCCATTAACCTAACTACGATGGCGACACCCTTCTTGGACAGCCAGCCGTTGTTGTCCTCATCTGCGAGGGACCAGATTTCACCCAGTACTGCAGCGGGGAGCTTTGACCCGTCAAAGACCTTCACTGCAGCGTCGCCAGTAATGACTCCCAACTTCTGCGGATCTGCATGAAGGAAGATTTGGTTAACGAGGGAGGCTTCGGCCGGTGTGGGGGTTATGTTGGCCGGCATATTGGAAAGTTGTGAGCTCGTCTAGGAGCTCAGTTTAGAGAGGTATATGTCGGGATCAGTGTCGAGGTCGTCGTCACAGACAGTGACGGGATATGCGCTGTCGACGAGGTCACCGTTGGCGTCAGTCAGCGTCAGTCTTCAGTCTGAGAGTCGGGTATGTCAGAACAAACATGCGCAAACTGGCGGGTGATGGCATGCACACGTGAGGCACGCGTCTCAGGTTTTGAGCTGTTCCAAAACGCCGCTCGTCTTGTCTTGTGTTGGTTTTGCATTTGCACTGTCTTCTTGGTTTCTTCTTCCTTATTTTACGACTTTAACGAACTCGTGTACACGATGGAGCAAGTTACCTCGTCCTTGGCCCCTGCCCGTTCTTCCCAAAAGTCAAATGCACCAGCCTCCACGTCCTCGGCCACAGGCAGCGTCACGAAACGGTAGGTAGCATCGCAACTTTTGGATGCTGAGCGATGCGAGCTCACGACGTGTTAGTCTTGGAAACGAGCTTGTGCAACTCATGGTGAGCAAGAATCTCGTCTTGTTCGCTGGAACATGCTGTTGAACCCAGGTTCAGATGTCTTCGTCCCCGGGCATTGTAAGCAGCGGTCCCCCATGCACACCACGGGCTCCTCTTACACCGTTCTAGTCAGCGTTCCCCAAAAATGATGGCAATTTGTTTGAATGGGTCGGCACAATTGAGGGTGCGCCGGAAACCGTGAGTTTGCCTCATTGTCGCGTCGTGCGCCACTCATTCTTGTCCCGAAGATCTATGCCGGGCTGAGCTTCAAGATCACCATCTTGTTCCCTCCCAATTACCCCTACGTTGCCCCTAATATCAAGTTCGATACTCCGTGTTTCCACCCGAATGTCGACATTGGAAGCGGTGCTATCTGCCTTGACATTCTCCAGGTAAGCTGTGGCCGCGCGGATCGCTGGGGTTACGTGAGTGTTCATGTCGGAATTGCAGGACAAGTGGTCGGCCGTCTATAGCGTGCAAACCATTCTTCTATCCCTGCAATCCTTACTCGGCGGTATGTCTGACTCGTTCATCCGCTTTGCGATCAATATTGAGCTCGGGACTGGACAGAACCTAATAATTCTTCCCCACTTAACACGGAGGCCGCAGGCCTGTGGAGCAAGCCCGATGGTGAGCACTGACTGCCTTATTTTAAGCCACAGCACTAATTTGAGCCATGATAGCCTTCAAGGTGCAATTGATGAAGCACTACCGACCCATCACCGCAGACTCGGCCTGAATGGCGCATGTAGCTTATTGTACCCACTACACATATTCTTGCATACATCCTCGCATTTGCAATGGCATTTTTTTGTTACCGACTGGGCTGGAAGTATATGTTGCTATGAGACTTGGTGCCGATCATAGAATTTTAGAAAATTAGGGTGGTGATGGTGTTTGCTGGATCAAAACACTTTTAGAGCCAGCAGCTGTGGGAGCGTTCAGCAGAGACTACCAGGCCTCTTCTCCACAAACCCTCACCAGGGCTACCTACGCTCCTTTCATAGGCTTTGGCCCTTTGTACGTGTCCAGAATCCCTTGCTAGCCAACGTATACTAAACAGCAGATAGCATTTCGTTCTTCACATTGACTGTGATATCGTTTTACGGGCTCTGGAGCTCAGATAATTATTGACAGCCATGCGACGAAGACCGCCGCCAACTGCCTTGAGGCTGGTACCGGGCCCTGTCCCACCACGAAAGTACGTGGACCACGTCTCTTCTCAACCTTGTCGCGAGACCGTTTACGTGGTTTGCAGTGCCCCAAAGTATACACTGCCCTCCCTACCTTGGCCCATTCACACGGAGGCATCGAACCGGCCAGAGAAGAGGCGAGTCATGGACTTGCCACCGATACAGCTGAGCATGCCGGTCGCGGGGTCGGAGAAAAGTAAGCTGCGTGGCCCCTGGGACCACTCGTCGAGCATTTCTGTTGAGATAGATGTTGAGCGGCTGCTGGCACCGCTGAAACCTGCTGTCGTAAGGCGCTGTAGTATTTAGATATTGAAACGTTAAGACGCTGTGCCAACTTGTTTCTGAGGGCAATTTTGAGTCGCGACAAAGGAAAAAACAAATAAAGGGCCGAGGTTAAGGACAAAACCAAACATTGCGGTGTTTGCTTGCCCACTACTACTTAGTTTCTTCTGCCTCTTGACCTGTAACGAACATCGACGTCCGCGCTGTCAAGAACGACGACCACGACGATAATGACAAGCTCGCCACCAGACATCTCGACATTGTCGCTCTCTCATCGTCCTTCCCAGCAACGTCTTCATGATTCTTACGATTACGACGGAAATGGTTCCAGTAGACCCCAGTACCACTATGCTACCTCGCAGGGCTTGCCACAATCCCCCTACACACCGCTGGCAGGCATGAACCAGTCTCCTCTCAAGAACAAATCCGTTCGTGCAGGTCTGCCCGCTGTACGTCCTGTCCCCACGATCTCCCCCGATTTTCCTACCTTTCTCACCCTTTTCTCCAGCAATGGCTCGATAATACTTCCCCCGATAATAGGTCTTTGTCTCCTCATAATAATTCTGACTTTTCTTCCGCTGGCGGTTCCCCCCCAATGGGCCACCTTAATCCACCTCCTATCGCCACGGGCCAGCAGCAGTCCACTGCCTCAGGTCCAGCTGGCGACGAGGACATTATTCCAACTGCCATCGTAATCAAAAACATTCCCTTCAATGTCAAGCGCGAGACTCTCCTCGACATTATTGTGAGTCGTCGTCGCTGCCCCAAAATGTCGCACTGTGTGTGTGTTGATCGTTGACCCGATTTTAGACTTCGCTCTCCATCCCAACCCCATATGCCTTCAATTACCATTTGGACCAACAGGGCCAGTTCCGTGGCCTTGCCTTTGCCAATTTCAGACAGGCTGCAGACGCAGACGCCGTCGTCGCTGCTCTCAATGGCTTTGATGTCCAGGGACGCAAATTGCGTGTCGAGTACAAGAAGGTCCTGCAAGCCGGTGAAAAGGAAAGGATCGAGCGGGAAAAAGCCATTCGAAGGATGCGTTCCATGCAACTTGAAAAAGAACAAGCCGCCGCCCAACAGCAGCAGCAGCAAACTCAACAGTCGAAGAACGTTTATGAAGACTATGGCACAGCGATCAACACTGGCTTTGGCCAGCGTTCGTTCTCTTCGGGAGCAGCGTACCAGCAATCGTCGCAGTACTCTCCACCTCCCGTGTCCTCGATGCCCACTCCGTCGTTCTCGATGCCGATGCCATCTGCTCCATCGGCCGCCACTCAGGCACCCAACACCCCCAGCATCTCGGAGAAGGCTTTCAGCGAGCTGGACCTCAACGATCCTTCCACTTTGGAGATCTACTCCCGAATCCTGTTGTTCAAGGATGACCCCATGCGTGATGAACTCGCGTTCTCTCGTACCTTGACTCCCAAGCAACGAAGGATTGTGCACCTCATTGCCCAGAAGCTCGGTGTCTACCACTACTCGGTCGGAGAAGGTGATGAAAGATACGCTGTTGTCACACGCATTGATCCCAATCGAGTGAGTCCTATATATATCACGACTGAAATTCTCTCTCTAACGTTCTTGACAGCAGCAGGCAACTGCTAGCTTGAGGCAGCCACACACCCTTAGCCGCACGCCGTCTGCGTACCTGACCCCGACCTCGGCAGCCCAGCACGGCCACGCTTCTCTTCGCGTCAAGAAGTCGATGCCAGATCTGAAGACCCTTCACTCCCAGGCACCGCGTCTCACTTCTCGCGCTTCCAACGGGAACATTCGGGAGGGTTACGCGACCATTTCTTCTCCCTCTCGTCGCGTCTCCACTGGCTTCGGTTCGCTGTTCTCCAACGGGGCCTTTGGTGGGGGAAGCTCTGTCCCTCCTGTTCCCAGCTTGCCCGCTTCGTTGAACACGGCGTCATTGAACGGTGGTGGACATAGCGAGAGCCCTGGAGGTGTCGTCCGCCAGCCACGCGGACCTACCGCCGTCGGAGGATTCAGCCGTCGCGATAGTCGCGTCGGTGCCAGCGAGAGCCAACTTCCGTCGCGCGGTGGGCTCGAGATCGGCACTCACGAACCTTTGGAAATCTAATCTCATAATCTGGTTGACGACATCAGGCCAGGCGGTTGAAACCTTTGCCATGGAAGCAATAAGACGAGACCCAACCAACTTCAACAACTAAACACTAATAATCCTTTTCGCATTGATTCGAATCTCTCTCTCCTTTAGTCGTTCCTTTTTTTTTTTCTGCCTTTACCTGTACAGAAATTTGGCAGTCCCTTGACTCACTATTGCTACTTTTCTTGATTGTCGCCTCGTTCCTAATCATTTCACTACACCGAAAGGTGTGTACCTATCTATATATTTCTGGTGTATCTGCACATTCCTTTTCACTCCAGTCACCCTGTTCATGTTTGTTACCCCTCACAACCAAGGTCGATTCAAATTTTCTTGCTCTAGCGTCTAGAACTCTACCAGATTAGTACTACAACCGCCATCACGGTTTATATATTGTACCATGTGTGCTTGTGATCATAAATTTCGCGGTCGTTCGTGTCCTTTTCCTACCCAATGAGGGAGGTCGTTCTGGCGGTTTTATGAATAACTCGTCATGGACTTAATCAGCATTACAGGTTCTCGCAAACGCAATGACCGCTCAAAGGAGCGCTATTTAAGCGATGACCAGCTCGACCGTCATTCCAGTGCATTCTCCAACAAACATTTGAATGCTTTCGACTCGGACTTTTATAGTCCTCTTCTCCTTGCTCGCTGTTTTGGCTAGTTTCTTGCTTGCTTCTTCCACCCGCTCAACCATCGCGATTGTGGGTTCAGCTTCTGGATCCGACGCTTATCGTCGAATTGTCAACCTCTTAGCTTCCCCTTTCCGCACCCAAGTCTCGTCGACACCGCCCAGGATGACCATACCCACTACGCAGGAACTGGAAGCCTTTTGGACCAAGGCACTTGACGAACTTCCGTCTACTCCTGATAACATTCCAGCGTTCTTCTTTGGCCACGGTTCGCCGATCCTGGCCTACCCCGCATCGGCTGCCAAAGGTCTTGGAGAGTTTGCGGCGTACCAGGGACCCACTGGGCCTCTCTATCGGTTCTTGAAACAGTTCGGACCTACATTGTTGAAGAAGTATCAGCCCAAGGCTATTGTAGTGTTCAGTGCACATTGGGAGACCTATCGCGAGAGACTAGGTGCGAAGTGGTCTGGATCGGACAAGGAGTTGTTGGTAGCTAACCACAGGGCTTTCTTCACAGTAACTGATTACGGGGATGAGAACCCGCTGTTGATGGATTATTATGGGTTCCCCCCTGACTTGTACAAGTTGAAGTTCAAGTCGAGAGGTGATAGTACGTTGGCGAAGAGATTGGTTGAGTTGTATCAAAGGGTATGTCGTGCAGCTTTCTTTGCGTCCACTCCTTCATGTTTCTTTTGAAAACAGGCAGGCCAAAAGGCGCGCTTGACTCCTGCGAGCGAGGCTCGGGGTGAAGATGGGAGAGGTTTCCAGGGACCCGGCCTTGATCATGGCGTTTTTGTTCCGTTTAGGATCATGTTTGGAGAGGAGTTTACCAGTATCCCCGTTGTTCAAGTGTCGATCGACGCTAGTCTTGACCCGGAGAAGAACTGGCAAGTGGGCAAGGTCGTTTCGGAACTGAGGTTGGTCTTTTCGTGGACTAATGTCGGGATTTGACTGGATGCGTTGGTTGCTTTACAGGAAAGAAGGGGCGTTGGTGTTGTCGGGTGGGTTGACTGCTCATAACCTAGGAGACAGGACGTCGTTCTCCCCAGTTACCGCCCGACCAGCGCACAAAGAGTTTGACGCGGCGATCCATAGGGCCATCAACGTCAAAGATGTGAGTGCAGAAAAGTTGAAAGAACGAAAGAATGATATTAATCTTGTTTGCCCTGGCTAGTCGGATGCGAGGAAGAAGGCGCTGTTTGATCTGACCAGGCATCCTGGGTTTAGGGCGTCGCAACCACGAGAAGACCACTTTGTGCCGCTGTACGTTGCTGCAGGGGCTGGAGAGGGTGGAGAGGTCAAGACTATTGTGAACGCGTATGGGATTCCTACGTTCGCATTTGGGTTGTAGTAGTGATTATTATGTACATATTATAATTTTGATATGAGAAAGTTGGAGAGTGATGTTTTGATGGCAGGACATATTGATTCGCTGAATTTGGTCGCTGCGAACCATCGGCTTCCTTCGCTGTAAATGTGACCGTCGCTGTCAGTTGCCCTTTGCTTCCTCACCACCACCACCTCACTCCAAATCCGCCCCCTACACTTCGCCGTCTTCAACGACGACGTCCTCTTTCCCTGCCATTTCGCAGGCTTTTCTGTAAGTCATTTGCGCATCGCGACCACGAGCGCTTTGTTGATCAAACAATAGCGCTTCTCCTCAATAAATTCTCCACCTTCCTTTATTTTATTTCTCTTCTTTTCTCTTCTTCTCCTCACTCGTTGCTCGAGCTGCGGTAGGAGCCCAACATCTCAGCCCCCACCCCACCCAACATAAATACCAGTCGCCATTAGAACCTTTAGCGGCCGTTGCGCACATCTTCCCTTATTCCCGGTCCCAAATGTCCTTCCAGCATCACCCAACATCGTTATCAATGCCCGCTGAACCCGTTCGGCGGATATCGATTACATACCAGCAGCCTTCGTGTCCAGAATCGCAGGTCGTAGTCACTGAGGCCCCCATAACTCCTCCCCTTTCTCCCAAGTCCATCGCCACAAAGTCGGGCGCTATGCCCGTGGAAGAAATGCCCATCTGCAGTTCGAAACCTATTCAAATACACTCCGAACAGGAGGCGATGGACGTCGAGTCGGCGCCCGTTCACCAACATCCGAATACCATGCCAGGCGAACAACAAGCCCAGTCCCAAGATCAGTCTAACGAATCGCAGAACCGCCCACAACGGTGTCTTGAAGACCAGCGTGTTCGGTTGCAGGGTTCTGGTTTGAAGCTGTCCGATTTTGAGGTCAGGGGAACACTTGGTAAGTTCATTTTTGGTTTTCGTCCCATAATTCCCAGCTCACAAGAGGGTACTTCATATAGGCACCGGGACGTTTGGGAAGGTACTCTTGGTGCGCCATAAGACCGCTCGAGACCGACATGGAGCGCAAAGTCATTTTGCGATGAAAGTGCTTCGCAAAACGGTGATCGTGCAACTGCGACAAGTCGAGCACGTCAATGCGGAACGATATATCCTCTCGAGGGTGAACCATCCATTCATCGTGGACCTCTTTGCGACCTTCCAGGACAGTCTCAACGTCTATATGCTCATGTCCTATGTCCCTGGGGGTGAACTTTTCACCCATCTGCGACGCGCACAGCGGTTCACTCCTGACGTTACCCGATTCTACCTTGCCACGATTATCCTCGCCCTCAAGTACCTCCACTCGTTCAACATCATCTACCGCGACTTGAAGCCCGAAAACCTTCTGTTGGATTCTCGGGGTTATCTCCGACTCACAGACTTTGGCTTCGCGAAAATTGTCGACGACCGAACTTGGACTCTGTGTGGCACCCCAGAATACCTTGCCCCAGAGATTATCCAATCCGACGGTCACGGCAAGGCCGCGGATTGGTGGGCATGTGGGGTGTTGTGCTACGAGATGCTGGTTGGATATCCGCCCTTCTTCGACGAATCTCCGTACGGCATTTACGAAAAGATTCTGAACGGCCAAATCCACTGGCCGCGGCACATTGATCGTCTTTCAAAAGACTTGATCAAGTCGTTCCTCAACCCAGATCGCACCAAGCGACTGGGTAACATGCTGGGAGGCCCCCAGGATATCCTTGACCATCCCTGGTTTAGAGGTGTTGATTGGGATGCATTGGAAAGGCGTGAAATCAACGTATGTAGTGTTTACTCGTCTCCCTCTTCTTTTCGCTTAACCGTTGCGTAGGCTCCCATTATCCCAAGGACGACATCGGTCGACGATACCCGCCACTTCTTGCATCTCCCTCCTCCTACCGCTGAGGAAATCCCCGGCCTTGTTGGGCAAGATCTCCCTCAGCCACGCTTTGACCCGATCAATTACCACTTCCTCGAGTTTTAAGTTCTCGGGTCACCCTTTTCCTTGCTCTTTTCGACCATCTCTGAATGGATCCCACGCTCTTTCGCCTTTCCCAGTCTCCACTCTTTAATCCATCTTCTGAATCACTTTATTACGCGCCTCGGTTCAGCCTTATCCCTATTTATTGCATTCGCATCTTCGTTCGTATCTTACCCTGCAGCATCTGGAATCCCCTATTTCTGTCTCGAAAACTGTATCCAATTCTGCCTCTCTCTTTGGTGGCTATTCTTATCTTGGTGCCACATCCCACTGTATTTTTCGCCTCCCAATCTTGCGTATGCTCTCTGTATTGCCCATTCCATTCCTTTTGTGATTTGCGGCAGTAGAACATAGTTGTTTCTCTCTGCTTTCGATGTCCTGTAGCCTTTCACTTTTTCTTGCATGTTGTTCTCTACAACACCCACCCTATGTAGCCTTGTCATCTACTCGTCACATCCTCTGGATGTTTGACTGCTGTGTATTTTTGCCATCCATATACCACTTTCGAGTCTCGTATTTCCGTCGCTGTTAGGTGTGCGACGTAATCATATATCCCCTATATTACTTGATACTTGACCTTCGCTTTTATCAATGCTACTATTTGGCTTGAATGATTCCGTCCATGTCATCTCGGGCTGACTCCAAAAGCTGTGGGACTATCGACGAGAGTGCACTGTTTCCCAAATCCTGACTCTTGCGCCCAACGTCAATCCCTGCTGTTTTCTTTCGGCCTAAACTACCCTTCATTCCCCATGGCCAATCCTGATACTACGGAACCCATCGTCCTTGATGGTAGCGTCCTCGAGGGAGGAGGACAGATCCTTCGCAATGCTGTAGCGCTTTCTGCTCTGCTCCACAAACCCATCACCATCGAGAAGATACGGTATGGGCGCTCTTCTCCAGGATTGAGGAACCAGCATCGGGTTGGTCGATCAACATCTCATCGATTATTTCTGCGCCTAAATCTCGACGATTACAGACAGGACTGGAGCTGGCAGCTAGGATCGCCTCTGCCGAACTACTGAATGCAAAGAACGGATCCACTAGCATCACGTTCAAACCTGGTTCCCTCGTCGTACCGGGAGAGTACATCGCCGATGCTGTCACAGCTGGAGCGGTCACTCTGATGCTCCAGATTTCGTTACCTCTACTTTTATTCAGTTCGAGCATTGAAGGGGGACGTTCTACTCTAACGCTCCGCGGAGGCACGAATGCGATCCAAGCGCCTCAGATTGACTATGTACAACATGTCTTTTTGCCCTTTGTGCAGAGACACTTTGGGGTGGGAAGTGTGGATGTAAACTTGACGAGGAGAGGGTATTATCCCAAGGGAGGAGGGGAGGTGGTGTTCAGTCTCCCGTCTCTACCACCCGGAGAGAAGTTGAAGAGTTTCAGTTTGTTACAGAGGGGGAAGCTTGTGTCTATCAAAGGTATTGCGCATTTCAGCAAGCTGCCGGGGTCGGTGGGGAGTGAGATGGTGAGAGGGGCAGAGAAATATCTTAGGAAGGCGGGGTATCGGGGGAAGGAAGAGAATGATATGTTGCCTCCGAATAGTGACGATGAGGATGAAGAAGACGACGGGGCGGTTAAGATTGAGATCAAGGCTGTGAGGGAGAAGAATGATATTTCTGTGGCGGGAGGGAGTGGGATTGTCTTGTGGGCAGAGCTTGAGGGCGGGGGATTTATTGGTGGAAGCGCGGTGGGTAAGAAGGGGATCGATCCGCAGCAGGTGGGCGCCGAGGCAGCAGAGTTACTGGTGAAAGGGTTGGAAGGGGGAGGGTGTGTGGATGAGTGGTTGCAGGATCAGATTATCATTTTTATGGCACTCGCAGACGGATCTTCAGAGGTTAGGTGTGCTAGAGGCGAGTTGGAATTGCATACAAAGTATGTTTTCTGGTGATCATTGGAATTCTTTCACTCACTCTGGCCCTGTAGAACCGCGATATGGCTGGCGGAGCAGCTGACGGATGCCAAGTTCACGATAGAAGCGGACCCTGCTGGTACAATCATCCGTTGTCAAGGAATTGGGTATTCAGCTTCACCACACCAGTCAGAACGAAATGCAGAGGATTGAAAGCAGAATGCGATTACATGGGACCAGGAAATAAATAAGATAGTCCTGCTTTCGTTCCACTAATGTCGAGGAGATGTGTATTAAAGATCGTACCGTTCCCATACGAACAGAGTCATATATTAGTGTACACCCCAAAGGTCCATCGTCGTCATCAAGGGTCGTCATCGGTTCCAGGACAGGAGGGACATGTCTCCCAGTCGTCTGATTACATTCGTCAGCGGGGAGCTAAGGCGGTTTCGGTATAGGATGGGACTTACCTTGGCTTGATCAAGTGTCGTGCAAGACCCAAGACTGCGAGCAGTACGAAAACTCCCGCAGCAGCAACGTAAGCCCAACCGAGGAATGGGTTTTTACCTCCGATGGCTGATACAGTTGAAATGACAAAGGATTTGGTACCCTTGTAAGGTCGTACTGGGAAGTCTGAGGAAGCGGGTATGTAAGTATGGCGATGAGGCAGTGCTAGGTATACTTACTCATTCCAATAACGACTCTGTACGTGCCCTTGAGCATGGTATCTTGGTCATTCCTGGAATACAACTTGGTGAAGGTGGGTAAGCCAGCAGTTCGCATCCAGTTCTGGAAGTGCTCGTCGTTGCGGAGGTCAGGGATGTTGTCTTCTGTGTAGCCGTCCGGGAAGCGCCTGGCCCAGTTGGGCGGTGGTACAATGTCTGAGGGGCTGTCATAGCCGTCTGGACCAATTGGGGAGGTGGCGTATTTCTTTGCCTCACCGGGCCAAACAATGCCTTTCGATGTCATTTCGTAGGGGCGTTCAGGTTCGTCGGAGTTTCCGGGGTTGACCAAGATTGGGGACCCGAATGTATCTGACGAGTGCTGTGCTCAGACCGAGGTGCATTTTCGCGAGGGTATGGGTCTGCTCACCATTGAATAGAGAATTGGCAATGAGACCGCAAGGGAAGATAGGTTTGCCGTCAATCGTGGCGAGGGGCTTGCAATCGCCGTTGTCAAGGTCCTTGGCACTGACAAACTTGCCCTTTAGCTGGTCGGTGTTGAGAGACTTGACATATCGACGGTGATTTTGATAAAAGTTGGTGAGCTTGTAGTAAAAGAAGACGGATGGTTGCAAGTCTGCTGGAATATCAAACTCCACGACACATTGCAGCTCTTCAGACACATCGACGTCCGAGGTCCCAGTGTTGTTGATGAAGGCATAGCGAGGTGCGCTAGGTTTCGGTAGCTTCTCGTTCTCTGCACTCAAACGGTAATTGTATTTGTTTGAGGGCATTGTGGTGAATGAAGCGTCGTCTATGGATGTTGCAGGAGATAGTTGGTCGCAGTCGGTATAGTCGAAAGTCATTTCGTTGATCTTTGACGACGCCCAGATGAGGAGACCGCCTACTGGCGCAAAGATGATTCCAATAATGAAGAGAGTCGGTAGCACTGTCTTTGGAGTCAAAATTGGCTGCCATGCCTTGAGCCGCTGCTGCTTGAAGGCAGTATCTGGAGACGAGTCTTGTCAGTGGATATACCGGTAATAAATTGGGAAAATAACGGACTTGCAGGGCGCCTCCAGCCACCCTTTTCCTTCTTGGATTCCGAGGCATCGTCGTCTGCGGCATTGGGCTTTTTGCGGTTGAACAAGCCCATGGCTGCGTTGGAGACTGAGGCAAAGCTGTATTTGGCCCCCGGCGCGACAGTCACTCAGAGTGCTTACGTGATCAGCATCACATCGCAGGCGACACTGCCGCCGTTTCTTCCAAGAAAATGGTTTCCTCTCTCCTCGTTGACGCCCTCACAAATCCAACTGTCCTCGTCTCTGACCTCTACAAGTCTCGAGATCGTACACGCTCATTTCCAGTCCAAGTATCAAAGTACTTTAGCGACATCTTTGCCACACAAGATGCGTTCAACGAGGTACACAATGTCCAGTGCTTTCAAGCGTCACTGGGAGTAATGTTGCCCATAGATCTCCGTCCTCGACCTCCAACATCCTCCAGAGTCGTTCAAACCCCATGCACTAGTTCGATTCGACTCTATGGTTCAGGATACATCGTGTCCGCCAGAGATTTACCTTTCCCAGTCTCCCAAAGGAGAGTGTGGCGGATGGGGCATCTCAAGTCCAGAGGAGGGTGAACAGGATTCGGTCGACTATAGTCTATTGCAGGAATGCACCGTCGTGTGGGCCACGTCTATTCCAGGACGTAGTCGGTGGCTCGATGGAGAGGCCAGCAGCAGCGACCAAAGCGTCAGTTGACATGGATCTTTTGCTTGAATGATCTTGCCGACGTTTGCCTTAGGCGATCAAGTCGGTCCAATCCCACAAGTACCCGCTTCCATCGACTGCCCATATTGGAGCTCAAGTCAAAGTGCGCTTTCTGCTGTTATGGTCTCCAGCGGGTTCTGACCTTAAACCAGATTTATGAGCCGCAACTCGCCGAGTCGTTGAGGACCACTGACTTGTATTCCTTTGTTGGTGTCTTGACCTCAGAGCCGCAAGTAGTTTCATTTCGACGAAACTCATTTCCGTACTTATAGCGATTCTCACAGGCGGCCGGCGTCGTTGGATTCCACCGAGCATGTCCCCGTTCCGACGATCCATGTCTTGTTCGCTCGGCCTATCCCTTCCACTCTCGTTCCAAGGTCTTTCCCCGATCAATCATTACTCCCTGACTTGGAAGTCGCGCGCGAAAAGCTAGTCTCTTGGATTGCAGACGAAGGACTTTCTGGCGACAGACTGGCCGCAGAGTTTGTTCTTTTGTCAATCATTCATAAAGTGTAACGTTGTTTCGGTCCCAATTCCCTCTTTGCGGTCATTAATTCTCTCGGACAGGCAATCACGCTCCCCACCTCTTTTACCCTTATCTTTGACCCTCTCTGGCTATAGCCACGCTTCTAATCCCACACCGAAGCTTGTGGATGTCCTGTCGCATCTGGTTCCACTCTGCACAGTGTTACCCCTCTCCTTGGATGCCATCAACAGCACCAGTTTCTTCCCCGAGTCCAAAGATGAGGACCTTCATAGTGGACGCCTTCAGCTTCCAAAGGGCTCGTTATGTATGGTTTCAGAGCTCCCCTTGAATGAAGGGACGGTGTCAGAGCGAGGTAGGCCTGGTTTCCAACTGGCTCTAGTTCCCAACCATTCATTTTGTTGTGACAGGCCTCTTAAACCTGAAGCAGGTCCAAGATATGATAAATCATCAGACCTTGGACTACGTCTTCCCTTTCAGCCGTTACTCTTTTGAAACCGACATCAATTTCATCGTCCTTGCGGCGGGGAAGCGGAGCGCATTCTTCACGGTACGGCATCTTTTGCCCCGAATTCTCACCCTGATTCACGGGGAGTTGTAGACCCATCTCCAGGTTCCAGTCCAGGCTGCACAAAGCCGGGCATCCTCTGAGGCGCAATCGAGCGACTCGAGCTCTACGATTCAATTGCCAGCGCCTGAACTTTTGAATCAATTTCGGAAACTCGTCGGAGGGGCAAAACTCGCAAACGTCGGATTGGACAGTTCCACGGCCGCGGTTAGTTCGCAAGCTCCTGCAAACGATGTATACTAATCGGCCAGTTCTCTAGTTCATACAAGATGACTTTGTGAAGGAGCGCCAGTCGGCACAGTCGAATAAGAATGCTGGGAAGGGCGAGGGAATAGTCACGTCGGATGACTTAATCATTCGAATGATGGTGGCCAAGTGGGTTTTTTCGACATTCTCGGGAAGCATCCACAGCGATACTGACTTGTCCCGCCTGTTTAGAGCGTTGGCGGCCTCGTTGCACAGCGGTGAGGTTACGCCTCAGATATGGGAGCGTGCCAAAGTACTGGAAAATGAGCGGCAAGCCAGGATGGGCTGAACCGGATTTTATCGTCGTTGGGGGGCGATAAGCTGCGGGCAACATTGTATAATGCGTAGATAGCAGGGAATAGAGCATAAAAGCGTTTTTGAAATTGCCAAAGTAATGTGCTGAGAGGTATAAAAACGAGGGAGCGGTTTGTATGGAAAATGTCTGAAGCGGCGGTGCCCTGAGCCGCTGGCCTGATTTGTCTTGGGTTTGTTCCCTGCTTCGTACTTCGACGTTCTCCACCACAGCGTCCACCGTGGATTAACCAAGGAATGGCGACGACGGCTGCGTTGCCGCCATACATGTTGCCAGGGGTGCCTGTGCACCAACCAGCCCATCTGGAAGGGGATCCATCGCTTGCGACAGAAATTCTGCCTGGGCCGCCGTCGCTGGTCTCCGCGCAACAGTCTGCCCAAAAGCGCGATCCCAAGAAACCCTCCACCTTGTATTCCTATCTGCCGACTACAGATCCAGGATCGACCTATTCTGGTGTCATGCACGGTACTCTCATTGGCCTTGAAGAACCCAGCTCCAAACGCCCCAGGCCCGACAAAGGGTCAGTTTTCTCCCCTCCTCGCTCAAAACAAATCAACTGACAGTCTTCCCTCCTTGCAATTCACCACATAATTCTCGAAAAACTCCTCATTAAAACGACTCTAATACATCTTCGGTTCACAACCGTCACCGTGGGGTGGTTTGTCCGGCCCTGCCAGCAGTGCATCTGGCCGTGCGCAACGTGCGTCTGCCAGGAACCAAAACGCCATGACAGTGGCCCTCGACCCTTCGACTAGCAATGGGAACGCTTCAGGCTCAGGACACCAGCCTATCGTTTTGGACGCAGAACCCTCCGGCTCAGGTGCTGTGGATGACGAATTGGTGGTGTCTCGCTCCAACTCTTCCCTCAACCTCCAAGACCCGCCCCCGCAGCCGACGGCCACCAAGACCTCTAAACGTGACAAAGGCAAGGGGAAGGACACTGGAACACCGCCTGTACGTGTCAAGGAGGAGCCAAAGTCTACAGCGTTGAACACGCCTGAACCAGCTGCCACCAATCTGGTGAGTTTTTTTCGGGGACACTCCTTATCGATTGCCCGCTTACACCACTTCTTTGCAGCTAAACAACAACGACCACTGTTCTGCTTGTCGATCTACTGGGTCTCTAGTCTACTGTGACGGGTGTCCGCGAGCTTTTCATCTCTGGTGTCTCGACCCGCCCATGGAGAGCATTGATGAAGGCGATAGTCGTTGGTTCTGCCCTGCGTGTGAGATCCGGAAGGTACGATTCTTTGCACGCCTCCAGTTTTTTTACTCACTCTTATCGTTGTCATTGCTAGAAACCTCCCAAGAAGCGACCAGCCTCCCTCCTAGCCCCCCTCTTGCATCAACTGGATATGTCTATACCCGTCGAATTTCAGCTTCCTGATGACATAAGGAACTTTTTCCGGGATGGTGTGGAATCTTCAACGTATTCGCTCGGTAACGTCACTCACATGGCCTTGTCACAGTTGGTTCAGGTCCCAGAGGAGCATATGTCGATTTGCAGGAACATAAACCGCCGCGACTAAAGTAGGCGTTTCTGTTCTCTTTGGGTTTGGGCAACACTCTAACCGCCGGGCTTCAGTCGGCATGGACAACTGGAAGAGCGGGATCCGCATAGACTCAAGGACAGAAACGGCGCCCCTGTCCTGTGTTTCAAGTGTGGCATGTCAGCCCTCCCGACGGGATTGGCGTCGATGGTTCCTACCACGAAACGACCTCGGAGAGCTGCTTCAAAAGCAGTCACACCCGAGAACTTCAAAGATATTGTCTCTTGCGACTTCTGCAGCCTCCACTGGCATCTCGATTGTCTCGACCCCCCTCTCTCCGCAATGCCTCCGGTGAACAAGAAATGGTCTTGTCCCAACCATGCTGAACGCCTGATTGTAAGCAATCCGCTTTGGCCGCATGCATATGGATCTGGCTGACTAGCTGTTTGTTCTTCCAGCCTTCGAAACGCCGTATCCCTAAACACAATGCATCCCCCATCGAGGTCACGAAGCCACGCCAATGGAACAATGGTCACATCGACGTCATCCATCCTGAGACGTCTACCACAGAGGCGCGGCCGCGGGTCCAGGTGGACGAGGTGTTGATCAACGGCCGTCGGTATCGTGTCCCTGAAAAAATCATCATCCTCGACTTTTGGAACAAAGTCAGTAAACATGACTTGTCAGAGTCGAAGTATGTGCAGTGATAGCCGATTTAATGTTGCCTGGCACTAACTTGAGCGTCGCTAGGGAAGTGGAGATGGCTTCAGGGCTTTCATCACCTTTGACGGAACTCAGCTCGCTTGAAGATGATGAACCGTCACCTCCCGCTGATTTTGATGAGCAATTGGCAGCACAGGTATTTCCTCCCCAAAAAATTGTCGGGATTGCGGTATACTCAACGGAAACAGGTCTTATTCAGTCTCTCGCATGGAAAGCCCTCTGCCCCTCCTGCGACAACCACTGGCTTGAAGGCCATCATCAAGCCACCTCGACCTCCTGCTACAGCCACGCCGGCTGCGAATGGCGTTGCATCCTCTTCTACCAGCATCCCGGCCGCTGCTGCACCTCCAGCACCTCTGACATCCACTTCAACTTCCGTTTCTACCCGTCCCAGTAGATCGGCAAAGAAAGCGGCTTCTTTGGTGGGTTTGGGTTTGGTTCTCTGTTGCAGCCTCGTGGGACTAATAAGCCGAACCAGAAAATCACATCAGTGCTAAATACAGATTTGAATGGTCTCAGCCTTGACGGCTCGACGCCTTCGTCAAGCGTGCCACGGGAAACCGCCCCTCCCAAAGCGACTGCGCCTGCCTCCTCTACACGCAAGACGAAATCTAGGCGCCAGACACAAGCGCAGTCGATTCAGTCGGACCCAAGTACCCGAGAACTTCGATCTCGTAGTCGCATTCCAACTCAGGACAGTTCCAGCAGCGTTGCCTCTGTCAAGGTCGGCCTTTCCTGCAATCTTGGTCAATACTGGTCCTAACTTTTTCACAGATTGTCAAGACCAATGCCGCACCCAGCCCATCTGATTCAAGTGCAACGACTGCTCCCCCTACATTTCGGACCATTAGTGTGAAGGCAAGGGTAACTTCCATTTGTTCCTCAGCTACTTTTTAACAAGATCCTTTAGATGGAAGAGGTTGACCACGGACTCTCGTTGATCAATGGACATGAGGCCAGCTCTGTGTCAACGAATGGAAGCCAGGTTCGTATGCCACGCGGGCTCGATTGTTATCAAGCACTGACTGTATGGCATGATTAGCCTACCACGCAAAGGCGTCCGAGACAAGCACGAGTGCCAGCCGCCGATGTTCCAGCGAAGGAAAGGCGGAGTCGGAAGCGGAAAGTCAGGGAGGACGAGTTACCAGAAGTCAATCCCAAAGCAGCTGCAGAAGGTAGGGGTAATGAAGGGAAGAGGTCGAAGAAAGGCGCGAAAGAAGATGCTGCAGGGCGAGATAAGCATAAGGCCACTGTCTCGACTCCGCTGAGGACGACGACTTCGACGAGCACTGGTTTGGAGATAACTCCAACTTCGTCCTCTCGGCTGCCTCCCCTTACGCCTTTGACTGCGACACCTACTCTCAAGATCCGACTACCGCGCCTTGGAAGCACTAGTAAAATTGCAGCACCTTCTCTCCATGGTTAAGAACGGCCGTTCCCTTTTATTCGATAACTTAGAACAAGCGACAGTTGCATTTTTTCTCGTACAATTCATTCTAATGTAGCACACTTTTTACCTGTTGGCAGTTTGCATTGTGCAAGTAACTACACCTCGCATTTGACAGAAGCTACAAGTTATGCCCTCTTTGAAATGGTTGTAGTCGACTAAATTGATTGCCAGAAGTTGCGGCCAGAACAAGTTCGAGTTGACGTCAGTTTGCTTGATTCCGCATGGATCACGGAAATCCCATTCTTGATTTAGACCACCACCGTCACCTTGGACTGCATTTACCACTGACCATGGACGATTTGGAAAAGAAAGTACAGGAATGGCTTCGATTGGACAAGGTCTATTTCAACGCAGAGGCCTGAGGCGCAGAGCATTGACATCTGTTAACAGAATCCTGAGACTCGGACAGAAGTGGAAAGGCTCTGGTCCGAGAAGAATATCGATGAGCTGAACCGAAGGATGAGGTATGTTTTTACTCAGTGACCCCTTGCCAGCAGTGAATTGACTGTTCAGTACGCGGATTGAGTTCGGCACCGCAGGTATGAGCCCCTATTTTTGGCGTGAACAGAGCGCTCATGACTTTGATTCAGGTCTGCGGGGTCGTATGGAAGCAGGATGGGCTAGAATGAACGGTGAGTGGCTGGTTTACTGTTTTCTGCATGGCTCTATCTGACTGGGTCGGTGTTAATGTTAGATTTGACTGTGATCCAAGCTTCGCAAGTTGGTTGCCGTCTTCTTTCTCCTCGTCCTCACTGACGGGACTATCGGTGTAGGGCCTCGCGGAATACGTCGCAGGGAACGTTAACGACGCGCCTTCGAGAGGTGTCGTGGTCGGCTATGACCATCGTTACCACTCGAAGCGTTGGGCTTCCCTTACGGCCGCGATCTTTGTCCAACGAGGGTTCAAGGCGTATCTGTACGATGGATTCGTCCATACCCCTCTGTGAGTGATCCTTGGCTGATTCTTAAGAGCCGAAGTGCCAACTGTCGGTGGTGCTGGTTAGGGTACCCTTCGGTGTAAAGTACCTGAATGCTGCGTGTGGTGTCATGATTACTGGTATGTTCTTGCCTTTGGTCGGATAAGAGAGAGGCTGATTGGGTATGTCGCAGCCAGCCACAATCCAAAGGTTCTGTTGCCATCCGTCTGACTATCACTGGGAGACTGATGCGGAGGACTTTATAGCAAGATAACGGCTACAAGGTGTACTGGGAGAACGCAGTCCAGGTAAGCCCATACGCTGACTTTGTCAGGAGTACAGTAACTTATGGATTTGAAAGATTATCTCACCTCATGACGAGGGAATTGCCAAGTCTATAGACCAGAACCTCGAGCCACGCGCAGATTCGTGGTCAACGGATGTTTTGGCGTCTTCTGCGAATTGCATTGATAAAACCAAAGAGGTTCAAGATGTTTATTTCGCTTCGCTGCGATCTCTTGAACATTTCGCGTAGGTTTCGTCCGACCATTCCGGCCTCAACACTGTCCTCTGACATTGCGCAGATCGCTTTCAAACCCAGCAGGCGTTACGCCAATCAACACATCTATGCATGGAGTCAGCGATCCGTTTGTTCGACGGGCATTTGAGACTCTTGGGTATGAGCCGTTCAAGCCTGTGAAGGAGCAGCAGGTTCCAGATCCGGAGTTTCCGACTGTCAAGTTCCCTAATCCTGAGGAGAAAGGTATGTACTGGAGTTCAATCCCTTGTGCTTGTTTCTGACCATGTCTCGTTCGCAGGAGCTTTGGTATGATGCTCGGATGTACGCTTACCAGCAGATGTGCTGATGACGGTTGGACAGGATTTGGCGATTGCGACTGCTGACCGCGAATCTTCGTCGTACATCTTGGCACAGGACCCAGATTCGGACAGGTTTTCTGCTGCAGAGAAACAGTATGTTTCTTCGTTCCCTTTCCTGCCGCTTCCGCTGACCTCCTTGTTATGATCAGAGCATCAGGAAAGTGGCATATCTTCACGGGAGACCAGTTGGGCACACTATTTGCAAGCTACCTGATCGAGAAGAGAAAGCGGGCTGGAAGAACCCTTGGGAAGATCGCCATGGTTGCTTCGACTGTGAGTTCGAAGATGCTGGAATCAATGGCCGAAATCGAGGGCTTCAAGTTTGTGGAATGCTTGACTGGTATGTTTTGCCCCTCAACGTTGGTCGAGGTGGAAATATCTGACAGCAGACTTACTTGAACTCGAAAGGCTTCAAATACATTGGAAATACGGCGCTCGATCTCGTTAGGGAGGGGTATGAAGTGCCGTTTGGATACGAGGAGGCTATTGGGTTTATGTTTGGGTCTGAGATTCGGGATAAAGACGGTGTTGCTGCTACTGTGAGTGCAGGGATGCTCGTTACTGACTTCCAAGACCTAATGAAAGCCCACTTAGGTCATATTTGTTGACCTCATTGCTTTCGTGCGCGCACAAGGGCTGACGGTGTTTGAATACCTCGATACGCTTTACGCGAAGTAAGGGATTCTACGGTATCTCTTGGGCTGTGAGACTGACGGGGATGGTCATTGTAGGTATGGCCACTTCAAGGTCAGTGTGACCTGCAGTGTGGTTGGAGGAGAAGCTGACCTTAAGTAGAGCAACAATGGATACTTTGTATGCCAGGAGCCTGCCAAGATTGACGCCATTTTCAATCGTATCCGTAATTTTACGGTTAGTGGTCCTCATCACCAGTCCAATGCTGTGTTCTCGAATGAAGCGCTTTCTGACCCCCTCGATTGTACCTTATCAGGACTCGGAGAAGGATCGTTCATTCCCTCCATCAATTGCCGGTGTCCCCATTGTCAGCGTCGTAGACTTGACGCTAGGATATGATAGCAGGAATCCACCGACATTCAAGCCCTCTTTGCCGCTTTCGTCTGGGCATATGTTGCAATTTAGAGCCGGGAGGCCGGAGGATAGCGTCAAGATCATCTTGACTACAAGGTGGGTTTCTAGATTCGTACACGGGGTTATGCGTATTGACCGTAAATATCAAGGACGAGTGGAACTGAACCAAAGGTACGAACCCTTGCTTTCCTTTATAAACGGAATTCTGAATTGTGGAATTATATGTAGATCAAGTTCTATATGGAGGGAAGTGGAAAGGACTTGGCCGAAGTTGAGAGGGTGTTGAAGAGTGCCGTTGATGAGTTGAGCGAAGTATGGATGGAGGCCGAGAAGAATGGCTTGCCTGTTGTTAGACCTTGGTAATTTCTGGTATTGCAATGTAGACGTATGGGCTTGCGAATTTGTAACGATACGTTTCGATGAGTTTCGAAAAGAGTTCAGTTTCGCCAAGAACTTTGGAGTGCACGCGCCTTGCACTCGACGCGTGCGGTCGGTTGTTTTCACACAGCTTGAACATCGACCACCAATATGGCCAACACCACCGTCCAAGGCGCCAAAGCCATCCACGGCCAAAATCCTCAGGTAAGTCACCCTCTTGAGACTTTTAGATGATGAAATGGGACGGCGTTGGAATTTCTCATATGTTTAGTTTCTAGTTGAAACAGTTATTCGAAATCGGATTTATGATTCGTCGTATTGGAAAGAGCACTGTTTTGCGTTGACCGGTGAGTTTTCTTTCTGGCCTCCGCCTGGCTGCGGGAAGGTGTACTGACATGATGTATGGTTCGCAGCTGAGAGCATCATCGACAAGGCTATCGAAGTGAAATATATTGGAGGAGTCTATGGAAACCAGCGTCCTACGGAATTTGTGTGTCTGCTGTTGAAGCTGCTGCAGATTCAACCTGAGAAGGAGATTCTGATAGAGTACTTAAGGGCGGATGAGTTCAAGTGAGTGTTTCTCCGGTTTCGTTGGTTGGATTGGGGTTCTAACGCAAATCTATAGGTATTTGAGAGCTTTAGCGGCATTGTACATACGGATGACGTTTAGGCCAGTCGAGGTGTACGAATTGCTCGAGCCGTTATTGAAGGATTATCGAAAGCTTCGGCAGAGGACTATGAGTGCGTAATACATCTGGTCGTGGGTGGGGTCATACAACTGACACGGGTTTCTCTACTCTAGCTGGCTACACGCTAACATTTATCGACGAGTTTGTCTACGCGTTGCTAACAGAAGAACGCGTGATCGACCTCATCCTGCCTCGACTACCTAAACGAGAAATTTTGGAAGAGAATGGGGAGCTGGGACCGCGGAAGAGTCGGCTGCTGGATGCTATGGAAGATAGGGACGAGAGTGAGCGTGGAAGGAGTCGAAGTCGGAGCGGGAGCAGGAGTTCGAGGAGTCGAAGCAGGAGTTGGAGTGGTGGAAGGAGTCGGAGTGGGAGCAGGAGCAGAAGCAGAAGCAGCAGTCGTGGAAGGAGCAGAAGCAGGAGCCCTGTTGTGGGCTATATTTCGAGGACTCCAAGCCGCAGTCAAAGCAGAAGTCCCCGTCGTTCAAGGTCTGTTTCGAGTGCGGGTTCGCGCTTCATCTCTCGCAGCCCGTCGAGGTCTCGTTCGCGGAGTCGCAGTATCTCTCCAGATAGGATGGATGTGGATGCGAAGAAGGATTAGATTAGGTAGAGTGTATGGAAGTAGTGGGGATGCTCGTGGCGACGATAGCTTTCTATCTATGATATGTAGCGTGAACCTAGTGCTTAGCGGCAGCGGCTTCCTGCTGCTTTTGCAGTTTGAATGCTTCTTCGCGTTTGTAGCGGGTTACAAGCTGGTCAGCAAGGTGTTTCCAGCGTTCCTCGACGAAAGGAAGGTTTCCGAGAGAGGAGAGGGTGTCGTGCGAGAGGAAACCACGGTGTTCGTGTGCGCTGTACCAAACTGGAGGGCGAAAGAGTTAGCGGCAGGGTGTATGGAGAAGAAACAGAACGCACTGATATCCTCACGACGCGTTGGTGCAGCACTTATCCTGTCAGTGCGGCCCTTGACGCAGTCCCGCAAAGCAAGGTCGTTGTAGAACTTGCAAACAATCTTTCCACCCGCCTTCTCAATTGCTTCAATTGCGCTCTTGCTCGCGCGCGACGCTACCACGTAGATCGGTGTCTTGAGTTCAGAGGCGCCCTATACACCGCGTCAGACATGAAGGACAGCAAACTGTGGGTTGGGCGACGCACGTCTCCGAGGATTTTGATTCCGTCGCATACGTTGTGGATGCACCCGCTGAGCAATAGTTCGCGAGCAGTGATAGGTCGTTCTGGCGTCGAGGCCAGGCGGCCCTTGTCGATCCAGTGTTGTATCCGGTCCAGGTTTACTGGTGCATAAGTTTTGGCGTTGCTGTACGCGGGGAGTCAACTATTGTCATTTGGCGCGCGGGGTACTTGGGACATACGGGTTGACGAAACCTCGCTTGGGGAAGAGTTCAGTGAGAGGGGTTTGGCCACCCTCGAAGCCTGGTCGAATGCTGGAACCGGTTCGAGCCTTTTGACCCTTGTGACCGCGACCGGAAGTTCCTCCATAGCCTGATCCCTGGCCTCTTCCGACACGTTTTTGCTGTTACAAAGTCTCTGTTTAGCAGTTGAAATATTAACAATGAATTAAACATACGTTATGGAGTGCGCCACGGGCTGGCTGGAGATTTGCAAGGGTCGTACGGACTCTGGACGCCATTTGAAAACCTTTGAACGCTACAACCCGACTCTGCAGAAATTCAATTGCCAGCTCCGTTTTGCTTGCATCAGACGCCCAAGCCAAACACCATCATTTATTCCCAGGAATCAAATCCATTCACTTCCTTCGACGACACTGGAAATGCTCAAACCCTTGATAGCAATATGCGGAACAACAGGAGTAGGCAAGTCTAAACTTGCAATCGACCTAGCGCTGCATTTGTCCAAGAGGTCCTTTGGACAACATGGCTGGAAGGGCGCCCGTGTCATAAACGCCGACGCGATGCAAGTCTACAGAGGTCTCGATGTCATCACCAACAAAGTCTCCGCCGCTGAGATGCAGGGTGTTGACCATCTTTTGATGGGCTTTAAAGAACCTGGCGAACAGTATGTCGTCGGAGAATGGGTCGAGGATGCGTTGAAGCTGGTGAGCTTTCACTTTTACCGTGCCGATGAATAGGCACTTATTGTCACACTAGATCAATGAGATGCACCAGAGAAAGGAGATTCCGATTGTTGTGGGAGGTACTTCGTACTGGATCCAACACCTCATTTTCCCCAATCGACTGGCGAAGACGAGTGAAGTCCCTGTTGACTCTTCCCCCTCTCAATGGGACCCCGAGTTGCACACCGCCATCCTCTCCCTCCCGGACAACCTTAAAACCATCTTTGAATGCTTACCGGAAGAACCACCCTCTGCGAAGATGCACCCCGAAGCTGCGTTCGACCTCCACACACTCTTAACCCACCTCGATCCGTCCGTTGGCCAGAGATGGCACTGGAAGGATACAAGGAAGGTGTTGCATAGTTTAAGTATCATCAAGAACGCCAGGAGAAGGGCCAGTGCTATCATTGCTGAGCAGGGGAAGGATGTGCGCTCCGGTCAGCCTAGGTGTGTGTTGATGTCTATTTTGTGCAGCGAGTTGAATAAATTGGAAATGCGCACTAGCTTAGGTTCCGCACGCTTTGCTTTTGGCTTTTTGCTGAGCAGGGAGCTTTGGAACCGAGGCTGGATGAGAGGGTTGACCAGATGATTGAGGTATGGACTTTGTATTCTGCTAATAGTCGATATACTAATGTTTTCCTTCAGAAAGGACTACTAGATGAGATCAACGAGTTACGGGCTATCGCGACTGCAGGGACCAGTAACAACCCTGACGGACCTCTGCACGACTATACATTAGGGATTTACCAATCAATTGGTCCGTATCCTCCCGCCACGCCTAACCTCACCTCCTCATCTTTTGTTCTCAGGTTACAAGGAATTCCACGACTATCTCAATGACCCTACCGATCAAAAAGCATTCGATGCCGCAGTGGAACGCATGAAGTTGTCCACACGACAATACGCAAAGAAGCAGATATCGTGGATTAGGAACAAACTGTTGCCTGCTGTGCGACAGGCCAATGTCGACAAGGAGGTTGTTTCTTTCTATGCGCTGGATGCCACAGGTGAGAGCATGGGCCACAGACTTTGGATGCGATTTCTGATTAGTCTGGTAGAGGTGGATGAAAGGTGGTTTGAGAGGGCGCTTAATCCTGCTATTAACATCACAGAAAGTGCGTCGAAAGGATCACTCGATGCGCGTGGACTAACCTTCCTGTGCAGAACTTCTCAACGACGAAACACTTCCCGATCCGCGGTCTCTATCACCTGTAGCGGACAGGCTCATGAATGTCCCAATAAAGACGGCCGAGTGAGCCAAATCTTTACCCTTTCACTTGGCAATCTACTGACCATGGAAGCAGTCCAGTCCAAGTCCTCCAAGCCCGCAAAAAGGTCGTCTGTTCAACGTGCACGCAAGAGGACGATAGACCTGTCATGATAGAAGAAGGCGAGGAATGGGATAGACACGTCAAGTCTCGCGTTCACAAACGCATCCTTGCAAGACTGAAAAGAATAGAAGCCGGGATCCAACCACCGCCCAAGAAAAAGGAAGGATAATCGTTGGCATTACTCGAGAGACTAGTGCTACATTGCTATGGTACACGGGATACACTTACACACATATTGATTTTGTTGGGACAATAAGAAGAAAGGTTCCTTTTCGAGACTTTAGGCGCTGTCACCCCAACGAGGCAACCACTCTTCCCAATCCTCCCATGGGTCCGCGATAGCGCTGAGCCCTCCGTCAGGAGGGTTGTTGATAGGTTCCTTGTGATGGAAGGGGCACAAGACGTGATCGACGACATGCACAGCTCCGTTGAGAGCGACGAGGTCGGGGATGAGGACAGGATGTTTATTGACAAAGACTTTGGTTTCATAGATGTCCTTCCCGTGAGACGAGAACTGATACTTCTCGACCGACCAGTCGATGGTGTAGTTAACCAGACGTGTGTTGAAGGTGATGTTGACGGTCGAGATGGGGTGGCGAGTCTCTCCAAACTCGAACAGAGACCATTTCTTATGAGTGGGAGGGTGGAGAACCTGATGAACGTGTTAATGGCATACAGCGAATTCAGACTACAGGATACACACCTCGTAATCAGGGAGAAGGTCGTCACCAGGGTTAGTCTCTGCGGTTTGGTTATAGAGAACGTCTGGGTCGAAGTTAGTAAAGACAAAGTGCCGCAGAAGAAACAATAACTCACCGGCATGAGCAACCACACCAGGAATAATATGGTACTCCAGCAGCTTCCTGAGCGCCCGTTCACCGAATGGCGAAAAGAGGTACAGCAGAGCCCTTGGAGGTAGCTTTCCAAATGCTTCGTTGGTGGGTGCAAAGGTGGTTACAGCGGTGGAGCCTTCGAGGCGACCATGCTCATCATCCCCGTCCTTGACATAGCGGACGTCGAGTTCGTCAGTCAGCCCAACGCGTTGAAGCGCAGACGTCTAAGGTAAAAGTCAGAATTAGGAAATGCAGACGCTATTGAACAGACTCACAAAGGTTGAAAAGTGGTGTTGAGCCAAGAATAATTCCTGGAAGATTGCCGGGGGAGGAAGAAGAGGATGATTGATAACATGGATGTATCCATTGTCCGCCTTGATATCCTGCGCGGTAACCTTTGCGTACAAATTGATAAAAGTCGACGTCTTAGTCTTCTTTTTCTTTTCCTTGACATGCTGCGAAACTGTCACCCGCTGGCCGTGACCTCCAAACAACTTGGGAACATGGAAGTTGGTGGGGTAGGTGGTGTTGTGAACGAGGGTGTCGATATCGTAGGCGCCGAGCGGGAGGATGTGATAGTTGAGGATGGCTTTGACAATGTGTCGGAAAATGCGCTTGCGACGCTCTTTCTTGTCATCATCATCGTCGTCGTCGTCGTCTCCGTCGTCCCCGCGAGGTTCCTCGACGTTGATCAAAGTGTCGTCATCCATGACGCAATCGACGGCTTCGATTTCGTCGATCAATTCCAGAGCGTCGACGAGGCTGACCGAGTTGTCCAAGAGAAGGGCTTTGATGCTCTCGTCGATGACATTGGTGTCAGCGGACAGGGCGAGGTCAAGGAGGCTGTTGGTGCCTTCGAGGTGTTTGTGCTTGTGCTTGTGTTTCTTTTTCTTCTTTTTGTCATGGTCGTGGTCAGGGTGTTTCTTGTGGGGAGGCACCAGAGCCGAGTCGGGGACGGCAAAGTAGGTGAGTCTGAGGCAAAAGTCAGGGACGCGTTGGAGGATGACAGGGGTGAGACACGTACTGTCGATTGGTGTCGTTTAGGATGGAAATAATGTCGTCCCCCACAAACTCAAATGCTTTGTTGAGCTTCGTGAACCTGGAATAGCGTCAATACGAGAGAGACTGGTAAAGGCGGGGTGGGAAATACCTGTCATCGCTGTGAATGAGATCGTATACGGTGTGAGTCGGTGGGCGGGGAGGCTTTGGGTGAGGGAATGGGAAAGGCGGCAGGTGATGCGGCGGCTCCTCCAATCCCAACCACGCAAAAGGCGATTGCAACTTGAAGCTCACCACGATGGCAGACACGCTGCTCGCGGCAAGGAGCTGGAAGACGACGATGGGCAACAACATGGTTGATGACCCTGAAAGAACGTCAGTTGGGATAACACCTCGAGTTGGAGTCTATATAACGGAAAGCAGAAATGCAACTGAGACTTATCCCACGGCTGCGGCTGGAGTACAAGGTGTGCGATTCTATGGAAGCATGACGCAAGGGAGATTGAACTCGTAAACGATGACTGTCATTGTGCGGATGGAAGCTAGAGAATGTACAGAATGTGTGGTGCATGGGAGCAAAAAGAATTACTCTGCCAGTTGGCGGAACTTGTCTTGCATTTCCGCGTACAAAGCGTCCAACTTGCCCTTGACATCCTCCTTCCCTTGCGATGGTGACTACACGGCACATTTAGCGCTAGAGTTATACAAAGACACTATTATCGTACTCACCTCGAACTTCATTTGCGAGAGCTTGAACATAAGGTCGCTGGTAGAGTCTTTGATCTTGGAGAAAGTCAATTCATTCTGGTTGACAGCCTTGATAGCCAGATCGTGATAGGTCACAAAGTTGCGCAACATGGCGCTCGTCTTGTAGAATGGGCAGTATCGATCGTATTCACTCATGCCGTTCTGCTGAAGGAAGTCATCCTTCAACATCCTAGCCACCTCCAGCGTGATCTTGTCAGCTTCACCGAGTGCACTCTTTCCGACGAGTTGAACAATTTCGGCCAAGTCTTCTTCCTTTTGAAGAATCTCCTTGGTCTTTGTTCGGAGCTCAACGAATCCGGGTTCAGTGCTTTCGTAGTAGGGCTCGAGGATCTTGGTGTATTTGGAGTAGGACAGGGACCAGTTGACGGAGGGGAAGTGTTTGCGTTGAGCGAGTTTCTTGTCGAGACCCCAGAAGACCTGTACGATACCAAGGGTGGCGGATGTAACGGGATCTGAAAAGTCACCACCAGGAGGAGATACGCTGTATACAGAGGTGAGCACGGCTCGCACTAAACATTGGGATCACTCACGCTCCAACGATGGAAACGGTGCCCTGTCGGCGAGGATTACCGAGACAAATAACCTTTCCTGCTCGCTCATAGAAGCTGGCCAGTTTAGTTCCAAGGTAGGCGGGATAACCAGAGTCCGCAGGCATTTCAGCGAGACGACCTGAGATTTCACGCAAAGCCTCGGCCCATCGCGAAGTCGAATCAGCCATCATTGCGACGTTTGAGCCCTGGTCACGGAAGTACTCTGATAGGGTGATACCGGTGTAGATGGAGGCTTCTCGTGCGGCGACGGGCATGTTGGAGGTATTGGCTACAAGAGTGGTACGTTTCATGATGGGTTCTTTGCGGTCTCCAATTTCCATGTCGAGTTCAGGGAACTGAGAGGACGGTTAGAGGCAGACGAGGCAGACGAGACAAAGGTACTCACTTCCATCAAGACTTCAGCCATCTAGAAGAGGGTATTAGTAAACTGGCCGCAGATGAAAGGAGAGTGTTCACTAACCTCGTTACCACGCTCGCCACAACCAACGTAGACAATGATGTCGCTGTTCGAGAATTTGGAGAGTGCTTGCGAGATGACGGTCTTTCCGCAACCGAAGGCTCCTGGAATAGCCGTAGTACCACCTTGTACACATCTATGACGGTGATTAGTTTCCATGCATCCTACGAATTGAAAGTTGATCCATACGGGAAGAGGGCATCGAGAATACGTTGACCAGTGAGCAAAGGATAATCGGCGGTCTGTTTCTCGGTTACTGGTCGAGGAGCTCGGACGGGCCAGAGCTGCATCAAGGTGTGCTTTGTTGTCTTGCCTTCGAATTCTGTTTCGAGGACAGTGTCCTACAGATATGGTACTTGTTGAGAGTCATTCCAAATTGAGATGCGATGATGACATACGGTCACGGTATAACTGCCTGGAGGGGCGATATACGAGACGGTTCCCAGAGCTCTTGGTGAGAGCATAATCTTGTGGTTGTCGACGAGCGAGTTCTCGTAGACTGTTCCGAATATGTCTCCTCCACTGATGTGATCCCCGACCTGAATGGATGTCAATAGTGAACAAAGTTATTGGAGGGTATAGCGCTACCTGGAAGGTGGGCTTAAAGTCCCATTGAATGGTGCGATCGAGGGCGTCGGTGTTGATTCCGCGCGGGATGTAAATGGATTTGGATAGCTCTTGGATGGACTGTGGAAGGTGAGTACATGGATTCGGTGGTGTGGTGGGCGGAGGTAACGCACGCGGAGGGGACGCTGGATACCGTCGACAATGTTTCCCATTAAACCTGAAATTGGGTGAGCGGGATCTAATTAGCAGACAGAAGGGTCGCTACCTGGACCGAGTTCTACACTGAGGGGTTTGCCTGTGCGCAGGACAGGGTCACCGACTGTGACTCCCGATGTCTCCTCATAAACCTGAATGGTGGCCTTATCAGCCTCGATACGAATAACCTCTGTTGTGCAGACAGTCAGAGACGATATCCAGGCATTCCGATTGAGAAATAGACGCACCTCCGACGAGCTCATCGTGACCGACTCGCACTAGTTCGTACATGGCTGCGCCAACCATGTTCTCGGCGACGACGACTGGTCCTGAGACGCCATAAACCTGGCCGAATCTGCTTTCATGTTCTTCGTCCCTGATCTTTGGCAGGTCCCGCTTTGCATTCTGTAGTGCGCCAGCCATTGTGAGTTTCTAATGTCGTTGAAGACTGGCACCACCGTCTACACTCCAGATTAGCGGTACTCGCCTACTTCGGCTGTTCCCGACTTGGACTTGCACGTGACCACAGACGCGTAATGAGAGCCTCGGTGCGTCCTAATATCCGCCTTCAACTATAACCACTTGTTCAATATGCCTCCAAAAGCGTATGTACTTTCGATTTCTTCTTATTCAACGATGCTAATGCGATATATAGTGACTGGGAAAAATGTAAGCGAATTCTTGACCAGGTTCGACCGTGAACTCACAGTGTCTCTTTAGACGAGAAGCGAGTCGACGACAAGGATGAGGAGAAGATTGTCGGTATGTGGTTCGCTGCGGTGCTTGTTTCTCAAACTAAACTTCCTATAGCTCTCGATGACAGTGATATTCAAATTCTCAAGACTTATGTTCGTATTGACCATCTATTTCGCTTCGTAGACGCTGACCGTTCTTTGCAGGGTCAAGGACCATACGCCAAGAAGCTGAAGGAGGTTGAGAACGATATCAAGGTCATTGAGAAGCGGATAAACGAGAGACTTGGTGCGTTCCCCACTCTTCACATCAAACCATTGTCTAAACTCCACCCAAGGCGTTAAGGAATCCGACACTGGTCTTGCCCCTCCCAACCTATGGGATCTTGCTGCCGACAGGCAAAGAATGAGCGAGGAACACCCTCTTCAAGTCGCTCGGTGTACAAAGATTATTCCTATGGACCCCAAACTCGCCGAGGCTGCAAGAGCAGTTAACGCTCCTGGTGCCCCACAAGGCCAGAAGGGTGCCGACGAACAAGACAAATATGTCATCAACATCAAGCAGATTGCAAAGTTTGTCGTGGGCCTTGGTGACCGCGTTGCTGCAACAGACATTGAGGAGGGCATGCGAGTGGGGTGCGTCTTTATCCAATCGTTCGCTAGACACAAGTTGACAGCCTTTCAGTGTCGACCGAACCAAGTATCAAATTCAGATACCGCTACCTCCCAAGATCGACGCCTCTGTGACTATGATGCAGGTCGAGGAGAAGCCTGATGTGACTTACTCGGATATCGGTGGTTGCAAGGAGCAGATTGAGAAGCTTCGAGAAGTTGTGGAAACCCCTTTGCTTTCGGTGAGTCTCACTGACTCGTATGTCTCTGTGCCTACCTGACCTCTGCCACAGCCCGAACGATTCGTGAACCTCGGTATCGACCCACCGAAGGGTATCCTACTGTACGGCCCTCCCGGTACCGGAAAGACGCTGTGTGCTCGCGCCGTTGCCAATCGAACGGATGCAACCTTCATCCGGGTGATTGGTTCAGAGTTGGTGCAGAAGTATGTCGGCGAAGGTGCGCGTATGGTCCGTGAATTGTTCGAGATGGCCCGGAGCAAGAAGGCGTGTATCATCTTCTTCGATGAAGTCGACGCTATCGGTGGTGCTCGTTTCGATGATGGAGCTGGTGGCGACAATGAAGTGCAGAGGACCATGTTGGAACTCATTAACCAGTTGGATGGTTTCGACCCTCGAGGAAACATCAAGGTCCTCATGGCCACCAATCGGTATGAATTCCCTTCGCTGCTGTCTGCAATTCTCTAATCCAAACTGTTTCTAGACCCGATACTCTCGACCCTGCTCTACTGCGTCCAGGTCGTCTGGATCGTCGGGTAGAATTCTCCCTACCAGACAATGACGGCCGTGCCCACATTCTCCGCATTCACGCCCGAAGGTTTGTCGTTTCACGATCTCGTCCTCGCCACCCCCTTCTGACATCACTTTCCAGTATGAGCGTAGAGCGCGACATTCGTTTCGATCTCATTGCCCGATTGTGCCCCAATACGACCGGTGCTGAGCTGCGTTCTGTCGCAACCGAGGCTGGTATGTTTGCCATTCGTGCAAGGCGGAAGGTCGCTACGGAGCGTGACTTTTTGGATGCGGTGGAGAAGGTCGTCCGACAGGGAACCAAGTTCTCCAGCACGTACGTGACGTCTATATTCCCCTTCCAGAAACCATCTAACTTTTCTTCCTTCCAGACCGTTATACCAAGTGTACAATTAGTTTTCTTTATGATTTTAGTCTTTAGAGCGGCGCTTAATGACGTTGTGTATATTTATAATGCATTCCTTGCTATACTGGGCCCGAGAAAGGATTGATGTGAATGCCTTTGCCATGCTACTACGACATGCTCTCAGGCCATTAGCTCGACGACGATGGTATAGTACTAAATTCCAACAACCAAACTCTGCTGAAGTCACTGCTCTTCTGGCGCAATATGGGACTGCTGCTCCTCGACCTCTGAATCTCTCCCAGTTACTCTCGTTTGGCCGACCAGTAACACCAGACTCGGTACTCTCTTCTGTCTCCTATGTCCTCTACGAGCTGCCGAGGAGGCTGGCTACCCGTGTGCGGTACCTAGAGTCTCTACCGTTCATTGTGGGTACGAACCCATATGTGGCCAAGACGCTGAAGGCGTTCAGGGAGGGCTTTTGGGTGCTGGCGACGCACCCACCTGTGACGAACCTCGAGGAGAATGAAAAGTTTGTGCAGCTGCTTTCGGATCTTGTCCAGAGGCATGCTAATGATATACCTACCATGGCGAAAGGGTATTGTCCTCTCTCCTTCTACTTTGACCACTTCTAATGACATCTCTTATATAGGTTCCAAGAATCGGCGAAATACATGTCGTTTGAAGATATCAATGCCTTCTTGGACGGCGCCATCCGCAACCGCATTTCTGTCCGACTCATAGCTGAACAACACATCGCTGTGACAAGGGCGTTACACGATCCACCACAGGACGGGAAGGATGTGGGTGTAATTGACACGAGGTGTAGTCCGAAGGAGATGGTGGATGTGTGCGGGTCGTTTGTGGGTGATTTGTGTAGGGCGACGTTGGGTAGCGCGCCCGAGATTGTGGTGGACGGCTATCCTGAAGCTACTTTTGCGTGAGTTATCTCCTTAGCTTTGACCTTGGAACGGATCTGATGAAGAGATAGCTATATTCCGGTTCATTTGGAATATGTCCTCACGGAGCTACTCAAGAACTCGTTTAGAGCGACGGTGGAACATCATGCGCGCTCGAAGGAGCGCGGATCTCTCCCACCTATCCAGATTACCCTATCTCCTCCCCCTGCCTCCTCTCATTCTGGACACAACGTCGACCGCCCCAACTTCTTCTCAATCCGCATACGAGATCAGGGTGGGGGAGTCTCAAGACAGCATTTGGAAAGGATATTTTCGTATGCGTTTACGACGGTCAAGACGGGTGATGATGAGGGTCCTGATTGGGATACGTCGGATAGCAGAGAGGATGAGCCATTCTTGGGTGTCATGACACAGAGGACGTTGCAAACTGGCCTGGGCACCATCGCTGGTCTGGGGTATGGGTTGCCCATGAGCAAATTGTATACCAAGTGAGTTTCAATGTACCCATTGTTGGTGACATTGCTCACGCGCTGTATCTAGGTATTTCGGTGGCTCATTAGACCTTATCTCGCTTGAAGGATGGGGTATGTCTTCCCAGCTGCCAATCCCGTCCGCCACTAACCAATGACTCCGAAGGCTCTGACGTCTACATCAAGCTGCGCTGCTTGGACGAAGCTGGAGATTCGAATATTTGACCTCATGAAGCAATTCATTGTCTCGCTCAAACAAAGCTGCATCAGATTGTGTCCGGGAAAGAGTCGAGCCAAGTCATTAATTGTAATTTGTCTTGAAACTAAGGAGAGAAAGGAAGAATAGGGTTGCAAAAAAGGTTGGGTGGACGTTGAACGATAAGCCATAACTGAAGAACGTTGAATAATTGAATAATGGGTTCGTGAGCAATCGACAAAAGCGAGGGTAAAAAGAGAGAATAAGAAAGGAGAGGAGAAAGAATATATAGCAAAGCCCGAGAATTAGCAGAATAGCAGATGCTGAAAGTATTAACATAAAAACGTATAATCGTCGTCGTCATTTGATATTTATCTACTTGGTTGATGCTGTTGACTGCGGAATTTCGTTAGCGCAAATAAGCGTCCAGCATCGGAGTGACTTACAGAGTATCCATTCATTACACGGCTGGAATGAACCGATGAAGAAAGACTGTGTCCCTGAGAAGTGCGATAAGACCGAGTGGAGGAGCCGAAAGAGGAAGTATGTGAGCTTGAACCGGGAGTGTTTGGAACGCCGCTGGTATGAGAGGAACGGGGCGTTCGAGCAGTCAAAGGAGTGGGTGCACCGATCATCGACTTCTTGGGTGTCTCGGTGATATGCTTGCTACGATGGCTCGAGAGACTGGATGACGAGGGTGTAGCCCGAGCGGCCGCCTGCTGTTGCGCCTTTCGCTTTCCAGCAGTAACGAATGGGTGACGCATCGCGGCTTGTGGCTTCATTCGTCGTTCGGGATCCCAGACCAGGCATTTGGCGATGAAGTCGATGAATTCCTCGTCATTGCAACGGAGAACTTGGGCGAGCGTCTTGGAGCCTGGCCGTCTACGGCGACCCTTCGAGTTGACAACAGGCCTTGGAGCACCGTTTGTGTCTGTATCGCAATTAGCTTCCGAGCCACTGTGAAAAGAGTACATTAATGCTCACCAAAGAAGAGCTTCTTCCTGGAACTGCGATTGATGTATTCCTTATCGGGAACACCAAGAACCTCCATAATGCAGGACAACTGCTCCTGCTCGTTTTCACCGGGGAAGATAGGGAAGCCAGTGTAAAGCTCGGCTAAGATGCAGCCCAGACTCCACATGTCAATAGCCATATGGTAGTTCATGCCGAGGATAACTTCAGGGGAGCGGTAGAAACGACTCTGGATGTAAGTATAGACTGAGAGTCGTGTTACTATCAGTTCGTCGCCTTGTTTATTGAAAGAACGACATACTCTTCTCGTGTTCGAGGCAACTACTTCCAAAATCGATAACTTTGATAGCACTCTTCGCAGGATGCCGCAAGAGCACATTCTCTGGCTTCAAGTCACAATGGACGATGCGATGGTGCCTCATCAGGGATAAAGACATGAGCATTTGGGTCGTGAACCTGCGAATGAGTGCGGTGGTGAAGCCGACAAAACCGTTGGCTTTGATGAGTTCGTAAAGGTTGATACTGAGCAATTCCGTCGCAATGCAAAGGTGATTGCGGAAGTAGAAATGTTCAGTCATCTTCAAGACATGGTGCTTCTCGTCGGCATCCTAAAAATATGTCAATAAAGTAGGCTCTCGTAATATATTACATTACATACCCATTTCCGCAGATTGTCCAAGATCTTGATTTCAACCAAGGCTTGGTGGTGGAACCTCTTCTTGTTGCGAATGATCTTGACCGCCACTGACTCTCCAGTGCAGTGATCACGGCAGTTGAGAACTTGGCCAAAAGAGCCCTTGCCGAGGGTGTCAACAACTTCGTATCTATATGCGAGATGATCACCAAGCACAACTTGGTAGTCCCCACGTTCGTCGTCATAGCTGTAATTATTAGTGGTGATGTCAGGAGTAGCCATCTTCTTTCTGCTCTTTGCACCGATAAAGTATACTGAAGGATAGTCGAGGATTTCCTTCCTCTCGTAGTCGGAAAGATATTGGGCCTGGGAGCTTTTGAGGACGTCTATGACAACTCATTAGCGATAGAGAATAAGTAAAATTCTAAAGCGACTTACGATGAGGAGAAGCGGGAGGGACAGGCGGGGTGGGCTCGGGGAACTTGAGCATCTCCTCTAGTTCCTCCTGTGTCGCACCGGCAGCCTTCTTCTTGGCCTGTTGACGGCGAATATAGTTCATCATTTCCTCGTCTCCAAGGAGTTCGTCCTCATCCACAGTGCTTGGAACAGGGGAAGGTGTTGACAAGGATTGTCGACTGGACGAGGGAGAGCTCATATTCTGACGAAGATTCTGAGACGAAGACGCTGCCGAACGCGACGACTTGGGGCCCAATAGCTTCAAGCCCTTGGAAGGCGATAGCGCTGAGAAACGATGCGAACCTGACGATTCTGACGTGGTCCCGGAAGTACCAGGTGTTGATGTCGAATTGACAGAACTTGTTGACGCTTTCCTCAAACCAATAAACGAAACAGACTCGCGAGTACTCTTGCGCAAAGCACTGCTGGATGTAGAGCTCGTGTTAGCGGAAGATTGTCGGGCAGGCCTTGACGCCGAAGTCGACGGGGAGGCACGGATCGAAGATTGCCTTGCAAGATTCCTGGGAGTGGCACCATCTTCGTTGTCGATAACTCCAAACTCGTTGGTTGAGAGAGAAATCGGAGATGGGTTTGTTGAAGAACTTGCAGCTGGGTTCATGCTGGTGCGTCGGCTGGCAAAGGTTGAGGTTGACTTGCCCGATGGACTTGGAGCTGCCGACGTTCGACTCGAAATGCGCGGAATCTTTGTGGGCGTTTCTTTGGGTAATCCAGAAATCGAACTCGACAACAAGGAGCTGTGGTCTTTCTCACGAATGGTGTTCTGAGTGCTGTTTGTGCCATTCGTTCCAACCGATGGTGAGCCGGCAATCGTCGGGAGTTGAGTGCGACTTCGGAGAGAACTGTCGGAGATCTTCTGCATCGAGCTCGCGGTTTGGGAGGTGACGCGAGAGGAAGAGGAAGAGGTGCGGCTATTGATCGAGGACGTGGTGGATTGGGACGAACTGGACTTGAGTTTGGCCACCCTTTGCGCTGTCACAGGCTCGATGGCGGATATCTGCATTGGTGGCAGAGTAACTGGCGACTTGGGCTTTCGAGGATCTGTCGCGGACAGAGTCTGAAAGCCGTCAACCAGTGTCGCGATGGCAAAAGAAGAAAACATAACGACATACCTTTCCACGCTTCCTGCTAATTAAAACAGAAATGCGGCTTTCACTCCGGTCTTTGTCTTCCTTCTTTTGTCTTTCCTTTTCAGCCTTCTCCGCCTTTGCCTTTTCCCTGTCACTTTCTCGAGCTGCCTCTTTGGCCTTTTGGAGCTCTTTGGCGGCTTCCTTTGCGTCGGAATGGAGGCTTCTCCGCGAACTGGACTTGAGGAGAGAGGGGAGTCCGAGACTCAATACGGAAGCTTTCTTTCCCGGTGTGGAAACAGAGGTCATGCTGATGTCGTGAGGGGGCGTGCTTGCCTTGGAGCGTGATGCCTTGGTGGGCATACTAGGAGGCGGCGACGATGGATGTCCGCTTCCACTGGAAGAAGGGACTTGCATGGATTGCGAAGACGATCGTCGGAAGAAAGGAATGGATGACGGTGTCAGTCGTTTGGACTGTGCACGTTTGATCGAGGCACTGGGGCTTAACGGTCCAGAAGGGGCAGACAGTCCGGCTGTGCTGACGCTCGAACCCGTACCCGGACGGTTCTTGTCGGGCGTCTTGGAGGTGTCTGGATGGAGGGAGTGATTACGAACTGAACCCAACGATGACAGCGACGCGAGCGAACCTGCTGAGGCCATTGCGTCTGGTTGCTCTGGAGACCAAGGGGCCTTCGATGACGATGCCGACGACGTTTGTTCCTTGGAAGAGGATTTGCGCAAGCCGTGGCCGAAGCCGACAGAACGGGGGCTCAAAGGGAACGACGACTTTGTGCTCGAAGAAGATGGGGAACTGGCCAGCTTGAGGTTGAGGGCGCTCGAGAAACTCCACTTCTTCGATGGGGTCTTTACAATCGGCACGGCCTCTGAAGTGTTAGGGTTGGCTTGGCTCTGTCGAGTTGCGGATGAGCCAACCCGAGGACCTTTACCAGCGGAAACGTCCGAGGAAAACGCTCTCTCGATGTCGCTATCTTGACTGATCCGGATGTCTGGGTCCTCGACGGAGGGGATCGACCGGAAGGTCTGGGTAGACGAAGTGGTTGGGGGAGATCGATAAGACGACAAGTCTTTTGGAAGTGGGGGCACGGGAGGAACATGGGCGTCATCAATCAACTCTCCAGTAGCTGCCAGATGTGCGGCGCGGTCTTTGAGCAGCGTCAGATCATTGGAATGCACGCTGGACACGTCGCTACCAGCACTATTTCTCCTAGCTTTGGTGGAGGAGACACGACCTCCGGATGTCGCAGAAACAGAGGTCGCGTTAGTGGTAGCCGTGCCAGCAGAATCTCGCGAGCTGGTGGTCGGGGTACTTCCATATGTGGTTGAAGAAGTGGAACCTCGTTTTGGAGTGAAGCTCAGTCTCGATTGCTTCTTAGGGGTCTTGTCCTGGATAATATGAGGCTCGTCGCTGCTGATTGCGCCGGACACAGACACGGCAACATAATCTGAATCCAGAGCGCCTTCGGATGGATTAGGGGTCGACCGGGGTTCCTTCCCTCCTTCCCTAATGAAAGTGCTGATTCGCTTTGATCTGACAGACTCGGAACCACTGATGCCTTCCCATTGTTGCGAACTCTTGGCTGGTGTACCGGGGCGACTGGCACTTGAACCACGACCAAGGCTGGTCATGCTAGCTCGACTGCGGGCCGTCTTCCCAGTGAGACCGTCCAATTTGCGTAAGGCTTCTGCTGTTGCTTCATCGTCAAGACCGGACCAGCCCTCTTGAGTGCCACGAAGCAGTGAATGAGCGACGTTGGGGGGCGAATGGAGTGACGGCGGCTCCTTTGGGATTGTTTGGCGAAGGAATTGTTGAATGGAAGAGGACGAAGGAGATGGTGGTAGGTGGGAAAAATCGGTGGTATGGACCCGCCTTGCCGGTGCAGGTTCAGAAGAAGGCGACGATACAGAGCTTGAGGATGCCTGGCGTGAATGGCGTTCAGCTAGCCTAGGAGATACGACGCTGCTGCTGATGGCAAGTCCGAGTCCAATAGACTCTCTCTTCCGCTCCCTTGTTTTGCTGTCGCGTGGGGAAGTAGACGACGAGGTGCTGACATTGAGACTACGATGCTTGCGAATACTTGCTCTCGCGTCATCTCTTGACTTTTCCTTGAGTGAGCCACGCTTGGAAACAAGAGCACCTGTTTGGTCGAGTTCAAATTCATCAGAGGTTCGCTTCCGCGCCTTCCGAGTAGAAGACGAGAAGGCGCTTGGGGGTGAACTGATGGGAGGGTCCGCCGACGCGGGAGTTCGCGGCTGTTTGGGGATATGGTCGTCGAGAGGAGGGACCACGGTGGGCGGCGGGTGGTCGGGGACGGACTGAATCACGTTTCGCGGATAAAGGATTTCCTCGCCACCACTCTCGTCTGCAATTGATGGCCTGGTGCGAAGAGGTCGAGCCGGTGGTGGTAGCTCCGGAATTTTTACCTTGAGAAAAATAAGAACGTTGTTGCTGGCAGGAAAAGGAGCTGGGGCACTGACCTCGTCGCTGTCTGAGAGCTCACCGTCTATTGCTTCGATTGTCCAGGGACTGTCTGGGGCGTCATCCTCTGGGCGATCAGGGAGAGGTGGAACGTCATCATCAAGGTGTGGGTCTGGGCTGGGATCCCTAGTCCAGCGTGGCGTGGCTAGTTCGCCAACGCCGACCAGGCCACGTCTGTCGATTGAGGCGGGATTTCGGGCAGGGGTGACTGGTTCGTTGGGTGGTGGATGATCTGGGGTGATGCTGAGCTGGTTGGGGTTGTGTTCAGGAGACTCTGCAAGACCAAAGTAGTAAGGATCGAGCGACGACGTGACTGATGTTGAGCGCGAATGGTTGCTGTCGTCGTTGTCTTGGTGTGATACGTTTATGGTGAGAGGTTGCAGGAGGTGCTGGTGCTGGCAATTGTCGATTTGGTCGTCGCCGTCGCTGGGTTGCGTGCCTTCGTCGTCGTGGATGGCGAGGGCGGCTGGACGTGCCTTGTATTGTTGGGGAGGGTCGGGCGACGCAGACATTCAGCAAACCTCCAACGGCTTTCAGAGAATATCAAAACTCGAGACAAGGTCGCGGCACACTCACTGTATTTGGCCCTGTTTGTTCCAAGGTGGCGGTTTCTTGCCTTTTCGGGTCCAAGGCGGGCCTTGTGCAATGGCGACGACCAATGAAGCGACGCTCTCGAGTTTACCAGCGTCCTCGACGATGGGCGCTGGTGTCTGGGGAACGTGGAGTTGGCTGCGCTGGCAGTGTGTATCGTATATTGCCTGTGCGGTATGTGATAGGTCTTGTTGTGGGTATAAACTGTGTTATAGCCTCGTGGAGAACGAGCAACAGCAGGTTGGCTCCTGCCCTCATCACAGATCGCCCTGGACCCTCGTTCCCGTCCCCTCATGGCTGCAGCAGACGATTCCAATAGCCTCGACGACGATTCAGCAGACCCACCACCTCCAGCACCACCACAACAACAACAACTAATCCAGTCTTCTTCCCGTCTTTATCCTCTTCTTTGCTCTCAGTCATCTTCCCAGATCAATATGTTTTCATACTCCTCCAAGGACTTTGCCAATCCACAGACCAGGCCAAAGCGCAGGCAGGTCAAGAACGCCTGCACTAACTGTCAAAAGGCCTGCAAGAAGTGCGACGATGCCCGTCCTTGTCTGCGATGCGTCAAGTATGGCATCTCAGAGGAGTGTGTCGACTCACAGCGCAAGGAACGCAAGAAAGGCGTCAAGAGGGGTCCGTACAAGAAGCGCGATGGAAAAGGTACGTCTCTCAGCCATCCACATCCCCGCCTTTCTTCGCTGTCACCCCCGTCCTCTAATCTTCTCAACGCTCCAGGCAACAACGTCGACCCACGCTATGGGTCACAGAACGGCGTCGTGCCTGCACAACAACAACCTCTGGAATCACCAACGAATCCACAGTTGTACCTCCCAATTGGTTATCCCAATGCATACCACAACTATCAGCAGACTTTTGACAAGTCTCAGGACCAGTCTCTCCTTTACTCCTCTCATTCGCAGCATGTCATCCCCGCTGTGAATTCCCAACCTAACCAACTCTTGCCAGAATCTTATCCCACTCCCCAACCCTACTACCAGCCCCAGCTGTACTCTCCTGTGCCTGTTCACCAGCCGCCGGCCCAGTATGTTATCTCCTCGCAGGGGCCCAACCACAACTTTCCCGCTCTCGTCGGCACTATGTTTCATAAACATAGTTCGTACGAGCACAATCACCAATCCGACATGATGCATCTTCACCACGCCTGAGCTTGCTTCTGTCTTCAGACTTTTATAAAACTGTCAAATAAACATGTATGTCGTCTTGCTTCTCCTATGTTTGCTATGGTATTCGCTGTCTCTATGTTTTCTCCCCTTGCTGTCGTTACACCTTTGTTCGCTGTCGCCAACCCACTCTCGTTAACCCCGTCGTCGTTGTTGAGTCAATGCCAGGAGACACCTACTACAAAATACATACATCACTACTCGAATAAATCCAATTCTCCTGTCACTTCCGCCATTGTGGGTCTCGATTCTGCCGAGTTGTGCCAGCACCCTCCCAAGAGGTTCCACAGCTCATCCGTCAACCACACACAAACCCTCGGATCTTGCGGGCGAGCAGGCGTCTGCTTCATGACCACCACATCGTGTATTACAGACGCATCCCTCTTACGTTCTGCGAATGGGTATTTCCCTGTAAGTAACTCCAGAACCGCCATGGCGAAGGAGTAGGTGTCCGTCGCAAACGTCGGGGATGAAATGGTCCCATCAATCAGCTCCGGCGCTAACCAGCGAGCACTCCCTGCAGCCGTCAACGTCGCCGAGGCTGCCTTCTCTGTTACCTCCTCGATCAGCTTGGACATCCCAAAATCACATATACACGCCTCCCCCTGTACGTGAGACCCATCCTGATAGTCAGCGCCAAGTTCCGAAGAACCTCAAAGAATCCCGTCCTTACGTTGTCCATTACAAGGATGTTCGTCTGTATGAGGAGAGTTTCATTCACACCTTTGTGAGCTGAACGTTTCAAACAAGGCCAATAAGGGAAAGAATCACGTACGCATTTCACTGGTGGAACCACACCGCACCAGCCACGAATCGATCATCAATCCACATGTAAGTTTATCGGTGTAAAATTAGAAATCGTCGCACCATTTCCGTGAACTATCTTCATTGAGTGTAGGTAGGCTAAGCCTCGTGCCGCACCTTTAATCTGAAGAGAAACAGGTAAGCCCGATAGGAGGGAACGAGGACAGGGACGTGGCCACTCACGATGCGTAAACGGTTTACGTTGGGTTGTTTCTTGAGATAGCTTGGGCAGGTGTCAGTTCACCAACCCTTTGTGACGCTTGTATGACATATGAAGCCTACTCTAGAACGTTTCCGTTCTCCTGCCATGGAGAAACCTTTCTGATATGTTTAGCCAATGTCTTTAGGGTGGTTCTTTCCATGACATACCATATGTATATGTGTCCCGATATCGGTCACGATCCCATAGAATGGTAATATGTGCTCGTTCTGGAGCGATGACCACGTCTTTATCTCGCGTTCGATTCGCTGTTTTTGGATTCCCCAGTCAGAACGGAAGGTTAGGTGTCCAATCGATCGTCAACTTGCCAGCTTGGCCCTGGGATCATCAGCCTTTATGTTCCTAAGGCCCTTGAGCGCGACCTGTGAAACAGGGTCCGTGAGTTTCTGAAAGATTATAGGATACCCTACTCGCTTGAAGTACCTTTTTGCGGCCTAGCCAGAGCCCTTCCCAGATGTCACTGTGAGTTCCTCCTGCCACTGCATGATCTGAGCGTCTAGTGATCTCCTCGTTGAGGATCTTTATGGCTGGTAGTGTACCAGTTTGCAAGTGGAATTGGTAAAGTGCATCCCGGATGTCACTTCCAGGGCGCCTTTTCTGGGTTGTGGCCTCCTGGTCCCTTCCTTCTCTTGTCGGGGACTCGGATCGAGTGTTGCTGATCATCAATTCATTGCGCAATTGCTATGCCCGCAAGGAAATATCAATGACGTAGGTGAAGAGACTGAACAAGGAGAAAGCAGACCTCTTGACCGGCTTGCATCACTTGCTGTGCGACTTGGCTCCCTGACCTCTGCATTGCGATGATCTCCCTTGCCTCCGAGGGCTTAGTGAGGACCTCGCGGAGGAGGGCCCTCATTTCTTCATGCTGGACCCGCATAGTTTCTTTGATTTCTTGCTGGTTTCTATTTCCTACGGCATGGGCGCTGAAGGTGTCTGTGAATGAATTGGGACATGGGCCAAGAGGCAGAGCAGGGCCTTACGCGAACTGTCCCACTCGATAAGTTGTTACCTCACTAAGTGGCACGGATAAAGCACCCACCTGGAACATCTCAATGGCAGATTGAACGTTCGCCTCGCATTCGTCCAGACCTTCCCCGATCTCGGACATCTTGACTGAGATTGTGCGTAAGAAAGGGAATGTGATAGGGTGACGGGGAAGCATGACTTGCGGAATAGAGACCAGGCGCTCATTTGTGAATACCTATGCATCCGGGAGTACACTCGTTCAAAGATCCTAATGAAAGAAGCATAAGAGAGTAATTCCATGTCTATTAATGGAAAGGAACTGACGCCCTGGTTTCATCGATTGACTTTAGCAGTTCGGCGTCGATGTTGGTCCGGGAGTGGTCATCGAGCAGGAGTGTGAACTGGACGCATTTGTTTCTGATAGTTCTAGCCTTCTTCTACAGTCAATGTAAGCAGATACAGAGGTCAAGCTGTATGTTTCACTCACCTTGTGAATACGAAGCTGGTCACAAGTATCGACAATCTCTTTGAGTATAAGTGCGGCTCCGGCAGCGAATGGAACTCCAGCGACGTTAGCCCCAAGTTCGACTGCACCAAGTATTCCAGAGACGAGGTCCTTAGCCATCATAGAATGTATGAGGGGGCAGAGGACAAGGAACGACAACGGCGAGGTGGAGTCTACAGCAATGCGAGTTGGGCATGGCAGAGCCTCATGGGCGCCTAATACGCCCCGCGTGTGAACGTTTACAGCATTCGCTTGATGGCATCAACGTCCTGTGCACGACATTCCATGATCAGACTTGTGCCTCTTGTCCCACCAATGTCGACGAGAAAACGGAAACGCGCGCAGGTCGTCCATCAAGAAGAAGATTTTGAAGAGGAGGCTGAGCAACAGGAAGGAGATGAAGGGAAGGAGAATGGAGAGAAGGAGATTGATCCTGCGGAAAAGGAGCAGGAGGTTTGGGATGCCATTCGGGAGGAACGCTATGAAAGTGAGCAGTATTCACTCTAGGGTCTGGTCACTTATCTGGATAGTTAGTCGTGGAACAGCTGCCTTTGACTCTGCATCGACAATTATCATTGATGAAGCAGCTAGACCAGCAATCCCAAAGTGAGTATTCCCCGTTCGACCTGAGCCGGTGAGCAACTCAATCGCCCTAGGCTATCTCACGGCTCTGTTGCCGACACTGCGGAGTTACATCCAACTTCGAAAATCTATCGCAGAAAAGGGAGAAGAGCACACAGGCCGAGCAAACGCTTCGACAGTCGACGCCATGGCGGCGGATGGAACGCCTTCGACCAGCAAAGACAGCAACGAAACGTTATTTTCTATAGGAGATGCCCAGGGAATGGCAATCCCACGAGAACGAGCGCGTGCACCGGAGACGACGCGTGAATATCTATCTCACGTCGCGTGGTTATCCGAAGAACTGCTTCGAGCGTCGCAGGAAAAGGTCAACTTGGCCCAAGCTACAACGGACTCGGTGTGTGACCATCCTCTCCTTCTCTTTTCCCTTTCTAACAGCCGGTACAGGTTGAACGCCATATCAGACTGCTCGACGTCGCGATCCAGGAACAAGAGGCCTCTCTCATCTCCAGTACTCAGGGCACAATCTCCCTCCCTGACCTCACCCTTCCAAAACCTACACGGCAGTCCGGCAACGTCTTCGACAAATACAATTCTATCACTTTGCAAACAAGTGGTTTACTGAATAGCGAGCGGATTGACGACGAGGGAGGGGATTCGCCCATTGAAGAAATTGGAATCCCCCGTGACATCTTGAAAGCCATGTTCGTCAGCCCAACGAAGAATGAGGCTGGGGAAGAGCTATACTGCTATTGCAACCGTGCATCGTTTGGAGAAATGATCGCTTGTGACGGGCCTCAATGTGGCTTGGAATGGGTGAGTACTCCAGCTCGGTCAAGTTGACACGCATGGATTCACGGTTCTGCAGTTCCACCTGGGATGTGTAGGACTGAAAGAACCACCGGAAGGAGAGTGGTTCTGCGAAAATTGTACTAAATTCGACATGTAATATACGACTATGATACCCTCCATGGACACTCAATAACCACCCGTATCCGTCATACGATGGGCTGCCATCGTTCTTCTCTGCGTCTCCTCCAGCTTGGGACAGTTGGAAATACCGTGACCAAGACCACCACAGACAGGACAGCCCTGTACGGATCGCCCTTGTGCCACCCGAGGATCTTCTATCGAGGCCAGGAAAGGCGGGACCCTGGAGAGGTATGCGTCAGTACGACCGCAGGATCACGAGGAACGGTAGAACAAACTTTTGTCCAGCTTCGATGAGGAGGTATTTGAGATCGAGGAGAGTTTGTTCCGGAGTGTTCATGTTCACAAAGGTGGTTGCGATACCCGTTTTGCCGCTACGACCTGTTCGACCGATTTGATGGACGTAGTCTTCAATTTCCTTGGGCATGGAGAAGATGATAACGTGTTGGATGTCGTTGAAGTCCAGACCCTTTGACGCTACTCCGGAGGCAACCATCACGTCCTTCGCACCCGACTTGAAGGCTTTGATGGCATACTGTCGTTCTTCCTGTGCTGAAAGGCCGTCAGGGCAGTAATTCACCGAAGCAGGCGAAGGGGCTTACTCTTGGAGCCGTGGATGGCGACGGCTTCGACGCCTTTGAGTAGTAGGTATTCCTGGATGTCTATCCGACGTGTTCAGAAGCCGGAGAGGTAAGAAAGAGACTGCAGCCTACCATCGACTTCGTTCTTGTTCTCGCTGAAAATGATGACCGGAGGTGGCGTCTTCTGCAAGCATTCCAACAGGTACACCATCTTGGCCTCCTGCTTGACGTATTCTACAACTTGAAGTACGTCCAAGTTGGCTGCACCCGCACGACCGACATTGACTAGGATAGGTTTAATCAAAGATTCCGTGGCAAAGTCCTGAATCTTCTTCGGCATCGTTGCTGAGAACAAGAGTGTTTGACGTTGGCGCTGTAGGAGGCATATGAGTACCGTAGTAATTCGAGAAATTACACAGAGCAACCCACCTTGAAGAAGCTCATGATGTTCCGCACATCATCCTCAAAACCCAAGTCTATCATCCTATCTGCCTCATCCATGCAAAGATACTTGCAGTTATTGAATGTGAATCTCTTCTTCTCCAACATGTCTATCAGCCTCCCAGGTGTGGCCACAACAATATGCAGTCCTTTATTCAGCACCCTACTCTGTTCGCTCATCGAGACACCGCCAATACATAGTAGACAGTTGAGCTGTGGGTATTTCCCGCTTTGAGAAAGGGATGTACACCATGTTTGGATGTTCTCGTAGGTTTGGGATGCAAGTTCGCGGGAGGGACAGAGGATGATTCCGACTGGACCTTCGCCTTGGACGAAGGGTAATTTGGCCTCTTCTTCAAGGGCGAGCATGATGAGTGGCATACAGAAAGCAAGCGTCTTTCCAGAGCCGGTGAACGCAATACCAATTATGTCGCGACCTGAGAAACTGGGATGCATTAGTGACTGGGGAGGCGGAGGGAGCGGGGACGGCGTACGCTGCGGGAATCCCTTGGAGCTGGATGGGTGTTGGATTTTTGATGTTCTTGGATTTGAGGTATTGAAGGATGGGGTCGGGAATTTTCATGTCCTGGACAAGATGTAAGATGGGTAGAATAGGGTTGGTGGTTATACAGAACACACCCTGAACGACTCTATTGGGGGAGGGACATCTTCTCCCTCGACTATGATGTGGTATTTATCCCGTATTGCTTGGTTCTTCTCTGCCGAGCGTTCACGAATAAAACCTGGTGGCCGCCAGCTGCACAACAATGTGAGAGATTGAGCTCATATTCGAGGAACAGGAACTCACCTTGTCTTTAGTGGTTCTGTATACCGGATCCCCTTTGCCAATTCCAAATCTGAAGCCAGTTTTCTCCGGCTTTTGATAGCCTCCAAAATCTCAGCATCCTCTTCTGCTGCTTTCTGGTCTGCGGTCTTTTTGGAATCTAAACAGAGGTAGTCAGTTGGCTAACTTGTATTAAATGTCGAGCAAGGTACCTTCAGCCTGCTTCTTCAAATGGACCTGCTGAGCCTCGAGCAACAGGGTTCTCTCTCTCCTAGCCTTCTCCCGTCTTGCCTCCTCTTCCTTCAATTCATCCTCTTTCTCCGCTGCCTCATCCTCCAGCTTCTTTGGTCTATCCCGACCCGCACGCACTCCCCATGATTGTAGTTTGGCAAACTTTTCTTCACGCCGTTTGGCTACGGGTACGTATGGAACGTAGTTGTCGTCGTCGTCACTTGGCTCCTTCTCAGGTGAAGGCGAGCGAACGCGTCGTCGTTTAGGCCTGAATTCGTCGTCGGACATCGTGGTTTGGGATCAAAGTGAGCGCCATCAATTGCGCGGGCTGAGAGCTTTTGCATCCGCACGCTCCGGCGGTAGTCCAGCAAGAACAAAGTCAGAGATGAATTGTATAATAATAATGTATAAGACACTCTAGAATATATAAAACGCCTACGCCCTACTTCCCGTCTATCTGTAACCACATTGACCACCTCTTTCTCTCTTCTTCCGTCCCCTCAAAATTCCAGTTAACGCGTCGGATTTCCGAGAATCCCTCTTCAAGAGTGGGCTCTTCGAACGCATTCTTGAAGCCGATTACTGCCGTGTATGGGACAAGTGACCTTCGCTAAAAAGGTCATCAGAACAGGCACTACAGGTAGGGAGTGAGGTTATCCTTACAGGCTCCTCTTCCGCCTTTTCAATAAAGGCTCGGTACAGGTTGTTGTGCCAAGCTAGCTCTACAGGCGCTGTAAAGTGGAAGCAACTGATTTTCGCATAAGTCCAGGGTCACTTGGAATGCCTCGTGAGCAACCCACCGAATTGGGATTTTGTGCTTCTTTGCTACGTCGATGTAGTGCTTTCTAGTCGCGACGTCTCGGTTGGTATTATCTGTGACCTGTCGTTAGAGCTGATGGAAGAAAGTCGGGGGAAGACCCACCTATGACACAGCTTTCTTTTCTAGAAATGGCATCGAGGACAGCAGCTACACATTTCGCGCGCGTTTTGAGGGTATCTTGATTAATGTGGGTATATCCTGCAGCTTTGAAGTGCTTCTTGTAAAAGGTTGATTTTCCGACACAGGGGGGACCCGTGAAAAGGACGATTTCTTGCGCCGAAGGCTTGGGTAAGAGGGCAGAGGATGAAGGGAGAACATCTGGGACTGGAAAGGATAAGTAGGGGGGATCACGGAAGGTGAGATGCGACCGACGTTCAGGCAGAGAAGAGACATTAAATCCAGGCAAAGAGAAATTCTCGTGGGCCGGAAGGCCGAGGAAATATTCCTAGACGATTCGTTTATTAAGGATTCTTCTTGAAGATCTTGAGAAAAGGGGGCCACCTCTGGGGTTTGGAAGGGCAAACCGACGTTAATCGCCCATTTCCTATCCGTGGAAGCAAAGTCAGATTTCGACTTTGAGTAAATGCGTCCTGCAGCGTCGCCAACGAAGAAGGATTGGTCCCGGTCTGTCTGATCGTTAGTTACGAGGGAAACGACGCTGGGGGATGAAAAGCATCATACCTATAGTAACCCCATCCTTCGCGAAAATAGCTTCAAGTTCATCCCACATCCCGGGCATGGGTTTTCTATATTGGTCCTTTGTGTTTGCTGCAAAGATTCGGAAGGGGATGCCGAGCTGTGACAGATATGAGTGAGGGAACGGGGAGAATAGGGCATTGGACGGACAGCGTTGGCAATGAGCTTGACTTTCTCCTTCCAGTTCTTGAGAGGGAGAGGTTTGATTGCTTGGTTGGAGATGAACACAATTGAAAACCTGTATGAGGATTAGATTAGTGCGCATAAAGAGATCCTGGACGTACCCTGATTCGTGAACTTCACGTAGCTTCTTGGGGACAACGGGGGCCCACCAGTGCCACTCGGTGGATGTATTACGGATATCGGCCTTGATAACCGTGCCATCCAGGTCAAACGCTGCTACTTTCGGGCGACTAACAGGCGTCAAGTGCACCCCATGTAGACATGTCTTGTTTGGTCCTAATGGTTGCAACCATTTAAACGGACCAGTTTCCTCTTCTGCGAGTTGACCTCCAGGCTGTCTTTGCTGGAAGAAAGGGTGCACTGTTCCACAGCTTTCAATTGGTTTGGGGAAGGAAAGCGCACGTTGGGTCTGCCTGACCTTTCTGGATCTTGGAAGAGGAAGCGCCAGCGTCGTTGTCGAGGTCCTTTGCAGACCGCTTTTTGGCGGTACGGCCTTCAGCGACCTTATTCTTGGAAGCATCTTTTGTGGTCGACATGCGCGGCCAATGTCGTGAAGTGGGAGAAGGCAAGACGCGCTGGGCCCGACGCGGCGCGCTCATAAAAGGGGCAGAGCAAACAAGATCCCATAGAGCCAAACAGAGCCACAACTCCGGAATGCTGTAGTTTCCCCTGTTTATGCTCTTCAGTCTGGCACTGCGCACAACCGCGACGCGTCTATCGTCCAGTATTAGAGTTGCGATGGTGAACCCGAAAATCGACGCTGTCCAGGACTTGGATACATCGGATGCACGGTTAGTCGGTCTCGCAAGGTCAACAAGAGAGAGTTAATCGGCTGGATAGATGGATTTCGTTGAAGAAACTCACCTATACGGATCAGGATGGGAAGCAGGTATATACTCATTGCGCTTGAGAGAGGACAGATCTTGAGTGATTCCAAAGAGACCTTGGGAGATGGCGACCAGACGCACCCGATCGACCAGTGGAATTGACGGTGTGCCATCTATCAGCAAGGAACACGAGCTTTGGCGCTCATGTCCAGGTTTTAGCTGTTGCTATTTTGACGATACTCAAGTCAAAGAAGAACACATTCCCCCCTTCAACCGTCGTCATTGAGCAGTATCGTCCACCGATTGACAAATACGTTGTTGGTGAGTCACTGAACCTATCGCGCCATTGATTCTGGGCTGACGATTTGCCTGCCTAGAACTACCTGCCGGTAAGGAACGGTGCCCTTCCATGATGGTGTCCGTCTGACCTCTTTTTAGGCCTCATAGATGAGGGAGAAACGCCGGAACAGGCGGCAATCCGTGAACTGAAAGAAGAAACAGGATACCAGTCCGACACCATCGTTGAGTCGTCGCCTGTCATCGTCAGCGACCCTGGTAAGTACTACTCCCACCCATGTGAAGCGCTCAAAGACAATACATGATATAGGCATGACCAATGCCAACATGAAGCTCGTCACCATCTCAGTTACCCTTGAAGATGAACTTTTGACGCCCAAACCTTCACTCGAGGTTGGGGAGCACATTGTGACAAAAGTGATTGCATTGTCCGAGTTGCACCAAAAGTTATTGGAATATGATCAGAAGGTATGTCTGCATGATGTATATATGTGAAAGCCGGCCATTGATTGTGTGTAGGGCTTTGCGGTGGATGCGAGGTTATCCCACTTGGCTACAGGCTTCCAATTGGCACACCAGTTTATCAAGTAGAGCAAGTAGAGACCAATTAACCCCTTGCTTTCTTCGCCCTCTTGATATGCGCCCTCAACTTCTGCTGCTTTTCCCTCAACGACGCCCGCTTCTTACTCCTCACTGCCTGACTACCCATAATCATCATAATCGGTTTGTTCCTTGCCTTTTCTCGATTGGTGGTACTGCTGGGTGTGGCCTTGTTCTGTTTGCCCTTGTGCGAACCGAATTTCTCTCGCCCTTCACGTCCTGCACGGATGGAGGCCATACGTTCTTCGTAGTCTGCTTTGGCCTTTTTGCGTGGACCCAGGATATCTTGCTCTGAGATGAATTGGCCGGATGAGGGCTCGGGGTCAGCTGCTTTACGTTTGTTTTTAGAGGATGTTCCAGAGGAATCGGCTGTGGATGATTTGAGGCTGTTGAGGAGAGCAAAATCTGCTGGGGTGAGGATCTGGACGGCGTGTCAGCACAAAGGACGGATTATATTTTTGAAGCGTACCTTGGTTGTAGCCAATGTGGAAATCTTCTTTTCCTCAGCGGGCTTTGGTTCTCCATCTTCTTCCTCTTTCTCGTCCTCGCTATCGCTGATGTCCAAGTCTTTGCCATCATCAGAGACCGATATCCATCCTTCGGATTCCGACTCGCTAGACGAATCTTCTTCAATCTCCCAGCCGTTCCATGCGTCGGAATCGTCGCCAGATCCTTCTCCATCTTCGTCCATCTTGGTTTGCGCCAGATGTTCCTCCAATAGCTACGGGAAAAGTGAGAGCGCGTATGCAGACAAAATCCAAATGCACTTACAGTGAGACCCTCGATGTCCTTGGCCGCTTCAGGTGCATAGCCATAGGGTAGGGCTTTGATTCCCGATGCAATGCCCATGGTAGCTTCCTTACCCTAAAAGACAAAGGGTATCAGCGGGGTGGATTGTGACCAAATGGATGCGACTTACCCGCTCCCTCTTTTTCAACATTCCAGGGTTGACTTCGCGGTACAGACGCAGCAGACTTCGTGCAGCCGCTAGCACAGCCTTATCCTTACTCTTCCTATACTCGACCAAATCCTGGAGCAAATCTTCCTCCATTGCCCACGGCTGCCTCGTACACACCTCTCTAATGGAGTTGATACCCGCGGCAATAACCTCATTCGCCACACCCGGATGGACAAACTCCTGCGCAATCTTTCGAATCACGGGGGTCAAAACGTCTGGTGGGGTGAGTTCATGCACCGACTGAGCTAGTGCGACGAGGATCGACGGAACGCGTAGTTGCTTGTAGAAGAGGTATTTGACGACGTAGGTGTAAAAGTTGAGGACGCATAGTTTGTGGCTTCCCATGATTCGAGAGAGAAGTTGCATGATTAGGATGCGGTGGTCCAAGTCGAATTTCTTGTCATGTTCGTGTAGGAGGTCAAAGAGTTTTTCGGCAAATGTTTGGGGGTCGCGGAGAAGTAGGATAGCAGAAAAGTCGGACTGTTTGTCGGTTTTATTGTGCATTTTCTAGGTGGGATGTGTTGGAGAGTGTAATTTACGGAGGAGGGTCATGGAACAAACCTTTTTCGCTTGGTTGAGCTTTTTCTGAATCTTTTTGTCCCCGCTTCGAGTCTTTTTGTTGATCTCTCGTCGGTGGTGAAGAGCTTTCACGTCAACGTCCTGGTAAAGGTGTTAGATGCGGGGGAAGAAGAAGGGCAGTCGGGCGTACCTCTTCACCCTCGTCATCGCTATCTTCGTCTTCCTCGTCGTTGAGGAAGAAGTGAAGGGAAGCGCTCTGGACCTTCAATACAGGATGGAAGCAGCCCTGTGCAACGATCGACACAGTCTTCGCATCTTTCCTAAGCAACCCTGTCAACAACTTACCTCCTAGAACAAGGTGAAACTCACCAGATCCCCTTCTTCCAAAGCTCCTTGGCCATGATAATAGCCCACATCGCCTCGTCGCCTGTTTTCCTCTGATCGGCTGGGATATTGATCTTGGTTTTACCTTTGTGGCTGGTAAACTCTCCGTCCATTCCGCGTTCGACCATGTTGAACAGCATGGCTTGGACCGAGTTGTTCAGTTTATGGTTTTTAGATTTGAGATTGGCGACACGGATGTCGTTGATGATGGTTTTGCGGATGAAGGCGCGGAGGGTGGGCGAGGGTGTTTGGGGGAGGAGGGGGAAGAGCGTTTTGAGGAGTCTGTGGACGGTGTTAGAGACGGATTAAATACATACCCAGGAACTTACTCGATGGATGTGATGACATTTTTGTTTCGCAGCATTACGAGGTTTTGGACGAGGGTTTTGCGTGTGTCGACTTGGAGAACGACATAGTTGTCGAGCAACAGGTTCGCTAGTTGTTTAGGAAACTCGGCGGTTTCTTTTGGGTAGCATGTAGCGACCTGGGATATATTAGCTGCGTAAAGACCAACACATAGTCTATGATACCAACCTGGGAGATAAAAGAGACCAGTTCTCTGAAATGCTCAGCCTGTTCTTCAGGATGGGTCCCAAAAATTTCACGGATGCTGTTGAAGTGATTCCATTGCTGCAGAAATTCTTCTTTATACGACTCTGGGTCTCTCTTTATCAAGTTTTGAAGTTGAGGGAGGTTGGACGTGAGCAAAATTCCGCGAACCATGGTCGAGGAAGAGTCAAGAGTTGGTTCACCAGAACGAGATCAGAAAACATATGGGCGTTTGTTATGTAAGCCATTATAGATTGAGATAGTAAAACCAATAATTTACACGGAAAGCGATTGGTATCAAGACGTTGATTCTGCTGGTTTGGATTCAGTGGGTTGTTCTGTCGTTGGGGTGTTATCTGGTCGTGATTCGCCACCGCCGCCGTGATTTCCTCTGCCTCGTCCGCGTCCACGACCTCGACCCCCACGACCCCGTCCTCCACGAAAAGCTGTCGGTGATCCTCCACGCACCCACTGATCGCTCGGAGGAGGAGGTGGTGGAGGAGATGTGTTTTCAGCAGCAGAGCCGGACGAATCTCCCTGTGGACTTTGAGGTGCACGAGGTTTCCGAGAATCGTGGGTTGGTTTGCCAGAATCCCATTCGCGACTCTGAGCTTTCTCCATCTTCCGTTGTGCATTCTTATCCCGAGCTTGGTCGATACTGTCCTGCACTTTACGGTTCTGAGCCTGTTTCTGTCTTTCCTGCTCTTGTGATTTGCGGAAAGCCTCTTCGTCTGCTTGAACGTCCTGTCATAACCAGTGAATGCACGATCTCGAGTCGCGAGGATGTGGAGATCGTTACCAATCGACGTTGCTTGATTTTCTCGTTTTGTTCGCGAATCCTGGCCATGCGTTCAGCTAGGGCTTCATCACTGAGTTTATCCTGGAGAGATGGGTTAGGGAATGTCTGTACAAGAGGTTGTATGTAGGTCGACTTACTCGAGCGGCACCTCCAGTTTTGACGCGGTCGGGATTGACGTATGGCTTTGGTTTACCTCTCTTTTCTGTTTCTGTGGATTCAGGCTGGGTCGAAGGACTGGGTTGGGAAGGATCCACTTCTGGAGCTGGTTCTTCGTTGTCCTTGATGCTGAGTTGTTGGAAGTCAAGGCCGAGAGTATTCGAAACCTGAGGAGGGGTCGGTTCTGCCATCTTGAGAGAGAGCGAGGGGATGGTGGTCGTTGTGGACAACGATGAGCAGAAAGGATCGTTGGTGATTGGTGGATAGCCCCTAACCTTAGGTAAAGGCAACCTGATTTGGGATGACACTGATGAGAGATTGTCTATGGGATTCGGTATAAAAGGGCGATAACCATTCCGTTCCTTCACGATCCATCTCTTCTTCACAATCCACAATGTCTCTCTCCAACAAACTCTCGATTACCGACCTCGATGTCAAAGGAAAGCGGGTCCTTATCCGTGTTGATTTCAACGTCCCCATCCAGGAGGGCAAGATCACCAACCCTGCGGTAAGGAAATTTGGATGGATTCTCCGAGATTTTCGAGCCCGTTTTGCTGAGCGAGTCTGGATATAGCGCATCGTCGCTGCGTTGCCCACCATCAAATACGCTCTCGACAATGGTGAGTGATGTCGAGGGTCTGCTGAAGGAGTATCTCATCGTCATCTTAGGAGCGAAGAGCGTCGTGTTGATGTCTCATCTCGGCCGACCCGACGGCAAGGTCAACGAAAAGTTCTCTCTCAAGCCTGTTGCCGCCAAACTTGAAGAACTCCTGGGCAAGTCAGTCATCTTCACCAACGACTGTGTCGGTGCCGATGTCGAGAAGGCGGTCAATGGCGCGCCTGACGGTTCGGTCATCCTGCTCGAGAACCTTCGATTCCACATCGAGGAAGAGGGTTCGGTCAAGAACAAGGATGGTACCAAGACCAAGGCTGACCCCGCTGCTGTTACTGCCTTCCGAGAGGGCCTCACCAAGCTTGGGGATGTCTATGTCAATGACGCTTTCGGTACTGCCCATCGTGCTCACTCGAGTATGGTCGGTGTCAAGTTGCCACAGAGGGCCGCTGGCTTCTTGATGAAGAAGGAGCTCGAATACTTTGCAAAGGCGCTCGAGCATCCTGAGCGACCTTTCCTTGCGATCCTGGGAGGCGCTAAAGTGTCGGACAAGATTCAATTGATTGAGAACATGTTGGACAAGGTTTATCGCGTTATTTTAAAGACTTTTCGTTGAGACTGAACAGGGTTTTTGTAGGTCAACTCGCTCATTATTTGTGGCGGAATGGCGTTCACTTTCAAAAAGGCTCTCGACGGCGTCGCGGTGCGTGATACTAATTGAAGACAGTGATGACATCATTGCTCAATGTTTCGATCACATTCCAGATCGGTAACTCGCTCTTCGATTCCGCTGGCGCCGAAAAGGTTGCAAGTCTCGTCGAAAAGGCAAAGAAGAACAACGTCAAACTCGTCTTCCCCGTCGACTACATCACAGCTGACAAGTTCGACAAAGACGCTGCGGTATGTAGTATGTCCTCTGGCATCGCATCTGCTGATGTTTGGTTAGACCGGCACTGCCACCGACAAGGATGGTATCCCTGAAGGCTGGATGGGACTCGACGCCGGCCCTGAGAGTCGCAAGTTGTACCGAGAGACTGTCTTGGAGGCCAAGACCATCCTCTGGAACGGGTAGGTGTGCTTCTCGAACTGTTGGCAACTTTTGCTGATAGGATTCCCTTGTCTAGACCCCCTGGTGTCTTCGAATTCCCTGCCTTTGCCAACGGTTCCAAAGAGCTTCTCAAGGCTACCGAGGAGGCTGTCGCCAAGGGTGCAACCGTCATCATTGGTGGTGGTGATACCGCAACTGTCGTCGCACAGTTCGGTGACGAGTCCAAGCTCAGCCATGTCAGTACCGGTGGTGGTGCCAGTCTCGAGTTGTTGGAGGGCAAGGTACGTTGTGTCGACCGTCCATTCAGGATCCAGGCTAATGTATTATGTATAGACTCTTCCTGGTGTTGCAGAATTAAGCGAGAAGCAGTAGAAAGCAAAATGAACAAGTTTTTTTATCTGTAAAGTATTGAAGAATGTGATGATGATTATTAGTGAGAGCGTGGAAAGATTATGCCGTATGTGAGATACGGCGCTGTAAGGAAGCGGGATCAATAACTTTTATTCCATGACCTCCATGTCCGCAACAACCAATCCCTCACCCAACGACCCAGTTCCTTCACCTAAGCGCTCGCCTACGCCGGAAAAGACTATTGGGACGAAGCCAGAGGAGCAAACACAGGAAGAGGGAACCAAGACGCCGTCAGAGACCTGCCCGCTATGCCCGGACGAGAAACAGGAAAGACGTAGGTCTTCTCGCCGGGAGGACTGGATCCAGTGCGAGGCGTGTAATACCTGGTTCCATTGGAAGTGCACAGGTGATAAAACTGACCTTGCTACTATTGCAAAATGGTGCGTTGGTCTCTTCCTCGGGCCTGGATTATTCATGAAAGGTTGTGATAGGTTTTGCAAGAGTTGCGTCGAGCAGGATTCCAGCCGGGTTGTTACCTACAAAGCGCCCGCGAGAAAGTCGTTGCGCAAACGTGCCCAACAGGATTATGCGAATATCGAGAACGGGATTGGCTCTGATCCTCGGAGGTGGTTGAAGCTACTGGAGGATAAGGATCCATACCCAGATCCGTTTAAGAGGATGAAGGGAAGCGACGTGCAGCTGAGCTGGTTGGAGGAGGATGAGACCGCGATGCTAGAGCCTGTCGTTATTGAGAAGCCGGAGGGCTTGGGGATGAAGATGCCTCCCAGTGATTTCAGTGTGGATGATGTTGCGGATTTATTGGGCGAACACACGCCGGTGGATGTTATTGGTGCGTTTTTTCGTTTTATTTCTCGAGCTCGCCATGCTCAATCATGCTGTAGATGTGGCGAGTCAGTCTGCATCCCCTGGTTGGACACTCGGAAAGTGGGCCGACTATGTGGAGAGTGAACCTTCGAAGAGGGAGAAGATTTACAATGTTATTTCCTTGGAGGTATCGGGCACGAAGATTGCGGAGCAAGTGTTACCCCCGAAGATTGTGAGGGACTTGGATTGGGTGGAGAACTTTTGGCCGAGTACGAGAAAGGGCAAGGGGAATGTGTACCCCAAGGTGCAGTTGTATTGCCTGATGGGTGTTGAGACTGCTTGGACGGTGAGTGCCCTATTTTTAATTTAGGAGAGGGATGCTTATAAAGAGTAGGATTGGCATATCGATTTTGCGGGGTCTTCAGTTTATTATCATATCTTGAGCGGGGCAAAGGTGAGAGGAATTACAGTTCCCTAACGAATAATACTAACGGCGTGTAGACATTCTACTTTATCAGACCTACAACTGCCAATTTGGCAGCGTATGAACGATGGTCTGGAAGTGAACTGCAGTATCAGACGTGGTTGGGGGATTTGGTGGATCATGTGTACAAGGTGGAGTTGAAGGCGGGGAATACGATGATCATTCCTGCTGGGTGGATCCACGCCGTGGTGAGTAATACCATTCATCTGTGTGAAATACGGCTAATGGATTGGTTTATAGTATACACCGGCTGATACTATGGTGTTTGGGGGCAACTTTTTGCACTCGTACAATGTCGCAACGCGTATGTTCTACTTACTGTTTGGAGGGTTGGCCTGACTCGGGAGTTTAGAAATCAAGGTTCGAAATATTGAGATTGCGACTCAGGTGCCCAAAAAGTTCCGGTTCCCGATGTTTGCCAGGTGAGGAATATTGTTTCCCAGAGAAAGGAGCGCGCTAACGTGACACAGATTGTGCTGGTATGTTGGTGACAAGTACCTTAAAGATCTGAGGACGCACTCAGAGTTCCCGGATCGAGTGATGGAGGGTATTCTGGCGCTAGCCAACTTTCTTGTTGGCGAGGTGCGGATTCTTGAGCGAGGGGGAGAGCAGGCGAAAAAGGAAGTGAAAGAGCAAATACCGGCCGATCGCGTCAAAGACGCGCCTGCTCTGGCGCGAGAGCTCCGGTGGCGAACGCGATTGGCGCTTGGGTACTCGAGCTGTGATGAGGGGGATGAAACGGTGGTGAACGGAGCCAAGAGGAAGAGAGGGGCGTCCGAATCGCCAGTGAATGGGATCTTTAGGAATTTCAAGCCCAAGAAATGGGATGATTCGTTGGAGGAGGTCGAGCAGGGTGAGAATAAGCGGGTGAAATGTGGGGGACCGAGACCGGACAGCGGAGAGGGGTGGACCAAGGGATGGCTCAAGGGGGAAACCGAGGAGATGGGTGAAGAGACTTTGGTGAACATCCGCAAGGAACGATACACCAAAGTGAGACGGACTGCACACGGAGTTGAGCGACAACGGGTTGAGCGGACAGTCGAGCAATGGGTACTAGAGGAGTAGCTGTAGCTTACATAATCTTATTTGTGTTTTGAGGGAGATTCATGTCAGTTGTCGACTGCAAACCACAATGTACAACGACCAAAACTGTAAGCTTTTCTCTAAAATTCTCTGGTTTCCGTTCACGTCTGGCCAACAGATCATACCCAGCATGCTCAGTACTACAACAACAGAGATTCAGACCCAACACACGACCTCAGTGCTGGCTTTTCCGCCCTGAGCGTCTCCCACCACGACCCAATCGCCCGTTCTCACTCTGCAATGTCCATGCACTCAGCTGGAAGCCACGGTCGCCACCACCCGCCCCAGCCACGACATGCAGCCACTTTGCCGTACAACAACCCTGGACCGTCCTATGACAATGCTCATTACAATGGACACTACAACGACCCCTACTATGCCCACCAGCAGTGGGCGCCCGCAAACCATACACCAGCAGCGACGTATGATCCCCTCTATGCAGCTGCTTCTGACATTCTCGGAATGGGCCCTCCCCCGCCTCCGCCTCCTCCACCGCCCCATCACCTCCGCCAGCCGGGCCATCATCCTCCCCCAGCTCCCTACCATCACCCCCCAGGCCAGATATACCCAGACGTCCCACCTGGCCAGCAATACTCTGATACACAGTCCCTGAAGACGTCCCCCTCTACAGTCGACTCGTACACAACCTCCCCATCTGACTATCAAGACTTTGAGCTTCGCGGTCCTGTCAAAAAGGCTGTACCCGTCCCTTCCAGCCAAGGAGGCAAGGCAATCGATCTCAACGCTCCTCCTTACACCAAAGAGTACATCGACCAGTACCGCCAGCGGATAAAAGCAGACCCTGACCCTGAAGCTCACTTTCTCTACGCCAAATACCTCATCGAAGCTGCAAAGAGATTCCGCACACAAGCAAAAGACGCTCGAGCGGGCAAAAAGTATTCAGAGTTCCTCATCGGCGAGGCTCTCAAGGTTGTCAGGAGACTCGCTACCCAGGGAGACGCCTACGACGAAGCCCAGTTCTTCCTTGCAAATTGTTACGGCACCGGTGCCCTCGGACTCCAGGTCGATCACGAAAAGGCCTACCATCTCTACCTTCAGGCTGCCAAACAGAATCATGCCGCTGCTGCCTACCGTGTCGCTGTCTGCAACGAGATTGGTGCAGGAACCAAAAGGGAGCCTCCTCGCGCAGCTGCTTTCTACCGCAAGGCCGCTTCCCTTGGTGATACTGCTGCCATGTACAAGCTGGGTATGATCTTGTTGCACGGCCTCCTCGATGAACAGAAGAATCCCCGCGATGCAGTCAGCTGGCTCAAGCGTGCCGCCGAACAGGCTGACGAAGAGAACCCACACGCACTACACGAACTCGCATTGCTCTACGAACAACCAAACTCGAACCTCGTGCCCCATGACCCAGTCCATGCCAAACAACTCTACACCCAAGCTGCCCAACTCGGTTACACCCCTGCCCAGTTCAAGCTCGGTCAATGCTACGAGTATGGCTCCCTTTCTTGTCCTGTCGACCCTCGTCGTTCCATTGCCTGGTACACAAAGGCAGCAGAAAAGGGTGATGCAGAGGCCGAGTTGGCGTTGAGTGGATGGTATCTGACCGGTAGCGAGGGGGTGTTGAAGCAGAGTGATTCCGAAGCCTATCTGTGGGCGAGGAGGGCTGCGAACAAGGGGCTGAGCAAGGCCGAGTACGCTGTAGGATATTACGCCGAGGTCGGCATTGGTATCAAGCAGGATATCGAATTTGCAAAGAGGTGGTACATGCGAGCAGCCGGTACGTGGAATTCTTTCTAATCGTTGCTATTGTTTCCTGATCTTGTCTTTTTTAGCCCAAGGAAATAAGAGAGCAATGAATCGGTTGACAGAGATGAAGCGGATGGGCAATAAGCGCCCTGCTATGGCTCGGCCTACTCGCCAGCAAGCAAAGGACGAATGTGTCATCATCTAGCTTCATGGTCTATTTTTTGTAATAGCTTTTAGAGATTTAATAAATGTGGGGCTCGTATGTGGCACGGTCCGCTACCGAGCCTATTTTATCGCGCTCACACTGTAACGAGTTGAGGGGCTCTCGGCGCACACAGGGAGCCACGGCGGACCGGGATAATCTGCTGTCGACTCGCGACCTCGCGCTGTCCATATATATGTACCATTACACAGGGTGTCGGGGTAGAATGTCCGGGGCGCCAAATTGAGCTCAGATTCCGGAATCCACCGGGAATCCAAATGGAATGTGACCACATTGCACAACACTGGTCTTTTACATTCCACTTCATTGTCGGGAATATAAACACCATTTGAACAAAATCTGGCTCTCAGAATGCAGCACAATCCGATGTCCTTCGCATTTCCCTGTTGCGCACAACAATCCAGATTCCAGATGTTCCAGATTCCAGATGTTCCACATTCAGCTCAAATCAATTGTATTAGTCTAAATATAACCCTAAACATGACCCCGCCAAATCATCCAATCCTCCTTCAAACCATGTTCTCTCATCTTGAAACCCAGCAGACAAGTCCCAAAGGCCTTCTGGTACATGCACAGCCACCTGTAATGGCCAGCAGCCCAGCGGTATCTTCACGAATCACCAACATTGCTGAACTGACACCAATAGATCCGGGGCCTTATAGGCTCAGGGTTCTTAGTGATCACCCACGGGTCTGGGAAACCCGCCGGGTTACCGGGTAAAACCCGCCCGGGTGCGGGTACAGGTCAACAGATGTGAACCCTCAGCCAAACCCGGACCCGGGAGGCGGGTTCCCACGGGTTCGGTACCCCAAAAAGGGCAAAGGTCGGCTTGGTCCAATGCCGCAGGGTATAACTTTTGCCCCAGTGCCACAATCATCAACTATACAGTACTGAACTTTAATTTTCCAACATATCATAGTTACGTAGTGCTAGTAATTTGGTAGTTCCTCTAATGTGCATCTCTTCCCCCTGTTCCAATGAACCCTCCCGGGTTTTCCAGGTTTTCTCGGGTAACAACCTTGCGGGTTACCCGAGAAAACCCGGACCCCTCTGACGGGTCGGGTTGGACCACGGGTACGGGTCCGGGTCGACTTTCCGGTACCCGGGGTCAACCCGTGGTGATCACTAAGGGTTCTTGTCTGAGGGGGTTTTGTGCCGCCAAGACGCGAATCGTTTCTCCCCATGTGACCAGGGGTTTCATGTGACACTTCCTTTGTGGCTGGACAGTCACTTTAATTAAGAGGCTGCAAGTTCAATTTTGGGTGGATGCCGATATTTTCAATGGAGACTTTCAAAGTGTTAAGACTGTAGATTATATTTATGCTTCAATAATTTTTTAAAAATGTCTGTAACTTATTTCCAACTAAACAAGGCCGGGTGTGCCAGTTGTCTTGATGGGATTCACCAGTTTTTCGTTGGTTTTGGTGCACTAGTATACCCCTACTTCCATCACCAGACCAGGGCAAATCAAATGTGACATATGCCCTTGTTCTAAATCATGAATCACATGGCAAGGGCAAATAGAATGTAGGGCAAATCATAGAAACTGGCAATCAGGGGGCAAATCATCAATACAGGGTGAATCATCAGAATCAGTAAATTAGGGCAAATATATACTGGTGCCTGATACACCTGTAGCCATCTGATGTGCTTACTAAATTATTGATGTATTGATAGAAAGCCAAATATTTCATGTTTGGAGTCTGTTCTTTTTTTGTTCTGGCCTCTCGACCAAACAAATATCAAATATGGGTGCCGTCTGAAGGTAGCGCCCACTCCTTAGGCGCATTTAGGGTTGGGGTTAGTTTAGGGTTGGGTTTAGGTTAGGGTTGGGGTTAGTTAGGATTGGTTAGGGTTGGGTTCAGGGGTCTATTATTTTGGTTAGGGTTGGAGTTGTTTAGGTTAAGGTTAGTTAGGGTTGGGGGTGGTTAGGGTTAGGTCCATGATTGCCCTAGCTTTTTGTATAAATCATGTGTATAGGGCAATTCACTAGTCACAGGAAATCGTAAGAATAGAGGGCAAATCATCTAGTGCAGGGAAATCATAATATAGAGGGCAAATCACTGAATCATAAAGATATAGGGCATATGTCACATTTTGCTTCAGGGCAGTTGCCTTGTCCTAGTGATGGAGTTGGTGGATACCACTCTTTGGTGTGCAGTAGCCTTTAGGACATGGGGCACCTATAAGGCCCCGGAAATTATGCCGTTTATCGGCCCGCATCCATGATCCCACTCGTGGATGCTGTCGCGAAGAGCGAACACTAAACCAAAACCACAACCAAAACCAGAGACTGGCGGAGCCTGAGAATGCGATGAGCGACGTTGAGCAGTAAAAATGTCTATAGGACAAGATTAGATGTCAAGCTTGCTACCAACACAGTGTATCGTACCTATAGGACAAGAGGTCAAGCTAAGGAATACTACTCTACTCTAGCCAACTATAAGTACGAATGTCCTAGATAATCCGGTGGAGAAATGAAGGTAAAATGCGAAGCGTGCAAGAAAAATCATATGTCAAAGTATTGGCCAATAGGAACAATAATTCAGTGAACGTGTTATGAGAAAGTGTCCTTAGAATAAGGGAAATGATAAATAAGGGAAGTAGGCTTCTAAAGAACAATGAAAGGAAGCCATAGAAGCCAGCGCTTAAAGTCCGTACACGTCCGGTGGCCAGTTGTAGGGGGATGACGTCATTGTAGGGAGCAGGTTTGAACTGCTCCTTGCAATGATGCCATAATGACCGGACGCAAAGTTGAGGGTTCAAACCCAGGTTGGGGCGGAAAAATAAGATAATTTAGGGTGCATACCAGCGGTTCACGACAGATGCCAACATTGAGCCCCATCCTTCAGGACACAGCAGCCCTTCACACCTCGATGCTGGTATTGACCAGGCCAATGTCAACTTGGGCAGCCACACCAGTCCTCTGGCTATGGGTTCTGTGGCAACCCAGATGTTAGGGTCTCAAACATCCACCCACATCTACCCACAACCCACTAGTGAAAAACTCGCCTATTTCTGGGTCGTTTTGGACGAAATAAAGCTCAAACCCTGTGGAAAACCCGCAGGGTTACAGGTAGGGTTTTGACAGGGTCCGGGTCTGGCTCCTGGCTCTCAGACCTGGGGTTTACCTGTGGTGAACACTACAACCCACCAGCGACCTACACTCCCCGCACAGTCTCATATGATCCCGCACTACCCCGCACTACCCCGCACTTGCCATCATCTTTCTGCATGCATCCCGCATTCCAGGCTAGTCTGTCCAAAGTCCAGTTCAGAACTTTGAGAACTTGGTCTGAACCTGGTTCGAACTTCAAAGTTCAGGTTCAAGTTCGGCCTGTTGAACTTATCTTATCTTATCCGTAGATTACATCATAGATTAGATTAGATTAGTGAGACCCAGTCCAGAACACTCTAGAATATTCTAGTGTAGAACATTCTGGAATGTCACATGAGTAGGTGCTAATACTTGCACCATATCACATCATTATCGCTCATTCTTACTCATGATGACTCATTCGCTTACTCACCCATCACACCTTCCATATTTATGTAGTTTATGTCACATCTGTCATGCCTCATGTAAACTATAAATACTAGCCCTCTCTGGCCTTGGAATAGATGATAGAGTTCGTCACAACTCTTGTAGTTAGCCACTAGTTAGCCTCACATAACTCTCTACCTGGTAAGTCTTAGAGTAGACCACCTTAGCTAGATAGTGTTTGCTCAACAGGGGTTATGAGCCCCGTTGGGCTTTAGCTTTGCGCTTGTTTGACTGCATTGCTAAATCTGGTTTGCGCTAGTCTCTGGCTGCATCCAGAATCTAGTTTTCACTTTTTTGGCTGCATCTAGATGCTCTAAGGCTTACTACTTGTGGTCGTCATGATCTGCACTATTTTTGGCTGCACACTTGTCCTTTCATTCTCTCACAAGAACACCATGCTGATGATCGGTCTTTTTGACAGATCTCAACAACCATGTCCTCCGCCCTCACTCAACTCGTTCCAGTTCTTGATGGCACCAACTATTGAGTGTTACGAACTCCCCTATTTCCTCCATCTTACTTCCTTTGTTTCCTTCTCCACGCTCTATTTTCCCGAACCTTCCGGACTTCCGTTCCCTCCGTACTTCCGTTCCCTCCGTACTTCCGTTCCTTCCGTAGTCCCGTAATCTTCGCTTCTTCGATTCTCTCGCATCTCCGAACCCTTCATACATCCGTTCCTCTCGTATTCCGTACTCATCGATACTCCTTACTTGTCGCTCTCACACCTTCACTAGTTCTACTATAAATACTGTCTCTGTAGTAGATACTCCTCAGCCTGTTATCAAGAACCTTTCCCTCAGAACTTCTATCGCTCTCAGCTCGGTCCTCTCTGTCTGCGATAGCGACAGGCCTCTTGAACTTGATTCCAGAACCAGAACTTCGATCCAGAACTCCAGAACTCCAGAAATCCAGAGTCGGCAACGATAAGTCCTCGTTGCCCGAAGTCGTAACAGAATAACAGGGTCGTCCATGGCGGCCTTCCTCGAAAGGGCGGCCCCCCCCCCCTCTTCAACCACGGATTCAGACGACGATCTCCGAACTCCTTCGACCCCTCCCTACGGCTGTACAACCAGCCACACACATTCTACTCCGACAAGAAGTTCGACGTCCACCTAAACCCAGCCAGCAAGTGGATCCATTGCACTCGACAACCTTGCCCACATCGTCTATCCAAACAACCCGAAGAGTTCCCCAGTTGGGGAGTTCCCTGTGACACTGTGGAACAAACCGAATTCGATCCCGATATCGTAGAAGAATCCCTCCAGAAAGCTCTCGAATCTCGAACTGAACGAAGGAACAAGCAGAAAGAAGAAAGAAGACTTCAAAAGAAACATCAGAAAGCTACGAAATCGCCAAGGTCGAGGGGCCCTACTGAAATCGAACGAACCCTATCAGACCAACTGAAGAATCTGAACATCGACCAACCGACTCCATCGAAGAACCAAGAAGACCCTGAAACCAACTCTGATACCAATATGGCCGGAAACAATAACAGTAACACCTTCCAAGAACGACTCAAAGAGCGACAATGGCAAAGTTATCCCCAAGAGGTTCAACGGAAACCGCTACCACTACCAGGCATTCTGCGACGCCGTCGATCTCTTCTTCATCACAGACGACAAACACGATACCGATCAGAAGAAGATTGCCTTCGTCCTCGCCCTACTCGACGAAGGAGAAGCTCGCATTTGGCGAACCAACTACCTCAGACAATGCCGCAAGAACGGAAAACTTGACCTCGGAAATTTCGACGAACTGCTCAAGAAACTCGATGATACTTTTAAACAACCTGAAGAAGAAGATGAAGCCCTCTTTGCTCTTAACAACATGAAGCAACGACCCAATGAACACGCGGAACAGACGATCACCCGATTCAGAGAACAAGCCTCCCTCGCTGGTCTCGATCTCACCAAGAACGATCGCATCGCCATCGACTACCTCAAAGACATCTTAGACCCTGGTCTCGTCGACAAAGTCTCCCTCGACGTTAGAGAACCCGATACATTCAAAGAATGGGTTAAACTCGCCATCAAATATGACCGGGTCTATCGGCGCAACAAACTTCTCAAATTGCTCGGCAAACGGGGAAATACACCCAACTTCCGCAAAACCCTCAGTGCCTTTGCCAGATCCACCAGAAACAGCTCCGAACGCGACCCCGATGCCATGGACATTGATGCCATTTCCACCGAAGAACGAACTCGAATGATGAAGACTGGCAGCTGCTTCTACTGCCGTGAACAAGGCCACATCGCCAAGGAATGCCCCAAGAAACGCAAAGATCGAAACACCTCTACCGCAAATGATACCAAAAAGAAGACCCCCCGTGAAGCCGCCAAATACATCCGAAGACTCCTCGCTCAATATTCCCCAGAAGAAGAAGCCGAAATCCTCGAAGCCGCTGGAGACACCCTTGATGAAGAAGAAGATGATGATCAAGAGGATTTTTGAATCGGGGAGCGGTTCAGTCAACGTACGCCTCCCCTCAACTTGATATCTACTCTGTACTAGTCACCGAGATCAATGACCACACTATGCACGCCCCTATTACTCTTATTGGTGAAAAGACAGGAAAAACCGTTGACACTAAAGTCCTTATTGACAGCGCAGCAGGAGGAACCTTTATTAGCACAAGATTCGCGAAACGACGAAATATTCCCCTTCGCCCACTACCCCGACCGCTCAAGGTCAACAACATTGACGGAACTCCAAACAAGGAAGGAGCAATTACTCATTTTGTCGACTCCATGGCTCGATTACACGATCGAACATTCCGGATTTGGTGGTATGCAACAGAAATCGCCCACCAGGATCTAATCCTGGGCCTCCCATGGCTCCGCTGCACAAACCCCATCATCGACTGGAAGAAAGGAACACTCGACTGGAAAGACAAGATCGACCCCGATAAAATCGAAAATCACCTTCCTCGAACCAACCTATCCACTCCGAACACAACCACCGTCGCCGTAATGTGTCTCCTCGAGGACGAAACCGACGAGGAAGGCGAAACCCCTGTCGTTTGGTATCAACGCAAAAACCACTACCGCTCAACTGCTAGCTGCACAAGAACAAGAAAAGAAAGAAAAGAAGACTATCGACGACATCCTTCCAGAACCATACAAGAAGTATCGACACCTATTCGAAGATCGCCCAGAAACAGCCCTTCCTCCTCACAGAAAATGGGAATTCACAAGATCGACCTCAAACCCGGATTCGTTCCCAAAGTATTCAAGACTTATCAGCTCACCCCAGCCGAAGACCAAGAACTACAGAAATTCCTTGAAGAAAACCTCCGACTCGGACGGATCCGCCCATCACAATCTCCGATGGGATCACCCCTTTTCTTCGTTGCCAAGAAGAACGGAAAACTACACCCCTGCCAAGACTACCGCTACCTCAACGACTGGACCATCCCTAACGCCTATCCACTACCTCGAACTGACGAACTCATGGATCGACTCCAAGGATCCCGATACTTTACCAAATTGGACATCAAATGGGGATATCATAACATCCGGATCCGAGAAGGAGACGAGTGGAAAGCCGCCTTCAAGACAAATCGAGGACTCTATGAACCGACTGTCATGCTCTTCGGAAAACGCAACTCACCAGCAACCTTCCAGAACATGATGAACGATATCCTCGACGAAGACGACGGAAACCCCAAACCTCTCAAGACAGAAGGATATATGGACGACCTCATGCCCCATGGAAGAACCAGAGAAGAATGCCGAGAAAACACATTAAGAACCCTCGCCAAACTCGACAAATACAACCTCCCCCCTCAACCTCAAAAAATGCATATTTGAAGCCACCGAAGTCGAATATCTGGGTTTGATTGTCCGACATAACGAACTCAGCATGGATCCTACGAAGGTGGAAGGCTTAGCCAACTGGCCAACACCTAAGAACGTCAAGCAAGTCCAACAATTCCTCGGCTTTGGAAACTTCTATCAACGATTCATCCGAGATTACTCCAATATCGCTAAACCACTCAACGACCTCACACGAAAGAACAACAAATTCGAATGAGCCGACGCCTCGAAATACGCTTCTGGTGCTGTCCTCACGCAAATGGACGATGACGGAATCCGACATCCGGTCTGTTTCATGTCCAAAACCTTCAACGACGCTGAACAAAACTACACCATCTTTGATCGCGAATTGCTGGCCATCATCCGAGCCCTTACCGAATGGAGACACTATCTCCAAGGCTCTCCATTCCCATTAACCATCTTCTCCGATCACAAGAACCTTATCTACTGGCAAGACCCACGGAAGATTACCCCCCGACAAGCTCGTTGGCGCGTGTTTCTCGAAGAATTCTCTCCTTACGAAATACGGAATACCCCTGGAAAACAAATGATCCAATCTGACAATCTCTCTCGACGACCTGACCTCTGCCAAGAAGATGAAGAACCCGAACTCGTCACCATGTTACCTAAAGAAGTCTTCGTCAATCTCATCAACCTCATCGACCTCGACATCCAGGAAAGAATCCTATCCTCCGATCAAAACGACGACAGTGCAAATCAAGCTTTACAAACCCTCCTCGAAGAAGCCCCCTCGGATCTTCGACAAGATCTCTCCGATTGGACTTTGGAGACGAAAGATGGCCGACGAATGCTCTTCTATCAAGGGAAAGCTTATGTTCCCAACGACTCCGACCTTCGACGAGAAATCGTCAGAAAACACCATGATTCCCCCACAATTGGACACCCTGGTGAACTCGGCACTTTTAACGCAGTCAAAGAACACTACTGGTGGCCCGGAATGCGATGATTCATCAAATCTTATGTCGAAGGATGCACCGAATGCCAACAGTACAAGATCAATCGTCATCCTACTAAACCCACCTTGGAACCTATCGCCGCCCCAACTTCTTCCCGACCATTCTCCCAAATATCGATGGACTTTATCACCGATCTCCCACCATCAAAAGGATATTACTCCATCCTGGTCGTGGTGGACCACGGCCTTACGAAGGGGGTAGTCCTTGAACCTTGCCATAAGACTATTACCGCCGAAGAAACCACCCAACTTTTCCTTAATCGAGTCTTTCCCCGATTCGGATTACCAGACAAATTCATCTCCGATCGCGGACCGCAATTCGCAGCTCGAGTCTTCCGCGACCTCTGCAAGCTTCTCAAGATCGGCTCAGCTCTCTCCACCGCCTTTCACCCGCAAACTGACGGGGGAACCGAACGAGTCAACCAAGAAATCGAAGCATACCTGTCCATTTACTGCACCATGAACCCCGAAACTTGGGCCGATCACCTCCCCATCCTCGAATTCACCCACAATTCTCGACCCCACACTGACCGAGCCTTGTCACCATTCGAACTTATCATGGGAATCAAACCACAAGCTCTTCCTGAAGCGTTCGATAGAACGGACTATCCTTCGAACGAAGAGCGCATTAAATCCCTCGACAAGTCTCGAACAGAAGCCCTTGCCGCCCATGAACTCGCCCGATCTCATATGATTGAACGATCCCGACGACAATGGAAACCATTCAGAAAGGGACAAAAGGTCTGGCTCGAAGCGAAAAACCTCAAACTCCCTTACCAATCAAAGAAGATCGCTCCCAAACGACTGGGCCCGTTCGAAATCACCGATGAAGTCGGCTCCCGAGCGTATCGCCTTGCCCTACCAACCCAATGGCGCATCCACAACGTTTTCCATGCCAGTCTTCTTTCACCCTTCAAAGAAATCGACGAACACGGAACTGCCTTCTCCGAACCCCCACCGGACATTATCAATGACAAAGAAGAATGGGAAGTAGAAGCGATCATCGCGCATCGCCGACGAGGACAGGGTTACCAATATCTCACCCACTTCAAAGGCTACCCATCAAACGAAGGTTGCTGGTTACCAGAGCGAAACTTCGAAGACGCACAGGAAATACTCAACGCCTCTACAAACAACGACATAACCTATAAAACCTTTACCCAGACTCCCCATCCGACAGCATGTACAACCACACCAACTACTACAAACGCTTCCAAGTCTACATTGGCCGACCAGAAACTGTCCAAGAAGCTTCCGACCGCTACGATAAAGAACTCAAACACTCCCGCGAACACTACTACTTCTGTCGCGCGTCCTTCTGCATCTATCACTTTCGCTATTAATCCCCTCTTCATCCCTTCCATGACGGAACATCCCTCTAACAATTCGCTCCTCCCTCCATCTATCCGCAAATACCTTGAAGAATCAGAAGAACAAATCTGTTAGACTCTACGGAACTGCGGAGTCTGCGGAGTCGAAGGGACCTTGGCCTCAACGTATTGCGTTGTGCCCACGCTGGTGGTATATGGTCCAACCCGAAAGGAGAGGGGAGGAGAGGGAGAGAGAGACGCGCCTTGCGGCGGAAGACGAGGAGAGAGAGGAGAGAGCCTTGCGGAACGGAATCAGGAGCACTGTGCGGAAATGCGGAGTGTGCGGAAAAGCTCTAGCAAGCCTGAAGGCTCAAGACTGGACAGAGGAGAAGTTCTGTATAAGTCTGATTCGAGATTCCGGATGAGTATCTACTACAGAAATCTAGCTAGCTTATATATCTGTAGATACTCTGGATATACTCTGGGACAAGTCTGGGACAAGAGATAAAACTGAGTCATAAGAAATGTGGAATACCGCGGAATGCGAAGAGGATGAGTAAGACGATTCCAAAGAACAATAGCAAAGCAAGGAAGGGAGTCATAAAGAAGTATAAGAGGTCACATGCAGAGTCTGGGCGCCTAGAGGGCGGTTACGAGGTTTCTCCGCACGGTCCGCACCGGCCCTCAGTTGCGGGCCGTGTCGTACCGGCGGCGCTCCGCATAAATGCGGAGCGGAGTGCCTAGCGCCCGTAAACTCCGCATGCGGATCGACTGCGGAGCATGCGGGAGTGCGGAGGGAAGGGTCGCGGAGATGAAGTGGAAATAGAAAGTGCGGACAGGAAATGAAAGTGAGGAAAGAGAAGCGGAGGCAAGGGAGAAATTGAAGCATAACGTGCGGAGTAAGGGAAGGCATAGTGAAGCAGAGGAAAATGAAGACAAGTGGAATAAGTGGAGTAAGCGAGAACATCAAGAAGAGAGGAATACAGAACAGGAAAAAGGTCAAACAGGTAATGCATAGAGGAGCGGAGGAAGCATAGAGAGGAAAGGAGTAATGCGGAACCACGAATTGAAGAGAAAGAAGTGGAAGAAACAGGATGCAGAAAATTGCGGAGAGCGGAGAAAGACAAAATCGGAACTTAGGAAATAAAAGGATACAAAGGAGAAGAAAAAATGCGGAGTCAACTGCGGAATACAGGGAATCACCAATGGGGACCAGGCTTGTCTGGGTACCTCTTGTGGAACTCTCCAACAATCTCTTGAGCGTGTTCAAGCTCTGTGGCAGGGAGCCAGCTGCGTTCCTCGTCTCTATTCTCGTATCCGCGCCACCGCACTTCATAGAGGAGCTTGCAATGTTTGTGGCGACAATCCAGTTTGGAGTTGAGGATCTCCGAAATCTCATATTCAAGTTCCCCATCCACCTCGATTGGAGGCGGAGGTGGTTTGTGGCGTTGCGGAATCTGAGAGGTGTAATGCGGTTCGAGCATAGAGACGTGGAAGACAGGGTGAACAGCGCAGAGAGAGTCGGGGAGGCGGAGAGTGTAGGAAACAACTTGGGCAATGATCTCGTAAGGGCCAAAGTATCGTTCCGAAAGCTTCTTGGTAGGTCTGGTTGTGCGGAAGAACTGGGCTTTAACGAAAACTCGGTCACCCACCTTGAAGTCTGGCGGAGGTAAGCGCTTCTGGTCCGCATAGCGGCATGCGGACTCCTGCGCGCGAAGAATGGCGAAACACCAGTTGTGGCACTAGGCGCATTGTTGTACGCAAACTCCGCAAGTGGGAGGAGTTCATGCCAGTTGTCCTGCTGGTAGTTACAGTAGGTCCGCAAATACTGCTCAAGCGTCTGATTGACCCGCTCTGTCTGTCCGTCTCCTTCTGGGTGGTAGCCGGATGTGAAGTGGAGCTTCATGTCCAGGGCTTCCCCCAAACTGCGGAAGAAGTGGGAGACGAATTCGGAGCCGCGGTCGGAGGTTACATGGCCAGGAACACCATGTTTGGAGAAGACGTGGAGCACAAACAGTCGCGCAAGCTCTGCGGAGGTGAGGCGGGAGTCTGTCGGAACAAAAATGGCTTGTTTCGACAGTCTATCCACCACCACCAAGATATCCGTGTATCCGCCGGATGCGGGGAGCTGTTCAATGAGATCCATCGAAATGGAGTCCCAGGGGCGGAGCGGAATAGGCAGGGGCTTCAGCAAACCATAAGGCTTGTGACACGGAGACTTGTTGCGCTTGCAGACTGTGCAGGAGCGGACATAGTCCGCAACAAAAGTGCGGAGTTCCGGCCAGACGTAGTCGCGGCGCACCAGCTCAATCGTCTTGTTCTTGCTGTAGTGTCCCGCAAGCGGATGGTCGTGTTTGAGCTGAAGTACGCGGAGGCGGAGTGCGGAGTTGTCCGGAACGTAGATGCGTCCGTCCTGGCGGAGTATACCATCTGCGGAGAGAGTCCAGCGAGGGTTGGAAGGTGTGGGGAGGTGTTTGGAAGCGATTTTGTCCGTGGAGTAAGCAGCCTTGATGTCCTTGAGGAGCGCTCCCTCGTCAACTACAATCGATGCACGGAGTGCGGGGAGCATGATCTGCGGGGAGCATGATCGAAGTTGCGCGGAGCGATGCGGACAGCTGCTCATTGGTGAAGATGGGTCTGAAGTTGTGGGGATTGACTGACGCGTAGTCACTACCTCCCTGTTTAAGGTAGACGTCCCAACGTCTAGTGAGGGCATCGGGCTTCGTCCCCAGCTTTCCAGGGCGAAAGCGGATGACAAGGTTGAACTGGGAGAGATACTCCGACCAGCGCGCTTGCCTGCGGGTGAGGACCTTGGAAGTGGCGAAATATTCCAAGTTCTTGTGGTCCGTCATCACATTCACAGGCTCCGCAGATCCCTCGAGGTAATGCCTCCAAATCTTGAAGGCCTCGAAGATAGCCAGGAGCTCCTTG